GAATGCGTCTGTTTCGAGCCACACTACTCCTTCCGGAGGACTGTGCGCTTGGCCATCTCATTCACTCGGCTCACGCCGTCAGCGGCACATGCACTGGACCCAGAGCGACCTGAAGGGAGATGGCGTACGACATCCGGCAGTGCTGTAATCTACCACGATGCCCGCTCGTTGAGCTGGATATTTGCATGCCGTTTCAAGGAACAATCACCTTCGTTGTTCGAGAGCTCGGACTTTCGCCCACAGCCTGTCTTCGAACAGACGAAGCAGCAAAGCCTACCGGGGCGGACGCTGAGCTGTGAACCGACCTTTAACAGATCTCCATGGCGCCAGGGTACCCGATAAGCGCTTCCACCACAACGGCGAAAGCTCTGGATCTTCCGTCTCTGATCACTTGATGGTTCACCGTGTACCGCATGAGTTCCAACCATCTCTGGCATGGCATATCTGTCTGCAGGAGCCACAGACCTCCATGCTCTCGGACAGCTTCGTCACCATCTCCAGCTGGCGGTGTCTGCAGGAGCCGCAGACCTCACTGCTCTCTGACATCAAGAACCCTCCTCTTGCTGCCGACCATTCAGACAAAATGGGCTCACGACCCCGCTCTTACTTCACTTCGCACTCCATCACTCCCGCACAGGTGCAGCTTCACATCTCACTCCTATGGCCATTTCGCGAGGGTCAGTTCCTCTGGGAAGTCTGCGATGGGCTTTGTTCATCTCGATCTGCTGTGGCCCTGCTATCGCACTGCTGCTGGCATGGATATCAAGCCCGGGCCCCCTAAGCTACCCACCATGGCAGACCCTAGGCCTGTTCAACGTTCTTCGTATGTGCATGCCAATTCGCTATTGCCACTGTGAGGGTGTATCCGACCGATCATGCTTTCTTGCGGAGGATGTTGCTATCGCCGCGCTTCATGTGAGCGCTTGATATGGTCTTTTGATCTCCATTCTTGCGAGGAGCGCTCTTGCGATGGGGGCTTTCGCGACAACCTGTGGAACATGTGTCCTGGTTGCCCTCGCGCGCTTCTTCGGCAGCCACCGCCGGCCCCATGGCTTCTCCGCTGCATCTTGAACCGCCCAGCGAGCCGGATGCCTTGCGAACAGCCTCCCATGTTGCTGTGCTTCCACCGGCGCTTATGTGTTGTGCTTGACAGTGCGACGGCTGTATCCTCGCCTGAGCCCCCTCTTCATCTCCTGCTGTTGCCATCGCCCACCGCCAGCCTGCGTAATCTCCGCATGAGCACATGCCGCTTGTCAGCACCCTTCTCGTGCATCTCGCTCCTGTTCTACGGCTATGGTGTGCTGCACTGAGGCTGCTGGCGTCCGTGGGTGGAGGATTGAGGTCGTCAGGGCTGTCAGGCAGCGCGGAGAGGCCGGCAATGCTGCTGAGGGCTCATTGTATTTGCTCGTGGCAGTGAGCTCGCTGTCACTGGGTGGTGTGGCGTCGTACGGCGCAGATCTACCTCGTGCCCGTCGTGGTGTCGCTTCGCAGAGATCCGTCGGAGGTGGTGGGAAGTACGACGGCGCTGACACTGGCGGCTTTCGCTTCTCTACAACGTTAAGCGACTTCGTATTGGCTTGACTGCCACTCCCTGTGCACTCCGAGGTGTGATATGGCGGTCTAATCGAGCTTGTAGTGCATGGAGGTGGTGATGTCTCTCAGCTTATTGCCGGTGGGGAGCAGTTTGCTGGACGCAAAGCACATATCAGACAGCACGGCACGGCAAACAGAGGCTTCATCATCATCGGGGTCTCATGCGTCTATTCATATTATGCCTCTTACAATTATGAAAGCTATGGACGTGTGGGAGCAGACTGCGACTACGAACGAGCTCAATTCCGGTTACAGGAGACGGCTCATCGAGGAAATGGCAGTTTCCTCACTTTCGGCGTACAGATCTTCATGCGGTGACTGTGAGGCCGTTGCGAAACCACTCGTGAGGGATCTGTGAAGGCACGGTGAAAGGACGCCGCGTGAGGACCGTTGGAGGACTGAGGCTGGGGGCGACTTGCGCGCCATTGCCATAGAGCAGAGCCAGTGAACGATTGTTATTACGCCTTGCCTTCTCTCGCATCTACCCACGAGCCGTCATTGAGTGCCCAGCTGTGTTGCTGTTGGCGCGGAGGGAGGAGAGGGGGTGGTACGAGTAACGACGGAGGCTTTGCCACACTGGCTTGGGGAGCGGTGCTGCCATCACGCCGTCGACTCAAGTCAGAGGGCCACTCTATCATCTCCTCAAGGCTCACTACGTTCCGCTGGTCAAGGCAATCCTGTGAAGTGTGTTGTTGCCGTCGTCACCGTTACGACCGAGGAACCCCGTGAGCAGCGCTGACAAGGTGCCTACCACATCCGCCCCTTACCCTCATGTCCCAACTGTGTCCCAGCTCGTGTGATCTGAAGATTCCATGCTCTTGATGCTGCCCGGTACTTCTCTCGAGTGCGCCAAATGTGAGGCTGATGGTTGAGGAGGGTCTTGACTGGGGGTGCCCTTCGGTGGCGGCCGTGAGGGATCACCAATCCTCCTTGGAGGAAACGTGTTTGAAACGCCGGGCATGGTGTTCAGAGCGACCTGAGGGAGTTTGCTTGATGCTGGTGATGACTACGTGCTACCGTTCGCCCTGCCCCCCTGACGCCGCCGCTGGGCTTCCTCCTAGGCCCAGCAACACCACCATCCACCATCCTGCAACGAAGAAGCGAACATCGCGCTTTTTAGTGGCCTTCTGCCCAGCTTACTTGAAGGCATCACACCGCTCTCACCACACGAGCATGTCTTCAAGGTCCCACCGCACTGACAACGCCACACGACAATGGTCAAAGGAGATTCTTCTCCAGGCTCAAGCAAGAAGCTCAAGGACTGATGAAAAAGGGTCGACATCACAAGGAGGTAGTGCAATACCAAGGACATCTTGAGGTTCAAAAAATTTGGCATGGCAATGGCATAGAAGAAAGAGGAAGGTTGGAGGAAGACTCGGTTCATTTTGTAGTCGGGAATCGGTGCTGGATTGAACGCACGGCAGTGACATATGCAGTGCAGAGGCATCAGCGGTGGTCTCATTGGCTCTTGAGAGCGAAAGGTCGATGGTCACGTGTCGTCTTGGGTCAGACAGACATCCATATGGATTGCATCCGCTACAGCAGCGCCAACAACAAGCGCAGACAGGAGAAGGCGCAGGTCAGCGAGGACAACAAGCTCAAGCAACTACGAATCTGCGAGCCGCAAAGGGTGGTCTTTGGCGCTCTTCCGAAGAAGTGGGTGGCAAGCAGCCGATATGACCCCCACTGACCATGGCACACGGAGAACAGACCGCATTAGCACTCTTCTCCGCCTCTCAAGCCCCTCGACAAGTCTTCATCAGCCGCTTTACTGCCGCCACCCCCCTTCCTCCCCTCCGAGATGGTAGCACAGCCAACCAACGACGTCTTCCGCCTGCCGCTCGAGCTCCGCCTCGCGATCTACGAGAGGGCGCTTTCTAAAGGCAGCCACGTCACGATCAGTGGTGGAGAGGCACACCACCGGCCAGCAGTCGCCTCCGCGGACCGGCATGCGCAGGCAGAGAATGGAGATCTTGCCGGTGTTTCAACAGCAGAATCGGCGGGATGTTCCTGGGTCTGCCAAGCGGAGGAAAACGATCGGCTATGCTGTCGCTCCGTGCCTTGATCTTGCTGGGAGGATGGGAGCGGTCGCGGTAGTAGAGGAGGAAACCGAAGGATCATCGCGAGCGGAGCATGGGACGGCGTTTCTGATACTGAGATACCCCATGAGTGAGCAGGAGCTGAGCTTGTATCCTCCACTGTATTGCCACGATGAATGATCATTCGAACGAGAAGATGCGCTGCTTTCAAAGCTATCTCTGCTGCAACGCGACATTGACATTGCTGCGCTCAGGCGCTGTACTGGCAACAACTGAAACGAACATCGTTTGAGGACAATACGAAGCGGACAGTGGCAATTGCCCTCATATTTAACGTGTACTATCATCAAGAGGGCGCAACTCACTGCCACCCACCTGTGATCTGATCCTCCTCATCGGAGCTCTCACCCCCCTTCTTCCGCTTCTTCGTAATTTTTTCCACCTGCGACCTCTTCTTCTGAAACACATAACTCCTCGCTTCCCGATCCTCACCCTTCCATCCACCACCGCCCTCCACATTTCCCAACGTTCGCGAATGATGATACCCCGGATACGCTTCCGCAGAGAATTTGAAACTCCGCTGCACCTCCAGCCCAGAATAGCGTGCAAGATCGCGGATGTTCCATAGCGTGTATGGCTCGCCTTCGAAGAGCGTGACGATGATCGTCCCATCCGAGAGGAGTAGTGAGAGTGCTGCGGCGAAGAACTTTACGAGCAGCTCCTGGTTGAAGCGGACTTGTCGGTTGACGTCCTTTGATTTACCGCCGACGTGTGGGAAATTGAACATGATGCGATCGAATTGGCCACCTTTCTGTAAAGCTTTCGTAGAGTCCAGCTTGGTTGCATCGACGCCGTAGTGGATGGTTTGTCCTTCGTCTTCCAGGAATTGGACGTGGTCTTCGGCTTGCGGTTTGTACTTCTCGAAAAGGTCGTCTTTCGAATCAAAACAAGTAGCTGTCACGTCGCAGCAGCCATGGTGCTCGATGATTGATTTTGCATACGAGAAGTCGCCTTCGCCTACCAGGAGGATGCGCTCTTCCGCATCGAACGGGATGGTTGGTTTTGCTGTCTTCGCCTCCGACGGCTTTGCGAGTTGTTGAGGGTTTCTTGTTTGCTGCGGTTGTTTGCTCAGGGTATGCGCACTGAGCTTGCGCTTCTTATTTTTGGTCATCATTGCAGTCCCATGGGTGTACTGCATCAAGTCCGCAGCTTTCACATGCTCGTCCGACCTCTACATCAGAACGCGCTAAGGCTGATCCGTGCCGCCTCCGCAAAGCTTAAGCCGAGCTAGTCAACAGCCACGTGAATGCAAGATGTCCTCCACTCCTCTCCACGACTGAACTATGTGATGCGCTCACTCTACTCAACATGGCCATCACCCGCCTCCGCAAAGCCTTCCGCTATCCCTCCGAGTCCGACTCTGACAACGAGCCCGACGAGCTCGACGAAGAACACCAAGAGCGACTGATATCCGACCTCCAGGCGCAAGATGCACAGAAGAACGAGTTATACCGCACAGCCTTCGTTGCCATATCAACGCTTGCTTGGGTCTTCTTCATGTATACCTTCGTGGTAGCATCGACGGCACGGCAGCGCTTGATAGCGCTGTTAAGTCTGTCAAGCTTGGGCTGTACGGCGTATGTTCTCTACTTTATGCCTATCGAAAAGCCGGATCGCAAAGGCAAGAAACCTGTGTACCAGGTCGAAGCTGAGAAGAGTCCGGTGGAGAAGTATCTGGTCTATTTGAATGCGGCTCTAGCAGGGCTATTGCTGTTGGCTGCAACTCTAAGCTGGCGGAAGGGCCTTGGAGATGATGCGTGGCGGGAGGCGTTGCCAGCTGGTACGTACCTGACCGTCAAACACTTCTTTACAATAGACGGCAGTCCCACGACATTGAATTCTTCGCCCAATCGCTCTCGAATGCTAACAACGTTTGAAGTGATCCTTGGCCTTACCCTCTTCGTCCGACAACAACTCGCTCCTCTTGACTTGGAAGATCTCCAGAAAGCGAGATATGAGTACAAAGGTGCTTGAAGCTGTGGTGTATCACTGGAAGCCTTTTATTCGGCCTCCATCAACTACTATTACTTTTGGCCGCAGAACAATCACAGAAAGCCGCCCACTACCGCCAGGCCCGATCGAGGCGTTTGAAGACTTCACCCAATGCTCATCAGCCGCATACGGATCACTGATCAATAGCATCCTTGAACCTCAGCACCGCATTGTCCATCAGCAATCCATCAACGCCCTGCGGCAAGCTCATCACGCTCGCCGGCGAAGTTCGCTTGACGTCGCGCGAGTAGTCCGAGATGAGAACCAGCCCGGCTTCCTTGACTGACGCCACCAGCGCGGGAACAAGGTCTAGAAGCCGCGAGGTGCAGATTAGACCCATTAGATTGTTCGATGTGGCGATGCGGACGCTCTCCTTGATGGACATGCTAGTCCGCCCGCAGTTGTTGATTGTATTCGAAGCTGAAGGCTGCTGCTGTTCGTCCGGCGGTGCTACTCCGAGCTCGTTGCAGAGCAAGACTGGGTCTACGGAGCATATCAGCATCTTGTCATTGAGAGGGTGCGAGGTACTTACAGTTTGGCTGCTTCCAGTTCAGTGCTGTGCAGATATCAGGATTGTAGCTCGAGAAAACAAAGTTCCTCAGCTCATCTTCTTTCGTCGCCTGAAGCTGCGTCTCGCGAAGGTGTCTGGCGTGAGCGAAGACGACGGCGAGCACATTGTCGACGACGTTGTTCATGTTCTGTGAAGGTCCGAGGTGAAGCTGTTCCTCTTCCGCTCGTGATGGGTAGCAGACATGGATCTCGAGATGAAGGTCTGGCGGCAACACGGCTAGAGCATCCGCCAGTGAAGCATACGAGCGCGCAATCTGCCGTTGTGCATTGGCGAGGTTGTTGCGATCGATGCCGCTGCCCACAAGTCCTTGCACAACGCCCCGACCTCTGCCAGCTTCCAGCCCGGCTGTCTCGAACTCCTGATATGTCATGCGGCTGATAAGATCGTTCTTGCTGCTCGGCAGCGCCCAGTCGTTGAACAGCACTGGTACGCAGTCTCTGGTCACTTGGACGAACAGCCTCAGGAAGTCTCCAGATAAGCTGCTACCAGTGATTAGATTGCTGGGATGTGCATCATCTTGGCTCGTGGCCTTCCAATACGTCGCAAATGTCGTGATCTCCAATGGAATGCCATGGAACGGTGTGACGACTTGGTAGCGGAAGTTGATGCGGCCGATGGTGCGTAGGCGGGGATCAAATAGCTCAAGGTGCCAGATACCGGAGCTGCTTGCTTTGCCGGTGAAGACACGGCTCGATGCTGCTGCTCGAGCGATGACCTTGCTGCCGAACGTGGGGTAGATGTCGAAGTCGATGCTGAATGTGCTGAGGTTCTCGATCTGAAATGAAATGGTCTTCGCATCGTCCTGGACAGGTAGAGGCACGCTTCGAGGTATGAGGTCGGACGATTTGGATGATATCGTGAGGCGTGCGGCTGGGTACTTGTTGTCGTCGTAGAATTCGATGGCATCAGAGCCGAGCTCATCGAAGGAAAGGAGGATGAAAGTCTTGGTTGTGTCCAGGAAATTGTGGCCATACCGTCGGAGAGGGATGATCGGTGGTGGCAGGATCAAGTCTGGTATCGTTTCTGGGTCATCTTGCGGAACCATACCGGTGCTTGCGGTCAATGATGGTGGCGGCATGACCGGCGCAACCGGAGCTCGAGCTGGCTCAACCTGCGCTGCACTGGCCCGCGCAAGGAGCTGCATGCAGTCGAGATGTCCTTCCCACGCTGCGTAGTACATGGCTGAAAGGCCCTTCTCGTCTTTCGCGTTTGCCTTGACCCGAAACTCTAGCAACTGTTGTAGGCAATGCAGGTGGCCTTCGCTGGCAGCGTGGAATATCGGAGTCCATTGGTACAGCTTATCTTGCTGATCCATGTCCACTCCGTACTCTTTGAGCAACTGCAGGGTTTCACGAGCTCCGCCAAAGCGCGCCACCAGATGTTGTGGAAACAGACCTTCGGCGTCTGGAAGGATTTTCGGACCATACTGCAGCATCTGCCGAATAATCAATGGTGAGCCGTACTGGCAGGCCAGATCTAGCGGATTGTGATCAGCATCTCCAGGAGGGTCGACGTAAGCTCCCAGCGCTAGCATTGCCTCGACGCTGCCAGCCTCTGCACGGACTACACCATGGATCAAAGGTGTGAAGTTGTCGTAATCCTTAGTGTTGACTGTGTCCGGTCCAGCTTGTGCCAATGCTTGAACCATCTCCAGCTGGCCGTGCATGCAAGCGTAGTGTAACGGAATGCGACCATAGACGTCGGGTGCTCGAATATCCGCACCTTTCGTCAACGCCGCTCGAAGGACATCGATCTTGCCACTGACTGCAGCTTCATGAATGCAGTTCCTCCGATTGATGGGATCGGCGTAGTTGAAATCGATGCGGTCGGTGCGGTATAGATATTGCTGTGCTTTCGGCGACGCGGTATTGACAGTGTCGAGGAACATGCGGCTGATGCGCTTTTGCGCATCGTCCTGCGTTGGTGCACGCTGAATCCAGTCTTCTAGTACGGCGACGTTTCCGGCATTGACAGCTTGCATGACCTGAGTTTCAATATCATCATCTCGACCTGGACCGGGTACTCTGTTCTCAAGTTCGACACTAGGCGTGTAAGTGATCTGCTCGCCTTCAGCCCATGCCTGCAGCTCCAGTTGACCGTCCCGAGCCTGATCAGATAGCTTGCTGATGACTTCGCGGTCGAAGCAGGGCTGGACATCGACGGCTCGTGAAAGATACAGCTCTTTGGTCCGAAGCTGAGGAAAAGGTTAGCATACTCAAGACGGGCCAGGAAGCGAAAGGAAATACCTTTGATGTTTTGTCCCACTGCCAAATGTTAGCGCGGAAGTCGATACCGTACAGCAGATGGGCTATATACCTTCTTTAGTATCTTCGAAAACGCAGTCTGGTTGACCTGAACAAACTGCTGCAGCTTGTCGAGGTCATTGCTGAAGAGCTGGAACCCTTCATCGAGTGTGACATAATTCGACGACAGTTTGGAAGCAGGTCTTGACCTAGACTTGAGGTCTCGTTGCTTATCCAGCAGTGTCTTCAAGCGGAGTTTGAGCTGCCCATCTGTCAGAAGCGTCCACCAAAACACAGTTTCTCAGTACTAACCTCAGCCTCCTTCTGGAGATAGAAAGTGTTGACCTTCTCCAACTCCCTCTCCAGCCGGAAGAAGAACGTGCCTTTGTTGGCCTGAAGGGCGGCTTGCGCATCTTGGGCGGCTTCACCAGCGCTCGCCGCATGTTGAGCGTTGATGATCGGAGTCGTGCTCAGCTTTTTGATGAGCTGTCGTCCGCTGTGTCAGCTAGTCTATCTTCCAGCGTTCTCGATTCGGAGGTCCTCACCTTCTTGAGGGCCTTGTAGTCCACGAAACTCGCCGCATACTCCGGGATCTCCAGCTGCCGCTTCTGTATGTGCTTTCCGAACTTCCTACTCCATAGTTAGTGGTCCGTTGCTGTCACTTCCGAAGGCTTCGCTGCCTACATGATGAGGTCGGATGTGGATTCCTGCTATCACTTTCCAACACGCCAAGGTCGGACTGAGCAAGCAGATGCTATAAGGTATTTCCAATCAGCCGCTGCATGGAAGGACTGAGAACAGGATGGTGACTGGCGTCAAGCATGGTGACTGTGAGTGTATCCGACACGTGCTCGCTGGTCCTTGGGTGTTCTCATCGGAGGTCGAGGCTGGGCGATGACATGAGGTGAAGTCAAAGTTAAGGTAGTAGAGTTTCAATGCCCATCCAAGTCACGACTTTCCTGCATAGCGGGGCATTTCAGGACGTCAGAGGCTCCATAACCATGCCACATTCACCTATATGCCGTGGAAGCGTAAAATTATTGCTGGTGGCTTCAGTGAAGGACAGCAGTGAAGTAGAGCGGACGAATCAAATCGCAGCTCGCAGCACGTTGTTGCGTACCGGAGCTATCGCCTTCGACTGACTCGCATGCGCTACGTTGGCGGCTAATGTATGCTGTGGAGAGCTTGTGTCATATTATCATGCTACATTACTGCATACCATCATGTCTCGCGCCTAGTCCTATTGCGCTGGCAGGGCCACCACTTTTCCCCCGATACTACAGAAACGCAGGCCCACTGCGATCACTCCTCCCCGTCCCCTCCCTCCCCTCCCCAATCGTCGGCGGCATCAACCCTGCTTCCTCCATAGCCTCCCACATCTCACTCCCCGGCCGCACATCCTCCGTCTCCGCCCTCAAACTGCTCAAGCGCTGCACGCGCTCCACGCTCACAGGCCGCTTCGACCCGGTGTGCACCAGCCGTGGGCGTTCGAGCTTCGCTTTGCTGAGACTGTCGTTGCTGACTAGGGCCATTGGCTCGCTCAGCCTGCTCCTGCGTTTCTCGCTACCTTGAGCTGGGTTGGTAGAGGGTTGGGTGTCTCCGACTGATACAGCAACGGCAGTGGCGAGCGGAGACGAGGAACGCTCGCGCAACCGTTCTTTCCATTTCTGGCGCGGCGCTCCCCCTCCGCTTGACGGTGTGACTCCTCTTGAAACTTGCCGCGACGTCGGCGGAGCTGGCGGTGGAGTAGGGGATGCCTCGCCAGGCAGTACCCAGCTGCGCTTGTGTCTCGGAAGAGCCATCTCGGCAGCAAGGTCTGACTCTGTGATGGACTCTGACGTGGAGTCGTACTCAGAATCGCTTTCGTTCTCTACTCCCTCGTCGTCTGCGCCCAGCGTCGACTTGGTAACAGCGCGAGGAAATGAAGGGGCGAACCTGGATCTCAGCTTTGCACTGAGCCTTCGCGGGTCGCGAGGTGGAGGTTCCAGAGACGAAGAATTGGAGTAACTCGTAACTTGGCTTCTGCCACGCTTGGTCCGCCGACTGCTGCCAGCGACAGAGCCATTGACCGAAGAGTGGCCGTTCATTCGGGGATCTGTGGGTGCACGGGAGCCATGAGCGAACAGCGGGCTGGCCAGACTAGTGCTCGCTCTGTTCCTAATGAAGGACTGTCGTTTGTCTTGCAACGACCTGTTGTCCAGAGTGCTGTCGCTGCGTGCAACTAACCGAATGCTCTTCCGCTTCCCTTCTGGACCCCAGGTCAGGAACGATTTCGAGTCGGTCATCGTAGACCGCGTGGGAGGCCGTGGGAAGTCCGATGGTCGTGTTGACAGTACGCTGGTACCTCTGGTACTTTGAGTAGCCATGCTACTCCGATCTTGCATCGTAGACTGCCCTAGGCTACTTACCGGCCTCCTTCGAGTCCTCGCACCCTTCGAACTGTGCCGCGGCAACAGCAGAGCGCCTCCCGTGTCTATGCCGAGCCCAACACTTTGGCGTGATTCCCGCTTCTCCCTCAGCCTTCGCAAAGCTGCTTTAGTAGGTGACCGATCTGACAGCGGCCTGGATGAGCGTGCGATCTCAGCCGGAACCGAGAAACTGTCGTGCGGTGTAGTATGTAAGGCAGTAGCGTCCACGCCCCAGGTAGGAATATTCGAATCCGCTCGTATGGCTTCTTCTCCGTTTCCAATTGATGACGCCAGGCTGATTCGTGAGAAACGCTTGCTCCATTTCATGTGGTTCTTTCCAGGCTTCGAAGGAAGATCAAGAGCAATGTGCGGCGCCGGCTCGGTCTGCAAAGGGGCCAACCGGTCACCGCTATCTGCGTATCTTTCGATGTCCCTGTGCACATCAGTTGTCACAGCGATACTGCCAGCATCTGGCGGCAAGATTGGTCGAGATATTGTTCGCTTCTCGGGACTGACTGCTTCAACGTAGCCTTCGGTCCGCCTTCTTCTTCGCCAGCAGAGGACTAGCAGAGCAGCGATTATGGCGATTGCAACGAGCGTGCCAACAACAATGCCGGCGACAGCTCCTGTGCTCAAATGGTGGCCTTCTCCCGCTGCTACTGCTGCCAGAGGGATTGGTGTTGAAGTCGAAGTATCTGAGCCTGGAGTTGAAGTCTTCCTGGGCGATGGAACCGTGGGTGTAGCTGCCTTGATGCTGATAGCGAACGTCTGATCCTCCCCCGGAGCTGCATCGGACGACTTCGCGGTTATTGTGCCTTCAATGGTAGAATCGGTCGTCTCTTTTGGCACGGTGCCGCTAAGAGTTCGAGTCTCAGGGTTGAAATGCAGCCACGTTGCCGTCTCTGGGAGAGTTACCATCAGACTCGGGACGTGAGGTGCAAAAAGCGAGTCCGGGAAATGGTAGCTGAACTCCTTGCCGCTATGCGCCGTCAAGGTAGGTATCTTCGCGGCAAACACGGACGCAACCCCATTCTTCAGCATCACAATCGCAGTAGCTTCGTTGCCGAGCTCGTCTGTGACCGATACCGTGATATTCTGGTCCGGGGCACCTGGCGGGACCATGCCACTCAATCCAAGTGTTTGCGGGTCGAAGTCCATCCAAGATGGCACGGAGGCGTCTGCGCTCTTTATAATCGCCGCATCGACGTTGATCCCATTCAAGAACAGTGTGTCTGCCAGCTCGTTGTATCTTAGCTCCTCGCCAGCAGTCATGTTGACGGTCTGCATCCCTGGAGCAAATGCCAGCTTCTGTATCCCGATTGCGAAAGTGAAAGATGCCGCAGCACCCGCAAAGCCTTCCACATCAGATGCTATCAGCTCAACATCCCAAGACTGCGGGAAAGCGCTGAGCTGCGGCGAAGTCCCGAAAAAGGTGAGGGTTTTGTCCTCGAACTCGAGCCAGGCTGGGAGAGGCGTGTGGTCTATGAGAGCCGCATAGTAGCTGAGCTTACGCTGGACGATGTCGATGAAAGAGTCCTGCCGGAAGGTCAACCGAAACTCTCGAGATGGAAGCATGGTGATCACTGCCGGATCGCTGCTCGAAAGATTCGCGTCCGCGGCAAGCTGCTGAGTGATGCTCCATTCGATCTGCGGCGGAGGGTCTTTAGATACCACAAGCACGCATGGTATATGAGCTGCGCCAGTGTCGTCCGCGGCTGTAAGAGTGAAGCTGCTGGCGCCCTCGTCGGCAGAGCTTGGTGCGCCGGACAGGGTCCGCGTTACGCTGTCCAGAGACAGCCACGCAGGCTGGTCAGACAAGCTGTATGTAAAATTTGCGTTGTCGGGCGCGAACGTCGAGGAGGAAAACTGGAACTCGTATGGCTCGCCCACCCTCGCTACCACCGGCACTTGCGCGTTAAACGGTAGTGCGATTCCGGGTGTAGCGCTCGTAAACGTGACGGCTGTTGCTAGCCATGTCAACCTCAGTGCAGCGAGATATCCAGGCGCAGGGCGCAACATCCGCCGAGCGTTCGCATTCATCCTCCGTGGTCCGTCCATTCGGTCCAGCCTCCTCTTCTCCGCTCAGACTTCAACACTCCGTCTCACAACCAACACTTCGTCCAAAGTTTGCATCGCAGAGAGCATCAAGTCTTCGCAAAAAGGATGGAAAGTAACGCGCAGATCGCGCTCACGCGTAAAGTGGCGGGCCCCTTGCTGCAGAGGTGGCAGAACGGCGAAGTGGAATGCTATACAGGTCAAGGGAGCAAAGGGAATAGGAAAGGAATCTCACACCAACTTCAACGTACTCACACTGGGTGGAAGATGTACTTTAGACACTCTGGAGGTTTGGTGGCAGTGTGTTGGCGTTGGCGTGGTTGCGCCGCTGGATATACCAGGCTCGAAGTCGTAGGACGACCTGCGCTGACATCCGGGTTTCTAGAACGAACATGGAGGTCCAGCTGAGTCTTACCATTGATTGTAGACATCCAGAGAAGGGATCTACGGTAGTAGGCGACGGAAGACTGGCAGTTGGGCCTCTGTATCGACCGTCCTTTCTTTCCGCCCCAAACGCCGCCGCGGTTAGCTGAGGACATAGTCATCATCAGTATACTATCGCGTTCGGCTCTGAGAGCATAGGTTCCGTGAGGAACTCCTGGCACTCGCGGTGAGCAATGCCAGCGCGAGGCGACGCGTTTGGGTCTCGGTGGGGCTTCGTAGATTGTCGTCACTTCTCGCAACCCTGGCCAGTGAAGCATACGTCTCGACCTGTGGTCATCGTTCGATCCGTCCGACAATGATACGGTAATATTGCGATCTGCTGCGGTTAAAAAGAGACGTTGAAGCAAAGAGCAACCGCGATCCCAAAGTCGCACCAGCACAGACGCTCCCGCAAACACTCCACCTCCCCCACGTCTTCCAACCTGGTCCAATATTTCCGATCTCGCTCTTGTCCCGAAGACCCTTCCTCACACCCATGGCGGACCGCGACTCCGAGCCTTCAGACGTCCTCACCATGATTGGCGAAGACCTGGTGCAGTCGCGCGAGCACAAAGCTCCCCAGACAAGCCGAATTGACTTCGACGGACTACTTCAACCAGAACTGGTACTGCATCAAGACCTGGCGAAGGGCAATGGCGGACAGGCTTGGCCTGCCGGAATGGTACTGGCCAAGTACCTGCTACGCAGAAAGCGGGATGAGCTGAGGGAGTCTACGATGTGGGTATGAGGTCTGATCTGTGGTGCTGCACGGTCTGAAGTAGAGAGCTGATGGTGATTGACAGACTCGAGCTGGGTGCTGGCAGTGGTCTCGTTGGGTATGGAAACAACAGGACTCAGTATGAGTATGGCTACCAAATGCTGACCGTCTCTGCAGGCTCGCGATAACAGTCGGGTGCCAGCCAACTACTCCAGTATGCATCACGGACCAAAAACCAATGCTGGCCTTGATGCAGCAGAACACCGCCTTGAACAATCTCCAGGACAAAGTCGTCCCTGCTGTCTATAATTGGGGTGCGGACAGTCTGGTGCCCGTTGCTGAACATCCAGACGTTGTCCTCGCAGCAGACTGCGTCTACTTCGAACCCGCGTTCCCACTTCTGCTGGAGTCTCTGGAGGCCCTTATCGGTCCAAACACAGTCTGCTACTTCTGCTACAAGAAGAGGCGAAGGGCGGATCAGCGCTTCATCACTGCACTGAACAAGCGGTTTCTGGTGGAGCCTGCTCTCGACGACCCTGACCGCGCAGCCTACACCCGCCAGAACATATTCCTGTGAGTGGTCTTCCCAAACCAAGGCTAGTTGAAAGACATTCGAATATACTGACTGCACAACAGCTACACCATCCGACGGAAGGAGAAGCGATGAAGCTGGCAGTCTTCTCAAGACGTGGTATACTTCCATCCATTATGCTGCCGCTGTGACTACCGCAGAGTCCTCAAAGTACCTAGGTATAGACGGACGAAGGCCGGTCCAGACCCCAATTACCATCGGCCTTCGGACGAGCTTCAAAGACCGATCAAGCGCATCGAAAGCGGCAGTTGCGCGTTGTGAAGGGTAGGGATGGAAAGGCTGAGTAGCATTCTTGTAATCAATCAAGAGTGGCGACCGAGAAGACGGCGAGCGATCAAACAATTCGAGACAAGCTGCTGCTGCGATGCCACCTCGTACAACTTCGCCTGGGACGGAGGTGGGCGGTTATTGAAGCGCTTTTCACTATCTCAGTGCGTCGATCCGGCCGAATGAAACGAATGTACAGAGGTACTTCGACTGCACCCCATGCACTCGCTTGCTTCTCCTACCTTTCCCTGCGCAGCCTCGCGCTTGAAACGCATTTCCGAGGCGCCAGGCAGCGTGGGAGGTCCAGGGTGTGGCCTGATGTGACACAAAGTGCCGACCAACTCAATGCGAACTGGTTCTGCTGCAGCTGCTGGTAGCCACACTCGTACGCCAAGGCTGTCTCGGCCAGCATCGCTGAACACGAATCTGAATCAAGATGGCAAGAGTGAGACCCTTCCTGACCTTTCCATTTCCGTTATCGATGCCGCGACGTCACCAGGCTGCGTACGAGAAAAAGAACAAAGCGAACAAAGCGAATAGAATAAGCCGGAAGTCCGTGAATAGCGCAGTCCGATTTATCCACAAAGGCAGTTTCACGCAATCGATCTTCCAGCCCGCCATTCAGAGTTGCCGCCGGGAATTACGCACTCTTCTGACAGGCTCACCAGCCCTCACTTGTCTTCGATCGGTGGAGCATGCCGAGCCAGCCGGTTAGCGCGCTGTTGCTTGTGCCAGAGCTCGAGCTTTCTCTCAACACACCCGATCCCACTCTTCCCACTGCCCACCCACCCGACCCTCTTATTCCTACTCGCCTCTGCCGACATATCCTTCTCTCGCCTCCTCATGATTCTTCAGCAAACATGTCTTGCACCACCAAGATGATGAACGGACGCGCGCCGGACACGCACAAGCTGCTGAGCCATTTATCGTAAAAACAGAAAACAGCCCCCCGGCGTCATCCTGCACGTTCCCTGTTGCGCAGTCGCTCTTCATTCTGCGACTGCTTGCGGCCGGGTTCCAGTGCTATTCCGCCAAGGCTGTGCAACGAGATCACCAACCAACATTCACCACGCTTATAGAGGATATTACCTCCTTTCGAAACGATTTATCACATTCTAATCACGACCACGTGGAACACTTCACAACAATGCTCATCAACTGCTTCCGTGGCGCCGACAGCAAGCCTGTCGGCGCCATTGACGATCACCGGCCTCAAGCGCCCAGGCCAGCTACTCTTTCCGCAACACCTCGCAAGTCGTCGCGCTTCATCAAGCGACAAGGGAGCGATGAGTCGCGACTCTCCAGCACATCGACCAATTCCACAATATCGAACGAAAGCATATCGAAACTCCCACCATGCAAACGAGGATCCGACCCGAAGATCGAGGCCATGATGATGCCGCTGCCACAGGACCATCGACCGAGCAAGTGTCTTCGACTGTCACATCCACGAACGTACGGCAACCTGGTGTCGGACATGAAACGGAGCAAGGGTTGCCGTGACTGGAAGAACTTTGCTGTCTTTCCGACCGACGATGTGGATATGAGCATTACGGCGGACGAGGCGGCACGGCAACGGGCGATCGATTATCAGAGGAAGGTCAAGCAGCTGAACTCCAGCTTCCAGTGGAGCGAAGGGTCCAACCGGTCAATTGAGGTCGACATGATTGGTTGAGGGAGGGTGTTGACTATACACGGAGGCTTATGCTATCCTATGGCTGTCAAACCGTCATTCTTGTCGGATGTCACAGCGTCGTTCAATGCCTATCCGGCCTGTCGAACGTTCTACCAACCGATGCTTCTCACAACCTTCGACTGCAAGACAATGCCAAGCGGTGTCGCATACCACAACGTCTTGGACCGAATTGCTGGTAATGGGCTTATGGGATGAAGTCGATCAAAGGAATTCTACTTTTGTTACAGCGACGGTGTTGGCGGGTTGCACTGAAGTCTTGGATGAGACAACTTGGCACGGAGAGAGCGACATAACACTGCCAATCTATCCGGTGGTGCAGGCGGTCTGGGATGGACCTGCTGATCTTTTGTTTGTTACTGCGTTCTAGCATGGTGTTCAGGAGCGCTCTTGGATATAGAGCTTGCTTGTCCATATGGGTGGTCATTTGGATCGAATGAAATCACTGTCACAGTATCACTGTCTTACCAAGCATTCCAACCACTGTCTTCTCGTTCCTGTACAACCTCGCCGAGCATTCTGGAGCTGATGCAGTGTCATGTTACGACTCAGGTACCTACTGACGATCGATGCAGACGATCGGTACAGAAGATCATGAGTCTTGGCATATACCGCATCTCGTAGATCATCGACTTCAACTTCGCTGCACAACCATCCCATCCCACGTCTACCACCAACAATGCTTCCACGACCCCGTATACGCCCCAGCGGCCTCCGCCAGCTCTTCCGCCGCCACAATGCAACCCCAAAACGCACCGTCACCGCCGCCCCCCGCCCAGGCTCCGGTCCCCTAATGGAACGCCGCGCCGACCGCGCCCTCCCTACCCTCACCTCCTCGCACCGCTGGCTGCGCACCCTGCCCATCTTCGCCGTGATCATGGTCGCCTCCACGCTGGGTATCTTCAACTACCAGAAACAATCCAGCTCCGTGGTGAGCAGTACGCTCTATGCGCTAAGGACGAACCCGCAAGCGAGAGAGATTCTGGGGGATGAGGTGTATTTTGCGAGTCAGATTCCGTGGATTAGGGGGGAGATCAATCAGTTGCATGGGAAGATCAATATTAGTTTTTGGGTGAAGGGGACGAGGGGGAAGGGGTTGATGAGGTTTAGGAGTGAGAGGAAGACGAGGATGGGATATGTGAGTTGAGATGGTGCTGCTTTAGAACAGCGGCTGGGTTTGTGCGATGAGCAGTGGTGCTGACGAGATGGATAGTTCGAAACGCTGGAGTGGAGTCTTGAGCCAGAAGGTGGCAAGACGATATCGTTGCTGCAGACTGAGAGGACAGATCCGTTCCAGCAGGAGACGGCGGACAAGGTCGCAGTAGCTGCTTGAATGCCATTATCACTCAGTGATATTTGACAACGTTTAAAGGACGCATGGACACCATCTGGGACACCACACAACAGCGAACCTTGCGGGAGTTGGGTGAACTCACTACGTGCTGGGAGAAAGGGGAAGGGCAAGGGCACAGGCGTAACTCCGATGCTATCACAGTTGATGCCCAATTCTACGGATCCCGCTGTGAATGCGCAACCTAGCTACAGACTGGCCAAGCCGATCGCCGACTCTAGCATGATGGGAGCATGTGCTGCTCGTCCGCCCTTCGAGAAGAATCTGGCAAAGGCCATCGCGCAGTGCTCCGAATCCTCTCGCATTTGCGCGTACGTTGAGGTGTGAGCATTGCCTGGTCAACGCCGTCCCTCGCGGTGCTGATACAATCGAGCGGTAGCCTGTGGTTGTGGAGGGCCTTGCCACGACCCTATCAATGCTACAAGTATCTAGACGAACTAACGCATTCATCTCTCGAAGGGACTGGCGTAAGCTTGAAGATGCATGTGAATGGTAGGTCCGTGAATGATTTTTCTATCGGTTTCGTAGAAGCCAAAATCTTTCCATGCACATAAATCCGCTCCTTGATTTCACGTCAACGGAGGACTAATAACTACATCCTGCACCGCTCTCCCAAAACACCCAGACCACCTCAAGATGTTCGACTACGACGATAGAGACCACCAAGGTCTGGACTACGACGAGACAGACTACGAGCGCTGGTACAAACCTAACCGCCCCGTCACAGCGCCAGAACTAGAAGCCCTCCGCGCCCGTCTCACCAAACTCGAAGCTCTCGTCGACTACAAGCTCACGCCTCTGCCCCCACTCATCGTCCCAGGCTTCTCGGAGAACAACCTCAAGCCCCTCCAGTCCGCCAAGCTCCAAATCTACAGCGTCCACCAAGTCCTCGGAACCCCGGAACTGCTTGAAGCCATCCTCCTCCACCTACCTGCTCTCGAACTCCTGAAATGCCAGCGGGTGAACAAGTTCTTCCAAGCCACCATGGCCGGCTCAGTCGCGCTCGAGAAGGTCCTGTTCATGGCGCCGCCTTCCGAGAAGAACACTACGAAGGGTTCCGACGAGCTCCCGCAGATCAACCGGCTCCTCAACCTCCACCCGATGCAGAACCATCGCCCGTACGTCTTTCGTGGCCGCGAGTTCGACGTCCAGGACCCTCCGAAGATTGTGGAGGACAGGGGGAAGTTTCTGGTCGATGTGCGGTTCGCGCAGTACGATGCTCCGCCGTTCTCCGGCGCAGAAGCTGGGCGGGTGGTGGTGCCGTCGTGGATGAAGATGTATCTTACGCAACCGCCGTGTGAGATTCGGCTCCGCACGTCGCAGGATGGGAAGATCAGGCGGGTGCAGCCGATGACGTTCGGGGAGGTGCTGGAGGTGTTGACGGATGAGCATTATGGGACGAGGAGTGGGAAGGGGAAGGAAGGTGGAAAGGAGAAGGTGGAGAAGCGTAAGTCTGAGAGGTCGTTCTGTGGGTGCATGGGTTGATTGAGGAAAAGTCAGGGTACTGAGCGATCAGACGTGCGTACGGTCGTTTGCCTCTACTGTCTTGGTGGTTAATCCGGCGACTGGTCGCGTGGAAGCGAGGCCTCAAAGGCAGAGCCATGCATGAAGCGTGGTTGAGGGGAATGCATTGCCGGCATGTGCTCAGGTGGCATGATGTCTCATCCGTCTGCGTTGACCACGCACTGATAAGTAAGTAGGCTGAAGACAATGTTCTTGTCTCGCTGTCGATCCTTGCGTTCATTCACATGTGTATTCTCCTCACAGCGTTTCACCTTCGTTGTTGACTCGTCGCCCAAATCCTACATCGTACCACGTGATTTTACATACAGCATGTGAATTTATACGTCAGCGGGCCTGACTTCGCAGATCACGAGTGAATTGCCCTTCCGAGCAACCTCTTGGCTCTCCTGCCATATGATTTCCTATTCACGGTTTTTCGCAGTCATATTTCTTCGCTCTTCACTCGCACGACTCGCTCCTTTTCACCATCAGGCGTTAGCCGCCTGTTCTGCGCCAATCGAATCGACGATGGTGGTAAGCAAAAGATCGCTCTTGCACAACATAAATTCACCTCCCACTTACTCATGGCTAGGGAAACGAGAGACGACTGCCAACATTCACGAGTTCAGAATGCTCTTTGACTACAGCTCAGCAGACGAAATGGTGAACGTCTTCATCCCCGGCATCGTCGGCGCCATAGTCGGCGCTATCCTCGGCGGCCCCTTGCTCCCAAAAGTCGTCGAGTCCAGCTGGTTCCAAAGTCTACGCCAGAAGGTCTTGCCTCGATCCGCCCGAAGAGCCAGAGACGTGGCTCTGGAAGACGCCGAAGCTAGAAAATTTGGCCTTCTCGAATACAAAAAGCTTCGCAAGCGTGTTCAGCAGCTCGTAAGGGAGAATTGGCGGCTTGGTGAAGAGAACATGCACATGGCGACCGAGCTTGGCCGTGGGCAATCGCGCATCCCGACCGATGATTGGCACGCGGGCATAACCCAGTCACAGCTGTCTTAATGTGAGATCGTTCTCACCCTGCCGCCTTGTGAGATCAGGCTGACGACGTCGCAAAGGATGGTGTACTTCCTGGCGATGACTCTGGGAGAGGTGCTGGAGATCTTGGCCAAGGAGACATATGCATGGGTTGACGGCAGTTGTGCGCCAGAGTCGCTGAGGAAGGAGACGGCTGAGTGAGGGACTGCTGGTTTGCGGGACAGCTGAGCGACGGGCGCGATACGAGGCCAGGGGGTTCAGAGAAGCAGGACAGGGCACGTGATATCGGCATGATCGCGAAGTTGGAGCTAGTATGAGTTGAATTCGATCGGCAACCAGTCCGGCCACATGGCGGTAGTGTGCTCAGGGCATGATAGTCAATGGAGTATGTTAACTGTGATGCGCAACCTTCCACGGACTGTTGGCTGGGATTAAACCTTCGTGATCCAGACCCGGAAAAGCTGCAATGGGATTCCATCGTTCATGATATCGGTCCCATCATCCAGTCAAATCCTGTCACGTACGCTGCTAGAATCTCTCATTAACACCGTAATCGAGGGAGACTGCTCACATTCCAGTGGCCCACCAGCATAACCGCTTGAGCAAGCGGAGTAGACCTTTGTAGTTCCCAGAAGCCATCCAACGTCCCAGCACCCCTTCCTTCCCCAACTCCTCGTCTTCCCACCCGCACCCATCCTCTCTAAACACTGCCTCTGCGCCCAAACTTCCATGAGCCTCACACCCTAACCCCACACGCCGATATAGCTCAATCAAGCCGTAGAGCCGCGGCAATGGAAGTCAATCGTCCAAGATCTCGCGCCAATCTCCAGGTCAGTGCTCGTACCAAGTACACTGCCCAGCGCCACTCAGTGTTGTCGTGGTCATGTTAGATTCTTGACCATCCAGCGGAAGCCCACCAGAATGCGTGCTTCACCAAACGCACGTCAGTAGACCACCGTAATCCCCTTGCAAGCATCTGCATCCAGCTACCACATTCGCAGTCCTCTTGATCAGACCCACCACACACTCCCTACTATCAACCTCGCGTCTTTCCTCCAGTACCCATCCGTTCCAAACACCGCCCCTCCCACCTCCCCAACCCCACCTCCAACTTCCCATCAACCACACACCGTCCCCTCACCCGTCGACAAAGCCCAAACACCCCCTCAAAATCGCGATCATAGTACATCTCCCCCACCGCATAACCAACCAACTGGACGTCTTTCTTGCTGAGCTTCACGTTCCCTCCCCCATTCAAACCAACCGCTGTTCCGTCAGAGGTATTGAACGGTTTGGCGAGGACGGGAACAGCGGCGATGAGGTCTTTATAGCTGGTTCCGCCGGTGATTTTGGCGGAGTAAGAGGATTTGATGGACTCGAAGGCGGGTCTGCTTTGGTGGGTGCGGGAGACGGAGGGGGTGTCATCTGCGGCGGTGTCGGCGTAGTCGTCTGCGTCTACTTCGATGGCGAAGAGGTTGTTGTCTTCTGCCATGGTCTTTGCATTTCGTGGTAATTGGGGTGGTGTTGTGGTGGGCAAGGTCAGATACTCATGTGCTCTTAATGCACAGGCGCCACAGAAAGCAGATCCTCACATTTACACGGATTTCCTTGCATACGAAGAGCAACAGGGGCGTTTAATATGAACATGGAAGTCTAGTTTGAGGCACTTGTTGATACAGGACTATCGCTACTGGCTAGCGCTACGGAACTGCCCGTAGCTAAGCAGCCCACCAAAGAGGAGTCTCAAAGCCACCTATCCACCCTTCCGTGATCATAGCCTGACGTTCCTCCATTTCCCCACCTCAAGCGAGTCGCTTAGTCGAATGGGTTGGTGCGGGTGCCCCACCAGGTCATGAACATGGACAGGCCGACGGTCTCGAAGACGCGGGCCAAGGCGCCGACGGCGACGGTGTCGAGGGGGCGCTTCTCGGTGGCGATCTGGGCGACGAACTGAAAGTATATTAGTGGGAGGATCAAGGATGGTAGTGTTGATGATTCTTACAGATGGAGCAGAGCTGGCGAAGAAGATCAAGCTACCGAGGTAGGCGGCGCCCTTGTAGCTGAGCGTGCCGGTGGCATTGATGAGCGCACCCACGCCGTAGGCCTGGATGGACGAGCCGACGAGGGATGTGCCCCAGGCGGTCGCGGCGGAGGCGGCCTCCTTGGACTTGAAGAACTCTTCCTTGGAGTTGGCGGCCTGGGCCTGGCGGTAGGTCTCGCCGAAGAGCGGGCCGAGGACGGCGAGGGATGCGGCGTGGTTGAAGACGGTGCCGAGCGCGATGGCAGAGGGCTTGACCGGGGGAAGGTCTGTGGGAGGAAGTGGTTAGTGATGGTGTGGTGATGGATTGGAGGGTGTTTTGATGGGCTTGACCGCTTGCGGCGGGTGTTTGCGACGTAAACAAGCGCGGCGGGTGGGTGCGGAGGGGTGGATGGAGATGACTTACACTGAAGGGAGGCCATTGTGGTTGTGGGTTGTGTTGTGTGGTTGGATTGAAGAGCTGTTGTTGAAGTTGTGGTGGATGTAGGTGGTGAAGAGGAAGATCGTTGTGAGGGAAGGAGAGGTTGATACGGAGGTCATGCACGGCCCTGACATCATCTGGCCTCTAGCTCCACCCGCAGGTGGCTTGAAAGCCAAGTTGGAAGCAGCTCCCACGCCGATCGAGACCAGCGCCACACATCGAGCCATTGGATCATCTCGTGTTTGCATGTGATCGTGCGATGCTTTCGAGATGCCCTACAACCTTTTCAACCATTTTTCACACAGGAGAAAGAGAACGTCCAAGATACGGCATTGCTCTTCGACCTAGGAGGCATTGAAACTTCTCCTGTTCACCTACGATCACGAAACGCTCTGATACCTCCCTACAACCTTTCATATCACTTCCTCCCCCAGAGAAGCCTACACCCGCGGCGTCCCCCCATCTCTCTCCCGATCAATGCCCTGCTCCTCCGGCTTCCACCCACTATCCTCCCGACTCTGAATCACCTCATGAACCTCCAACCTCCCCTCCATAATCTCCTTTCCATTCACCAAATCATTCTCATCCGCCCTTTTCTTTCCCTCGTCCTCGTTAGCAGCAATACCACTCTCCACATGCCTTTTCATTAATCGCTGCCTCGCGACGTCTTCATCTACTTCAACAAACCACAGCTCGTCCATCATCTCAGCAGCCTCCTTCCATTCCGGTGCGCCGCTGCCTAGGGAGAGATAGTTCCCTTCCATCATGATGATGCGGGCTGTTCGCGCGATGGGTATGTCTTCCGCGACAGGATCTTTGACAGCGTGGTCGAAGCTGGGGGCGTAGATGGTGCACGTTTCTGGACAAATTGGCTGGCGGAGCTTCTTCACGAGCTCCAGGAAGGCTGGTGCGTCGAAGGTGAAGGCGGCGCCTCGTCGGGCGTGTGCTGTGTGAGGGTCCGGCATGGCGGACAGTTGGGCCCGCGTGAGGTGGTAACCGTCCATGGGCAGGAATGTTGCGATGCTGGTGTACGATTGTAGGCCAGGGTGAGTTGCGCAGTACTTTTCATTCAGTTTTGAGGCGACTTTGGCAGCGAGTGTCGTCTTGCCTGTTTTTCTTTTCAGACTGGAACATCTATTCAACTTGCAATATTGTCCTACCTGACCCGGGTATGCCGCTCACGGCAATCATCAATCTTTTCGACGCTGGAGCATCTTGGAATTTGTCCCATGTTTTCTGAACTAGTCTCTCGACTTGCTCTTCCATCTTGAGGCTTTGAACACAACAGCGGAAGTGGAGTTACAAGCCGCGGGCATCTTTGCTCGTTTTCAGGTTGAAGGAGCTTACGAGGGGACTTGGTCTTGCTGTGCTTTTGGTGCTTATCACCCCGCCCTGGAAGCCGTGACGTCGGCCCATTACAAAAACATGAACATTGAGGGACACCAGGTACAGTATTTCCGTTCTCTCGCTTGTACAAGATCGCAAAGTGCTTTTCGGTGGACTTACGTTCGAAGTAATGGGTTGTTAGTCAAAGCAAGACGTCTTTCCTTTCTCCGCGCAGAATGAACCACGCTTTCACTTCCCGTCCACCTACCTCTTTTTACCGAGTCCAAAAGTAAAACTAAACTCTCTCTGGCAGGCGGATGTCTTCCGCAGCCCAAGGCGAACATGAAAGGCACAGAAAAAAGGCAAAAAGAATGAATCGCAAGACTCTGATGTTGATGAGGGCTGGTAGATGGTCAGCACAGAGTTCCACTGCGCAATAGGGCAAAGCCGCGACGAACTTTGAGAACCAAAGGACTGGAAGTATAAGATCAAGAACCTCGGTAAGGGGTTGCGGTGCAGGCTGAGTATGGAAGGCAAGTGAGGAAAGAGACCAGAACTGGCAAAGCAATGGCAAAGAAGCAAACACCGAACAATCTCCGCAACGGAGGCCTGTGGTTTCTCCCAGCTCCTTGAGCACCACCCAATGCTTTTGGCCAAACAGATGGTTGTTTCGGCAGGCCGTTGTATTGTTAAAGCTGGTGGAGCTGGTTTTAAAAGGCTATCTTATCAACTTCATGATGTTGCCGCAGTTTGCTAGTCGAAAGGGCCGCAACGCTGGATGGATGGAGCAAAGGATCGAAGCAGATGGAGTACTCCAGTGATCCCAAGTCAAAGCTGCGGTGGAAGACTAAGAGCCGATGTTCACGACATGATGAGAAGTGAACCGATGGAGGGAAGTGCTGGTCAATGCGATCTCATGATTTGGTTGCTAATCTGCTGTCTGCTTCTGCTGTTGGGTAAGGATACATTAGAGAGATGCAAAAGTTCTGTGGTGACGGTAAGGACAGTGGGCTCACGGCCACGATCGCCGGTGATGTCTCCTCGCTGATGACCCCTTCAAGGTCCCAATGCCCATGGTGTCCTCTTCAAGTTTCCAATGCCCATGATGTCCTCCGTATCTGTTCACAAATGCTGCCGTCAAGTAAGATGCTGTCGTCAAGTAAGATGCTGTCGTCGTAAGATGCTTCTCTTTCCATGCCTTCTCTCAGAACCCACCGCATGCCACTCAACGTCTTGCTCCTCCGGTGCTCCTTCAGCTGATGTCCATCGGATCGGCCGGCTCGTCGCCTTGAGGAATACTGCGACGAGCAGTCCGCTTCTCATGAAAGGTGATGTCGTTGATCAAGGTTGTCTTGCCGCGGAAGGGGCGACATGATGGGTGGTAGAGGTGAGTGAAGTAGTGGAAGAATGGTGCAAGTCCGACGTGGAACTTCATGAACCGTATAAGCTTCGAAAGGCACAGGTAGGCGTAAGGACGATTGGTTGAGATCTCCGACCTGCAATGGTGTCAGCACAGTCAGTCACACATGGTGCGGAGAAGGGAGAACTCACCGCTCATTCGGGAACCCGATGCGAGCATCGATGACAGAGACACTGATGCCAGAAGCTTGCTTGACGGCGTGCTTGGCTTGATCCTCGCGCGAGATGTCGAGAAGCTCAACTTGACTGGTGCAGCTCGGATGGCCGCAGTCGCTGGACCATTTCAAAAGCTCTGCAAACCAGCTCTGGTGGTTGTGCTTGACCATGCTGTCCTGTGAAGTGTGAGTCTGGGCCACAGCACCGATGAATGCGCCGCGGAACATCCTTGCCAACTCGGCGAAGAGTACACGGGCAGTGTGCTCCATCTTCATGTCGGCGACCGTCTTCTCCTCGTGGTTGAATGATGGGTATTTGGCTCTGTTCTTTTCGCTGCTCTGGGAGATGGCCTCCATCGCGCGAGACATCCTGATTGTCTCCATCTTGGGGTCAACATGCCCCTTGAGTAGGCCTGCAAGGTCCTCGAGGAGGCGATCAAGAACAGTGCAAAGGATGCCAGGCTCCTCACAGGCGCCGAAGAGGAGGGAGAGCAAGGCGTACAGGCGTCTCATGGCAAGATCGATGTCGTCTTCGGTGGTCGAGCGCCTGAAAAGATCCTTTTGCCACATCTCTGCAACGATGCAGCGAACATGGACGACATTGTCTTCAAGAATCGAGAGATTGTGCCTCCCAATTGTCTGCCACATGTCTGCACCACGTTTCGTGTTGCGACAGATCAAAGGGCGTTCGGTCAATCGCTCGAACTGTCTGAAGACGAGCTCAAAGTCCTGACCGCGCTGATCTGGGGTCCACGAGGCTGACATGGAATGCAACCACTGGTTTGGTCAGTCTAGTGTGATGAGACGAGAATGGGATGGACATACCTCAGCACTGTCGGCCTCATACTCTGCCAACGTCTTCAGGTCCACGAACTTCAGGCCAGAGAGAGTGCCAACATCTTGAATGTCAGCGAAAGCACGCTTTTTCACAGCTGTCTTGCGCAACCAAACACCAGATTCCCACTCCAAAGCTTTCTTGCCGTTGACGTAGTCAGGTTCGAAGTCTTTCAGTGCCATGAGCTTCTTGATGATGTCAGCAACCTCTTCCTTGGTGACCTCTGAAGTGGGTTCTTCGTCGGAAGGTTCGTTTGGTGATGTATCGGCTGCACCAAGGTCAGGGATTGTGCCACCCAGGTCCCCAGGCATCTGCAGGTCGAAGGCATCGTCGCCCATGTTGTGCAAAGACTGTTGCGGCGGGACAGCCTTGAGAAAGCCGTCTAGCATCTGGATTGCAGCTCTGTCCAGAGCGGAATCCTTCGAAGGAGCTCGGAGTTCTGCCTTCGCCTCATCCAGCATGGTGAGCTCATTGATGACTGCCTGACGCTTCTGTTGAGCTGATTCTGTGTCGCCTTCGGACAAGCAGTTGAGTATATCCGTGGCAAGATGGTATTGGGCAGTCGTGAGATCGGAGACAACAGTCCTCAGCTGTAGCCGAGTAGTGTGCAGCTTGAAAAGCTTTTGACGCTTGGCGGTGGTGTCTTTGTCGCTGTATGTGTCGAAATCCGGAATCCGCGTGCGGATTGCGGCAATGTCGGTCTTCGGCTTGTGGTAGACCTCCAGAATGAGATTCTGTGCGTCTTGCACAACGTCGTCCTTGTTCAGAACCCACCATTGCCGGATCCAGTCCTGTGGCAGTGTTAGCTATGAATAGGATCTGCGGACATTAACGAGCAACTTACTCCGAAACTCTTGTTCACAGCGTAACGTCCCCTACAGTAGACCTGAGCGAGCCAAGATCCCACGATTGAATACTGGTCAGGTTGGGCTTGTGTCTGTATGAAGTGTTGGACGAAGTGGGGGGTGGTTGCCAGGTGCATAGCAATGGCAGGACGCCATTCGTCCCTGTTGACCTTTGTGCTGTCGATTTCCTCTTCGCCTTTGCGTGCTTTCTGCATGTCCACAAATGGGAGACACGACGCGTACTCAGGCGTGCCAGCCTTTCTGGGAGACATGACTGCCTTCGTGAGCGAAGAAGGCCGCTTGTCTGTGTGCTGAGGTTCGAATGATGCAGCCAGGGAGCTCACAAGTCTTCAAGTATGGCGAGAGAGCATGAGCAATCAGAGCATCAGGAGGCAAAGAACAGAAGACAGAAGCTTCCATGCACAGGACGTTTGCATATCTCTCAGATCCTGCATCGCATCATCTTTGCCATTCCAACGGGTCTTCTCGCACACAAAGCCGCATGGCAAATGACCACTGCAGCACGACTGGCGTCATAATGCCTGAGACATGGCAGAGCAGCCGCTAGATTCTTTGCAAACACGCCCCTACCTAGAGAACTGCAGGTCACGGCGCCACAGAAGCACCACACTATGGACTCATATGCGGAGCATGAGACAAGCCCACCTTAGAACAAAGGAGCTGTCGTCTGCAGTACCAGTAGCTTTGCCAGGTCTCGTCAAGACGGCTGGGTACCATTGAGTCAACGCCACGGATAGCAGCAGAGTCCCGTTGGGAGAGACCTCAGCCAGGAAGAGCCAACATGCGTACGGTGAGATTACCGGGTCGCTACAGGATAGGCGTTCCAAAGGCAACTGGAACCTCTGAGTATGATCAGTCCAGCTCCAGCCTGCATAATGGATGCGATTGAAGCTGGCTCCGTATACCGCGAGACACCGGCCTTTGCGCGATGGTAGTAGAGTCCTCGTTGAATACCTGCCTTTGTATGCGTCTCACTCGAAAGCTTTCAGCGTCCGGCTGTTGGGCTGCCGGAAGAGTCAAACGTACTCTAAGATTCCGCTCGTGCATGAGTTAGGGGTATGGCTTGTTGCAGTGTTTGCAACGCAGGCCGGCTTCCGCAGGGCTGGGTCCAATTTGGTTTTGTCGTCGATGCAAACTGGCTGAGTCGTCTATGCAGACAGCAGAACTGCCGCCTTACGCTGCACTCACCCTGTGTGGCAACGTATTGCCACAGCAGGCAGTGCTAGACCCGAAGATTAGTGCATGTCCGGGCTTTGTTTACCTGCATTTGACGTCTCATATTCATGCAAGAGCTATCACAATCTCTGCACCCGAGATGCACCCATCCGCCCTCACCTGTGCGGGCACCCGCCGGAACCAGAGATTGGCCTGCTTAGTGACCCATCAAGACGTATCACAGTCGCCTACTGCCGTGAGGCTGATTCATTGGTCTTTGTCACAGTCAGTGCGTCTGTGTCTTGGAGAGCTCATCGCAAGTCTTGCATTAGCATTTTGCGGTCCAGAAGCAAATCTGGAGTCTGACCAACAAACTTTCCTCTTCTGACTTAAGAATATCCGCCAGCGCCATTGCTAGTCCTTCCAACCATACTGATCACAATACTCTGACTCTATCGTCTTTCCAGCCGATCTGAAGTGGCTCATTCATTCGATCTATTACGGCACCGATACAGAAGCTGATCTCCGGCAATGGACCCTTTCGCTGAGCTGCGTGAGGATGAGGCCCTGAGTGATGGGGAAGATCAACAGCTCGTCCCGAGCAGCATCGTTGAGTGTCGCCGGTGAGTCGTCCACCATTTGTTGGTCGATCGATCAGGAATTGACATTCAGCGACAACAGCCTTTACAACGACTATGCCGTGGAGCCGAAAGTCAATCAGCTACGCGCTGATGGGAAGAATCCCCTGGTGGACTTGAGGCCAGAGTGGATGGAGAAAGTGACCGCGGCCATCATGTCAATCCCAGCTTTCCAGAAGGCGGTTGTTGAGGAGTAAGTTAACCCTCCCGTTCCCCGTACAGTTCTCCAAGACAAGAAGACGGCATCCACTGCCCGTGGGCCCCCTGGAACTATGACAACTCTATCGTGTGCACGAGATCTCTTGCTGACGCTCCTTCGAAATTAGGCACCACTGTCCCGGCCTGCTGAACTTCGCGGAAGCATCAATTGAGAACGACTGGGTGGTGTCGGTGTATCTGAGAGGCTTCTACGATTGCTTCGCCAAAGATGATGATGATGCCGCCCTTGCGTATGTGATGGACTTGGTCGAAGAAGCCAAGGGGAAGGCCAAGAGTGCGGTCGAACTGATCATCAAGAAGCACGCCGCAATGGAGATCAAGAACGTGCACCAAGGCGGCGACGTCAGCGAAGCCCACCCACTCCCTCCAAAGCAGCATCAGATCTTCGTCGCTCGCCTCCTTGACCTTTCGAAGCATGAGAAGGAACTCGACTCCTGCCGCCAACAGCTGTACACTGGCTTGATGTCCATTCCAAAGCTCAATCACAGGACACCAATCTCCAGCACCGTCGACTCTCTGAGGGCCAGATTTGGTACTGCGACAATGATCGACTCTTACGGAGAACAAGCCCTGTCACTACTGCTGGAGCAAGTCGAGATGACGAAGAAAGCCAACAGACCAGTAGTGGTGCCTGTCGCACATGAGGCTGAGCTTGATGTCAAGGTGGCAGCAAAGCTGAAGCAGACAGGGTTCCAAGCTCTTTTCGACGACGAGGTTGGCATGGAAGATGATGAGCAGGCCGGCGATCCATCCGACAGCTTTGCTCATGATCCAGAGGTCGACACGTTGATGTCGACCTTCGACCCTACTGCCGAAGAGGGAGCTGTGCGGCGATACATCGAATCCTCAGAGATCTGCCAGCACATTGTGTTCTATCCTGTCTTCGCTAACCCCGATGGTGCGTTCAAGATCAGCGAGCTTGCCACGGCAACACGGACGGCGGTGAAGGGAAAAGGCAAGGCGTCGAAGAAGGGGAAGAGTGCTGACGAACTCGTGGATCGTCCAGGTGAGGTGCTCTCACCAGCTGATGTGGCGAACGCCAGAACAACTTGTAAGTCTCTTGGTTGTGCTTCGCGAGGGTGACTGCTGACACGGTGCAGCGAAGAGGCTCTTGCGGAAGTACACCGGATTCAAGGCAGGCAGATTTGCATCTAGGAAGGAATGGGAGGAAGCTGCTGCTCGGATGGAAGCAGAGAGCCCCCAGCTTGAAGCAAGCATCCAGACTTCGGAGGCCGTTGTGCAGTCCTGTCTCCAGTACATCGATAAGGTGAGTCGTCTGCACATCCTTTGCAGCGGTATCTGCTAACAAGTCTCCAGAATCCCCTCGACTTCATGGACATCGAGGCCTTCAAGACATCCCTCCAGGATTTCCTGAGCATGACAGCCCGCAACGAAGATGCGTCTTCTGCTGAGAAGTCCAACAACAACTTCATCATGTTCTCACCACTCCAGTTGTTCGACAACTGGTGGCACTGCCGCTGCTACCTTGCCGTCCTGCGCATTCGCGTCATCGGCCACAACCAGAGGATGTCCATTGTTGATGACTGCGAATTCGAACTGGCAGTGCTGTTGAGCTTGGTACGTGTGGGCGCGGAGGACCCTCTGCTGTGGCTTCCTGTCGTCGATTTCGCACTGCGCAAGCTTTGGCGTCGAATGACAGAAGCCATGCGTACCGAGACCTTCATTCGCAACGTCTTCAACGAGCTCACACTCTTCATGCATGGGGCAGTCGTGAATGCTTTTGTGTTGCGTTGCGAGCAAGGCACCCAGTCGCCGGACCGGCTTACGGTAAGCAAGCGGAACGCCGCACAAACGCGGTCTGGCCCTCTGGTCATCTCGCTAACATTGCCACAGAACGAGTGGTACCCGCTGCTGTTTCAATACCAGAACAGGTGTGCGAACGAAGACTGTCGCTGCTTGCTTCCAGACCCAAGCGTCATGAAAGACAACATAGTCATCAGAGGCATGCTGTCTTTCGGTACGGACGATGCCCGGGTTGGCAACCGTGGTGTTCGTACGCTCGTGTCGTCGAACCGCACCCAGGGCTACCCATGCCTGTATAGTGCTGCTTGGGGCTGGTCGTTCGTATCATCCCGCCACCTTTCGTCCAGACGGAGCTGATTTGGATCACAGTGCCACTCCGGAGCTCGTTTTGCTGATCTGCTGGTACTGCAGACTCTACCACAACAACACCTGCAAGCACCACCGTGGCAAGCCCTCCATTGCTGCATTTGCTTGATTGTTGAAGTATGGAAAGTCGTTGCAGCTGGAGCTGAGAAGTTGAGCCATCATTTTGGGCGTTTTTGTGGGGACCGGTTGGACATGCATTTTTATTGATCTCATCTCGGCTCTTGCTTCACTCGAACACATTGACGATTGTGTCTTACAGTAACGAACGGCCATCGCTTATCACTCATGCTCAGATACATAGACAGGAAGACAAACTCTCTCGCATCTTTACATTGCATCATCTCTCACCATTGCTTACTGAACTTCCTGCCTTTTCTGACCGCGCTTGGGTCTTTCAGAGATGTTCAACCAAAGACGAGCGGACAGCATTCCATGCCTGCTACGTGAAGCAGGGCGCTAAGCATTATCGACTTGCCTGGTGTATCACTAGCGCGGTTAGTGGTACCACTGGGAAGCCCGGCAACGCTGGAAACGATGCAGTCCGCGCTCTGTGGGCTCTGCCTTGAGTCTTTGACACCGGACACTGGACATCATTCGGCAATAGGCAATACCGAGCAAGCTTCCCGCCGACCGCCTGGTGAAGACAGCAGCACATATTCCTTTTGCGAGACTTTGAGCGCCTTCTTATTTAAGGCGGTCTTGACGCTTCGCCGGGAGATGAGGCAAGGAAACGATATTACCAAATGGATGAGCGCTGCCAGGATCGTTCGTCAGATCATCGCCAACATCACCAAAGTCGACGACCACGATGTACGACAACGAGACAAGGTCGTTTTGAGTCTCAATCGATGTGCTAGTGCTGAAGCTCACTACTTACGGGCTTGATAAGGGCTTCATCAGAAGGAAGTGGTAAGCTATATTATTCACTTAGCAGGTAAGGTAAAGGCATTGTCCATTTCTTTCCACTGAGGGCGTCTGTTCGAAAAGGCTATCCAAAAAAGAAAATGACGGATCTGGTTTCAGTATACTCACAATCGAATGACTCTTTTCTGTCAAGTTCAAAAGTATCGCTTAAGCATCCAGGCAAGAGCAAGAACCCAGTATGGCCGACAGAACATGGACAGCATGTGACATGTGCAAAAAGAGAGAATGTTGGACATTGTGATGTTGATGAGAGCTGGTGGGTGGTTAGCACAGGTTTCACTGAGTAGATGGGAAAGCCGCGACGAACTGGGATTCGAACTGATTGGTTCGTTAGAATGATTGACAATCGCCAGATATCAATGGTGCGCATACCCCACGCCCTGAGTGGATGTCAGTCAAAGGTCAATCAATCGAGCAGGCGAGGTCCTCACCTTTCGGACTAGCGATTAAAGAGAACCTTAAGCTAGCGCCTTAGACCGCTCGGCCATCTCACCGTTCGATGGACAAGACGCTTCGATCAATATTATATAGAAAAGGCTCAAAAGTGCCGAGGTTGAGCCGGATCGATGGAATCGGCAAGCCGGAGAAGCCGAAGGTGACCTTTCCGAGCTTCCCTCGCTTCGTTATTTGCTCACATTCACTGTTCTCTGGCTACTTCCTACTCAGCCCTTTCAACGACCTCACATCGATCCACCTAGCCTCTCAATCACCACACAACGATCACGAGTACCCGTACGATGCTTCTATATCTTGAAGAACCATTGTCCCATCGAGCAGAACCCCTGTTGCCGTTCGATCGTTGTCCGCCCTGTTCCTGTTTCCCCGACCGTCGACCAACGACCCTTACTTGTCCTTCCCTTTCATTTTCGATATGACTACCTCCAAAAGACATGCCAGAATGCCTGACTTCTGGCTAAGCCTCTGCTCTCTATACTACCTATCGTGTCTCAGGATCGATCCTCTTCATGTTGGTGGCGTGGCGGTGCCGCTTGGACCTCCTGGGGCCAGCCTGATCGTACAACATCACCTTGCCTTCAACTCCACACATTTGATGCGGTAGGTACATTCCTGCTATCAACTATCCACCATGAAGCCATCGACAGTCGCTCTATGCGTTTATGCAACCACTGCCTCCGCCGGGATCTTTAGCGATCGTTATCCAGCCAGGAGTCTATTCCCAGCTGACGCCTTGCCAATCGACGAACACACTTTCGCGTCTCTCCGAAAAAGAGACCTACAGCAACCCTTCACCTCCCAACAACTAATTGAACCAACCTCCCACCCAGGCACCGCCCGCCTCGAGATCGAAAGCTGCCTCTTCTTCGGCCTCATCCCCTTCTACTGGACCAACCTAGCCCTCGGCACCCCAAACCAGGCCTTCCGCATGATCCTCGACCTCAACTATGGTGGTTTAATCGTTCGTAATCGCGACTGCGATCCTTTCTCGTGCGGCTTCGGCTTCAACTACACCCATGACGACTCTTCTACCTGGCATGATGAGGGAGAGACGTTCATGCTGCATCTGGACTCGCAGTTTGCGTACGGGAACGTCTCAAGGGACGACGTGCAGCTTATCAGCCTCAATGTCACCGATGTGATATTCGGAGAAGTGGACGATTTTCACGGGGAGAACTTTTTGTTCTTGACGATGAAGCACTTTGCTGACGGGTATGCATTCCCTTCTTTCAACTTTGAGCTTCATTGACAGTTATTAGTGCCATTGGGCTGGGACCACCGAATGCTTCTATGCCGTTGTATACCGACACGATGGTCCCAAACATCATGTCGAACGTGGTATCGCAGGATGTCCTACAGAAGAACATCATGACCCTCGACCTACCATGGAACGGCGGAGAGAAAGGCTCACTCTATCTTGGAACGATCCCAGAGGAAGCAGCAAACTCCGATGAAGTCCGGATTCCGTTCTCCAACGCCACGACCGACCTCCTGCTCAACACCTGGCAGGTCAGTGTAGACAGCATCTCCACATCCAACCAAGACTCCGACAGAATCGAACTACCCGAAGTCTACGCCACCTTCGAACTCGGCGCGGGTTTCAGCTTGCCCAGCGATATCTACGACCACCTTCTCGAATCTCTAGGGGCGGAAGACAAAAACTTCCTCTTCCCCATATACAACTGCAGCCGCTGGGACGACATGCCCGACCTCGTCTTCACATTCTCGGGCGTCGACGTTGCTCTCACGAAGGAGGACTACTCCATACGTGGATACTTTGGGCCGGGAGATTCTGACGAGGAGACTTGCGGGGTTCTGCTGCAGCAAAATTGGCGAGATGAGCTGCCGGTGGTCATTGGCGTGGAGTTTCTGAGGAAGTGGTTTGTGGTGTTTGATATGGATGAGGGGGAGCTTGGACGTGAGTGTCTCCCTATCGAGCCGGGAGTAGAGGGTTGTGCTAACGATGCGTAGTGATCAGTCGAAGCTAGCAGTGAGCTACGGCGAAGTATTGTAATGACGGGTGGTGGACTGGAGGGACGACAGCGTCCGTAAGATCGATGTGCAGGTTACGCTCCCGGTTCCATGGCAGGGAGATTGGTCTTTAGATGCATCGATGCAATGCTGTACCAGTCATGACTGCGCAAGGCGCCGCCTCGTTCCTGTGGAAACATTCGTATATCTCTCATGCTTCACCCGTGTCGATCCTAGTGGTGAAAAGTGACCATGGTGTAGTGTCAAACTCTCCATCAGGATTGAATGTTCGAAGAATTCTGCGATCTCGAAAGTTATTATCCACCACTGGGGCGCTTCTGGCCGTACAGGTAGTCCAGAAGTCGCCTGAAATCTTGCCAAATACTTGTGTAGTCGCACAGATCAACGTCATAGTCCAAAAATGGTCTGTATCAATGTCGTCGTCCGTTGCCCTTGTATCGTCGCGGTAACCCCAACCCTAACCCCGAAGTTAAGTTAAGACTGGTGTCGTCCGAGGCTTTCCGCCCCAGCCTCTTCCTTGAAAGCTCCCACGATGCATTGACCTGCCAGCAGGGCAGCGCCTGCCACGGGAAGTAAACAAGGCCAAGTTATCTCACTTCCTATTTCTCATTCATATGTGTCCTCCTCTACCCAGGAAGGTGAAAGAGTTGGAGTCCTGACCTTGTGACACTGATCATCCCCCACGATCAACTTCGCGACAAAGTGAATTCGGATTCGCAGATCTCATGAAGAACATCAACGCTCTCCTAGCGCTGCCCGCAGCTCTGCTCAGTGCAGTTGCAGTGCAGGCTCAAGAGCTACAATGGCCATACAACCTCCCACGAACGGCCAAATACTACCCGAAGGACGAGGCGCATGTGAAGCGGGAACTCGCAGCTCAAGAGCGATTGGCGTGGCGGGCTCCGGCAGGTGTGAGGAAGATGGGCGAAGATGAAGGGGAGAAGTTCTGGATGGGTTACTGGGACCTACGGATAACAGACGATCGACCGGAAACAACTCGCGACGAGCCTCTGGGAGACGAGAGTGGGAATGCCACGATAATACCTGCATTGCTCCCGGCAGTTGCGCAACATCTCGAGAGATACGAGAGATATGACTACGGCCACTTACGGCGCATGATCTTCGAGCGCGACTTTCAGTGCCCTGGAGGGACCTACTCTTGCGACTCCATCGGCGAGGACGATCTTTGCTGCAACAATGGAGACACCTGTGTCTCGACATCCGATGGCATAGGCTGCTGCCCATCCGGCGCATATTGCGGGGAGGAAGTGTCGGACTGCGACACGAATGCCGGATATACCTCATGCCCTCACAGCCCAAATGGCGGCTGCTGTATCCCTGGCGCCGCCTGCGAGGGGACAGGGTGTGTGCTATACGGCACGCAGACCGTGACGCGTACGCTGGACACTGCAACGGAGACTACTGGAGTCAGCTTCACGACCCGGACTGCCTCAGGGAGAACCATCACAGTTGCGCTTCCAACAACCGAGATATCCGTCTCCACGAAGACGATTACTCTCAGCGCAAGCGGCGATACCACAACTCGCACAGTCACATTCTCCGGCGAATCTTGCCAGAACGGATTCTTTTCGTGTCCCGCAAAACTCGGTGGCGGCTGCTGCCCAACAGGTCAAGCATGTTCGGACGACGGTACATGCCCAGACACCACCACTGCTACAGCTGGCCCGCCAGTCCTGCCAACCAGCCAAAGCGTCTCGCCGCAAGATGTGGCAAGCTCGACGACCACCACTACAGTCACACCCGAGAACTGCCCGACAGGCTTCTATGCGTGCTCAGCAGTCTATCTAGGCGGATGCTGCCGCGTTGGAAGGGACTGCCATACCACGTCCTGCCCGCCGCAGGACACAACGACGGTCAAGGGTGGCAATCCGTCCATTGCTGTCACAGGAGGAGGAGGAGGAGCGGCTGCGGGAGGGTCCTGTGCGAACGGATGGTTTGGATGTGGTGCAGATCAGAACGGCGGTTGTTGTCCGAGTGGGTATGAATGCGGTGTTCAAAGCTGCTCAGCGTCTGGCCGGACGGACACCGCGAAGATGGCTCCTAGTGGTGGAAGTAAATTGAGATGGGCTTGGGGGTTCATGGCTTTTGGAGTTGCTGCAGGAGTAGGAATGGTTTGGCTGTGATTGGATCTGCTGGAGATGATACCCTTTTGATATATCTGTGAATACCGCAAATCAATGATGGCATGCATTGGATCGTCCTCCTCGAAAGAAGACCATTACACGCCATCGCACGTACTGACAACCTCTTGTTAGAAGGGCCGACTCTTGGAGATGGACTTTCACATGCTGGTGGCCCCACTATGGATTAGAGTTTTGCTAACGACTCTGGCCCGCACTAGGGCCCGTTTGGGCTGCTCGAACTCAAGCTCAAGGTCAACATTCGTGACTTCCACCGTAAGAACCATTGCCATTGCCGTGCCATTCTCCGCCGTAGGACTCCCATTGCTGCCAGTGCAGCCACTGTTCTATGCTTGCATGCTAATCTGAGGCGGAGGACAGGCACACATTCACTACATCGCGGCCATTGGGCCATTGGCATTCTCCGCGTGAGCATTGAGTTGCAGCAGCGAGCACAGTGAGTACAGTGGCATTGAGAATGCCGTTCTGTGGGAGAACGGACAGCTGATCGCATACATAGGCTCACATACCTGCACGCATTCTCCGACGACGTCCTTGCCCGCCCACCTACACTTCCTGAGCCGCTCATATCCGACCAAACGCGCACTCGAGAAGGAGCGTTGCGAGCACATCACCAGGCAGCAGGCTTCATGGATCGCCCTCCTAGGCGACTCCATCGAACGCCTTGCTGAAGAAGCACCAGACCATGCCCGCGCCAGACGACAAGGACATGGACAAGAGCAAGAAGACGAGCATGGAGTCCTCAAAGAAATCGCAAACCACCCCGCAGAGCTATACGGCCTCCCTCCTCGCCGACAAGGATGCGAGGGCGTTTATGAAGAAGTACCGAACGGAGATTGCGGCCTCCACGTCCTCACTACTATCCACTTTTGCGGCATTTCCACTCGACTTCACCAAATCGCGTATGCAAAGCTACGAGACGACTTTCGTACACACAGTAAAAGATGCCTACAGAGCTGAAGGGATAAGGGCCTTTTGGCGAGGAGTCGGGCCACCTTTGGCGAGTGTGACGCTGGTACGGACCGTCAGCTTCAGCATCTATCAACGCGCCAAGTACGCCTACGATCGGAGCCTCAAAAGCATGTTCGGCCAAAGCCCACTGGAGCTGGCAAACGCGCCAGGAAGCTACCCGTCCCTCCTCACAATCGCCTGCTTCGCGCCTGCAGGTGCAACAGCAGGAGCATTCATCACTACCATGTCATGTCCGTTCGAGCTGACGAAGCTTAACGAGCAGCTGGCCGGCAAAGAGGCTCGTCAGGGTCCGTCGCCGACAGAGCCAGTTCGAACGGGTGCGTGGGTGACTGCGAGACGCATGGTGCGGGATCGCGGGTTCATGGGGCTGTACGCTGGGTACCGGCTGCATTTGCTACGCGATACGATTGGGACGGCGATCTACTTCACGACGTACGAGAGCGCGAAGCAGTTGATGGCGAATGCGCAGGGAAAGAGTCCGACGAGTCCTTACGCGGTATTGCTTGCGGGAGGGTTGTGTGGGATTGTTAGCTGGGCTGCTGTGGGTGGTGTATCTCAATACGGACAGGAAGCGAGCTGACCACGAGCACAGATCTACCCTATCGACGTGGCGAAAACGCTGTACCAGAAAGCCCTCCTCTCGGCAGGCTCGGGATATGCGGCACGGCCGAAGATCAGAGTGCTCTCAGCGGGCTCGTACAGAGGTTCGTTCAGCTTTCATCTACGTCCCAGGAACCACGGCTGACGAGAGTGGATTAGGTCTCGGCGTGTCGGTAATGCGCTCCTGCATGATCAACGCAATCTTCTTCAGCAACTTTGAGATGATCAAGAAGCGCATCAACGCTGTCGAAATCTGAAAGGGCGGCTACTGTGGGATTGCAGAATGCTCAGAAAAGCTGTTACGGATGTGCAAAATGGCGTTCAGATGAACATACAGACGCGATTATCGGTGGAAAAGCCCAGCAATACCAGGCGGGCGATGTGTAACGGCGTATCAGTCATGTGAAAGCGAGGGGACTATGGCGATGGCGCTTGGAGTACTGAAGGCATAGACCGGTTGAGAGATGCTCCCGGCAATGAAGTGTCATGTTAAGGGAGCGAGAGAGTGCTGAGACTCCTCTGCATCATGAGCTCGCAATCAGTTCGAGTCGATATGTGGACAATGTAAAGCGATTATTGAAGCGCTCTTGAAGCAATGACTGGGTACTCATGATTGTCTGTACCCCCATCAATGCTGTCGTGCATAAACGGGTACCCGCCTGTTCGCTCGTGGAATGCCATCCACAAGCACGTGGTCCAGCTGTCCTCACGATTTCGAGGAAGGAACGACAACAAACAACTTAAATCCAACTTCACCCGTTCCAGAACAGGCCACCACTCTATCCGTACCAACTTTTGATGTGCTCGAGCATGAATTTATCCATCTTCATGCACTGTGAACAAGGTCAATCCTGCCGAGGGCGAGCTCATATCGCCAGCCACTCATATTCCTCCAAAAGCGACGTCGCCCCAACAACGTACCCTGCAAAACATCGCGTCCCGCGACGGCACACTCCAAAGCCACAACTGCACGCCGCCATGGAGAACGTCGGTCGCATTATCCGCTTATGGTGTAGCTGGCGAACGATAAGGGCCAACGGCGTCTTGTTGCGCAATTTGGACCACGCCTCGCGGCTTTCCCGTATCCTCGTGGCTGGGCTGGCTGACAAGGGTTTTTGTTGATCCCTGGGGTTTGGGCCGTGTGGGATCTGGCCACCCTCGTGTGAATGTCTGCCTCGTTGTTATTTGCTGTGCTGTCTGTCATACCTCCTACTAAGCTGGTGCTCTGTCTTACGATTCACTTCGACCCAATACTGCGGTAACTACTGGACGACTGGCGCAGCGTTCAAGGCTCGAGGACGTCTCTGTTTACGCTGCAACGACCTCGACGACCATGATGCTGTAGCCCGAGACAACGACTCATGACCGCATAGCTGGGTCTCTTTCCAACACGTTCTTATGAGACATCTTCAACGGGCACTGGGCCTGCTGGCTCTTGCCCGTCTTCTACATGGCCAGGCGCTGCCGTACAACCCGACCCAGCTGTCGCTGCCGACCAACTCCTCGACGCTGTACATGTTCCGACCTTCTTCGCAGTCGCCGAACCAAGCGCAGCTTCTGACGCTCGATATCTCGGGCTCACTTTCGTCGGGATCTTTACCTTGGAAGACAGTATCCGAGACACTACCGTTCTTGCAGGAGGATGAGGCGCTGCCCTACACACCAACGGTTCAAGAAGATGGGAGCATTACGGTCACTACGGGCAACTGCTCGGAAGGAGCGGAAGGACTGCTGCTATGGAGGTACAGCAATGATGGCGGTAGTTGGACGCAGTCAGAAGCAGGAATCAACAGCATGAGCGATGCTGTCGGCGCACAATACCTTGCAAGCAGCATTGCCTTCTCAGAACTGGTGAACAGCTCCCTGGAGACTACGAACGTCTACGTCTTTGGTGGCATGTGCCCGACCGGAGCAACATCTACGAATGCATGGCAGGGCGCAGCTGAGTACTCCAATTCCATGCTGACTTTGTCTCCTGCCGGCGATGATGCATCAACATACCAGGTGAGTACTCTGGAGAATCGTGGACCGCCCATATCGCAGGCCGGCGTATCGATCACGCCGCTCGCGCCGACATACACCTTGGACTCTTCTGGCGATCCACACACGCAACAACAGGACTTCGTACTGCTAGGCGGCCACACACAAACAGCTTTCATCAACACCTCGTCGGTTGCCGTATTCTCGCTTCCACAGCAAAGCTGGTCTTTCATGCCTGTGGAGCAGCCAAGCGATGCGAAGAGCGACCTTGTCCGGAGATCGAGCGCTGAAGTCACACCGAGATCTGGCCACACTGCTGTCCTTTCTGAGGATGGCAGCAGTATCGTCCTTTTCGGAGGCTGGGTTGGCGATGTGAATACGCCTGCGACACCTCAGCTTGCCGTACTGAAGCTCGGAGACGGATATGGTGGTAGCGGTGACTGGAAGTGGACCATCCCCTCGAACGCGAATCAAGGACTATCAGGTAGCGCTGGAATCTACGGACACGGTGCGGCAATGCTTCCTGGTGGAGTGATGATGGTTGTTGGAGGTTACGAGATCTCGACCGCCACAGCCAGGCGCTTCAGGCGAAGCTCTTCTGCCAATACCTCGAACTACTTCTACAATGTCACTTCGAACACATGGCTGGACTCGTACACCGTCCCGGCTGGTCAGCAAACACAGTCGTCATCAGGCACAGGACCTCTCAGCACCACCAGCCAGAAGGTTGGTTTGGGTGCTGGTCTGGGTGTCGGGGCTGCGCTGTTGATCTCCGTCGTTGGCGTTTACTTCTGGTATAGCAGGAGAGTGAAGAGTGCTCGAGAAGACCGAGAGCGAGCTTTGCTCACGCATTCTTCAGACGGTTCTTCCTTTGGCCAGATGGAGCAGCCTTTCTTGGACACTGGCGGCATCGACGGACGAGGAGGCGAAGGCTTCGCTCTGGGTAGATTCTGGCCCGCGCAAGGACAGCAACATCCACGACCTCCACCTACGCAGCACACCACCGGCGTGTTCGTGAACGTGCCTAGTCCGACACGTGGCCTGCGTCGCGGCGTGGCTGCGAAGAACTACCAGTATCAGGCTGCACCACGGTACGACGACAACAGAATGAGCCACGGAAGTGGTAACATCCATCCCATCGCCGAACAGGAGAACGAGGACGAGGTCATGTCTATCAAGTCCAGTGGTGAGCAACTGGACGACGCAGAGGCGAAGCTGAGAGAGATCGAGCGGGTACTCCATGGTGTTGAAGACCCCTTCGTCGACCCAATGCCAAATCCGCTGGGTAGCCATCCCGTTTCTCCAGAGATGGGCGAGACTGAGACAGTACGACGGGTTCCTACTGGTGCAAGTCGATTGGTAATACCGGCAAGAAAACCTGTACCCGGCGCCTCACAAGCTCCGAACTGGATTGCAGAACCCGAGTTGGAAGAGGAAGGCGGTGTTTCTCCTTCCAGGACAGAAGATCGAACCTCGTCAACGTTGAGTGAGATGTCACAGCGCTCTGCAGTCTCTAATGACTCTATTCAACGGACCATGTCGACTCGCACAGGAGCCATACTCGCTGCTGCAATGGCTTCTCAACGGAGATCGGTAGTGCTAGATGGCCCACCTATACAGGAGAGAACACAGACGATGTCTACCGATGCCTCTTACCGCCAGACTCGCGCCCGCTCCTCTACCGCCGGCTCGTTTACTCCTGGGATGCTTGATATGGCCGAGCGCGACTCCTTCACAACCGCGAGAACGAACTTCGCGCAGCTCCAGAGCGAAGGCGAAGCACTCCTTGGAGGCCGACCGCCGTTGGACCCAGATGACCCATATCAACGTGCCATGGCAGCTCAGAACCCATCACAGCCAACCGCCCAAGCCCCCTCGTACTCCAGAGGCGCGCCTCCGATGGCTTCTCGTCGTCGACCAGGTCTGCTTGGAAGCTTGCGCCGGGTGCTCAACGTCGCCGAGCGCAGCTTCAGCTTGACTGGCTCAGCAGAGCAGTACAGAGACGATCCGCAGAGCACCTCTTCCTCCCCAACGAAGGAACGAGGCGGTATGATAGGCCAGACCCCGCGACGCGCCGTCTCTGATGGGGGCGCCTTGCTCCGCCAAAAGCGCGGCCAACAGGACTGGGACGAAAAAGACTGGGCGCCCTACCGCGACAATCCTGAAGACTGGGGCGAGCCGGCTCCTTCGGTCGATAAGCGACAAGCGGAAGAGGATTGGGACGTGGAGGGTGCGGCTAATAAGCGCGACTTTCAGGTTATGTTTACTGTTCCAAAGGCACGACTTCGCGTGGTTAATGATGACATGGATCGCGCGAGTCTGCGGAGTGCTAGCGATAGCGCCGTGAGCCGGAGCGGGAGCACGAAGGAGCTGCGAAGGGAGGAGTCGGTGAGGATACAGAAGGGGGCAAGTGAGGGACTGCGCCTGCCTTCTACGGAGGAGGAGAAGGAAGAGATGGAGAAGGAGAAGGCGGCTTGATGATTTGGACTGCTCCCCTCAGCCTTTCGAATGAGGCTACTGTCGATGTTGGTTTGGGTTATATGGGATTGGAGGAATGGCAATGGAGATACCAGCCAGGTCAGCGAAGCGAAAGGTGTCTGGCGTTGTCAATTATTTTGGATCATTTTGGTGGATCTTGTAGATACCGTAGCAGTATGAAGTATGGTCCTGTAGCCTTGAACATCATTCATCCTAAATGCGTGAATTCGTCTCTCATCTAAAGTAGCATCTCAAGTCTCTTCTCACGACGTCAAAGCTGCTTTGTCTTCGGCGTTGGAACGCCGCGCTCTCTGCGACGGTTGCCGAGTGTGTCGTCGCTCTACTCGCTCCCCGACCGTTGCATAGCTGAAAGCTACAAATGCTGGTAGTAGAAGTGCTGGGTGTCGCCTTCGGGGCCATGCCGCTGTTTCGTCCCGGGTACCGTCTCGACTGGTATCCACCTTGTCTCAGGCGGCGCATCTATGTAGAAGCACTTTACAGCGAACCGTGACGCTGTTTATGCGGACGGTCGATGGCCTTGCTCACGGCCTCCGACACAGTCTCCTCGACTGGCATCCACCACAGCCTTGCGATTGAAGGGCCACAAGGAGTCCTCCAACCCTTGGTTGAGTATACATCTTGCTGCAGCTCAGAGCAAGTCCTAGCTACCCCCTCTGAAAGCGTCTCCAACCCCATCCGGCAAGTTCTCGCTTCCCCCAATACCACTCCCAGTATACCTCCCCCCCATCGCCTCTTCCCTCCTCTCAGCCCTCTCCTCACCCGAAGGCCGCCGCTCCCCGACCATCCAATCCTCCATCGCCAACCACTTACTCCACCCCTTCTCCGCTGCCATCAGCTCGTCCACCTTCGCGTCTTCCATCGGGCTCATGTACGGCACGCTCTCGTCCGTTCCATCGCTTAGTCCACTGCCATTATCGTACTGTTTCTTGCAGCTCCTAAAGCCGCCGGCTTTGGTAGCGAACAGGTAGTTGCGGCGTTCGCAGTCGAGGTGGGGGAGGATGCCGCGGGTGTAGTCGTCGCCGAAGAAGCCGTGGAGGATGGGGGCGCGGTCGAAGCCGGTTACTACCAGGCGGCGGATGTAGGGGATTAGGGAGATGAAGACGGGAGGTTGGGATGCAGTGGCCGAGGGGGAATGGCCATTGCGGCGGGCGTCGGGGCTGAGGTTGGAGCCGGTGAAGGTGAAGGCGTAGTTGTTGGTGTTGCCGTTGGTGGAGCCTGCTGGAGCGTGTCGAGAGGATGTGATAGGGTTGGTAAGGTGCTGGAAAGGTAGACGGATGTTCATAAGAGCGCACAGGGCTTGGGTCGCATGCTCGTGTTGAGCATGGTCGAGGAAGAAGCGCTGGCAAGACTGGTATGCTGGGTACCAATCTAGGATGTCGAAGTTGGGGTCTCCGGTCAACGGCGGCGGTGGCTCGATGCGCTCGGGTTGCTGACGTGCGGAAGGCATGAAGAGGCTTTGAATCGCTGGTAGTCTTCGAGTCGGTTGTTGGTGAGACGTGTAGGATGACGGGCCAGCGCCGTTTTGATCATATGAGTACTGCCCCGAGCCCTCGAAGCCGCCGTTATAGCGCCTGCCGGCCATTGGGACCGGTGCAATATATTTGGCTTGATTGGGAAGTTAATGCAGAGCTAAAGAGAGTCGAAGATGTCATACAGCCGTTGGGCTGATTGGGGTCAAAGGGAACGACAAGAACGAACTTGCATGTACTGATGGGTGAATGATTGTGACTTCATTCAGTTGACACGCGTCTGGTAACCATTGGCAAGGTGTATCAAGGTCCCGCCTGGAAAAATGGTCCAATGTTCATCCTTGTGGTTACGTTCGAGGGGACCCTGGTAAAGGTCGAGCCAGCCGCTTACGCCATTGTACGACAACAACTCCCAGAGGATTGGATAATTTGGTGCTGTGCTACAGGATGCAAGGATATCTCGATTTACTACACATTTCTACACAGTTAGAGAAATACGATGTATAACAAGAAGCAGCCTCCTCGCCCCGAAACGAGCGTTCAGTCGGAATGTCGATGTATCAGCCAGCTAGATCCAGCAGAGACGAGCCATAAGAGCAGATTAACAAAGATGAGCCAGACAGTATGCGCCAAGGTAGGCTGATTCCGTTCATCGGGCAGATCCAGGGCAGCCGAGCAGATGAAGAGCACCAACCACAAAGCTCTGGTAGACGAAGTCAGCAAGTTACCCACCAGTACCGCACAGGGATGATGGCTAGCAAGAGCCTGCACGTACGCGAGAAATAGCTCGAGCATCCACTGCCGTCTCTTCGCGTTTCTCGTCCATACATCGTGGAATTCGTACAAGCAGTAGAGACCACACCCCAGCGCCGTGAGCATGGACGGAATGGCCACTACTTCAGCAAAGCCGAATCTGATGTTCACGCCATCCTCAACCTCAATGGCATGGCCGTAGATGCCCGCAACCGTCAGCCCTAGGACGAACTGCAGCAGCCGTAAAACGCAGTAGGCGATGTTGAAAGGCCAGGGTCCCCATTCATCGAGGTCGCTTGAACTGAAGTGCGGTCGACTATAACTCGGCCGACTGCAGCTCGGCCTAGAATACGCCGGTACTGACTCGCTTCTCTCGCCTCTATCACGTCCCGCCGTATAAGCAGGCGGTGGCTCGCGAGGATACGCTGGCGGAGGGAAAGAGAACGGAGGTAGGTCGTGCCGTACCGGCTGCGGCGTCCGCTTCGTCTCGTTCAGCACGTTGTAGTCCAGTGGAAGATATTTTCGTAGGGCGAGATCGGTGGCACTGCTGCGGATTCTGTTGTAGAGGTCGTGGGTGCTGTAGATGGGTGGGAAGCGGCCTCGCGTACACGCTTTCTGTAGATATCTTGTAAGTCTGGCGGTGAAAAGTTGACAAAGTGAAAATTGACATAGTGTTCAGACGTACCGCTTCGAGGAGGAAGTGTGTAAACGACACCGCGAAAGCGATCCACCTCTTCGTCCGCACAGGACCTCTCAGATGACGACCGCCGCGAAACTCGATCGTGCCTATCCCGCCAGTCGCAGCCGGCTTGAAATTCCAGACTACTTTGCGATCGGTCTGCATCAGCTGTATGAGTTCGCTCCTACTGCAGTCTTTCGCAGCAGCCAGAAGAGCGCTTCCGCTGTAATCGTGAGAGCAGAGGTCCCGAAGCCGAGTCGAGCTGGCGGTATTTTTGAGACAATAGCTGTTATCTCTTCGAGCGACAGGAAGCATCTCCGCGAGATATTCCTCATATCTCGCAACGCCGACTGCGATGTTCCGTGGCTGCTCATCAGTCCAGATTCTGGCGGTTCCCGGTGAGATATGCACATGACTTCCGCACTCGGTGGCCTTCTCTGGCATGCGGAATACCTCCAGCTGCGCCTTCCAGAGTCCATCGATCTCAGCCTCCCAGTCTTTGCTCGTGAACAGGATGGGAGAGACGGCTCCCAATGCGACTACAGAGCGTTGACCTGTCAGTAAGACTCGCATAGGAACGCAAAACACCTACTGGCAGAACCAGTGTGACTGATAGACCCATCTTTCGTGATCCACCATCCTCTGGTGTATTCTTCGGTGCGCTTGCGGTAGCTTGAACTCAGGTCATCGGCTCGAGCATTGATTCCTCGCAACCTGAGAGCGCTCGCGAACTGTACGTAGTACGTCTGCGGTCGAGAAAGCGATCCGGCCTGTTTTGGCTTCGCGATCATCTCGATCTCGATTCCGAAGGAGTAGTGGTCCTCCATGTTGCATATTGTCGGTCGTACGAGGGACGAGAGAACAAGCAGACGAAAGGAAGATCGAACGAGAGACGCAGACAAGGTTGTGGGTAACCACTATCCATAAGGCTTACCTGAAGGCAGAGATGCATAATGCATTGCTCGAATGCTGCCCGGGCTCTTACCGTCTTGGACGAGCCAGGTAGCGAAGTACGTATCCCTCAGTACAGGTCGAGGTGGTTTGGCAGTTGTGCTCAATGACAGGAGTCGCGCGAGGGCAATGAGTGAGTCGCAGTGTCAGCGTTGAAGAACCGCTAGGGTGCATCGCCCTGTTCAGAGGGCACTCCAGTGCATACGGCGGCCTCATCGTACGAGGATCGACAGCGGTCGAGTAACTCTCATCACTGATCACGGCCACATCCATCAATCGGCTGCCTCTCTTCTTACTTAGCCACGGTTCTCAACAACAGCTGGGTTCAGCATTCCACATCCACTCCTGGAGGCGTCTTTCATGGCCAATGAGACTGCCAGCCTTGTACATCTCGGGAGGACAGCGAAGTAGTATGCATACGGCCATATCGAGTCTAGACTGAGCGCTTCCCGTAGGTTCTTCTTGACAGGCAAGGCTGTCGAAGGCGCAAGGCTGAGCGTCGTCGTCCTTTTGTCCGCAGTGCCTGGATTGTGACGCTTCGAGAGACTCATCTTCCTCAGCATCCTCGGAGCTGCATCTTTAGCGCTGTGAGTAAGACGCGCACTGGGGTCCTGCATCGTGGCTAGAGGTGAGGTGAGTTCAAAGTCGACGAGGTGTGGTCGTGGAGAAGGCTGCGCACGGCCCACAAGGCTGTCGACTTCTTGTCAACCACTGTCCCCTTCAACTAACCACTGCGCAGTGCCCAATTGGAGTTAGACATAGAGCTCATCAGCAGCTCCATGTCTTTCACCGTCGATGCATCTAACATGCCCACTAGACCCAACTCCAGGATTGGCCGCGATCCATGCCCGTGCTCGAGGCCGTCGCGGCCGTAGCTAACATCGTCGCCACCTTTCAGTCGGCCGCTGGCCTGTACAATGGATGGAAAGCCCGAAAAGAAGTGGCCGAGAGAGCGAACAGGCCAGTTCCTGAAGACTTCAAGACGCAGACTTCACTAGTCCGTGGCCGGCAGCAGGTTCAGGAGGAGTATGATCGTGCATATGCTCGGCTGGGAGCGAGGTTTGCTCAAGGTGATGGTAAAGCCAGCTCTTCCAGAATGCTGTCTCTTAGGGAGGGTGTGCTCACACTGTGCCGCAGACGAAGGACGCATGCAACTCCAAGGCGAACTAATAATGCTCCAACAAACCGTCATCGCCTTCCTCCAATCCGGCCTTGCCTCCCCCCAAGGCCGCCTAAACATCTCCCAGCTCCTCGCGCACTCCGAAGGCCGACGAGCCGGCACGGTTACAGCCCTCACCAACCAGTACCAGCGCATGACAACCGCTGCACCGATCCGGTCGCTTAAATCCGCAGAGACACCACGCGCGAACTACTTCGCTTTCGCCAGTAACCTGCACCTCGAGCAAATGGCCGCCCGCTGCTCGAGTAGCATGTTCAGAGGCAAAGCCACGTTACGAGGGTGGAGATGGCAGGTCAACGAACGCGGGTTCGCGAATATCGTCCCCTCCCCTTCAGATCACGTGGAAGGGCTGGTTTTCACTGTCCGGTACGAAGACCAACTGACACTTCATCGGTACGAGGGCATCTCGAAGGGCTACTACGAATGCCGTACCCTGCCCGTCAAGCTGACGGAGTGCGTTGAGGGGCTCTCGAAGACGTCCTTCATTGCGAGACAGCTCAGCGCCGGACACGCACCCCCTGGTGCGACTAGAGCGGTTGATGTGGACGCGCTGGTGTATGTGAGCTCGACGTATGTTACTGATGGTCGGATTAGGGCAGAGTATGCCGAGAGAATGAAGCTCGGGATAGCTGATGGCGTGGCGTTGGGGATGTCGCCAGAGTACACGCGGAGGTATTTGGAGCCTCATGTTACTCCTAGCAAGCCCGGTGGTCGACTGGGCGGGTTGTTTGGCAGGCGGCGGCGAAGGGGTCGTCTGGCCAGCAGTTGACTGGCAGATGTCATATCAAACGAATGGTCGCTGTTTGTGAAGCAGTGGGGATCTTAAATTGGACAGGAGGCTGGTATTACACATTGTCTCTGATGAGGTTTCTATCTACTAAGCTATACAAATGATGATATTGACGTTGTGTATATGTCGTTACCTCTCCTCCACCCTTCAATCCCGAGCACTTCCATCCAAACCAGTATCAACCACTTTTGAACTCCCAATATGCAAGCCCCGAGTCATCACGCTGAACGCAAGATCAGAAAACCACAACCCCATCCCCCCTCAAGTAATCTCTCAAGCAGAGGCTTAAAAGTTACTAGCAGTATTAATCCTCCCATTCGGATTCTGATACCTCTCCAGCCCGTTCCCGCTCTCGCTCGCCCCACTGTTCGACAGCACGCCCATGCTCTCCCGCTTCTGCCCGGCCACACTATCCGTCTGGCTCCCGTCGTAATATTCCTCTTGCCCCTCCGCAGCCGCCTTCTTCTTGCCCCACAGCCGCCACGCGACGAACGCGAGACCGCCGATGAGGATGGCGCCGCCGATCCCGCCTACGACACCGCCGATGATCTTCTTCGCGTTCGTGGATAGGTTGTCGCCGCTCCCACCGCCGTTGGCGAGGCCGGGCGCGATGGTCGCGGTGGCGTAGCCGGTGGTGCTCTGGAAGATCACGTTGCTGGTGATGGTGGAGCTGCGGACGACGCCGTTGGCGTTGGTCCAGATGGAGGTGAAGGTGGAGTGGCGCGTCTCCTGCGCGACGAGGGGCTGGCGGACGGTGGTTTTGTGGTCGAGGGTGGAGGGGTTGATGGTTTTGGTGCCGACTTTGACGATGCTGTCGCCGTTGCTGTTGGTGGAGGTGCGGGCGGTGGTAGCTTGGGCGGTGTTACGCGTGGTGGTGGCGGCGGCGATGGTGTTGGTAGAGATGCGGGAGGTTACGGTTGAGCCGTCTTCGTTGGTTGTGGTGACGGCGATGGTTGTGGGAATGGTCGTGCTCGAGGGCGCGTCTTGGGTATTTTGGGTATTTTGGGTGTTTTGAGTGTTTTGAGTGTTTTGGGTGTTTTGAGTTTGTTGGGTTGTGGTGCCGTCGTTGTTGTCGGTGTTGTTGTCGTTGTCGGTGGTGTTGTTGTCGGTGTTGTTGTTGTCGTTGTCGTTGTTGTTACTGTCGGACGTTGTGCTAGGCCCGGGTGCAACGACGGTGTCGCTGGTGGTTGGATCAGGGTCGGGTGTGTTGCTGGTAGTCGGGTCGGGGTCGTCGGCGGTGGTGGATGGTGTTGGGTCATCGGCAATGGTGCTCGAAGGCGTGGGATCAGGTGTCGGATCCGTTGTGCTGGATACAACGCCGCCCGTGCCGGCGACCTGTCTCTTCGGCATGACGCCCTCTGGTATCTCTTCTGCGCGGATGGTTGCAAAGCCAAAGATGAAGGCGAACATGATGGCAGTGAGCCTCGAGTCTCGGCGCACCATTTGTCGACGACGACCTGGAGCTCCCCTAAGCGGCGGATGGCGTGGTGATCGTTGGGAAATGGATGTTCTCGATTGATTGGCCGGGGGCGCTAATTAGCGAAGGAGGAAATGAGGTGGTGTGAATGTGTGTGCTGGAAGAATAGCAAAGAAGAGCAAGACTAACGAAGGATGATGGAGATAAGAGCTCCAGTGAGGGATGTACAGAGAAGATGCAAGTGAGGTGTGCTGTGCAGAGGCAGAGGAGAGAAACGTGACCGAGAAACGGGTGGGAGAGAGTTCAACGTCGGAGGCGGAAGCGCAGCCAAGGCCAGGGAAGGCGTGGCCTGGAGGCTAAATTAAGTTCATCCCGACGCTCCACTTGCTGCATCGAGACGCGTGCATGACGACGCCCGTATTGCTATCTTCACGACATCGACTGCTATACCACAACACACCACGTATATGTTGTGCATCCGCGAGAACATCGCTTGCAGGAGCACCTACAGCCATCCCATCGACAGGACCGGTGATACCGTCGCCGCTGTGCTCGTGGCAAGACGTCCGACGTCAAGTGAAACACCGTTTCCATTCGAGCGTCTAACGGTCTGGGCCCGTCGGTCGACTGCAAACTCAAACTATTCTCTCTCCGATCCAAAGCGACGGGCCTTCGATCGCGTCAAAAGGTGATCTCAAGATAATCCCTGGGAATACGAAAGCAACTCCAAATCGTCCACCACCTACTCTGAGCCGGCCGAGGAGATTGCCCTATAATACCGCCCAGATATGACCATCTCCTCGAAACGCGCAAGAAGCTCCAGTTGCCAGTACTGCTTTTATTACCCATCTACTTCGGACTCCTCACCCCATCCACCTCACTCGCATACCACCCCCCATCCAGCTCCGCCCGATAGGTATCCGCCGCGACCTCATGCCTGACGGTGTCATTCGGCGCCTCCGCAATCACCGCCGGCTGCTGAGCATAATGCGGCATCCCTTCCAACCCTTCGTCCGGACTCCCTTCATCCATCCCGCCCGCTTGTTCATATCCTGCCCCCTTCTCTATGCTGGGTTCCCTGCGACTCACCTTCCAGTTCTTGCGCACTAACCACCAGATGCCTGCTATGAGCGCGAGACCGCCGACGGTGGCTCCTACGCCTACTCCTGCTGCTGCGCCTGTCGCCAGGCCGGAATCGCTGCTCGAGCTGTCGCCTGACCCGGTAGATGTACCGCCTGCTGTTCCGCTTGTCGCTGGGGCGCCTCCGAAGCCTTTGCCCGTGGACGACGGGATTAGAGAGGGGAAGCTCGTGCTTGCCGTCGAGGCCGGGAACGTGACGCCCATACTCGAAAGTGCCAGAACAGGTGCCGAAGCGGGCTGGAACAGACTAAGATCCTTCTCCTCCCACATCACCGATACTGGGTTTGCGAAAGCTGTCGCGCCGTCGCCCGTCTCGGAGAAGGTAAGCTTGCCGCCGGAGGTGATGACTTGCGTGCAGCTGAACTTGTCGCCCCAGGTGTGCATTCCCCTACATCACCAAGATAAGTCAGCACTGCTCCATCATTTGCTCCATTCCATTCTGCCTTCTTCGCGGATCAAGGTAGTATACTCACTCCGGACAACAAACCACGCCCGTCCTCACCACCCCCAAATCCCCCGTCATCACACTCGTCGCCACATACTCCCAACTCGCCGGACACACACCGGGACTATACCATCCGCTCCCCTCATACTGCAGACTCGAATACCGCGGCGGGTAGCACGTGTACTGGTGCACGCCGCTGTCGAGCTGGTACGCGATCTGGTTGTTGGCCCAGCGGGTGCTGGACCAGGCGGACGGGGCGGTGCAGTCGGGGGGGAAAGTGAGGGGGGTGGTGAGGGAGGGCGTGGAGGCGGGGATGGCGGTTGGGGTAGCGGTGGTGGAAGACATTGTTCGTGGTTTGGATACGGTCGGTGGGGATTGAGTGGATGGGGTCAGGGCCGGTTGGAGGAGGGCATTGAGAGGGTATAATAGAAACGTAGAGTAGGGATGAGAGAGGTGTGTAGAATGGGAGAAATCGTTCCTGCCTGAAAGAATGCCAACCGTCTAACGGCTTTCCCGAGTTCATCAATGCATTACCCGTTCAGCTCATCATGCTGTATCGCGCAACCCACCGTCCAGTCAGTCCAGACAACGGACTGGCAAATTTACTACTACCATGCCAGGCACATCCACGCACCGGCGTTCGCCAAACCGTCCCTTGAATTCAGCGCCATTGCTATTGCACCCAATCAAGCGGGTGGTAATCTTGTAGCCTAGGATTCCGTCTGCTGCGGTCTCGAGATCGTCGGCCGGAAAAAGGTGTTGCTCGAAAAGCTGGCAGGGATCCATGTGGTAGGAGTGGGGGCCAGGGAGCATCATAGCGAGGACCGCTTTGGGAAGCACAGGATCAAGAGTGTGTTCGGTGAGAAGTCCGTACGAGAAACATTCTACCTACAAGCCGTGCTCTGAAATATAGACATCGAGGAGTCCTGGGGACCTTGAGTTATGACAGTAGGGGTATACAAAACCCATTGACGCTAATACAACCAGTCTATCCTACCGTCCATCAACGAAACGCTAAACGCTACACCATCATACTCCTCCTCCTCCTCATCCTCGCCCCAGCCGCCGCGTCCAGCGTCTCCGTCCCGGTCTCTCCTTCACAGTTATTACCATTAACAGCCGCCTCTGCCCTACTCCTCGCCCTACTACTCCCCGTCGCGGGAAAATCGTTCTTCGGCACAGAACTATGTCTCCTACCCCCCGTCGCCCGCGCTCGCGAAGCCGGCTTAACCTCCCTAGCAGCGCTCTCGGCCTTCTCGGGAGAGTTGGGGGATGAACTATCTTTGAATTCGTAGAGGTCGAGTTCCTCTAGCTTCTTTACCGCTTCTTCGACGGATGGCGGCTGGATGTCCGTGGCGAAGGGTTGTTGTGAGGATTGCCGGCGTTTGCGGCTGCCGGCCATGAGGGCGGAGATGGTTGCTGAGGTTGCTGAGCGAGGCTGGTCTGGGTCAGAGGTCACGTTCGTGAGAACGGCGGGTTCTGGAGCTGAGTGTGCGCGGTTGAGGTCTAGTGGTGGTGAGTGCTGGATTGGGTTGTCGTCGAGGGTGTCGCTCTTCTGATGGAGAGGGCTCAATGGCGCTGAGGCGGACGGTAGGTCCTTCCATGCGTTCTCCTGGTTGTTCTCATCTTCGTCAACAGGCTCCTGTTTGATCTCCACCATGCGAGATGCGGACATCGGAGCTTTTCGATCGGACGCGTTCATAGCACGCCGCGGATCTTGAAGCCCAGTGAGTGCATCTACCATCTTCTTGTCTGGTCGCCGCATTTTCGAGATGAGACTGGGCTCTGCATAGTTGACAGCCGAGCGTGCACGTCGCGATGGTCGCACCTCGCCGCCGTCGGTCGTGACGCTGAGGGTGGTGAGGTCGGAAGGGGGTGGAGTATCGCCTCGACCTTGAGGTTTGGCTGATGGCTCGGAAGGTGTAGGCGAGAAGAGGTCGAGTGCCGCTGGAGTTTTTGGGTTCGGCTCTTCTGCGAGCGCTGGTGGCGGTGGTGGCAGGATCTCTACAGTCTCAGCGATGGAGTCTCTAGGTGGCGAGGGCAGTGGAATGGACGAAGCTCGCCGTCTCCTACCAGGCGCGGCATCCTTCCCAGCTTTGGGCTTGAACGAAACTTCCTTCTCTGGGCCATCCTTTTCGGGCTTATCTGCTCTACTGGCAGGCTTCCGAGGAGACATGTTGACGCTCTTGTCACCAAGAACCCTCCTCGTGGGCTTTGGCGATGCCTGCGCGACCTCCTCCACCTGCTCGGCGGAAGCCGGCTTCTGCATGGTCGGACGAGCGTCCTCCGAAAGCGTCTTCCTGCTGAAAGTGAAGTCGCCCTTGCTCGGTGGTTTGATCGGCTTGTCGTTTTCACGATCGGCAAGTTTCCTCTTCGCGCCAGTCCGCAGGATAGTCGAAGCAGGCTGACCCTCCTCCGACTTGACAGGCGACTGAGGCAATAAAGAGTGTCTCTTTATCTCCAGCCTCGACGACCCGTCCTTCCGCTTTCGTCTTGTCTCCAAGTTCACTGTCAAGTTCGCAGGTAGAACATCCTTTTCACATGGCACTGCCGGCTGCTCCGGCGACGTCTTGTTTCCAAGTGGAGAAGCATTCTTAACGGGATCTTCATAGTCGAAGCGTGCGACAGGTGGTGGCCCTAGATCTGGCGACTCGTTGCTGCTGTGGTCCGACAGCCTTATCGCCTGGATCTCGTCCGTGCCGAGCGTTCTCCGCGGGTACGATTTGTCCTCTGTGATCGTGGGCATTTGCGTCTCCCGCATGAGCTCAGACAGTGGCTGTCGTTCCCTCCAATTGCCTTCGACCGGCCTTTTCCTCCTCAGCGCGTCCGGGAGCTCCACCTCTTGCGCCTCGTCTATGCCATCCACAATGCAAGCCAACTCCGCCATCTTTGCCCTCATCTCGTCCTTCAAGGTCTGAGCCGCATTCTGTGAAGCTCGTGTCTGCGCCGTGTAGACTTCATTCTGCAGATGAAGCACCTGGTTCCGAAGATCGAGATTGTCTGACAGTAATCGGGACACTTCCAACTCGAGGTTCCGAATGCGCAAGGACTGGCTCGAGTTGTTCTTCGCAAGTTCGCGGTTCTGCCGGATAAAGCGTCTCTTCACTTCGTCAAAGTCAGCAGGTGGGTTTTGGCGGACGACTTTTGATTTCGTGCGCATCTCTCATGTGTGCATGAGACAGTGGAGGGGTGCATCGAGGCAGACTCACAAGCATCAACACTCTCTCCAGGCGCCGTTGCGGAGGTGGAGGCAGGCGCGGCGGGCGGTTCGTTGAGTCGGGCCATTCATGCCTTTGATGTTGCGATAGCGATGCGCTGGTGATGTGCCGTATTGCTGCTGCCGCCCTTCCAAGGGTGTTTAGAGCGATGGATAATGTGGTGTTGATGATCGGTCGCTGCTGCCGCCAAGAATAAACATTTGTGGCTCGGGGAGCAACGACGACCTGCCGAGATAAAGTTTTGGGAAGGTGCGCCGACGCGTCTGAGCGCGCCGCGGGGTGGGGTGAGAGCACATGTGACATTTCAAGAAGTGATGAAGATGTGAAAGATATCAGCATCGAACAATGTCGTACCGCACAACAACCCTCCCCTCTCACATCCGGCCTTCCTCGGGCCTAGCGACCAGCAACCAGTCATCCAGCAGCACGCAGTCCTCCGCCCTCCAAGCGCGCATCAATGAGAAGAAAGCCGAGCTCGAATCGCTGAAACAACTACGAGACTTGAGCGCCGGACTGGCAGGGCAGATGCAACAACTAGAGGAGAAGCTGGCGACATTGAGCAATGGAACGGAAGCAGTAGCAGAGGTATTGAGCAATTGGAATGGCGTATTGAGGGCGGTGTATATGGCCAGTGGTATGCTCCAATGGATCTTCGAGACGGTACATGTGCAGTTTGCTAACTTCTACGAAAGCCAAAATGCCAAAGCTGAAAGACGAAGGAGCAGAAGGGGAGGAGCAAGAAGCAAAGCCTGAGCTGCCGCAGACGCTGGTACGGATACCAGTCCATCAAGCAGAGGCAGCGCAGAGGGAGGCGGAAGCTGCAGCGGAGGCGGCTGGCGAATGAAACCGAGCTGTAAAGATAGATAAGATGCATGAAATTGGCTAAAGCTACGAGGACGGAACGTGGACGATGGGAGGGAATGCCAGTCCTTGGACGGCTCCATCGCTGCTACTATGAATGCCGCGAACGGCTTCGGGGAGCTCAGCGACGTGGCGAGAGAGCTGTTGAGGGTCGTCAGCCCGTTCAGAGCAGCTTCATCGACTACGCCGTACCTGGGAACGAGAATGGGATGGAAGTTCGAGGCAGCATTGAGGCAGCATTGAGGCAGGCGATTGAGAGAGGGAGAGGTCAGAGGTGGAAGCCCAGTCGAAGGCCGTTGCCTGGCTTCGGATCATTCGTAATATGCTATCTAGGATGAGCCCAGGAGGTTCTCAGGTCTTTACCTGCAAGGTTAGTGTATTCACAGCGTTTTTCAAAATCAAAAGATCATACAGCTACTCTGTACCACACTTGTCGCCTCAAAGCACGTTGCAACGAGAAGTCATATCCAAGAACGTTGAGATTGAGAGAGAAAAGGGCAAAAGAGAAGACCTCAGGGGATGAAGCGAAACCCTTGAAGGATTTGCTACCGTGTAGAGTCGAAGGAGGGCAGCTTCTTCTCGCATTGTCTGGCCATCTACATATTGCCGACATTGAGTCCCGAGTCTGGACGCCATAGGTCAGCTTTCCGCAACATGGAACACCTCGCGAGGAGCCATACTCACCGACAGTGATCGCCTGACCGGTCATCGACGTGTTCTGCGCCAGCTCAATGTACATATCGGCGCAATCACTCACGATCGTCTGCCATCGCTCTGGTCAGCTGACCATCAAGACGATCGAAAGCGGAATGATAGGACTCACCTCCTGCTTCAGCGCACTGGCCTCCTTGAGAGTGTTAATCCTGTCTTCACCATACTCATTGCCCCAGTCCGTCAACAGGAGTCCGGGCAACACGGCGTTGATCCTCAACTTCTTCCCTTGCGTCTTGGCCACACACTTCCTTCATCACACGAGGGAGAACTCGTCAGCGAACACACCAAACAACACCGCATGCCGCCACCCTGCTCCGAGGGGGGAAGAACTCACATCATATGCACCTGCGCCGCCTTCGTAACGCAATACGGCATACTGCTCCCGCCCAAACTCTGCGCCGCAATACTCGACGTAATAATCACCACCCCACCCTCCGCATTCTGGTTAAAAGTCGGCATAGCAGCTTGCACGTACGTCTTCGGCCCCAAGACGTTGGTCTTCCAGCATTTCGTCCATTCGTCGTCGGACATGGAGGACAGGTCGGCGAAGTCCGAGAACCGCGTCCAGCCGGCGTTTGCTATGAGGATGTCGAGGCCGCCCTGGAGGGTGTGAGGTTAGTGGAGGGGGAGGAGGGGAAGGGGGAGGGGACGGACGAAGGCGGAGATGGTGTCGGCGACGCATTTTTTGCAGTCGTCCACTGTGGTCCATTGTCAGCATTTGATCGCGAGGAGAATGGGTTGGGAAGCTTACTGTTCCCGCCATCGCCCTTCAAAACGACAGTCTTGACGCTGTGTTTCGACTCGATTTCTTTCGCAAGTTCCTTCGCGGGTGCTTCATTGTTGGCGTAGTTGATGGCGACATTACAGCCTCTCGCAGCGAACTTGCGGCAGACTTCTGCTCCAAGGCCTCTGTTGAAAGTAGAAATCAGCATTCATAGTAAATGCTTCCGACGTCCGCCATCTCAAAGTCTGGTGGGCCGGTCAATGGATCAATTGGACGAACCTAGAACCGCCGGTAACCAAGACGTTGCGTGCTGCTAAGCTGTACGGCATTTTTGACTCTCGTAGACTCAATAATTTGATCATTGATACTTGCTACAAAAGTACTTCCAACACTCCGTGAAGTTCTGGTCTGACTAGAACTATCTGACGGACGACCCCGCCTGAGAGGCCGAATCTATGGAGTTAAAGCTCTCCCAACCTCACTTGCTCCATCTTACCCCATCGACTGCCGAGGGGACCTATGCCCGAGGGCAGCTTTTGTTCAGCGCTTATCGCAGCACAGACAGCGTGGCCAGGTCAAAGGAACCCTTTCCGTCGTATTCATGCTGTGCTCAGTCATCCTCCGCTCTTCAAATCCACGGATATTGAAGGGGTTGTCCCATAGCTTCCAACTGCTCCTAGGTGAAGTTGAAATCATCTCCCAAACTCATGTCCAGCCCGGCAAAGATATCCTCTTCGGCATTCTGGCCATCCATATCCATGTCATTGCTGTCATCCATACCCATCATCTGCTGCGTGTTCTGGTTCATGTCCATTCCCATATCGCCGAAGAGGTTCTGCGCATCATTCGGTAACGTGCCGCTGCCGGATGTCAAGTCCACAATGTCCTGTCCTGAGCCATTGTTGTTCGCATTCATAGCTTGGTCCAACGCGGCGCTCATGTCTGCGTTGTTGAAGCCTTCACCAGCGGTTTGCTCGAGAGTAACTGAGCCATCTGCGCCGGCATTGGCTCCGGGTGCCGCAAGACTGCCGTCCGTGAGGCCAAGTTCAGCCATCACTTGATCTGTCTGTCCTTGATCGGCGACAGGCAGCGCCATCATTTGGGGCATTTGAGACACGGCGAGCTGAGCTTCGACTCTTCGGTTGAGGCCGACTAGAGATTCGGCTTCCGACGCGGAGGCGTGCAACAATTTATGTGTATCCACTGCCTTCACGCGCAGAGACTCGCGAACGGAATGGGTCCTGTGACTGCTCTGCGACGCAAGAGGAGCGCAGATCATGGCGGAGCAGATGTCGAGCGCAAGAGGGCCGCGGCTCTGACTCGTTTGGTTCTTCAGCTCGGAAACGAGAGCGTCACGGACCCGACTGACTCCGAGTAGACTGCATCCGTATGCAAACAGGCGGTGGGTGTACTTTGGTGGTGGAGATGGGCCGGTCTCAGTCACCCACGCCACTAGATCTCGGATGGTAGTACCAATGCGGGTTTCAAGACCGCCATTGGCAGACGAAGCCCAGTCCTCCATCTCGGCCTTGTTCGCTGCTGTGGTTTGCCTTTGGTTGAGATGCGGCTTCAGGACATTCATCAACTGTCCCGTCTGCTTCGTGTCCGGCAGGCGTTGGCTCAGGATCTGCAAAGACTTATACAGCCGGTTCGCAACGATGCCTAGAATCGCCTTGTGCATGGCTTTTGTTTCTTGCGAGCTGCTGGAGGGATTGAGCAGCTTGTCTAGGATCTGCAACAGCACGTCGGCGTCCTGGTGGCCGTCTTCCCACGCATGATTTATCAGCCAGCTCAGGCCTCCAACCAGCGATGGGAGTAAGAATGGTTCCACGAGCAGCTCCAAGCCTCCATTGAACGTCTTCGCGTCCAACAACCCTGACTTGCGAGCCATGACAGTCTGGTGAAAAAGCGTAGGCACGAGTTGGTAGAAAGCTTGTGGAGGACAGTTGCGCATAACCTCGTCACTGATTCCTCCTGTCTCGCCAGCCTCGTCTGTGGCGTACAAACCTTCGATCCACTTCCCCAGCTGTTTGTTCTGTTCTTCGCTGATTTCGGTTGGATTTCTGCTGATGGCCATGTTCTGGAGCAGATTGGCCACGAAACTTTGACTGTCCGGAAGACCGAGATCAGAGCGATCGAGGCCATAGCGGTTCACTGCCACCAGCACAACCAAAAGTACGGATGCGAACTCCTCGTAAGCAGGTGTGAACTCAGTTTGGTCTTGGTCGTGAATCCAGCTGTTTAACTGGTTGCACAATGGCAACAACAGGTTCGCCGGCTGAACATACTGCAAGATGATGTCCAGGCACGCCGGCTTCTTGATCAGCATATTGCAGAGGGTTTTGAGAGATATCGAGTCTCTGCCCATGCATAAAGCAGAGACAGTGTCGACAATGCATCCAGAGATGGCTCCGGCATTCCCGAGCATTCCATCAAGCTCGTCAATGAGATGCTCGAGGCGGCCAATGTTATTGCTGCACTGCCCCAGCAAGCCTTCCTTGGTATACTTGGTAACTCGTGGCAGTGACATGGCCGGCTCCTGTAAGATGGAAGCAACTGTACCCTCCGTTGTGAGGCCGTGCAAAGCGCAGGCCTGCAGAAACTCCAGCCTTGTGATCTTAAGCTGCTCCCGCATCTCTGTTGCGCCTGCGCTGATTGGTGGTAAGACATCCATCGTGATGGTCATGAAAGCCATCGATATGCATGCTTCTACCGTCATTGCTGACCCCAGATACATAGGCGCGATCACGAGCAGATGCGGCAACTTGTTGCAAATGAAAGAGCGGATATTGTGGACGTGCTGATTCGGCTCCTTCCGCAGTAAAGCGTTGGTGAGCACATCGAAAGCAGCAACAATCAGGTCAACAGCCATCGCCTGGAAGTTCGCGGGATAGCGAGCTTGCAGATATGTCAACATGCCGAGATCATCCGTAAGCGGTCGTGCGCAAAGGCATGCGCTGAGCCAGACAAACAAGCCCGCTCTGGATTTTTGCACTGGCAAATCGGTAATGGAGTTCAAGACCTGTTGATCGCTGAAGATTGGCCTTCCTTTTGAGTCGGTCTTGATGAACGGGGACGTCTGAGTCAGTGCTTGCAGGCGGCCTGCCAGTCCAGATCGCATCCAGAGGAGAACGTGAGTGTCGAACTTCTGCATCTCTTCCACTATGGCCTCTCTGCGCTTTGGCCACCAAGATTGCTTTGCAATTGACGCAAATTCTGCTCTCGTGAAGACCGCAATGGCCAGAGATGCCACTGCTTCGTAAGTACCAAAGGCAAAGGCATCCACGGTATGGAGCGCTCCCTTCTCCAACTGCATACGCATCTCGTAGTCTGACACTCGCTGCAGCCAGATAACGAGGGCATACACCAGTCCGTGAGCTTCAAGTTCGGAGAACTTGACACTCTCAGTGAGGTATACATGCGTGAGCACATTGAACATTCTCTCCTCGCAGTCCGGAAGGCCATTACGGGGTCTGGTGTCTGCTTCCACTGGTTTCTTCGCCCAGTGGGAGGTTCTGAGCAGTTCGAGGAATATCGAAGTTGGCGACACGGCCTTCGCGCATAGCAATGCTTCAGCATAGGGAAATATTAGGCAGTCGTCCATGCCAATGATGTCTCGAGACCTGAAGCTCAAGAGGATTTTGGCGACTTCCGCTGGCGGTGTGGGATATCGTGAGACCAGCTGCTCGATGTACTTGCTGAATCGCTCGCCGCTCAACCGGCGGCGAAGAGCCTCCTTGATTGCGAGCTTCCATTTCTGCGCGGAGACGTTGGTCGGTAAGGATGTGTCGAGATATGACATGGTGGAGGATGATGTGTGATTAAGTCAAGGAAGATGTTGGGCCAGCCAAATAAATTATAGTACTTTTGAAGAGTATCGAAGTTCGCAAGAGCCAGTGGTAGATCCAGAGAAGGTACTCCAGTGAGTTGGTGAATATGGATAAGCAGTCGCAATGAATGCAAGGCGGTTCTAGGTTCCCTATTTCATGGTCGCGGCAGGACTCCGCCAAGATCGATACCACAAGACTATAGGTCGTCTCATCATTGTCCAAACGCCTCGATGGACAGCATGTAGTAGTGTACGTGGCGGTGTGTTGCAGGAAAGATTCCAGCATCTTGGAGGTGGTTGTTCAGGCCGGACGGATTTGCGCACGAGCCACCGTGACCATCCACTTCACAGACGCGTGAAGGTCATCATCAATCAGAACCACCGATGCAGCGCAAAATGGGGGACCAGGCTCTCTCTTTCACCTCTCGGATCAAGCTGAACAATGGCAGCTCCATGCCTCGGATCCATCTGGGAGTGTACCTCATGTCCGGCTCTGAAGCCACTTCCGCTGTTCAGCACGCCCTCGACGCGGGATATCGAGCCTTTGACTCGGCGCAGATGTACCACAACGAGAAGCAAGTCGGCCGTGCCATATCGGAGTACCTCAAGGCTCATCCCGAGGTGAAGAGGGAGGACATCCATTACACCAGTAAGCTGGCGAGCAATGGCGATTATGATACCGCCCGGAGAAGCATAAGCCAGAGTGTCAAGGAGTGCGGACTGGGGTATATCGATCTGTTCCTGCTGCATAGTCCGTATGGTGGCAAACAGAGGCGATTGGACAGCTGGCGTGCTGTTGAGGATGCTGTAAAGGACGGCGAAGTGAAGATAGGTGGCGTTAGCAATTTTGGAGAGAAGCATGTCCGTTCTCCCACACCAACTCTATCTTATCTCTTCAGTGTTGACATGTGTGATGAGCAGATCGACGAGCTCCTTTCCAGTAATCCCAAGCTCAAGCCGGCCTGTAACCAGATAGAAGTGCACCCGTTCAACACTCGATCCAAGCTCACAGCCCACTGTCAGAAGAATGATATAGTGGTAGAAGCCTATGCCCCTCTGGCGAGAGCTCTGCGGATGAAGCATCCCACTATTGTTGAGCTGGCGAAGAAGTACGGGTGTACGTCTGGGCAGCTTCTCGTGCGCTGGAGCTTGCAGCACGATTACGTGCCATTGCCCAAGAGTGTGAAAAAGGAGAGGATCGTGGAAAATGCGGATATTGGTGGCTTTATTATCGATGAGAACGACATGAAGAAGATGGACGGTCTAGATGAGTATCTCGTCACAGGTATGGAGCTTCTGGCCCTCCACATGAGAGCAGTGCTAACTTCGCTCTCAGACTGGGATCCTGTGGATGCTGCATAGTTTCAATTAACACCGCCGTTTACACATTCATGGCTGCGGTCCAGTCCTCTTTCCTGGTGTACTCTTCGACAGTCGTTAAAGGGATGTCAAAGCCCATCTGAAGCGACATCAGCAGCGTATAAATACATCCTGCACAGCACCAGCAACTCACCTCTCTCAGGTCTCTCCCTTTTAATATCGGAAGCCCTCCGTCATAACCAGGCCATGAGGAATATTCGAACCTATGTCAATAGTAAAGAAGGTCAGCAAAAGCCTCGTCAGCCACACACGTGTCGAAGGAGGTAGGCTCACATCTCAGCAACTTCCTTCCCGAAGGCACCCATCCCTTCACTCATCTCCTCAACGCTGACCTGCTCATAGCCAACCCTTGCTGGATCAGTCTCCATCCCTCTGGCCCAACCCTCCATCCACCCACCCCAGCTGCTCCACTGCCCAGCAGCCATCGCCGTCTTCCCAGCCGGAAGCTGCGCCAAAGCCTTGACATAATATCCAGTGTCCGAGTTGACGTCCAGATGTGGCAGCACACTATCAGCCGCTGTCGCCATCCTCGCCACAAATGATCCGTCCGCTTGCTTCCCAGGCCATCGCTGCGGCATGTAATGCCACGAGCTCATAAACATTCCTGTCTGTAAGTAGCTCGTCTTCTTCGCGAGCTCCAGGTGCTGTTTCTCGACATACTTCGGGAAGACATCTGCTTTGGCGTCGAAGTGGTATAGCTCTGTGTACTTGCCCTTCGAGCACTCCCGAGCATTGCTGAGGGTGGAGGCGATCAAGCCTGTCTCGTCCAGGGTAGCAAGGACATTCGGGTGAGCTGCAGCATCGGCGATGTTCTTGCCTTGTTCGTACTCGAGGTTATAACACAACTGACCAATGCTGATGCCTTCTCTAGCCGCTCGTTCAACATTCGCTGGGTTGAAGAACGGTTTCCAGAAGTCAGTGACCGAGAAGATGAGGTTGGCGCCCTTGAAAGCTGGGGCGAGTGTTGAAGGATCATGCAGATCCGCCCGCACCACCTCGATTCCTCTGGATGCCAATTGCTGCGAAGCGGCAGAGCTGCTGTCGCGGGTCAGGCCTCGGATGCGCCATTCGGGATCTTTGAGGAAGACATTGGCTACGGAACCGCCTTGGTTACCTGTTATGCCGATGATGACGATCAACTTGGACATTGTAGTGAATGATGGATTTAGCTGAAGGGGGTAAATGAGTTGAGGAAGGGCTGGCTGGTTTGATTTGCGATTGATGAGCGGCTACGACAAGCTCTTATAGCCCCTCACTCAGTTCGCTCCAACGTCGACTGGCCGTGATGTTCGAACAACACTCGCCAACCTTCGGATAGACTCTACGCAGTTTCAGGTCCCTCGAGACGAGGTGCAGTCACCGGAGAAAAAGTTCCGCCGAATCTCGCATGTGATCGCCAAAATGCTTTTCAGTCTGAACGCCGAAACGACTTTCTGCCCTGGTCATTACACTGGTCTCCAAGCGACGGCCGCAACTCGTGCCATAGCCCGGCGTGGCCGCAGCGGATCTCAGGCGCTTGCTGTCCTAGAAATGAAGAATCGAGCCAGTCGACGGAGCAGCAGAACAAGCACGTCTATTCACCTATAGGCTTTCTACCGACCATCCAAAGGAACGTCACGCCATAATCCGGATCGTCTTCCTCCAGCTTCCCGTCGCCAGCGTCCAACTCCGTGGCTTCCACCAGCTCAAAACCCACATCCGTCACCATCTTCTTATTCTCCTCCGCCGGGAAGCTAGACCAGAACATCCCATGCCCTAAGAACTCCCCATGGATTTCCTCTTCATCCACCGTTGCGAGATTGAAAGCCACCATCCCACCAGGTCTGAGCCAGCGATAGATCTTCGCAAGCATCTCCTTCTGTTCCTCACGCGGTAGATGGAAGACGGTGAAAAAGCTCACCACCCCATCGAAACTCGCCGGCTCAAACGAGAGTCCAGCCATGTCTTCCAGCACAAAGTTGGCCGTCGGACACCGCGCTTGGGCCATGTTGATCTGTGCGCTTGAGATATCGTTCGCCACAACATCCGCGCCGTGGTCGAGGAGCATGCGGGTGATCGGGACTCCAGGGCCGCATCCCATTTCGAGGATCCGTGGAGAGGGAGGAGCATTTTCCAGGACTTTAGTGGTGTATCGTTCACGAGGAGAGCGTTGGTCGGTGATCCAGCGGAGGTACCATTCTGCTATGTTGTCGTAGGTTTGGCGGACGATTTCTTTTGGGTCTTCCATGGTGATGTTCGAACGTCGGTCCTCCCGACTACGATAATAGATGATAAATGGGAAACTCCTACCTTATAGTGAATGTAGGCAGCGGGGATTCACATGCAAAGAGTCACCAGTCTTCCGATGTTTTAGCATGATCCACCCGGCCCTGTCGATGACACTACGCCCTCTGCGAGTCATTTGAAAACCGGACTAGGTTTGTTCGAGAGTGGGGATCCAGGTACGAAGGCTCTGTCACCGCCGATAGGCAACCGAGCAACATGCGTGTAATCAGCCATGCATAGCAGATGCAAAGGAACATGTGAAACTGCCGATGCTTCATCTGGAGTCTTCGTTTGGCCGTGCGCCTCAAGACCGACCGACTGGTATCGGAACGTTGGTGGAGGCAAGCTCGCAAGTCTCTCGTCGAAACGGCTACGCTGCACAGTCCCCGGCCGAATCGGCGAGCGGCGTTTTGACGGTCACGTGCATGATCTCCTTCCGCTTGCGGCTCCAGCACGAGCGCTCAGTGCTGCCTGAAGGGAGAAACAACCTAACGATCAAGTGGACATGGGATTTTTCAGGAGTACAGGAAGACGGTGCCACTCCGTCATCCGACATGTTTTCCAATGGTACGAAACCCCAGGCGTCGTACACACCTCGCTTACAGCAATACACCTAGGTATGTAGCTTCTTTTGCCCAGAATCCAAACGCTTATGCATCAGTCGTGAACCGCCCAACACCTTTTCGCAGATGCATGCACGACCGTCTACCCAATGAGACCCCCTTCTAAAGCGCGCATACATCCTCACCGATGCCCGAACAACTCCATCCCATCATCAACCTCGTCTTCATTTTCATCTTCATCCTCATCATCAGCCATCTCCACATCCTCGCTCTCCTCGCTCCCGCTCTCCCCATTATCCCCATCATCAAGCTCGTCATCCTCATCGTCGTCATCGTCGTCGTCCACCGCAACATCGCTCCAACCCCCCGTCCCATCAGCTGTAGGATCACTCCTAACACTCAACCGACTCGCCCGCCTCTCCCTACCCCTCTCGCGCCAAGGAGGCAGGCGTGGTCCTACATCAGCATCCCGCACATCCAGCCCTTGAAGATAATACCGCATAGGACTTAAGCTGCGCGACAGTGAATCGAACATTTGGTATGGTAAGCCAGAGAAGCGGCCAAATTCCGGTAAATTCGGCAGACCGAGCTCGGGCATGTTGGGCCAGTAGTCGGGCATGTTCGGCATATTGGGCATGTTCGGGAGATTAGGCAGGTTAGGCATGCGCGGGAGCCGGGGCATTTCTGGTAAGTTCGGGAGGGTGGGTAGGGTAGGCGCGGAGAAGCGGGGCGTAGTGAAGGAAGGCCGCCTAGGCTCGTCGTCGTCGCGCACGAAGTACCGGCGTGGTGAGGGCAGGCCGTTGGAACTCCCCTGGCTGCTTGGTGAGCCAGGCGAAGCAGGGACAGCGAGATAAGAAGCCGGCGACGACGGAACGTCCAACGCGCTATCCACCCGAGCCTGGGTGTCTTCAGCGCCGATGCCGGCGGCGCGCAGGACGGCGTTGCCGGTGAGTTCCTGCTGGTGCTGCGGGACCTGCTGCTGGCGCATCAGCCGCTCGGCTTCGGACTCGATGTGCCCTGCTGTGGGCGCCATTTGGTTGGTGTTGTAGCTGTCGCAGTGTTGGCATTTGAGGCCTAACCAGTGGAAAGGGGTGGAAGAGCGGTTGTTGCAGTCGTTGCAGCCGATCCAGACTTTGCGCGGGCGGCGGGGTTGTAGTGCTGGCGAAAGCTCTGGATGGTCGGGCGTTGGTTCGTGTTCGAGGTGCGGGAGAAGGCCGTTGAGCTCTTCGTCGTCTTCGGGCATGGGTTGGGCGAGGATTTCGTCGTCGAGTTTGCGCCATTGGAGTTCCATGTTCACGGCGCTGCGGCTGCAGACGGGGCATTTGTAGGTGACTGCCATGAGGTCTCGGTAGCATTCCGCGTGCATGTAGTGGCCGCATGGCAGGCTGACCACTTTGGCTCGGGAGGCGAACATCTCGTCTAGACATAGCGGACAAGGCCCTTTCGTGGCATTTTCAACACACGTATGTGCAGCCGAAGTGGCGATGGAAATGCAGACGTCGCACTTTTTGCAATGTACGAAGTCCTTGCCCAACCCTTCTCCTAGTCGACAGATTCCACAATCATCGCAATGGTAGATTCGCTTGTTGCTGTCGTTGTCCCAGAGCTTGCACTTCGGGCAGAAGTAGTATGCCGCATACTCTCCACAGTTTTCGCATGTCTCTGCGGCTGGTTGCGGCGTCCGGCAAAGCATACACATCATGTTCCTCGTCATCTTACGCCGTAAATTATGCGGAAATGGTAGGTCGTGTGACTGATCGTGGCAGTATCGGCAAGGGAACCATCGGTGGCAGTCGAAGCATTGCACTTTGACGTTGCGCTTATAGTGCATACATCCCAATATGATGGGATCTTCTTCCTCCATGTTTTCCTCTCCATCCTCTGGCGGCGTCGGTATGTGCGGCAGCGGACTGAACGACAGCTCAAGATCTCCAGGCCGAAGATTGTACGGGTTCGACGGATCGATGGGCAGCGCAGCCAGTCCTACATCCAACGCAGCAGGCTCTTCGTTGAACGACTTAGCATCCCCCCCATCCAACGACATAGGCGACACATTCCCTGCCGTCCCATTCCGATCCATGTAATCCTGCACCATCAACCCATGCATCCTCCTCGCCTTCTCCTCCGTCGAGATCGCCAACTTCCTAATCTGCTGCAACTGTTGGCGCAACTCACTCATGCCATCGTTCGCCGGCAGAGCAGAGTCCATCTTGTCCCTACTCCCCTCCATCTCTTGCTCGCTCCCGCCTCCACCGGACCGTAAAGATGCTTCGTCGGCCTCACTAACGAAATCACGATTCCGGAGATCGATTTCGACTTCTCGGGCCGGGTTTACGCTCTGACTAGTCCACGCTGGAGCGCTCCACCGTGCCGGAGAAGTACCTTCGAACCTGGAGACAGGCAGACGGCTGCGGGCATAGCTGCCTCCGATCAGCTGGTTCAGTAGATCTGCTGGGTCGTCTTCGTCGTCGTTGTGATTTGGTGTTACCCAGGGTGGATATGTGGCAGCCCGGTTCCGAGAAGGAGTCCGGCGTACTTCCTGCGGTAGAGTGGAAGAGGAGTCTGTCATCTGATTCCGATCTCCATTTGCTTGGCAATCATGTGAAAGCCGAGCTCCAGCCTCGCTGTGGCGATTGTCACGTCCGCCATCTTCCCTCATCCCACGTCTGGCTGGCCTCCGCGGAGCAAAGTCTGAACGTCAAAGGGGGTGGTGTCACGGAGGCGTCTTCTGATCCAGCATAGGTCTTCTTACCAGTAAGTAAACGTGTCCTTCACGCGCTCCAAATCAAGTTTTCTCACACCGAGGGCGAGGCGCATGGCGCATTGCTCGTCATCGCTCAGGAAGCAACTCCGGATGATTTTCAAGATGCCGAGAGGGATGATTTGCACCAGGGTTGAAAAATATGCACGATCACATGCAAGTTCCAAATCTAGGCCTTGCACTGGCATTCTCCCGTCGCAGAGTGATCTAGACACGCGGTAGCCTTCATTGGATGAGCCTCGAGCAGATGCGGGAGAAGGTATGGCACTGTCAAGACTCTCGAATGGGTGGCTGCACTGGGGCGAGGGTGCGAGAAGACAGGAAGAAAGTGATGGATCAAGCACGTATTTAACTCTTAACTATCCATTCTCATCAACATCCACGGCTCCCAAGCCAGCCAGCTTTTCCATCCCAGCTAAGCCAACGCAAATAGCTAAAAACGCGTGAGCGGGTATCATGGTAACAACATGCAAACAACATATTCCCTTTTCCTCATCCAACTCTCCATACTCAAAGGCGCCCAGTCCCCTCACTTCTCCTCCGCCCCTTCCATCGCCGCCAGATCGCTCTTCGATTTGAAGGCAAAGCCAGCCTTCATGAACATCTCAAACTTTGGCGCATCGCTCTTCCCACTCGTCGTCGCTGTCTTCGCCGATGAACCTCCAGACGTCTTGGGCCGCTGCGGCATTTCTTCGCTGCTCGTCGTCGACTCGGTATATTTCCTACTTAGCCCCTCTGGCAGACTCTTCGGCCCAGAAAACGCCCTGATATCCTTCGGCTCCACCACAAGACTCCTGCGGTGCAAATGTCCCACCATCGCCGAGTTACCCTCGCGCATTCGTTGCAGGTTCTTCTCGATCCACGTCCCCAGCTCCGGGACTTCGGTGAGTTTGTACGCGACCTGGAACTTCTGGAGGTGCGAGATGATTTTCGCCATGCGCATGTGCTTGTCGAAGTTGATCACTGAGACTGCTTCGCCGGATTCTGTCGTCGTGCCGGGTAGTTCGCGCATCTTGGGGTTGCCGGCGTCGACGAATGTCAAGTCGGTCAGGTAGACGCCTAGGAAAGGTAGGCAAGGTGCGACAGGCTTCTCGAGTCGGCGACGCAGCGAGGCGTGGTTGCGCGAGAAGTCGACGATGCTGTTCAGCTCGTCTAGTCGTGCTTTAGTCTTCTTGCTGACGAGCTCCCAGGTCCGGCGCAGGCGTTGCACGACTGAGGAGTTGAGAGAGCAGGTGATGGCCATCAGAGACTCGTAGTTGTTCATCTCGAGACATTGGGTGGCGATCTTCGACCAGTGCTTGATGACGACGGCACGCTTCTTTGCGTCGTCGGGGGCGAGGATGGTGTCGCCGACCACATGCGCGAGATCTGTGTTGAGGATGCAGAGCTGGCGTACGTTCTGCGCTTTGGTCGTGTTCTTCTTTGTCCATTCAAGACTGAGTAGCTCTTCTGGCTGTATCTCGCAGAAGATCTTCGATGCCATGACTGTAAGTTGACGAGCAATCTCCAGTGGGTCGAAATCCGTAATATGGGAAGTTGTAGCAGCATTGCGAAGCATGTTCAACTGGCTCTTCGTGACATTCGGCTCCGGTGCGCGTTCCTTGCTGTCCAGGTGAGATCCAATCGACATGCTCGTCTTGCCCACACCAGAGACCAATGGGCCTGTGAAGGTACCTGCGCTGTAGGCATTGGTGACCTTGCGGGTCAGCTCGACGAGGCGCTCGCCAGCTTGCGGCAGGACGGGTTTCAGCTTATGCAGAGCGAAGTACCGGACATCTCCCAGGGCATCCCGATCTGCCTCAGTGTTCCAGTAGACTTCGAGCCAGCCCTTGAAGACGTTGTAGATGCGTAGCCTCACCGGCGTGCCGACAGACTTGCCATCACCGATGTACTCGAATCGGTGAAGTAGAGCTTGTGCCAGATCCCGGGGTGTGGTGAAGCATCGGAAGGTCAGGAAGAAAGCCGAGAGGAATTGCGCGTCTGGGGCGCTGTCGTGGGTTGTGAGCTGTTCGATCAGGGCCGCGAGGCTGCCGCCGGTGACCTGTCCGTCCTTGTTAAGAGTGAGCTCATTGGCGTATGTCTTTTGCAGGAGCTGGGATTCCACATCGCTGCCTTCTTCAGTCGTGGCTGCTGATTGAAGACTGGTTATACTACCAAAGCTGTTGAGAAGACGAGGATCCGGGCTGTTGCTGTCTTTGGCATGGTCTGGCGTCGTTGCTCGAGTGGAGGCACCAGACAATGCAGTGAAGCCAGAGTCTCGTGCCTCCGTTGAGCCAGTCATTGCGGTGCCGACGCTGCATTTCCGAGCCGGACTTGTCGAGTTGGTCCGTATCTGTGGCTGGCCTTGTCCTGCTTGTGGTGGTTTTGAAGCAACATCCGAGTCTCTCGTTGACGAGCGGCGAGGGGGTGGCGGAAGTGACTTGTGCAAGTCTGAAGGTATGAGTTCTAGTTTTGCGCCAGCGGTCGAAGGGCGAGCAAAATCGGCGACATCAGTCGCAGTCATTGCACGCTCTTTTAGCAACGGTGGAGGCGGCGGTAACATCTTCTTTGATAACCGCTTGCTCGTCGTGGACATTGTCGTGGCTTCATCCTTCACCTCCTTGTCACTTGCGCCAGCTTCGGCTGGAATGTCACCTTCACCCAACTTCACTCCACCAGCTGTTTCCAACTCAAAGTCACCAACTTGCTCGATCAGTCTGCGGGTCTTGATCACGCATTCGCCAACCGTGCGGATGAGGTTGGTGCCGACGTTCACGAGATGGTTCGTCTGCTCTGGTAGCATGACGACATCGTCGTCCGGTCCATCCGTGAACCTAAAAACATCCCGTGTCGTACTGGTGAGGTCGTCCAGCTGGCATTGAACATTGGTCCGAGACTGCTGGACAGACGTCGTCCTTTGCGCATCGTGTGAAGCTACTTGATCGACCACAGACAGCAGGATTTCGCATGCTTTGACCAAGCGCTCAGTAGTTGTGACAAGTTCTCCGGACGGCCGAGAATGAAGGTATAGCCCAATGAAGGCCCCGATATGGCTGATGCACTCATCATGGGCTCCAGATAACCGCTCAGATGCGAGAGAGCCAGTTCGATTCTGATTCTTCCTTGCCACGAGCGACAAGCGGTGTGCTATTCCTCCACTCGGCGGCCTGAATTTCACTGCAGACGGTGGCTCATCTGTCTCATCGTCTACTTGCTCCCGCGCAGTGACCTGAGACGGCGTCACCTTCTCTGATCCGGGAGTCGGTGGAAAGGCGATGGCCGAGTCGATGGTAGCGGTCACGACCGTCAGAGAAGTCATGGGCTTGGTCTGACGTATACTCTGATGCCGCAGAGGTGTTTCGACGATGGCTGGCGTGCCAGGCTTCACATGTTTCGAGGATGCGCTCTCTTGAGCCAGCATATCGACAAAGCCAACAGCTCGTGTGACCACCCGAAAGGCCTTTGACACCAAGTCATCCAGCAGCACATGGAGTACCTCTCCAGCATAGGGCTCACTGATGGTCTCTTGCAGTCTTTTCGCAATGTTGACCAGCGTCGACAGATCAGCTAGGAGACCTTTGCGCATTCGCCTTATGCCGGCATTCCTTTGTACGAGCACGGCATCCCTGTGAAGGCAGTTCGCACGCTCCAGAAGACAGCGCACGCCGGCAATGAGGCCGCGGATGTAGTCCTGCCTGACAAATGTGGAGAGATTGGCGTCCTCACCTGCGCCCAGAAGGTCCCAGAACTGGGTCATCGCATTCAGAAGCTGTCGCAGGTAGGGGTGGTCAAACTTCTCGCAGTAGTTTGTCGGTAGCCATCCTCTTGCGCCAGTCGTCAGTACTGTCCCGTCCGCCCAGCCATTCTTGTGAACAGAGTGGACCAATATGAGATCGCCAGGTCGTATCGATGCGGTCATCAAAAGTCCCTCGTCACCCTCGTCGACACTGGTCGGCTGCTCGAAATGACAGAAGGCTCGGAGATAGTTGTGGAAAAGAGAAATCTGGGTACCGGGTGATGCGGGAAGCTCTTGAGGACTGAGTGGCGTCTCGGGAGGTGTCATCTGTGCCAACCGTGCTGCACTCATCCGCTTGCTGTTGATATCTGTGCGCACAGAGGGGCAAGGCCGCCTCTGCGAGAAGTTGACCGCGCCATCCTGCTCTCGCCTTCGTCTTCTTTCGTGCAACCCCAATGTCTCATCTGAAAATTCCATCTCGTTTGTATCCTTGGTCACCGTCTAGTAGAGTCCATTGGTCGGTTCGGGAGTGCTGTATGTTTGAATGCTTCTCGAAGTACTCGTTCAAGGCGCGCCCGCTCGACTCCACAGCTCCCTGTGGCTGCAAAATGTTAGTATGTTGTGGTGGCTCTGGAATGTAGGTTCTGCACATGTATCCGTGCCATGGGTGTTGAATTCACGAGACATACTCACAACCAGATGTTCCAACGCAACGACTGCTTCCGTCGTCTTTCAATCGGTGCAAGGTCAAAAGGGTCCTGTAATCCCCAATGCGACTCTGCAGATGAGAAGCCAAAGCCGGGCCCAACTGTATCGATAGAAGGTCCACGTGCTGTTCAAGGCGTGAAACGGTCCAGTGCTAATCGCCAACGTGCGATCGCAGTCGCTTGGAGTTAATGAATGATTTGTTGCAGGTCTTCTGACCAGAATCGCTGAGAGAGCAAAGTCGAGTTGAAGCTCTGAGGTCCAATGCAAGGGTTGTACCTCCCTTCACAAGACGGGTGCGAGGTCGAGGAGAGAACGACGTAAGGTCCGCTTCAAGGACGACCAGGACTGCGCTTACTGCCCGTATAACGAAAAGATATCGTGATCAAGAAATAAGGACGTTGTGAGAAAGACTCTCAACGAAGGCAAAATGGAACAACGCCAACCTCCCAAGACGGCCTGGTAGTGAGAAGACCGCGATCACTTTACCTTTCTCTCGAGTCCAAGCTCACAGACTTCGAGGTGTCCCACAATGATCGACCATATCGACACCCTGTGTAGGCAACGCGCAGTGCACCAGTTCAACGGCACCCTTCCGGCCGCGAGGGCTATCCCCTAGTGCGCTTCTTCGATCCCCAGGGACTGCCATTGGATGAGTTTGTCTATAGCACGAGTCAAGCGTAGATGGCATTCTGCCTTTGGTGCGCGCGCAAGGCCATTGGAAATGTTCCAGTTGCTCGAGACAGGCGTTGTGCAGACGGTGCGGCGTATCAACGGCAGCCTGCCCTTTCCGTAATTCCATCCGGCCATGATTTGCTACTCGTCGCCGGTGGTCGCTGATCGATCGGGCATGTTCAGGCTTCGGCATGGAGACCCAAAAGAGAAAAAGGAGATGAGGCTGGACGAAATAGGCTTTGAGAGTGCTTGTCGAACGCTAAAGCGGAATGGTCTACACGAAGCTTTCGCCCCTTTCTGCAAGCCAGAGTCGGGAGCACCCAGCCGACGCCGGTAGTTGTGAGATCTCGTATTAGTCGCAACGTTCTTCCCGTCATGCTGGGAATACAAGCTCGATCTAGCTACTGTTCAACAGGAACTTCACGTTGAAGTAGCGTAGGAAGCGCAACGAAGATACTCTCGAGCCGACAACATGGGATGAGGTCTGAGACGTCGCTTGGGGTTCGGTATATCTTCGACACGAGTTCGTGCTAAACAACCGTCGTGCAAGGATATGACGCCACGAGAATGATCTGCGGCCGGGAAGACCTACTCTTGAAACTCCAAGAAAAGGCGCGCCTCTTCAATTGGAGTCTCTCCAAAGTCTAGGTCGAAGAGGTATCCGGACAATGAGCAATCAAGAGCGTGAGTTCCGCCAGGCCGGGCCAGACATATCGACGACCTCATCTGGCAGCTCAAAGTCCCAACGCGGTCCTCGAGGGCCACCCGCGGCTCGCGGCTCGCGACTCAACCCGAGCAACCGACCAGCCCTTGACTCAAGCCGCTGCGGAGAGGACATGGGTATCAACCGCGTGGGTCAGATTGCAAGCAACGGAACGTACCGGTCATTCTGGCAGCGGGATATTCTTGGGAAAGTCTCACTACACAACGGTTGAAGGTCCGCTTATGGAACACTGTCCACCTCGCTTCGAACATGTCTCTCCCGGTGTGGACCCGCGAGGTTCTTGTCACTCCGCCTTGGTCTTGGTCGCATGGCACTCTCCGGTCTGTAACAGCAACGCAACCGAGCAGCAAGACAAAACGCAGATCACTATCCATATACACGGCAAACTTCTACCTCCTAGGATAGCTCGACGACCCAACAACCGGACAGCTGGTCATATGGTGAGAAGCACGCGAGACCCATGGAAAGTCTCCAGGTCGCCGGGCTTATGCTATGACGCTGGTATTCTAAATGTTGGACCTCAAGTATCTTGCTCGCTTGCAGTCTTGTGGGCACCCGGCCATCAGTTCCAGCCGTTATCTGTCAATCGTCTTCTCTATTGCTCCCGCAGGATGCAGCACGTTCAATAGTACCAGGAAAACTAATCCAATGGGCAACCGAGATAGTGCCAGCCCCTTCACCAGGATACTGGCCCCTGGTGCCTGACATTAGTCGAGACACAGGAGATGCTAAGAATGCAGCGTCGATCGTGTCGTAAGAGCAAACCGTTGTGGGGGCTAGCAGACCTCGCTTGCGTCTTTGACCGAACAAAGGCCGTGCGTGATCATCGATGTTCGAATAATGGGCTTCATGTGGAGGTTCCCGCGATTGTTGTGCCGATGGCAGATGAGCTTTGGAGCCTTCTCGAGCATCGCTGGCAATACCGTGGAATGCGTGTGCTGTTTTGAACAATACAGTGTGTCCAGAAAAACCGAGGAGACCATGTCTCGAATAGCATGGAGGAGCCGTCTCGAGTATCGCTGCTGGTGCGGTGAGCTGTAAGGTGCTTTCGTGAGCCGTCTGGACCATCGAGAACGAGTTCAGGGCGCCTGTGTAGATATGCTGGTGCAGGAGCTGTCTCAAAAATCGCAGATGAGAAGCTGTAGTTCGGTATGCTGAGTCGAGCAGATTGGCTCATCGAGAGCATCTTGAGGAGGCTTCGTATGTGGATGCTGCTCTCCGTAGGCGTGTGAGAGGCTGACACGCCGCCTTGATGGATAGATGGCAAAGCCATAGAGTTGCCTCTTCTTCAACCGGGCGGAAAAAGCGGACATGGCTTCTCGATAGCACGGGAACATATTCATATGTAGGAGAGAGGACTGCTTCTTGGTCAGCGACAGTAGGAGCTAGCCAGTTCTCCTTCCTCTTGTCAAGGGTAGACACGTTAGCTTAAAGTCAGCACGTCATGTTTCTGCGTCGGAGAAGGGGCAGCATGGCCCAGAAGACGGGATGAACAGCGGAAGGAATTGATAGAAGAAGCATGGTCGGTACCGCGCGCGCTCTCCGGCGCACAAATTGATTTCGCCCAACTGCACAACAAGACATCATCCCGCCAACGCCTCGCTCTCATGGAGAATCCGCCTTTTAAACCCTTTTCATCACGTGCAAAACCCCTTCCACTTCACTTAAACTCTCGGTATCCGTAGTGCTCAAACACCTTCCTGAACTTCACTTTGGTCTCCTCGCTCACGTCGTCCCTGCCCAGCTTCTCCCTGAACTCCTGGATCTGAATGTCTGACAGCGACAGCCCTATCAAGCACAGCGCTGCTCTCGTCTCGACAGTCGGGAAGCCGCAGGCGTCGACGTAGTGGAGGTAGCCGGAGATCTGCTTCGCTCTCTCGTCTGGGTCGGTGTAGAGCTGGCTCTTGGTCGGGAACATGGGGAAGGCGGGGTGCTGCATGTAGTCTGGGTGGCCGTTGGCCGCGATGTAGGCGCTGACGGCCTGGTTGTGGGCGCGCTTGGCTTCATGAGCTTGCTGGAGCCGCTGCTCTTCCTCTGTGAGGGCGGCGGTGGTGTTGTTGTTGTTCTCCGCGAGGCCGAGAGAGGCTTGTGCGGCCTGCTGAGGGCATACGTGAGCATTTTTGTCTTGGAGAAGGGACGAGAGTGAAGTGTGAGTGAAGGGAGGTAGCTTACTTGCGCTCCGCCCGTTCTCCCAGCCGCGACTGGTGGTGCCGCCACCGCAGTCGGTGCTCGCGGCGCGTCCGCGGCCACGGCGGCGAGAATGTCCAGCTTGGACATCTCCCTGAACATCTTTGTAAGCTTGTGTCTCGAGCAAAGGCGGGCTCACTGAAGGGAAGAGCAGCCAGTATGGTTCCACCAGCATTGTGCTCAAGGGGGAGAATGATCCAAATCACTTACACCTGCTCACCGGCACGCTGGTCGTCGCCAGCACGCTCCGCCATGATTGATTATATTTTTGTTTTTTAAAATGACTAAAAAACGATTAGCTGCAAGGAGAGAACACGTCCGACAGGCAGTAGCGATGACAGTGATTGTCGAAAAAGATTGTCGAGGGAGAAAAATTTGATTAATGTTATGGTGCGCCCGTTGCCGTGACGTTGTGTAACCCCAAACATCCATGATCTCATTTCCGAAAGTGGAAGGAGCATGATCAGGGTGACATGTGAAAGCCGCCATCTCGACGCCAGTGACTTACCAGGTGCGCTGTTGACAGGAAGTTGAGCAGCGCATCTTCTTCTCGGAGAGCATACGTGCAGTGACCATCTCGCTGCCATCTCAGGGATATGGGTCTCTGGGTATGCCGTCGACAGCCTGGTGAGCAGGCGTCACCGGCGCCGAGAGGGGACATGTGAACTCTTTGCAGCCACCCTCTCGATGCAACAGACCACATGCCGTGCTGTCATTGATCAGACGAGCAGCGATAGTCTCATTCTTGCCAGGAGAAGATGCGCTCCAGTTGGGATGAACGTGGAACAAGAGACAGTAAATGGTACGGATATGGCATACACAGGTCTCACTAACCTTTGCAGGCGGACAGCCGGAACCGTGATTGCTCCTCACTACGGTATATGCACGCAAAGGACGTTACGACTTCGACACGAGATGTAACCGCTGCTGATTCCCAACCTCTCCTCGCCGCCATGACGGCAGCATCAAGGCCAGGCGCCCAGCCATGGGTGAAAGACGTTGCTCTATGCTCAGCGCGAAAACAGACTCCTCACAGAGATGGAGAAGTAGCCTGTCGATCAGTAATGTGTATAAGCTGGCATGAAATGTAGATGAAGAAAAGAAGGAGAAAGGATTCGAGATGAAGTTGGGATTTTGATAGAGAAATGCACGGGCCTTCTTGCTTGGCACATATGAGAGGAAGCTACGTTTACTGAAGTGGTTGTCCAGAACAATTCGTCGTTACTACTACCACAATCCCCTTCCGACTACCGCATTACTCATTCCGACGGGCATAGCACACCGGATACGGTGGACAAAAGGGACGCCCAACCCGCGAATGCCACAAAAATAACGGCCCTCAACCCGCACCGCACATCCACCTGTCATCTTCTCGCCCGCCAACATGGACTACGACGCGCTCAAGGAGCAATGGTCCGAAATCGAAGACCGCGATGGCATCAGACTATCGTGGAACACCTTCCCTTCCACTCGCATGGAAGCCAGCCGGCTGATCGTGCCCATTGGAGCCAACTACACCCCGCTGAAGGAGAAGCAAGACGGCACACCATTGCTGCAGTATGAGCCGGTAACTTGCAAGAACCCATGTCGGGCGGTTCTCAACCCATACTGCCAGGTGGACATGCGTGCGCGGATATGGATCTGCCCTTTCTGTCTACAGCGCAACAACCTCCCTCCACACTACAAGGACATCTCAGAGCAGCAGATACCGCCAGAGCTGCACCGTGACAGCACGACGATCGAATACAGACTTGCGAGACCTGCGCCTACACCGCCAATCTTCCTGTTCGTGGTGGACACTTGTCAGGAGGAGGATTCGCTCAAGGCGCTCAAGGACAGCATTATCATGGCCCTGGGCCTCCTACCGCCGCATGCGTTGGTTGGGCTGATCACATACGGGACAATGGCGCAGGTACATGAGCTGGGCTACACCGAATGTGCGAAGTCGTACGTCTTCCGCGGCAACAAGGAGTACGCGGCAAAGCAGGTCCAGGAGATGTTGGGATTGGCAATGGCGCCAGGTGGTCGCCCAGGCATGCAACAGATGGCACCTCAGCCCGGAAGGCCTGCTCAGCCGCCACCAATGGGAGCATCAGCGCGATTCCTGCTCCCAGTGCAGCAATGCGAATTCCAGCTCACGAATGTGCTTGAAAGCCTGCAGAAGGACCCATGGCCAGTCGCGAACGACAAGCGTGCTGTGCGATGCACTGGTGTAGCTCTCTCGGTCGCTACGGGTTTACTTGAGACCAGCTTCCAGAATGCTGGCGCGCGTATCATGCTGTTCACTGGCGGTCCGGCGACGGAAGGACCAGGCATGGTTGTCAGCCCAGAGCTCAAAGAGCAGATTCGCTCACATCACGATATCGACCGGGACAATATCAAGTACTACAAGAAGGCCTTGAAGTTCTACGACCAGCTCGCGAAGCGGACAGCGCACAATGGCCACATCATCGACATTTTTGCTGGTTGTTTAGATCAGGTCGGTCTGCTTGAGATGAAGGGTCTGCCCAATAGCACTGGTGGCCACATGATTCTCACGGACTCATTCACTGCATCGATGTACAAGCAATCATTCGCCAAGATCTTCGATACCGACGCTGATGGCAACCTTGCAATGGGCTTCAACGCGAGTTTGGAGGTGCTGACAACGAAGGAGCTGAAAGTCACTGGGCTCATCGGACATGCTGTCTCGCTCAACAAGAAGTCAGCTTCGGTTGGCGAGACTGAGTGCGGTATCGGCAACACTTGCAGCTGGAAGATGTGCGGGATTGACCCTGCTGCATCGTACGGCGTCTACTTCGAGATCGCTGGCCAGGGCGGCCCGCAAGCAGCAGCCATGTCGCAGGGCCCACAGAAAGGCTTGATCCAGTTCCTGACATACTACCAGCACAGCGGCGGCCAATTCCACCTGCGAGTCACTACTGTCGCGCGAGACATGTCTGGTCCTTCTGGCGACCCCGCCATTGCTCGATCGTTCGACCAGGAAGCCGCGGCAGTGCTCATGTCCCGAATTGCAGTATTTAAGGCCGAAGTCGATGATGGCCCAGACGTCCTCCGCTGGGTGGACAGGATGTTGATCCGGTTGTGCCAGCGCTTTGCGGAGTACAGGAAAGACGACCCGACATCGTTCCGACTGGAAAGGAACTTCACCCTATACCCACAATTCATGTTCCATCTTCGACGGTCACAGTTCTTGCAGGTCTTCAACAATTCGCCTGACGAAACTGCTTTCTACCGGCATGTGCTCAATCATGAAGATGTCTCGAACAGCTTGGTCATGATCCAGCCAACGCTCGACAGCTACACTTTCGACCAAGACGGAGCTGTGCCTGTCCTTCTCGACTCCACCTCCATCCAGCCTCAGACCATCCTCCTTCTCGACACCTTCTTCCACATCCTCATCTTCCACGGCGAGACCATGGCGGAGTGGCGAAAAGCTGGCTACCAGGACATGGAAGGCTACGAGAACTTCAAGGAGCTGCTTGAGTCGCCCAAAGAAGATGCTCGCGTACGTCTCTTCACCCCTCCACCTACCGAACACATTACTGACCTCCGCAGGAACTCATCCAAGACCGCTTCCCCCTCCCCCGCTTCATCGTCTGCGACGCCGGCGGCTCGCAAGCCCGTTTCCTGCTCGCCAAGCTCAACCCATCGACCACGCATACGACCGGCAGCTATGGTGGTGTAGCACAGACGGCGCAGACGATTTTCACGGACGATGTGAGTTTGCAGACTTTTATGGATCATTTGATGAAGCTTGCTGTTAGCGGGACGAGCTGAGCGGGTTGATGTACTGGTGAGCGACGGCGCCTGAGGAAGGGAAAATGGCGGGTGTGTGCTGGGCTTTGTGGTTGCTGTACGTCTGTAGCGTCTGATAGAGGGTGGAAATGCATGTGATGATATCGACCTTTTCAACGGACTTTCACGTGATGGCACGTCTCCGTTTCTGTGTAACCTTGTATCTGGCTTCCACCGTCCAGCTAGACACCCTTCGATCTTTGGACTGTCGAGACGGTGGAGACTATGTGCATGCAAGGGATACGCACCGTAACTTCCTATTTCAGCCCTGCCCGCAGCCGCTCATCAAGAATCATAGATGAGCTCATTGGCTGGTGGCGTGGGGACTGGATTTAATACTCGGACGTTAACTCACATTGACACCACCACCTCTCTTCGAAGAAACGATACGCTACCTTCTTGTACGGCGAGGATTGAAGACGCAGTTCGGGCTGCATTGATTGCCTAGACATACCGACTGACCTTACCCGTACCATCCCCCACCATGTCCTTCTCCAACCTACTGAACGAGGTCACGTACCGCGACCAACGACCGTCGCCCGCGAACACCAACACCACCACTCACACCGACACCCGATCCCAGATCTCTCGAGCCCGATCATATGCCTCCACAGCCGCGACCAGCGTCAGCATAAGCGGCGACATCTCCTCTCAGCTGCACGGCGGCTACTCACACCCATTGGCAAGAGCATGGCAAGCAGAGCGCCAACTCACCAAATCCATGCTCATATACCCCCTCTTCATCACCGACAACCCGGATGAAGAAGAAGCCATTCCCTCGCTCCCCGGCCAGAAACGCTGGGGCGTCAACAAACTCATCCCCCTCCTCCAACCCCTCATCGCCAAAGGCCTCAAGAGCGTGATCCTCTTCGGCGTCCCTCTTGACCCCAACGCCAAAGACGCCCTCGGAACCGCTGCAGACGATCCCAAAGGCCCCGTGATAGCCGCGATCCGTATACTGCGCAAAGCCTTCCCTCGCCTCTTCATCAGCGCCGATGTCTGTCTCTGCGAGTACACTTCCCACGGCCACTGCGGCATCCTCCACGACGACGGCACGCTCAACAACCAACTCTCCGTCGACCGCATCTCGGACGTCGCCATGGCTTACGCCGAAGCGGGCGCTCATTGCGTAGCCCCCTCCGACATGAACGACGGCCGCATCCGCGCCATCAAGCTCAAGCTCATCGAAGGCGGGCTCGCACATCGCGTGGTGCTAATGTCCTACGCCGCGAAATTCTCCGGCTGCCTCTACGGTCCCTTCCGCGACGCAGCGGGCTCACAACCCTCGTTCGGCGACAGGAGGTGCTACCAACTACCCCCCGGCGGCCGCGGCCTCGCCCGACGCGCGATACACCGAGACATCGGCGAAGGCGCGGATATCATCATGGTCAAGCCCGCGACGCAATTTCTCGACATCATCAGCGATGCGAAGGAGATTGGGAAGGACCTGCCGATCGCGGCGTATCATGTTAGTGGAGAGTATGCGATGATTCACGCGGCGGCGAAGGCGGGGGTGTTTGATCTGAAGACGATGGCCTTTGAGGCGACGGAGGGCATTTTGAGGGCGGGAGCGAGTATTGTGGTTAGTTATTTCACGCCGGAGTTTTTGGACTGGTTGGAGACGTAGGATCAATGAGAGAGGTCCAGAACGAAGAACGTACACGCGTTCAAAGCATGCGACCAATACCCATTGTTTGAGATTCAAAGCACTTCGCGGCTGCTTGAACATGAGAGATGCATGATGAAATGACAGCGTGACTTGCGCTATACACAGTTATGGGTATTCGAACTCTGCTCAAGCATGAGACATGCAGTCGTCAACAACACTGATCCAAACAAATGCAGCTCCAACAATACCGTCCCATTCCCCAAGCGCCTCAGCAGCGCCAATGCTTCCCCAATCCAACCATCCAGACATCAATACATCCCAGGCACCCATGATACTCATCACGCAGTCTCAGCAACCCCACCCAACCCCACCGCCTGCTTACCCGCCGCAGCAGCTGCCTTCCTCGCCCTCTGCTTCTCAGCAAACTCCCTACTAGCCTGTCGACTCCTCTCCGCCGCATCGGCCTTTGCCTTCTTCACAGCAGCCTCGCGCTCGGCTTTCTCCTTGTCCGCGTTCGCTTTCGCCACGGCCGCGCGGTTGAAGACTTCTTTGCCTTTGGTCGTGCCTTTGCCCGTGGCGCTGCCGCTGCTCGTGACGCGCTGGGTTGTGGTGGTGGTAGCCGCGGGACCGGTGGAAGAGCGCGGCTTGCTGAGGTTGGCCAGGGAGGTTGAGGGGCGGGGACGAGTGGTCATGGAGGCGGTCGTGGGCTTCGTTTCTCTTGAGACGACGCGGGAGGTTGTAGCGGTTGGCTTGGTGGTGGCGACACTATTCGCGCGCTTGTGCGCCGCTGATGCTGCTGTGGTGAGCATCTTGAAGTCCTTGCCGTTCATCACACTCTCACGAGCTTTGCTGGCATTGGTTTGGCGGACTGAGGGTGCCTTGCTCAGCCCAGCAGGCACCGGTCTGGCTTTGAACGCTGGCTTCTTCTCCTCTTCCTGTGCTTCCTTCTGCTGCCGTGCTTCGCGAGCTGCTTTGAGCTTCGCCGCGACTGCTTCTCCAGGGAGCTGAAAGGTGCTCTGCGTGGGAGCCTTCCTGGACTTTGGCGGTGGTGGAGGTGTTGGAAAAGACATGGAGATGGGGCGTGTCTTGCTGTGTGGGATCACGACTTCCTTCTTCTCGCACTCCGGTGCCTTGTCGTCCTTCGTACTACTGGTCGATGTGACACGCTTGCCAGTTGGCACCGGTCTGACGGAAGAGCTCTCACGCAAGCTGCTGGATCTGCCAAGCGCCATTGATGGTTGTGGTCGTCCGAGTGTTGGCCCTTTCGAAGCAGTATCTTTGTTGTGAGCCATTGAGATGCGCGCAGCAGCAGCCTTGGTCGTGCGGACAACTGGCGCCGCCTTCTTCGGTGGTGTTGTGCTCTTCTTCGGCTTCTCGGGCGACGTTTGCACTTCTGGGATGTCCTTGTTGACAGTCTCTACTGCATCGTCAAGCTGATCCAGAGCAATGACTGGGTCATGGGTGACCGGCGTTAGCTGTGATGATCTTGACGGCGTACCAGTCGTTGACACCACCGCGTTCTCTAGCTCATCGTAGTTGGGTGTTTGGGGAGTAGCCATTGGCTCTTCTGGCTCGACGTTCTCCTTGTTGCTAGTTGATCGCTTTCCCGATGTTTCGTTGCGAAGGTGTTTGATGAAGTTGGGTACAGCGCTTGGTAGAGGTGATGTTGGTGCGTCGAAGGCGGAAGGCGACTCTACTTCAAGCATTGGATCGATCGACTGGTTTGTCTCAGCAGCGGTGAGGCTGTCTTGTGGTGTCTCCTCTTTCATAGTTTCAGACTCATCAGGTGTCTGGCCAATGCCGTCGATTAGAGATTTTGGTTCGGTTTCTTCTTCCGCCCGTCTCTTGAGTTGGCTTCTGGTGAGTTTGACAGCTGGGCTGGGTGGACTGGTTGGACGTGATGTATCCTGAATCGCAACTATGCAGGGGTGCGTTAGCGCGAAGTGACCTTCCAGGATGAAGCAACAATGTGAGACATACGCTCAGGAACCTCTGCCATCAAGTCTTCCGCTGCCTTTTCGCTGGCTGGCGACGGTGCAGACTCGTGTTCGTCGGGTAGAACGTCTTGGCTAACGTGCTCAATCGACACATCCTGCTCAGTCGCAGTGCTCACCGCAAGATCATTATTCTTGCCCTTCGCACCGCCCTTCTTACATTTCTTCCCGCGAATAGATTTCCTTAGCTCTTGTCCTTCATCTTCCTGCTGGCTCTTGCTTTCGGCACTGTTAGGTGCGATCTCGCCAAGGGGCTGTCGTTCAGTAGGCTCTGGAGTTGCGCCCTTAACGCTCGTCTTTGCGAAAACAGCAGCCTCTTCGCCAGGGATCTCAAGAAGGGCATCTTCGTCGACGTGCAGTTGCTCAGCAATCTCAGCGGCCTGCTTGCGCGTCATGCGACCCATGGTGGACCACGCTTTAGGAGTTTGTGTATCGATGTCGTCTGAATGTATGCCTGGATTGGTAGGCCTTTCGATCGTGAGGTGCGTTGCTTGCTGAATTTGGGTGACTGTATGCTATGCTCGAGGTCGGTGGAGTTGTTGGGTTTGTCTGGTTGTTGTTGTCAGGGCGTGGATGTGAAACAGACAGCAAGGCCAGATGCGCTGATCTCCTCGATTCGGATGTTGACGTTCGGCTGTTTCCACAGTAGCAAAACACGCTAAGCCGTCTGGAGAAGATGCGCAACGACATCGCTCCGCTTCATATGATCCCACAAGCTGGAAAAAAATGTCAGTCGATGTATCAAAATGGTAGGTCCCGGTCTCTTATATTACCTCCACAACTTCTTGGTTCGCCGGACAGGCCCTCTTGCCTTAGCAATCTGCTCGTCGATGTTCCGGAGCCTGGCCTCACGCTCATCGTTCTTCGCCGTCTCCTGTACCCTTGCCCTGAGTTCCTCCCCCGCCGCTTGCTCTCTCATTGTTCGTCTCTCTTTCTCCCTTGCTAATGCCTCTCGGGCTGCCATGACTCCAGCCCTGATCGATGCCAAACTGCCATAGTCCACCTCTGCCATGATGCCAGCATTCACCTCCGCCGTACTGCCAGCCTCCACCTCTTCAATTTCGCCATCCTCCAGCTCTCCAATTTCGCCATCTTCTAGCTCTTCCATTTCGCCATGCTCCACGTCTTCCATGCCGCCAGCGTCCACCCCTTCCACGCTGCCAGCCTCAACCCCTTCCATGCCGCCAGCGTCCACCTCTGCCATGCCGCCTGCCTCCACCGCTGCCATGCCGCGGGCCCTCTCACCAATTCCATTCACAAGACGTTCCGACCCGACAATGGGACCTTTGCAAGCAAAGCAGGGGTTACGTACCATGTCGTTTGCTACCAGTCTTGATGCGAGACCTGCCAGCTTGTCTGCAACCTCGTTGCCAATGCAGCCGTTGTGCGCTTTCTGAAGACACAGAAACAGGAGTAGTCAGCAAATGTCTTGCACATGTGTGCAATGAAATTCAGATCCATCACTTACCACCCACAGAAACCTCGCCTCAACGCCACTTCCGCCGAATCCCCTCAGCTCCTCGAAGATATCGTTCATGGCCCTTGAGCCGGTCCAGGCGTTTTCCATAGCCATCAATACCCACATCGAGTCCGTGTAAATTGTGAGTCGCTGGTACTGTATCGGCATCAGCTTACGGGCAAGCTTTAATGCCTCCAGCATCGCCCAGGCCTCTGCCTCGTCTGAGCCGCTGATCCAGCCCAGAGCGAAAGCCTTTCCGGCCCACACGCCGTCGTCGGTCTGGTATGCAATGCCGGCGCCACCGATCTGCTCGGTGTGGAAGAATGATCCATCGGCGTATATAGTTAATACTTTTTTTTGGAGTGCTGCTTCTCCGACGTCAGTGCGGTCGCTCGTTGGTATATCGCTCGCTGCAGTGGCGGCAGAAGTGTCATTACCTTCGAGAGGGGAGGCAGAAGCCACCGCAGCCGTCAGAGCTTCCGACAGGGTGGTGGTGGCCGTCGTGACTGATGGTGTGGATGTGACTGTTAAGTAGAAACTGAAGAAAAGTCGAAAACGGGGTGTGTGCTCTCCATGTGTTCGCACGACCTCACTTCACCTCCCTGTCCGTCTGTGACCTCACCACAGTATGCGTTCAGGGATGAAGACAGAGTTACAGAAACGACTTAGGCATTATACTCAACTTGACTGTAGTATACAAATAGAACGAGATACTCATGTTGTTGGACGTGACTGTCGGCCATCTTTGCAGAGGGAAGCAATGGTATTTATCCTCACGATCATGTTCTGATTCAAAGGATTGATGCTGAAAGGGAAGCTTGCTACCAACCTTCAAGCAGCCTACCATAACTTTCGATCACGTTTCTGGTACCTTCCCAAGAAGGCAGCAACGACAACGTGAAGGCGGCCCACCAGTCGAGTCTGGTAGTCTTCTCCTAGAGATGTTGACCCCCGAAAAGGCTATAGCCCTCTCTTCAGCTGGCTGTTGTCGTGTGCAAGAACACCACCAATCTGCCCCATTTCCCTGCGGCAGCTTGACTGGCCAGGGGAGTCCAAGGAGGTTGGGATTACCAGCGGCGTAAGTCTGATCTTTCCGACGTCGTAGAGACTAAGGAGAGGCTCTTTCCGGCTGCCCTCGTAGTGTCCCGCATTGCTGCGTCCATTCTTTTCTGGCGTAGGCTGGGTTTCCCATTGGTGCCACAGTGACTTGAGCTCATCGGAGAAAACGGTGACCCTCCTCACTCGACACAGGAGGCAGTGGCGGAGACGTACCTCCCGACATCAAGTTCCATACAAGGTCCGCTCAAGCCGTCGCTCGGTCGAAATGCCATCCCTCACTGCCTGACTTCAACAAGCTCTCCACGGCGGCCGTCCGTCGTCGCCGATGCGTTTCCACAACGCTGAGACTGTGGACCGTGCGGGATGCTGCGATACACGAACGAATGTCACCTCCCGTAGCCGAGGGCAGCACGAGCGTGGAGCGACCTTCCAGTCGGTACCGACGGATACCGACAGAGTGTTCCTGTGCTCTCACAATCGGCAATATTGCCCGGCTGGGACCGACAAAGCTCGTCCTGCCCTCATCCTGCTCGGTGGCTGATCCAGACAAGGGCTAGACACCCTCAGATAAATGTGATCGGCCTCGTCTCCGCCACATCAATTGCGACTGCGGCTAGATGATTGTGGAGAAGTGGTGTATTTCATTCTTCTGAACGTTTGACGCTAGGGTATTGCGTGCACGCTCTCATGAAGCCATTGCTCGATGGCGCACACAGCGCGGATCAAGCAGCTGTGCAACGAGAGAAAGGAGCGCCGTGCATGGAAGCTCTGACGTACATTCCTGCTGCTGTACTCCATAATCCTCGGGCAACAACAGGCAGAGCTTGCCTCCCAGCGATAAGGGACTATCAAGGGACCTGAAGGTATCTCCGTACCTGGTCGGGTGCCCCTCTCCATTCGTGCCATGTGTTCCGAGGAAGAGGAGTCCGTCGAGTGCCAGAGCAGACCACGGTCTAGCTTGGCGTGGGGGTGGTTGCATGTATACTGTACTTTCACGCACGTTCCAATCAGTGTAAGGGTGGACTGTGCCATCCTGGCTTTTGCATGAACCAGCCAGCTTCATCAGGTGGTTGCTCTGGCTTGCTCGGAAGGTGGCAGGTAAAGATGGACCTTTGACTACGACACCCCGGTTTGTTGGAATAATAACACATCCGGCTGCTTGTGGCGAAGCAGATCAACAGCCGGGCTATGCGCTTCCAACGGCAATAATGGTCATCGAATGGTTGAACTCCAGTTTGGGTTGGGTCAGTGCGTGGTGGTCGGAGCCGAACGATGGAGTGAATGACCCCACAGCTTGCGGAATTTTAACTCGAGATGCTCAAACCTTAGCGCCTTGAGAGGCTCATTCACGATGCTGTGTGACCCGGACCTGCTTCTCAGAAGAATGAAGGCAAACAGTATTCCGACACTGGAAGGGTTGGCGAGCCCAGACCAGCCTCGTCGAGCGTGTCCGCTGCGGTTGAGCGAGAGACGGCAGGGCCAACGCGGAAGCAACCAGCGACATCGTCCCGTATCTATCCGGACCGCAGCGAAGTCCGATTGTGTAGAGTCACCAGATACGAGTGGATCATGCTAGTCGTGACCCCGAGCAGTTTGAAGAAGCAAAGCAGCAAGAAGACGCGCCGCGGCCGACCGAGACAGGACCTCAGCAAGCCTCTAGTTCGATTCTACCTGAAGTTTGGTAGTCGTCCTGCTGGCTGCTGGCTGGACTCGCGGCGGCTACTGAAAAAATCCGACCCTCGCTTGCCGTTCTCGCCGTTCCCGTTGCAGGATGGTTGGCATGCCCAACACGCTAATGTAACCGCTCTCCGTCTGGGGATTGCGAATTACCTCGCGCTGCTACTGCACGAGGACGGGGATCGGCCCAGCAGAAAGCAGAGGCAATCTTGAGACTCTCCCACTGCCAATGGTTCCACACGCGCACTCGCCCTCTGGCAGCTGTTGGAGACAAGAGCTCATCCCGCCAGCTCACCCACGCTTCTCATGCAACTACTATTGCGATTACGATTAGACCCATGCACCACTACGCCAACGTCCAGTCAGTGCACATGCCTGAGCCCCCCACACACACACACACCTACCTCATGCTCATTTGTCGCAAGGCCAGGCGTACCTGAAAGCAGGTCATTGCCAACAACCTTTCAGACCCTTCTCCGCTTCTGTACTTCTTATACACGCTGCTCATCCTCTTCGTTGAGAGTCATCCGCCCATACTTTTCGAGTCACCACCATCTACTTCCAGACCATCGTTGTGAGACATTGATCACCCGTCCGATCGTCTTATCATCTTACCACCATCATCATTCTTCGACTAGAGCACACCATCTTCCGTGCGTGGGTGATTCATCAGCCTCGCACTTGGAAATAATAATTACCGCATCCCACGAACATCAACACACCAAACACCATCACTACTCTCACGACTCTCGGCTTCTTACATTCTACCACCATGGACTGCTTCCAGGACTTCTGCCTCAACTGCGATCGCCAGGCATCTTCCGGCCTCTACTGCTCACAGTCATGTCGATTGGCCGACCTCGAGAAAGCCAGCGCTCCTTCCAGCCCTGTACTATCAAACCACTCCTCATCAACAACACGACAGCAACAACAATATCAACCTTCGTGGGCATCATCATCGGGCTTCGGCAGCGGATCAGGCTACATCATCACCTCGACTCCCAAGACCGAAGAATGGACACGAACCTACACCCAGCCCAGCGCCAGTGAAGAGCGGAGTCCGCAGTCGTCGTACTTCATGCGGACGCCGGCGAAGGAGGCTCGCCCAGCTTCGCAAGGTACTCAGCGTTCGCTGACACCCTCGTCGTCAAGGAGCTCGTTGGCCTCGAACACGAGTGGGTCGAACCCAAACGCCATCTCAGAGCAAGCACGTCAGGAGCTCCAAGAGTACTTCAGCGCGTTCGATCAGGCCAAGGCGTCGAAGCGGAGACAGAGTACGTGGTAGCTTGGGTCTGAGCAGCGTCTTCTGCGATATGTCTCGGGACAGCTGCCCCGACACATCCGGACCACTGTTTCAGCAAGCTCTTGTGAATGTTATTCATACCTGCAACATCTACGACACAGAACGGGAGTATCTTTCAACGAAAAAGAGTGTATGACTAAAAAGCATCTGTTTGTCTGAGCATGGGACTACGCAGCAAAATAAGTTTCATTGCGTTTTGGAAATGTGGATGTTCAAGGAAGGAGGGGAAGGGCCATGTCTCGGGGCCCCAGGGATGCATGTATCACGTGTTGGAAACCGGTGCTATCACCGTCGTTAAGGGTGTGGAGTCTTACTTGGGATGATATTATGGAGGATACCCCTGCTTTTGGTTGCGTTTCGGAATGGGCTGAAAGGGTGTTTCAGTGTGGATGGGATGTGCATGTAGGGGTTTTTGGATCATGAGGTGGGGAAGGAGAGCTTTCGGTGGATGGCAGTACGGCTTGCTACGATGGCTCGGAGACTTTGAGCAGGCCGACAGTGTTTGCATAGCATTACCTCCTACCATATGGATCACTCTATGTGAAACCTACCTGACATCCACTCTCCTCTCCACCAGCCTATTGAATCGACTCTTTCCCGAGCTCTGTTCCACTAACCGAACGAGCATCGATGTTACCTCCGCCCAACGACACCGGCTCCCTGCCTTCGAACGACTACCGACGGCTACTTACCTACAGGTACTGAAGATATCACAGCAGCTCGACCAGCCTGCCACTTCCAGCCTCCCCTACCCCTCTCAACTGTGCAAAACAAACCCCACCGGAGCTGTTGGAAGTCGCACATGATGCCAAACCGGACGTTTATCCGCTTGGAATGCAGTCAGTCGAATGAAGCCGCACGCTGTGGAATTGCGTACTACCTTCTATGCAGAGGGAGTGGGATGTTGACGCGATCAGCGTGATCTTCAAAAACCCTGTTCCGTGATCGCTGCGGTCCACTCCTCCACGAGATAAGGTGAAACCTTTTGCTCCACTGCGGTTCGATCTGCGCTCCGCGCCGCTCCTTCGGAGTCCTCACCCTTGCTGGATTGAGATATCATGGAAGTTCGTCGAGCTCGTATCTTGTGGAGTTGGTGTGCGGCATTTGTGTAGCTTCGTGTCGCTGCAAGCCGCATACCACGCCGTATCTTGTGGGCGTTGGACCGTGGCAGGAGATAGGCCAAAACGGACCGCAGTCCGAGATGTCAGTACTGCGGTACATGTACTTCTTATCTTCTTTCACGACAGGATCCGTTGAGCTTGCCAACGCCTACCTTAGCAGTATGGCTCGCCTCCAGTCCCAAGCACGTTCAAAAGAAGTTCGGTCTCGTTGGCAAATACACAAACAGCCCAGTATGGCTTCCCATACCATACAGGTCCCTGCCGGATCAGATCAATACAGTTAAGTGCAGACACACGAACAGGATGCTTCGTCTTGTCCTTGTCCCGATGCGTCACAGCGAACGGATCCGAGGCAGTCAAGCATTGCTTCACGTAGTCTCTTGTCGCCGCTGTCGCTCTCACGAAGACGCTATAGCTTTGTAGTCAGAGTAGGTAGGAAGAAAGAATTGAGGGAGCTTGAGGCCAGAGTAGCACAAGCACCGGAGTAGTCAAACCCAACATCTCCAGCAGGCCATCATGGCGGCTTTGTGTCGGTACGAGAACACCATAATTCTTATACGGACAAATGAGATGGGAAGGTCTTTCCGTCCCGTCGAGGTGAATGTCAGGTGCATGTGACTTGGAATGGACAGAGGGAACTGAAAGCTTTGACCGCCACACCGGCCTCGCCAACCTCACCTCGTTCCATGCCCTGCCTTTGCCTTGCCGATACCTCTACAATTGCATCGAGTTCTCGTCACAGAGAGCAAGGCTTGACGACAAGGTAATAAGACAGTATCTTCCACGGATTTGGCTATCGTGTAAACATCGGCGGCCGCAGTCATCGTGACGTCGAAGCTCCGCAAGAGCAGACTCTGCGATTCCTTGACGCGTTGTTGAGCAGTCAACGCGAGACGAGTAAAACTGGACTATAAGGCTAAGTTCTCTGACTGTCACACTTTTCCTTGTTGTACTCTCCAAGACCGTTTCATACTCAGATCCCTCAATTGCCTCATCACCACGTGAAGAAGACAAGATGACAGACAAATCTCAATTCGAGCAGGGTAGGTACACGAACCTGTACTGCTGAGTGATAGAGGTGCGACTAACACACTGAGAAAGGCCACCAAGTCCCCACCGGCGACCAGCAACCGCCAGGCCTCCAGCACAAGCTCCAGACGCAGCCCGCAGCCGCCCAGGTACCCACCGAAGATGGCGGCTACCAGATGTACAAAGCGGCTGGCAAGCTGAAGGGCAAGAAGGCTCTTATCACCGGGGGAGACAGCGGAATCGGACAAGCGACAGCCATTCTCTTCGCCATGGAGGGCGCAGACTCCTTCATCACCTACCTACCTGAGGAGGAGAAGGACGCACAACAGACGAAGTCCTACGTCGAGAGTCATGGCCAGAAGTGCCACCTCTATCCTGCGAACCTGAAGGGCAAGGACGTCTGCAAGAAGATGGTGGACGAGGCGCTGAAGCAGATGGGCGCGATCAACATTCTCTTCAACAATCACGCCTACCAAATGCAGGTCAACAGCATCGAGGACTTGTCGGAGGAGCAGTGGGAACACACCTTTGACACGAATATCCACCGTAAGTTGGCAGACTTGGTCGAGACGAAGCGAGCAATGAGCTGATTGTGATAACGCAGCATTCTTCTACATCTCAAAGTACACGATCCCGCACATGAAGCAAGGCGACACAATCATCAACAACGGCTCCGTCAACGCCTACGTCGGGCGCCCAGATCTGCTCGACTACACCAGTACCAAGGGCGCCATCATCGCGTTCACCCGTGGCTTGTCGAATCAGTACGTGAGCAAAGGCATCCGCGTCAACGCCGTTGCGCCAGGGCCGGTCTGGACGCCGCTTGTGCAGGCCACGATGGACCAGCCCACACAGTCGCAGTTCTCCTCGCCGATGGGCAGGCCAGGACAGCCGAGCGAGATTGCAACGTGTGTGGTGTTTTTGGCGAGCACGGATTCCAGCCAGCTGAGTGGGCAGACGATCCACTGCAATGGCGGTGTCATTGTGAACGGCTGAAAGCGTGGAAGCGCCTCTCCGTGTTGTATGCTTGACGGCAACTCATATAGATGCATGAATTCATGACTTTGCACGCCAGGTGCCTGCCTTATCATCACACTTTTCTGTCCCATCTCTTCCTACGTCAACTTCTGCTTAATGAAGAAAGCCCTCAAATAGCTCAACTGCCACGCGCACGTCGCCCCCAGCACAAACAACTGTATCAACATCCACCTCACCACCCTCGAATTGACCAACTCACTCTGGTCCCTGAACTCCGCCTCCCTCTCCCGCTGGAAAACCTGCTCCCGTCTCAAATCCTGCAGTCGCGCATTCAGATCCTTCAGCTTCTGCACCACCTCGCCCACCTTCTCTTTATCCGAGCTCTCAATCTGCGACGTCTCCCCAATCGCCATATCCAGCTCCAACTTGACGCCCCCGGCTTGCGCACCGGAGAAGAGGAAGCCCCGTGAAGCGGGCACGTTGGTCGGGGTGAAGCAGATGCGGTGTTCGCCAGAGTCCGCGGCGGAGAAGGTGAATTTGCCGCTGGCGCTGCCGCGTTGGGAGACGACGCGGTGGTCGTTGTCGAAGACTTCGTCGACGGTTATGAAGAGGCCCTATGAATGTAATGAGTATGGGAGGAGCGTGCATTGGGGGTGTTTGGGTAGTGCGTGTACCATGTCACCGCCGCCTTCGACGTAGGAGCGCGCTTGTTCGTTCCATTGGGATGCTTTAAAGTGGCCTAGTTGTCTTGCGTCAGTGCCGTGGTCTTTTGAGCGCCTGGTGTGTCCTGTCCATACCAACTACCAGCGTGTCCTGCGGTAGCTCCTCGAAGAAGCATTTTTGCGTTGGACCGTCAATGTAGAAGTACAGCGCCTGTGCCTGGGTCAAGAGCAGCGCCAGGCTCAGGCAGGTTGGTAACGACCACATCTTGGGCTCGTGGATAGCGTAAGGACGGTTTATGGCTTTCTCGAAACCTTCGACGTTCGCTCTCTTGACACGCGAGCGAAACGGGAAGTTCTTGGCACTTTTGGACCCCTTTTTCACATGCGCAGAGAAAGTGACAGTCTTCCAGCTTTGCGACTCACATGTAAGTAGGAGCAAAAAGCGTTAAAGACTACCGACAGCACTTCGACTCCGTAGGTTCATTGACTATTGCGCTAGATCTTCTCACAGTGAACGAAGACATGTTATGTTAACGAGGGCAATGTAGCGTTTTCGGGTGCCATTGGATTTGGGAGAAGACATTGAATTCAAGCACGTGCCTCTTCTCTATGTACTGGAAACTATCTCAACGACCTATTATCACCACTGCCATGCCTCCTACGATTGCAGCAGCAACAATACATCTGTCCTCAGACTCAACGACCATTCGGCATTGTCCCGTTCTCAACATGAACCACATTCGTCAAGTCCAGCTCATGCTCAAACTCCTCCTGGATCTTGATCACCTGCTGTAGCTTCGGCCCGTCCAACGCCTCGCCATGGAACTGCGCCAAGCTCTTCGCAGTCCGAATGACATTCTTGATCTGGCGACCGTTAATGTCCGCCTGCGCAAGGTCATCGTACCCTTTATCGTCCAGCTTGACATCTCCGCCCGCCTTGTCCAGGAAGTTCTTCCAGATCTGTTTGCGGGATGAGACAGTGAGGTCGTTGTACTTCAGCGGTACGTGTATACGGCTCTTGAAGGCGTCGTCGAAAGTACTGACGCGGTTGGAGGTCAGGAAGAGGATGCCTTCGTAGTACTCGAGCACGCGAAGGAAGATGGAGACCAGGGAGTTGCGCTCGAGGTCATGGAGGCTGCGGCGTTCCAAGAAGATGTCTGCTTCGTCGATGAGTAAGACGGCGCGCCAGGTGGATGCCATGTCCAGGATGCGGCTGAGGCGCTCGTCGAGGGTGGAGCTTTCTACTCCAAGATCGCCTGAGCTGACGGAGTAGAGCGGACGCTTGGTGTACTCTGCGACTGTTTCGGCGGTGAGCGTCTTGCCGACACCAGGCGGACCATGCAGGACCATGATCAGGCCTTTGCCTTTGCCCTTGACGATGTCGTCAAAGCTGAGGCGTTGCTGGATATGCGTGGAGACCAGAGCCTTCACGAGACCCTTCTGCGCATCCGGCAAGACCAGCTGCTCGAAGCAGTTCGGGTTCCAGTCAACCGGGCTCAATTTGTCGACGAACATCTCGATCCAGCGCTTCTCGCTGAACGAGAAGCCGCGGACCATGCAGGACGCAAGCATACATTGCTCATCCGTAAGCGGGTCGATCTCAAGCTTCGCTTCAGGCAGCAGATCCAATGTCTGATGCTCATCGTCGGCATCGTACTCCTGGATGCGTCGTCGCTTCGACCTCTTCTCCTCATCAGACTTGAACGCGCTGACATTGAATGCAAGATTAGCCTGCAGTCGGTGGAAAGTCTTGGTGTCGACGACCACACGACCGTCGATGTTGTACCGATCTGCTCCGCAGCCGCCGCTGTATTCCAGCGCGATGCCTTTGTAGTTGCGAAAGTGCATCCCGGCGTGCTCTTCCCACCGGCGTCCGCGAGCGATGAGCTGTTTCTCGACATCAGCCTTCGCTGAGTGCCAGTCCATCGGGAAGGCGGAGAGGTCGCTGATCTTTTCGGCGCCGGAGAAGGCAGCGATCATGCGGCTGGCGCCTCGCGTGCCCATGTCTTCGCCGTCAAAGTCGACGTACTCCGTGGTGAGGACCAAGCCAGGCGGATCACAGCTGTAGCCGTACTGGAGCAGATTGAAGGCACGCGGCTGGCCGAAGATGGGAGCATAGACCGTTGTCGTGCCAGGACGGAAGATCGTCCAGAGATGCTGGTAACTAACCATGCCTTGCTCCAGCAAGTTTTCGGTCTCCTCTATCGTCTCGGCAAACTCCTCCGCTATGAAGTCCATGAGCAGTCCGAGATGATCAGCAGCTTCGGAGCCTTCCTCCAACTCCTCTCCAGCGTCCTCCAGCTCCTTGCGGTAATGGAACAACACCCGGTAAGGCTTGTCAATGGTGATGTCCTTCGTATTAAACGAGATGCCCGGGAAGTTCTGGATCGTATCCTTGAGCACATCCTTTAAATGCTGCGAGTTGATCTGCAAACTCGTCTTCGCCACGTACGGATGCTTGTGGTCGCCAGCCATATGTCGGACCAGACACAGCGCGAACTTGGACCACCAGTTGACTTGCTCTGGAATCTCCTCCTCCACGGTCTCCGCATAGTAAGTCTGGCCCTGCTCGGTGAACTTCTTGTCGATGTACTTCAGCTCCGCTCGCATGGAGCCTTCCTCGATCTCCTTGAGCTTCTCTGCTTCTTGCTCGTCGAGCTCTGGGTTGTCGATGACGCCGCCGTTCGGTCCTGGCCCGTTAGGCCGGTTCACACGGGGTGGCATGCCGCCGGTGGACTTACGGGCGGTTTGTTTGGTGCGGGCCATGTTGGTTGGAGTGGTGGATGTACCCTTGTGAGGAAATAATGATGATAAAGGAATTGTGTTTGAGAGGACAAACAGGAAGTACTTATGCATGTAGGTACTGTCCGCACGTGCCAAAGATTGGCAGGGAAGTCAGCAGCTAGTAAGGCAGACCTGCAGTGTGACTGGCCTTCGTACACACAGTCACGTTTTCCGACTCCACAATTTTCCCAATTAGGGAAGCAAGGCAACAATTACAAGGCAGCTGTCCGGTGAAGATGGATCTGAAAGAAAATAAATGTTAGAGCAGCAGTTCTTCTGGCCCCATGCCATCATTATCCGAGTCTTGCACTAGCCACCCGTTGCCACCTCGGCATCACGGTTCCCTTCAATCATCACTCAACCTTGGGTCTAGCTCCCAGCAATATCGCATACACAGGAGGCGCTACGCAACTCCCTCGTCCTGCGAATCATTTTTCTCAAAGCTGAACTCAGGTGCTCTGTCCTGCAAAAGGAAGCTCCTGGGTTGATCGAAAGTAGAGACAGGTGCGGCCGGTATTGGGAGCATTCGTCTCGAGTCATGCTTGTTCGGAATCTCTTCGATGTTGCACGCTGAGCTCAAGACATGCAATATTTCATGGCGGTTCAGAACGATTTGCGCGCATCGAAAGGCCGGTGATCGTGATGGCGCCGAAGCAGATGGAGCTGATGGCTGCCCAAAGGTAGCTGCTGTTGCCAATAATGCCTTCCACTGCTGAAGGATTCGTGCGCCAGGATCAAATCGTTATCTCCTGCTTCGATCGCGTCGTCTCTATCGAGACTGCAGATGCCGCCGATGCATGTTGATAGCTGTGTCGATATAGCCTACACTGGCGACGCGGTGATGTGTGCAGCCATGTCTCTGAGTGACCATTCCAGTCGCATGCAGCCCTGTCTCTGCTCATCCACCTGATTTACTCTTGTTCTTCGGCTGCCGCTCGTAGGCGTTCGGGCTGGCCTTCCTCTCCTTTCCCTTGCCCTTGCCATCACCCTCGTGCTCATGCTGATGCTTTCGTCCGCGACCTTTGCCTTTGCCGCTCCCACCGGCTCTCCGCGCTCGACTCAAGTCAGGCTCAGAGTCACTGTCGCCATCGCTGGAGCTGCTCGAGTCGGAATCTGATTCGCTGTCGCCAGGCTCGTGCGGCTTGTGATAGATACAGCACACTTTGGAGCTCTTCTTGCCCATGCCCTCGTTGTCGACTACATCCTCTGCCCATTGCACTCGGGGCCGCTCTTCGGGCTGCGCGCGAAGGCGAAGCGTACCGAAGGGAACACTAGGGCCAGCAGTGGTAGATGTGATGGTCTGCGAGCCACTCTGAGCGTTGGGGGCTGAAGTTTGAGAACCCGCTGGTCGTACAGAAGTGCGCGGCTGGTTCGACATTGTAGATTGTCAGGCCTGCAAGCGGTCGTTTCGATAGTTAGTTTGTCTGGCGTCGATGCGTAGGTACGTCTTTGTTTCTCTCTTGGATCGTGAATGTCGGAATTAATGAGCGAGGAAAGTGGGGCCTCACTGGCCAATTCTAGCATCCCGTGACTTCGATATGGCAACCGCTTGAGACAGACCTCAGCAATACATTTTCACGTCACAAACTCCAATCCGTGAATTGAAGGCGAACAGCTTACGGACTGATACGTGATTTGGCGCTCAAGCACTGGAGGCAGCACCGCTTCTCCACACCACACTCGCGCCGGTGGCTCCTCCGCCGCCAGACACCAATCTCTTCTTCCTCTCCAACCCCACCGCCGACACGCCACGAAGATCTCCGACTTCACAGCACCCCCTACCGAGCGACAACCTCACCTTTCAGCGCATGCCACATCAATAATCGCGCTCACAGCGGTCTGCGCGCGTCAAGCTCTCTTCAGTCAAGCAAGCCGACTGCTCGCGTTGCCAGACCGGCGAACACCACACCCCACCAACGCCCAGCATGTCGATGTCTATCGAGGAGCTGGACGCCACCGTCCGCGCTTTCTACGAAGGCCGCGGTGACCAGCAGAAGCAGGCTCAGGCCACGCTCAACCAGTTCAAAGAGAACCCGGACGCATGGCTCATGGTCGACAAGATCCTGCAAGATGCGCAATACCCACAGACGAAGTACCTGGGCCTCCAGGTGCTGGACACGGTGATCATGACGCGGTGGAAGGTGCTGCCGCGCGATCAGTGCCAGGGGATCCGGAACTTCGTTGTCAACTTCATCATCCAAATGAGCAGCACAGAAGAGAACCTGAAGAAAGAGAGGGCGCTATTGAACAAGCTGAACTTGGTCCTGGTGTCCGTCTTGAAGCAGGAGTGGCCTCACGCATGGCCCACCTTCATCAACGAGATCATCTCGAGCTGCAGGAGCAGCCTTCCGATCTGCGAGAACAACATGGCAATCCTGCGCTTGTTGTCCGAAGAGGTCTTCGACTTCTCTGCCGACCAGATGACCTCGACCAAGACCAGGCAGTTGAAGCAGAGCATGTGCGATGAGTTCACCAGCATCTACAACCTCTGCTCTGAGATCTTGAAGACAGCAGATCAGACCAGCTTGATCAAGGCCACTCTCGAGACTCTACTGCGCTTCTTGAATTGGATTCCGCTCGGCTACATCTTCGAGACGCCTCCATCTGGAATGTCTTTGATCGAGACCCTGCGCAGCCGCTTCTTGGAGCAGCCTGAGTTCCGTAACATCACACTCAAATGCTTGACAGAGATTGGCAGCCTGCAGACGGACCACAACTGGGATGAGAAGTTGGTGCAGATGTTCACCGAGACTCTGACTACAATCTCCAACATCATACCACTCTCGCTGGACCTCAAGTCCACATATGCATCCTCGAACAGCAGGGACCAGGAATTCGTGCAGAATCTGGCGCTTTTCCTGTGCAACTTCTTCAGCAACCACCTCGGTATCATCGAAAACCTTCCCAACAGCGACTACCTCACACATGGCCACTTTTACCTCATCCGTATTAGCCAGATCGACGATCGTGAGATCTTCAAGATCTGCCTCGAATACTGGACGAAGCTAGTGTGTGAGCTGTACGACGAGATGCAGCAACTGCCGATCACAGACATCAACCCACTCGTCAACATCGGGGTCAGTGGCCTCTCTAACGGCGGGGCTCCCAACCCGCAGATTCTGGCGAACTACCCTCTGCGGAAGCACAAGTACACAGACATCCTGTCCAACCTGAGGCAAGTCATGATTGAGAAGATGGTGAGGCCAGAGGAAGTCTTGATCGTCGAGAACGACGAAGGTGAGATTGTGCGCGAGTTCGTCAAGGAGTCCGACACCATCCAGCTTTACAAGACGACAAGAGAATGTCTTGTGTTCTTGACGCATCTGGACGTTGTCGACACCGAACAGATCATGTCCGAGAAGTTGGCGAGGCAAGTTGATGGCACAGAATGGAGCTGGGCCAACTGCAACACACTCTGCTGGGCCATCGGATCGATCTCTGGCGCCATGAATGAGGAGACGGAGAAGCGCTTTTTGGTGACAGTGATCAAGGATCTGCTCGGCTTGACAGAGATGAAACGCGGCAAGGACAACAAGGCGGTCGTTGCTTCGAACATCATGTACATCGTCGGTCAGTACCCACGCTTCCTGAAGGCTCACTGGAAGTTCCTCAAGACGGTCGTCAACAAGCTTTTCGAATTCATGCACGAGACGCACGAGGGTGTGCAAGACATGGCGTGCGACACCTTCATCAAGATCGCAAACAAGTGCAAGCGGCACTTTGTGATTCAGCAGCCCGGCGAGGGTGAGGCCTTTATCGACGAGATTGTCCGCACGATGCGTAAGATCACGTGCGATCTTTCGCCGCAGCAGATCCACACTTTCTACGAGGCTTGCGGTTACATGATCAGCGCTCAGGGTCACAAGAACGCGCAGGAGAGATTGATTTCGGAGCTGATGAGTCTGCCGAACGCAGCCTGGGACCAGATCATCCAGTCCGCTCATCAAGATCCGGGCATCTTGCAGAACGCGGAGACGATCAAAGTCATCGGCAACATCATGAAGACCAACGTGGCGGCATGCAGCAGCATTGGGTCATACTTCTACCCGCAGATCGGCCGGATCTACGTCGACATGCTCACCATGTACCGGGCCTCATCTCAGCTTATCGATGAGAGCGTGCAGCGTGATGGCAACATTGCGACGAAGATGCCGAAGGTTCGCGGGCTGCGGACTATCAAGAAGGAGATACTAAAGCTCATCACGACTTATGTGGACAAGGCAGACGACTATGAGATGGTCCACCAGACTCTTGTGCCACAACTGCTCGAGGCGATACTGCTCGACTACAAGAGGAATGTGCCAGATGCGCGAGAAGCTGAGGTCCTGGCGGTTATCACTGGGCTGGTTGTGAAATTAGAGGTACGTTGGACGCCGCGCACCAGCAAGTATATGTACATGGTGCGCGAGCAAGACGCACGAAGTGCCGACGAGCAAGCTGCTAACATGTATGAACAGGGCACAATGACCGAACAAGTCCCAGCCATCCTCGACGCCGTCTTCGAGTGCACTCTCGATATGATCAACAAGGACTTCTCCGAATACCCAGAGCACCGCGTCGAGTTCTTCAAGCTCCTCCGCATCATCAACCAGAAGTGCTTCCCTGCTCTTCTGAAGCTGGACCAGCAGCACTTCAAGCTTGTCATCGACTCCTGCATGTGGGCCTCCAAGCACGACAACCGCCTTGTCGAGGGGGAGGGACTGAACATGTGCTACGAGCTCATCCAGAACATGGCGGAAACCGACCAAGCGACTTGCGACGCCTTCTTCCAGAACTTCTACACGACCATCCTTCAAGACATCTTCTTCGTCCTTACCGACAGCGACCACAAGGCCGGCTTCAAGTACCAATCCATGCTCCTGAACCGCCTCTTCTACTTCGTCGGCGTGAACAAGATCACTGGGCCTATCTACAGCTCCGAAGAAGCACCAGCTGGCACCAGCAACCGCGACTTCCTGCAAGGTTTCGTCGCGAAGCTGCTCGGCAACGCTTTCCCCAATCTCCAAGAGGTGCAGGTGAACAACTTCATCCGCTCGCTCTTCGAGACCGTCGACGATCTTAACAAGTTCAAGCTCGTGCTGCGGGACTTCTTGATCCAGTTGAAGGAGTTTGCGGGCGACAACGCGGAGCTCTTCACCGAGGACCGCGAGAAGGCGGCGCAGGATGCGAAGGATGCGGAGAGGGAGCGCGCGATGAAGGTTGGCGGGTTGCTCAAGCCGAGCGAGCTGGAAGATGATGAGCTATGACTGGATCAGGAGGTGAGATTGAGCAAAGGCACGAAAGATGAAGTTACGGAGGCGGAGGCTGAGGCTTTCGCTGGTATGTTTGCGTGAGCCCTACATGCCATCGCATCGGAGGCGGGGCCAACGGAGCGGCGACTGCTCCTCAATGAATGGTTAGAGGCGAAGGCGGTGCTTTGGCGAAACATACCTTCTGGTTGCGGAGATACCTTTTTCGGCTGGGCATAGACTGGCCTTGCGCGTGCAAGAGGAAAAGCAGATTTACTGAGCATGGTTATTGCGCTTGCATAGCACTGGGAGGTCCTGATGCGTTGGCGACACAGCTCGATGCCATGCCGCTGCGGTAGACTGGTGGAGGGTCTGTAGATGAGATGCTACTGCAAATGACACGTGAAAATGAAACATGATGTCAACGATGTGCTCTAGCATCTCTTATCCTTGTGGTTCCTGGAGTAGGGCCGCTAACTTTCGACGATTCTCTTCCCATCGCACCCAGGCTAGGCCTTGTAGTAGGCTGTCTGCTAGGTCATCCAGCTTCACCGGACCGCTGTCGGTCGAGAGCGCAGCTTCCTTTCTTCCTCCTCTAGTCTTCTTCGTGTCACTTCCGAACGCATCGGCAACAAGTCGCGCCTCATCTGTAAACTCCAGCTGCACATCCAAGTGCGGCGGAAGTGGCGTCTCAGCAGCGGCGAGCCATGCCTTCACCACGGCAATCTTGACATTCTTATCGATCTTGTTCTGCTTCGCCAGCTTGTCTCGTCCAGCAATCTTGCCACTTTGCTTCGACAGCAGCATTTTGGATTTGAGCTGCGGTCTAGAGAGTGCGGCCTCAACGTCCGTCCCTTCTGCTTCTGAAGTGCCTCCGCACCAGAAGCGGGCTACGCGGGCTGGGCTCATTTCGACGGTGTCCGGGAATACTGACGGGAGGTTTGAGTTGGACTTCATGGTTTCGAAGCAGGCGTAGAGCATGCTTTCCAGCATGTTTACGCGGAGCGTCCATTCTTGCACGGCTGATGCGCCGCCAGAGCGGAAACGTTGGCGCTCGATGAGGATATGGCTGGGTTGGTAGGTGTGAAGCAGATCTTGGGCGATAGATAGTGCGGTCTTACTGAGCTTTGAGGGGCCGAAGATGGATGCGTCGGCCACTTGGGCTGCTCTCTGACCCTTCATCTTTGCTGGAGTGGTGATCGTCATGGGAGCCACCTGGCTCAGAACATCAACCTTCTTCCAAGCAAGAACTTTAACGGCAGTGGATTTCGCGATTCCATCCCGTGTACGCGGCTCGCCGACCAGACTCGGCGCTTCCAGCACACATAAGCCGAGATTTTTGATTCCCATATCGACGCTGATGATCCGGGGTACTTTGGCGAAAGGGCGTCGTTCGGCTATATAGTGTGTGATTGCGTTCTCAATGCTGGCCTTGATACCGGTCGTTGCGAGACCGAGGCAGGTCGCTGCATGGTAGAGTTGGTCTGCTTTGAGCGCCGGCAGCGGTAGCAGTTTTCGAGAGGACATCGATGCCTCAGCTCAAAGGCTGCTCGCACATTGCGTGGAGACCAGCGTCCGACAGGGTCAATCTTGTCGCCTGCTCATGGCACAGACTACCTGATGTTTTGTTTATCACAAGGGGCATGCCGGTATAAACTGTCACCCAGTGGTTCGAGCGCATTCGTGGTGGTCTTCAGGCGCAATGGCATACATGTCGACCGAGAGATAGTTCTAGTGTGCTGAGTTTCAGTACAACAGCAAGTTTAGTTGAGCGCGTCTTCGCCGCGTCGATAGAAGTGAAGTCGCCTCCGAGCACGTGCGCGGCTCGCTAGTCCCAATGCGGAAACAGCAGCTTGAAATAGCCAGACACTGTAAGCTGACGACGAATCGAGACCATTTGATGTTCAGTCAACCTCCCGACTTCCTACGACGCCGCTCGATCATGCAATAACACTGAACACGATGCTATGGCCAGGGAAAGCAGAGCATCTCGCGAGGCGGGGCCGAAAGAGAACTGCGTCCCAGAGGAAGGAGAGGGTTTACTAGAACATTCAGAAAGAGAGGGCTCGCCCGATAACGATATCATCGTTCATGAGGCACAAGGTACGGGCAAGGTCGGCGCTGGAAGACCTCGTGTGAAGCCACCACCAAGGAGGCAATCGTCTCTCGCGCAGCGGAGACCAGATGGCACTCCTCGAACGCCCCATCGAGTGCGGTTCGAAGTCGCAGAACCTGATACGATCCGAGAAGCGAACGGAGATGTGCCTCACTCTAGCCACGATGCATGGCTGGATGAAGAGGACTACATGGAGAATGGGAGTGACAGGCGGAGCAGCACCGGGCAGCGAGCACCACTGCTGACCGACATCGAGGCCCCAAGTGTTACGCTGGCGAACGAGATGGACTTCAATCCTGAGGATCACCTGGAAACCGCTCGGCCTAAAAGTGGCACCAAAAGCGCATTCATGAACATGGCCAACAGTATCATAGGCGCCGGAATAATCGGGCAGCCGTACGCCTTCAAGCAAGCAGGCCTATTCACCGGGATATTCCTCCTTATCACTCTTACCGTTACCGTGGACTGGACGATCCGCCTCATCGTGACGAACTCGAAGCTGAGTGGCGCCAATTCCTTCCAGGCTACGATGGAGAAGTGCTTTGGCAGGAGTGGCCTGATTGCGATCAGTGTTGCACAGTGGGCTTTTGCATTCGGCGGCATGGTGGCGTTCTGCATTATCATCGGAGACACCATACCAAGGGTCATGGCGTCTATCTTTCCTTCTTTGCCGGAGACTCCGGTTCTTTGGCTCCTTGCCGATAGAAAGGCGATCATTGTACTTGTGGTTCTGGGCTTCTCGTATCCTTTGTCGTTGTACAGAGACATTGCTATGGTATGTATCAGCCATCATGTTCGCGGAGCAATGCTAATAGTAAGATCACAGCTGTCCAAAGCATCCACGCTTGCGCTTATCAGCATGATGGTCATTATCTTCACAGTCGTCACTCAAGGTCCGATGCAGTCCCACGACATTCGTGGCCAGCTCAAAGGCAGCCTGCTCATCAACAGCGGAGTCTTTCAGGCTATTGGTGTCATCTCCTTCGCCTTCGTCTGCCATCACAATTCGCTTCTCATTTATGGCTCTCTGAAGACTCCGACCATGGACCGCTTTGCACGGGTGACGCATTACTCGACCGGCATCAGCATGGTCGCATGTCTTGCTATGGCCCTCGCCGGCTACCTTTCTTTTGGCGATTTGACACAAGGCAACGTGTTGAACAACTTTCCTACTAATAATGTAATGGTTAATATTGCGCGACTGTAGGTCTCACTGACACATCACGATGTGAACTCAATACTGATGGTGACCTAGATGCTTTGGCCTCAACATGCTCACGACCCTACCGCTGGAATGCTTCGTATGCCGTGAAGTCATGGTGAGTGTCAGTCCTTACATGCTGCGCGAATACCTGCTAACGACGATCGTAGACCGAGTACTACTTCCCTGGAGAGCCCTTCCACCCGAATCTGCACCTCATCTTCACCACTTCCCTAGTGGTCAGCGCCATGACAGTCTCGCTCATCACCTGCGACCTCGGCGTCGTCTTCGAGCTCGTGGGCGCAACATCCGCCTGTGCGCTTGCGTACATATTACCTCCGCTGTGCTTCGTCAACCTTACGAAGAGAAGAACATGGGAGACCTATGCTGCCTACGCTTGCATAGCATTCGGGTGCATCGTCATGGGCATTAGCCTAACCTTGTCGGTCGCAAAGATGGTCAGAGGAGAAGGTGAAGCTGTGGCTTGTCGATAGCAGTATAGGTACTGAATGCAAAGAAGTTCAACCCTACCGGCGAACCACGCCGTACGGTTCTCGTTATGCGAACCTAAGCTACGACTACTGGACTGGATCACGGAGCCCCCACCACTTCCCATCATGGACGGATGCTGCCAAACATGCTGCGTTGTCGTACTGGACGTCATCCCAACTGGATCATATCATGCCGCGGAGGTGCCGTTCATCGCCCAACACCGAACCCTCGCCACGGCCCGCATGCACTTATAGTATAGGTCCACCATAGGAGACTTCTGCAGCGCCTCTTCGGCCGCTTCACGCAGAATCCGTTTGGTCCGCTCCTCCAACTCATCATCTACCTCTCGGCCAATGGGCTGCCACGTCTCCCGTAAAGGCGTCGCGTGGACATTACCTGGATCCCTCCGAATGACGTTGTTGCAGCAATTGACGACATATTTCGCTCCTCGAAGGACACCTTCTCTCAGGTCTGCTTCGTCCGCGGCAAGGAATCGGAGTTGGTCTTTCCGTGGAGCTTTTGCTCCGTTCATGACTGCTATCAGGACTTCTTGAGCTCGGTCTGCCGTGGTACGTCCGATAGCGTACTGAAGTAGAAGTCCGTTCTCCAGCTCTTCGTCATGAGCTTCCTGTGCTTGGGTGGTGGAAAGCTGACTGTCGTCTTTTGCTTCGTGTAACATGATGGCGGCTGGCGGTGACAGCGTGGGATGAGCTTGCTGCGTTTCAGTGGGGGCTGGCGGATAATGTGCTGGATAGAGACCAAGATCCCGAAGTTCGAGTGAATATAGGGGGCCCTGGTGAGGTTTTTGATGGAAGATGAGTTGGTCCAGAGAATGGGATCTGAGGTGCTTTACAAGGGACTTTATACGAGGTCATCAACATTGACACTCTTCACTGCTGGCTTCTTTTCGACAACGGTGAACAGCTCTGGCATAACTTTGCGAACCACGCCTTGCATGCACGATCGATCGTACGACTTCTAGCCATCGCACTGCTACATCAAGCAAATGTGCTCGCACGTCATACATCACGCCCTCTCAATCACAATGGCTTCCACTGCCGCTCCATGAGCCCACATACGGACCTTCGACACAGTCTGCATGCATTCGAAGAATGTATGAATAGTAGACCCGCTGCGGACAATACCGTTCTCGATCTCTTCCTTGATGAGTTGCCACCTTGTCCGGACTGCTTTCGCATGCACACTGGCCGATTCCTTGCGAAGGATGTCATCACAGACACCGACAATGCAAATTGATCCTCCGAAGATGGCCTGCTCCAAGTCGACCTCCGTGACGTGCATGTCACGGAGCTGGGACATGCTTGGCCAGTCTGCTTTACCGTACACGATGTCCGCGGCGAGTTCTTGGGCTGGTATGGCAAGGACTGCGGAAGTACCGCTCTCTGCAGGTAGCAGCTCTTTACGCTGGTCGGCCATGCTGCGTGATGATTGAGAAGGAATGCCGATATGGGAGACGCCCGGTGCCAGTCGATGTCAGATGTTCTGGATGGTTTGGGAGCTCGACAGATTACCGGCTGGGGTGGAAATGGTGGGAGTTCTCATGAAGTGCGGCGCGATGGGAGACGGACTTATAACAGGTCGTCGACACCACATTCCTTGTTGGCCGCCCGGAGCGTCTTCGCCATCCTTGAACATCAATGAATAAGCTCGGTGCAACAGGGCTCACTGTGATTCTTCCAGAATCAGCGTTGGAGAGGACCTCATTCACGGCCATCGAGCGGCGGCTGCCTCACAACGGAAGCACGGGCACAGGGGACCAAGTGTTCTAGGCGAACCACGCCGTTCGTATTACCACTAAATCTACATTACTGCGACTGCTCTTGGCCGGAGCGCTATTGCCCTTCATGGATCACGTCGTCTTCGCAGAATCGTACTGGGCGATGGTGCCACAGCATGGTTCATCTGGTTCCTCCCTACTCTACACTGATCGAGAAGCCTTCGGACAGCCGCGAGAGGAGATCGGAAATGGCAACCAGCCAATTTCGCAACTACTACTTAATCCAAAGCTACCTACAAACACCGAAAGGGTTTGTCAAATGAAGAAGAGGCACCGGGCTCCACCAGCCAACCTCTCTAACCGCACGAGAGCCACGCTTACGCTGGCGGCTGGGAGTGAGTAGCCTCATACTTCCAAATACTGGCGTCGGCCGACTCTTGCAGGCAATGGCTCAACACAAAGCGGAGCATAGATTTGCCCGGCTCGGTCCCAGCAATCTCCGCGCTGATCTCGTGCCACCTGGTCAGATAGTAGTTGATCAAGGGTTCGTGATCGCTATCGCCGTGGTCAATGAGGAAGTCGCAGGTGGATATGATGAACGACATCGCGCCCATCAGCGCATTCTTCAGGTCGATCTTTTCAGGGTTCAGACGACGCAGGAAGGTCTCGCTTGGGGGCTCTCGATTGTGCTCGCACACCGCGATCACGATAAACTCGGCCGCATTGGAGGGAACGCCGCGCTGTACGTTGAGGCCGTACCTGGCCAGGGCTTGGAAGAACGCCTCGTCGGTATGGCTGTCGATGCTCGCTCTGCTTGAAGGTCTGAACCCTTGGCCCGGGCTTGGTGCTCTGTTCCGGCTAGTGTTTGCTGATACATCACCGCTCGATCCACTGGATGCTCGGGATTGTCGAGTGCCACTTGATCCTCGAACCCGTCCGCCGTTCGCTACTATACTGCTGTCAGCTTCATGCTGCCATGGAGGCCCTCCTGCTGCTGGCCATACTACTTTGGCTTCCACCTGAAGACATTCTGAGTTTGGATAAACTGGGGTTGATAAGGTTGAGGTTGTCTAGCCACTTGCTTTCAACGGGTGGATCACCGGGTCAAAGAAGCTTATGGTTGGAGGAATGGTCCGGAATACAACACACCCAGAGAGGTTTCGCTTCCATGAGGTCCCTTATACCCTTCAACCCAAGGACAAACAACGCTCGAGCAGTGTGATACAGCCCCATGGTGTGACGCAAACGGTTTGGCCTCCCGATGAGCAGCATTGTCCATGCTGGCATATTATGATGCTCTCGCACATATGCACATGAAAGCATTGGTCTTCCAGCTTGGGGTCCCTTGAATAATGTCGCAGTACGCTTCCAGTCGGTGTCGCGAACGTGCCATGGTTCACAAGTTGGAACAGTCCAGGGGTTCGGTGGCAGGAGAAGAGCCTTTGAAAGTTCATGAGTTAATCTATCTCTAAAGCCACATGACCAAAGTCACACGAACCGCACAAGGGATCCATCGATGCACTTCTCACGCCGGCGCAGAAGATCCACGCGGAGACTCGGGGCTGGCGCTACCGCTACGCGAAGCGGTCTTGTCCTCCGCTGGTGGATTTAGGGCCCTCTTCTCCCGGTCTGTCGCCATCATTGCCACCGTTGACTCCCGATGGATGATATGGAAGACGCTGAGAGGCATTGCGTACGCTGCGACTTGGTCTTCACGAAGAAACCTCCGAGTATCGGACCAGCTGTCGTGCCGAGCGCGCTGCTCAGCTGACCACCCTTCTTCCTCACGTATTGCCTTAAGGTCTCCTATGATCTGCCACGCCGATCGCAGGATGCCATCGATGAGGTCGAGCTTACCGGGGCGCTTCTCGGTGTACCAAATCAACTCCGGCACCGGAATAAGCTCGAGATACACTACACGGGTAATATCTCGTGCGACGCCGCCTTCCACTGGATCATGGCCTTCGTCATCAGAATGGTCGAGGTCCCAGCCTTCGGCAGGTGTGACACGCTCATCATCAGGAGACTGCAGACGTTCTGTGGTAATGCTGTACGGCACTCGGTGAACTCCGTTCTGGCGAACTGGCGCAGACTCCCCTGCTGATGCTCCAGAACCGCTGTCCGCGTTTGTTCTGTGGCGATCTATCACTGCTCTTGAAGCTTCGATAATAGCCCGGGACCTTGCTACGGCGGCCGCATGGTCAATCGTCGAGGCAGGAAAGTCCGCTGTGCTGGTATTCTGCCGTCTAGCAGAGACACGGCTTCCGATGGTTTCCTCCGCTTGCGCTGCTCCGCCGCGGCCTCGGTCTGTCGTGCTACTCTCAGCTCCACTATCGACAACTCCGCCTCGGCCGGGCTGTCCCCCAGGTCGTCCTTCAGGTCCTCTGCTACTGCTTGGCTGAACAGCTGATCGCCTTGCGCGGCTTCTGGAGCTACTACTCCGTTCTGCTGAGACTTCTTCACGAGCTCCACTCCTGCTAGCTCGCTCTGCAGCTGCCGCCCTGTCAGCAAGGCCACGCCGGGCCATCCGCGTCTCCGCCGCTCTTGTCTGACGACCTCGAGAAGACATGATTGAGTAAAGGTGGTAGCTTTGTTCTGAGTCAACTTGCTGCGTACAAGTGATGCAGTATACTTCTGATGAGATGCTGCTGTGCTTGAAAGCGGTGTTTTTGTGTTGTGGGAGCCAAGCATACAGATACCGTGTTCTTATATCCAATGACTGCTGGAAATCGTTTGCTGCTTTCGACGTTTACTCTGATATGACTCCACCAGAACCGGAACATGGACAGCGGTGGCGTCGAGGGCGACGCAAACACGGCGGTACTTCGCTGTCATACTCATTGCTTCTAGAGCTGGCTAACCAGGATCCTCCTGGGGCGTGTCCATGATGAGGCGGACTGTTTCCTGCTCATGCCAACTCTTCAACACATTACGCAAGAGAAGAACGCTGGCGGTTCGGAGCACATCATTCAAAAGTGGTCACAAGTGGCAATCGATATTCTATACGCTCTTAATCTGCTGGGTCGTGATGAGGAGAACAGGGCTGGGAGGCCAGCTTGGACTGGCTTCATTCGAATGCGGTGCTTGACACCTTCCGGAAACTACTGACAGCGAGACAAAACAAAGCATTGGTGGCTTGACAAGATACAAAACCGACACTATCTAAATAAGCTGCCGAGACTGACAGACATCGAAAGACACAACGTCAAGACGTGGCCGCCAACCCGTAGGCATTCCCAGACTATACTTCTCGGAGTCCAAGAGCCACGCATCGGTTCCGCCAGCTTCATCACCCTCCAGCAACAAATTCATAGGGCAGGCTAATGGTCTGAGTGGCCATTCGTCCGAGGAAGTGCGTCTTTGATGTCCCTCGCAGTCTGCATGCAGTGGCGGCACCAGCGAGCGAGCTCCTCTTGTGTCATCAACAAGAACTTGACCTCTTGTCCCGGAGCGTTTGTACCGTTTTCAATGCTGGCAACGACGGCTAAGAATGAAGCATGGGCAGATTGCTGCTCCGCAGTCCCTTGAGAAGGCGACTTGCTGACGATCCATCTGGCTGTCCACTCAATTGCAACGATCAAGTCGAACTTTTCACACGCTTGGAGCCACTCCTCGGTTGCGACGGTGCCGTAACCCTGGTCCCCACAGATATACCTGGCCCGATCGAGGGCAGAGAGCATGTCACCAGTGCTGGCAGAACCTGCGGAATCTCCTGAATCGCTTGGAGTGCGAGGGCGGTCGTGTGGGATTCCTGGCATTGTGACTTATCGGTCGATGGAATGTGTTGGTCGGTGTGAGGTGAGGTGATTTCTGGAAAACGGACGGCGATAGCAGGTATGTGCTTGTGGTTGGAGTTTGTCTCTGTGAGTGTGAGTGTGTGTGTGCGGTATGTTAATGACGAGGAATAGAGAGAGCGTCAAGCGGCCTCCTTATACGCAAGAGACTGCTTCAAATGTTTGCCAGCACACAGTGACTGGAGCATTCATACATTCAATGGGGCAAATGCCAAAATTGTCATGCGGACACTGGAGGCGCTCTGAGTATCTGCGACACCGAGGCGCACCACAGCACTGGCAATTTGACGAAACTCAATACCAATACTACCCAGAAAGCAATATACAAGAAAGCCGATCGGGACAGCTTCGAGGCCCAGTGGCTATCTCAAGAGCGGTAGGCCTCGTAAGCGGTTTTCATGTAGCTGTGGCAACACTCAGCCACCTGCTCCAATTCCATCTGCACAAGGCTCATCCCAATCCATAGTATGGAGAATTCGTTCCGTCCCTAATGCTGACAGCAATGTCCCTGAACTCGCGGTACGTAGGTCTATCGGCGTCCGACACAACACCGGACCTCGACAAATTCCTTACCATCCACCTCGCAATGTAATAGATGGCGTCGACCATATCTTCCGTGTGACATTCAGCTCGGAGCCAGGCCTCAGTTGGTACAGTACCACTGTAGCAAACCGACTTTGCTCGCTCGGCGGCGGTGAGATCGCAGCCTGGACTCCCTGGGTCAAAACCAGACATGGTAACTTGCTGCAGGATCTGGTGTGTTGATCGACAAGCGTTGGATGGCCCTTAGAGGCGGAAGGGTCGAGGCAGGTATGTGTTTGAGGTTCGAGTGCGTTGGTGTGCGTCTGTGTGTCTCGGTGCGGGTCGGTGTGCGGTATGTTGATGAGAAGAAGCAGGGAGAGCATCGAGTATCGAGCGGCCTTCTTATGCACGAAGACACGGAGCAAAGATTTGCCAGCGGACAGTGAATGAAGTGTGTACGCATTGCATGAGGCAGACAAGCCCAATGTGTCGTACGCCCGATGTCAGACGCCATGATTGAATGGATGTGAGAAGACTCTGCCCTCTTTGGTCAATACGGCTCTCCGGGAGAGAACATCAAGGAATAACGGAAGGAAGTGACACGACTTCATGTCAACATGGTTCTTCGTCGCTCGAGCCATGTTCGATCACAGCGGTGCCTTGCTACGGGGTCACGTTAATCGGACTGAGCTACAGCAGAAGCGACGGGAATACTCACTAATTCTCGCAAAGGACACACGTCCATGTAAAATACTACACACTTACATACTAAGCACCAACGCCAACTGGAATCATCCAATTGGGCATGCGGCGTCACGACCACTCGTCAAGCACACCCAAGCCTCAGTCGAACGCTGGTAACTTCTTTCCCTCCAGCATACTGGTGACGTGCCGCGCCTCAGCCATGGCGTAAATCAGACAGGCAGTAAGTATCTGCCGCTCATACCCCTGGATCACGGCCGAGCCCATCTCAACCGCATTCCGAATTTGCTCGAACATCTCATACCTAGCCCGCTGTGTTGGAGTGCCTTCCCGCGACGTATTCTGAGAGATGTGCCGTGCGGCCAAAAGGATGGCCTCGACGATGTCTCGCCCTGTGTGTTCGTGGGCAACGAACCAGTCCGCAGGCGGAGGGTATTCGACGTTGTTGATGATGTTGTTCACTCGATCGCAGGCGGACTGGAAAGGCGTCTGCTGGACCAGAGGGACGCCGTCGTCGTCTGAGTCTGGAGAGTGTTGGCGGCTTTGATCGGAGGCCGACATCGTGGTTGTTCTGTTGGTATGAATGGTATTGTTGGAGATCGTGCTTGTCTTTGACGTTCGAGGGCAGGTTGACTGGTGGTTGTTTGACGGTTGGAGTGGTCAACGAGAGCTCAGAGAAGTGGATGATATAGGAATTAAGAAGAGGAAGCAGCAGGAAGTCCTGGTCTGTATATATAGATGTATGTCATGGCTCATATTCAATGCTTGCCAGTAGAGCTTGCGTCGACGTGGTCAATGTAGGCTGGTGATGACCAGCAAACATTTGACGAGTCTCACTCACAGCTGCCTCGTCGATGATCGATGTGCTACTGCACCGGTATGTGGAACTGCCATCGGTGAGCCCGTGATCACTGCTCAATTGTGTGTACCCGCGCTGACCAGTGGCAGAGTAAAAGTTGGCACTCACGGGCAGGCGGCGTAGCAAAGCAGTGGCAGTCAGGTTGTGGCTTCTCCGTGACACCATCGCCCGCTATGAGATACTGTTCCTACTATCCCGGAGAGTAATGCCATCCGCCTGTCTCTCGCCTCTTCTCCGATAAACAATCTCCTACCTCGAGGCTTCTGAATATACTCTCCTTATAGTCTGGACTGCGGAGACTGCCACTTCTTCTACTACGTCGCCTGCTGGGGGGTGCGTTGTTCGTCTATCTCAACCGTGGGAAGGCTAAAAGTGAGGAGGGAACTGACTTTAATCAACACGTAGAACAGTGGCCACAAGATATTTGCTCGTGCGCTACATAAACGTCTGCCGTAGACGACTACATACTGCCAACTAGGCAAAAAGCAGACGCAAACGCAATTCAAGACGACTGACCTTCAAAATCCCCCTTCCTGCTACTTTACCCGAGTCTCATCGAGTCTGGTCAATCAGTGCAAGTTGGTCCTAGTGGTTGAGAGACTTGTTTGGGTCTCCTTTGATATAGTACGGAGGCTGACGATGGCTTGCGTTCGAGTCGTAAAGCCGTGTTCGTGGTCGAGATGGATTCGGGGTTGGTAGAAAGAGAAGTCGAAAAGCAGCAGCCGTCGAGGTCCATTATATACCGCTGGCGTCCAGCTATACATTTGTGAATAAGGGTGGTGACTCCATTGCAAGTCATGTATACCGCTCGCGTTCAGCTATACGTTTGTGAATGAGGGAAGTGAGTTCGTTGCGAGGCATAGAATGACTTCGTCCAGCAAACATTAGCTAGTCGATCGTCACACCACGTCGGCAAGTATGACGAGTGCCTTCCGCAGAGCGTAGTACCTACACAACTGTGGTCGCGTCAACGGAGTCGGTATGATCGTGGCACGAGGCTGCGCCCTGTCGCTTGAGTAGCGCAAAAGCAGGGTAAACTGAAATCAAGGACATGAGGGATGCCTTATCAACAACGAGTACGAGAAGTAGAAATCTGACCGGGGATTGGGAAATTTGCACCAGGGCGAGGCATTCGGTGTCCACGACGACACGCAGATCAATCGAAGACGAGAAAACAAAGCGGAGGAAACCCCCACCCATCACCTACCCCAAAACCTACCGCCGCCGCCGCTCAACCCACTCATACTCCTCGTCCTCTTCGTCCTCCTCCGCCTCCGCCGCCACCGCATAAGCAACCTTCTGCGCCTCCACCAGCAAAAACACTAACACGATCCTCGGCAACATGCTCCACACCTCCGGCGCGTTCGCACTCCCTAGCCCCCTCACCAATTCCGAACAACCCGACCGCCTCGCCCTCACCGCCATCGGATGCTGCGGTCCCCCTGGAGTTCGCGAGGCTGTAAATTGGGCAGCGTACAGGAAAGCGGCGTGCAGGTCCTCATGCGTGTGTTCGCGCTGGATGAAGTGTTCCAGCGGGCAAGGGGGAGTTGCGCGGCGGCAGATGTCGGTGGTGATTTGGTGGGCGTTGCGGCGGACGGGCTGGGAGTCGCCGGTATGCTGGTGTGGTGAAAGCGAAAAGATTAGTAGGTTATAGGGATTAGGGTATGTTCTCTGTCAGACGACGTACGTAGCCATTGTCGGTGCGGGAGTCGTTGTTGCGGAAGTGTGAGCGTGGAGGGCGGGAGGGGCCGATTTGGTTGGACATGGTTTGTGTCGTTGATAGATGCTTCGTTGTTGTTGAAAGGAGGCGGTCGAGTTCGATCTGGGGGATGAGTGCTAGCAATCGAGATTCGTCTTGCAAAAAGTCGTTGAGAGATCATGGCAGAGACCGCTTCCTGAGCCGCATAATATAGCATCCATCGTCAGGGCAGTATTCTTTGGCGACATTGAGCTCCAGGGCAACATTCGTTGTCGACAGTGGCGTCTGGATCGATTAAGAAATGAATGGGTCCAGAACTGTTCAGGTGTGCGAGGCCGCAGACTGGCCAAAAGCCGCAGGCTCGTGCCAGAGAAATGTTTGATCTCCGAGGGAAGCGCGTCGTGTTCACCACCACCATCAGAATGTTGCAAGCTGATCTGTATCTTATCGTTGCGTGAGAAAGAGAAAGCGGAAGGGAGGCATACCGATGGAACGCCTCAAAGTAACCACCCATCGCCACCTCGACTACTTCACCCCCTTCCCCTAGCTCGTAGGAGAGAGGACGGTCCATAGATCTTTTTCATGTCAAGCCCACCGGTCACTTATTTGCAAGTGGGTGTCAGTAGACAGATCTACAAAGCAGCAGCGACAGGTGGTGCCAGGAGAGTCCAACTTGACTTCGCGCCACATAACGCCTGGTAGCTGAGTGTGGTACATTAACTGCCTAGATCATTATCATCTCATCTGTACCCTAGCGTTGCAAAGCAAAAAAGCAGAAAGGGGGTATACCGAACGCCTCAAACGACACTTTTCCCACCCACACCGCGCGCCCCCACCACTTTCCTGATCCTCCACCTCACTCACCACTGCACCTTAGTCCCCTGCCTCCCCAATCCATGAAACATATCATGCCTACTCACCGCACTCTTTAAATCATTTCCCGCCTTCACATCATCCTCCATCGTCCTATCCGTACCCCCAGTATCCAACCTCTCCAACTTCCCCCTCGCCTCCTCCTCCTCCGCGTCATCCGGTCGGATGTCCAAAATCTCTCCCACAGACTTGCTCCGCACCGTCTTCGTCTCCTCCATCGGCGAGTCCGCCTGCGCCTGCGGGGCCACTTCGTCCTGCGGCATCGTAAAGTCTGCCGGCATGGCGCCAACGCTCTTGCTGCGCGCGCGCTCGAGGGTGTTGGGGTCAGCTTCTTCGTCACCGGGGCGGGCAGGTCCGGCGTCGGAGAGGGCGCGAGGAGGCCCGGGGTCTTCTTGCGGGGTGGAGGAAGCGGCGGAGACGGATTGCGAGCGTCCGGCGTTGAGGGAGGACTTGCTGCGGCCGAATTTGAAGAAGCTGCCGAAGAGGCCGCCTTGCTTGGGCTTGGGGCTGGCGCCGTTGGTCGTGCCATTTGTTTGAGCCGTCTTCACTGCAGGCGTAGAGCCGCGTCGCGGAGCCTGGCTCGCTACTGGAGCGGATGCTGGGGCGGAGGTGTAAGGGTTGTAGGTTGGTGCGCTCTCCCTCCGCTCGCGGTCGATGTTATCGAGCGCCGCTTTGGTGGCATCCAAGTATTCCGGGTACTCTTCTTGACAGATCTCAGTGATGAGACGGAGCTTGCTCGTATCCTGCGCTACACGGCTTTTGTCAGCGGAGAGGTGCCAGCCGAGGGCTTTGATATCCATCCTCATGCCGCGGTCGACTTGTTCCTTCACGTCCATAAGTTGAATGAGCTCATCGATCTTCGCCTGCGTGAGTTTAATGAAGCCGTCGAACTTCGCAAGATCAGCGATAGCCCAGCTAGTCCTCGTAATAGAAGCATTGCGCCGAGTTTCCAGTTGCGCATAGCTCTCCGCTACCTCGCGCAGCAACTCCCACTTCTCGCGAAAGCCTTCCAGCCTGTTCAAATCGAGCGCGGGCTCGTAGTCGGGCAGGAACTTCTTCGGCGGCTTAAGCCCATACTTCGCCATCGCCTCTTCCCGCGAAGTATGCGAGCTCCTGTCCACAATATCGCTCAGCGCGGCCTCAACCTGCGTCCTCACCTCTGCATCCTCCAACCTCGCGTCCCGCACACCGAAGAAAGTCGGTTCTTTCAGATCTGGGTACGCAGGCGAAGGGTGCTTCGGTACCGCTCTATCGGTCACAGTCGCAGGAGGAGACGATATCCCGACGACATCGCCCCATATCAGCAGGCGGGCTTGCTGCAGCCCCAGACGGCAAAGCAGGAGTCTTTCACCCTTCTCCCACTTGTAGCTCGGGTGGATGAGGTTGAAGGCCTCGACACAGGCGCTGAAGACGCTCGTGAGGGAGATGACGGAGGTGAGGATGGCTTCGTGCTCCGAGGAGGTGACGCGCTCGAGCTGGTCATTCGAGGGTTTAGCCGTGGAGGTGGGCATGGTGGTGGATCGTGGGCATGGCCCCGCGCGTTGTAAGTATGTTTAGGTTACGCTGCTGCTGTATAGAAGCTTGTCCGCTCTTCTTAGATGCCGGTAAGTGTATACAGTGTGGAACGGTAGTGTCGGACTCAACCACAATGGTTAGACAAAGCGAAGCCAGTACAACAGCATGTCAGGCTGGAGGAGGAGAAAGCAGAAGACATCATCACAGGGACAGCAGTCATAGTCTCGCCGAGCTAATAATGCCGTGCGGCCTGCAGCAGGGTGTAGTGCGGTGACGGGCTCCGGTTATGGTGTGTGTCGTTGGCGGTGCGGGGTTCATCGGCGTTCTTTGACATGTGTGGCGTCAACTCTATCATGCGCTGCGCTGAGGGATCCTTACGAGGACCTGGACCCATTGTGGATGTGATGAACCGTTCGTTGGGATTTCGTACTTATTTACAGGCCATGTAGTGTTCAATGAGCAAAGTCAGCCCAAGCGTCGACCACATGTCGGCCGCACCCAACGCCTACGCTAAATGTCAACCCATCAAAACAGATTTTCCGCCTGCCCAGCCCCGTCATGCAAGCCCATGCCTCACCGGGCTCAACTCGTTGCTCTTCTGCTCCCTCCACTCCGAGACGGGCGAGTCGCGCTTCTTGTTCCTCTGCAGAAAACTCAACGCCCTGCTCGTCCGACTCGCATCACTCGCCGGCCGGCTATGCTCCGGCGATGTAGCATCTTTAATCGGATCGCACTGCTTCCTCGCTAATGGACTCGCGTTCAAGTAGATCGGGAAGATCGTCCCAGCGCCCAGGACGACGGCAGGCACCACCACAGCGAACATAGCCCCTCGACCAGACGTAGCGATGACGCTTGAAATGGGAGCGAAGACCGAGCCGCCACAGACCGCCGAGGTGATGAAGACGCTCGCGAGTTTGGTGTGCTTGCCCATGCCGCGAAGGCATTGGGCGTAGATGAGCGCGAAGAGCGGGCCTTCGAAGAAGAAGACCATGATCATGAAGCCCACTCCGGCATCGCCTCCGTAGTGCATGGCTAAGGCCGAGAAGAGGATGCTGCCGATGTAGAAAACCAGCATCAGGATGCGAGGTTTGACCCAGAAGCCTAAGCCGGCGGCTAGGAAACGGGAGACGGCGAACGTGGTATGTGCGACAGCCATTGTGTTCGCGGGATTGAATGTGGGGGCGACAACATCGAGGTAGGCGTCGTAGTTCGTCGCGTTGGCCTCTTGTGCTCCGACGTAGCAGAACTGGCTGAAGACTCCGAAAGCCAGGGTGATCCAGATGATGTTTACGTTGCCCATCTTCGCATTATTCGCACCGTCGAGACGTTCTGCAGCATCTTCCAGCTCCTCGTCAGAAGCTTCTGGTAATGGGATGTAGTAGTATACTACTGCCAGGAGGATTGTGAAGAGTGAGATGCCCAGGTAAGCCCATTGCGTGTCAACAAGAGACGGCGCGTGCATTACCCTGGTGAAGAATGCTTTGTCTGCAATCAGCGGCGCCACAATACTGCCGACTGCTTGTACAGCTTGGCTGAGATTCAGTCTGATCTCCGAGTACTCGGCTGGTCCGCAGAGGGCGATGAAAGGGTTTGCGGCCACCTCGAGTATCGACAAGCCGAAGGCGACGATGAAGTTGGTGATGATAAAAGCCGAAAAAGAGGTGAGAACGGCAGCGGGCCAGAAGATCAACGTGCCGCAGCCAAAGATACTGAGGCCGACGGTGAAGCACGCTTTGAAGCCCCAATGCTTCAGCACGAGGCGGCCGACAGTGGGAGGGCCGAATGCGTACCCAGCAAAGTAGGCGCTGTGGATGCCGGTGCTCTGGGCCGCGCTCATGTGGGCCACCCGTTGGAATTGCTGGTTCAGTACGTCCAGCAACCCGTACTCGAAGCCCCAGATGAAGAAGAGGACCGTCACAGCCGAGATCGGGAAGATAGATTCCCTCGTAGTCACGTAGGGCAGGCCCTTCCTGCGCTTCATGTTGACGAAGTCGAAGAATGTCTGCTCTGTTGCCGGATTCGTATTGCGGGAGGTATTCGTTTGATTAGTCTGTGTGCGTGTAGCTGGGGGCAGATGGGTCGTCTCTGGCGTCGTAAGAAAGTCCATCATGCCCATAGTACCTTCGTCATCGGTCGAAGAGTCCTGGCGCGGGTCAGGAGCCGTGAGAAAGTCTATCATCCCCATGGGTTCTTCGTCGTCCGTAGGCGTTCGTGGAGAGATGGAGAAGTCGCGTGCCCGTACATCTTCAGGTAACGACGGCATGGACGGCACACGCTGGACTTCTTGCATCTTGGCTGGGTCCGAGCCGCTGGAGACTGATCCAACCCTGGACGTCGGATCTCCCACGTCGCGGAGCATGCTAGGCAGGAATCGAGACACGAGTGGCTTCAGTCCAGGTACACTAGCGCACATGATTCCGAGATTTACTTCAATGGCCGACCACATGAAGCTACAAGTAGAAAAAGCGTCAGCGGAAGTCGAGGTTTTGCCGTTCTGTCCATGAAGTCCTTACCTGAGCGAAGCGTACCAGCTGAAGTCCGTCTGCTCGGCTTCCCTGCTATCGTTTTCCTCCCTGAATACAGCGATCTGTCTTATTCTTGTCCTGGCTGCCCCTTGTAAATATACGACGCGAACGACGTCTACGGCAGCGACGAAGGCACCAAAGCTGAAAGTGATGATGAGAATGATCTTCTGTTTCTTCGGGAGACGCATGCTGGTTAAGATGGGCATGGGAAGGAACAGAATGGCCAGGTCCGTTATGATGTTCAGTGGCGTAGATGATAGGTAGATGGTGATGATATCGGTACAATGTGCGGTCTGAGGAATAGGATGCTGGAAGGCTGCACCTATGGGCCAGCACTGGAAGACCGTGAACAGCCCGAGTGCAAGCCCGCCTGCGTTGACCACCACGAGCGTGCCGATGCATGCCCACTTGAAGATTCTGTTCGAAGTCGGAAGAGCCAGATAGAACGCAAGTATGGAAGTCTTCGTGGCCATGAGCGCTGGCTGGTATAGCACCGAGAAGACGTAGTTCGCCTTTCGCAGCATCGCCTGCCATTGTCCGGGTACATTTTCTTCGTGCCGTCCGAGCCCCCACGCGCATCCAATGCAGATAGCTATTGACAGGCCCGCGGCGATGATCCATGCCAGGATGATGAAGTAGTCGTCCACCGCGATCTTCTTGACAATGACAGCTCTTGAAAACATGCGCAAAGCCACGAAGATGGAACAGAAGGCAAGCATGAGGATTGTGACCGTGAGGACCGCCTCGCTCCGGCCTTGGAAGCTGCCATGGCTCAACGACATCGTCTTCAGCTGTAGAGATATCCTCCTAGCCCATGCTCTTGATCTCTAAGATATTGTCTTGCGTGTGATCGACCACCGGCGCCTCAATATCGACACGGTGCTCGCCGCGCCATACCGTCGGAATCAGTAGTATCGGGCGCTCTCTTAATGGGCACAAGGACTCCGACGTCGATAGGGCAGTCGAGTGCTTCTGGAGATGTTGGAGATCGAGATGGAGACAGAAACCACCTACCTCCACCGAGGGCACCTTTGCCTCCGCCGTGCGGGACGGTAAGCGAAAGTCCTAGGTACGTAACCGACCTCAACCGGACCTGGCCAAAGTTTGGGTCGATTCGAAGGCGGGCACCCCGGCTGGAAGAATCTGATTTGCGTGGCTTCCAGGTTCTCCGCATTTCAATTGCTAATTGCCCGCACCGCCGGCGAGGCGGGATATCGGGACGGCACCGGTGGCAGGGTTAATAATTGACTCTCGACTTTGCTCTGAGACCTTCGACTTGGACTTCAACCCGGATCTCGTGGGCCTATCGTCGTGGAACAAACGAGGATGCTGGCCGGACGCGATGCCGTTTCCCAATCATACCGCCCTAAGGAGTGTGCGCTGGCTGCATGACATCGAGGGGCCCAGCGACATCTGGACTTCACAGCCCATTGTTAGGTCTATCCGGGAAGACATGAAGTCGGCTTTGCAACTATCGCGAGAGAAGCAAGTTTCACGTCCTCAAGACGTCCCATCACAGGCTCTGGGATTCTGGAAGGCGATTAAAGGTCATTACGCTCGACCTCGGACACAAAGCTACTTCCATTCTATCTACCGCAAACCGAAGAAAAAGAACACATCGCTCATCTCGCAGCCCCTTCAAACCTCGCACATCACTCCTGACCGCTGTCATAGTCGTTGCCAGGACAGCCCGGTCGCCCGCAGTGTATACTGCGCGACCGCTCATCCTCATAGCTCTGTTGGTTCCAGCCCAGACCACATGGATAATTGCGATCAAGCAGACCTTGCCTGATCAAGGCGCGGGCGGCACTGCAATGCCTTTTGGTCTCTGCTTCGCCTACGACCCTGTCGCACCCGGCCATGCAGGTGTAGTCTATGAAGTCGATCCAACACATGTCGACAACGAGAGGGTTTCTTATGGGTTGCAGGGTAGTGGTAAGTGGTCGTCTCAGTTGCTTTGAGCTTGCGGAGAGGTACGTGCTTTAGCAAGATCTGATGATCTTGTTGCTGGAAGCTGGTTTGTGGGAAGGAGTTTTGTATGTTGGCATGTGTTTTCTCTCTCACAGCCAGTTCTAGCCTTCTCTTATACTTCATTTGGATCCAGTCACCCACGGCCAGTCATTGCCAGTCACCGAACTGTCATAGCAGCGGCCATGAATGCTGGCCACGTCTTACTACGGGATCTATACAACATCCCTCCAGAGTGCAAGTGAGGTGAAGCATTCATTGATCAAGGAAGTAAGGTATGATGTATACACACTCGACTTTAAGCACGAGACCAAGGCGAGTATCAATCAATCTATCAACGGCTAAATTTCCAAACCCATAAATGCAATCAAATCACTAACAAGACCCTCACAGCCGCCGTCCAAACCCTCAGCTCACCCTCTTCCACTATCATAGCCCCACGCAGAACAAGTCGGCCCCCAGCAAGCAACACGGTGACTCCTCCGCTGATGGGGCCGCTCAGTCCTACCCGCAGAACATGGGGACTCGCGGTCAAGCCGCCCCTGCCTGATCAACGCCCGTGCAGTCGCACAATGCCTGCGGGCTTCGGCGTCGTCGTCGCGGCTCCTGGGGTCTTCTACGAGGGCTCCACATCCGAACATGCAGAAGTAGTCTGCGGTGTAGATCCAGCACATCTCGGCTTGGTCGTCCATGAAATAGGATTGTTGGATGGCTTGACGGAGGCTGCTGTATGTAGCATCGAAAGTATATGCTCTGTCGGGAACTTACGATCTAGGTGTACCGTTGCTGTATGAGAAAGGATCCTGTATGCGAAGGGACACTGTATGCTGGTATGTATGCTCTACGACGTAACTGCCTCTGACCTCTGCTTATATACATGGCGGTCCTCGAAGACGTTTGGCTGCAAGAAGAAGGCACAAACTTGCCAGTCGATAGGGTGTCATACCGGACTCAATCTGGGGCGGCCGCGTGCGTTCACTCATGGCTCTTAACGATTGCTACGAATGCTCTCCGGGATATGTGGAATTGTCATCAGTTCCGCGTACGCAGACTGCGCAATATCAGTCCTCACGAGCAAGCAGGAAGACTCATCATCGGAATGTATGAGCCGCAGCACGCTTTCAAGGTTCGATGTAACGCTTGTGGTTCAAATTGCCACGTGACTCTGTGCTTTCGGGAGAGCTTGAGGAACCATTGGCTGGCAGATTCGCCGTTTTGTGTCTGGGCGTGGGTGAAGGAGGAGGCGGGGAAGGTGGTGTATATGCAGTTTATGGAGGATACCTTGAGCTCGGCGACGAGTTTTGCGAGGGAGGGGAGGGTGGTTTATGTTAGTGATCCCGAGACGGGGGAGGAGGTTGTTGTTGTTGAGGTAGAGGATGGGGACTGAGGTGCGCTCCGGCTTCAGCAATTCGGGTGTGAAGAAGCTGGGAACTTGATAAATCGATGAAGAGGTCCGAATTGCGCTCTTCTTCTGGGAACAACCAAGTAACTGCTGTGACGTGGTCGTCTGGTCGAACAGTAGTAGTACGCTCGGTTCAGTAGACCATTCCTACTATTGAGTCCCCGGACTTCCCTTCCTAAACGACACCTTCTCCACCGCCACATTCTCATTCCCCTGCCCATCCCTCTTCAGCTGGTACACATACAGCACCAGCACCTCGCCTTGCACATCCATAAGCACAAAGCTCGGCGTGTTGCCCTCTTCATCCCCGTCCGTGCCCTCGTCTCCACTCCCACCCACGAATCCTTCATCAATCCAGCTCACAGCGCCCGTAGCACTTCCTGGGTTCACAAAGAACTTCCCTTCCATCTCATATGCCTCGAACCTGCACGTGCCCCCCCAGCACAGCACATCGACGTCCATTTGTCTCGCGGCGATGAGCAAGGCATCCGGATCGCCGGGCGGGATGATCGAGTCGCCGTGCGTGAAGCCGATGCGGAGGTTGCCGTGGGTGACGACTTTTGATAGAGCGGTGGGGATCGGGAAGCCTGCGCTTGCTGGTGCCGCACCGCCTACATCGCCGCCTTGTTGCGCGCCGCCGGCTGAAGAAGTGAGAGGGATGTCGAAGTCGCCTTTGACAAGTTGGAGGTCGGGTGCGAGTTGGCGGAGGAAGTTGTAGACGGAGGGTGAGGTGAGGTTGCCTAGGCAGAGGATCTGGCCGATTTTGCCAGGTGTGAGGAGTTTTTTGAACTGTACTCAAGCGCGTAGGTCAGCGATTTTAGTCGCATGGTATGGGTGGTTGGCATTGTCGTACCTTTGCGGGTATGTCCTAAAGCAGCCCGTCAGCCTGCTGGCTCGCTTCGTGTGTGCGGGTGCTGGAGACGGACTATTGCGCGGTCCGGGATGAAGAGGTCACCGAGGACCAGTACTAATCTTGAAGCCATTCTTGCTCGAGTATCTGCGTAGTTCCTCCGCCGGCTATCGAGGGCTGTCACTCATATCTGCAGAGCAACCAAGCGTCGAAGTGAGGTGCGGCGAGCTCGGGCCCAGGCCTTCGTTGCGGCAGCGTCCGCCAACTGCCGAATGGACGGGTGAACATCAAACATTGGACTGTTTGACGCGGAATGAAAAGCATCAATCGCAAGACTGGGATCGAGAGCATTCAAGTACAAGACGCACAGCGGTAAAATCTGAGCGGTTCGAAAGTCTCTCGTTGTATCAATATTCAGCGCATCCACGAGACATACAGCTTCCATTGCATCAACATTCAGGAGAAAGTCAATTGAGGCTAGAAACATTTGTCCGACGACCCACCACCAACGAAGAATCTGCCGTGGACTCTGACTCTTGCTCGTCTTATAACTCCATTCTCAACAGCCGCGACAGCATTTCTGCAGGTACAGACACGAATCCATCCATCCACCACCCAATCGCCGACGTCACTCTGGCCGCCCCGCACCTACGCCGTTCATTTTCTCGGGCAGCCTCGCGGTTGCTCACTCCTTCCTCTCCCATCCTGGCTCCCCCACGCGAACGGTTGTCTCTGATATCGAGACACCTGAGTTCTGACGCCAACGTACCACTGCGGACCCCTTTCAGCGTTGAACGCGAGAGTAGACCAACAGACGATCTACCCTGGGAGCCCATTGAGAGGAAGTCTCCAGACGTCCAGCAGAAACGATCGTTTGGGACGAAGACTACGTCGTTGCAAGAAGAAGGAAAGCGAGACCAGACTGTTGCAGACGACAAAGCCAACAAGATGTCTTCTCAAGCCCCTCACCCCGCCCTGCTCATCCCGGGCCCCATCGAGTTCGACGATGAGGTGCTGGCGAGCATGTCCCACTACAGCGAGTCGCACGTCGGAGCGCCGTTTGTCAATACCTTCGGCGAGTGTTTATCGATGCTGCGGAAGCTGTTCCAGACGGAGAACCCGTCAAGTCAGCCTTTTGTCATCTCCGGCTCTGGTACGTTGGGATGGGATCAGGTTGCTGCCAACGTGACCGAGCCTGGTGAAGATGCGTTGGTTTTGCACACCGGATACTTCGCGGACAGCTTTGCGGATTGCTTCGAGACGTACGGTGTGAATGCCACGCAGCTTAAAGCTCCCATTGGCGACCGACCACAATTGGACGAGGTTGAGAAGGCGCTGAAAGAGAAGAAGTACAAGGTCATCACCGTCACACACACCGACACCTCCACCGGTGTGCTCTCCGAGATCAAGCCTCTGGCCGACCTCGTCCACAAAGTCTCGCCCGACACCCTCATCGTCGTCGACGGCGTCTGCAGCGTGGGCTGCGAGGACATCCAGTTCGACGCCTGGGGCATCGACGTCGTTATCACCGCCTCTCAAAAAGCCATCGGCTGTCCCGCTGGCCTCAGCATCGTCATGGCAAGCGGCCGCGCCATCGAAGCCTTCAAGAACCGCAAGTCGCGGCCTAACTCCTACTTCGGGTCCTGGAAGAACTGGCTGCCCATCATGCAAAACTACGAAGCCAAGAAGCCATCCTACTTCGCCACTCCCTCGCCTCAGCTCATCCACGCCTTGCACACAGCGCTGAAGCAGATCCTCTCACAGCCACTCGCAGACCGCTTCGCGCGGCACAAGAAGGTCAGCCAGGGCGTGAAGAAGGAGATCGATGCCATGGGCTTGAAGCAGCTGGCCTCGAAGCCGGAGAACCAAGCCAGCGGCATGACTGCGATTTACCTGCCAGAGGGTCTGACACCCCCTGAGATTCTGCCGACTTTGATGAAGAAGGGTGTTATTTTCGCTGGCGGCTTGCACAAGGAGATTGCGGCGAAGTATATCCGGTTCGGGCATATGGGTGTTAGTGTGATGAGCGAGCAGAGGGATGATATCTCGAGGGCACTGAAGGCGTTGAAGGAGGGGCTGGCGGAGGTGAACGCGACGAAGGGTGGGAAATAGACAAGAGCTCTTGAGGGCCATGTACAAAAGCATAGAGGCCTTGGGTCGTGAAAAGTACGTCCGCTTAGAATATCCAATTCGACAAGATGTGAATGTAGGCACGAGCATTACAATCTACCGTCTCTGGTCGTTCCTTGTTGTTCTAGCTCGATCTTGCCGTGTTGGGCACCACCTCTTCTTACCCTCTTGACGCTCTTTCCTCCCTAGAGGATAGGAAAACATATCACAACGTGAAGTTCAATGTTCTCTTTCGCTTCAGGCGTTCTTCGGCACTAGCGCAAAGCTTAAATCCGTGATCCTTGAAGCTACTCCACGCTGGAACTTTGGGCAGCAGTAAACAATCGAAACAACCACTTCCGCATCTCCGCCAGCCTTCACAACCAGCCGCTGGGCTCCTGGATCACCCACCGCCGGATAGTAGCGAACGGCGGCATGTCAGACACACAAACACCAGAGCCGCGAGCGCTGCGGTCCAGCGTGCGCAATCCTCGAAGACGACCCCGACAGAGCGATCCGGACAGCCTTAAGACGGCACCCCGACGCAAGCGGAGTAAGCTCAACGAGGACACGTTCGCACCGCCACGGACCCAGGAGGAAGAAGTGGTCAATGGATCGATTGAAGTCGCGCCGGCGATGAACGGGGACAACGTTCGCCAGCCGAGCACGAGCAGGCTTCGAGAGGTGTCTAGGGAGGAGAGCGTCCATCATCACGAGAAGGAGATACCCACGAGGCTGAAGAAGAGCAGTGTGAAGAGATCGACGCGTGGCGATGGCGCGACGGTGCTTACGCAGAATGAGCGATACTCAGTCAAGCTGCTTCCCAGCACACCCAAGGAGCTGAGGCGGGCGGACGTGGAGTACAGGGGCAGCCTGGGCGCGGCGCATCATGCGCTGGCTGTCACGCGCGAGCGAGCGTACATCTGGGACTACACATCGCATGTACCGGTCAGCAGCCCGAGGACATTCGACATTCCTTTTCCCGTCAGATCAACAGACGCGCTGCCCCTCGGCGCGCTCGTCGCGGCCGGCAACAGTACGGACATTGGACTGGTACTGGTCTCCGCAACTACCGGCAAAGTTGTGTACTACGACTCCATCGAGCGCGCTGCTTCCTTGAGCCTCTTCCAGGAACGCAAATCTGGCGTGGAAGGCTCTCTTGGCAGCCTGTTCTCTGGTGAAGCGGTCACCGAAATCGTCTCCGCTGACCACGCTGGCTTCATCATCGTCCTCAGCTCCGGCAGACTGGTCCACTTGACCTTGCGAGATGCACAGGGCAAAGCTAGAGTCTTCGCCCAGTTTCTTCGAGCGACCGAGCATGGATCAGGCGGGTTCTTTGGCAGTATCAGGGGTATGATTACGGGTGGTTCTTGGAGGAGAGATGTCAGTGCAGTGCACACTCGGTCGTTGGGGCCCAGAGGACCGATGCAGGCGATATCACTCACGGAAAGAGCTGAATTACAAATGTGGAACCTGGGATGGGCGGGCCAGTACAACTTCAACGGCACGATTGATTGCAGGGAGGTCATCTTGGAAGAGCTCAGGAAGCTAGGGTCTCCTGAGTCTGGTGGACAGGCGGAGGGTATGACGATGCTGGATTTCGCGCTGATGGAGAGGCAATCGAACGGCAAAGAAGCCGCGACACCCGGCGCTGAGAAACCCATCGAAATGGTCGTGCTGGTGCAGAATGGCACTTCAGACAACTGCAGCTATGTCCTTGCTGAGCTGTCGATAGCCGCCATTCGAGCCACTGTCAGTCGGACCGTCGAGCTGGAATCCTATCGCCAGCGCGCTGGACATGATGCGTCTTCGAAACCGCGGCTGTTCGTTCCCAGGCCACAGCATACCGCCTTCGTCACATTTGGAGATGCTATCCTGGTAGCCGAGCTCGAAGGACCCGATTTGGACGGACCCGAAGCGCAGTTGCATGCTTCGTATGTGGAGACAGTCTTTGAAGATACGATCTACCTCAAGCAGTCGCCACGATTCGAAATTCTAGGTGCCGCCGAAGAAGACGGGACCCACCGCGCATCAAGCATTGCATTTGTCCAGGGCGCTGGATTGGTGCGCACAAGTGTCGCAGAACCGTCATCAGTGCCTCGGATGGCAACAGTCCCAGTCAGAAACAGGATCGAACAAGCTGTCTTCCGTGACGCATTGCAAGACGGCAACATCATCGACTTCTCACGAGTCAGCGACGCGCGATACTCCCCTGATGAGGTTGAGCACGCTGCTTTGCGCATAAGCGACGAAATCTTGAGCTCAACTTCGTCCTTCGTCTCGACAAACCCGACATCGATCGAGACGCAACTTGCTTACAAGGCACAAGGACTCAGAGCACTCGTCAACCACGTCCGGCGGAATTATCCAGCTCTATCGAACGCGATCTTTTGGCAGCTCCTCTGGGACGCTGAGAAGGTGGCAGCTGCGCAGCAGATGTGGGCAGCCTTCGAGAAACACAAGGCTGCCAACAGCGAAAAGAAGCACAAACGAGCTGCCACTTTGATGGATGAAGTCTGCGCGCTCGCAGAGCAAGGTCTGGCCCGTGGCTCGGACGTCCCCAGCACCGACGATGTTGTGCGCGACTTCTTCGTCCACCGACTGCGGTATGTGGAGAGGTTGTTGTTCCATGCTTACGACTTCCTCAAACAGCTGCAGGCTGAGACAGATTACGCACCGCAAGCTAAAATGGGGATCTTGCTTGAGGCGAACGATCTCTGGAACGAGGCGCTTGAAGGGGTGTTCCAGTTCCGAATGGACAATGCTGCTGCGTACGGTATCTTACCGGAGTCTCTGCGCGATGGTATTCTCACAGACGCTACTGAGTATGCCGAGCTTCCGGGGTCGTGGACTAGTTCTGAGATCATGCTCAAGGCTTCAGTTGCCATGTGCAAGATTTCGCGGGCGCTTGCCAATGATGAGTACGAAAAGAATGAGCAAGACCCGGAAATGACTCGCTTGGTCCCTGAGGTTGGAAAGGAGATACCCCGCCTGCTTCAGCTTATGTGTCTCATCTACCAGGAACGGATCAACTGGCTTGCTTCTCGCCCCGACGAGAAGAACAGAGAGCTGGCGCAGAAGCTTCGAGCCAACTACGACGACACACGCTACGACCAGTTCCGCGGTCTGGCGGATCTGGCACAGGCTGAGGCTGGGATGAAGCTGGCAGAGAAGCACCACGACATGAACACGCTCACGGAGATGATCGTCGCCGAGACGCAGTTCTCGCTCGAGGCGATGCAGGAAAATGCTTCCGACAACACGGCGATCATGCAGCACATGGATGCGATGACGGCGCGTATCGGGGCATACTTCGATCGCTTCGGCGATGATTGGGCCAATGCGTACTTCGATCAGGTCTTCTCGAGCGGACATGCTGGTCCTATGTTCAATGATGCGCAGGAGCATTGGCAAGAGCCGCTGACACGGTACTTGCGCGCGGAGCCTAGTCGCGCGAAGCTGTGCTGGATCAATGATGTCTTGGCCGACAAGGACTATGTGCATGCTAGCGAGGTATTGTTGGACACAGCGATGAAGCAGGAGTCTCAGATCTGGCACAAGAAGGTGGAGCTGTCGATGTCCAAGCTCGCGCTGCTGGCCATGCAGGAGGGACTGGAGGCCGATGGTGTTGGAATGACTCAACACGACCTCAATTCTTCCATGCCGGATAAAGAGCTTGAGCTTGTCATGGTCCAGAACGAACTCTACGAGCATCTGAGGCCCGAGATTCAGATCGCAGTGGATGAGCAAGGCGCACTGGAGATCACGATTCAGCGAGTCGGCCTACGGAATCAAGACCTTCATAGCTTGAAGTCGCTTCTGCAGTCTGGCTTGGACCGCGTCCTGAAACAGTCGGTGCTCCCAGTAGAAGAGCTCATCGATGTCCTTACGCTTATGGAGAGCATCTTCCAAGAGGACCCCGAAGAGCACAACCTCGAAGGCGCGGAGTTCTTCCTAGCACTCAGAGCACTCAACGCAGCCGCGCCAAACATGTCGCAAGAGCGAGTTGAGATGCTTATGCAGCTCATCTGGAAGCGCTGTTATATCTACGACGACTGGGTCGACATCAACAGCACGCTGAAGCAATCTGGTGACGAGACGGAGGAGAAGCTGAAGAATACCACGCCCTGGCGCACCATCTACTACGCTCTCGACGCCGACTTCTTCAACCAACCCGACTGCTACGTCCGCCACTTGACTCCGAGCGAGTGCATCGGCGCTGCCTGCGCGCGAGAGGACCTAGAATATCGATGGGGCGACTCGGACGTGCTGGACGCCATCATCGCGGACAACAAAATCCAGGACGAGCAGCTGCAGGGCTACATTGAAGACCGCCGGCTCGATGAATGGGTCGAAGCTTGTGTGGCTTCAGCGAGAGGCGCTGTCGACGATGCTGCGGAGGAGAAGGCAGAGGCGCTGAGGGAGGAGAGAGAGTTTAGCGAGTCCCTGTGGGTTAAGGGGAGGAATGGGGGAGCAAATGGGCATGCTAAGGGTGCTGAGATCAAGGTTGAGGATGAGGAAGAGTATGATGGGGTTGAGGGGGATGAGGATGTGGAGATGGGGTAGGTTGTTGGATTAAAAAGGAAAAGGGATGTAGCAGTGTGTAATATGTATCGCGGCCGTGAGGTGCTGCTTGGTGCTGGATTGCATCGGTCCTTGCCATCAACCCAGCCTCAACTCTGTACTCGATGCTTGTGCCGCACGACCTGGTTCGGTTGATCGCCCCGGCCTCCTGCCTGGCAAGGCTGAATGTCCGAAGAAGCATCAAACTCTCTCCACGAAGCTTGAGTTTATCTCGACTCTTCACCACCACTTCACCTTCTTCCTGATGCCGCCAACCAGCCATGTCACTGTACCGGAGGTCGCCCATCGTCAATGAATCCCAGCCACCACTCTATCTGTCAGCCCTGCCCGACCGTTAACCACAACCTCCAACCGAGACGCCCTGTGCGCTCATGTCCCAACTTTAACCGTCGTGCCGGCAGCCACACTCTACCCTTTCGACATCTCCCGTCTCCTTCCGGCAAGGATAAAGACAACTCCATCCCCATCTGGACACAACAAAAGATTACCAGCCGTCTCTCCCGCGCCAGGGTTGTCTGGCACCGCTTATCTGCACCACCAGCGACTCTTCCAGTGAGGTTCTGCAGCGAAGGCACGCCCAGCGATAGGTTTAACGCTTTGTCTGATTTACAGGGGCAAGGTTAAGCATGTCTCACGCCTCCGCATTGGAGTCGCTCAGGCTTCTGTTCCTGGCGTTCCTGCGTCAAGCCGCCGATCTGCATAGATGGGGATCGGCAGGAGGGTAGGATCGTCTTCAGACGGATATATATGTAGGACACATCCTGCTCGTGGCCCTCTTTGTTCTCTTCTCGTAGCTTTCAATAATCGTAATCCACCACTTCGCCAACACAAGCTTCACCAAGACTCTACCTCCAACAACACCACCATGCAATTCCTCACCCTCGCCGCCCTCTTCGGCTCTGCTCTCGCAGCCGACGGCCTCCTAGGCCCGCGCGCCGTCCAACCCTTCTGCTCCTCCATCAACAGCTGCGTCACCACCAACGGCAACCCAGCCAGCGCCACCGCCTTCTGCGCCAGCTACAACAGCATCGCCACTGTCACCTCTGGCACCACCACCACGACCGTCCAGCCAAGCGACTGCGGCTCCGTGACCAAGCGTGCCGACGCTCCTCCAGTCGTCAACGTGCTGGCTCCGTCGAAGGCGCGCTGCTTCAAGAAGCTGCTGGATGGACGTTTGTCGAAGGCGTGCGATTGCTTGAGCATCCCGACGGCGACGGTGGCGGAGTCGACTATGACTGAGACGGCGGTGTGCTCTGTGACTTCTCTTTAGACGGTATCTGAGTCCAAGAGAGGCACCTATGGGAGGGTGAATGGCGGAGGCGCGAGCGTTGGAAAGGAAGAGGGCATCCTGCTTGCCGCTGGAGCTCGAGCAAGCAACATCTGGGTCCCTGCATTCGGACTCAATAGCCATGTATATCGCATTTTCCGGCAGACCGGTTCTTCTTGATCTTTAGTCGTCGTTAATTCACTTCTCATGGCAAATTGCCGATCATATCGTCCATGTATGCAGCCTGGTCCTGAATGAAGGATGCCGCTTGTCCTGGCCTTCTGGAGCACTTCATGGTGATGATTTAGCTTGCGATGGTTGCATCGGGTTATAACGTAGTATCGATGTTCCCCGTAGCTGTCTTTACTGTTAGCATAGAGCGAAATGTTGAGAACGTAGTGCCATCAGCTGGTCGATTCAACGACATGGTGAGTGTTCATTTGCGGCAAACCGCGGCAAATAATGGTTCTGCAGTCATACGCATGCTTGTTGTACAAGAAGATCAAATATCAATGAAAGGCAGCGTACACTCAGCTCCACATACCTTACACATCGAACTTACCTACGTTGCCCGTTACAGGCTGGAATATCGCAGTGACACCAATCTAGAACCAACCAGTGTAGGCCACACCACCTGCCGTCATTAATCATACGAGAGCAGAATGTCGCTCACCCCAAAGGATGACCAGGATCGTGCTGGCGCCAGCAGCAGTCAGGTACCACAGAATGTCGAAGCAGGCCACGTTGAAGGTGCCGGCGACTTCCTGTCCGCAAGCACTCCGGTCCCTAATCCAAGCAGAAGAGACGCCAATGCACAGGGGTCTAGGCACAATCGTGTGACATCCTGGCTTGCCAATGCCGACCTGAGCGAAGTGGCACAAAACATTGTCCAAGACCCTGCAGCGACAGCTTCGAGGCAAAGCATCGCCGAGCCAGGGCAAGTAATATTAGGCAGGGAGAAGATCAGGCTCAGAGAAGAGCCAGACACCGTTCTCACCGCCACGATGATTGCGGACAAAGTGTGTTTTGAGGGGTTCGACGCTCCGAACCAGGCTGTCCTCGACTTGTTTCATCCTCCCGGTTTCCATGAGGATGACCTCATCACGGCTCTGGGAACGGCTAGCATCCACATCATTGCTGCGTGCTATCGGATCCTTAGTGCTAAGCCAGCAGACGAGTCAGCATCACGGTGGCCGGATGAGTGGCATCCCTTCGCCGTAGCCTCCTCAGAGCGTATCAGGAATGCCAGGCTGTGGATGCTTCGGGATCTCGTCGGGATATGCCTGGACATTGCGGCCAAGGTGCGTGCGTGGGAGCAGAAGACAGAGCGCGATGTTCTTGAAGCTGAGGCTGCTTTGAGACAAGAAAGGGAGGCCAATCCACCGGACTTGATATCTGATGTGACAGATACCTCCGAAGGTAGTTCTTGACCTGGATTTATTCTTGCCCTGGCGTTTGGCGTTGTTGATGTGTAGGACAGTTGTATATTTGATGCCGTAATTTGATTTGATTGTGGTCACTTCTTGGTGCGTATCGTCATGCTGTGTATAACACGATGCTCCGTCGGCAGAGACCCAGGATTAATCGTAGCCATGATGTACGCGCTCGCTGTGGCGCAGGCTACGAGGCCGGTGTATCTGGAGGACCTTTACGAGGCATCGTGTTCGTCTGGTCACTGTAAACTCCAAGATTCTTGTGGTGGGTCCACGGCATGTGGTCTCGACGGTAGCAGTCCTTGTCATTATATACGCAGCGAAGTGATGGAAGTGTGGTTCGATGGGAGATGCAGTTCGGAAGCGCGGTCCAGATCGAAGCTTAGCCGCTTGGCGGAGCCCCTTCCCGTGGAGCGACGACTGCGAAACAGACTGTACCACCACCCCCCAACCTCACGCCGTGTTGCACAGCGCCCTTCCGCCGCCACGCACCCTTCTTCTTGCCCCGTACCCTCAACTCACTCTGAAGCACACGTTTTGCACGCACTACCGACACGGCGGTGGTATTCGACACTCCGCCGGAGCGAGGCGGTCAGCACCCAGCGCCTGCGACGTCCGAGAACATGGCCTCATCGAGCAGCAACGTCGTCGGCGTGCACTACCGGGTGGGCAAGAAGATCGGAGAGGGCAGTTTCGGCGTTATCTTCGAGGGCACCAACCTCCTCAACAACACCCAGGTCGCGATCAAGTTCGAGCCGCGCAAGAGCGATGCCCCCCAGCTACGCGATGAATACCGCACGTACAAGATATTAGTAGGCTGTCGTAAGTACAACCACGTGATAGGAGGACACTGAGAGTGTAGGCGGCTAACATGGCGCGTGTTTTGCAGCCGGTATTCCTAATGTATACTACTTCGGTCAAGAGGGTCTCCACAACATCCTGGTAATAGACCTGCTCGGTTCGAGTCTGGAGGATCTGTTCGACCATTGCGGCCGGCGCTTCTCGATCAAAACAGTGGTCATGGTCGCGAAGCAGATGCTGTCTCGAGTCCAGACAATACACGAGAAGAACCTGATCTACCGCGACATCAAGCCCGACAACTTCCTGATTGGCCGACCGAACACGAAAGCTCAGAATGTCATCCACGTCGTCGACTTTGGCATGGCGAAGCAGTACCGAGACCCGAAGACGAAGCAACACATCCCGTATAGAGAACGAAAGTCGCTGTCGGGCACAGCAAGATACATGTCCATCAACACACATCTGGGAAGAGAGCAATCGCGGCGAGATGATCTCGAGGCACTGGGCCACGTGTTCATGTACTTCCTGAGAGGTGGTCTGCCTTGGCAAGGGCTGAAGGCTGCAACCAACAAGCAAAAGTACGAGAAGATTGGTGAGAAGAAGCAGACGACGGCGATCAAAGACCTGTGCGAAGGCTTTCCAGAAGAGTTCAACAAGTACCTCTCATACGTGCGAAACCTTGGTTTCGAGGACACTCCCGACTACGATTACCTTCGAGAGCTTTTCACAAAGGCACTGCAGAACACTGGTGAGGTGGAGGATGGCGAATACGACTGGATGAAGCTCAACAACGGCAAAGGCTGGGACCTGTCAGCGCGAGCATCACAGACGGCGCCACATCGAGAAGGACCAGAGGTATCACGAGTTGCTGTAGCAGGCGGCCAACCGGGCGGTCAAAGAGGATCGAAGGCGCAAATATCAGCCGATCGACTAAACGCAGAACTTCCGAAGCCCGGCCAAGCACGACAAAGCCAACAGCCCGTCAGCAAACAACAGCCGCGAAGACACCACAACAGCCAAGACCTGGCAAAAAGAACGAGCAATGGCATGCAGCTCGATGCACCCGACGCAGCAAGCACGGCTCCGCAGTTTGCGAACAGCACCCCAAACTTGCCAGGCCGGCTTAGCACCCAGGCGATGAACTCACGGCAACCCTCTGGCGTGCAAACCCAGCAGCAGACTCGGCCGGCACCGCAGCAGCAACAGCAGCCGGAACAGAAGGAGGGCTTCATGCAGAAGGTCTTGAAGGTGCTGTGCTGCGGATAGGATCGCAAGCGTGGATTCCGACGTCGCGGTTCGTCATATTGGGATCTCCTCACCCTGGCGAAGCATGCTGAGACTTGACGGCAGGCAAGCAAATCATCGACTACCTGTTCCCGTGAATGGTATCCGCAGAGGCTAGCCTAGATGCACTCCGTTTCGTCTTCATGGTACTTGGTTCTTCTGGACACGGCTGTACCATATTTATCGCACAACTCATCCTTTTCTGGCGAGCGGCTGGCGCGGTCCCACAACATCCTTTCCCCCATGACCCCTCACGCGCCGGCTCCTCTGTGTTACCATTCGGGTACAGGCATTTCATCGGCGCACACACTACACCCATCCTTACCCCACGTCCCTCTTGAACGAGTGGGACAAACTTTCCCGGCGCTGCGCAACGGCGGACAACAACAAAACTGGCTATTCTGGAGGAGGACTACGGCATTGGCGAGGTTTGGATTCCTGTCTTGGACTCAGACGGCGGGACCTTTAATATGACAACAGGCTACCTTTTGCGGCCATCAAACAACACGGATGGATACTGAGCGCTTTCTGGCGCTCGCCTGGCTTCGCTGATTCTGCTACTCAAGAGCTGTTAATGATATTGAAATGGGACGGCTGCTTTTTCATACAGGGGGGCATCTCGGAGGAAAAGGGACGGGTGAAGGGAAAGGATAAGCGTTTTAGCAGGCGTCTCTCAGCGGTTCGGTGTGTGTTTATGAAGATAGCGTGCGTGCGTGCGAGAGAGCCTTTGTAATGATTATACTACATTTTCGAGAAGACCCCATTCGTGCATGCATCTTTTCCAAACATTCTTCATCGTCTATCCAAATCTAATGCTGTATGCCAAATCCACTAATCCCCATGCCCCTCCGGCAGTACCAGACCGTCCTTACACAACACAGCAACCTGCTTGAACAACCGCCTCCAGCCCAACGGATCGCCCTTGGCCTTGATAAACCGCACCTCCAGCACCTCCAGCCCCGTCTGCGTCTGCATGCCAAGCTTCTCCACCACCACGCTACCTTGCAGTAACTGCTGCCGCGCATCGACGGTTTTGAACGGGACATTCACCATGCGCATCCTGCCCTCTAGCGCTTCTTGGGACGGCGTGGGGACGGGGATGTTGAGGCGGTGGAGTGCGGAGAGGAGGAGCGGTAAGAGCTGCGCGAAGCTGAGGATGGACAGGAAGCGCGCCAGCGAGTGCGAGGGCACGATGTCTTTGAATTTGCGCGCTTGTTGGGTTAGCGTCAGGGGCACGGAGGGGGTGGCGGAGAATTGGGACATGGAGGGGTCTTCCGAGAGTTCGGCCAGAAAGGCCGCGTGATCGATTTTTGAGGCTGGGAGGTCCATGTGCGAGGTCAAGGGCTGCGATGCGCTGATACCGGCGCCCAGTCGAGGAGGCGCTTCCCAGTCGAAGGTCACTTCGGCGACGGGGGTTTCTGGCTGGGTGGAGGCGAGTTTTGTCCAGGCGGGGGGTTGGGAGTCGATGTCCATGGCGTCGGGTTGGGATCGGGATTGCTGTTGGGATGCGGGTTTGTCGGCGGAGAAGTCGATGTGCAGGCTCTCGAGCATTTGAGTGGCGAGTTTGATAGGGTCTCCCACTTTGCCCTTGTCGTTGAGGTGGGTGTTTTGCTTTGTGAACCAGGGATGTTTTCGTACATCGGCCATGGTGAAGCGGTCTGCTGCGTCCACCCTCAGCATCCCGCGCACGAGACTAACTGCCGCGCTCGGCACTTTTGTCCACAGCTCATCTTGCGGCTTGCCCTTCGACGTAACGTAGTCGTGATACTCATAGCTCTCCTCCAGCACCGGCGAGTCCCACGGCGTATTTCCAACCAGCAGCACAAACAGCACGATCGCGCAAGACCAGATATCCGTAACCGAAGGATCGTACCCAGCCTTATCCTCCCCATTCTTCCTCTTGCAATTCGCATTTCCCACCGCCAGTATTTCCGGCGCAATGTACGGCGGACTCCCGCATACCATACCACAAGACTTCCGCTTCCCGCTCTTTAGATCCAAATACTGCGTCGCCAGCCCGAAATCTGCCAACTTCAAATTCCCCTCTCCATCCAACAGCATGTTCTCCGGCTTGATATCTCGGTGCGCCACGCCCCTGCCATGACACCAGGATATCGCAGCGCATAGCTGTGTAAAGTAGAAGTGTGCAATCTCCTCTCCTACGCCCTCATCTGCCTCGATCTTGTCGAAGAGATCACCGCCTTCCGCAAGCTCCAGCGCCAGCCATATCCATGCTGAGTCCTCGCCGTAGGTGATGAAGCGGACGATGTTGTCGTGCGGACAGACGTGTTTGTGGAGGGAGAGTTCGATGTGGAGTTGTTTGGGGCGTAGGCGGCCGGCGCGGTAGGCGTGCTCTTTGTTGATGAATTTGACTGCTATGACTGGGCCAGAGGCGTTCTTCGGGGTGGCTTTTCGGATGCTGGGGTGGTTGTCAATACCCACTGGTTTCTGTAGTATTGGTCTGGTACATACCTTGCATACGCTCCGGATCCAATCGTCTTGGATATGATTCTGAAGGGCAAGTTGTTGGGCAGAGGTGCGACTTGCGACTGTCGGTCCCGGTCAGTCCTTGAGTACTTTGGTGGAACGACACTTCATCTTACTCCTGGTGGTGCTCCCATGGTCCAACAGTATGATGTTACGCGCAGTCCAAGAGAAGCATGCAGCTAAAAGGTACTGGACAGATGTATCCCAACGCGAAGTGAGGTCTGTTTGGATGCACCCAATACTTGACGCGAATTAGGCAACTCCAAGCCGAGGAGAAAACAAATCCAGCACAGACGTAGCAACGAGCGACATCCACTTCAACATGCACGTGAGAATTGTTGACAAAAGGTATGTTCGGGTCTCAGCATCTACCACAGTATTATTGTACACGCTCCAGCAGAGCCTGTCCCCAAACGACAGCCTCATCAAGCGGCATCCATAAGCCAGCTTTCGGCACAATGGCCCTCCTAGGGTATCCTTCAATCTCTCCATCTAGGCGACATCTGGTCGCGGCAGCCACTACCATGCTTTCGTTCAGTCTTGTAAAATGCACAACACTCCCAGCAAGCGCCATGCCGCTTGATTCCCTTCCGTTTCCAACGCCGGCCGCAATGCTCGCAAGGAGAGCTGAGATGAATAAGTGGCTGCCGTAGAAAGCCCCCTTCCAACGCCAGACGCCGGGATGACACAAAGAAAATAGTCCGGCTCGCGGTTGAGGGTCGAAAAATCGCCTCTTGTTTGGTGGCAGTCTGATGCCAGAGGAGTGGTGCGTGTCGACATGGCCGGTGGGACAGAATATGAGCGAAGGTGCGCCGAGAAAAGTCGGTGGCCGATGTAGTCGGTTTCCTTTCCCCAGTCCCGAACTTGGTGAGGCGATGTCGTGAAGTGTACGTGCTCATCGGTTGACGATGCCCGCTCGCGCTCAGCTAACCGAAGCAGCGGCGAAGTTGTTGATCAAGCTCTCGAGGTTACGCTCCCGCAGCATTGCCGCATACTTGGGCTCCCTGAAGAACTTCGGTACGGAGTCCTGCAACGCTGTCAGCATATCACTCATCACCATACGGGTTCGGTGTAAACTCACGCTAGCCATCAACTTAAAGACGCTACTCTGCGCCTGATCGAACAACATCGCCACCTCATCCAGACTATGCAGCATCTGCTCATCCTCGCCCACCGCCCTCGTCATCCGGCTCGCAAGTGCATTTCGCAGGTTATGGTCGATGTTGAGCTCGCAAGGTGAGCCAGGGGCGAGGAAGGCGTTGTACAGGCTGTATGCGGATGCCAGCGTTTCCCGGATCAAGTCGAGCTTGGGTGGCGCGCCGTTGCGTTTTGCCCGCTCGTACTCGCTCAAGAACGCCTGGACTTCGACGTAGAAGGCTAGGTTCTCCTCGCAGTGCGTCTCGGACAGGTACTCTCTGAACAGCAGCCGTAACGCTGGGTCGCGCACAATGACCGTCATCCGGTTCGTGTTGGAGTCTCTCGACACGCCTTGCGGTAGGCGTTGCTGCGCAGTGGCCTCTCCGTTCACAGCTCCGTTAGGCTCGGTGATCCAGCCAGCTGCTCGCATGCCCTTCTGTGTCACCGCGTACATCGAATGCTTCGAAGCCACAAACTTGGCGCTTCTGTCTTCGCTCGCCGGCTCGATCAAACCGTAGCTCATGAAGAAGTTCGCCAGCTCAAACACCTCGCGCTTGTCGACCAGTGTGCAGCAATTCATCAGCCAGTCGAAGCCGGACTTGCCGGTGAAGACGTATGGCGAGTCCTTGTCTCCTCTTCTCGCCCGCTGCATCCGTACACCCACTAGTCCTGTAGCGTAGTCGTTCAGGGAGTCGGAATCTGATGCGGTGGAATTGGACTTGAGATTCGGTCCTGCATCGCCCGCGAACCGTCGGAAGATCACATTGATCGTAGACGCATCGCTCATGATCTTGTCCGTATCCGTCTCGCGCTCCAGAATCACCAGCTGCATCATGTTTCGTGCCGAGTCTAGCAGCTCATTGACGTGCCGCTGGTGTATGCCATTCCGATTGCAGAAGCGTCCCAGCACACACATGCCCTTTGGCGTGAGCTGCCATACCGAGCTCTTCGAGTTGAAATCCGTCTTGCCCTCCACTGACTCCACGAATCTCGCCTCCAGAAATCTGTGACATACCGACCGCGCCATCTCTTTCGCCATCGAGAACGTGGTCGTCGTCGTGGTTGTGACTATTCTTGATGGATCCTTTGGATCTGGCATGCGGTTTGATTGTGAGAACTTTAGCGAGCCAAGGTTCGTCATGGCTTCTTCTGTGGTAAAGGTGTGTTCGATTCGTGTGAACCGTACTCGATGGGGTGTGAGTGGTAGGCTGACCATGAGGGTCGAGAAGAGGTCCTTGAAGTCCTGCGGTTGCAATGATTAGCTTCGTATCCATGGGAGAAAAGTATACCATAATTGCTTTCGTGTGCTGGCGCTGCAGTCGGTGCTAATCGACATGCCTCTTCAAGCCCGCCATGCCCCCTTCCACCAAAACATGCCAGCCAATGCCAAACAGGAAGCACATGTCAACGAATACACGGATGGAAAGACTTACTCTTGTGAATGGCCGCTCATCGTCCGTCATGCGGAGCAGCTTGGAGGAAGTTTGATGCATCATTCGTGGCTTGTTCTGAGCCAGTCGCTGGTAATGTTCCAGTGCTGCCGCCGAGTCGTAATCCCTCTGAAAGTCACTGGCCGTGGCGAGCCAGAAAGATGCGCGGGACGGATAGTCTTCTAGAGATTTGGCGTCGGACTTGTCAGACAACGTCGACTCAGAGCTGCTGTTCGACAGCAATGCCAATGTCTCGGGTCGCTTGTGGCTGGCCGCACGCAAAGGCGAGACCTCTGGTATCCGCGGCGGGACAGTCTCGCCTTGCGGCTTCTGCGCTGGGTGAGGGTGGTGTTGGATGCTCCCGCGCGAGCGTATGCGGCCTAATGATGCTAAGCGTGAGTGGCTGCGGGACTTTATCGACGGTGCCGTCTTCGTCTGTGAATCCAGAGTGGTGTCGGTGGCGAGGCCGCCAGCAGAGGTGGTGGTAGCGGATGAGGAGGGAATGGGCGTCGACGGTGCGAGGTGCGGCGTGCTGATTACGTCAGGCGCATGGGAAGAAGGGGAACTCGTGGCGTCGCGTGGTGGTGGACGGGCGGTGGAATGCTTATAAGGAATGCGTGAGGCAATGGTAGAGAGGGCGGAAGGCATGGGAGTCTTGAAGCAGCAGGGCGAGTGGGTCGCTGGATATACTAACAAGGGTTGGACGGCAAGCTAGCCAGCACCACGACTCTTACTCTCACGCCGCAGGCCAGTGCGGTCAGATTGTGTGCTGATCGATGGGCAGAACATCCGTGCTCTCTCTCACGCTGCTGCTGGGGTCCGAACTCAGTGCAGGCAGTTCGCCAGAGTGGAGCTGGGCCGGCACATCCAAGGTCTGCAGGGATGGCAGAAGCATGCTCTTCTCGTGACTACACATTTTGTCGAGACGAGGCAAGCGCCGCCGTCGGCCAACACTGTCTGGCGGCAGCGCGACTGGCCGGCGCTGCTCTCCTCTGTGCTCGACTGTTTCATCTCGACGAGCATGCTGTCTGGGACGGTTACGGGTATGCATGTCGAACTCTACGCCTGACGATAAGACAAATTCCCCCAAGGCCAACTGCCGGCGGCGGGCAATCTTCACAATCGGTCTGCTCCTCCATCTCCTCCACAATGCATCACCATTCACAAAGGATCTACGGCGACGCTCTGCTTCCAAATTCGCCATTGCTGCCGGACGCTACGCTGCACGCAGCAATACCCCCGGTCGGTATCCGGCATCGTTTCAGTTGGCAAGGCTGGCGCTCACCGTCCCTTCCCAACTCTAACAGAACTTCTCCTCACTTTCGTGACAATTCCGAGCCTGGCGATGATAAGCTTGCATTTGTGTGAGTAACAGTATCCAGAGGCAATACCCAGCATCGCAGTGCGCCAAGAAGGCCGTCGATGATCCGCGGTCATGGACGACGGCGAGGCATGCAGATGAGGAGAGCGGATGCGAGCCGCATGCTGCCTTTCGGTGGAAGACGAGCGTCGACGTGTCTCAGCACGAAAATAACTAAAGTACTGTGAGATAATGCTGGTGCAGCCTTCCACGCTGTCTCGCAACTTTTGACAGCTCGTGTGCGAAACATGCACCACCAATGCACGATCAACGCCATTCCCGCCGCAGGCTCGCCGCTCAGCACGTGGTGCCTCGTGGTTAATCTGACCAGCGCCGGTCCAATCATACCAAGGCCTTCCATGTCTCTGCATGCAGCTGCACTGATTCAGGATGGCCACCAAGCTCGCATCGCAACGATTGCGAACTCGGCGGAAGCACTCCTTCGTTGCCCTTGTGACTGCTGCAATCCTCAAGGCGAGCGGTGCGCTAATCTCGAAACAAAGCCGGCGATGCCGCCTTAGCCGGCCCCATTGCGGATCGCGACACTAGAAGCAGCGTGGAAGAATCTCGTGAGCTTCGATGCTAAATCTATAGATCATCTTAGGTAACGAGAGCACGGCCGCCAAGAGGTGATAGTGCTACAAGCACTGGAACTTTGCGCAAAACGCCAGCCGCCTCTCGAAGGGTCTCTACCGCCCCTTTACCTGAAGCTCGGTGTTTATCACTGAAGGAAGCAAATTACGGAGGAGGTAGGCAGGTCGCGGGGGATAGCATGCTGAAGAGATGCACTGGAAGGCGGAAGAGGGTGCATCGTCCGGCGGTACCGTTCGCTCCTCGCTCCTCGACCCTCGACTTGCCGATGTTGTAGCACCTTTCGTAACAGAATCATCGCACACCCATCTGGAGAACAGCAGATTGCCTGCAGTGCCATGTGCTGGCTTGCAGCTCCACAGCCCGAGAGATCCACGAGGCTGGGACCATGTAACACAGCGCGAGTCATTGGAAGACGAGTTTCTCCGAGGCTCTCTGCAATACCGCTCCACAGCCGTATGTCGTGATGCTCAAAGGCCGTCAAGATCTCCCTTGTGCGAGGAGAAACCGCACAATCTGCAGACATTGGTGTCGGTGGTTTTACTGTGTTCACTCGCACACCCGCAGGCATCCGCTCAGCACAAACGTAATCGTGTCCGCTTTGGTGGGCTGTCATCCCACCCACACCATCATCACAAATTTTGGAATTATCCCTACATTTCGCCCAGCCGGCCGGCAAGATGGACTGGCCCTCTGGATCGTACCAAATACCCATCAAGGCCGGCGCTTATCACGCCCTCTCCACACTTTCGGTGGCTTGCCCAGACACGACGGCTGCCACGTGGTCGCTGAACGCCTCCAAACGCCATCCGCGCTCTAGAACCATGAGAAACTTCCACTCCTCGGAACGGAACACATTCCTTGTGGCACCCACCCGAATCACAACGTGCATGCATTCATCTCAAGACGCACAAGCCTTCTCAACCACGTGGCGATGGGTAGCACAAGACCAGGGTGTCGCACGTGGCAATCTCCACCTTGAGGGTTGTGATGCGGTGATGGAAGGATGGGTCTCTGCAGTAGTGTTGCGTTGGAACGTTTGGTCGAGCCGCGATGGCGGGCCTGCCGACTTGACTTCCATGTTCTTCTTGTCACGATGAGCAGGGCTTCAAAGCCTTCGACACACCTTATCTCGTCTGATGATACGCAATGGATCGATCGCGCAGGCCTGCTCCGTACGCAGGGCCATCGGGGCTACTTGCATGAGCTGCATCCATGGTTGAAGGATGCCCATACTGCGTACCAAGGATCGTGAAGGCAGAGGTCTGCAGCAATACGAGCGGGCACCCACGGTATGGTCGACGCCAGGAGATTCAAACAAATTGTTTCGGCTTATCCGGCCACGTTTATGGTTGCACGAAATGGCCGATGCGTCGCTTCTCCTATGGATCGTGTCGGGTTGCTGATGGTGCGCATCATCATGCATCGAAGTCCGCATGCCGAGCATACTGCCGACAGTTTCATCGGGCCAGCAGGATAGAATGAGGCGTCTGCGGAACCTCCTCATCCCCGAGCAATGATAGTCCGCCAACGAGAGTAACGTGGCCTCTTGTTAGAATCGTGTCTGGGAGAAGACACCTTGAACCGCACCTCAGACTGGATCTGTCCGGTGCGCTTTCACTGCCACTTGCCTGCCCAACGCCGACGACGACGAAGCCTGGGTCGCCTGATGAAAGGTGAGTCGTTGCTGTCACGGGAACCTGGTCACTATCGCCACTATTTTCTGAAGAGGATGTCGCACAGCAAATGCTTCCAGATGGCCCCTCCGGTGCCGGCAGGTATAGGTGTTCGACTACCACATTTTCAAAATCATGCCTAGTGAGCCTAGCTGCCAGGCTGTTAGTCGGGACTCAAACGCAGGTGTTTCGGAAACCGCGACCACCATGGAAGGCCTGTCTACGCTTGCGAGGCCCGCCAACGACTCGCTTGCCCTCATCCGAGGCCAGATTCTTTTGCTACGGCCGGGATAGCGTGGGATGAAGAAAGGTGAGACAACTGCGTGTTTTGCACAGCATCTCTCTTTTTCTTACCGCGCTCTTGTCAAGTCTCGCAAGTTTCGCTATCAAGTCTCGCTGTCAAGTTTCGTATTTATTCCCGGGCCGGCACTTTTATAGCCGGGGCCATGACATGGTCCTTGCTGCTAGCTGTCAGCAGTTTAACCGCGACAGCTCTAGGACAAACGGACGCGAACCAAACCACCGCCATCATGTGATGCTCACGTAACTTCCATCGGCGATCGTACTGCGAGAGAATCCTTGACCATAACGCCGCAGCGTCGCATCTCGGTCAAAGCCGAGGGCAGCTGACCAGTGTCGGTATGCCGGGCTGGAGACAGGCGAGATTATTACCTCCTACTCCATTTCCGAATGCATCGACTGCCGACTTCCGAATTCTGCTGGATGCTGATACGCGAGGCTCGAGCCTGACCACCACGCAGGGCAGCCGGCAAGACGCTCAAAGCGGCGAAGGTGTGATGAGACATGCTTGATCACACCACTTATACGCCCGCCGCCTACCTGAAGCGAGAATGTGAACCCCCTCACAGGCTCGGAGAGCGAACATCCGACGCCGAGCTGCTTGCATGCATCGACCGAGCGGTGTGTGTGTCTGCAATGAAACAGCAATGTCAAGCTCGGATGGACCATGTCCGGCTCGATGAGGCCAGACGAAGCTCGCGTGTAACGAAGCACGATATGTATTCCCGGCCACGTCACGGCATACTGCTCTATTCGACGCCATGGACATTCCGAAGCCAACACTGCACTGGATATGAGCCAACCTTGGCTTGAGCTACCTACACCACACTAACTATATACCTGTCGCTTCTCAGATATGCCAAGTCAACAGATCGGCCTTTTAGGCATCTGGAAACCACCACGGGGCCCCTACCTCACTTCTGCCAAGTGATCAAGCCATTCTCGGAACCCTCCTCATCATCATCCTCGGTCACAGAGAGGTTATGTTCCTTCCTATAATTGAACTCCTTCCTATTATTGAACCCGATTTCTGGGTGCACATGGGTGTTCAGCGCATTAGGTGCAACCCCCTGGGTTCGACGGAAATCAGCTTGAGCGGCTTCAATGCGCTCTTGAGTCATGATACCTCCGCTTCCGATGTTGGCCCAGTTATGCACTTCCTCAACCGCTTGCAGGCACGTGTGAAGCGTGTACCGGAGAAGGGACTCAGGTGCCTCCTTGATCCGGTCTGCGCCATCCGAAGTTATCGGCACCCAGATGCCCAAGTAAACGGCCGCCCCTGTGTGGCCGTCCCCGACTTCCTGAAGGCGACTGCAGTTGTCGACTATCACCTCGCCCGCGAACTCGATTGCGGCAGCCAGGTCGTCGACGCCGGGATTCAGCGCAGTGATCAAGGCCATGTTAGGACTTGGAGCACCATCCACGGCGACTTTCGACGCCATGATCTTGGCCGCCATCTTCTCGCCGGTCGTCACGCCGTACGTGCTGTGAGCTTCTTGGGGAAGAGCTGGGGTGCTCGCATTGTCGCCCAAACGGTTCTGGCTGGCACTTCTGGTGGTACGACTGGGGCTAGTACTGTCGCTGGGGAAGAAGTATCGGTCCTCGTTACGAATACTTTCTGGTGAACGGGTCTCTTCAGGGGCTGGGACTGCGAGTCGGTCGCTGCCACGGCCCCTGGAGTTGTTGCGGCTGGCATCTCTCGCATTGCTGTGGCGCCCACGACTCGATCCTTGGCTCTCGGATTGCTCGCGGTCAGAAGAATCGTCCATTGCTTACTAGGTCTCGGCTTGTAATTGGACTTCGAGGATGTATATGGAACGGCTGGGTACCAGTGGAAGGTGTGGACTTCGCTGGAGTGAGCTCAGAATGTGTTGGAAGAAGTTAAGGAAGAGAAGTTGAATGTTACACTGAGATAAGTACTTGCGTTCGAGGATGCCAACTCATACTCGACTGTGCTCTATGAGCCATCCTTTGCGCTACGCATATTACTTGCTCAGCAGACCACGGTGTAGCAGACAACAAACGTGTGCGAGCGTGTCTCGAGGCACGCCATTCCATGTGCTTCCAGCTGCGACACATCGGCGTACAACACAACGCTAGCGACACTCAGGGCCAGGAGATTCCGAGAGATGTTTCGTCCACTTAGCGATGGCTCTAACTACACTGCTTGTGCCATCCTACAGTGGACTTCAGACAAGATTGTCACGGAGAAAATATCCTTGATATCAAGCTACTTGTACTGAGATCCAGTGGCCACCTGGCCTTGTCGCTGGAGTCTGCATATCAGACAGCAAATTAGCTAAACTACTGCTAACAAATTGAAGCAAGTGTACGACCAGCATCCACTTACAGCTTTCACCACTCTGTGTCAGCTGACCGATCCAAGTCCCTTTGGCTCCAAAAGCAATACAACAGCAACTCACCCTTGCTACTCTTTGGTCATTTTCTTCGTGAAGTCGAACCTAGGATCCTTCTTCTCCGGATTCGGGTTGACCCAATTCCAAACCAAGGCAGCATCTTGCATGCACTCGAAGAAGTACTCCCGATTCTTCTCCTTTGAAGCCTTCCGGTCCGATAGGTAGCCACCACTGCTACGAGCGTCGTACTTCCGGAAGTCCTTCAAGAACCCTTCACCAACGGACTCGCCCTGGGCCTTCCTCATCGAATCGCAGGACTTTACGATCCAGTCGCTGCCAATCTCCACGCCATCAGCGAGGTCGTCGGCACTGGCGTCCAAGACTTCGAGCATCGACATACTTGGATGCTGTAAGCCATCTTTTGTCACCTTGTGAGCAACCTTGCGGGCCAGATCGGTTTCTACGTCTCCCTCCATGTTCGGACGCACGCCGTATCGCAGACCGATCATCTCTCCGTCGCTGTACTTGGCCCTCCACTTGGAAACCGCTGAACCGTTAGAGATTGACAGTCCGTCTAAACCGAGGAGGTCGAGGTCCATTAACATGTCAAGTGAGAAGTCGTCAATTGTCTTCGGGATCTCCCTCTCCTTTCCATTGTTTTCGACAAACTTGTCCGTATGTTTTGTCTTTCCGGTAGCAGACAGCTTGACCTTTGGCTTCGGCTGCGCGGGCTCCGACGGCCACAGCCCATATTCTCGCTTACTCCAAAAAGACAGACATTCGGCAAGGTCGTTCAGGCACGCGGCAAAGAGACTCAACTCCTCGCCCGTCTCCGCGGCCTTCCAGATCATCTTGGAGTTTTCAAACATCACCATGATGCAGTCCCAGTGCGACGTCATCTTGTATGTCCGACTCAAGATCCAATTCGGTGGCTTGGAGTCGCCGTCGCCGCGCTGCACCTTCATAATGGTACCGTTCATCGACACCAAAGCGGTGTTAAAAGCCCACGAAAGAGTCACGGTATCAGGCTGGATGTCTTTCAGCAGTCTCAATGAAGGAGGTTTCTTGCCCTTGATCACAGCACTGGCAATCTCTCCGGCGGCGTCCCATTGGGGACAGTCGATATTGATGCCATACTCTTCCCGAGCGAACATTCGTCTCTGGTCTTTCTCGAGAAGCCCCAAGAAGTACGGGTCGTCCTCTGCTCGTTCGGCCTCCCACAAGTGTTGCTTGAGATGCTTGGCCCACTGGCATGCCAGTGCTACTTCCTGCAGGCATCCAGAGAAGAATCGCAAAGCTTCTGGATACTCTTTGGCTGCAGCCTCACGACTGGTGCCAGGAATGAGCCGCAGATCCTCAGGGAAGACATTTTCCGCTTTCCACTTCACCCAGAGACCGTACGCTCGAACAGAGACCTCCTCCGGGGCGTTCATGTACACCTCAAAGAACACGCCTTTGACATGCTCGGCTGTGGTGTTTACCGCCTTCTCGATATCCGCCAGGCTCGGGGCGAGATGGACCAGAAGCTCGAGGTCAGGAGGCTCTCGACCATTGAGCATTTGAGGCGCGATCGTCTGCGCTACCTTGTCGTTACTACGCTCGTCGCTGGACCTGTAGACGCTGTAATCGACCAGGGCCCGGAGGTTGAGCTTGTACACATTCTCGTTGAAGGGTTTGTACACTCTGTCGGGTTTGCGGCAGCCAGAGCAAGTGGCTTCCTTGCAATTCGTGCAGGTTTTCGGCGCCATCATGGACAGCGGGAGTGTTGTTTGTTTGGCGAAAGACCTGTTATACGCCTGCTGTTTGGTAAGCGGGTATAGGTAAGTGGTGATAGGAGCTCTGAGTCTCGATTGACCAACTTATACACTGAGCCATGGCTTGTAGAGTAAGTCCCGAAGCAATTGACAGTAGTGAATGACGGAAGACTGACTGTGCAACAGCAAGCGCCTCGAGACCAGCATGACCGCGCCATCGCGCGCCTTCACTGAAGCACACAACAAGCTTGAGTGTCACAGGTCTGTCATGGGCTGCGCGAAGCCGTCGGTCGGTGTTCCTTGAGCCCAAACAGCATGGCGAGGGCCTCGTGGACTCTTCCGACCCTTGAGCAATGCCACAAGGTCGATGGTGAACGACTGCTACGGTAAAGCCTTCTGCTACGAGACCACGTTCCAAGGGCGGATGCCCTGTGGGCCCGCTACTACTTCGCTGGCGACCTCTCCAATATATCTGGCACCGGTCAAGCTGTAAGTGCAACGAGCCTTTTCTAGTAGCTTTTTTTGGCGGCTGTCCAGGTCATCGGAAGAGACGGATGTATTGTTGGCGCTGCACTGAGCGGCAGCAGTGCTACGATGGCAGGTATTCGTCACATACCATAGGTGGTGGGACAATATCTGCTCACAAATCATGTTTCAGATGCTAAGCATTTTATTTCATGACTTACTATGCTGCTGCTTGCTCGTGCATAAGCATACGGCCGACCCATCATGTCACAGCAAGCCCGCTCGAAAAGTCTGCCAGATCCCATCCTCCTCACCCATCTTCCACCTCTCACCGCTTCTTCCTCTTCGTAGTCAACCAGTCCACCACCGTCTTCACTGGCACACCCAGCACACTACACTGACTCTCACTCCGCACCACCTGTAAATACTCTTCTTGCGTGAGGTAGTATTCTTTGCCCGGTCCCTGCCTCCAGTCCACAGCAAAGATCGTGTCCGGGTCGATCGGTGAACCCGCTCGCTTGAGCACTTTGGCTGATGCTGGGGACTACTTTCCAATCAGCAACGCCCGACAAAGAAACCAGCAAGGACGGGCGACTTACGATGAGCCTAGCCATCACGACACACCCGTCCTTCCCCAAAAACGTCTGCGCAAACTGCTCCACTCCCCGCACATCGTTGTGTGATGCCTTCCGTATTCCCTTCATCAGCGCTACAGCCATATCGATCCATTCCTTCAACAGTTTCGCCGTCGGCATCACCACAACCCTCCCGCGGCGCACGATCATGTTGATCTGCTCATGCAGCGCCAACGCGGCGTAGACATACGCATCGCTAACCTCACGCGTCTTCATACCCTCTGCCTCCCTCAGCTTCGCGGTGAAGAAGGCGCAGTGGACCTTTTCCCGCGAAGTGAGCGGCTTCGAGAGCGGCGGCTGGACGACCTCCACCACGACTCTGTCCTTTCCTCCCATCGGGTGAGCGCCGCGCGGATGTTCTTTGTAGCTCCACGGCTGCTTGCCAGCACTCTTTGCAGCCAAGCCTGCGAACAGCTTCCTGCGCATATCGCTCACCTCCCCTTCCTTCCCTGTCAGACTGCAAGCGCGACACTTGCAAACGAAGCCGTAATTGCTGTGGAGATGAGTCTTGCGATCCTCTCTCGTCCCTTCCAGCACCAGCGCAATGTAATTGAGGAATATTTGCTCGCCCTTGCCGATGCGCTCCAGCGCCACCACTTTGCTGTCAGACTCTAGATCCAGGTCCGTCATCTGGGCGTTCGGAGTACAGGCGTGGTTGACCCGCGCGATCTTGAAGAAGAGTAACACCATGTCGCCATGGCCGAAGGCGTTAGCTTCGAAGATGCGCTTGAGGCGGGAAGGCGAGGGGTAAGGTCCTTCGTGCAGACTGAGAAAGGTCTTTTGATCGGTGGAGCTGAGTTCGGTGAAGGCGTGTTCAACGTGTTGAGCGCTCACGTCGGGGCCGTTGCGGAATCTCATGGCGAAGGTGTCGTGCATGATGACATCGCCGGGGTCGAGGGCGCGTGTTGCGAAGACGCCCATGCCGGCGCCGGGGGCGGGCTTCACTTCGTAGGGGTCAGACATGGTGCCGTGTTAGGTGGTGGCTGACCGCGACAGAGTCCAGTGTTTGTGGTCGCGGACCGGCTGAAGGCTGCGCGGCGAGTGGTGGTTGATGTTCGGACAAGTTGGTACCGGGGTGAGGTGAGGCCGGGGTGGCAGCCTGGAGGAAGTTCCCCTTCACCGAGCAGTCAGCAGCGCGACCAGACGCGATGGAAATCGGCATACACGCGCTTTCCCGCGAATAGTGAAACAAAACCGGCCCACAAAGATGAGTGAATGACCAGACCAGACCGGCCGGTGAGGATGAGTGAATGTTTTAGTGAACACTTTCACGTGTTACGACACGCGTTTGCAATAACTTCACCGACTGGCCACCTGCATGTGAAGCCTGGGCTCTCTGCAAGCACCCTTGGCAAGCCGTCGAAAACAAGATGAACGTATCCCGAAGGCAATTGAGTATCTACCTGCCAGCATCGTCAGCATCCTGCGACACCACCCTAAACCGGAGGACATACCTTGTGAGAACCACATACTTCTCAAGGGTTCAGCGAGCCACCCAAAACGAAGCTCAAGACTCACCACCAAGCACAAGAGACCAAATGGTGTGCAAAGAGATCTCCATTCAACAACCACAATCTACCTACTCAAACCCCCCTTTCTCCCCCATCACCACCTCCACACTCAACATCCCTTTGCACGCTTTTCATTCTCATATTTATTCAACGACCGCCGCCTCCTTCCCCCTAAACAACATTCACCATCCGCACGCAGTCTTATCCAGCTCCCCGGCCACTGCCGTACTCAGGCCCGTCTTCTGAGCAACGACCGCGCTTTTCTCTGATTTTCGACTTCATAGCAATGAATGCCGTCTGCACAAGCTTCTTCAGCAATACGCACACCCAGCAGCGATAGCCGTCCCCTTCTTCGTCTGTGGCATCTGCCATCAGCAACTGCCTCAATCCACGACCGTGCACGTGACTGTTGAAGCTCACCTCCTTCGTCTGCCGTCTGCAGTTCCTTCAATCCCGAAGGCCTCGTGTTCTCCGTCGTTCGTCGTTCGTCTGTTAAGCGAAAGACATCTCCCTCGCCTTTCCATTCCTTCTGTTAATGCCTGCTCAAACGAGAACGAGCTGCATCCTCTCTTCTTGTATCGACTACGGCGCATTCTCAGCGCGTAGTCCGCGCCATGTCTGATGTAGGCGCTTGCTTCGATAAGCAATAATCTGTCATCGTCCAGCTCCGCGACGGTGTTGTGTCGTCCAGAGAAACCAGCGTCGTACGCTCATGCGTCTCGTTCTCCCTCTTCGTCCGGCCGCACGTCTCGCGGCCTTGAAGCCGCCACCGAGGCAGTGATCTGTCGGCCATGCGTTCCTTTCAGAACGACTGAAATGCATGCACCCTCCATCCAAGAAATCCATATCCACCATTAATGCCAAAAAGATAGCCATCCACCATATTCACCCCTCCACCTCATTTCCCCTCATCCCCCTGCCCGCCCATCGCACCACCACCATGTCCGGGACTCGGGCCCATCGCCGGCGCCGCATGCCCTCCGCGCGGCGTCATCTGCGGGTAAGCGCCCTGGCTCATCTGCCGGTGCTGCAGGTGGTAGGGATGCGGGACGCCGGGTCCAGGGAAATGCGGCGGCCCCGGCTGTTGTCCGCCGGGACCCATCTGGCCCATGTTCATGTTCATGCCTCCGCCCATCATGCCGCCCATGTTATGCTGGGGCTGGAAGCCTTGGTGGGAAGAAGCATGCTGCATCATGTGGCCGGAAGGCCGAGGGCTGCCGGCGTAGCCGCCAGGGTGCATCTGGGGTTGGGCGTGCGGTGGCATGGGAGAGAAGTTCTGCTGTTGGGGGTTGTGACCGGGGTGTTGACCAGGCATAGGTGCGCCCGGCATGAAGTTACCGCCGTGAGGTTGGTTGGGCATCGTGCCGGGCATCATCTGTTGGTTGTAGCCCTGTGGCGGTCCGCCGCGCTGGAAGCCTTGGTGGCCTGGCACTGAGGTATCATTAGTAACGGCATCCCGGTCGTGTGGATGACGCGACTTACTCTGGTTCTGCGGATGCATCATCATGGGCCCGTTAGGCGGCATGTTCATCTGCCGGTACTGCATGCTCGGGCTCATCTGATACCCTTGCATCTGCTGTCCGGCAAATTGTGGCATCGGCATCCCCTGCATCTGTCCGTTGAACGCCATCTGCTGGTGTTGGAAGCGTGGCGAGTTCTGCACAGAGCCGTTGGGTCCGAAGTGCGGCATGCCAGGCCCATAGCCCTGCGGGTGAGAGTGATGTGGTGGCGGCAAGAAAGGTGGGCGTTGAGAGGGTGTCGGAGGCTGGCCATGCATGTGAGGTTGCATCTGATGAGCATGCGGCATCTGGCTGGTGCTCTGGCTCGGCGTGTGCATCTGCGAGTGTGTCTGACTGGGAGGTTTGGGGATGGAATCTTGGTACGACATGTTCATGTGAGCCTCCTCAAATGGCCAGGTTGGTGGGGTGCGGTACGGCTGTGGAATGCCGCCGTTCGTAGTGAAAGCCTTCTTTAGCTCTTCAGGGTGCTCTGCCTTGAGCATACGCTTGAGGGGGTTGGTGGCTTCACTGGGCCCTTTCTTGCTCTTGCGTCCGGCGGGCTTCTTGCCCTGGAAGAAATCCGCAGTCTCGGTGACTGCAGGGCTAACTTTGCCCTGGCTCCGCTGAGGGCTCGGTGATACACCGGTCGGCGTGAAAGTGCTGGCTGCAGGGCGGAACTCGAAAGCTTTGGCGCCTGCATTGAGACCTTTGCTTGGGCTCAATGGACCAGCGTCGACAGGAGCAGCAGCTCGTGGCGGAGGGATGCGCAAGTCGGCTGGTAGTGGCTGTGGTGCAGGGATTCCGTTGCGACCATATGGGCGGCCTTGTTGAGAATTGCCTGGCCGCTGTTGTGACTGCATTGGGCCAGAGAATTGAGGGATCCGCATATTGGGCGCTGCACGTGTTCTCGATGGGGCTGGCTGAGTGAACGAGGTACCGGCCTGTGAAGTAGCCGTGCTGGCCTGTGGTGCTGTGGCAGCGGACTGTGACGCTGCGCTGGACTGTGCAGGTGAAGTGGCACTGGCAGCCTTGCGCTTCTCCCTTTCGCTACGTCGAGCAGCGTCGTCCTCTGCAGCCTGTTTGGCCTTTTGCTGAATTTCGATTTGCTTCTCCCGATCCTTTGCGAGGATGGGCACGAGGTCATCAGGCACCTCGCTCTTCAACGTGAACATTTGGGCAAACTTCCGCAGATCGTTAAGCTTAACCTCTTTGTCGGCCTTCATGCCCATCTTCCTCATCTCCTGCGCGTTCTTAGCCTTCAGCTTCTCATCGTTCGCGAACCGCTTGAACTGGTCTTTGACGTTGCGGACGTGGTCTTCAGCGGTGGTCTCGGTGGCCTTCGCTGCGCTCTGGCTCCCGTCCGTGACGTTTCGGCTGCTGCTGGTTTGCGACGTGACTTGCGAAGTACTGTCGGGGGTACGCAGGCCTGAGGCATTCTTGGGTGTTTGCTGCGCAGTCGCCGCCGTTTGCTGGGTCGGTGCTGGTGACGGTTTGGCCAGCGAAATGATGGCGGGATCATAGGGAGCGCCAGGCACAGTGGGTAAATTCGTGAGCGGGCGTTGCGATGGCGGCACGTATGCGCCAGTGGCTCGCTTGGGTAGGGCGGAGGTCTCCCGCTGCACGCCGGAGTACTTCTCTTCCTCATCCAAGCCCTCACCACGCTCTGCATCTCTGCGCCTCTCCTCCGCTACGTGAGCGTTGGAAGGAGCCGAGCCTTCGATCTCACGAGCGATCCTGGCGGCTTCGGCTTCACGCTGTCTATAGCGAGGATCGTCTCTGTTGATCTGGGTCGTGTAGATGTTCTCATCGTACGTCGATGACACTCCGTACATGCGCTCGTTGGCAGCGAATTGATCCCAACCAGTCTCGCCCGAAGCTTCGAGCGACATGTCGATGTTCGAGTCAGCGCCGGCATCCCAGCGCTGCAGCTCGCGCTCACGTGGTTGCGAGGAGTCTCTCGCGGAGATCTCTGTGTCAGTGCGGAAGGACGAGCCGATGGAGCCTGTAGTGGCGTTTGTTAGTCCTAGGACAGTATCACAAGAGGTATCTGTCATACCATTCTGCACTGGCTGTGCCGCGTTGAGCTGGACACCAGGGACGTGCAAGTCGACGGTGTCTTCCTTGTCGAAGATCATTTTGTGTTCTTCTCCTTCGCCAAGGTACTCGCTCGTCGCATCAACGTTCCCGTTGACCTGCTGCGGGGTGTGCGTCCTGCGAACCATCTTCAAGACGTATTGCTGCTTGTTACTCTCAAAAGAGCCGCCAGTGAAGACGCCGGTGTACTGCTCGCCGTTCTTTAGTGTGACAGTGGCGTCGTGTGACTGCGGCATGAGGGTCAGTATAATGCGCACGTGAGAAGACGTGGAAATTGTTCAGCCACTTACAACACAGTTTGCTAATAAGAAGAGGGCGCGATCTTGCATGAGCTTCTCCGTATTCGAGTCGGCGGTGCTCTTCAGCTGTGACGGGGTTTGCGGTTTGGGTGTGGAGGCGTGTGTGCCGTTGGGTGTCGAGGTAGATGCTCGTTGTGTGATGGGGTTGGTGCCCTGCCAGGCCCGTGGTTGTGGAGTTGATTGCTTTCTGTAGGCGAGAGGGATCAGCAACTGTTATAGCAAGTGGCGCATAATCACTGTGGGGTCTTGCGACCCATGGCAATGGTAAGGCGAGAAAACTTTGCTTGGAGGGTACGGGCCATTGGGACGAGCTCGAGTGGTAAGCAGCGTCTCCACTCAATGGCAGCAACCAAGCAACAGAGACGCAATTGTAGAGTGACATACCTGTTCTGGCCGTCGACGGGGCTCGCCGTCTGCTTTCGTGCGCCGTCCATGGCTTTTCCGGAGCTGCTGTTGCTCTTCGCTTGCGGTTTCGAGGAGGCCGCCGGTTGGGTGGAGGAAGTGGCCTTGACGGCGTCGGATCCGCTCATAGCAGCCGCGGACATGGCCAGTGGGCGGGTGATGGAAGTGGGATGGTGCTTGCGTGGATGTCGAAGGGGTGGTGGTGCTGCTGTAGTGGATGCGTCGGTCGGCAGCACAAGCCGCAGTGAGCTCGGAGAGCAGCTCCCTCCAGACTGCCTCTGCTTCGGCGACTCGCCTTTTCGCCTGCAAGAAGCGACAGAAGCGACGGAGCTTCCTCTGACGCTTGCGGAGTATCAATGGGGGAGGGGGAGAAGAGAAGGGAGGAGTGGATGGTGGTGTGTCGGGGAGAGGAATTGGGTGCTTGCATGTGCAGAAGTGAGGTCGTCGTGCTTCCTGACCCTCAGCGTGCGCTAGCAGGGGGGGACCGCCGGCCGCTAAACCTTGGGCTGCAGCTGTGTCGGGAGTGCAACATTCTTTACCACATATATCTCATGGAATATTGGTTGGAGATGCTATAGACAAGAAGGATAATCGAATGGGAACAGGTCTAGCGAGACACACGATCGACTGATCCTACAGGACAGCGTTGGAGTTGAAAGACGAGCTGTCGAGAGCATGAAATCGAAGGCGAGACGGGGTTGCACAAGCCACAGGATGCTTGCAGGAAGGGTCACCGATGCAACACGAAGATGAGGCGTGCAGATGAATACACATAGCAGCACTTATCAGACCACATGATCTCGTGCCACGTGAGAGCATCTGAAGACGTATTCTCTGGTACGAAGGTACATAGATATTGTTGTGATATTTCAAGATCGAATGTCTTTGTGCAAAGGTATTCTAGCCTCCAGCAACTCCTGCAAGCCACGCTGAGCTTAATTCGGAGCGAGCATCCCCTCTGGCACCACGGCCCATCTCGTCGTGCTGGGGACTTTCGAGCGCCGGCACAGCACCACCCACGCCTTGACGTTCGTTGGATGGGCGCGTGTTGTTGCGAGTAATGTCCGTCTCGAGCGCGCACTCGGCGCAAAGATCGACATATCGTGGCCCAGATGACGCCGGAGGAACGAGCGATGCTGGGGGGTCGGCGGGCAACATGGACGCGGCATCAGACCCTACGAGGAGCAGTGCAGGCTCGGGACGATCTTCGGGGAGCAGGTCGAAGCAGAACGTAGGCGTTACAAAGGACAATCAGTATACCATACCCATCCAGTGCTGACACTCTCCCCCAGCCGCAGCAACAGCTCTCCACCATCGAAAAGTCCGTCACTCACCTCCTCGTCGCCACCAAACAACTCCTCGAAACCCTAACCCAATGGTCGCGCGGTTCAGCCTCCGAAGGCGAGGTCAGCGATGTCTACGTCCGCTTGGGCTACGAGTTCAACATAGCATGTCGGGCATTTGGCGCTATCGGCGTGGATACCTCAGACCTTGGCCCTGTCCCGGACTTGTTGCGAGCCATACTGGAGGATACTTTGAGTCAAGAGGCCAGCCAGGCGAGCTTGGACAAGTATCTGCCACGGATACGTGATATCATCATCAACCTCCTGCACGGTCTGAAGAAGAAGCAGCAGCGGCTGCGGCAGAAAGGGACAACATCGTCGACTGCGAGTGGGAGTGGGCAGAATGGCTTACCGCCGCGGCAGGCGAGTGTGGCGAGCAATCTCAGCGCGGAGAGTCAGGTCAATCAGCACTTGGAGGAGTTTCCGGCGCGGACACAGAGCAGTCGGTCGTTTGCACAACGGCAGGGGAGTGGAGAAGTGGCAATGCCTGATCTACCCCCTCGGACTACGAGTGCGCCGGGAAGGCAGTCGCCGAAAAGAGCTGCGAACTTGAGTCCCGCGAACAGTATACACCAGTCTGCGAGTCGAGATACCATCGCTTCGGATTCGGGGTCCTCAATATCGAGCAACGCCATGCAGAACATCCCTGTCATCGCTCCATACCCAGAGACAGACACGATCCCGACAAATACTCAATTTGAGCAACCACCGCAACCTCCTCCGTTACCTGGCTCAGGGTCACCATCAGTCGACCCACCACGCCCCCCTCCGAAACAGAACGATGCACTCAGCGCACTGCAGCGAGGAGGCGAATTGGAAAGACGAGCATCAAGACGTTTTTCCGCCTACCAGATCCAAAAGCACCTTGGAACGTCCATGAACGGCATAGCGGCCATCCCACCAGCACAGAACTCGCCCATCCCGAATAGAGGCCGGGATGCGCGTGAGTCGCTCAATGCCGTTCGCTCGAGAGGGAGCGTCATGCACAGTCGAGCGAGGTCTCGCAAGGAGGCCGCTGCTGGGTACGAGCCGTCGCCGAGCCGAATCAACGAGGTGAGACGGATATCGGAGGAGAGCGAGCAACAGCAGCAGAAGTCTGCGCCAGAGTTGCATCCGCCGAGTAGACCCTCCGTGGAGACAGAGTTGGATAGCCCAAATGTCAAGACTCCGGAGGACAAGCTGGGCTCGTACCCTTTCCCGGACACACCAGGGAGTCCGCAGAAGTTCAGCGCGACTCTCAATGGGCCTATGGAAGAGCCTTATATTCCTGACGGACCTTCGCAACAGCTCGAAAGACGAAAGACGCCGACGCCGAAGCGAAGTGCTTCGCGCAGAGCGGTTGTGGTAGAAGAGCAACCTCGCACGCCGCCAGTCTCGCAATACGTGCCTGAAGGATCGCCGCAGCTGGGCAAAGAACTGACTTTGTTCTTACAATACAAGTCCAAGATCAAGAAGTTCGTCTTGCCAGACGGCGGGGACTTGAGTCTGGCTCGTCTACAGCTGGCTTTTATTGAGAAGTTCGCTTGGAATACGCAGAACAACGGAACAGATCTGCCAGAGATTTACATCCAGGATCCCGTTTCTGGCGTGCGGCACGAATTGGAAGACCTTACCGATATCAAAGAGCGCAGTGTCCTCGTCCTCAATATCGAAGCCTTGGATGAAGTCAAGCGTCACATTGACGATGGCATCGGTGGCCTGCGTCGAATTGTGGAAGGAATCAAGACCAGCGTCGAAGACCAGCAATCCGCCATCCAGCGCGTCTCCGACCGCCAACAAGATGCCGCGCGAGAAATGGCAGGCTTCGTAGCAGCTGGCCCACCCACCACTGCCCCTGCTCCTCGGCCGTCTTCTACCACGGCCACCCCGCCTCCTGGCATCAGACCATCCGCGTCGGTTGGGAAAGACAAGTCCAGCCAACTAACCGAGATCCAGTCCCTCCGCCGCGATCTTGCCGTCGTCCGCCAAACTTACACCACCTTCGTCTCCTCCATGCAAACCACAATGACCACCCTCCGCACCCAAGCCGCCAACGTCAAAACCGCCGCTTCCATCCCTGCAATGCCTTCCGATCCTTCCTCCGGCCGCGCCTACGTCGACAAAGGCAAATCCTCCCTCAGCCAAGACTCCGAAAGCATCGTCAACCGCGTCGACGACCTACAAGACCTCGTCGAAGACCTGCGCAAAGACGTCGTAGTCCGCGGTGTCCGTCCCCTCCCTCGCCAACTGGAAGGCGTAAGCAAGGACATCTCCACCGCCACCGCAGACCTCAAGAAACTCAAAGAGTTCCTCCGCCGCGAAAAACCCGTCTGGACCAAGATCTGGGAGCGCGAGCTCCAAGTCGTCTGCGACGACCGCGACCTCCTCACCCTCCAAGAAGAACTCGCCGTCGATCTCGAAGACGACCTCGAGAAAGCCGCCGCGACCTTCGCCCTGGTCGAGGAAGCCACGCGACAGCAGAACCTCACCGCGCAGAAAGACACCGGCGCCCCGATAGGACCAGGCCAGCTGCGCTCTTCTTCCCGCGGCACGGCGTTCGCGATCGACACCGGCGCCGATCCGCGGAAAGCTAAAGATAGTGTCTTAGGCGAAGTGCGCGCGCTCCAACCGAACCATGAAAGCCGACTCGAAGCTATCGAGCGCGCGGAGCGCGCCCGCCTGCGCGAGCTCGAGAACAGGGCAGGCGGGGAGTTCCAGAAGGAACTCGGCTCGTTCGTCGAAGAAGGGCGGTTGAAGAAGACCGGCGGCGTGGAGGAGGTGGAACGAATCCGGCTTGTGCGCGAGGAGAAAGCTCGGAGGGAAGTTCAGGAGCGGCAGCGTGAGCGGATGAGGCAGAGGGCTGAGAAGGAGGCAGGGGAGGCTAATGGTGCGCCGCCGGACGCTGGTGCTGGTACTGCGGAAGGCGGGTTGGAAGTCCCAGCGAAGGAAGGCGAGGAGAGGGCGAGTAGTCCCGAGTCTGCAGTCGGGTTTGTAGATGCGAGGGAGGAGGCGGGCACGCCGGCGAATGAGACGGCGAATGAGAAGGAGGGAGGCGGGTTGGGCTAGGAGCCTTGTCGGCGCGACTCTTCGAGGGGGGTTTGGGAGTGGGAGTGGGAGAAGTGGTGAGGGTGGGGTGGGGTTGGTGATGTTGGGTATTGTGGATTTAGCGAGCGTGCTGGAGCTTAGGGGTTGGGTTTGTTAGGGCGGGGAAAGGGGTGTATGTAGGTACGTAGGAGTGGAAGGGGGTTTTAATTGAGTCGAGTGTTGCACGGTTTGAAGCTTCTTCTCGAGTTGTGTGAAGGCTTTGTGAGATGTCATCAGCACTTGTGGATCGTGACGCTTGGTTCGAGAGGCGACATCTTATGCCCAATCCATCCTGCCTGTTCTCGAGCATCAAGATCTCAGCAAAACACATTGTCCAGATGCACGAACCCACTTCCGATCCTCGAGAAGCTTCCCAAACATGGCCCTCCTCTCGAGCGACTAGATCCCCTAAACGCACATCCTCCGGACTCATAAGCCCACTTCCGCCCCTCGAGAACCCCACCGTTTATACCAACGACCTCTCCACCACCCCCCTCAACCTATAAACCACTTCCCGATCCAACCCCTAAACCCCCTTCCTCCCCCCCACCGCCCCCCTACACTCCTCCCTAAACCTCCCCCGATCAAACCGCCCCCACTTTCCTCTAACCCTCGTCTTCACCCTCGCATCCCGCTTGCACCACTCCATCTCCACCTGCACCAACACATCCCGCTCCGTCGTCCACGCATCGCTCGCAAATTCCCTGAGCCGGGCGGACTGGATGGCTGCGAGGTTCTGCTCCGCCGTGCCGTCGATCCAGGCGCGTGTGTCGCGGCGGGACTTTGAGACGCAGTCCTCCGCCGGAGAAGAAGGTGGTTGGTTCGGCTAGGAGCATGTTGAGCTGGAAGGGGAGGGTGAAGTAGAAGATGGGAAGGGCTTCCTTCCGGATCAGACTGCTGACGCGCGTGACCGGTGGTTGTTCGGGGGCGTGCATCGGCCGGGGGTAGTCTGCGAAATGGAAGGTGTAGATCATCATGCGTAGCTCAGGCGGGAGGTCCAGGAAGCGATCGAACGTCGGGTTGTCGTCTGCGGTGACCAGGGCTTGCTGGAGTCCGTGACGGTACCCTTTGCCGCCGCCTGGGATAGACAAGCCCCGAGAGTGCATGAAGCCTCTTAGGATGGTGCTGGGGATGCTCACGTAGCTCAGAAGGCCACGATCTGTGCGGTCGAGGTGGAGGAGGAGCGCGGGTTTGTTGGTTTGGCCGCCGATGTAGTAGTTGCGGTCCTTGAGGAGTTGAATCATCTCCTTGGCCGACAGGTGTTCGTAGTTGGGCAGCTTCCAGTAGCCGCCTGGGGTGGTGAAGATTGTGTTGTAGACGGTCGTGCTGGTATAACTCTGGCGAGCCACGGTGGTTAAGCTATAGTTGAGAGAAGGTACGGTGATGATTGTTGTGTGGATGGAAGTAAGGGGGGTGGAAGATGTTATTGTAGTAGCAGTGCAAAGGACGAAACACCTCCCTCATATAGCCACCCCCAAAACCCGCAAGGTAATCCGACCGCCTCATTAAGCACGTGGAAGCAAACCCATCCACGAAAAAGCAAAGCCCAAGTGAAAAATGCCAGATGCACCACTCACCAAATTTCGCAGGCCAGTAACATTTCCTCCCCTTCACCCAGAGCTCATCGCTGCTTCGCTATGAAACGCATGAGGGTGGGAAGCTTTGACGTCGCGTGGCGCAGGCTTTTGCATTCACTCCAAGTGTGAAAGTGCTTTGGGAGGGAGAGGATAAGAGCAGGAGGGCTGCTTACCGTGTATTGTCGCCTGGATGCTTCTCTTCCATTATCTCCAAACATGATAGTGTCTTGTGGAAGAAACGCAATGCTCGCTACAATCGCTACAGACAAATAATAGACATTAGCACTCCTGAACAACAGTCCATCGTTGTTCCATGCTCTTCTGACGTGGTGGTCCGACTCCTTATCGCTATACGTGTCCCGAGGTGGCGGAACCTCTTTTCCAAGTCGCGTCCCCAAAGCTTCTCCAGCCTCTTCTCCCTTGTGTAGGCTGGTCATCTACAACATCGCGAGACCGAAGACAGCAGCCACGATGCCGCCGGCAGGAGTCAGACCGCTCGCGGCACCAGAAGACTGTGCTGCCGCCGAGCCGCTGGCGCTGGCGCTCGCAAAGCCGTTGTGCACGACCTGCCTCGTGGTCGTGGTCGCGGTGGAGGAGGCGGTGGCAGCGGTGGCAGCGTTCGCGGTCGTTCGGCCGTTGGATTGCGAGGTGGAGCTGCTGGCCGGGTAGCTGTACACATCGTCAGCATGCTATGTTCCACTGTACAGCTTGTAATGGTATCTCGTGGGATATCTTACGCCTCTGCAGCATTACACCACTGCGTCTGCTGTTGCAGCGCCGACGCCCTCATGGGGTTGGACGTGCAGCTGTTGTAGCACGTCAAGACGTTCTTTTGCGCAGTACACATGCATTTCCACGCGTTCGCATCGCAGGCGTCGAGTTGGACGGAGGTGTTCTGGAGGCAGGCGGCGATCTGGCTGTTGCAATGGTCAGTACTTGTTGATCAGCAAGGTTAACTAGGGCGTGACGAACTCATCGATTGCACTACCGCAGCCGGAAGAGGTTGCTCCAGAGGACGTGCTAGGTGCTGCTGCGGCTGCTGCAGATGAAGAGGATTGAGCGGCAGCGAGGCCTGCGGCGGCGAGGAAGAGGGCGGTGGTGAACTGCATCTTGCTGGTCTGTTGTTCGGGGGTGATCGACGTGGAGCTGTTACTGGGTATTGTATTCTTGTACGTGTATCTTTAACGACAGTCAAGAAGCGAGTGAAGAAGGCGTATGTGCGAGAAGAACAGCTGAATGAAGAGGAAACAACAACGGGCGAATAACAGAGATATGAGTGAGGCAAGCACAGTAAGAGACACGGCTCCCCCTTGTATAGAAAAGTCTGGGGAGGTCAGCACAGACAGCGTTAAGCTCAACACAAGTCGCCCGCCAGCCTCCAGCGGTCGGCATGATTGGCCTCGACTGCGGTGGCGTCCGAGTTGCCTTCCGCGCCCGCCACCGCTAGAGATGAAAGAGGTTGGAGCGATGCAGGTGCATCTCGTGAAAGCGGTTCTGGTTGCAGGACGCACAGCAGATGTGTAGCTGCAAATAGAAGGCGTTGCGTGTACCTCTCGGTCTGCTGATGGTTCTGGATCCCCAACCACATGCAGTTGCAATCTACATATCGTGATGCCGAGGATGTTTTTGGGCTCGGGAAGCTGATGTTTGAGCGTTCATCTAATCGACGTTGAACCCGAGATTTGGGCCGTTTGATGATCAGATTCGGACGTGGGATGCCGAGAGCTGGATCGATTCATGCAGGGTATCTTATCCTTTCAGTCACGTGGATGTCAATGGTGCCTTTCGTTTTATTACATTCCATTTCATTTGACGAACTTTTGGATGCTACAAAGTACTCTGATCAGTAAGTACTAGTGGTGTGCTTCCAATCCGAGCATGTACTAGCCATGTCGTCGTAGAAGCTGTAACGTTGGTCCTCAAGCATTCAGAGCGGGCGTGTCAGCGAAAAGCGCTTTCGACATCGCCTCTGGGTACCGGCCACCATGAATTTCAGCAGCTTCACACGCCTTGCGGATCTCCTGCTCCTCGTCCTTCGATAGCTTGACCTTGAGCGAGCCCAGGTTCTCCTCCAGACGCTTCGGGTTGGTGGTGCCAGGGATCTGCAGCAAGTCATCAGTCCACATCTTCCAAACCATCATCCAGAGCAGGCCAACTCACCGGAAAGAAGTCATCGCCCTGCGCCAGAATCCACGCCAGCGTCAACTGACTCGGCGTGCATCCCTTCTTGGTCGCAATTTCAGTGATCTTGTCGACCAGCTGCAAGTTCTTCGGGAAGTTCTCTTCGCTGAAGCGCGGGGCGTTCTTCCTGAAGTCGCCCTCCTCGAAGTCCTTCGGGCTGCGGATGGTGCCACCGAGCATGCCGCGGCCGATGGGCGAGTAGGCCACGACGGCGCAGCCGAGCTCACGGCAGGCTTTGAGAACGTTGATTTGCGGCTGCTCGATCTCGAGGGCGAAGGGGCTGTGAAGGGTCGGTAAGTGGTTCGTTAGGTTGAGGATGAGATGGGCGTACGAATACTCGATCTGCACAGCATCAACGTGATCGATCTTGCAGGCGCGACGGAGCGAGTCCTCGCTGCACTCGGAGAGGCCAATGTACTTGATCTTGCCCTCCTGCTTGAGCTGCTTCATCACTTCCTACATAGACGAAAACCAATGTCAGCGGCTGATTAGATACCAGGCAGAGACCGTGATCAATAAACATACCATAGTCTTCTCGACCGGCGTCTTACTATCCAACCGATGCACGTAGTACAGATCCACAAACGGCAGCCCCAGGCGCTTCAACGACTTCTCGATCGACTCACGACAGTACTCGGGCGTGCTGTCGACTGTACGACCGCCGTCGGGGAGAGCTTTGTTGGCGAACTTGGTGGCGAGGAAGATGTCATCCCGCTTGCCCGGGTTCTTCTGGAACCACTGGCCTGTGAGTCCTGGTCAGTATGACCGAGGCTTAGACGGCGGGGCCGGAAAGCAGGAGACGTACCGATCAAGTCCTCGTTATCGCCGTACACGTCGGCAGAGTCCCAGAACAGCTCGCCATCGTTGTAGGCCTTGTCGAGCAAGGCGAAGCGCTCGGAGTCGGGCTTGGGCTTGCCGTAAAAGGCGCTCTGCCAATCGTTAGTTCTACATACATCGTGACACAGTTCACACGAAAGCATACCAATCCCATAGCTCCATACCCAATCCTGGTGACCTGAGGGCCATTCTTCCCGAGCTTTGCCCGCGGCAGCAGTGAGCCCACCTTGCCGCCGGTGGCTTTGGAGAGAACTTCTTGTGCTTTTTGTGCCATGGTGCTTTTTGTGTAGTTGATCGAATTGGATTGACAGTGGATGTTGAGAAATTGAAAAAGAGAGGCATTGAGGTTGTGGTTGTTCGTGGCAACTCTGTTGTAGGCTTTACATCATCCCTCGTCGTTAACGGAGTTAAGAGCTTTCGTACTCCAGACTTCATCAGCAACACTTCGGCACTTCCAGGTAGGCATGAAGATTGCACATTGGCTGCTAAGTGGTCCCTACTCGCATTTCAATTGCATCAAGTCATTCCGTCTTATTTCTGCCTGCTGAGGTGACTTCAAGGATGAGCAACAGTCTCGCTCGACAATATCCAGATCTTGTCTCTACGTCAGCTTGTCCTTATGCCGCACCTCGCAGCACCATGAACAGTTACTCTTTCAGCTGGCAAGGGGCTCTCGCCGGCTCTCTACTGTGTCAATCAACGATTGGCCACAGTATCTTGCTCCAGGCATATAAAGCCTTCTTTGTGAAGAGCGACCTCTACCACGGCTTGAACACGCATGTAGTTGGCGTCGGCCATGCGTTGGACTACCTCCTGAAGCTTACAGTCATTGCCGCGGGAGGAGGTGTCGCTGTTGGGACGAGTGAGAAGACTGCAGAAGGTGAGGTGGTGGATCTAAAGGAACAGCCGAAAGTCGATGCTGCTCAGATGAAGGCCAGCATCAAGGATCGGAAACCTTGCGATTGTAGTCACAATGGCTATGGTCCTGGTCTGGGCAAAAGTCTCCTCAGGATCCCACAGTCTGAGCCGGCGGTGCATCATGCTCATGGCCTGGTTAATGGACCTGATGGGCACAGCGACGACGACCGGCAGAAGGCCGAAGGAAGCCGAGCAGCCCCCGTCCGGCCTGGACAGCTCGAGGATCTGAACTAGCCGCCTGGTACATCTAGTTCAAGAATGATCTTTCAAAGGCTGCTCGAAGAGAATTACCAGGCGAGGGCTCGTCCGCTCAAGTTAAGGAATCCTCAAAGGCTCTGTCCGGCAGGACATCGATCATCCTATGGCTGATCAGCGTACTGTGGTATCCTCAAGCCAGGAAGTAGACAGACCTCGCGGTATCGAAGGCACCGAAGCATCCATGGGCAGAGCTGGGAGTTAATACTCTCCCATGCATGATGCACGTCCTGGATGCACTCACAAAGCATGTACAGCTTTTCTTTGTCTCCTCGACTGTGCGCAAGACAAGCAAACCATCCGTATCCAGTCCATATAGCACGAAGGCCGTCTCGACAGATCCATACAGCCACCATATACATCTCGAGTACCCGTATATGACTGCCGGCCAGGGCAAGTTTCGGGGATGCTGCACCGAAGGAATACAATCCACGTTGGCGTTCTGTCCTTTGGTATAAGCCACCGTCACTTGCGCGTGAAATCTGCGGAAAGATGTGGCGTCATGTTTGGATGGAGCGTGTGACTTACGCCCGCGCTTCTTTTACTTCATGATCCGCTTCTTTCCCTCCCCCCTTCAGGGCCCTTCTCACTCTTCCTCTCTGCCACCACCTGCCCACCCACCATGGCGCCTCGCACCGACAGAGGGCGCTCCAGCACAAACGAGGGCGACAAATACGGGCGGCTCAACCGCGTCTCTAACCCAAAGAAGGCAGACCTTCGAAAGCAGCTCGTCGACGCGGGCTACCGGCCAAGGCGCGCTCTTCTCCACGCAGACCTCGAGGAGATGGTGCGTTGCTGATAGTTCGCGACCTTTCCTATGTCCTGAATGCTGACTTGGCTCCTCTTAGGCACACACAAAGATTCATCGCCAGCTCGCGTACCAGAAGTGTCGACGTGAGGCACTTCAGAAGTTCGTCAGGAGCCGTGGGCTGAAGGACATCTCTTTGGACAAGACCAACAAGGATCTAGCTCAGGCGCTCGTCAAGGCGGACAAGACCCGGCAATTCACGAAGTTACTCGACCTCCCGCCAGAAGTTCGCCTCGTGATCGCCGACTACTACCTGAACGACATCAATCATGGAAAGACCAGCCTCCTCTGCCCTACTCAGCCGCCGCTTGCCCGCACCTGCAAACTGCTGCGTAAGGAGGTGCTTCCTTTGTTCTTTCAGCAGAGCAGGTTCGCACTGAAGGTAGAGCTTGTCATTCATCCCATCACCTCCCATCCGGCACCACCAAAGCGCGGCACGTTATCATTCGACTCAAGCCGGTTCATCGACAGCATCCCGCCCCAGAGCCTTCAAGACCTCCGCAGCCTGGCTGTGACTTTCGGCGGCCGGAATCTATCATTTCGCCAGATTCACACCACCGTCCAGATTGATTCCGCGGGTGACTTGATCAAGGCATTCAAGAACCATGCAGTCGCAGTTGACGAGGACGACGGGGAGATGCGTTACGATCTGATCAGCGACATGATGGACAAGGTCGAAGATGCGGGTAAGTTACACTCCTCCATAACGCACCGTCAGCTTGGCTAATACCAGTTCGCAGCTCAGCAGTGGTACGTACAGGCTGTGAAAGAGTACTGGGAGAAGCTGGTCGTCCTAGGCTGAGACTTCGGTGGCGGCTATCCTTTGTAATGGGTGTGTTGGATCCAGGTGTGCGGATGTCCTTTGTTGTACGGGACGTTGTCAGAGACAAGCAAGCCATCTGTAGGCAGGTCAAATAGCACAACACTGGCCTTGATGGTGTCCTGAAATTTGCATATACGCTTTCGAAGACCGAGTGTATATTGTCGAGAATGGACTGCTCACGTTCTGGCTGCAGCCATGCGCAACTGTAGCGTAGGAGACCAACATCTTATTCGGCCTTTACCACCTTCCGCCGTCCATTCATCCATTCATCCACCGTCTACCTTCCACCGTCCATCCATCACCATGGCGCCGCGCATCGCGAAGGCGCGCAGCAAAAGTACACGCGGCAAAGTAAGCACCGTCGCCAACCCCGAACTTGTGAAGCGCCACTTCGAGAATCGCTTCAAGAGCGATAGCCTCAACTCGTTCTGGAGATTCGGCGGCGTCGCGAAGCCGACCATTGGCGACCTTCGCTATCAGCTCCTCACTGTCGGCCACTCGCCCAAGTCAAAGCTACTCCGCGAAGACCTCGAGGAGCAGATCCGAGTCCACGTCCACGGGCAGCTCGCGTACCGGAAGTCAAGCAAGGCCGACCTCATGAAATTCATCTCGGACCGCGGTTTGGTCGTGGCGGAGGCTTCTGGCACGGTAAACGCGCCATCGAAGAAGCAGTTTGCCGAGACGCTGGTTAAGGCCGACAAGGACCGCAAATTCACCCGCCTCTTCGACCTTCCTCCGGAGCTCCGGCTCTGCATCTTCGACTTCCACTTTGCGGATTTCGTGCGCCAGAGGGGCCTGAAATCACCAAGCCAGCCGCCACTCACCCTCACCTGCCGCACTATCCGTCACTGCGCGCTGCCTCTCTTCTTTCAGCAGTGCAAATTCTCCATCGATCTCTCCGTCAGCCCTAGCGACGCGGATTGGCCGGAAGACGCGATCGTCCCAGGACCATTGCACCTGAACCCATCATCCGAAACGTTCTTGTGCCACATCCCACACCGACATCTCAGACACCTCCGCGCCCTGTCCGTCTGCTACATCGACCGCCACGTGAGAGACCGCGCAGCAAAGTACGACGCTGTCTATCATACCACCCGAGTTGACATTAAGCTCGACCGGACCAGCCCACTGCTCGCTGCGCTCCGGGGTCATTCAAGAGACTGTGATCGGGTTGTGAAGGGTGAGCTCACAGCCACAATGCAGGAGATGAACGTGGAGCTGCGTAAGCTGGTGCAGAAGGCTGGTGAGTAAGTCCTGATATCACATTAGCGATGAGACTAACACTGCACAGGTGAAGAATGGTATCAGAAGGCGACAGATGCCACTGTCAGGTATTAGTAGGCGAAAAGATGATTGAGCGGACGAGTAGGATCAGGTGATGGAGAGCGCAGGAATGGCGACGGTCAATGCAGCATTGGTAAGATAGTATTCAGCGCCAGCCGCCTCATCAGCAGCAGCAGCGCACAAGTACAATGAGAATACCCAAAAGTATATCTTACAGATAATACAATACCCCCCTCCACACCACCACAAAGTTTCCCGTGATGGCCAAAACGCCCGAAACACCACGCCATGCTGAAAACGCCCTCTTTCCACAGCGTATGCGCTAAAAGTAAGCTCGAGACACACAGATTACGGCAGTGTTTGGTGGGGATCAAGCATTCCCGGGCTTCTCGTCCGTGTCAATGTGCCAGACGACATAATTAGGAAGACCGTAGACGCCGTAGCCGGCGCGCTTGGCCATGGCCGCGAAGCCCTCGGTCTCGGCTTGGTTCTCGAAGGCGTAGCAGGGGAAGTTGATGCCTGTGCCATGCTGTCAGTAAACTCGATGTGATGGATGAAGGGCTTGGCAGGGGCAAGATGAACGTACCGGACCGGTGGACATCCGCCTTGACGAGGATGTTGACACCGCCGATGCCGTCAAGTGGTATCTCCTGATCTTTGTTATGTCGCCAGTCGCCCATGCGAGCCATGTACACCCGGTCGGTCTGGTATTCATGGTATCCTTCCGCCAAGACGATGTTCTTGTCCAGCGATGCGGCCAGTCTTCGACCGGTATCTGACTCCTGCCACGAGTTGTAGTCGAAGCGGCCCTCGATGTCCTTGCCGTCTACGTAGCGGTGGAACCACACATCTAGCTTCACGTCAGCCTCTCACTCTAATCGTGCTTCAAGCTCCGCAGCCTCAACGTACTCGGCACCAGGATATCCCGATCATGCGCAATGAAATCCTCAATGATCTTCTTCGGGCTGTCCTTGATATCGACATCCCGCCAATACACCCAGCTGTGCTCCGGCTGCATGGCTGCAGACAGCAAGTAATTCCTCGCCCTGCCCATCGCTTTCCTCCTCGGTCCTTGCGCCGCGAAGCTATGCCTGTCTTCCACATCCTGACTCAACGTCACTCCAAAGTCTTTCTGAACTATCTTCGCACTCCTGAAAGGAATGCTATCGGTCCTCGACTGCACCCTCTCCAACTCCATCGCCAGCTTCGCCAGCGTGTCATCCTCGCTGTCTCCAACCAAGAACGCCAGATCGATCAGATTATGCGGGTACGTGAGCTGCGTGAGCAGGTCGAAATGCTGTTCTATGTACGGCGCGGCGTTGCGTAAAGGCGTGAGGATGAGGACTCGCTCCTCGTTGACCAGCGGTTTGGTGGTGGACCCGATGGGGTTGAGGTCTATTCGTTCTATGCTCGAGCTGTTGACTTCGAGCGGTGTATGGTGGTTGAAGATCACAGGGGTCTGAAGGTGGCCGGCCCATCGCGCCTGCTCAGCTGCGGTCATCTCCATGGGCGATTTCGCGGGTCCGAAGCAGTAGAATCTGTACAGCACGCATCTCTGTCAGCCGCCGCATCTCCCCATATCCCTCCCACATCCCCCAGTATATCCACCGTAATGATAGCACTCACCTCTGCATCTCCCCCGCCGTCCCCCTCAGCCCATTCCATATTAGAATTACAATCCCCGTAATCGCAACAAACAGCAGGAACCGCGTGCGCGTCAGGAAATTCCATATCGCCCGCGAAGGCGGGAGTCGCGACTTGGCCGACTTCCAGGTCACGCCGCCTTTAGGGAGCAGCATGGTGTGTGTTCGGTGCGGTGCGGGATGCGAGAAGACAAAAAAAGAGTTCCGCCCAACGGGCGCCCCAGGATTGCGTGTCCCCCCTTCGCGCTTTGCGATGCGCGCCGGTCGTGCTGGTGAGTGTGTTCCAGAGCTGTATTAGCTGGGCGTGGGGGATATGGTCCGGAGGGGTTGGGAGAGTCAATGGGAGAGTTCGTGGAGGTGGTGGAGGAGAGCGTATGGGGTTGTTCTCGAGGACAGATGGACGTTGAAGGGACTCTCCCGAACGGTCTTGGCTGCAGGGATCAGCGCGGACAGAAGTCAAAAAGGCCGGAGAGAGTTCCAGGGTGCGCAACTGCAGCCCACATGAGAGCCTTGATTCAGACAGAGTTTCGGGGACAGTCGCAATAGTCTACCCAGAAATAGAAGTTGTGGGAATAACCCCAAGAGTACCAAATAATGAGGTTTTCATTTCTGAGCGACCAGCGTACTGGTCGGCAACATGTACATACACACACACGCGCTCTGCCGTCGACTCGTCATTACACATTGGCGAAACCCAGCCGTCTCAACGCCTGAAAAATGATTGCCACCCCGGATGATGTATGCTCGCTCGAACGTGGACAGAAAGAAAGACATCGTTGGAGAAATGCATCTCAAAAAGCTGCCCAACCGCAGTCCGATGGTCGCCCAGTACTGTCCAATTCGTGCAATGATCGTGGTGTCGTAAGGGGAAAAGACAGTCGCGCGCTCGCTCAAATGTCGATAGCAGATGTGAGTCGAAAGATGCAAGCCAAAGCGGAAGCAGATGAAGTTGAGTCCAAGATCACAGAGTGGAGTATCGCCCGAACGCCGCAAAAGAATGAATCGTAGGTGGTGGAAGGCGCTCGAATGAAAAAGGCTCTCCTGCCGCCAGACCACTGAGGAGGACCAAGGTTGCGAAGGCTCAAAGACTAGCCCTGAATGCCTGGACGTTCCTCTGGAAAACCCTCTGCGCCTGAGTGGAGCGGCATTCGGCCCAGCTGGCGTGTCCATGAACGACGCAGCGCTTCTTGTCGTCTCCGTTCTCATCGTTCCGGCATTTGTGCCCGCGGTTCTCCAGGAATGTGCCAGCCGTGGGGTCGTCGCTCTCGCTGTCGCGGTATTTGTCAATGATTTCGTGAAGGTTCGCCTGGAACTCAGCTTCTGTCCCGGTTCGTATGGCGGCCTCCGAGCCTTGTTGCAGGAGACCGCAAAGGAGGGCCGCAACCAACTTCATCACATCGATTTTCTTGAACTGCAGTCCAGAAGTGGTGGCGTTGCCGCTGCTCTGCTTGTTGCCACGGAGGATGCTACCGCTGCCAAATGTGGACAGGATATTTTCAAATTGCTGAGCCACTTCCTGGAGGTGATTCCGGTTGGCCCGCTCCTTGTCCTTCTTGCGCAAAGCGCGATGCTTCTCAATCCGGCACCTGTCATGGCCACACTTGTTGCAGTAACCTCCCGAGGTCGATTGGGCCCTCCTGCCATGGCTTCTGCTGCTTCTGCTGGCGGCAGAGAGACTCCGTGGCGTCAAAATCGGTGTATTCGCCGGCGAAGAGATGGTGGAGCAGCTCGCAGCCGAATCCATCTCATGGTCCGTGAAATCGGATACTGGCGAGTTGGCAGCGGGCTCCTGGTGAGCGAAGCCAAGATTCCGCTGCATCTCGGACATGTTGTACGCCTGATGTAGATTGGTCGAGGGGCCAGTGGGAACCGTAGAGTTTCTACGGACACAATTGGCGCAGTACGCCTTGCGGGTAGCGGCGTCGTGGTGGACGGCGACCGAGTTGCAGCCGCTGCCGCTGCAGAGGACGTAGCCCCTGATCGGAGGCAAAGTCTGTTGATTGTTCCTGTGAGCGAGCAGGTCAGTCATGCCGATGTGTTTGGCGAGGTAGGGGGAGGAATACATGTTGGTCTGAGTCACGTTCGTCGAGTCGTTGATGGAGCTTGTTACGGTACGGTTTGGATGGAACACGATTGATTGAGGGCGTAAGAAAGCATAAGACAATTGCCAAAACCCAGGGTACCACCCAAAGACTAACGAATCGGCCAACCCAGTCGCATGAAAAACAAGTAGATGTGAGAGTTGATGTTTGATAGACGAGTTGATGTGAAGTGCGAGATGAGGAAGAAGGAACACTGACAACAGCGGAAGAAGAGGACGTATTTATCTCCCACCTACCCCTGCACGAGCTTCGCTCGAGGTTGCTCTGAACACACTGCCTCCGTGACCATGATGTCGACGCATCGATCAGGAGTTCTTCATCGATCAACATGAAAGGGCGCTTGCTGGGGTCCGACCTGCTCGCTCTTGTGTCTCCTTCCTCATCCGTGATGAGGAGAAGCAGGAAGTTGCAAGGAGAGCGCATCAACCTTTCGCTTGCACGAGCCAGCCTCTCCACCGTTCGAGCAGATTCGACGTTTGAGCCCTGAGGACTGTCGGCGGAGGTGGTTGATCATGCATATGACGGGCCGCGCCAGAGCCGGGAGCAGCGTCCGGCTGTGAACATCCCTTGCAGTAAGCGCGTCGGATGATGAGATGCTCAACCAACCCGATTTTCGAGCTCCCATCGACCTGGTTGTTCCCGGTAAGCTTGCGGAGCCTTTGCTAGTGCGGCAGGAAACGAGTGGTTGTTCACGACTGCGGAGCAATGTGCTGTTGCATCGTCGTCGACCGTTGAGGTTGTTTTGATGCCCCACAGCGCTCTACACCGCAAGAGCACGAATGCAGGTCCGGATTCAGGATCTGATAGTGCGCCTCAAACGTCGATGCAGAGACTTTTCTCCACAAGTCTAGAAAGCAGTTCCATGCATTCTGTCGATTTCGGCCTGTTGCTGTACTGTGCCGGAGTCGTTCATTGCTGCTGCTGCTAAGCGTGAAGTCACTTTCTCCCATGTGCCCGGCCAGATCGCTGGTACTCTCCCGATCGGTGCAATGCAAGTATCCGTTGTCGATACCGGGTAAGTAGGTCAGTTCAAGCGCGTCCCCGGCATAAAGCGACAGGGCATGTTGGCCGGAGCGCTCGGAGGATTGTTGCACAGCATACGCTCGACCCCAAAAGCCGCTGCATTAGCTCTCCACTGCTGCTTGCGCAATATCGGATGTTTATGCGGTGCACCGTTGGGTGGCGGCAGGAAGAACGCCAGTGTTCACCGGGCTGTGGCAGCCTGGCACGTTTGACGGCCGTTTTGGGCGAGCTGTCAATCTGGGGCGTAAGACATCAGAGCACAGCGCCGTGCAGCACAATGGGCGATTGTAACAGAAGCCATCGGCGCCAAAGTCTCAGAAGCAGTCGAAGGCGCGGCGGTTGGCTGGCGGCTGGCCTGCGTGAGCCGATGCACTCGCGGTAAACCGTCTGTCTCGGTGTGCCAGAAAGTGACCGATCGCCGGGTATGCTGGCAGAAGTGACGAGCATCGAGCTCGACTGAAGTTTGGTTCTTCGCGCAGCGGCGGCAGTGGGGAGAAGTCCCCGAACGGCCTAATGCTGCATGCAGGACGCAAGGCGTTTGGATAGACGAAGCACGCGCCCGAGTGGCGATGGAGTGTGTTGGCGAGGTCGGAGAGTCCAAGGATCTTGAGAGGTCGTCCGAGCATGTGCGGTTTTTGAAAAAGGCATTCCGCAGAGTCAGATGCGACGTGTTCAAGCATGATCGGATAGGTACAGGTCGAAGTGAAGTCGTGAGCTGCTCAGAGTCGACCAATGCCAGCCCAACAGCCAGCGACTTCGCTGCCAAGACATATCGAGAGCGACGAGACGACACAAGTCGCACAGAGATGGGTGTTCGCTCCAGCCGTTGTACGACCATGAGATGGAGTCGGCAGCAGACAGGAGCTTGTTTGTGTGCAGGAGGTGAACCGCAGATATACCCTGTCATCGCAGCCATACCCGCACCTCCAAAACGACACGGGCGTGGTTTTGGAAGTCATGTCTGGGTCAAGAATGGAGGAGAATGTTGGAGATTGATCGATGGAAGCACATAGCTCGTCGTCAAGAGGGTTTCCCGTCGATATAGCAAACACTCCAGGCATCAACAGTGTAGCAGGATCAAACTTGCAAAGGTACGTTGCAGCTGAAGGAAGATCACCACCGCTGGAAGAAAGCATGGTCCATCCCTCAACAGGCAGGGCATGCGCAGGCAAGGGCAAGACTTGGGTGTTTGATATCTTCCGTGAGAGGCTGTAGGCAGTACACCGGAGTCATAGGCACACTGACTTGAGCTTGCTCAAAACCCGGCAGAGGCCAGAATCGTCTACCTACACGGGAAGTAGATGCACAGGTAAGGGAGAGACTGGGGGTATGTCGATTTCATGTGATGAGAGGCTACAATTAGTCTATGCAATGCATGCTTTCCATTCCCTTCCACAAAACGTGCGAGCCCACGTATGCTGAAAGAACATGGCCGCAATCTGAACGCCGCCGGCACTGCATGGTGTTGGGCTCCACACATCCCACAATCGCTCAAAGTCCTGGACGCACTGATGATGCAACAAACTCTCCTATTATCCTTCCTTAAAGCATGCCAAAGATGGCTGCCACCACACCCATCAGACCAGTCGCGCCGGAGATGTACATCGGGTTGGCTGGGCTGCTGGAGGTGCCGGAACCGCCGCCGCTGCTGGTGCTGCTGCCGCCGCCGCGGGTGCTATCCACGCCCTTCGGGTTTGCAGTGCCGCTCTTGCACGTGTACTTGCCTCTGATGGGCGCAGAACTACCGGCAAGCTTCTGAAATCGCGAGCAGGACGACCCGATGTCGCGCTTCGACTGGAGGTTGAAGGCGCCCTTGACTTGCTGGAGGGATGGCAGCATAACACTGGTATACGATTAGATACTAATCCGCGTCATCAAACAAGTAGTACTTACTTCTTAAAGTTGCCATTGCAATCCACAGCACCGCCAACGGTCTGAAGGCGTGGGAAGCCGTTGATCTGCACCAGATCTGTGTTGTTGGAGACGATGAGACCGCCACCCACTGTCCTCAAAGAGGGAGCAGAAATGTTAGTGAGCATCTCGTTGCTCACAAAAGCCAAGCTCTCACCGACCGAAGTGAGGTTGGGCGCCATAATACCGTCCATGAAGTTGCTGTAGAAACCAAGCGAACCGTTAACCGTAGCGAGAGATTGAATGTTGATGGAAGAGCAGTTGGAGAGGGTCATGTTGGTCGCCCATTCGAGGTTGGGGAATTCGGCTCTGACATCTTGACCATTGGCAGAAAGAGTCAGGGCGGTGCTAACGTTGCCCAGCTGCATGGTGATGTCGTTGAGGAAGTTGTTGTTGACCACGATCAGAGTGTCGACTTCCACGAGGTTGATGCCGTCAAGCGTTGCGAGCACGGTGTTCTCAATGTCCATCGAGGAGACCTGCGACAGACCCGCGGTGAACGACAGGCTGCCGAGCTGGGGTAGACCAATCCAGCTAACGGTGTCGACGGCGGTCAGGGATGGGAAGTTGAGGGTCGAAAGAAGCGTAGCGTCTTGGATCTCGAACGAGTCGTCGATCTGAGAGAGGCTGTCCGCGGAGAGGGACGACATCTTGTTGTTCTTCCGCACGCTCAGGCTACCCGTTATCCTCTTGATGCCGTCCAGCGCAATGTCATCCCCGTTGCTCGTGGCAATCGCAATGTCGCCGGAGAAGGTGGAGCATGTCGAGAGGGCGGCCGCGTCGGCGGAGCTGGAGATGGTCGAGGTTCCACTGCAGGCGGCTACAGAAGAGGTCAGTGATACCGTCGCGGGCACAGAGATCTCCTGTACTCACCAGCTGCCGAGCCCACTACGGCCAAGGCCGGTACGAGATATCTGAGAGCCATTGCGATTGCGGTCGCGGTGCGTGAAGGCTGGGAAGGGGTATGTATCAGCGACGTGTCCGTTTGATGATTGCGATGGCTGGCGGTCTGTCGCTGGCGGACGACGCGTGGCAGTGGCCGAGCAAACTCACCGTGGGAGTATTAAAGCTACTATTGGCAAACTTTGGGTTGTGGTGATACGACGATGCAGGCTTTGCCGCAGCAAGTGATGATGTCGACGAGCGGGTGGGCGGGAGAGTCTCACGGGCTGCAGCAGAAGTGAATTAGAACCCCAAGTGTTTTCGTAAGCACCGTAACGAGAGAAGGTGCAGTGTGTGTGAAGAAGACAAGAGTGTGTGGTGGAGGTGGAAGAGTATGGCAGGGACGGGGAATGTAAAGGCGGCAGGAGTTAAGGAGAGCTCTCAACAATCGAAGAAAGACGTGAGAAGCTTGCGTACGCGGCCATTGCTGCGATCCTAGCGCGTCCGGGAGCTAGCCGCTCTGGGCTTCAACGTCGCGCTATCCGCCAATCGAAATCACTGCTCCGTGTGGCAACCGCCCTCGCTCCTCCACGGCACCGAGATCCAGAATGCTCTTGAGAGTCTTGGGCGTGGCGACGGGCATCGACGACGCGAACATTGACCCTCTGTAAACCCACCCCTACCACCCACTTTCTGTCATCCTCCGCGGTCGACTGCAGCAACGACGATAGCAGCAACGAGCCTCATCAAACGCCTCCTGACCATCTATCAAGATTGCCATCCTCCAAGCACAGACACGATCTTCTGCCTCAAGAGGTTTTGGTTCGGCAGGGTCACGACCCCTGTCTCTTCATCTCATTGTTATCTGCATGGGCAATGTGGCGCACCGCTTCGATGGTCTTCAGCCGGCAGCACCAAAAGAAGATCGAGATGCGGTACAGAACGGATTACTTGAAGAACCGTCCGCCTGGACTATTACTCTCGCCACTCTTCGAGATAGGCCGCGTCAACATGAAGGTAGTAATGTCTTTGAAGCATCTCCTGCCGATGATAATAAACCGCACTTCTCGAAACAGTCAACCCGTCTCGCGGCCCGCTCCTTTGTTGATCGACAGCTAACTGCTTGCTTGCATCGTCTTCGTCACGACAACCTCCAACCTTCGCAGCCGGCAGAACGACACCGTCCGATCCAACCAGCCAACTTCTTCGTCAATTTACCGATCGCTTCTTGTCTTCGTTCTCCCAATTGCAGCGGCAGGTCTACCAAACGTCAAACAACGCCACAGCCTATTCAATGGCAGGCGTCCAGCCCGGAATGCTTCTGCACGACCTTCGTGCCGCCAACGCTTGGTTGCCACACCTTCTTCTTCATCGCCACCGCCTAGCCCTCTCCACCACTGTCGGTCTGGCAACAAGTGGATGATGAATTCTCGTCATACGTATCGACAACTCTTCGCTGTTGCACAATACCTCTGTACGCAGTAGATAAAATCAGACTCGGACGGGCGCGGTGCCACTCGAGGTTGAAGTAGAGTTTTGAAACGCAACCGCAACGGCGGTACTGCAGTTAACGAAGGTTTGGAGGTTTTATTCAAGCCAATCATTGGCAGATGGTAAGCAGCTTCTTGATGCGTCGAGATGGCTCAGAACAACCTTTCGTTGCCTCGTAACTTCCCATAGGTTGAAATCCGACACACCGGGACAGCACACCGAGCACACCGAGTCCACTCGGGCTGAATTTGTCTCGAACGGATTCCGGCATCGACAGCTGTCTACGCCACGGCTGGTCACAGAGGCAGAAGCTTGACTTCGTTGCGGTCTCACATCGGCCCAGCAACCGAGCACTCGTGCTACCATCGATGGCCAGAAGCGTTCCATGTTCTCACTGTGTCCCTAGAACCTACCTGGACTGCGCAGAAGACTCAGATCGGTGAATGGCTGTTGCAAGGGCATTCTCATTGTAATCCCTCTCCATCTGTTGTCATCCATCCTCCCCAGCAATACCGCGGCGCAACTCGCGGCGACATGAGGCTACAGAGGAGGTCGAGACAGCCCCTCCACTTGGTCACCTCTTGCCAACCACCTGAGCGACGATGTCTGATCGCGCAAGGCTACTCTCAGCATCGGCCATCGAGCGGCATTTCGAAAAACCTCGTCCTTGAATCGGGTCTATATCGTGTTGTCACAGTGTCCATACAGTCTTATGAACACCCACCGCACTTAAGACTCCCGACCTCCAGCATCTTTGAGCCGACGAAAGACTTCGTGTTTGGCGATGAGTCGAGAGTCAAGATGGAGAATCATGCATGGACCACATCGCCCATGGCTGGAGAAGGTGAGATATGTAGATATGTGACGCGGCTTATCAGGAATCCAACATTGTTCTATCTTCAACCTGCACTGGATGGGTCTGCCGCCTGCCATCAATTTATCACAGGCAAATTGATTGCATCAGCACCCGACTGGTTCACAAACGTCCTTATTGTTTGATTCTCAGACGTCAATGGCATTGCCCGTTACCCGCTATGAGGAGGTCCCGAGTCCATAGTCGACAGATTTAATGCAGCTGCTCCCCATCCTCCCTTCAGTCTTTCCTCTTGCGCATCGAGGGGCCCGCACACATGTCCAAGACCTACGTCTCTAAGTCTCATAATATACTGTCCTCGGAAGTTTCCAACCCGGCTGTTTCCTCCACCCATGATCAGTCTTCCCACCCTGCCCTGCCCTCCGACTCATGTCCTCGACCTGCGTCGTCGTGCAAGCTCTTCCGCGAGCTTTTGCGCGAGCTCTTGCAGGCACTCTGCGTACACCTGCTTTGCTATGATGTGTCAGTAAGCTTATTTGTAATGTCTTTAGCGGCATTCTTACCGAAAAAGCAAATCGTCGCAACGAGATCTTCCCATTTCTCCGTCTCAGTCAGCTCCTGATCCTTCGAGTACGCTGTTAAAGCGTTCGCTACGAATGAGTTCGAGTCGATGACGCCCGAACCCGTGATAGTCTCATAACCCGAGCGACTTCTGTACAGAGGCCGGAAACCTGCAGCGTAGGTGTGTCTCGCATCATCAGTCATCTCAACCTCGAGGGCACAAAGATTCTTGATGTACGGAGTCGGGATGCTCTCCAAATTTCTGTGTCGCCTGGGTCAAGACCAGCTCTCCTGGTGTGTCCTCATCCCCAGGCACACACGCGGGAGCTCTCTCGATGTCGAATGAGATGATGAATTTACAATGGCTGTAAAAGAGTGGCAGAACGTCGTTCCGAAGAAGTCGGCAAGTGCGCGCGAGTGGAGGCTGGTTCAGACAGAGGAGGCCCCACCTTCGGGCGAAATCACTCAGGTGGAACTCCTCGATGAGGACGCGGAGCTCCGGTGGGAGGTCGAAGATCTTGGAGAACTGCCGCTCGTTGTCTGCCTTTATGAGAACAGGAACAAGTGCATCCTTGGTGGCCTCCTCAGGTAGCTCCAGGCCTCGGGCATGCGCAAACCGCTCGAGCTTTGAGAGGCGTATTTTGCGGAATTCTATGTATTCGTGGACGTTCGCATGAACCTGGGCAATCATGTTAGTAGTAGCTCAAAGGATAGGACGCCTTTGTTCTTATCCACGTACGAGCTCGAGGAGCTGTGCGTGCGTCAGACGTGTCTTCGCACGATAGCCATGCCGTTTCAGCTGCTCAATGAGGTCCCTCTTCTTAGGTTTGGAGGTGACCGGGTAGGTGAGTTGGCAGTAGCTGCCGTTGCGGGCACTCCGGAATCGAGCCATGTTGTTGGTGGTGAAAAGAGGAAGAAGGAGAGGAAGGGAAAGGAAGGATGCGCATATAGCAAAGCTTCTGTCCCGTGCCTACGATTCACTTGAGTAGCCTGGCCAATAAGACGGACTCGCGACTTCACGTACCTCGAAAGATGACGCCATACCTTGGTTTTTCGAATTCACATGTGACAGGGTGAGTTTGCGGCGATGTATAATGATTATGTGCTGTTGTACGATGTCTCGAAGAGAGGAGATCTTGTCGTCGGGGGGAAACATACTATAAGCTGAAGTCAGAGCTTGCTTGTCTCTGAATGCTTTTGGGTTTGCGAAAGCCGTCGTACACTTACACAAAGAGCCTCCAAGACGTCTCGACTCGCCAAGCATCACGCCGCCTTGCTCCATTCCGCATGTATAGTTCGCGGATTAAAAGCAAAGTGTTGTCGGGTGTCTCCGTCTTTCGTCCTCCTCACTCAAAATTGCCACGAGCCCGCAGGGTCTCCTCGAGCGCCTTCCAATGCCACTCCTCCACTGTCTCACGTCAGTATGCGAAGCAGATCCGATGGAGTCCTGCATACCAGCCTCATCCATAGCACGCTCAATCTCGCCCAGCTCATCTTGTCGAAAGAAGCCAGACGTACGAAACTTCTCTTCCAGTCGCGATCTGGGGTCTTTCCCGTGATTCCAGTGTGGCGTTCGAGGGTGGACACTCAGCAACCGGCCCAGCGCTGGAGAGCTGCGTTCGTCAATATCCACGGCGAGATTGCTGACTCTCCATCGCCAGTAGGCGTCTCCCACCGCGTACTCCTGCGGAAACGTGATCCGTAGGACGCGCAGGTTCACGAAGTGGTTCGGTGGCATCCGCGAGAAAAACGCCGTCGACACACTACTCATGGGGAATGATCCTGGAAGTGTCGGCTTGTCGCGCTTGAGACTGAACGACGCGGTGTATATGTAGTCCACCTGGAACTTAACCTTGCGGTAGAAGATCGGTAGGACGTCTCTACGGAGGGTGCGGCAGGTACGCACGAGCGGAGGCTGGCTGGGGCAGTAGAGGCCGTCTTTGGGATTGGCGAAGTCGCTGATGTAGAACTCGCATATGGCTTGTCGTAGCTCGGCGGGAAAGTCCAAGAGCTTGGGGTACGTACGCCTCTTGTCCGCCTCGATCAGCGCCTCGACAAACATCTTCTTGGTCGGTTTGTTTCGCGGTGGGTTCATGGCGATTAGGGAGCTTTCGATCTGTGCAGAAAAGTTTGAGCTCGGCACGGTCCAGTGAGCTATATCCCACGAAGCGGTGCTGGCTGATTCGGAATAGCTCTGCGAGTTGTTCGCGCTGCAGGGTCTTGTTTTCATAGCCTTTGGCACGCAGCTGTGTTCGAAGCATGGCCCTGGAGTCGTCGGAGCTGTTGGCCAGCATCCAGTAGTCGCTGAAGCTGTTGCTTTTGTACCGGTCATCGCCTGAGCTCTTGCTGCTCTTCATGATGCAAGGCTGTGTGGTCTGCATCTGAGAATCTCCAGAGGCTCGGTTTAGGGAGAAGATTTGCGAGATGAGGTTGCGAAACCTGGAACATATAGCTCGATAGCTAAATAGAATTCGATCTGTGTGGTCACCTAGTGCGAGCATTCATTCTGTCTGTCGGCGACTTGACCCAAGCGCCAGGATTGAGTGGGAACGTTCTCTGAGGCCGTGACTGTCAATTGCAAGCACGCACGCTGTAGAGGGCTTAACAAAAGAAGGAAGATGAGAGAGGATGTTAGGCTGTTGTAACATACATCTGGCGGCGTCATGGGTAGATGGTGTCACATGCGACACCGGCGCCACGTATTCTGCTCGGTCGTGGTCAGTCGAGTTTGCTCGTCGATGTTGTGGCCCAGTGAGCTTCTTACCTTACACGAATGAGGATTCCCGTCAGACGTGGTTCGCAGTCAACTCGCTACTCCACGGATTCGGCTCGAGCGCTCATAACCATGCTCACATCGTTGGTTAGTAGTCAATCCACCGGTTAGTACGATCCATTGCCTCGAAATGGTCAAGAAAGCTGGATGACAAGCGTTCATAACAATGATAACGATACGTTCTCAGGTAAAAGCCCTCCCGCCTTCCCAAGTTGGCCACTCATAGCAGCTATCCAGGCACCGCAAGCACCTTGCTCAAACCCACGAGCACACCCGAATGCTGCAATGGTATCATCACACCGCCAACATTGAACGCCAAACTCCCGTCACATGCATCACTTTCAGCACGTTCGCTATCCGCTCTTTCCCATTTCGGAGCGATGAGAGAAGCTTAAAAGCTTAACTCCACTTCCTGTCCGATCTCAAAGAACCCCCGTCTTCCTCCCTCTCCATCTGCCTGCCCTCCTCCTGCAGCCTCCCGATCGTGGCCTTGATGCTCTCGAATGTGAGCATTGTCGTCATGGCCGCCGGTACCGCACGGATCATGTTCGTGCCCATGCCATTGTAGAAGGCACGCCAGCCCTCTTCCTGCAGGATGATGCGACAAGTCCTAACCACGCCTCTGTAGCGCGGTTGGTAGCGCATGCCGTCCGTGGTACCTAGCGCGCGGCCTTTGCTCATGTTCTGGCTGTGGTGTGATCCAGAGACACCATTAGTAGACTCGGGCTGAAGATGTCGCTGTTGCGTCTGAAGTCGGGTGCGAAGTACTTCGTGAGGGTAGGTGGCGCTTGTCGCGCAGACTTTGGAGAGGAGCGTAGCCGAAAGGATACCGGCGACATTGGTCCAAGATTGGTGGTCCTGGGAAGGTACGGCTCCCATCTCGAGGCCAGTGAACTTCTGCTTGAAATACTCGTACAGTGGAAATTGGATGGCGACATGCGTGAGTCCAAGAAGAGCGGGTGCAAGGCCGGAGTAGAATGCGCCGATGCCTTCCGAGCGATACATCTTCCGAGCCGCATCGAGGGTGTTGTTGTAGTGCCAGGGCGTTCGATGCCCATCGCTGGCGGTTCGGGAGACCTGCGACATCAGTCGAGTCTTGATGACCCATATTGGGTTGGTAACAATGGTGCTGCAGCCGCCAGCGACCAGCGAGGCGTATATTCTCGGGAGCCATTTGTCACCTTCTCTTGCACCGTAGTGATGTGCAATGAACCACTCTCGGCTGCTGTCATATACCGCCATGTACACCGCCCATGTTGGTAGATAGCCCAGTAGCATCGGGCCCAGACCCCGATACATGCCCTTGAGTCCGTCCTGCCGTATGATCGTTCGGCCCGTGCCCAGCAATCCTCGGTATATCGCACTTGCTGGCGGTCCCTTCTGCTGTGATGCTGAGCTCGAGAAGGAGCCTTGAGCCTGCAGCTTTGTCTTGATGACGTCCAATGGGCAGGTCACTATCCCACTGGCTACGCCAGCCATTGCGCCTGAAAATGAGTTCACCACGCCTGGTGAGAGCCCGGTCGTCCATCTTGCGAGCTTAGGATAGGGTGTGTTCTGCTTTAGGGTCTCACGTGCTTGGGTGGTTAGGTCTGGCGGGCCATGGTCGTGAGTGTCGGAGTCTGAGGAATTTCTAGGCATTGTCTGCATGGCCTGCGAGGGCTATCGAATGGATGCTGATGTCGCTGACATGCTTGAATGACCGTCCGTAGGTCGTTGTAGCCGGCCGCTTGCGCCCTCTTCCTCTTATCACCCAGCTCTTCCTTCTCAAGTCCCCGCAGGACCGGCTGAATATTTTCGTTGCTCCTCCCCCATGAACCGCTTGTCGGTATGCGGCAGGCTCGACCAGAGCAAGCAGTGTAGGGCAAGACTGCTGGCTTGGAGGGCTCAATCAGGGACTCGGCAGGGTGGAAGTGGAAGCATGAGGTCGGTGAGGTCGAGATCGAGAGCTTTGAGGTCGAGACGAGCTGCGACGATGCCGGCTTTGCAGGTGGGGACTATTGATGGACCGTGCATATATGGCACGTGACTCTCTATCCGGCCCATCCCGTCTAGCTTGGGAATCGAGCGACCTGCAGCAAAGATTCATAGACGTCCAGATTCCCGCATCGCCAGCCATTGGACATCCCACACACCCGACAACACCGCAAAGATGTCTGTACCGTCAATGGCTAACTTCATCGTCAAGCGGCCCTGGCTGTCGAGGTGGATGGTGCCGCTGTCGAAGTGGTACAAGGACGCCGCTGGCTACAGGAAGCTTGGGTTGAGGTATGCGACGAGCATGGAGAGCCGACTTCGTGTCGGTACGCTGGTCCGAACGAGCTCTGGCTGACACATGACTATATAGGTCCGATGACCTGATCCCGGAGGAGAACGAGATTGTGCAGCTGGCGATCAAGCGACTCAGTCCAAAGGAGGCATACGACCGGGTGTACCGTATGAGGAGGGCGTTCCAAGTGCGTACACGGAAACAGAAAGAGGAGCTTCGCCCACGACGGAATACATACGCTGACCTACGATACAGTGTTCTCTACAGCACCAGTTGCTCCCCAGACAGGAGTGGACATCAGATGAGCAGGTATGTGGTCTCTGTGCTTGAAGCCGCACAATGGTCGCGAAGGCAAAAGGTCTTGAGAGAATATACTGACACAAAGATCCCCGCAGGACTACCAATACCTCTCCCCCATCATCGAGGAGATCGAAAAGGAGCGGTCGGAGCGTGAGGACTTGGAGTCCATGGTGATCAAGAAGCCCCAGCCTGGCAGCAAGGTGAAATAGTGGAGAGTCGGCTAGAGGATGACGGGATGCGAAGACTCGTGTATATACTTTGGCGATAGTCTTTGCATCGGCGCTTTTGCGGTGGCATAGATATTAGGAGGCTGTACCATATCTCAAAGACGAACGTCTGTGCACCTGGAAGTTACACAGTATCAGTGACCACAGCCCTCAATTCGCGCTCACATCGTAACCAGGCATTGTGCGATCCTCACCCTCCGCCCTTCTCACTCCTCTTTCAGCCCACGTGAGCCCGCGCCGCTAGCGTGATATTGCCTTGGCTTCTCCTCTGACTCGACGCCTGATGATAAAAGCCTTCCACTCAATCCAACATACCTTTGAAAAAGCCCCCATCTCAAGCCTGTACCATCTGGTTGGCTGTTCGCATAGTCAAGATATCGTTCAAAAGGCTGGCTCGTAGGCCTTGCTCTCTGCTGAAGTTGCTGGGCAGCGCAAGCCCGTATAGCATTGTCAGCCACCCAGGGCCAGTGGCGTCATCAGTAAGGTCGAGGCTACATCAACATCAGCCTACACCGATCAGACCAATGTCAATGCGACGCTCAGCTCGTGTCCAGACGCAGCCTGTTACTGAGAAGGAACTTCCCAACGGACTGGTCGCTGAAGCGGCTGCACCACCATCGAAGAAACGAGGCCGCAAGACCAAAGCTACGGAGGACATCGCCTCCACCGCTATCGCACAGGATGGCATCTCAGCAGACACGGACGCAGCAAAAGCTGCGATGCCACCACCCCCTACAACGCCGAACAAGCGGCGGAAGGTGGCAAAGGTCGAGACTACTGTGCCTCCCATTACGCCCACACCCTCTGCGATTGGGATGATGACGAGCAATAGCGTACTTAGACCAGGCTACAGTACCGGAGACATAGATGATGCGACTCCGCCGCCGCCCGACAGGCCAGCTGAGCCCCATCATACCAATGCCGCCCTGGTCACTCCAGGCGGTACGCAGCATCTGCCAGTCTACAGCAATTTTGAGGACACGCCATCAAAACCTGGTGTCAGGCCAACTACGACGACGGGATGCCTACTGGATCAGGCATGCGCACATCTCATCAAAGTAGACGCTAAGCTGAAGCCGGTCATCGACAAGCACCACTGCCGCATCTTCTCTCCCGACGGACTGGCCGAGAGCATCGACCCATTTCGTTCACTGGCTTCTGGCATCATCTCACAGCAGGTTTCAGGTGCGGCAGCGAAGAGCATCAAGCAGAAGTTCGTTGGTTTGTTCGAACCCGATGAATGTCCAGCTGGCTTTCCTCCTCCTGGCGTAGTCGCTGAGACAACCATCACCCGTCTTCGTGAGGCAGGGCTCTCGCAGAGGAAAGCAGAGTACATCCAAGGCCTGGCACAGCGGTTCGCCAATGGGGAGCTCACCGTCGAGATGCTCACGAACGGCTCTGATGAGGAAGTGATGGAGAAGCTTGTCGCTGTCCGCGGGCTTGGGAGATGGAGCGTAGAGATGTTCATGTGCTTTGGCCTGAAACGGATGGACGTCTTTTCGACTGGGGATTTGGGCGTGCAGAGAGGAATGGCTGCGTTCGTCGGACGGGATGTGGCGAAGCTCAAGGCGAAGGGTGGGAAGTGGAAGTACATGAGTGAGAAGGATATGCTGGAGATCTCTAAGAAGTTCAGTCCGTATCGGAGTCTGTTCATGTGGTATATGTGGCGGTAAGTGATGCAGTGAAGACATTGCTGGAGATGAGAGCTGACGATTGTGGTAGGATCGAGGATGTGGAGGTTGACGCGATGCAGGACGCTTGAAGATGCGAGCTTGGCCTGTCACATGTTGCGCTTCACTTGCTCTTCGTCCACTTGTGGCTCACTTGCTTGTGGTTCACTGCTCTTGATTCACTGCTGCTTCACAAGGCTTATGCTCAAGCTCAGACGTCATACTCATGCTCACGTGGCCAGATCCGATCAGTATAAGTTTCTTGACAACCAGGCTTTCCAGACTTCTTCCTTTCCACCAACTATCCACCGATCATTTTCATAATTCGACCTTCCAGGCTGAGAACGAACGGCCCTAGTCGTGACTGCTTAGACACCACTCTCTAACCGAACACCATGGCTAGCACAACAATGGTCAAATCTCCTTCAATCAAGGCAAGGATCAGAACAGCGATCGCACCATGGCGACTCGGGGAAGATGAGCCGGACTTCACCTATGAGCAGCTGGTCGTTATGGCAATCCTGATGAATGACGGGGAAGCTTCAGAGGTTGAGATCCATAAGTGGGTATTGGACACGTTCTCGTTCTACCGTGAGCAACTTGCTCGAGCACTCCGAGTGTCTACCAGAAAAGAGAGGTGGAATCATAGTTTCCAAGACTACTTTCCACACACATTCCACCACGGACTCAATCTAACATTTCAGGGATTCGAGACGCCACTGCGGGAAGTCATGTATGAAGGCAGCGGTAGTGATACCAGTGACAGTGGCGACGACGAGAACGACGGCCGGATCTTCTCGGTCACGGATGCAGCAGGTGCTGAGTTCTTGTGTCCGATCTTCCCACATCCTCCCCGCGCTATCGACACATCAGCCTTCGACTTCTTTGCGCTACCTGCCGAGTTGAGGGGCGCCATATATGGAATAGTGTTCTCGTATCCGAAATCAGGATTGGCTACGCAGTTATGTCGCAAGAGAGAGCCCTTCTACGTCTCTTCTCGGACAAGGGAATACGAGCATGCTGTCAGCTGGGAAGATTGCGACATCTTACAAGGAGCTCGGAATAGCGAGACTGCTATTCGCACAAGACCAATGGAAGACATCCTGGAGCCACTGCTTGTCAGCAAGCAGTTCTACGCTGAAGCCATGCCTGTGTTCTATCGCACTAACAACTTCCACGCTACATCAACCTCAGTGCTGTATCATATGCTCATACGGATGGCGCCGAATCGACTTCAACATCTGACGCAGATATCATTCCAGTACCACGGTAATTTTGGCACGGAGACTACCAAGGCATTCGCTATCCTCGCTCAGCTCGACCATCTTAAGAAGCTCGATATCTTCGCCAATAAACAAGAATGGATTGGAAGGGGCAGCTTCGTGCCTTCATCTAAAAGATACTCCTCCGTCATGAACATGGACGGTGTAGACAAGTTGCGTGCTATCAGGGGACTGGATAGAGTCACCTTCCACGGGAGTCCGACACTCGAGCGCGAGCTGAAGCCGGACATGTTGAAGCCCAAGACCAAGAAGAAGTCGACCCGTGCGGGCACGAAGCGCAAAGGGGACGGTCGCGAGCATCCTCTGACCTTTGTTGTCAAGGAGGCGAAAGCTAAGAAGCCAAGGCGTACATACCAGTCTGGGTGACGGAACCTACCGAGCGGTGGAAGTGCTACCCGGAAGCTCGTGCCGGCGGAGGCAGCATCTTGAGCCGGAGGCGTGGGCGGTTGGAGGTACGAGGCAGGCCAGTATGGTGACATGCGGCTGCGAGGAGCGGGTGGCGTCTTCACAAAGGGCCAGCATCATGACCGGACTGGCTTGCAGAATGGTGACTTGAGGGGTGCGAGAGGGCTACTTTAGGGGGTATTCTTGTGCCCAGACCTGACGGAAGGCAGCTTTCTCAACGGCGGTTCTTGATTTCATAGCAGAGTGACTACTTAATATTAAACAAGCACACCTAAAAACTCCCTGCTACCCCTCCCACCCTTCGCAAGCTGCGGCCACTGCACCACAAACCGATCCGCCACCCCTTCCAGCAGGTTTCCAGACAGACTCAACTTCTTGACCCGTGCCCATGACTCTACGTAGACCGTCCGCATCTTCCCTCGCGAGTGGCAGTTTCGCACGTTGAAGAAGCGCAATAAGACTGCCGTGAAAACGATAATTGTAGCTGTTGCAGGGCCGTTGCAGAGGATTATGTCCGGGAAGTCTCGGCCTGATCTGGAGCAGCCGAGGAGGAGCCCGAATGTGGCGAAGAGGCAGCGGAGGCTGGATATAGGTGCCGTGTAGATGGGTTGGTGTATCTCTCTTGCTCGAGGGACGGTCAATATTTGTGCTCGCTGTCGCTGGGACCCACTCGCGGTTGTGCCATTTCCAGAAGCCATGTCCTCGAACGCTCGAGCGCGCTGCGCGGAAATGCTGTCGCCAGAGCTAACAACCCAAGTCCGGTGCTTAAATCGCTTCCACTCAAATCGCCGGGTCGTCTCATCTTCATTGACAGCCCGCTCCAGCATGGCGACCATTTCTGCCGTGTGGCCGCCACTACCCAGGACGATGAGGAGATGAGCGGATCCAGCCCGGTTGAGTTCCGAAGGCTTGAGCCGGTGCGGGCTCAATATGATGGAGAGGCGGACAAGGATCAGACTGACGATCGCAAGGAAGCATGTGAAGGCGAAGATGAGGTAGGTGAGGGTGAACCTCACGGAAGAAGCGGAGGCCATGGTGGTAGGGGTGCGCACATTGATGAGGATGTTATCGTGGTTCCATGGCTGGTGGAATCCTCTGAGGATTTCACTGACGCTTCGTCATTGGTGAACGTATTGTCGGATTTAAACGAAGATGAAGTGAAACGAGGTGGGTCTTTAAGAGGTGAAGTCGACACCTGACTCGAGTGGCATTGCACGAACAACACATCATGAGAGCTGTCCACAATGGGCTACACATCTCTGCAACAACACATGCACGTGCTAACGAGAGAGAAGTCGGAAGCAACGGTATGTCAACCACTAAACTTTCCATCTGTACACATGCCACTGTTGAAGACAAATCATACAGTACAGCCAGCCAGCTCCCGTTTACCATCTTCAAAATCCCACAAGTCCCGCAAATATTTCATGCCACTCCAGATGCGCCATCGCTGTGAACATTGCCTTACTCGAAAAGTGATCTCCATCATCTCACGCCTGCTGCGCCTGCCCTTGCCGCAAAGCCAGCAGCGCCCGCACATCAGTCACATACTGCAGACCCTCCAGCAGCGGCACCAAATGTATCAGATCGTTGTCCGTGGGATCGCTGATCCAGCCTTCGATCGGAATGGCATTATCTGTTTGCAAGTCAGCTATTGTCGCTCTCGATAAAGAGGGGCGATCAGCTCACCTTCATGAAAAATATAACTCATCGGACTGTTATCCAAAATCATCACCCTGCTCAAGTCCGGCTCGACCTGCGCCAAGTCCTTGATATACGCCCCGTTTCGCAGCGTACAGTGCTGCCGGTAGTACCTCCCGCCGAAATACTTTCTTTCTCGCTCTAGCCAATCGATCACCGGATCCGCATACTCCTGCACTGACGCGGTGAAAGCGACGAGGTTGTACCATTTGCTCACTTTGCGCAGGAAGTCGTGGCAGCCGGGTCGTTCGTGGACGTAGTAAAGGATCGGGACACCAGAGCCGAACTGAGACGGAGGTGCCTGCGAAGTAGTAGTAGGAGAGGATGGAGTAGGAACGGCACCGCCGAGGCGCACTTCGACCATGTGGCCGGTGCTCATGCGGCCGCCTTTAGCCATGGAGTGGATGAGAGTCTCATCAAGATCGATGATGAGAGTCTTGCGGGGTGTATCGGGAGAGTAGGCGAGCGTATAGGAAGGTTGTCGACGGGGTACTAGTGGTCGAGGAGGAGCAGGAGCGCGCGGGTAGCGGGTTAGCTTGGTTGCGTGGCCGGCAGGGGAGGAGGGAGATTTGAGGGCTTGGGCTACGTCGTCCAGGTTGCTGGGTTGTGATGTTGAAGACTTCTTCTGTGGTTGGGTGGTGGAGGACTTGGCCGTACGTCGTTTGCGGACCTCGTCGTTTGACTGAAGCCTGACTTTCATACTACGTCTCTGTGGTGCTGCATCGGCATTGCTTTGCTGTGCAGCTGCCGTCCGAGAGCGGGTATGCCGGGCAGGACTGTCGTCGTTCTTCTCGCCCTCACCATCCGATGAAGCCAATGTGCTAGAGGACGCATTGCTGTCTACTGATGTCGATCGCCTACTTGATCGATGCGACTGTCGCGACTTCTTCTCCTCCGTCTCCAGGGCGCCACTCAGACCAACAGCTTGGGTAGTAGACCTCCGCCGCCGCCGTAGCATCAAGTTCTTGAAGTTGCGCAGAGGTAGGATGGCGGAGAAGTGGCCTTGATCATCGTAGAAGCAGGCAATCACATATCGACCTGGCGCGGTGATTGTAGTGAAGACCACTTGTACACCGTGGATGACCGCCTGTCCAATGCGCTTCGGAATGGCCCAGAGCCTACTGCCTGGCGCTTCTTTGAAACCCGCGCCCTCTCCATCTGCCAGCAACGGCGTCTTCTCGTCCGCATCCTCCTCCGTCTTTGTAGGCGCATCCGCATCTCCCTGTTCGTGCGCCTGCTTCTCTCCCGTCCCGCTCAGCTTCTCGTCGATGCTCCCCATATCTAGTCTTCCACTCGACTGTTCGCCGTTACCATCCGAGCTGTTCGCATTGGCCAAGCTACTTGTGCGCGATCGCGGCGGAGACGGCGGGGGAGTGGTGGTCAACCTTGAGACGATGTTGAGGCTGTTCATGACGCTGAACATGCCCTCCAGCGCCTGTTCCGTACTATCCCTCCTCGGCAACCGGGGGTGAACGAGCGAATGTGGTAGAGGAGGCAGAGGGAAACACGTGGGCGCAACACCGCGGATGGGCTGAAGCTAAAGACGCCGCAGGACCGGGGGCGGCGTTCTCTTGTCGTGGTGGGGCCAAACTTAGCAACTACATCCCTGCCTCTCGCTATATCATTTTTTGACATTCACTTCATCTCGTGATTGAATAGCCCAGCACTCTCATACGGATTATAAGCTGTTCCAGAGCATCAGAAAACGACTACATCTGGCCATTGCGGAAGAGACAGCGCATCGACCAGCCTCGCGAAACATCTTCACGAGATTGACTCATATCCCCTGGTTGAGCACAAGAACGCGAAAAGATTCCACTTCATATGACATAGAAGTCAGAGGCTATCTATTCACACCAGCACACGACAGAGTAGTGCGACATCCATCACCAAGTCGAACCGGAACTTCTAGATCGAAAAGCATCCACGACAATGCCAGCCGCCACGGTGGGCCAGACACCGTCTCTGACGACCTTCCTCAAATCCCTCAAAACCAGCTCCGTCGAAAGCTCCATCGAATTGCTCGCGTCGCTGCTCAAGCGCCGACAGATCAAGAACTCCCGACAATGTGCCCTGGCCACGGCACAGCTGCTCCGTCGGGTTGTTGGCGCTGAGCGGATCAAGGATCCGCAAAAACTCATCGACCGGATCCGAGATGTTGGCCGGCGACTGGTAGCTGCTCAGCCACGGGAAATGGCGGTGGGTAATATCGTTCGCCGGGTCTTGGGCGTAGTGAGAGAAGTGGTGGAGGAACAGTTGGGAGACGACGGCAGTGGGAGCAGCGGGCCGAGCACGCCAACATCTCCTACCTCTCGCGCACCCAAACGACCCATGATCTCGCATACCTTCTCTAGCTTTACACCTCTGAGCCATGGAGCAGCAATGCCATACGATATGCATCCTCGCCCGGGCACGCCCGGCAGCAGTTCGCCATCTGGAGTGGACCGTTTGGCAGATGCCACTGCCGCTGCGCGAAGGCCAGGACTTGCGACTTCGGCTTCATACGCCAGTATAGCACCAACAAATGCCTCCCTCCTTAGCTTCTTGGAGCACCCTTTGGGCCGATCACCAGGCGCCACGCCACCGGCCACAAGCTCGCCTCGCATGACACCAGTTCAGAGCAGTATGGAACTGAATAAGGAGAAAATCGACATCAAGGCTGAAGTCATCGACGGCATAAAAGATCTCCTTGACGAGCTTGAGGTGGTCGACAGTCAAATCGCCGAGTCAGCCCTCGACCATATTCACAGCAACGAGACCATCCTCACTCACACATCCTCTCAAACCGTGCAGAAATTTCTGGCCACCGCAGCCCGGAAGCGCAAGTTTACCGTCATCCACGCAGAGGCTTACCCGAACGATCACGAGGCTACGCACGCCACCATCCTAAACGGTGGCAAGAAGTCTACTGGCGACGACGATGAAGTTGACGACCGCTGGAAGCCGTTGACCGCACTCGGCATCACCGTCATCATGATCCCGGACACCGCGGTTTTCGCGCTCATGTCGCGCATCAACAAGGTCATCCTTGCTCCCCACACCGTCCTAGCCAACGGCAGCCTTCTCGCAGCAGCAGGCGCCAGCACTATCGCGCTCGCCGCTCAAGCACACCGCGTACCTGTTGTTGTGCTCTCTGGCGTCTACAAGCTCAGTCCTGTCTATCCATTCGATACCCAGGAGCTGATCGAATACGGCGACCCTGGGAAGGTGGTGCCATTTGAGGAAGGGGAGTTCATGGACAAGGTGGATGTGGTTAATCCGGTCTACGACTGGGTGGATGCGGAGCTGGTGAGCCTGTACGTGACGAACCTGGGCGGTTGTGCACCGAGCTTCCTGTACAGGATCGTTGCAGATCACTATCGAATGGAGGATGTAGATTTGGGTGCGAAGTCGGGATAGGAGGGGAAGACGACAAGCTGAAGAGAGGAATTGCACTGGATTGAAATTATGCATCTTTCAACCGACGCTATCGATCCGCGCCACCTTCTACCTTCGCGCCCGCAATCTTACCTCCCAGGTACTCTTTCGCCATTTCACCAAACGTCATCCACTCAACACCCTCATGCTGGTTGATATACTCAATCATCCGCTCATGCATCAAAATCACCTGCGGCTTTCCCGAGACCTGCGGATGGATGCTCATCGGGAAGATAAAGGTATCATACTCCCTGTACCCGAAATCAAACTGCTCCTTCCACAACTTCTCGATCACCGCAGTATCCACGAACCCTTGTGCTCCCGCCCGGCCGGGGATGGGGTTGAGAGGAGGCCAATCGTCGATGTGCCAATTCGCCGGGATCTCGACGATGCTGCTCGATTTGATCTTTCCCATAGGTTTCATCCAGCTGTCCGCAGACTGGCTGTTATTCGTCTCGATCCAGGAATGCGAGTTATCCGGCGCAAAGTACATCTGAAGATCGTGGTGCATGAAGCTGTGATCGTACAGAATCCCAGCCTCCTCCAGCTGCGGTATCAGCTGCCTCGACGTCGACCAAGCCGGCGCCGTATAACCGAGCGGAGCCTTGCTACAGAAATCTGTCAATACGGAGATGGATTTGTCCAGCACGGCTTTCTGTTGCTCAGCGGAGAGGGTGGAGGGGTACTCGTGCGTGTAGCCGTGCAGGCCGATTTCGTGGCCATCATCGCGGACCTTGGCGAGTTGCTCTGGGAAGGATTCAAGGGTGTGTGCTGGGGTGAAGAAGGTTGCTTTGATGGAGTTGCGGGAGAAGAGCGTTAGCAGGCGGTCGAGGCCGACTGTGGCGCCGTAGATGCCTCGGGAGACGTTGGTTGGATTTTGGACGGAGCCGTCGGTGGTGTTGAGCCAGTTTGCTACGGCGTCGACGTCGACTGGGGTCTGGGTCAGTAAGTCTGAAGAGTATTTGACTGGAGATTGATAGGGATACTTACTGCCGTAGCCTACTAGAACTCGCTTCTTGGGCATCCTGAAAATTGCTAAAGTCACTTAGACTACTAACTTATGTCAACAAAGGATCACAGTCGAAAAGGCAATGACATTCTGAGAGTTTGATCTACAGCAGCTGTATTTTGAGCTTTCAGTGCCAACACTCCATACGCATATCTGCCCCGCATTGACGTATCACCCGAGTAGTAAGGAGCGGCGTATACCTGCAACGATATCGGACTTGACAGCTGAGCAGATAACACATCTTGTCAGTCGGCCTCGATATCAAACACTTCCAACACTCTTGAATGACACGACCATGGCGCCCTACCTCGGATCACCAGACGAGCCCGCCATCAACGGGATGAAGTTGAAGCTGCGACAGATCGAATGCAGCGGGACGCCATATGAGGTCTGTATTTCTCACGAAGATACAACAAGCCCTGCTAACAAGAATTAGATCGGCTTCAAACATGGCCGCGAAGCCACCTCCCAAGTCCACGGCACCATCGCCTTCTACACCTCCATGTTCCAAACCAGCTCCAAGCTTGAATGGCCCCAAGTTCGCCAAATCGCCATGGACTTCGAGCCCAACCTCCGCCGCAAATGGCCTCGCTATGTAGACGAGATGCAAGGTCTCGCCGACGGTGCCGATGTCGAACTCGCCGATATCATCGCCTGCAACGTGAGGACTGAGATCGCGTTTGGGATGTTTTCCGATGGATGTACTGCGCTGTCGTGGCGCACGGAGGGTGCGAGTTTTCTGGCACAGAACTGGGACTGGATGGAGGCGCAGAAGGCGAATCTTGTGGTTTTAACGATCAAGCAGGAGGGGAAGCCAGGGATCAAACTGGTGACGGAGGCTGGGTTGATTGGGAAGATTGGGTTGAACGATGCGGGTGTAGGGGTGTGTTTGAATGCTATTAGGGTTAAGGGGATGGACGCTACGAAGTTGCCCTGTCATCTTGGGCTGAGGATGGTGTTGGAGTCGAGAAGTAGGGAAGAGGCGGTGCGGAGGCTGGAGGAGTTTGGCATTGCGAGTTCGTGTCACATGCTCATCGCTGACGCGGAAGGAGGTATTGGGCTCGAGTGGAGTTCGTCGGATGTGCAGAAGTGCGAGATGAATGGCGAGAAGCAGGTTTTCCACTCGAACCATTTCCTGCTTGAACATCCGGGGGTTGGGGAGGACACGCAGTGGATTAAGGACTCTGGGTATCGGGTGACGAGGATTGAAGAGCTAGCAAAGCAGCTGAAGGGTGCTCCAACGAAGCAGAAGCTGTTTGAGATTTTCAAGGACGAGTCGAATTATCCTGGTGCGATCTGTCGGGCGCAGAAGGCTCCTTCGACTAGCGCGAGTCTGTTCAATATTATCGTGGATTTGAAAGCGATCAGGGGGGATGTTACGCTGGGACGACCCACGGAGCCAGAAGATTTTGTGCAGTTAGCGTTTTGATACCACTATTCATTGAGCCATCCGAAAGAAGCTTTTGAAGACGCCGCGACTGTGTACGGAGTGCATTGCGCTACTGGAACACTCCTGTGAAGCCGTGCTGTGAACGATTGCCCCCATGCGGTTCCTCTTCCTGCAAAGATTTCACCATCATCGTAAGCATACTCAACTGCATCTGTCGCTTTTCGCAAGGGGGCTTCCAGAATTTCCAATCATGCTACCGTTTCGATCGTCGTGTAGCGTCGACGTAGCTACTTCTGGCCTTCGCGTGAGCTTAACACCCTCGAAGAACCCATCAATCCTCGCCCTTCATATGAACCCATCATCGTTCCACTTCGGTCTCCCCTTCGCCTTCTTGCTTGTCCACACTCCGCCCAACACCTCCTCAGCGCTCTCAATCTTACGCTTCCGGCCATTTTCCTTCTTCTGCTCAATCTTCGGCTGCATCATCTCTGGTCTCAGCACACGCTCAAAGGTTGGACTACCATCAAAGTTGACGATTTCCAGCCCCCGGATCGTCCTCAACGTGCTGACGCCCCACATGCCCATGACGCTCTCGTACATCTTCTTACCCCTGAATGGAAGCCAGGATGCCTCGTCAGGTATGACTTTGATGTCTAGCCGGCGGAGGCGCTTCATCTTGGCAAGCATGGAGAAGGCTTTGGATGATGCCTTTTCCTCTCCGAAATAGCGAAAGGAGATGTGCGTGACATGCTCGAGCCTTTCGGGTGCAACGCAGGTCAGAAATCTCTCAAGCTCGGATGAGGACATGCAGTGGAAGTGGTTGATGCGGTAGAAAGTCGGCATAGCCTCGGCATAGAATTGCTTGTTGAGCAGTAGAGGGTTCAGGATGTCGCGCACTCGCATAGTCTCCATGCGATCCTTGCCAGAGGCCCCCCACTTCTTGTACCAGGCGTCCCAGCTGAACTGTTCATTCCCAGACTTGGAAAGTGTCTCGAAATGTCCATAGCAATGGAGGGTGCCCAACCCTGATTTTGGATACCCAAAGACCATTTCGTAGATCTTCTCTCTCAGCTCGGCCGGCAGCCCGAAGAAGTCGAATTTGGTGGGTTCCTTTTCAGTCGTGAACGGGAGAATGGATGCCAGAAGGAGTTCGCCTGTGACCGGAGAGACCGAGTAGTACTTGACGTCGCCTCTCTTTTCTTTACGCAGTGGTAATTCGAACCGGCAGAACAGCGTTTTGATGGAGTTGTGAATGTGGTAATACGAGCCCTAATTCTGGAATGGAAAGCCACGATTGGGATGCACCAGGAGTAGGGCGGCATGTTTGCGGTAGAAACGGAACGTCTCCAATGCCCAGATATGGATATCGTCCGCCGGAGCCTCCACGCCGTGCAGCAGAAGTGCCGTGACCAGGACTTGTAGTGGTGTGAAAGGTGGCTTCTCGTCCGACGCGCGCCACGGTGCGATTAATTCTTCGATCCTCTGGCGAATCTCCGGAGGCTTGACCACTGTGGTGTCAGCCAAGATGCTGGCCGCAGCCACCGCAGACTCCATGTCGAGCGTTGTTGTTAGGTGTGCAGGAAGGAGGACGAAGAGGTGTTGTAGCTTGTCACAAATGTGAAGTGATCGCCAAGGGAAGCAACCTCACCTGAAACGCACCTTCCACGTGAGATGCTGCGGCCGAAACCTTGTATCGAGCATGTGACATTTGTTACCAGTATCTGCCTCCCTAACGCCGTAACTCGCGGACTCGCTGAAACGTAGCATACAGGGGTATATTGTGCGGGACGAAACAGCGCGCTTCTTCACCTCATCTCTTCCTACCCTCCACCATGCCTCACCCCAGAAACGAATTCCCAAGCAGAGGCCCAATAACAGTCTTCTTCCCTTTCTTCGCCGCCTTCATCTCAGCGTACAGGCTCGGGTTTATTCCTTTCTTCAACAACTTCTTAATCTGTGCGTCTGACAGCCCGCTGGTATCGTAGTTGGAGCTCTGCCATCGGCCGTCCATATCAAAGGACCCGGAGTCTCCGTCGTCCGAGACGGTATGGTGGCTTGCGGTATCTTCGTGTCCGTCTGTTGACATCGAAACGCGCTCGCTTTGTTGGTCGACGGAGATGCGCTTGGTGATGCCAGGTGGAATGCCGCTTGGTATGCTTCTCATGCTGCCGTTGGCGCTTCTGCTATTGCTTGTGGAAGATGAGGTCGTGGATGTGTTGGTTCGCTGTGGTCGGAGAGGGGACATTGAATTCTGATCTTCTCGCGCACTGCCGTTCAGTGGTTGTTGCGGCCGCGGCAGTTGTACTGGATCGCATCTCTGCTGTGCGTATTTGTCCCGCCGGACTGTCCTCAGCTGCTTTATCTCGTCATCCCAAGCGACTTCTGAGCTCCCCGAAGACGTCGAGGAGCCCTGCGTAGTCGCAGTCCTATCCGAATCGATCGAGAACCGCGGCTCTTCCGGATACCCTCGGTTGGCATTGTCGTTATGAAAAGCGCTGATAGCATGTGTACTGCCGCGCGAAGAGCGGTCACCGTTCGATCGGTTGGCGGTGGAGTGCGATTGACCGCTCTGAATGCGAGTCGGTCGCGGACGGGAGAAGTTTACAGAAGCTCCGTTGGTTCCATTGGTGGCCGAGCCTGAGTTCGAATGTGAGCCCGAGTGTCGGGATGAGTCGAAGGATTCCTCGCTCTCTTCGCTGAGGCGAGGCAGAGGGTTCATCGCGGCGTACTCTCCGCCCAACGCATGTAGTTTCAGACGTGACGAAGTGACTGATAGAACCAAGGAACAGGCAAGACGAAGTCTGGAAAGGACCAACGTAGAGAGACAGAAAGACAGACAGCTACCGAACGGATCTCGCTCCACGCCGAGCAGCAGTCTTGGATGTCCCGCAAGACCACGAGGATATGAGTCGGGCACGTCATGATTGCTCGTAGTCGATTGGATGCGTGCCTGGATGCGCAGGGGTTTGACAATGGCATCCCCGCTAAATCGACCAGGAAGTCTGGGAATGTTTGGTACTAGCGACCGATAGACGGGAGATGCTGCCAATCGAGACAGCGCAACGGCTGGCGAGACTCTAAGTCTGGGTGGATCGTGGGGAGGCGTTGCAGGAAGCGAATCCTTCATCTGCATCCACCCGACCGGACACAATTCCGATGAGATTGTGTTGAACGGATGAGGAAGAAAAGATGGTATATGGCCATGGAAGAATAGCTGATACCGTTTTCAATGCTTTTAATGACCCATTTAACGCGCAAACACTTGTCCATACCATCTCATCCGCCTCGACTCGGTAGACGCAACCCTGATCTATATCGTATCGGGCTATTGGCTCCATCTCGCTTCCGCATCCTTCTCAACCAGATCAGATACAGATCCACCCAGATGACCCTTGATGCCGAGAAAGCGCACGGCTGCCAGGCTTCACCAGACCCGCACGCGGACCACTACGTTACCATCAACTTTACCTACAGCCCTGCACTGAAATGCCGCATCAGCTTCAACAGCAGGCAGAACGAGTTCAGGATAAAACAGGATGTCGAAGATTTCGGAGCAGAATCGTGTTCATAAACTGGACGAGCGTCGCTAAAATACTGTATCTTTCGCAACAAATAGAAGACCCAACTCCACGCTTCAAACACAAAACCACGACAGGTAGCAAATGTTATTGCTCCTCCCTCAAACCCCCCTGACTCCTCTTCTTCGCCGTCGTCTTCATCCCACTCAACCTCCCGCCCAACTTCTTCCACATCCCGGAGTCCCGCTTCGGGCTCTGTCCATCGCCGCCCGCCGCCCACGAACTCATGGGAGGTGTGGTGGGAGACTCCGCAGTAGGGCTGTCTGTGCTGCCGCTGTCGTCTGTCATGCCTGGTCCGCTGCCGGTGCCGGAGAGATTGTGCTCGGAGCCTGATGCCACCGCGTCCATGCTTGTGGTGCTGGAGATGGCGTGGGAGGGCGAGGAGGTTGATTGTGTGAGTTTGGCGCTGAAGCGGGATTTGTTTGATGTGGCGATGGGTGAGGGGGCTGATTTTCGGGAATTGGTGGACGGTGCGGAGTAGGAATGTGAGTGCGCTTGGACGGCGGTCTTGGGTGGTGGTGAGTTCCTTGCATGTCGGTTTCTTCGGACAACGCTCGATCGGTCTTCGTACGCTGTTTGTGGTACGTGTTCGTCTGAGCGGTTTGGACATGAAGATGCTGTCGGGTGTGCTGTTTGCGGGTACGCGCTGTTGAGGAAGGGCACCAACACCGACTCCTCCATCAGCTCGTAGATCTTCGCGACAGCCGTGTCCAGAGTTTCAGGTGCGGGCGGGTGTTCATCTGCAGAGTGCTCCAGCAGCGGATCCCGGACGTCTGAAGGTAGGTTGACCTCTCTTGAGCCGTTTGGCCGAATGTATGCGTCCACCAACCGCTCCCACAGTGCTTGAACGTACTCTTCGTCCTTCGTAGGCGGCGTGCCACTGCTACCGGCTCTCGACATCATCTTTGCGTAATGTTTCCTGTACCGCCCAGCATCCATTGTGAACTCCAACGTCTCCAGGCAGTGGTTGTTTGACAGATACGCCATGAACGCCGCCAACGTCCATGGCGATTCTGCTGTGTTTGCCAGTATCTCTCTTAGGTTCGGCCGTCGAGGGCAGTATGGGCCATGCACCGCGCTCGACTTCGGTATCGCGACCGACAGCGGTCTTGCGGGAGGTGTCTCGTCCGCCGACATCGACAGTAGGTCTTCGTCTTCTGTGTCTGATCCGGCGTTCGACGAGAATGCGGATGGTGGGTAGTTCAGCGAATCCTTTGAGCTAGTTGTGGATTGAGAGAAGAGTGATGACGGTTTGCGGACCAGCATTACCTTTTGGATCAGCGATCTGCCGCCCTTGTCGAAAATCGCAGGCTTGCGGCGATTCGACTGGATCTGTGTCAGCGGCTCGCGCTGAGGCAGAGGTATCGACGCCAGATTGGCTGCTGAGCAAACGCCAGCGACGTTATCGCGATGTGGTGTGGAAGAGTTGATGTTGTCGCGAGAACATGGGCTTGCAAGGTAGTAATGTATGTGGTATGCTGACAGGCGTCACTCTGTCTCGAGCAAGTGTCCTGGGATGGTGCTTGTGCTGCCTGCTACACTCGTGTACACCAAGGCAGGGTTCCGGGCTGTTGCTGGGTCGCTGTCGTGTCGCACTGTCGGGTATGTGCAGCGAAGGATGGGTTGCTTCTGTTGCACCAGATGGCTCTGCGCCCGCTGGGATGCGAAGTGGTTGGTCGAAGTAAAGTTTGTCGCTGCAAGGAGTTGCTGGTGTAATGATCGTTGTGGGCGTCGAGTGCTTATGATTGCTCGGAGAAAAGAATGCGGCCTATGCCGGTGGAGTCACAAATCTGGTGAGACGAAATCTGAGGAATGTAAACGGGCGCCAGGCTGAGACACAGTGACCGCCCTACGACCAACGCCGGGTGGATACGTCGCGCGTGCGGTGGTGTCGCCGCTGTAAGGCCGAAGTGGGTTATCTCGATGGTCCCCTCAGTCCCACGTAGCAATCAAGTCGTTCAAGATTAGTCAAGGAAGCGGTGTCGACACAGAGCGGAATCGACAATGTCCAGGAGGCGGTGCTTGGTCAGAAGGAGGGAATGGGCGTCTGTAGGAGCGACTTGCGTGAGGAGGCGAAGACGCCAATAAGCAGCGGGATCAGCGTCCCCCAAGCCCTTCTAGCGGCCTTCCATCAACCGGACGCCAATCACCCTCTCCACTCGCTCAGGCCCACCCCTGTGTGTGAAACTTCGACGAAGCTCCGAAGAATACGCTTGACTGGAGATGGCTAGAGTGATAAGCCAGCACCGTCAGAGGGACGAGACAGATCGTCGTTCCGAGCGCCACGCTGACTCCTCACTGGGTGCTGGCAGATATACACCTCATATTGCAGCGATACGCCTGGGAAGAGGCTTCGAAGACATATGTGATGCCGCAGAGTGCTTTTGGCACGCTGAGGCACAAACAGAACAGCGTGCAGCAGAGGGCGTCCTTCGCCTCATCCTACCGCGCAGTGCATGATGAGATGAAAGGGAAGAGAGCCGATCCCGATATCGCTAGGCTTTGTTGGCGTGGTTGGTAAAGATTAGATAGCCGTTTTAGATCCTCCATCGACGATTGTCTGTCGGAGAAGCACAATGATGGATATACCACGCACTCCATGACCAGCGGAGCCTCACCTTTGCGGCAAGATGCCCGCTGCGAGGGAGCGGAGAGCTCTACAGTAGACAGCTGATCCCCGGCGCCGAAGCTCGAGCAAAGCAAGGTAGCCCTCGAGCCTGCTCCAGCAAGCTCCAGTCCGAACGCCGTCTTGCTTCCTGCTGGAACGCCTCGAAAGCTTGACGGCGAGCTGTCTGCGAAGCTATCGCTGTTCCTGAAGGTATTCAATCCATCTCATGACACATCTAATCCCATCTCTACTCTGTCGCAGTCGCAGACGGACTCAACGGTGCCGCACAAGCGACGACCATCGGCAGACCTTCTGGAAGACAGCCACCAACACGCCATTGCCCGTGCGCCGCCCTACGAAAGCGCCGATCAGACGCACGCCGCCGGCGGTTTGGCACGCTAACGCATGGAACATTTTCCAGAACTTCCAGAAGCCTGCCGTTTCGGTCGCGCACGACGTCTATTGACATGGGACTGCCGGTGTTCGTACCTGGTCGTCGTGTTCCAGCGACACAAACCGCGTGCTTGGGTCTGAACAACTGGAAACACAACAAAATGACAGGTCGTTCTCGTTTCAGCCGCGCTCGTATTGCAGCCGCTTAGATTCGGGACGATGTTGCGTTGAGTGCTCCACCGGCAGTAGTGAAATTTCGTTGCAATTCCTGGCGGTGGAGCGAAAAGGAAAGACATGTAGTCACGAAAACTGCTTGCACGGGGGTATCGGAGTTCGTTTGCGTTGTTTCTATTGGGTATCATACTTTAGCAACCACTTGTCAACAACACCACTCTCACCCCCAGGCATCACCCCAATCCTCGTCCTCTTCTTCCTTGGACTGAGCCGACGGCTGTGGAACAGTGCGCGCCGCTGCAGTCGACGTGGCCGGTCGCACAGGGGCGCTGTTCCTGGTAGCTGCAGCCGGACGCGCTGCAGATGCTGTGGTGGTGGGTTTCTTTGCCAAGCCTTTGGGTAGCGGTTTCTTGCTGGCGGTCTTTGCTTGCGCTTGGGCGTTCAGCCAGCCTTCGAAGTCCGGCTCGCCTCCATCATCGTAGGTTACGCTTGAAGTGCTGGGCTTGGAAGTGTGGCTCTGGGATGCGGACGTTGGTTGGAGATCATCGTCCCATGCCGCGCTCGGATCGTCATCTATCTCGCCCCAGCCGTCACCAAAGTCTTCATCCTCAACTTGAGTAGCGATCGTTGCGCTGCGGACTCCTGTGGTGACTTTGGGGACGGTCGCTGCTGAAGGCGTGGAATGATTTGCGGGACGAGGTTGCAGACCGTTCACCGGCGGCGTTGATGTAGGCCGCTCTTGCGGTGTTGGTCTCGCGCCGTTACTGTTTGGCTGGATCTCCCCAGTTGCCGTACTGAGCTTGTTCGTGAATGAAGATATAGCCCATCCCAGTACCTGACCACCCATACCCGGCTGAGGTGTGCTGATTCGTGTACTTGGTGCAGATGCAGCTTCAGGGGGAGGCAGGATGGAATCTGGCAAGGTCGTACTGTACTTTCGCACTCGCTCGAGGTAGATGTTCAGTGTTTTGTTGGCTTGGTCTCGAATCATCTTCTCCTTGTCCACAAGAGCAGGACATAAAGCTGGCAGCATCTTCGTCGCGCAATCTTCTTCACTGAACATGTCAGCTGTCGCGGCTAACGCGAGAAGCGCGGCATTTCTAGCATGCACGAACGGATCCCGCAGTGCTCGTGAGAACGCAGCAGTGAGCACTTTCGCTCGAGAGCTGGGTCCAAGGTTGCGAGCGATCTTGCCAAGACAAATGGTAGTGTTGGTCCTGATGCCAGGCTGTTCGTCGTTCGCAGTCTTCGCCAGATGTCTCAAGAGCTCGCCGTTGATCACTCGATCTGATAGCTTTGGCACGACAACAAGCACAGCCTTTACCGTCTGCTCTCGGACAACGGGCGCCAGATCTCCAAATCCAGTCACCATTTGAGGGAAGATCTTGTCGCTCACGACCTTCTGGCTGAGATGATCGATCATCTGTGGCAGGTTGTCGAGCAGACAAACTCGCAAGGCACGATCTGGGCTGGTGAATAGCCGAATGATGACGGGCGTGATCTGCGTGTCGTATTCGTCTTCTGATAGCTTCGCGGCGATTTTCATGACCAGGCTAAAAGACTTTGCGCCGCCTCCGCCGAACTCAACGGACTTGAGCAGCTCGGGCAGTACCTTGACTTTGAAGAATTCTTCCGGGAAGTCATCGGTCTCAGCGACAGTCTCGAGCTCACTGCGAAGGGTCAGTCCAGTAACACGCGCATACTGCAGGCATATCTCACCCCAAGAATTCATCTTTTTCAGAGTCACTCTTCAGTCCAAGGTTTTCGATGCCCTCGGACAATTGTATCAGTGCTGTGTCAAAGTAGCCCCCACTTCTGCTGCCCTGCTCCAAGAAATGTGCAACGCTCAATCTCATCTTGGGCGCAGCGTGCGTCAACGGCTTGTAGCTAGTTTGCATCTGCAGAGGCACGTTCTTCGTAGTTCCAATCTGCTCCGAGCCAGAGAAGCCACCGTTGAACACTTCTGATATTAGTATGCCATAGTCGTATGCATCCACCGCATGAAGCGGGTTTGTCCGAACACTCTGCCAACTGCCCTTGGCCACTTCCGGAGGCGTGTAGCGTCCAATATCCGGGACCAGACTGCCTTGCGAGAACATCACAGCATCGTCCTCTTTCATGGAACTCAGTATCTCCAGCCCTCCTACCTTCCACTCCCCGCTTTCGCTCGTAAAGATCGATGAGGCTCGTACATTGCCGTGAATGGAGGAGGCTTCGCTGTTGACGAATTTAAGCGTCTTCGCGACGTTGTATAAACCCCATAGTAGACTCTGCTCGGAGAGTGCTTTCCGTCTCGTTGACCAGTTCAACGGCGTGATGCGTTCAGTGGCAATGTAGATGATTGTGTCTGTCTGCCTTGTCATCTAGTGAGCCTTGCTCTTCCTCTTGTGATCCTTGCTCAAACCCACCTCAAGCGTATCTAGCACTTTGATGATGCCTGGATGTCTGATTGTTCGGAACTTGCGGAGCGCATTTCTTGCCAGTGCTAGCCGTGACTTGTTCGCATTGATGTCGAAGGAGAAGATGCTGCATCGCGAGCCATCCTCCTGGGAGACCGTAAGCTGGCGAATCCGTTTGATGGTATTACACCATGCTTACCCTCCTCGTGCCATTGTGTAGTGTCCATATTGACTGGTCGATATCAACTCGATCGCCGAAGGAATATGGAAACGCTGGCCCTTTTGCTATGGAAGCCACTGCTGATTTGAGGAAGTCCATGTCGTGGTCTCAATGGAGAGAGGGTCCCGGATGTTCGACTCAAATCTGACGAGTCCAGCCTCGTACCCGCTGTTACACAAGTTGATACATCACAAATGGAACTCATATCTGTCTGCTTTGGTGGTTGTTCGTCGTCAGAACGCGCTATCCGCGGGCCGCGAAGTTAAAATGGCCCTGCATATGGCTTTCGCGCCTGGAGATCAAACGGGCAGGCGCTTTCTTCGATTGCACTTCAACTGCCTGAGCACGCGCGCACCATCCGAGCGACTTCGTGTCGACGACACGTTCGTTACTCATAGAGAACTGCGACACTTTGCTCTGCCACTGCCATTGCCGCTTCACCATCACTGCCACCATCTACACGCCGTGGCACAGCAAGTACTGACCAGTGAAGTAGCAGCTCAGGAAACAACCAATTCACTCGGCAGCCATCAGTAGACTGTTATAAGAACATGCTGGACAGGTACGTCTGGCTCACTCGGCTGCCATCTGCAGTAGACTGGCCCGATGCTGCCGACAAGTGCACAGAACCTGCACTTCAAAGTGGCCACCAACATGGGCCAAGAGAACAGCAAGCCAGAAAGGGCCGACACTCTACCAACGAATGGTGCAACTACTCCTCAGGTGAGTCCTGGTTCTCCTCTCCCCTCCTATCCTCTGATGAGATCTTGGTAAAAGGGCGTACCATCTAAAGGCCTCGAGATGGTTCTGGTCTTCGGGCTCTTAACCTCCAGGCTTGGTCTGGCGACACAATAACAAATAAACTGAAAAGATCTGAGGATTCCCACTTTTCCGATCCTGCTGCTGTTGCGAAGCTCGTAGCAATGTGTACTGACACCCCTCAGGCTCACCAGACTATGGCGAACGGGCGTCCCTACGCTTCCCCTTCAGGCTCGCCCCCACTCCCTACTGCTCATTCTGATCGCGCGGGTAAACCAGCAGTCTCCAACAACAGGACACCTTCAGGTGTGAAACGATCTTGGGAAGACTACGAGGGTGATGGACAGAGTTTCGATGGTTTTGAGCGCAAATCTCGTCGCAGGTCACCAAGCCCACGAAGAGCTGCATTTTCGACCAGAGACCACTACAGCCCTCCACCAGTGCGTACACCTCGCTCACCTGACTACGCTCGCCATACCTTCAAGCCCGACCGTGGCGACCATTGGAGGCCCCGTCATGGCCAGCGACACCGATCTTCTGCTCTGCCATCAGATCCGCGACATGAACGTGAAGTTGAGCGCGCATCAGACCACAGAGGTCTCTCTTACGAGCCTCATTCAACTTCACACCGACCGGAGTCAAGTGGACAGGATCCGTTCAGCGACTCTCTCGTTCAAGATCACGTCTTCAATGGCCGTTCGTTGGGTCAACTAGAAAATGGCCACCAAGAGCGTCCCTTCCCCAGCAGCTACACATGGACCAATCCCAATCTGCCCATTAAAAGGAACTCAACAACAGGCCCGCGGCAACCCCAGACGTTAGATGTGGCTGGCCCTCGAACAACTGTTGATTATGAAGGCTTGAGAGGCGTACCCACCGGACCAAAAAACATGAAGTCTGGACCCAACGACATCAAGAATGACCCCAACCCGGAGTTTTCTGCCCTTTGTTCGGAGTTTTTCCCCAGCGGTATCAACCCGGCGGTGGCCCGATATCCGAACATCTTCATACCTGCAAGATCGTTACCACCAAAGGCAGCTACAATATCGCACCTGAAGCGGTTCCTGACATTCAACCAAGGAGCATCACTGGATCTCAAGGTTCTTGCCGATCCTTTTGGGTATCTGATCGTCTTTGATGATACACTGAAAGGCAGGAAGGAGCTCAACCGGTGCTTTGAAACCAAGAACCAAGAATTTATGTTCGGCGAATATGTGCTGGAGATGATACCATTTCCTGATGGTCGACCGCCCGTGGAAGCTACACCCAGCGGTACACTACATCGGATGGCAGGCAACGAAGGCGAGCACGATTCCGCTCACAGAGAATCCCGCGCAACAGAGATCGCCGAAGCATTGCAAGTCGCATCGGTCTTCCGACAGCCGCAAAGCAAACTGCAAGCTGGCAAAGCCATTTCCGATAACAGCGCAGCTGTCGAGTCACGCTCGCCTGTCCCAGAAGAGCACAACGTCAAAGGCTCCTCACCCTCAATGCCCGATGGCGCCTCCAGATCAAACCTGCGCTCATCTCCTCTTCTTGCTCGGAAAGAACGAGGCGACTCATCTTCTTCGGTCAGCAGCTTGACTGACCGCTCCGCGTCAAGACCTAGAAGGTGTCACGTCTGCAAAGGACCTGTTGCGGACACGGACTCGCTTGTTCAGTGCTCTTCCTGTCCTCGAGGGTATCATCGCCGATGTCATCCTCAGCCCTCAGTCCCGTCGCACCTGTCTCCCGGTCATTCTTGGCAGTGTCGTCGTTGCATTAAGAAGCAAGTACCACCACCAAAGAGCGGACTATCAACCGCGACGTCTGCTCCCGCTGGCAGTCCGGCGCCATCTGTTGGACAATTAGAAGAACCGTCATCATTTGCGAAGCTCCCAAATGGTCATGCGCAGGAGGCTGAGGCGGAACCTGATCTGGCAAGCCAAAGCGGCATTCCTGAGACGGATGCATCGTACAAGTTGTCTCACCCTCCTGTCGACTACCCTATGCGCGACCATACGAAGGCTTCCTTGCCGGAAGTTGCTGAGCTGGTGACCGATGTGACTCTGAGCGGTGAGCCGATGCGCGAAGACGTTGAAGATTTAGTGGAGCAAAGCTTCGCAGAGCAAAAGTTGCAGATCGAAGAGGATGTGCGGCCGCCCAAGAAGACCAAGTACAACTTCACCAGAAAGAAGCAGCTCAGCAGCCAGACCCATGCTCTGAGCAGTGGGGCGCAAGATGCTTGCTCTTTACAGCAGCGTGGGACAGAGCACCCAACGACGAACGTACAAAGCGAATTGGGCAGCCCGGACACACCCAAGAGGAAGCCACATAGATGGCCAGGAGGTGGTGCCGACCGAGACATCATCAAAGCAGGAATAATCAATTTCTTCCCGGACACTCACAAGACCGGAAACGAGCAAATCTCACAGCAACGGCCTCCATTGCAGGAGTCCACTGGCACAGGCACTGCGACCACCGTGACTGAAGTGCCAGAAAGTCCTGATGTGCCCCAGTCGATAATTCACATGCGCGGAGCACCTCCGGTACGCCATCCCACAACTGGGCCTGCGCTACTGCGTACTAGCAGTCGAGATGTATCTATGGACGAAGCAATGCTTCTTACCAATGGCGTGACCGCATCTGGGGCACCTAGTGAGGCACGTAGTTTGAAGCCAAGTAAGCCGCGCGCATTGAATTGCGGCAGATGTGGGCGGACGATGCCATTCATACCTTCTCAGAAGAAGCTGCAGCTCTGCTCGAAATGCAGGAAGAACGAGCGTGAAGGTGCTGAGCCAAGTGCTGTCGGCCTTGCACTCAAAGTTCCAGCAAACTCAACCGACAAGGCCACTTCGGTCCCAGAAGGTGATGCCGCCAGTGTTGGTGAGATACAGCTTCCAAAACCTGTCCCTGAGCCTACAGAGAAGGGTATCTTAGTGACCAACGGCACTGCTGCTCCATCACCTGAACTCGTGAAGGACGACGCTGGCCAGACAGGGAAAGAAGTGAACGATCCGCCAGGCTTGCAGATGGACCGGGCGTCAGAGGTTCCTGATGTGTCACCGCCAACCCCGAAGCTCTCCACCAAGCCCCGTACAGCCTGCGAGGACTGTCGGCTGCATCGGAAACGATGCACACATCTCGTTCGAAAATCGGTTGTCGAACAACTGGGGTTACAGCTGGATGGCGCAGACTCAGATACGGACCTTTGGAACCCGTCGCCGTCCCCTCCAAGCTTCCAAACCGCTGCAGCTAACGGTGAAATCGAGTCCCACGTCTCTGCTGGTGTGACCAATGGCCAGGAACCTGAGGGCTTCGAGCACGATACCTCAGAGCTGTCCAGCCGCTCCTTAAGCCCCGAGCCCGATTCTGGCATCGATGAACCTGCACAATCATCGAAGGATCAGAAGGTCCGGCGCAGGACACACACCGTTGCCGCCAAGCATGAGCATGACCTGGGCGACTCATACGAGAGACCTAAGAATACATATGTCAAGCTCATTGGCATGGCCTTCTGCGCGAACCCAGGACGGCCCATGACCACCCGAGCCGTCTCAGAATGGGTTGCCGAAAATATCCCGCGCTATGAGCTCAAGAAAGGCAATGACTGGGAGAAGCATATCGGTGCAACGATGAGTTTGCGCCGCCTCAATAATTCGGGCGGCACTGTCCCTTTGTGGAAGCATTTGGACCGTCCAGCTTCAGCCAAAGCGAACGCGCCACTGTATTGGGAGCTGCTGCCGGGCATGGAAAACAAGCTGTTGCACTGGGATCCTGTGCTTAAGGAGTGCAGGTCACCGGATCAGAGCTCGACTGCGCGCCAGATGGTGGAAAGCTGGAAGAAGCAAGAGAGTAAGGAAGAAGATCCAGAGGCTAAGGCGGCTGCTTCATGGGCTCCTGAGAACGTGCAATCCAGCAAGCCCACGTGTCATGAGTCAGCTGCGGGTTCGAAGAAGTCTTCAAGACACACATTGCTGCCTGACAGTGCAGCTGCAACACCTCCTCTGCCGAAACCAGCATATGCCGAATCTGCTTCCTCCGAAGAAGAGCCACTGCTGCTGTCAAGTCGCAAGAGATCTTCGGCACTCCCAACCGCTCAGCCAAGCGAAATGGATCCTGACAACGTGGAGGTCGATGCGCCACAAGGTGAGGTTGTCAGCGCACCAACAACAGCCAATCTTCAAAACGTAGACCAAGATCTTGCGCCGGCTGTCATCCAGGTGGATCCTGTCATTCCACCAGCGACGCTCCTGGAAGCGATCAAACAGGACTCTGAGGACGTCAATGGCAGCGCGAAATCTCTGTTCGAAGAATGGCCTCAGTACGACCTTGCGAACGACTTCGACTACACAGCAAAGGTTGCCGAGATCAAGAAGCGCCCGAACCGGAAGAAGAGGTCAGCGCAGCGTGTTGATCCGTGGACGAGTGACTGGAAGCCTGCACGTCTGGCAGATAAGGTCGACTCATCACGACAAAGCTCCGTTGCAGGCGACCGATCCACTCGCGCAGCCCGCAAGTCGCTCCACAATTCGCAGATGTGGGACGTTGACAATAGCATTGTCAAGCAGTGCGATACGATTGAGGAGCTGTTCGGACTGCCGCAGAACCCGATCGCGACGTGGCATGATGATAGGCTCGCGTTTCGGGATGGCACGAGGAATGAGGATGGATCGTTGCCGCGAGCGAGAGAGATGTTTAAGACGGGGTATGCATGATGGCGTGGGTATGGGCATTCCGAAGGGCGATTGCTGTGCATGAGAATGATTATTGAGCATGATAAGCGTTTCAGCGTTTGCATGTGGAGCGAGGGAGGCTTGTAAAAACATGTTGCTATTAGGAGGCATGTGTACGATAGCACGGATGGCAAGCAGCGATGCATGGATGGGTCTGAAGCAGTATCAGAGGCATCAGGTGCCAGCTTGTAGAACAGTGTGGCCGAACTATGAAATCACCGAAGCGCTCATGAATTCACACGCTCATCATCAGAAAGTGAATCTCATCCAAAAGGTCCGAGCGTCTAGTGATGTGAAGTGGAGCTTGTTGCGCGACCTTTATTTCCTCGCGACTTGAAGCTCAACGCGCACCTCGAACGACACCCCAATTGTTGTCACATCCTCGACTCCTCCATCACTCATTAGAACATCATCTCTTTCAGCTCTACCACCGCAAATTACCCACCACAGGTAAGCCTCCTTTGCCGATCTTCCAATAGCACGCGCAAAGAGGACTAACATCCATTCCTCACGAGTCCTTCACCCCCTATAACCCACCATGTCCGACGAAGATAAGCGCGAAGAAGATGACCAGCTCGATCGCGCGCCCGAGGAGGATGACGCAGGCGACGAAGCAGAGATCGCAGCCATGAAGAAGCGCGTGCAGGAGATGGAAGAGGAGGCAGCAAAGCTGCGCGAGATGCAGGCGAGCCTAGACTCACAGACGGACAGCTTGCGCGAGAGCAAAGAGGACATCGACGGGCGCAGCATTTTCGTCGGCAACGTGGACTACGGCGCGAGTCCGGAGGAGATCCAGGCGCATTTCCAGAGCTGCGGGTCGATCAACCGCGTCACGATTCTGCTGGACAAGTTCACGGGACATCCGAAAGGGTATGCGTATGTGGAGTTCTCGGAGCCGAATCTGGTCACGCAGGCGCTTGTGTTGAATGAGAGTTTGTTTCGGGGGCGCAACATCAAGGTGGGCACGCTTGGGGTTACAAAGATACAGGAGCTTCGCTGACGGGTTTCACAGGTAGTCCCGAAGCGCACCAATCTACCCGGCATGACGCGTGGACCAAGAGGAGGCAGAGGCGGCGGTGGCCCTCCCATGAGAGGAGGTCGCGGTGGGTTTGGTGGGCCAAGAGGAGGAGGGTACGGCGGCGGCGGATACGGAGGTCCTCCACCCTACATGCCGCGCGGCGGAGGGTATGTTCATCAACGTTTCACACTGTAAAATACAAGCTGACGTGTTGTTAGGTACCGCGGTGGCTACGGAGGTCGCGGTCGCGGTCGCGGCTACAACCCATACTGAGGAGTCAGGCTGCCACTCATCTCCCCGACACACACTGGCTGCTGTTGCGCAGTTCAGACCTCTCCTTGGTCTGGCGCTGGAGCTCTTTTGGGCTTCAGGTGATTGCTTCTCAAATAGGAAGAGGAGGCTGAAAGACTGCAAAATTCGAGACTGCAAGACTGCAAGACTGCAAGGTTACCTTCTCTCTTCGTGCGAGAGCTTCAATATACTTAGACTGCTTGGTGAAGACAGAAAGAAGCCACAAAAGATGTTCCTCTCAAAACGTGCTGGAGTAAGATGCCACCGCAATCAGGGTGCAAGACAGTAGAAGATGTGTGAAGGGAGCGGATGTTCTGCTGCGACCTGTGATGCCGCGCTCGAACGCTTCGCGGTCCATGAAAGCGCCGGCGTGCGCGATGTCTGAGGAAGTTCAGCTTCGTCTGTGTCGGCTGCGCCGAGTTCAGGCTCCAAGATTGGATTTTGGACGAGCGGCGTGAAGTCGCTACCGATCGGAAGGCGAGGGCGTGGGCGTAGTCGCTCGCGGTCCGACACCGAGCTGGTGAGCAGACAAGGGCGGTGAATGGATAATTTGGTGTATGTTGTTGCGCTTTTGCTTTTCTCGAGCATACCGCGCAACCTCTTGGATGTCGGGGTATGCTGCTAATATGGAAGACGATGCGACTTGACTGCTGACCTACATCTGCGCACCAACAAGACGAGATTGCGAGTACACCAACGTTTTTAGACACGTTATTTAGAGGGGCTGGTGAATGTCAACGACGGAATGACTTGGTCGATGACCTCTATTACGGCCGAAATACCCTCAAACTCCGATGGAGTTGGAAGGCTCAGCCACGAGAGACCGTTCAGTTGTCCGAATTCATTCGAGACACCGCAGATCATGGCGCGACAGGGCGTTGGAACAACCGTGAACGCAATCTTCTTATTCATCCTTCAGTTGAGCTTCAGGCAACCCTAAAATGGGACCGAGCGTGACCACGAATCCTTCAGGCGATTTGCCTGATCGCATGCTGGTCGGAATCCTGGTGCATACTGCAGCCAAGAGGTGCACCCGCGTTTCCAACAACTTATTCCGTCTGATTAGGCAAAAGAGCAGCGATTGACGAATATACAAGTGACCATGTGGTGGAGGAGCGTACATGCTCCGACAGCGAGCGGTGAAACGACAGTGTCGAATAGCACACCCTATTCAGTATATCCTGCGGGATCCGGACCCGCTCTACACCCCAACCAGTCACAGTATCGACGTGGTGGGCCAACAAGAGGGGTTTGGATAGAGTGAAACAGGCGTACTTGCCCGCCTTGCCCGCGTATCGGGCAGCTGTCGCAAGCCCTCGAAATATCCCCCGTTGTGGCTCCCATGTGAAGACGTTGCAGAAGGATTCGAGACATCGTCGTTGCAACAATCCGCGGACGAACGGCGAGGCGGTCCATGGAGTCGTACGACCGCTTCGACCGCTTGTTGCTCGCCGACCTTGCTCTGCCACAGATACGCATACATGCTTTATGCAGGAGACGGCAGTTGATCTGATACCGCCTCGATTAACGGCCTGGCGCCGGCCCTCGCGCAAAGACCGGCTCCGTGAATATCTTTAAGCCGCTGATTAATTGACTGGGCAAGTTGGGGTGCATGCAGGCATGCTTTTTGGCGTTTCGGTGCCGTGACCTCCCTTTGAATCGGAGGAGTCTGACGAGATCGTGGACTTGTTTGGTAGCGTCCTCCGCTGGCTCCCGGGTCGCGTGCCTATCATTTCTATCATCTCAAACCCACGGCGTAGATTTTACCCTAAAATGACACCAGTAGGTCCTGAGAGTCCAGCATCCAGAGACATGGAATTGCCGGCGCGATGCCTTCCACACAAAAGCTTCCGCAGGTTCTAGCGCCTTTGCCTTTTTCAGCTCGCTTTCGCTTCTCCCACACCCCGACCAGCCCTGTCGCGTGCCTGGGACCTGGCACTGTACGATGAGCTTTCCCCATGCTCGCATGGCCGGCTTAAACGAGCGACGCAAGTCACGGACCTATGTGTATGCCCAGACTGGCGAAGAGGTATAACCTCTCCTCCGCTTCCTTCTCGATGACTGGGCCGGTGTATTCTCCCCTGCCGTGACGCAATCCGCCGTACTGATCTCTCTCATCGCCACACACACTCGACGCGCGCATCGACGTCTCGCTATCGGTCTGCACTAGGCACTGGCATTGCACAACAGTTCGGTGAGCTGAAGGGAGCAGGGCGCATCATCGATGGCTGCTGGTGTTGTTCGTTCGTCGCCGCAGCAGCATACGACATCTGCGCAGGCAGCCAGCACGACCAAGGGTTCACAGCACCCACGTGGGTCGGAGTTGGTCAGGTCTGAATCTTCTGGCAAGTCAGTATGTTCATATAAGCCTCAGGGTGGTGGCAGGTCGTTGGATATTTGCCTCTGTCCGCATCGGAACGTTTGTGGCTGATGTTTATCAACGAGAGTAGAGCGCCTCGCGTCGGGCATAAGAAGTCGAGGAAGGGTTGTGCTCAGTGTAAACGACGGCATGTGAAGGTATGTGGATGCTCCCGGTCTCGCTTTGAGGTTGTCGGGTTTACAAAGTGGATCACGGGTCATTTGACTGATCGTATTCGCAGTGCAACGAAGAGAAGCCGTGCTCCAACTGCGTTCGACATGGCGTCGCTTGCTCACTTGCTGGTGGGCCGTATGTCCCGAGAGAGGATGCGAAGAACAGACGAACATCAACCACATCTTCCTCTGCGAGTCTGACTCAAACCACATCACAAGACACTGGTCTAAGCAGCGCGACCGCGAGTGCTACGGGCAGCCGAGGACCAAGTCCACGACCAGGCCCTTTTCAGGTCCTGACGGGTTTGATCGAGCGTCCACCTCCTGGAGAAAACTGGACGCTTGATCTGGAGCTCATGCACCATTTCATGCTACATACGGGCTTCGTCCTGACGGAACACCATGACATGGAGTACATACTCGACATCTGGCGAGTCGAGCTACCCAAGGTAGCCTTCCAGTTCGAATACGTGATGCACAGTCTGCTCGGCTTCTCTGCTCTTCACAAGGCGTACGTGGAACCCGAAAACGCACAACGGTTGCGAGAGAGTGCAGTCGATCATCTGGACAAGGCGCTGGTGCTCTACCGATCAGAACCGTCGCCTGCAACGGCAGAGAACGCAAATGCCAAGTTCGTGTTCACCTGGATTGTTGCTCTCTTCGCATACGCTATCCCTCCGAGTCTGCCGCCTATAGATGCGATTGTGGAGCTGTTTATGCTGGTCAAAGGCATTGACGCGATACTTTCAGAAACATGGTTCTGGGTTTCTCAAGGTCCTTTCGCACCTATATTGAATCGAGGGTTTCAGGAGGCTGTACCCACGGCTCTCGAAAGGTACGCTGACACAAATCATGTCCCAATGGGGCTATCAGACTAAAAATGGAAGCAGCTTTGCGGTCCCCGAAGGCATAGACTTTGGCCTCAACCATCTCGACTACATGATTGGCGTCGACGCTATGCTTCCCGACGACCGCCGGACTTGCGCACTCATTCTAACGGAGCTAAAAGGCATATACAATACCATGCATCCGGCGCAAAACTCCTGCAGCGTGGCCTCGATTCTATGCTTTCCCAAGCAAGACTCGGGCAGCTTCGCGCAGCTGGTGAAGCAGCGCCTACCGCAGGCGTTGATCATCCTGGCATACTATTGTGTGATGCTCGATATCCTAGACCCCAGATGGTGGATCCACGGCTGGTCGAAGAGGGTGCTGCAGGATGTGCTGGGCTCGTTGGACGAGCAGTGGCGGCATTGGATCGAGTGGCCGGTACAGACGGTACTGCTGAAGGAGAGCACGCCCAGAGCGTCGGCAAACTTTATGATTTGAGATGGATGGTGCAGGATCACCTCTCACTGTATATAGACTGTATCATAACATGACTGATGGGTTACGAGCTCATGGTCTGGAGCAAGCGAGTTTACTGTTTGGCACACGATTTGACATCTTCTGGCTGGCACCGTGACACATCTTCAGCTCCTATATCGTCGTAGTGAGTGCCCATATCAGCCCCGATAATCACTCCTGGCGATCTCGCAGGTCCGCCTTACCAAGCCCGCTCCTGCTGGCCCCGCTCTCCCTTGGGAGGCCGGTTTGACGCATCATCAGTCTTGCGCCTCTCCATATCGACAATATCTCGAGGCATGAGTGTTTCCTCATCGTCGCGTGAGCGTTGACAAGCATTATTCCACTCCGTCCAGCGGCAGCTAGACGCTTCGCACCGGTGTTCGAGCGCTTCGTAAAAGCAGGGTCCGCGCCACGCTCTTGCACAGCCGCCCTCCAACCCACCTCACCCGCCGAGACTGGCACTCCACCCGCCCTCCCATCGAGCCACCCTACCCGTGTCCATCGCTAGTCGGCTGCGGAAACACCGTCGTCACTCCGTGAAACACATCTTTACGAGCATTGCTGGGCTTGCGTGGTCCTTTGGTTGCGCCAGCGAGGCAGAAAGAGACTTGCTGGGAAGAGATCTGAAGCGGCGTCATGGAAGTACCTGCGCAGCCTAACCTGCGCGTGACGAGTGAGTTGGGACTGGCGCTGGAAGAGAAAGATATGGAGGACTAATTTGTGGTGCAGTCATTGCGGCGGATGGACTATACAAGCGAGATGTCTTCAGTACGTTGCGGCCGGCCGAAAGGTGGATAAGAGAAGCATGTGCTGATACAGGCCGCAGGATTCCCGGACCCCTTTGCGGTCGCTACGATCAGCGGCGAGCAGACGAGGACGACGGGCGTGATCAAGAAGACGCTGAACCCATACTGGAATGAGAGCTTCGACATGTAGGTGGAGGCAGACCACAGCGGAACAGCGGATGAGGTGCTGACAAGTAGGCAACAGGCGAGTCGGGCCCGACAGTATACTAGCGGTTCAAATATTCGACCAGAAGAAGTTCAAGAAGAAGGATCAGGGCTTCTTGGGCGTGGTGAATGTCCACATTGGTTCTGCTATTGACCTGGATGCTGGCGGAGATGGTGAGTCTTGGCGAGTCATATCTTGCGCATTCACCACTAACACAAATAGAAATGATCACAAAGGATTTGCGGAAGTCCAACGATAACCTCGTAGTGAACGGCAAGCTAATCCTCAACCTCTCGACTAACCTTCGAACTCCGATTGCGAACGGCAACAACCAAAACCGCCCATCTCTGTCCTCCGCCGGACCCTCCGCAAACGGCACGCATACTCCCACCACACCGATGGGCGCGCAGTCCTCTACGTCTTTGGCGCCGGACAGGCCAACCAGCACCGCTGGGCCTCCTTCGGCATCACGGCAAAACACCAATACGAGCGGGGCGCCGCCGGCAGCTAATGCTACTAACGGCACAGGACGACGCACAACCGAGACTGGCTTTAGTGCGTTCGAAGACGCGCAGGGCAGACTCCCGCCCGGCTGGGAAAGGCGTGAAGATAACCTGGGGCGCACATACTACGTCGACCACAACTCGCGTCAGACGACGTGGATTCGACCAACAGCAAACTTCAATGCTGGAGAACAACGGGCGCAGATGGAGCAGCAGCAGTCGGTGGAGCGATCGAGACATCAGGCCCGCATGCTGCCGGAAGACCGGACTGGCGCAAACTCGCCGACGCTGTCTGATAGGCAGAACTCGCCATCGCAACCTCCACCCGCTGTAGGCGCTGCGGGCACGGCCAATGCGGCGCACATGGTGGCCACTGGCGCGACGACAGCTGGCACAGGTGAGCTGCCTGCAGGATGGGAGCAAAGGCATACCCCAGAAGGCCGAGCCTACTTCGTAGACCACAACACTCGTACTACGACATGGGTGGATCCACGTCGCCAGCAATACATCCGCATGTACGGGCAGAATGCCGGAACCGGGAACACCACTATCCAGCAACAGCCTGTGTCGCAACTTGGACCACTACCAAGTGGCTGGGAAATGCGCTTGACCAACACTGCTCGCGTTTACTTTGTGGACCACAACACTAAGACCACGACTTGGGACGACCCCAGGCTGCCATCTTCACTCGACCAGAACGTGCCGCAATACAAGCGTGACTTCAGGAGGAAGCTGATCTATTTCCGATCGCAACCTGCTCTCCGCATCTTGTCAGGCCAATGCCACGTGAAGGTCAGACGTACTCACATCTTCGAAGACTCGTACGCCGAGATCATGAGGCAAAGTCCGAACGACCTCAAGAAACGGCTGATGATCAAATTCGATGGTGAAGACGGCCTGGACTACGGTGGTCTCTCCCGAGAGTTCTTCTTCCTTCTTTCGCACGAGATGTTTAATCCTTTCTATTGCTTGTTCGAGTATTCGGCGCACGACAACTACACTCTACAGATCAACCCACATTCCGGCATCAACCCAGAGCATCTGGGCTACTTCAAATTCATTGGACGAGTGGTCGGACTGGCTATCTTCCATCGGCGATTCTTGGACGCCTTTTTCATTGGCGCATTCTACAAGATGGTCTTGAAGAAGAAGGTCTCGCTGCAGGATATGGAGGGCGTAGACGCCGAGTTCCACCGCACTCTTAGCTGGACCATGGATAACGACATCACGGACGTCATCTACAGCACATTTTCCGTCGAGGACGAGCGCTTCGGTGAAAAGGTCACCGTTGATCTCAAGCCTGGCGGACAGGACATTGAGGTCACGAACGAGAACAAGAAGGAGTACGTCGAGCTGATAACGGAGTGGAGAATTCAGAAGCGGGTGGAGGAGCAGTTCAATGCTTTTGTGACTGGCTTTCACGAATTGATCCCGGCGGACCTGGTCAACGTGTTTGATGAGCGCGAGCTTGAGTTGCTCATTGGTGGTATTGCTGATATTGATGTGGATGACTGGAAGAAGCATACGGACTACCGTGGGTACACGGAGAGTGATCCTGTGGTACAGCACTTCTGGAAGGTGAGTCCTCTACCATCATCAAAAGCACAAGAATATGCTTGCTGACGTTACACCACAGTGCATTCGAACCTGGGACGCAGAACAGAAGTCCCGTCTCCTGCAGTTCGCGACAGGTACCTCGCGTATCCCCGTCAACGGCTTCAAGGATCTCCAAGGCTCCGACGGTCCACGACGCTTTACGATCGAGAAGTCTGGCGAGGAAACTCAGCTGCCGAAGTCGCATACTTGTTTCAACAGATTGGACCTCCCGCCTTACAAGTCGTTCGATGCGTTGCAGCAGAAGCTGCTGTGGGCTGTGGAGGAGACTGTCGGTTTCGGACAAGAGTAGAGGGTGGGGCTGTGCTTCCGGTAGAGGGATTCATATGGGCGGGCAGTGGGGATGACACAGTATGGAGGTATGTAGTGGCGTTCGCTTGTGTATATAGGCCGGCCCTCGCTCTGGCGAGTGGGCGCAGATGATATCACGGACGCAGTGTGTAACAGTGAGTTTCCAAGCTCATCAACTAAGATTTAACGCGAACATGGTATCTGATGTCTTGATTTAGTAGAGCCTGAAATATGTGCTGTCGAAATATGCTTCTTCATTAGGTATCGGCTGTCTGGCTCGCCTCATCAGGCCCCAGCAGGCCCCCTTGGTTACACCACATGCATCGCCCCTTTTGTGACACCTCACAAATCGAAGACTTAAAAAACGCTTCCATCTCGCTGTCGACGGTCAAGCGAGAGTTCATATTACTCTCCATTCCACGAATTCAACTCTGATCTGACGTTTGTGAGCCGCTTCCACTGCCGGCAGCTTCACGGTGTACGTACGTCTTCTCAACTGCTTAACATGGCCACTAACTCGACAACGACCGAATTCATCGACATCTCCGAGAGGATCGAGTCCGTGGTAGCACCATGGCGGACAACAACAGTAGAGAAGCCCCCTTTCACTGCGGAGCAGCTCACAGCGATGGCGATTCTGGTGAACGGAGGCGAAGTGTTCGAGGTTCAGATCCACAGATGGGGGCTGGATACTTTTGCGTATTATCGTCAAGAGCTCGCGCGAGGACTCTGCGCACTGCCTACAGGCGGTTCCGATCCTAGGACTACGCTTGGAGTGCGAGGCGTTCTAGATATTCACCGTGGCATCACGAGTGCAGTCCAGAGTTTCGACCTGCCTTTACTCGACAACCACGACGATTGGGGTCCTGATTTTGGCAACCTGAGTGAAGACAATTGGGTTGAATACCTCTACGAACTTGAATCAAATGCGTCGCAGCGCTGCTATCGTTTGGCCACGTCCGCAGGCGAACAGATGCTGTCATCCGTCTTCCGTCGCCCAGGCGCGAAAGACCAATCCACCTTCAAATTCTTCGGACTGTCCGCTGAACTGCGAGAGAGGATCTACGAGATGGTGTTTGCATATCCTTCGTCTGGACTTGAGGTTTGCGACCGTCGCTCTACAGAACATGCTCCCAAGAGCGCAAGAGGGGGTTTCTTAACCCTGTCCAGAAGCTGGGACGATAGCTTCACCTGGAAGAAGTGGAATTTTATCGCTATCGGCGCGATGAACCCGTCGGTCACTGGAAGCAGTTGCGACCAGACCAATGAACAAGATCCTTCGTCCGTTGCTTATCGGCAAGCGATTCTACAACGAGGTGATGCCCGTTTTCTACCGCATCAATCATTTCCACTTCCCTGATCCTCACCTGCTCTCTTGGTTTGCGAAGAACGTAGCCCCTACCCGGCTACAACGCATCGCCCAAATCTCCATCGACGTTCGTCGGGATCCCCGGGCTCTGGATGACGCATTCTTCATTCTTTCCCGCCTGCAGAATCTCCGTATCCTTGACGTCAAGGTCGACGAGGAAAAGTCGAGGAGCAGGGGGAGGCCAGACCTCTGGGATCAGGTAATGCGAGGGAAAAGCGTGAAGAAGTTGGATGGAATGCGCGGGCTGAAGTCGGTCACGGTTGAGGGCAGTCCGACCTTGGAGCGAGAGGTCGAACCGTTGATGTTGCGAACAAAGGCTGAGCAGGCAGCTCTCAAGCCGCGGACTATGAACGGAAAGTCTTGGAGCAGTATGCGGAGCTGGTGCGAAGGAAGGGGAAGGAGGCTGTGGCCCAGCAAGAGGGGCTTAGGGAGTGAGTAGACTCGCAAACATCTCCGAGGGAGAGACGATCGATTTAGGCTTGACGTCTTGTTGAATAGGCCTATGTCAAGTTGAGCTCGGGGAAGGGTCTTGAAGCGTATGGAGCTCCATAGCGAAGCTTGATACACCGACACAGCTTTGTCTTTTCTTTGGACCGCCGCCGACTTCCAACGGCTACAGCCACTGAAGCCCATGTCAGCACTGTATGTCTGCAAGAACTTTAAGATATCTGATCTTGCTGTTACTACAACCCATGCGCAAGGTACAGTCTCGAGCAACTCGAAACTCTCCTTCTCCTTCCATTCCCATCAGCCTCTCACCACTCTCACCAAGGATGCTGGAGCCCACAATATTGCACCAGGTTCTCAAAGTCTTCAACCCGGAACCCTTTCCCATTCTTGGTCGTCCCTGGCGGCATCAAAGCCTCTCGAAACCCGAGGTTGATAGCCGGCTCACACCGCCCCTCATGGGTGCCATCACGAAAGGGACAACAACACATGTCTTCCTCTATCCCTGGGTCGTCGTCGTCGTGTTTGACTTGCCACAACAGCTCCGTGTCTACCTCATAGTTCTTATCCCTCGGCGCGATGGTAATCATCTTCAAGCCGACCCATTGCTCCTCCGAGTGGGGGCTCCTACGCTCGATGTAGTGGCCCACCTGGCCCAGAGTCACTTTGCGGATGCGTGCCGCGACTTCTGGTGTCATACGTGCGATCAGCTGGCGAACCTTGGGCGACGGGAGAAGCCAGTCTTCGCTGCCCTCGACGCGAGGAAGAATGTTCTCGTCTAATGTTGCGATGAACGTGAGCTGGAAGTTTGCGCGTTGGAAGACGAGGGTTAGGAAGTCTTCGCGGACGCCTCTGCTGACGGCAGCGAGCGGCGGCATGGAGAGAGTGCCGGGCTCAGCGGGTAGAGCGTCGATGTAGTGGTCGTACACGGCGAGTTGGATGTCTTTCGGCAGGCGTGCGAAGGGTTTGAACTTCCGGTTCTTGTCGCTGTTCTTCAGCAGACTGACAAGGCCGTCGTGCGTTTGCCACGAGCGGTACTTCTTCTGGAAGCCGCGGTCCAGTCCGCGCTCTCTCACACGTTGAAGCAGGTCAGCATCTTCGAGGCTGTCGTAGTGTGGTGCACCTCGATCGTTGCACACGAGACGGTCGATGAGTGTTGACTTCTGCGCCCGGGTCTGTTTGGATTTGTGCTCTGGCTCGTGGAAAGGCATCTCGCGGCGCTTCATCTCTGCAACAAGTTCGTCGATTGAGAAGAATGAGTAATCTTTGGACTTCCACCATGGGCGGCGAGTGCTTGACTGGGCCATCATGACCATGATGGTGCGCCTGGTGTGGAGGAGTACGAAGAGCACCCAGTGCACAGCGTTTGTGCTACCTGCACGAAAGATCCGGCGAGGAGCGAAGTACCTCAGGATGTATGAAGTCCTTTGTTAGTGAATGTTGACTGAAGGGCACGGATCCGGGCACGCGTGGACTTCACGTGTTCTTTGTTAACGATGTGAATAAAAGTCACGTGACCGGCAACTTCCAGATGTCGCATTCTGTTTGGCATTGAATGACTGTCTCTATCTGACATGGTCTCAGCACCCGCTGCCACTCAAGGCATAGACTCACCGATCAGCATCAATCTTACATATCGTTCCTGTACCTCAAGCATACTCCTCCTTCGCCCACTTATCTTCATCCCAGAATTGTGCTTTTACCTCATTTCCCGCAAATTCCGTTCCGCTCATCGCATTCACTGCCCTCAAAGCGCTCAACTGACTCGTGAACTTGATGAAGACCTCGTCCGTTCCACCCATTGCTTCTCGCCAGATGAAGACCCTTTCAACATTGCCATACTGCCCGCCCATTTCATCTCCGATCTCCTGCATGATGTTGTTCTCCTCAATCTCGTGTTGCACGTCCAGGCCATCGAGCATGGAACTCAGCTTGATGACCGAGGACATCTTGCCAAATCTAGCGTCGTCTTCCTCTGTGTTGGTCTCGACCTTCCTTTTCTTGCCACCAACAATCTTTCCCATGTTGGCAGGTGCCGACCACTTTCCATCTGGACCATGAGATCGCTTCTTGCGCTTATCTGGTTTCTTGGCGACAAGGGCGGTGATAATGCCATCGCTTTGAGCACCCAAACCGTGGCCTTCCTCCCATCCATACTTCTTCATCACACGTTCGGCGAAACCTTTCTGGCCAGGTATTATCTTCCGTTGCTGGTTCTCGGCAGGTGCTAGAGGCTGATTAGTAGTAGCGTCAGCCATCTCCACATCCTCGGCTCCAGTTGGGTCGTCTGGCGGAGGAGGTGGGACCTCATAGCGGACCGGCGCACGGGAGATGATGGACGTAGGCGGATCAGGTGTCTGAGCTTGCGACTCTTGCGTCGCAGCTGGGTTGACGAGTACGTTCGCGGTCGCAGGCAGTGATGGCGCAGGAACTGCGGCCGCAGCTTCGCCCTTGGATTTCTGCTTCTGAAGATGCTTCGCTTTGAAGGCGGCGATCTTAGCCTGCGCTTCGGCTTTCTTGGCTGCAAGATCGTCATCTTCCGCATCGGAGACGGGTGGAGGAGCATATGGGGGTGACATGGCCGCAGACTGAGCGTCAAGCGGTGACGAAGCTGAATGGGCGCCCGCGATACCACCCATTTGCGCTCGACCAATGTAGCTCTCACCTGCCATGGCGTTGTCGAACGCTGCTGGTGGTGGCGCTAAATTTGGCATGGACTGGCGGGACCTCTCTCCCTCATCGGTATCGACTGGTGGGGGGTAGTAGTCATCACCGTCTTCTGCAGGTGGGGGAGGTGGTGCAGCATCGAAGCTTGGCGGAGCAAAGTTGAGGTTTGCTGGTAGCGCAAACATCACTGCTCAGGTTAGCAAAGTAACGAAGCCTTGGGAAACGGCACATACTGTTCGGCTTAGATGGCTGTTCGCCATTGTCGCGTTCACCTGCACCATTCCTCTCTGCCCTCCGCGCTTCCTTCATCTGATGGTGATACAGCCTCGCCTTCCACTCTCTCATTTCCCGATGCTGCTCCTCCGAGCCTTTGTAATCTGCATAGTTGTTGGGCATCGTAGGATCATAAATGTCGTCCCAATCCCAGGCGCGTTCCTGCGGCTTGTTGTTCTTCTTGCGCTTCTTCCTTCCACCGCGCGCGCGGTTGTCCTGGTAGTAGAAGTCATCATCTCCATCGCCTACCCAATCCTCAAAGTTCGATTTCTGCAGGCTGGGTGGCTGCTGGGATGGTGTAGACGATAGCTGCCCGCCTTGCTGTTGTGGCCTGTCCGGAGAGCTCGCCGTCACAGCCGATGTGCTTACACTCGACGAGAGTCGATGCGCAGAGGAGCTTGAAGATGCTGTCTTAGGCTTGGCCTTCTGAGGCACCTGCGGCCGCTTGATAGGCTGGAACTTGAGGGATGCTTGGGTTCAAGTGAGTTGGACTGCCTCTAGTAGAGCATATTTGCACGGGTTGCTTAGACGGTACCATCTTTCTTCTTCTGCTGCACAGCGGCATCCTCTTCGCCGGCGCTACCAGAGCGCTGGATGTCGTATCTGACTGGCGCGCTCGAAATGGTGCCGGCGCCAGCAGATTTCTGCCTGTCGGGCTCGAGGAGGTCGGCGTAGAGGGAGAGGCCGCCTCCGCTGGGTTTGGTAGGTGGCGTAGCCATGGTGGGGTGTGACTGATGATACTAAACAATGACACGCAGCATGTATGCGGTTGTTGGCGAGGTCGAGGAGATGAGGTCAAATGCGCAAGTCGAACGCGAACACGACTTTGCAACGGCTGCGCAGTTATTGGATCGGGATCTGCCGGAGCTAGCGCCGGGCTTCCGAAGCATTTCCTAAAGACCCGAGCGCCTCCATCGCGGCTACCTACTCCCAGTACAAGACATCAATGCTTGCGCTCGCCGCTTCCCAAGGGGACGGTAAGATAAGTGCGTACACGGGTAAATCCACCTCACTCCCTCCACTTCCCTCTGTCTGCTTCACTTCGTCCACTAGGTCCAACGATTATCAGAGAGCATACAATACCTCCTAGCAGACATCTCCATCTCCAGCAGTCGCAGCGCGCTAGTCTCTGCTCTGTCATACCAAGGTTCCCTGGACGCGGTCTTCGAAGCAAGTATGCTTCCCGATTTCTTGCACGGCAGCTTCAAGCGCTACGAGGAGGACACTTCCATTTTCATGCACTGGCTCGTCGACACGGCGTCGAAATGCCAGTGCCAGCAAGCACCCAAAGACTCGAAGCCTTCTCGAAGCAGTGCAAGCTTGAGGATCAGTTTCGAGGAGATCAGTCGCCTTGGAGACGTTGTTACGAAACACAAGACCACAGTACCTACATCCGTCCTCGCTGCTGTTAGGCGGGCCATATCTCTTCGAAGGCAGTCTCGGATTAGTATTCAGGAAACTGCGGACGAGCGAGCTGCTCCGATGAGCAACAGTCTGCTTTCATCCGAGTACTTGAACCGCTGTGCCAACGCTTGGAACAGCAGTCACCTGGGCATACCTCAGTATCCATCGATGAGACAGCAACCAAGAACCCAAGCAACCATGAGAACGAGGTCCCAGTCTCCACGAATGACTCGTTTGGTGCGCTTGCCCTTGAAAGACAAGAGGGTTTCAAAGACACTATTGCCAGAGAGACGATCCCACCCCATCAGCGTCTGGTTGAGATCGATGAAAAGGGCACCAGATACGACGGTCCCGGGTCCCTCGGTTGCTTTCGCATCTTCTGCTTGTTCGAGGACTTGCACAACATTCGCGAATTCGTCTCGCAGACTGTCACCGAGTACGCCAACGGCAAGATCGATCTTGCGAATATGGCTATCGTCGCTGATACCGCAGTTGACCTGGCGAACCAACTCCTCGGCGAGTTCACCTCTGCTTCGAAAAAGATCACAGAGCTAAGGAACGGAGTCAACCTCCAGCAGTTCATCTACAAAACGGCCTGCTTGTCTCGAGGGAAGGACCCAAAGCCTCCACCAGAATCTGGGCTGCCCTATGACGTGGAGATGGAGGATGTCGCAGAATGGTGCTATTTGCGCACGCACTTCTGCTTAGAGTAAGTCGTCGACGGCCCTCTCCACCCCTCTTGGTGACAGCCCCTTCCACCATCAAAACATCAAACCAACTGTTTCCACTACGGGCGCAGGCTTATAGTGTGATGGACGCTAACCCCTCGTTGCAGGTTCTTCGCCCAATGCCTCGCATCGAAGCGACTTCCGAGCTCCAACAAAAGTCAACCTGGTCTACCCGGCCTGGGGGTCGAGGGAAGTGAGACGAATCAGGCGACTCGGTTCAACAACGACGCAAATATTCTGATCAAACTTCTCGCAGAGTTCGCGTTTCTGCAAAAATTTGGTCTCGATCTGCCGGTGCAGGATGAGATCACGATGGGTTTCAAGAAGTATGCGAAGGAGAAGAAGATCGGTGTGTGGTTGTGCTTCGCTGCGCAAATTCTCTTGGATGTTCACCACGGCTTAGCGCATACCAAATGCGTGCCGTTCAGCGATCTCAGGCTCTCTGCGCTGCGGACAAAACAGACAATCGAGGAACATTGGGAGCTGAGCAAGACATTCACCACCGGGCCGGAGATCTGGATGGCAAAAGGTGAAGAGTCAATCGCAATGCTCCATCGCGAGGTACATCGCTGGGTCATGGATGACGTTCTTTCTGACATGAGGAACCAGAACATGCCGCGACACATTCAGAAGAGTCTCGAAGCCGCCGGTGGCATCGAGAAGCATTTCCTTCTCAAATCACATGCCATCCTCTCCGGGTTGCTTGCCTTCAACTTCACCTTGCGCATGCAAGCCGCAGGGGTCTTGCTCATGAACCAATGGTACGAGGTCGTGAAGATGGCATATCTGTACAATGCGATTCGACAAAGCGGCATCTGCAGCCTCACATGGCCCGACATGGACGTCTTCATCGAGCTACACGGTGCTGAACACATCTTTCCGGGTGGACGGCCCACAACCGCAGATGAGTCTCTCAAGAAGCTCGAACTTGCTGCAGGCATCAGTGATTCGGACAACTCTGCGAGCCACCCACCAGCAATTGATAAGCGCAAGGTGCGGATCATGGAGCCCAGCGAAATGGTGAAGGATATCATCCAAGAACGCTATTTGATGCATGGTCAAAGCAAGATCTCGTTCGAGAACGTCGACAAGCTCATCGAGGAGATAGCATCGGGCACCGAAGGCCACTCCATCAGTGGTGAACAAGAGCTAAGTACAGACTCCGGCTTGAAGGTGATATGCTCGCGATGGGCGCAAAGTCACCATCTAGATGCGTACGAGCTGCTCGCAGCCATCAAGCAAGGCCTGTACACCGACGAGCCTCGTCTGCAGTTCAACTATTTCGGCATGCACAAACGCTGCGTCGAGATCCTCCGTCAGGTCCAGCTCAAGGAGAACCACAAACTCCGCGAGTATTTCGGTCCGGATTACGTTCCTGACGACGACATGATCTCTCATCTGGTATTCTGGATCTTGACTGTTGCTCAAGGCTCGGCTGCTGCTGGCCTACAGCCGGGTCTTTTGCCGGCGACGAATGGTAGCAGTGTCGTGGCCAGCAGGATTATGATTAGCTGCGCAGAGGTCATGAAAGAGTACCTCCGGAAGAACGGGGACAAGGCGTGCAAGGAGCTGAAGACCTTCTGCAAGAACAAGACGTTTGGGTAGACGGGAAGAAACGGCGCTGGACCTGTTGTGAAGGAGCTACCATGGCGGTTCAGCGTGGAGGATGTTCTTGACCCGGCATCGCTGGCTGGTTGCAAAACCGGAACACTCGTTTCCAGGCAGAGTGATTGCGAGAAGAAAGCGGCAGCTCACCGATGTGCTCTCTTCCTTCGGTCGTTTGTTGGCGCACTATGGCAACCATTCATTGGCCCTCTAGTTGATATACGCATTCTTCGAATGCCAAAATTACACCTTACCTTTCCGTACCCATGTATGGAATATACACGAGCTTCCACATTGCTTTGACACTCTAGCGTACAAGCGGGAGACAGTGAAAGCGGCCCAGCGGTCAGGTCTGGCAGCCTTCTCTCAAAATCCAACCGTCCCGGAAAGGCCACAACACTCTCGTGGGTACCTGTAGGCTTGTTTTTGGGGGAAAAGATTCATCACACGGCTACATGTAGCTCTGACCCGGTGGGCCGCTTTCACTGTCTCTCGCTTGGCGTATTCCCGAATCCATTGAACTGGAAGAGTGCATCCCTGACAAAGTGAAGCTTTGGGGGTTTTCGCATTCACTCCTCCTAAGATCGATGACGTAGCGTGATTGTGATTGGCTGAGAACATGTTCTGTCTGGACTTCACCTATACATACCATTGATTGAATACATTGTGTATAATGAGCAATGTCCTAATGCCTCCCACCGTCTCAACTGGCCTCGCAATCACAAACCCACTGGTAAAATACCGTGCCCTGGTGTCAACGAAACAAATCCAACAGGACCAGGGACAACTTCGCTTGGCCTTGCATTTACAGAGACTATATGACCGTCTGATCGACTACGAGCCCCAGCAAGAATATAGTCACCGCCTTGATCAGATCTCCCGTGCTGTCCGGAAGCAGCAACCTTCCAATGGCTCCGCAAAGTCTACCGATGAAGTTGTGCCCCAACCGCCAAAGCAAAGTACATGGCGGTCTTTTCTGGCGGCGAAGGAGAAGAGAGACTCCCTTGCCTTGACCCGCAGATTGACGTCTCAGGAGTCTGCGATGGAGATGTCTTCACCTAGAGGACTGATGCTGCATGGCGAAGTCGGGACGGGCAAGTCGATGCTCATTGACCTCTTCGCGGATTGTCTTCCTACGCGCAAGAAGCGGCGATGGCACTTCAATACGTTCATGCTTGAGACCTTTTCCAAACTCGAGGCTTTTAGACGGCACAAGCTATTACAGGATCAAGATAATGGCGATGATTACTCTGTGCTTTGGATGGCCAAGGACTTGATTCAGACATCGCCAATACTGTTTCTGGACGAGTTCCAGATGCCCGACCGTGTTGCATCGAAGATCTTAACAAATCTGATGACTTCGTTCTTCCAGCTCGGTGGCGTGTTGATAGCTACATCAAACCGCATGCCGGAGGAGCTGGCGAAGGCGAGCGGCATTGAATTCTCGCCTCCCCCTAGCAGGATGGAGAGTCTGGGCTGGCAATTCGGATTCCGTAGGAAAGTGCAGAGTCCATACGCAGGGCGGAATGAGTTTGCGGCATTTCTTGACGTCCTCAAGGCTAGGTGTGAGGTCTGGGAGATGGGTGGTGGGAAGGACTACAGGAGGTTAGAAAGTACCAGTGCCGCGGCACCACCGACGCAGAAAGGCGAAGAGGACGTGCAATGGAGAATGGACGAGTATCTCGATCTCCAGCACAGCGCTGGTATGGCTGGATGGCCTCATGCTGAGGGAGAACAGCCTGCGGAGAAGGAAGATACAACGTCTTCTGCAGCTGCGATGCCGCGCTTCTTCTTCGTTGATTCTGGCGATGACGCAGCCCAGCAGCAAGCATACAACTCGGTGCTCGAAGCTGCATCGGGCACGTCGACCGACACCATCAAGCTCGAGCCCAGCACAATGAGAGTCTACGGACGAACAATACCAATACCGCGGACGTACAAGGGCATCACCGAGTGGACATTTGCAGAGATCTGCAAGACTACCCTTGGGCCAGCGGACTACACCACGTTGGCTTCCACCTACCACACGCTCATCCTCAAGGACGTCCCGGTCTTGACATGGCTGATGAAAAACGAGGCGAGGCGGCTCATCACCCTTCTTGATGCTCTCTACGAATGCAAATGCAAGCTCTTCGTCATTGCCGAAGCAGGACCAGACGACATTTTCTTTCCAGAACAGAGCCTGTCCGGCGAGGAGAGCGATGCGATCCAATCCGAGACTTTCTCTGAAGCCTATCAAGACGCCACCGCGCCCTTCCGACCCAACATCCTGAGTGACAATCCCAACTACGCAGAACCAGATCCCGAGCCCAACTATACCCACGCCCGTCTCGCCGGCCTCCTAAGTGCAGATGCTCTCGAAGACGACCCGCCGAACAGGCCTGCCCAACAAGGCAAGAATGCGTTTGGCCGCTCTTTCGGAAGGACAGACTCAGAGATGGAGCGCAAACCCATCGATCCCGACGACCAGCCAAGGTATCGCTCTCCTGATTTCGGCAAAGCGAGCGCTTTCACCGGAGAGGATGAGCGCTTCGCATATAAGCGTGCGCAAAGCCGGCTCTGGGAGATGTGCGGTGCGAAGTGGTGGGCCAGGAATGAAGAGGGCTGGCACAGGCCGTTGCCTGCAGAGGTGAGGAGGTGGGAGCGAGCTGTTGGTGAGGATGCACCGTCGAGTCCAGGTGAAGGACAGAGCGACGTTTCCGTAGGAGAAGCGGCGGTGGATGAGACGAGGGACGAAAGCATGTTCAAACGTGGTGGGAGTCCGTTCAGAACCTCTGAGGAGCCGCCTCCGAAGTTCAGCTGGGTGCATGCATGGGGGACTATGCAGTGGGGAAAGAAGGCAGGAGCATGGGGGAGGGGCCCAGAAGGTCTCAAGGATCGCGGTGATGAGAAGAGGTGAAGCTTAAGAGGAGACCTTGATATTGGAAAGAAGGTTCCCATATTCAGAACAGATTCCAGCCATTTCTTGTCCCACCTAGCTCCCTTCCACTAACGTTGATGCTGGAGAATAGGTCGTCCCACGTCGGAGCTTTTCTGATTGACATGCATCTCCAGAAACGAACGATTGCGATAGCAAGTCAGCCGCCTCGAGGGGCTGAATAGTCTCCGAACACTTGTGCATGTCATCGCGTTGAGCTCTAGCTGAGCAGCTCAGTCGTCGTCTCCTGCACTCCATCCGCTCGGAAGTAATAACGTGAATTGCGCCGCAGCCTCGCGCTGAACCCGAGCATACGATAGCAATGGAAATACACTAGATCTTACACTGATCCACAGTAGCTACAGCACCGCCGGAGGATGCAGATGTCGACTAGGCTCCGTATCCGCGCCATACTGTAGAGTAGAAGGGGCCGCAGACGTAGTTCTTTAGGTCCATTCTAACCAAGGGTTTCGTTGTTGAGCCAAGCGTAAGCTTCCCCTTGGTGACGCAGAGTGTTTCGATGTTTTGGAGAGCCTGTGGCAACCTTTGTAAGCTTGTCGTTGAGTAAGGAGATGAAAAGGTTACACGGTCAGGAAGATGAGATTCGGAAGTTATCAACTTCCACCATCCGGTGCGTGTCGCGTCAAGATGAGTGATGATTGATTGCCTCTTGGCAGGCCGAAGTCGACAAACGGTGGCTTTTGTTCGGATCGTCGCAGATCCGACCACCGAATCATCGCGAGAGTCGAGTGGACCATCTCCCTAATCTCGCCTAGAACACACCACCGATCTTGCTAGGCCGTCCTTAGTTCCTTAGCGGTGCGGCCGCGGACACTGGATGGTTTATGCATACTGCCCTCGGCGGTTTATGAGCGCTTCTCGGGACTGCTTTCCACACTCCACTCCTTGTGCACTGCGTGAGTATATATCGCCATCGCGTCCACGTGGCGCCAAACCCGTAACAACCCAGGCCAGGACACTCTTTGAGACATTTCTTCTCTTTCTATCTCATATCTTGACAAGTGAGGTCGCTTTCTGCCAGATCTCTAGGAGCGAAAGCGGGCTGTGGCGATAAGGAAGCACACCCCGGCAACATGGCCCTCGTGGGCAACTTTGGCTTCAGCAACAACGACAGGACCGCAGAAAGTACTGGCGTGGGCTCCATTGGTGGCAACCCGTTCGTCCGGAGGGGCAGCCGTGCGCAGGATGATCCGGTTGGAGAGCAGCACGCGCGCGACCACCTAGGACCGCGGCGGGCATCTGTGCAGTCACACCAGCACGATGGCTTGACCTCCCATAACGAGAAGGAGGGTCTCGAAGAGTACGAATCCTCAGACGCCAAAGCCGAATCAGAGGAGGACGCGCAGGCCCGAGCAGATGCGACCATTACCGAGCTTGCAAAGACCTTGACACGGCAATCAACTTACACCAATGTTCCCGACTCTCCTTTCGATGCAGAACCAGACTCAGCTCTCGATCCTAATTCCAACAACTTCCGGCCCAGGTCATGGGTCAAGAGCATCATAAAGCTTACCGAGAAGGAGAACCGGACTCCGGGACGAACTGCTGGTATTGCCTTCCGCGGGCTCAACGTCCACGGCTACGGCGCCGCTACTGATTACCAAAAAGATGTTGCCAACATCTGGCTCGAGGCTGTGGGCATGGTGAAGAAGGCTTTTGGACTTGCGAAGCCACGCAGGATCGACATCCTTCGAGATTTCGAGGGTGTTGTGCACAGTGGAGAGATGCTGGTGGTTCTCGGGCCTCCCGGTTCTGGTTGCTCAACTTTTCTCAAGACGATTACTGGCGAGACTCATGGCTTCGTGGTCGATGAGGGCTCTTACCTGAACTACCAGGGTATCCCTCCAGAGAAGATGCACAAATACTTCCGTGGAGAGGCCATCTACACCGCTGAGGTCGATGTCCACTTCCCAATGATGACTGTCGCCGACACTCTTTCCTTCGCGGCGCGGGCCAGAGCACCCAAGAACATCCCCGGCGGTCTCAAAGCACAGGAGTGGGCGGATCATCTACGAGATGTGTTCATGGCTACCTTCGGTATCAGCCATACGAAGAACACCAAGGTTGGAAACGATTTCGTAAGAGGTGTTTCTGGTGGAGAGAGAAAGCGTGTCACCATCGCCGAAGCTGCGCTAAGCGGAGCACCTCTCCAATGCTGGGACAACTCAACTCGAGGTCTCGACAGCGCCAACGCCATCGAGTTCTGCAAGACTCTCCGAATCAGTACCGAGCTTATGGGCGCAGCTGCGTGTGTTGCCATCTACCAAGCACCACAGGCTGCCTACGACATCTTCGACAAAGCCCTTGTACTCTACGAAGGCAGGCAGATCTTCTTCGGATCAACTACGGAGGCAAAGGAATACTTCGTGCGTATGGGCTTCCGTTGTCCCGAGCGAGCAACAACACCGGATTTCCTCACTTCAATGACATCGCCACAAGAGCGGTTCATTCGGGAAGGCTTCGAGGGCAAGGTGCCTCGCACACCAGACGAATTTGCTGCAGCATGGAAGGCCAGTCCGGAGCGAGCGGCTCTCCTGAAGGAGCTGGATTCATACGAGCACAAGTTCCCGTTCGAGGGCGAGCAGTACAATCGTTTTGTCGAGAGCCGGCAAGCTCAACAAGCCAAGCACCAACGCCTGAAGTCGCCATACACGCTCTCTTACAGCCAGCAGGTCAAACTATGCCTTTGGCGGGGCCTCTTGCGCCTCAGATCCGACCCTTCCCTTACGTTTACCCAACTCTTCGGCAATTTTATCATGGCTCTTGTGCTCGGATCTGTCTTCTACAACATGCCAGATACCACAGACACCTTCTTCCAGAGGGGAGCCGTAATTTTCTTCGCTGCAAGTCACCCGATCCTACGCTCCAAGCAGTCACGCTAATGCCCTCTCCAGGTCCTCATGAACGCTTTCGGAAGTGCCCTCGAAATCCTGACCCTCTATGCTCAGCGTCTTATTGTCGAGAAGCATGACCGCTACGCCTTGTACCACCCTTCTGCCGAAGCTTTTGCGAGCATGTTGACCGACATGCCTTACAAGCTTGCCAACTCTATCATCTTCAACATTACGCTCTACTTCATGGCCAATCTACGAAGGACGCCCGGGGCTTTCTTCTTCTTCTGGTTCATCAGCTTGATCCTAACGCTGACGATGAGTATGCTGTTCCGAACGATCGCATCCGTGTCTAGGACTTTGTCGCAAGCCATGGCTCCAGCTGCAATCATTATCCTGGCCATCATTATCTTTACTGGGTTCGCTATTCCTACCCGGTATATGCTGGGCTGGTGCAGATGGATCAACTGGATCGATCCGGTGGCATACGGCTTCGAGTCTCTCATGGTCAACGAATTTCACAACAAGAACTACGACTGCAGCCAGTTCATTCCAACATACGGCTCTCTCAGCGACAACTCGCAGGTCTGCACTGCCGTGGGTTCCCGGGCCGGACTAAGATACGTTAATGGGTGAGTACCTCATGATTAGAATCCCCTTCCTGGTCTTCCCCATTCCGTCATACAAAGCACACACTTATCAAGTCCTTCCTCCTTCAATGTTTGGGACATCAGCTAACCCCCCCATTGCGACGACTACATTAACAGTTCTTTCGACTACTACCACTCGCACAAGTACCGCAACATCGCCATCATCTTCGCCTTCATGATCTTCTTGATGGTGGTGTACGTCGCTGCTACAGAGCTGATCTCCGCGAAGAAGTCGAAGGGCGAAGTGCTTGTCTTCCGCAAAGGCCACACACCTGCTTCGCTCAAGGAGAAGACGAGCGACGAGGAGACAGTTGACAGCGGGAATGGAGCTGCGCTGGCCAAGCAAGAAAGCTATACTTCAGCGACGGACATCATCCAGAAGCAGACCGCCATCTTCAGCTGGAAGAACGTTTGCTACGACATCAAGATCAAGAGCGAAGAGCGCCGCATTCTGGACCACGTTGATGGATGGGTCAAGCCTGGCACGCTGACCGCTTTGATGGGTGTATCTGGTGCCGGGAAGACGACGCTTCTTGACGTCTTGGCAACTCGAGTCACGATGGGTGTGATCACTGGTGACATCAAAGTGGACGGACGCCAGCGCGACTCCTCGTTCCAACGCAAGACCGGCTACGTTCAGCAACAGGACTTACACTTGCAGACATCGACCGTCCGCGAAGCTCTCAACTTCAGCGCCCTTCTACGCCAACCAGCCCACGTACCCCGCAAAGAGAAGATTGACTACGTCGACGAGGTGATCAAGCTTCTGGATATGGAGGAGTACGCTGACGCTGTTGTCGGTATCCCGGGAGAAGGTCTAAACGTCGAACAGCGCAAGCGTCTGACGATTGGTGTTGAACTCGCAGCCAAGCCCGAATTGCTTCTCTTCCTGGACGAGCCGACCTCTGGTCTTGATTCGCAGACGTCGTGGGCCATTCTCGACCTGCTCGAAAAGCTGAAGAACTCTGGCCAAGCTATTGTCACTGTCGTACACCAGCCGTCCGCAGTCCTCTTCCAGAGATTTGACCGGTTGTTGTTCCTCGCTGCGGGCGGCAAGACTGTGTACTTCGGCGAGATTGGAGAGAACAGCAACACCATGACCAAGTACTTCGAGGCGAACGGCGCACACCCATGTCCGGCTGAAGCCAACCCTGCCGAATGGATGTTGGAGGTTATCGGTGCGGCTCCCGGTAGCTCTACCGACATCGATTGGCGTGAAGTCTGGCGCAACAGCCCTGAGTATCAAGAAGTCCTGAAAGAGTTGGAGCGTATTGAGACACAACGTCCCAACGAAGTTCCACCCCGTGCCAGCTCGGATGACAAGGCCTCCTATCGCGAGTTCGCTGCCCCCTTCGGCGTTCAATTGCTCGAGGTCACCAAGCGAGTCTTCTCGCAATACTGGCGAACGCCGTCCTACATTTACTCCAAGCTGGCCCTCTGCCTGTTCTCCTCGCTCTTCATCGGCTTCATCTTCTTCAACGCCCCGCTCACGCAGCAAGGCCTGCAGAACCAGATGTTCAGTATCTTTATGCTTTTCACCATCTTCGGCCAACTGGTTCAACAGATCATGCCGCACTTCGTTACGCAGAGAGCGCTGTACGAAGTTCGGGAGCGGCCTAGCAAGACGTACAGCTGGAAGGCCTTCATGTTCGCCAACATCTTCGTGGAGCTGCCGTGGAACAGCTTCATGGCTGTGATCATCTTCTTCTGCTTCTACTACCCGATCGGACTTTACAAGAACGCTGAGCCGACGGGTGCGGTGCATCTCCGCGGCGCGCAATTCTTTTTGTTCGTGTGGCAGTTCTGTAAGTACCACCCGTACCCTCGCCCCTTCCCAGACGTCTGCTAATTTTCGAGTAGTGCTCTTCACAAGTTCCTTCACAAACTTGATGATTGCCGGCATCGCCGATGCGGAAACAGGAGGCAACCTGGCCAATCTGCTCTTCTCCCTCTGCCTCATCTTCTGCGGTGTCCTCCAAACCGCAAGCGCCTTACCCGGCTTCTGGATCTTCATGTACCGTGTCAGCCCCTTCACCTACCTCGTCGAAGGCATGTTGTCCGTCGGAATCGCCAACACGAGCGTCCGCTGCGCCGACAACGAGTTCGTCAACTTCTCGCCTCCCAACGGCCAGACCTGTGGGGAGTACATGGAGCGCTGGACGTCAATGGCCGGAGGCTACTTGCAGGATCCGAGCGCGACGGGTCAGTGCTCCTTCTGCACTTACGACGACACCAATGTCTTCTTGTCGCAGATTGGAAGCTCGTATAGCAATGTCTGGCGGGACTTTGGGATTCTGTGGGCGTTTATTATCTTCAATATCTTTGCGGCTGTGGGCATCTACTGGTTGGCGAGAGTGCCTAAGAATGCTGGGAAGGAGGAGAAGGCTTCTTCGGGACAGGAGACTTCTGAGAAGACTTCGGAATAGAAAGTAGAAGGGGTTGGCATCAAGGAGTCGTAAGGAATATAGATTGTGGTAGACTTGTAGAATAATACGTCTCAGGACGCCGGGATTGTTCTCGAAGCCGGCATCAATCTGCGTTCTCTCTGCGTACCCGCTCAAGGACATCCGAACTCCTTCGGCCATCACAAGAGTACATCGTTATCATCGCCCATCGCCGTCCCCAAGACCTTAGCACTCTCAATCTCGCCTCACGAGATAGGCCTTGCCGATATCGCCACCTTATACCGAACTCCATCCGCGCATACCATCGGCTTACATACCTACATTTCGCCCGTAATGTCCCAGCCCTCAACGCCGTACCTGCATTCGCACAGTGGTTGCACGACAGATAAGCCGCGCAGGTTACGTCGATGTGCGCCCTACGGCACGTGGGTGTAGTGCAGAATTTGGGTAGAGATTTTTGCCAGGCGCCGCTTGCGGGCTGTGGCGGGAAAGAAGAGATGGAACGTTCATCGTCTATAAGAGTCACGGATGACCCACTTGTACAGTGCCATTGGGAGAAAGATAATACTGAACTTGTATTGCCACATCTTTCTTGCAATTGAAGAGTTCGAAGTGCTTCTATCCTACACGTACTCACCGCCATCTGGAGTCATCGAAGGCAATCTACGAAAAGTTTCTCGACAAATCTAGTCCATTGACTCACATCAGAGAACGACAGACTCGAAGGCAGCTTCATAGAAGAGGCTACCTACGCAACACAACATGGCACCAGCTGCAGTTTCAGCCGAGTCCTCCGGCACGACGACTCCAACGACAAAGTCCGCTTCCGCCCTCACTCAAGCCGGCATCAAACACATGCGCGCCGGCAGCAGCACACAAGCACCCCTAGACGCCTCCCTCATGACCACGGAGTTGACAAAATCACCTCGCGCCGTACCCGAGCCTGAGAGCCCTGAGGTCCTCGCGCAGGTAAGTCCCTCTCCCCAAAAACTTCTAGACGGAACTGACCCTCCCACAGAAAACCTGCACCGACCACATGGTCACCGCAAAATGGACCGTCGAATCTGGCTGGGAAGCCCCCGAACTCAAACCCTACGGCGCCTTCTCCATCATGCCCACCGCCAGCGTCCTCCACTACGCCACCGAATGCTTCGAAGGCCTCAAACTCTACCGCGGCAACGACCGCAAACTCCGCCTCTTCCGCGTGTCCCGCAACTGCGAGCGCATGCGCAAGTCCGCCGCACGGATCGCACTTCCCGACTTCGACCCCAGGGAGCTGGAGAAGCTGATCAAAGCCCTCTGTGCGCGGGACGGGGCGAAATGGTTGCCCAAGGACCGCCCAGGGTTTCTTTACCTGAGGCCGACGATGATTGCGACGGATGCGGCGTTGGGGGTGCAGAGGCCGAAGGAGGCGCTGCTTTATATTATCCTGGCGTGTTTTCCGGATATGAGTAAGAGTCTTGGTGCGCCTGCGCCGCCGGCGTTGAATGGTACGGTGAATGGGGATGGGCATGCGAAGCCGGCTTCGAGTGGGTTGAAGCTGTTGGCGTCGAATGAGGACAGTGTTCGTGCGTGGCCGGGTGGGTTTGGGTTTGCGAAGGTTGGGGCGAATTACGGTCCTTCGCTTGTGGCGCAGGGGGAGGCGAGGGCGAGAGGGTTTGATCAGGTGCTGTGGTTGTTTGGGTCGGAGTGTTACGTTACCGAAGCCGGCGCGAGCAACTTCTTCGTGGTCTGGCGGAACAAGGAGACTGGACGACTGGAGCTGGTGACTGCGCCGCTGGAAGAGCGTATCATCCTTGAAGGCGTGACGCGGGCGTCCGTTCTCCAGCTCGCGAAGCAGCGACTGGCCAAGTCAATCGAAGGAATCGAAGCCGTGGATGTGGTCGAGAAGCGCTTCGTGATGGATGATATCATCTCCGCGTACAAGGACGGCAGACTGGTGGAAGCATTCGCGGCTGGGACGGCTTTCTTCATTGCGCCGGTTGGCCACATCCATTTCCGCGGCAAGGAGATCCAGGTGCCAACCGAGGAGGGAGAGTCGGGTGTCTACACGCGGGTCATCAAGCAGTGGTTGATGGACATAATGTACGGCCCTGAGGAGCATGAGTGGGGCGTCGTTGTGGACGAGGTGGCGTGAGCATGAGCCTGTAGAGGGTGTTCTCGATGGCGCAGTTGCGATCCAAGGTGTCCAGGGAGTTGAGGTCGATCTGGGTGGATGTTTGTGCGTTCGGGAAGGTTGTGAGCGTTTGGCCGAACGACATAGAAATGTAATACCTACAGATGGTTGCAAAGCAGTCTCCATTGTCCAGCATATATGGCCACTCATCAGGAGTGATTCAGGGCGTTCGTTGCTCTCTTCGAGAACACAGTCAGTCAAGCCACCCATATTCTGGCATTAGGCAATCTTACCCATGCGCAGTTCTGAGCTCCTTGATAGCCGTTGAACTCAGGTAGGTCGTCATGACCGGAATCAGCCTCTTCTTCGTGTCTCCCACATCCCGCTGTCGCATGGTCTCGAAGGCCGCCTCCTCCCCTTCGCTGGCCTCGTCCTCCTCGACCCCTTCACTCCCCTTCACCCCATCCCGTGGAATCTCGGTCATCTCAGAGCCCAGCGCATTGTACTGGTAGACAGCCACACCCTTCGCAACGAGCTCGCGCTTAGCTATCTCGACAATGCTGATGACCTTGTTGGCCGCTTGTGCTTTCGCGGTCAGAGCCACCACCACTGGTTTGGACCCTTGCGCCGGTGCTGTGGCGAGTTTTGCGGTCACGGCAGCGGTTCGGGAAGATATCTGAGTTGAGGAGTGCACGCTGAGCTTGACCAGCTCGTATTTGTCGGACAGCAGCTTCTCAGAGGGGGGCTGCATGGTGCCTGATGGTGTTGGCGTGATGTAGCCTGGAGTGGCGAGTCTCGCAAGCCGTTGGACCTGAGAAGCGTCCACAGTCGCTTGTCGGTTGTTGTCGTGCAGTTGAAGGTCTATTGAGAGTCATGTGACAGCTATACAACGAATCAGAAAGCTGCATTGCGGTCGGTTTGGCTCTCTTCCACATACGGCAGGAAGGCACAATTCCAGACGAGCTATGAGCGGGTGATTACGACACGACCTCGAATCTTACACGGTAGGCGAGCTCTCCGTGTTGACGGGCAATGCAGTGTGTTGCGTGCTTGTTCCTCGCCGTCCCCAACCGACCCAGCTTTCTTCAGCAGTCTCTCATCACAACGCGACACGCCTCTTGCAAACGAGCGAGAGACGGTTCGTTGCACAACGTCGTCCGTGTCGTCCGTGTCGTCCGCGGGCGGCGGCCGGCAATGGGAAGCCGAGCCAGCATTCCATGAGAACCAGGAGAACTTTCTACTGCGAAACAAGTCTAGGGCGGGAGGTGCAGCCAATGGACAAACGGCGCATCTTGCATCGACTAGCGGAATCGGGGCTGGCTGCAGCTTTCGATGATGGGAGGATCCACAACTGCACCGAGATGCCACGCCTACGCCTCCTCCCAATCTCATCTTCCTGTCATCTTCGTCTCTACTAATCGACCAGCTCCTCCTTCTCTTCGCCCTTTCTTCTTTCCACCCCCATAGACGGCCTTCTTTGCCCTTCACCCACTTGTACTGTGTTATTAGCGTTCTTTGTAATTATACACTTGGCCTCGCGGCGACTGCCTGCTCCTCTTCCCGCTTATCTCCGTCCGTCCTTTCGACCACTTCGACTCACCACATTCTCAGCGTTCGCCCCTTCTCGACATCTCGAGTCGCCACGCACTCGCGCATGTTCGCCGCTTCCTCTCGAGGCATAACCACCACCGTATCGACGTAATCGTGCCGTCACGAACTCGTCGTCACCACTTCCGCGAGCCGGCCGCAAGCCAGGCTCTGTCGCATTCCATATTACCAAGCGCTTGATGGAGACTCGAACCGCCAGGCAACCTCTTCGGGCTTGTTGAAGCCTTGCACACCCACCATGCAGAGCATTTTCCGGTTACCTTGGTGCAGTGATCCTATCGCGCCTAAGTCCGACCATGCCGTGCTGGAGAAGATGCGCGCATCGCCTGTGGTAGAAATACCGGCGCTGCAGAAGCTCAAGCGCAAGCGGACGAACAGCTCGGAGATGTCGCCATCTCGGGCGCAGGACAACAAGAAGGCGCGAACTGGTCACTATGAACTACCGCCGATTCAGGTCTCGAACTTTCAAGCAGGCGGCAAGCCTAGCTTTACAGAAACCCCTGCACAGATATCAGAGGCGAGCCCTGCATTGAATGCTCCCGCTATGCCGGCGCGTCCGGATACTGAACGGCATTCACCAAATGCTGGATCCCTCAGGATGACTGGCCAGCAAACACCTCCCAAACCTGCGGATACTCCGCGAGAGACGAACGTGATGGCGTTGCAAGTGCCTGCATCTGAAGACGCCAAGGGCTACACGCCTCTCCAGCAAGTCATCGAAAATGAGTTCAACATGCAAATTTTAATGAAGCACAACGAGCTTCGTTTAATCGAGCAGGAACTCGCCAAATGTCAGACCGCTCTGGAGCAACTGCGACGATGCGAACTGCGACCTTATCCAGGCAGCGAACGACCATCTGAAGCACTGACTTCTGGTACTGGTCCAGCGGTTGCACCACCTCCCGGTTTCACCCGGCCGAGTCATCCCGCGCCGCATGGCGTGACAGATGGGCCTTACTCTCGCCACTACAAACACTGGCTATTGCAAGATCCGCAATTCGACTCGGTGCCTGTTCAATCTCTGCAGCCTGAAGCAGCCGCGCGACCAACGCGCAACAGTGGGCCAACCAGCAGAAGATTGGTTAACCAGGCGTTTTCGTTCCCAGGCCGGCCTTCGGAACGGCTACCCGCGATACCGAATTATCCTCCGCCAGCACCAGCCAAGGACAGGAACTTACCCAACGTGCTGCGGCGGTCCACTGATGGCAAGCTGGTGAAGCTCATCTGCAATAACTGCCAGCGTGGCAACTTCTCCAGCATCCAAGGCTTCTTGAACCACTGCCGGATAGCACACAAGGTCGATTACAAGTCGCACGATGCTGCGGCGATAGATTGCGGTCAGCCTCTTGACGAGTCTGAAGCTGCGACGCTACCGCCCGAGACGCAGCATACCCCTGTACCGAAGCCACCACCAAGTCGAGCTCCCGCTGCTGCTGCTCCGTCCACTTCCACGCCGCATCGCGCAAACTTCGTCCATCCATTCAACAGCTCGACCGGCTCTTCAGTGAAACTCAACCAGCCTCGGCATCCTATCGCACCCCGTCAACCCGTGCAAAGCCTCAGCTCAGCAACATCCACCACTGCCCAGTCATCTTTCACGCCTGCCGCCCAGCTACCCCGCCTGTCCGCGCATTTTGCCAAGCATCATGTGGGTGGCGATTTGGCCAAAGCGGCAGAGGAGGCGAAGCAGAAGATCGATCTCAGCAGCGAGGAGCTTCCGTCACCAGCATTTTCCGAGCAACCCTCACCCTCTGGCACACCAACCGGCGCCCGCTCACTCGCCACTGCTGGACGTACCGGCACACTCGGCATCAACAGCGGCTCCATCCCACGCCCACCAAGCCGTAAAGGCTTCCGACAAATAATGCCGCAATCGAAAGCCCGCCCATCACCACTGGCGCCCATGCCGCCCAACGATTCCTCAACCATCAAGCACGAACACGAACACAGTGAGAGCCCAGCATCTCCACACTCCCACGACCACAGCATAGAACTCAGTCCTCACACTGCTGACAGCAACCCGGGCTTAGTCTCCGACCACGAAGACGACGACGAGCACGGCTCCGCGTCCGAGTCCGAGGAAGGCCCTGCGCCGCATTCTCCCGCTACGCGGCCCATACCGGTTCCTGGAAACAGGACCTCTTGTGCTGATAACGTGGAGATCGACGTCGCGGTGGACGGGGAGGAGGTTGAGCGGGATGGGGTGGTGATTCGACGAAATAGTGTTTCGGACGAGGGGGGGAAATTTGGTGCGTCGGGGAAGAGGGGTGTGTGAGAGGTACAAGCAAAGGGCGTGGGCAGGCCGCCTTGGGTGTCGGCAATGGCTAGAATACGCATTCGGGACTTTGCTCTGATGTTAACACTGTGTTGCGTAAGTCGAAGCAACGGCGATTAAGAATAACAAATCTCCACTTTTACAATCATCTGCCGTATTTCATTGCGTCTCTTGAATTCATTGCTCTGGTTTGAAAGAACATAGTCACTTCGTGCCGCGATAGTGGGTCCTGTGTGTGGTCGGGCGAACAAAATTTCGGTTTCACTCCGTGCTATGATGCTATCGCTCCTTCCATGCCGGACACCTGTGCTTCTGGCTGTACCGCTTCCACAGTACCAAACAAGCCGTTCAAGAACCCTTCCGCCTCCCTTCCCACCCTCACCAGATCCAATCTTCGTAACGCGCTCCGCTGCGCCTCCAGCACCTCCGGCTCCTCAAAGACATCTTTCATGACCTCTCCTTCCTTCACCCAGTAGCCGTCCACTTTCCGCCGCATATCTGCGTTCCTCACTACTCCATTACGAATGATGCCCAGTCCTCGCGCCTTGCCCACCACACCCTCAAACACCCGCGCAGAATTGCCGATTCTTTCGGCTGGCGCAGGAGGCGTCAGAAAAGCGCGTCCAGTCGCCTGCAACCAGATCACCCATCCCAGCACGGCATCCAAGGTAGCAATAGCCAGCCCGCGGTAGACGTGCATCTTCCAGTAGGCGAAGTCCACCTCTCCAAGCCTCGTGCTCCGCGCATTGGCCGTGGAGTCGTAGTTGGCGACGTAGTAGAGCTCTGCAGCGCCCAACAGCAGGCCTGTGATCGTGGCTACGGTGCACCATTTGCTTCCTTCCATGCCGGAGAGGCTGCGCGATGTTGCTATGCCAAGCGCGATGAGATGCAGCAAGTGCGGAGCTAAGAGCGAAGGCGCGGCGTAGAGGAGGTACATCTGTCCTGCATCTCGATCATTGGGCGTGGCAAAGGGACAAGTGGTGAGGGTGTTCGGCCCAAACCGGGCATAGAGAAGTCGGGCGTCTAGACCCCCCGCGTCGAAAACTTGGCGGAGTTTCTCATCCTGCGCCGTAGGCGGGTGGTGCGCGGAAAGACGGGAAAGCAGAACACCGGCGCTGGTCTGGAGGCGGGAGGAAGTGAGGCGGAAGATGTTCTGCGGGTGGAAGACGGGGAGGGTGGAGAGGAAGGCCAGGACTCCGGAGAGGAAGAGGACGCCTAGGGCGTAGGAGGTTGTCGTGGGGAGGGGTTTGATTTGAGAGGCTGGTCGGGAGCGGATTGCGCGGTAGTACCCTATTGCTTTGGGGAGGAGTAGAGGGCCGAAGAAGATGGCGAGGGATTGGATGCTGGTGTCTTAGTCAGCAGGATGATCTCGCATTGGGAGATTATCTACTCGCGTCTTCCAGGCGACCATTTTTTCCTGCTTCTTGACTCTATTGCTGGTTATTAACGACAACCAAAGACGACACGTTCATCAGATGTTGGTTTAGATGTTGGAGCTGTCTAAAGTAGAAGTGGCCTGTGCTGCGCGCTAGCGCGATTATTTTCTGGAAACCTCAAGCGCGAGCACCTTGCGACTGCGGCTGTTTCCACACAACATTCGCAACAGCCATTGTCACAGTCACAGCCGCCGCTATGGAGGACGACATGTTTGACGTCTTCGACGAGAAGGCTCCGAAGCGGACTGACAGTGGCAAGCAGGACAAGAAGAAGAGCAAGAAGCGCTCGCTCGACGGCGAGGTGAAGAGCGCCGATGATACACAGATGAGCGACGCCCCCGTCAACGGCGGAACGGAAGTGAGAGACTATGCGCAGGATGGATCAGCGGAGCCAGAGACGCGCGAGCAGAAGCGCATGCGGAAAGCGGAAGAGCCTATGCCCGTGGTCACAGACACCTTCGAAACTGAAGAGTCTCGCGAGGTAGATGCGGCGGCGGGACTTCAAGCGCAGAAGGATGACGAGGCCGTGGTGCTCCGGCATCAAGTCCGCCACCAGGCTGCGCTGCCCCCGGACGCGAACATCGATTACAAGCCGCTGCACACGCACAAGCGAGTCGAGAAGCCCGCGCGAGAGTGGCCGTTCAAGCTCGACCCTTTCCAGGAGCTGTCTATCTCGGCTATTGAGCGCAATGAGAGTGTGCTGGTGTCGGCGCATACCAGTGCGGGCAAGACGGTGGTTGCAGAATACGCCATTGCGCAGTGTCTCAAGAACAACCAGAGGGTAATCTACACCAGTCCGATCAAAGCGCTGAGCAACCAGAAGTACCGTGAGTTCAGCGCAGAATTTGGCGATGTCGGCCTCATGACCGGAGACGTCACCATCAACCCGACTGCCACCTGTCTGGTCATGACTACGGAGATTCTACGGTCTATGCTTTACCGCGGCAGTGAGATCATGAGAGAAGTCGCTTGGGTGGTGTTCGACGAGGTGCACTACATGCGTGACAAGGAGCGAGGTGTCGTCTGGGAGGAGACGATCATTCTCTTACCAGACAAGGTGCGCTACGTCTTCCTGTCCGCCACCATTCCCAACGCCATGCAATTCGCCGAATGGATCGCAAAGATGCACAGCCAGGTGTGTCATGTGGTCTACACCGACTTCAGACCGACACCATTACAGCATTACTTCTTCCCTGCAGGCGCCGACGGCATCCACCTTGTTGTCGATGAGAAGGGCGTTTTTCGCGAGGAGAACTTCAACAAGGCCATGGCCACCATTTCAGACAAAGCCGGCGATGACGGCTCCAACCCCATGGCTAAGCGCAAGGGGAAGGGGAAGGACAAGCGGGTGAACAAGGGTGGCCAGAAGGAGGGTCCGACGGACATCTACAAGATCGTGAAGATGATCATGATGAAGAACTACAACCCGGTCATTGTCTTCTCTTTCTCGAAGCGCGATTGCGAGCGGTATGCGCTGCAGATGAGCCAGCTGGCGTTCAACGACGAGTCGGAGAAGGCCATGGTGACGAAAGTGTTCAACTCTGCCATCGACATGCTTTCGGAGGAAGACAAGGAGCTGCCACAGATCCAGCACATCCTGCCGCTGCTGCGGAGAGGCATCGGCATTCATCATTCTGGGCTGCTTCCGATCCTTAAGGAGACCATCGAGATCTTGTTTCAAGAGGGACTGATCAAGGTCCTCTTCGCGACCGAGACATTCTCGATCGGCCTCAATATGCCTGCAAAGACGGTCGTCTTCACCTCTGTACGCAAGTTCGACGGCGTCTCGCAACGATGGGTCACACCAAGCGAGTTCATCCAGATGTCCGGGAGAGCAGGTCGTCGAGGTCTCGATGATCGCGGTATTGTGATCATGATGATCGACGAGAAGATGGACCCGACTGTTGCAAAGACGATCGTGCGTGGCGAGCAAGACAAGCTCAACAGCGCGTTCTACCTGGGCTACAACATGATACTGAATCTGATCCGTGTCGAAGGCATCAACCCTGAATTCATGCTGGAGTCCTGCTTCTTCCAATTCCAGAACGCCGCGTCCGTTTCAGGTCACCAGCGCGAGTTGGAAGACCTGGAGCAGAAGCGCTTGGACATGTTCATCGAGAACGAGCAGGAGATCAAGGAGTACTACGAGCTTCGGGAGAATCTGACGAGCTACACCAAGGACCTGAAGGCTGTGATCACAGACCCGCAGTATCTGACCAAGTTCCTGCAGCCTGGTAGGCTAGTCAAGGTCAGGTACGAGGATCACGACTTCGGATGGGGCGCTGTCGTCAACTACGTGAAGGTCAGGCCCGGGAAGAACCAGAAGGAGGAAGACATTCTGCGTGGCGCTTCGGTGGTCGTGGACGTCATCATGCCCATTGCCGCAGACTCGACGGCACCACCCATCGGCTACAAGCTCAACGACGATCTCCCTCCCAAGGTACGACCCTCAATACCAGGTGAGAAGAACAAGATGGAAGTCGTACCGGTGATGAACGGAACCATCGACGCCGTGGGCCACATCCGCCTGTTCCTTCCCCAGGACCTCAGATCGCCTGAGCAGAAGAACGTCGTCCGCAGGTCGCTGGAAGAAGTTTCAAAGCGCTTCCCAGATGGTGTCTCTATTCTCGATCCTATCGAGAACATGGGCATCACCGACGAAGCCTTCAAGAAGCTCCTGCGCAAGATCGAGATCATGGAGAACAAGTTCCTCAACCACCCCCTCCACAAATCCGACCGCATGCCCGCACTCTACGAGCAGTACGGCGAAAAAGTCGCACTCAACAAGAAAATCAAATCGCTCCGCAAGAAAATCTCAGACGGCCAATCCGCCCTCCAACTCGACGAGCTCAAGAACCGCAAGCGCGTCCTTCGTCGCCTGGGCTTCGTCAACGAAGCGGACGTCGTGCAGCTCAAAGCCCGCGTCGCCTGCGAGATCAGCACCGGCGACGAGCTTGTCCTGGCCGAGCTGCTGTTCAACCGCTTCTTCAACGAGCTCACGCCTGAGCAGTGCGCGGCAGCGCTCTCGGTGTTCATCTTCGAGGAGAAGAGCAACGAGATGCCGACGCTGCGTGACGAGCTGGCGAAGGCGTATCGGGACATTAAGGCCGAGGCGAGTAAGGTGGCGAAGATCAGCGCGGAGAGTAAGATGGTGGTGAATGAGGAGGAGTATTTGCAGGGCTTCAAGTGCGAGTTGATGGAGGTGGTGTATGAGTGGACGCATGGTGCGAGCTTTGCTGCGATTTGGTACGTGACATCTCCTACCATACTTGATATTGTTTTGTGCTAACCGCTTTGATAGCAAAATGACGGACGTCTACGAAGGCTCCCTCATCCGCCTCTTCCGTCGGCTGGAGGAGTTACTGCGGCAGATTGCGCAAGCAGCGAAGGTCATGGGCAGCGAGGAGCTGCAGCAGAAGTTCGAGGCGGCGCTGGGCAAGGTCCGGAGGGACATTGTCGCCGCCCAATCACTGTACCTATAGATCACGCTGTGTTTGTCGCTGCTTGGTGTGAGCATTGTGGCGCATGCCGATGATGCTCACTCGAACTTGTTGCAAACACTGGCAGCATAGCCGACTGTTGCATAGTCATGTATATGTGTACTATCGGTTCAAACTCAACAGCCCTTCCACGTATCTCCTAGCATCCACCCCAATCCCGCCAGCGAGCGCGGCGGGACCCCATCCTGCGCTAGCGCCGCCTGTAGGGTCTCTGTCTCGGCTTCCGAGACCCAGCGACATGTTGCTGAATAGGCTCGTCATCGCATTGCTGCCCGCTGAGGATGTAGACTTGGACACCCTGCCCGAATCTGTGGCCTTCCGCACTAAGAATGCAATACGATGCATATCCGGTTGCGTCTCGGGCACAGTCTCCACCTTCATCTCCTCGCCTGCTATGTGGATATTTTGATCGCTGCGCAACGTCGCGACAGACTCCTGGCTGCCCGTTTCATCTTCAGCGTCGGTGGTAGCAATCGCCGGAGCAGAAGGCGGAACCTTCATCCACACCACCCACCAGCCGCGACTCGTCTTACTGGTGCGCTCGATGTCGTTCTTGCGACTCCGAACGCTTTGCAGGGTGTTGAGGATCTGGCTGTGGACATTGAGGGCCTCCAGACGAGTCCACTCGGCAGGAGCGGAGGTGTCGCTGCGCAGCATTGTGAGGATGCCTTCGGCGGCTGGAGTGCCAGGGATGGGAATGTTGGGTATACTGGTGTGGACCGTGAGGAGACGAGGGTCGTAGATGAGGTCGAAGATTGGAGCGGAGCTTTTGCCTTTGGACGGCAGGGTGTTACGCTCGGTGGTGCTGGCTGTGTCGCTTTCTGGTGTGTCGGTAGCTGTCGCGGCGTGAGAGCTCTCGATCCGTTGTGCGATCTTATCGACGTCGGTAGACGAGAGCAATGCTTTGCGAATAGGCGAGAGGATCTGGTGGAGGGAGCGGTAGAATTCTGTCCATTGCAGTGACGAGGTTCGGTTCCTGAAGAGAAAACAGTAGATGAAAGGCCGGTGGACGTATATCAGCACTCTCATTCGCCTGTATTTCATGATTGCCTCAATGCCGGTTGTGACATCCGGTACAGTGGCCTTAGCCTCGTCCTCCGGCTCGTCGATTGGTCGCTTAATCAGCTCAACTTGGATGGTACGCAAGACAATACGAGAGCCAGCCCCATCAGTGTTCAAGCTACCGTCAGTAAAGTCGACGTCCTCGGCTTCCGTCGAGGCGTCCAGGTCGCCTCGCAGACCGATCAAGAAGTGACCTCTGTTCTCTTGCCGTATCTGAGCAGCAGCCTTCGACCTGAGCGTCTCGCCATCTGGTATAGGATCGACCTGGGTCATGACTGCATTCTCCTCAGGTTCAGGCTCCTTCTGCCCTTTGCCGTTATCTTTCCTCTTCGTGGAAAAAGGTCGCTTCGACTGCATACTAGCAGAGCTCTGCCGCGAAGTCGAGGGGCGCTTCTGTGAATTCTTGCCGAAAGTACTGAGTCCGAACGTCAGGTACTTCATGTACTGATCCGGAATGCCGAGTGTGGTAGCAGGCTCCTGCACCGCAACCTCATCGTCATCCTCCCTCTCCGAAGTGCTCTGATCAGCGTTGCGCGTAGCATTCTCCAGCGCCCTCTCTGTGGCCGTAACTATTGGCGGTGGTACGCTCGGTCTGCTGGGATCCGCTGGCGTCGGCGTTCGCTCTGGCGTTGTTGCGTAGTCGTGAGATGCAACACGAGGATGGATCTCCGGCCGTCGATCTACAACTGCGCCAGGCTCAACTTCCCCCTGTACTTCGGCAGAGTCAAGTGGTTGTTCGTCTTGAGCCTGTTTGAGATCGCCACGCTCTGGAGAAGGTGGCTTGGGTGTAATGGCGTTTCCATTCGACGACCTTCTTGGGTCCGGATTCCTTCGTCTGCGTTTCCGACGGTCACGTAGCGGGTTGTCGCGGACGCCGTATGCATACTCGCCGTAGCTGTAGATCTGTCTCATCCAGAGCGATACGTCACGTATCGAATGTCGTTCCAGCGCGCCTATTCCTGAGAACACTATCCCATCTGATGCAATCGGCGGAGTACCATTCCCCATCCATGGCATCGCCTCTTCGTCATCCGCCTTCTCTTTATCTTCTGACACGGGATCTCCGAATCTCGAGACGAGTACATCCTCCAGTCCCTCAGTCCGTCGTACCAGATCTTCCAGGACCTCCCTCTCCCCGCTGCCCCATTCCTCCTCTCCAACTCCATAGCCCAGCTCGCCTCCACTCGCAAGCTTTATGCCATTGAAGATGTCGACGGCCGGGTTGCCATGCAGCAGCACATCCCAGCTCCTCGAAAAGCGTGACCAGTATCGATCCAGCGTGTTACAGAATTTATCTCTTGACAAGCGGACGAAGAGGTCATCCAGCGAAGGACCGTGGTGCAAGCAGAATATCGAATGCGCCTGGAGCAATTGCTGGACTAGCAGCGCAGGTGGACTGATCTCTCGAGAGGAGTATTCGACGGTGAGTTGCTGATCGCTACTGTCGCCGCCCTTCTTCGCAGAGTCTGAGGGCGGTATTGAAGGCAATTGAGTAAGATCGATCGACTGTACCATAGTCAGACTTGACCTCATACCGCTGTCTCGCAACCTACCGCAAGTATCCACCACCCCTTCTCCAGCTCGCGCAGAACTATCCTGCTCCTGTCCGTCTCGATCGAGTCCACGGGCTCGCCATTCGAAAAGCTCCTGCGATCACGCTTAGCCAGTACACCCGGTACCCATCAATAACCACCATTACTTCGCGAAATCCACCATACCCTGCGCAAGCCCAATCTGCCTCAACTTCTCATTCTCTTCCTGGCGCAGCGCATCGCTGCCCACTCCTTCGCTGCGCGACTGTTTCTTCGCGGCGGCGCGAGCCTCGTTGGCGACGCGCGAGTAGTAGTAGACGAGCTGGTCGCGGAAGGTCTCATCGGTCGGGCCTAGGGTCGGATTGTAGATGGCGAGGAAGGCCAGGCGTGCTGGCACGACCCTTGATGGCCATTCTATCGTGCTCATCTCATGCTGTTGTAAGCGTTGCAGGTTTACGTGCAATGCGCGTCAGACCTTGAATCTTGGTTGCGCTGTGAGGGTCCTTCCTGATTGGGAATTGGGCGATATTATGCACATGTTCTTGGGAGGTGGAGAGGAACACGATCGCAGAATATGAAGGAGTCTATTGTATATCTATCCGAACGCCTTGCTAATTCCAAAGCCTCCCACATGCCCGGGGTATCATACATACAGCCATAGATCCATCGCAACATCCCACGTCCGACATAATCCCTACATCAAACCCCCAAGCACCAACTTTCCCAACCCGGCCACTTCCACCTTCACGTTCGCTCTCGTCCCATCTTCGAACTCCCGCAGCACGTTGGAAACCAAGATCTTGCGAATGGCCTTGTCCGCCTTCGAGAAAGCCTCGCCAACGCCAGGTCCACAAGCCTCAGACGAAGGCACGAGATCCAACAGCTTGCCATATGTATCGATCAAAGTATCGCAAAGCGTAGCATACGTGGTCGCAAAGTCTGCATCAAAAGGCAGATGCGGAGTCACCAGATGCTGGAACTCGTGTCCACTGACATTGTTGATCGGCGAAGGATACTCCTGCGGACTCGTCGCTTCCGTAGCTGACCTTGGAATGCCCAAGTAGTCCGGCGACGGCGTGGTGATGGCTATGCTGTCCGTAGCTGTACTCGCTCGCCTTCCCTTGTTGTTCCTGTTCCCCAGCCCCATCCCACTCTTGAACATCTGGCCCATACGGCCTTTGCTAATGCTGTTGCCGCTAGTGTCGAAGCCGGAGAGGGATTGATAAGTCTCAAACTCTTGTAGCAGGGCGGACAGGGCTTTGAGGTATTCGAGCGCGGAGCCGGAGTTGAGGTCGAGGAGGGCCGGGAGGCTGTAGCCGAGGACGAGGTAGCTGTTTGCGCGCCGGCCGAGTTTGAGCGGATGCATGGACGGGATGGATTGCAGGGAGGATGGCGTGTAGTGCCAAGTGCCAAAGTAGAATATATTGCCGTCGTGGACTTTCCGGAGGTACTCTATCGTGGCCATGCGTTTGGTAGAGGTCTCGTGGATCTGCTGGTACACTACCTGCGGGTTGTGGGTACCCGTTGGTATCGACGAAGTAGGCTGTAAGGACAAGCCATTGCGTTCGCCGTGGGAGGAGCTGATGTCTCGACTGAAGCTGGCTTGTGGTTGTAGACCTGGTCTGTCGGGAGGGGCTCGCTTGGGCACAGCGGGTGCTGCGAGCATGGAGGCCCCAGCGAGGGGAGGAGGGTACATGCCCTTCGAGATCTCCACGGCCGTCGTTGGTCTGTCTGCCACTGTATCCGGAAGGTCCGGGTAGGCGAGCGTCGGTAGGTTGTCCGTAGATCTGAACTTGGACGAGAGTGATCTCGCAGATATCGACAGCTTTCCTCTCTTCGGTGTGGGTGGGACGAATGACGGAGGAAGGGGGCCAGTAGTCTGAGCCTCCTCTTCCTCCGCCGGCGACGTGGTAAAGGACGACGTGATGAGGTTGCCCGACGAAGGGAATCGCGGCTTGTGGCCAAACGTCGTTGCTGATCCGGCGCTGGGCTGCGTGCGGTGAGATCGCAAGGAGACCGACCTCTTGACGTTGTGGCCTATATCCGAGACACTGCTCGTCAGGCTCAAGAGGCTGCTCTCCCGCTTATGGCCATTGATCAGCTTGCTCTTGTCACTCTCCGTAGGCACCTCCAGCGGCGGGCTGAGCCTCGTGCTGTCCCCTGCCGTGTACTCGCTGGGCTGCCTCTTGCTGCCGAAGCGATTAAAGACAGACGAACTGCTGGTGGAGAAGGAGGGCATTGCGGGGCCTTGCCGCAACGGAGCGGTATTGCCTCACCAACCCTGAAGGCCCAGGGGCGACCTGCTCCGTCGGTGCCGTTGCGGGTGCGTCTCAGATCGAGGCTTGTGATCCTGCTGTAGGCGTTGTTTCCACCATCGTAAAGCTTGCATCCCATTGGGTTGGTTGTACCGCTCCAATGCAGGGGCAAGTCTCGGCGCACATGCCGAGCTCCATCTCACCCACCGACCTTTCATGTGAAGCTTCGTCCTGACTTCAGCGGCCTAACACTATGTACAGCATATGACTCGCAGCACATGACCGTACAGCATGTGAAGGTGCCTAAAGAGGACCGGCCTCAGGGAAGAAAGGGTATGAGTCTGGAAGATGGAGTGAAGTTGGTGGGTTGTAAAATCGGTTTCTAGCAGTCCAAGCAAGTACATCGCAGCATCCATCAAAAGCAGCACCAGGAGCTTCACCGTGAGCAAAAAGCAATGCCATCCATCGAAGCGAGTCCATCGCCCAGTCTGCAAACCAGCCCAGCAATGCAACCTCTCCGAGCGACAAAACAACCATAAACTCCTGCAAGCAATCCCAGCGATAAACCACCCTTGGACTCCAGCAGAACATCCCGGCAATGCAACATCCATGAGCTCCAGCAAACAAGCCATCCTTCCCAGCCTTCAGCCAACGCCACAGCGCCGCGCTTGAACCCATAGCAATCTCCATCCAACAAGCAGCCTTCAAGAACCCATGCAATGCCTTGCTGTTCGAGGCCAGCGCGCCTTTCGAATCGTTGAGGTCGGAGATGCGTGTGCCGTGCAACCAGAGAAGCGAGCCAGAAGCGAACCGATGAGAGCCGTCGACGATCGTGGTGGAATGGTAGACGGGTCGTGTCCTGCAGACCGCAGGTATGAATTCGGGGCGCCGGGCGTCGCCTCTGCAGCATCTCGTCAGCATCTGAGCAATCATGTTGATGGAGAAATACTCACCGCCTCTCGTTCTCTTGCGCACCACCGTATCCGGACCGCATAGGTCCGGGGTTTGCCACTCCTGGCTGGGGCGTCAGGGCATACGCCCTGGGTGCATACCAGGAGCAGCTGCAGCCGCCGGCTGGGGCGCCGGGACATACGTCCCGGGTGCATACCGGACGGACTGCGACAAAAGATCAAAGTTTCCAGGGCCCTCAACAGATTCGTGCAGGTCGCGTGGGAGCCATTTGTACTACGTGGGGGCTCGACCACTGCGCTCGGTCTGCAACAATTTTAAACTGCTTTGTTGGTGCCACACAAGCATACACCCTCAACGGCTCGCCTGCTCAAACCTGGGCAGTACACCGGGCTTCGAGGGTCACCGGCTAAGAGCCCCAGGGGCCCCCAGTATTCGGAGTGTCATGCTGCGCACGCAAGAGTCTGTGCTCTACACGTCTGGTTCCGGTGGGGCATACAATCTAACCAAGACTGCTTTGCACGCTCACTTCGGACGCCTCGGGCAGGCCACCCTGTCGTGGTACCTCCGCCTGCAGCGGACTTTCGTTGTGCTCGGATCGAGACACGAACGGCGGTTGGTTTGTCGTCCGCGATCTTTTGGGCCATTTTTTTAGAGTCGCTGACCAACGACTGGCGATGAACGGCGATGAACGGCGGTGAACCAGATGAACCAGATGGCTGATTCGGAGAACAAGGAGGTGACTGCGCCTTCGATGGCGTAAAGGGTGGTCTGCGGTCTGCATTGTTGGATGATGTGTTGTTCTTCGGTGTCGTTCTTCGTTGTTCGTTGTGGCGTCGTGGCTCTGGCTGGTTGCTTCTGGTGGTGCTCTCTGGTTGCTGGCACTCTCGGATTACGACTCCTCGTCGCTGGATGATGTTTCGCTCTTCGTTGCTCGTTTCGATGTCGAGGCTCTCGGTGGTCGCTTTTGGTGGTGCTCTCAGGTCGCTGGGTTGCTCGGCTTACAAAATTTCGTCGATGTCGTTGCCTTCAGGCTCCGACTTCACCACAGCTTCGTGCACGCTCCTCTCGCTCGCAGTGGACTTCGAAGTGCCACCGAGCTTGTTCTTCCTGCCCGCACTGGTCTTCCCGACGCGTCCGCCCCTGACTTTTCTGCTGGCAGTAACATTGACGGCATTGGCGGTCGGCTTGTTCTTCAGGCTGTTGACACGGCGTTTGATCCTCTCCCGTGCTTCCGGCCCCATCCTTCCCATAAGGCCGTCAAAGCGCGCTTGCAGCTGCTCGCGTTCGAAGACACCACCTTCTTCGATTTCGTTCTCGCTGGGCGCTTCCATGCCCACCTTGGCCCTCCCACCAGAGGCCTCAAACCTCTCGCTGTCCTCCTCTTCGAACGGTACATAATCCTCCTCTCCGCCGGCGTCAGCGTGATCTGAGCTGACATAGCCGCTGTCGTCAACGGGCCCTGCAATTTCTTCGCGGAGATGGGCGTCTTCGAATTGGCTGGCAGTGCCTCCATTCTTCTTCTCTGCCGACAGTTTTGCGAGGCCCTTCATCTTCTCGTGGACCGACGGCCTGCTGTGGATAGTGCTTTCCTCCTTGTGTGGCTTCATTTTGGAGAAAAACGACATCATATCATCCATCTCCCCCGCTTTCTGCTCGATGTTGAACTGAATGTCGGCCCTGCTTAGCGATGCCTGTTGCGCATCACCCAACTGCCCATACTTCTCTTCTCGCTTCTCGTCTGCATCTTCGAAGCTGTCGGACATCATCAGGTCGACAACTACTTCGTCGAATCGTGGTGGCCAGCAATAATTCACTTGATGGAGCCTGGATTCCAACCCTGCGCCGTCGGCGTAGGCTTCTGCGGCACAGCGGAACTTGGTCATGCCACGCAGCGTCTTGACGACCTCAGTCCAGATGGTTGGGAAGAGCTTCTTCTCCTGGCATGTTGCCTGACGTGGCATATCTTCTCCAAATGAGCGAGCGTATAACTTGGTGATCTGCTCTGAGCTGAGGAAGGTTGAAGCGGCCTCGAGATGGAGCTCTGGAAGATACGAGAGGATGCACTTCTGGGCGTAGATGACCTTTTGGAATCCTTCCGGCCTTTCTTCAAGCGGGTAGGGCCTCCACCCGAGGGGTTCATCGGGGTCGAAATAATCGCCCAGGAGCTCCACTTCGTGGCTCTGAAACGGGACCGAACGAACCGCAGTGTAGCTGACCATGGTCTGGGGTTTGGTCGGATCGACGTTGTACCAGTGCTGCATTGGTGAGGCAGAGGGATGCTTGTGTGGCTCGGGGCACCGCTGAGCATGGATGACTTCGAGCTCGACCTTGTACTTCTTGAGCGCGGCCTTGTGCTTCTTTTCACACGCCTGGACTGCTTCGTCAATGACCGATTGCCACTTCTTCGCGCTCTCTTGGTATGCGCGGTCAACGATCAATTTCCAGGTTTGGGCCGAGCCCGTTTGATCCGTGTTCAGACCGTGAGTCGGGTCTGCCGGGATAGTTGCGGCCTCTCGAGCATTGTTCTCCTGAGCAATGGCCCGCTGATATTCCATCGTCTGGTCGTGTACGTGCACTGCGTGGTCGAACCCTCCTGGGGAAGCCTGCTCGGTGGCGACATTGACTTCCATCGGCACATCAGCAGTCGCCTCTGCTGCGTTGTCGAAGGGCCACTTCTCGGCGGCGGCGACATGCTCTTGTGCCCTTGACTGGTCATCTCCGACCATTTGCTCTTCGCGAGACGTCGACTCTGCGGCCAGGTCATCGCACATCTTCTCGACGCCAGTGGCATGCTGTTGTGCCTTCGGCGGGTCGTCTACGACCATTTGCTCGTTGCAAGACGCTAGCTCTGTGGCAACGTCATCGCGCCTCTTCTCGACGCCGGCGACAAGCTCTTGAAGTCTCGACCCTTCCGTAAAGAACGCTTGGTTTTGTCGAGAAACGATTTGGAGCTCCAGGAGCAGCAGGTTGACGGCTTGGTCTTTCTGGTTGTACGCGTTCTCGACGGCAGAGCCCAATTGTCGGAGCCACGCAACTTCGTTGGTGAGGTTTTGCTCTCTCTGAGAAGACGCCCTGAGCCGCTGATCGAGGCTGGTGATGTGTTGTTGATATTGGTAGGCGACAGCATCCCTGGCGGCCTGGGTGGCGATGCTTCTCGCGTGAAGGTCCTCCCGGACATCATCATCACACTCGGTTCGTACGCGCTTGCTGTCTCGGAGAAGGGGGAGGTGGTCGACATTTGGGGCCTTTCTCTTGTTGCTGCCGGGGACCGGCTGGTACTGGTATCCTTCGACCTCGAGGCCGGAAGGCTCTTCTTGCGCCGTGGCGGCGGCCATCTCGTGGTGGCGGAGTGGTGTGAGTTGCTGACAGGTGTGTTGCGGTGGTGGAAGAAGATGTGTGGAAGTGGAGAAGATTGAACAGTAGTGTGTGCAAAGATGCTTGACAACTGTTCGTGGTGTGTTGGTGTGAAGAGATTGAGGTTGGAATTGCAGCGCGTTGTGCGTATGTACGTGGCGGGCTCGTTAATGCCTTGGCGCTTCTCGCGAGGAAATTGCGAAACTGCCCTCTTCACATGATTATGCCACGACTTCTGCCAGCAGCTCTACTTCCCTCTTTGGACATAAGCGAGCGTCGGAAGTACCCGCAACGCCGATCCTCCAGCTTTTTCACATGTTAAAGACGACCTCACTTCATCGTCTCGACTCTCTGCCATTTTTCTAAAACTGCCACATCGTCGTACAACACCGCAAACATGGACATCCGACTTCTCCACCCGTCCGATATTCCTCATGTTCAGCAAACAAACATCACGAATCTGCCCGAAAACTACTTCTGCAAATACTACATGTACCATGCCTTGAGCTGGCCGCAACTCAGCTATGTCGCAGTGGATGTAGGATGCATTGTCTCTTCTCGTGCGCGCATGATGCTGATTCCTATAGGTCTCTCGCCCGAAGAAATCGCCCTACGATGCGCCGAAAATAGTAGGATACGTGCTCGCGAAGATGGAGGAAGACCCGATAGATGGCGTTCAACATGGGCATATTACATCTCTGAGCGTGATGCGGACACACCGACGGTTGGGATTGGCGGAGAAGCTCATGAGGCAGAGTCGTAAGTCTTGCGAAGCTCTGGGATGACGGGCGCAGCTGACCTGCACTGCAGAGCGAGCAATGTTCGAAACCTACAAAGCCGTCTACGTCTCGCTGCACGTACGAGTATCCAACATCGCCGCACTTGCGCTCTATCGAGACACCCTGGGCTTTACGGTCGGCGGCACAGAGGCGAAGTACTATGCGGATGGCGAGGATGCGTATAGCATGCGCATGGACTTGGACTATCTACGAGAGGAGGCGCTGGATGCGGAGGACTCCGATCAAGAAGATACAGTTGGACAGGACGAAGGCGGCGAAGTCGGCAGCGCTGGAAAGGCTGGCGAGGGTGCCGATGCGAAGCAGAAGGAGAGGAAGCGCAAGGTCAAGGTCGGCAGGCAACTGGGCGTCCAGGAGCTGGTGGAGAACAACGCAAGCTCTCAGCAGGCGAAGGCGAATGGAGCATCATGATCCAGAAACGACATGCGCGACCACACTAAGGAGGCATCACCCAACCATGCGAGCATCAGTGTTGAAGAATGAGACATTAAATATCCAGCCTCGCAGGATCCCTGTGAACCTGCGCTGCCATGGCCGACCGCATTGGCAGGCGAGAAGGCTTGGAGAGAACCGGTTTCGGAAACATTGAAGGCTGCCTGCACGTCGATGACAGGCGGTGTGGGTGTGGCATGCTTTGGCTGCTCTGGCTGCGAAAGAACCGCCGCAATCATCAGCATTAACTTTTTGATGCGAGAAGAGTCTCACCTAAACCTTGAGGGAAGACGGGATGATTGTCATGAGAACTATGGTCTAGGTTACAGCCACTCTAACATTCGAGGTCGTCTGCAAAGCATTGACTTCCAAATCCCATCCAGCTTCCATAAGACCTTCTTGGTGTTTCTCAAGCATCGCCGCGGCTCTTCTTCTCATCTGCTCCAGCATCGCGATTACCTCTTCCGCCGCTTCGTCCCCCTTTTCGCCTTCTAGATCGCCATCGCGGCTGAAGGCAACCTGTTCTGCTATCATACACGCTTCCCACCAGCCCGCCAGCACATCCGAGGTCGAAGCGCCCGTCTTGACCACGATGCTGACTTGTGCAGGTCGGCTGCTCGTGTTCACCCAGAGAACGTACTTCCGATCCTGGTAGATCTCGAACAGCCCCGAAAGAGCATCAGTAGGGACATGAGCTGACTTTGTGCTGCTCTGCCTTTCCGTTGCCATCGACGACAGCAGATCGGACATGGAGCTGCCAACGCGGCAATAGCCCACTGCTCGTCCATCTCGATCTCTAAGCACCCCATCTCGCTCGAAGATCTGCTCCTGTTCCGAGACTTCATCTGGTGTCGGAACGTGCGACCGCTTGAGGTGGTGATACACAAGCGTCGCTCTTTGCCGGCTAAGCGTCCGCATGCTTACCGCTCTTACAGCCCTGCGGTTGGTCTCCAGATGCACTGAGAGCAGGAAGATCAGCACCGTCCAGGTCGCAACCGGCGTCGTGATCCACGATACCACCACACTGCCAGCCAGCATCCCGAGCAAGGAGATCACAGTCTCCTGGCTCGAGTCCTTAGCATTCAGCTCTCCCAGATTACCCCAACGAGCAAAATGCGCACTCAAACTCGCTTTCGCAGAGCCAGCCGCAACACCGCACAACGCTCGTAGAACGCTGCTGAAACTCAAGACAACCACTCGAATCGCTTTCGGGAAGACGGGAGAAAGGCAATCCAAGATAAACGCAATGTCGTTCAGTACATCAGCGAGGAGACGGTACATCTTGCACTCCGGCTCCAGGCTGGTGCCGAAGCGATGGGCGAAGAGGATCGTTGCAATGCGGCCGGCTGATTCCTGCAGGACGGAGAGCAAGAGGGCTGCGGTTGGTGATGCGGTGGAGTCGCCCACGCCCACGCTGGAGAGGACGGCGCGGGAGGAGAGAAGGCTGGCTATGCTGCTTGAGAAGGCTTGGAGGGAGTCCTGGGTAGTCGTCAGTGAGAGGACGGGGATCGAAGAGACATGTGGCTTACGTAGATCTGGTATCTAGGAACTTTAGCTTGTATCTTTCAAATCGACCAGTAGCACTCACTCAAGGTAGTCGTCAGTGACGCTGTGCGGGTAGCCTGCTGGCAGGAAGACGTCCAATGTTTGCTGCCATCTTGACTTGGTAACTTCTGGATACTACGACAACATCGTCAGCTCCGAATAGACGTTTCAAGTCGTTCTTACAATCGTGTCCACTCTACTGAGTCCATCCGGTCCGCTCGAAGATTGAACGTAGGTCGCCAGCACATTGCCTGCCTCGTCACTTTCGGTAATGCGAAGGGACTTGTCAGACATCCTTTCTACTGCACGTCTTTGAGCTGAGAGGGTATCTGTTATCCATGGGTATTGCAAAGACAAAGATGATGTTGCGAAGCAAGGTCGAAGGCTTGGCGAAGGATGAAAAGCACTTGGAGGTTGGCGCTTTCAACAAGACGATGGCAGTATTGTGTCGACATGACCTAAGGTGCATCTATTCGCTCAAACGCAGCACAACAATACAGGGTATCTAACACTCCTCGCAACATCATGCCTCCCCAGCAAGCGCCTTCTTTACCGCCTCAATCTGCTCCATCACAGCACTCCTGCTCGTCCCACCCTTTGCAGACCTCATCTCGACGCTCTTCTGATAGTCGAAGACTTTGAGCACATCCTTCTCAAAGCGCTTGTCTACACCCTCCAGTTGTTCGAAGCTCAGCTGGTCCATTGGCCGGCTTTCCTTCTCGGCTAGAGCGACCACTTGTCCGGAGATGTGGTGGGTTTCTCGGAACGGCACACCTTTGCGTACCAGGTAGTCTGCCAGATCGGTAGCCAACATGTCGGGCGTGAGAGACTTGAGCATGTTGTTCGGCAGGATCGCTAGCGTTGACAGCACACCAGTGGCGATTTGCAGGCTGTCGCCAACAGTCTTGACGTGATCCAGCAACGGCTCGACAGACTCTTGAAGGTCCTTGTTGTACGTCGAAGGGATGCCCTTGACGCTCATCATCAATCCAGACATCTGGCCGAAAGCGCGCCCAGCCTTGCCACGGAGCAGTTCCAGCGAGTCTGGGTTCTTCTTCTGCGGCATCAAAGACGATCCAGTCGAGTATGCATCCGCCAGCTTGACAAATGAGAACTCGCCGGAGGAGTAGATGATCAGATCTTCAGCCCAGCGCGACATATGCATCATCAGCATGCTGCCCCACTGCATCGTCTCGACTACGAAGTCGCGGTCCGCAACACCAGCCATGGAGTTCATGATCAGACCGTCAAAGCCGAGCTCCTTCGCCATGGCATCGCGATCGATGTTGAAGGGGTTGCCAGCTAATGCACCGCAGCCTAGCGGTAGTTTGTTGACCCTGAACTTGAGCTCTCGTAACCGCTGGAGATCCGCGGCGAAGAATGATCCGTACATGAGCATCCAGTGACTCCAGCGTATCGGCTGTGCTCGTTGAAGATGCGTGTATCCAGGCATGACATGCTCGATCTCCTGCTCCGCTCTCGCCGCAATGACCTTCAAGAAATCGACCAAATAGCTCTCCAGCTGGTCCAACTGATCTCGCAGCCACAGCCGCATGTCCGTAGCAACCTGGTCATTTCTACTCCGTCCCGTATGCAGCTTACCTCCAATCTCCTTGCCAATGATCTCGCCCAGCCGCCTCTCATTTGCCGTATGGATGTCCTCGTCGACGCCAGGATTGATCTCGAACGTGCCGTCCTGCCATTCTTTCGACACTTGCTTGAAGCCGCGCTCGATCTCGCTGAACTCTTGCTGCGTCAAGATGCCGTTCTTGGTGTTGGCGCGAGCATATGCTATGCTGCCGCGAATGTCCTGGGAGTAGAAGGCTCGGTCGAAGTAGATCGATTCGTTGTACTGTTGCATTATTGGGTCGAGACCACCTGTGAAGCGTCCGCCCCATAGCTTGCCTGCTGCCGGAGCGCCCTTGGAAGCCATGTTGAGTCAATGGCTTGGATGAGTTGTACAATCCTTCGTTGAAGACCTCAGAAGATTTTCTTGCGCAAGCTCACCTGTACCTGCGTCACATGGATGATCTTATCTTGTCTTCCAATGCCACCATGAGCCTCGCCCCTCGCCCGCCGCCCTCGCGCCTGCTGATCGGGAGACCCTGCCAAGAGGAGGTGACTTCCTTTTTGGCCTTCGTCCTTGAACTTCTCAACTCCTCCTTTGACACGCACCACACCGTCTGGCATTCTCATCTTCAAAATGTCATCCACGGTGTCCACTGCTACGGTGCCGGCCACTACGATCGATCAACGTCGAACAAGTCCTGCACAGGAAACGAAGCCAGAGCAACGGCCTGAGGAGAAAAGTCAAGACGAGTCAGATCGGTTCTTCTGGACATACACTGAAGAGCCACACAAGACGCGAAGACAGGAGATTATTCGAGCACATCCAGAGGTCCTCAAGCTTTGCGGGCCAGAGCCATTGACCGTTCCTCTGGTTCTGGCAGTTGTGGGGATCCAGATCTTCTGCGCCTACGCACTACGAGAATCTCCGTTCTTCTCATGGCAGTATCTTCTCACGGCGTACGTTGTGGGCGCAACGGCAAACCAGAACCTCTTCCTCGCCATCCATGAGATCTCTCATAATTTGGCCCTCAAATCGCCCATTGCCAACCGACTGCTGGCAATATTCGCCAACCTGCCGATCGGTATCCCCTACTCTGCTTCCTTCAGGCCGTACCACCTCACCCATCACAAGTCCTTGGGCGTACACGGTCTAGATACGGATCTACCGACAGCGATGGAGGCTTGGTTCTTGGACTCTGTGGGCGGCAAAGCATTTTTCTGCACTTTCCAGATCCTGTTCTACGCCCTACGACCCATGATGGTGTACAAGCTACCATTGACCCGGATCCACGCGCTCAACATAGCCGTGCAAGTTGCTTTCGATGCTCTTATCGTCAATTACTTTGGCGGCAAGGCGTTGGGCTACTTCATACTCAGCTCCTTCCTCGCCGGCTCTCTGCATCCATGTGCAGGGCACTTCATCGCCGAACACTACGTCTTCGCGCAACATAGCCGATCCCTCAAGCCCTCGCAGCCGGAATCTGCCAAGTTGGCGCCACCACCAGAGACGTTCTCATACTACGGTATCCTGAACCTCTTCACGTACAACGTTGGCCTCCACAATGAGCATCACGACTTCCCTGCGATCCCGTGGACTCGTCTCTGGAAGCTGAACGAGATTGCGAACGAGTTCTACTGCGACCTGCCATGCCACCATAGCTGGGTGGGCGTAATGTGGCAGTTCGTCCTCGACAAGGAGGTGGGGTTGTGGTGTCGGGTGAAGCGGAAGGAAGGTGGGCGCTTAGTCGGTGGAAGCAAGCCTGCTACTCATAGCCAGCCCATCGACGTGGCACGATAACGATAGATGCGCTCTGGACATAGACATAGAAATGCACGCCATATTTGCACAACACATATACAAACTACCGCCCTCTCCCTTCCATCTCTGCCACCTCACACCCCAATCCACATAATACTAACCACAATATCCATCCCCTTCCCCTCCCCACCCTCATACTTATGACTCCACATCCCATCCCGCTCATTATTCCAATACGCCCCACTGGCGCTATGCATCCCTCTCCTCCCGACCTTCCTCTCCTGGCTCTGGCCGCCAGTCACACCCGCCTCTTCATCCGCATCCGTCTGCGTGCCCGCTTCAGCTCCAGAAGACCGCGGGTCCGAGAGGTGTTGTATTATAGTGCTGTTGACGGCGAATTTGTACTTTGTGTCTGCGGCGCTGGACTCGGAGATGATGGATTTGAGGATGCTGTTTATGATGGTGTTGTTCCATTCTTGCGTGAGGGCGTGGTTGTAGTAGGAGGTGGTGGAGAGCGCGGAGTCGCAGGCGGAGTTGCAGAGTTCTTGGAGGCGGGTTGGGGGGATGGGCTGGAGTGGTGTTAGTGGTATTGGTGGTTGTTGAAGGGGAGTTGCTTACTGAATTGGTGGCCATTGTGGTAGGTATCTGACGGATTGCTCTTGAGATCAGTGTGGAAGTTGTTTCTTAGCGCTGTTTATGTACACGTTGCGAGCCTGTTGTACATGTGATACCTTGAGCCGAGTGTTTGTTGGCCGTTGTGCTGCACGACCTCGACCCTGCCTATTTGGGCGCTTATCGATTTCTAGCCGGATCGCCAATGGCTTGAAACTCTAACAAGCACGTGGGCTGCTTCTGAGCTCGTGGGCGACTCCATCTTTTCAGCAGCATTGCAAAGCTCTGCACACTCAAGCAGTGACCTCGCGGGCTCCTACAACAGCAGGACTACTGGACTCATACCGCGAGCGGTCAGTCACTGGGTAGCGCGCATCGCTGGGAGCAACCAGTAGCGGAAATAGTCGACGACCGGGGCGGCGGGAGCTCTTGAGCAATACACCAGACGATATCACAACGACATAATACAATGTCGAGCCAACCACTCCTCCAGACAGCGCCAGGCCAGTCGCCAATCTACAACCCAAACTCATCCCTACTAACGTCACACAGGCAAGCGCATCGCCCTCCCCACCCGCGTCGAGCCCAAAGTCTTCTTCGCCAATGAACGAACCTTCCTCAGCTGGCTCAACTTCACCGTCATCCTCGGCGGCCTCGCGATAGGCCTCCTCAACTTCGGCGACAAGGTTGGCCAGATATCCGCTGGCCTCTTCACACTTGTTGCATTGGCGTCGATGCTGTATGCGCTGGTGACGTTCCATTGGCGAGCAAAGAGTATACGGATGCGAGGGCAGGGAGGGTTTGATGATCGGTTTGGACCTACGGTGCTGGCGATTGCGTTGCTGGCGGCGGTGGTGGTGAATTTTGTGCTGAGGGTCACGATGGCGCCGGGGGAGAGTAAGAAGTAGGGCTGACGTTGGCTGGAGGAAGGCGATGTTGGATGACTCTATTGTGCATATGGTGTCCTATCATTTGCCAGGAGATCGCTTGTCAATACCACCGGCCTTACCGTTACGTCTCGATCCGGCCTACCGTTGGTTGAAGTTCTCTACGAGCAACGGATTCCAGGAATGTTGAACAAGTACGGAAACCCACGGGAACGCGACGACGTGTTGGGACGAAACCACCAGGCTGACAAATACTGCATACCTGGACGGCTGGAGGCGGCAGAGCGCAAGCCAACTAGAAGTAATACATGCTGAAAGCTCAAGGAACTCCCTCTTCTACCAGACACAATGGCTGCCACATTGGTCCTTCTATCTCACTTGTCTTTGACTCCTAGGCGTTTCTCAGCGTGGAGAGTAGCCTTGGAGATGTCGTGAGCCCTAGACAGTCGCCCACTATCCTTGTCTTGTCGTACGACTGTTGTCTTTGTGTTTATGAGTAATGCTCTCAGAGCATCGAGTTACGAGCGATGAGAGCTTTCTGGCTGAACATCAAAGTGGCAGCTATGCGCCATCCGTGGCAAGATGTGCCGTCTGCTCATCTCGTCTCAATAGCTACAGTTTAGTGAAGCTGTGAAGAACGTGTCGCGGTGGTATCGCAGCCAACCCCGACATCGGCCTTCAATCACGGCTAACCGGCACATTCAACGACGAAAAACCAAGACGACAGGTCAAGCCTTCCTCACCGCAGTAGCATCAAGGCCACGAAGGGAAGGCGCCGATAACGCCTCGATATCCGAAGGCAATGGTAGGGATCTGATATGCATTTGTTGACTTTCTATCCTTGTACATCTTATACATTCTTACCGATCGCTTCTTGGAAGGTTATCAGTGGTATGAGGAAGAGAGCTCGAAGCACTAGTGGCGAACATGTCTCCTCCCGCATCTGCACAGTCGTTCGCGATAGAAGAGAGTAACTCAAGACCCAACGGACTGGTCCGACAGTTCACGCACGATGGCCGTGTGCTCGAGGCTCCAGGCGAGCGGCACGAGGATGAATTGGATATCGAGCAGGGCGCAGAGTCCGAGGACAAGCGGCCAGGCATCGCCCTCAGCCGGACCATATCATCTGGACCCCCCTATACGATCTTTGGACCTAGAGCAAAGATGTTCATCATAATATCCGTCTCCGTCTCCTCCCTCATATCGCCCTTTGGCGCAACGACATTCTATCCAGCGCTGAACGTGTTGGCGAGGGAGCTGGACGTCACGCCTACGTTGGTCAATCTTGCCTTGACCACGTACATGGTATGCTGTCCTTCACTGATGACCTCGAGGTGCACGTGACTGATGAACACCAGATCGCTCAAGCCATTGCGCCGGCGATAATAGCTGGAATGTCTGACGCCAGTGGTCGAAGAACATCGTTCATTATCTGCTTCGTCATCTACATCGTTGCGAATATTGGGCTTGCGCTGCAGACCAATTATGCTGCGCTTCTCATCCTGCGAATGGTCCAAGCAGCCGGCTGCAGTGCTGCCATCGCCCTCGCGAACGCTGTCGTCGCCGACATAGCGACGAGTGCTGAGCGAGGACGTTACATGGGTTATGCGACTGCAGGCTTGCTCGTGGGACCTGCTTTTGGTCCGACCATCGGCGGTAAGTCCAGCTGCCACTTGCAGAAGCTTCTTCAAAACATCCCGTCTTCAAACGTTTTGAGACCTTCCCAGCTTGATCGATTGTCCGAAACCTCCACTGACCATGCTACCCATCAATCTAGGCGTTCTCTCCCAATTCCTCGGCTGGCGATCCATCTTCTGGTTCCTCGTCATCTTCACTACAGTCCTCTTAGTCGTCTTCACCCTCTTCTTTCCCGAGACCTGCCGCAATGTCGTCGGCAACGGCTCCATACCAGCCAAAGGCCTCAACCAATCCATCCTCGGCTACATCCAGCAGCGACGGCACGCTCGCAGCAACGAGTCGATACACGATGACCAGTCCATTGTCTCCACGCAGAGGAAGCGGAAATTCACCTTTCCCAATCCACTCACTACTCTCAAGATCCTGGGTGAGAAGGAGAGTTGTATCGTCCTGCTGTACAATGGCTTCTTCTTCACCGGCATGATGATCTGCGTCGCCAGTGTTCCCGACCTCTTCCAGCGGGTGTACCATCTCAACGAGCTCGAAATCGGCTTGTGCTACATCTCACTCGGCGTGGGCAGCTTGGTCTCCGCATTGACGATGGGGCATGTCGTGGACTGGAATTTCCGCCGCTACGCCAGCCGGTTGGGCTTCGAGATCAAGAAGGGCAAGCAGCAGGATCTCGAGAACTTTCCCATCGAAGTCGTGCGCTTCCAGGTCGTCCTTCCAGGTCATGTCCTTGGAACCATGGGCATCCTTGTGTACGGTTGGACGCTCAAGTTTGAGACACACATTGCTGGTCCGGAAGTGGCGCTCTTCTTCATCGGCTTCGGTGTCTCGACCGCTTTCAACCTCACGAACACTCTGCTCATCGATCTGCACCGCGACAAACCAGCTACGGCCACAGCAGCGGTAAACTTCGTACGGTGCTTGCTCTCTGCCGCAGGAGCTGCTGCTATCATCCCAATGTGCGATGCCATGAACCCTGGCTGGGCCTTCACCTTGCTCGCACTGATATACACAGTGTACATCGTGCTGGTGTTCTGGATCATGAAAAGTGGGCAGCGGTGGCGGCAGGAGGCGGCGGCGAAGCAAAAAGCCAAGGAAGAGGAGAAACGGGCCATAGAGGAAGCGGAGCTAGACATTGAGAAGCATTCAAGCGCGGAAGACACGCCCACGAGGCGAAAATCGCAGGAGAAGCAGGAGGAAGCCGAAGGTCCGCCAGAGCGATGAGATTTGGTTAGACGAGCAAGATAGTCTCCCGTCGTCCGGTCTTATGCAAAGGCACGCCTCCAAACCGTGGCCGTTTCGGGAGCCAGTATGAAATTCCAACGCCCACTCGTCGGTACATAGGACATCCATCAGTTCGCGGATCTCCAGAGGGTGTCTCGACTGGCTCCACTAGAAGCAGGAAATACCTTCGCATGCTGCGTGTGAGGCGCCGCCTTGCCTCCTGCGGACCGATGTCTTCCGCGTTGATGGCCATCTCCTGTCGGGCCATCGCCTCTTCGTTGGTGTCGCGCCACATATTGAGATCGTAGTCGTAGGCTGGTTTGGATCTGCCAAGACCAAGGACGTTAGGCCGTCCCGAAAAGTTACTGTCATAGTCGAACAGTACCTGCCAGCCTTGCCATAGTGGGCCGCCGCTTCTTCGCCAGGCGCTCGACCGTAGGAAATGATTATTAGGCTTACTATGCTGCCAGAACGTCTTCGTATCCGTTTCGTGCCAGAGAAGAATCGTCTGGAAGTGGGCAGGCGGGTGTACTGGGTTGTCAAAGAGAGCGAGCCCAGCTAATCTAGCAGTCGGAGGCGCTTCCAAACAGGCGACTTGTCGTTGGCCTGTAGTTGGTAAATCGCTGAAGATCCGGTCAAAACTGCAGTGTTCCTTATGCGCGATGATACCTCCGTCAGTTGCGTCATCAACCCGTGCGTAGCAGTTGGTACATCTCCAACCTGAAGTCGCACGTCTTGGTTCTCCCGATGGTGAGTCTACAAACAGCAAGCGAGCGTCGCTGGCCGACCGAACACTATGCGCAACGTCGTATTCCGGCGACAGATTGAGTGTGGTTATAAGGTCCAACTTTGTCTGCGAATAACCGCCAACTTCGGGCAACCATCCGTAAGCTTTGGCGCACAAGGCATTAGTCCTGAGCGACGTGGGTTTCACACCACGTCGTGCCGGCATCAAGGGGTTGAAATCCAAGAATTTGATGTTCCTGAGATTCATCGAGTGGCACCGCACGAAGCCTTCAAGCTCTTTAGAAGTCTGCGATCTGGAAATGCGACTCAGAGTTCGTATTTGCCCATCCTTCGACGCCCAGCTCCAGCTTGGTGCTCGGCCGGGATGCGCGCGGCAGGTACTGCAGTCCTCTGGATACCAATACAACGATCGAGCAAGCTGGCCGGTCCATAGACCAGCCTGATGCTCTTGCTTGGTTCGCCAGGCTATGGCTGTTGCCAAACCTTGAAAAGCAACGAGCTTGTCGGTGAGCACCGTCAAATCGCGGGAGGTATAGTCTCTAATCATCTCATCTTGATCAAAGATTCCATCGAAGGGATCGTCACGTCTTTTCACACCTCCGAGCATTTCGCGCACCAAAGGTGCTTTCCAAGTGCCAGCTGGGCATCCCAGAGTAACAATATTGCAACGAAGAGTCGAGAACGGACGCCGTTCCTGCGGCGCACCTGTTTGTTCTAACATGTTGTCTCTTCGTAATTGTGGGATGACTAGGGGACGGTACCAGGACGTCGTTTTCGAAAACCATGTGCTCCTCTCCTTAAGACCACCAAGATGCTCGTCAAAACCATCTTCCGACTTGGTTAGGGTGTGACATTCCCAGTATAGCTGATACTCGCCGAAATAGAGTATTCGCCTCGAAAGCATGCGCTCCTGGAATGTCCACGCTCGCTTGCTCCACAGGCTTGTCCTAAGCTCCCGGGCCAGTGCTGTATCGAACCCAAGCGGTCTCTGGGTATTGTGGCCGTCCAAGAACGGTAGCACCGAGGTCACTGTGAGGTGGCCGAGTGATTGCTCCTGGCCAACACTGTCCGGCGCAAGCCATGGGATGGTCGCTTGCGGCTGGAAGAGCTTTCGCGCGAAGAGCCCGCTATGACCGTCCCTGTCACCTATGACGGCAAGCGTCAGAGTTGCATGTTGGTACACTGATGGCATCAGTGCAGCCTCGCGCTCCCAGTCATCATCGTCATCTTGGACAATACACAAACAATCGACCCACAAGAAGGATATATCAAGGAGCCGGGTGACCTCCATGGCGTCCCGAATCGTGGCTGGAATTTGCTCCTTCGGAAAGCCATTCTTGAACATGTCGACGGTGGCCTTGGTTGTTCGCAGACCGGTCAGCGATCCCCAGCGATAGCTAAGTGCTGCAAAACAACCTTGACATCCATTCGTTTCCAAGAGCTTAGGGTTTCCAACTTTCGAGACCTGGACGACTCGAGTGGGTAGCGTGGATACCGACAGCCTTTTATCGACTCTTGTGCCGGCCAAGGTCAATCGGCACTTCCAGTGGTCTTTTCTGCAGCTTCCTAGCCATCTACTCGCCAATGTCAAAGTCTCCGCGGACACCAAATGCGCTGGCTCATGCCATGGCACAGTAGCTTTGATTTCCTTTCTGGCATCTGAGTGTTGTCAGCATTGCTTCCCTCGGTTGTACCGAACGCACGAACGGACCTTGAGATACGGACACTCGCAACCCAGTACCGATATCTCTGAATAGCGGGGAGACGTCGTCGCCTTCCAGCTCCAGCCCAAGAGCTATTCCAGAGGCGATACCCCGAAACTCACCCGCATTCGACCTCACCACCGGCTCGCCTTCGCCTGAAAACCCAGTCTTATCGCACAGTCGAAGACCAACCCGGCGGTCCTGGCCTGTTGAGGCATCGTGAGGAAGCACCTCACAGAGGACTCGGCAGAATTTGCAAGCGCCTCCATTGGCAAAAACTTGCTGAACAGTCGGTCCCAAGTGCCATGCCTTGGAGTACTCGTGGATGAGATGCTCAATGTCTTGCTGGCTCCGACAGACGGACGTATACATTATAGGGGGCCAACGGCTCAGGGCAAAGTTGTTGACGAGGCTGCATTGCTCGCACAAAGCAGACATTGGAGGCTTCAAGGATCCCGCCACCGACTCATAGAGGCTCGATGGTTCTTCTGCCATGCGTAGTTCACCGAACCAGTGGTCAGGCCTGCTTCCGGGCTCTCTGGTGGTCCTATGAGGGTCGCCGGTCGAGGCGTAATGATGGTTACAGGTACGTGGCCGAGACAGTCTTCTTCAGCTTCCTCAGTAGATCGCCGCCATGGCACGTATTGCTGTTGGCCTAGTCCGTACGTCTTGGGCTTGCTCAAACAGTATCTCCCGGACACGAAGATCCAAGGAGTTCGATTGATCGTATCGTGGATCAGGAATGAAGCTTGCATGCCACGTTCAGTGTTGACTGGAGAACGCCAGGCTGAAGAAACGTCAACGCGCACCAAAAAGGGAGCCACATCTCCCCAAAAGAGCTAGCGGCTTGCGAGCTCAAACGCAAGAGTGATCAATTACAATGCAGCTGTTCACCTAGATACCACACCGATCGTGGCACAAAGCTCGTCCAGTGCACGAGACCCGGCGAGAGTTTGACTCTCTGCCAGGATCTTTACACGCAGGCTACCTTCCGCTGGACAGCTCTCCAGCAGCCCATCATAGCATCGCCATGCCATAGCGAGGCTGTCTCGCCCGCAGCATAGCCGTCCAGCGTTAAAAAAACTCACCGGAAGGCGCCACGTCGATGTCTGCAACCCCGCTGTCATCGTTTCTGTTGCCTAGAGTGGCCTTGTCTTCATATTGCGCCTTTGGATGGCCTGCTGTGGTCGACTGCACTGCAGCTTGATTGAACGTCGAGCTGTTCTGGCCCTCCAGGCAGTCACCAGAAAGCGAGCTCGAAGAAATGTCACAGCCTTCCAGTCTGGGGTGCGTCTGTAGTTGAGGTCGTTCACATGGTGACTGTCCTCAGGCGAGCAGCCGAGATTGCAATATGCATGAAAGACCGACCATCAACACCGGCCCTCTGTCTTCTATTTTGGGAAAACATCGCAAGGCCCGCTCCTAGACTCCAGAATCTCGTGTGGCGGACCTTCGAAGCCCTCCGTGTAGCAGAACATCCACAGGCACGGCCAGCACGAATGACATCCAGTTCATGGTGAACGGGTTCTCCTTGCTATCTCAATCTTAAAGTCCACGAAACTCGCTGAACCTTTCCAGGTTTCTTCGGCCGATCGATCCAGGCGGATAATTCTCGACATTGCTCGCACGGGCTTGGGGAAAGAATGCTGTCGAAACATGCGGATCAGGAGACTGGCGGTTCAGTCGTTGAGGAATTCGTCTGTAGTATTGCTATTTCTTTGCCCATGCTCTCCCGTCAAGTCGTAGATGATCATTCAGCCATCTCGGTGCTCAGCGCAGTATCATCCCATCCATGACTGGAAGGTTCAGAGCACGGCGCCCGTCATGGTCTTTCCATGCTCGCTCGATTCGTCTGCTCGACGTCCTTCCGGCCGTATCATATGCAGCAGTCTGCTGCATTCTGCGGACAATTCGTCCACATTCCCCTCAATGGCCAATATCACCATCCATCAACGAACAGTGTGTTTGTGCAACCGGCCAATCCGGAAGGCCCCTGCCCTCTTCAACCCTCAACACTCCTCCTCGCCATCTCCAACGCCCCCTCAAAACTCTTATTCCCCCCAATGAAACCCCCCGCATGCACGAAAACCCCACCCTCGACCCCACTCACTTTACTCAACTCCTCATCCCGCACCCCCCTCCACTGCTCCGGCAACCCCTTCCGATTCTCAAAACTATCGCTCGCCACACTGACCGCGCGAATCCGCCATTTCGAGTCCTTCTCCCCGTTCTCCGCGAAGAGGACGTACAGCACTTGTCCCTCACACCCATTCTCACGCTCAAGAGTGTACAGGTGGTCGGCCCAGGGCGCGCCGCCGTCGGCTTGTTGCGGTATCACTAAAATACGTCCTTGAGCGTCGTAATCCATGCGGTTGGCGAAGGCTTGCGCGATGAGAGCGCGGGCGGGCAGCCAGTTGATCGCTTTGTCGGAGAGCTCGAGGTCGAATTGCTCGCCTATGAAGGCGGAGGCGCGGAGGAAGCGGGCGTCTTCTTCGCCTTGACCCGAAGACTGGTCCACTGCCTTCGTGTCTTTGACGGGGGCGGAGTTGAAGCGGTTCACGACGCTGGCGATGCTGAATCCTCTGTCGGAGAACTTCTTCTCGATGCCGGCGGAGGCGAGGGCTTTGGAGTCGTAGTTGGCGATGCCGTTGTCGTTGGCGTCGAAGGCTTCGATGAAGTCGTCGTAGAGTTTCTGATAGAGCAGGGCGTTGTCCGGTGTACCCTCTTTGATCCCCGCGGCTTCAGCGAGGATGCGGTGGCCCTGGTGCATCCATACCAGACCTGCCGAGCTGAGTTTCGTGTGGCTACCTGGGAAAGTCGTGTTGAACTCGCGCTGGTGATGGTCGTAGCGGAGGATGTCGTGGTCGTGTACGGCGCCTACGTCAACGACGACATCGCAGGTCTTGAGCAGGTCGAGGTCGCGGGTGCGGATGAGGGAGGAGTCGCGGTAGGTGGGGAGGAGGCGGAGGAGGTGGACGGCGAGGGCTTCGTCGGCGTGGAAGTGGCCATTGTGGGTGCCGATGACGGGGGGTTTGGTGCCGTTGGTGGACATTTTGAGACGTTTGGCGGAGGGTTCGATGGTGGTCATTGATTGAGTGAAGTGGGTTGGTGGTGGCCGGTGGCAGAGGGTTTGCGCGGGTTTGAAGCTGATAGCAGTGCTGAATCGACGTTGGATCCCGAATGGTTGCAGAAGTCGCAGCTGTTGTCGTGGTATCAACCTCTTCATTGACTTGCGTCAGTCTCTTCAATGCTGCATCCAAATCTTGAGGTCCCTGCCTTAGGCCAAGATTCGCTTTTGACCAGGGTCAAACCTTAAATGTAGCCAAGAAGCATGTGAAAGTCGAGCACAGCTGGCATTTTCTCGCCTGGCATTGGGTGGGGGGTACCGCTGTGGATGCAGCCATGACATACAGACGGCCGCAGTCATTGCAGTGGGAATGAGCTGACCCAGAGTTCCAATCGACTGGGTATCATCGCGCATATTGCGAGGCCAGTCACGCCCATTTCATTCGTTGGACAGCTGGGAAGCGGGTTGGAAGCTGCAGCACATCTTGGAACTGCACGCGACACCCTTCCTCGGCGGTACATTACCTATTCCCTCCCACGGCCCAGATCCAGATCCAGCATCAACTGCTGTCTGCCCACGCGCGCGAACTCCCGAGCAACAACGTGTTCGACGCCCCATACCAGCACCGTCGAGCGACTACTGCGGCCAAGTGGAACAAATCCGCCGAAAAGAGCAGGAGCGGTAAGGCGCACAAGCCAACACGCATACAACGCGCTGCACTCTCGCTCCTGCCAGACCGCACTTCTCTACCACCGACAAAAGGACGGCGAGGAGACTGGTCCTCCCACGAGTCTCGGCGCCTCTGCGCCTTCTACCACCAACACCACCACCACCACCACCAACCACGAAGTCAACACTCCAAGCATGATCCTCCGCTTCCTCTCCAGCTCCGCCTTCCTCGTCAGCATCATCTTCACCATCCCCCTCGCCTTCGACATCGGCGGCAGAACATGCGGTCTGGCCTTCAGCCTGAGCCTGGCCACCTACTACTTCATCCTCTCCTGCCTGCGAATAGCCACACCCGACAATTCAAGATGGCGAAGAATACTGGCCAACGCCTACGCAGGCCTGCAGGTCCTCATCATCCCCGGCTTCCTCATCTGGTGCCTCAACAAGTTCAGCATCGATGGGGGAGATGACGCCGGCTGGGTCACGAGGGCCTTCTACAACGCTACCAAACCTCTCCACCACAACCCCAGCGTCAAGGAATGGATATTCGGACGAGAAGGACTGCTGGAGCACTTCCTGATCGGCGGCTGGGACAAGCTCCTCCGCTACAGCACGCCCATCTTCCAGCTCACCGAAGGCTTCTGCTCCCTCCTCGTCATCCAAGCCTGCGGCCAGGTCACGAGATATCTGGTGAACAACGGCGACGGCGGCGACCACTGGATGATCGGCCTGCTCATGTTCAGCAGCGGCGTCATCAGCAGCGCCGTCTACTTCCTCTACCGTATCTCCACCTTCCCCGGCATCGACTCCCAGGACGCCATCCTCATCGGCATGGCCATCTGCTGCGCCATCTTCCTCTGCGCCTGGGGCATCGGCTCCGGCCGCGGCAACGTCGTCGAATCAAGTCTTCTCTTCGCCTACATCACCCTCTGCATCTACCAGATCTTCACCGACTACCAGCCCTCCAACCCCAACTCCCCCGCCGCCCAACCGGTAGTGGAAGGCGAGGACTTCCCACCCCTCCCACCGATCTTAATGGCCAGCTACACCACCCTCCTGCAAGCCCTCTCGTCCCTCCCAGCCACTCTGACGTCAGCCTTCGGCTTCATGTACGCCGCCGTCCGCACCATCACCCCCTCGGTCATCATCTCCCTCGTGTACCGCCTCACCGTCCTCTACGCCTCGGCGCGCATCATACCTGCCGTCCGCGAATCCGGCGCCCGCGCCTTATCCTCCGACCCCTCGCTCGACGACAGCGAGGAGGAAGTCGGCACGCTCATGGGTCTACTGTCGTACTTCAGCCCGAGCATCCTCATCGCCGTCTACACGAGTCTACTGATGCAGCATTTCGCCTCCGCGTCGTCGGATCATCCGGGCGAGTGGTGGACGAGCCAGGGCGGGGAGGGGGGAGGGAATATCTCGCGCTGGTTGAACTTGGCCGGGACGATGGGGTTGTATGCCGTGGAGTTGTGGTTGGGGAAGGGGTATGGGGATGATTTGGGGGGGCATTGGAAGATGGATTGACGACGGACTTGGAAACTGGGCACAGATTGTTATTGAAGGAGAAAATGTGATCTGGATGGTCGGCAGCAGCTTCTGGCCAGAGAGGATTGAAGCAGGATGTGAGGCGGGCTGCACGAAGAAGCACGAATGCGGGGATGTACGGATGCACCATGAACTCCTGCCACGACGACTCAACGCCCTGCACCGCGCCGAGCAGTCCGAGAGGCGACCGTACCGCCCCCGCCACTGACCAGAGGGCAGCGGAATAGCCGGAGGTAGGTAAGTGAGCGACGGTGCACAGCGCCCACAACGCCCAAGCAGAAAGGCACGGTCAAGCACACCGATGACAGAGACGGCATCTTGGGAAGACCACATTGGCGAAGGATGATGACCTAGAGAGCCAGGAGAGGAAGTAATCGAGGCCGAGCGAGCTTGCCTGAGCACCGAGACTAGAGACTACAGGGTGTAAATTGTTGTCGCAGCGTCGAAAGCACCGAAAATCAAAACTTCCAAACCTCGACCGCAAGGCCGTTAGCCGGCCACTTCTTTCCCAAAGGTAGGTCATCAAAAGCTATCTTATGGTTTGGGGATTAGATTTGCTTACCCTCTCTCTCCGTTGCCATGTCCGATGGTCATCACAGCGTTCACAGCGTACAAAGGTAAGCCAATGCACTCCCACATCAAAAGCGAAGCTCAGCCCAGCCTCCCACGCTCTCTTCCGTCTCACCTCCACCCACAATCATTATCGTAAAGACCAATGCATCTCCTCCCCTTCCAACCTTCCCCCAAGTGCTGCAGAGGCCCACGACCGCGCCCACCTGTCTCTCACCCTCACCATCCCTCCGCATCCACAGCACCAAGGACACGCAGCAGAAATGTCCGCACTGCTCTCCCCCCTCGCCCGCCTCCTGCTCCTGTGGCCAGGCGCGCTCGTCGCTCGCTTCTGTGGTGGATTCTGGCGCGCTTATTTGCGCGCTTTTGGGCTCGTCGGTGGCGGGGGTGAGGCGTTCGTGGAGCGAGTGAGGGGGGATGATGGCAGGTCTGGCGGCCTCCACGAAGGCACGGACGGAGCTGGCGAGGAGCGCGATGGGCATAAGGGGCGAGCGCCGGTCCCTTCGCTACCTCCGGAGCTTCTCATCCAAGTCGCATCCTACCTCGACACGAGGGACCTCCTCACCCTCTCCACCGTCTCCAGAACCTTCCACGCCTTCACAACCGCTCACGGCGCCCACATCGCCTCCACCATCTCCCGTAACGAAATCGCCCGCCTCCACACCGAATACACCTACCTCTCCTTCCACGCCCTCCCCCTCGACACCGCCCTCCGCCGCTACGAAACCCGTCTCGGGCGGCCGTGGGACGAGCGCCACGGCATCGCGCCTCGGACGCAGGGGTGGCGGGCGTCGCGGTGGTTGGTGCAGGCGTATTTCCGGGCGAATGAGGGGGTGGGGTGGAGTGGGCAGGAGCAGGTGGAGAGGGTGGTGGCGGGGTTGTTTGAGGTTAGTTGGGCGTTGGAGTGGTAAGTATTGTCTCCTTCGAGGAGGGATGGTTTGGGGTGAGGAAGGGGCTGATGATTCTTTGGCGTGCAGGTATAAAGTTCAAGCTGAAAGGAGGCCGAAGAGCCATGGTTCGTACCACCTTCAGGACCCCGAAGTCCATGGGTCCATCACTCGACAGTGGACGCGTGAGCTGAAGGAAATCGTCGCCCACGATATGTATGGATGCAGAGGGGGCGCCGAGTGCAAGAAGTACGACCGCCTAGCCTCCCTGTTCATCCAAGCCATCCCATTCCCAGCGAGCCACGCCGAAGTTGTCGCAATGCTAGCCCGGATCTACGCCGAACCGCTCGTCGATGCGCCGGTCACGACTGCAGAGGACGAGCGGTGGCTGGAGAGATGGCACGGGTCGGTGGTGAAGTTGGATTCGAGGTTGGTGGACAAGACGGGGTTGCCGGTGTGGAGGCCGGCGAGCGGGGAGTTCGATGCGTGGATTGGGTTTTCGAATGAGGGGACGAGGGGGTTGCGGAGGGTTTGGACGTATGAAGGGGAGTTGAGTGGGTCGCAGTGGGCGAGGCTGTTGGAGGAGTGTAGTGTTTTTTGGTATTGAGTGTGTCTGTCGCGGGAGGAAGGGGCTTGTCTGAGGGGCAAGTATATGTGTATTGCGAGATAGTGTGGAAGAACTCTACTTACCACGTCTTTCGCAGACACCCGATGTTGAAATTTCGAGGTGTTGAAGAACATCAATCTTCAGAGCGAGCGTGCGACTAGAGCGCCGCCCAAGCCAACTGCAATAGCACACAGAGCACCCTCGGTCATCTTGGTAGCTGGGCTCCTCCCTGTTGATGTCGGCTCAGAGCCAGTTGTTGCTGCTGTGCCGCTGGGTGAGGCGCCACTCAGTGTTGCTTGAGGGAGCCCAGATCTTCCAAACCCGACGCTGTTACAGACGCTGTTGAATGCATCCATAGCAGCTGCAGTGTTGTCGTTGCAATATGAGTATATGTAGTTTGTCACTTCGCTGGCGTTGCCGCCGCTGCACATGGCTTGCAGGTTGGATGGGTCCGGCTGGGTGCTGCGACTATATTAGGTTTGTGAACGACATGAGGCTTCGGGAGGTCTTGCATACTTGACGGCGGCTATCAAGCAGGCTGGCGGCGCTGCGTTTGCCATTTGTATCAAGATAAAGCATGCAATTGCAATGACGAGAAGCTGTCTGAGCATCACGGACTTGGTGGGCTTCCACGTGCTTTGACTGTAGCGGGAGTTCGTCGGCGCCTACATGCGCGAGGTCCCAGACTCACGAAGGGGCAGGAAGTCGCCGCGAAAGGTACGTCACGCAAAGTAGATGTTTGATGTCTGCGAGCTGGGAGGGCTGAAGTCCAAAAGCTCAGACACATCTTTCGCTTCCTTGGCGCCTTCTGCGTCTCGACTTTGCCTTCGTCCTCCAATCTCACCTCGTCTCATCCCTTTGCATCTCCAACACCCTCAGCAGACGCCGCTCGTGCATAGGACACATACAAAGAACGCGACATGACAGCGCCGATCTCAACGCTCCCTTCCAGAACATCGGCATCGGCGTCAGGATGTTGGTCGAGGATCACGTTGCGACATCAGCGCTTGGAAGTGCAGCTAAAGCGTACAGGGTGATGCTGGTCGACATCGCAACTCGAGCCCGGCCACTGGCGCCAGCGTTATCCTCTACATGACTCTTGCGACAAGTGCCATCCTCTGCGCACCGTTGGAAGGGTGTAAAACCTGTGTAGCTGCCCTGCGCTTGGGTTTTGTACAAGGACATCCGTTGCTATTGTATGCACTGTTGACCGGCCTCCAATTTTGTCTGTCGGCGTGCTCGTATCGCGAGGTCTTTGCGCCGACGGCGATGCTCGCCACTCGTTTCATGGATGTGTTGCAAAAGGTTGGTATAAGGCTTTCGTTGCTTCTGCTATTTCTCATGCGTTTCCTCTTGAACACCCTCTTGCATCTACCAACAGCGCCAGTATCATGCAAATTTTCTTCTATTAGACTAATCTGCTGTGCTCATGCTCAAAACTAACTCGAGCTTCTATCTCCACAATAATAATCCCCTCGAGATGTCTCAAGAGGCACCAGCAATGGAGCCCTCCACTCCAGCAGTGCCAGAGAGGGCTATCCGTCGAAGTGAAGATATCGGTGCACCTTCAGTAAGCAACGAAACGAGACGATACTGGCGTGCCTCCGAAGCACCAGCACCACTGCGTCCAGCAGCATCTGGCGGGGTACCTGGGCGGCCCTCAGAGGACGGCCAACACTACATTCCACCAAATCAGCAGATGATGCATTGGCAGCCACCGCACGACGAATACGCAGCATACGATGACCAAAACCCGTCACCCCCAAGAGACTACTATCTCGTCCCTCGCGGCGTCAACAGCGCCGCTCCATCCCCATCCCCGTATCCATCAAGCGAGACGTATGCACGAAGACCTTATCACAATCCCCGCGAGAGCACCGAGACACACCGACCGCTTGTCAGCAGCCAGCAGACACCACGAAGACGTCCGTCCGCGTCCGTTCGACCTCGCTGGGCCGACGGCTACGAGGACGAAACACCGTCGCCTCGATCAAAGCGCACGCCGCAGAAGTCGAGGACGGGCATTTACGTGGTCAGAGAAGGCGGCGGCGGTGGCGGAGATGGTACAGAGCCTGATGAGATCATGCGATTGCCATTTAGCTCTTGGATGCACGGCACCGTGAAGAACCGTAGGTCCTCCGAACACCAAGCCCCACTCACAACCACGAACTGACACCTGATTGCAGATTTCATCGCCGTCCTCGGCGAGTTCGTTGGCACAACCATGTTCCTCTTCTTTGCCTTCGCCGGCACATTGGTCGCCAACATCGGCGCCACCGAAAGCGCCAGCCAAACCACCACCAACGCCGCGGTCGGCTTCAGCCCGATTGTGAACCTATACGTGGCGGTAGCATTTGGTTTCAGCCTCATGGTCAACGTCTGGATCTTCTTCCGCGTGAGCGGTGGTTTGTTCAGTAAGCCTCCGCCTCCCTATCCCCATCCACCCTTGCCAGAGACTGACTCGACATTTGACGACAGACCCAGCAGTAACCCTCGGCATGGTAATGACGCGCTCCATAAACTACACCCGCGGCTTCCTCCTCGTCTCCGCCCAACTCGTCGGCGCCATCGTCGCCTCCTTCATCGTACAAGCCCTCTTCCCCTCCGACTTCAACGTCCGCACCACCCTGGCCCCGCAAACCTCCATCGCGCGCGGCGTCATCATCGAAGCCATCTTGACAGCAGAACTGGTGTTTACCGTCTTCATGCTGGCCAAAGAGAAACATCGCGCGACGTACATGGCTCCGGTGGGCATTGGACTGTCGTTGTTCGTGGCGGAGCTGGTGGGGGTGTTTTTTACGGGCGGGAGTTTGAATCCGGCGAGGAGTTTTGGGCCGTGTGTTGCGACGGGGACTTTTGATCCGGAGCATTGGGTTTATTGTGAGTCTTCCCAAACCTATGACATTTTGGTGGCAGCGTGCTGACGAAGTATGCCAGGGGTTGGGCCGGCGATCGGCGCCATTGCGGCGTTTGCGTTCTATCGGTTCATCAAGATCCTGGAATATGAAATGGCCAACCCGGGCCAGGATGCTGAGGACGCCGAGACGGCGCATATGGAAGCGAAGGAGGCTCGGGGAGAAGTCTGATGTTGACGTGCTTGGACGGTTATTCGCGAACGAGGAACGTTGGGAATGTTCATCTCACTGCTATCATGTCTTCTTCATTGGTTCTATCTAGCGAGGCGTTGTGGCAGCAATTCATGAGCTATAAAGCGAACAGTATCATCAATGAGGTACCATACCATGCCCATTAGCAACCCCCGTACATAGTAACGCCTTCAAAATGACAATTCGGCGTCAGCAACGCCCACCGCCTTCCCCTCGCGCCAGCGCTGTACCTCACGCTGACGACCAAGACCCAGACAGCTCAGCACACGCCACCACTAACTCGTCTGCAACGTCGCCTGCCTCACTCCCTCCGTAACTTCCTCTACCGCCTCACCGGCCTTAGGATTACTCTGCGCTCCATCCTTCTCCACCGCCTCGACGCTCTCTTTGCCCTTCTCAGCAGCCTTCTTGGCTTTCTTCGCGTCCTTCTCCGCCTTCCGTGCAGCCTTCTTCGCCGCCTCTGCTTCCTTCTGCTTCTTCAACTCGTCGCCGCCGAAGAGCTCGCGCCATTCTTGCTCCTTTTCGGGCTTGATGTTCTTGAAGAGATGTTGCGCTTTACCGATCGTGTGTCCGGGCTGGATGGAGGAGGCCTGCCAGTCGTCCGGGATGGTGAGGAGGTCTGCGTTGAGCTGGGTGAGGATGGAGCGGGAAGTGGCGGGAATGTAGGGTTCGATGACCGAAGCGAGGAGGTGTACGTGGTTCGCCGCGAGGTTGACGACGGTGTCGCAGAGCGCGCGGTCGTTGTTGAAGAGAGTGTTGTCGAGGCGGTTGTCTTGCAGGAGCTTGTTGCCAAGACTGGAGAGCTCGCGTGCAGAGATGAGACCGGCCTTTAGGCGAACGGCGTCCATCTGGTCACGGTAGGTCTGGAGGATGGTGTTTGCTTCTTCCATATGCTGTTTCCGTCGGTTCGAGATGGTCTGGTAGTCGTCTCGAGATTCGAGGTTGGGTAGTTCAGGGATGACGGAGTTGTATGTCTTTTCTGAGTTGACGAACTTGAGGATGCGGTTGACGAAGTTGCCGAAGTTGTTCACGAGCTCGTTGTTGTTGGCGGCGATGAAGCCGTCCCACTCGAACTCAGTATCGCTGGTCTCCGGTCTTCGAAGAAGCAGGAAGTACCGCCACACGTCAGGCGCGATGCCAGTCTCCTTTGCGCTGGTCCCGAACACGCCAATCCCTCTGCTCTTTGAGAACTTGCCGTGCTCGTAGTTGAGGTACTCTGTAGTAGAGATGGTGTCGACCATGGTCCACTTGTCACCGGTTCCGAGCTGAGAGCAAGGGAAGACTACTGAATGGAAAGGCACGTTGTCCTTGCCCATGAACTGGTAGAGCTTCACATTCTCAGGGTCCCGCCACCACTTCTCCCAGTGCTTTGTGTATGTCGCAGTGATCGAGACATAGCCAATGCATGCATCGAACCACACATACATGACCTTGTTCTCGTAGCCAGGCAGAGGCACGGCGGTACCCCACTTGAGATCTCTGGTGATGCCTCTTGGTTTCAGCCCTTCGCTCAGCCATGCATTTGTGATGCTCACACCATTCTCGCTCCATCCGCCCTTTGCGAAGCTCTCCTGCGACCAGTTCGTGACCTTCTCTTGCAGCTTGTCCAGTAATATGAAAGCATGCTTGGTCTCCCTCTTCACTGGGGACCTGCCATCCAGCTTGCACCGCGGGTTGATGAGGTCGAGAGGATCTAGCAGATGCCCGCACTTGTCGCATTGATCTCCTCTCGCATCTCCATAGCCGCACAGCGGACACTCGCCCTCCACGAACCGGTCTGCGAGGAACGCTTGATGGTTCTCGGCTTCGCAGTAGGGTTGTGTTGTTGTTCGCTCCTCGAGGTAGCCGTTCTTGTGAAGCTTTGTGAAGATGTCCTGCGCAATGTCGGTCTGTTCCTGTGTAGGTGTTCGGCCAAACTTGTCGAATCCGATCTCAAACCAGTCATAGACCTCTTTGTGGATTTTGTTGTACTTTGAGCAGAGCTCCTGAGGTGTGAGACCCTCTTCTATCGCCTTAGTCTCGGTGGCGGTGCCATACTCGTCTGTGCCGCATACGAATAGCGTTGGATGCCCGCGTGCCTTGCAATACCGACTGAACACATCTGCGCTCAGCACTGACCCGATCACGTTTCCCAAGTGGGGGACGTTGTTCACATAGGGGAGCGCGGAGGTGATTAAGACATTCTTCTTGCCTGGTACTGGCAGGATCTCGTCGGTGGCGCCGTTCATGTCGAGTCGCGTGTCGCAGGTTGTTGTCTTGTCTTGATTCTGCGTTGCTTCCAGGTCTGGACTTTTTGATGGAGGGGCAGGCGCAGCATGAGTCAGCCGTCGAGTCATGCTCGAGTTTTCGAGTCGACAGAGACGGGACGATGGGAACAATACGTTGCGTGAAGGGGGGGATTGTGAAAGACATTCGCGCTCAGGACCTATTGACATGCCTACTTCTGATATGTCTAGCGTTCGTTACCGCAGTAGCCAAGTAGAGGTTGCAACAACCGCCTTCGAAGCCTTCACCTTTCCTCGAAGCGACTAGCGAGGAACTTCACGATCTGGAATAGTCTCTGGCTCATCATCCACCTCAGCATCTCAGCTAGTCACGCATGTGACAACTGTGACCCTCTCACTGTTCACGCAGAGTCCATTCACACGTTCCAGGCGCCTCTGTGCGGCAACTGCGAGGTGGAGAACGCAGTCCCAGGTGACTACATCGTCCATCTCACGAAGGACTATCTTCTAGAGCAGCACAGAGAGCATACCGGTTCGGCGCTCGAAGACTCCGAGATGAGAACCGTCCTCAGCTTTAGCAGTGACTACATGTACTCTGCGGGCCTTGATGCTCAGCCGCTTGCAGTCATCCATGGGGATGGAGGAACAGAGTTGGTGGAGTGCAATATACGGAGAGGCATCGATGATTGAGTGAAGCTGTTGCAGGAGACTGTATTGAGTTAGAGCTGGGAATGGCTTCGGGATGTGTGGTGAAGGACTCACCCTCAATCGTTCGCTCTTGCGGCCTCGAGGTCTGAAGGATCCTGGTGTGCTATCGTGAAAGTCTTCTGAGACATTGGAAAGCATGTCTCAGACAGTTTCTGCGTCCCGTAAAAGTCTGAGGACGTCGCCGACGAGGTACAGACTTCCTGCAATGACCATCGGTCCTCCGTTCGCCATCTGGCTCGCAGTTCGCAATGCAGCCAGCACATCTTTACCAGCCGTGTGTACGTTCAAGGACTCAAGATCCGAGACGACAGATCTAGCAGCTTCCAGCAGTCGCTCGTTGTTGAGTGGCTTGACCCACGGCATGCCGTCCACAGGTCCGAACTCGACGGCAACCACCGTGTCTCCGTCTTTGAGGAGAGGAGTGAGAATATCTTTAGGGTCTTTGGTGTCAGAAGCGGCGAGAACCCAGGTAACTCTCTGAGACACATGCGGTCTGTCCGGATGAGTTCGAGAACGGAGGACGACTCTCCCCAGCGACTCAGCAGATTCTGCATTGTGTGCGCCATCGAGAAGAACCGCTTGCTTCCGGCCGGTCAGATCTTGAAGGTCAATAAGCTGTTGACGTCCTGGAAAGGTGGTCTCCGGTATGACGTCGAGCATAGAGTCAATGAACGCATTCGCGGTCGTCCACTCCTTCCCTAAAAGGACATCGTCTTCCGTTGTTGTCGAACATGGCGGCCGCTCGAGTCGCTGGAGTGCTGTCCAGGTGGCCAATAATGCGACCGCGGCATTTCGTTTGGCATGGGGCGGTAGTGGATAGAGCTGCAACATCTCCTCTAAGTGCTCGTAGGCGTATAAATGATCCTTTGACCCTTCAGGATGTCCTAATGATCGTATCGGAATACAAATCCTCCGAGCAACGTCTTCAAGAATCCCTTTAACCTCTTTCGGATTCTCGTGATCATATACAGCCGGAACGCCATCTTTGAAGATGCCCGCTTTTGCTCGCGTGATCTCTGCCAAAGTACCACCCAGGAAAGCTTGATGATCAAGCCCGATACTCGAGATGGCAGTAACAAGAGGCAGAGGTCTGAACTCCTCCCACGAAAGCGATGCAGGCTTTTCAGTGCCTTCTTGCAGCCCGACGATGTTCGTAGCATCTAGCTTCCCGCCCATTCCAGTTTCAACAACAGCAACATCCACCCTGTGCTCAGTGAAGATCTCGAACGCAGTGGCAGTCAGCAACTCAAATTCGCTGGCACCGACTTCCTCTTCGTCGTTCCTCCGCAGCACGCGCTGCTCCACATCATGGAAAGCTTTGGAAGGTACCGTTTGCCCGTCGATCGTGATACAATCCCAGCGATCCACCAAGTGCGGGCTGGTGAATCGAGCGTGTCTCAACCGCTCGTATATTAGCATTCGACCAGAAGCACGCTGATGCTTCCGCAGGGCGGGCCTTTCATCAGCGTTGCGGTGCCTCTGAAGAGAGTTGTTATAAACGTCCAGCATGCGAGATATGTAGGCGCATATGGAGCCTTTTCCGTTTGTGCCTGCTACGTGTATGGCTCGCCAGGGCAGAGGCGTGCGGGCCAGGAGGCGAGTAATACGTTCTAGGCCGGGAGTAATCATCTTCGTGCACAAGGTCTTTCTTGAACGGTTGACGAAGGCCTAGAGCAGTTTTACAGTCGAGTACGGATAGTCGATTCGACGAGCGTTCCTCATCGCGGCCAGACTATTACTTTGCCATTGAACGAAGGGTGATCGGGCCTTTCTCCAATTGTGTTTATTATTCCGCGTACGACAAGATCTTGACTACATTTTGAGAAACAGTTCGTCGTCTGCAATGCTTGTCGTCCGTATACCATGCTAGGCCCGATTGGGAGCCGGATATCGCACCGAGCCCTTAGCGCGCAGGAGGGCCAGCCTCGCAGACCTGCTGGCCGGGTTGCCGCCTCCGCAGAAATCCAAATCCTCTCCAGGTCGATCAACGAGCGCAACACGCATCGGAAACACCCACTCTCCACTCCCCTCCATCCCCATCTCCACTCAAGACTCGGTCGCGGACCTCTACCGACCTTCGCGACCGCATCCTCACCTCCCCCATCGCCATGGGCCTTCCGTAAGTGACACCTCCAAAGCAGCCGCGACTGCGGCGCGTCCAGACGCGAGAAGCAAGCGTGACCCTCAGGCTAACTTGCGTCCGTGACCCAGTATCTGGCGCAACCCGGAGGAGGCCAAGGTGAAGAAGGAACACACGAAAGTAGACCCCACAGCAGGAGCGCGCTCGCCTATACGCCGCGAACGACCACCCTATGCCCGCCGCCGAACGCCGCCTCGCCATGAGTCCTCCAGCAACTTCCCGCCCCGCTTCCAGCGCTCACCCCCTCCATCCATGGGCTTCAACGGCATGCGCGAGGGTCGCCGCGCCGAGAACAGAAGCGTGCCTCCCATCTCGAGTTTGCTGGAGTCAGCGAACGCTCGCGGAGAGCCTAGAAGCTACGAACCTGCAGGTGTGGATGAACTCGCTACAAGAGAGCGCCACTTAGAGGCCAGCATTGACCGCCTGAACAACGAAGCAGATCGCCTGGAGGGCGAGACGACTGCTCGTCAGGATGAGCTAGACTTGCCTACTGGCTGGGAGAGCTGGACCCAGAGTCGAAGATCGGCATGGCTGGCTGATCGTCGGAGGCCGTCTCCAAGATATCGCATGAGTGCACGAGACTATGAGCAAATGAGGCGCGACAGCCCAAGAGAGTACAGGCCAAACGCACGTAGCGCTCGACGAAGCGCTTTACCCACACCTCCCGAAGACGAGTCAGCGGACCCAGACAGCCTATTTCTGCCCGATAATTCTGCCTCAAGACGCACCAACGGGGACGCGCACCCGCTGAGACAGCATTGGGCGCCTCAGCCTCTTGTGGATGGCCTCGGTGATCGCATTCGCAGCCCAACCCCTGGGGATGGCTGGGAAATCATGCGCGCTACAATCACGCCAGATGCCACGCTTCCGAGTGCCGACAGTAGCTTCACCAGCGCAGCCGCAGCAAATTCTTTCTCCAGCAACAGCACGAGCGCTACGGAAGCCAACTCCAGCTTTTCATCAGTCAACAGCCGTCAAACATCTCGCGCAGGAGGCCAAGCAGAGTCTATCTCATCCGTAGATCCGGACGATCTTCGCAACGATGATGACCGAGAAGTCGAGGCTGAGTTTGCTGCAGCAATGTACGCTCAGGAGCTGACCTACCCAGAAGGATGCTACCGCGTAAGGGAGCACCGCACAAGGTACCGTCAGGAGGGCAGACAGTACGCCTACTCAGACGAGCCAGAGCCTGTAGAAGTAGGTTTCCGCATCATCAACGAAGCTCTAAGCACGTCCGAAGGTCGCGAACGCGTCGACCAGCTTGCGCGCACCATGAACGAAGCTACCGACGACATGGCGCAGCGCATCCGCACACGCCGGCCCGAAAACACTCGAAGCGATAGCCCAAGACGCCCTTCAGCTCTCCACCACGAAGACGACAGTCCACCAAGCCCTCACCCCGAACGCTACAGCGAGGAGACCCGCGCCGCAGCCCGCGAAATGTCCGACGACATCTACGAGATCTTCGAACGAATTGGACCCGTCATCCGTCGTCCAGAACCCGACTTCACGTTCCCAGAGGGTTTCCGTGTCCGCGGTATGCTAGCCGATTCTCGCTCGCGCTCTCGCTCGCCACCACCACGCTATTCACCGCCTCACACCGCCGCCACATCTCACGCAGCGCCTGAGGCTCACCCCGTCGGTCCTCCGAGCATGCGCAGCCAGCGTGAAGTCGGCGAGATGTTAGGGGAGGGGAGTGAGAGCGAGCTGGAGGGGTTACAGAGGATTGCAGAGAGGATGGCGCAGAGGGGAAATGTGCCTGATGAGTGGTGGATGAGTATGGGGATGAGTGGGCTCTCGAGGTCAAGGGCGAGAAGTCCTGGGAGGAGACGCGGGGGTTCTGGTGAGGGTCACGAGGCGGCTGGGACGAGGGTGAGGGAGGGGAGGGTGGGGAGGGGGAACTCAAGGCTATGAGAGGAAAAGGTTGTTCGGGATGCCCTTTTGGTGCGGTAGGCTTCGCATTATGGGTCGGGAGTGGTGACGGTGATGATGACGAGTCTTGAGCCTTCCGGCTAGGCAATTACACGCGGTCGGTGGTCTTTGTTGCTCGAGAACGGCGACCGAGAGTAATGCTGGTCTATGAGCGACGTATCGTGTCTGATTAGAAAAGTACTTCATTACAGCACTTATCACTGCAGGCAGTGGTGGCTTATGTGTATGTATCATACTTGTCGAACAGTACACCGCCTTCCACGTTCACTTGCCACTTCGAGGAATACTGGGCAGCATCTTGCTCAGCCAGTCCACGACGAAACGCCTGCCCTCCTCAGAAGGTAGGGCTTTCAGTGAGTCGGAGAGCTCGTCCTGCCAATTCGTAACTTTGTGCAGCGTGAGGCCGACAAGGTTCTCATTGAGCGACGTCCTCTCCTGAAGCGACGGGTCGCTAGCAGTTGGAGCGATGGAAGCGTCGGTGACAACACCATGCCGAACGGTCAAATCGATGTTGACAGGTCGTGAGACCTCATTCGAGTTCGCGAGAGTAAACTGTGGCGTTTGGAGGTACGTCCATTCGAGTGACTGAAGCTCTTCGTAGCCTCTCTTGATCTCTGTGACCTCCAGCAGTTCATCATTGAATGGCATTGCTTCAACACCACGGTCATGGTCATACATCTTGCTGAACTGGTCCTGCACTGCTGAGATGAAGTGCTCGTTGCTCAGAGCGATGTTCGTAACAGGCGAGGACACGCTTTCGACACCGCGAGCTTTGATGTAAGGTCTGGCGGGCGAGTGTAGACACTGCGAGATGAACTTCAGGTTCGGGCTCGAGAGTAAGCAGGTCCCGTGATGCAGCGCTCGTCCTCTCGTCAGCTTGTACGCTGAGCCAGAGACCTTCAACGGCCGTGCTGCAGAGTCACTGGATGCCGTGTATGGACTCGTATGCGTGTCCTTTGGATCTGAGTCGGCCTTACGGTCGCCTTGATCCAGCACAATATCGTGGCGTTCATTGACTCTCGCCCGCTCAACGCCGCATCCTCGCAAAGCACGCACGATCATCTCGGCATGCTTGTCCCGAGTGAAGTCCGCAGAAGGGTAGATTACAGTCCAGTTGACGTTGCCTTCATCGTGGAAGACTGTTCCGCCTCCGCTTCGGCGGCGGACGAGATCGATTTGCTGGAGTACGCCGGGTTTTGATGCTTGGGAAATCAAGTTGAGATCAACTTCTAGCCACGGATTCTGATTCCTACCGATGATGATGCTTGGCCTGTTGACGTATAGGAACAGTATGGTTGATTCCGACGGCGATTTCTGAAGGAGGTGGTGTTCGATTGATAGGTTAAGGTATGGGTCTCGGGACGAGGAGATGTATGACTGGACCGGATCTGAGAGGTTGCGCTCCAGTGAAGTGCTTGATGCCCATCTTCTCGCTACCAGTGGGAGATGTGGTGCTGGTCGCGCTGCTCTGCACAGCTGATGGCTGAAGATCATGTATGAACTGTGCGATGCATGCGCTGGTCGTTGGTGGAAGAGCGATACGAATGGCGCCTGTGTTCTTCTCCCAGATGCAAAGCTAATAATCGAGCCACTGTCGTGCTCTATCGGCCTTTGCAACTAGGCGATCTGGATGAGACACGGTATGACCCGGGTGATTGGAGTGAGATGGAAGGCTCAGGGATGATCTTGGTCGCTTGGCGATGACCTTTTAAGCGCTGTTCGTCCGTTCACACAGCTGGAAGGTCCAGTGACTTCCAATCAATCGTGTTCGAGGTGATGGCGTTACACTTGATGCGGAATAGGAGTGAGCTGGTGCATGATGTGAGGTGACTCGGTGATGTCTCGCGCACGTGATAATCTGTCGTTCAAAAGCTTAAGTGGATTTAGAAGTAACGGTCCAGCGCTCCTTCCTCTCGTTGTGCCTGAACTATTCTCAATGCGGCAAGTGCGACTATCGATTAGCCGACTTCCAAAAGTCGGGAACGTCGTGTTTCACTCGCATCCTTCACTCCTTTCGAACTCCCCACTTCACTCACCACCGACGATCATGTGCCAATGGCAACAGACAACATGTCGTGGGCCAACAAGACGCCGATGACGGTAGCAGGATTGGTGGCACACACGAAGAAAGAGCTGGACGCCGACAGTACAGACAAGCAGGCCAAGTTGCTCGCGGCCAGCGTGGGCGAGCTGCCGAAAGAGTCACAGAATGGGGCGACGCTGGACTTGAGCAGGCAGAACATTTCTGCTCTGCCGGTCGAGGTCATCGAGTTGATCAAGGATCGAGTCGAAAGGTGAGAACGAGCGAGCACGAGGGGAGGAGATTGAGGCTGACCTTACCCAGGCTCGCACTCTCGCACAACCCCTCGGTTGCCCTCCCAAGTCAGATCGTCGAATGCGAGCGTATAAGGTACCTCAACATACGATGGAACGACCTGGAGCGTTTCCCGGACGTGGTATGTCGAGCACCCACCGTCACCTTCTTCTCCGCCAGATGCTAACAGGACCAGGTCCTCCGCATGACAAAGCTTGAAATCCTCGACATTAGCAAGAACAGGATCGAAGCTATCCCGGACGGCATCAAGTCCATGACCTCTCTCAAGTTCCTTGCTGTGGCGCGCAACAACATTCGAAGACTGCCACTGGCTCTCGGCGAGATGCCAAGCCTGCAGAAGCTCAAATTCGACGAGAACCCGATCGAGTTCCCACCACCGGACGCCATCAAGCTGCCAAAGAAGTCTGGGGCGTCTTCGCTAGAGGCTGAGCGTGAGAAGGAGACTTGCAAGGCGGTCAAGGCATACCTGAAGGACGTCGCGATGAAGCAGCGGGTTCGCACAACGGAGGAAGAAACGAGGTAGGACTCACGTCCTGGGCACACAAGTCCCACTGAGCTAGTACTGATGCGGTAGTCCAGCGAGAGCAATGTTGAGACTCCACGTCCACCAAAGCGCACTGCCACTATCGGTCGCTTCCCAATTAGGCCCAGTATCAGTGGTATTGCTAATGGCGCCGACCTGAAATCTAGCTCGCCGTCAGATCACCCACCGCCGATCCCACAGCGCTCACATGCTCGGGTAGCTTCTACAGCCTCCTCAACCTCCATGACCCCGCCAACTCCCAAGCGGCCCGGTGTCGCTCCCCTTCGCGCCAATGGCAACGACATGATGCGAAGCCGTAGCGAGACTGCAGCCTCTGCAAGTTTGCGGTCAAGACGCCAGGGCTACGTGCCGAAGCGAGACCGCAAAGTCACCGGCGAACTCAACCCGCTCGCTGAAGCGCCTTCGGAGACTCCTGACCGATCCAGCCAAGCTTCCACCATCAAGCCCACGCATAGTCGTGCAACTAGCACGTTGTCGACTACAAGCAGCGTCTTGCATATGAGTGGCGGCGAGACCTCTTCGGGACCCGGCAGTCCTACGGATATGATGGCATCTCAGTCAGGCTTGACAGTTCGTCCGCGCCGTACAAAGACTAGCACCATCAAAGACGACGGCTCTGGCTACTTCGCCAGAAGTGTCCAGCGACTAGCAATTACGTTCCATCAGCTGCAGCGACCGATAGATGACGTCCTCGCGACGCTGGAAAGCTCAACGTCTCCAGACCCAGCTCTCCGTCGCTGTGTTGCCGAAGCCAACGCTACCGCCTTCCGCGTTGACGATACCATTCGCTCCGCCAGTTCAAACCTGACACGCATGACGAAGGGGAATCTGCTTCGCATGTCGCATCAAGCCATCAAAGCATACGCGGCGGTTGCAGCCACAATGAAACGGAACGTCAGGAACACCGTTCGCCAGGCAGAAGCGATATACCTTCGCTTTTTGATGCTGCAGATCTACTCGACCATCCTCGAGCTACGGAACATCTGCACCGTACTTGGTTTCACGATCAGAGACCGGCCAAATCCAAGAGATCCACGTACTTCGCGGGCATGGAGCAGTCGGACTGTGACGCCAACGCAACCGAAAGGCCCAAGTGAGCGTCGCTCAAGACGTCCTACAGTGTTGCAGACATCGAGCAGCGCAACCATCCGGCCCATGGCACCGCCGCCGATGCCTGTACATTCAAACGGAAGCAGTCGCACCAACACCATGTCATCGATGAGCGCCGCCACTCCCCGCTCTGGTGAATCTTTCTCGGCGCTACATTCATCGAGGCCCAACGTCTCCCGCGCGAATACCATGCGCAGCATGATGGATGTCTCTGAGCCGGATGACCAGTTCGAGCAGATCTTCCTCAAACTTCGCATGGCGTGTGAACAAGCCGGACAGGCACTCCAATCATGTCGCATTGAGTTCCACAACCGCAGAAACGAAGCGCTCTCCGTCAGCCAGCCTCGACCAGCTTCGCAGTGGAAAGCTGCATTGGAGAAATGCGACATCGTGAGCAATAACACAAAGTATCTCAAGAACCGCTTGGAGATGGTGAAGGTCAATGACCCGACCATACGTTTCCAGCGTGATTTCTGGCAGCTGTGCGATGCCTTCGTCCACGTGAGTACTGACACTAATGTCAAAAGACTAGCTTCGCTAACACAGTAGGGTGTCCTCAGTCCTGGATCGACCTCGCAACCGAAATCAAAGACCTCGGCAGCCAACGCGGCGTCGACGTTACGAGCGTAAAGCTAATCATGCGCCATGTGCAGAAACTCGTCAAGGACGTCAGCAAGACCATCTCGCACTCCCCGCTCTACCACCACGCGCTCGGCACCAAGATGCCCGAATCCGCGCACTCGAGCCTTGCGCCTCCTTTCCCTGCTGGGCTGCAGCGCTCGTTCTCCGAGCATCCTTCGTCGAGCGGCGCTATGGGAGCTCAGAACCCGTACATCACGTCCGGACCTGCGACACCGCTTTCGGCTGCACTCGGACCTGCGGCGCATACGGTTGCGAGCACGCCTAGTGCTACGAGCGGGAACCATCGGGACTACTTTCAGGATCCAACGATGCAGCAGAGTTGGAGGAGCTCCTCACATGGACGGACTGATACGGTGATGCAGGCGCCGCCGAGACAAGGGAGGCGGCAGATGGGGACTTAAGGTATGCTATGGTTGTTCTTCTCGTTCGTGACTCTTTCGTGTGTGGAGGGCATGGCAGGCGGCAGCAGCAGCGGTTGGGAAGCGGGTGTTGTGTTGGGGGCTTGTTCAGTTGGTGTGCATTGGTGGATTGGTGGAGGGGGAGACGTGCTGTGGCAGCTCACGCTGTTATTGCATGTTGTTGTACTACTATATGTGACACTAGCGCTTGGGATGAGACACGGCCGGCATTCGCAGCTTGAGCTGCAACGGAAGGATGGGAATCATGAGCGCATCATGGCAAGGAAGAACGGTAGCGCTGGATCATGGACGGAGGAAGTGTCACAATAGCAACTCGCACTCATTGCCAGTGCACCACAAGGGAAAAAGAACAGCCCAGCGATTCGGCGAGGTTCTGGGGTGAGGATTAGAGGTGGACTGGGACACAGCCGCCGCAGCAGGCTCATGCATTTGACGGCTAGATAGTCGTGAAGCTCGCGAGAGCAATTCACAGCAATGCAACCATTCTCAAAGCCATCAACCTTCCACCGCACCTGTCTTTCACTCCCAGCAATTTCTGCATCGTCGAGAGCTTCACGAGGTCGAAGTTTAGGTCGAAGCCGCTTAGTCGAAGAGACCGAAGCCCATGTCCTCGTCCGACTCCTCCTTCTCTGTTCATCGCACACGAACATCAGCACACCGCCCCTTCCCACAATATGAAGATAATTCTCTGACTCACCTTCCTCCTTCTCCTCCGCCTTGGGCGCCTCCTCCGCCGCCGCACCACCAGCAGCCGCAGCACCGCCCGCAGCTGGCGCAGCAGCGGCACCGCCTCCGGAGCCGACGTTCAAGAGCAGGTCCTTGACGTCCTTGCCCTCGAGGGCTTTGGCGAAGAGGGAGCACCAGATTGGCTCGACGTCGGGGACTTTGGCGGCCGTGATGAGGGAGGTGAGTTTGTCGGCCTGCTTAATATTAGTACGCAAAGGACGGGGGTTGGGGTCATGCTGTAAGGGTGCGCATACAGTGATCTCGACGCCATCATCGGCCAGGATGAGCGCGGCGTAGGAGGTTGCTAGCTCGGCGGTCGACATTGTGGTTGCTGTTTTGGGGTTTGTGATGGGTTGTAGAATTGGTGATTGAGGTTTAGGATGCCTAGCAGGTTTCTTGAGCGGTACCTGAGGGTCTTCTTCCTTCGTTGCGTGAGTCAAGAGGTGTCGTCGGTGATCCGAATTGAGCAGTGTGGTATCTGAACTCTTGGCGAAAGAAAGAGCTAGAGCGGCGAAGCTCGTGTCAGGTAGGCCTAAAGTCGTGACAGTAAGCGATGAGCATGTGCGACATCCGAGGATGATCGATCAAAAATTGGTTCACAGATTGACCAGATTGATTCTTGTCGAGCTTCACAACTGACTTCAAAGGTATGACTTATGTGTTAGCACTGCCTATGACTCTATCGACCGTCGAGAAGAACGTTGGGCTCGTATGAACAAGGCTGACCGCGTGGCCTGTCTTGCCGGGAATGACAACATAGCGAGGGGACTGGAGAGCCCTGCTTCACGAGCCTCTGGGGAAGGTGGGGCTTCGAGTCGATCCTTCAACCGTCCTCCAACGTTCTTCTTCCTGACACCACGACTACCACAACAACAGCGACACCACCACTACCACCGCCATGACCGACTCACCCGCCTACCGCCTCCCCCTCGATCCAGCAGAGCAACCCATCCTCGACCGTCTCCTCAACATCCGCGACCACCTCTCCATCCTCAAGCAAGACCGCACCTCCTACGTCAAGTCGCAAGATGTCACCAAGCACTACGAAGCTGTCATCGAACAAGTCCAAGCTCTAAATAGGATCCGGGTGAACAAGCGCTCTGAGCAGAACCGAGTTGACACCGTGCTGGACGACTGCTTCCAGCTCATTTCCCTCTTCTTCCTGACGGTCGGTCGCAACTCGGAAGCGCCTGCTGTATACTCGGCCATCAGTACCGTCAAGCGCCTGCTGGATCATCTGAGAGAAGCTGGCTTCTACTCGTCGAAAGATCTGGAGAGCGTGGGCCAACACATCCAGCAATGGCAGGAGAACGTAGAGAGAGGGAAGGAGAGCCACTCAGAGGATCTGCTAACGCTACTTGATGCGCGGATCGAGGTTTGTAAGAGTACGTTGAAGGAGCTGCAAAATCACCTGAGCCGGCTGGATCCGGAGATGATGGGTCGGTATGAGAAGTTGGTGTCGATACTGCGGAGCCTGTCAGCTTGCAACACCAGATCAAGAGTGAGTAGTCGCACAGTGCGTGATGAGAAAAGAGAATACTGATACCGTGCAGTTCCCGACAAAGGAGGTCAACGAGTTCGAACAGCAGGTCATCCAGATACAGGAAGAGATGAACGCCGACACCATCGAGTACGAAGGCAAGAGCGCAGAGCAGGCATATGCAGACAAGCTGTCGAAGCTGAGCCTTACGGAGGGCGAGATACAAGACGGTCGGCAAATTGTGCTGGCGCTGCTAGCACGGTGTACACTGTGGATTGATATCATCCGCGAGAAGTAAGCTTGGCGATCTTTACCCTTTGGCAATCATGTTCATACTAACAGTGTGCCACAGACAAGGCAACATCGATCCGCGCTTCCAAGACACCTACGACAGACTCATCAAGATCCGGAACACCCTCGAACAGATGAACCTCACCCAAGCCTGGTCCCTCCGCGAAACCGACCTCTATTCATACCAGCGCCAACTTGACCGCATCGATGAGGCTCGAGTCGACGGCAACTTCCTCGACGTGACCGGTCACCCAGCCGATCTCCACGCCCAGCGCACGCTGCTGTATCTGCTGCGCAAGAGCTACGCATTCATATATCAATATATCATCTCCTCGGAGCCAGTCTCGGAGGCTTTGCTGCCAATCTACAACCAGCTGTTGACGCTGAAAAGATGTTTGCACGAGGTCAAGAGGTCCGGTGGCGTGGACAGCCCGAGGGAGCTGTACCCGTATAGCATGAAGCTGAACAGCATTGATAACATGAAGAAGGATGGCAAGTTCATGGTCGGCAACGACATTCCAGAGGGCCAGGCGAGCGTCACAGCGCTACTGGATGAATGCTTCGAGATTGCCTACGACCTGCGGAGCGAGGCAGATGAGAAGAGCGAGAAGAAGGACGGCGACGTGGCGAATGGGATTGGTGTCAAGGCTGTGGAGGCCTGATCTTATGAAGTGCTTTCTTTGACCAGCATGCAAGGCGTCTGGCGTCTGCGCCGGGAGACGGCGACAATGCTGGGGCCAGCCTTTTCTTCGACGATGGTGTGTTTTGATACTCGGAAGTTATCATGATCACGGCTGCGATGAGTAGTGCCAGGCGCAGCTCCTACGATAGACGGTACCATGAATCAAAAAGAAAGCTGAACCTCAAAAAACAGAAACTCAACTAAACGCTCCCAAGTCTATCTTATCAAGTACCTCGTCCTCATCACTCTGGACACCATCCGCCCGCTCCTCCGCATCCTCAAAGGTCAACCGATCCCCGTAACTAATACACAGCTCCTCACCCTCCTCCACCCAGCGCGAGGTGCGATACACGATGACCTGCCGCTCGAGATCGCGCTCCCAGACGACGTTTTGATGCGAGCGGGAGTGGTTGAACATTGAGCCTAGGCCGAGGACGACGGCCTGCGTTTTCGCATTTGAAGAAGGAGTGTTTTTGGTGGTGCGGAGGGGCCAGTTGTAGGTATAGTGGTTCATGGTGGTGTGGGCGATGTGGTGTACGGTTTCGGCTGGGGAGAGCAGGAGGACGGGGCAGATGTCGAGTATTGTTCCTGGGGGGACTGGGGTATTGGAGAAGACGCCGCGGCCTTGGAGAGAGATTAGTGAGACGGGAAGTTGATTTGAACGGGGAGGGGGGTATGAGGTACCTTTCGGTGTGTCGAGCTTGATGTACAAGTGTGGGAATCTGTCCAGTTTTACTTCGGTGGCGGTGGGTGTGGACATGGTGGATATTTGACGACTTGAATAGGAGTACTATTCTTCGAGTATGGTAAAATATACATTCAAACGATTGAAGTTGTTAGTGACTGCAGTATGTCTTTGAGGCTATCATAGCCACTATTCATTACCTCCATTTCCACAGATGGCGACATTCACATGCAACAAAGTTTTTATCGCCCGGATCGGACTAGCCTCCGCGTGCTTCCAGCTCATATCCCGCTTCCCCACCAACACCACCATTCAACCACTCCAACCTTGTCGTGAGGTCTGAACAATGGCATGGCCTCCCACACCCGCGCCCCCTCCACCAGCAGCGGCCACGCCCTAAGCCTTAAAGTCCTCCGCCTCACCAGGCCGTCTCTCGCGACGCAGACACCGCTTCCGCTTTCGAGCTTCGGTAATGGCTTGGATCTAGCAAAAGATGCTTCGGTCGCGTACCCAGGGGCTGACACTGGGTCTTCGTTCCCATTGACGCCGCTGTTGACGCTACCGGAGGCATTCGGGGCGGCGTATGTCGGGGAGTCATTCATCTGTACTGTGTGTGCAAACTACGACAAGCCCGAGGCAGACGAAGCAGCGGGGGACGAAGGAAGGATAGTCAGCGTAAGCGGTGTGCGGATCACAGCAGACCTGCAAACCCCCTCCAAACCCCAAGGCACTCCCATCTCCCTCTACGGCCCAGACCAAACTCCCGAAGACAGCCCGAACGGCCACGACCTCGAACCCGGCTCAACGCTCCAAAGAACTCTCCATCACGACCTCAAAGAACAAGGGCAGCACGTTTTAGTCGTAACAGTCTCCTATACGGAAACCTCACATACCCCCGACGGCGCTAGCGGTGGCAGAGCGAGGACTTTCAGGAAACTATACCAGTTCACTGCGCAGCCGCTCATAGCCGTGCGAAGCAAGATTACCGAACGTAAGCGTCGCGCGCCAGAGTCAGGACGGTCGTGGACGCTGGAAGCGCAGCTGGAGAATGTCGGCGAGACGAGCGTGGTGTTGGAAAAGCTGTGGTTGAGCGAGCGGGAGGGTGTGGAAGGGAAGGGGTTGAATGGGGATGAAAAAGCGGAGGCGACCGTGTTGAAGGCGAGTGATGTGGAGCAAGTGATGTTTGTGCTGAGGGAGACGGGAAAGACGGAGGAGGGGGGTGGGCTGGGCAGGGTGCCGTTGGCGCAGTTGAATGTTGAGTGGAGGTCTGCGATGGGCGGGAAGGGGAGTCTGACTACTGGGTGGCTTGCTAGTAGAGGCCGGTGATGAGACTGAAGTCTCTGAACTGCTCCATACTGCGAGCTACGGCGAGGGATGACCCGCGAGGTTGGATCAGCGTCGAACCGCCTTGCTCTACTAGAGCGCCTTGCCCTCGCCACCAGTATGGACAGAACGGACAGGGTCCAGATCCTCGCCCTTCTCCAATGCTCTTTCGAGCCTTTCGCGATCCTCCTGGCTGGCGTCCGTGATGTGGACAGCAACGTCATCCCCGAATCGCTCTGAAATCTCCTCGAGGGTGAGCCGTGCGGTCTCCTGTCACAAAAAAGCAGAGAGGGGTTAGCAAAGTCGCGGATATTGAGAGGCGTGTGCCCTTCGATACTTACCGGGAAGTAGAGGTAGATGACTGCGGCATCTGTCAGCATGAACCCTTCTTATGGAGGATAGATAACGCCACTTACTCGGCAAGAAGACAGCACACCAGCAAATCACCACCAGGAAATACTTCCACCCGACCTGTGCGAAGCCGATCGGCGCTGTTTGGAGCAGGATTATTGTCGACGCGAACTGGCCGAACAGACTGAAGCCCATTCCAATGGATCGAATCTCGGTCGGGAAGATCTCCGAGACCCAGAGGTACATCGTGGTATCGCAGCAAGTGCCTTGAAACGCCAGGTAGAGGAAGATGAAGAAGACGCCGAAGCCATTTCCCACTTGGTTAGTCGTGCCGGCGTACTGTGCGATCATGGCTGAGAGACATGATGTGGTGACCAAGCAGCCTGCGGTGCCAACCATGAACATGCCGCGTCTGCTGTTGACCTTGTCGTGCAGCCACGCGCCGCCAGGGTTGTAGATTAGGCCGGCTGTTGTCAACCAGAGCGCCGAGAGGAGAAGCGGCATGCCGCCTGTTTGTCCCAGGTTGGTGTAGAGGATTACCTGTGGTCGGTCAGCATACTCACAGCGACAATCCCCTGATGTATCTTACGCCATAGTTGTTGATGATCAATGGTCCGCTGAATTCCGCTCCCCACTGGATCAGAAAGCCAATGATCATGCGTTTTCGGTACGACCGTTTGGTCCATACGGTGACCCAGACGGATTTGCCGGTAGCCTTCAGCTTTGCTTCATCGAGCTTCAGCTGCTCGCTGATTTGGTAGAACTCCTCCTTTGCCGCGATGTCGTTAGGGTCTTCGGGCGACTGGCGGAGCTTGTGCAGCACATCGCGAGCTTCTTCGAGTTTGCCTTTGGCAATAAGCCAACGAGGACTGCGGGGCATCCATGGGCTGCCCGCGAGAAGTAGGATTGGTGAGAGGCATTGGAGGCAGAGCGGAAAGCGCCAGGCGAAGGCTGGGTTGGAGGCTGTTGCGAAGTAGCAGCCGTAGCCCACCCAGCCGGCGAGCATGTAGCCAAATACCAGAAAAATGGCATGATGGCCAACGAGCCAGCCACGGCGCGCGGGTGAAGACATTTCTAAGAGCCGTCAGGTTCATTCTCGACTGGTTATGAGGAGTGTTCCGAAGACAGACGACATACCGGACATATACATCGGACAAACCGTCACCAAGATACCAATCCCCAGACCCGAGAAGAACCGGCCAGTCTGAAACATCGCCAACGCTGCCGCTCCACCTTGCAGCGCGCCTCCGAGGACTGAGAAGAAAGCACCGAGCTGGATGTTGCGCTTCCGTCCGAAGACGTCGCAGCTCCACATCATGAACAGAGCACCGACAGCTCCTCCGGCAGAGAAGACGCCGTTGGCTGTCGCGATGGCGTGGGTTGTTCGCCCGGCATAGCCTGGTTCGCCTTGCGCGGGTAGGTTGAAGTAGGAGTACCAGCCTGGTTGTCCGATGGTGGATGCGATGATGGAGGCGCAGTAGCCGTATGTCTGGTGGCCGCCGTTAGCTATGATCGTTGACTTGCAATGGGTCGTGTCCGTCTCACCAAGCTGCCCAAAGCTACGAAGACAATCACAAGGCGATTGTAGACGCTCGTCCTGCTCTCCAGTCCGACTGCCATGTTGCCGATGAGAATCTCGAGCGCAGCGGATACCACGAAGCACTCGTACTACTTTACAGTACAGTAGTTGCTGTCAAGCCCGACGAGATGGTACGAAGAGCAGCATTGCATGAACAGCTACCGGGAGCGTTCTTTAATGCCGGCCGGGATAAAGATACCCAATCTTGGTCCACAGATACCAGCGCACTGTCAGCTGTTCTCGCTTGCCATATTTGCGGTCCAACGCCCATTTGCCGCGTCTCGCAAGAGGCGTCGGTCGCTTGAAGTCTAAAGTCAAGCTTTCTCCCCACAACACAGACAACGCGGAGAGAGGAGCGATGGGATGTTATTTCCGGGCTACGGCCGAGACGCGTCCTCGATCGCGTCGAATGCGTGCGGACTTCCTCCTGCTCTTCTCGATACCGAGTTTTGAGGTCTCTCTCTTTGCAGTTCTCAGAGCACGTACACGACATCGTCTAGAACATCGGCCAGCAAGGACTCTTGACAAGGAGATACCTGGAAGCGTTCAAGACACAGAAGGTTCGAAAGCCGTGGCTCTCTTACAGCAACATGGCTCCTACATGCTTTAGCAATACCTAGTTCAAGGACGCTTAAGTCCAGTTCTTCCCTCTCTCGCTTTGCAAGTTATCCTTGATCCTGTCCAAGGCTGCCTCCGGTCTTGGAACCTGTCAGTATACTGCACATGGAAGAGGAGTGACTTGCAATCTTACCTCGGAGACGGATCGTACTCCTTCATCTTCTGCTGCAGCTTCGTGTGGCCTTCCTCCTGAATCCGCTCCTCGTACGGAGTCTTGAGTACGCAAGTACCGCCCTCATATTCCTTACTCTCAACCATTCTTACCATGAGCTCTCCAATATCGTCAGGCTGCAGCTGCTTCCTACCAGCATACTTTCCCCATTCTATCATGTTGTCCTCTCGGTCGAGCCAAAGCGGACTAGTGACGAGGCCAGGCAGGACGGCATTTATCTTCACGCCTTCATCAACATCTGCTTGCCCCATAGCTTTGGCAAAACCGACGATTGCGTGCTTTGACGCAGTGTACAGGCTGGCGAGATAGTTGGCGCGGATGCCAGCTGTGCTTGCCACCAAGCAGACCACGCCTTGCTTCTCTGCTCCGGCCAGGGCACGCATCGCTAAGCGCGTGAACTTGATGGGGTGGTCCACGTTGATGCGAATGGTCTTGTACGAGCCAGACGTCTCATCGTCCCAGAAGTTGGACCATGATGGTTCATAAATGCCGGCCTGGTTCCCCATATCAGCAAACGCGATTGATCAACAGAAGAGTCAACCTACAATTGGAGCATATACGTCCGGGACTGCACCAAACTTCTCGACTGACGCGGAGATCAAGTCATGCAGATCGTCCCAGGACGTCACATCGCACTTCTGGAAAGCAACCTCAGAGTCTTTGGTTTTCGAAACGTATTGCTCGGCGTCGCTGGTGAGCTTCAAGTCCCCGATTATGATACGAGCACCTTTGGCATGGCACTGTTTGACAAAGGCGAAGCCAATGCCACTGCCTCCTCCGGTCACAGCTGTATTGTGTCAACAACAAGGACAGATCCGTTGGACGATGTGTCTGGCACCAGCATACTGACCAACGATTTTGCCGGATAGCTTGAAGTTATCGACTGGGCCGTACTGAGTCATCCTGTTGAGAGCAAGTTGATTGTTTGTTAATCTACTACGAATGCAGAATTGACTACATCATGGGAACATGATCGAGATATACATGAAGGCAGGGCAAGTCACCTCGGCGATCGATGGTGGGGAAGCTCTGGAGAAACACGACGTCCAGGCCGATCACGGTGGTATGAGCAGTTCTTCCAGCCTGAATGTACGTGACACGGCAGACACGGCGTCGGAGTGGGAGCTTGATTCAATGTTGTTGTCTTTATTCTACGCGGCCATCGCTTGCTTCCACAGCTTTGGCAACGGACCTATCCAATCGTCAGTCCTGGGCTGCTCAGCCTACTAGAACAACCATCACAACGATGCACACATCTCAAACTCACCATTAAACCCATAAACAGGATCCCAATCGGGCACATCAACACCACTAGCCTCCTCCCCCTTCGCCCTCGTCTCCCCCTCATCCGCCTTACAGAAGTTATTATTCCACTTCGGTGCCCCCTTCGGATACAATCCCATATACACATAATCCTCACTGCTCTCTGTATTCCTGTGAGCAACTCCCGCAGCATGCACAGCGATATCTCCCGCTTGCATATCAAACTCTACACCGTCGCTTAGATCGTCCAGTGGGCCGACGCCATAGAGACAGTGCGTGCGGCCGGAGATGGCGGCGTAGCATTCGTGGGTGTTGCTGTGGAAGTGGGCGGAGGGGTAGTGTTTGAAGGTCCCGCCGTGGAACTGTGAATACGACAGGTTGATCAGTAGTCGGGCCTGGCAAATGGAGTATGTTTTCCTCGCGAGCTTGACGAACCCATTGATTCGCACCGATGGCCTTGCTCACGCTCTCTTCGGTCATATCATCTGGTAGGACTGAACGGTAGACCAGGACAGGGAGGCGAGAGTTGGGACAGTGGGCGTTTGGTTTCGTCCAGTAGACCTGTTCTCAGTAGTCAACATACAGCTTACAGGTGGCGATCGTGGACACACTCACTTCTGGCTGCTTCATTTCAGACGCCATCTTGTCGGTGTTGACAGTAGTCAATGGAACGGAGGAAACGATGTGGGTGTAAGATGATAGCACATTATATAGCTCTGGTCAGTATTGCCAAAGGAGGGCAGCTGTTCCGTCGCTCGAAGCTCTCTCGGCAAGCGTCATCGTGCGGTGTTCTGTCGTGAGACAGAGTATGCCTACGTTCAACGATGGTATGCGGCGTTCACGTCCCATGTTAGTCCGCTGGCCGCTAATTGTGGATAGCATAAGGTACTATCGTTCACCTGTGGATGAAGGAGCAGTCATCAAGCGGGATCTGACTTCGAGAGAATGATCAAGTCTCAAGGTTTAAAGTCATTCCTAGCTAGAGTACACGCACGATTGAGTGCTTCAAGCCTATTGTAACCAGGCATCGTTGGTCATGCCAGTCTTCCACCCCAAGTGCACACGCCCAGTGCCGCAAATGATAGCAACCCACTCCATCAGCCATCTGTCGTCGTATCATAGCTCTCGGCATTGTGAGGATCTCCATCTCGCATTATCAACAGCGCATTCAGGTCACCACTCAAACTCGCCCGTTCCCTTGTGGAAGACCCACTCCTTCCCGCCGACACTCATAATGCCGTCCTTGAGAGTGCACTTCCACTTGTTCTTGACCCTCTGCACCTTGTCGTAAGTGCAGAGAATCGTGTCTCCACCCTCCTCATCTTCATCACCCAAGCCGTTCCCACCGTCGTCATCCGAATCATCGAGGTCGGAATTGATAGCGTTCTCGTCATCTTCGTCCTTGATGTCCGGCTTTTCTTCGTCTTCGTCGTCGGCCACGCCATCAAATTGCGGGATCCGGCTGCTCGAAGGCGTAGGCTTTGACAAGGACGGAGCGACCTTGCCGTGCTTCTGGCGTTTGGTCGATGGTAGCTCATCCAGTGGCATCATCAAACCACTTTGAAGATCTGCCGAGTGCTGCATGACTTGATCTCGAATCATGCGATCCGCCTGCTGCCTTCGTTCGACACTGACCGCCCGACGCTGAGCTAGAAGCTCCTGCCACTCCGAGAGAGCATCGTCGGCACCATCGGTCTGGCTGTAATTCGGCTGCTGGTAAGCTCCCTGCGCCAGCTGTGGACTGTTGTTCTCCATCTTGATAGGTGGCCGCTGTTGTTGCTGATGCATCTGTTGCTGTTGCTGACGTTGCATCGCTGCCTGCTGTTGTTGTTGCATGGAGTACTGCTGATTCTGCTGTCCGGGTAGTTGCAGTCCTTGCGGTCGTTGCTGCTGGTGATGCTGTTGTTGCTGACCAGGCAACGCAAGACCGCCGCCACCGCCGCGCTGCATGGCGTTCAGCGACGCATTGGCTGCCGAGCCGTACTGCTGCTGCACCAGCTGTTGCGCGCGTGCGATTCCACCTTGAGGTGGTTGGGCGTATTGCGGGTAGGTGCCGTTAGGTAGGCCATTCGACTGATGCGAAGGTCCTGCTTCGGACTTCACCGGGCCACCATTCGCCGCAGTACTAGGCGGCGTGTCGTAGTTTGCGTAGGACGACGGGGGCAGGTTTGTCGGATTGGACGGGTGGGGGGCAGCAGGCGCTGGAGACTGCAACAGCGGCTTCGGCTCCCATGGCATCTGCGCAACACCGCGACCAGACAGCTTGCTCTGCCATTCCTGGGATCATGTCAGTATGTCTGGGAATAAGCGTCGTACAAACATGAGGTGTGACAAGAAATTGAGCAAAGTGTCACATGACGTGTGGTGTTTCTCAAAGCAGTAAAGCGTGGAAGAGGCGGTGGGGCAGGGCGCAAAAGCGGCGTATAAAACAGTCGCCCAAAAGAAGCGGCAGCCCAGCGATCTTGCGTTTCTGCAGCCCCGCTTTCGCTGGCTGAGTCGCTCGAGCCCGGATTCTCAGCGTCGCAGGCAGCGGTGCGATGATATGGATGCAGTACCGCCTTTCCATTCCTTTCTTTCTGCATAAAGAGATGGAGATGCTGCGTATGTGAAGAGTGTGCAGTGCTCTGACAAGACTTTGCGTGAAGAACGACAAACTGGAAGACACTTACTGCTTGCATCTCCTGGAGCGTCGCTTGCCCAACACCACTCGACTCGAACTCCTCCGTCGACTGCTTGATCACCTCCTTGATGATCTCGGCATAGACATCGCCCTATCAGCGACCGTTAGCCATGTCTTTCAACATCGCGTGGCCACGACACCACTGCTGCAGCGAGTGGAGGACGGGTGTCACTCACCACCAGCGCGTTCGTCATGATGGCGGTTGGGGTGATGAAGGCTCAAGATGGTAGTCGGCCAGTGAGGATGTAAAGATTGCTATGCGCTATATGGGCCTCGCACGGTGTCGCCGTTCGAGTTCGAGACCAGGTGGTGAAGGTAGGTGGCAGTCGGTGTCTGTGAGCACCTGATTGCGAAATGCTTCACTCCCCTGCGCGCGGCAAGTAACAATATTCGGTCACCATGTGCCCTCTCCTACTCTTCGCTGTCCTTCCAGTATCCAATTTCGCAGTGTTGACCTTAGTTTGGCCGTGGTTGTCGCGGCTTCAGGTGGTAGTCAGTGGACAAGTTGACGGCAAACGGGAAGTTCTTAGGTAGGCTCGGTCTTGGCGCTTACATAACCGACCTTTCTCACGCTGGCTTCACGGGATGCATTCACATCTGCTTCACTTGTACGAAGACTCATGGTGGATAAGATTCATGTGGAAAACGCAGAAGCCGTACAAGCTCTTGTCTAATACGGCGTAGGTATCACATGTAAACGCAATCAACGGTTTGACTTCATTGCTCATCAAGAGTCCCTCCTGCCTCTCAGCCCTTTCTTCTCATCACTCAGTAACACATCATCCTCAGTCGGCGGTGGCGGCGCGTAGTTCGGCCTGGGAACATTGACAGGCGGCAAGTCGGTCGCAATGGCGTCCTCGTAACTCGGGGGAGCATCATCATACACAGGAGGCTGCGGCGGGACCGCAGTGCCTTGCCGAGCAGGCAGATCACGCGACGGCCCTTCCATTGGTGTCTCAGGTACCGTCATACTATTTCGCTTGCCCTTCTCTACTTTGAGCTTCTCATCGAGAGCTGTCGTGGTGTTGATGGTAGGCTTGGGCTTGTTGACGCGAGCTTGTGCCATAGCTTCGAGGAGTTGGGAGGGCGGTGCGATGCCGGAGAAGACTGTTACGTCGAGTCGGAGTGGGAGGATGATGGTTTGGGGCTGTATCGATAGTAAGCGGATTTGATTCCCCGATCTAGTGAGCAGGCAGATCGTCCTACGATTCTACTGCCATGCCCTTTACTGCGTACCTTGGCTGAGCTCTGCATGGCTCCGGAATAGCTGAGTCCGATGCGGACATCCAGTTGATACTTGCGCGAGATGTTACAAGTCTCGAAGGATGGAGCGATGGTATTGGGTAGGGTTTGGCCGCGCCACAGATTGTCTGCGATGGCGTTTTCCGTGCCGGCAGAGTCAGAAGCAGTCCCAATAGGCATCCCCATGTTACTTCTGCTCACGATGACCCAGCTGTTGCTTTCCGTCGTGTGGAGATCGTGCGCTCTGATCTTGGTCTGACCGATGAGTGAGACTTCGAGGGACTGCAGATTGACAACTGCGTCGGAGTCGTTCAGTTTCTTGACTATTAGCCGTAGAGGTATGTCATCATTGCAAGTCAGGATGGAAGATTCGGGTAGGCGAGCGTCGACGGATATGCTCGGTGCCTCGTTGCTTGTAGCGGAGGTAAGTGGAGGTTCTTTCGACTTGCTGAAGATAGACTTCATCTTCGCCTTAGCGGCGCTCTGCCCTTCAGGAAACGCCGCGAACGCATGCTTCTGCCGCGCATAGATCTCGTTACCAGAAGGCGATGGCCGAGGAGGCTCGATGGGGAAGAAGTTGAAGGGGGCGTACGCTCTTGGATTCTCCTTCCAGAACGAGCTTCGCCGTACAGTGGCCTTGACGAAGTATCGGATTTCAGCTTCGCCCGGGAAACCGCTCAAGGTAGGCGGCAGCGTCTTCTTGACGTGAGTCTGTGGAGGCTTAGAGACCTCAATGCCGCTGCCTGAGATGCTCATCGTGCCCATCTGGCTCTTGTCCGAGGCGCATGAGTTGTTGAAAGGCAGCTGCTTCGCATTAGTCTGAGCAAGTCAAATTTTGAAGGCACCGTACGTACCTTGACGGAGAAGGGGTATTCATGGTTGCCAGGCGGAAGCGTAAAGCTGTTCTTCGAAGTCGTCCAGCTACCCTCCAAGATGTCAGGTCTTGGAAAGACAACCTGGGTCTTGTAAAGGATCTGACCTCAATACCCGCTCGGTCAGCGACTAGGTGCACAAGCATGTAAAGTCAGCTCTCGAACTCACCTTGTGATACTCCAACTGCGGCTTCGCCCTCTCCCCCGACGGCCCAGGAGGCGCCAACAATCTCGTCCTACTCTCGCCCTCAACCTTCACCACAATCGACTCGACATCGATACTCTTGCCACACCGCACCACGACTTTGCCGGAAATCTGGTCGAGGTTCGTGTAGCTGACGTTTCCCGGCTGGTCGAGCACGATCGCGGCGGCCATGGTTGATGAATTGCTCCATGGCACTGCGCCAGTCTTATCCGGCACGGTGTGCGGCATCGAGAGGGCAAGCACGAGCAAGGCCGCGGAAGCCTCAGCCGCGGTGTTGGCTTCGATACATGTACCTGGCTTTCGTAATCAGAAGTTGGTGCGGTCGGTAACAACTACGAGATTGATTTTAGCTCTTGGTCTGATGAGGTGAGGTGGTGAATTGCGCGTTCGGATCATCGGGTGGTGAGAGGTGTTGGCAGCATCCACCGTTGGTTTTATTGCAACTGATATCGCCGGTAGGACAGAAGATTGATCAGCTTTGACAAGGTCGATATATCGCATGTGCTGCCTCTTTTGGTGAGCCGGAAGACGGCATAGAGAGCTGAAGAGTGGGCACCAGTATCCAGCTGAGAACCATTTGCCCGATCAGCAAGAACAGAAATCAGAATCTACATCTCAATACTGTCAATATCGTATGCATGAGATTGCCTTGACACTGCTATTGGCGATGTTATTAGCACCCGGATAACAGAGAGCTACTGCACTCTATAGCTACCTGCAGGACGGGCCATATGCAGACAAGCCACCTTAGATCGAACCGAGACAATGCAATACTCCATGGGTATCTATCAAATGACAACTACATGCTCATGCTCATGCTCATGCAACTCCACTACTTGCTTCCACACGCCTCCCCACTGCTCTGGCTCATTTTGATCGCCTGCTGCAACTCCTCATCATCCTCATCCCTCTGCGCAGCCTTGCCCTTCCCAGCAGCGGCCTGCCGATGCTGCTGCTCAAGCATCGACTGCTTCTTCACATAATCCAACACGACCTGCTCCTCGTTCCGCTCCTGCTGCGTCTTCTCGCTGGAGCCCTGTCCTTCATAGTCCGCCTGAGTCGTACCAGCAACATGGCCAACATCATACTCCGGCGGGTTCTGCGCACTTGCAGGGCCGTGCTGGGTCGCCGCGGAAGCACCAACATCGTAGTCTTCGTTGTCTTCGTCACTATCCCATTCGCTGTCGCTGCTGCGCTGGCGGCGCTGTTCCTTCAAGCTTTGTGCCAGCGCACGCTCCAACTCTTCGTCGTGCACCATGCGCTGTTGCTGTTGGTTGTCGGCGTCCGCGACGCTAGCAGCGATGGCTTGCTTGAGCTCCTCGTCTTGTTCTTGCGAGCCTTGATCTTTATCAGCCTGGGTGGCCTGTTCTTGCGCTCGCTCGGCTCTGCTTTTCGCGAGCTCGGCCATGCTGGCGCGAATGGCACGCTCAACTTCTGCATCAGCTTCAGGGTCGCCCTGCGAAGTCTCTTGTACCGACCGCCTGATGGCCTCCTCCAGCTCGTTGTTCTCAATCGTTGCCTGATCCGCAGTAGAGCTCGCACTTCCACCCTCGCCTGCTCCCATGTCCAACATCGCAGCTTCAGGACCTGTGCTGGCACTGGCACCACCGGGGCTGGTTTTGCCTGCCCGCGAAAGTCTGCGCGGCTTCTTGTCCTCCCAGCCAGTTTTAATGTAAGCCTGAGCCTTCTTCCTCTGCTCTTCCAGAACAGTCCTGACAATCTCATCTGGGTCCCGTTTCCTCTTGATATCCTTCTGCATCGCTTGCCACCTATTAATGATGTCCTTCCGCTCGCCTTCGGAACTCAGCTGCCACTCCTCGTATCCCTGTGCAGTGCGCGCAGCAATGATATAATTCTGCACGCTAGCACCCATGTTCTTCTGCATTTCCTTGTAGACGCCCTTCATAGTGTATCCGGCAATCCCAAAGCCCGCAGCAGCAGGCTTGAAGACAACGCCTCCAATACCCTTGCCAAACCCCTTAACAAAGCCTGCTGCACCCTCCTTCTGCGCGCCTTTAACCGGCTGGGTGACCAGGCCTGAAATTCCATCGTAAAGCCCGAGGCCAAACTCCTTCCACGCCACTTTCTGACCAGACCTGAAGTCGGTGACCTGCTCCGTCTTGCGCACAGTGTCGTCGCCATAGAGCTTCGGCGCATTACGGAAGCCCTTCGTGACAGCCATGGAGAAGTCCATGGGCGACTTGAACCCAGCGCCAATGATACGACCAACACCTTTGCTGGTGCCGAGGGCCGCGTCCATGTAGTCGGGTTTTGCACCAGACTCGGGTGCTGCAGCTGACCTTGAGCCCGGGCGACTGCGGCTGCCAGAACGTGAGCGCGATTTTGCGTCTTTGAGCTGCCCTTTCAGAGCGTCTGACATTGAATTGGAATGCGGACGAAGCGTCTCTGTATCGGATGAACCGCTCTGAAGTCGGCTAAGCGATTCTTGCATGTTGAAGGAGGAGTTCGTACGGCTTGCAGTGGGCGTGGCGCCCGCACTCGTAATCGGTGATTCAGTCGTGACGGACTCCCGGGTTGACGAGGACGAGCCAGTGTCCTTGGACGACAGGTCACTCTCGGTCCTCCCGTCTGCAGACTCAGTCTTGCTGTCCTTCGAGTTCTTCTTCTTCGCGGTCTCGGGGTGGATCTTCAGAGCCTTGAGTGTCTCGATCGGGAAGTCAGCGACACCCATCATGACCTGCGTGGCAGTGCCAACGATGGCAGTCGCTCCACCAGTAATTGGATCCCAAGGCCCATCGTCAGTCTCGTACTCACGAGCTCTGAAGAGCTTCAGGTCATTGAAGTCGAGCAGATTGGCGTTAGCTAATGTGCACGCCGCGAGTGCACTCAGTCGGACTTCTGTACGCTTGACACGCCATACCGCTGCATGACTCGGTGCCACGGTACATCGCAACTTATCGACGTCAAGCATCTGATGAAAGCTCTGCGCTCCCACTTGGCTACCAGTCTCTTTAGCAATGCTCGCGGCTAACTCCCCAGCCTTCTGCTGGCTCTCCGGCTTCAAACAGAAGTTGATAGCGTCTGCAAGCTTCTGTCCAGTGAGCTCTTTGTGCGGCAAAGGATCTGGTCCAGCTCCGGCTCGGGCAACCATAGCCCCCCAGAATGGCTGATCACCAAAGAAGGGCACGACCACGGTCGGCTTGCCAGCTGTGATGCCGGCGGCTGTCGTACCTGCACCGCCGTGATGTACCACACAAGAGACGTGGTTGAACAGCCAGTCGTGAGGCACGTTTCCAAGCATGAACACGCCTTCAGGAATGCCAAGGTCTTCCGCACCCATGCCACCCCAGCCTTTCGAAAGCAGGACGCGCTGACCGGTGATGCGTACAGCCTCGAAAATCAGCTCGGTCATGGCATTCGGATCATCCAGAACGATCGATCCGAAACCAATGTAGACCGGAGGCGGGCCGCTGTCCAGAAATTGCTTGAGATCTGGTGCTGGAGTGTAATTCGAGGCGAGGTTGAGGAAGAAGAATCCAGAAATCGAAACATCCTGACCCCAGTCCTTAGGCTTCGGGATAAGCGCGGGTGACCAGCAGTACGTGTGCGGAATCTTCAATCGCTGCAGCATACCCGGCGCCCAAATCAGACTGATAGGGTCAAGACCCAGACTCTTCTGCCTGAAGCGGTTGATGACATCTCCGAGGCCTTGCCACGTAAGCATGTCGATGAGTGAGTAGCTCATGTAGTTGGTGAGATGCGGATCGGCGTTAGACGACTGAATGTTGGCAAGGGGATGTGGGAATGCCTGCGTCGGAGTGTAAGGCATCGTGAACATTATGTGAAGTGGCAACCCTAGCTTCTCTGCGCAGTGTACGTGTGCGAAGGATGGTGGATTGGCAATGATGCAGTCCGCAACGAAAGGCCTGCTGCTGAAGTCTCCATCGCCGGGTTGTTGCGATGACCAGTCTTCGATAGTGTTGTCCGATGCCTCAGGACCCAGACCATCTCCAGTCTCAAAACAAGAGCGCCAGCAGCCTTTCAAGTAGGCAGCGACCTCTCTGCGCCGATTGCCAACGTCACCGCTTCGCAAGCTGTCGAAGCCAGGCATCAGGCCTGGATTCTTGACCATGAATGCCATCAACTCCGAAGGATCGCCGCCAATGTTGAAAAATTCCAGCCCGTTCTCCGTCACAAAGTCCTTGAAGTTCGGGTGAGTAGCCAACCGCACTCTGTGCCCGTAGGTATCTTTGAGCACCTTCCCAAGAGCTACGAAAGGCTGCACATCGCCTCGAGATCCCACAATCTGAATCACCACATTCATCGGCGGGGGTGGCGGCACACCCTCCTCTCCACCTAGCCCCGGAGGGATATACGGCGGCGGTAGTGCATGCTCATGATCTGTTATCTCCTGCTGGTGCCGGAGTGCTGGCACTAGTAGTGAGGATAGCTGACGGTTGCGTTGATTGATCCTAATGTTAACACGACCATCATCCGCGACATCAGCTTTCGTGTCGTAGCCTTCCTGGTTGTTGGCGATATGCCCAAAGTGCTCGCCGTACGCGGGCGGTGGATGGTCGGGCAGCTCGCTCTCCAGATCGAGTTCGTTGGTCTCGGTCCTTGGTGGCACATCGTGGCCCTGATGCCTTCGCTCGGCTGCTGTCTCATCAGAGGGATCTTGTTCGCTCGCTGCGGCTGCTTCAGCTTGCTGGACCATCAGTCGAGGCACGCTTCCTTGGATCTCCGCCTCGCTCTCCTGAGGCTTCTTGTCCTTGGATGGTGCCATGTTGACGAAACAAGAGCTGGTTAATGTTGTTGACGTTGTCTATGCTTCAATCGCATCCCTGTGTGTGGCGGTTTGTCGTCCTTATACGCGTGCTGGAAGTGACAAAATCTTGTGGCCTAGCTAAAGTGGATCGCCACGCATTCACTGCCGCTCTCAGTACCTAGTTAGACGGCGTTGGCGGTTCGTAAATAGAGGAAATGATTAGAGCCTCAAAGCAGGGAACAAGATGCGGACGTCAGCCTGCATGAGCCCGAGCCGTTGCGAGAATCATGTGCGTCCAATGGCTTTCAACAACGTGGCTGTGCAAACGTCTCAGGCCGAAACGCGCTCCGAAACGCGCTTCTGTGCTTCGAAAGTTGCGAGATGGTGGGACGTTGTTCAATGGTTTCTGTTCATGCCGGCTTCTTCTTGCTTCTGCCACGTCTCGAGTAACGGCGGGCGTGCGTGGCCTTTACCGCTCGTGACGTACAAAGCCCAGAGTAGAGGCGACCGGGAAGACAACGACATGAACATGAGCACGATACGGTAGCCTACTACGCTTAAGGGGTAGGCGATAATCGGCCAATGGAGGTACTCGAGAGCCTTGCTTTCACGTGGAAGGGATCGTTGATCGAGGTTTCACATTCGTGTAGCTGTAGCCTAGAACGACTACGTACACTGAAGTCCATGTGAAGCGCTGCTGGCTTACACCTGTTCCTGCTTGACAGCATCGCATAGAAGCGGCGCCTCAACATCACCCTTATATCCTGCACTGGTCCCGGGTATCTCAAGTATCATCTCTCATCGCATCGTCTTCTTCGTGTCCTCGTGTGCTCCATCTTCTTCGCAGCCCGGATACTCGTGCTTCCACAGTACGCAACGTTCTTCTACTCGTGAAGGGAAACCAACTGCAGTCAGTCCTCCCCGATCAACGTCAATGTGCATCGTGCTCAGCCCTCAGCGAAGTCCATCAGATCGACCTCCATCTTGTCACCGTCGAAAGCAGCAGCAGCAGGCTCGGTCACAGCTACATGGCGTACGGCGCTCTCCTGCTCCGCGGGTGCAGCGGAGGCCGCAGGTGGTGGCAACGACGAAGTGCGAGGGGTCGCTGCATTGCCGGCTTGCGTTGTCAAGGCGCGGCGCTTGCGTGGCGAAGTCTCGAAGTCATTCGTGTCGGTGGGTGATGCATCGCCGTCGCCGTCGGTTGGTCCTGGCGAAGGGCGATCGTGCTCAGCAGAAGTGCCCAGGGAGCGCATGGGGCCGGGGAGGTTGTTAGACCGAACAGCGCCAGGCGATGGCTGGAAGGTGCGAGCTGCGGTCATGGTACGGCTGATGTAGCTGATGGCGGATGTGAGTTCTTCAACGTGAGAAGCCTCAAACATGTGAGTGGAAGGCGCGTTGAGGAGTTGAGCGATGGCCGTACTTCTGACGGGCGAGGTCTCGACAGGCTTGAAGCGGCGCCAATCTCCAACCTGACAAACTGCCACAAATGTATTTCCGCTTTCATCCTCGTCGTCCAGATCACCGAGCGGCGCCGAAGGATCAGTCATGGTGTGGTCTTCGTCTTCGTCGTCTTCGTCGAAGTTCGTGCTGAAGTCGGTTGGCCTCTCACTCGCCATAGTGACAAGAGAAGCTCTCATGGCCTGTTGCAACTCTTCCTCTTCGTGATCAACTCTACCAGTCCTGCGGCCCTTATGGCTGGTCGTCATCTGACCCGGTCCTTGCGAGCGACGTACGGAATCGGGCTCTTCGTCATCCTCGTCGTAGTATTGCTCATCGTCCTCAAGCACTTCTTCCGGCTTCATGCGACCGACGTCCGGGCCTGGCTTCTTGCCCTTGGAGAAGTATCTAATGTACTCTTCCATAGCATGTCTCGCAGCTTCGATCTTCCCGTCCAATTGATCGTCCCTGCCCAGCGTACGCTCAGGGCTCATCATGCTCGTCGCCAGCTCGTCCACGAATGAGCATGTCATCAAGTGATCGCGCACCCTTTCTGGAAGCCTGACCTCAACGTTGTGGCAGCCTGTGAGCGTGGCGAACGGGCGCAGGACAAGCTCGATGTTTGGGATACCGTAATGGCTGGTTGTTCGAGGCTGACCTTTCTCCGAGTCCCACCAGTAGTTTTCGGCGTGTTGGATGGCTCTCCGGCCCGACTTCTCCAGCACTCCTTTCGGATTCATGAACACGATGGTGATGTTGACGATGCGCTGCTCGACCCCATTACTTGTTGGGTTGCGCGCGAGCAGGCGGCAGAGCGCAAGGTTCATGAGAAAGGTGTTGATTGGTGTGTGCCTGCCAGAATCGCCCGCGGGCGCCGGATAGATCTTGATAATGACCTTCTTGAGGCGGTCAAAGCTGAATTCGTAGCCGAAGTCGCCACCCTTGAAGCGGAAGTCGAACCGCTCGTCGTGGCGATCAAACTCTCTGAAGTGAAGGGGTTGGCGGCCAGCATGCAGAAATTCGATGCCCCCTTTGTGCAGACCCTCGTGCGCGTGGACGACGAAGAAGCGCTCGCCGTACACCACCTGAGCAACTTCAGAGGCTATCTTGCGGTTCAGCAGCATGAGCCCCAGGGTGAGACCCGGACGCCGAAGGTAAGAAGTCTTCTTGGTGGCTGCGACAGCATCGTCACTGCACGAGACGTCGTGGACTGTATCGCGAGACGGGAGCAAATCCTTGAAAATTTGCAAGCGAATCTCTGTAGGGATCTCCATCAGAAGGCACGTCTTTGGTGGTGTGAGGTACGGAGGTGGCGTATAGATCTGCACATTCGACTGGAGAGCTTGAGGTGGTGGTGCCATGAGGAAGCCGAAGACGTAGTTTGCGATCAGGTTGGCGACCTCCAGTGGGATCTTCGAGTTGCCGGCACCCATATTGACGACGATGCGTACGAGCAATTCGCGTGAACGCATTTTTTCGGCGGTGTGCGTGGTACAGCGAATGGCGCGGTGACAATAGGAAAGCTGGCCGGCGCAAGCGGACCTGGGAGAAAGGTGGTCAGCACGGCGTTTGCTCACACATGCAAGCTGCAAGACCTAATGCACAAGTGAAGCACAGCGTGAGACACTCGTCATGTAGGGGTGCGGAAGATGGTTGGCACTTCAAAAGCGCAGTGGTTGGCAGATGGCGGTGGCATGACGTTGAGTCCGGAGGTATGCAGCGAAAAGCGAGCGACAAGAAGTAGGTAATCGCCTCAGGTGAAACCTGTGGGATGTCACCTCATTACGCTCCACTCTATAGAAACATGCTCACTCACATGAAAACGGAGGACCTGGACTTCACTTCCGTCACATCAATTGCATGTCTTTTTCGTGATACGCAGCTGTTCGTCTCAGTCTACGCTACTTTGTGCTTCACTTCTGAGCACAACATGCTTCCACCGCTCAATATCGCTCCGGACTCCTGGTCCATGCTGAGCCATATCTGATGTTGGCCTTTTCTTGATCCTCCACTCCTCCACATCTCTAGTGAGCAACACGGCCACCCTGTGCATCGTTCTTGCCGCCATCACGGCCAGAGTTCTTTGCATATTGTCAGCTTTGGATTGGGAGAAAAGGTGTCGCGAGATAGGCTGCATACCTCCGACTCCACAATCTGACCCTTCTCAAGGATCGCGTTCATGACATCGTCGTCCTTGTGCGTACCGAACTCATCCTCAAGCGTGCCCTTCGACGCAGTGTCGAGTATGCCCGTATTGCCCTGCCTGTTGAACGCACGAATGTCAGCATCTGGACAGCAGTCTGGGGAATGGAATCCACCAGCTGGCCGCATGCCAACTAATCGCTGCCGTCCGGTATGACATACTTGTGTGTGATGAAGATCTTGTAGCCATCCACCACCTGAGCCAACGGCACACTCTTGTCCGACTTCCAGGACTGGACAGCCTCCTTCGACTCAACGAAGATCACAAAGTCGTCTTGCTTGCCCTTGTAGTGAACCTTGGTCTGTTGAGCGTTGCCCCGCATGTTTGTGGTTGTGGGCGGGTTTGGATGTGGTGAGGTAATTCTCGTGCTCCGTTGAGTAGATTTGAAGTCTCGTTAAGCTGAATTGGGAGTTGAAGAGTATTTGTGTAGGAGCAGAAGAGGAAGTGGTCTGCAAGGGAAGCTCGAGCTTGTCGTCTCACGTGCTGCTGTCGCGCTAAGGTACGTCATCCCGAGCTGATGCCAGGAACCAAACAAAAACCAAGAGGCAACCCTGGCTGCTTACGATGCACGTGAAACCTGAGGTGATGGATGACTTGGACTCGACGCGGTGAGGCTTTTAACCTGCTACATAACATCTATGAGCATTGTCCAAAGCCTGTGAACTCAACAGCAAAGCGCTGTACCCGAGCAAGAACAGCGCTGTCCAACTTCGTCTCATCTACCAAGAAAACAGTGCTCGACTCATCTACCCAAAAAGTCGTAATAATCTACTCTTGCTCTTCCTTGGTGTTTTAGCTGGCGCATCCGGTCCCTTACTGGCTTCAGGATTCGGGGACAACGTCTGCGTCTTCAATGCGGGCGTCTTCGGACGTTCTTGGACCACGCTGTACACCGGCAGGGTCGGCCTCCCTTCCACGGCCTTGGGTGGCACTGGCATGGGCGCCGGCCCCTCGTGTGCATGGGCATCCCGCACGCTTTGCGCCCTTCTGAGCGTGGAAGATTTGTTCTCCCCGAGCAACGGACTGAATGGCCGCTCTATGGTCATTGTAAAAGTCCGCAGCGCAGATGACTTCTTGCGCTTCGCCGCCGGATCTTGTAGCTCGAAATCGGCAGGTAAGAAAGCTTCCGGGGCATTGTGGAAGTCCACGAGTGGTGGAGCGCTTGGTCTGAATGCTTCCGCTGGGTGGCGAGATGGCGGTGCCCTGCTCTTCGGAGGCGGCATGTCTTCTTTCCGCGACTGGCTCATACTGGTGTAGCTGGCAGATTGTTTGGAAGACGAGAAGTTGCTGGTGATGCTTGCCATACTGAACTTGCGGATGACGTGGTTCGCAGATGCTCTGATTGGGTCTGAGCGGCGCGGTGTCATGCCAGGGTACGGTATGAGGTCTTTGGTCCAGACATCGGACAGCAAGCTCTCAAGCCGGACTCGCTCAGCTCGTCGTGGTGCAAGTGTGTGTACGTGGCTCGGTGTAGCGACGGACTGAGACCGTGGGATCTGCAGAGACGTAGTCGAGGGATTGTCGACCGCCTCTTTGGCAGACTGCGTGTTCTTGATGATCACCTGGTTCAGGTCGGTCGTTGGTCCAACAGTCGCGGTCCGATGGACTGACATCCGCCGAACAAAGCTACCAGGCTTGCCGAATGCTTTGCCCACGCTGCGCATCTCGCCGATGAGTGGGGAGTGCAGGTCGAAGACATTCGCTGTACCATCGGCGACTGCCTTCGAGTGCGCTTCGATACGCTGGCTGATGTACCTTCGCCAAACGTCTGCCTCCTCAGAAGAACATGCAACCATGATGACCTCAAACATCCGGGCAGCATGCTCAAAGACCAGCTTCCAGGAGTACGGAGCAGTGTAGCACTGCAGGCCCTTGCCGTTGTCGCTCTCCACGATCGTTGCATTGGCCAGCGAAACGCCAGCAATCGTGCTGTACCGTTTGCTGTTGTCTTCCTCAGCAGTAGCGAGGAGCAGCGTTGATCCGAACAGCACGCAGATGGCGTACAGACCCTTTATGCGGTCTTTGCTGCGGTACGTGATGTACAAGCACCCGCATAAGTGGACCTGGCCCATGAGCTGTAGGAAGACTGGCCTAGGGAGCTGATTTGAGAACGTAAGCCGGTCGCCGATCAAGCATGTGCTCTGCAGCATTTGCGCCCTTTCTGGATTGTCCTTGGCCGCGTTGAGTCGTTGACATGCTTCGTTGAGCTGTACCAAGAGCTCTTGCAGCGATGCATTGGAGACAGGGTTGTCGCAGACGGGCGTCAGCTTGCAAAGGTCGCTGAAGATCAATTCGTATCTGGGCAGCCGCTGGATGGGCTAGCGTCTTGATCAGCAGTCTTCTCTCCCACACTCGGTGGCAGCGCTCACCTTGATGAGCAGATCCTTCACTGTCAATGCTCTCTTCTTGTTCGCCTCCCGACTCTTGACTGGATTCACATGCGCCGACAGCACTTCGATGGCTCGATCAAAGTCCGGCCAGCTGAGCATTCCTCGTTGTGTCTCATCGATATCGCGCTGGACAAGCTCGTAGTTCGCTCCGTAGTCCTCATACATCGCAAAGCGCTCGATCTGCAACAAACCAAGTTCAGCAATGTACCAAAACGCACTGCGCGGAAAGCATCTCCTACGTATGCAGAGAACGTCTTCGCCACGAGCGCCACAATCTGCGGGCTACATGTCAATGTCGGATCTTCATCCCCTGAAGACCGGCTGATGTTGAGCGAGCGGCGACCTTGTCGTATTGCTGTTAGTTTGCGATGCGCGGGAGGAGACCGCGTGGGCACGACATCAACGCTGTGCCAGCGAGCGTGCGATTTCAGGAAACCGCCAGCGGGCGAGAGCTTTGCGGATCGCTGGTCGTACTCTGCGAAAGGAATGACGGCGTGTAGGCTGCCCAGCAGCTCATCGTGGAGCGTGCAGAGGTCGAAGATGTTCTTCTGTGCTCGCGATCGAGCGAAATGCGCTGCGGACGGCTGGCTCCCGAGGAGTGTGGTGTATGCCTGACAGCTGTTAGGAAGTACTCTTTACCGCGTCGGCCAACACTCACCTTAGACAAGGCTCGGATGTCCGCCAAGTAGCCCTCTTCAGAACGAATGAGCTCCTCCAACTTCGCACGCCGCTTCCTCGCCCTCTGCTTGGCTGCATCATCTACAACAGAACGTTGGCTATCGATCGATGGTCGTGGATCGGATCCTGAAACAATGCTACTCCTCTGATGTCCTCGCCTCCAATGGGTACCTCTATTCGAGACGGTGGCATTGCTGAAACTCGCAATCGTGGCGGTGGCGGACCTGACAGCAGTCACGAGAAAAAGGGACGACCCTTGCGAGTCCGAAGGCTTGTGGTGCGCGGATCTTCGTTTGACTGGCGAGCTCAACATGAACTGGTCATCGTTGGGCTTGGGTCGAACTTTGCCAGATCGGGCTGGTGATGGTTTGGCTTTCTTGCGTCTACGGAGGGTGCTGAGCCACCTTTTGATGCCCCCCTGCTCTTGGACTTCGGGCTCATCGCAAATTTCCTCGTCGTGTGTTTCAAGCTCCAGCTCGAGGGACGGCAGCTCGTCGCCGTGGTTGACACTGGCGGCAGATTCGTGGTCGGCCATGCTTTGTTCGTCCTCGCTCACCTCCGTTATCTCTGCCTCACTCTCTGCCACATCCAGCAAACGCTGGCCAGTGGCTTCCGACCCCAACGTTGTGTCCGAGCGCAGCCGTGAGCTGAGGATCGATGTTACGCTTGCCCTCCGTGAGTAGCTTCCAGATGCGCTGCGTTGCGCTCGACTACTTGGCTGGCGCCTGAAGGTGAGATTGCTTGACGATGCTAATTCGAATATGCTTCGGTTCTCTTGTCGTCGGAAGGGAGGCGCCCATAGTGAGGTGAGGGACGAGAGTGAGCTGCCCGAGAGGCTGCGCAGTCGATGATGTCGGACGGTGCCATTGGAGCCTGCGCTGCGGATCGAGCACGGTGTGTCTTCGGCGCTGTACTCTTCGAAGGCGTTGTAGGGCGTTGGGCCAGGACTGCTTTGTATCATGGTCGCATTCGCCGCCATTGGGAATTGAAGGCATGAAAGTCTTGTGGGCGAGAGGGTCAGAGGGCCAATGGTACAACGAAAGAGATACAACCTGGAATGTTATGGTGTTGCTGTCCCGGTGGAGGTGGAACTCAGCGCTGGGAAGGAATTGTTGCAACTTTAGGAAAGACACATCTGACCTGGTATCGAGACTTACGCTTCGAGCCCATTTCAAGGCAGGTGCCGGCCGGACGACTTACACACCATATTGTTGGGGAAGGCGCTTTGTGATTGCTTGGAAGAACTTGCGGTGGTGTGAACGTTCAACCTAAATTGTCAGTGCTATGCCATCATATTCTCAGTGCGTGCCCGAGTCAACGATCTCGCCAATTTAATCCTGCCATCCTCCTCTTCGGCAACAGCGTAGCTTTCACCGGGCAGCAAGACTGCCTTGTCTATCGCAACAGGCAAGCCTCGATGGCGTCCTCGCAGCATCACAGCGCACAGTATCAGCTTGCTCAAAGTGCTCCACGACCCACAGAAGGAGTAAGCGTCCCATGGCACTCCAACACTGATCCCGACACAGCCGTACGCCGACACTACCTCAAAGATGAAGTTGAAGACTGAGAAGACCAAAGGGTTCTTCTTGAACTTGTCGGCTTCGATGATCACGAGCAGGAAGAGAGCGAGGACAATGTACCACGTATCGTGGGCAAGCTGCGCTCGCAGTTGTTGTCGAGCAAAATGGCTGTTACTCTCCTGCGCGGTGGTAGCAGCACCGCCGGGAAGGAAGGTCTTTGCTCTTGTGAGAAGTCCCGGCTTAGGTTGGTCTTTGGCGTCTGCTTTCTCGTCCTCCTCTTTCTGCTCCTCCTCTTCGGCGTAGATGCCCAGCGAGCGCTCTTCGTACACATTTGAGTTTCTCATCGTGATCACCACTGGGTAGACGGAGATATACATCATCACCACGTACAGCACTTGCAAGCTGACACGTAGTGATGGAATGACCACCACGTAGAACCCGCCACTACGAACTGCGATCGCCTGAAAGAGCCCATCCATGACTTGATATTTGGTGGGTAGATGGTCGTTCAGGTCAGAGTTACCGATATTCAGGATCTCGAACATGGCCCAGTCGACGCCGTTGAGCATGAACACCGCCAAAGCAAGCCACCAGGTGTGTTGCTTAGGGAAGAGGTTCGTGTAACATCGTCGCGGATGGTCGAGCAGAAACCTGAGTGTTGTAGCCCTCGCCTGCCAAACCTCGCTCCGGGCTGTACGATTCGCGATCCACTCCGTAACCTTGAGCATGCACCAGAGTATCAAGCGCAAGAAGAGGGGATAGCATGTGTTCCCGGCCAGAATAAATAAACCAATGGTCAGGAGCATGTAGTAGCTCCGCTGGAAGACGACCATGTTGGCATCCAGCAGGCTCATCCCTGCGTTGTTGAAGCCGGATACAGCGAGGAATGCACCCGCCCACCAAGGGCTAACAGCATTCACGTGCGCAGCGTCTGGCATGTTGAGAGCAACCCATGCGCCGCAGCCAATGCAACCAATGAGCTGCCACAGTATGAAGTAGGCTGGGACGAGCCAGGAGAGCAGCGACACAGCACGGTACTCACAGCCACCGAGCCGGTCCCGCTCCTCTTCGCTCAAGCCATGGAATTGGGAGTTGCGCGCTATCCAGCCGGTTGCCGTCTCGAAATAACGGGAGATATCGTACCGAGGCGACTGCGGCTTGGGTGGTGGCCCTTGGCGCTGGACGGTTGGGAATGACTGAAGGTCCGGAAGGGTGTTGGTTCCAAGAGTACTCATCGGCCGTGCGCCAACGCCCTGCATGCTGAAGAGTCCAGTCTTCCGCCGTCGCAAAGGTTCGGGGGCCAGGTAGGTACCAGTACGAGTAGGGACAAATCGAGTGTCATCCCTGAATTTGATGCCTGGACCACTTCGCTCACTCGATGGCTTCGATGGCTGGCCTTCGTCGTCCGAGACGTCTTCTGGCATTGGCTCGCCTGTCGCTCCCGAAATGCCGTTCATTTCAGGACCTCCTCTCCGGCCCGGCGGAGTCTCGTCACGCTTCTCGACACTCTGAGAGCTTACTATCTTGCCTTGCTCGTAGTCATCTTCAGCAAGCTCCTCGTCCTGGCCAGTCTCTCTAGACCTGCCACGGAGGCGACCATTAGCCCACGTCTTCACTCGTCCCCGTCGGCTGCGCCTTTCCCGCTCCTTGATGATCTTGAACTTTTCATCGAAAGCTCTCTTTCTCACGTGGACAACAAAAGCACTCACGAAGATGGCGCTTCCAAGCATAATTAATACGAACAGCAAGAACTGCTGAAAGGTATTCAGCGTGCTCAGGTTGACTGTATTGAGGCCAGCGAGAGTCATGGCCGAGACGGTCAGGAAGAGTGAGTCCGTGAAGCTGACGCTCCGGAATGGCGTACTCGAGCCCCAGAACAGCACGGCGGATAGGAGGCATGTCAGGATGAAGTATGAGTAGTGAATCGTGATGAAGTTCCGTTCCGGTAGTTGTTGTCGTATGAAGCGAAGTGGTTTGTTGAGCGGGCCCAAGTTTGGGAGGGTGATGCGCGCCATGGCTGAGGGAGTGTTGTTGCGTTAAAATGACAAATGGAAGTGTATTCTCCAAGACACAGCAAGTCCTACTTGTTGGTCTGATCTCCAGGGACGTCTTATCCTGATGGCCGGTGAAAGACGATTTTCAGCGTCGAGGCTGTCCTCGCGGTGTCGTTGGTTGGGTCCGCCGATATTCCTTCAGTATGCCGTGGCCTGGGTGCCGGTTCTCCACGTGAAGCTGGACCCTCGACGCCGCTACAATTCCATCCTACGGACGCCGTCGGACACTGGATGTTCGTGTGTCGAGATTCGAAGAAGGATTCATCCTTTAATAAGGGGAACAGTATGCAAGAGAATGGTGAGGTGCAAGATAAGCGAGTTACGAGAGGCCCCCTACCTATTTTTGTTGTCCATGCCAGCGCTCTCTGGCTTGGCACGTCGCGCCATCCATTGCTGAAATTACTGGCTGCGCGCCTGATTCTCCTTAGGAACAACACTCTCACATGCAATCATTCAAAAGACATCGGGATGAAGTCACATCATCGCCAAGTCGGCGTACGGTTCGGCCAGAGGATACAAGCCACAGGTGTAGAAAGCGCCATCGCACAAGCAAGCAGCGGCAGGCGTTGAACCCACATTGCACTGCCACTACTTCCTGACGTACCCCTCCACCTCGGCGGCAAGAGTTGTTGGTTTGGCAGGCAATCGAAGGTAGGTCCTGGGTACGAGACTTTCTGCTACACGTTTCCTACCACTTCTGCGACCTTCTTGCCATTGAGGCTGTTCAATCGCCACCTGCAAGGCGACAGCACTATTTACTTTGTCCGGTTTTCCTTCCAATCCTCCTACGAGCCTGATACGAGCACACCCCGAACGAACACTCGCAACTACTACAACGCCAAACTGCGAATTGTCTAGACACCACCGCAATGGCTGGACACCACGATCCCAAGCTGTTGTACGCCTTCAATGGCATCAAAGCGTACCACATCCAGGACGGCGAAGAGCATTCCCTCACGCCCTCCGGACCACAAACGCTGTCTCTGTTGATGGTGCCAACGAACTCGCCTTTCGCTGACCTGTCGACTACGATACCTCAGAACGAGATACCCGATGAAGACTTCTACCTCCATCTCAATCTTCCACCCGAGCTGGACCTGCCAATGCCAGCGACGACACAGATCTACCACCAACCACCTTCGTCCTACCTCATACCTCGTTGGGACCTCGGACCTAACATGCACGCCTTCACGAAGATCGAGTTTCCGAGGATAGGGTACGGCGCGACGCAGGAGGACATTGATACGTTTGAGACAATCCTCGCGCAGTGCACGGCGTTCCTTGAGCGCGCGAAACCGCCAGTGCCGTCGCGACCAGGCGAGAAGGGAGCGTACAACCCTGCAGACTATGGTCCAGGTGGGAGATACTCCGACAGCAAGACGCATGATCCAGGTCAGATCGTACTGGTCGACGAAGACGACGGATCCGTCGTTGGCGAGCTCGGAGGCGAAGCCCAGGTGGTGGAAGACTCGCGCTTGAAGATGGGCAGCAAAGACCCTGTGGAGATACAAGTCAGCCAAGACGGAAAGCGCATCGATGTGCGACCCGTCAGTGAAGACTATCTCCAAATGGCGCGGCACCCGGCATACAAGAGCAGCACCCTTGTTCAGAACGCAGCGACCGCGTCCCGCCTGATCGTCACTGGCAGCAGCTACATCGGCAACGTGCTGGCCTCCGGCGCGGAGTCGTTCACGCAGAAGACCAAGCCCAATGCTAAGCCCATGGAGTTCAGTCCTGCCGCCCACGACCGCGTACGCCGGATCAACACCTTCACCAAGAGCACAGCCGCCCTTAGTTCAAAGACCGTGGGCCGTGTTACCGACATTGCCCAGAATACCGCTGCTTCCATGTCCGGTCATAAGAAGAATCGCGCCAAATCGGGCTTTGATGAGAAAGGCAACCCACTTGCCGAGGAGCAATACAAGCCTGGCCTTCTCAACAAGAGCATGATCGCCTTCAGTACCATCGCGGACGGCATCGCTACTTCGGGCAAGAGTTTGCTTACGACGAGCGGTGCGGCAGCGAGTACTGTCGTGGGCCACAAATACGGAGAGCAGGCTGGATCTATCACGACTGATCTCGCTGGTGGCGTGAAGAATGTCGGGCTCGTGTACATTGACGTGGCTGGCGTGTCACGTCGCGCCGTCATCAAGAGCGTCGCTAAAGGCATGGTGGTCGGCAAGGTGCGTGGCGGCGGTGATGTGGTTGTCGGAGGTGGTGATGGTGGAGTGGTGCCTGAGCAGGACATTCAGAATTACCAGGGCGGTGGGGTGTCGAACGACAACCTACAAGGCGGAGGACCAGCCCATGGGCCCTCTGGAGGCGAGTACAGGCCGGCAGGATTTGGAAATGCCGCACCGCCGCGATACCAGGACTATCCAGCGGGCAAGAGGTGAACGTGAGTGGTGGATGGGATGTGTAGCGTACATGCGAGATGGTTTATGAGTAAATGAAGTTATGGGGCCGATTGATAGATGTTTTATGCAGCTGACGTTTATGAAACCATAAGGATTGTTGCTCTTCATAAGTGTCGTCCGCTCCTTCCTCCAATACCATGGTCACATGTTAGCGTTCACTAGCGCGATCTCGTACTTGCCTGATCTCGACTTCACGATCTCACTTTGTGCTTCTCACACTCCATCAATACCACCACAAACTATGCGCAAGCGCAGAAGACCACCATACGATGTCGACCTTCGACGGCAAGGTCAAGGAGTTCCCGGACGTCCGCATCGACTCCTTTCGAAATGAGCCCAACTCACGTCCGCCGCTGGCCTTCTTCCTGAGCCATGTCCATTCAGACCATTTGCTTGGCCTTGAGACATGCAAGTCGCCCTTCATCTACTGTTCGCCCGGAACACGCGACATCCTCCTGCGACTCGAGAAATACCCGCATCGCATGAACTTCGCAAAAGGGATCCTGGAAACCCGCAAGCAGACGTATCGACATCTGAAGAAGCTGCTAAAAGCCATTCCGCTCGAGACACCAACCGTCATTGAGCTGTCTCCAGGGAGCAAAATCCGCGTCACTCTTTTCGATGCCAACCACTGCGTTGGCGCCGTCATGTTCCTGATCGAAGGTGGCGGTAAAGCTGTGCTGTACACGGGAGACATCCGGTCTGAGAAGTGGTGGGTGGATTCCCTAACTCGGCATCCTGCGCTCATACCGTACGCCGCTTCGCCTGATGGAGGTGCGATCAAGACGCTCGATTGTATCTACCTCGATACTACCTTCGTGGTTTCTGGACGAGAAGATCCATACTGTCACTTCCCGTCGAAAGCAGAGGGTATCCGAGAGCTCTTGCAGAAGGTCTCTCAGTACCCGGATGATACCTTGTTCTACGTCGAAGCATGGACTTTTGGCTACGAGGACGTCTGGCTGGCGCTGTCGAAATTCCTAGGCTGTCAAGTCCACGTTGACGAGTATCGCCACGGTCTCTACCGCGCTCTGGCAAATGGGATAGAGCCGAAAGCACCTGAAGCTGTCAAAATGATCGGCTTTGCTTGCGGCAATCACTTTCAGCAAGGTTGTCTAGCCCAGCACTGGAACAGGATACACAGTTGTGAGAAGGGCACGAGTTGCGAGGTCTGGAGCAAAGGTAAGTATTTCAGCGCCGCAAAACCTGTGGTACTCAATACGAGACATTGACTGACCATATTCGTAGACTTCGTACGCATCACACCGATCGTGACTCGACATAATGGGGTCGAAATGGCAGAGCTCGGCACCGGTGGCGGTCAAGGCGATTTGGCTCAGCAGCATGAGCTTGAGTTTCTAGATCCCAGTTCAGTCGGCCAGCTGATGGCACTATGTGCAACCAAACTGCAAGGCCAGCCTCAGTTACTTGCCAGCGTCCTCAACCTCCTCGCAGGCGTAATGAAGGAGGGCACTTACAGCATCGACCTGGAAGACTTCAAACCCTACTGCGAGACGGAGCAAGCTGGCGGTGAGACACAGACTGACTTGGGGGACATGTCACTCGATAATTTGGTATCAACACTGGCTCGCCTTGTCACGAAGGCGAAGACTGGGACGGCAGAAAGCGTCAGGCAAAGCAAGGCCGCCACAAGACCTGTATCAAGACGTCGAGCTGATGGGCTGCCAACGCAGATCGTAAGTGCTCCACCGTTCGTCTCATCGAACAACGCTAATAAGGTCAAAGACGTTCCCGTACTCTCGCCACGCTTCCTACAACGAGCTGTGTCTTCTCGTCGACGCCTTCAAACCTCGCGACATCAACCCTTGCACTGTGGACGAAAAGCACTGGCGGCCACAAAGCTCTATGGGTGCATTGTTCGGGCACCTCTACAATGACGTCCCGACATTCACGCACGACGATACCATGTTCAATATGAGGCTGCCAAATGAGCCGATCAAGACAGAGCACACTAGACCAACTTCCCCCAGCGATGGTTCGGAGCCCGACATCGCATTGATGCAGCAGGCCAACGATGGTGGAGGTGTCCCTGTGCTGGTGCGTCAACCAGCTGTTGAGCCAATCGTCATACCGAGCGATGATTCGCAGGGCGGAGATCTCGGGGAGGAGCATATCCGCCATGTCAGTGATCGAGCACCTGCAGAGAACGACGAGCAACAGTACGGACTCGAGAATAACATGCAACCCGCCGCGACGCAAGTCTTTGGATGGTCCAATCGTGGCAGATCAGAGACACCTACACAAACGCGCAATGCAAGACGAGCGGAAAAGAAGAAACTGACATTCCTGAAAGAGCAGAACCTGCTCCCGTCGCAGTCCACTTTGAAGGATATGCGCCAGTGGGAACAGAGCAACGGGGACTGGATGGCCAGGATACTGCCGAAAGAGATTCTGGCACACAACATTGACCCGCCCGCCAGAAATACCGGTTCGAGGAGGAATGCGGATGGCACTGATTCGGTCGATCCATCACGTCGAGAACAGGAGCAGCTTTGGTCTCACTCCACAGCAAAACTACCCGTTCATCCGTCTCAGACCGACCTCTTCTGGCCGCTTGACAACGCGGCACGCTTTTTCGAGTCAAGGGAACATCGCGAGCTACGCGAAGTCCCATCCACTGCACCCACAGCCCGCATTCATCACAACGGGAACGACCAGCTGCCGTCTAAGTGGCCAAGTCTTACTGCCATCGAGACTCGGTCGGTGTCACCACTTCGCAATCGGTGGCTCAAACGGATGGCAGACTGTCAGGCTTCGAAAGATGACGAGCAACCTGCTGCAGTCGACAAGAAGCTGAAGCAAGACCTTGAGCCAGGTCGTGTCGTTCATTCGACCCGGCCGGGTACTGCTCAACGCTCGATGGAGAGGACGCCGGTCTCGAGTGGGAATGCTAGGCCAAGCCGTCACAGCGTGTCGTTGCCCACCACCATGGCGTTTCGCCTGGAAGCTGGAGACGCTGCTAAAGGTGTTGGCGGACTGAGCTGGTTCGACGTCGGCCTTGTCAGTGTAGGCGGACATCAGACGAGAGAGGAGGAGTTGTAAAAGGATAAGCATGAGAAGGCGTTCTAGGCATATGATACCCCCGGATTTGCTTTTTAGCTAATGCAATATTACGTCGGCTTGCATGTGATCGTCTCGTTCTCTCAAAACTGATTCTTCTTTGTGACCATACACCCTCTGTTGAAACTGGAACAACTACTATGGATTTCATATTGGGTCTGGGCCTTGCCCTACCCATCACGATGGGGACCGGCGTATCAGTCGTGACTGGGGTCGCGCAAGGCGTAAGCGAACAGAAGAAACAGAACGCCGATGCCTCCAACCAGACGCGCATGCTGAAATTCCACCTCGATGTGCTCGTCGATCCATCAGCGCGTAAAGGCAAAGGCGAAGAGCTGCACAACACCATCGTAACACTCCGAAACGACAAGTTATGGGTCGAGTCCAAAAGCCCAATCACCCGGATGCCGCAAGAAGTCTCCCACCACCCATTCACAGGCTTCTACGTCGCATACCCAGACGACAATCGCCCATACACTCGGGGACTCGTCAGCACCATCAGCGTCGACCCGCCCATGCTGAACTGGATCTACATCGACAAAGACACGCTCGAATGCAAGTACGCTTCGCGAAGTGGCAGCATCGCGCATCATGTGGGTAGCTACGATTGGACGAACGAGAGCAGCGAGAACTCGTGCATTACTTTTGACGAGTTTGAGGGGTTCATTGCAATGGAAGAGGAGAACGGAGAGTGGGCCTTGTACTTTGATTTGAACGATGATGGGTTGAAGGAGCAGAAGAAGGGGAGGAAGACGGTGGAGGTCAATTTGCAGAGGAGGGTTATTAGCGAGCAAGAGACGAACAAGTGGGGGCTGGCTGGGGAGGGGAATATTGGGTTCAAGAAGACCAGGGAGGTCTGAGCGGGCGGCATGGGGAGAGTTGTGTCTTGAGAGAAGGATACGAAGAACTGTTGAGGTCTGACCTTGCGGTCAGATTGGAGGCCGTTGCGCTGCCGCCCTGTTATCCGTGGGAGTACATGGTGTACTGTACGAAGCGGCCCGAAGAGAAGGAGGAGGAGGCCATGCACATGCTCTTCCGAGCTCGTACGCTGGTCTTGACTCGAGAGATTGGCAACATGTCAAGGATTCGGCAGCCAACGAGTCGTCTACTCGGCCACGAATATAACATGTGCGACGATGTTCGCCCAGTCCAGCCTCAGTCGAAGAACGCCGACATGCCACGAGTGACAGAGCAGCACTGAGGCTGGGCCCGTTCAACCTTAGCACCTCACCGACTGACCACGGTCTTTCTGGTCCATCCAACCATATATCACACCCCCCGCATGCTGGGTTCGGCAGAACTCTCGGGCTATGTTCTGTGGAAGGCAAGCTACAGGCGCTCCGCACCAACCGGCGAGACTTGTGGCCGACCATCAGCAGTAAAAGCCTGCGGAAACGAGCGTCTGTCAGCTGCAACAACGATCAGCATTGAGACGACACTGTCTATCGCGTAATCCGCGTACTCCAACTCAAGCTTTCGAGACACCAAGCCTGTTCGTCCTGTAGGCTTGCACAGAAGGGATCTCCATCCCTCCCTTCAGAGGGCTAGCATTGGTCAGTTGCCATAGGTAGATACCAAGACTGTCAACGTCCTGCATACCACTTTCAGTACACCTTCTTGTCCATACCTCGCTGTGATTGGCTTCACTGGATATGCACAAGAGCCAGGGCGCCGACAAATTGCGTGCAGTCGTTCCAACGCTGCTGCAGCTGTTCGAGCTCTTGGATCCCTGCCAACCACGCCTCCACGTCACAATGCCGTCTGTCGGTTCAGCGATCAACATTGGTGAGGGATTGATAAGAAGGCAGCAGTTCTCGGATACACAGTATATCAAAGCAACTCTACAGAACCATCTCGACCGAGGAAACCCGCGTCGAAATAGACGACAGCGCATTACGTCCCACAACCAACAACTCTAAAACCACCATGAGCAACAACGACGGCGGCAGCGGCAACAAGAATTGCTCCAACTGCGTACTGTCCCACCCGTCAACCCATCGTCGTCCTTCGTCGTCCTCTGCTGGGCTAACCGTTCGACTTAGACCGATTGTACCGACTGTACCAACTGCAGCAATTGCGACGATTGCCAGCGCTGCGACAAGTAACATCGATCCTCTCTACCATCGCGTTGCCCCCGGCATGACGGACTGATCTCGTCGTTCAGTTGCTCGAACTGTGATGGATGTTCAGACTCGTCGAATCTGAGTAATTGCGATGACTGCTCGGTATGACACCCTGTTCTGCCAACCGTTGTCTTTGTGTCAATGTCTCCTAAGAGGCGCAAAACCCTGTTATCGATGTGCTAAGGAGGTCAGGACTGCCGGGATTGCAGTAACTGTACGGACTGTTCGGGGCTTAAGAACGCGAGCAATGAGCATGGTCAGTCTGCAATGAGCAAGCATCAGCGAAGGGAGGAAGCTGACGTTGATGTTGGCAGGTGTCCACAACGACATCAAAGGCGACCTGAAGAAGTAAGAGGTAAAGCAGCAGGACGGTCCTCATGCGAGCAGAGCGTAGGCCACCGGTGGAGAGCGGAGAAAGAGAAGGAGGCAATGGTGCTCGAAGAAGTCAGATTACAGTATCACATTACACAGCTATCACCATCAACCTCCCACCGCCACTAAATATCTCTATCATACCATATCGATGCTCTCGTAGTCGACCAACCCCTCCCAAAGATCGCGTTACGTTCATCGTGTTTCTCGTCATCCAAAAGTGGCCTTGTAAATCTTCTTCGAAAAACAAATGCGTCCAATCCACCATCTTCAAGCAAAACAGGCAGGCAAGTGTTAGCTCACCACCTCCTTCTCGTTCCAATGCGGGCTGCTGCCCTCCCCACCCCCAACCGTGCTTGGAGCGTACGAGCTCTCCTCCTCAGCACCAGGTAACGCATCGTTCTTCTCGTCCAGCCCGCCGATGCCGAGACCGCGGCCGCTGGCTTCATCGTCACCTTCCAGCTCCGCGCTCTCGTCTAGATCATCCTCTTCCCGCAGCGCAGGAGGCCTTTCTCGCCTCGCCCGCGCTTTCGCTAGACTGATGGTCTTCTGGTTGTACGTCGTCGTCACCATGCCTTCGTCGTCCCGATCGATGGTCGCTTTCATCAGCGCAGCCATCCACAGCCGGCCTTCTTGTCGGGAGTTGACGGCGAAGTAGTGCACGGTGGGGCGAGTGAAGTTGACGCCTTTCGAAAGCCCGGATTTAGGCGGCACGAGCTTGAAGATGAAGATGCCCTCGTCGCCTGCGGGAGGAGGGTGGTGTTTGAGGTCTTGCTGCGACGTTGTCGATGCGGTGCTGTCTTTCGGGCTCGTGGGAGTGGCGACGCCGGTCATGGTGGCGTGCAGACCGGTGAGAGTTTCGTTATGCGCGGGTAAGACACGGTGGAAGGAGATGTCGATGAGGCCTTTCTCTTCGGTGTCGGTGTCGGAGTAGTAGTAAGACAGTCGGCGGCCTTTGAGGATGAACAGGCGAGGCTTCCAGGTCGTCATGAGTGAGCCGCTCTTCTTCTTCATCCAGCCGGAGTAGTCGCAACTGCTCATTTGTTCGGCGGGTGTTTTCTTCTCGAGGCCGCGGGTGTAGGCTGATGTGGACTTCTTCGTCTTGGGCTTCATCCGCTTCTGGCGTGCTGGTGGCGGTACGAGATTCGTTGCTGAGCCGTTTGAGGTTCGTGATTGAGCTTCCGACTTCTGCAACTCCAGACTCTGTGTCTCGGTGCTGGGTGTGGTAGATCCTGTCCTCGAAGAGAAAGGCGCACCCTCTTTGGTAGGTGAGGCCGTTATCTTCTCATTCCTGGTGATCGCATCGCTGATCGTCCTCAGGCCGGTGATCTTTGGCTTGTTGCTCGAAAAGAACGCAAACTTGTTACTGGAGGGACTGCTGGAACTCTTGTTGGCTGAATCGTTGCGCATCGCTTGGCTCATCGAGCTGTCCAGCGACTGATCGCCGTAATCCAACTTCGTCACAACAGGGCTTAGAGCTTCTTGTGCAGTCCGTGTCTGCTTCGCCTGTGGGGTAGGTGCTGTCACAGATCGCATGCTGTCGTACGTGTTGCCAACGGAGCTTAACCCTCCGAAAACACCTGACGTTGAGCCGTAGAAGCTTCCAGTCGCAGGACTGCTGGCACCCATCGAGCCAGAACGAATGTTTAGACTCCGCCGTTTCGATTGAGTAGCAGAGCTGCTTTGTCTTGAGTGCGTGGAAGGGGCGGCGGGTGGATTCCTTTTTGTGAGCACGTTCTTCTTGCCAGATCTGGAATCAGCATCGGTTGATGAGAAGTACCCACGATCGAGATCGTCAGGTGTGGTTGTCAAGAAGCTTGACTGCCGTTTTGGTGCTGCTGTATCTGCGCTCAGTGTGTGTGAATGGCCGGCTGAAGTGCCGTTGGTTTGTGGCTGACCGAGTTGCCACTTTGTATCCAGTGAAGGCTGTTTCCGGTGTCGCGTTCCACCATCCACGGAAGCGCTCGTCGAGTCGATGCTGGAGTGTCGTCGTGAATGTTGCATCTCTCTAATGATCTGTGCGGACGGTCGATAGGTGTTCTCGGGTCGCGAGAATGAGGTCATGCTCTGCAGAGGTGACATTCCATCGGTGCGGTTCGGCGCCTGAGTGCCGCCTGAATTTGAAGACATTGACTGCAGGGTGCTGCTTCGCTGAGGAGCAGCGATGCTCTGCCGAGCGGCCGGGTCCAGCGCACGCGGAAGGATCGATCCCATAGTTGAGGCACGATTTCTAGTCGTGTCGTTGCTAGTTTCGTCGCCGACGTTCGAGTACTCGGAATTGCTTCTAGCCACTTTTGCAGGGCCGCCAATCCGCACCTCATCTTGCAGGGCTCTGACCTTGTGCCACGTCTTCAGTCTCCGTCCAACTGGACCCAGATCAAATTCTTTCAAGAAGATGCTGCTCTGCTCCATCGCAAGTAGCACCTCGCCACTGATCTCTTGCTCCTTGAAGACTTCACAATGCGCCCTCTCCACTCCATGATCCTCGAGATACTCGGCCACTCTCCCAGGCGACCACGCCATCACTTCCTCTTCGGTGTGCGTCTCATGCTCCTCTTCATCCGTCTCATGTCCAGCAATGTACGAGAAACGAGCCAAAGGCTGAGGAGCTGCCGAGGTACTGCCAGTGTTGCTGCTCGCGCCGTTCGTGAACGGCATTCGAGGCACATTCATGTCGTTCATGTGTTCGTCTATTACCGATAGAGTCTCGTTCATGACTGGCGAGTCGACACTCATCGAATTGAGATTCTTCATCGTTGGAGTTCCCAAGGACGAAGTGGATGTCCGGAGGGCCATTGGAGATGCCGCGTTCGGCTGAGAGCTTGACGCACTCGCCGGTCGCTGTGCATTCGTCGTTGGCAAATGCTGTAGAGACCCGGTCATCCCCGTCGCATTGCCGTCTTGTGGTGTCTTCGGCGGTCCGTCGCTTCTCCGTCGCTGCGGCGCATTCGCAGCCATTCCCTTCGGCGCCGGAGTCGTATACACTACACATCATCAGCATCCCACCGACCAACCTACACATATGGCATTCTTGCTTACCCTCAGGAAACAGTCCTGTCTTCCCATTCGCCATATGCCGTCCTAGAAACCATCCGTCGCCAAAATCATCGTCCCGCTCCACCAGCTCGATCCTGTCGCCCTTGGCCAAGCTCAACTCATCCGTGCTCCTAGCCACGAAATCGTGAACTGCCAGCAGCAGCGACCCGGCAGGGACATGCTCCTTGACGGCTCCGGCCCTCGCGGCCATCTTCGCTCTGCGCTCTCAAGTGGTATCCAATCCGGAGCGGCGGAAGGGTAAGGATTGCGGGCGGGACACGCTGTCGGCGCGGACGTCACGGGTTCGCGACTTCATAGATACCTGTGTCGTTTTGGCGCGTGCGGGAAGGGGGGGGTATCACAGCGGTGGGAGATGGGGTCGCGCTGGACAGAAAGTTGCAGGATGCTCGTGACGTGGCGATCGGCGGCTTAATTGGCTGAAGGCTAATTGTACAAGTCAACTTTGCTGCACGCCCGTTGTTGCTGGGCGAGAAGGATGGATTGGATATCACGTGGCACTGATGGAAGACATTGAGGATGTTTCTGAGCGAGAGTCCTGAAATGATGATGATCTCAACACGGCCGGAGCGGAATCTTAAGTGCACTTGCTTCCGAAGCCATCCTGAGCCCGATTTTGAAGGCTGGGCTTCCAGAAAAAGATGCTTGTCCAACCACACTTCCGGGTCGCTTCTCGCTTCAATCTAGGTTTCCGGAGAACGTGGCACTCTCCCCTCGTGTTACAATCGTGTCTTCTGTTGTAGCAATGGCTGTTTGTTTGATTAACGAGAAGCCGCGTTATTACGATCCATCGAGCAGTCGAACGATGGAAAGCTTGTCTTCCATGCCTGTCGATCGTATCTCCAAACCTCAGGCGAGAGCGTCCAAGCGTCGCTGTCGACCGTCATTTGTCGGAAGCTACTACTGCACCTCGTCCCACGTTTGACCTCCAGGTTCGATGGACGTCCAGCGCATGTGCTCGTTGTCGTTGTCGCCGTGGTTCATGACTACCATGAAGAAAACGCCTCCATCCCGTGCCTCCAGTCCGTCTTCATGGGATCAAGCTATCCCGTGGCAGTCCAGCGAATGCGCGTGCCTTTAAACGCTGCCCATGAATGTCTCATGCAAGGCTGCGATATAAGAGACGATCGTCGCGACCCATGAGCGAGCCCAAGGATACATTGTTCTACTCGCATGGGCGGTATCGCGACGATGCCTGGCACAGGACATACTCCGAAGAAGAGAAAGACTACGAATACGCCTACCACAGCGGATGATATTGCACAAGCCAACTCGACGGCGCAGCTCTTTGCGGGGGCCAGGCAGAATAGATGGATGTTGCAAGACCAGAACATGTCGTTGCAGTGGGGCGGACCAAGTCTTCATCGGCCACCCCACGAGCAGGTCCAGGAAAGGTCGATATCGAATGCACAAGAGACTCCCTCCGGTATGGCGACAACTCCCCGCGAAAAGGGCAATATGGATGGACTACAGACAGGGCAACAGGCGTCTTCGACGTCGACAAATACCGACAACGAACTTATGGCCGGCCTGTTCGACTTTACCGTCTCCGAGAACCCTACGACAGTCGCTCCTTCCTTCTTGGTTGACTATGGCACGCCCGCCACCACGGCAAGCGCGACGCACGAGCCCCCGCCAGCTCAAAATCGCGCTATGCGAACATCCTTCGACGTGACAGCAACAACAGCATGGCAGCAGCCAGGGTTGCCATCGCCAGCCTTGACCGAGAGGAATATACGTTCGCCGGCATTTGCTAATGCTGACACCTTCTTGCAGACTGCAGGCTCATCACACGCGGCACCGCCGCCTCAGAGGAGAGGGCCTGGACGGCCTCGCAAGCCTGGTCATCCACCACCAGACTTTCTACATACCATGAACGGAAACCCTCCCCGCAAGGCGGGCCCAGTGCCTCAGCACCAACGCCTCCCATCACAGACCAATATCCAGCCCAGGCCAGCCACCCAGACGCCACCGAATGTGAACCCACAGAGCCGGAGCCGGACGCATCCTACTCTACCGGAATTCGTGGCCCACTGCAAGGAACTAAAGCATGTCAACATGCGCTTCAATCTTGCGCAGTTCAGGCAGGAGTGCCACGACCATGGGCAGACACTCAGCGACATCGACCAAGGAAGGCTCATACTTTTGAGCAACGCCGTCGAGGGCACCGACTGGTTCTACATCACCTTGAGCCAGATTGTAGTTCTCGCGGACGATGCCAAATGCCTGCCTCAGCCCGCGAACGAAGTCGTCTACCACACCTGGAGATTCCTTGATACGCTACTTTCCAACAACAGCGCTGTTTCTCAACACGTCCTTGCGTTCCTCGGACGGTTCCCCATGTCGCTGGTCGGCCTATATGCGTCCCCTGACAGCGTTCGGTATCAGCGGCAACTGTGCGAGGTTGTCGAGTTTGTGAAAGGACTGCCGCATAGGTTTGGTCAGTTGGCGCAGGACTGCAAAGACCGTCTGGCACCACCGCTTGTGGAGGAGATGTACGATGCGCTTGGTTCAGCTAGTTGCGTCATGCAGAGTACCATCTTCCGAGCAATCACACGGATGATCTGGGAGCCTCAGCCTGGTGTCGATCTGAACAATGGGATCGGGGAGTTGGAAAAGCTCCACTACCACAACCAGGCTTTCTTCTTCGCCAACGCTCGTCGCAACCGTCAGGAGATGGACGCAGCCATCAATGCGATGAGACAAACATTCTTCGCCTGGAACGGCCACGTTAAGAGCATGGCGCAGTTTACTGCATACCAAGCTCAGCTGGCCCCGTCCCAGCGCAGCAAAGCACCAAAGTTTGTCTGTCCACCTCAAGCTGTCGCAACATTCCAGGCTACGCCCTCGCTGTCCACTATCGTTGAGCAGCTAGACGGCAGCGGAAGACCACCGCAGCTCCCTTCCGTACAAAGCGCAAGCCATGCAATGGACTCGCGACCGTCACCTACGCAGTCAATGCACCCACACAACGCGGCAAACACGAGGGCTGCTGGCATGCCAACCACGAACCAGCGGGCTGCGCAAAGGAACACCACTCCGGCGCAGCCTAGCATGACCCTGGCATCCAACTCGGCCGCTGTCCATCCATGGACTATCGAGTACCCGCCTCAACTGCAACCTCCTAATCCGCGAGTCTACCTGTTCCCACACGAGCGAGACCCGCCCCGTGCTCAGCCAACCGAGCCGGACACCACTCGTAGCGGCCTTCATCAAGCTCACCTCAGGAGTCCTACGCTCAAGCCTCTCCATCCTTTTGCAGGCTGCAATCTTTACCGCTATGTCACCGCCTATGCTGTCCCACCAACGAAGATCAACCCGGACCTTCCTGTCAGCCGCATCACCTTTGAGGCGACACCGGAGGATGTTGAGAGGACCCCAGCTGCTGTACCATCCAATATCGCTGGAGAGCCTCCCAACTACTCCCTCGACAGAACCTCACAACAGTACCGTCTGCGCTGCGTGGCCGTACCACCAAACGATTTCCCTGACGACCAGTCGTCCATCGAGGCAGAAACCTTCTGGCCGGACAACTTGTACATCGACTTCAACGAAAAGATGGTCGAATCGCGTAGGAAGTTGCATCACGGCCGCCACGCTCCTGCGGATCTTACAGACCGTGTGTATGAAGGCGAAAACGAACTGAAGATTGCGCTTGCTCGTACCAGCACCGACACCCATTCTTTCAACTACGCTCTGTCCATCGAGATCGTGGGCATCATGTCCCACGACGACATCATCGCTGGTCTCGAATCCAGAAGCATCTCGGCTGCGGACTCGCTTGCGGCGATCAAGCAATCTCTCTCACCTGGCTCGGACGTGGACATGGACGACGACTTCGCCATCACCTCCAGCAGCATGGTCATCCCCATCTTCGAGCCCTTCAGCGCCAACCGCATGGTCACGACTCCCGTCCGCGGATCTGGGTGCTTACACCGCGACTGCTTCGACCTGGAAGCCTTCCTCTCGACTCGCCAGCGCAAGGCGCCCGATCAACCGACTGTGGTGGACTGCTGGCGCTGTCCGATCTGCCGTAAGGACGTGAGGCCGCACACGCTGGTGAAGGATGGGTTTCTGGAGGAAGTGGTGCAGGAGCTGACGAGGCAGGGGAAGTTGGATGCGAGGGCGATTGTGGTGGAGGCGGATGGGAGTTGGAAGGTGAAGGCGGAGGTGAAGACGGGGGTGAGGAGTGAGAGTATGGAGAGGGAGGATTTGGTGGGTGCGGGGAAGAAGAACGGGAAGGAGATTGAGGTTATTGAGTTGGATTGAGGGGATGGCTGACGGAATGTTTGCATGTGACTGTTGTTTGTTCTGAGCGAGGTGCTTTGTGGGCGTTCTGGAATGGTTGGCACACCACTGTTCGATGATACCATGGGAAAGGGATTGCATGTGACTGCTGTACGGATGATAGTCTAGCTGCTGAGTAGAAGAAGCCTTTGGACTTCTCGACATCTTCTCCGTCTTCTGATTTCGTTCTATGAGGTGCTGACACTGCTCATAATATTCTATCGCGCCAAATCCTTCAACCTTTCGAGTACAGTCACATGCAACTCCCACCATCCCGCGGCGCCACCTTCCTTCCCAATCGAGCCATAGCGCCTTCCTTGGCCAGCCAAACGTCACCAGCCGGCGATCACCGATGGAACGAAGTCTGTTGCAGAAGTTGCTCGTGTGCCTTCATTCCTGTTCCTTTTTCTCTTCCTTCGAAGATCCTTTTTCTAAAGTACCTGAGCACGCGACAGCAAGTTCCCTCTTCTCGGACATCTTTTCCTACGAAGGTATTGTTGGTGCCGCCTTTCTGTTCATATCTCTACTTCTTCTCTCTCCTTCTCTTGGACGGTCCGCTTGGTTTGTAGGATCGTGGCGCGCTGTGCTTGCAACGCAGAGGCGTGTGTCAGGAGAAGAGCAGGAAGCCTTGAGGTTGTACGAGAACGGCATAGAGAGGCGCATTCAAGACCACTAGACGACTTCCATCGAAGAAGCAAAGAGCGACGATCATAATGGCTTTTTCCTGGCTTTCTAGCCTCAACCCGATCAACTCTTTCCCGCCATACCACGGTCCCTATCCAGTCGGCACCATCGACGTCGAAATACCCGCCTCCGACCTCCCCTCTCCCTGCGAAGTCCCCGAGGACGCCCAATCCACGATAGCCTTCCGCATCTTCTATCCCTGCGTCGCACCCAAGAGCCACGAACACAACAGACCCGTACGATGGGTTCCGCAACCCCAGCGCCTCACGATAGCAGCGCTGATGAAATTCCTCGGACTCAAAGATCGGACGGCGAGTGCGTTGAGCTACCTGCCCCAGCAATTCTACTACATCAAGCTGCGAGCACATCGGAACGCGAAACTGCTCGATGCACCCACCAGCAATGGTCGGTGGCCGGTCACGGTGTTCAGCCACGGTTTGGCAGGGAGCAGGAACTCGTACAGCTATGTTTGTGGGGATATGGCGAGCAACGGGACGATTGTGGTTGCGTTGGATCATCGGGATGGCAGCAGTCCGGTTCAATACGTGCGAGGGACGAAGGACACGCAGGAGAAGTGCATACAAGCGATCAAGATCAGTCATGAGCCAAAAAAGGAGGTTTACGAGGCGAGAGACAAGCAGTTGAGGATCCGGCTGTGGGAGATTAGCGTAGCGTTTGAGGCGTTGATGAAGATTGATCAGGTAGTGGCAGTGGAGAATTTGGATTACAACACAGGCGCAGACCGGAAAGAGAGGGTGGAGGTACTTTGGCAGTTCGGTGGGAAGTTGGACCTCCAGAGAGCTGGAAAGGTGTCGTGGTGTGGACACTCTTTTGGCGCTGTTACGGTGGCACAGCTGGTGAAGACCATCTACTACTCAGGCGAACGCACGGCGGAAGACGGAAAGCCGCTCATTTCTCCGGACAAGGACGCTGCGATACTGCACCAGATCACGCCCGAGTCGCCTACCCTGCTGCTAGACATGTGGGGGCTGCCGCTTCAATCGCCAGACCAGGCCTTCCTCTGGGACCGACCACTACCTTCGTACGCAGCTGGTGGCCCGCAAGGATCCAACGTCCTCTCCATCCTATCCGAAGGCTTCTTCAACTGGAAAGCGAACTTGAACGTGAACAAGCACATTGTCGCCGCCCCTTCTCGATCGTGGCGAGACTCTCCGGCACACCGTCCAGCGAACGAGAACGGAAAGCCACTACCGGCTTGGACGAGACTGCGGGACCAGTCCCCTGGTCAAGATTCGGGATACGCTTCCCACGGTTCGACATCGCGAAGCCCATCTGCATCACCTGCGACGAGCGCAGATCGTGCGGCACCAGAGCGACAAAGCGCACATGTGTTCTATGTTGAGCACAGTCAGCACTTCAATCAGTCAGATTTTGGTGTCTTGTTCCCCTGGGTTACTAGGAGATTTGCGAAGGCTGAAGACCCGGAGCGGATACTTGATCTCAACGTCCGGGCTATGATGCAGGTCCTTCGTGGGTCTGGTATTGAAGTCGCTGGTGACAATGACCAGGAAGTCCTGAAGCAGGAATCTGGAATTCATCGCTGGGTATCCATACCGCTGGAGGAAGAAGTGGTCGACGCTACTGGAGAAGGAGCGATCGAGGCAATCGATAGAAAGCTGTCCGTTTCCGAGATTCAAGGCCATGCTGCGCCGACCGACACCACGAGAGAAGGTCAGAGAGAAGGTGATGCATTGGAGATGTAGCGAAGCATCTGCATATGATGAGACGCACGGTGTTTGGGGTTTGCTTTTAGATACCCGGTGGGCAGGGCATCAGCGGGAATGGCGTTATTGCATTGCAAAGTCCAGCATTCTGCTGGAGACTACAGTATATACTGCCCTGTATAGATCTGTTCATGCACCTCATTGACTCTCAATTGCTCCGAGTCAGAAAGCATCAGTGCTCACCGCCCCAGATTCTGCCGCTCTGCGTCACTTCCAAAAAGTTCACGAGCTCCTCGCTTTCCTCTTCTTTCCCTCAAGCACCGCCCTCACCAACGCTGCGTTTCTTTGCTCACAAACCGACGACGGTCGACGCACGTGCATCGACCGCCTGTCTCATCACAAACGGCAAATGAGAAATTCGGAGTAATCTTCACCCACAATGCCACCTCTTGCTCGCAAGAGTCAGAGCTCTGGCAAGCTGCCCGCGAGGGCCTGCCGTGACACTCACGGTTGCATTCGGCATCAGAAACTTCAGCGCCGCACGGCTCTTCTCTTTCTTCTGGAAGGGGATGAGTTTGTGCGTGTGGCTATGGGAGCCGGTGCGGAGATTGTGTGCGCCTGTCATGGTGCGATCACTTTAGTGCAATACGCGGCGTACTCGACCCTTCTGCTGCTTTTGCGCGAAAGCGTGGGTGGTGGAGGGGGACGGTATCATTCGATTCCGATTACTCTGGTGAGGGCGGTGCTTCAACGTTCTTTTTTGCAGGTGAGTGGTGGTTTTAGGCTTGCATTGGGCGAGGATACTACTGACTACTTTTAACTATGTCTACTCGTCAAGTACCCGTACGCTCGAGCTTCGGAGACGCCATCGGTGCCCTCGGTCACTTTCTCCGGCGGCGGACGAGGAGGGGGATCAGATGCTGTTTCGTCGAAGAGGGTATACATCAGATCCGTCCGCATGGTGTACTTTACGCCCGAGACCACGTCTTCGCCGCTATGCAGTAGGCCTCGATGTTGAAAGAGCAGGATGCGTCCGGTCTTGGGCTGGACGTCGATTCTGCGTCTCATGTCATGCGCAAAGAAGGTCGTGGCTCCACCTGTCAGGACGGTCTGGACGTCTTCCGTCCGCTGCTTCTCGCTCATACCTTCGAGCTCGTCCTCCGCGACGACTCCCGCGTCATTGAGGTAGAGGTGCATAGTGAAGTACGACCTCTCCTTCCGATCTGGCGTTTCGTACACCCCGTCACAATGGGCTCTGAAGTACTCTCCACCGACATACTTCAGAAACCGCATGCGCTCATTCGGTCGAGTGAACTTCCACACCTCCTTTCTCTTCGCCGGTCCGACTCCAAAGATATGAGCAGCGTTCTCCAAGCGCGCAATCTCTTGCACGTCGGGCAGATGCTCGATGCGCTTCCAGATTTTGGCGACCATATCTCGCGAATCCCAGATGATCCGTCCGCAGTTGCGTGCGTCGAGAATGAGCTTCTGCTCACCCATGCCGACGTTCACCATTGCTCGTTCCCAGCCTTTGTCTGGCGCCGTGGCTTCGGCGGCGCGGAGGAGGGTGTTGCATTCCTCGTGGCTGAGGACGTTGTCGAGGATGACTGCGTAGCTGTTTTTGTATTCGGGGAGTGTTGTTTTGGGAAAGTCGACGCGGTCGACCGTGATGTTGGGAGCTGGTGTGGCGAGGAAGTCCTCTGGTAGCGGCGCGGGAAGGGAGGCGTCGTCCATAGTGGCCAGTCTGCGCGAGATGTGTAGATCTGCGAGGAGGGTAGCCTAGCAAGATGGAGAGTGCCAATATATGTCTTTTGCACATCGGTGCCTTATTGAGGACTGGCGATCTTCCGGTGTGACTCGAAAGGCGGAGCTTTCAGTGCTCAGCCTCTTACCGCCTTGTGAATGCGGTATCCGTTGGACACTCGTAAAGAACGAGTCACGATAGCATATATGCCAGAACTCATTGTTAAAACATCACTTGTCGCCTAGAAGCCTTTCTCGTTGCCAGATCATGTGTTGATGGGCACGACAAGGCGGCGGCGAAAATCGGGCAAGAATCACCCTTCTTTCAACAACATGAAGCTCGCGAACTTCACTCCTGCTCCATCGACCGCGACTTCGACGTCCATCTTCGCTCTCGCATTCCATCATCTTCCTGCCACGATCTTTGAAAATGAGCATCTTGCTTGACGTCCAGCGCACCGTCGAGAAGGCAGGGCGGGCTCTTCTTCCCACGGCTGAGACTCCTTCGAAGACATGCTACTTCATCAGACCGACCACATGTACCTGACATCTGCGAACGCTGCTTCGCCGCAACCATACAGAGGTCGCGGCGAGAGTGGCGTCAAACATGGCCCGACCGAGACAGCAGTGCGTCGAACATTGACTTAGTACAATCTCGATGGTCTCATGGCATACATGTAGAGAGTAAGGCTAAGACAGCAATTTTCTATACCAACACTACTCATCTCATCTCCTTGCAATATCATAACCTATCGCCTTCATCATTCTGCATTCCACCTTTCTTTACCTTCTAAGATCATACAACGCACGTTTAGAGACACAATAGCTCACAATGACAACCCCTCGAAGAAGTATGCTTGGGCCCATTCACTCAGTGAATTCACAGAGTTGCTTGACTGACCATCTCATAGACCCCCTGCTTGACTCCATCCATGCTCCACAAAATGTTATCCGGCGCACGCAGACTTCAGAAAGGGGGAGGCAAACACGCCCCGGATCAGCACTATTGAACACGGTCTCAACCACGGAGGTCGTAAAACTCCTCATCCAACCCATGGTATGTTCAAGCCGGCACAGAAATCTTGTTGCTTGTTGAGCATGGTTAAGACGTTGCTGAACAACTCAATTGACATCTGCTGAACCCCAGGGTCAATACGATCCATCGGATGCACAGTACTATCAAGATTCTCAGCGACCAACTGGCCGAGTCGAGACAAGAAATAACCAGGGCCACGACACTCAACGCCAACTATATGGTAGTCCAGGGTGCTTACGAAGTCACGCCGCTTGAAGGATTTCCCACCGTCGGATCGGAGACAGAATGGGTTTCTCATCTGTCAGATGCAGGGCAAGACAAGCACAGAGCAGCACTCGATGTGATGTCGGCTCGGCGCATCCAAGAGAACGCCCAAACCGCAGACATCCTCCGCACAACCAACAAGCAGCTTGAAAAAAGGATCGCAGATGTCGAAATGGAGCGGCACTTCTGCCACCAAGCTGCATCCATCTTCAGTGCGTACCTCATGCGTGTCACCATCGGATCGTACAGTGATCCAAAGTTGGCTTATCTCGACCACCTCATCAAGGAGGAAAAAGGAAGAGTCCAAGCCGGTGGCGATCGCTTTCGTTTAGAGAGATTCCTCGCCGACTTCTTCGTACAAATGGAAGAAGTGCGCTGTATCATTGAGTACATGCAGTGCTTGACGGCAGGGATTATGCACCGTTGGAAGAGGATGCCATCGAGCACCTAATTGTCCAGCTTTTCTCACTGCAAATCAACGGTCTACAGCTTCAATGCACCGTGCTGTTTCTTCTGCGCATGCAACGTCGCTCTCAGGAGATAAACCGGGCAGATCGGGACAACACATCTACGCAGCGTGGCGACGATGTGGTTCCAACGCCTGGCAATGACGACTGTGGTACGACTATCAGCGGATTCGCTGCCAGTCTGCTGGCCGCGTGCGAGAGTCGAGATATATAGGGTTGTTTACTCTGTATACTCTTGTAAGGATGGAGCGGTCGGATTGGTCTATTTACTCTTCATGACATGACGCTGCTATGTTCTGCTCTGATGCAGGGTCTTGTCGGAAGATCTTGGTGGGTTTTGTTCCTGCAGCTGATGTAGGGGCTTGTACCTTTCGTCGTTTTGCTGTACTTGTCAAATGGCCTTGATTATCGGAGAACAACCTCACGCTAAGATGAACTGCTTGTGAATGCAACTGCTATCGAAATCAACATCCACCATAAAGTCCTTTCTCATCGCACATTCCAACTACTGCCCCCACTTTCACATGAAACACAGCGTGACGAAAAGTTCCTTGGCAAGGCAGAAGACAACACCAGACATCTTCGAGCTCTTCGCAAACAACAATTCCAAACTCTACCACACTTTCCTCACGTCACTGCTCCCAGTGACAACCACAACCACCCACCATGGCGTTAAACACCTCGCCATCACTCCTACTCCTGCTGCTCGTTGCAGTCATCCTCCTCACCCGCCCCGCTCACGCCTTTGGTGCAGGCAACATTGGCTCAGTAGCGAAGATCGAGGGCGTCAACTGGCGTCATGGAGACATTGAAGACACCTTGCTCACTCTGCTGACGGCACGAGCATGGAGACATGGCAAGTTCTCGAAGATGGACGTCAAGCGTGTCTACTTCGGCAACTGGTTGAGAGACTACAGCCAGGCAGTCGACGTTGGCACGGTCAAGTACGTCTCTGCCGAAGCCATTCGCCTGCTATTATGGGTCCTTGGGTTTATGAGCTTCGGCTATGGCACAGGTGAGTTCGAGGTCACAAGGGACAGGCTGGGCTGCTATCGGCCTGAAGAGCACATCGACAACCCGAAAGATTACGCAGACAACATCGATGCGAGGCAGTACGACAGGCGTCTACGTGGCCCCATCGACGAGAGGCGCGAGCTCAGCATCGACGAGAGGACCGGTCTGAAACATTACATTGCTACGGAAGACATTGGCATCACCACCTCTGCTGGAATGGTAAGAGACCTCTTCACGCGATGCATCAAGCTCGGTCGCCGCTACGGACAGAATGAGAATGAGAAGGACTTCTTCGAGGCTCTTCGACTGTTGGGCACGGCATCTCACTGTCTTGAAGACTACGCGGCCCACAGCAACTACTGCGAACTGGCATTGATCGAAATGGGAGAGCGCAATGTCTTCCCACACGTCGGCCGTCGTACGCAGATGCAGCTCCGGGGTGCTCGTCAACCAGTCTTCCCAATCGTCACTGGCACATTCGGAGGCGTTGACTTCCTTCACTCGGTCATGGGCGAGCTCAGCGACAAGGCCACACAATCTGAAATCCAAGAGCTCGAAGGCACTGTCAAGCAGTCAAGGCGCCAGGACACTAGTATGCTGAAGGAGCTTTTGAACAAGCTACCATCTGGCATCCTCGGCGATGAAGACCACGCCGGGAAAGCGGACCAGCTGCAGGCCAATGCCGCCTCTGCGCAGATGGAGAATATGCACATCTCGCCGAAGCAACCTGAAGCGTTCACTCGCCAGGTTGACATGCTTGCGAGGCAGATCTATCCGATTCTGGAGTTCCACGACAACCTGGTCAAGCACATCTCAGAGGCCATGGAGAAGATCCCAATCCTGCCGGACTTGCTGGAGCAGCTTCAGGAACAGGTCAACGTCTTCGTCTTCTCGTTGATTGCGCCCTATGTTCTGCCCATCGTCAACCAAGTCAAGACTGAGCTGCAGACCGGCTCAAGCGAGGTGATCCAGTCGAGTCAAGAGAAGCAATTGATTGTGTTTCACGACGACTCCTGCACCGATCCAACTCACAGCATGCTATCAAAGGACCACTTCAGCAACGTACTCAACGAGCCATGCGGCAAGATCGCTTCAGCTACAGTGGCATGGGTGATCCCCCAGATTGTTGCATGCTGGGATGACGAGAGCATCGACATCGACCGGACCTGTGACCGTATCATCAATGGCGTCTTCCATCATCCGGCCCTGCGCGATTACGGAGAAGATGGAGCGAGAGATGGACGCTCCGCGATGTTTGGTGTTGTGGAGAAATGGTGGGGTGAGCTCGACGATCGCGAGCGTAACCAGCTTCGTGGTCAGCTCAGCCGCGAGGGTGTTCAATCCGGTCGCAACCACAAAGAGGGCGTTCACGACACTGGCCATGGATGCGGCAAGCCCATTGGCATGCCTTCTTTCGCCACCAGCTCAAGCTCTGGCGCAATCGGAGGTCTTCCAGTTGGAGCTCTCATGGGCGGTCTGAGCTCGGTGATGGGAGGATCCAGCGGCAGTGGCGGCAGTCATGGGAGCAGCTCAATCAGCAACATGGCGAGTAATGCTGTCGGAGGCGGTGCCTTGGGTGGAATCGTAGGCGGCCTCGCAGGCAACATGCTCGGCGGAGGCTTCGATGGCGCCGACAAGCAGCAATACAGCCAGTCTCACCAGAACCGCGATGGGTCGAGGACCGACAAGGTGTTCGAAGCTGGTCATCAACACGGCGGCCCGCATCAGCAGGATCGCTATGGCCAGGCAGAAATGCGCCACACGCAACGTCAAGATGGTGGCTATCAAGACCAGTACTCACGCTACGAACAGGACGGCCGACATGGCCAGACGGGCTACGGCTTCCAGCAGACGACCGATGTGCGTCCCACCCCAGGCGGTGGCTATGCTCAGTGTACCGAGCGCCGCTATGAGCGTCCAGGCGGCACCTGGGATAGCGAGGTACAGGAGCAGCGAGTCTCGGCCTATGGTCAGCAGGAGTCGCATGAAGAAAGGAGGCACGGAAAGAAGAAGAAGGATGACTCTGATTCCGACGACAGCGACGACGACAGCGATGACGACTTTGAGAAGAAGCAGAAGAAGATGCGGAAGAAGGAGGAGAAGAGGATGCGGAAGCAGCGCGAGGATTCCGATTCGGACGAAAGGCGCGGTGGTGGAAGAAGGCGCAGTCATGGCAGCAGTGGGGGTGGAAGCCCAAGGCACGAGCGTAGGGGTAGTGGAGGAGGTGGGAGAGGAGGTAGGGGTAGTCGTCCCGGAAGCGGTGGTGGGCGGAACGACGGCGGATTCGGCGGCTTTCTCGGGGACATGCTTGGGGGAGGTGGAGGAGGTGGAGGTCATGGTGGACGAGGCGGGCATCGTGGCGGTGGAGGAGGGGGAGGTGGAAGAGGGCATCGAGGTGAGTCGACAGACATTGAGTATAACGAGTTTGAGGCACCCGATAACCGAGTGCAGGCCACTGAGCAACGGCCGGAATACGAGGTTGGCGCTGAGCACGGAGGGTCGAGCTACGGTCAGGAAGACCCGCATCGACAAACAGCGTTCCAACAGCCACCGGATGAGCAGCCGTCCTTCGACACCCGGACGACTTATGGAGAGCAGTCGTACGGCGAGCAACGTCCGTACGAGCAGGCTTCGTACAATGCACCGGAGCAATACGGCCAACAATATGCCTATCGAGACTACGAACAGCAGTCATGGAACGATCAGCAGACTTACACCCAACAGCCATCATACGGCGAGCAGCAATCTTACGGTGCTTACAGCGAGCAGCAGCAGTCTCAGTGTGGTGTTGACTCGAACGAGTATCGCGGAGAAGGCGGATACGATCAAGGAGACGACAGGTACGGTGGAACAGGTTACGGGCAGAGCGGACATGGCGATGACGATGGCTACAGTGGCGAGCGACGCTACTAGGGTGAGCATGGCATGAAGTGATGACTTGCGACGACTGAATGGTGCTATGACTGGCTCTGCGTGTTTTCATGATGAAGCGTAGCTGTTTAGAGAGGCAGAACTCTTGCTATACGGCTGATGATATCCTCCCAATCCAAAAATTCTCATTTTGGCATTTAAGCTGCTTTCCCAAGCCACCACTGCACCAGTTTATCGAAAGCTGGGCGCTGACTGTTCGATGCTGACTGTACGTTCAAGATCGCTAAGACATTAGGTCACACCTCACAACCATACAATAGGTGAGCCGACTCGTCGAAACGTCGCTCATCGAAGATACGCTCTCACCATTTCAACGGACAAGGTAACATAGCTATAATGTCCACCGACTCCAACCCGGCCGTCGCGGCGATCCAGGACAACCTCCACCTCATCTTCGAAGAAGCCGACGCCACGAAACGTCGTGCAGCCATCGAGCAACTATGGGCGAATTCTGAAGATGCCGTCTTCGTCGACCCCGAACGCATCTGGCGCGGGCACGATGAGATTGATCAATGCATCACTTCGCTTGTGGAGAAGTTCAAGGGGTGGGTGTTTGTTGAGATTGGTATGCGTTTGCTTTTCCCCATGACTCTGATAGATTGTGGTGTGCTGATTGTTGATGCAGGCGATGCGCAGCTCCTACCAGAGAAGGGACCGGATGGCGGTATGCAGGTCGTGAGGCAGGCGTGGGGCTATGGTCCACCAGGCGAGGAGCCGAAGGTGAAAGGGCAGGATGTTGCTACGTTGGTTGAGGGGAAGATTCAGATGTTGGTTGCGATTCTTGAGTAGATGCGAGGATGGAGGAAGAACACTCGACGTTAGAGGAGATCGAAGTATGTTTCTGAATGAGATGTGGGCATTGCTCTACTTCCTCTGCCCTCGCTCTTCCCGTCAAGAGACAAGGCAACAGCTACCTGTAGCTAAGCTCGAGTGGGCGGTGCGCCAGTGCAACGGGAAGATGCTTATTGGGATTATCTCATTGGGCCATTCACCTACTTGCAGAGACGCCGTGGCATCCATGGAGGCGACGATGGATATCGACATCGATGCGGCGTAGAATTCTGAAAAGGTAGGAACGTGATCATCTACGCCGCATCGATGTCGCTCTTGCCTGTTTCTAGGTCCGGCGCCCAGATGTGTGCTCTCGCCTCCCTTCCCGGTGTAAAAATGTCACTGACCCTTCCACTGCGCGCAATCGAAAAAACCACGCTGCATGCAGGACTCCGAGAACTGCCCTGGCTTCCATAAGCCATCCTCGGAAGTCGGCAACGCCTCCACGTGGCATGCACTATGGACAGAGATATGTGGAAGCTGGTAGACGACCGAGGACATGGCGAACATGCTCTCAGTGAATGAGAAGCTCGGGTTTCGTATGAAATTGAAAGACATGCTGATGCTTAGATTCAGTGAGAGTGCAGGGAGGACAGACATCTTCTTGAAACAGCTGCAGGATGTTGCCAAACGCAGCCATTGGTGAATGAAGGCCTCATCAATACCAACTATTCACTGACCTCCTTGCGTAGCATTGCGCCTGAGCCGCGAAACCCTCTAAGCTCTCCTACCTCTTCACCAAACCAGCGCGATGTCCAACATCAAAGCGAGCAACCCTACAGAGGCGGTCAGAAGCAGAGTAAGAGGCCGCTACAACGACGGCGAGAAGTCGTACGACATGACAGAACAACATCGGAAGGCACTCAAAGATGAGAGTCGAGCCGCGAGAGATCCTCGAGGTCTTTGGGCTGAGTGGGCCATGAGCGAGTTTGGCATTGTCGCAGGCCAGGGCTGGCCAGCCGCAGAAATCGTTGAACAGATTATGAAACACGATAAGAACAAGCCACGGTTGGAGATGCTGTACTGGCTGAAGCTGAGGCGGACTGATATGCTGTGGGCCTTGAAGATCGTGTACCAATGGGTGGTACAGACTGCTGGACGATTCGAGGGCAACGAATTTGCCGACCATTATGTCAGTCGAGCGCAGGCAGCTCTTGCAGCTGTCAAGAATGGCGAGGCGGGGAATTTGAGTGACAAGGATCTAACACAGAAGTTCTGGGAGGCCTACGGGTGTGCGTATTGGGTCCGGCGGTGGGAACAAAACGGTGAGGTGGATATTTGATCGTTCAGTTCGTCTTGGACGGTACCACCGTATCAGTGAGGCTGTAGTGCCTGCTGATGAGGCACAGCCATCCCAACGCCGAATCATGGATGGACTGGGCTTTGCTGCCAGTATCAGGTCAAGCACCGGTACACGTTCCTATGAACCAGTGGTTGGTCCTCCAGCTTAATCACCCATGGCAAGGAGTTGAGATGGAATGGTCGTGGTGAGAATGATATGTGCACAGCCTCAGAGGGCCATATCAAACTCCTTCTGTAGAATGTATGCCTGTGACACCGGCGACACCGTAATTCGCATTCCACATGTACGTAGGCATGCTCGACTGGTTCTTGCGGAGAAGAGACGTGGTGAAGATAGGGTTAAGCTTCCCCACGGATGAGTTGCACGTGATCGTCGCTGGAGCCACATTCTCGAGCTGATGACGAGATTGCGCCCGCTTGATCCACCGAGCTATACCTATTACGATCAATCGAACGGCACGATTCACTGGTCGTTGCCGGCTCAGCCTCCAGATCGCCAAACAATCAATGCTTGTTGGCTGCATCGAAGGCTAAGGCACTGCACAGCACTTGGCGGAGGCGAAGTAAATGAGATCATTATAAGGACGCTGGTGGCGCTTTCTGCATCTTTCAAGTTTCTAAGGCAATCAACGACAACATCACTCATACGGAGCAAAATAGCCGGTCGCCTGATATTGACCTACATACACTCCCTTGAGACCTCTGAGCAGCAGGAAACCCACGGCAACATCAAACACTTCTGGCCAACACCTAGGAATCCACCATTATGAGGGCGTCACAAGCTATCTTCCTCCTCCTGACCCTGGTCACATCCATCCACGCCTTCGCGCTCCCGGACGCCTTCGACGCAAGCGGCGAGAAGTTCTCAGACCTTTGGAAACGTAGAGGCGGTGGGGGTGGTCGCGGGGGTGGCGGGTTTTCCTCAGGCGGCGGCCGAAGCAGCGGAGGCTCAAGTGGCGGCCGTCCACCATCAACACGCGGCAACTCCAACACCGGTGGACGCACCAGCGGCGGCTCAGGACCCCAACCTCGCTCCTACCCATCTGGCAACTACTATGGCGGCGGTGCGCGAGTGCCCTACCGAGCCGGCGGCCGATCACCAGGCGGTGTCGCACCCGTCTTCCTCGGCGCAGGCGCTCTAGCGTTCTTCCCTGGCATCTGGCTCTACGGCGCATACCGCTACAACTACGATGGAGAATACGACTACCACAACCGGACCAGCGGCAGGAACGAGAGCCGACCGGTGGAGTGCCTGTGCGGCCGCTACCAGGAGTGTGGGTGCAATCAGAATAACAACTTCGATTATCTTACCGCCGTGGCCAACAACAACTCGATCTCGCGCGTGGCGAATGTGGACGGCGAGCAGACGCTCGTGATCAACGGTACGCTACCGAATGGAACAACGGTCGACAGTGCGGCGGGAAGCTACAGGCAGAATTTGGCGGAGATGAGTGGGTATTGGGTCGCGGCGGGGATTGTGGTGTATGCGGTGTGGTTTATTTAAGATGTTTGCAGTTTCGGGGGATGTTGCTTGGAAAGCGATCATTGTGGAGGGTGTGTCTTTGATAGCAAAGTCCTGAATGGTGGCGATGTTGTCATGGAAGCAGGATCACCAATACCGAAACCTATCAGAACTGAAACAACTTGTGTCCTCATTCACTATCCTCTACCAAATCGCCTCATCCAACTCAACGGCTCCCGATCTATCCACGGCCTAATGGCATCCGTAAACATCGTACAGTGGGAGCCCTAAAGGGATGAGCATGAAGTCTGAATGATACATTATCTCTTATGTTGCAGTCAGAGGCTTTTGGGCCCAGACTACGCCTCTAAGATCAGAGTCAGGAGTTGCCATGGGTTGCCTTGGGATCTCGAACTTACATATAGTAGTACGCATGATTCTTCCGATCGTTCAGCGCCGCTCTGAACTTGGCAATGAAGACTTGGATTTCCTCCCATTTCCACTGCATTACTTTCGTCAGCAGGAACAGAGCCCAGCCTTCGCAGCCTTGAAGGCAGTAGTAGTAGTTCCATTGGCCGATCTGCTTCATGAGCTGTGCAGTACCATTAGCACAAGAAGCGTCGCGGGTCGAGGAGTCACTCAGACACACCTTATCCTTCGTCCAGCCCCCAACCGGCAGCTTATACCACACCTGCTGTAAGTCTCGAAACCCCGCTTCCCGAATCAAACCCGCCATCCGATCAGGCACATGAAACGTCTTCCCAATCTTCTCCCCGGCATCATAGAACGTTTTGCTCCACTCGGCCATCACGTGATCCTCTCCCACCGTCCCATCATCGCTCCGGAACATGATATCCATATCCAAATGCTGGATCCAGCCACCAGGCGCCATGTGCTCGAACGCCTGCTTATAGAGAGCAGGCCAGTCGCCTATCGAACCCATAAGACAGCGTATGTGGATGCTAAAGCACAGATGGGTAAAAGGGTCAGCAAGTGTCTCTGAACTGCGAATAGCGGACGTAGGGTCTCAGAGCGCAGCAAAGTCTTTGATTGAGTCTTGGAGAAACCTTTCACCCATCAGTACTTACAAGTCGAAGTGGGACTTCGGGAAGGTCCATTCATCTTCTACATCGTCGATATTGAAGTAGCAGTTTGGGGAAGCCCAGGAGGACTGGATGGGGCTTAGGTCGATACCGTGGACTTCAGATTCGGGATAGGCGTCCGCGAAGTCTTGGGCCCAGATGCCGGTGCCGCAGCCGACGTCGAGGACGCGGAAGGGGGTTGAACCTTCATCCGCACTTAGTGAAGATGACTTGGTGGGATCCAGGGGAGCGAGATAGAGTCGGTTGTGGAGTAGCATGGTCAGCATGTGGTGGCCGATGTCGAGGGCGTCATTTTGTTGTTCATCGTTGGGGCCCCAGTAGTCATTCTGGCCGGAGCGAAACTTGTGCTGTGGGTAGAAGGCGTTGGTCAGTATTGATAGAGAAGAGAAGCTTCGCCGTGGTCATACATATGTCCGACCCCATTCTTCCCGGTGGCGGAGGATTGTTGAGGCGAGAGATGTTGTGTCGCTTTGTCTGCGAGTCGTTAGCAAAGCTCATGCTGAGATATGGCATGCTTTTCGTTTCGCCGGCCTCTGGGCATGGAGGACTAGGTATATGCTTACAAGTCATCGTCCTGTCCGAGCGCCGGATCCTCGTCGACCTCGTGTGCTTGTGGTGGGACCTGTCGGTCGTCAGTGAACCGTGTCTCACTTCCAAACTCGAGTCAACTTGCCACCGTCGGTGCCCCAGCATCACCCATGTCTTGCCCCTCTCGCAGACCGTTAGATCATTCTCTAGCCCAGACCGGACAGTTCGGGATGATCTTGATGCACGATATCAGGCTATATGTTAAAGGCGTCAGTAGTGTTATAGCGATCTGCCAATATTGCATAAGAACAAAGCAGACCTTCTACGTTTTGGGCGTCTCGACCTCTTCTATTTCACAGCGAACAGTGGTCGAGGTGGAGTCTGACCGCGAGGCTATTCCAACCAGACGGCTCCCTGCAAGCTCACGTGTCTGCCAACGTCCTCTTGACAGCTCCCACCCTGCAGCTTACCGTCGTCTTTGCATCTTTGTGCTTCCTCGCGAGCAGGGCTAGACTGGAAGTGCTCGAGATTGGTCGGCCAGAAGGCTCGCTTCTGCACGAACTGCAGCGGCTTCGAGCACCCCGATTCGCCAACCACATTCACCATGAACCTCGCGTGGAGACAACCATGCATGCAGACAACAAGCGGCGTAGGCTAGCATTGCATGCCGACCGCCGGCATCGTGGAGCTCTCCACCACCGCCCTGGCATGCCGTCCACCGTATAACAATAACCACCCTCGCGGCCGTCGCCCAGCTTGGCCAGCAGCAGCCCTCGTGGCACCATGGCGCTCCTCGATCCAATCCTCGACCACAAGTGGGTCGTCCTCGCCGCCGCCCTGCTGGTATATGTGTCCAGCATCGCCGTGCACAGGCGCTTCTTCCATCCACTAGCCAGAGTGCCGGGTCCCTTCCTCCCAGCCGTGACGAAGCTCTACCAGTCCTACTACAACGGCCGTTACTACCTCCAGATCGAGAAATTGCACCAGAAGTATGGCCCCATTGTGCGCATCACGCCGGACGAAGTGCATCTCAGTGATGCGGAGAATTATGACAAGATCTACTACATGGGGACAAAGTACTGGAAGAGTCCAATTTACTACAATGCGCTCTGTGTACCGCACTCCACCTTCGGAACGCCGCCCAATGAGGTGCACAAGATACGGAGAGGTGCATTGAATCCAATGTTCTCGCGGCAGAAGGTGCTGGAGCTGGAGGGCATTGTGCAAGAGAAAGCTGAGAAGGTCTGCGCAAGAATGCAGCAGGGTGTAGACAATGGACAGCCGGTTGACTTGCATCATGCTTTCAGAGCGGTCTCTGTGGATGTCATCTCAGACTTTGCATTTGACAAATGCTATGACTTCTTGGAACGCGATGACATCGGCGCCACCTTCTTCGAAATGGCAAGAGGTATTGGCCCAGCACTCTGGGCTTTCCAGCAGTTTCCGAGTTTCCAGGCCATGGCTCTCAAGACTCCGCCGTGGATGGCACCATATATGTCTAAGCCGCTGGGCTACGTGACAGGCATGCAGATGGAGTGTGTGCGACAAATTGAAGGCGTCCAGGAGAAGTTGCGCGACAACAAGGATCTAGGCCGACAGACTATCTTCACGACCTTACTGACTGGTGAAGACAAGCCCGAAGGATACAAGATTCCGACAACTTGGCAGCTGAAGGATGAGGCGTACAGTGTCCTGGTGGCGGCCGCGGACACGACAGGCAATGCGATGACCGTGGCTGCGTTCAACGTGCTTCACAACCAGTCCATCTACCAGAAGCTGGTGGCAGAGCTGGAGGAGAAGTTTCCCGATCGGAGCCAACGCTTGTCGTTTGTAGAATTGGAGCGGCTACCGTATTTGGTGAGTGCTTGATGGCCAATATACATTGTCTGAAATCTGACAATGTCCAGACTGCAGTGATCAAGGAAGGCCTGCGCCTGTCGTTCGGCGTCGTCGGCCGCCTACCTCGTGTGGTGCCTCAAGGCGGTGCAGAGTTCAACGGCCACTACATCCCTGGCGGCTACGTCGTTGGCATGTCGAGCTGGATGATGGTAAGCCTCTCCTGACTCCTGACATTTGCAGCGAATTCTCCTTTCGAAACCTACTGACCACCTCCACAGCATCGCGACCCACACGTCTTCCACGACCCCGAGCGCTTCGATCCCGAGCGCTGGCTCAAATCACAGGAAGAGTTCCGTCGTCTCGACCACAACATGATCCCCTTCGGACGCGGCACTAGACAATGCGTCGGCATGCCCTTGGCCTACACTGAGTTGTACGTGACTCTGGGCACGCTTTTCCGTCGCTTTCCGCGCGGGTTGAGAGTTTTCAATACCACGCCGGAAACGATGAGGGATTATGAGGACTTCTTCAGCAGCTATCATCCGTACAGCAGACGCGAAGAATGGTTCAGAGCGTACATGGAGACGAGTGGTGAGAAAGCTTAGCTTACGCGGTAGGCTAGTATGGTTGAAATGCTTATGATACCCAAGATTATATGGAAGTGCTTCTGACTGATGCACATCGGTTAGTACCACCAATCTAGAAGCCATTCGAAGCTCCCTCTTGGAGTTCTGGAAGGTCTTCATCCAGGCCACGTTCTCGTATGGAGGAAGTGAGATGTGCGTTGTCGCGGCTGATGAGACGGAGAATCCGAGGAGGAACATCCCGAAAGCTGTGAGAAGAGTCTTCTGGCGGATAATCTTCTATGTCTTGGCCATTCCCCCGGTTGGCATGTGTATGTCATCCGAGGAGCCGCGGTTGTTAAACGCCATCGACAAGGGTGAGCCTGGTGTGGCAGCGAGTCCATCACGAATGGGGGAATTCCTGCTCTGCCGTACGCCCACCTCCTGCTTCTCCTACCAAACGTACGAATTAAGGATCATAACAGCTCCATCATCAACTCAGTCTTAAATTAGCCGAGATTCAGCCGAGCTTCGGCGGGCTACGTCAGAAAGTGCCAGTGTCTCAGGTCCAACCCTCGTCCCCTCCAGCTCCAGCGTACGGATTGTAAGGATGAAGAAAAATTATCATTTTAACCATATCTATTCGGCAGCGGAGGAGGGCGATGACCAGGAAAACTGCCCTTCCAACTCCACTCAATCGCGACTGACGCTTGGACCACCGCGTCGACTTCACGCTCTTCTGACAACACCAACCCCAATCATAACCCACTCGACACACTAGGATGTACATCACCATGATTGTGTGCCATTTTGCGACTACTGATCGTCAATAAGGTGCAGAGATGTCCACACCGAGAGGCGCGCACCGCCTAAATCGTGCGGGAAAGCAGTCATGCCTCTGAGCTGCCCTCATTTCAACTTCACTGGCCACGGGCTACCGACCGACTTCTGGCTCCCAATGGCCCCTCATCTTATATACAGAGATAACCGGGGCTCCACCCTCGGTGGACTGGGTCATTGTCCATTGCTGGTCCATCTAGGGACACGGATGCGGTACTCGTGTAAGGACAAAGGAAAGGTAGGAAATCAATGGCCATTTTCCCTGAGCATCTCGCATGTCAGAGTTCGTATGGTATCTTTCTTATGACCACGCTTCAACTTGCGCCAAAAGGTTCTCGAATCACGGTCTTGTTGATGCAATGGCTCATTCTCACCAGCTTTGGGAAACGTTCCTGGAGTGGGAGACGAATGCCTTACAGAACAGTCCCGACAGGTACAGCCTGATACTGTCGGATTGGATGAAGGCCCTCAACGACGAGTGGCGAAGAAAGCTGAATCATGACCAGCTTATGCGTGCCTTGGCCAAAGTCCAGCAATCAACAAGGATCGTGCAAACTTACCAAAAGAAGATCAAACACCGAGACCGCGACATCGCCAAGCACGAATCCAGCTCGATGGGAGCTCAGATCCATTGTCGAGGTGCGCTGGAGCATTGCATCAAGAAGAGTTTGGGAGCCCGAAGGATGCATGCAGAAAATCTCATCAGTTACCAGCGCGAGCAAAACCAACTGGACAGAGGTGGCTTTCCAGCAGCTAATAACAACTGTATGGCATACACAACGAAGTTGATTCAAGACAACGCGTTGGCTATTGAGCAGGCTGAGACGCGGTTGGCAGAGTGCCGGACGTGGCTTCAGCAGGCCGGATTGTCCGTTCATGTGAAGTACGGTGGGCGTGCAAAAGAGCATCCGGTTATGCATCCCCAGCAAGCGCAGAGAAGTGCATATGAAGCCCAGGGAGTCGCGCAGCAGCCTCGCGTGCTGAATGTCGACGACGCTGGTCAGCAGCTCCATGGTCAACTTCAGCAAGGGCAGAACGACAGACAGGGAAGCCAGCATTCTGCCAACGACGCTCGCAATCGCGACGACGATGACGGACCCGCAAGGCAGCAACCCGCCAATAATGCTCGCGACGGCGACGCTAATGACGATGATGATGACTATGGCAATAGAAGTGGCAGCAGTGGCAATGGCAATGGCAATGGCAATGGAGCAGGAGCAGGAGCAGGAGCAGGCGCAGGCGCAGGTGCACCCGGTGGCGGCAGGGACTCGTCCCGTAAGGACGGCGGCCGGCCGGACGATGAAGAAGACGACGAGGAAGACGACGATGAGAAGCAGAACGAGGTGCCAGATGAGGGTGAAAACGAACTTGCCGCAAATGGCGAGCCGCAGGAGCAAGTAGCACAATCACCCTTAGAGCCACCCGGGGGGTCGGACGACGATGACCAGCATCAGAACTTCGAAGAAGGGTTCCCTGATCTTTCCGACGAACAAGTCGTCAATCCATCAGCAGATCCACATTTCGAAGAGGTGTCTCCCGCGATTGCTGAAGAACAAGTTCTCACACCAGCAAGGAATCCAGGACGCCGCCATCGCAGTTCTTTCCTCCCCAATGATCCGGCACCGGGTCCACCATCTCGAAACTCAAGGCACACTCAGCAAGCAGGAGCCGAGGCGGCCGAGAACGGTGAACGTAGGAGAGATGTACCTTCTCGTGCGAGTTCTAGCGCAGCGCTTGCTGCCCTCCGGCAGGGCTCTAATCCTGTGCAGCACGCGGGCGCCTCTCGCAATGTCGACCAAAGCATACGACAGCCCGGGGACAGCAGGACGGATAGGCTCACCAAGAGAGATCTCGCTGCACACAAAGCTTCTTCCCCGATTGATGGGCCAAACAACCCTTCTGGAAGAAGCAATCTTTCTGCGATTGAGCACGCTGGCAGCGCTAATGCCAGCAAAGTTTCGAGTCTACAGGACTACTTCAGCCAGCTCAATCACGGTTTATCATCCAGAAAGAAGAGAGGCGGGAGCAGTGACGATGAACAAGACGGTGGTGCAGGACACAAACCTTCGAAGAGGCTACGCACTGGGCCAGCGAGTGGCAATGCTCACAATCAACCACCATCTCTCCCACGGGGTTCGGCCAGTGTCGCAGCTGGAGATGGCGGTGGGAGCCCACGCAATACGACCGTACAGATCAAAAAGATGCCTCCCAGCGCCCGGCAGTATGCAATCAAAGCGCTCAGCGACGAAAACGGACTCCCGGGGGTCGACGCTAAAGTCATACTGAAAAAGGTCAAGGAGTTGTGTGAAGCGTACTCGGAAGAAAGAGATTGGACAAAACTGCCACCCATCACCGAATACTTGACCGCCGACGGGTCGACCAGGGCTGGCGCAGCATCGGATGCACTTTCCAGACGTCTGTGGCAGCAGCGGTGGTTGAAGTTTTGCCACCAAACGGTTCGCTATCATCCGAGATATTCAGGGCTGACCCCGAGTTTCCATAAGCTGTTCAAACGCCTAGACAAGATCGGGAAGCATTTGGAGCCCCCGGACCTGGCGGGCGATCTAGACCCAGAGGCATTGCTCGAAACTTTTCGGTTACAGGTAGTCAAGCTTGAATACCCCATCGTTGAGAAAGCTTGGGAAGCGTACGTGGCAGGACTTGAAGATGAGGCAGACCGGGCATCGATAGAAAGATCATATCGCGAGGTACTCCAAGGTGCTATCGAAAGTCTGGGTGATCCTGAGTGGCCGCCTTCGGAGCAGCCTGGACACAGTCGCGTGGCAGCTCGGCAAGACGAGCCCGAGCAAGGTCAGCAAATCTCTGGGCAGCAGTCTCCCGGCAAGCTGATGCTTCATCAAGATCGCTGGCATGCATTCGAGAGGCGCCTCACTGGAGAAGGTAACAGGCATGACGCACGTCGGTTTGTCAGGTTAGGAGACTGTCTCCTAAAGAGTGGAGTGTTCAGGGACCCGCCCACGTTGCCATTCGATCAAGATTCGGATGAGCTGTTCGAGTCGTTCAGAAGCGAAGTGGTCAAAGTCGTGAGACCGCACGCTGAAAAAGCCTGGCGTGATCGCATCGAAACGGTTCGCGAACAGGAGGGAGGCGCTCGTGCTACGCTGTGGGAACAGGAATGGCAGAACGCACGACAACGAGAGGTGGATAGTATCCCAGAATGGCCACCCAGGCAGCTACAACTGGACTCAAATCTGCCACGCTATCCTGTGAGTAGTCACATGTCCGAGGCGTGGGAGTTTGCGGACGATTTGGGCTTCGACGGTGAAAAGGCGAATGTAACAGGCCGATGGATGTTCATGGAATCTCTGGGTGCTGGGGGCTTCGGGCGTAAGTCGTGTATCGATTGTCGAGTGAATACCCGCAGTTGACGTCCATACAGATGCAGGCCTCTGGGTGAGATTCGACCAAGCTGGGAAGATCATTGGAGTGCGTAATTCAAGCATGAGTACACCATAGCACAAACTAATCGTGAAACAGAGAAAGGTCGTGAAGGAGTCGTACTCGACTCCAGACCCTTGGAAAGAGCCTGTATTCTGGAGCGATCCACTTACGAAGGAGATACCGCGTGATGTGGCGATTCATCAGAAGCTATGCACTGCGCCCAGCGCCCACAACATTGTCAGACTGGACAGTTGGGGCATGTACGCAAGGCAATACATGTACAGGCTGTACATGGAGTACTGCCCTCACGGTGACCTCCGCGAGTTGATAGAAGAGCGCCTAGATTTCAAAAACCGAGAATGGCTTGACCAAGAAGGCCAGCCGACTACTTAGTAAGTTGAAGAAAAGGGTATCTTGCAGGCTGCATTCTAACCCGTAGCAGTTGGTTACCGGAGGAAATGCTGTGGTGTGTCTTTGAGGCATTGGCGAGCGCTCTCTGCCTTCTCCGAGACCAGCAGTTGCCGGGATCGCAAGAGGCGGCTGTCGATCCACAAGTCATCTTTCATCGAGATCTCAAGCCGGATAATGGTACTTCAGACTTACTAAGCACAATGGGGTTCAGCTCACTGACGATGCACTAGTGTTCCTGGGGACGAGAGATGGCGATCTCTGGAAAGGCATGCCTGTGCCAAAGGTACGTAGGACTGTACAGTGAGCGTGGAGCACGACTGACTCTGCCAGCTGGGAGATTTCGGCATCGCCATCGAAGAAAAGGCGCCAGGTGTTCCAGATCCGAGATGGAACTCTCGTGGAATGGGTACAACCTGTTGGCAGGCCCCTGTATGTTAACAATCGTTTGGTTACCAGCCCACAATGTACTAATGACGGCGCAGGAAGCCACAAAAGTCCCGTACGGAGTCGAATCGCAACTGTCTCCATTTTCCTCGGCGTCAGACGTTTTCGTTGTGGGCCTCATCATGGTATCGCTTACAGCTCTTAATCGACACCTACCACCGGCAAGAATGAGTGCAGACGAGAATACATATCCAACCCCCGCGAATCCGAAGCACGGAGGGCGCAGAATGTACTCGGAAAATCTTGTTGAGGCGATACGAATGTGTCTGCCCAAAGCTCCCGAAGACCGAATCGTAGCTGATGCATTGTATACACTGGTTAAGGCCGAAGTGACGAGGCGGGATCCTGAGGAGGGAAGCGTCCCAATGAATATGGTGGAGCCCAAAGACAGAGGTGTTGTCAGGTTTGTGCCAGACAAATATACGCTGTGGGCAGATTGATAGACCGCGTGTATATAGGCAAGATTCTGACATAGCCACGTGTTTTTCCTAAAGCTACTGATCTGAGCCCCAAGCCGCTACATCATTACCTACCTCTCGCTCTCACTTCGATTTGCCGCCGACAGCCAGTTCCACCTTCGCATCTCGCTTCATGTTCGTCACGTCCAGGTCACTCTCGATCGTCTCATAGTCGTAGAAACCGAACGCCTTGTAGAGAAAATTGCCCTCTTTCGACGCTTCGATCCATCCAGGAAGGCCAAGCTTGTCTGCGACATCGCAGCCCCACTGCAACATCAGTCCGCCAGCACCTCGCCGTCGGTATTCAGGATGTGTGAAGCATATGTGGAGGTCTATTCGCCCATGAGTTGGAGCGCAGCGGATTGAAATTTGTGATACGTACGGATGAAAGGTCCGGAGAACGCCTTCGCTCTGTACTCCTTAACCTCTTTGCAGTACCGTTCCGATAGCTCGAACTGCTCGCGCTCTAGCCACGGTGGCGGCCTGTCACCGACACCGCCATTGGTGATGCCGTTGACGTAGACTTTCCAATTGCTTGCCGCGATGATCTTGGCGGACTCGCGGTCGACCACCTTCAGCCAGATGTCGTTTGGGTCAGTTCGGATCTGCTCGGCGTAGACTTCCTGAATCTTGGGGATGTCGACTTCGGTGTTGCAGCCCATGAAAATCTGTCGGATGAAGGGTGGAAAGCAGTCGTATTGTAGAGCGAGCATCTCTGGCAGGTCCGAGACGGAGACCCTTGTGAGGACGAATGGATCTTGGTTTGGAGTCTGTGCCATGGTAGTTATCCGTAGTATGTGTTCTTGCAATTCGTGATACCTTTCGAACAAGTCTGATAGCTGCTTGTGTTACACGCCCCAAAGAATGCAGGCATTAGGCGGGTGAACCCCTTTCTTCGGAAACTGCTGTTGCCGAGTCATCCTGGCGGCACTATCGATTGCGTGTTCACGAACGATTCGATGGCCTGACGTTCACACCGTCGACAGTGTTAATACAAAGGCAAGCCAGATCCTAGGTTGTGAAGTTGTCCGGTCGACTTGATCACATGCTTTCGCGTAAAGGTCACAGCCGCTACTGCCAATGAGGGTTAGTGCGAAATTAAAACGCGGTTTGCACAACTCGCTGCAACGCAAAAATTCTCTGCTTCGGCCATCACATCATAGGTCACAATATCAGTGTGATACACAGTTAGCCTCAACATGGCGCCGCTCGAGCGGAAGCGTCCAGCAGAGGACGACGATGAGAGCAATCTGAAGCAAATGAAATACTCGCGACACCAACCAGAAAATACGGTATTTCCACAGCGTCCACCAGGAAAGTCGGACGTTCCAAATGAGACTTTTCAGAGCTCAAGTTCCCGCGAAGACTACTCTGGTGATCGTGATGATTCTTCGCGGGATACACAAGTTTCTCTTCGCTTTTCTGTCGCAGCGCCAAGTTCCTTACGTGACAGCACTCAGAGGATTGGAGATGGCAAAAAAGAGGTCGAGGAGGACAGCTATTTTTTTGTCGACACAGCAGGCGAGGACAGTCTTGAAGGCCGCAGAGAGGAGGCTTCGAAAGAAGATGGCAAGGATCTTACCGAGAATGACAGCGAGCGTGGAGGTGAGGTAAGCATTAAGACTGAGAGCGAGCACAGCGACATGAGTCTGAACAATAACACAAACCATATGCCTGAACGCGCACGACGTCAGCTTACCGAAGCCCAGATTTGCAAGCCGCTGTTTGTCCCTACCAAAGGCAGCTCCATCAACCGACATGACGACGTCACGGCAGTCGACCCGCCACGCGAAGACCTTACCTTGCAGTTCAAGATGCCTCAAAAAGGCGACAGGGGCGGGCAGTCAGTTGAGGAAGCCGCAGAACAGGTCTCAGAGGACCTGTCTAGTGGAATGGGAAGCGAAGGCTTCACTCACGTGTCTCTCTACTACCAGGCCACCTGGACGGCACGTTACACTTCTCCGGCCTCCGCAGATGCTGCAAAGGGTCGGAGATTGCGCCTCGGATACTCTGGGTATTCTGCCGACCTACAGGCCTTCCGACCATGGGACAACTACAAGCCGCCAATTGGAGCCAAAGCCTTCCTTTGCCGTGCCGTGCCGCTGGATGTTAGTCGGACTGTTCTTGCGCGAGAGCTGATGGGGCGGTTTCCAGAGTCGACCATTCGTTTCAAGATGCCGTGCCCCTTCGACCCACGCGAATTCCGTGCAAGGGATGGGCGCTGCATGATATTGGAGTTCGAGAAGCCAACAGATATCATCCACATCTTCTGTCCGCTGTCCAAGGATTGCGGATCTAAGGTTGACTGGACGGCCAGATTTCACACGTACGTAAAAAGGGAGATGTGCATGGTGTGCAGCGACGCTCAACACCGCTTCGCCGAGTGCCCGGAAATGCGGGCGATGCACATCGGTCATTGAGGAGCAGTTGGATTCGACTCTGTCTTGCCGATTGTTTACAGGTGAGCCATGAATCAACATCGTCAACCCTATCCACATCTGCGCACAAGGCATGATGCACTGACTACGTACAGCGGGAAAATGCTCGTAGACATTTGGACCGACTGGTGTAGGAATCTTGAGATTGGATTGCCTTCCTGGCAGTGTTGTTGCAGCATTGCTGCTCAGACAGGATTACATCTGGCCAGGTGGCAGCAGGCCGAAAGGGGGCCTTGTGGAACATGCAGGGCAGTAGAAGCCTGAACGGATGCGGCCAGTTGTTAGACAAGCACTCCAGACACAAATCTTGAAATTCAATCTCTCAACAAGGCGATCACTTTTATTAGGTATGCGTCCATTCCCATCTGCCGTTTCTGTTTGACTGGCAGTCCACGGGTACGGCCGTTAGTCTAAAGATGTGATGCACCAATAGCGAGCTTCGATTCTACATCCTCCCAATGCTTTGTATGACTTCGACCCATCTTTTGTCTCTCAGTGCATCTCATTCTCCCATCGAGCTTCTACGATAGACCGTTCATGACATCCTCTCAATGCGCTCACCATGTCCGCCCTGTCGTGCCCCTTCACCAACCGTGCCATCCACCTGCGCATCACCCCTCGACCGAGCAACCTGGGGGAGTCGCGCGAGATCTTGCGTCTACTCTCTGGCTTTGGCGAGATCGAGTACTACAAGAACCTGAAATATGACCTCTTGACGATGCCTAATGCGGCGCTAGTCATCTTTCGTGATGAGAAAGCAGCAATCGAAGCATTGAAGAAGAGTCCTATCCGCTTTCGAATGGGGAAGGCTCCTCTGCAGGGATTGAGTGATAGGGTATCGCAGGCGGAGAAGCAAGTGCAGGCGGAAGAGAATGAGAAGAGGGAGGAAAGGCCGTTGCGTAGGGGTCCGACCGGCACGCCTTTCGGACTCGGTGCGCCTGCTGGAGCTCGAGGGATCTCAACAAGTGCTATAAACTCGGCCGACAGCACCTCGCCAGCCTACCAACCCTTCTTCGCGGCCGAGGAGACCACGCCCGAGTCCATCGCCGTCGAATCCAAGCCCCAGCCTCGCCGAAGAAGCAACAGCCAACCCCCACCCCGGCCCATTGTCCAAGACGACGCCGGCGGCCGCATCTTCCAAATCCAAACCAACCCCTCCTTCCGCAAATTCCGCGACCACGTCAACATGGCACACTACGGCGGCAGCTTCGCCATTGACTCCCAACAGTTCGGGCAGGAGGACATGAAGCACAAGGTCCCACTGCTGGGTCTGAGTTGTATGGATTGGCGGGCTGCGGGTATCGAGGGGAGGCCGTGGCATATTATAAGACGGGAGAGGGACTCGGAGAATGCGGGGCCGACAAGGCGGAAGACTTTGGGGGAGTTGTGGGAGGAGGGGAGGGAGGTTGATAAGGGCCAGGAGAGCTCGTGGAAGGAGGATGCATCCGAGGAGGAAGGCGGAGGACAGGACCGGGGGGCGTGGGAGCCGGCGGCTTGGGGAGTGGATGGGTGGGATCCGGCGGGGTATCAGAGTTCGAAGAGATTGGGAGGGCGAGGATGAAAGCGAAAGCTAGAAGAAGCAAGCAAGGTGCCGACGATGGAGGTGATACGGTTCGCGACGTGATCAGCATGGATTGGGGAGCAGGTGGACTTCAGCGGATTCACTCCGTTGCTCGTCTGGATGCGGCGCAAGCAATGGTGCTGAGATCTCGACGTCTCCACGAAACAACTGCGATCCCGGTGCCGCCACCAGCCGCAAGAAGTTCTCTGATTGAGACTCCCGGATGGAGGCCGGCCCCGCTTGACAGTGTTTGGCAAGCGCTTCGATGCTAGATCAAGGTGCTGCTGCGCAACCACCCTGCAAAGGGCTTGAATGGAGCTCTATACGCTGGTGCACGCGTGCATCGAAGGGCGCAGAGGAAGCAAGAGGAAATATCTAGTAGTCCAAGCTGTCATGCGTGAGCCTTTGCGACCTTCTCTGCTGCATAATAGCCTGTCCGTAGAATGAGCGTGAGCGAGGGCGGACAAACTTGCGGCGACATACAATGTAATACACGTACTGTTCTCCCATCTCTAGACCTTATAATGGTTCTGCCTATCAGCAGACAACTCTCCTCATGCAGTTCTTGGCGGTTATGTCTTCAAAGGTGACTAAGCGGAACATGCCGACAGCCCTAAGACCGAATCGAGACTCATTCCTCCGCGACCTTCGAGAGAAGAACAACCACTCTTCACTCGTCTCCGTCGCCGACCTCAACACGGGATCGCATCTCACACCACCTCCGCCGTGCCGCCATACCACTGCGATCGCATCACTCGCGACAACGGCACGGGTTTCGACGGTGCGCTGTCCTGCGCCTCCTGTCGCGCCACCCGGTCCCTCACGTTTGCGGCCTCTCCTCTTGGTGAAGACGTGAGGTGAAAGGCCAGGTGGCTCACAAAATAGGAGGGAACAGAAGGTCACGAAGCCGCTGCTTCTAGCCGCCAACATGGCGTTGACACCCCCCTACACGAACGGCGACCGCGAGATGGGCCTTGGCATGGACGCCGTCGCGGGCGACTTCAACGAGGAAGCTATCACCGACGAAGACTGCTGGACCGTCATCCAGTCTTTCTTCGACTCCAAAGGCTTGGTCTCGCAACAGCTGGACTCCTTCGATGAGTTTGCGGGCACGACGATGCAGGAGATTGTGGGCGATCACGGCACCATCGCGCTCGACCAGAACCTGAGCGGCGAAAGCGATGGGCAAGGGCAGACAGTGGTGAAGCGGCGGTTTGAAATCCACCTTGGTAGTTTGACAATCAGTCAAGCGGCCATGACGGAGGGTGATGGGAGCACCAGACCGCTGTTCCCGCACGAGGCACGGCTTCGCAATCTCACGTACTCCTCCCCGATCTACCTGGGCATGCGGAAACAGACACTCCTCGCGAAAGAGCGGCCGACAGGCGCCTGGTGGGATGAGCAGGAGAATAGTTGGATAGCACCAGAAGGGGCCGACCCAGATGACGTGGAGACGTTCTGGGAGCAGGATCCTGCAGACGAGAGCTCGAACGAGGAGACGCGTGTGTTCATTGGGAAGCTGCCGGTTATGCTGAAGAGCAAGATCTGCACATTGCGAAACCGGTCAGAGCAGGAGCTATATGCTTTCCAGGAGTGTCCATTTGATCAGGGAGGATACTTCATCATCAACGGCAGCGAGAAGGTGTTGATTGCGCAGGAGCGGAGTGCTGCGAACATCGTGCAGGTGTTCAAGAAGAAGGGTTCACCCACACCATTCGTGGCTGAGATTCGCAGTGCGGTGGAGAAGGGCAGCAGGCTCATCAGTTCCATGCAAGCAAAGCTCTACGCCGGTGGTGAAGGTGGAAGAGGTGGTGCTTTTGGCAAGGTCATCAAAGTGAGCTTGCCGTACATCAAAACCGACATTCCGATTGCGATCGTCTTTCGAGCACTCGGGATTGTGTCAGATGAGGACATTCTCAACCACATCTGCAGGAAGGACGATACCGCGCTTCTCGAGATGCTGAAGCCATGTCTGGAAGAAGCCTTTGTCATCCAGGATCGCGAGGTGGCGCTCGACTACATCGGCAGGAGAGGACAGCAGCAAGGCACGAAGGAGAAGCGTATCAAGTATGCGCGTGACATCATGCAGAAGGAGTTCCTGCCACATATCTCGCAAGAAGAGGGTGCCGAGACGCGGAAAGCTTTCTTCTTGGGTTATATGGTGAATCGTCTGCTGCAGTGTGCTCTCGGCCGTGTTGAAGAGGACGACCGCGATCACTTCGGCAAGAAGCGCCTCGATCTTGCTGGTCCGCTAATGGCACAGGTCTTCCGGTTGAAGTTCTCGCAGCTCGTCAAGGACATCAAGTCCTACCTTCACAGGTGTGTGGAGCAAGGCAAGGATTTCAACCTGACACTCGCAGTGAAGAGCAACATCATAACATCTGGGTTAAGATACTGTCTTGCAACAGGTAATTGGGGCGACCAGAAGAAAGCCGCGAGCGCGAAGGCTGGCGTGAGTCAAGTGCTGAACCGCTATACCTACGCTTCCACGCTTTCACATCTTCGGCGCACGAACACTCCCATTGGACGAGATGGCAAGATCGCGAAGCCTCGACAGCTGCACAACACCCATTGGGGTTTGGTGTGTCCAGCAGAGACACCCGAAGGGCAGGCTTGCGGGCTGGTGAAGAACCTGGCACTGATGTGCTTCGTCTCAGTTGGTACGCCAGGTCAGCCCATCGTTGAGTTCATGCGGCAGAGAGGCATGGAGTTACTGGAAGAGTACGATCCTGTTGTTAATCCCGACGCGACCAAGGTTTTCGTGAATGGCACGTGGGTGGGTGTGCACCGCAATGCGGGCCAGCTGGCAGACAACCTACGCGAGATCAGGCGGAGAGGTATTATCAATTTCGAGGTCACCATCATTCGAGACGTTCGAGAAAGAGAGATCAAGGTCTTCACCGACGCAGGACGGGTCTGCCGACCATTGTTCGTGGTGGATAACAGTCCTCGCGCAAACACACCCGGCGGGTTGGTACTGCAGCGGGAGCATATCTCCTCTCTTCAAAACGATCGAGACAGGATCATCGGTCCTGAGGCTTCCGACATCAGCGAGGAAGAAATGGAGAAGGCCGTCTTCGGCTGGCACACCCTGCTCAAGAAGGGCATTGTCGAGTACCTTGATGCCGAGGAGGAAGAGACGGCGATGATCATCATGACTCCCGACGACCTCGACGAGCACGCCAGAGCCCGCAAGAGTGGCGACGTCGAAGCTGTCGATGCTAACGATGACCCGCATCGCAGGATTAAGGCACCCCCGAATCGATCAGTACGGACCTGGACGCACTGCGAGATCCATCCTGCCATGATTCTAGGTGTCTGTGCGAGCATCATTCCCTTCCCTGACCACAACCAGAGTCCCAGGAACACATATCAGGTATGCCCCCTTTTCCTTGAATTTGTTGCTTGTGAACAGCCTTGCCTTCCTCCCTACCGTCTCGCGCCGGCAGTATGCTGACTTGAGCAGAGTGCCATGGGCAAGCAAGCAATGGGTGTGACGCTCACCAACTTCAACACTCGAATGGACACGATGGCCAACGTCCTCTACTACCCGCAAAAACCGCTTGCGACGACACGATCGATGGAGTATCTGAAGTTCCGAGATCTGCCGGCTGGTCAAAATGCGATTGTGGCGATTGCATGTTACTCTGGGTACAACCAGGAAGATTCCGTCATCATGAACCAGTCTGCCATCGATCGCGGTCTTTTCCGCAGTCTGTTCTACCGAGCGTATATGGACCAGGAGAAGAGAGTAGGCATGAGCGTGGTGGAGAGCTTCGAGAAGCCGGTAAGAAGCGATACGCTCAAGATGAAACATGGCACCTACGACAAGCTGGACGACGACGGCATCATCATGCCCGGCGCCCGCGTGTCCGGCGAAGACATCATCATCGGCAAGACTGCCCCCATCGCTCCCGACGCCGAAGAGCTCGGCCAGCGCACCAAATACCACTCTAAGCGCGACGTCTCCACGCCTTTGCGCAGTACCGAGAACGGCATCATTGACCAAGTCCTCCTCACTACTAATGTCGAGGGTCTCAAATTCGTCAAGGTCCGCACTCGTACTACCAAAGTGCCTCAGATCGGAGACAAGTTCGCCTCTCGCCACGGTCAAAAGGGAACCATCGGCATCACCTACCGCCAGGAAGACATGCCTTTCACCGCCAACGGCCTGACGCCCGACATCATCATCAACCCTCACGCCATCCCCTCCCGCATGACCATTGCCCATTTAATTGAGTGCCTCCTCTCCAAAGTCGCCTCCCTCACCGGCCAAGAAGGCGACGCCACCCCCTTCACCGACGTCACCATCACTTCCATCTCCGACATCCTCCGGCAATATGACTTCCAACAGCGCGGCTTCGAAGTCATGTACAACGGCCACACGGGCCGCAAACTCAACGCCCAAGTCTTCCTCGGCCCGACCTATTACCAGCGTCTCCGCCACATGGTCGACGACAAGATCCACGCCCGCGCTCGCGGACCTTTGCAGATCCTGACCCGCCAACCCGTCGAAGGTCGCGCACGAGACGGTGGGCTGCGCTTCGGAGAGATGGAGCGGGATTGCATGATCTCGCACGGCGCGTCCGCCTTCCTCAAGGAGCGGTTACTGGACGTCTCCGACGCTTTCCGCGTGCACATCTGCGAGATCTGCGGGCTGATGACGCCGATTGCGAAATTGCAGCAGGGGCAGTTTGAGTGCCGGCCGTGCAAGAATAAGACACGGATTGCGCAGGTGGTGGTGCCGTATGCGGCCAAGTTGCTGTTTCAGGAGTTGGGGGCTATGAATGTCGCGGTCAGGATGTTTACGGATCGGAGTGGGGTTAGTCTGAGGTGAGAGGGTTGCTGAGGGTTGGTGGGTGAGGGAGGGTGTGAGTGAGGGAACGCGTTTTACGGGATAGCGAGGTTGGGACTGGGGTTTGCATGGAAAAGGCGGCGAGGAGCTGCTGAGGGATGGTGCTTACTGATGTGCCTACTACTAGATTGAGTGCTGTAACTACAAGAGCGTGGCGCACTATCGCGAATAGTTTGATATGAGAGAATGTTCAGAATCCACTTACTGGTGCACTTGTGACTTGACAGCAATACATACGGTAGCGACTGTGATATTCGACTACGTACGCTACATAAAAGCAGGAAGGACAGAGCACAACGAACGTTCATGAAGACACTGACTGCCATTCCTTATGTACGCATAACGACGCTCCCTCGCTTGATGCAATCGTCAAAAGCAAAGCAAAAACAAAAATTCCATCGCTCAATGCCATGACCCTTCCCATGACTGACCACCCAACCCGAGAGATCCTTGTCCAAAAGAACCAGATACGAGAGTCATTCCTGCGCTTGACGAGACCACCAACAATTACCCAAACGTAGTGCAATGATCTACCGAATGGTAGTAGCCTTGGTCAAGCTCTCCTTCCCACCAACACTCGACACACCACCAGCCATCAGGTTTGCCTGTCCAGGCTTACGCTCAAACACCTTCCAGAACTTGAGGCTCTCGTCCGCAGCCGCCGTCGCCAACATCTGTCCGTCTGGGCTGAGGCTCGAGTGTAGCACACGGGACTCGTGGGCCGGGATCTCGACGTTCTTGACAAGAGTAGGGTAGCTCCAGATGGAGAGCGAGTTGTCCGGGAAGCCGGACGAGGAGACGAGCTCCTTGTACGCCAGCGACCAGCGCAGAGAGGTGACCTGCGAGCCGGTGTCGATGCTGTTGACGCGCGCGCCGGAGGTGGTGTTCCAGAAGTGGATGTTGCGGTCGTGGCTGCCTCCTCCAGTGGCGAGGAGGTTGGTCTGCCACGGGCACCAGGCGAGGGCCTTAATGGCGGCGCGGTGGTTGGTCTTCTGGAACTTGGGCGCGGAGGTGTGGCGGGCGTCCCAGATGGTGACGAGGTTGTCGTTCCCGCCAGTGGCGAGCTGGGCACCGTCGGCGCGCCATTCGAGGCCGCAGACTTCGGAGGTGTGGGAGTGGAGCTCGGCAGTCTTGTGCTGGGCGATGCGCACGTCGTGGTTGAAGACGACGCCGGAGCGGGAGCCGGTGGAGAGGATGTGCTTGTTCCAGCCCATGACGCTGACGCGGGTGTCGTGGCCGTGCATGCTGCGGAGCTTGCTGCCCTCTTCGACGTCCCAGATCTGGACCTCACCTGATCCGAGGCCGGCCGCGACGTAGGCGCCGTCACCGGACCACTTGACGGAGGCAATGTAGGTGTCGGCGGGGCATTCAAGGAGCGAGCTGACGGTGCCAGACTCGGCAGACCAGACGTAGACGTTGCGCTCGAGGCCGATGGCGACCTGGTTGCCGGAAGACCAGTCGAGGAGGTTGAGGTAGTAGTCGTCGACCAGGCCGGGGGCGTCGAGAACACGCTCTGGTGCGGTAAGCACACGGCGACGGAACTGGGACGCAGAAGCCGCAGCAGGCTTGAGAGGACGGTTGTACTGCGAGCGGAGGTCGATGGGGCGGGAAGACTCTGGCGCGGCGGGCTTGAAGGCGAGGATGCGCTGCTTGATGCTCACACCACATGCCTCAGCGACGGACTGCTGGTAGGCGGTGGTTTTTGGGCTTGGCTTGTTCTTGGGAGCATCGTCATCATCCTCGTTGTTGTCGTTGAGGTTCAGGCCGTCGAAGTTGAGGGAAGAGGTGAGGTCAGAAGAAGAGGTATGTCGGCCAAGGTCAAACGCGCCAGCAGCGAGTGCCGCTGAACCTTCGCTTGCGCTTGACTTGGGGCGACGTCCGGGCGTCTGCTCATTGTCGAGCTTGACGGCGGCGCCGGAAGAAGTAATGCCTTCGCTGGCGTTGCGGTTCGGGATGAAGCGATCCGCGGCCTTGTAGTTGATGTTGCTCTGGCTTCTCTTGGGAGTGCGGTGCACCGAACCTGATCGTCCAGCCTTTGCTCGGGACGGGGTGTTCTTTGCTGAGGTTGCAGTGCTTGGTCGAGGACCGGTGCCGGAGAGAGTGAACTCGCTGATCGTCTGGTCCAGTCTCCGTGGGGAGTCACGGGACGGACGGGAGGCGATGTTGGACTTGGGCGAGTCACGGACGTTGGTCTTGGAGACGGATCGGGAGAAGCGAGCCATGAGGTTGGCGTTGCTGTGGTGGATGCTCTCTTGCTGGCCCTGCTCTTGCATCACGTGCATGCGAGGAGTCTTGGGGGAGGGGGTGAGAGGAGCGCGTCCGCCAGCGAGGCGGGTGGAGAAAATGCCATCACGGCGGTGCTTGACGGGGGTCAATACTGATGCAGTTGCCATATCCGCTTATGGGGTGCTGTTGTTGGTGTCGATGTTGTTATGCTGTAGATGGCCCAGTGAAGGGATCCGTTAGTAGTGGTTGCGAATATCTTGCAGTATGCCGTTGATGGTATGTTTGAGTGGAGCCGCGAGGGCTGAGAGTGTGTGGATTGAGAGACCTGATGTGCGAGGGTGAGGAGAGAAGAAGGAGGTCCGTAGGAAGTTCAGGAAGTCTTAAGAGCGCTTTCCAAACACTAAAGTCGCTCCAGCAACAGAAAGTGCGACCCTGACGACGGCCGGCGGCGGCTGCTCCCGACGCCGACGATCGGCAGCTGCCAGCCTCATTCACAGGCAGGCAGGCACATGCTGGCAATCAAGCAAGATCACAATCACAAGCGCATACGAGAACCTCACTTCAACAATGCCGCTCCACTTCACCTGACAATGACCCAATAATCACGTGAGCTTCCGTTCAATGGCGAGCAGTGGCACACACTTCCCCAACCTCTCCGCCCTCTCCACCACCTCCGCCCTCCCACCGGTCTCGAACTCAGCTTCCACCCGGGTCTCCAACATGTCGAACAACACCTACGTGATGTCCGGCTCGCCTGCCAAGAACAGTCGGCGTAGAACCGGCGAACCGTATGCTCCTCGCATCATCACCACCATCGGCCAAAGACCTGCTTGTCTCGTCAATGCCTCCGTCACCTACGTAGGCAATGACTTGATCTACGCCTTTGGCGGCTTCGATCAGTACACCGATGAAGTCTACAATCATGTTCTTAAGCTGAACCTGAAAGAAAGACGTTGGAATCTGGTCGACAACTATGGTGACATTCCTGGGGTGAGGATGGGCCACACGGCGTGCTTGTGGCAGGGAGACAAGCTGTTGGTGTATGGCGGAGAGAACGAGCACCGCATTCACCTCTCCGATGTGGTCATCTTCGATATTGCGAATGCCACATGGACTTCGCCAGACATCAACGGACCCATCCCACGAGGGAGAGCAAGGCATTCGGCTGTGATACACGACGACAAGCTGTTTGTGTGTGGTGGTATGACTGGCCAGGAGAATGCTGTGCTGGACGACATCTGCTTTCTCGACCTCAAGACCTGGACGTGGAGCCGGACCTGGCGCTTCGTGTCTCGATACGACCACAGCAGCTGGGTGTGGGGTGGGAAGATTTGGGTATGCGGAGGTATGAGCGAGGAAATGGTCAAGTCGAGCGAGATCTGGTGGCTAGACTTTAGAGGGACGCCGGCGTTTGAAGGTGGTCCAACCTATGGCATGCCTGGGTCGGATGAGGTCAGGCCCCTGCACAATTACAGCTACGCTCGATCACCTACGCCAGCTCTCGGATCGACAGGTTATGCTGCCAATACGTCCAGCGTGCAGTCAAATCCAGGTAACCAGGCGCAGCGAGTCACACCAGTTGCTCCGGGCGCCATTAGCTCGGTCAAGTTCTTCTCTTCGCCCAACCTACCAATCTTCAATGTCGGGACACATTTCAATGTCTTCAGCTCAGGATGCATGCTAGACTTTGTCACGCCTGCTACGAATATGCCACTCGATACGTCGCTTTCCGCTCTTGATCTGGACACTCTCCGCTGGCAGAAGCTAGCAGACGGCAAGGATCTCTTCCCGCCGACATACCGCTGGCACTACTGCTGTCTTGATCCGGATGGTACGCAAGCATGGCTGCTCGGATGTCCAAAGGAGATTCGTGCCAACGCCAATGGTGACCCTGAAGAGTACTTGAGCGACGTTCTGCCCATCGATCTGAGGAAGTTTGGTTTACTCGGAAACAAGCTGAGCCAAGAAGCCCGTAACGAGGGCCGCATTCCCACGTCGGACACCTACACTTCTTCCCATCTCTCTGCTATCGGTGCAGACCTTGCACGTACCTTCAACCAACTACCAGAGTCTGGCTCCGGCACCGACTTCACCGTCACCGCGCTCCGCGATGAAGACTACGAGATGGAGTCGCCGACCGCCACCTCATCACCTACACCATCAAACACCAGCCAACCGATTCACGTCCACCGTCTTATCCTCTCCGCCCGCTGGCCCCACTTCGCTCGCCTCTACAACTCTCAAATGCAAGAATTCCACACCCGCCGCATGCACATCCCCGAACCCTACCCCGCGGTGAAAGCTTTCCTCTACTACCTCTACACCGACTCAATCTCCGCTCCACCCTCCGAACACACCTCTCCCGCTCTCTCATCACCTCACTCTCCAACCGACGACAGCCCCACCCTCGAAGACGTCGCCGACATGCTCGTCATGAGCAACATCTACGACATGCCGCGCCTCCGCCACCTCTGCGTCAACCGCCTCGTCCGCGATCTCGACGTCCAGCACGCAGCGCTCATCTTCGACCGCGCCTCCACGGCACAAGAAGAATGGCTCAAGCGCAGAGCAGCGAGCTTCATCATGACGCACTGGGGTCGCGTCGCGCGCACGGATGGGTTTATGAGGCTGAAGCAGGGCGCGTGGGTTGAGCTAGCGCAGTCAGTGGATATGGAGGGGCGGATGGTTAGTGGGGATGAGCTGGAAGCGGTGGGTGGGTTGGGTGGTGCGAGGCTGGGGAGTTCTATGGGAATGGGGCTTTGGGGGGCGGGGAGGAAGAGGGGAAGGGTGGGGAGTGCGAGTGTGGTTGCTGATGGGGAGGGAGATGAGGGGGTTGATGAAGGGGTGGAGGGAGAAGAGGGGGAGGACGGGGATGAGGGGATGGAGATTAGTTAGGTTAGATGCATATGCGAAGACTGGGATTGTGATGGCTTAGCGTTGGTGTCTGGCGTTTTACGACCATTGGGGCTAGGATGGGATGATTGCTCTGGACATTGGGAAGGTACGGGCATCGAAGCATTCACTCATAGCTGATGGATATTGAAGTCAGAAACATGAAACTACCACCCACTCATCTCATGTGTGCCACAAGCGCGAGCTCTTTGCCTATGGCTGTCATCACTTCCCACCATCCATCCTCACGCGCATACTCATACCTCTGAACACCCTGATCTCCGCCTCTGATGCAGAAAGCACTGGCATCAGCACATGTCGGGGTTATCACCCGCTGTGTCCTTCTGGTTAGGGCGCCGGTCCAGCTGGGTGTGTGTGACCATCTTCTATTCTGCAGTCAGAGGACCGATCGGTCGACCAGCAGTACCACTGAATGGGAAGGCCTTCTCGACGGTAAGTCAATGACGTTCTCATTCGTCTGTATGGCCCAGCGATGCTGTGGAAGACAATAGAGAAGGACGATGTTGCTCGTTTTCGAGCCTGGCTCCGGAAGGTATCTCCACGGTCTCCTCGGGCGGCTGGCAGTTGTTTCGTATGCGGTGGGATTTGCGATGTATAAGAAACAGGGCGCAGCCTCATTGACAGCGTTGACATGGAGTACAGGTCTCCTCTTGAAGGTGCCGTGTTGCTGAGGGAGGCTTTTAACAAGATGGCATATCGTTTGCGAGATGGCGAGCGATTGTCTATATCAAAGCTAATGGAACGGTGAGTACTCGGAAGGCACAGAACTTTTAGTAACAGCATAGTGGTTTAGTAGTCGCTCGCTAATTGCTGGAACGAAGGTCTAGAGAACAGCTGTATCTGTATTTGCCCTGTCTTCCAGTTCCGAGACGCCATCTGATGCAACCAAACGCTTCAAGCAGTCAAAACAATACCTCGCTCGGATCGTACCCAAAGAAACTCCTTCGCCACGGCTCTCCTTGCATCCCGACCGAATGCTGACAACCATCTCGATCAGCTCTGCTCCTCGCCACCAAGAGAACCCATCGCAACATACTCTCCTTCTACTCACTCTCGCTCCTATCCTCAGACGAGTAGCTTCCGTGGGTTCGATCTGAAGGCGAGTAGCTTCCATGGACCCGTTCTGACGGCGAGTAGCTTCCATGGGGTCGATCTGACGGTGAGTAGCTTCCATGGACTCGATCTGACGCTGGATGGCTTCCATAGGCTCGATGTGAAGATGAGTGGGTCTCGCTGTTAGTAGTGGCTCCGCCTGATAGCGTCGAGGAGCGGGACTCGCTGCGGTAGCGGTTCTGGTTGCTCGGGCGGTCAATCTCGTAGTCCGTCGAGTAGTTGGAGTTGTAGGGGCGTGGAGAGATGGTAGAGTAGAGTCGAGTCGGGAAGTAGAGGTCTGGGGTTCGCGGAGCGGAGGAGCGGGGACTGGGTGTAGCGTGTGACTCGTAGTAGGCTGTCCGACGAGTCTGACTGGTGGTCTCGATCGAGGGGACCACATCACGTTGATGGTTTGGTGCCGTGTTTTGAGACCTTAAGTCTTCTGCGCCACGACGAGAGCTGGGGTTCTGCCGGGTGAATGGTGGGCGTGAGTGGCGGTCGACAGGGCTGTTGCAGAAGTCCAGGAGAGTGTTGGCGGCTGCGTAAGACTCGGGGCGGCGCGGTCTTGCGGTGCCCTCATCCTCACGACGGCCCGACGGCTCGTCGTACACGCCGAAAGCACCACCTCTATCGCGGCGTTCGGTGTCTCGAGGTGCTGCGCAGTACGTCTGCTCGTCCTCGCCCCGCTCGCCATACCTCTCACGTGCCGGACCACCGTAGCCGCCACCTGATCGCAAGCTGGATGGGTAAGAATCGCGGCGAGCTGGGGTTGGTGTGCGGCTCCTTTGGGACGTGCGGCCGTCTGGGCTGTGGTCGCGAGCTGGAGCGGGATAGCCTGATCCGTAGGAGCTGCGAGGGCTGTTGGCGCGAGGCGTGGCGGCATATCCTAAACGGTACGGGTCGCGAGGGCTACGGCCAGATGTGCTGTTGTCGTTGGTCGAGGTGTAGCCTGAAGTGCGACTAAGCCGCGAGCCACGGCTGTTGTAGCCAGACATGTTGGCGTCTGTCGTCGAAGGAGAGGGTGTATGTGTATGAGAAGGTGTATTGTATGTGAGTTGTGGTGCTAACGTGCTACCTCGAGGGGATCTTGCTGAGGGAATGTTGGTGTTTAGGAAAAGGAGGGGAGTAGGCAGAAGCCAGCATAAATACTGCCATATCTTGCGAGGTGAATGTCAACATGCAGCGCTTCACATGCAACCTGCAGTGGATCCCAGAAGCCGTTCGATTGGCCACGGTTTCCCATCACGTCCATGTGCCTAGATGTGAATGAAAGTAAACCGTGAATGTGATCATGTGAAGGCCTGAAAGGTATAGCATATGCAAATTGGGTATACCGGACGTGTGGTGCGATACTCTTCTCCAATGCAGCATCCACCACATATGCCGTTCTGGTAAGGCGGACTGCTCATGTCCTGACCGCACCCACCACCAGGAAACATCAACGACGTCTTGGCCTTTCTGGCGACGTAGAATGTAGTTTCGCCTCTGCTAGTCATGCCTTGAGCAGGTCCCAATGTCTTTGTCGTCCCGGGACCCTTTGGAGAAGGAGAAGAAGGCCGGCATGTTTGTTGATGCCCTCTCGTCTCCTTCAACTCCGAAGGAGTCTGTTGCAGCCAGAACACGTCGCCTGCTCTCGCACGATCCCGTCGGATCCTGCGCTACTGTGTCCAGCACGCAGTTGCAGGCGACTGGATATGCGGTCTTGCCATGGTGCCGTCTCAATCTTGCAGCGAAGGCAGGTGGACAAACGAATACAGGAGTATTGTTGAAGCAGAACCGTGAAGGACGTTGGCATGTCAAGAGGTGAGGTCGGTCGGCCTCAACTCCGCGTCGCTGGCTGCCAAGAGCGGCTGGTCTTCCCGTCTGGTCTCACCCACCTCGCGCCTCGAACATCATCATCCCTTACATGTACCCATAAGGGACAGTCAAGATGGCAGCCCAAGCAAATTCGCTGCAATGCATCGAAACTGCAACGCCTCTTCTGCGTGATGCCACCCGGTCCTCACAAACCTCTCGTATTGCTCGAAGCCGCGGGATGGAACTTCGTGGACAAGCAGGATCCGTTCTGCAGGTCAATCCAATTGAAGTGCATCGGTAGCTTCTGCTGGAGACCTTAAGAAGCGCAAGCTAGTACCCACCACAGAGTCAATGAGTGACAGTGTCGATCGATCTGTCGGTGCCATTCAGGAAGAAGACCCGACAACCACCTCTGTAGCCACGATCCCAGATGCAGCGTCGCAAAACCTTGGCCTTGCAAGGTTTGATGCGATGCGAGACCAGGGGATCGCTCAGAAAAAGCGTGAAGAGGAAGTAATCCGAGCCCGGCTGGCCAGAAGGAATCGCACCGACCCAAGAACCTTCCCGTTGTTGCGTCCTCTCACTAGGGACATAGTAGAAGAATACCACTCCACGATCTGGCACAAGGTCAAGAACATAGGGTACTCATACTTCGTTGAGCTGGGCCTTGATCCTCGCGCTCGACCAGAATGGTGTCTGGACCCAAGCACAGAATCGAAGGCATTGTTCCAGCAGGTCTGGGGCGAGGGCGAGACCTGGCAGTCAAACGTCAACGAGCTGACTCAATTGGGCGACCTGACCGCCGTTGATATTGTACAGGGCTGCCTTGGGGCCGCGGTCAAGCAGATGGTGTACGATCGTGAGCTGCCATGGGACAGCCCTAGAATGGTTTTGGAGAAATTGAAGAAGCATGCTCCGTACATGACACAAGAGATTTTTGTCCGGTCTCCGCGAAAGGACGATCTCGAAAAGTCGTTGACGTTTCCTGAAACCGTTTGGCTCGCTGGGCAGACGATGGTGCTCGATCGCGACTTTCAGAAGCCCACGATTCGTGATGAAGCCGTCCGTCTGGCTACCAGATTGAGCCTGATACTGGACCCTCAGCTGTCCAAACTCGGCATCCAGAAGAAGGGCGGAGACGAAGATGCGAGAGCATGCTGGAGGAATCGAAACAACGGGTTGGCGACAATGTTCGAGGAAGCATTGATTCTCAAAGGTTATGTTCTTGCGACACCATGCGATCACGAGTTCAAATGGATCGAACGAGGGACCGAACTGGATACGGAGACCATGGAGGAGATTTTTGAGATCGACGGTCCAGGCACAGTCACATGGAGTGTTCTTCCTCAGCTACATGTCCTTCAGAATCCAGACGAAGGGTGGCGGGTTACTGCTCCAGCGATCCTTCAGGCGGACTCCGGCACACAGAAGCAGAAATGAATCCAGGACGAACAGTGAATGGTGGACTCTACCACCAGACGGAGCTTCATTATCTGGTTCGAACAGCATGGGGAAGTGAAAAGGACATCCGCCAGTGTCTTCTAGCCTCACTAGGCGGAAGAAGAACCGACTCTTAGTTTTGCAAACAACGTTGACGTGCCATGGTGACCCGTTGGGCGGCGTTCTGGCTGAGTTATACGTTCTCGCTGGGGAGGAAGGCATAAGCAGTGGCTGCAGGAGCAGACGATGTTGCTCGGGAAAGCAAGCAGCGCTAGCGGAGTGCGTTGACCGAGACAGATGGTGAGCGTGGAAGAATGGCGACCGCGGCGTGCTGATTTGGAGTTCTTTGTGCTGGGCGGCATGGCACCAGGTGCCTGGTGTTAATATGGGCGAAATTTCGTGGATGAAGAAACATGGTTGTGCAGATTGAGAGCAAGGGCATGCGTTCTCATGCGTTGGAGTCATTCGGCCAGTCCTGCCTCTGAGCTACCGTTCAGGAGGATTTTGGCCATGAACGCACATGGGACTGCACATGCTCGCGCAGTTCTCGATCTTTTGGCTCTCAAGTTTGGCCCATTTGCCGCAGCCCAGTGTTGCTGGCAGTCGGCCACTTGTCAGTTAGCCAGGATGGATGAATCGACGAGCGCATGAGCATGGCCGACTATGCCACAGCGATGAGCTGTTTGGCAATCGGCCGTAGGTAGTCATAATGCAACCAAGATACTTCTTCAATATCCGCACGTTCCAGATCATCGTGACTTCCTCCCGGCCTTGCGATAACGAGGCTCATGACTTCACCAATGCTCTTTGGTCATCCCGTGTATAGCCAGTGCGCCGCTTGTGAGCCCACATGGTGCAGGCGAGCACCGATGATGTGAGAGTGAGAGCTAAAAGTGAGTTCTGAGGGTTTGCAGGCCGGCTTAGTCCAGACGTCTTACACACAGATCCGGTGAGTTGAAACCGTCCAAGGCCAGGACCACAAGAACACACATTTCATTATCTCAATATACATAACTACATCAATTCATGATCACGTACCGGCATATCACCCTCTATTATCCCAATCCCACGAATAGGACCTCATTGAAAGCTGCCAGGCATAGCAACACCACTCTGCTCTTCCTGCTTCTCCTCTTCCTGCTGCTTCCGCGTCTCCTCCACTTTCGCCCACGGGTTTGACTTCATCGGCACATCGTCTTCGTCATCATCGTCTAACCGCACATCGTCCATCTTGTCCGACAGGTCAGTGGCGGTGGTTGGCTTCGCCGCTTCAGGCTCCTTGTCAGTGTCGAGGGCCTCGTGCGCGGAGTCGTGCTTGACTCCAGTCTCTGCGTCTTCTGATGGAGTTTCAGCCTTCGGCGAGCCACCGATGACAATCGGGCCGCCGCTACGGTTGGGATTCCGTGGCGGTAGTGAGGGAGCAACTCGCTTCGGGACATTGACGAGACGAGCTTTTGAGATGACCTGCGGCGAAGCTGGTTGCAGAGACTGCACAGACTGGACAGAATGTACGACCGGCTCTTCGATGTGTACGTCGTCGTCATCTGCAGGGTCTTGCTGAGAGCCTTGTTGCAGGTCAGGTGTTCGAGGTGGCGAAGTGGGCTGCCGTGATTCCTCCTGGTGTAGCTCTGGCGTTCGCGGTGGGGTGGAATAGCCATTGACGTGAGGTGGCGTCTCCATCTCCTTTCTCACTGGTGACGTGTCCAGCACCCTGCCTTCGGGCACCTCCTCCATGTGCGGTGAAGCACGCAACGACGCACTGCGCGAATGTCCGGCTGCGCTGTGCAAGCTCCACCTATCCGTTGAAGGAGGGTCTGGCAGGTCGTCCGTCTGAGTACCGGAATCCGACATCTGCTTCGAAGCTCGGGGAGGAAGAGATGGCGGTCTGCCGAACTCCATACTCGTTCTCAAGCTGCTCGGCGTTTTTGGCTCGTTCGAGAACGCACTCGCTCGCCAGCTGTTGCGGTTACTAGGCCATTCGTTGCTGTTTCTTGCGTACATGCTGTGTATAGGACTGGTTGGTGATGGGTTGAAGCTGAAGGCCTCCCAGCTTGCCCTCTTGTGCGTGCCTGCTTCTTTGATGCTCAGACCTTCCTTTTCCAACGCCAGTACGCCATATGGGTCGGGGTCGTCCTTCTCTGGTACACCGAACAGATGCCCATCTTCGATCTCGTAGTCAGCAGGCGCAGGCTCGGTTGGCAGCAGACCCTCGTCGATGTTGGTGTCTCCTTGAGCTGCTTTGATGGTCTCCAGCAGTCGTCTGACTTCATAGGGTGGGTGCCTAACCTTCCCGGCCAGAATATCTGCAACGCCTATCCGCTGACCATAAAACCGCTCGTTCTCGTCTGTCCGCTCGATGATGACGGTGCCGTCTATTTGCACTCCAGCATAGAATCCTCTGCTCTTCAAGTATGTGAATATGGGCGCCTGTCGCTTGTGCACCTCCGACTCCAGCATGGCACCGGCGCCTACCGGTCCTGCAACCACGCTGACCTCGCTGCCCAGCGTACACCTGATCTTTGTGAACGCCTCCAAAGCTTCCGCGCTGTTGATGACCACCACACAGTCGTAGATGTCCACCCCAACAAGAAAGCCAAGTCCGGCGGTATGTAGCATAATGCCTGAAGGAGGAGACCATGAACCGTCGTCTTTCCGAGCTATTAAGATACCTGAGCCGCCTGCTCCAGACATCCACAGACCCGTTCTCATCGTAGTGAAGATGGCAAGACCTTTGGCGTTTTTGATCACTTCGGTTGGGATTTTCTTGACGATTTTCTGCTTCTGCTTTGGCCCGTCCTCCGGCTGGACCTCATCTTCGGTGTAGAAGCCATCCTCTGCGATCTACGTCAGCGCTCTGCCACACAACCTCGCGCCGATACTCACTCACTGCAGAACGTCTTCAATATCCGTGCAGCCTTATCACTCTCCTTGTCCAGCGTTGTAGGCCAGAATGCCTCGCTGCCCAACTTGTTACTGAGCCTGTTAACCGGCGGACCCAACTTATCCAACACCTTATACGATTTGTCGAACCCAGCTTTCGAGCCCGTCTTGACCTTCTCCCACAAAGTTGGCGAAGCCATCTTGCTTCCTTGTCCGGACTGACAGCCTTTCGCAGACCCTGCTCTTACACCTCACGCTTCGCTCGCGTCACCTCAGACTTCGAGGGACACCACGACTGAAAACCATGGCCCTCCAGGCACGAATACCAAGGAATGCAAGCAAGTGTGATTGTGCCTGCAGCAGCGCCAAAGCTATATCTACTCAGGGTTGCGGAGAGCAGCGGAAGGAAAGAGGGCTGCGCGTTCCACTCTCACTAATAAGCCGTAGTTCCATTGCGTGACGTAGCAGGCGGCTGACCGAAGCGCCGACGAGGAGGTCGAGACCACGAACCACAAGGGCACGCGTTCTGTTTGCTTCGACATATGATGACTACGCTCTCAAGCCTGATCTCAGCAAACTGAAACATCATATCACTGAGACTTCGAAGCTATACCATGCGGTAGCGCCTTGGTCTTCAGTCAGCTTCGGCTTCATTCCAGAACGCCACCAAACCCTTCAGAGGCCGCGCGGAGCCCGCTTCATCCCCATGGCTTCAACGACATCTTCTTGACTGATGAGACGAAGGCGATGCATCCCCTTTTCTCGCCTTCACAAAAGTTTTGGTCGTTCTTGAACAAACCGCCAAGCCGGAGAATGATCAGCACGGTGAGTCAAGGGCAGGATCAGCGATAGGGCGTGGTAGGAAACGTGGTTATGGAGATAAGTACTCGCTCCGTCCTTCGACATCCGTTCTGTATGTCTTGCCCGAGGCAAAAGACACTATAGCAGCCGCACCATCATACAAAACCATGGCAATTCCAGCAACCGGACTTTCATCGCAGCCCTGCTGGCATCAACTCCACTCAGTGATTAACGAATCTTATCTCGGGAAAAACCACACAGTCTTCCCTCCATCCTGGCCACGACTGGACTTCGATACCACAAAAGGCGGCGAGGGCCTATCAGACGAGCTCGGTCCAAGCGGCACCTTGATAGTAATATTCAACGATGAGAATAGCCCCGTAGCCTGCGCCGGCGTTTGTCCTTCCAGAGGCAAGTTCGGCGTCAACGAAGCTTTCACAAATAAAGGAGCAGACCTCACGAACGGCGAGATGGTGACCGCCGAAGGCGACGCGCCCCCCGTACCGCCGCAGACTCCAGATTGGGAGATCTGCTGTTTCTGCGTCCACCCGTCGCAGCGAGGGCGCAGACTCGCACACCGACTGGTTGATGAGCTTGTGGCGTTTGTGAAACTGAAAGGCACGAATCGATTGCTGACCAAATACGTTGCCGACGAGACTGGAGAGTTCTGGCCTAAGCTGGGCTTCGAGGTGATTCCTGGGTCCGGTGGCATGTTGCCGAGAGGCTTCAACCCTGAGCGGGACCCGACGAAGGAAGGGCTGCTTAAGGATGTTGAAATCAGGATGGGTGCGATGGCGTTGTGAAGATGGGCGGAGATGCACAGGTAAGCATATTCGACTTCCGTCTTCATACATTGTGATGACAGAAGCTGGGGCCATAAGACTCGCTCAGCCGGCGTGGTCTGGTTGAGCATGCTTAAAAGCCAGCTGTTCCAAAATCTTCTCATATCTGCTGATCCATCCTACGATTCCTCTTCTGCCGCTCTGCTCTTGAGACCGAGACGATTCTGACAATTCATAGGTGCAGATCCCAAATACAAGTCTAATATGTGTCGACACGCTTCATTGCTTGGACGTAACAAGAACTGCCAGTTTCAAATGGTAGCTAGCGATGGTGCCGGTCAATCCAGCAAGACACCATTCATACGAGTCCGCAGTCATTGCAGCATTTGACGATAAATACCATACTCTGTTTAGTATACAGCGGGCTGCACTGGGGAGTCCAACAGGTTTCCGCCGGTATTAGCAGCAGTCAGCCTGCCCAAGAGCGCGCCAACAGTCATCGAAGCTTCTCGATGTCTGCACCGTTCCGCACAACTCATCTTCCATAATAGAGTTGTAGGTATGTATGTCCATTGGAGAGCAGAGCATCCTGATGGCTGCGTGATCCTCGCTGTCGATCACATTCACTTAGCGCGTCGTATCCGCGTTTTAGCTAAACCTTAAATCGCCTTCCTTGACCGTGTGGACGAGCTGACAAGATGTACCGCAGGCTTTCTGGGCTTTCGAGGATAGAACGAAGAGCAAGGTTTTCAACCGACAGTGGCACGCAACGGTCATTGATCCAAACGAGCGGCTGCGATACCAACGTCAGACTGGCTTGTTCACGGCGTTGACGTCGAAGAGCGCAGCACCTAAGCACATGGTCAAGACCGAAAGGAACTTCTGCCTGGTGACCCTGATCTGGCTCGAAGTGTCTCTGTCGGACCATCGCTATGTCTGGGTAAGCATTGATGGGTTAAAGGGTTCTCCAAGACACGATCACACGGCAAGTGGCGCACTGAGACCTTTTGAGCCCTTCCTCTCCATCGAGACACTTGCTGACCCTTTTACCCTTCGGTGCTTTAGGAGGATATCGTGCATGCGCACGCAGCGACGTCAATCTTCTTCCCAGGCGTGCAGACCTCTACAAAAGCGCCTGTAGGAGCGACGTGGAAGAGCTCAATGGCTGATAATCAGGCACGGAGCCGCGAGTTGAAACCGTACCTGCGCGAGTTCAACAGCAACATTACCTTGCCCAAGTATGTACGGGAGCAAGTCGACGAGAAGTACAAGGCCAAAAATGAAGCAGACCGCATGTATGATCGGGAATGGGATGCAGTCATCCGGCCCGATTCTTGTGAAGTACTTTTAGTCTGGCCTCATCGGACCAACGCATCTGCCGTACCCTCCCGGCAGGATAGCCGTTACAAAGCAGGAAGGCGAAGGAGAACGTCCATCTTTGCTTTTCGACTTCAGATCCAGTAGGGATCTGTGGCCGTCGAGGCTCGACTTCAGCAAGATCAGAGATCCGTTCAGCGTCGACATGCTCCACCTGTCGCGGCGGTATCACGACCTTGTGGGACCGGACGCTCGCTTCGCGCTGCTCCGCATCTGGAGCGATGCCTATTTCTACCCGCTCATGCTGGGCTACGACAACCGCACGTCAACTTCCTTCAAGGACGCCGTGGGTCGAGCCTGGGAATGGAAATTCATTCCCAAAGACATGCCTGGCAGCGAGTGGAGCATCCAGAAAATCGTCGAGCTAAGGCTGGAACAATGGGAGCACCAGTTCAAGCGGCAAGTCATGGTGAAGCGGGAAATGGTGCTTGTGATGGCCAAAGACGAAGCGCAATTGAGGAGGTATGTGTTGGCTGTTGTGTTTGCTTTGCAGACGAAGCCTTGGAGACTGGAGGTGGACTTTTGAAAGAGCTTCGTCAATGTTGATGTTGGATTCCTTGAGGGTTTGGATAAGGCGTGGGTGGAGTAGGTGCTGTGGACGTGTTGGTTGATGGATATATTCACTGAGGGAGAGCTATCCGATTCATGAGGGAAGGTCAAGCGGTCAAATGGCATTGAGATTGAAGTGTAAGAATGGCTCTCAATGAGGCGCCTTCTCGACAAACAGAGCGAATATACGACGTCTTCGCACGCGACAACACTCTGTACCGGCAAGAAAGCTCGATACACGCTACAGCGCTATCATGACCAATACATCCCAGCGTCCAGACACCGGACAGCACTATTCATCCAACTCGAACTCAAGCGCATGGTCCTCACTACACTCTGCACAATAAAACCTCGAGATCCCCAGACACTCGACCTGCACATCCTTGCACATATCCGCCGACCAGACGTCAACCGAGTGCGCGGAGACGAAGCGGTTGCCGCACCATTCGATCGAGTCGGAGTAGATCAAGGTGTCGTGGCCGCAGTAGTAGTAGGAGAATGTGTAACCGCACATCTTGACAGTTGCTTTGGGTTGAAACGAATGTGGGTGGCTTCCAGGCCTGGAGACGCTTTGAACGAACGAGTGTGGGTGCTGTGGCAGCTAGGCTAGACGTTCGAAGAGCGACACGAGTCGGCCTTGCAAGGCGGATCGCTGCCATGAAGTAGCTCAGAGAGAAGTATCTTGGTCTCAAGCAGTCTTTGTTCTGTACAAAGCAGACGAAGAGTCGAGCCTTATGTTCATGCAACTCTGCTTTGTCCAGAGTTAACATGAAGTCGCTCCTCCTTTGTCAGGTCTAATAGCTCCTCTGGACTCGCTGTATGGCTTGCAATCTCGAACGTGGTAGCAGGATGTCGCCAGGTCGCTTGGGCAGCGTTCGAAGGAGAAGCGGCAACATCAATCAAGAAGGCAACATTACTCATACCTCATTTGCTCTTGTCTAATATACATGCTTTGCTTTGAAGCCCATCCGTGACCGTAAAATGCTAGCAGGCGCTCGCTTCGAACGCTCAAGGGTATCATCGCCGCAGTGTCTATCTTTCAACGCCGTTCCAGTCCAACGCCATCACATCATTTCCCCCCCAATCACCCATTAGCCCTTCATCCACTCCTCGAACTCATCGCTTCCCTCGCAACTGCAAACAACTCATCCACCCACGTCGCCTCCATCCTCGAGGTTCCCACCGCAACCCGAATCCCTAAATCATGCATGCTCACTCCCGCACTCCCCTCTTTCTTCTCATCAGACCGCATCACCGTCTCGCTGTTCACCAGGATTCCGCCCCAGACGTTGTCCCTCTCGGCCCCGGCAGTGGTGTCGGTCACGCTGACGCCGAAAGCACGCGGCTTGTCGACGAGCTCGAGCGTGTCGGAGGAGTACTCAGTATCGGAGCGCTCGCTGGTGGATTGCGCGGAGGGCCGTCGAGTAGATGGGTTTGTCTTGGACTTATGCGTCAGGAATCGCTTCTCGCGTGAAGGGGTGTTCTTCGCGGCGCCTTTGCGGGTGAGGAGGGGGCCGAATTCTTGGTGGATGTCGCGGGTGAGGACGAGGTGATTGGGGGAGCCGGCGGTGCATTGCTGGCGGGCGGTGAAGAAGGAGAGCGGGACACGGGCGATGTTGTTGCAAGATTCGGTTGAGGTGTGGGCGTCCGCGCAGACGACGAGGGAGAAGATGGTGGTGATGGGAGTGTCGGCGCCGGTGGGCTGGGAGTAGTTGGCGTATACTGGCTTCCCGACGAAGCGGGCGTGCTGGAACCATGCACTTGGAACTTGCTTGCTGAGAGCATCCATGGCGTGCAACGCGACCTTTGCGAAGTGTTGTTCCTGTGGGGTTCTGCGGAGGTCCTTGCGATCGTGGTCTTCCAGGAAGTCCATGGCGATGGTAGGACAGACACCGTCTAGTCGCTGGAGGAATCGCGCTTGATATGGCTGTACGTCGCCTGGCAGCAGTTGCACATCTGGCAGCTGGTCTTGCTCAGTCCGCTTCACCACCACATCAAAGCCTTTGCTGTTGGCTTTGGGAACGATGGCAAAGACGCTGAGCCATGTACCAGCCTTCCCCGCAGAAGATGTGTTCTCCACATACTGCCTGAGATTATCCATGTGAACCTCGATAGCTGCGAGAGGGATCTGCATTGCTTCTGCAAAGTTGCGGCCGACATGCTGGACGCTGGCGAATCTGAAGCCGGTGTTCAAGAGCTTGTCGGTCTGGTCTGCATCGAGTTGGCGAGTCAGGAAGAGCAGCTGGCCTTTGCCAAAGATGCTGTGGCGCAGTGCCAGTTCAAGGTCGTCGCGGCTTTGATGCGGGTTGTTGCGCTTTCCGACCCGATCTTCAGGCTTAAGTGTACCAGTCTCGATGATCTTGTCGTACAGCACGCCAATGTTCTCGATTGATATGTGCATCGATGCTGCCAGAGAAGCCGCTGCCGTGCAAAATCGCTCGCGGAAGAAGATGGAGTAGTCGGTGATGGCTTCGAGGTCATATTGCGAGCTTGATTTGGAACTGCCTGGCCTGGAGCTGTCCTCACTGTCGTCGCTGCGAGCGCCTAGATGGCTCTTCATCCTTGGGATCAGATCTGAGACTCCTGACCAGTTGTGCGAGACACGAAAGATCCATTGGAAAACCTGATGTGCTGTGTCGAAGTCTTCGTCGAAAGTGCGGTGATTGTACTTGTCGGTGATCTCGCGGGCTGGAAGGACACCTTCTGTGGTGACAAGGACACGTCCATCGGGGTCAAACATCGCGCACGCCAGCATGACCTTCTGAGAGCTTCTCTTGAGCACCCTGTCGCGGTGGCGCGTAAACATGAGCACGCACATTACGATGAGGCCAGCAGTGCCGCAGAGTATGCCCGCAATGATGACTTGGACATCTCTTGAGCGGATCGCCTCGTGTGAGTTGTAATGCTTGAGTTCGTAGATGCAATTGGTCGAGGCAGTGAAATGCATGGCCGAGACACCTCCAGCGAGGGCCACCGCGCACAACAGGCGCTTCCACCAGTCGCTGATCCACTTGTCGCGCCATGTGTAGAAGAGCATCAAGACCGCCAAGCAGTCTCCGATCGCAATGACCACAGATGCTGCCAAGTATCTTGAAACGTATTGGAGTTTGTAGTTCGAGATGCCGAAGTTGCCAATGTAGTGCATGCCCACCACTGAGAGGCCTGCGAAGACGCCGGTACAGGTGAGTGCTGACCAGTGGAGAAAAGGTGATCGTGAGGGAAACTCGGCCGCGGCGAAAGCGAAGGAGAGTCCGATGATGGGTAGGAAGACCGAGAGCGTGCTGTATCCTGGGCTGTAGACAAGCTGGATCGTCGCTGTGCCATCACCGAGGATGATTGCACGATTACCGATGAAGTGCATACACCATATTCCGATTGCTCCGAGTGCGGCTGCGCAGGCAAAGGTTTCCGCCCTGAACGTTGATCAGCCATCGACTCTTCTCACCCGTGCACTGACAACCTACCAGCTTCTCCAATTGGAAACACCTGTTCCTCGCCGGTGCAGCAGCTCCACGGTGAGCAAGCAGCCACACAGGCTGGCAAAGTAGGACGCTGTGACGATGCTGGGGTTGAAGTGGCTCGGCACCACGTCGCCGATTTGCGCCATACTGGGGAGGTTCTCGTAGCTAGAAGACTGGATCTCAGTCAGCATCTGAGCCAGGTTTGCAACTTCTTCACGAGGACGAGCGACGGCGTGGCAGCGGCTCCGGCGGTATGCTTAATATTGGAGGAAGTCATGGTGGAGGGAGTGAAGTGACTTGACTAACAGCAATGAAGTGAGGTCGTGGACCAATGAAGACTGACGTACCTATACCAGATTTTTCCAACGACGTCACTCACCAACTGACAACTCGACCTGATCCTTTCCGACAGCCAGCGACAGAAAGAGAGCGTCCTATCCAACAAGAGCGACTATCCAAGGAGACTGAACCGAAAGCCAGATGTTACGAGAGCAACACTTCGAGAAGAGGACTCATGGTGAGAGAGACAGAAGGAAACGAGTTTGGACACCCAAATGAAGCTGACTCCAAGAATATGTCGACGTGTTGGTACCGCTGAAGTCCTGTAGATCGCTTCTGCGCCTGGAGGAGTTGGTTTGCAATGTGCTTCGAAAACGTTTGCGCAGCGCAAGGGATCCGAAATCGTCGGTGGTACAGAGCTGAAGCTCGCAATCAGTCGATTCGCGCCGGGCAGGGTTCGTATCCAAGACTGACGGGATGGTGCATATGAGTGCTCCGAGATGCGAACGCAAGGTGTCGTTGGAGGCCTGCAGCATTAACCGGCAAGTGTAAGGTGTGGTGGGAAGGTCTTAAGGCGACTGCAGGCACCGCGCCCCGGGCGAGTCATTGCTCGTGAGTTTTGCGGCAAAGAGAGTAGAGCGACAGGCTTTCAACCCAGAGGGCGCACTGATGGGAGAACAGGCCCTTGTGGGTCAGGCAAAAGGCTGGATCGTGGTGTCTGACACTGACGCACATACCTCGTTAACCGATACCCTTTCCGCCCGCCGTGCAGGCGGCTGGCACTGTCGCGGCAAGCTCATTGGAGCGGAGGTCGTGCGAGCCCTCAGGACTGGACGTACGACATATCACTTTTCCGCCTGCAAAGGATGCGCTGCAGGCTACCCGCGTCCGCCAGTGCAAGGGACGATCCATCTTCACCCGGCGTCCGGCAGCGTTGTTCAGCGTCGAAGATGGGTCGTGTAGCACCAGTCTCGTATGCCAGGGCACGCCTTTGTGACCCGCCCGTGTAGCTTAGCTCTGGTGCTCGGATAGGGCATGGCGTTGGTTTCGACTCCGTGTCGCAGGTGCAGAGTTGCAAAGCGATAGAGTTCGTGGTTGGTTGTTGGAGCGAGGCCAAAAAAAGGGAAACGCACCAATTCTCCCGGGCTCTCGGGATGAAAGTGGAGATCCACGACTGGGATGCCAGCCACACTCGATCGGGACTTTCCAGGAACACACCAGACTCTAAGCGAGCCACGGCACTTCTTTTCAGCCTCCGGAGTTACACAGAGCGGCAGACTGCAGGGCGAAGCGTTCATATGATGTGCGCGAACAGCGTCTGTGTGCTGTACCGACTGCACGTCTATAACAAAGATTCCATCCTGTATCGCGACAATATCCAATGCTATGGTCCTCAGATCTCGTGGTTGCTCGATCTCAGATGCCTCGGTAGGGCTGACGAATCATGGAGCGAAATACCAACTGCCGAGAGACTGGGTTTGTAGCAAACGGGCGGGACGGAGAGGACCTCAAGCCCCTTTTATTGAGAAGTCGATCATTAGACCGTCGGCGGCCAACACGGCACCTTCATATGGAGCACGATCGCGAAGGACCATCGTGAAAACATCAGGACTCTCCCAGCCCCTAGTCTCACCTCCGGCCAGTGGACCCAAAGATGACATAAAAGTTCAACCACACGAGCCGCACGTGGAAACAGAGTTCATATAGCGCATTTGCGGTCGGTAAGTTCTCGCGTGTCGAATCTTTAGCAGCAGACGGAAAACGCCGTATCGTGAGAAATTGCCGCGCGCGGGTAATAACCTTGAAGCAAACGGCAGTACGCTTGAGCGGTGATGGTTGTCCGTTTTGATGAGGTATGTAGTAGGGTGGAGGCAACGGACGGCAGTGGAAGATCGCTTAGAGAGTTCACCAAAATTTGACACCCATGCGCTCGACAAGTCTGTTCACACAGTGATGAGCGCTCAAGTGAGGCGGAGCGGATGAAAGATACTTGCTGTGATGCCCCAGTCTCTTCATCGAAACCACCTTGACCCGTTGTCTGATTATGAACAAGTCAACGGTCGTTTCGACTAGTGTAAGTACCTGCGCCAGCGTCGAGACCTTCATCTCCCTCTTCACCAGCCGTTCATCTTCGACAGCAATAGGCAGAAATACCTCGGTAGATTCTGCTTGCCACTCTCCCTTCCGTGCTATCCAGCGGTCGAGTTAAAGCTCCTTCTCCAGACGCGCCAACAGACAATCGAGCGCAGCACGAGCAAAGTCCGTAAGCCAGCCAGAGTGCGAAGCTCGCAACAACAGCTCAGGTTAAACGACTTCGAGTTCTTTCCTCCGCATAGACTCGCTCAAGCCCCTTCGCGACATCTCCTTTGTGGCCCTCGGGTGAGCTCGTCGGTCTCGTAATCGTAGGTGTTCTAGAGCTCCCATGCATTGCTTGGCAAAGCACATTGACCAGAAGAATGTAGCTGATGTCCGTGAGAACTCGAAAGGGACCGCAGCGGTTTCGTTGCCTTATTGCTCAGATGCACAGCATCTGCTCCGCATCCTGCCACCGACAGCCCTGCATCTCTTCCTCCTCATCATAGCCTAACAGCAACATCGAGTCAATGCTGCTGTAGACCGACAGCAGATCCTCGTCAGATGTCAGATCTGTGGTAGCGCTCGAGACTGTGGTCTGTGTGCTTTGATCACCACTACTCATCTCCAGTTCTTCAGAATCCATTGCATCCTCAAAAGCTGTCGTGGTGAAGTCTTCGAAGTCATCAATACCAAGTATATCGTCCTCGGATAGGTAATCATTCTCATTGTCAGAGGCTAGAGTTAGCATGTCGTGGTCGAGATCGACAGTGTCGCAAAGCCCATCTGCATCAGCGTCAAGCTCTAACATGTCGTTCGAGACGGTCGACGAAACTGTGGTTGGGGTCACAAGCAGCTGCGGGCGCTTCGCTGCTTTCGGGTCGTACATGCGAGTCTGAAGCATCTTCCAGAGCTGCTTATGAAAGACGCTCGATTGAAATCTTGTGCTCGTTGCTGATTGTGGGTGAGAGTGGTCTGTGATGCGGTCCTTTGAGGAAGCGGCTTCCACCACGTTGGAAGCCAATCTCTCGATCTTCTTGCTTTTCGAGGTGCGAACAACTGAAGCAAGCGCGTGGGATATGGTCGGAAGGAAGACTGATCTAGCTGCCAGCGACGGTAGATATCGCGGCGACCAGATCGAAGGTGCAATTGACGCCAGAGGCTGGAGACTTGCTGTGGAGATGGCCAGATCCTTGACTCTTCTACTGGCAGGCCCGGCAATAGCGATGTGCACACACATTAGTGTCCAGTCGGTGAGGGCTTGAGCGGTGCAATCTTTGAAATCTCTGCCGACGCTGCCAGTCTCCGATTGGCCCCCTTCGATCCCGTCCATGAGAAGCTCGTGGTCGTCCAGCATACTTCTCGATTCGTCAAGCAATAATTCATGCTCAAATTCAGTCGGATCGGGTCCTGTCGCGCCTTCAGCCTCTGAAGTGCTGCTATCTTCTGCCGATGCCGCTTGGACCTCAGGCAAACCACTCACAGCTATCTCTAGCTGAACCGAGTCAAGTCTGGCGTGGGGCACTCCTTCCGGAGGGCGAACATCGTGTATGGGCACATCCGCATCGAGCTTGTGCAGCCTTCGCTTGTTGTGGGTCGTCGGCTTATCTGCCGGACGTAGCAGCAGTTCGATTTGGTGGCCAGTATTACCGTGGTTCGAGACCTGAACGCATGGAGTGGACAAACACAGCAGCCTCCAAAGCTAGCACGATGTCAGTCATCAGAGCTGAAACATCGGTAGGAAATGACAACTTCAGCCTGGCGCAGTCGCGTTGATAGCAGCTCGACCACTTCTGTCGTGGGCGAGATCTCGCTGAGCTCATTTTCAAATTGAAGACGAATCACGAGTCTCAACCTGTCACTTCCCGACACACAAGGAAGTCTGTCCAGCTCTTTGCCGAGTCTGTATTCAATTAGTCGCGTCTCGAGCTGATCAATGTCGTCCTTTCCGGACGGAGCAAACTCTGCGGCACTCTCGAGGCGTAGATGCACACGGTGAGATGCGGACTCGATGTCGAGATGTCCCAAGTCAAGATGCGCACTCATGTCGACATATCCCACGCCGTCTAATTGCCTGACGCGCTTGTCAAGGTGAGGACGTGAGGTCAGGTGTGTCTCAGAGAGTGCAGACCTTGAAGTCGGCCGGAAGTTCCCGCAGCTGGCAACCGCACCTGAAGCAACGACACCGACGAAGCCTCTTCTACATTTCACTAGACACACCTCACTCTCAAGGCTTCTAGTCTTCGCTATGGTCGTGAAGTCGACCTTGACGCGTACCCTGGCCCGCGGGGTCCGGTCGAGCCGACTCCTTCCAACCAAAGGATGCCGAGTCTTTTCTCAGACACCACGGACTGGGACGGACGGTGTCTTTAGAGAGCTAACAGCTCAAAGAACTCAGATACCCTGGATCGAGGCTCTTCGTAAGCAGCAAGAGGGTACTCAAGATGCTACGGCATCAACATCTCAACCGGCCACGCCTCAGGATCGGGATCTCTCGCCGAAAAGAATGAAAGACAGCCACCACGCCGTGTTGCTCCCACTGGGACAAGACCCTTGGCTTCTTGACACCTACGCAAACGCCACTGGCCAGTTGCGCCTAGGAACACTGCTCATGGACTTGGACGCTCTTGCTGGCGTTATTGCCTACAAACACACCGGAGAGGATGTCACCACCGTGACTGCGTCTTTCGACCGGATTGTGATCCAACATCCCTTGACCGAGATATGTGACCTTGAGCTATCCGGCATGGTTACGTACGCCACTGGCCGAAGCAGCATGGAGATCAGTCTTCAGGTGGCCAAGGCGCCAAAGGAGGGTGAGCAGGCCAAACCTGAAGACATTATGATCACTTGTCAGTGTACCATGGTCTCTCTTGACCCAGCAACCAAGAAGCCGGCCAACATCAATCCTGTCCGGACAGACACCGAAGAGGAGAAGCGGCTCTTCCAGCAGGGAGAGAAGAATAGCAAGCACCGCAAGGAGCTCTCACAGCGCTCGCTGCTCAAGCAAACTCCGGATGATGAGGAGAGCGATCTCATCCATGCCATATGGCAGAGGCAGCTGCAGTACCATGACCCCAACGATCCGCTCCGGAAGCCTGACAATGTCCATTACATGGATGCCACGAAGCTGCAGACTGCCCAGATCATGATGCCGCAGTATCGCAACCGGCACAACTTTCAAGTGTTTGGTGGATTCCTCTTAAAGCAGACTTTCGAGCTGGCCTTCTGCTGTGCCGCAAGCTTTGCCCACAGCAGGCCGACGTTTGTGTCGCTCGATCCGAGCACCTTCCAGAACCCGGTCCCAGTCGGCAGTGTCTTGTATCTCACGGCCACTGTGGTGTATACCGATCCACCGGTCGTGCGTGGTAGTTCAGATGCGCAGAGCACGGAGGAAGCGCAGCAGACTCGTGTCCAGATCCGGGTGGACAGCAAGGTCCGTAATGTCGAGCACGGCGAGACCAAGCCTACTGGCCAGTTCAACTATACCTTTGTTGTCGACAAGCAGATGAAGGTCATGCCGCGGTCTTATACAGAGTACGTCATGTACGTCGATGCTCGCCGGAGGGCCAGGAGCGTGCTCGAGAGCCTAAGGCACGGCGAAGCGGACGCCGGTGATAAAACCCGGGTCACCGAATGAGAAAGCTCACATTGAACAAGCTGACCTCTCTCAACATGGCGCGACATAGGGTCCCCATGCGTTCCACAGACCGCTACGGCCGCTGGGGAAACCCCGCCATTTTCAGCAAAGCTCGGAAACTCACCGACGACGACAAGGGCGACGGCGACATGATGGCACCACCACGAAAGCGTACGAAGCTCCACCACTCAGCAACCCAAGTAGCCGCAGAGCCGCCCAAGAGCAGACTCATGGGCCTACCCGCAGAACTACGCAACGAGATCTACCGGTATGCTCTGGTACGCAAGAACAAGTACCACATCAAGCACGGTAAGCGACAGCCCAAAGAACCGGGTCTTTTGCTGGCCAACAAGCAGATCCGCGAAGAAGCAGCAAGCATTTACTATCAAGAGAACACCTTCTATTTCGTCGTGGTCGACAACAACGCCAGGCCATATCTCGAATGGACTCGTGCTTCAGAGCTGCACCACGGAAGCAACTACCTGGTGCACATTCGCCCTTCGACCAACTACAACAATCTGATCGATTGGACTCGACGTTTCCACTACAACATGACGGACGGCAAAGTACCAGGGCCCTTTCCAGACAGTCGCTCGGGGGTCATTCAGAGAGAGGCATTTGTTGTTGCGAAAGAGTTGAAACGGCTTGGTCTGTCATGGTGCCATATCAAGTCGCAGTTGGAGCGCATACAGCGGATGTTGGTTGTGCTTGATGGTGGGTACATGTAACAGCATCTCCCGGAGCGATGCAGGCCTGTGGGTGGTGTAGCGACTACTATGGTCGGATGGCCTGGGAAGCATCTCTGAGAAGGCTCGAGAGGAGGCACGAAAGAAGTCGGTCTGCAGCTTCTCATAGATAGCGAAAAGCTGTTGCGTGTCTACATGAACCTTTGTGCGCCTGTCTGTCTTGCGGAGAGATGCTACAGACCTTGGGCTCATGACCTCTTCTCCGCTTGCGCATCGCAGTGTGAGAGGGTTGCTATTCATATAACAGCTTGTTTGCGCGCTCGAGAAGGGGTGTGGTCCTTGCTGTCCTCATCTTCCCTTCCCCACAACGGCTGTACCTTGCCTTTGTCAGCCCTGACAAGGCTGACAGAAACCAATTCTCTACCTCATCTCCTGAAGACCAACTTCTCACCCCTCCTCCGATACTGTAGGTCCTTGTCGTATCATATTCCACAGTATGCCAAAAGAGACACCAGCTGATGCCGAAATGGCCGTCCAGGGCGATCATTCTTCCATCAATGGCTCGCACGGCTCCTTACGACACAGGAAACGCCATACAGTGCCGAAAAATGCACCTTTCGCCGGCCGCATTGGCGGTAACCAGGCCTTCATTGCGACAGATGATTCCCAAGAGTCTGAGGAGATACTGAAAAAGCAGCCTGATGCCGTATGTCCATGCAGCAGTTTTTTCCTACAGCTGAGCAGGACTGACTTCAAGATAGGCGCCATTATCCAGCCTGAGAGACTCGCTTGATCCTCGTGGCTTCTTCATCGTCGATACATGGCGACAAGCGGCCATAGAAGCATGGGGTGAGGTCGATCCTATGGATCTGGAGATGCCGAGCTGACGAGCATAGGCACCTGTCTCCTCGTCTTCATCTTGGGCGCAGCATCTTCTGGCTTGACACTTCTCCCTGCTGGCACATCACCGTTGGCTATCGGAGCATATGCTTCACTTACCAACGGCATTGGATTGAGTCTTTTCATCTTCTCCGCCGGCCCTGCGTCAGGTGGCCATCTTAATCCATCGATCACTATGGCGACGTTCTTTGCTGGGCTTGCAACCTTGCCTAGGGCCGTCATCTATATCTCTGCTCAGATCGTAGGCGGGATCATTGGAGGGTATTGGTTACGTCTCGGTCTGGGTGACGCCTACTTTCCAACTGTCAGCAAAATACTCCAGACCTTCGTTTGCAGGGCTGATCTATCCCCAGGGAGTGATACCAGGATGCACCGTAGACCCCTCATTAGTCTCGGCAGGACAACTCTGGGTACTCGAGTTCATGTTTGCGCAAGCACTGATCTTCACTGCTTTTGGTGTTGGTCTTGATCCACGACAGGCTAAATCCCTGGGTCCCGCCCTTGCTCCAATCCTGGTGGGCACGAGTTTGGCGCTCGGAACATTGGCCAGCTCGATCTCTAGGCCCGGGTACACTGGCAATTGTATGTCAGCCGTATGAGTTGATCCACGGGAGGCTGACGAGTTTGTTCTAGCATTCAATCCCGCGCGCTGTATAGGCTTGATGACCGCAGGCAATAATCTCCAATTTCACTGGGTTAGTACATATTTCGCTCCATGCATTCGCTCCTGCCCTCATCTATTATTTGGCATCTTTTGTGCGATCAAAGAAGCCCAGAAGCTAACGTCTCTCGATAGGTCCACTGGACGGGACCTTTGGCTGCTGCTATCATCAACGGCATCTTCTATTACTTCGCACCTCCCTACCGAAGAGACAGACCATTGGTACAGCACAACCCACTTCATGCTCTGTAACTGTGGCTTCACAAGCCTAATGGCAAACACAAAGCGACGGAGGTAGCACCACGGAAGCCATATCGAACAAGGCGTGCTCTTAGGCCTGCACCCGACGCCTTGAAGGTACGAGCCAGCACTTCTGTTGCTTGTCGCACCCTTGACAATACATTTACAGGCACACCTCCATTAAGACTATGCCTCTCATGAGCACCCAGCGAGTACTCGTGGTGCAGATCTTTTGTCGCTTGAAAGATCCCATCTTCAAGTTCCCAGTAGTCCGGTTCAAATTATCGTTGTCCAAATGGGCCGCTACTGTCGCATTCCTTGCAAATTTGGAGTTGGTCAACATACTCCATACCGAGTTTGTCCGGGAAACGGACCGCATTCTTCCCGGCGAGAGACCAGCGCCCATCATCACACATCTTATTGCAAAGCTCACTGGCCAAGGACGTCGTGTGCTTTCAGTGGGAGGGACGGACAACAGCCAACGTCATGCGCCCACCAGCCTCCAGCCGTTGCATGTCTCGTAGCAATTCCAATTGAGGTGATGAATGGGACTTCTTCTTACGGCGATCGCCTCGAGCATGCCACCTGGGTCCTGCAATCAAGTTATCACTTAAGTCTTCACTTCTCACCATGGCACACTGACGGCAGAAAGGTCTCGTTCCGCCAATCACTCTGGCCTTCAATCTACTTTCTATTGTCACTCTCAGTACCAGCCAACATGGCTCTCTTGAGGAGGCTATTCTCCACGATCCTTTGCCTCTACTTCTTCTCTTTGCAAGTGCAGTGTCAGCCGTCTTTCGCACCAATTCTACCGCCTTCATACCCGCTCGCGGTTAAGAACCCCTACCTCTCAGGTAAAGCCATGGAGTCCTCCATGACATACTCCTGCTAACCCCCTTCACAGCATGGCTGCCGGGCAACCAGACCGCAGACCTGCCGTCGGCAGTACCACAGTTCTGGACGGGACAGGAATTGACTTGGTCCGTCATAGCACGAGTTGATGGCCAAGCATACTCCCTCTTCGGGGTTCCGGAGCCGGTGTCTGGCATCAAATCAGCCTCCTTCAAGAGCGCTGAGTATACTTCAACTCATACTACCTTCACTCTGGAAGCTGGGGCAGCAATCTTCACTCTGGACTTCTTCTCGCCAGTATCTTTGAATGACTATGTCAGGCAGAGCATGCCATTCAGCTATCTGATTGTTTCGGCATCTGGTCTGGACGGAGCAGCACCATCTTTACAGGTGTATTCAGACATGGACAACTCCTGGACCGGCCAGTTTGGAGAGAACGTGCAGACAAACTGGAACTATGCTCTAAGTTCGGCGAGTACTCAGGTCTTCACCTTGACTTCTGGTGGTACAGCGATGTTCTCCGAGGTCGAGGATATGGCTCAATGGGGGACTGCTGTCTACTGCACCAAGCCAAGCACATCAACGATTTCTCCATCGTTAGGTGACATGGCCACCGTACGCTCCAGCTTCGCCAACAACGGCTCGCTACCTGGAGACTGGGACTGGAAGCCTGGCAGCGTCATCGCCCTCAGCCATGACCTTGGAGCCGTCAGTACCCACCACAATGTCACTTTTGCCGTCGGCTACGTACGACAGGTCGATGTCAACTACATGAGCACCCCTCGTGCGGGTTACTGGAAGTCTGCAGCATCAGACATCAACATGGCTTGCGTGAGAGCACTCTTGGACTTCAAAGCCGCGGACGCTGAAGGACGAGCTTTGGATGCGGGAATCGCCAGCAGAGCCACTGCAGCTGGCGGCGGCAACTACAGCGACGTCGTTTCCTTATCAGTCAGACAGGTCTTCGGAGCTTTCGACGTTACGGTACCGGAAGAAGACTTGTCAAAAACCGAGGATGTTATGGCGTTCGTCAAGGAGATATCCTCAAATGGCAATGTCAATACCATCGACGTGAGTTAACTTCAAGACTGGGCTTGCCATTGCTGACACCTAACTCCGCGATCTAGGTAATCATGCCTATCTCGCCGACACTCTTCGTAATCGCACCTGAGTATATTCGTCTACTGTTGGAACCGGTGATGCAGTACCTTGACACCGGAGCTTGGCCACACCAGTATACTGTAAGAACAGCCAGTGCAATGGAAAGACCAAGGTACAAGTGCTGAAACCTCTGCTAGATCCACGACTTGGGCACACACTATCCCAACGCCACTGGCCACAACGATGGTGTCGCTGAAGAGATGCCAGTCGAAGAGTGCGGCAACATCATCGTGCTGGCATACATGTACCAGCTGGCTTCTGGCAATATCGAATGGGCAAGCAACTATGCTTCGCTGTTCAGGCAGTACGCAGACTACCTTGTCCTCAACGGCCTTTACCCGACCCTTCAGCTCTCATCTGACGATGGTGCTGGACCAGTCGCAAATCGAACGGGCCTGGCGATCAAGGCAGCCATTGCTCTAAACGCATACGGCGTTATGACCGGACAATCGAACTACTCAGACACTGGACGTCAGTTTGCCGACGAACTTTACGAGCAGACAGCAGGCACAGATGCTGATCGCACCCACTTCACCTTGACCCAGAGGGACGACAACTCCTGGGGCATAGGGTACAACCTCTTCCTCGACGTGCTGCTGAAGCTTGATACCTTCCCAACGGAAGCATACGCCATGCAAACCAACTACTACCAGCATGTCCGAGCTGAAGCCGGTCTAGCGCTTGACAGTAGGGTTGACTGGGGCAAGACAGATTGGATGAACTTTGCTGCTGCCACTGCGATGGCTGAGGGGGTGGGAAATGAGGGCGTGCGAGACATGCTTGTTGGCGATGTCCATGCTTTCCTCGCTAGTGGACAGAACACGGCACCTTTCAGTGACAATTTCTTCGGGGAGACGAATGGAAGTGATGTTGCGGGTATCTACAACATCTACCGAGCGAGGCCTGTGGTCGGAGGGCACTTTGCTTTGATGGCTTTGGGTGGACCGAATCAGAATCAGCTGCAGGCCAGTGATGGTGGATATGAGAAAAGAAGTGAAGGAGGTGGGAGCTAGGTATCCAGGCTATTGGCGAGGTTTGCAGGCAACTTTTGAGGATTAGGTGCCAACATGGGCTTCACTACGGTTGATGAGAAACCCACTTACAAGCTCACTTGAAACGAACCCGCGAGGGCCAGTGCGTTATCACATGCTCACAACAGCTATTGTATCAACTTCCTCCCACCTCTAACAACCTCTCGTCTTACATCTTCATCGATCTTGTCAACCACAGCACCACAACACCTCCAGCTCTCCTACTTGCGACACAAACCTCAACATGGTGAGATCGAATGACATTCCAGGGCTGGTCGTGGAGGTGACGGTAGGCGGAGAGGCCTTGAGGGAGTACCAAAAGGATGATCTCGAGGATGTCGCACGCACGACCACACGATACATCGAAGCCGTGACGGGCCAGGAGTTCGTGGTGTCGATCAAACTCCTCGAGGACTTCAAGTTCATGGGCAACTGCCTCGCAGCGAAGGTCTACGCCGACGGAACTATGCTGACATCGGCGCTCATGTGCTATGAGCTTGATGTCCGTGAGGTGGAGGGCATTGAGATAGGTGATGATACCGTCAGGAAGGCGAGTTTCGCTGATGTCGAAATCGGTAAGCTTAGACGCTCTTTACATCAACGTATTATCTTGCTAATCTGGACCTAGTGAGCGATCGTGGTGTTGTGCCGGGCGAGGCGTCCAAGGTCAAGAATGTCGGTACCATTGTGGTTGTTTTGTCGCACGAGCAGACTACCGAAGAGGACGACAGTGAGGATGAATACATCCAAAATGCGATCGCAGCAATCGAGAGCATCTCCAAGAAGGATGTGAAGGGGCAAGCGATATCGCACAAAGCAGAGTAGGAAGCAAGCTGATCGGCAAAGAGATGAATGAACTGGCTGACCTTATCACAGGTTCGCGGATGCGATGCCATACTCGACGACATACGTCAGCAGTCAGCCGGTCGTCGGAGAGCCCAATCCTTTCGCCACGATCGTCTTCCGTTATAGGTCTCACGGTAAGCCAGCATCCCCAACAGCTTCTCCAGCATGATCGCTAACATCTAGGAGCGATGCTACAAGCCTTGCGCATCATCGAACGCACCCCCACGCCACCACCACCGGAAGAGCGTGACCATGCTGCGCTCAGCCCAGAGGACATAAGGGACATGCAGCGGAGGCTGGTGGAGCTCACGGTAAGCGATGGAATTTCCCATACCAAGTCAGCCAGCTGACGAAAGCGCAGAGGCAGCAGGAAGAGCACGTCCGCGTGAAGCGCGAGCGCGAGGATGGGGATGACAATCCCCGCCCTCGGAGAGTAGCACGAGCGGCAGCCGGCGATACCCAACTGGAGCTTGACGACACTGGTAGCTTCCGTGATCGATCGGAGACGCTCGCACCAGCTGATAGGGTGGTCATCGAGATGATTGAGGCAGCACCGTTGCGCAACGCCACACAGCAAGCTTGACTTACACCCAGATCTGCTAAGTCGATAGCATCTTTGCTCAAGCTGGAGATTCCAGACGAGCATCGGCAGGCATCAGACTGCTGCAGTGTAGCTAAACATGAGCTGGAGGAACCGACTGTGGTATATACATGGTTCTGGTAGGACGTGAAGGGCGCCTGATTGGCATTTATCATTGAGGTGGAGACTCGCCTAGCCCAAACATGCGTATCGAGTTGCGCCATGCCCTACATCAGAATTAGCAACACCATAGCAGGAGGCAAGAGAATTATCACTAATACTCACGCTTCACACACCTCCTCCACCTTGACCTCCTTGGTCGCCGCCACCGCATGCGCAACCTGCGTAATCGCACACGGTTCATTCCTCCCCTTCACCATCACACCCTCCACCCACTTCTCCTTCTTCACCGACTTTGGCAGCGGTGGAGCATCCTTGGTGAACTGTGCACTCGCCTGACTGGGCCGCATCTCGCACCAAGGCCCATCAGTCTCGATCTGCAATCGCTCGAGCGGGACTTCCTTGACCACAGCAATATTCTCCTCGGTCTTCAGACTGCAGCCATTGATTCCGACATCAAACCCAAGGGCGACGATGCCCTGCATCTCTTCCAGGGTGCCGGTGAAGGAGTGTACGACGCCGCGCTTCGGTAGACGGTCGAGCCGGGATTTGAGCAGGCGTTCGAAGTCCTCGGCAGCGGCGCGGGAGTGGAGAAAGAGCGGTAGTCCTAGGTCGCAGGCGAGATCGAGCTGCTTTTCGAAATAGATGAGCTGGGTCTCCTTGTCGCAGAAGTGTAGGCGGTCGTAGTCGAGCCCAATCTCGCCGAATGCTGTTGCTTTGCCTTCCTGCTGTGCCTCTTTCGCTAGCTTCGTGAGCTCGCTGAGAAGAGCGTCTGGTCCATCGGGGTGCTTGGAGAAAGACTTCGCCTGGCATGGATGTACGCCCACGGTTGCGTAGCAGAGGCCCGGGTATAGGTCTGCAAGTTCCACGGCTTTCTTGCTCTCTTCCAAGTCCGAGCCCGTTACCATCATCTTGCGCACGCCGGCGTCCAGCGCGCGTTGTACTACATGTTGCAGGTCGTCTTCGTGGGCACGCTTGCCGTGGTATACGCCGCGGAATATCTCGTCTGTCAGGTTGATGCCGATCTATCTCTGCCGTTCGTGAATGTCAGCTCGGGTCTTAAGCATGCACAAGATGGTAGGGGATACTGACATCTGCGTACTTGAGCTGGGAACCATCTATAGTTCCGTTGGGTACAGCATTCAAGCCGGCGGACAGAGGGTTCTGAGTTGCCATTGCGGCGGTCTTGGTGTAGATGTAAGAGCTCCTGCTGGCTTCGCCTGTTCGTGACCTCGCGCACAAGGGAAGCAGTGGTATCCGGTGTATCAGCACCCGGCTCATGTGGGCTCTCGAGAATTACTGCTGTGATGGAGTGGACGAGAGAAGTGCGCGCACGATCGAGACATGAGGTCGGTTTGGGAGCACGGGCCTGGAAACTTTCGAAGAGGACAACACGAACGCAACACAACTACTTGATATGCTCCTAGCAGAAATTGACGATGACAGGAGTTCTTCATTGGATGGTTGGCAGTCATGTTCTCTGCGGAAGTATGTCAAAGTGCTTCGTTGCTCGAGATTGGACACATTGGTTTGTTGGAAGTTGTTCTTTTGAGTCGGGCTATCAACTCTGGACACCTAGTACACGCTCAACGGTGTCGGGAGGATGCCCTTCCAGATGCTCGTATTCCCACCCTCTACGAGTCCTCCACAACCGCGGTCACCAGACCCTTGGGGTTCTTGACGTTCACCGCCTGCACGTAGGAGTACAGCTTCTCCTTTGCACCCTCCTCGTCGTTACGCTTGCGCGATATCCGCACGCGCAGACGGAATGGCACACCCTTGATACCGGACTCCCACACCTTCTTGTTGAGCTGAGGGTCAAGGCGGACGTCGGAGGTGCCCTGTTAGAGCATCATGTTAGTACTGGCGACGCCATGCAACCAGACGAGGTCAAATCTCTCATGTAAATGCTCTGACATACCATTGCCTTCGTTGCGAACGACCTGATCTCCTTGATGGCTCGCGGTGCCCTCTTCTTGAAGCTCACGCCGTGGACCTGATGTCCCGTTAGATTTTTATCCTTGTCTCAGTCTTCCGTCCGATGCCAGCCCTTTACATCTACCGCAGACATGCAGCAGACGATCCGGGCTCGCCATCCGTGGACTTCATCAAACTGAACGTACTCTCTTGTGCAGGTGGATGGTGTATTCGCGTGCGACGACATCCTCGATGGCGCTGCGCTGCGCGGTCTTGCCGGCGGCGGGCTTGTTTGACTTGGCCTGGTTCGGCATTGTGGGCGAGGTGGATGAGTGTGTGGCGGTGTTGTCAGTGGTCGCTGGTCAAGCAAGAAGTGCTTTCTCAATCGCGAGAGAATTTCCAGGTTGGCTGGTGGGCGCAGGATCGGCGCATCTTGGCATCGGCTTTATCTCTTAAACCCGAATAGGTTTAGCGCCTCTTGCAGGCACTTATGCCTCTAGCCTGATCTGAGAGGAAAGAGCGCGCCTGATCAACCACAGTCCATCACATCGTCCCCTTCACCCCCTCCTCCTCACCTCCGCAGCAACACCCATGACACCGCCGGTCCGATGCGGCGCGCCATAATCCAGAACCTGCGCACCTTCCGCCGCCCTACACCTCGCAAAGCACTCAAGTCCCTCCGCATCAGCTCGCAGAATGCCGCCTTCCAACGGTCGATAGCCTCGCAACCACAGCAGCCCATGCGTTGGGGACGACGGATATCAGTCCCTGCAGCGCTAGGTGTCGGGGCTGCTGGGTGCTATTACGCATATCAGCAGAGCGGAGCACAGTCAGCAGTCGGAACAGATGCAAACGGAGTGCAAAGCAGAGGCGCGGCAACGGCGACGGCACAAGCATCTGTACAGCACTCGCCGATAGGAGTCCACAGTGCCGAGGTGCCAGAGGCCGTGCGGAAGGCTTTGATCGTTGAGCAGGGTCAGCTATTTACTGCTTCTATACCAGCAGACCAGCCGATCAGCAAGGAGACGGACAACTCTGGTCGAAAAGTGCTGGAGATGCTGACGCCCGAGCAAGCGAACGCAAAGCTGCGCACCAACGAAGAGAGCTACCTCGTCGGTAGAGGAGAGGGTGTGGTCCGATACGATGTTGTTCAGATCCCCAGCAATGATCCGATAGAGGACGACCACGTCGAGAAGATTGTGGAGGTACCGGACAGTACCGCTGCTGCTGGGGATGGGAAGACCAGGTCAGACTGGATGTTCTGGGGTGTATTTGACGGGCATGCTGGCTGGACGACATCTGCAAAGCTGCGACAAACTCTTGTCTCGTATGTGGCGCGGGAGCTGAACGCTACGTACAAGTCCGCGCTGCAGGATCCTGCAGTCACGTTCCCGCCGGCCGAAGCAGTAGACGCGGCGATCAAGAAGGGCTTCGTGAAGCTGGACAACGAAATCACCCACGACTCGGTTCAGAAGGTGCTGAAGTCGCAGTCGAAAGTGGTGGCAGCTGAGATACTGGCACCAGCACTCTCGGGATCTTGCGCGTTACTCAGCTTCTACGACAGCCGCTCGAAGGAGCTAAAGGTGGCTTGCACCGGCGACAGCAGAGCAGTCCTGGGCCGAAGGGCAGGAAGCGGCAAATGGACGGCGACCGCGCTCTCAGTCGATCAGACCGGCGGCACGCCATCGGAAGAGGCTCGACTACGGGCAGAGCACCCAGGCGAGCAATATGTCACCATGAACGGTCGGATTCTCGGAGGTCTGGAACCCAGCCGAGCCTTTGGCGACGCAGTCTACAAGTGGTCAAAGGAGACGCAGGAGAAGATGAAGAACAACTTCTTCGGTCGTTCGCCGTCGAAGTACCTCAAGACGCCGCCATACGTCACGGCAGAGCCTGTCGTTACGACTACAAAGGTTGATCCTGCAAGTGGTGACTTTGTGGTCATGGCCACTGATGGGCTCTGGGAGATGCTGACGAATGAGGAGGTCGTAGGACTGGTTGGGCAGTGGCTGGAGAAGCAGGCCTCGACTTCGAAAACGACAAACTCAGGCAATAACTCCTGGCTACAATCGTGGTTCACCACACAGAAGGCCAACTCCTTGCCAGTCGAGCACCACGATGAAGGTACTTCAAAGGGCCAGCGGGCGCCCATCCGTCAGCAGCAGTGGGGCGTGCCAACCGGCCAGGATGAACGTTTCGTGGTTGAAGACAAGAACGCTGCGACCCATCTCGTACGCAATGCTCTGGGTGGGAAAGACCAGGATATGCTGTCCGCTCTGCTAACACTTCCTGCGCCTTTCTCGCGCCGCTACCGCGACGACCTGACTGTGCAGGTTATCTTCTTCGGCGAGAGCGAGGCTAACGGCAAGGTGGAGTTGAACAAGGAGGCTAGTGCTACTGCGAACGGCGGGAATGGAAATGGGAATGGGGTCAAGGCGAAGCTGTAGGGGTGCTTGGGTACAAGCTCTACTTCTGGGTGCATAGCATAGCATGGCGTTCTGGAGCGCGCATCGCCTGGGGTGCTAGATCTGAGAGCGCACTTGTACTATATAGACGCCGAATGAGAGAGTTCGAACGCTATCTGTTGTCTTGAACAATAAAATATTGAAAGCGGGCATGTGACTTCGCGGACAGACCGCGCTTGCCTAGAGAAGCCCGCGTCTTCCGACTTCAATCCTCGACCTCACATGTTTCTCACTCAAGTATGCCCACGCAACAGAACCTTCCCGCCTTGGGGTAGATGTCGCATTGCCATCGCAATGGAGCCAGGATCCCGCAAAAGACCGATCTCAGTAGACGGCGACGTCTCGCCGCCACCGAGCAAGAGGAAGCTCGCTACAACCACGACCAACAAAGCCGTGTCCAACTTCTTCAAACCAGCATCAGAGAAGGAACCCGAGAAAGTGCGCATTGAGATTCGGCACGAGACGCTGCTCACAGCACAGTATGACAGTGCGCAAAGCAAGTCCCGCCCAAAGCCAGTCAAGATCGCAGCATTCGACTTCGACGACACCCTCATCGCCACCAAATCTGGCCTCAAATTCGCCCGTACAGAAGATGACTGGAAGTGGTGGCATGCTTCCGTACCCGCACGGCTCAAACAGCTGGATGCCGAAGGCTACACGATCGTCATCATCAGCAACCAAGCTGCCGTGAGTCTTCGTGCAGATCCAAAGACCCCGAACGGGATGCGAAGTTTCAACAACATCAAAGGCAAAGTATCGGCGGTATTCAAGGCGCTGGATCTGGGGATCAGCTTCTACGCCGCCACTGCACACGACATCTACCGGAAGCCAAGGTCAGACATGTGGGAGCAGTTGCTGAAGGACTACGGACTCTCGGATGCCGGAGATGTCGATCATGAGGGCAGTCTCTTCGTCGGAGATGCCGCAGGTCGAGCTGGAGATAAGGCGGCCGGTGTGAAGAAGGATCATTCATGCTCTGACCGAGACTTTGCGGCGAACGTGGGTATCAGATTCCAAACGCCGGAGGAGTTCTTCCTGGGTGAGGACACGAAGCCGTTCACGAGGATATTCGATCCCGCAGCACACCTGAGCTCTGGACTGGCTGCTCAAACGGAGACCACACCAGTTCTGTTCACCAAGAAGAACAAGCTCGACCTCGTCCTCTTCTGCGGCAGTCCAGGAGCTGGCAAGTCTACGTTCTATTGGCAGCACATGGAGCCGCTCGGGTATGAGAGGGTGAACCAAGACACGCTAAAGACGAGAGATAAGTGCAAGAAGGCTGCCACTCAGTTCCTGCAGGATGGGAAGGGTGTGGTTGTCGACAACACGAACGCGGACGTCGAGACACGGCAGGATTGGATTGCGTTAGCGAAGAAGTTGAAGGTGCCGGTACGGCTGGTACATTTCACGGCGAGTGCGAAGTTATGTGAGCACAATGATACTGTGCGGGCATTGACAGGAACTCTGGTGAGTCTGCGGTTGAGTTTGCTACAGCAGCTCAACGACTCAGTGGGAGACGTCGACGTGTTCATACTGACAAGTCCACAGATGAATCCGGAGAAGCGAACGATGCTGCCGAAAATGGCATTTACTGGATTCGCCTCTCGCTACCGAGAACCGACGGCAGGAGAGGGATTCCAGGATGTCACCAAGGTGGATTTCGAGGTAAGCTTCCTGTACACGTGGGAATGGTGGAACGACAGGCTGATTGCTGACGATCACGACAGTTCCGGGGGACGGAAGAGCAGAGGAAGGAGTGGTCGAAATATTGGATCTCGTAGCCATACAGCTGCCGCGTTTAACTTTAGGCTTGCGTCGGCGAGCATTTGGATGGATCAACTATGTTATCGCTCCTGCAGGATTGCCACGCGACAAGAATTGAATCGACAGGTCGTGATCGGATCCCTCAGATAAGGCCTGCAGAGGCACGGGCAGCAGTGCAGATTCTCCAGACTCCCGTACCAGACGCGGAAGACCCGACGTACCGGCCCTGTATCGGATGCTGGCCGCTGTTCATGGCTTTAAACCAGGTAAGTGTTTCTGCTGTGCGGCCTTGGTTCTTCTGAATCGCTGACAGCATCGCTCAGTGTTACCTTGGGGCTGAAAGATGTACGCTGTACCTTCTGTCGATAGTGCTCAATGAAACAGTACTGAGCCATCGTCTGGTTCCAATCTATTGACTTGACTGAGAGAGTTGATTCCGGCCTGATTGCGATGGCGAACCTCACTGGCGTGATTCTGTGTGAACTCGCGTTCGAGCGACTCTCTTCCTTCGGTCCAGATGCGTTGGTCGGTTTCGTCGCGATGATTAGAGAAGGCGAAAGCTGATGGAGGATTAAGTGCATGTACGTTTGTGACGCTTATCGCTCGGCATTCTAACAATCAAACTCCTTCCTTCGCTTCTATTCGTTTAGGAGAGCAAAGCATTCTACGCCCTACGGGCCTCCTGGGTGACCAAAAAACCGTGACAGCTCTCTGCCAAGATCCCGTTTACCTGTCACGGTTTTTGTCACCCAGGAACGGGCTCCTACCGGTGATGGGCCCGCCAGAAATCTTCAGTGGAAGTGACACAGGCTGGACAGGTTCATCGGCAGGGATGCAATCCTTGAATCCTGGCTGCCATCCTACTTCCCCGAAAGTTTGGAAAAAGGCGCGCCCAAGCGAGCAACTTCGAGCATCCCCGACGGGAGATACATCCCACCATCCTGGTTACTGACGATGTTGTGTTCAACATCTATTTGCGCCCCGGTCGCACAGCGCTGTTTGACGATCGGACAAACCTGCAGAGGCCAGTCACCTGAGCAGATCAGGCGTCTGCAGTGGCCGTTTCAACGGCGCAACGTGGTTTTTGCTGTCGTGTCGTAACCTTGCAGCTGCAGTCAACTGTCAAAAGGAATGGCGCCCTGGGGTGCAGCGATCGGGAATGTCCCTCCTCCCATCCGAAGTGCGCTGAGAGAGAAAGGATTTCTATTGCTCCACCACTGGGCTGGGCCCGTCTTTCCTTTCTCGGGCAAAGTTCTTCTCCGGCAGACGAGGCCTCACCCGGCAGACTTCAGAGTAAGCTCAACAGGAACCGCACAACGGCCATTAGCCTGAACCACGGGGCTGCTGGGCTCGCTGCCCGACTTGCATGCAGGCTGCATGAAGAAACGGCACGGCTTGCATCCCCGGATGCGTTGCAGGTGTCCCAGGTGCTGCCGGCAGCCAGTCCCGGGCGGTTGTGCGAGGTGAGCGCTCAGCGGGCTCTACGAATCTCATACAAGGAGGCAAGAGACAATGGGCAGCGCAGTAGACACAAGAGCCATTGTGCAGCTGCCAACGAGTCAGAAAATGACAGCGACCGAGGAACAACGGGCGAAACCGACTCCTCGCGGTGGGGCCGCGAGAGCGAAGGGCGTTCCAATTTGCTGGAGAGCCTTCGTCGCGCCACAAGCCGCCGTCCGCGTCTTGTGCGTTAGTCCCCGTTAGCATCACCAGCAAAACTTTGTGCCCACCCACCTTTTCCAGGCTCTGATCCTCCAAACGCCTTCCCGTGTTTTCATTCGAGCGCATCTTTACTTCACCCGCCTGCGCCTCTGCCCGTCGCGACTCTCATCCCGAAACCCATTGTCGTGCTCTCAGGTCCGGCGACAACACACTCGAGCACCTCTCTGCACCTTCGTGCCCTTTGCGACGCCCAGAAGCCCTTCTCGACAAACCAGCATTCGTGCCGCGCCAGCGCATCGCGCTTCGGAAGCGACAGCATCGTGGCACCTCCCAACAGCCACACGTCTATATCCAACCTTCGATGCATACAGATTCCGCTGCCAGGCAATGACAATGACTCAAATACTGTAGCGACCAAGGTCACGCCGACAACGCGAGCATGAAGAAAATGCGCTCATTAACTTTTCCAAAACTCGCGACTTCCCGGACTTCAGACGATCAACAGGACGACGCGATGGCGTTTGCAGCACCGCATTACCAGTCTGCGCCGGGCCACTCACGCGATTCGTCCGCCGCGTCGTGTCAATCGTCTCCGATCACACCTTCTTTCTCTATCCGGAGCCATAGCCGCTGGCCCAGTTCAAGCTCGTCGCTTGCTACCTCTCCGGATTCACCATCTCACAGTGCAACAAACAAAACGACGCTCGAAGATCTTCTCGAAGAGTCCGCTGAGCGAGAAGACGGGATCAGCAGCTTCGAGACCGAAGGCCTCGGCGACGAGCCCTTGTGCATTTGTAGGTTGAGCGAGTGATGATCCTGCAATGCCATGCTAACCATTTCAGGTGACACGCCTTTCTGTGAGCACCAACAAGCTGAGGCTACGACTCCAACACCCTTTCCATCGTTCCCAGAATGGACACGCGGAGATGACAGGATCTTCAGCTACTCGGCGTCTGGTCACTCTGTCAAACGGAGTCGATCTGGCGAAACTTCGCGAAGCACAGTAGGCTCTCGAAGGCGCCAAAGACTGCGCTCGATCTCCAGCAGTCTCTTCCGCGAAAGACGACCTACTACCTCTGTGACAAACCATACTGTGCAGAGCGCGCCACCAACCCCTGGATCTTCCTCGCGGCGCCCATCCATCACCGAATATCTTTCCCGGCAGTTAGAACCTCGTCGGACGATTAGCAGTTCTAACCGGCGGACTCTTTCGTTCTCCAATGACACTGGCGAACCATCGTTCCTGGAACGGATCGAAAGTCGGGAGGCCTGGGAGACGCAGCTTTCAAGTGACCCTGTCGACCGCGAGGGCAACTCTTCGACACCTCTTCTACCACCATTACTCTCGAGCCTACGAGACCCTTCGGACGAGGCACTGCGTTCGCCGCTTCAATCTCCAAGTGTGGCCACTCAAAGTGAGACCGCATCAATCTACAGTCCTGTGCCTCACGGACTATTGACTCCTCCACTTTCCGCGAAACCCTCCTTTACCTCCTTCAACGTCCCACCAGCTTCCACATATGCGGCGCCGGAGAAGGATTACTGGGCCATCAAACTCGGACACGCCAACTTCGACATCGAGCCCAGGCCCTACATGCCACAGCAATTCACCAGAGAGTCATGTCGGCGGTTACTCAAGGACTGGGAAGCCGCTCGTGTCGAGTACATGCGTGTCATCGCGCGGGTGAGCGAGCATTATGGACCATCATCACCAACCTACAGCCTTACCGAGGAGAAGTGGGCCGAAATCGACAAAGCGTGGCGCTCCAACCTCGACAAGGCGAACGCTGAAGCCGAAGCGAACGGCGAGATAGGAGTTCATCAAAGCCTGGCCGAGACCCAGCCCTTAGCGAAGATGCCTTCTCTCTCGGACCCAAACCAGCCCACGAAGTTCCTCAACGTCGACGAAGCCAACATCGTCGGTCCCATGGTCCAGTACACGAAGATGCAGCAGACCTCGCCCAAACGACCCAGTTTCTTCGGCGTCCTCAAAGACCCCTCGTCCATCCTCAACCGCTCCCTCTTCGGCTCGAAACGATGATGCGGGCCCTCTCTCTTTTGTGACTTCCGACATGTTATTGCTACAAATGATGCGACCAACGATAAATTACGACCTTACACGAAAACACCCACTGTGTATAAACACCTCAGCGCGGCGCTTGACGACCGAAAATCGCTGGCGGCCACTGCTAGGGGCGCGCTGGCTAAAATGGGGAATGGGGGCAGAGGCATTGCCAGGCGCTGTAGATAAATGGATCCTGCTCTCGCGAGCGAACTTCAATTGGCACGACTGCCGCCCTTTCGTCTGTGCATGGGTGGCTTATGTGAACGAATACCCTTGTTGCGATGAAGACGAAGATGAAAGTGGGGATGGACATCGCAAGTGCTAGAGATGGAAGGCAATCAGGTAGATGAAGAATCTGAATATTCTCATCAAAAGCATTTCGCTATCATCGTTACGCGCCAGTGCTATGCCAATTCCCCACGCTATGCAGTCATTCATGTACAATCGTGATCTTAAGCCAACAGCACTGCAAATACCAACGCAGCGCCCAGCACAATCCAACTACTCTGTACAATAGGAGCAGCGGATTGGTCTCCCATTCCGCAGCATTGGCGATTGTACGTCACGCCGTTCGCTTTAGCGGCGACTTCGAAGACGGCGCCCGGTCCTGGCTTTCCCAGGTTATAGTAGTCGACCAGGAGGAAGTTGGGCGGTCTGCCCCACATCTCTGCTCAGGTAGTTAGTACGAGTGAACACACGATCCGAATTGAGGTGGGCGACAAGACGTACCAGTGCAATTCTGCGACATACGCTCCAACTGCCCAAACTTATCAAACATCCCATTCGTCTGATTAATCTCCGCCGTGTTCGGGATGAGAATCTGCTCGCCCGAGCCTCCTCCGATCAACGCCCCGAGATCCACCGCAGTGTTCAGGTTGTGGTTCGCGAGATACATGAAATGGTTCCTCGCGATCTTCTCGCCCAGATTCGGCGGCCGCTGCTGCGTGCATGGGAAGTTCTGGTCGGTGGGCGAGAAGGGCGTTTCCCAGATGTGATGGAACTGGTTCAGGACGTAGGGGACGGCGGTCTGGTTGGCTTTGTAGTCCATGAACAGCACCATGCGCTTTCCCGAGAGGATCATCTCGGCGAGTGTGGGCCATTGCTCCAGTCGCTGGGGCACGTATTCGGGTTCGTAGAGGTAGCGCGCGATGCCCGAGTTTTGGATGGCGGGGACGTAGTTTTCGACGTCCGTCATGTCGCTGTTGACGATGAGCCAGGTGACGACGTCGTAGGGGTGGTCGTCGAGCCAGCTGGCGACGGTCTCGAGGGAGGATTGGAAGGTGCCGGCGTTGAGGAGGTCGCAGGAGGTGTGGCAGTTGTAGACGGTGTCGTTGACCCAGTGGGTCTCGCCTTGCACTGGTGGGGTGTTAAGTCTTTGTATCATGGCTGTGGTTCTCGAAGTACTCACGCATCCTGACTCCATCGTCCAGCTGGAATTGAATGGGATACTCCTGGTTGCTACCAGCATTGTTGTCTACGGAGAACACGGAATTGTGCGCGCACACGTTTGTTATGTTGCTGTACTTCCTCTGACAAAACTCGGGGTAGCCGTTGCAGGGTATCGTGTTGGTTGCTCTCGGTGCGGTGCTCGTCGAGCTTGCAGTCTGCGTCCCATTTGATGTGTGCGTCAATCCTCCTATTAATGTCACAGATTTAGAGGTGGCGGTCTTCGTGATCTGAGAGTTGCTCGATGATGTTGCCGTGGCATTCTGACGCCTGGTTTCGACTGTGCTTTGTCCGTCCACCGAGATGTATGTATATCGGGTCCCGTCGAAGTCGGAGGAGGAGATGGTCGACAGCGTCTCGAAAGTGGTCGAGTAGAACTCATTCGTGGTCGTCTGCGCCCTCGCCTCGAGTGCTGTCACGCAGAGCAGCCATAACGCTGCTGGAAGCATGCTGGTGCCTCGTCTTGAAGATAACGATGCTGAAGAAAGAATGGAACGCCGCTCAAACGAGACCAAACAATACCAACGAGGACATGTGAATCAGACTGCTGCGGACCAACCTTTGAGGCATCCGGCGTCTTCCACCGACTCAATAGTCGCGCCACGGGCAACGCACTGATGGTTTGTCTCGAAAAGCTTCGAGGTCCACGGAGATGACGTCTCCTGCTTCGCTGCCGTGGAGCTATCCGAGCTGAACGCGCATCTGCCCAAGCTTATTATCGAGTTGCATCTGACCGTTGTTGTTCGCTTGACAACTTCGACTGGAAGATGCCCGAGTACGGCCTTCGGGCGAATCAACCACAACCACTCTTCCAGCATCCTCTACCATCCAGCAAGGACATCCAATCCTCAACCACGCGAGCATCGACGACGGCGCCGAAACAGACTCGCACGCTAAGCGACAAGATCCCAGCAACAGATCAGTGCGCCGCGCAGTATCCGCCCCAAATCGGCGGGCAGAGTGACGTCTGCAAGAGATCGATCTTTTGAGCATCCGCGAGACGGACGCGCACCCCGTCGACGTATCTGTGCTGTAAGCTTTCTGCGGAGCGTTGAATGTGGATCTTGTATGTCTGTCGATTTCGCGGTCTGTCTTGATCTGTCCTCCTGGGACGACCTCACCTGTTGTGCCTTCCTACCCGGTGTTCTGTAGACCTATCCCGACGGGGCCAACCAGGCCACTGAGGTCCCTCCATCCTGCCATCCTTCCATCCTTCACGATAGACTCCTCCAACCATGTTCGGCCGCAACAAGAGCAAGTCCTCCGACGACACCCTGGTCAACGACGAATTCCACCCCTCGAAACAACAGATCAAACGAGCCACACGAACACGCTTCATCTGGGCCCTCCTCACCTCCTTCCTCCTCCTCGTCTCCATCGTCTTCATCATCCTCGTTGAGGTCGGCAGCACCAGCCTCGGCTCCATCCGGACCGACATCTACTTCATCAGACTCGATTTGGCAGACATCATACCCGTGCGGGTGCCCAATGCTGTTCTCATCAACTCGATAGCGCAGTCGTTGGGTCTGCATGACTTCTACACAGTCGGACTATGGGGGTTCTGCGAAGGGTATAATGGGCAGGGCTTCAATTTCTGCTCGAAGCCAGAGACGCTGTATTGGTTCAACCCAGTGAATATATTGCAGAATGAGCTGTTGGCTGGGGCAACGAGTATGTCATAATATCGCATGGGGAAGGGACGCTGGCTGACAATCTGTAGTCGCTCTACCCGCACAGATCGACGATGTCCTCAATCTCATCCATACGGTGTCCAACTGGATGTTCGCTCTGTTCTTGACTGGAGCATGCTTGAGCTTCTTCACAATGTTCATTGTGCCAGTATCGGTGTTCTCGCGCTGGGCGACATTAGCAACCATGCTGCTCACCTTCTTTTCAGCACTCTTCACGACTGTGGCCACCGTTCTTGCTACGGTGATGGTGAGTTTTTGAACTTCTCATTTCCTGGACTACTTGCTGACAAATGTGTTTTTTTCTAGTTCATCATCATGCGGAACGCCATCACCTCAGTCACCCAGCTCAACATCGGTGCCAGCATTGGTGTCGAGATGTTCGTTTTCATGTGGATAGCAGCCGGCGCCGCCATCCTCGCCTGGATAATTCAGCTGGGACAGTGCTGCTGCTGCGCTTCGAGACGAGACGTCCGGACAGGTCGAAAGCGAGGCAGCAAGAAGGCCTACCGAGGCGAAAGCAACGCCGAGAGCAACGGGGAGAGCAGTGGCGAGATGTCCGAAAAGCAGCCTGGCAGATTCTCCCGCCTGCGTGGTCGAAAGGAATGAAAGCCAAGTCTTCCAGCACGAAGTCGATGATTGACCTGATGATGTTAGCATAGCGCAGCGTTCTAGCCTGAATGTTACTGTACCTTTGCTTCAAGGCTGCGAGCCATGCGTATCCTGCTGCTCCAAGAACGCCTCCGGATCACTCTCGAAACCGCGCTGCTGGCGTGTGGTATCCAAGCCTCTCATCCGCCTCTCCGCCCGCCGGTACTCCCTTACGCTGGCATCCAATTCCATCCGCGCCTGCTGCTGCGCAGCCCAATCTTGCCGCTGGTACAGCTCCTCCTGCTGCTGTCCGTACAAGCCATCGTGCTCTGGGATCGTTATGCCCTGCGGAACTCCCCACTCTCTCTGTTGTGGGTACATCGCACCCTGCAGATTGTCCGACTCGTTCTGGTACTGGTACGCGCCGCCGTGCTGCGCATGATACAGCCCACCCTGCAGCATATTCGCCCCATCCCGATACTGGTATGCGCCACCGTGCTGTTGATACATCTCACACCCCTGCCAAGAACCTCCCGCCGCCTGCCATGCCGCCTCTGCCTCCTGCCACGCCACCTCTGACCCGTACGCTTGCTGCTGATTCAGATAGTAAAACGTCGGACTTACCTCTTCAGCATGCTGCTCCCGTCCATACGGAAACGAAGCCCACCTCTCGGCGTCTGGCTGCTGGCTGTAAGAACCTTCTTGCGCAGCATTGCGGTCCCCATGTCGGCGACTATACTCTTGGAAAGAACTCTCGATGGTGCCTTCCTCACCAGCTCCCAAAGCCGGAACCGGCAGGAACAGCGGAAAAGGCTCTCGAAACCCCTCCCGCTCCACCACCACCTCGTCCTCCCCTTCTTCCGCACCACCCTCAGCACACCCACCGAACCCATCGCCAACATCACTCGACCTCCTCCGCCCACCCGAGTTCCGTATCTCAGGCAATCGCCACTTGCACCACCAATCCATGCGCTCGTCCTTCTCCTCCTTCCGTATCGCGCGTTGCGCCTTCTCCGCCAAGCGCCTTTGACGCGCCACCTTCATCTCAGCAATCGTCCTGGAAGCCCTCGCAGTCACGTTCTCGACGCTCTGCGGGAGCAGTCTCGCACCCTCCTGCACATCCGGACTCTCCGGCCACAAGTCCTTGTTGCGCTTCTGCGTCTGTTCGAGCTCTTTGATGTCCTTCTTCATCTGCGCTTTGACGGCTGTTACGGCTTCCTCGTGTTCAGCTTCCTCCTGGCGGTCTTTGGCTGCTTGCTTCGCTAGCTTTCCGAAGCCTTTGCCGATGTGCTTGGTCGCTGCTTCGGTGCCGACGGTGTGGAAAGCTTTCTGGCCGACGATCATGCTTGCCGGGAGTAGGCCTTTGCACCATCCGAGCAGGCCGGTACATGCTTCGCAGAAGGCTGTGCTGCTCATTTTGGCTGGTCCGGTAGGTGGTGAGCATCTCTCGAACGGCATGCTGTTCTTCCGCAGATAGGATTTGTGGTCGCAGAGGCTCTCGAATTGGGTGGTGCCAGTCGTGTGGTCGCAGGCCCAAGTCGTCGGGGTGGTGTAGATGCACATTGTGGTGGCGAATAAGGGGTGGTTTGAAGGTCTCCGTCAGTGATGGTTCAGGAAGTGGTGTGGTGCACTGGCAGTCTTCAGCGGGCAGAGGTGTTCGAGATTCGCGCGTTCGCTCGAGAAAGAATTATCCAGCACTCACGGCAAAGATCGTGCGCTGGTGGACAGGTGGCGGTGCGGCACGACAGTACACAGCATATCGTCGTCGGCTGATGCGGTGTAATCTTCCTGACCGGTGAGAAGAACTGGAAGCAGTTGACTTTTGTGTGCCGCAGAGTGTGTAGTGAGGTTAAAGAAGATGACGTCGCGGTCAGTCAGACTGTCAGTGTTGTTGACATGTGAAAATCGGTCAGACACTTGACTTGCCCTCGTACAACCAACCTGGCTTCTGAAGGACGACTAACCCGTGGTGCGACCCTGCGTGATCTTTGATGTTCAGCCGGTCACTATCAAAAAGAGCGTCTCCCTCCACGTAGGTCTAGCTGCTACGCCGTGCTTCTCTGCCGATCTGCTGCCATGCACACCCTCCGCGAAGCACAGCACAGTCCATACCAAGATACCCCGTACGCCGGAACCAAGAATCCAAGATAACGAAAGCGCATCATGTCAAGCATCGTCGTCCCGGACGAAAGCACGATAGACCGTCAGCGTTTGTCCCCCCGTTTTGACAGAACTGAAAACACCGGGGAGCCGCAACGCAATGACCTCACCTCATTGCAGGACAACAGGTTTCTTCAAAGTTCCCATCTTCGACACCCCATACCACGGCTCCCTCGCCTTCCACTCCGGAATCTTGACGATTAGAGCAGCAGTGGAGTACCTCACTCGGAGCTCAGCTTGGTTTCCATACCGCAGTCTCGCATCAGCTTCGATATTTCTTCGACAATGGCACATGCCGTACTCACCACCATCTTCGTCTCACTCATCTCTCGTTGCCTTTCTTGCCAACCCAGACAATCTTTTCACGTTCCTCCATTCTGTACTTCACAGACGTCACTCCGTCCGGAGGATACTCTCGTCCATCATCAGAATCGACGTCGGAATCGTCACCATCATCGTCCGACCAGCGATATCGGTCCACGTCCAAATCCCTGTCTTAGCTATCGTCCCCTTCTCCCTCGCTCCAATCCGGTCTGACTGTGTGCGCTTGCAAGTTCGAAGTGAACCGGCCATCCAAAGGCCGCCGTGAGCGCCTGTGCTGTTCGTACGCGTTGTTCAGTAAGCCAGTGATCGCTTCGGACGGAAGGTTGGCCTTGGATGTCGCCTCGAGAGCGACCACGAGTCCCATCGCCATCGCGACTTCATACAGCGCCATGTCGGAACCATTGAGCATGCTCGCAACGAACTGGTGGAGTCGTTCATGTGTGTGCGGGTAGCTGTGGGCGAGGTGGAAGCCCAGATATCCTCCTTTGGGAAAGAACTGCTTAGTCGTGAGCGCCTTGCGAAGATGGCCGTAGAGTGGTAGAGAAGGCGGGTCGAGACATTTCATGGCTCCAGTAAGCAATCCGGTCCCGGGGGCAAGGAAGAGGTTGTAAGTCAGGGTGACTCGGTGGCCGGACGTCACCTCCAACACCTCGTGCTGGCAATCGCTGTAGAATGCTGCCCAGCGTATCGCAGGCTTATCGATGCCCCATTTGTACACCACCTCACGTCCGGAGTGGCGCACAGCTAAGGCGCCCCCTTCGAAAGGGACCGGGAGACAGACCACCAGGGAGCCGGTCTGCATATCGCTTCTGGGCGTGTCGACATGTGCTTTGAACATCCCGGATGGCCCGCTGCAGACGTTCAGCTTGTACAGCTCGGCGCGATTGCCGCGGCTCAGCATCCGCCGCTTTGGATCGTTCGGTCCAATATCGAAAGTTTTCATTTCTCCGTCCCTGGTCTTGAGTCGCTGGGCCAGGAGGTCCACGAGATCGGCCTTCTTTGCCAGGCCGGATTGAGACTGGTCAAGCCGTTCGATCAAACGCGACGTCTCTTTTGTGATGGAGGGAGCCACCTGCAGGGCCTCCAGACATGGCTGGATGATGGAATTGCTGACGAAGTCTCCGCGTCCTCATCCGCACCGTAGAATGGCGGCGTGGATGTTGGTTTCCTGATCGTGCGACAGATCATACTTCTCTGCTACTTTGGAACGTGGAGGTGAAGGCTCAAGCTCGCCAGCGACTGAATGCAAGAAATACTGGTCGATGATACCAATGAGACCAGCTTGGTAAGGACAGAAGTTTGTCATGAAGCTGGATGATGGAGTGCAATATTAGTATTCCACTCAAACGTCAGGAAATGCACTGAAGAGCAACTTACTCGTCCACACCCAAAGCGCCAGCCCTACGATACGACTCATCGTAAACATCCTCTCCACCCCTCCCAAAAGTCGCAGGCTCACAACCCTCAACCAACTGCTGCAAAGCAACCCCCTCCTCGTCATTCAATACTGGCAGCGTAAGCTGTCTTCCCATCTGATCCTTACCCCACCGCAACGCAACACTCCTCGCAGTCATCCTCATGCCATTGAACTTCTCATCCAGAACCGGCGTCAGCTCTCCGGACTTCATGGGCCCCTCCGGCGTCAACAAGATCGGGATAGTGCCGCCGCAGGCGAAGGTGGCCTGCCGGGTTTCTCGCTGGAGCAGCTTGGCGAAGTCGTTCAGGGCGTGGCGTTCGAAGTTGGCGGCGGTAGGTGCTGGCTTGCGCTCGACTGGCTCTTCAGCAGGAGCTGGAGTCTCACTGGCAGCCTCGTCGGCCTCCATGCCTGAGATGGTGGCCTGGGAGTCCATGGCATCGTGATCAGGGTGCCGGCTGCTCGAGGCCATCGGCGTCTGAAATTCCATCTCAGAGCCGAGGAAGGGGTCGTCGGACATAGTGGTGGGAACGCGGAGCAGAGGGTGAAATGAGATGGGGCAAAAAGCAGACGCGATGACGAGAATGCGCGAAGAGACTGAGAGTCTGCCATCTTTCTAGAGTCGACGACTGTAGACGTCTTATACCCTCGACGACTACACACTGTGCAACGACGGCAGCCTCACGCAGGGGAGAAGCATTCACGTTGAGATGTTGAAGTTGAAGTCGCATATCAATGGTGCAGCTGCCTGGTAAGTATTCCGTCAAGCAAGGAAGGTGCCGCCCTGTACAACATCAGTAGGCGGCGAGACCCTCAAAATTCACGAAAAGGATGAGATGATGATGAGATGAGCCAACGAAATATTCATGCCCAAAGATCTAGAAAATGTATCATACGGCGAGATCGCAAATTCATCTCCAAGCCGTGTCCCCATTCATCCATCCATCGATGGCGGCGAGATCCGCCAGTCTTCATCCACATCCTTATCAACTGCCTATCAAAGGCAGGATAATAGCCCAAATATACGTTCAAAGGAAATTCAGGTCGATGCGAATCAATCGCATCGACAATCACGCCGCAAAAGTGGCCTCCTCAAATGTACCCACGCCGTCAGTGTTGTCATCCGTTTTCCGGTGGTCCGTCTCCTTCTGCATCGTCTCCAGCTGCTTGCCATCGTTCTTGTCGGTGATCAGCCCCTTCAGCCACTTGTTCTCCATCTCGAGCTGCTGGACCTTGCCCTCAAGCGCGTTGACCTTATCGGTCATCTCCTTCGTGGCTTTCTCGAGGGCTTGCTCACGCTGCTTCTTCTTGATGCGGAAGCGGGCGGAAGCGGCGGTGTTGCGACGGCGCTTGTCTTCCTCAGCTGCCATGCGGGAATTCTCTTCCAAGTCGGCGGCAGATGGGACGGAATTCGCAACACTGGCCTTGCGCTTGCTGCCCGGCTGTGGGGCGAAGGCCAGCTGGTGGTGCGGCCGCGGTGGGTACTGGCCATGAAGACCAGCGGCCGGTGAGGAGCTCACAGTGGAAGGGTAAGTCTGGAATTCGCCAAATTGGTAGGCAGGAGGACCTGGGGTGCAAGTCAGTGGTGATTCTTGCGACGACTGTAACGTCCCAGTCGTCTTCGACATACCATTCACCACACTCGGATGCTTCTGCTCGCCATTCGGCGGCGAGCGGTTCGTATTGGTATTGAACTCGACATTGTTCGGGTTGAAGCTGTCGAAGTCGAAGAAGTCGGCGTGGGCGAGAAAGTCAAGGTCGTCGCCAATGTGCGCGATGTCGTTGGGCAGCTCATGGCCGGGCGCCGGGATGGTGTTCAAGCCATGAATGTACTGCGACACATTCGGTGCGCGACGGCTATTGCTATAGCCAGACATGGTCGACAAACGAAGGCCACTTGGCGTCGAGACAACTGCGTGCGATGGCGTGCGAGGAGGGAGACGGGAGCACAAGGCGTGATTTGCAGACCCCTTTGTCCACCGCCACTCAGCGCCTCGAGGCTCAGCCCGTGCCGCGGGAAGGAGACAATGTCGACAACCGGTTCCCCCGCTGCTCTCTCACTGTAGTGTTGTTGTTGGATGGTATAGGACGTGAAGAAGAGTCGGTCACTCCTAGGGCCAAGTAAACGGGCAAGGCCAAGGGCCGGAAGGGGTGGGTGAGCGCGGGCGGGGCTGATGATTGATCTCGAAGCGCAAGCGCAAGCGCAAGCCTCGCTCACCGACGCGGACCTCAGCAAATTCAAACCGCTGCTTGTCGGGCCTTTACCCGAAGCGAATCAACCAACACCACGCCCCCACGCTTTCCCCTTCGTCCTCTTTGCTCTCGTGAGGGATGTTCTTGGTATACGCCCAGGAGACGAATCGGAGCGTCTTCTCGTATGTTCCGGACAGCGATTTGGATACTTGTTGCCCTCCAGAATATACGCAGAACACGGGCGCAGTGTGTTCCTCACCTAACATCATCACACTGAGCGTTACCTTCTCCGGTGTCTCTTCCGCGATGGTGGGGTCGTGGCTACGACAACCAGCGGCAGGGTTTGGCCCTTGTCTCAGGCCAACCAGAGATGATCAACACTCGAAAGTTCAATCACAAGGCTCTGTTGTCAGCGAAAGAAAGCCGAAAGCTTTTGTTTTGTGATGAGCAGACAACAACAATAACCTGCGTGCGTGGCAGGCGCCTCGCTGAACGAGCACAGCTCATGTTATGCCCGCAGTTGGAAGACCGGCTTAACGACCTACAGCCATACCACTCATCAAACGCGGAAGTAAAACGTCGACGATGAGGCACATATGGCAACCTTCGACTGTTATTTCCGTGGCCTCGTCAGCCAGCGCATACTTTCATGGGTGATTTGTCGTATGGGTTGATAGGTATGCCTCATCAGTCCAGAGATGTCGCGCGCAGATGTAAGATGTCCACTGCACTGCGTAGCCCGGGTCTGGCTTGCGCAAGCTATCCACGTTCTCTTCAAAGGCCAGTTTCTGCCCTGTAGGTCTCGTTTGCATGGCTCATTAGATTGGCAATTGGGGTATATCACATATACAATTCAAAGCTCCACATATCACAGCTCCTTCTTCACCCCCACCCCTCCCATCCCCTCCATCTGCACCCTCTCCCCCCTCCTCGGCCCCTCCTTCACCACCCCCGTCCTCAGCGTCCACAGCGCCATGACCCCCTCCACAATCATCTTAATCACACTCGCGCACGCAATCGCCCACACGTTAATACTGATACTCCCCAACGGCGCCCGCGGAAACGACAGCACCCACTCGATATGATACGGCACCCAGCCCTGCGGGATCCAGAACATGGGTTGCTTCGAGTACCAGGCGTTGGCGCCGAATTGCAGGCCTTGCGTGCCCAGCCAGCGGGCGGCGGTGATGGCGCGGTCGAAGTTGGTGCGGAAGGATTGGTGGTTGCGGGCTGTATTGCTATGGTTAGACGGTTTTTCCTGCTTGCGCATAGTGTCTATTGTACTGCTTACCTTCGTTGTCGTACTTGTCCTTCGCTTTATCGTGCTGTCGCCGTAGTCGTGCCCACTTCGCAAAGTCGTCTTGGGCGGAGGTGGCTTTCATCTCACGGTTGAGGCGAACAACTTCATTGCGAAGGGTGGAGAGGTCGGCGGCGGCTTTGGATTGGGGAGTGGGGAGTTTGGTGAAGAGGAGCCATAGCTGTATACTCATGTGTTAGCGACAATCACATGCTGTGGATGAATTGATCGTACCAGGTCGTTGACGGACTGCTTGCCGACGGTGTTGAGGAGGTGGATGAAGAGCTGGAGCAGGAAGACGAAGAGCAGGACGGACGGCATCTTCGCAAGTTGTGCGCTCGTCGGCGCAAGTGTAGTTTTCTTTGGAAGAAGCTGTTCTGCGAGACTTTGTAGAGATGGAAATCTGGCCAAGCTTGTGACGTCTGAATCAGGCCCCTCCAGATGGTCACCACACCCCGCCAGAACCAATTCTCCCTGACCTAACCAGACTACACTCTCTTACGACCAATGGCACTGCAATAACGTACGCCTATTACCACCATGCCACCCACCCGCGACCCCGAAGCCGGCTGCCTCATCCCAGAAAAGGGTAACTGGCCAGTCGACCCGCAAGATGACCAACCCCTCGACGAACACCGCTTCTGGATCGACGGCTGCTTCGACTTCTTCCACCACGGCCACACAGGCGTGATGCTGCAGTCCCGACGTCTCGGGTCCGAACTCCTCGTCGGCCTGCACAGCGACGCCGACATTGCGGCCAACAAAGGCCCTACGGTCATGAACCTCGAGGAGCGCGCTGCTGCGATCGATGCGTGTCGGTTCAGTACGAAGGTGGTCCCGCACGCGCCGTACGTGACGAGTATACCCTGGATCAGCCACTACGGCTGCAAATACGTGACGCACGGAGACGACATCACCAGCGACGCTGGCGGGGAGGACTGCTATCGCTACGTCAAGCGGGCGGGGAGGATGAAGATCGTGCCGCGGACGCCGGGGATCAGTACGACGGACTTGGTGGGGCGGATGTTGATGTGTAGCAAAGAGCACCATATCCGGAGTCTGCGGGCGACGATCCAAGGGAACGAGGGCAGGGGCGGGGAGGAGGAGAGGCGGAAGAGGGGGAAGGAGATGATGGCGAGGATACGGGAGTACGCTGCTGCGCCGAATGGGAGGGATGAGTGGGTCGGGGTGTATGATTTCGCGCCGAAGCATCGGCCGTTGGAGCGGAGGATGAGTCAGTTGAAGGCTGGGGAGGACCTGACGCGGGCGCAGAGTCATGATCATGGGAGAGGGACCTTTGAGAAGATGGTTCCTGGATTGCCTCCGCGGCCGGGGCAGCGGGTTGTGTATGTTGATGGTGGCTGGGATCTGTTCAGCTCTGGACACATTGCTTTCCTGCAGCAGGTAGCTGCTCTCGAGGATGAAGCTGGCCGTGAACGCGGATGGTTCAAGGACGAGGCGAAAGCGCAGCGGATAGCCGATACTGGAATCGACTACAGGCCTGCATTCGTGGTAGCCGGCATCCACACCGACGAGGTGGTAAACCACTACAAAGGCATCAACTACCCAATCATGAACACTTTCGAACGCGGCTTGTGCGTGGTGCAATGCACCTACATCCACTGTGTCGTCTTCTCGGCTCCTTTCGTCCCGAACAAGACCTACCTCTCCTCCCTCCCCTCCGGAACTCCGGACGTGGTCTACCACGGCTCAACGAACAACATGGGCTCCGTGGCTGATCCATACGCTGATGCGAAAGCGATGGGCATCTTCCAGCAGACTCCCGAGCACCGCTTCCAGGACGTTAATGCTGAGAACATTGTCCGAAGAATTCTGGACCGGAGAGGTGACTATGAGGAGCGGCAGCGGCAGAAGGGGAGTAAAGCTGTGGGGGAGGAGGCACATAGGAAACGCGAGGAGTTGGCGAGAGAGGCGGAGCAGGAGAGGGAGAAGAGGGCGAGGGAGGTTGAGAGGCTGTTTGGTGCCTGAGAGTCTTCCTTACCCGTGGTGTTGGGGCAAGTTTGATACCCTTCTTGTGTTGAAATTGTTGAGATGGCGCTCTGTAAAGTCTTGTAGATAATCATGCCTGGTATGTCTCGGACCATTAAAGGCGGCTTGGTAATGACTCCCAGGTTGTTCACTAGCCACCCGGAGGAACTTCGATATCGTCGTCCTGCCACAGACCCCATGCAAAGTGGAGAGGTCTCAGAGTTAGAGAGCACGCTTATCATGCTCACCGCCATGCTTCCGTGCCTCAGGTCGATCATGGCAGCCTTGCGAGATGCGGAGATAGGCATCTACAGGGTATGTTTCAGCGAGACATGGATGGTTGCTTGTGAGTGCTTCGGTCGTGTCGTGGCTAGATGTGCTCTTCACGCTCCTACGGGGCCTCAAAGATAGATATGAGGCCTCATTGTAGGAGACAATGCCAGTCATGACAATGTTGAGGAGCTTGTGGTAGTATGTAGTGTTGATAGAACAGTGAACGTGACAGTGCCAAGCGTTCTGCAGGAGCTCGGCCCAGGCGTGTCGGCGGTTGCTCACAGAAACCTGGAGGCTGCATCACTCACACCTCTGATCTCGCACATCGCCAGCTGCCTCTCCATCTCCTGCAGCACATCAGACACCTCCCCGCCTCCTCCACGAGCACCCACCGAGCAGAAACGTAACTCCGCCAGGCGACAGAGGCTAACCGCAGGGCGCGGCGCAAGAGGAAGCATCGCATCAGCAAACACAGGCGCAGCAGCAGCAGCGGTAAGTGCCTGACGCCGAGCGAAGTCTCAACACCTTTGCGGCTGCACCTCCTCCTGACTGGCCACAACCCACCGCCACATCCACCACCTCTCCCACTCCTCTGTCATACAAGAGACTCTCGCCGCCTCTTCCACGCCAGCACTCACGCTTTCGCCCTTCGCTTGCATTTGGGAGAGTCATTGACAGGTCGCGCACAGATGGCGGAGATCCGTCGCAAGTTGGTCATTGTTGGTGACGGTGCCTGCGGGAAGACTTGTCTGCTCATGTGAGTCTCTATCGACATCTATACCGATACACCGAGTGTATGCTGATGACACGCCAGCGTCTTCTCCAAGGGCACCTTCCCAGAGGTTCGTACCGTCCCCCTAATCCCCCCCAGACCGCGTCATCCGCCCCGATAAGCACGCCGCGGCGCAACACAACAACAACTCAACCAGCGTGGCACCATACTGATACATCTGGACAACAGGTCTACGTCCCAACCGTCTTCGAGAACTATGTCGCCGACGTCGAGGTGGATGGCAAGCATGTCGAACTAGCCTTATGGGATACGGCGGGCCAGGAAGATTACGACCGACTCCGACCCCTTTCATACCCCGACTCGCACGTCATCCTCATCTGCTTCGCCGTCGACTCGCCGGACTCGCTCGACAACGTGCAAGAGAAGGTATGGAAGATGCTCACGTGCTCGTACGATAAAGACTCGGCGCTGACATAAGGCTGCTATAGTGGATTTCAGAAGTCCTGCACTTCTGCCAGGGCCTGCCCATCATCCTCGTTGGATGCAAGAAGGACTTGAGATACGACCAGAGGACTATTGAGGATCTGCACAAGACCTCGCAGAAGCCGGTGACACCCGAGCAGGTACGCATACCTGTTACCAGCAGCTCCATACAGGCGCTGTGGAGATGCAATCGCTGACATGATATCGCACAGGCCGAAGACGTCCGCAAGAAGATTGGCGCACAGAAATACCTCGAGTGCTCGGCCAAGACGAACGAAGGCGTGCGCGAGGTGTTCGAGCACGCGACCCGCGCTGCGCTGCTCACCCGAAAGAAGGAGAAGAAGAAGTGCCTGATCTTGTAAACTACCTCACCTGCTATCATCAACCACTACCGAATCAATCGACAATCATACTGGCCACTATCTTCTGGAATACCCGACCGACACCTTCAGCAAAGGACGAGTGAGACGAGGCGCAGGGGTAGCGAGCGTGGCATGGAAGGAGACTGTGCGAGGTGGTCAAAGCCGGCTGGCAGACAAGCATGGACTGGACGTCTGCCTCTTCTTCTACGAGACACGTTTCCTGCTCGCTTCATGTGGATGGAATAGGTGGAACTTTTAATGCGGCTCGGATGGATCTCTTAGAGTAGCACTACCCTGGCGTTCAACTTGGTCAACCCGATGTCCCCCGGTTCGAGTCCTTTCTTGCATTTGGGAGATGACGATGAAGAACTTGGCAGACACATGAATGTACTTCTTATCCCCGGGCCATACTCCCTTCTTCCGTCAAAGTCCCCGGCTCTTCTCCTGCCATCCGCGTGGTGTCCATGCGTAAGGTAGCTAGAAGAAGCCCGTCCTTGCAAGGAGCACGTGATGTAGTACATGTCGTTCGCCGTCCAACACCAGGATCGTCCTCAGAATCTTGTGCGTGCATAAGCAGCTCATATGCTTCTTTCACAGATACGTCTACATCGAGAAGCTGACCCAGATGACGCACAAAGGGAATGCGCAGCAGGCAATACGTCAACCCACTGCCGTCCATGCCGATAGAAAGCATGAAAGAAAGGTAGGTAGCTTTGGTCAAAGAGAATTTTACTGTGCATGTCTCTGCAGCCGCGGGATTGGTTGCGCGGCTCTTCTCGTAGATCGTGCCTGGGACCCTGGGTCCAGCCTTTTGCTGACCTCACGCACCCAAAACTTTGACTTCTTCCATTCCCACTCCTCCTCCTCGCTACCAAACCACAGCAACCGATGATTGAAGGTGGTGAATTGATGACCACCTGGGAGAACGACCCCTCTTTGGCTCTTTCCTACTTGTTCATCCTCAACCGCCCACACAGCAATATTGGATGAGGATCGGACTGACCATATAACACCTGGACGCCCCGGACAGTGCGGATTGTCGTGAGCACGCGACAGTCTTCTTCCTTCAAACCCTCAAAACCCACCACCGCAAAAATGGACCTGGTGCGCTTTCAGGTTACTGGCATGATGTTGTCGCGACGCACCTGCCGGTGATCCAGAGCAAACCGCGTGGCTCTTTGCATCGATACAGGAGGTAAGCGGTATCCGCGCCAACGTCCGCCGCGACGACACTCGTGATTGCGAGTGAATGCGCAGCAACTCTAAAGCTGCGATTCACACGTCGAACTTGACTGATTGCTGGTATGCCGCAGTCTTCGAACTCACAGCCCCAAAGCTGCCGGAGTATAACTTAGACACACCATCTCTTCTTCTTCTTCTCCTTTTCGGAACAGCAAACAGCAACCAGGGAGTTTCGATTCTACACATATCTTTCGCTTCCACATCGACTACGAACATATCCGCACATGGCCTCTTCTCTCAGCTTCACCATCACCGAGTCTGGCGCCGAGCCGTACATGCTTAGCTTGGTCACGCCAGATATCGTTTCGCACGAAGAAATGTCGCTCGCTCCGACGAGCCTCGAGCTACAGTCGCTCGAGGACAGACTGATGGCTGCATTTGCGGAGGACATCGACAGGGACGCGGAGGAAGCGGCGCGCAAGAAGGCGAAGAAAGGTAGCGCGCATCTCTTATCCTTTTCACCTCGGACAGGCCACTGACTTGCGGCATTAGCGGCGAAATCCAGGCCACCATCACCGCCAGAGAGCGGCTCTGCCACACCCCGTGTCACCATCGCGCCGTGTCCAATTCGCCTGCGGCCATACATTCCGCCGCCGAATTATGGCACCGTGGAGCTGCACAAGGTGTTCCGCAGTTCGTTCCCGCAGGATCGCCATATGGATTTCGTGAAGACGCTGGGCATTCGAAGCATGCTGTACGTCCAGGCGCAAATTGACACGTCTTCTGATTTGTGCTGACCCTTTCTCAGCACACTTGTCGACACGGAGTCCTCGGACGGCTACCAGGAGTGGGTGCGTGACAGCGGTATCACCCAGAAGATGATCAACGTCGCCACAAACAAAGACGGGTACGTCTCCACGACTGTCGACTCGATCTGCGAAGCGCTGCTCTTCGTCATGGACTCCTCCAACCACCCTCTCTACATCCACTGCAACCAGGGCAAGCACCGCACCGGCTGCATCGTGGCCTGTCTCCGCAAAGTCCAGCGCATGCCTATCGAAGACATCATCGCCGAGTACCGCGTCTACTCCGAGCCCAAGGCCAGGCCAGGCGACATCGCATTCATCGAGTCCTTCGACCCAGAGTCGGTCTTCTCCTACGCCAAGACGCACGGCTACCTGGACGGTCCTTCTCAAAGGCTTAAACGTCTCGACAGCAACGTCACCAACGTCGACACCCTCGCTGCAGCGCTCTCCGCAGGTGCGATGGCCGGTGAAGTTGCTGAGGAGGTTCTCTACGGCAGCTCCGTCTCTCCCACCTCCACCACGTCTGACGAGGCGATGGAGATTACGCTGTGCGACTCCAACTCCAGCACCGAACGCGCTCCAGCGCACGGCGAAGTCACGGTCCGCGACATGCAGTTCGAGAGCCGGACGCCCGTCGACTCAAGCGCAAGCGTCATAGAAATCGAAGACGACGCCACAAGCAACGCCTCCTCCGACACGGACTTCACCATGATCGACCAACAGAACGAGATCACGCCAGGCGTCACCTCGATGTTTATCGATCCCGCGCTGGTCTAGGAGGCCTATGTGTATCCGGACTTTGGTGATTACGGGAAATAGAGTGGGGATACACGCAACTGGGGGCGGCGGACTTATAGAATCGATTGTTCTTGAGCGTCGGCGCTGGCGGTTGCTTTCTTGGGAATATGGGAACAGGATAGAGTAATAGAATAGAGTGAGCGCGAAAGGGCGATTACAGAAACCCGCGCATGGTAATGGGGTTATGCAGGCTGCTGTGAATACGGCAGCCCTTGGGTAGCCGAAGATCTTACGATCCTTACAATGAGATAATGTTTGGGTGCCGGTGGTGGCATCCGCGATCAGAATCAGCCTCCTTTCTCTTACCGTACACTGGTTGTGTCATGCGTCAGACAGCAGATTGTTGTCGACTTTTTGGCTTGTCCGGCTCATGGTAAGCAGCGATGGAGAGGAGGTACGGTATGGTGGAACATAAGAATGGCAGATGGAGGCATACTTCAGTACGTGCTCTACATATATGTACTCGCCACTCGGTGGCAACGATACGAAGGTTGTACCCAACAGCTTTCGGTCACTGCGCCGCATGCATTAGGCCTGCTGCCACAGCTTCCGCTCTATCTGAGCAGCCACCTTGAGCGACGAACCCGTATGCACATGCAGACGGTTGGCTCCCCCAACCACGCTGTTCGAGCGGTAAAGCAAGCCATTCGCGTTTGATCGACATCCAGTGAAGAAGTCCACCATTTCAGGTCGGCCGTGGCGTGATGCAGGCTCGTGAAATCATCGACACCTGCACAAGACCGCAGTGCTCGCCGTGTTCCAAGCGAATCCTTGTCTGCACGCCTGGCTTCAAGGTATGTTTGATCAGCCCCTAACATGCATGTAATCGGTGTGCGCAGCAGGTCAATGGGAAACAGGTGGCAAGGACGGCGTCAGGATCGCTTTTCACCTCGCCAGCGCTTCGACTGGCGGGGTTTGCTTCGCTGCAGTGGTCTTGAATGGCGGTGGTGCGATGTGAGTGGCCGTGAGTATTGTAACCCTAGAGCCTCGCTCTAGCACCATTGTGGTCCGTCGAGAAGATTTGTGATCAGGCACGCTGGTGGGCCCAGTGCATCGTGTCATACCCACAGCAGTCGACGTCGGTAATGCACGTATCAAGATCGCATCCTGCTTGACAGAATCAACCTTGCTACAGATTCTGCTGCCCCGGCCCGCCTTTCCTCCCCGTCGACGAAGGAGGCATCCGGATCCCCAGCGCTGCAGATCCAGCAGGTCGCGACTTGACCTCATCGATCTTGCCTTTGGCCAGACTAATCCCAGGAACGACCCAATCGCCGCAGCTGCACTGCATGCCTTGCCATGCATACTTGCCGACGTTCGTCTTGCATTTCGGACACTCGAGGCGGCCGTCCATCTTGCCGGCTTCGAGTTCAGGTCGCATCCAGGATAGCGGGTCGAGGAAGTAGTGGGAACATTCGCTGCCGGGTCTGGAGGGCTGTTGGTCTTTGGTGTTCTTGTGGAGAGCTACCACGTAGAGTGATGTCGCTAGCGTCCGTCTGAGAGGTTTGGGTCAGTACATGCCAGCAACTCATGAAGAACAATGCCTTACCTGCACTTCCGGCATCGAAGTTCATAGTCGGCTGGTGACGTTCCTTGATCATGCTCGTCCTCGAATCTAATGTTCTCGGGCGCAGGCGCTTGACCGCACGCTCTGCTCATCTCGACCTCGCGCTCGTACAGCCACCGCTGATACGCGGGCGTCTCTTCGACGTTCTCAGGGGTTGCCATGCTATGGTAGAGATCGAGCTGCTTCATGAAGCCCTCGTTGGGTTCACAGAAAGGTCTCGCTTCGCGGATTTGTGACAGTGCATCCATCGGAGTAATCCCATATCGTTGCATCAGGTATGCACAAACAACTGTTGCCGAGCGGCTTTTGCCCATGGCACTGGGAGAACATCGTCAGTAAAACGTTTAACTAAGACGTAATTACCTTGATGAGGCGACATCACCACCTCAAGTAGATGAGCACAGTCGAGCCAGCCGTACGGTTGAATCTTTCGAACAGCGAAATTTCTTCGAAAGACTCACCAATGCACCAGCACCCCTCCACCCCCATCCAGTCCATCCTGAATGAACTTGTTACAAGCCGGAAAATGCTCTAACAAGTTCTCATCATCCACATCATCAACTTCCACGACCTTGTGCGCAAAATCCTTGAACTGCTCCTGATCCAACGGAAGTCTTAGAACAGAGACGACATGGGTGATGCCGCTGTCTTGCAGTGCCTGCTTGCGGCGTAACGTGAACAGCCTGCGCAGCGGTTAGAGTCTAGAACGTGCGGCGTCGACGAGGGTGTGCAGCAACGCACGAACGGACCCTCCGATGAACAGGTTCAACTCGCCTGGGATCTTGTCGAGGAGGCCCATGCTTTGTTTGAATGTCTTAAGATTGGTTTGTGTGGTTCAGGAGTAATCATCAGATAGAAAAACATATGTGCTCTTTGCGATGACAGGACGAAGTCAGAATTCAGCCTCTGTGACAAATTTGCTGACGAGACAAAAGTCCTGACATTTTTACATTCGCTTGCTTCACACATGTTTCCCACTACTAGATACCTGCGAGCCTCTCTCAAAGCGCCCGCCACCCTCCCCCCAGAACATTGTGAACTCTACACTTTATGCCATCAATACTTCCGTGGCGCAAACCGCATCTCCCTAGCCCCGACATCGAACACCGCAACAACGTTCTCCAGGAAAGGTCGTCCCAGCAGGAAACTGCCACTTGTCAGTCTTGCATCGCAACATTGTACCCACGAGACAATCGATACATACGTGCTGATCCCCACTGGGCCTGCCCCTTGCAGGCCAGAGAAGCAGTAATCATCGTACTTGCCCGGTGGAACCCCGAGCCCGCTCATGACTGCATTACCAAAGACGAAATCAGATCCCGGGATCGCAAAGCCGGTCCCGTTGATGACGATCATAAACGGTTCTTTGGGACCCTCCGCATCGCAGCGGGTAACGTAGGTGCCCCAGTCTTTCACGTAGATTGCTGGCGGGTTGAATAGCTCGCTGTAAGCTTCGGCGACTTCAGGAGGTGCGAGGATGGGATAGGAGCCACAGTCAACGACCGTTTTCCCTTTGGTCTTGCCTGGCGAGTGCGAAGTGTTGGGTGCTGCATAGCCTGGGAAGGTGAAGTCGTCTACGATGATGGTGTATTCTGTGAGAGACTTGTTGCTGAAATCGGGATCCTGTTGCAGGTTAACATGATTTGCATTCGAGAAGAAGGCCGAGAGAAATTCAATGCGAAGATGGTCTACTTACAAGCAAAATAGGACTGCATGTGAATGGACCGTCGGCCTGAACCGGTGGCAGGCCGCCAAATGCAATGTATCCCTGATCTGCTGTCGAGGAGTTCGACACAGGGCGCTCAAGCGCAAGACTGAACATAGGCGGGACGATCTTGTCCTTCATCATGGTCTGGAAAAGGGTTTCCTGTTGGATCCTCCCATGGCCTGGCTGACCATCTTTCGTCGGGTCGTTCCCGTGCCAGGCGTCGTCTGCATTTGCTGGGTATCCCAGGCCTATATATCCTGCTGGTCCGCCCTGTGCTAGTCAGCCTACTCTTCGGAAGAGGTGTACTTGTGCTTACAGGCCAGTAAGCATAGTCAATCAGTCCGACTTCTAGTTTCGGCACGTGGAGTCCAGCGATCGTGACCGACTCCCAGCCGAGCTTGCCCACGGCGAACTGGCCAGAGGCGTAGCTTAGGTTGTAGTTCTCCTATCGACCTCTGTCAGCGATGCGGGACCTCGTCAGTCCGACCTTGAAAGACTCACATTCGGAATCATGCCTTGGGAGAAATTTCCTTTGAAGAATGGACCGGGGCCGCAGTAAGAAGATTCCACCACATCAGTGCCATTGCTGCAAGTGAAGCCTTCTCCAAGCACCCTGATTGAGAAAGTATGTAAGCAGGGTACCCGTAGGACGATGGACGAGACTCGAGACTCACCAGAAATCAGAGGCTCCCGTATCGACGAAGAACTAGCTCAGGACACCATGTCAGTCGTCGTCTGTTCGGGGATGGAGACTCTCTGTCCGATCACCATACCTCGAAGTCTTGATCGCCCAGCTTCACATCCATCCACCAGTTTCCACCCCATGGCTGTTTGTCGAAAGGGAGTCAGCGAACTGTCTGTCGAGAGTCATATAATTCATACACACATCGCTGATGACTTCGGCAGTACCGTACCCAGATTGCCTGGGATGTCTTGCAAGGGTTCTGCCGCCGCGTTTAGATCCCGATCGAAGCGATGCATGGTAGCCTGCGGGGTGGTGCTGGCTTTGCGTTGAAGCATGCGACACTGCGTTTCGTTCTTGCAGTGTAGCAGACGCCGCATCCACATACGGGAGGGCGACTCCTGCACATACGAGTGCCGAGATGCCTGGGATGGAAATCTTGGACCACATGATTTTGTCTGAAAATTCGTAGACGTGAGAGGAGTAGATCGAGGAGTATCAACCATATTCGAGGCGCTCGAAGTGTCTTTTAAATGTTGTGTTGTAGCCAGATCGGAATTCTATGTTCTCAATCCATACCGCCCATGTCAGCCGGGTGACGTCTCGCACACATTGGATGTGTAGAGATGACAGTGCTTGCAGAGTGAGCCTTTCTAGAATGAAAGGATTGGACTGTTGACGTGCCGCCGCCAGCGGTGAGAGCAGACCATTGTACAGATTCGGGCATCGAAGCAGATGGAGTCACGGAAATGCTTATGAACTGCCGTCGTCGCATTTTGCTTGCTCAGCGTGAAACTTTCCTGGAAGAAGAGAAGCAGTTCGACTGAGGCGGCCCTGGTCGACGAATGTAGCCCAGCTCAATAGTCATGGTTCATATTTGCTCTCTGATATCCGAGCAAGTGTAGAGGAACAGCTGAAGTGGTGTTGGACACTGGTGTGCAACCTGCTTCGTCTTTGTCAGCCGGCTAGTGCACTTAAACTAACCACAGGTCTCGGAAAATAAGTTTATTATATTCTGTTGCCTGGAAGCATGCAGGCATGGTGAGGTTCAATGGATTATCGATAGGGTAGCGTCGGTGAAAGGTGGAATGACTCGAGTGGTAGAAGTCGAGACATGTGGTGTGCCTGCAATCTACCTTGCAGATCAAAAGACCTTCGCACTTTTGCGAGCTATCGACGCCTCTCTCTCGGACGTCCCGTCAACGTGCTGATGACTGTCCGGATGTTCCGTGATTCAGCATCCGGCGACCAACTACTCCACCAAAGTATAAGAGGAAGTTAGGTGGTAGGCTCGAGGTAGGTTGATTAGGCGGAACTTTCCACCGACCTCCGACTGACGGGCGTTCTTGTATGATTCCTTGCTTTCTATTGGTGCTCCAATTTTCTATCAACACTCGAAGAACTAGATGCTCCAGAAGATATCCACATGACAAGGAACACCTCTTTTCGTAGACTTGGTAATGTCGGTAGAACCATGGGAAACATGTCCCAGCTCGATTCATGTCCAAGCCAGACAAGCCTGATCATCGAAAGTAGGTTTCCGGTCGCAGAATGCTTCCGATCGAGGTGGATGAGCAAGATGTGGTACAGGAGGATCCCCAAAGAGCGGAGAACACATTGAGCCGCGGGCAGCAGCTGAGGATCGAGGCGTCGCCAGAACTGCCGTACGGATAAGGCTGCCGGTAGCCGGGTTGAGAGCTATACCGCCATGTGTGTTGAAGAGCGCATGTGCAGTCGTACTGCGCTGTAGCGTGTTAGCTGTTTGCCCAGCTGAGGTCGTGTCTGACAGTGCCCTATAAGCGTAAGGTATTGGCGAGAGTCAGCCGGTTGGGCGGGCACACAACAGGGCGCGAAAAAAGGTTACATATACGGCGTGCAACTTCTGACCGGAGCCCTGCCGACGCGGCATTTCGCCTCCTCTTCTGGAAGACGCATGGGACGCAGCATCGACATGCAGCTAGCGGAGGGCGAGGAGAAAGGCACGGCTGTCCCTGCACCCAAAGTCACAGCCCTAGGACGAGCTTATGCAGACATTAATAATTGCGTAGTATTCCGCTCTGCCTGCTCGTTGAGAGGCAAGGTACATAAGGCGTAGTTGTTGTTGTGGTTGTCCATCGCTCGGCCCCGCCACCACTTCCACTCCGTAGACCTGGACTCGCCGTTTCGTTGGTCTGCTCGTTCCGCCGCGGGCCGCACGCACACACAGACACAGGGCTGCTGAAGAAGGCTGCCAGGGTTCGTTGCGTGGTGGAGCGTGAGACAGGTGGCTGTGCGCCAGGGCTCCACACCCCTCGCCCGCCGCCGGTCTCTCTGCTCCTAGGCCTGACGTTGCCGCATCGGGCCACCTGGACCTGGGTGCGTGGTGTCGTGCAGCTGGCCTGCTGCGAGCAGAGGGAGGCGAGGGCGTGTGGGCAGCTGCGTGCCGCTAGGGCTGATGGTGGTGCTTTCGTTCGCTCGCATGACTTGAGACGACCTCGCTGAGCTTGCTCGCCCCGAGTCCGTCCCCACTACCACTCCTCACTCGCCTGGTCCGCTGCATATAAGCGCTTCCCTGGCGCTGAAGGCGTATGGGTTGCCACCTCAGGCCGTGGCAATTGGCTTTCCCCGGAACCAGAACCAGCAGCAGCAGCACTGCAACCTGCTGCCCTGGTTGAAAGAGGGCGTCAAGGTCGGGGGGAGACCATGTCATCTACTCCAACCATTCACATATCTCGAGACTCGCGTCGCTACAGCCCTACCACCACTCCACCCTTCGCATCGTCCGCCTCCCCCATGGCTATTCCTCGGTCACGGGACCCTGTGCCTCCTCCGTTGCCACCACCCACCTACATACCTGAAATTTCAGCGGGTTCCGACCCAGGCTGGCAATGGGGCAACGATCCCAATGGCGCGGACTTCGGGAGGCCCGCTTCAGTCAAGGCTGGGTCTAGCCTGCTAGGCTCGATCAACAAGTCGACAAGGCTACAGAAAGAGCACGATAGCACCGCACAATACAGCTTCCCCAACTCTCGACGCGGGAGCTCACTTTCGACGATCACGGCAGGTCGTGAGCAAGACCCAACGGACGAGATGTTCCAGCATGGCGACGAGGAGGCACGGCCGACGTCAAACGGGTATGTCAATGTTGATGTGAGGGTCGACTATACTGTTGTCGATGTTTGGCTCAATGCAATGCTGTTGCACGCGCAGTTGCTCTGACCTCGTTGGGTTCTTTGCTGACCCGGTTGTTACAGACTACACGGCGAAAGACAGCTCGAACAACGAGCACTCAGACAATCCTCACAGTCCTACGACAAGCAGTTGCTGAGTAGAATAGGAGGTCCGAATACACCAAGTCGACAATCTCTATCGAACTCGTCTGGAAATCTGCTGGAGAACGCCCAACTTGCGCCGGGCGATGCAGAACGGCGCAACAGCTCTTTGCATCCTCTTTCGCTGCCGGAGAGAAGACATGGGTCTATCGATTCACCTTTGGGAGCTCGATGGCCCCCGTCTTCTGGCGGCATCTCACCAGGTTTCACAGGATTCTGGCAGGAGCACGGCCCGTCGGAAAACAGCCGCGCGTTAGCACGGCACCGAGGCAGCCTCACCTCAGAAGATCTTACATCTCACCGTGGCAGCTACGATCATTCCATGTTTATCCACGATGACTTTGGCATGGAAGACGGGCAGATGAGCAATCTCAACATTCACGATCGCAGCCCGGGATCGCCGAAAGCGGGCTCGAAGCGACGGGCGTCCTCACCGCCACGCGAACGCGACGATCGATCCTCCATCAGCAGCGCGCCGGGACACAGCGAGGTGTATCATCGGCGCTCCATACACCAACTTCCCAATCGCGGCTCGCCAATCTCGCGATTTCATCCTAACCATTCGTCGGTTTCGTCAGCATCTTCTGTTGGTGTGCGGCACGGCTCGTTGGGATCATCTCTGGGATTATCAAGCGTCCCGAGCAGCGCGACGAGTTATGCTTCTGGACGCCTCTCTCCAGGCGCCCTGTCACCGGCCATAGAAGTGGATGCCAGAGTTGGTGCGCCTTACGGTGGGAACAAGGTTTTGAACCTCACCTCTCCAATGGCGCATCATCAGCGGACCCTCTCGGAAAGCACTCAAGGTGGTGGGACACAGCCATCCATCGACAGCGCGGCCCATTCACGACACGGCAGCTTGTCGCACATGCAGGGCATCTTTATATGCGAATGCTGCCCGAAGAAGCCTAAGAAGTTTGACACCGAGGACGAGCTTAGGTATGTCGTACGCCAGAAGCGTGGTGCAACCATCTCATGTCAACACTCACTAACAACCGCCAGGCTTCATGAATCTGAGAAGCAATATGCTTGCAACTACTGCTCCAACCGCTTCAAGAACAAGAACGAGGCCGAAAGGCATCAAAACTCCCTACACCTCCGCCGCCACTCCTGGTCGTGTGCCGCATTGACCGGCATCGAGGCAGCCTACCACGCCTCAACGAACGGCACCGATGTTTGCGGCTACTGCGGCGAGGAGTTCCCAAACCCACCACAATGGGACATTCGCGCCGACCACTTGAATCACGTCCACAAGTACGGCGAGTGCAACATGGCAAAGAAGTTCTTTCGAGCCGACCACTTCCGGCAACACCTCAAGCACAGCCATCAAGGCACGAGCGGCAAATGGACGAACATGCTGGAAAATGCATGTATGAAAGACGAGCCGCCTCCTGTGCCCCGAGCTGGTGCCGCGGTAAGCCAGGCGCCGCCTGCTTTGATGGTCACCACATCTGGGCTGAGCCTGCCTGGGCCGATGCCTCCAGGCAGAATTGACGAAACACCTCACGATAGCTAACGACTTCACGACGATGGGATGGAATGATTTGCACGATCTGCTTTGATCAGATTCATTGCCTTTGCATGAACGATTTGCATTGATGTGGCACTTTGTTACTACGCTACTGCATCTTGTCGGTACTGTTACCTGGACCGATCCTTCATCATTTTTTGGCGAACGAATGGGCGACGAAGCGACTGCATTCTGAAAGCCTTGTTGCATAGAGAGATGCAAGCATGCATTGCGCCGCTGGCCCGCTGGGGGATGGTCGAGCCGTGTGACACGGTGAGCTCTTCATCACTTGGGTCGAGCCGAGTGACACCACCATATAGAAGCTCTCGATACCCCTCCAATGGCCATGACTAGACCACAGAGCCTCCATCAAATGGTTACACTGCAGGCGACGAAGCGGTTCGGCGGAAGTGCGTCCGTGTCGATCTCAGTTCGCTTCATCTCAACAGCTGCATCCACCATGTCGGTTGTGTCTTACCCCTCCCTGTAGATTAGTCCTGCAGCAAGGCCGTTGTCGTGTCTCTTGCCCCGCTTGCATGAGCGCGCTGAATCACAGAAAGGTACGTCTCGATTTCATACAGAGTCCCGCACACGCTGGAAAGCCTGTCTCGGCCGCCATCCAATGCCACTCCGTCCGCACTCGTCTGCGGACGCGAGCGCAGCCAGCCCACGGAAGTAGATCTCGCGTCATCTATTTCGCTTCGAGACAATTAAAGTGCTGACATCAAGCCTCAGATCAGTGATCGAATTCGCTTCGTGTGCGCCACATCTGAGGGCCTTACGACAGCCGCTCCGTGGGATCGTGGGATAGCCCTACCCGCCCAGTAGTGCTGATGCTGTTCGCACACGGGCCAATGGGCACGCGGTTGCTGGATGCAGAAGAGATGCATTAGGCGAGAGAGGAAGTTCGGAATTCAGCAGTACAGTCGGTAAGCCTGTTGGTGACTCATGTCGCCGCTGCTCAACATACCGGCGCCGCGTAAGGCTTGATCGATACTGTGATCGACGCGTCGCTGGGCCACGGGATGTGTTGGTATGTTACGGAAGATTGAGCGCTGTTAACCAACTGGGACAGCTGCTACGTGTCGGCGACACAGTCCAATTCCAGGGCGACGCAGTGCTGTGCAGGTGCGGTTTTAGTCGAGAATCGATGACGGTTGGTGGAGTGGTGGAGTTATTCACTCATGTTATGGGAGCGGAGAATGTCAATGCCGACGGCTGTTGCGTTGTCTGCCTAAGACAGACAGTACGGGGCCACATAGTACTGGAAGGGCTGGGCCTTGGACGTGTCTCCGAGCATGAATCCATCTCTACATTGTAGACGTCGTGGACATGCTGCGGACAGTGGAATCGGCTCAGTAGGTCTCAGCGAGGCGTCTCAGGGATCTACAATGCCAGCCCGCCAACGAAGTGATCGGGCCCGTTGGGTGCAAGTGGACTGGGACAGATGTGTGCGTGGTGAGCCGCTCCCACAATAACTTGGTTCACCAGCAAGGCTAGGTGCCGTGGTGTCTGCTACACGGTCACTGCCATTCCAGCCCAAGGCAGAACCTCGGTATTTTTGGAGTAGCTGCAATGCTAGGAACATCGACCGCCCAGAAGTTGAAATTCCATGACACGTGACTTTCACATGATCGCAACCTCGAGGCACGCCCTGTCAGGCTGTCGTGCCTCGGTGAGCCCATCCCCTGTCCTGCTGCTCTTCAATTCGTTTGCTGGATATACTAGGCAATAGACACCGCCGCCACGACAGGTGTCCATCACTCAAGGTAACGTTGCACGCGCTTCGAACGCTGTGGATCGCCCACCGATATGCTCTCTGAGTAGGCACAACCGGTAAACCAACCGCTGACTCCACGGGTCGCGACGCCCTAGTGTTTCAGACGTGGACAATGCAGTGCACCATTTGAGATTCAGACAGCACTCCTGCAACCATCTCAATCTCGTACGCTGCATCAACGGCGACCCCGAGCTGACTGCAGGCTGACTGCCACGTCGGTCTGCTACCTCCGAAGGTAGCCAGATTGAGATGACACACGGATCGCCGTACCCGTCTCCACAGGTTGATCAGAGAGCACCAGGCCAGGCGGACCGTCGCCAAGCAATGATCCTCGTGTTTGCTGACGGGCTGAAGTTGGGATGACTGGGGTGGTGTGGCTGGTGAGGCGACGGCGCTGATCTGACGGCGGGGTGGGTAGACTGCAGGTAGCCTATATGCATATAGAAAGGGCCTTTGATACCTCATTCCACATTGGGAGGCCTTCAGAATGGCGGCCCAGAGCGTGACCTATGGGTCCTTGACGTGTGCATGCTTCGCTGTCTCGCCATGCGGCGGTAGATGAGGTGTATGACTGGCAAATGCCCATTGGCAATCGACTGGTCACCACTTTGGTTGAACGTCGGCGATTGAGGGGGCCCAGCCCCAAGCAATAGCAGCTACCCCAAGTTACCCCCAGGTACTGCAGGAAAGGCAGAACCATTCCGCAATCTCTCCCTCTGCCTCTTCGCCATCTCAGCATCCCTCTTCTTCTGTTGGCGCATCTGGAAGAAGTTCTTGTGCAATTCAAACACTCGCGGACCCTCAACAACAGCTTTCGCGGGCTCCTTCTTCTTCTCCAACTCCTTCAACTTGTCCTCTTTCTCCTTCTCATCCTTTTCGTCGTCCTTGGCCTCATCCTTCTTCTCCTCTTTCTTGCCCTCTTTCTCATACTCCTTCTGCCGCCGGCGATCCAGCTTCTTGCGCATCTTCTCCTCGAATTCCTTCTTTACCACCTCAATCTCCTTCTCCAATTCCTCCTGCCGCTTCTTCTCTGCCAGGTCCTCTTCATCCTTCGGAAGCACAAACTTGCGATCTTTCAAGTGGCCGGGGCATATATGAAACCAGTCATCTTGGTCCGGAGTTATGAGGACGGTTGATGATGGTTTGTAGCAGATCCAGCATGCTTTCGCGCCGGACTCGGCAACAAGGCGTCGATGGTAGAGATTCTTAGATCCCATATTTCAATGGCAGTCCGTCACATGTTACTGCTTGTTGTCGTTGCGCGGAAGCGCGTGTATCGCGGATTCGAGAACAGTGGTTGCTATTAAGCTCTCTGTGCATGCTCGGTTCAGCAGGCGTGATCGAGGTTCGGGAAGTGGAGCGCGGACAAAAGTCGTGAAATCGACTTTCACATGAAAAAGCATCACGTGCATCTTGCGCTTCTCCCATCAACGACTGTATCACGGTCTCCCCGATCTTACTAACCCAAGTCGGGTCTGTTCAGTTGGGCTTGTCGTTCACTTGATAAAAGGGTAAACTCGTGCGGAACTAGTCGATTTCGCTACAATAGGCAAGAGAGGCTACTCTAGGTCTTGTCTAATCATGTTGAGTGCAAGTTGTTGAAGCCAACGCTATGTACACAGCTGTGTTCGCGTGTCAAAACGTTCACGATAGCCTCCATGCTTCGGATCGTGCTGTTGCGATCGGACAGCCTGCTGACGATATTCCCACCAAGCAATTCAGTGCCAACCGCATTCTGTGTTTATGCTTGCCAGCCCCAGTCCTACCGGAACACCATCTCCAGAGCCCACGCTAAACCGTTCCCACCCTTTATGCAACCACCATAGGAAACCCTTAATGCAGCGACCGTGATATCATATCTTTAGAACCTCCCCGGACCGACGCCGAGTTGCTGTCCGTAACTCCCAGAAAACAACTGCTGCCGGATGCTCATCCTCTCATCCGACACGCCCGGCATAGATGCTTGTCCAGTCTGCATGAAGCCCATTCCGGTGTTCAGCTCGCCCACAGCTTCCTCCAGCTTGCCACCACTTCTTTGATTGTGCTCCAGCAATTTCTGATCCCAGCCACCCAGCTGCAGATGGAACCCGCCAGCACGCTTCGCCGCCTCTCTGATCACCAGAGCCCATGCTTTTGACAGCTCGTCGTAGGCATCGTTCTTGTGTCTCTGGTGCTGGAATGTATCCCAGTCTGGCAGGCGGTGGATCATGTTCGTAACGCCATCGAGATAGTTGAAGGAGAGAGCGGTTTGCGTTTCTTGAGGTGGGAGAAAGTGTGGTGTGAAGTCTTTGAGAGCTTCGATGAGCGCTGACAGATGCTGCCGGACTCTGTTGTAGGTGTAGTCGGAGGTGGGGCGGTTGCCGAGTGGGAAGGCTTTTCGGAAGTCGTCTTCGTATGTGCTGAGGACGGAGAGGGTGGATTCGATGGAGGGGCGGGGTGCTTTGGTGATGAGCTCCCGCTGGAGCTCCGGATGCTGGTCGCAGATGTTCTGGAGAAGTTGCCGTAGCTCGTCGCCAGAGAGGGTTTGGAGCAGGCGTGGCAGCGGAAGTGGCCTACCCACTGCGTTGCCTGTGCGGGTCCTCTTGATGCTGCGGTGTGTACTCGACGAAGGAAGTGCGCGGTTCGGGACGGATGGTGAAGCAGATGGTGATGTGGACATGCGGTCATTGTCTGGCTCCTCAGAAGCCTTCCTCTTGCGGCCTGACATGCTTTGAGGAGGGCTGAAAGAATCTGCTGCAGGACGATATGTGTTAGTGGTGCTATGGCTAACAAGACCGTGGAAGGCCGGCCAGTCGTGTGATATCGTGGCATGTGACGTACCGGAGCGAGGGGAGAAGTTGTTGACAAGAAGGTGCGGAGCGGCCAGCGGGTTGTTGTGGATGACACTGTTCATCGTGTTTGCCGCCCAGGCAGGTGTCAGAGATGTCGGTGATATCTGGAGATCGGAGAGCCTTCGAGGAGAAGGTAGGCAGCTGAGGGGGAATGATGGTGAAGTCGTAGGTCAACAACCAGGAAAGGTGTGTGAAGCGCGGGCACTTGGAGCTTCTCGCAAGGGTCATGCTGCCTGCCTCTTGGCATCGGCATCGGCGGGCTCGGAACCTGCCAGTGCCGGCGAGACGACTGGACCTCCCCTGTCTCGCTGTCTCGAGGTCTATATCGAATTTTGAACCTCCCGTCACTGTGAATAACCTGAAGGCGTTCGACCAGCACGACATTTCCGATCAGCACACCTTACGTTTGGTATTTGTTCTCGGCGAGGAGGAGGCACTTCCATTGTTCTACCCCGCTGGTTGAGCAGCTTTCCACTGGAGTCTCACTTTGGAATCATGGATCGATGAAACCAGCAGATCTTAAGCACATACACATCATTCTGGACTGGGCGCTTCAACAGGGCCGGTGGACTCTTCAAAATCACAGTCGATCTAAATTATGAAGCGACGAAGCGTCTCCTCCATCGACTCCTCAAAAATGGACCACGAGCATTCCGCCCCTTTACTGGATGAAGACAGGACCAGCCAGGACATCGAACTAGCACAACTAGACGGCCCTTCAGATCGTTTGATTCACGAAGAGCCGCACCCTGATGCACCTATCCCAGCTGTACCCAAAAACAAGGCTTCCTACATAGCAATTGCAGCAGCTTTGGTAGTGACAGTGGTCGGATTTGTGGTGAACACAGAAGCCACCGCCTACTTCGAGGACGTGCTGGGCTGGAAGAAGCCTTTCTGTACCATGTGGCTCACCCACAGCTCACTGTCCATCCCCTGGATCTGCCATCTGGCATGGTCACGCTACCGGGACCGCAAGATGCCCTACAAAGCATGGGTGCGGGAGTACAACAACCAAATCCGCGAGACCGTCTCTTCTGTCGATGCCTACGCGACTAGCGGATCGAAGTACATCATTAAGCGGAAAGGGAATGTTGGAGGTCCGCTTGATTTTCTGGCATCTACTATGGCTATCGTTACTGTCGTCCTTACGGCCAGTGGTCTGTCGTGGTTCATGGCACTGGCTCTCACTACACCTGCAGACCTCACGGCCATCTACAACTGCTCGACATTCTTTGCGGCCGCTTTCTCAGTCCCATTGCTGAAGGAAAGGTTGGGCTGGCTGGCGATCGCGGCAGTGGCGCTTTCTATTACTGGAACCTTCATCATCGCCTACGGCGATTCTACCTCTGAGCACGAAGACGACGCTATTGGAGGATCGCGGCTGCTTGGGAATCTGATAGCGAGCATCGGCGCCGTGGCGTTTGGCTTGTATGAAGTGCTGTTCAAGAAGTGGGCGTGCTCGTCGAAGCCCATGCCACCGGCGGCGAGTTTGCCGCTTACTTTTGCTGCGTCCGCATTGACGGGAATCTACACTTTTTCCACCCTTTGGTTAGGCCTGGTTGTGTTGCATTTTTCCGGTGTGGAAACGTTTGAGGTACCCAGCGCGTATGTGTGTCTATGGATATTTATTGGCGTTATGGCTGGCTGCGGTAAGCGCTGTCAAGACTCGTAGTGCCGCAGGAAAGCTGACCTGGTGTGCAGTATCGATCAATATGTTGATAGTGCTGGTGGTGTGGACGGATCCTGTGTTTGGAAGCATGGCGAGCGTGTAAGTCGATACTCTCCGGCGATGCCAGATAAAGGCTAACAGCAGCAGATTGAGCGTATTCTTCGTTGCGCTTGCGGATTGGATCGTGTTTGGATTGACGCCATCTATTGCTACTTACGTCGGCGGCGGCTTGATTATGGTGGCATTTGTGCTGTTAACGAAGCATACCCTTGGAGAGTCGAAGCATTAGAGCATGAAGACTTCCAAACAATCGCATCTGCCTGCCGCCTTCACACGTGCAATGCTTCCATCATGCAATCAACCCTGTAAGCCCTTCTGGATCTTTCGATCAGGTGTGAAGGTAGCTTGAGAGGAATGTATCTCATCAAATAGACGCAAAGTCTTCATAGCGAGGCTCAGACACTGCAACACGAGTGAGACGGTCCTTGGCAGGACCTATGGGTTTGCTCTTGGCTACAAATTGAACTCGTGGCTGTGTGGAGGTCGAGGCCGCCGAGTCTTCGAAAGAGCCGTTCTTCGATCTACCTACCTCGTTGCAGATGTCATGGAGACGACTGATACGTCTTCCTGTCCGGCGTGCTGCTTCATGAGGGCGAGAGGGAAGCACCGCGCAACAGACAAGATCCTTGCTGTCCCAACGGACGGGAACATGCTTCCTCCTCATTGGATGCCAGTCCGCAGGCCGTGTATGCGCGATAAGTGGTGGATGTAGAATCAACAGCATATGAAGCTGGTGATGAGAAGGTGAGGTCGGAAGCACCGCAGGACGATGCAGAAATTGCGAATGGCCAGCATCGATTTCCAATCAGTCTAACCTGAAGTGCGTGCACTAGCGCGGTTTTCGTGAGGCAGTCGCGTCTCCCTCGCGTTTCCTCCAAAAACAGTGCCCGCCTTCTTATATCACCTCAACCCCCCGATCAGGACCTCTTCTTGTCTTCCCGTGCACCATCCTCCCCTTCACCATATCCACCGAAGTGCAGCAGCTGCTTGACCTTGTACATCGCAGCGTACAAGCACCAGGCTCCTCGCAACATCCAACCCTCAAGCGGACTGCAGTTCGAGGTCACTACCTCGCCGTCGACCGCCAGGATGTTCGTCTACAAGCGCGGTATGTACTACCTCTCCAAAGACTTTGAGCACCTTGATTCGTCTCGATTGAGATGGCGCACCGTACTGGATGGCGGACCGCCACTCGAACGAGGACAGGCCCGAGAGCAGACCGCATGGGACCGTCTCGCTGACTTGAAGACCAGATGGCCGCAAGGAGCGCGTGCAGTTTGACAAGATCACAGCCAGAGTATCGAGGCTCTGTTATGGCTTGGACCCAGAGCATGTCGATGCTGCCGCCATCACCATGAAAGTCATCTCTGGCGTCTACCAGGGCGTCACCACGATACAGTTGGACGATCTGGTAAGTTATAGCTCCTTCGCCTGGACTGTACAGCTACATGTACTAACTCCCGATCCTTTTTTAGGCCGCAGAGACCGCCGCATACATGACCGTCACCCACCCCGACTATGCCATCCTCGCTGCCCGCATCGCAGTGTCTAATCTGCACAAGCAGACGAAGAAGCAGTTCTCTGCAGTGGTATCCGACCTCTATCAATACATCAACCCGAAGACCAGGAAGCCTGCGCCGATGATCTCGGACTACACATACAAAGTTGTCATGGACCATGCCGACGAGCTCAACTCGGCCATCGTCTACGACCGCGACTTCAACTACCAGTACTTCGGCTTCAAGACGCTAGAGCGGTCATACCTCCTTCGCATTGATGGCAAGGTAGCGGAACGACCACAGCATATGATCATGCGTGTTGCCATTGGCATCCACGGAGAGGACATTGAGGGTGCGATAGAAACGTACAACTTGATGTCCAACAAGTACTTCACACACGCATCGCCTACGCTCTTTAGCGCTGGCACGCCACAAGCTCAGCTTGCCTCGTGCTTCCTCATCGACATGAAGGACGACAGCATTGATGGTATCTACGACACGCTGAAGACTTGCGCAATGATCTCGAAGAACGCAGGCGGTATCGGTGTCAACGTACACCGCATCAGGGCCACTGGCTCATACATCTCGGGCACAAACGGCACATCGAACGGTCTTGTACCAATGCTCCGTGTCTACAACAACACTGCACGCTACGTCGACCAGGGTGGCAACAAGCGTCCAGGTGCGTTCGCGGTCTACCTCGAGCCATGGCACGCTGACGTCTACTCCTTCTTGGACCTCCGGAAGAACCACGGCAAGGAGGAAGTCCGCGCTCGCGACCTCTTCTACGCACTCTGGATCCCGGATCTGTTCATGAAGCGTGTCGAAGCAAACAGCACCTGGACATTGATGTGTCCTAACGAGTGCCCTGGTCTTGCCGATGTCTACGGCGAGGAGTTCGAGAAGCTCTACGAGCAGTATGAGGCAGAGGGTCGCGGCCGCGAGACAGTCCGAGCACAGAAGCTCTGGTATGCTATTCTCGAGGCACAGACTGAGACCGGCAACCCTTATATGCTGTACAAGGACGCAGCCAACCGCAAGAGCAACCAGAAGAACTTGGGTGTGATTCGCAGCTCCAACCTTTGCACGGAGATCATCGAGTACACCGCTCCGGATGAAGTGGCTGTCTGCAACCTGGCCTCCATTGCCCTGCCTACCTACGTCGACATGCTGAACGACCGCTTCGACTTCGAGAAGTTGCACGAGGTTGTCCAAGTTGTGACGCGCAACTTGAACAAGGTCATCGAGATCAACCACTATCCTGTACCAGAGGCTCGCAAGAGCAACTTCCGGCACAGGCCCATCGGTCTCGGTGTCAACGGTCTCGCCGACGCCTTCCTTGCGCTGCGCATGCCATTTGACTCGCCGGAGGCTCGCCAGCTGAACCTGCAGATCTTTGAGACCATCTACCACGCCGCCCTCACAGCGTCTTGCGATCTTGCTAAGAAGCATGGTCCATACGAGACATATGAAGGCTCTCCAGTGTCGCAAGGCGAGCTTCAGTACGACATGTGGGGCGTTATACCGACCGATCTCTGGGACTGGGAAGCGTTGAAGGCGAAGATTGCTGAGCACGGTGTCCGCAACTCCCTGCTTGTTGCACCCATGCCAACTGCATCCACCTCGCAGATCATGGGCTTCAACGAGTGCTTTGAGCCGTACACCAGCAACATCTACTCGCGCCGTGTCCTTGCTGGCGAGTTCCAGGTCGTCAACCCATGGCTGCTCAAGGATCTTGTTGACCGTGGCCTGTGGTCCGACAACATGAAGAACCGCATCATTGCCGACGGTGGATCGATTCAGCGTGTGCCAAACATCCCGGACGACCTCAAGGCTCTCTACAAGACTGTTTGGGAGATTTCACAGCGTCACATTGTCCAGATGGCGGCGGACCGTGGTGCGTTCATCGACCAGTCTCAATCTCTCAACATCCACATGAAGGAGCCTACGATGGGCAAAATTACCAGCATGCACTTTACTGGCTGGAAGCTCGGCCTCAAGACTGGCATGTACTACCTCCGTACCATGGCAGCGTCCGCACCTATTCAATTCACCGTGGACCAGGAGAAGCTCAAGGTCGTTGACACCAACGTGGCCAAGGCATCCCTCAAGAAGCGCAACATGTCTGGAAAGTACAACGCCGTCAGCAGTCCGCCTCCTGCTGAGGCAGCGCCTCCCCCAATGTTCGAGAACAAGACGCCTGATGGCTCGGCCGCGCCCGCTGATGTGCCGACACCCGCCATCACACCTCCACCAGAGCCCCAACAGAAGAAGAGGACCTTCGGAAGGACTTCATCAGCCGTCGTCAACCCACCCTTCCCAGCTGACCAGGACGAGGGCGACAGTCCCGAGGTGCTGGCTACTGAAGGCAAAGACGCCGTGCCAAAGGACGAGGAGCTTCCAGAGCCTGCAATGAAGCAGGAAGACAAGAATCCTGGTCAAGAAGAAGACAAGACGGACGAGAGTAACGAGCGCGAGGGCGACATCTATGCCGAGGCCGTGCTGGCTTGCAGTATAGAGAACCCGGAGGCGTGCATCATGTGCAGTGGTTGAATGGATGTTTCAAGTTTCTTTTGTTTGGCATACTGATGGCGTTTGATGAGAAATGGACACGATCGGGGGCTGGAAACCAGGTCTTTGCTGTTGTTAAGTGTGTGCTATAGTGTTGAGTAGACGTGCGAGGAAGATATTCATGCATTGACAAGCGCCTAAAGTACATGTAACGTCGCTGTAGTTGATAAGGTAGACTGAAGAGTGAAAGTATTGCATCGGCATCGCGCTGTCGCCCAAGGTGACAGAGCCAGCTTGCCCGAGCGGAGCTGATCCCTGCCCATGCATGACTCGAGACACCACTTCATCCTTCAAGACCACAACTGCTCCCAACTTCAACCCAGGTATTCGTCCAGGTGTATCACGATCTCCTTCTACATCTCGATCGGCAGGAGCGACACACCCACGGTAAGTGGACAATGAGATTGCAGTGCCTGGTGATGTTAGTGGTGCACCGCTGTTGGCGATGGGTCTCTGTACCGCTGGAACCTCTCGAACTTTGTTGTTGTCGTTCCTTGCCCTCATAGGCCGAGGGAAATCTATAAGAGGCCTCAAGCTCGCCCTCACGGAATCCGTCCTTTTTCCCACATGCTCGGCCTCCAAAAATATCTTGGCACAGAAAGAATCTGCAATGCAGACACACGTTCGACCGCAAGGTCTTGCTATCAAAGTCATCTCTGCTCTACCACTCCGACTGCTAGGACCACTGAACAGGATGCCGGTAATGCTCCACCTTTCAAGAAGACGTTGCCCATCTCGAGTCATATTCTGCTCGACGCTCCAGCGAACGGCGCAGCAGGAGCTCTCGACTAGATTTGTCGAGTACCGCTGCACCCACCGAACGGTGCCATGGCACGCAGCTGGAGCTCTCGACTAGGTTGGCACAGTACCGCCGCACATGGGTCCTCACGTGAGGACGCGACCATGCCGCGAGGTGGTGTCAACAAACACCAGTCACCCTGGAGTCGAAACGAACACTTTGAAGTGGTAGGACAGAGGTAGGGCATACTCGAACATACGTTGACACGGCTCTGAGCTTCAGCAGCTCTTCCGTATGCACCTGGTGTGGGCGTCAAGACACGTCGTCAGGCAAAGCGGTGATGGACAGGACGTCGCTGCTGCTCGCCCGGGGGTGTCGTGATCGGCGGTAACCGTCGTTGACTTTGGATGGAACCATGGCACACCTGTGCACACCGCGATCTGACTTTGTACTGTTTTCACCTTTCCGAAATAGGTTGTGCGATCTGGGAGGATAAACATGTGGTGTCGCGCCCAATGTTTCTTCTTCTCTTCACCGACATACAGACTTACAGTCTCGCTGTCAGTCAAAAGCATACTCATAGCCTACAAGCTTTACAACACTTTACACACTTCGATCACTCACAAGGTGATCAACATCAACGTTCAAAAACACCCTCCGGTCACTCGCAATGCCTTCGCACGTCAACCAAAAAGGCGCGTTTGGTCCACTAAGGAGGGGATCCATCGTTTCGGCGTGGCCGAATGGGAAGTCCGCCGCGCATATCCCTAAGACTTCAACCTTTTGGGAGTGGCTATTGCCAGAAGGGGTCTACGGTCATCCTCTGGTCATCGTTGGCACGCGCAACAACGACACTATCGCGTGCGTTGCAGTGATGACCAGTTTCGGCAAAATGGGCATCGAGGACAACTTTCGGACACCGGAACGCTACGGGCTCAGGAACAAATACCTTGCCGTCAATCATGGGAACACCAAGTAAGAAATGAGCAATACACCGTTTGATTGACTTAACGCTGACACTATCACAGACCACACAGCGATGCACGTGTTCTTGGCCTGGAGCACGGCCAACGGTTGACCAGACAATCATACATCAACTTGGACTCATTCTTCGAGATCGAGATGAGCGAGTTGAGGCCATGGCACCATGACTATAAGAGGTGCCTCGACCAGGAGTCCGTCCGTTACCTTCAGTCACAGCTCAGCGAGCACATTGAGGCTGCCTGGGGAATCTACGCCAGACCAGCGCACAACGGCTGCCTTTCTCCGCTCGACCGCTGGCTCATCCACCCAAGCTGGCTCGGTCTAATTGCACCAAAGGTCTACCACTCCGGGAAACCTGCAGCAGCGGCCACTCAACCCCAGAGATCTCGCAACCACAAGAATGGGGACAAAGTCAACAAACCAGCTGCGAAAAGGCCAAATTCCGGCAAGGCCTGTGCATCTGCCATCAAAGCGGCTGCTCTTGACCCAAAGTCGTCCGTGACTTGGTTCAAAGGCTGAGCGATGACAACAACACAATCACGGGGCCGACCACCATCAAGCCAAGGTCGGGCAGATTCACCATCCTCGATTGTCAAGTCTGCCTGGAGATCCATACCGCTGGGTGGAATGACCGACGACAATCAGCAATACCCGAGGCAAGTCATATCTCCTCGACGACATATCGACGACGACAATCGACAGGCACTTCACAGCCCCTGGACGACGACGACTATCGCTACTAGGAGTGCATCATGGCTCCTCGACGACAACCGATTCGACAACGATAACGAGCAGGCACTTCACAGCCGCTCGACAACGACAACAATCAGCAGGCACTTCACAGCCTCTCGACGACGACACCCGAGGATCTCGAGATCAGAGACGTTTCGAGTCTCCGTTCACGAGCGACAGGAGGATCAGAGGATGGATCAGGAGGGAGAGCGGGATGGAGGAGGAGAGGAGGGGAGGGCCGGAGGGGAGGGCCGGAGGAGAGCTATTAAGTAGATGGAGGAACAGACTGTGGTTCGTCTACTACATCACCGCTCACTGCCACTCAGCCACTGATGTTCAGACCAGACGAAAGAGACTGCAGGTACGGAAGGTGTGAAGGCAGAGGTGGAAGGAGAGCAGGATGCGAGGGCAGTGGAAGGCATCGGGATGAGAAGAGGAGTGGAAGCACTGACGAGACATCATCAGTCTCTCGGTCAGTGGCAAGAGGGGGCCATCAGTGTCTGGGCGGCTGCTTTGCGGCTTGCTTGGGCCTGGAGGCCATCAAACTTGGCTTTCATACATAACATGCATGTACTTGGGAGTTCAGTACGGTCGTCGCACCATCGGCCGATCTCGGGTCTCTGGGGTGGTATCCTGAAGGGTGCGGTAGAGTTGGGATGAATGGCTGTTTGGATATCGAATACATTACATTGCTATACACCTGTATAATACGCTCACGCTCGCTCAATCGGGTATCTCATCATCGTCTCATATATATAGTGTGACCGCCGCTGCTGCTGTCGCCGATGTCTCAGCTCAGTAAGCACGACGGGCCCCACGCCCGTCAGTGCCATGCATTCTCCTCGTGCCAGCAGCCTACGTCCTTATTAGCAAGATGAACCTACGACAAATAAGTAATGAACATCATCTCACCTTCTTCCCCGGACTTCTCGCAAAAGTCCTCTTCAACCCTCCCACAAGCTTATCCCCCATACTCGGCTTCCGCCTCTGATGGTGCACCGGCGCCGCCGTCGTCGTCGTGTGGTGGGTACGAGAGCTCGACGCCATGGGTCCGCGACCGCCGTGGCCGTGGTGCCCGAGCCCGTTGGGATGGGTCTCGGTGGTTCTGGTCGTCTTGTGCGTGCCGGTGATGGGATTTTTGGAGTGCTTGGTCGTGACTTTGGCTTCTCGACGACGGGCGGGGCGGGCGCGCAAGCGGGACATGAGGCCTGGTTTGCGGGCGGTGGTTGTTGTGTGGGTTGTGCGGGGCATGTTGGGTGATGTGTGTTGGATAGCTGGGTGGATTGGGTTGGTATTGGTCTTCTTGATGTCTGATGAACCGATTGTCTGATTGAATTGAATGAAGATTGGAGGAGAGTGGCCGGCTACTTATGACTTTCGTGTTATCTCCCGCTGCCGTCGCAATCACTCTTATCACGAGCTCATCTGACGTCGTGTTCCATGATTTAGTTGGCCGTTCGGGCTTGGTGCTGGTTTAGTCTGGTCATTCTTGTCTTTGCCTCGCTTCGAGCGCGTGGCTGCTAGGAGGTACGTCACTGCTCACGCCTGTCATCCTGAAACAAGGCGGAGTCGTCTGGGGTCGGACGCAACTATTGGTTCCTGGTATTGCGACTCTTTCACGTTGGGGATAGAGCAGTCTTGATGCAGGTAAGTTCGATGTTGTGAGAACGATTCAGTCCATTCCTTGCCGCGGGAACCGATTGGCGCGTTCTCAAGGCGTCCCTGGCGTTCTGCATCGGACCAGCTTCCCGGCATTGCAATCCACGTTGACCTCCTTCGAGGAGCTCTTTGGTCCCCTCTTTGCGAGCATAGAAAATCGAGAATATGGCTATGGGTGCCAGGTGAATGTCCACGTCTTCACTTGACGATATCAGTACGGCGGTAACTCGGAACGCTTGCCCTCGTCGTCGCCCAAAACCAGAGCTCAGCTACGTCTTGCATGGTTGCATCGACAGGATGGGCGTTCTCTTCTGCTTCGGTTTCATACATCATCACAAGAGCGTTTCCACACCTCTCAAAGGCATACTTTTCATCAACATGAGCATGCGCGCGAAGCGTTACAGTGACAAGGTAAGACACTCGACGGCGACGCCATGAGTCTGTTTCCTTAGATGCAAGAGTATGAGCTGCACGCATATGAGCAAACACCTCGTCACTGTTTGCGAATGTCTCTCGAACGCTCATCCGTTCTCGTCCTGTAAGGTCTATCTGATTTGATGGTCGCAGTCTCATGGCAGAATGGTTCCGTATCGTAGCATCCTCCGTGATCCTGATAGCTACTGTCCCAAGATCCCGATAGTGGAACGTTGAACGAGGCCAGGGCTGCCTGTCTGCTCATGTCGGTCAGGCTAAGGCCCGGATGATGTACGATCCTTCCTCCACCACGTACTCGGAATGCCGGCGAACTGTGGTCGCTGTCTTCCAGCAGCGGGGCTCAGGTCAAAGTTGTGCATGGCGTGACCGCAGCAAAGAAGTCGTCAACAGGTTCTCACTATACCAAGCTTGCAGGAAGTTCTTTGTACGCACTTCGTCAATCGTATTGTTGTTGATCACGGACAACCGCAGACGTCTGAATGGTGACACAGCGTTAGCGCTTGCCTGCGTTAGACAAACAAGATGTTTGTAAACACAGCCAGCCTGTAGCGACATCCTTCCTCCTTCCTTATATCTCATAATACTGTCGAGATGGCCATGTCCACCATGCTCTATAGGGAGGACCGGGCCTTGCACGAGGCCCTCCTACCGACCGTTGAAAAACACGGCCGCCGTGCCAAGGACCAGGTAAGCTCCTAGTCCTCCCGACGGCCTCGCGGGAGCTTCCCGTCGACTTTTCCACCTGCAACCTCAACTCCATCCTCAACCTCCTTATCACACCAGCACCCCCCTTCCACGTACCATTGAACCTCACGTCCTCCGTCGCATACACCCATACGCCATCCTCTTCGAACCTCGACCTCTAACACCTTCGCGCAAGATGGCAGAAAAGCTGGACAAGGTCCTGGCGCCCGCCATGCCTGTGCCGGCATTCGGCGACATCAGCAAGGCTGCCAACGATCTGATAGGTCGCGACTTCTATCATTTGGCCAAAGGCAGGTGCAAAATTGAACACAGCGCTTGAAGAAGGAGAGAGGCTGACGAGACCGCAAACAGCTGAGCTCAACGTCAAGCTCCGGACACCCAGCGATGTGGCCATCAACGTCAAGGGCAAGCAGGACATGAACGACGTGACCAGCGGCAATGTAAGACCCCTACGCCAACACTGGGAACGACGCGAAGCTATACTAACTAGCTCCCACAGCTCGAGGCCAAGTACACGGACAAGCCACGCGGTACGCAAGCCGTCTCTTCTTCTGACCCTCCACCCCAACAAAACCGCTTCCTCCGCTCGCTCGTCTTGCAACACCCCATTCTCAAGCTCCCACCGCCTCTGCGCACACAGCTCTATTTCTTTGCCCTCCTATCTCCTGAGCAGCCTTTATCCTGGCAAAGGTTTGGGCTGACCCTCCGCCATCCGCCTGCAGGCACCACACTCACCCAGAACTTCACCACCGGCTCTCTCCTCGATACCAAAGCCGAAATTGTCGACGCCCTGGCCCCCGGCACCAAGCTTGAGTTGCAGAACATCGCCAGCGCGTCCGGCGCCGCGCCCATGTCGCAGAAGATCAACTTCGCCTTCAAGAACCCCAACGTCCACACCCGCGCCTTCATTACCCACAGCATGAAGGACAACAACATCAACGCCGTCATCGATGCTGTCGCCGCTCACGAAGGCTTCGTCGTTGGTGGTGAGGCTGGCTACAACCTGCAAAAGGCCGCCATCACCGGCTACTCGCTCGCAGTCGGCTACCAGACGCCCAAGTACACCGCCGCCATTACCGGCACGCAGAACCTGTCGATCATCGCGGCGACTTTGTACCAGAAGGTCAACAGCTCCGTGGAGGTGGGTATCAAGACGGGCTTCGACGTCCAGGCTTCCAAGGCCAGTGGGCTGGAGATCGCGTCCAAGTACAAGCTCGACCCGCTCAGCTTCGCCAAGGGCAAGGTCAACGACCGTGGTATTGCGGCGCTCGCGTACAGCACCAAGCTCAACGCCGGCACGACGCTGGGTATTGGCATGTCGCTGGACACCGCGAAGCTGAACGAGGCGGGCCACAAGATCGGCACCAGCCTGACGTTTGAGGGTTGAGAGCGTGGGGAGAAGAGTGTACATTAGTGCATCGGCGCGGGATATACCTGGGCAGCAAGAGGGTAGACCTTGAGCTTCGGCGGTCGAGCGGGCGTGGAACTTGTAGCCTGTACGATTGTCGGAAAGCTGACCAGCATATCCGATTGAGAAGAGGGCAAGCACTGCTTGCATAATCCAGCAGGGTATCTATCTGCTTCACCTTCTATCTTCCACAACTTTCGCACCCGTAATGTGTTGTGTCTTCAGCGCGCAGGATTGCCATCACGTATTATAACAGCCAGCGGTCACCCACCTCCCTCCCTCTTATTTGCTTTCCCACTGCCTATACCGCCAAACACCCCCGCCAGCCCTACAGGTATCCCCACCGTCGCAAGCAACACCCCACACAACACCACAAACCCCATTCCTCCACTCATCCCTCCCCCTCCCTCCGCAGCCTCCATCTCCTCCTCCCGCATCACCCTCCTCTGCGCCCTCCTCGCCCGATGTCGCGTCCGCTCTATTTCGCTGTGCGTCCTACTATGTCCCTGCCGATCGAAATGCGGCACATCGTCCCCAAACCCTTGCGTGAAGCCTCCCGGCCCCGTGCCCGCGGCTTGTCCCGGCCCACCAGCTCCTTCATGTGAGTGTGACGCTTTCTCCGCTTCCTCTGCCCTCTTTGCGCCGTGCGAGCCCCAGCCGCCAGAGCGGTAGAAGGACGGTGGTGGACCGCGGAATTGTGTTCGTCGTCTACTTAGGCCGGACGCTGGACGCCCGCCTGCTGGGCTGGAGGCAGAGCTGTAGGAGCCACTTCGTGAAGGGGTCGGCGAGGCGGCTTGCTGTGCGCGTAGGAAGTCCCGGTCGTAGCGCTGGCGTTTCTCTGGGGAGCCGAGGACGGCGTAGGCTTCGCTGATACGGACGAAGCGGTTGCTGGCGTCTGGGTCGGAGGGGTGGAGGTCGGGGTGGTGGGATTTGGAGAGGGTGTAGAATTTCCTAGTCACGTCGAACTACGTGTTAGCAGGGGTGGTGGGGGGTGAGAAGGGATGAGGGGAGAGAGGTCACTTTTTTATATCCGCCGCAGAGGCATCGCTAGGCAGTTCGAGGGTCTCGTAGTGGTTGGGTAGACTTGGGTTATCGCGGCATGGGGGGGAGGGGTGGAAGTGTCTGCTGGTGATGGAGGGGGGGTGGGTGAGGCGCAGACATCTGTGCGGAGGTCGCTGGAGGAGGCATGGGCGGACTAGCATGCCTTGCGGCGGTCATTGAGACGGTCGAGAGTCTTCCGGTGCGACCTCATGAATTCAATGGAGAGAGAAAAGGTGATGATGTCACGTTTTGGGATTGCAGCCTGAGGTGTCTGCTGCTCCGACGTTACATCAACCTCCTTCTCCTCTTTGAAGTCGAACAACGCGTGCCTGCATGCACATGATGATCTCCCGACGCTGGCTAGCTGTTTTCATGTCTGTATGTGGAGGGCTACGGTAAGAGCGGGGCGAGGTGAAAGAGGTGCAAGTATTCCAGTCTCATTGCTTTCCTTCTTCGTGCTTCCTCCCAGTCCTCTGTACAGAATACTCCTCTGCTTCGTCAATCAAAAGCAACATCTTGGTCTGGAACCATGAGGTCTGCCGGCCTAGTGCTGCTCCTCGCCGCTCGACGTACCATAGCCCAGAGCGGCAGCAGTATCCTCGAATTTGTCGACCCTCTGATCGGTACTGCCAATGGAGGTCATGTCTTTGCAGGAGCCACCTTGCCTTTTGGTATGGCAAAGGCTGTGGCCGACTCAGTGACTGATGGTCAAGGAGGTTATGCAACGAAAGGCGGCAAGATCAAGGGTTTCAGTCATATGCATGACAGTGGCACCGGCGGAGTAAGTGTATCGTCTTAACACCACGTCCGTATGTACAAGAGTCAAACAATCTGTTCCCAGTGGCAGGATCAATGATTTATCGCACAATAATCACGAGGCCGCTCATTGTTGCTGATCATAAACACAGTCCCCATCACTCGGCAACTTCCCAATCTTCCCTCAATCTGGCTGTCCGGATGACACATTGGACAGCTGCGCATTTCCAGAAACACTCCGCCAGGAATATGTCTACAACAGCACCGTGGCGGCATCGCCGGGATACTTCAGCGTCAAGATGGTGTCTGACATTAAGGCCGAGATGACTGTGACGAGCCATACCGCTCTCTATCGCTTCACGTTCCCTAACAGTCCGGTTGAGCGTAATGCTACTTTGAGACCGTTGATCCTGGCCGATCTGAACGACTTGCCACTTTCTAGGAGTAGGGGAGCAGTGTCGGTAGACGAGGAAACAGGTCGTATTGCCGGCAATGGAACATTCAAGTAGGTCGATCAACTTGACCGACTTCAAAGTGTAGAGTGCTGACTTGTCTGATTTCAGCCCATCCTTTGGCATTGGCTCGTATGAGCTGCACTTCTGCGCGGACTTCTCGGGAGCGGACATCTGTGATACAGGCGTCTTCATGAACAACCGTGCTGGAAGTCAGCCGAAACACCTCAGGACCACGGCGGACGGCATCAACATCTCGCCAGAGATACTACCTGCTGGCGCATGGACTCAATTCGAGATACCCAACAACGACAATCAAATCCTGGTCAGAGTTGGGCTCAGCTTCATCAGCGTAGATCAAGCGTGCTCGAATGCAGAGAGCGAGATACCAGATTACGACTTCGAAGGCGTCCGCGAAGCAGCAGTGCAAGCTTGGACAGACACCTTGAGCCCGATCGAAATCAAGCCTGGTGATGGAGTTGACCGGAAGTTCCAGAAGATCTTTTGGAGCGGAGTGTATCGTGCCGCTATCTCGCCTCAAGACTACACTGGCGAGAACCCACTCTGGGACTCTGATGAGCCTTACTACGACAGCTACTACTGCATTTGGGATTCGTTCCGGAGTATCCACACCATGATCACGATCCTCGATCCGCTCTCTCAAATCAACATGATGAGAAGTCTAGTCGAGATCTGGAGGCAGGAGGGATGGCTTCCCGACTGCAGGATGAGCCTTTGCAAAGGGTTCACTCAAGGCGGATCGAATGCCGATGTCATTTTGGCTGACCTCTTCGTGAAGATGCGAGAACTATCTACAGAACACGGCCTCGACTGGGAGGATGTTTATGAAGCTGTCTGGACCGACGCTGAGAAGGAGCCACTGGACTGGGCCGTACAAGGTCGCGGTGGTCTTCACAGCTGGAAGAACCTGCATTACGTTCCTACCGATGATTATGACCCTTACGGCGTTGGACCGTTTACGAGAAGCATCAGCCGGACAGTCGAGTATGCGTATGATGACTTCTGCATCGCTGAGATGGCACATGCTCTTGGGAAGTCTTCCGATGCACAGAAATACAGCGAGCGGTCTGGCTACTGGATGAATATGTTCAAGCCTGACCAGAAGTCTCGCAACTTTACCGGCTTTTTACAACCTAAGTTCCTGAACCAGACCTGGGGCTACCAGAATCCAATCTTCTGCAGCCCGTTGCTCGAATTCGACTCCTGCTACCTCAACCCAGACGGCCACGAGACGTATGAAGGCTCCTCTTGGCTCTATACCTTCTACGTCCCGCACGACATGGCTACACTGATCACGACGCTCGGCGGCAACACCGCTTTCGTCAACCGCCTCGACTACTTTCACACCTCCGGTCTCCTCTACATCGGCGACGAGCAAGGTTTCCTCCCCGTCTACCTATACCACTATGCCGGCCGACCAGGCAAGAGCGCCGAACGCATCCACTACTACGTGCCAGACCAATTCAACACCTCTTCCAACGGCATCCCGGGCAACGACGACAGCGGCGCAATGGGCTCCTTCGTAGCGCTGTCGATGATGGGCACCTTCCCAAACCCCGGGCAGGACGTCTACTTCATCACTCCGCCTTTCTTTGAAGAAGTGAGCGTGACGAATAAGCTCACGGGCAAGAAGGCGACGATTCGGAATGTGAATTTCGATACGAGTTATAAGAATATCTATATTCAGAAGGCTACGATGAATGGGGAGCCCTACACGAAGAACTGGTTTAGTCATAGTTTCTTCTCGGAGGGAGGGGTGTTGGAGTTGACGTTGGGTCCGAAGGAGAGTGATTGGGGGACGAGGCCGGAGGATGTGCCGCCGAGTTTGTCGAGGGGGCATGAGTTGACTGGATACTCGATCTGGACGTGATGTGATAGATGGGAGCCATTTCCGTGAGATATAGCTTGGACTACGGAATGTACTCAGCATACTCACAAGCACGTCATCCGTCCACTTGTATCATGAGCGAATGCGCAACAGGCCAGGGGAACCGGTCCAGCGAGTATTGATGGAGTGTGAGAGCCCTGGAGCTTGAATCTCAACCCGACCACATGACCGTGGGAATAGGACCGCACACAATGAACATCCACCAGTATTCACATGACTAGCGGACTGATCCTCCACACGGAGAGGACGATCCACATAGATTGAAGGTGACTTGAGGAGCCATCTGCTCCGGTCAAGAAGCGTTTTGTTGCCGCGCAAATGTCGAAATGTGAGCCCGTACTTGCATATGGCCGCTCCGGAAGGCTACCAGCATCCATGACTATCCTTTCGCCTGAATGACGGGCAATCAGCTCCCGATTCGCAAGAGCACAGTTCGAGGTAGTCCCCACAGGCCAGCATTTCAGAAGTGGTTCTCTGACACTGGGGGTCATTATAAACCCAGGAAGCCAGCGAGCGGAACCGTGGGCATCATCGCTCTTCTCCTGCAGAGCAAATGGGCTTCTGACATCGGAAGATGGTTCAACAGCAGCATTCGACCTTCGAGAAGCAGAGCATTGGGTTGCCGGATGAGCCTTCTTCTCGAACATAGCAAATGCGCTGGAGCGGTCCCGTGTGAGGTCGACGGGATGATACTTCTTCCGAGAATCTCGAAGGACAACATGCCGCCACGCACTCACGGACTGGTAAGTTGATATAAGGAGGATGGTGACAGGCTCGAGAAGTGAAGTGAGTTCGGCTTGGCGCGCTGACCCATGTGCCCCACAAAAAAGTATCGTCCGACTCATTCTCGAAGACGCATATAACCACTCTCGATCACCCATTGCGCCGTACGTGAGCAGCAAAACCACTTCGAACTTCAAGAACCATGTCGACATTCGGGAAGCACTACAGGGTGACAACCTACGGCGAGTCACATGGGCGGAGCGTGGGCTGCATCGTTGATGGCTGTCCGCCAGGCCTCCAGCTCGCTGAGCAGGATATTCAACCTCAAATGACACGACGGAGGCCTGGTCAGTCCGCTTTAACAACGCCAAGAAATGAGAAGGACAAGGTGGAAATACAGTCTGGCACGGAGTTTGGGGTCACTCTCGGAAGTCCAATCGCTCTACGAGTGCTCAATGAGGATCAGAGACCAAAAGATTATGGTGGCGGCGGGGAGAACATTGATATGTTTCCGAGACCCAGCCACGCGGACTGGACGTACTTGGAGAAGTATGGGGTCAAGTCTAGCAGCGGAGGCGGCCGAAGCAGCGCGAGAGAGACGATCGGGAGGGTCGCAGCAGGAGCCATTGCCGAGAAGTATCTCAAAGACGCCTACGGAGTCGAGATCGTCGCCTACACCAACTCAGTGGGACCCATTGAGCTTTTTCCATCCACGAAGGAACACCCCAGCCCATCGACGAACCCAGCGTTTCTCGACTTCTTGAACAAAGTCACCCGAGAGGAGGTTGATTCTTTTCTCCCAGTGCGCTGCCCTGACGAGAAGGTGTCACAGTCGATGAGTGACCTTATCGGCGAGTTTCGCGATCGAGAAGATAGCATTGGTGGTACAGTGACCTGCGTCATTCGGAACTGCCCTGCCGGTCTCGGAGAGCCCTGTTTTGACAAGCTTGAGGCCACTCTCGGCCTGGCGATGATGAGCTTGCCAGCCACGAAGGGTTTCGAAATCGGGTCTGGGTTTGGAGGAACGAGGATACCTGGCTCGACCCACAACGACGCCTGGATCAAGACCCCTGCCATTGCTCCCGGCGAGACCAAACCGAACGTCAAGCAGCCCAAGTTGACGACGAAAACGAACCACAGTGGCGGAATCCAAGGAGGAATCTCGAACGGGGCTCACATCTACTTCAACGTAGCCTTCAAGCCGCCGGCAACGATTGGACAAGCTCAGCAAACGACCGGCTACGACGGGACGGAAGGCGTGCTTGCTGCCAAAGGACGCCACGACCCCTGTGTTATTCCACGCGCCGTCCCCATTGTCGAAAGTATGGCTGCGATCACTGTCATGGACGCATTAATGGCTCAGCTTTCTCGAGAAGCAGCCCGAGACAGGCTGCAGCAGGCCGGGATGACGAATCCCGCCATGATGACGGCTACAGGCAACGGACACGCATGAGTGTGAAGGAGATGGGATCGGTTTCTTGGTATTAGCGAGGCGCTGGTGGACGTTCTCGAGGATCAAAAGTGGTATTCAAATGCTTGCTGCACTGCTGTAGGTATGGTGGCTTAATGGAGAAAATGCTCAAGTCGGACGGATCTGCCCCTTCTCGAAGACAGTGATAATCTGCTATAGTGTCTGACGCATCTATATCGGTTTCGATCGCATGGTGGAGAAGGTATGTCTCGGCCAGCCCTGTATTGCTGATTCTCGAGCTCCGGAAGACCTGCTCAGTGTCTCACATGCGACTCTCGATCTTGTTCCTGTGGCGGAGAAGCTTCAACGTTGTGTCCAACCTATGCAACCGGATGCATCCCCAAGCCAAGGACAACTCACCACAATGTCTGCAGCACCGTTGTCGTTCAGCTTCCGCCGCGGAGAAGACCAGTTCACCCCCGACTGCTCTGAGGCCAATCTCGACATGACGCCGTGTATGGATATGTGTCTCGGATACAGCACCCATCTAGTCGTTATCTCTCCATGATTAGGCCAGACATGTGGCCAGGCCGATATGTCGCAGGCTGATTCCTATTGAACGCTATCTCCAGGTCATGGTCTCGAAGACTGCGAGTCAACACCTTCATGACGATCTCAGCCACTTTCAATACGAACGGTGAGCAAGGAGTAGCGGTGCAGAGACATGGCATGGTCTGGCCCAATGCCGTCTCATGGGCAGGCCGTTCTTGGAGGCCATATATACGTGCTTCTAACCCTTCCTCTCTTTTCATCCTTTCTCATCAGGCAGGCCTTGACTTCCATTCTTCACACCGCGTTACTTCTTCGTACATACAAATTTTCCTTTCATTTCCTTGCATCACGCCAACACTGGCAACCCCATCGACACCCAAAGCATCAAATACCATGTCCAGACAACACCCACGCAAGCAAATGCCTGCCTTCATGACGAAATTCTACCACATCAAGCAGACCCTCGGGCCACGACCAGACCGCACACTACGTGAGAGGACCCACCAAGAACGGGTAGAGCGCAGGGACAGATATCGTTCACATCGTCGCCGCATCGCCGGCCCTCAGCCGCCACCGCCTCCACCTGGCCCCGGGCCCGCAAAACGACTTGCCCCGGTGGCATCAATACCAACCCCAGCATACCCACCTGCACCTCCCACTGCTCCGTCCAACTACCACAGCCCGACAGCCGAAAGCGTCACCGACTCCAACTCCGGCTCCGCCTACAAACACCACAGAATCCCCTCCCCTTTTCCAGCCCCCTCGCCTTCACCAGAACCCAAATACCGCGTCTCACCTCTCGAAACCACCTTCAGCCACCTCACCACCAACAGCAGCGAGCTACCGCTCTCTCAAGCAACCTGCACGTCCACCCACTCCACTGCAGACAGCAAACCAAGGCGCTCGCGCACTTTCCGCAGTCTCACCGGTCCGACGAGGAGGTTGAGCAGTTTTGTGGCGAAGATTGCGAGGAGGAGGAGCGCGGAGAGTGCGGGGGAGGGGAAGGGGAGTAGTGTTGAGGAGTTTTTGGGGAGTGGGGCGGGGGTGAGGAGGGATAGTGTGGTTGGTCCTGTAGTGTGAAGGCGGAGAGGCTAGTGCGGGGTGTGATGGGAAGGCGAGGGCTTGATGGGAGGGTTGGGTTGAGCGTTGATGGTAAGGTTGGATTGAGCGTTGATAGGGGGGCTGATGGGCTATGTTTTAATCTTGATATCAGATAGTAATGCGTAATAGGAGCTGGTCTCTGAACAAAGTTCCCATGTCAACAGTAGTTTGTGTGACGATCGAGGATATTACGACTTGGTCAACATTACTATCTCATCTGCTAGGTGTTCTACCGGGTATCAATGCAAGCCCCAAACGCCAGTGATGCCGCTCGCTCGCTCGGTGACTATCCAAATGAAAACAAAACTCTCACCAAATAATCTCTTCCATCAAGCACCTGGAATGCCAGCTCATGCAGATGAAGCGCTTCCCCTTCCCTTGCCGGACTTTGTCAACACCTGCGCCGTACTGACCCTCTCCTCGTACAACCGCCTCAAATCTTCAACGCTCTGTTTCTTCAGATCGAGTCTGTTAGGCCGCAGTCCCCCTCCTGCGCCCGCCTGGGGCTCACTGCCCGATGCCTGCGCAGCTCCAGTCGTAGTAGGCTCCATCGAGCTCATTCGCTTTAGTAAACCCGGGCTCGGCGCTCTGACTCTCGGCCCAGTTGTCGCCAGGTTTCCGTTCGAGTTCGAGGCCAACGGGAACGTTTGGCTTTGGCGTGGCGGCAGGACGGGTTTAGCCAGTGATTGTGGCTGTATGGGTCGAGCCGAGGCGGGCCAGTTGGGCTTGCGGAAGAGATTGTCGTCTTCACTGGTGGCGACGCTTTCAGGAGACTGAACCACATTGAGGGGCTCAGTGTCCGGGATTTGAAGGATGGGTGTGCTGGTGGGTCTTTCCGCGAACGCTGCAGCGGCTTGTTGGGCCAAGTTAGCTGCAGCCCTCTGAGCAGCTTCTTGGGCAATTGACGAGGCATTTGACGGACGTCTTGATGTTGGCGCGCTGTCTGCTGGTGTTCCTGCTTCAGTCGGAGGTTTCGATCCGCTTGAGAGGGCCTTTCGTTTAGGAACTTCGATGGCTGGAGGTGGGTCAGATGGCTGAGGCGCGAAGCCCTTTTTCTCAGGCTCGTCGAAGCTCCAGGCGCCATGTCGGGGTGGGCCGAAACCATTAGCTGGGACGTACGTGGCAGGCGACTCAGCCATATGCATGCTGGTGCCGTCGTTGTCAAAGATGGTGGAATATCTTGGTGGCGGCTCAGCAGTAGAAGGCGCCGGCTTGCGCTTCGGCACGGGCGGAGGGGCATCGGAGCTGGTCGCGATGGGTGAGACGTTCTGCGAAGTCACTGGTCGCGATGGTAAGACTGGGACACCTTGTGCTTCTTCAACCTTCTGCCGCCGAGGAGGTAATACAGGTGCTCTCTCAAGCTCTGGAGCATCCTCTGCGTCTTCTAGAATGATGCGGTGACCTTCCCCGCTCTCTGGAAACCCGTCTTCCTTCACTTGCTTCGACCGTGGCGGGAACTCCTCCTCGAGCGGGTCCTCGTAATCACGGGAGTCTGCTGGCGGCTGCAGTTCCTCATAAAAGTGCTCACTAGACATATCCATCCCGGTCCGCAGCTCTGGCCACATCTCGATGGCAGCTTGTAGTACCCGCTTCAAGATAGATGCAACCTTGGCATCTTCGAGCTGGTTCGAGCCACACACCAGACACATGGAGAAGCAGATGCCCAGGTTCTCGGGGTTCATCTTGTTCTCAGGTTCATATGCAGCAACCTCTGACAACATCGGAAGCAGGTGTCTGGTCAATATTTGCCGGCCTGACCAACTCAGAGGCGAGCTGTCTGATGCCGGAAGAATGAGATCGACGAGATCTTCTGGCTGAACCTGCACGTCCGGGTCGCTATACTTCGCCTTCAGACTCTCGTAACTCGACTCAGGAAAGACGGGATCCCGAAGATCCCGGTACCATTGCTTAATGATTGACGCGGCAAGGTGAGCACCATAAGCGTCTTCAAGTCGGACCTCATCAAGCAACGTCTGGTCGATGCCGGGCTGAACGACCGTCGCGCCTCTCTCCTTCCAGACAATGAAATTCTGACCACGATCGTACGCCTCCTTCAGTGCGCTCGAGAGGGTGGCGTTGGGTGGTATGCGGAAGATGCCTTCGGTCTTGATGCATGCGGGTTGGAGCAGAAAGCTAGTTGCTTCTCGTAGGACTCGCGGTAATCGAGTTTCGCCTGTGTCGATATTCTTAGGGAATGGATGCTTGACTCCAAACGCTCGCTTGCCGGTAGCAAAAGGAGCATAGATGTCTGGAGACAGTTTGCGGTCGTGCAGGTAGACCGCTGGCGGTATCAGGAGCCTCTCGATAGGGATATGCAGAGCGAGTTGTGAGAGAGTGGTGACATGGATGATCTTCCGGCGGAATTTAGGTGATACGATCGTGCCAAAGACTCCAACAAGCACCCGTACCCACGTTCTCGGATGCACGATATACAGCCGTTGAAGCCGCTTTCTTGTCGCCCGGCTCAGCACGTGGTACGCTTGCAGATACCACCCCATCCCCGGTCCCTGCTTCTTCTCCGATGTAGCATTGTCCGGCTGACCCCCGGCGAAGAAGATGATTTCATATTCCGTGCCCGAGATCAGCTCGTCCTCTCCCGGCAGTCTTGCTAGGACATAAGATAGCAAGCTATCGTAGTCGACCTCGAAGGCGTCCGGGAATGCTGCAGCGTTGAGGACGTAGATTGGCCGTCCTTCCTTTGTAGGAAGCGGAGAGCGGTATAGGATCGAGGCTGCTACTGCGGCCAGCTCGGGAGAGTAGTCGTCGGAGTTGGCAGATGGAGGGACGGTCGAGAGGGAAGTGCTTCGTTGTCTGCCTGGCTTTCGTCGTTGAGCCGCGACAGCAGCATGGGCTATGGCCGACCGCATGTTGGGGAACTTGTGGTGCTTCTATGGGTACTGCATTATCGTGGGGCCGTCTCTGCCCTTATATCGAATCGATATCGATGCCCATGGGCATGCGGCTGAGCAAGGCAGCCGGGCCAAATGTTGGCGGTGCTATGAATAGCCTTGGCATGAAGCTATCCCAGCATTGCACGGGGAAAGGATGTACGTAGACCGCACAGGATATACGTCGTCCCCGAGAACCTTGATATGTGTGCTGCGGCGGGCGTACGTCAACACGAAACCTGACTTTCGCCCAAACATTCCCACATGCAGCAGATCGACAGCGCTAGAGTGGCGGGCCGAATCAGCTGCCGAAGCATGCCGAGATCGGCGGCGCGATAAGAAATTCGGTGGTCAGAATGTGGACTCAGCGGCGATTGACTCACGAGACAACAACGTGAGATTGATACAGCGAAACACTGTCTTCTCTCATCTCCCACCTCCTTCGACACCCTCCCGCGACACCCCTTCGCCACCGCCATCATGTGCGGCATCTTCGCCTGCCATTGGTACGCTCTCCACTCCTCAATGGCTCGCACAAAACCCCCACTAACACCGCCAACAGCCACCCAGATGTCTCCAAGTTCAAGTCCACCGCGATCCGCATGGGCAAGCAAGTCCGCCACCGCGGTCCCGACTGGAGTGGCAACCATACAGCCAACAACACCATCCTCGTGCACGAGCGCCTCTCCATCGTCGGCGTCGACACTGGCGCCCAGCCTATGCTCAACGAAGATGCCTCTATCGCCCTAGCCGTCAATGGCGAGATCTACAACCACAAGATCCTGCGCAAACGCCTGCGCAACCCCTACCCCTTCAAGACGCACAGCGATTGCGAGGTCATCATTCCGCTGTACCAGGAATATGGAATCGATGCGCCCAAGTACTTGGATGGGATGTTCAGCTGGGTGCTGCATGACAAGAAGATGGACAGACTGATCGCTGCGCGGGATCCGATTGGAATTACAACTTTCTACATGGGACGATCGAGCACGACGCCTGACTCGGTGTACTTTGCGAGCGAGCTGAAGTGCTTGCATCCTGTGTGCGACGAGATCATAAGCTTCCCGCCTGGTCATATTTACGACAGCAAGACGGACTCTTTGACAAGATATTTCACCCCGAAGTGGTTGATGGAGCCGTCGTTGGTGCCGACGATACCGCTGGACTTGACACTGCTGCGGGAATCGTTTGAGAGGTCGGTGAGGAAACGACTGATGGCAGAGGTCCCGTATGGTGTATTATTGTCTGGCGGGTTGGACAGCTCGCTGGTGGCATCGATCGCGCAACGAGAGACACTGCGGTTACAGAAGGAGTACGCGCGACAACAAGCCTTCCTCAACTCCGGCGCCAACACCCCACAAGTCAATGGTAACACCAACGGTCAAATGCCCGTCACAGACTCCAACGGCAACCCCGTAGAAGACGACCTCGCCGGCATTGACGAAGACTACCACCTCTCCTCCGTCCCCGTCCTTTCCCAACTCAACAGCTTCTCCATTGGCTTACCCGGCTCACCCGACGGCAAAGCAGCAGCTGAAGTCGCACGCTTCCTCGGCACCAAACACCACGCACTCACCTTCACCATTCAGGAAGGTCTCGATGCCCTCTTCGATGTCATCTACCACCTGGAAACCTTCGACGTCACCACGATCCGAGCCTCCACACCCATGTACCTCCTCTCCCGCAAAATCAAAGCCATGGGCGTGAAGATGGTCCTCTCCGGCGAGGGCAGCGACGAAGTCTTTGGCGGCTACCTTTACTTCCACGCCGCACCGGACAAGAAGGCCTTCCACGAAGAGACTGTCCGCCGTGTCAAGAACCTCCATCTCGCCGACTGCCTGCGCGCCAACAAATCCACCTCAGCCTGGGGCGTCGAAGCCCGCGTGCCCTTCCTCGACAAAGAGTTCCTCGAAGTCGCCATGAACATCGACCCGTCAGAGAAGATGATCACCAAAGACCGAATAGAGAAATACATCCTCCGCAAAGCCTTCGACACCACCGACGAACCCGGCGCGAAACCTTACCTCCCCTCCAACATCCTCTGGCGCCAGAAAGAGCAGTTCTCGGACGGCGTCGGGTATGGATGGATCGACGGGTTGAAGGACGAGGCGGCGAAGAATGTCAGTGATGAGCAGATGAAGGAGGAGAACATGAAGCGGGACAAGCCCCAGTGGGGCGACGATTTGCCGGATAGCAAGGAGGCGTACTGGTATCGGTGCATGTTCGACGAGCATTTCCCGCCTTACTGCGCGAGCACGGTCATGCGTTGGACGCCGACGTGGAGCAAGCAGAGTGATCCTAGCGGGAGGGCGATTGCGACGCACGAGCAGGCTTATAAGGAGAAGGCTTAGGCGTGGGAATGATAGTGTTTGGCGTTGATGTCTCCGGGTGAAATGGGGAAATGGCTTTCGTGGCTGGATGGGAATGTACAGCATACAGGTAGTCGCGACTAGGAGTTCGATCTCAGTCTTACAGCCATACAGCACACTTAAGTTGGTAGGGAGAACTGTTCATGCAGTGTATACAGGTAAAGTGAATGCCGCCGTGCCGCGTACGCCACAACGCCGTCCGGTCTTTCGTCGCAACCCTCATCTCTCCACACCCTTTGTGATCCAGCTTACTTCCTGTACCACATCCTCGTAATCTTGGTATGCCTCATCTTCTTCTGCAACTGGAAAATCCCATACATCAACGCCTCGCTCGTCGGCGGGCACCCCGGCACATAAATGTCGACCGGCACAATCCGATCACAGCCCCTCGTCACACTGTACGAGTAGTGATAGTAACCCCCTCCGTTCGCGCAGCTGCCCATGCTGATCACCCATCGCGGGTCAGGCATCTGGTCGTAGACTTGTCGCAGCGCGGGCGCCATTTTGTTTGTCAAGGTGCCGGCTACGATCATGACGTCGGATTGGCGCGGCGAGGCGCGGAAGATTATGCCTAGACGGTCTTGGTCGTAGCGCGGCGTGGAGAGGTGCATCATTTCGATGGCGCAGCAGGCGAGGCCGAAGGTCATGGGCCAGAGGGAGCCTTGGCGGGCCCAGTTGGCTATGCTGTCGAGGGTTGTGCTGTAAATCTGTGTCAGACTGTGTTCTGTCATTTCGAGTGCTCGTGGTGGTGTGCATACAGTGCGTATTGTACCACACCCTTTGAGCCCTCCTGACTCGGCAATGGCACTTCCCCGGTTGTGACGTTCTTCATCGCGGGCGGTGGTGGGGGGTTGCCCTTGACGAGGCCGGGCTTCGCGACTGTGGGCTCCGCCGGCTTCGAAGAGGTGGAGGATATGAAGGCGGCATTGGCGACTCTGAAGGGTTGGATGGCGGTCATTGGTTTGGCTGTGTCTCGCTGTTAGTCCTTCGCCCTCGCTGAGGGGGGGGTTACTTCGGAGAGTGGCGTACCGCGCAGCGCCATCGCCGTCGCCTGTCGTGTTGTCGCGAACATGACTGCGAAGTCCAATGTAGGTAGGAGAAAGGAAAGGAGTAGAGAGTGTAGAAGTCGTCTGTTTAGGTGCGGTGGCAATGTCTCGAGGTCGATGATGTTCTTTGATTTGGCTGGATGCTGATTGGCTCGGCGGATCGTGCCTGCTCCGACTTCACGTGCTCCAGATATCAATGTCCAAAGTCAATTCAAGAGTTGCTCAGGAAGTTCAGAAAGAAGGCTCTCTCGGTCTGGGAAGAGGCTGTTGCGTTACAAGCAGGGCGACATGGACAGCAGAAGCCCATCCATCGCCTGCTTAGGCTTCATCGGCCGCCACAACAACCCTCTCCATATCTCACTTTTCCCAGCAACAGGCACTGGCTATGAAGCCGAGAGAAACAAGCTCGAATACTCTTTCATGCTCAACTCATGCCTGGACATCTTCGAGGGACGCATGCCGACGAAGGGGCTCACTCAGGATTTCGGACTACTTCATGCACTCGACGAGCGAATTGCCATGTACGGATGGGTCACCAACACCGGCGTCAAGATCGTGATCGTCGTCGACATGGAGGGCGTACCTGCTGAGGGAGCGAAGGTGACGGCGGGTTTGGGATTGAGGAACTCTGATCTTACGCCTGTAGGTTGAAACGGCCTCTTATCTTCGAAGGATGCTAATCATGCTTCAGGCGTTTCATGCACTGCAGACTGCGTACATCCGTTTGCTACGAAACCCATTCTACGTACCGGACCATCATAACCCGAAGCTCAGCAAAGGCACAGGTTCATTGCAGATCACGAGTCCGCGGTTCATCAAGGAAATTGAACGTGTTGGCAAGACCTGGTACCCTGGCATCGGCACGATGTGATGATCTCGCCACAAAGAAGTCGAACACCCTCAAGTAGATGCGGCGGAAGAGCTATGGCGTCTAGCGTCCGCGGCAGTTCTACCAGCAGCGGGAAAGGAGTTCATGAGTACATTATCTCACACTGGTGCTGGTTGATGTAAATGCTAACGTGGGTATAGACGTATCTCAAGACACCGGCTATCCTTCCAAAACCCAGGACCACTCCAACGCTCCTATCTTCGCTGCCTAATCACGCCCCTCGAAAGGAGCCCTTGTCTCCACCATCAAGCATCCATGTCTCCCAGTTGCCTTCTAACCCCGTCCGAGCAGTTGTTGACCACCGGAGCCTCCAGGAACGCCGCAACGACCGCGTCGACCAGATGCCTCTGGTAGATGTGAATCCCCTGCGGCACCTCTTTTTGAGCATCCATGCGCGCCCACTGCCTGTAAAGTTCGCTATTCTGGCCAGACTGAGTTGAACTGGTGTCTGATGCGGAAGGCCGGGACCGTGCAGTCGTCGTACTCCCACAGGGTGCTGATCATCTGTTCGCGCAGTTTCGCTGCCAGAGGATGACATGAGACCTTCAATTTGTCGTCGTCGTGCCCGGCTCCGGCAACAAGGGAATCTGTTCGCGGCTTCTGGGTGACAGGATAACTGAACTCCACGAACAGCGTGTCGAAGACGCGAATCAGTTGTGACACCAGGACCTCTGCGTCGACGGTGCGCCAGCCGCGGAGAGTGTTTCTCGATGGGCATCTGGCTTGTTCCCGATACACGCCGTACTCCGCTTTTGGAGCATCCATCCCACCAGCAAGGAAGAGTTCAGCGCGAGCATCGATGAAGTCTTGCCACATATCGTGCAGCTTCCCCCTCATCGCCTCGTTTCCGTTCTCGCTGTATCGGAGTTGGAGGAGCTGCAAATTCCAGATACGCAGAAGATTGACGCGGTCGTCGGTTCCTGGTTCTTCTACGAAGAGGATCACCTTGCACTCCGGGCAGGTGTTCTGAGTCTCGAGGTATTCTTTGGCGCAATCTTCGCCGACGACGTGCTCGCCGTGGAGGATGATGGCGGTTTCGATGAGGTTGTTGGGGGCCTGGCGCACCATCGGGCGACCACAGGGGCCAGGGCAGGTGCTCTTGGAGTCCAGACTGCTTGGGCGGCGGATGCGGTCGATGTTGTCGAAGAAGTCGGAGCGGGTGATGGTGAGGCCTTCGAAGGTGGCCATGGTGGAGGTTGGGATGATTGGTTGGGAGCGGTATAGCAAGGAAGAGGTGGTTGGTCTTGAGTCGGCCTTTGGAAGTCTTTGGGGACCGATGCGTGGTATTCATATTTGCAACGAGGCGCATGGTCTGTCTTATACAAATCATGACCACAGGCAAGAACTGTATTGGTGAAGCATTCTCTCATTTGGGTGGTCGTCGATTGGACGAGTGGTAAACCAGATGCCAAGGCGAGCAATAGAGTTCAGAACCTTAAGAGAAGTGAACCGTCCCAAATACCATACTCCGCCGCTCAAAGCACGAAAAAGACAGCCAACAGTCACTTAGGCGGATCAGGCGCAACCTCCCTTCCCTTCTCGAACGCTCTTCGGTACACCGAACTCACGCCTTCCTCCATCCGCGTTCGCACGTCACTCCAGTCGACGTGCTGTAGCTTCCGTACGTTGCTTTCCAACTCTGCGTTCCATCTGTCCTTCGCCCGCTCTAGCACGCCCGCTTGTATCTCGCGATTTGTGGGTGGTGGTGAAGGCGGCAACGGCTCGACGACGTTCGTTAGGATGAGGCTTTGTTGGTGCAGGAGCGCGGATTGGTAGACTCGGTTTCGCGTGTGTAGGTCGAGCGACAGGTATAGTAGGGTTGTTGTTAGGGTGAAGCCTCCGAGCTGTAAAAGCGTTAGTATTGAGCTCTTCTCTACTGGATGTGGTATGGGACGGGACGTACGAGGCCTGTTGTGAAGCCCATGGCGTGGTGGTGGGTGTTGACTGAGGATTCACAGGGGCAGATGCAAGAATCTCTAGGCCAGAGGAGCAAGCAGAGCGTCCTTTCAAAGGTTCCTCAACTTTAGGTACACACAAAGCAAATAGTAAGACCAATGGGTAAGAGAGCTCAGCCTGTTTGTCGCCTCCCAAAGCGGCAAGTCCGCAGAGACCTCCGCTTTGGCTCAATCGTGCTCGAGCAGCAGTCTCGCAGCGACGTACATCGAATCAGTCCAACCTTTCGACAAACGCCTTTGCCATTCGATTTGATCATTCTTGAGCTATGGCAGGTGGTCTGGTCAAGCATCGGGCGCTGCAGCGCAAGTCATCCCACCGACGTGCACTGCTCCGAAATCTGGTCGGCTCCTTAATCGAGCACGAGAGCATCTCAACAACATGGCCCAAGGCGAAAGAGGCGCAGAAGCTCGCGGAGAAGATGATTACACACGGCAAGAAGGCAACAGAGGCTAGTCGGAGAGAGACGCTGAAGTTCTTTTTCGTGTGTATACACATCGACCTGCGCAGAGACGGTGCTAACATTTGTTCTAGAAACCTCAGGAGATGTGGGCAAAGCTCAGTGGACCACTACGACAGAGGTACATGGACAGGCCTGGCGGCTACACACGCGTACTGCGGATAGAACCTATGAAGGAGGATCAAGCACCCTCGGCTATCCTGGAGCTCGTCGATGGACCAAAGGACATGCGGTTCGCTCTGACGGCAAAGACGATTGCGAACTTGCGCGAGAGAGGCCACGAGATCAACGACATGACTGCTGCAAACATTCAGAAGGTGACGAGGTTTCGGCCCGATGCAGAGAACGATCTCGAGAGGATGATAGCCCAGTTCGAGCGGCTGGCGGATGAAGGCGACGAAGGCGTCACGGAGATCGAGAAGAAGAAGGTGTACCCCATGCAGCAGAAGAGTCGATGATAAGATGGGATGCGATAGGGGGGGTGGAATCCACGGCTGGATTTTCGCTATACATCTTCTTGCGCCGAGTACTGGGTACCCGTTGGCCTTCTGTATACCATTGGCAGATGATCGCGAGAGACGCAGCGTGGCGAAGAAGAGTAATGGGCACATCGGGGTGATGGTTGAACATTGGTCCACAGTGCCCTGCCGGGTACGGTGCTAAAATGCTAAAATACCATGCGGCGCAAACCCCTCAGTGAGCACGTCTAGGAGACGAAAAGGCAGCCTACCAGGGCCACATGGGAATGCTGAGCACCCACCACAAGGCCTCCCAGCGTTTCGCTGCATCCGCATTCGAGGCGTGCTCCTTACTCCTACCCGTGCGCCTGAGATCGACCACGATGGTTCGCTGTGTACCTGGATCAACCTTGGGCATTCGGAGACGAGCATGGACCTGTGGCACGCATCCAATCGTGGTGGTGCAACGGTCCAATCTCATCAGCCAAAAGAGATCTCGCCCACTACATGCGGAGGCCATGCCGCCCCTGACTGTGTCGATGTTGTCGGCAGGTGTGGCATGAAGAAAGTTGGTTACCCCGAGTGCTTACGGTCAGGTTGGAGACCGACTGGCTCAACCTGGCTCAAAGTTATATTAGTGACAGCTGTATCATGACCCGTCCACTTAGTTGTACGACATTTTTCATATTCCAGCCTCTGGTACGTCGTACATCAGAAAGTTCTGTACTCGCAAGGATCACGGGGGAAGCAGATGCAGCTTCGTCAAACGATCCGTAGTTAAGAGCAGTCGTAGTTTGCGTGATTTCAAAGCCGGTATCTTCTCCTAAAGCGAAGCGCTGCAGCGATTATACAATACTGTTATGGTTCGATGGAGTGTCGTTGTGTAATTGGTCTCCAGTATCCGAAAACAAAAGTGTTTTTTGCTAAAACAACCACTGCATAATACAGCTCGCCAATTGCATATATTCAAACCACATCTTACTCGAGCGTATGCGTCGTCCGCCTCCTCTCGTCCTGCTCCGCCCCTTCCGCCTCGTCCGCCTCTACAGACTTCTCACTGTGCGACTCTGGCATCGACTCTGCCCGCGTGCCTCTCATGGCTGCCAGATCCTCATCATCCAAACTCGGCCGCCGGAAAAAGCTTCGCGGGTTGCGTATCATCTGCCACCAACCCGTGAACATCGAAGATCGTACCATGAGTAGGAAACACATGATGCCGATGAACTGCTTGAAGTCAGCAACGGAGCTCAAAAGGCCAGATGCCACTGGGAAAAGTACTCACCGAAGCAAGTATCAACGTCGCCGTAGTCCTCGCCTCACCAACCCCAAACCCACTCGCGCCATGCAAGCACTGATTCTTATCCCCTCCATTGGCCATCAAACACACAATCCACCTGAAGTTCGGGCTGTCCGGAGGAAGGGGTGGAGCGGCCTTTAGATACTGCAGCGTGCTTTTCCCAGTCTGCTCGACGAAGAACATGCCAAAGTACACCGTCAGGTTCATGATGAGAAAGGCCATCAGCATGCTTCGCCACTGCAGCCGCAAGATGCCGCGGAGCCTTTGCCAAGCGACGTACTTCTGCTTCTTCGGTGTCAAATGCTTCGTTGATCCTCGGGTAGTGGGGACATCGTGGTCCTCTTGCCCGGCGTCTGAGGACGAGACACTCTCCGTCGCGCTATTACGGGTGCTGGTGTCCGGCTTGCCAGCGGTGAGGAAACGTGCGAATTTCCAAATACAGTAACCGATCGTGCCAACCATCGTCACGTAGCTGGCGACGGTGAAGACGAGAACCCAGACGAACCAAGTCTGCAAAGCGGTGGGGTTGCTGGGGACGCAGACGTTGCCGAGACTGTAGGAGACGGAGGTGATGGGCATGGAGATGGCCATGAAGAGGATGGGCAGGCCGACGCCGAGGCCGATGGAGATGTTTTTGAAGACGTTGACGTGTTTGAGGTTGACTGTTATGCGGAGGGCCGTCCAGATGGCGCGGAGGAGGACTACCAGTATCAGTCAGTAGACGCAGGAGAAGAGCTGAAGGATGACTTACTCCAGACTACAGCCCCCATGGCTCCCAGCTCAACAAAGACTCCAGTCGCTGCACACGACGCTTGTGTCGTCTCATTATGAGGTGTGATAGCATCGTAGCAGAGATCCGGCTTCGTCCCAAGCGGTATGACGAACGCGATGGCGATGAGTATGAACGACGATGTGAGGCCGATGCTCAAGTAATGCCGATGGCTCTTCTCCCGCGGAAGGATGAGAAAGGTGAGGAGTAAGAAGACGTTGCAGACCAGCGAGATGATCGATATGTAGCTCGCTAGGTTGACTCGCGCTTGGAAGTGGTCCGAGAAGAGCCAGTAGGTCGTTGGGCAAGGTAGGCAGCACGAAATTGCTTCTTGACCCTGGCCGATGGTTGTGCAGAAGCGTGCGGCGATGTCTGTGTCGAAGGTTAGTATTTCGGCATCTTAGCAGATCTCCAGCTGGACCCTTACCACCTCCTGTGGGCGGGTAATTGACCTCTGGTAGGAACGGTACATTGCATGATGGCATGATCAAATTGTCAGCCATCGTTGGAAAATGCCTCAAGATGCGATGTGGTAGTTGAGGGCAGCTTGTGGCGCTGCCGTCTCGTATAACAATACTGTCAGTCGATGTAGTTGAAGGCGACAAAGACGGCTGGCCACTCGCTTGCGGTTCATCATTGGAATGCAAGTCGTCGCTGAGGCAGCGTGTTTTCGCCGGAATGTAGACTTCCAGTCGACAGGTACTTCATCGAGCACTTGGCAGACGGCTCGTTGGGTTTGAGTGGGAATAGAGAAACGTTGCGTTGCCATTAGCCATTACGTACCAACAGGTGCTGTTCAGCCAGTACACCGTCGCCTGTCCACAAAAACCAAAAGGGTATCAAGAGGTCTCTCGCACCGGTTTAAACGCCTTAGTTCGTTCGAGATCGACCGTTGCGCGTCACTTGCGCACCCAAACACTGCCTTGTCGAACATCTCAATCACGGGTCCTGCGCTGACTGTGGAGCATCCTTCGTCTTCTCTTCTTCCGCCGCCCTCTCCTCCTGTTCCTCCAGACTCGGACGGTGTTCACTCCTTCGCTCCGCATCCGCCCAGTCGCTGCTTCTCCGACTCAGCCCACCGGTTCCGCTCAACTGGCGGTTCTGATTCGGACTCAGCGGACTTCCGATACTGCCGGGGATACTATCGTTCCGATTATGGCCGATCGCTCCAGACCGAATGCTGCCGTCGTAGCCCTTGAGGCTACCAACATCACCGCCGAGACTCTTCGCATCAGCGTTCATGCTTTTGGCGTCGCCTGCTAAGCTGCGGCTGTCGATGGCATTGATGCTGCGAAGCGACTTCGCATCGCCAAGGTCCTTCTGGGGACGGTAGGAGTAGTAGCTATTCCTTTCACTTGCCAGAGCGCCGCCATGGTTGCTGTAGACGCTCGCACGCTCTGCAGAGGCGAGGCCACCAATGGATGGCCGTGAAGGAGCATAGTGGAAGCCACCTCCCGACGAGGGAGCGTCTCGATCCACATTTCCTGATAGTACACTTAATGGTAACGACTCGCGGCTGCCGCCCCACACTGAGCTAGGTGCAAGGGCGCGGACAGAGGCATCAGTGTCCATGCTGCGGCGCCTGCGTTTCGACGACGACGCCAAAGTGAGAATGCTGGCGTTGTCGGTCAAGAGGTTGTTGGCGGTCGCTGAATTATAGGTATTGGGCATTGTGTCGGCCACATGGCGCGGAATGGCTGATATAGCGTTCCCCGACGGCGCCGGTGACACCGGATACTGATGGCTGAACATCACCTGAGGTTGCTGATGAGACTGCTGCTGCTGCGGCGGCTGCTGAGCAGACGCGACTTGTAGGGTAGTCCCTGGAGAAGTAGACTGTATGGTTGTGAGTGTCGTCGAAAGCGAATGCTGGCTGTTCCTGGGCGAGCTGAAAGTGCTGTCCGCTCCAGCGCCATCCACGCTGCTCAAGGCACCACCACCAGTAGTTGTGGTAGCCGCCTTACTGTGGCCTGCATCACTGTGCACTGTCTCTGCGTTCGTAGCGAGTGTAGGCGCACCGCTTCGATTGCTTCGACCAAGTCCACCTCGATCATTATGAAGCGAGTCGAAGCTGTCGTTCTCGTCCTGCCGCCTTGAAGCTACCGAGAACGACTGGGCTCCATTTTCACTGCTTTCCATAGACTGTCCGCGCTGTTGTAGGTGGTGTCCTGACTGTGGATATGGATTGTTCTTGAGCGTGCCGTTATTGCCAAAGTGTCGCTTGTTCTTGGATCCATTGAAGCCATTCTTCTTGTTACCGCTCTTGTCGCTGGAGTCGTTGCCCTTGTTCTTCAGGTTTGTCAGGTTTTTGAACCACTGGGCGATGGGCTTCTTGCGAGGACGATCTATGCGCCACTTGTCAGTCTGAGTCCGTACGACCACGAATAGCCACATCTTGGTGCGCATTTGTGCTGCAATCAAGGACGACGTACCTTGCTGCGGTCTGGCCTCTACTTGTGCGGATGCCATTCTCTTGCTGTCCGGTCTTTTCTTTATTCGTTGCAGTAGCGCCGCAGTGCTGAAGGTGTTGTCGGAGGCACAGCAGGACGGGCGGTAATAGGGACTCCTGGCGAGCTGGTATGAAGAGCAGCCAGTGAGCGGTGGTCGGGATCTATTTCAAGCAAGCTAGGAGCCTCCTCGGCTTGTCCCTGCAGCTACTCCTGCCTGCTTAACGCCGCCGCTTTTCGTCTTGTTTCCGTCTTCGGATTATCCAGATGTATGGAGCTCGATATGAGTCGCCTGTATAATGAGTATCGAAGCAGTCCTTGAGTTGGCGAAATGATAGGAAGAAGGGTTCGGAAGATGATGCTGGCGCAAGTCGGACGAGGAGGGCGTGCCTGCCTAATTGGGTATACTCCGTGTCGATCTTCGTTCGGTACGAGACGAGCCACGTGGGACGGCATCGTCCGCATCCCGGCTGCCGACTACATGTCGCCAACATTGCCATATGACAAGTGAATGTCTTCCATTCAAGACTTACTCTACACGTATGAGAACCTGTACGAACGGCGAGTACTACTTTGATGACTACCATATCTGTCGACGAGAGTCAGCCAGCTCAAGACCCTCATGTTCGCTCAAGGACGGCCTCTAGATCGCCACCAAAGCAGATGGATGCCGCCGTGAACGTTGATTGTCGTGAAATCTACGACAAGCAGAAAAACGCCTGAACTGGACCTAGCTCTCTGATGGCTCGCATACTCCCCCTCCAGGCCGATGCCATTTCGCAGATCCACTCCTCCAAGCACATCACCAGCATTCAAGATGTAGTGCTGGCTCTGCTGGAGAACAGTCTCGATGCCGGATCCAATAAGGTGGGCATCACAGTTGACTTTCGACGTGGAGGCTGCAGTGTCGACGACAATGGATCAGGTATTGCTTCCGCAGAGTTCATGGCGGATGGTGGGCTGGGGAAGATGTACCATACGTCGAAGCATAGGTCGACCGTAGCTGAGCCGCTGCATGGGACCTCCGGAACCTACCTCGCCTCTCTCGCTGCGCTTTCACTACTGAGCATCAGCTCGTGCAAAAGCGAAGAGGAAGGCAATGCTACTCTAACGATGCATCAAGGCAAGATCATTGCACGGCAGGTCGCTCCAGTCGAAGAGACATCGTACTCGACGGCACAAGGCACACGAGTCATCGTCAAAGATCTTTTCGGCAACGTGCCTGTTCGAGTGAAGCATCGAGCTCTAACTATGGACGATTCATCTAAGGAGGACCGGACGTGGCATGAGCTCAAGCGAAGTGTTGTCGCACTACTTCTTGCATGGCATCGGCCTTGCTCTGTCAAAATGCGTGATGTAGAAGCGGAGCGTAAGACAGTGCAGCTTTCAGCACAGCATCCTGCAGTCAGCAACGCCTTGACCGAGCGAAGCCTGAACAATCTTGGTGCGTGGACGAAGTTCGATCTCAGAGACGCACTACCTGTTCTGGTACAAGCTGGGCTGGTGCCAGCGGAAGTACGAACTACTTGGATCCCAATCTCCGCCTCCTCGCCCAAAGTCTCCATCAAAGGCGCAATCAATCTGCAACCGGCACCGACGAAGCGATGCCAATTCATCAGTATCGGCATTCATCCATGTCGTTCTGATGTAGCTCAAGGTGACCTGTATGATATCGTAAACAAAGTATTCGTCAACAGCAGCTTCGGGTCCGTCGAGGATGCTGGCACACCGCTGGATGAGGTGGAAAAGGATCGTCGCAAGCGTGACCGCCGGTACAAGAACGACGAGTACACACAGAAGCAGCTCCATGGAAGGAAAGGTGTCGACAAATGGCCGATGCTCGTAATACAGGTGAACTTCAATGACAAGCAACAGCCTAGGATGAACGCGGAGAATGTGAACGATGGCAATGTCAAAGCCATCAGCGACATTCTGGAGGCTACAGTCACACAGTGGCTTGAAGCACATCACTTCCGGTCGCGTAAACGTGGGCGCCGGAAGAACCAAGACCAGACTGGTGCAGCGGCTCCATCAAGCTCGCCTCAGGTCTTTGATGCTCGATCAAAGTCTACATTTGATGAGAAGGCCAGCCTGTCAACACCAGGGCTGAAGCGAACGAGAACAACCGAAAGTGCATCCACATCAAAGAAGCGGAGGTACGTCGACATTGAAGGGAACACTCGCCGTTTGAACCAGGAGAGACCGGCCAGCGTACCGATGCCAACGACTGATTTCAACTCCTGGAGTCGTATCAAGAGCGGCAAGCGAAACTTTTACGACCAGTTGTGGGAAAAGAAACGACCTCCAGTTTCGCCGGGCAATACTGCTGGCCTCACGAAAACAACTTTCAAGCCAAGATTCAATCTTCCGCCTCTTGACGTTGGCGCTCTGAGCGAGCCACGCAAGCAAAGCAGAGACGCCAAACACAGCACTCCTCAATCCACCACGCGAAGGCCGCCACGGCCTGCTACTGAGCCTTGGAGCTCAAGTGATGACTATGGCAGTATCGATACTGAAGACCTCGCGGTTGCTGTGAAACTTGCAGAGCGTAATCTCGGTGCAGAAGGCATGGCCAACAAAAGTAGCGCTGCTCTCCATGGCTCCCATCAAGATGATCATGAAGCAAGAGCCGACGACAGCATAGAGTGGACAGACCCAGCCACGAAACAGGTGTTCAGAGTGAACGCACGTACAGGGGTAGTGCTACCCACACGTCCTGCGTCGCGGTCAAATGACACCCCACGACCACCTGTGCACCAGCCACCGACCCGCCGTAGCGCAGCGATTAACACCTTTCTTACGTCCGTGGGCCAGCCCTTGAGCCTTGCCAGACGTCCTCGGACAGCCACCGCCAATACTGAAACCTCCTGGCTTCCAGGCTTTCTGAAGGAATGGGACAACCCAGTATTCGCGCGTCAGAATGAAGAAGCCATACCCGTCGCTTCGATCGATGGGCCTGGGCTGGACGCAGCTGAGCTTGTCGACAAAAGATGCAACCACCATGACCACGCGAAGGCATTCTCAGAAGTGGGTGCGGGAGGAACAGCCCAGCTCACTAAGTCTGCGTTGAGAAACGCGAGGGCCGTCAGGCAGGTAGATCGAAAGTTCATCCTATGCCGGACGTCGGCTGGGAAGCCAGGCTCCGAGAACGATCTGCTGGTACTTGTTGACCAACATGCGGCTTCGGAGCGGGTCATATTGGAAAGGCTGCTGGCCGACATATGCTCTTCAGATAGGACCACCGCTTTGCTGGACAAGCCCATCAGGTTCGAGGTCTCCGCCGCAGAGCATCAGCTTCTCGCTCAACAGACCAAACGATTTGCCGACTGGGGCATCAGCTATGATCTAGTGCGGCGGCAAAACGAGATGACCGCCTCCCAAGTGCGACCACCAAAAGAAGAACACCTCCTCACCGTCAAATCCCTCCCACCAGCCATCGCCGAACGCTGCGCCCAGTTCCCAAACCTCATCGTCGACCTCCTCCGCACCGAGATCTGGTCTCCCACCACGTCCATGACCAAGCCCTCTGCGCCTCAAGCCGAGAGCGAAGGAGAAGAACGCCCCTGGCTCCACCGCATCGGCTCCTGCCCGAAACCGCTCATCGATATGCTCAACTCCCGCGCCTGTCGCTCGGCTATTATGTTCAATGACGAGCTCTCTGTCGCAGAGTGCGAGCAGCTGTTGGCGGATTTGAGCAAGTGTGCTTTTCCGTTTATGTGTGCGCATGGGAGGGTTAGTATGGTGCCGCTGGTAAAGGTTGGGGGGATTGCGGATGGGAGAGGGTTGTTTGCGCAAGGTGAGGAGGAGAGAGGGTTTGGAGGGGCGTTCAAGAAATGGCGCAAAGATAGCGGAGAGCAGGACTAGGTAGACCATCTCACAAACGACCGTTCTCACTCCATGCCTACTCTGCTCCAAGTACGTCGAACCTCTTGTGGAGCGTTCGACGTGAGCAAGCCCTGCAGGGCTTCGATTGGAGGAGCGGTCATGCAGTCTAGCTCATGTTGCGTGTATTTCGCATATGACATTGCAGCGGACGCAGCCTGCTGCTCGATTGGACGGCGAGACGATGGATCTAGTACCTGTTGCATATGACCTTGCATATGACCTTGCATGATCCCTCAATTGGAGAGACAAACATTGACGAGACAGGAAGCGGTCGTAATGGTCTTGCATTTCACGCCTGTGCTTTGTAGTGGGCCCCACAGCGGGCGTCATGTAGCGACACCGTATCTACATTATCTCATGCTGTCCATATGATCATCGTGGCCAGTCGTCAATGCCTCAACAGCAGCAACGACACTTCCGCCCCCTCAGCGGTTAGCAGCCCCCTCACGCTCCTGCTCCACTTGCTCATTAAGCCACGTCTCCGTCTTATTGAACACCTTGTAATGCAGCTGCCACTCCTCCGTCTCCATCTCCTCTTTGACCGCCGACACCTGCAGCAGCCAGTTCTGGAACTCGTACGCCCGGTGCACCGGCGCTCCGTCGGATCGGTCGACTGATAAGGTGGTTCTTATGGCCTCGAGTAACACGTCGTCTACCTCACGCATACCGAGTCCCAGCGTGGTCTGCTCTTTGTCCGAGAGCACCACCGAACCGCCAGGTCGCAGTTCGGTGGCGCTGATGACGCGCCAGGTGAAGTCGAGCAGTAGCTTCGCTACTCGTGAGGCACACGAGGACTGGGATGCGAACTTCAGACCGCTGCGGGCGACGTAGGCGGGCACGCCCTTCCGCTGAGAAGTGCTGCCCTCGGGCTGCTCGAGTTTGAACATGGAGTCGACGGTCCTCATCGACTTAGCGGAGTACATCAGTGCAGTGCGCAGGCGGACAGCAGCTTTTCTCAGAGCCTCCGAGGCGGCGCAGAAGAGCTGTTTGTTCGAGTTTTCGAGGGGTTGGCCGCCCAGGGCGCGCATCCGTTCGCAGTCGTCATATGCGAGTCTGATTTCAGCGTCGAACTTTTTGCGAACCGAACTCTTCAGGAGAGCAATGTCGTACAAGCCTCCGTCTTTCGCCATTTTCCATGGTGGCTGCGCAGTCCCCGCCATCACATCGTCGTAGTTCGGTGGCAGACCGTGGTACTTGTCGCGTCGTGCCGCCTCTTCGTTGTCGAGAGCGCGAAGGGAGTCCAAATCAGCCTCGAGAGTGGCGTTCAGATCAATGTAGCTGTCAGCTTCAGATTTGTATCGCTCCTTCTCTTTCGTCAGACGGGTGCACTTCGCCTCCAGCTGCACGACCTTCGCTGAAGACGTGCTCAGGGCCACCTTGGACTGCTCAGCGTCCCATTCACTCTGCTTGGACGCAGTCTCCTTCGCAGCCAGCAGACCCTGCGTCTTCATGTGACGCTTGAAGAACGTCTCCTGCCGCTGGTTGCACTTGTCTTTGTATATCAAGAAGTCCAGCACCATATCTTGCTTCTCTTGCTGGAATTGCGCCACAAGCTTTTCCCTGTCGCTCTCATGCCTCTCTTCGTCGCGGCGTCTATTGTCGTGCAAGGCATGGATGATATGGTCCTTTTCGCGACACCTTCGTTGTAGACCGTGCAGCTGCGCGTTGATATCCGTCACCGTTGCCCCTTTCTTCGCCGTGATGCGCGTGTTGAGCCCTTGAACAGCCTCTGCATCGATTGGAGAGACAGGATCCGCATTTTTGGTGTTGTAGTTTGAGCTCGTTGCCGGCGCCTTGCTGGAGGGGTAGCCAGCGATCTGCGGGACTGAGGTGAACTTGTTCGTGGTAGGCCGGCTCTCATTCTTTCCAGGAGGCGGTGACACTGCTCGCGCTTTTGCTGACGGATGTGGATGTTCCTGTTTGGAGCGCTTCGGCGGTGATTGCGAACGGCTCGACACAAGGTCGAATGTGCGCACTGGTCTCTTCGCTGGTGGATGAGTGATGTTGTCAGGTGAATCCGCGGCCATGGTGTCTTCTCTGCTTCTTTTTCTGGTGGCGAGATGATTGAGGCTGGAGGGACCTCTGATATGGATCTTGTGCGTCGTAACCCGGAGCTCTGGGTCAGTCTGCCTGGGGCCCCGCGAAGCGGCTGGGGGCGGAGCACTCATATTCGAAGGTGGTACGAGTGGTGGGTGTGCCGTGCACTCGATCACTAAGGCTCGTCAGTGAGAAGAACGAGCTCCATATACGAAGACACGGTCGCGAGGCAGGCAGGCATGCAGCCTTGGAGGCAGTGGTGTTGAGTGTGAAGTCAGGAACCTCAGAGCTCCCCAAACGCGGTCCGCGTCTGACGCGATGGCCTCGGAAATTGATGGCTTGGACCAAGTGAACAACATCCCTCTCCGTGAATGCCATACAACGTTCAAAAGAAAACAACTTAGGAAGACAGTTCTCCAAGTGAATTACCAGCTTAGCAGAAAAGACGCGTTCAAGTACTAGCAATGTCCACAGATACCCGGCAAGAGGAGCTGATCACCACCATCACGCCTCGTCAATTTGACAGTCTCCTGAGCGCATATCACAAAACGGTTCCCGAGAAGCTTGTCGAACTCGACGAGAAACGCTATGTGGACATACCTTCCCGGATAAACGAACGGGCTCCTCTCTCAGAGAGGACGTCGCTGTACCTAGAAGAAGTCGTCACCCTCGTCGACTGGAAGCTGGCCCATGGGAAATTCCGTCCCAAGCTTCGACAACTCGTGCAGCAGAACGACGAGGAACTGGTCTTGGACATCACAAGGCATGCCTTCATGGCCTACGCCGTCGTGCCGAAGGGGGAGATCAGCACCAAGGGCACGGCTGCTGTCAAAGCTGCTCTCGGCTGGTTGACGAAGTTGAGAGGTATCGGTCCTGCTACTGCATCGCTCATCCTCTCTGCGGGAGACCCGGAAGATGCGCCTTTCTTCTCCGATGAGCTGTTTCGATGGTGCATGTGTGAGGATGCGGCGGAGACTCGAAAGCGGCGAGACATCAAGTATAATGTCAAGGAGTACCTCGAACTGTTCGATAGGGTGCAAGTCCTCAGACATCGCTTTAGGACTGACTTCGATCGGAAAGTCACCGCTGTTGAAGTCGAGAAGGTTGCGTATGTTCTCATGAGACGATGGGATGGTGGCGAAGCCTCGATGGACCAACGTGAAAACGACGCCGGCAAGAAACGAAAGGTTAACTCTGCGGCCGATGGCAGAGAGGAGGGCTTGAAGAAGACGAAAATGCAGGCTGAAAGAGCGAAAGCAAATTCTAAAACTAATACACGAGCTGCCAGTCCGACAAACAGTGATCCGACAAACCGTGAAGCACTCGAGCGCCCCAGACGTTCCACCAGAAGCAAGAAGTGACGCTCGGGGTACCGAGCCTCGTGCGTCAGTCCGAAAGTACGGCTTCAGCCATCCAGCCAGCTGCGTACCGCGTCAGTTAGTTCCAGGAGATATTCCTCAGCTGGCTGGGATCGACCCAAGCCCAGTACAGAACCTGACCCACCACAATCAATCCGAGGCCGGCAAGACACATGATCGGAATCGCCCAGCCCATCCTTCGATACGTCCTTTGAGCATCTTCTCCGTTGAATGCTTCCAGATTGAGGGACTCGAGCTGGAGAAAGAGCGGATTAGCGAAAAGATGTGCAACATCCGATGAGTGACGACTTACGAAAGCCGAGTCGTATTTACGCCCGCGAACGCGCAGCGGCAAGCGTTCGAGGGTAGTGGATTCAAGTGTTGACCCGATGGTGGTTGTCATGGCGCGCGCTGCCAAAGTGCGCTCTTCGATTCTCTGGATGCGTGCTTCGGAATCATCATCCGGGGGCGTCAGCGTGAGGTACGGCCCACTGGAACGAGTTAGCACGTTCACCGAAGACGAGTTGCAACGGACTCACCATCGACGGCTATCGTTGATCGAGCTGGCAGTGCTTCCATCGATAGACGGCTTCGGCACCTCCTTTACGTGCTCCTCTGCTGTCCCTCTGCTCGACTCATCCTTTCCAAGCTTGACAGTGTCTCTCCAACCCATCTTGTCGGCGAGTTGTGTAAAATCGATCTACATTACCAGACATCTTTGTGCGCTTGCAGACTCTTAAGTATTGCGCGGGTCGGATTGCTGACCGCAGTTCAACAGCTGCGAGGAACCTACATGATGGTAAGGCGCTGCCAAGACCAGTCGCCTTCGACTTGATTATTGCTTACCACGCCCATCCATCCATCACAACGTGCGCATTACTTCTGCCACATTCTTGCTCTCGCCGACCCGCCACGCAGCGTCGCTTGCTGATTTCGCATCTGCTTCGCCGAGGACGAGCCCAGCTTGGTCGACGAATTTCGCCGTCAACTGCTCGTCCGTCATGGGAACTTCAAGCGAGCCGACTGCATGGTCGATCCGCTTTTCCAATTTGCTTCCATCCTCAAAGTTGATGGTCAGGTAAGTCTCGTCCGCTTTCAGGTTCTTGTCAGGCTGTGCATCGATCTTGTCTCTTACTGCGATAACAGACGAATCTGTGACCACTGTGTCGCCGTACTGTGCAGGTCCTGCTTTTCCGTACAGCAATCCCACAGCTCCACCATGGAACACGGAAAACTTGCCTTCCAGGCCGTCCTTGGGTGTGCGCTTCGATGTCAGCTCGATGACTAGTGGGTGCACCACAGCTTGCACGTCTTTGATGTCGTCAAATTTCAGCCCTTTGCGCTGGATTTCCTGATGCAGCTGTATGCACCCATCGATTGCTGGATGGCACACGATACCGCACGGGAACGGCTTGAACGCATTCGCCTCGATTTCCCACTTCTTCCCTAGCTCACCAACAAACTGATCTAGCTTTGGCGTCCCGCCTCCGGCAACGACGTTCGCCCACCCACGCTTCGCTTCGAGTGCCTTCTCGGAGCTGGTGTAGCCCTGCTCCGCTAGCAGCGCCGCAAGCAACCCGCTCTGCGCAGCTCGTCCGGGATGGAACGACTTGGTGTCGCTGCCGAACATCTCACGCAGACCGACAACTTGCACAGCAGCAACACCGATCGCCTGCGCCATCTGCTCCTCGGAGAGATGCATCAGCTTACCGACCGCCACCGCTGCCCCAACACTTCCGGTGCTGGAGGTGATGTGCCAGCCGATGTCGTAGTGCTCCGGCCAGACTGCGAGGCCGATCTTGCAGCTGGCTTCGATACCAGCCGTTAGTGCGCACAGGATGTCTTCGCCGGAGAAACCACCCTTGTACTCTCCGTAGGCAAGCAGAGCACTGGCGACCGGACCTGTTGGGTGGATGATAGTAGCCAAGTGAGTATCGTCGTAGTCATGGACATGAGAAGCAATGCCGTTGAGCAAGGCGGCGTGCTGGGCGTCTGCTTTCTTCGATCCTTTGTGGCCGAGCAAAGACGACGTCTCCTTGCCGAAAAAGGGTGAGAGTGCATTGTACGCTTTGGTGACGGTAGGGTGGTCACTGCCGCCTATCGCACAGCCGATGTAGTTGTAGAGGGAGCGGAGAGCTGCTTGTTTGACGGATGTTGGGAGGGAGGAGGGCTGGAGGTTTACGGCCCAGGAGGCTAGTGATTTGGTCGCCATGATGTTGTTTGTTGTGGTACAGCTGCTTCAATCGACAATTCGATGACCAAGTTTTGGAGGCTTTCTGAACCTCGGGAATCGTGCTGTTCAAGCACTTTGGTGGCGTCTGGGGAGGCGTCTTGGAAGTTGCTTGTCTTTGAAGCTTGATGGAAGTTGGTGTTGCTGGTGTTGTTCTTCTTCCTCTTTTCACACAACAGTCTTCTGATCTGTTTATCTGGCGACAAACCGGAACATGCTACATGCGCCCGACTGCATGGATGGCGCCTTGACGCTGAATCGTTGTCTGCCGACATCGGCACGCTTTGTACCTTCGGCATCTGGCGGTTTGAGAAGGGCGGATTTTCATCATCCACCTCGTCTCCATCCGGCTCCGCACTTTGCGTAATGGCTACAAGCTCCTGGGGGAAGGCTTAATGGCTGTATGGCTGGCCGTGAAGGAGTGCCGTCTATCCATGGTGGAGTCAATTGGCGCCATCCAGAACACCACGCGCAGCGGTCTCGAGGAAGATTCGGAGAAGTACCGTACCGTTGCATGGTGCTCGCGTGGTCCCAACAATGCCGTATATCCGAACTCCTCGGGTCAAGGACCTTCACCTACGGGTACCAGCTGATCGTCATCGGATGCATCAGTAAAAGGGAAGACCGAACGGAAGCATGACCGCCGAACGACTGGATATCAGTTCATCAGGTAGCCATCTTTCCATCTGAGCTGTCATCTCTACCAAGGACTCAAAGTCACCCTTCGCAATGGGGAAGAAATACATCCTAGGCCTGCGCGGCCGCGCACTTCGCAATGCGCAAATCTGGGCCGTCATCCTACCTGCATACATCCTCTTCGGATACAACAATGCTGTAGCCGGCCCTTTACTGGACTTGCCATCTTGGGTCGAGACCTTCCCACGTATCGACACGGTCAGCGAGGATCTCAGCGATGTCCAGGTCACCAACAACTCTCGCGTGCAAGGCACAGTCGTGGCGATGTACACCCTTGGTGCTTTCTTCGGTGCTCTGAGCTGTATCTACATCGGCGATAGGCTGGGCAGAATACGAACAATACAGACCGGTGCTGCTGTCTACGTCGTCGGCGCAGTCTTGCAGTCCAGCTCTTACTCACTGGCCCAGCTTATCGTCGGGCGGCTGGTATCTGGTTTCGGCTTTGGCGCGCTGAGTGCTACGGCTCCAAACTGGCAGAGCGAGTGTTCGCAAGCCGCGCATCGGGGCGCTGCTGTCCTGCTGGAATCGCTCTTCATCAGCTCTGGGCTTGCGCTGTCGGCTTGGCTCAATTTGGGCATGAGTTTCACCAGCGGTTCCGTCTCTTGGTGAGTGAGTGGCTGTAATTGCTGCGTGCATGACGTGCTGCTAACTTGTTATTAGGCGCTTCCCGCTCGCCTTCGGCATTTTCTGGGCTCTGATCGTTATCGCCACGGTCGCCCTACTGCCCGAAAGTCCTCGATGGCTGGCAAAGAAAGGCCGTTACGGAGAAGCGCGCCAAGTGTTGGCTGCTCTCGATGGACTACCGGAAGATGACCCGCAGGTCGAGGCGGATATCAATGAGATCCAGCAATCTTTGAGGATCACGGGTCAAGGACGCTTTATCGATGTCTTCTCAAACGGAGAACTTCGCCTGTTCAATCGAACTTGCCTCGCATGCGGCGGACAGATGTTTCAGCAAATGGTTTGTACAAATCTGCCTTGCCATTGGGACTGAACATTGACATTGCTGCAGTGCGGGATCAACGCTCTCGCCTTTTACGTTACCACCATCTTCCACACCTACCTCGGCCTTTCGGATGTACTCGCGCGGATTCTTGGCGCTTGCGTCTTTTCATTCCAGACGCTTTGCTCGCCCATTGGTGTGCTGACAGTCGACCGCTTCGGGAGGAGAAAGCTCATGATCGTATCTGCCGTGGGCATGGGGGTGTGCATGGCCATTGTGGCTGGGACCTCAAGCGCCAGCAACAACAAGTCCGCGGTGGCAGCAGCTGGTGCATTCATATTCCTGTTCAGCTTGTTCTTCCCGACCGGTTTCTTGGGCCTTACATTCCTGTACGCGAGCGAGATCAGTCCTTTGAGCCACCGGGTGCCGATTACAAGTATGTCAACTGGAACAGCCTGGCTGTTTAACTTTTTGGTATGTGGAACACGCAGGAGCTTTGAGCATTGGGCTGACGAAAAACAGGTGGCCGAAATCACACCCGTCGGATTTGCAACGATTGGATGGAAGTACTATCTCGTGTTCATGTGCATCAATCTGTTCTTGATCGCTCCTTGTCAGTTGCCATGTCCACTATCCTTCTTGATGCATGCTAACGAACGGCAGCTGTTTACCTATTCTGGCCCGAAACTACTGGTCGACATCTCGAAGAAGTTGACCAGATCTTCAGAGACAGCAACACAATCTTTGATCCGCCTAAGATGGCAAAGCGCTTGCCAACAAGCTCGTTGGCGGACGACGAGGATCATTCGACTGAGAAGATGTCGACGGAGAGAGTGTAGGTGCAGATGGGAGATTGAGGCAGCCCATGCCAGCGTTGACGTAGGGTATCTCTGTGGCTACTTTGCGCTCCATTGCTGGAAGACACTGATATCTTCATGCTGGCGAGATCGTCCGAACGATATCGTCTCATAGAACCGAATTGCACGATTGGTCAGGATTCTGTGACAGCAGCTGCAGAATGCAATCGTCTCGAACAAGCATCGTGATAATGATGTTGTTGCTCAAGTGTGATGTCCACGTATGCACTCCGTTGCCTGGCATGGCTTGCTGGTACCGCTAGTCCTTGATGTCAGACGTCGCGGTAGGAGTGGCAGCCGATCCTCCCCAGATTGTAGGTGAGTTCGTTATCAAAGCTGCCAATGCGGCCCATAGGATAAACCCCCCTAGAACAACGCCCGAACCGTGTTGGACTGCAAGGAATCCAACCGCCGGTAGTCCTATCGCCGATATCACGCACTGCAGGGCATTGCTTACTCCCCATGGCTGTTGACTTCGTAGGTCGGGAAAGGCTCTCACGCCGATGATGGCTAGTGCTCCTGCGATGCTGACGAGCACGAGGGTGTACTGGTCGATCGAATCGAAGGCGTTGCTCATCAGAGCTGACAAGGTCTCGTTGTTGTGAGCCGCCCGTATTTCAGACGCCAGCTCGGTAGCGAGAGAGTCTTTAGATGGCTTGGACGGTCGTGCTTGCGACATGGCTGTAACCCTGACTCTCGACTAAGCACGGAAAGCGGCGTAACAGCGTGTTGACGAACGTGTTGCTTTCCTAATGGTGTGGGAAGAAAGGCCAAGGCGTGGACAAGCGCGAGTTGATATAGGATGGCGTTTTCTGCTTCGCTCAGCTGCTGTCGCTTGGTCGTTGAGCAAGAAGAACATATGAAGGCAAGAGACAGCGATAGGTCTCAGAGCGAAGCCATTTGATCTGTCCTCTACGCGCAGAGAGAGGGAGATGTGACGCTGCATGTCGAGGTCGCTGCCGTCCTTCCCAGGCCCCCAACCTCCGAGGAGAGCCGCGAAGATCTCATGTCGGACGGATGCACCGAGGCAGATGCAAGAAGCGCCAAGCACAGCATAAGCCTCTAGGTTCGTTCTTCGCACCGGCACGGCGTGGCACGGAGCGTGCTCGTCGATGGGTCCAGACCTCTACTGACGACAGTGGCAGGGCTGACGGGGCCATCCCCCGCGGAGCTTGACCTGAGCGGGGGGCTCCACAGTGGGTCTCACAAGCATCCCAAGCTTCAAAATAACCCGGGAAGGCACGAAGGATCACATATACCATGCAACCTCACCCTATGGACGTGCATCTTCAAGAAGTTCCTTGCTTACCCAGATGCTGTCACGCCCCTCTGGTACCCCTGGAATCGTGCAGAGCATGCCGCCGGGGGCCATCTGCTCAGGTCCTGTGGCATGCATCCTCTCCCATGCATCCTCACGCAGAGTACTCAGCTTTGAGTCAACAGGACTTTCAACCATGCTACACATCCGTACGGATGCGGCACAGCGACGCTGATCGTCTGGCCCCGGCCTGGCCTCGCCCGGGACGGAGTGGACAACCTGGTCAGAAGCGGCCTACTTGGATGTTGGATAGGTCTTCGACACACGGCACTTCGGCGCATGTTCTTTGCAACAGAACATAGTGGGATCTCGTAGAGGTGCTCCCCTTCCAAGCCACCTCGGTGCACCAGCTACTTCATCCAAGGCCTGCCTACACAATCTCAAAAAGAGCATGTTCATGGACGAACACCCACGCCGAGGCATTGTGGTCCAGCGTCACGACCCCCAGTCGCCCGGCTGAGGCCTTGAGGAGCGCGTGACGCCTCGAACAAGGTCACCTTGCGCGGTTTTTGTTTGGCCACTACTCGCTTGCCCAGGTCCCACACAGGATGCGCGGAAGGAGTGACTATTATCAATCCTTACCATGCGTTCTCCCTTCATCGGGCTGCGATTGTCGATGGATCGGTCGAGAACGAAGACTCCAGCCGTGCCTTTCCGCGGACTTTGGTGAGCAGACATCCAACCCACCTGGAGGCAGCCAGGGATACGCGGCTCGTCGTCTGCCTCCAGCTGAGCACTTCATCAGGATTTGCTCTCCGCGGAAGCTTGACAGTAGACAAGCATGATAGCGATGGGTTCATAAATACAGGCAATGCTCCCCTTCTCCTCTCGCAGAACTTGCATGATTTGAGTCGGCGCCTTGGATCGAAGCCTTTTTCTTTAGATCACTAAGCCTCCAACCTTCACCATGATTCATACAAAGCTCTTACTTTCACTGGCGATATGTCTTGGCAGCATTGGCCCCGCCGTCGCCGACCCTGCCAACGGCTGGGAAGCCGCCTTCTGGTCGGGTGCAAAGTGTACCAGCGAGGGAACGGGCACGTACCAGAAGGGCAAAGGCTTCAAGAAGGGTCAAAAGTTCTGCCATGGTATTCCTGACATTGGCGTCACGCAAGCCGTGGACTTTTACGCCAAAGACTCTTCCTACAAGTTTGGTCTCCACCGCAGGGATGATTGCTCAGACAGTCCCTCTCAGTACCTTGGTTAGTTGTGACTGGAGAACATGGTGCGGAGAGTGGGAGCCGACACTGACGCTAAGTAGGCAACCCAGACCAGCCGGTGTGTATTGAGACCAACGACATAGGTGGCTCCGTTGCCTTCTCCGTCAAACATACCCGATCTAGCAGGCGCAGCGTCGATGAGTCTGAAGACCTACTCGAGGAGCGTAACGCCGTCCCAGAGGACGATGCAGTCCTCGCCGCTGAAGCCCGAGACTTTGTCGACTCCTACACCGTCAGCACTCTCGCCGCTTCCGGCGGCTTTGGTATCACTGCCGTCCAGTCTTGCCCAGTAAGGTACAACAACAATCCAGCCAATGGCTGGCGACAAAACACCGTCTGTTGTATCTCCGCCACGGGCTTCGCCTTCTTTGCCTTCCTCTCCGTCTGGCACAACACGGGCGAAACGGAAGAGTCGAACGGCGGCAAGCGCAACGTTGATGGGCCATGGTACGAAACCCTGAACCCACACTCCGACTTCGGTGTTCTGGAGGCCGTTCAGCCCTTGGGCCAGACCATGGACAAGGAAGGCACCCAATGGGATCAATATCTCTACAACGTTACGGAGCACCGGACGGGGCTGCGCCATCATCTCATCTACGAGCACGACGTGAGCTACGGCCGCCATATCCTGTCTGCCGATCAAGACACCACTCGGATGGGCTTGGAGAACGGTGGACTTAACAAACGCCAGTCCGCCAGCACTTACCGCGCCTATTACGCCTGGAAAAACTTGCGGCACAAGCCCTTCAAGGCGCGCGGGACTGGTAACGCGGAGGTTGGGCATCTGGTAGAGCAGGCGTGGAACTTCTGTCGGGGCAATGATCAGGACGTCGTCTGTGCCAACTTCAGGGTTAAGGGCAAGGGGCAGATTGCATTGGGGCAGTATTCCGTCACCAACGGGGTGTTCTCGCCGGATTTCAGCAGTTGCTGAAGGTTTTCGCAACGCGGCTCTGCTCAACCAGCGCCGAAGCACGCATAACACTCATTTGTAGCCACAGAGTATCCTCGTACGTATTATTGCGCTCCATCGCCGGGAGACACTATTATCGTCCTGCTGGCAAGATCATCCAAACTACATCGTCTCGTTGAATCGTTGAATCGAATTGCACGATTGGTCAGGATTACGCCTGGCGCAAGGCTGCAGCTGGGCTCTCATCCAACCACCAGATCGATTGCAAGCCTTCATATTTACTTACTTTTCACTTCCAAGTTTCGTCTTCCAACAAATCCTCATCCGACAAGTAGATTCAATTACCACTACCGACCATGGTCCTGAATAGTATACTTGAGAATGGCCGGGACAACATAGTTTACGAAACCGAGCTCGACACAGTAAAGCGCCAGCTTGTGGAAGATGCTAAGCAGTTGGCCGTCCTCGGCGAAGTCGATGCCGCACGAGATCTAATCAGCCTGTTGTTCACGAAGAGTCCGTCTTCAACTCGTGGAACTGTTCCTCCGCTGGTCTGGGCGTGGAAGGAGACTGCTCAATGGCCAAACAAATGTTCGCCGCCTTCGAATCTGGAGACAACGTACGAAAAGTTGCGAAAGGAGTGGGAGGAGGATTATTGGGGAACTGGCTGGGTTGCTGTGTCCTCGGACGACCGCACGTTTGATGAACGCGGGCTACAAGCATGTCTAGTACTACCCGAGCGGGCTATACACGCAGGTTACCTGGATGAGAGTACCAGATGGATGGCCATGGAGAAATCTGCCCGTTGGGTGAAAGCACTTGACATATCCTTCCGGCTATCAGAGGTTGCTGGCTCAGATGAAGGACACAGCCGGACGGAAGAAGAAGCTTCGACAGAGGACGAGTGGGAGGCTATTCCCGCTGTTGACAAGCGTACTTTGGAGATCCTGCAGCAGGTCGTTGATCGATGGGATGCGAATCAGCAGGTGGACTACATGTGCATGGCGGAGCGTCTGTGGCCCATGTACATCTCTGGTATGGTTGCGAAGGCCATGGGCCTTGACAAGCAAGCATTGAAGTCGAAAGCTGCGAATATCATAAAGGCTTATGGAACTCGACTGTCTAGCCCCTTCGCGTCGACACAATTGGCAAACAAATCGATCAAGGAGATTCTGGAGATCGGAAGCGAGAACACGGTTCGTGGTGCCGGCAAAGAGTCTTGGGATGAAATGGACAACCCATCGCAGACATTGTTCCACACGCCAGTGAGCGGCGAGAATATCGCTGATCTTGAGAAACGACTTGAAGTCACCTTACCTGATGATTTTAAAGAGTTTCTCCAAGTCAGCAACGGCTTCGGGGCGAATGGAGACGGGACATTCAACGGATACTTCACAGATCCGGAGATCTACGGGACAGATGAGGTGCGATGGAATAACGAGGAATACTTTCAGCTGCCAGTCGATCTTCTGAACATTCACAGAGAGATCGAGGCTCTGGCTGGCATCGAGAGCAAGGGCCACTTCTCTTTCGACACCGCATTACCGTTGTTTGGGCCAGTCTTGGAAATCGGTGTGCGAGATGTTGAGCACCTGTGGCTCGTTCAGCCGACGCTGGTCCGTCAGGCGAGGGAGGCGTACGACAGGATGTATGCTCGGACGAACGAGGAGCAGAAGAGGACGCTGGACGATGCGATTGTTGCTTTCGCTGGTAGCAGGGACGCCTTTGACAAGTTGGAGTGGTGTTGCGCGAGATGGTCGTCTGGAGGCGCGGCTGTGATGACGAGCTATGCGAGTTTTCGAAGGTATCTTGAGGTTGTTGTGACGGATTCGATGGAAGTGAAGTAGGCTCAGGAGAGTGAGGTTACCTCGGGAAAGCGATCTCAGTGTAATACTTCATGGTACTCGTTGAGAGGACCTTTCGATCGAGTGTACCAAGTTATCATGAGTGTAAATTTCTCTGTTTGACTAGTATGTAATGTTTTCGATACATACAGGAATATCCTGGTGGGACGTAGCGATTTATAAGAAAAGAGATGGTGAAGACGAAATTTACAAGATCTATTACGAGCACATGTAAGACATGATATATACAAAATTTGGAAATCGTGCTTCAATGTTCGCAGCTGTAAGCCTCACTTCACTTGGAGTGACATTGAATAGCTGCTAACGATCAATACAGTTAGCTCACTTGGGAGAGCGCCAGACTGAAGTTACACTTTGGTCACGCAATCTGTGCGGTATCTGGAGGTACTGTGGTAAGCAACGCTCTACAGCCACACCTCGTAGGACCATTTCTAACGATAGAACAGTTCGATCCACAGAAGCTGCAACTTCACTTTTTGACTTACGTCAGTCCAAAGCTGGCCTTTGTCTTGAGTTGAGAATATTGATTTTGCTTTTGCCACCAACCACGATTGACCAATTATTTGGACACAACCTGAGCCTTCATTGAGTTCCCCAATTCCCGATCTAAGCAGCTTATTGAGGCGGCAAATGGACATGCGGAAGTTGAAGTCTACAAGCATGTACACCCTCGTTAACAGTAGCTTTGTTGCCTCATCACACCAATCGGTTAGGGACCTCTCTTCCCTCCAACAATGCCAACACCGTCTCCACCACCTTCATCCCGCTGGCGATCTGGTTCTCCAAGGTATTGGCGCCCACATGCGGCGTTATGATGAGATTGCCTCTCTTGAGTAGCTTAGGATATGCCTTTGCTGTCGGCGGCTCGACTTCCATCGCATCGAGGGCAGCGCCATGTATCTTCTCCTCCTCGAGAGCGTGAAGAAGAGCGTCTTCATCAACAACTCCACCCCGAGCACAATTCAACAGGATGGCCTCTGATTTCATCCGCTCGAACTCAGACTTCCCAATCAGACGTCTTGTGTCCTTCGTCAGCGGCACATGCAGAGTAACGACATCTGCTTCTTTCAATAGCTCGTTCAGGTCACTCACGCGGCGGTGCTTGATGTCTGGCCAGGCTTCCGCAGACGCAAACGGATCGTAGGCGATGATGTCGCCTTCCATTGCTCCAATCCACTTCCGCGCAACAACGCTCCCAATGTTTCCCATTCCAACGATGCCAATGGTCTTCTTGAACAATGAAAGTCCTAGAACCTGGGACCGGACAATGGCCTCTCCGCCCCGTATCCGCCGATCGAACTCAACGACCCTCCGAGCCACACACAAAGCCAGCGCTATCGTCAACTCCGCAACCGACTCACTGTTCATCGCTGGAGTGTTGCAGACGGCAATGCCTCGTCGTTCGGCAGCATCCAGATCAATGTTGTCAACACCGACGCCCTGCTTGACGATACATTTGAGCTTCGAAGTCTGCTCTATGTCTGATGCCGTGATTCGAGTCTCTGATCGGATCATAAGTGCGTCTGCTTCTGCACGCCACTTTGATACACGGTCATCGTTTCGACGAACGAGTTCAACGGATGGGGTCGCTTGTAGCTTCTTGATCGCTTCGGGATGGAATGGATCCAATATGAATACTTTTGGTTTGTTCATCTTGTCAGACAGCCCTGTATTCGATCATTCGCACCTGGACCACGAGGTGTTTTGGTTCGGCTGCTAGTAGCCGGTTTTGACCAAGTTGTCGACCAGAGCTGTTTGGATCCGTAGCTGGCCGGCAGAAGCCATGAATCGCAAGAAAAGTATTGAATTGGCGAAGGAACCATTGCATTCAAGGCGATGGACACGATCCAGCGAAAGTGGCCCATGGTGAGCTCTGTCCTACAGCTGCCAGCTCGGTGGAAGCGATGTCGGAATGGACTGGTTCGGAAGGACTCGTACCTTCAGTGTTCAGCTCATTCAATCCAGTCTGTAATATTCAATATCTCTTCCGTTGCATCCTTGTTTATTGACTGGTACTAAGAAGACCCGACTTCTCAATGCTGAACCACAAGTCGACAAGATGAATACCAAAGCCATAGTGAAAGGCTTGCAAGCCTACACGACGTATGTACAACTTTGCGCATGCACGTAGACTTCCGAAAACTGAACCGATGCAGCTGCGATGTTGCAGACGCTCTCCTAAAGTTGAAAGTCCCACATGGCGGCTTTCTCGCAGGCTTAACCATGTGGTCACCAACACGACAAGAGGGACCTACCAAAGCCATCGGACCGGCGTATACTGTGCGATATGTTCGGAAGAGCTATGAGAACGAGCCAAAACCTTCAGGACATTACGTACGTTCATGACGAAGCGACGCTCCTTCGACTAGGAGATTGACTCGGTTCCAGATCGACAGTATCCCCTCTGGCGCTGTGGTGTTCATCTCTGCTCCGCCGCGGATGATTAATGCGTGCTATGGCGGGTTGATGAGCACTCGGGCGAAGTATTTGGGAGCGGTGGGCACGGTCATTGATGGGCGGTTGAGGGACTTGCAGGAGCATCGAGATCTTGAGTATCCGGTACGAAGCTGCATCATTGCTCCATTAGCCAATCTCGGAAAGCTAACAAAGCTCGTAGGTATTCGCACGAGACGTCGGCACAACAGCTCCTCAGGAAGTGGTTCGGGTTAGCGAGGTATGTTCCTGTCGCACGCTGACTCTGTGCTGAGGCTCTAAGACTGACGGAGAATAGATCAACGCACCTGTGCGGTTGAACAGCGAGGACCAAGAGGCTGTCATCAACCCGGGAGACATACTGATTGCGGACATCAACGGCGTCGTCTGCATCCCACAGTCTTTGGCGGAGAAAACGTTGGACCTCATACAGTCGCAAGTAGAGGCAGATGAGAAGGTCGCAGCCGATTTGAAGACGGGGAGATCTGTTGCTGATGCTATGAAGGAGCATCGTGCGAATGTTAAGCAGCCATAAAATTCATGCAAAACCTCTGTACCACCTTCAAATGCTCAATGCTTGTGATGCAATCACTCCGCAAGCCTCTTGCCGCCGCCGTTCTCTAGTAACAGTGTCGTAGAATCGTGATATAGCAGCGAGACATTGACCCTTCGATCATGTTCCGCCCACCACGTTTAGCACCCCTCCGTCGACGGCGACAATCTGGCCGTTGACGTAGCCGTTACGAGCAAGGTAGAGCACAGTCATGCCCATCTCCTCCTCACTGCCTGGACGCATCGCCGGTACGTGGCCGGTGCTTTCAATCTTCTCCTGTGGGAACTCGGATTTTTGCTTTTCATCGGACCCCTTGTTCTTGTCGGTCATCTCAGACGGGAAGTAGCCAGGTGCGATGGAATTGACTCTGATCCATGCCCGCTGGAATTCCTTGGACATGAGCTTCGTGAGGTGGACTGTTGCTGCTTTGGCGGCTAGATAAATTGTTAGCACGGGTCGAAGATGGAGATTAACAGCTTACCATTGTACGAGAAGTGGCCCTGTGCATCCCTCATCATGCCACTCATGCTCGAGATCGTGATCACGCTCGCGCCAAACCGTGGAAGCGGGCCATGCGGTTCTATCGCAGACTGTAGCAGCGGCAGGAAAGCAACGGTCGTAAAGTAGACGCTCGTCACATCGATATTGTAGGTTTGGTTCCATGCCTCGACAGTCTCGTGCTCCCACAGCCTCTGCTTCAGGTTGCCAGCATCCTCCTGATCTGGCGTCGCCTTGGTTCCTGCTACACCAGCATTGCAGACGAGGAGGTCGATGTATTTCTCCTTTGCCTGCAGCTCCTCGACTATCTTCTGGAGGTCGTCTTTCTTGGTCACATCGCAGGGCCCGAGCGCGACGATTTTGCCACCTCTCTGGTCGGGATGGTGGCTGTTGACTGCGTTGTCCAGTGCTTCCTTACGACGACCTGTGATGTAAACCGTACCGCCGTTGGCAGCAAGTGCTTGAGCGGCCATCAGGCCGATTCCAGTTCCACCACCCGTCACCACCGCCGTCCGGCCCTGCATGCCGAAGAGCTTGTTCACATCGAATTGGTGTGTCGCTGCCATCTTGACAAGATCGTGTTATAAGTCTGCAATGTGGCCTCCTTATCAAGTCTTGGTATCAGGGTTGTCTAGGGTGGTGTTTGGGTGGTGTTTGGGTGGTTGGAAGTTCTCGAACTTTTCGCGAGAATATTGAAAGCAGCGAATCGATCAGATGCAACGACGTCAGAGTGACGGACGAAACCACGCGTGTTCACGTGCCACTACTACCTCTTCCGGACGCAGTTCTTACCCGTTTCGATGATTTATCAACAACACTCTATGGCCGTCTGTAAGCATATCTTAGATCAGTTCTACAGCCGTTGTTCGAAGAGAGTCGTAGTGTCAAATTGGCTGGTCGGCAGAGGCGTGTTCAACAAGGTTGCTGCCGCATCGCGGTAGGCGTTGCGCTTGCCGTTGGTGGACCAGCATCTTCCATGTCCATGCGCACCATTCGGAGGGGCCATGCAGCTGTTGTACTTCGTTACGTGTCGCAGACTTATCAGCCATACCACCCTGTCAGACAGCACATATCTGGGTATCCGGTACCGAGCAGAGTCCTTTGACACATAATCTACACCGGCGCGCGTGCGACCTCGCGCTTGCCGTGTGCTATACCAGACATTGCATACTAAGCCGTCCGCGTCTGCATGAGAGACCTACCATGGTCTCCTGGAGGGCACAATTACCAGCGCCCTTTTTAGCCGTAGAGGCGACAAGTGCATATTGGTTCATCGGCAGTAACGCCGCTCTCAATGCCGCCGCTGCCATCCCCTCCAATTTCCGCCCAGAAGCAGACCGGTTCTAAGAGAATGAGCACGGCCAGAGCTTCCACGGCCGCCAGCCAAGCACGAGCAAGCACGTCACAGAGTCCTTCGATCGGAACCTCTCGAGCGAACAGAAACCCCAAGGTTCGAGGCAGTACGGACAGAGACGCCGAAAACAAGCCAGCACGACCTAGCACCAGGAGGACATCAACGATTAGCACTGTGGGTCAAGAGAAGAGGCACAGCAAGGATGGGACAGTACAAAGGCGGGCGAAGGAGGTGGAGGGACTCAGGGACTACCAGTTGAGCGACTGCTTGGGAAGAGGCGCGTTCGGGAGTGTGTATCGGGCTTTCAATTGGAGCAATGGCGAGACGGTTGCAATCAAGCAGATAAAGCTGACAGACCTACCGAAGACGGAGCTCAACACCATCATGCAGGAGATTGAACTTCTCAAGAATCTACAACATGCCAACATCGTCAAGTACCACGGCTCCGTGCGCGATACCAACAACTTGTACATCATATTGGAATACTGTGAGAACGGCAGTCTACACAGCATTTGCAAGAACTTTGGCAAATTTCCGGAGAATCTGGTGAGCCTGTACACGGCTCAGGTGCTGCATGGGCTACTGTTCTTGCACGATCAGGGTGTCATTCACCGAGACATCAAGGGCGCCAATATCTTGACGACGAAGGAAGGCTTGGTGAAGCTGGCAGACTTTGGTGTTGCTACGAAGCAGCAAGGTTTGGCAGAAGGAAGTGTGGTCGGCACACCGTATTGGATGGCCCCCGAGGTCATTGAGCTATCTGGTGCCACTACAGCAAGCGATATCTGGTCTCTTGGTTGCACGGTCATCGAGCTATTGGATGGCAAGCCACCGTACCATAAGCTTGCACCCATGCCGGCATTATTCCGAATCGTAAACGACGACCATCCACCTCTACCAGAAGGAGCTAGTCCGCTTGTACGAGACTTCTTGATGCAATGCTTTCAGAAAGATCCAAACCTACGTGTGTCGGCAAAGAAGCTGCTGAAACACCCTTGGATTGTGTCAACGAAGAAGAACGACGTGAAGAAGCCGACAGAGTACGATGAGGCGGTGAAGAGTGTCCAGGAATGGAACGAAGCATTGAAGGCTTCTCCTCCGAATGCACATGCTGGCAATGCAGGTAGCCGTCGGTCCTCTGCTCGGCCAGGCTCCAGACCGGACTCGAGAGGTCTCGCAAAACCAGTGATGAAGAAGTATGATCATCCAGCGCCGACAGCAAAGACGGCGCAAAAGCCCGAAGCCCGACGAACCCAGACTCGAGAGCTTTGTATGTCGCCACAGGAGTACGAGAGGCAAGACAATTGGGATGATGACTTTGAACCACTTTCGGCCAATCTTGCTGCGCTCCAGCTCGCCGATCGTTTGAAGCCTCAAGACAACTTTGCTGGTCTCTTCAGCTCGGAAAGGCTGAAGCAGTATGCTAGCACCGACTCGATACCAGGCATGGATGGCAAGGTAGAGGAGTGGGATGAAGAGTTCGAAGGCGATCTGACCGTTCGCTCATCACTGACGCTGGACAAAGGAAACGCCGTCGAGACCGTCCGCCCATTCTATCCCTCACGCACGAGCTCAAATGAGATCAGAAACCAGCCACCGCCAAACTTCACCAAGCGGCAGCCATCGCACGAGCCACCCGCACGAAGAGCTAGCAAAGACTCTCAGCCACGGACTCAGATCTTGCGACCAGCGCAGAAGAGTAAAGGGCAGCCGGCAGCGAGTCAAGCTGTTCCACCTGCCTCCAAGCGAACCACACAACCAGCCAAAGCCGACAGAGACAGGTACCGGGAGGAAGAGGATGAGGACTACTCCGATTTGGTACCGGCAGACGACGACGCATTTCATAAGAAGATTGCAGCCTTCTCACCAAGCAGGCCCTTCAATCCTCACGACCTCAGAAAGATGCAGCATGTGGGTGGCAGTGTGCGGCGTAGGACGTTGACACCGACCAATCTTGTTCACGATGCAGCCGCCATTCGAAGGTCGAGGAGTAGCTTGGAGATCCAAAAATACGCCGAAGTCGAGGACGACGAAGACTTCACTGACCTGTGCTTTGGCGAGGACAATGGTGCGCCAATGCACCTCCAGCCCGTCAAGACAAGGTCACCGAAGTCAGCAGGCAGTGAGTCCACCGCTGGCTCCGAGCGCGGAACAATGAAGGTCAGCGGTAGCTCTTCGTTAATCTTGGACGATGAGGAAGAGGACGAAGACGACCCATTCGCCGCGCTTGAAGAAGAGCTGGATCAGGTTGATTTGGATGAGAACGTCGCACGTGACAAGCATGCTCGCCTTTGCACCATGGTCGAAGGCCTCGTTGCGGATCTCAAGCTTTCACAACCTGATGATGTACTTGGAGAAATCGTCGACCAGCTTCTCCAGGTCTTGACCGAGTCGCCGGATCTAAAGTCTGTCCTTGTCAGCAGTCACGGGATGTTACCAATACTGGAGATCTTGGACACATGCAACCGGCCGCATACCATCCTCAAGCTGCTCAAGATTGTCAACAATATCATCAGTCCTTCGAATGTGGAAGTCCAGGAGAACCTGTGCTTTGTTGGTGGCATCCCAATCATATCGAAATTCGCGCACAAGAAGTACTCGTCAGAAATACGGTTGGAAGCTGCCGGGTTTGTGAAGATGATGTACCTCACGTCGACTTTGACGCTGCAAATGTTCGTCTCTTGCGGTGGGCTGAACGTACTGGTCGAGTTTCTCGAGGAGGACTACGATAGCGACCTTGGTCGCGAACTGGTTTTGGTCGGAGTCAACGGTGTCTGGAGCGTCTTCGAGCTGCAAGGCCCAACGCCAAAGAACGACTTCTGTCGCATCTTCAGCCGGAGCTCGGTGCTATACCCGCTGAGCTTGGTGCTCAATCGAGTCTTGGACGAAGAAGGAGAGCAGGCGGAGCTGGTCGAGGGCCGGATCGTCAACATCTTCCTGCTCTTCAGTCAAGCCGAAAATCACGTCAAGGAGTCGGTCGCCGATCGCATGGTGCTCAAGACTGTCCTCAAAGACCTGAAGCGGATGAGCCCACAACACCAGATCACGATGCTGAAGTTCATCAAGAATCTGTCCATGCTCGCCACGACATTGGATGGGTTGCAGAACAGCAATGCGATAGAAGTGCTCACGGACTTGCTCGGCGCCAGCATGCACGCGGCGCACTTCCGCGAGATCAGCAACCAAGTCTTAAATACGATGTACAACCTCTGCCGCCTCAGCAAGGCCCGGCAAGAAGACGCTGCTCTCAATGGCGTGATACCGCTACTCCAGCGCATCATCAAGACCGAGCGACCGCTCAAGGAGTTCGCCTTGCCGATTCTGTGCGATATGGCACACAGTGGGAAGGTCGGCCGGAAGGTCCTCTGGCAGAACAAAGGTCTGCAGTTCTACGTGTCCTTACTGGCAGATCAGTACTGGGCGGTCACTGCACTTGATGCCATCTTCATCTGGCTGCAGGAGGAAACTGCTAAGGTCGAGGAGCATCTACTACGGAACGACTCGGCGTTCAGCGCAGCTGTGCTCCAGTGCTTCAACGAGAGCAAGGCGGATGCATTCGAGAATCTGCTCGAGCCTCTGCAGAAGATGCTCCGTCTATCACCACCGATCGCTGCAAGCCTTGCGCACAAGACACTGTTTGAGCGTACGGCGGTCAAGGTCCACGCAAAGAAGCCGCTTGTGCGTCTCAACCTGCTACGTGTCATACGCAGCATCTGCGACGCCAGCGAAGAGCAAGGTGCTCTCATCACTCGATATGGCCTCTTGGATAGCGTGCAAGGACTCGCTAGACACGATCCTGCCATCTTGGTTCGCGAGATGGCGAATGACCTTGTAAAGAGCAGCGAGTACGCTAAGACACAAGCTGCTCGCTTTGCCGGTGCCCGTAGGAGCTCAAGCAGCACAATGAATTCGCCTCTCCCGCCTTCATCGGGCATGGGAACGCCCATTGAGCGTGCTGGCAGCAGGAATGAATACTTTGACTTGAGCATGGAAATCGACCGATCACGGCCAGTAGCGAGCTCGCCCTACCGTCCAGTAAGCCGTGGTGCCAGCTCGTCATCTTCGAGCAGCCAAGTCCTCCCGACCAATTGGAGCAACAGCAATCTTGCGGCGCAAGCTGGTGGACGGAACAGTAGACTCGCTGGCCGACAGCAACCCAGCCGGGCGCAGAGTCGACTAAGTCTTCTGCCTCCGACGAATTTGACTGGAACGGTGGCGCATCGAGGAGAGAATGCTACGCCGACGCATGCGCCGCCGAGCGCTAATACCAGGAGTAGCATTGCCGCTAACGCGAGGCGGAGACGGCAGACTAGTGGTGCGGAGCTTGGGCGGTAGTGATTGTTCGATTTGCAGGGTAATGGGGGCTCAAAAAGCTGTGTGGGCGGTGTATATTTGATAAGGCATTATCATAGCGTGGAGTTCAGGTAACTTGTGGAATGAGAAAGTTTCGATGTTAAATCGACACTGCAATTCAATGCTTTTGACATGGGTATCTCAATCAAATAGGATGCACCTGATATGATTTCATCTCTCCCGGCTCGTTGAGCACCTCCGCCACAGGGTGCTTGTTGATCGCTTCATACCACTGGAGCAGACTTGATAGCAGAAAAAAAATGCTGCCCCACATGCTCGAAAGGGAAGACTGGTAGGCCGTCCACGACTCGCCTGGTACGCCAAAGACTGCGCACAGCCTGATTACAGTCAGCAAACAACTCTGTCAAGGTAGACAGCAGCACTCACTCGAAGCCAACCGATCCCAGCGTAGCGACAAAGCCAATCCACCAACCGAGAATATTAGGCTGCGGCTTCCACCACTTCTCCTGCGTCTCAATCGTGAACATGACACTGGCAGTAATGAAACACGCCGACGCGATGATCTGCGGGACCCAGTAAGCGCCGAGCTGGCCCCATCTACCACCTATATTCCCCCACACGCCGGGCAGAAGCACGATGCCTGACCAGGTAAAGAGCGTCACACCGAAGCCTTGAATTGAGCAAGCCAGGTAGCCGATTTCGTAGGCGTGGTGGGTGCGCAGGGCGTGCCAGGTCGGCCACCAGCGCCAGGTCATGTATTCGCTCGACGCACCTTCTCCGGCATCGCCAAGGTCGAAACCTCCTCTTCGGGGCGCCGGGAGTTTGCCGACAGGGTAGATGGAGCCGGGTCTCTCTCTTATGTCACGGGTCCGCCAGCCGGCTTCGGGGTCGACGGAGTTGGCGAAGGCTTCTGCTTCCTGTGCTTTCTTTGAGCGGTGGAAGTGAGGGATGGCGTGCGAGAAGGCCTGGTGGATCTTCTCGTCTGCGAGTTTCTTGTCTTCGTCCTCATGGCCTTCAAGAAGGCGTCGCATGGCGGTGCCGTGGAACGAGCCATCGTTGACCGCTTCCAAGTACGCTGCTGTAGCTCCGAGCTGGAACAGAAGGACACCGAAGAACGTCGTGAGAGACACACCCCAGTTAACCAGCCCTTCGTTGTATTCCTCGTCTGGATACTCTTGAGGGTACCAGGACCAGGTTGCGCTTATGATGAAGAGCGCTGAACCCCAAGCGTACCACCAGCCGCTCCAGAAAGCCAGGTTCCAGTATGGAAAAGTCCTCGTCATCTTGAGGATGCCTTTGCCGATCTGCTTCGTGCTTTTGATGGTTGACCCAATGTGAATATGGGACTCTGAAGGCTCGAGCTCTGGCACGCGAGGCACAGCAATAGAGCCTCGTCCCTTCCGGTTGTCGCGGGATCGCCACAGCACGTTGAACTCGGACTGTGAGCGTGATGTGGGTTCTGCAGAATCGGCAGCTGGAGTGTCGTGGTCTTTTGATCCCGAATATCGCACATGCATACGGACGTTTGTGGGATTGAACCGTTTGAGCGGGGCAGCAGATCGCATGTTGAGCAGCGAATATTTGGCTTCATGCGCTGCGGTTTTCACTTTCTCGGTAACGCCTTCATCGTGACTACTGCTACGCTCAGCTTTGGACTGCACAGTGTCCTCGCTGCTACTGCTGCGTTCGGCGGGGGCCTGGCGGGCTTCAAGCTTCTCATCCACGTTGCCGCTGCCATCTTGATCGGGTGTCTGGAAGGTAACACGATTTGGTTCACACTCCTCGGGGGGGATGTTTTCGCTCGCGTTGTGCTGATCTCTAGCATTTCTATCTTCCTCAAAAGGATCGACATGATCCCAGGTGCTTGTTCCGGATTCCATGGCTTGCGGGTGGGCAGTAATCGTGCTTAGACATACACATCGACCGCAGCGATAGACGTGTAGAGTTCAAGAAAGATAACACGAACTTACTCGGTAGAAAGAAGAAACACCTCTACCCCGTCCTGAGTGGAGGTGGGTGAGAAAGCCGCATGACGGAGGACTGCAGGAGGACTGCAGCAGTCGAAGACGACGGCGCGAGACGGACGTGAGATTGCCAAGGCTAGTCTACAAGCGTGAAGTTTGACGCCTGCGGCCTGCCCTGACTTACATACATGTACCTAAGAGGACTGTCAACCCGTGGACGAAATAATGCATTGCAATGAGGCTGGCATTAACCGCTGCCGTGGACAATTAAAGACATCCAGGGAGAGCCATGAAGGGGAAAGAAAGCAGCGCCGTGCCTATGCAGTCGGCGACAGTAGCTCCTCAAATTCGCTTGTCTTTCGCCATGAGCTGCTCGACTCGTGCCTCGCCCGAAGCCCTTCGCGTCCACGGGCCCGTCGGATGATTGCATGAATTGCAGAGACATGAGTACACATTGGATCTCTCCAGGTTATCCTCGAGATTCTCGATGCTTTGCCCACGAAGACGAGATCAAGAGCTGTCGTCTCGTCAAATAGAGTCGTGCTGATTGGTCCGGAGCGGGCCGCTTCCGCGTTCGAGCGAGATCGGCTCCTCAAGGGAGAGAAATGTTGTAGAGCAAAGAGAGATGGATAGCGTCGCGAGCCTGAGCCATTGAGCGACAAGATGCTGGCAGCGAAGAGGGCAGCCGCCAGCAAAGGCCCAGCGAGGTCAACGTGCAACATCTTCGCTCTCCCGCGACCACTGCTTCAACTCCTCCACCTCCAACAACGAACCCTCGCAACCGCTGCAGAACAGTCGACATCGCCAGTAGCCAGCGATGTGGCCAGTCGAACACCGCCTTATACCAAGCTCTTGAAGAACCTGCGCGAAGTGCGGCGCCTACTACCAACGCGCCCTCTCACCCTCGCCGAAAAGATCCTCTTCTCCCATCTCGACAATGCAGAGGAATCACTCTTCGAGAACACGAACAATGGCGCAGACATCCGCGGCAATGCCACGCTCAAGCTCAAACCGGACAGAGTGGCTATGCAGGACGCGTCCGCGCAAATGGCGTTACTGCAGTTCATGAGCTGTGGTCTGCCGACAACTGCTGTGCCTGCGAGCATCCACTGCGATCATATGATTGTTGGTGAGCGAGGCGCGGATACGGACTTGCCGAATAGCATCGCTGGGAATAAGGAGGTGTATGATTTCCTGGAGAGTGCGTCGAAGAAGTATGGGATTGAGTTCTGGCCACCTGGAGCGGGCATCATACATCAGACGGTTCTGGAGAACTATGCGGCACCTGGGTTAATGATGTTGGGAACGGACAGCCACACGCCTAATGCTGGCGGTTTGGGTGCCATTGCAATTGGAGTGGGAGGTGCAGATGCAGTGGATGCTCTTGTGGACGCGCCGTGGGAGCTTAAGGCACCTAAAGTGCGAGGGGTGCGGTTGGAAGGGAAGCTTAGTGGATGGGCAAGCCCGAAGGACATCATACTGCATCTCGCAGGTCAACTCACGGTCCGAGGAGGAACTGGATATGTTCTGGAGTATCATGGACCAGGCGTGCAGAGTCTGAGCTGCACCGGCATGGCCACAATATGCAATATGGGAGCAGAAGTCGGCGCTACGACATCTCTGTTTCCCTTCACACCATCTTCCCACGGACGATATCTTCAGTCCACACACCGAAGCTCAATAGCAGAGCAGGCGGCAGCTATTGCCTCATCGCCTGGACCGCACAACCTTCTTGTGGCAGACATTGGCGCCGAGTACGACGACGAGGTCGTCATTGACCTCAGCAAACTCGAACCGCACATCAATGGCCCCTTCACACCAGACCTCAGTACACCTCTTTCGCTTTTCAAGGAGGCCGTCAAAGCCAACGAATGGCCTGAAACCTTCGGCGCAGGTCTCATTGGCTCCTGCACCAATTCCTCCTACGCAGACATGACCCGCGCGGAATCTCTCGTCCGTCAAGCGTCAGCAGCCGGCCTGCAACCCAAAGCAGACTTCTTCATCACTCCCGGCTCGGAGCAGATCCGCGCTACTGTCGACCGCGATGGCACGATGGAGACGTTCGAGCAAAACGGTGGTGTCGTCCTGGCCAATGCCTGCGGCCCATGCATTGGCCAGTGGAGTCGAACAGACGGCGTAGCGAAAGGCGAAGACAACGCAATCTTCACCAGCTACAACCGCAATTTCCCAGGACGAAACGACGGAAACCGCAAGACCATGAACTTCCTCGCCAGTCCCGAGCTCGTGACGGCAATGTCCTACAGTGGCCGCACCGACTTCAACCCCATGACCGACAGCATCCCTCTCGAGAATGGCCAGAGCTTCCAGTTCCAGCCACCAACAGGGACCGATATTCCAAGCTCCGGCTTCGCAGCCGGCAACCCTCTCTTCATGCCAACTCCTCCCGTCCCTCAGTCCGACGTCTCTGTGGCTATTGACCCAAAGTCCGACCGCCTTGCCGTTCTCGAACCCTTCGAACCCTTCCCGCAAGGTGAGCTCGAAGGCATGCGGGTCCTAGTGAAAGTCAAGGGCCAATGTACTACGGACACCATCTCCGCCGCCGGCCCTTGGCTCAAGTACAAAGGCCACTTGCCAAACATCTCAGAGAATACGCTTATCGGCGCCGTCTCTGCCGATACCGGAGCGGTGAACTCTGTCCACGATGTTGACGGCACTGAGCACACGATTCCCGAGCTGGCTTCCAAATGGAAAGCGCAAGGGCAGTCATGGATTGTTCTCGCCGAGCACAACTATGGCGAAGGCAGTGCAAGAGAGCATGCGGCGTTGCAACCACGGTATCTGGGCGGGAGAATTGTGGTGGCGAAGAGTTTCGCGCGAATCCACGAGACGAATCTGAAGAAGCAGGGTGTCGTGCCGCTTACGTTCGCTGATGAGGCGGATTACGACAAGTTGGCTGGATGTGATGAGGTGAGGACCGAAGGCCTCTATGACGTGCTCCAGGCCGGTGGGCAGCACGGTGAGGTGGTGCTCGTGGCTAAGAAGCCGAGCGGAGAGGAGACAAGGGTCAAGGTCAAGCACACGCTGTCTCGAGACCAGTGCCAGTTCATCCTGGCAGGCAGTGCGTTGAATCTGCTTGCCAAGAAGCATAAGGGCGCAGTTTGAGAATTGTTGGAAGTGTTGAGCTATGCTACCCGTAGCTAGCTGAAATCTGAAAATTACATAAGAGACTGGTGCTGTCGTCGCGCTGCCTTACGGCTCAGTGGCCTTCCCATCATCTGTCATCCTACGGAACGCCTGACCAGCTCCTATGACATGTCCCATTGCAGAGTGCCTCCCTCAATAACGCGAATCGCTGCCGTAGTCGTCGTACGTAATTCTCGGATCATTGCTTCCGAATCGGTATCCCCTTCTCCTCGCCCGGCGACGGCCCGGCGTCTTCCTCTTTCGCCGCCGCCTCCCCGTCCTGCTCGTCCACACTCATGCCCCGCTGCAGCGTCGACTCTTTGACCGGCGACCCTGAAGACCCATGCGAGAGCGTCGGATGCAGCGTCGGTGTACCCTGGCCCCCAGCAGGACCGCTGATGGAATCCGACCGCCCGCCTTGGCCGGAGGCGGAGGTTTGTTGGGAGAGGTGTGGGATGTTCTCTGGCCTATACAACAGTCAACAATAAGTACACACAGACAGGTGGATGTAGTGGTGAGACGCACGAAGGATGCTCCCTCCCCAACCCTCCCGCCAGCGCGCCATCAGACTTGCCCGCCTTGCTCATGGCATAGTCGCCGCTGTCGAAGTACTTGCGCTCCTTGAGCTTGTTCTGCAGAAGGTCTTTCTTGTTCGGCAGCTTGCCGTAGAGGCGGAAGAGCTTTTGTTCTTCTTCGGTGAGTTGCTGTGCACGTAATTAGTGGTTAGCCCGATGTCGGCATGAGATGGGGAAGTCGGGGGCGAGAGCTTACGCTGATGTCGACCTTGTTCTTCTGGTGCGGGTTGAGAGCCATTGCGGAGGCGTGGGGACCGTCTGGTCCTTCGAGACTGGGACTGGTGGGTGGGGTTGTGGTGGTGCTGACCAGCAGCTCCGCCCAAGCGGTGTGGGCGGCTGTTGTCCTGTGTTCTGCTTTGGATGCCGCTGCCTGCTCGCTCTGACGTGACTGTAGCCCTCCTTTGACAGCCTCCTCCGCTTGGTGCTTGCTTCAAAGTAGTCCTCGTTCCTTGCTGCCGTGCTGAAATCTTCCTCTCAAACGAGGGGTATCAATGGCTTGGTGGGCGTGAGCAGGTCCAGAGAGGTTTCCGAGATATGAGCAGAGGTCGTGCAGCAGTCACCAGCACCCACAAAGCAAGCACAAGCGTCGTCAACGGTCTCGTGATCCAGCAGCGGTATCCCTTGAACGTCCGCACTTTCCCTTGCTGCTGCCGCGATGTCCTGACGTCGAGCAAACGTTATTCGATGTGGGGGCGGAGCGAGACCGCGAGTCGAACCGAGCCGCTGCCCGAGATCTGGATCGCTCGAATGACGTCTTCTCTTCCTCGAAGTCCACGATTGAACAAGTTGAGGGAGGCAGAAGTGCTTGAGACAGTTGTTGAGACGTCCTTGAGAGACACAGCACGATCTCGATCACACGACCCGAAGCAATGGTACTCCTGCACTTGAAACGCAGCTGGTCGTCTTCCCCGCAGTCTCACTCGCAGAGCCATTGGGTCGGCTTTGCTCTAAGAAATTCTTAAGGTGCTGGCCGTCGAATCATGGACGACCAGTATATGAGCACTTTCCCAATGTACCACTGAAAGAAGGAAAGAGAGCAGACACGCAAGATTTCATGAGTAGTAACATTCATACGTTGCTCGCCATCGTGGGCAAGCTGGGGTATCTCAGTATGAAGCCATTTGGAGCCCTGTGCAACCATTGTCCATAACTCGCCAATGCTGCCGGTCCCATGCTTCAATGATATGCCTCCCATACTTGTATTCCTCACCATCATTGTGAAGACCGTGTTGCGCCGAAGGACGCCGTCGCTCTCTCCTGCAAGTCGTGTCCCATAACCGTGAAAGCCGTCTTCCTCTGCCATGGCATTACAAGACAGGCTCGCTATGCACTGTGTTATGCATCATACTGACGCACCCGCTCACGTTGCGCAGCTTCCATGGTACGCCGAGCAACGATATGCCCGGGTTCCACATCCCACCAACTGGACCTCAGAGCATCTTCCTAATATGCACCATTGGTCGGACATTTGCGCGCGCCGCGACCCTTGACCTGCACGTCTTGATTCCCACCATTTGTCTGACCACCTTTCGCCGCACCGACGAAGCTGAACCCAGAATCCGCCCCACTCGTTCCTTTGATGCTGAAGCCGAGAGCTCCGTCTCCCCTGCCATGCACGGTTGAAGTGTTGTTCAGGCGACCGTTGGCCGAATCGATGCTGCGAATGAGTCCGCCGTTGGTACTGGTGAGAAGATCGCGGCCACCACGACCGACACGATCGAAAAGATCACGGTCACCGCTGTTGCCACCCCGTCCACCACGCTCGTATTGTCCTCGCTCTTCGGGGTTCGGCCGTAGCCCTGACTGGTCGTAAGCAAATGACTGTTGTACTGACGTGTTGTTATTGATGATGCACTTGCCCAAAGCGTCTGTAAGCTCAGCAAGGGGGATTACCCTAGCATCCTTCCTTTTGTGCGCAGAGTTGGCCTTCTCAGGGAAGAGCTCGAGGGCTGGACGAGCTGGTGGTGGGGTCGCTGGAGCCTGGGGACGTCCGACGTAGTCTGGGTATGAAGGCGGTTGTGCAGGACGGGCATCATCCGCAACGCGGTCGCGACGCGGCGGAGAGCGAGATCTTGGGGGAGTCGTGGGACGACGTGAATGCACCTCGCGGAATCCGAACCTGCCGTCTCCGTCGTAGTCACGGCGTGGCGATGCGCTACGGTCATCAAGCCTGCGGCTGGGTCCTGTTGGGATGAAGTGATCCTGCTCTTGACGACCTCTATTGTCGGCCTGCTCTGTGAAGACCCTCTTATCGATATCACCATATTCCACCGTGTGTCTGTTGTGCACGCCCTCTGAGTAAGAGCTGCCCGGTCTGCTGGTCTCCTCACTACTCACGTCACCAGACGCTGGAGCGTCGTCATACATGTCTTCGCTGAACGATGGACGCTGTGGAACGGGCTGGCGGCGGCGGCGGTCATCACGGTAGTCGCGCCGACGATACTTGTTGGTGGGGTAGCCACCATGGTTTGGGTGACTCCGTTTGTGATTGGGGTTGCGATTGTCCGCGTGGCCACGTGGGTTGCGCAGATAGAATTGGCTCTGGGCTGCCGCATCCGGGACCTTGACGTCGGCAACTGTGGCCATGCGGACTTGGAGGGCGGTCTGCGGCTTTACGAAGAGCTTCTTAGCCTCACGTAGGCGCAATGGGTCGCTTTCCTCCGCGACTGACATGGCCATCAGTGCTTCTGTTGCTGTCCGTTCGGTGTCGTAGACGAGATTCGCGGACGAGTCGTTGATCCACTCAATCCTCGGCAGCAAGCGATCCGGAAAGACCTGTGCTGCGTACCGACGCAGATCCTCGGCGTTCATGGTGTTGGCACCGCGAATGTGGACTTTGAAGGGTGTGACAGCGCTCGGAGCAACTTCGCCTTCTTCAGCTTGGCCTTCAATACCGTCCATGGCCTCTGCAGGGCCGCCGTTGTAGACGTTGGCATCCTAGATCACATTTTAGTCCAAAGCCAGTGCTGAAGGAATTGTAGCCTCAAACCTGCTGAGGTGCTGCGTTCTCGGCCGGAAACCCTGCACTTGGCTCCTCGTACCTGTCGAGGTCCATGTCCATGTCGTCGGTGGCCATGCTTAGAGAGAGCTTGGAGCGTGAGGTGGTTGGAGGTTGCTATCTCTTCAAAGGTTGTCAGTGAGATGGTTTCATTGAACTCCCAAATCCAGCTCGATGTCTGCGGCAATGACTCCGGCAATGGTTGTGAAGCGAATCCTCTCATGGTTCGAAGCTTGTCAAGTCGCGTCGAAGGTGTGAAGCTCAGCTTGGGAAGACGTGCTGCGCCGCCGATCTCGCCGATGACGTTAGCGCATGACTCGTGCGATAACATGCTCCCATTTCAACATTCATTCGTCCTCACGCTTACAATCTGAATTCGTCGTGTTAACCGCAGTAGCAGGTCACTTGGCTCCACGATCATATGAAGATTACCGACTCTGACATAGGTCTGGCAATATATTGAGGAGCGGCATCCATTGCTCTTGCGAGACCCAACGTACCATCAACGTGTCCGCCATCTCGTCAGGCTCTGCAGCATGGGCTCCGTGTCGGGATAAACGCGTACGAGCGGAGTCCTGGATACCAAACACAGAGACTACTGGCTATCCGGCTTGAGGCTTGAGAGTGAATACGACATGGTAAACATCCCGGCGCGCTGGCTGCTCCAACTCCGTGGATATGCCCGCCGAGTGACATGGTATATCGCAGTCCTGGAGAACGACATTACTTCGGAATATGTGTTTGCTAGCGCATCTCACGACGTTCTCATCCACAAGCAGCAGATGCTGTGTCGCTGTTGCTAACGACAATGTGAACGCAGTGAGTTTGTTGTAGGTGTTCTGAAAGCTCGTGGACTCTGAATGCTTCTCCATTCGTCTTCGCTCTCTCCAGCCGACAGTGACGACAGCCCTGGATACTGCTGCACATGGATCGTCTGCTGGACAGTTGTTTGCTAACGTGTCACGGAGCTGTCATTCTATGGCAAAGCCATGCGGTCAAGGACACGTGCACGCCAGCAATCACACCATGACTCCATCATTCAACAGGGACCTATATATCCTACGAGGCCGGCCAAGCTTCAGGCTCTTCATACATACAATCCCTCCTAACCTCTAGTCACATCAAAACCATCCAGAACTTCCAGCACCCTGCAACACCAAGCACGACCACATCAAGCACCAACACATCAAGCACTAGCACACCAAGCACTAACGAACGAAGTATAGCAACGATGTCCGAGGAAGGTCGAGGCCGAAAGGGAAAGGGGCGAGCCACCGACGACCCAGCTGGCCAGTCTCGCCGCTCGGGCTCTGCTGCATCTGACGCCTCCACCTCGACCGTCCGACGAGCAGACTCAAGAGCCAGTACCCTTCGGCAGGCCTCGTCACCTGAGAGAGGCGGTCTCGGCGATGTGGATGCTTACGCTGAGAAACTTCTTGCGATGATGAGAATAGAAGAGGACAAGGAAAACAACCTCCCGAGCCGCATCCAAGAGATTCGCGACCGAGCCAGGACGATGCCAAAGAGAAGCACGATCAAGGGCCCAACCAAGCATATCGCTGCGCTCAAAGACTATTTCAACGAGCACAATTTTTAGCTCACTGTCGACGAAGAGGAAGCACTTTTCTTTAGTGCTGTTTCTCCTACGGATGCTGATCTCCAGGAACTTCTTGTCTATGCCATGAATGCGGTGGTCGAAGCCATGAAAGCTCATAGGAGGTTGCTCGAGGAGAAAGGCGTCGGCAAGGAAGTATTGGATCGTGCAAAGGATCTTGAGTACTACGACCTGGACAACTTGACTGAACGAGAAGACGTCATATCATGGTTCTACTTGCTGGACGATGATCTCGAAGACTTTGACGTCACTGAAAGCACACGGCCTACCTTGGCGATGCTCGGCCTTCTCAAGTGTAAAATCGAGACCTTCGACGTCGATCGGAAGCCGAACGTGCTCGGAGAGCCTAGACGTCATGAGATCCTACGCAAATGGATCGACGGGTGGTGTAGAACATTTGTGACACATCATCCACTGAAGCTGTACCAGCCTCATTTCACCCGTGCGGACATCAATTACGCCGCCGTGTACGCGAAGCTTCAGTATAATGAGGCGCTGCTGACCTATCAGGAGCTATGGCAGGAGTGTCTGAAGGCTGATATGATTGATGTCGAGGCGACGTACCACGGGGACCGCAGCTATCCTCCTCCCAACCTTCTAATTGAAAAGCTATTGAACCCACAGGATCTCGTCGACTTCAATAAGTTCGATGATGAAACCTTGAAGAGTTTAGATTGGAGGGTCGTGGATTTTGAAGACGCCAAAGCAGCAGAAGAGCGAAAGAACTTCAGGTACTCCATTGCGGTCTTTGCTCACAATACCAGGACCATCGAGGCTTGGACCATTTCCCTGCAGGACGCCCAGGATTCCTTCCCAGGCTGAATATAGCCTAAGCAGTGACGGTGAGAATTGCCGTTGGTAGGTGAAAGGCCAGGTCTCTTTGACTGATTTTTTGATTTTCGTGCTGCTTTGCTTCTCTTCGAGCGGCAGTGTACCCTTTTGCCGAATGGTCAGGGCAGTGTAAGTAGCTAGATTCCACTACATTTAGGTCACGGAATGGTACTTTTCTTACTTCAGAAGCTTTTACTACTCCCACCGCCCATCTCTCAACGTCAACGCGCAACCTCTCAGCGGTCTTGTCACAACATCAACCCTAGTCAGAAAAGGGACAGAGAGACGTGCTCGACTTCTGCGATGACTCCGTCCTGAGTCGATATGACTGAATGGACGAGGGAAATCAAGGGTATGTTTGCCGCGTGGTACAATAGCTGATCGGCGCCTCCAGGGAATTAATTTAACTTAGAATTTAGTTTAGAATACCTATACACTGACCTGCTCCACAGATTGTAGCGTAACGCAAGGAAGATGTGCTTGAGAGCCCATCCCCCAGCTTCTTACACACACAGACTGCGCTCTAGCGTTATATCCCTACAAAGATGACTGACCGAGAACAGGGTCGAGAATCGCGAGAAGTTCCGAGGGACAACAAGAGCACGCTTACACCGCCCCGACACTTTCTCACCCAAGACACACGAGGCAGACAGCCGCTGCATGCAAGAGAGGACCTGCAAGACTACGACTTTGGAAGAAAGTCGTCATTGGTGCCTCGTCCAGATCATATCCACAACAGCCCATCTTCAAGCATCGGATGTCGCCCAAGCTCTGCTCGACGTTTCCGGTCTCCGTATCAGCGTCAGATGACTTCCGGCTGCGGATCGCTTTTGTCGGGCTCCAGGTCCTGTCTCACCTGCACCAGCTCCAGCAACCGATTCTTCTTCATCCCTTCCAGGAATCACTCGCAATGGAGAGGCAGTTCTTCGAAGGGCAGAAATGGAGTGTGCGAGAACTGCAGTTCAATCTTGAGTATGCTCTCGAATTCGCTGATCAACACCTCGCCCAATGGAGAGGTTTTCTGCATTCGAAGTTTCCTTCTAGACATGAAATAATCGACCTCAGCAACTCCATCGAAGCCGAAGAAGCCATTGCCGAAGATAGCATCCTCCCGAAACGAGTCCGACCAATGGACTTGACAAAGATCAAAGTCGAGCTGCCGGCAACGATCGCTCTGCTCGGCATCGTGCAGAATCGGATCAAGCGTAAGTTACAGATCGAGCAACAAGCACTGATGTCAGAACAGCAGAGGCGTGAGGACCTCGAAAGATGAATCAAGTCTCCAGACCGACTGTTTTCAAAGATCGAACGTATACCCGTAAAGCTACACCAGCCGCAGTTCACCCAAAGCGACCTCAACTGGGCAGCTGTCTTGGCCAAACGAAGGCGAGATGATCTGTTGAGCCAGTACGCGTTACTGTGGGCGAAGATCGAACAGCAAGGCTTAGCAGGGCACGCGGTCAATGAAGGCTGTTCGAACCTGGCACAGCTCCAAGCACGTTGAAACCACGATGAGGAGTCCACGGTACTGGGTGAGTTCGCTGACGCAGACCTCTACACCTATGACTGGGAGCCGCAAGATCGATCGTTCATTGTCACTACTTCTGACGGTAGAGGCATGCTTATCGATCCACCCAATGATGAAGACGAAGCGCGGGTGCAGCAGAAGTGGAGGTGGTCTATTGCCGTTGTTGCGCAGACTGCTCACGCTGTTGAGACTGAGTATGCGCAGCTGACGAAGGTGTTTGAGGATGCCGTGGAGAAGGGCAAAGGCAGAGCGCGTGGATGAACGATTCTGGTATCTGTCTATGAAAATATGTGTACATCTCCTTGATCAGCTACATTCAACAACACCCCTTCTTGTCGTCGTCGCTGTCCTCATCCTCGTCCTTGGCAGCAGGCTTGCGGCCAGCCTCAGGATCTGTAGAGTTATCCATGTCCTTCCACAGCGCAGTAGCCTGCTTATCGAGCACGCGCATGAGCGAGTTCGACTTCAGATTGTCCGGGATCTCGACCTGAGGCATAGCGAATTCCGGCTTCTTCTCTTTCTTCTCCTCCGCCTTCTCTGGCGTCGAAGCTTGCTCAGACTCCTCCTTTGCTGCGGTAGTATCGACCTTGCCCTTCCCAACCACGAGCGTCGCTGAGCCCGGAACAACCTTAGCCTCTTCGGCAGTCTGCATCGCGTCCAGCTCCTGCTCCCTGCCACCCACTATCGTCAGCAGCGTCTGCACAAACAGCTCCTTCATGTATGCGAAGCTGAAGCCTTCCGTAAGCTTGGCTACTACATCGCAAATGGCCGGGTCGAAGTCGATCTTGCTGTTCTTCTCCAGCTTCTTCTTCCAGTACTCGCAGTAGAGGATGCGCTCGTCGTAGCCGGGAATCTTGAAGTGGTACTTGCGGTCGAACCTGCTCGGGCGCTTGGAGATGCCGGGATCGAGGCGGTCGAGGTGGTTTGTAGAGCCGACCATCAGGATGCCGTTGTTGTCTTCCAGACCATCGACTTCGTTCAAGAAATAAGAGCGAATCTTGTCCTTCACCAGGCTGTCCAGATCCTCGAAAACGAGCATGCACGGAGCCAACACCCGAGCCCTCTCGAAGATCTCTCGGATGCTGTACTCTTCTCCCGGGCAGTTGGTCGTGAACGTCTTGACGTACAGACTGGCGACTGGTGGAGAGCGCTTGTCGAGAGCGTTCATGAGTGCCTTGATGCTGATCGTCTTTCCGCAGCCGGGAGTACCATGCAGGATGATGCCACGCTTCCACGGCACGGCATACTCCTCGTAGATTGAGCGGCTGTCGAAGAAGTTCTGCACGTCTGAGACCAAGGTGTCCTTCGTCGCTGGATCCATGATCACGTCGTCCCACTTGCTGTTCTGCACCGCTTTCCAGAGATGCTTGTTCTTGTCCCACTCGCCGGAGTCAAAGACGTAGATCTCATCATGAAGCTCGCTGGTCCACTTCGAAGCAGCAAGTAGGAGCGAGTCGACCCACGCAGAGTGCCCGGCAGCATCGATCTCAGCTTTAGGACTTAAGATGTAGTAGTTCTTTGTCCCTCTGCCGAAGAACTCATCCCGCCACCTCGCTTCATAGAAGTTGAACTCCTGCCCATCATACCTGCCATCATAGAATCCGAAGCCGACCCTTTCGCCCAGACTGCCTTGGCCTTGCTCCAGACGGGTCGCCGGTGGAGTGTAGGTTCTCTGTGCGAGGAAGTTGTCGCCCTCGGTGCGCAGTCTTGTCTCGAGACTCCCTGCCTCTGCGAAGCCAAGCAAGTCGCAGTCAGGCGCGCTGATGGTCGTGACATGGGCGTCTGGATGTTTCTCACGAATGGAGATGGTGACGGCGAGGTCGGTGTTCACACGATCAGCTGAACAATGCTTTTTGAAGTCGTTGTAGACCTCATCGAAGCCGCCGAGCGGACGTTTTGAGTTGCCATTGTAGTGGCCCATGGCGTAAATCCGGTGTCGAGCTTGTCACTGAGACCTTGACGAAGAGTTCACGTGAAGCTCATGAAGAAGCAACGAGGAAGAAAAGGCTGTTGAGGCAGACGAAGATGGAAAGAATTCAATGCTCGAGAAAGGTTGAGACGACGTTGCAAGTACTTATAGCCTTGAACATTTCTTGAAAGTAAATAGCTGCATGCATGAATCGGTGCAGGCAACAGCTGCGGCTTTGAGTCAGAAGCTTGACTGCAGGAGCCTGGAGCAGGATGCTGCAGGGCAGCGGCTTCAAAAGCTACTACGTTGTAGAGTCTCGTAATGTCAATGGTCGACATTCATGCGGTCTCTCAGTTGATGCGGCTCGATGCTCTCTGCTGAAGTGTGGCAGTGCTCACGCTTTCCTCATTCGGCATCGCGGTGAGCTTAGCCTCGGCTTAGCTCTGCTTCCCACCCCTGCCAGGTTGGAGGCCGCCTCTTGCAGGCTCCATCGATGTGCACAAGCTGGCGCCGGCAGCGTCCTTCAATGTTGATGTGGATCTGATTGAAATCTCGAATGCTGTTCACGGCACCGCCGCCTGCTGCCCTCTCCCCACCAGATCCTTCGCCTCTCGCAGTTCCTTCTTAGTCACGCCGACAGAGCTGGCATACTCGCCGAACACAAGGACCACTTCTTCCAGGCCTTGCTTCAGCGCACCCACCAGCTCTTCCACCTCGACGACCTTGCGATCGCTGTCGGTGAAGTACACATCTGTCCTGTCTGGCGCCGTGCTCTGAACGAAAGTCTCAATAGCCTTGATCGTCTCAACGTACGTCCTGATGATCAGCGCAACCGACTTTGCAACCTGCCCATAGTCGTCTTCCTTGAGCGAGCAAGAGCAAAGCGTACTGAGAGCATGCGAGGCGTGCATGATGGTGATTCTCTTAGAGTATGGCGTGCCAAAGATAACACCTTTAACCTGGTTTGCGAAAGTCGACCTGAATGGTTCGCCAATGGGAGATTTGAGGAGCTCGGTAATCCAGCCTGGCGCATTCTGCCTAATGTTGAGGCGCGCTTGAGCGTCTTTGTTAAGCATATGATCTGTGCTCCATTCGATAGCCTGTCTTGCCCGCGGCGCGAGTGGACTGTCATTGCCTGGATGCTGGCCTACGGACTTGGCCATTTTCCCAACAGTATGGACGAGATCTGTCGACGGCTTGGTCCAGACATCGCCATTCTGCACGGTGCGATCTGCTATCCTCGGTAGACCGAAGTTTTGAAGTTGCTGTGGAGCTGGTTGCTGAGTCGAGCTGGCAGTCGCTTGGGCCGGTGCTTGAGCATCTTTGATCCGGGCCTGAACTGCTGTGATCTCATCCAGGCACAACTTGCTGATCTGCGTCCATGTACTGCCACCGGCACGGTCAACTTCTGCGTAGATCGTTTTCCGCCGAATGTCGAACTGAGCACAAATGACGCTCAGCTCCCAGAACGCGAAGGCTTTTGGTGTCTCCTTCTTGCTACTCAGCCCAGAGATCAAGCTTTCGTTCGGATCCTTGCTCTTTTCGCCAGTGGCAACCAGACCAGTGAGTGGCTCGGTCTCGGTCTTTCCAAGAGGTGGTTGCGCTACGTAGATGGTGAAGGCCGCACTGCTGAGCTCCCACAATAACACCAGCATGCCAGAGGAAGTGCAACATTGCCAAACAAGCCAAGGCATGTGCGACAATCCAGTCGGTCGCGTCTGCGTGGCCAGTCTGGAAAAGAGCGTATGCGCACTTGCGTAGAAGTAAGGCCAGATGAGAGAACGGAGGAAGACGAAGTAGAGCGGGATGGTGAAAGCCAGGCCTGGCAGGACGAGCCTCGCGGTCCTGGTCAGAATTGTGGGGAGATAATCTCGGAGCTCGTTGATGGAGGCAGGTACGACCGAGGCGGGCTGCTGGGTTTGCGTGGGGGCTGTCTTCTTGCTCGCAGACATAGGAACTCGATCGTAGTCCTTGCTGAGGTGTACCGCCGTCTGCGCGACGGCCAGGCAGTAGAAGAGTGCTCTTAAGAAGATTGGGTTCTCGTTCACGAGCGACCATTCACCCTCACGGCCCTCGTCCACCCACCCCAGATGTGCCGTCTTTTCCCGCGACCATATGTACACCTCGCCGAAGAAGAAGGCACTGTAGAGGTACCATCCAAGTGTGTGTAGCCCCTTCCATCGCAGGATGTTGGTGTAGATGCTGCTCGCCGGAAATGAGGTTATGAGCTCTCCGCAGTGCAAGTTGGCCACGCGGACGATGAAGACCGCTAAGCAAGACAGGAATAAGAGCACTGCTCTGATGCCCGTGGCCGAGATGGGGTTCCAGATCCAGAGCAGACCTGGGGAGTGCATGAGGATGCTTTCGATGTAGCATACCGCGAAGACGAGGGCTGCCGCATAGCTGAAGCGGCGGTGGAGGGCAGGAGTGAGGAAGTCTCTGTATGGTCGTACTCTTTTTGAGGGTGCTGAAGGTGCGTTCGTGGCTGTCGTGGATCGAGGCGCGAAGACGTTGCCGGGATTGAAAGTCGCTGTTTGGGTGGTTGCCATGATGGGTAGGGTGGAAACTCGAAGGGAGTAGATGTGTCTTGACTATGGCAACATGGTGGGTTGGTTTGCGAGTTCAAATGAGTGACAAAGTTGGGTTGAAAAGGTGTTGCTAAGGTGAATGATTTATGTTTGGGCGGAGTCGCGATCGCGGTCATATGAAAAGTCTTGGCGCGTCAACCGATCGTCATGCGGCGGTGCAGGAGACATCATGTTTGAGCATCCTATCTCTCGACCACTTCTCACAACGACTCGTCTTCTCGCCTGACTGCTTTACACCTCTACGCGACTCTCTCGCCACCGCCATGTCCTTCAACGACTCCTCCAACCTCGAATGTACATCTCCCCTTCCCCCGGCCACAGCTACCGCTTGCTAACACCCCTCCCAGCACAACCCACAACATGGCGACGTCAGGACGACCCCGAGTACGCCGATGACCCCGAGTTCCAGCGCTACACGACCGACCTCAGCGACAAGCTCTTCTCCCTCACCTCCAACATCGGCAAGCTCGCCAGCCAGGTAGGGCTGCTTGGCACGCGCAGGGAGACGGATCGCGTAAGAGAGAGGGTGCAGGATCTATTACAGGACACCGGCGATGGGTTCAAGGACGTCGGGGAGGGGCTGAAGAAGGTGCAGGCATGGCATGACCTGGGGGTAGGTTTACTGGCAACGAGAAGCAGGGCGGGCGCAGGCTGACCAGAACCCGCACAGCCATCGCAGAAGTACACCCAAGGCAAGCTCAACCAGGAGTTCAAGGCCTCCCTCACCGAGTTCCAATCCCTCCAGCGACAAGCACTCGACAAGCAGCGAGCGGCGAGGTCAGCGCTTGAGCAAGAGCAGGAAGGCAGCCTCAGCCCACAGGCATCACAGCAGCAGCAGCAACAGCTCCTACAACAGCAGCCGGTATTAGCCGACCAGTCCGAAGTCAACTTCAACGAGACGCTCATCGTCGAGCGAGAATCGGAGATCCGAAACATCGAGCAGTCGGTGGGCGAGCTGAACGAGCTGTTTAGAGATGTGGCGCACATGGTTCATGAGCAAGGGCAGAGTTTGGACATCATCAGTGAGAACGTGACGCAGACGAGAGACGATACAAGGAACGCAGACCAGCAGTTGCGGACTGCGAGCCGGCATCAGAAGAGTGCGAGAGGGAAGGCGTGCTGTTTGCTGATTATACTGGTGATAGTGCTGGCAGTGGTGATATTGGCTGTTGTTGTGGGATGAGGTATGCATATGTGACAGAAGACTTGTACAGCTTATCGCTCTCAAACCAAGACTCCAGCGCCTCTGTGGCTCCACATACCGCATGTCCTAGCAATACCGTTCGCACCACAACACCTCTTTTTCTCACCCTCCGTTTCCGGAATAACCTTAGAGGCGCCTCAAGCGCCATCATCCGCTCGAAGCTCAGCCACGCCTCAGAAGATTGCATCAACGCGTTCCAACCCCATCGACTCATTCGCCGTCACATCCAAGCCCCGTTCCGACCCTTGCTATCCTGCCTCTCACTCCGAACACGCCAGCGCCGTCGCCGTCGCCTGCTGATCCATCACAGTCTTCCGCCCATGGAAGCACACCGGTCCATGCCCAAAGACGCCATTCATGAGCGGGACAGCTGCGGTGGTCATGGCGCATCCCGCGCAGTCGACTGTTTGTGTCGCTGTGTTCGCTGGCAGCGTGATCGTGCAGCCGAAGGACATTGTCGAGGTGACGGTGGTCATGCAGGGACTGGATGAAGTTGTGGCATGGACGCTCGCGAGGGAGGCGAATGTCGCCAAGATGGTTGCTGAGATGTGCATTGTTGCGGCTTGCTTCTCCGTTGATGCTAGTCGCGTTACGCCTAAATCGATACGTGAAATGCTTGTTGATCTTGGAGAGTTCGAGAGGGAAGCATGGAAGCAAGGAGGGATTGAAAACGCACTTGCCTTGCATCCTTCACGTTTTATAAAAGTGGAAGGGTTCATGAGCGTCCAGGTCCACCGTGACTTTGCTTACGACCAATCTCGGGCGCGACAAAAGTCAGCCCGCCTATTTTCAGAAACTCAACCACGCTTGACCGCTTGGACGCTTTCCATGGCATGGTTTCATGCTCTCTGAAGGAGCAGCAGGATCGGGTAGGATGAGTTGATGCTTTTCGACAGAGAAAGCCTGGCGCAAAGCTAACGGACCGGGCCCTCGGGACGCGCCGCTAGCTCAAGGCGAAGAACAACCGGAAGGACTGCGATTCGCAAGATCTGACAACACCGTCGATGAGAACGATCGATAGGCGGCAATCGATTCCACATCTCTCGCCTCGGTCGATCTCTGCAGAAGGCATCACTCGCACCTCGTGAATGCGAACGGCAAACCTCTCGAATGCATACTTGGCTGGAAAAGACGTGGAGCGAACTTCAACCCATCAACTACTGGCCACGTGGTGGGGAGAGGAGACGCAGAGAACAGAATAAATATGCTGTAGCGACTGATACGCACGACCCTCCTCCTTCAATCTGATATCTACCCTTCTCTACTTCTCGGACTTGGACTCGTACTCATGCTCCGCCTTGTCAGAACCAGAATCCAACCCTGAGCTGGTACCAGTCTCGATGCCGTTGCTCACCCGCAGGTCTTCCGCACCAAGTAGTACCTGTGGCGCGTACGCCCGATCGCCTTCCGCACGACGCTCGACAGGGACCAGCACATCGAGGAAGCGCGGGAGGAGGAACGCAGCGATGATGGTGAGCAGCACCAAGTGCGCGACGGTGAAGCCCCAGATCTCCAGCGAGCCGGAGCGGTCTGGCGTGAAAGACGGGTAGGAGAACGAGAAGATGATGCCGAGGATGGGCGCTGCGACGTAGCGGAGGAGCACCCCCCAGACGGGTGGGATGGACCAGGCCTTGCCAGTGGCGACGGTGACGTTGAGATCACGGGCGAGTTGGTTGCCCTGTTGAGATGAGTTAGCAGAATTCTGACGTCAGACTCACGTCGGCTTACCGAGTAGAAGAACAGCCACCAGGCTCGGTTGAGGAACTTGTTCTTGCCGAAGAAGCGCGGTGCCCGCGAATCTGGGTCTTTGGCAAGCAACAGCGCCGTGATGGTGCAGACGATGAATATGCCGAACCCCACCCCGGCCCCCGCTGACGGGCTAACTGAATGTGCGATCGCACATCCGAGGACGAGGCCGCCCAGGTAGCCAGAGTTGTATACAGCGAACGACGGGAGGCCCACTTGCCCGGCGACATCGGCCCAGCGGTAGACGGTTGTCGAGCCATAGCACTCGCAGAAGGCGGCGAACAGCAGAGCGATGTTGTTGGCCCAGCGATCTGTGGCGTTGAGGAGATCGTATCCGAACTCGGTGCAAAACATGAAGGACATCAAGCAGGAGACCACGGTGCACACGGAGGCCACGGTGACGTGCTTGTACCTGCGGCCGTACTCGCTGTCACAGATAATGGTGACCAGACCATCAAGCATAGCATAGGAAGAGCTGATGCCAAGGAGGATCAGCGTCAAGAAGAAGATGATGGCGAAGAACGGAGCTCCTGGCATCTGATCGATAGCGACGGGGTAGGTCAAGAAGCCGAGAGAGTACGTTCCGAGAGGCTCCGTGCTGTCTGAAGGCATCATATCCAGGTATCCGACGATGCCAAAGGCAATGAAGGCGGCAGTGACCTCGTAGAGTGCATTGCTGGTACAGATGATGAGGGAGTCCTGCACGGCGCTTGCGAATTGACTGTTATAGCTTGCGTACGCTGTGAAGTACCCGAAGCCGACGCCGGTCGAATAGAAGACTTGACCGGTAGCGTCCTGCCATATCTGGCCAGAGGCGAGCTTTTCCGAGTGCCACTCGCCGAAGTAGAGCTTGATGCCGCGGCCGGCGTTCTCCAGTGAGACACCTCGACCAAGAAGGATGATTGTCATTATAATGGGTAGGCCGATGGTGAGGTACACGACTCTTCCTGTGATGGAGACGCCCTTATGGATGCATAGCCAGACGATCAGCCAGGAGAGAATGGTCCAGCCGATGAGCTCGCCAGAGACGCCTGTGTTGGGATAGGATGAGTAGCTCTGGACGCTGCCGCCGCTGATGACCCCCGGAATCGACTCTCGGTTTATGACGACATCGTTGTAGAAGAAATCTTCGGCTCTTCCTGTCCAGGCGAACGGCGAGCTCTGGAACGAGCTGCGGAAGTAGACCCATACCCACGACAGCATGGGAACGTAGTAGACGCAGACGATGTAGCCGGTGAAGACCATACCCAAGCCGACGCCACGGAGGCGCTTATCGAGCGCATTGAAGGCGTTGACCGTTCCGCTGCGGTGCGCTTGACCGATGGAGATCTCCAGGATGAGCACCGGGATGGCCAGGCACGTGATGGCGATGAGGTATGGAATGAACCATTGCAGACCGCTATTGTTGTACACCTGCGACGGGTAACGCAGCATGTTGCCGAATCCCATCGCTCCGCCCATCGAGGCCAGCAGGAAGGACGTGCGGGAGGGCCATTGTGCGCGGCCGTCCTCTGAGTAGGCCGGCGGCGGGAACATGGCATTCTTGACTTTGTTAAGGGTGTTCATCTTGGAAGAGTTGGGCGCTCTGAGCGCTGTCGTGGCGATAAACGTTGGTCGAGTGTTCACTGCAGAATCATGTGGATCGACTGGACTCAGTGGGGATCGAGGCGGCTATAACAGCTCACGAGGGGATGCACACCCTCCAAGAGGCGATGCAGCTATCTTATTATCGAGCCGGGTTGCCTCTTGGGACCAAGAATGGATTTGTGCCATTATCAATTCGCCCAGGGCTGAGTGACGTGCGCTCATGTAGGGTGCTTCCTATCGTGCTTGGGTGGAAGTGCGGGCAGAGGCTCTGTGTGGTGCCAACCCGGGCTCCCAAGGTCCATGAATCTTGGTCCTTGATACCCTGCCATCCTGCAGCATCGAGCGGCCTTCAAACAGGTAGCTGGGCGGTCCAAGCCAGAAGACGGTTGTTGCAGGTAGTCCATCGGCGTTATTTTCGCCAGTTCCATGGTGGTTGGCTTTAGTTCCGGGGAGTTGGCGTGTTCCGCGAAGGAAGAAGGACCGCAAGATTTAGTTGAGGCGGTCTTGGATGGCTTGGCCTTCGGATGTGGGCTTCCGTGCTGCTCTCCTTCGCCCGCTGAGCCTCCATCCCTACCTTATCTTTCTTGACCAAAGACTCCGAGGATCGAAGGCGTCCTCTTTTTGGTCACGCGACAGCCAATAGGAGATGGGTGTGCCGTTCAGGTCCCGTGGGGACTTGCTCAAGACGTCACGTGATAGAGCGAATCGAGCCTTACTTTCACTCCTCTACACTTCTCTGTCTATGACATTGCGCCTGTAGTCAGCTTCTCAGCCTTGCTCCAGTCTCAACTCACCATCCACGCGTGCTACTGTGATCCTCGAGAGCTCGCTGGGGACGGCCGCACAATGACACCGCCGGGCGCATTCGGATCATCTTCACCTCTTACCTCGAAACCAAGAGCCAGTTTCAAGTAGTACGCCTTCGCCTGCGTGGTCTGCAGAAAGATAGCCGCGCTCTCACTGTCTGCGACTGCCCCAGCACGTTTGACCAGCTGGCCACCGATGCCTTTGCTTTGATACTTGCGGTCGACACCCAGCAGATCAATCATCAGGTTCGACTGCTCTTGAAGGATCTTCTGACGGTCGCTGGCCTGCTCAACAAGCGCTTTCTTCAGCTCCTGGTGGTGGTCGTCCGTCAGCGGGACCAACGTGCAGATCCCGTCTCTCTTCCCAAGGTGAGCGTTCTCAGGGCGGTAAAGATGTAGTGTGAGTACTCCGATGACGGTCGCCTCTTCGACAGCTACCAGGATGGTATAGGCAGGGGACTGAATAGCTGAGGTATAGACTTTAGTCCACCAGTCGCGTATAGTCGGTGTGTCCGGGAAGATGAAGTTGAGAAAAGCGTCTGCATCGTATGCGCGCGGTATGATCATGGTCATCGAGTCGATATCCGCAGTGACGGCCTCTCGAATGACTATATCGTCTAGTAGTGTCGCCATGTTCTTCGTTGTGCTGCCTTGATTGGGGTTCAACAAGCTGACACTTGCCGATAAGCGTGCTTCGAGGAGAAAGAATGGTCGGATCCGGCATCGTCCTGGCTGCGATGGTGCGTTAGCTCGTTCAACTACGGTGAGTCTTTGCCGCTTCCGTCCACGGCAGCGGCATGACTCTCTTGGATGTTTGGTGCAGAACTCGGACGAAGAGGGACGGCGGGGTTATGTCAGCCTGGTCTCTTTGTCGAAGAAGCTGGGCCAACGTGTCCACCAAGAGGGCGCCGAGCTGTTCAACGTGTTATGTGGTCGTAGCGCCATTCTTGATGGCCGTGAATGCCGCATTGCGAGGGTCACGACACCTCGTAATAGTATCTGGACAGAGGCGCTGCAGTCTTCTGCTAAGCAGAGCGCGGCTATGCCATGAGAATCGGAACGACTAGTATGGCGGCAAGCACTCGCAGATCCCATGCGCCTTGTGTGGCGGTCAATTGTAATCTCTGTCCAGTCCAGAGCAGATTGAGGATTGTGTCGAGTGAATGCGCCCTTCTCAAGGTTGAAGGAGACCAACAGCAACAGTGAGGCTCCACTTGCTCTGTCAGACTCCTTTCTTCCTGTGACGAGCGTGCCATGATCCATTCGTCGAGTGATGGGAAGCAAAGGTACTCGAGTGTCTCTAGAACGTCCTAGTGTCCCACGAGGGGGTCGGAGATTGAAGTCGAAGGACTGGGCCAGGTGTGTATTCCTCTCGGTGTAGTCTGCAGGATCATAGGAGGCCAGGCCAGGAAAGCTCTCATGTGAACGCCGTCGAATTCGCCTGTGTCTCCACAGACCGAACACAGTGTCAATGCGGGCTGCCGACATCGCGCGCAAACGGATCGGAGACGGCGACGATCTTCGCAGGCAGGTGTTTCTGTGGCCACGAGCCGCTGCACGTCACACATCCTCAACCCGTCCTCTCTTTATTTCGCCTCCATCATCCAAGCTCTTTCTGTCCACGAAGTAACATCCCGGTCACGTTTTTGGCGAGGGAGGTAGACCGGCTGGCTATAGATGTAAAGACTACGTGATGAGGCAAACCGGAAGCCGAAGAACATCAGCGCGCAGCGCGCATGTGAAAGTCGCGTGACGTCGTGTCGCGTTGAAGCTGCAGTAAACAATGGTTGAGGTGTGCTGCTGGCGCTGTCGCTGTCGCTAGGTGCTGGCATGGAGACGGTCGATGGACGATTCGTGAGGATAGCGAGCGATGAGCCTTATCGTAGTGAACTTCAGGCATCCTGGTGAAGCTGAAGCCTGGGTCGAGTTTCCTCCCGACTGCTCTCAAGACTAGAGTGGATGGAGTAGAGAGCGAGTTACCAGAGTGCACCGCTTCCAGCAGAGCACAGTACTGAGAGATGAAAGTCTACATCTGCTGTCAGCATTTGGAGCCGCCTGGAGCAGGCACAAATGAACGTCCGTGGCGCTTGTTGATCCTTGCGAAAGCCCCTGCCTGCGCTTACGCCTGCCGGCGCGAGCTTTGATCAGTCGGGAACGTGAGGTCCAAAGGCGGAGAGCGTTGTATCGGACTGGCTGCATTCCAGCGTGTATCCCGGGATAGTGGCAATCGCGTATGTGTTTCTTGTTGCCGGCGATGATACTTGTTGTCGAACTGGGAACGTCTTGCGCGGTTTGCGTCGTCTTTGAGGACGCGTGTTGACGTGGAAAGTTGCCGCCGGGATGTGCGGCCCGCTGCCGTCTGAGCTAACCCCATCTAGCAGGAAGAGATGCGCAGGGCATGTGATGGTAGAGGTATGAGGCTCGGTGCAGTCTTCGTACTTGAAAGTGCCGGTGGCGGATTAGACGACGACGTTTGATCAGGGAACCATCGGGTCGGACTGGAATCATTACGTGGAACCCATGCATTTACAAGCTACATATGTCTGTATTTCCAGCGAGCCTTTCAGAGCCACACCGCTGCACTAGCGTTGCTCAGAAGTTGAGACCTTGTCCATGCCTTCCAGAGCAGCACCGCCGCAGGAGCGTTGTTCGAGAGGCGCCTGTGACCGACGGCGATCATGCCCATCATCACCTGAGTAGTAATGGGCAGGTGGCCTCGCAAACCCCCTCAGCGCCGCGCAAGAGCAACATCACAGTGCTCGTACGACAATACCGCCTCCTTGTGGTAGCAGTACCACTGACGTAGCAGAAGGCGCCTTTGGAGGGTGCCACTCGGAGTACCCTCGTGAGAAATGTGTAGTCCGACGAGAGCAACCCGAGGGCACCAGCACCCCTTCGCCTCTCGTCCACGATACCGCACGGCAGGGCCAGTAGCATCGTGGACGGAGACTTGGTGATCCCATCCCCACGTGACTCTCAGTGGGAGAATTTGTCTGTCCTTGACCAGCAGGTCTGCTAACACATGGTCTTGCTCCTTCGAAAGTCTAGCGGCAGCCTGCTGCTTGCAGAAGAGCTCAAATGTGGAGCTTAGTCATGCTCCAATTTTCTTTGACATCGTCCAAAGGCACGAAAGAGAATCGTGATTCCATTCATCTGGTGTCGTGTTGCACAATTCCCAAGGGAACTCGTAGAAGCGCTGTCCGGTTGCTGGGTTTGTGTACAGTCTGTACCGCAATGTTAGTATGACGTGTCCGTTCCAGGGGAGCAATCTTGAGCGAGAACAAGTTGTACCTACTTCATTACTGGGTGCGGAGGGGCTGGGCGCGGAGAAGGGCTTGGGTCAACGTGAAACTCCGGGCGAGCGTTGACATTGATATTGGGCCCTCCTGAGCTCATTGCAGGCCGAATACCTGGCCGATTCAATGAATCGTTCCCAACTCGTTGATTGCTGCAGCTTGGCTCAGCAGGATGTTTCGGTCGAGCGTTGACGTTGTTGTTGAGCCCTGCCGAGGTCGAAGGAGGCTGGAGCTCCAGGCGGTTGTTCCGGTTGTTGCCGTCTGGTAGCTTGACGTTTCTCGGGTCAGCATGATGTTCCGGCCGAGCGCTGACGTTGTTGTTCTGCGCTGCCGTATTGGCGGCTGGCTGGAACTCTGGTCGTTTCAGGGTGTTGTTGTTCATCTGTGCGCCTGAGCTAGACGCATTATCTGGCCGAGCGTTGAAGTTGTTGCCGTTGTTCCTGAAGTGGCTTGGATTGCCTATGCTGAGATCCGAGCCGCGCATACGAGCACCACCATACCTGTTGCGACCCTCTGGTCCCTCAAGCACGGTAATGCCCGACTCTGCATCGGAAGTCCCAGTGTACTCCACATGGTGACCTCTGAGCGTGGGGCGCAAACTGCCATCCCGATTTCCGAAATTGGTCGAGCTGCAGCTCTCTGATCCGATATGTGTGCGACCTTGCGCATTGCGGATATGCCTTTGCTGGTCATGCCGATTGCGGCTGTCTGCGTTTGTTTCGTCGGCGAGCTGGGCCTGGATTCTTCTGAGCTTGAGCTCTGCTGCCTGCTGTTGCAAAAGCTTTTGTTCTTCCAAGGAATCCGTGCCGCGGCAAGCTGGGCGCCTGCGGTTATCCTCATCTTCGCGGTTGTCTCAGTAAGATCCGCGGGTTTCCGCACGACGAGATGCTGCGGCATCTGACCAGTTTGCATAGCTGTTTGTGGGTGCGGCCATGCTCTGATACGACTGTTGACCCATGCTCTGAGGCGGTTGGGCCATGCCTTGCTGCGGGGACTGGCCCATGCCTTGCTGGGGCGGCGGTTGACCATACTGATTTGCTTGAGAAGCAGCTTTCAACGCTCCCAGCTGGGCACGGCGTTTCCGTTGCTTTGTCGAGTTCTTGTTCGTGCTCAACGTAAGCGGCGGCGGTGGTGGCGGAAGAGGCGCGCCTCCCATGTTGCCGCTGAAAAAGTGCAAGCCGTGGTTCGATGGCACCTGACTTGGCACAAAGTTGTACGTAATTGGCACGAAATTCTGCGGTGTGAAGTTTGCAGGCTGATAAGCCGGATTAACTGGGTATGGTTGCGCGAAAGGAATGTGCTGCATGCTCGGCATAAATTGATACCCCTGCTGCGTTTGCTGGTTTTGCTGGTAGGTCTGCTGCTGTTGCTGGTAGGCTGTTCTTTTCCTTTCTCTTGCCAGGTTGGCAGCCTTGGATGCTTGGAACTCTGCGATTGTCGTCCTCGTTGGGTCGCAGGTCAAGTAAGGTGGTGCAGTGCGGCGACGATTCTTCTCGAAGCACCGAGTGCATTGTTGCGGGTATCGGGCGTTCATATCACACTGCGACACGAGGTAGGTCAGCTTTCGTGTCTTCTCTGGGTCCCCTTCTGCATGATCGTGATGGCCGCTTACGTCATGGTTGCCTTCAGCCGTGCATGGATAGCACACGGCGGCCCTTGGACGCGTCATTGTGCTTGAATGCGTGAAGGTGAGAACTGTGTGGACTGAGGTGAAGGAGTTTCGGTCAGAGGCTGCTAGCGGTGTAGTGACGTTGCTCAGATGGTCCCGCTAGCGCGTTTTCGATACTGATATCGCTTCGTCTCTCTGCGTCATCCATGTTCTTCCTCTCACCAAGCAGACACCATGGCGCCCAACGGATATTACACGGCCGTGTGCTATCCTTGCACGGTTAAAGGCAAGCATGAGGTAAGTCTGCTACTAGATGGAAGCAATAGAAGGGGAGCTTATGAGCTGACTCACGTCGTAGTGCGACCTGGTGCGAAAGTACCCGGAGCCTTGCACCTCATGCGCCAGGCAGAATGCCCTGCGTCCGACAGGGATGGCCAAGATCACATGCGACAGAACAAGAATGACAATGGAAGAATACCAGCGCACCTTGACTGCGGACAAGCAGAAGTCAGCTCTGGCGCAACAAGCCAGCGCCCAAATGGCGACCTACCCGGTAAATCACGTCCAGGCACAGGGCCCGAACAGCTTCGTCTTACCGTACAACCCTGCGCAAGCGCACATGCTCAATCCAATGGCCGGTATGTTCAACATCAACCCAGTGGCCGGCATATTCAATTTCAACCCAATGGCTCCGGTTCCATACCCAATGTACAGCTTCCTCGCAGGTGGAGGAATATTACAAATGCCGCTCATGCCGCCCACGAAGAGTCGCAGCGCAAAGAAGCATCACAATCGCAACAGAAGAGTCAAGGAGACGAAGCAAATGGAGGAGGCAATGTTCTCGCGCCGAGCAGAAACCCGCGAATCCAGTGAGGGCAGCGAGGAAGAATCGCGCAAGCGCAAGACTGCCGAGCGCGAACGTGAAAAAATCCGAGAGGAGCTGGCCCAGATCACCGACACGCGCGACATGCTGAATTCTCGATCGATGGAGCTTGTTGAAGAGCTCAGGAAGAAAAAAGAGGGGCATGAGCGAGAGCGCGGATGGCGCGAGGGCAATGCTTCGCGTTTGGTGGACCCTAGGTCTCATCTGCCGCACTTCAAGACCGAGCGAGATGGCAATGCGGCGCCCAATGCCCCAATTGGCCAAGGGTCAATCGTCCGGCCCGTTCAGGAAGGCCCTCTCATGCTTGCTGGGCCATGGCCATCTGCGGGTGGTGCACCTGAGAATCGTCCTTCAGCCTCTGCGACAGGCCTCGGATCATCGAACAACATGATCGAGCGGCCGAATGCCGAAATCTTCCCGAATCTCCCGGGACTGGGCATCGTGGTCCATCAGCCAAATCACCAGAACTTCCCGACTGTTCCTGTACTGGAGAACCGTGTTGCTATAACCAATAAGCCGAATTGTGAGGGCTTCCCGATAGAAATTCGACCGGGTGGAGGGGCTGGCGCAGTCGAAAGGCCGAACTGTGAAGACTTCGCCGAGGAGAACCATGGCCTACCAAATCCGACATGACATCGAGAGCAATTGCCATCATTGTGAGCGGCGGGTACGTTGGTGTTGTTACCGGACATCAATGTTGTGTATGCTGCCTCTTTCGGGGTGACTGCGGCGGTACTGTCTGCAGAGAATGGGGGCGTGCTGTCTACGGACGGTATGAGGCCGAGCGGAGGCTTGTGATGGTAGCTTTGACTGCGTAGCAACATTCCGTCTCTTCCTGCGCGACTCTCTTGCCTTCTCGTGACCTCCGTTTCTCTTCTGTCGTGAACTGTGATGCATTTGCTGATTGCCAATGATCTTACCGCCTGCGCAGTGGACATGGGTCGCGGAAGACAGTGGAACGGACTGTGAAGTGCGGAGGTTGTGACAAGCGTTGGAGCTAGGACAATGGTCCGAGCCGTTTCATCTCGTCCCGGCAGATCCGAAAGGAATGCTCCTCCCGCTGCTACAACCAGCTCAGAGCTATACATGCTCCATGATATGAGATTCTATGACCTCCGAACCTGCTGCTTCAAGGTGAGCCGGTAGCGCATTTCCAGCGTTGCTGTGATGATTGACTGATCGTAGGCAAGGCGGTTCCTTCTGTCGAAAGATCTCATAGGGTCCTCGTTGGTTCTGTCCCCTTCCCTGCTGCATCATCCTCAAACCCAAGGCTCGTGAGCAGCATACTCTAGTGTAGTTTGGGTCACGGAGACTGCTACTCCTTCTGGTGGTCTGCCGTTCCACCTGAAAGACTCGCATTCCTGAATAGCAGCTCAGCCTGACGATACAGTCGTGGAGATTTTCTTCGGACAGGACAACGGTACGAGAATGATCGGGCTCGAGGAGAAGGCATGCCATCTTGGTGAGATGAGAATCGTGAGGACAGCTACATAAAGCTATCACTCGGCCTCCCTCTATCGATTTTCTGTCCGCCGTTCAATTAGATCAACGCTTCCTCGGCGGCAGAAACACGTTCAATATCCTCCGCGGAATCTTCTTGAACCTCACGCCCTCCCACAGCCCCACCACCTCCCCGTCCTGCAGTACATACACATCCCCCTCCAGTATGCTGCTGTCGCTCGGCATCGGCTTCATGTGGACGTAGTTCTGGATGTCTGCACCCGGATAAGGATTGAAGCGCGGCGTGATCTTCATCCCGTCGAAGCCGTGCGAGATATAAGCGTTCTTCTTGATGTCCTCATCAGCCGTGTTGCAAACGAAGCCAGAGACGTGGCAGGAAGCGTCGAGGTAGTATGGACCGAGACAGTCTTCCGCCGGATCTGTCTGCAGAGCGAGCTTTGAGGTAGCCTCCAATGCCTTCATGTCGCACACCACTTCCGCCATGTTCTGATACTTTGGCCCGTAGTCCACGAAAGATCGGAAGAGGTCATATGCCTTCTTCGTATGCATGAGCTGCACGTCTCCCGAAGCTTCCGTCTGAGCCCTGGTCCACAGGTTGGCGATCTTGCTCTTCAACAGACCAGCCTGACTGCTCCACTCCGCCAGCCAGTTGTAGTAGAACTCAAACTCGATCGTACACTCAGCCAGATCTTCGACTTTCTTCCCATCGGGCTTGATCTTGCGGAAGGTGCAGTGGGTGGTGGCGTCGATGATGTCGCCACAACTGTTCTCGGGAACGACCAGATTAACCTCCATCTCCAGCCATTGTCCCTCCGGAGGCTGTGGCTCCAGCGCGATGTAGGTCTTGGTCACCTCCATGTGACCCACGTTGATACCTGGCGCCTCTGCATCCTTGCCGCGGTAAGCTCGCCAAATGTACTCACCCACCACGGCAGCCATGTCAGCGTAGTGTCCTGACGAGACCAGCGCAGCGCCGTTGCAGATGTGCTGGTCGATGGTGGGCCATAGCTTTGGATCGCCGAGGTTGGAGCGGATGAGAACTCTGGCAGTGGTTGCTGTGAATTCCTCTTCTACGACCTGCTGGCAGGAGGGCGAGAGGTACTTCAGGACTTTCAATGTCGTGGTTGCTGCGACGGTGGCGGTATGAGACATGACGAAGTCAGCAGGGAGTAGAGGAATAGTGCTTGCTGTGTTGATGACCGTAAACTTGCTTGAAGGAGAATGAGAAGAAGAATGATGATGGTGAAGCAGTGTTGGGGCGTGATGTCGAAGCAGCTTTATGGGAACGTGAACTGTACTTATCCTGATTCTCTATTCCTTGGTGACAGCTATACTTGGTACTGGGTATGATCATCTGTTGACAGCATTTTCAGCCGACGTTAAATCTCGGAGGATGATGGGGGCCAGAGTTGATTGAAGAGGTGAAGTACGAAGCTGGAAAATGCTCCGATGTTGCACTCGGCGGGCAGTCGGCGCCGATGTTTCCTGATTGGCCAAAGGGTAGAGATGCTCAGTGTGCGACGCCGTCTAGATGGGATTCACTGAAGACGGTAGGCGATGAATCGAACTGGTTGTGCTGACTTGTCTCGCTGGATGAGACGTTCACCATCGCCTAACAAGATGGACGTCTCCCCATACGTACCTTATCTCACCTCTCCAAAAACCCAACATTCAACATCCAAACCACACCCATGGCACTGAGCACGATCTCGACGGGGCGAAGCGTGTGAGGGAGTGGGAAGCACGAATGCGAGCCCTGCCAGTGGTCTTCTCGCACCGGCAACAGAGTCTCGTACATTGGTGCTACAGTCGCTCAGCAGATAGAAACGCCTCCCAGAATGCATACCAAATCTCCAAGCGCTGTCAAATCATGTTACATGCCCATTGGCTCGCCCGCCTCCTCTCACCTCCTCTTCCTCGTCATCGGCAAGCGCATATCGATCCTTCCCGCCAGGCCCAAGATCGTCCAGTTCAGCTTCATCAAACTCTCTCGCAGCCTCGACATCTCTTCTTTCCCTCGCTCTACCGCCGTCACCATCATTATATGGCTCATCGGTTCGTACACCCTTGTAGCCTGCCCGTCTCCTTCGAGATCGCCAGATAAAGATACCCCAAGCACCCGCAGCGACGATGACAACAGCCAGAGCGGCCTCGCCAGATCTTTGATAAGCAGCCCACGTCGCTGCGTCAAGCTTATCCTTCTCCTCTTCCGTAGCCGGCTCGGTGGTCTTTGGCGGCGAAGGCTCCTTTGGTGGACGCGGCGGCTTGGGCTGTGATGGAGGCTTAGGCCTTACAGGTGTGTTGTCCTCGCCATCGATATGGCTGTCTCCAGCAGGACTGCCTACTTCTGCATAATCGACACCCATGACTCTGGTCAGCATGTCTGCCGCCCGCGCAGGATAGTCGAAGGGTACCATGTGGGACGAATCGTAGAAGCGGACGTAGGTAAGGTTGCGCGCAGTCTGCCATTGGCCTGCTGGTTGGCCATCAAAGGTCCAATCTCGTTTGGCCGTGCTCTTCATGCCGGTGTCCCCATTCCACTTGAGGTTGTCGATTATATTCTCGGTTCCAATGTGGTTGCAGATGAAGTCTTTGTCGCCAGAGAATAGCACGATGGGCATCTGCTCCAGCAGACCTGGCAGCAAAGTTTTGGCAGGCTTGCTGTGGGTAGCGCTGAACGCGTGATTAACCTGATTGTTGCATTCCGTCCAACCAGTCTTTTTGTCGGGACTGATGTTCAATGCTCTGGTCACATCGTCGCGGCGGAGATACGGCGTGACGTACTTGAGGTCCGGAGGCCAAGTCATGCCACAACTGGGATATTCGTCTTTGAGGCGAACATCATAAACGTTGTAGCACTTGTTGTCCGAGGTTTTGAGATCGCGATTCATGCCCATCATGACCAGTTCGCAAGCTCCGGTGTCGACTTTGTCCTTGCCGCCGTCATCCAGTGCCTTTTGACACTTCTCAAACTGGGCCTTCGCATTGTCATCGGCTTCACTACCCTCCTTCAACATCCCGGACTCATAGCCAAACGGAATGTAGGACTTGTACTGATCCTCTCCAGAGATCCAGCCGTTGCCTATTATCAAACCCTTCAGATTCCACGCGCCAATCAGCTTGGCTTTGTTGAACGAAGTATTTCGGTTGCGCATGAGGATGTGCGAGGCGATGTAGGGAATGTGCTGTCCAGCGTAGGACTCTCCAGCCAGGTACAGCTACATCACCACCGTTAGCAAGCGTCCAACAACCTTACAGCAATGGACTATCTTACATCGTCATCAGCGTAATCTGGGAAGATGGCGAACCACTTCTCGAGGAATGTAATCATCTGATCCGCCATCTCGTCCAGCTCATGCACAAGCGCATTGCCATCCACAAAGCTGAAGCCAGTAGCTACAGGATTGTCGATGAACAGCACGTTGGCGAACTGATCCCAACTGCCATTGTTCAGCCGCAAGTTCCCTCCCTCTTCCACCCTGTACGGCCCAATCTCCATCAATGCACCATCCATACTGCTGCATCCTGGCCCGCCATTGAACCATATCACGGTCCGTCTCTTGCTCCCGATATGCCGGTTCTGGAAGTGCCAGAAGAAGAGATTGCCATGGTGCTCGGGCGTAACCTCAATATGGCCAGCATGCATCTTCAGAAGAGGCTCGGGGGCGCCAGGCAGGGAGGACACGTAGAAGTCTGCCGCGGAATGCCCTTCCGCGGAGACCTTGGGTATCCATAGCAGGCCGAGCAATGTTATGGCAGCAAAGAAGACGGGAGACCATGGGTTGGCTATGCGCCGCCGAAAGGGCGGACATCGTGTATGCGGCATTGAGATGAAGGTCGAGGGGGTGTCGGGGGAGTAGTACTATCGCGCCAGCATCGAGGCAAGAACAGATGACCATTAAACGATCGCAGAGCGCCAGTGTTATCTCATCGTGTCCCAGCGTGTAGTGTTTTGTGGTCGGCCAACTCGCTCGAGGCTTACGTTGCCCTCTATTGACACCTCACCTGGACCTTGCTGGACATCAAAGACGATCACGTGCATGATCACGAGACCAGGCGTCAGCTTTTGCCAAGACCTCGCCGCGTCGCGTCATCCGCCGGCGCTTTCCCAGCTCAACGACAACACTATCACCACATCCTCTATTCGCGCTCTGAATCACCAACCCCACCAGATGCGATAACAACACAGAATGCCTTTGTAAGCCGAGAAAGAAGTATGCGTTCGCATTGTACTGATACCGGGCAGACCAGGCGACCAGCACAAACCGACACCCGCGACGACGAACCCATTCCTCGAGCAGAAGCAACACATCACCGAGTATAGCGCAGCTGAGATCGCCACCCTCCAATACCACCTCAACAAGCAGCTAGGCCCGGAATATGTCTCGACACGTCCCGGAGCTGGCGGCGGCAAGGTCCACTACTTGGCAGCGGAGAAGGCGATAAACTTGGCCAACGAGGTGTTTGGCTTCAATGGCTGGAGCAGTAGCATTCAGAACGTGCAGATTGACTTTGTGGACGAGCATCCGCAGTCGGGCAAGATCAGTCTAGGACTCAGCACAATAGTGCGCGTGACGATACGGGATGGGACATTTCACGAGGATATGGGCTACGGCCACATCGAAAACTGCAAAGGCAAGGCGGCTGCTTTTGAGAAAGCAAAGAAGGAAGCTGTGACTGATGCGATGAAGAGGGCGCTGAGGAACTTTGGCAACGTGCTGGGAAACTGTCTGTACGACAAAGACTACCTGCAGAGGGTTCAGAAGATCAAAGTGCAGCCGAGTCGATGGGATGCAGACAAGAATCTCCACCGGCATCCGGACTTTGCGCCTATCAAGCAGGAATCGGCAACTGGAGGTGGCGTTCAGCAGAGAGCAGCGCAGCAGAGACATCCCAGCGCGCAAAGCAACAACTCGTTTGGATCTGGGGTGGAGATGGAAGACGACTTCGGCGGCAATGCTTTCGACGAGACTGACTTTGATCATGCGGATGGCATTACAATGGACGACGTTACGATGGAGACACCAGATAAGAGCGCAGCAACTGGGCCAGCCCATGCAAGTGAACAGCAACAAGGAGTGTCAAGAATGCATTCGATGCCACAGAGGCGACCCCCGAACGTCCAGGCCGCCCAGCCGATTCAGGCCCCACAGACGGCACAACGGCCACAAGGAGCGCAAAGACCAGAGGCCAACGCTCCTCAAGGCCCACCTCCAGCTCGTATGCCGCCTCCTCAGCAACCGGTGAATCATCCACACACCGGCCAGGCTCCTGCACCTCCTCCGCCCAACAGAGACAGCAAGGCCTCAAAGTCAAACTCATCGTCAGTGACAGCAGCGGCAGATACTGCATCGACACCGGAGGATTTCCCCATGTCTGACGCGTTTTCCGCTCCACGGATGCCACCCCCTGGCAACCCAGAAGGTTTCGTGACTGGCCGGAGTGCAGAACTGCTGAACCAGCCTGCAGGATCGCGGCCTCCAAATGTCACCAAGGCACAGCCCTTCAACCCGCACGTCGAGGCGACAACGATACGCCGGACACCAGGACTCAATCCGGGTAAGAGTGCGCCAATCACAAGATCCACGATACAGCAGCAGAACCAGAACGGCGACGGTCAGCAGACTCAAGCAAGGCAGCATCCAGGGATTGCTGCAGGACCACCATACCAGCAGCGGCCACAGAGCCCCGCGCCACCTCATGCCAATGGATTGAATGGTGCCACCACTCCAGTCCGCGCGAACTTCGTCAACCCATCAGCAGATACGAGTCGGCGGATTGGCATGCCCGGCGGTATGCAAAACCGCGGAGGATACAAGCCGCCAACCAGCGTAAACAGTCCAGCTGGTGGTGCGCTTGGCGGGGGTGTCAAGAGGGCACCGTTGACAGACGTGAGCAATCTCCAGATGCAGCAGACGGATGGTCCAGCCGATCCGAAGAAGCCAAAGCTTGACCACCCAGAGAAGGCGATGAACGAGGCTGTCGGTGGAGAGCAGCACCAAACGACCGACGCTTCTGCGGCAGCGGTGTCTGCGCAGTAGTGCTTTGCTTTTTGCTTGACGACGGCGATCATGAATAACAGCGATTTGCTTTTTGCTGCGTTCAGCCGGATGAAGAAGGGATGTCACCTGCTGGGGCATTCCATAGAAGAGGCACACTGGCTTCATTGGCACATATGTCAAACCTCTGTCTGCATCTCTTAGCCGTCCTTGGATTTCCGTGCATTAGGTAGGCCAACAAAATCCTCCATTTCGCCAGTGCCTTTGACGCTCTTGGAGCTTCGGCTCGTCGCGTTACTCTCGGTTTGTCCTCCCTTTCGCACACCATCTTCGTCCTCTCCAAGTAAGGTAGAGATCAGCTTCACCTTCGCCTTCGCATCCTTCAGTCGGTCGTCAAATTCGGACACAGCATCCTCTGAGTTATCCGTCGCGATCGTCTCCGGGTCCGTGAGGTCCTTGAGCCTTCGCACATGCTTCTTCACTCTGTCAGTGGCATGGATTTTCACGCCTTGGGCCTCGCCACCTTCCGGAACCGGGCCCGCCAGACGAGCATCCCAGATACTCGCTCTACCGGCTAATCTGCCCATTTCTAAGAACTTCTCAAAGCCTTTCTCCGTGCCGAAGACTCGTCCTTCGAGACGGCCGGCTCGTGCTCCATCGGAGAGGCCGAGCTGGTAGCCTTCCGTGTGGTATTGCTGTTCCAGGGAGAGGAGAGAGTCGAATGGGTCGTCTGATGAGTTTGGCTGGCTTCTAGGGTCGTTCATAGTTGATGTTACCTGTCTGTCCACCTGTCTCGCCGCTGGTGGGAGACTCGGATTTTGATCTATCACAAGTGAGGTCGAAGAAATGGTCTTGGCAAGGCAAATCTCGGATTCTTCCCACGACACTTCGTGTTCTGGGCTACGAAAGTTCACAGCATTGTCTCGCAAAGATGAGTGCAAATGGCGAGATATCCCTTGATGGCAGGCCTACAATCATAGTAGAACACCTCGACCCCGAACTCGAAGACTGGCAAGCATTGGAGTACAAGTGCATCTCTGAAGAATGCACAAACTCAGCTCCTCAGTGGCATTTTCTCCTCTCAGGACTTCCTTCTGCCTCAGACGTTGGCAAGCAGCTATCGCTTCCCGCGACGAGTCTCACAGAGCAAAGCGTAGAGACTCTATACCAGGGCGATCGACGAAGCAAAGTCTGCCTACTTGACCCGAAGGCTGAGAAGGACTTGAGTCCAGAGGACGGCGAGAGTTTCGATGTGTTCTTATTCGGCGGCATACTGGGAGATGACCCGCCACGAGGTGCGTATTGCGTTACACAGAGATGAGATCATGTTAATCTGAAACCAGATCGGACTGGCGAGCTGCGAAAGATGGGCTTCGCCGGACGGCGCCTGGGTACCGAGCAGATGACGACGGACACTGCCGCGAGGGTTACGAGGATAGTGGTAGCTGATCGTCGTAGGTAATCACAAACGACCTGATGACTGGACCGCCACTGACTATATATCGCCTGCAGAACACCTAAACGACATCTCGTACGTCGACCGGCCAGACATTGCTCTGCCAGCGAGCTCGGGTGAGGGCGAGGCTTCCTCCGAGAGCGTCAGCATGCCGTTTCGCTATGTGAAAGGCAAGGACGGGAAGGCGGTCATGCCGAAGGTAAGTTCAATCGAGCTGCTCCGCTCTCGAACAACTGCCTTGTGATACTAAGTGGTGCACAGGGCATGCTTGACCTTCTGGCAAGCGACGCGGACAAGGATATCATGGATTTGCTTTGAACAGCTGTAGGAAACGCAGGGACGTACTCTGATGGCGAAGGCTAAAAAAACATCTCCAAGACGATGAGCGCGAAGAGGGTCCAATTGACTGAGCGGAGGCCTTCTAGTATGTCGTGAGAGGGCTCCGAACGAGATGGCATTCCAAGTGCCTCTTGGCTCAAGCCTGCTCCTCCGTCGAGCCATGTAGCGCAGAGAGAGTGACACACTCAGACATACGTGCTGTCTCTAGATTCTCACGTGGCTACGGCTCCACGCTCCAAGCCTTTCGCAGCAAGGTTTAGACTGTTGTGGACATGTTAGGTGTAGCTACTTAGGGCTAGATACTGACAATCACGAAGACGAGCTGGCCAGATCCTGTCCTTTGAGGTTCCACCTCACTCTCGCCAACCCTCCTTGTCCCGTCAGCCACATCTCCGTTAGATCATCTCCCACCCACGCCATGTTCTGCACCACAAAATCTGTTTGAATGCGCACAATCAACACACCATACGGGTCCAAGACGTCAACACCGTACCCAGTGCCGGTCACGATGTACCCATTCGCCGCCACCTTGAGACCATCTGGAACCCAGTCCTGGGCATACCAGATCGGCCGCTTGTTGGCAATATGAGTCCCGCCATCCGTCAAGTCGTACTTGTACACCGCACGGAGACCAGTTTGGTTGAACGGCGACCCAGGAGGACCGCCAGCAACGATCGATCCTGTCTCAGCCCCCGTCTCAGAAATGTAGATGTGCTTGCACTCCGGATCCATGGCTATACCGTTCGGCTGGACAATGGTGTCATCCACCACCTGTACCACGCCCGTCTTTGGATCAAAGCGGTAGCTGGCGGACCGGAGCTGTGGTGGAGTATCGACTAAGCGATTGAACCAAGAATACTGCGGGTCTGTGAACCAGATAGCGCCCGTCTTGTCGACGAACAGATCATCCACTGTATTGAAGTAGAAGCCAAAGTAGTTGTTGAGCAACACCTTCGTCTTGTTGGTGTGTGGGTCCAACGTCTGGATGCCCGGTCGTTGCTCGATTCCTCCGATGCTGGTGTTGCCGCCAGAAGCTCCCCAGTAGATCAGGCCATCGTGGAAGGTTCCACCGTTCGGAGCATACACTGGTGGATCGCTGAAGAACTCGCTCAGAGTTGGTGGGTCGCTGTTGAGATCAATCACCAGCTGAGGCTTCAGCACACCAGCCGGAGGCGCAAGATTGCTCAAGAACAACTTGTTCAAGCTCGGTACATAGACAGGTGCCTCGTGCACGGCTTCCGAGACATTAAAGACTTTGTCGTAAGTCGGACTTGATCCAAGTATCTCCAATGCTCGCTGTTGGTCGAACACGAGGAAGTTGGCTCTGCCAACGAGACTGAAAGAAGTGTCGTTCGGGACGTGTGTCTTCGCAAACGGTATGTCGTTTGTCCCTTCGCTCGGCTTTCGATAAAAGTGATAGGGCATCACGGAGGCGTAACGGTTCACGCAGACGACATTGGAGCTGGAAGGTCCGCACGACTGTGCCAGTGGTGGATTAACTCCAGGTGGTAAGTTTTGCGAAACAGCATAATGGAGCAAAGAAGATATGAGGAGTAGACTCTTGAACGCCATGTTGGTATTGATGATATGACCTACGCTGTTCGAGCGGCTGTGGTCGTACCGCGCAACTTTTATACTCAACTTGATCATGACATCAAAACGACCGACGAGTCAATACCCATGTTCAACCCCTCTTCTCGCAAGGCGTTTTCGATGGAGAAATGATGGAGATGAAAAGCCGGTTGTTGTCGGCGGGGTAGAAGCTGGAGTGTGAGATGATCGTTCGCACGCCCTCGTCTCCATGTGCCGGAACGTGGAATTGTTGGTGATCCGTGATCGGACTTGCCTCATGATTGTGACTTCATGCGGAGGGAAACCCGATGCTGGAAGCGGTAATAAGCCTTCCAGAGAGGAAATAAGCTTGGCTGAGCATCGCTATCGCAGTCAAGTCAAGCACGTCAAGCACGTCAAGCACGATCAGGCCGTACTTCCTATCTTGGGAAGAGAGAATCTCGAGATCTTTGTCGACCAGTAGTCTACCTCCAAGCGAGCATCTGACCAAACGTATGCACCGCGTAGCTTGATGAGAAGTTCTCAGAGAAGCGACCAATGTCTACATGCTGACGAGCAGCCGCTCAACATCAGATCGTACGACGGAAGCATTCCAACTTCCTGAGGCCCTTCCCTGTGAGCCTGTGAGCCCAATGAGCCTCGTGCTGCTCTCCCATGTTGCGCTTGCCACCTGCTGTAGCACCTCGGAGGATGCCTGGGACGAGAGACAGATCGGTTGCAAGGATCCTACGTTCTGTATCTCGGTGATCTGATCTGATCTAATCATCGTCCTCGTCGCCACTGAGCATGTCCATGATCTGGAGAATGTTGGTATGGCTGTCGGCTTCCGCTGCAGGTACTACCAATCTGCCTTCATCAGTGTCCTGTTCCTGCCCGTCCTCGAGTCTTGGAGCCAAGCTGACTATGCGAATAGTCTTCGTTGGAAACATTCTGAAGCGATTGGGCTGCTGAGGACCCGCTCCCTGCACCTCAGTCTCTCGACGTCGCCAGCCCAGCGTGGTATACGTTGACATGATACAGTCATCATAGATTGCCATGAAACTGACGGGAACCGCGAGTTGAATCGCTGAGCTTGTAGCAAAAGCATACGACTTTGTCTCGATGGTGTCGATGTTGCCGTCTTCAAGCAACGCCACCACATACACTCGATCCTGGACCTCGAACATAACGCGATTGTTCCGGATGGAGAGCCAGCCGCCCATGTCCCAGTTTGATCCATCAGACTCTTCGCATTCGATGATGGTCGTCAATTTCGCAAACTCGTTTGGATCTTTTAGGCATCGTCGCCAGTCCTGGCAAACCATTACACGGCCACCGCGGGAGATGCCGACAAGGATGGGGCCAGAAAACAATGCAGCACCCCACTCGTCGTCTTCGAGTGTCAGAAACTCTTCGTTTTGGTCTCTGACTAGCGGCCCGCCAATAACGTCGATGGGAGTGAGGCGATTCCGGCTCGGTCGACCAGGCGGAAAGGGCTCAGCTGAGGGTAACGCATCCAGAGCGTTGCCGGTGAATATGATATCGTTGCCCTCCGAGGGCGGGTGGAGGATATGGCAGACGAAAGCGTTTAGCTTCGGATCGATGATTCCCATCTTCGCTCCGGTGTTCTTGTCATAAAGGTGATAGCCCTTCTTGCCCATGCAGAACATTACGACATCCTCGTTCTGGTCGAGGTGACCGACGGCCTCTTGCTCTATGGTAATTGCCGTCCGTAGCTTTGGCGGATCCTCCATGACGTCGTATACAAAGCCCTTACCGTCGATAGACACAACGCATAACGTGTCGTACGACAGTTGAAACCCTCGTGTCTGACAATCGTGCGGTAGAACGGCGACTCGCCGATATTCTCCACGAGATAAGCCTTCAATGCCAGTCTTCCACACTTGCAGAGAGTTTCCCTCGCTGTCAAACACAAGAGTTCCATCCTGGTATTCGAGATGGGCGAATGGCCGCACCTCGTCTCGAGAAAGCCGCCACAGAAGACTGCCGCTGTCCATGCATGTGACGTTCAGTCCTCCTTGCTGGCTTGTTGATACGATGAGTCGACGCTCGAAGTCTGGTCGAAATCGCCACACCGCATCTTCGCCTACTTGTACGATGGATTCGCGAGTCACAGGCTCGCCGGTCTCCCATGCCCGCGCAAGCAAAGTCTGGCGCTTGCAGAGGTCTTTCCAGGACCCGGTCGCATCGAAATATTTCGCGAAACTCTGCTTCTTGCTGAGAAAGGCAAAGTCGTGGCTGTTGGAAGGCCGCTGAATCTTCGACGGCGAGCCGTATATTGCGTCCTGATGGGTAGTGTCGATGAATGAATGCCACGACCGGTTGAGGCGGGTGAGGCTCGCAACGGTCGACACAGGAGAGACATCCAGTATGCGAAGCACAATCTCCGCTGGCAATTCTTTCAGAGGATCCATTTGATTCGAATAGAGATGGTCGGGATGGTATCCGGAGATGTTGTGGTCGAGTTAATGTACTTGCAAATGAGGCTCAAAACCAGAAAGGTGTGGGATCATTTTTGTGGGGCTTCAAGGAGCCTCTCCAAGAGATCACTCACACCCAAGACACACTTCCACGACAACATACATGTACTTGCGTCGGCTGCTGCTACGGATACAATGACACCTACATACCAGTTTCTAGGGCGGCTGGTATCGCACACCATCGACATACCCTTGCGGCCTTAGCCTGCTGCCGCCTTCTCGCAGTCCTCCCAATGCCGCTTCCACTCTCCAAACGCCACGGTCGGCCTGCCATCTACAATGAACTCGATGCGGTCTCCAACGACGCTGCCCGGGTCCACGAGCCGTAGGTGCTCTCTTGCTTCGCTGAACAATATCCGTCTCTCATCAGCCAGGACGACGTTCTCGTAGTACCGTCCAGCAAAGCCAGGCTCCCCTTCAAACACCATCTCCGCCGCGGCATCATATTCCTGGAGATTTACGTCTGGGTGTTTCTGAGCTACCTCCGACGAGAACCAGCGAGGGTTGTGGACCTGTTCTGTTGTCAGCCATGCTCACCATAGGTCTCATGTCGGGGATGCATACCTGTGCGTAATACGACACACAATTCGCCATGCACCACGGCAGCACCAGATGGCCATGCCTTTTGTAGTTCTCTTGGAAGCTCTCGACATCCGTGCCGGCACGTCGCTTGAGAAGCGCCTGGTTCACTGGTCGCATCGCGTAAGCTTTTCGAGGATTTACGCCGGCGATGGATGGCGACACAGGACTGCTCTATTTTGCCTGCTCCGGACTGGTTGTCTTGCTCGATCGCTTCACAGCAAAACTGGAAGGAGAAGCTTTTATATGACACTTCCGTCTCATTAATCCAATGTTTGCCAAGCATCGACTGGTGACCACATCCGGTAGCTGGTGAGCTGACAAAGCCCACCAGTTCCAGTTATTTGCAACATGAAGATGCAATCTGTCGTTCCGGGAACCCATGAATACGGATTTCAGGACGTCATGCAATGATAGCGGAGCCGACTCCTGCCCCAGATGGACCGCCCTTGACGTCGCCACAAAATGCATGAAGTGAGCTCGGGGAATTTGCTTTCCTCACACTCTCACCTCACAGTTAACAAATCGACGATGTTCGCGATGAGCACCTCGCAGACCGTAGAAACCTCCTGGACTCTGGATCAAGCTCGCCATCCATAGAGGAACGTCTGGGGTTCATGTGCGTCCAGGCAGCTCGCCTCTCCTGTATGCAACACCCACGACGATGTTGAGACATTCAGGACATTCAGTGTCGAGTCAAGGTACGAGGACGGCCTGCCCACCCACCTCCGCATCCTCTCTCTTGCAACTCCAAACTCCTACATCAATCATGGAACGGCTGCTCCGCTGCACATGGAACGTTGGCAACGGTCACTACAGGAGCAGGAGTGTTCCATTTTGGCTATTAGAGGTTCTGGGAATGGCTGCTGGGCATCAGCCCTGGTGTTGGCCTGGAGAATACAGTCCCCAACCTGCTTCCCAGTGACACTCGTCGCTGTGAATACATTCACCACGCTGCCATCATGATCAGCACATGAAGCTGAAATGCCATTACAGCGAGCAATGCAGACTGTGGACCCAGCAAACGACTGCGCCTGACGAATTCGGGCCCCATTTTCATCACATCACGACATGTGAATTAATACATTTCGTAGGTATTTAAATTTCTCAACAGGTGAACTGCTGCGATTCCTTTAAGCTGAGGGTATTTTCAGTTGACTATCTGCTTCCTTCCCACATCACCTACAGACTTCTCCCCCAGCTCACGACGCTCGGCAGCCATGCCCCTGGAAAATTGGTCTTCGCGTCTGGGCGACGGCTACCCTCGCTACGAAAACGACCGCTACATGCGCACCCCCTACGAAGAGCACACGCTTCGCGACCTCGATCGCGCCAACGATCCGTATGCCAGCCCACCCCGTCGAACCCGTGACGACTCGCCAGAAGACCGTCGCCGCTTCCGCGAAGAACAGCGTGACCTCCGTCCCCCACCGCCACCAGTCTTAGCCGTCACCCTACCCACCGAAGAGCAGCGCCGCTCGAACACTCCAGACCAGCGCCGTGGACCGTACGCAGGCTATCGCCGAGGATCTGAGACGCCACCACCAGGTCCTCGTGCTTCTAGGTACAGGGTGCCCGGCTACGAGGAGGTGGCGAGGGATGTACCGCTACCACGTAAGTGATCTTTGGCCTGCACACCTGGGATTTATTAACAACACAAGCAGGCCCCAACTCGCGCGAGCGTCTCCGCTACGAGCCACCAGGGCCCTCCGCCGACCCCTTCAATCCCAACTACGGTGTCGCTGATCGTCCATACGTAAGCTCAAGGATACAAGCCATCTCTGAGACACCGCGTGCTGTCGTTGCAAAACATGCGCTGATTACAAACTTTTGTCTTTGCAGGGAGGCGGTCCACCACCACGCAACCCTTACGGCCCAGGTGGGAGAATCTATGACAGGAGCCGCGACAACTCTCCGCCCCGCCGCTCCCGCTCCCGTGATCGGAACGACGTTGTAGATCCGGAGCCGAATCGTGCCCATCACTACCAGGCGCGTGTTGGGGAGGAATGGGGTCTGGGTGAGCGCGAAGCCCATCGTGTTCGCCGCCGTCATGAGGACCGCATGCGTCGTGAGCACTCTTGTCGCCGTCGTAGGTAGGTCACGGTGGATAGGAAGCGGAGAGCGAGTGGTGGGAGATGCATGAATGTGGGAGACTGTTTGCCCCTGAGACACCTGCCTGTTCCGTTGTGAGAAGTCCATGACTGCAGCGAGCTGGATGGTCCATCGATAGACGGTGGTTGTTACGGCCTGTTTCCGACTTGAGGAAGGATCACTAGATTAGCAAGACACTGCGAGAATACACTACTCAACAACACCGACCGGTTTCCACTGCTGGCCTATGAAGTCGAGCTACGTTCCTGAAAAGACGAGCTCTGCCTTCGGTTTAGTCTAGAACCTGCGCCCTACAGTGTTATGTACAATCCATGTGGTCCTTCCACAGCGTTTGTCCCCGCTCACCAGCGTCATCCGGCTGGAGACAGACCGTATGCGGATCTCGATGCACCTCTGTTGTATCTTGCCTACTCTTTCTGGAAGTTGCAAGCGTTATTACTGCTGATCGCTCTTGATCGTTCTGCCTGTCTCCAAGCATTTAGATGTGAAGTGCTTCCAAAGCAGAGACCCCCGTTCCCATTAACTACATTGTACCAACCAAAGCCTCACCTTAGGCTTGACACTCCTTACGTACACAACTTCCATCGTCTACGACACACACATTAGACCAACAGGAGACAATGGCTCCTGTCATCACATGGAACAAGAAGTGACGTTCTCCCTCCCCGTTCGTTAGCAACTACATGTTGCAAGCTAACCACCTCACCACAGCCGCCCTCCCGTAGAACGGAAACTAGCATACCAAAACAAACTCGCCGACGACCCCTCCTGGTCCATTCTCGCCTTCGAGGTCTCCTTTCCACCAGACGGCTCAACACCGCCACACCGTCACGGTGGAGCGAACGTCTTCGCCTACGTTCTCGAAGGCGAAGTCTTGAGTGCAATGAACGATGGCGAAGCCAAAGTTTATCGTCCTGGTGAGAGCTGGTAAGCCACCTTCTCATCCAGCAGCATGTCCTTCATGCTTTAGCAAGGACATTACTGACTTCTGACCAGGTACGAGCAACCAGGCTGCCGACACAGGGTGAGCGACAACAATAGTAGAACAGAGCGAGCCAAGTTCATGGCCACGTTCTTGATCAAGACGGAAGTGCTTGAGAGGGAGGGGCCGGGGATACTGGTACAGGTGGAACCTGAGTATTTGGCGCAGATGGAGAGCTAGAGCATTCTTTCTGGTAGACGGATAGTGGCAGAGTTCAAAAGCTTGCCATACCCATGGCGCCGGGTCGACACCACCAAAAATATCTTTTCAATTTTCATTTCGAGATTACCTCACCTCAAGACCTTTGCCGTCGTTGTGCTCATCAACAGAATGGCCCCGACCATCGTCAGGACACTAGCAGTCGAAACAACCCCAACCATTGTCAGGACACCTGCAGTCGAAAGAACACCAACCATTGTCAGGACGCTCGCTTTCGGAAGGACTCCAGCCATCGTCGGGACGCCCGCAGCCGAAAGGACACCAAGCATCGTTAGGACGCTCGCTGTCGAAAGGACACCAACCATCGTCCGCACACCCGTGTTCGAGAAACCTCCTCAACCCCCCTTCCGCCTGCTCGACCTCCCAGCCGAAGTCCGCACCAGAATTTACGAATACATCGCAACCCAAACCACCGTCACGATAGGCAAAGTCCTGCTCCCCTGCATCCTCTGCGTCTCCAATCCCGTCGGTCGCGAAGCCGCAAAAGCAACCCAGGAGTATCTCCGAGGGAATTGTTGGGAATGGCCAGAAGAGCCGGTCATTATCGAAGCGTGGACTGGGAGGGTGATGAATTTTGAGCAGAGGCGCTTGGCGCGGGAGATGACCCTGGCGCAGCGGAGGAGGGCACGGGGTGCTATCGCGCGTCTCAGTGATTGGCGCTGGCGCTGGTGAAGCAGGATGCCGTGAATGCGCATCTGCAGAGGTCGAGTTTCGCATGGACGATGGTAGGGAGAAGTTTCGCCCAGAGTAGATCGGCCAGTATCGTCGACTGTTGTGGACGGTGGTCGAATGAGTGAAGGCTAAATGTCAAAGGCTGCGAGATTAGGTGAATCGCGATGCGCCATGGAAGCTGAGTGGAATGGACGGTCTTTTGCTACATACGTTGCAGGCTTCTCACGCTGGTTAGCTGGTCATACGTAAGAAATTTGCCCGCCCTTGTTGATGGCTTGAATTTGTGCTTCGAACGCCGGACGCCTCGCTAGAATTCCCATGGGCACATCGAAGGCCAAAATCTTGCCCATCCAACTGGATGTCCATGCTCCGCGCCTGCCTATCGCTTTCCAGCCTTCGGTCTCGGCTTGCACTCGTCTGCTTGCACGGGATGGAGCATGATCTTGTTTGGATACTGCTGCGAGTTGCCACTGTACCCCTTGCTCCAGTCGTAGCTCACAGCGTACGCGAAGATGTTGCCATTTCTCGAGAAGTCCGTCGCGCTAATTGAACCGCCAACCTCTGGATATCCCTTCAATCGGTGCTTCGCGTCCTTGTCCCAGAAATGGAACGTCCCATCAGCTCCAGCGGTCGAGAAGGTGCCGTGCTGAGGATGGAAACTGATGGCATTCACCGAGAACACATTGCTGGTGTTGCGATCGGCGGTGCTTTGTTGCCGGTGGCACTTGAAGCTGAAGTTGTTGGCTTGGTCCTTGTCGTCCACGTATTGGATTGCGCAGCGACCTTCGATACTTCCCACCGCGTAACCTGTGCCGTCGGTGAAGGTGCTCACGACGCGCGTCTGAAATTTGAGAGGCGACTGGATGGCTTTGTAGAAGGTGCCAGGATTCTTGAGATCGATGACTTGGATCCAGCGCTCTGCTGTGCCGACGACAAGCATCTCGTTTCCTCGGACGTCCATCGAGTAGATGCGTTCCTTGCACTCGATGGAAGCGGCTGGTTGTTGCTGACGGAGATCCCAGTACTTGACCATTTTGTCCCATCCACCAGTGATGAGCATAGGGCTGCCATTGACTGTAATGCTTTCAACGCAGCGCACCGGCTGGTCGTGGGCAGCGACTTGCTGTGGTTGCGTCGAGCCGGATGCGATGTCCAGCATTCGAGCAGACTTGTCAGCCCCCGCTCCAAAGACCTTTCCGCCATCCTAGATAAAGTAAATCGTCAGTATCCTGCTTCATATGGCCTTTTCACGTGAGATTGCTCACCTTGCTCCAACAACAGTCCAACACCGGCCCTTCAAACTCCATCATGGCCCTGCCCTGCGTCTGTCCGCTGCCGTCGACCTCCCATATCCGCACTTTCTTGTCCCAGCTACTGGCTGCAAAGTGCTCACTCGTTGGGCTGAAGCTGATACCGGAGATGCTGTCGTCAGGTGGGCTCGCGACGGGTATGTCTTTGCTCAAGTCGCCCTGAGTCGGATTGCCCGGTGCTGCCGACGACTGCTGTTGCCCGCCGAACAGTGACATGTCGGCTGTCGGGGCTCTTCGCTTCGCGCTGGGGATTAGGAGGCTCCTGTTGGACATGTTGGCGCGTGATCATGGATGGTTGGAGCAATACTTACTATATGTCTGTCACTTATATATGGTGCAATGTGAGGTCGTGAGAGTGTCGTGAGAGAGTGTCGTTCGCAGCAGCTTTTACGTGAAGCTCTCTCGAAGGCTTCGACGCGTCGATGCCTTCGAGCTAACTAAGCTTTCGGAAGTAGCCGCACCTTCCTTGTTGAGCGTCTAAGCAGAAAATATCCTGAGCCAGCACTTCTTCTTCTTCCTTCCTCAACTCCCCGACCAAGAATCGCAAAAAGAGCTTACACGCCGACAGCATCATGTCTTTCAAGACTAAATGCTCGTCCGTCACACACCGCTCTTGGGAAAGTCCCCGGACAGCTCACTGCTCACCCAGTGATGCACGCCGAAAGGCGCCGCCATAGAAGCACTACTGCGGCTCATTCTCCGCCAACCTCCATCCACTCCTCGCCGACTTCTCTACCGTTCGCACTCCTGCTCGGATCCTTCGCTCGCTCGGATGCTGCCTGGCTTGAGGACCGGCCTTCGGGCTGCCTTCGCAAGAGGGAGACGAGGATATGAGTCTGCGCCTCTTGCTGGGCTCATCTCGTTGCGGCGTTGATGAAGAGCTGGGAGGAGATGGCTTGTCACGTGGGGAGTCAAGTTGGGCTCCTGGGTTGTGTGTGAGAGCTTACTTCGTCGAGGTCGATAGGTATGCGATTGCTTGCCCTCCGCCTGTCCGCTGAAACTCGCTTTTGCAGACGGGTGCGAGACAGGTAACTCGATGGGGCTTACTTGGTGCGAGAAGTTCACTACTTTTTGGGTCTGCAGGGTGGGCATTGCTCAAGCCTTTTGCTGTGTCGAAGCAGCCAGACTCTTATCGACTTGAGATTGGAGGACGCGAACTTGCACGAACGGGACCAACTCCAGGTGATGACCAAAACAATAGAGTCAAGCACTGATCTCGTCCTTCTCCGCGCGCTGCTTCACTGTGGCCGTGGGTTGGCGGTCGATGATGCTACAAATTGTACGACGGTATCTGATGGACGTTGGTCTCTGTATTCTATGCAGTACTTGAAATATTCTAGCAACCCTATATAATTTCCATCATCTCGTCTTATGCCCTCTCGAAACCTCAACTTTCTCGAAGACGTGGAGTCGGATCTCGTCGATCTCCAGATGATGGCATGACGTGAGCGGGTGGTCACCTTGAGGTGATACATTCAGGCCCGCTCGAACTGCGCATGTAATACGAGGATGGTGCGACGTCCACACGGCTTGATATTTGAAGGTCCCTGCGGGGGTGAGGATGCTCGTGTTCGCGTTCAACTGTCGCTGAATGAATCTGCCGGCTGGCAACATGGGCGCGGAATAGCGAGACACTGTGTGCAATACATATCACAGCTCCTGCTTACGAAGCGCCCTGCTGTGTCTGCTGAGATATCTCATGACCGAGATCGTACTCCCATCAGCTGCGGCAACGTTCGCACCGAGTCGGGTGAGACAGGGCATCCCGAAATGGGGCAAGACCATGGCTAAGCAATGCCGAGCCGCTCAAAATCCAATCTTACTCCTCCTATTTTTGAACCTTGCCATCGATGGCCCAGGGGTACGCTTTCTCAGGCCACCATGGGCTGAGTCTAGCCCGCCATTTCCTAACGAAATGTCGGTGCCTTTGAAGGTGGCATGGGATGCCCCTGACCAACTCACTTTCGCCCTCTCCCAAGGCCCCCCAAAAGGTACAGTAGTCCCCCAGCCACGGTCGAGACGGTAGGACGCTATTGCGATATATCATTCTGCTCGAGGTGACACCCTTTCGCGTGCTGCTCACGTTCCTTTCTTCTCAGCCTCGACAGCATTCGCCATTTCCATTGTCTATCTCTGGCGTGATTACGCCATTCCACTCATTCATCTACCTGTTTTACGTTCGCCATGCTGCGGCTCGAGCTTCTAAGTTTTCTCGTTTCTCTGGGATATGCCCACGTTCTTCGCACACCATCCTTCGACCACACAAGTCTTTTGGAAGCGCGAGCCGATGGCTACGACAGCAACGTAGTGAAGATTGATGCACACGGGGCAGAACATCACCAGGACTTTTACAAATTCTTGACGAGACCAGATATCGATGCTCCGAGATGGAATATACGGAAGCACAACAAGTCGGCGATAGCGCCTGGCTACTGGTTCCTCGGCCCTTACCAAGACCCCATGCAAGATGAGCGCGGTGGAGGATGGGTGGGACCGCATATCTATGACGGGAACGGCGAACTAATATGGAGTGGTGTACCAATGCTGAGTGGATTTGATGTGTTCGATTTCAAGGTCTCACAATACAAGGGCCAGAACATGCTGTCGATGATCTACCGCCACGAGAACGGCATCCTCATCAACTCGCAGTACGGCCTGGAGGAGAAGTTCAACGTCGAGGACGAGCACGCACGCTTGAACATGCACGACTTTAGCTTGACGGACAATGGCACCGCGCTTATGCTCAAGACTTTCACCAAGTCAGCCACGGAGGAGGAGTTGGAAGCTGCGGAGTTGGACTATGAGTGCCGCGTGCATTACTATGGCTTCGAGGAGGTGGATACCGCCACGGGCGAGGTTCTGTTCGATTGGCGATCGGAAGGCATCATTGGTCTTGAGGAGACTGTCTTTGCAAAGCGCCCGAAACGTGCATGCCACCGGGATGGAGGACTGGACTACATCCATGCGAATGCCCTGGACAAATTCCCGGACGGCGACTACCTCTTATCCGCACGCCACTGCAACGCGCTCTACAAGATCTCGGCAAAAGATGGCTCTGTGGTCTGGAAGTTTGGCGGGAAGAACACTAAGAACTCCGATTTCAAGTGGGATGGGCACTTCTCTGGCCAACACCACGCCCGCGTGCGAGGGCAGAACAGCACGCACACACTCGTCTCCTTTCTCGATAACGCTTATGTACCGGCTGGAAAGCCAATCTACAGCAATGAAATGTCGCGCGGCTTCCTCATCGCGCTTCGGACGGATCAGGAGCAGATGACAGCCGAGACTGTAGCACAATTCGATCACCCGCATGGCGAATATGCTCCAGGGAGAGGCAGCTTCCAGGTTCTACCCAACGGCAACACTTTCATGGGCTGGACTTCCTACTCGCTCTTCTCCGAATACGACACCCAAGGCAACTTGATCCTGGAGGCAAGCGTGAGACCTGAACTCAAATCTTACCGAAGCTACAAGTTCCCGTGGGTCGGCCATCCAACTGAGCTGCCCGCGGTGAAGTCAGTTGGCGTGGCTACAAACAAGAACAAGACAGTCACCACCAGCATCCATGTCAGCTGGAACGGCGCCACTGAAGTTACAACCTGGAAAGCGTACCACACCAAAGATGACGGCTCGTCAGAACAGCTCATCGCGTCTTCGCCACGGACGGGCTTCGAGACTGCCTTGACCTACGAAGGCTATCCCAGTTACGTCGTCGTCAAGGCATACAACAGCAAGGGCGAAGAGCTTGGCAAATCAGACGTCGTCAAGAGCATCGCACCGCTCAATACCTACAACGAAGCCGTGCTCAAGGAAGAGCAGTGGCAGCAAGATGCCTCCTCTGCCGAAATCTCCTCTTCCGCCCTTGGCATGCCGGTGAGCGTGGGCAGCTTCAGTATCGCCTTCGCCTTTGGAGTCCTCTGCTGTGCGATCGGTAGCCTGGTCGGCTTCGCATTGTGGAGCGCGAGGTCGACGATGGCTGCTATGGCCAACAAGAAGCCCTGGAAGAAGACCTCGTATGAGAAGATTGGTGACGAGAAGGACGATACGGACGAGACTTTGGTAGGGGAGGAGACGGAGCAGTTGTTTCATAAAAAGAGGTCGTTGGAGGAGAGGGATAGCGACTCGGATGATGGGGAGGTGTAGTTCCAAATTCCATCGTTCTTGCGCAAAGCGAAATACCGTATGGCTTCTCTTCACATCTCTGCTCTCTTCTCACTGCGAATGTAGTCTCACGACTCCTCGTCCGACATCGGTTCAATGAATTCGGACATGGATCCGGAGCAGATTTACATCATCTTTACAGGACCATCAATGCTTCGGTCGAAAGCTTCTTCGTTGACCAGTGTCTTGATGAAGAACTGCTGGAAGGCATACAGCTGGCTCAGGTGGAAACAGTTTCGAGCTAATATACAATGTCTTCTACCGGCAACCATCTGCTCGTCTTCGGAGCATCAGGTGTCTCGTACGAACAAACAACTGCGACAGTCTCGTTTCATGCTGACCTGTTGAACACAGTGGATGGGCCTGCGTGAACGAGGCGCTATCATACCCAACGAAGTCGACTTTCGAAAAAGTAACAGGCCTGACGAATCGTCCACTGTCTCTTGAAGATTCCAATCTACCAAAGGACTCCCGCCTACAACTCGTCTCAGGTGTCGATCTAACAGCCTCCGTCGACAATGTCGTGGCCTCCATGAAGCAGAAGATCTCCGGCATCGACACCGTCACCCACGTCATCTTCACAGCTTATATCGAGAAGCCAGACTACGACAGCCTCCGAACCGTCAACACAAACCTCCTCCAAACCGCCATCGGCGCCGTCGACCAGCTCGCGTCCAAGCTACAATCCGTGGTACTCCAAACAGGTGGCAAAGCCTACGGCGTCGAGTTCAAAGACAAAGTCGACTTCCACCCGCCTCTCAAGGAGAGCTCGTCGCGAATCCCAAAGCCATGGTACGACAACATCTTCTATTACACCCAATACGATACCCTTAAGGACCTCAGCGCCTCCAGACCCTGGACCTTCTCCGAGATCAGGCCAGATGTCATTGTTGGCTTCACTCCGGGCACGAACTTCATGAACTGTGCGCAGGGTCTTGGGTTATGGCTGTCGCTCGCTCGGGAAGTCCAGGGTGCTGGAGCGAAGATCCCGTTCCCTGGTACGAAGGCGAGTTATACCAACAAGCACACCGATACTTTCCAGGATGTTCTTGGTAAGATGGACATCTACGCCGCCGTCAATCACGACAAGTGCGGTAATGGCAACACCTTCAACTGCGCGGACGGCGCTGTGGTGACGTGGGCGGACAAATGGCCGGGCATCTGCTCGTACTTCGGTCTTGAGGGTGCGCCGCCCCGTGAGAGCCCGTATGCGGTGGAGGAATTCGTGAAGAAGCACTCGGATACCTGGCGCCAGATGGAGGAGAAGCATGGGTTGAAGCGAGGCATTTTTGACCATTTCTCATGGGGGTTCCTATATGGGGTGACGGTTGGAAGAGACTTCGACTGCCAGTATGATCTGAGCAAAGCTAGGTCGGTTGGATTCGAGGAGACTGTCGATACGGTGAAGGGGTATACGACTGCTTTTGAGCGGATGCGGCAGGCTAAGATAATTCCTTAGAGGTAGTAGACTATGTGATAGCTCGCCGTGGAGGTACAACAACGAATATGCGAGCCTCACAGTCCTCGTACGGGGAAGCGCTCTTTGATTGCTCCGCCTTTCGCGGATACAACCTTACTCAGGCCTCTGTCAGCATCTGGAGGGACGGAGATTCATTCTGACCTTCCGCGAGCAGCCTTCAGTGTATCGCCTCACGAATACACCACTAGCTCTGCCACTCATTTGACCACCAACTGGGGGCACCGACAAGGCAGGAAACAAAAGCATTTGTTCTGCAGCTACCTGGAACGATCACGATCAGCACTTCCCGTGAAGGCGAGAGTGCAGCGATTGTCGGTCCTTGTTTGTGGTATCTAGCACTGTTGTACTTAGGGAAGAAGTAAGCATTCCCGTCCTGCCACTTCTTCCACCTGGAGGGCATGAGCTTACACGCAAAACGCAGAAATGCTCACACTCTTCCCTCCTGTTAGAAATGCAGTCTATAGCTAAGACAGCCTCACGCTAGACCCCTCACTCGACTCGTCCCAAGCAAATAAGTTCACCTGCTCCCACACGAACAGTCCGGCGACCACAGCAGCTGCGACGGAAAAAGTGATGGCAAGTTGAGCCTGGCCATTCCACCAGTTCTGACCGCCAACTGCGGCCCAAACGAGGGCAAGCATGCCTATGATCATGAACAGGACGCTGATCATGAGGTAGAGCACACCCATTTGCCAGATCCAGACTTGAGCTCGTCTTGGGATCTTCTCGCCGTTTGACTTGAGACTCTTGATGCCGAGGAGGCCGCGGATGCTGGCGTTGGCGTCGGGACGGCATGACATGCGGTGGAGCTGATGGGTAAGAAGTGTGGCTGTCAGCGCGTTACATCCCGAAAGCAAGAGACGTGGTCGTGCTCACTCGAATCGACTGCGATGCCGCCGTCAAGACCGAAGCTAGCGCGAATATTATCCCGCAGAACCAGCAAGAACGAACGACCCAAGGGGTACTGCGTCCGTTCTGAAGCACATCCGGCCAGGAGTTGGTCGAGGTGAGGACGTTGGCAAGAAGACCTCCCTGAGTTGTTCAGCATTGAAGGCACTTGGAAAGCAAGGAACGGGAGCATACCACAACACCAATAAACGATAGTTCTTGTAGCTTATTGTCCTTCCATCTTTGAGTCAGCTCATCCCGTTCCTTATCCTCGTCAGCGTTCAGCAGGCTGTAGATGGGGTCGAATGTCGTCTTGGATTTGAATAATGAACTCATGGTGTCTTTTTGCTAGCGAGACTGGGGGAGGAAAGAAGGACTGAAGTCAAGAAAGATAATGTTTGGTCACACGAGCAGCTACCGAAGTAGTGCTCCCCATCGTCTGGTCATTTGACAACGAGCTTCAAGTGGGAGCGAGCTTGCCGCGGGGGTCTAAACTGCATAAAGCCCATGAGCCGTTCTTCTTGTGGAATCCTCAAAAGGCGTCAATGTGTGCTGAACTGAGACACGGTGCAATAGATTCGACAGGGTCTTGAAGCAGAATGTAGAAGTTTACGTGGTTGGCTGTGCCTGCGCGCAATTGGGGTCTGGTAGAGCAATGCTTGTGCTCGTTGGAACGGGTGTCCCTTTGGGCACGGCTGGATCATCGATCGCGGTGTTGATTTATCGGCTTTCCAAAACATTGAGAAGTCATAACATATCTGGTTGAGCAGATGAAGACTGGAAGAAGAAGAGGTGTTGTCGTTGGTATACCACTCGGTTGATTCCGTCTTGGCAATATGCTCCACTAAAATTTCATGTGAACTTGACTTCAATCCTGCTCAATCACCTTTCAAACAAAGTGTATGGACGCATCGGCGTACTTGCGGAAGCAAGGCTGGCGAGGTGAAGGCCACTCACTCGATCACACCGACCGCGGGATCAAAAGACCGCTGCTCGTCAGCAAAAAGGTCGACGTGCTTGGAGTCGGACTGAACAAGCACACTTCTGTCTCCGATCAGTGGTGGCTGCGCGCTTTCGACCAAGGACTGAAAAATTTGGGCAGTGGTCAAGAGATATCGCTTGCGCAGATTCAGAAGCACGGCGTCTATCGAGGGGGTCTATATGCGAATTTTGTGAAGGGCGAAAAGCTTGAGGGCAGCATTGGGAACAGCCTTCTTCCAACGCCGGACACAACTTCTGAGACAGATACAGAGTCAAGCTCGGAGCAGGAGAGTACGAGCGAAATGGCAGCCTCCTCCATCCCACCGGAGGGTGAGTCTCGTAAGCGAAAAGCTCTCCACGAGCCTGACGAGAAGGCAACGAAAATGGCGAGGGTGCCTGGCAAGAAACGCACACGGGATGAGAATGGGAAGTTGATCAAGGAGCGCCCGAAGGAGGTGCGAGCTCGTCGCAAGCAGGAGAGATCGCAGAAGCTCCGAGAGAAGATGGCAAGCATGCCACCGAAGGAGGTCGACCCAGCGCAGGCCGAGGCGAAACGAATACGTGAGAGTGTTGACCGGCGGGCTGCGACGCTCGTTCGCGAAGCACAGCGTCGAGGTATTATTCCCCAGGGCCCGCAGGCCCCGCACAGAGGTCGTGGGGATCCAGGCATGACAGGAGCGAACGCCACGCCAATGTCCGGCAATCTCGACGCAGACCTGCAAGAAGTGGTCGAACGGGCTGGACTGCAGGACGGGTACAAGCCTCCTAAAAAGGGCGGAGGATCAGAGAAGACGAAGAAACTCGACCGTCTGAAGGTCACCCGCGAGCTCAAGCGGGCAGCGAAAGCGTACATCATGAGTCAAGAGACGCCACAAGCACATGAAGCCCTGGCGGCCCAGAAAGAGCGGGAGAAGGAGAAGAGGAGAGAAAGGAGGCTCAAAGAAGAGCAAAAGAAGGCGGCGGTGGAGCAGGTCGAGGCAGAGAAGAAGGCTGTGAAGGCCGCACGGAAAGCGCGTCACAAGGAAAGGAGGGATGCGAGCAGAGCGGCCCGTGATGCGGTGACGATTGCGGAGTACCAAGAGGCTCTCGCTAATGGCGAAAAGGTCAAGGCTAGGATTGTATTTCAGAACATCCCTCCGAAGAAGCTCGAACGGTACCGAGAGCGAGCGAGCGAGAAGGGCATGGATTTGGAGCAGTACATTCTGAGACGAGAAGAGAAGGCCGCTGCGAAGCGAACGTAGTACTGTGAAGATTAACAATCTGAAAGTTACCAGGCAGCGCCTCAACAGCATCACGTCAACCATCCGGGCCATCAACGACTGCTTCGCGCCAGTCGAGCATTGAGTGAGCGGTCAATGCTGAGCGTCCGGGTATTGCGGAGCTGAGAGAGTGCTTGACTTGAAGATGCATCGTAATCAAGCTTCTCGGCCTTGCAGGGCTACACGACATGTCCGCCCTAGCTCATGGTGGTGGTAACCGTTTTCTCATCACGAGGGAGACGATGTCGGCGGCGGGCTACGTGGGCTGGCCAACCCGATCATCAAGGGATGAACGGTTGGACGGCGCGTAAATCTTGCTCTCCAGACAAATGGCTGGTCTGGACGCTCCGAATGCCGGTGCTCACATTTTGTTGTAAGTATTGTCAGCTACACGAATTGCTGCAACGTCTGTTGACGACTCCGGCTTCTCAGAATACCGCCGGACTTCCTGTAGGGCCAATACGTCTTCGATCGATTAGTGAGCCAGAGCGTGGGCACAGTCAGTCGGTCTCCGTCCACCGGCGGCATCAGGAGGAGACATCAACGACCAGCACGAAAGTGACGAGCATTGAAGAGTAATGATTATCGAGCGTTGTGCTCTATAGGATTAGAACAGCCCAGTCTGTGAGCATGTCTAGAATGCATCAAATGACGAAATCGCCAGTGCCCGATCAACATCCCGCCTTCTGAAGCCTGGTGTGCGTCCTAAGCATACTGCGGACACGATCAGGACTGTGAGAGCAATTAGCAAGCGCCTACTCTGTCGTTGCAGCCATATGACGTACCTTTCACAAGCTTCGAAACGTCAATCAACACGCTCTTCCTTGTCGGACCCGGCGAGGGTGGATGGCTATTCGGCGCCGATATAGCACGAACATTGTCGACACTGAAGCCCTCCCACGCCGCTTGTTCCTCGTTGTAATGCCGAACGGATTCTCCAGGCTGCAGGAAATTCATCCACGACCCGAACTCGGCATCCGAGTAGCCCACGTTCGTCAGCTCGAGGTTCCGGGAGTCGTCCCATTTGCTGAAATCGACGTCTGCTTCATTGATCATGATGTTCACTTGGGAGGTCGTTAACGGTGTCGATTTCCCTGGCACGGCGAACTGTCCTGGCGGTGTTGCTACGTGAGGTTCTGATGGCTCTGATGATGCATCGCTTAGTGTCTTGGGCCATTCGACGATTTGTGCCTCTGCAAAGGACGACGTCGGATCGATGTAGATGCCTTTCTCTTCAAGATATCCCTGCACGTCGTAAGGGTCAAACCATTCGCCCTCGAAACCCACTAGCTCTACGATCATGTCCATGCTGATGTTACCGCGGGCAGTCCTCTCGAGCGTGGTGAGGGTTTGGGGACCGATCCGACCGACGTTGAAAGTCTTCTTCTTGGGCATTAAGTTACCGTATGGGTCGCGGCGGGGGTAGTGGGTTCCCGCACCGCCGACGTGGACGGTTGGCGCTTCCCAGAAGTCTAGATCTTCGTGCGGGCCGCGGGAGAGGATGGCCTTGAGCTGGGCGGTGATCTTTTGTCTGTCTCGGCCTAGGAGGGACAGTCGGAATATTCTCTGGTATTCTGTTGGGCGTCTGCGCGGGTCGAGGAGGAGCTGATATGCGGCTTCGGTACAGGCGCGATGTAGACGTCTCGCAAAGGTGCTCTCCTGGAAACTGTACGTCATGGGCGGACGTGGGGTCATGGTAGGGAATGAGAACTTGTTGGCTCCTGCTTCGAACATGTCGTATATTTCAGGTTGAGGTGGTCCATGCAGTTCCAGAGGAGCACTTTGCTGCATCTGGAGGGCCGCGGCATCAAGCTCGTTGAGGTCGATGGCTTGGCCGGTCTGGTCGTCGGCCTGAGGGTACATGACGTACCCCATAGCTACGTCTGTTCTGCCGGGCAAGCTTGAGTTGGCCGCAGCTATGGCAGACTGATCGAGCCAGGACGGGACATTCTGCGGGAGGGGGACTCGGTCACCAGACCGGTCACTGGCCGGCGTGGCTGTCTTCCTAGTTTTGTTGGAAGTCCTTTCGTCGCCAGACACCAGCGTATCGGACAAGTCTGGTTCTCCATTAGCGAGATGCTCCCAATTCCCTTAAACAACTACCCGACGCAACATCTGAAAGCTTCGTGCCTTGGAGAAGGGGTTGACGGACCATGATCACCAGGGTTGCGAGCTTCGCCTACCAGCTGCTCAAACTTCGTAGCCACTTCATTCAGATCGAGCATCTGATCCTGAGTCAAGCTAGATGCGTAGAGACGATCAGAGCAAACGTTGAAGGTGTTGTTCATCACTTCGATAGTCTTCGTTAGCTCTGATACGCGCTTGCGGAGCTCTTCGAGTGTGCTTTCTTTCCGCTGACGATATGCTCGCTGGGCCATGCGTATTTGCGTACGTCTCCGCTATAGGCGTATTAGCCGCTATACTCATCCAACCACAGCGGCGGCTGGTTATCCTGGTAGAGGAGAACACCTACATCAGCAGCAGACTCGTCCTGCTTGTCCACCCTCGGACGGCCTCGCTTCCTGTCGTCGCCATCTCCATCTGGTGAAGTACTTGGCCTGCCGCGCTTCTTGCGAGGCCGTGGTTCCTCCATCGTCATGGTCTGAGAGACTGCTGCAGCCATTTGAAATTCTGAATGGCCTGGACAGACTGTAGCAACAGCTTCTTTGAGAAGCACGGTCAGAGCTCAGATGCCAATGGTGGGGCTCTCGTGGCGTCGAAGGCTGTCTTTGCTGATGTTCTAGACTATCCCGTCTGCGCCGCTGTGGTTGCTTTCTGGGCTTGGGAAGTTCGGACTGCTGAGTCGCACAAGGGACGGTGATCAATGACAGATAGGTGAATAGTCGGCTTTGTCGTCTCTGTCTTGAGGCTCGAGTACAGCCGTCATACATGTACGCTGCCGCTCTTTTGACCGTCGCTTTGTAATAGACGCAGATGGCATGGGCTGGCCAGGAAGGTGGTGCTCGGTCTGTTCAGTAATCACAGAAAGCGGCGGCCCACCAGAAAGTCAGCCCTACAAGCCGTCGTTGAGGGGGTTGAGGGTCCAAGCCCCGTCAGCGCGAAAGCCTTCCTCCGCAAACGCGTGCTGGGTCCGGGAGGAAACCGTTCCATTTGAGGCGAAGTCGTGGTTGTTGTCATGCTCCACCACCTCAAAGTAGAATGCTGGGTCAGCGACCGATGAGGCCTGGACATTCTCTACACCGACTGGCCTCTTCACGAGCTGGTTCACGATGTCGTAAGATCCCGGAGGCTTGTTACGGTCGAGACGCTCCCTGAATATCAGCTCATCAAGAATGCTCATCAAATATGGCATTGGAAGTGATTCATGGTGGGCGACCATCTAGACATCAATTATGGAAGTTGTGAGATGCCAGTGCCAACACAACGCCAGTCTGGACCCGGTCATGCTTTCATCGAGCAGACTCTTGCCTCATCAACGGGACGGAGAAAACCACACGTTGATTGAAATGCAACTGATCGATAATATGCTGCCTTGTGTATGCAAACGGTACAAAGCCATCAGTCTCATGCTGTCGATGTACATGGCAGATATCTAGGCAAGCATTTCTGTTCTCCAGCCCTACGTTTGCCCGCAGATTTCATCCTTCGGTTGCTTCGCGTCACATTGCCCGTCTTCAGTACTTTCTGGGCTTACTACAACAGTTTGAGCCTCTATTTACCTCAGCTAAGAAAATCAAGACGTTGCGGTAGATATGCTTCTCTTCGAGACCTTATCGCGCCGCGGCGAAAAGCCCCCGGCTCTCTGCATGCAGATCACCACAATCCTTATCTCGAACGACACACACGGCGAGAAGCGTGAGAGATAGAGCAGCATTTGGTCACACCACGATCATGCCGTGGGGTGTGCCGTTCAAGAGCACGATGTTCAAAAGCATACGAGATCCTTTCTCCCCGTGGCTTCGTACCAAAATACACCTATACTGACGGCCACGATGTCGACCACGCCACCGTTGAGCAAGGCTACAGGATGTAAGTCAACCATGATCGATACAGCGCAGAGCTCCACTGACCATGCGTGCTATCAGATGGCGTCGTTGTTGGACTGGGATTCCTGTTCGCCTTTGGGATGATGTTGACGACTTTCGTCCTGAGGCGGTATAACAACGAATTACAGACTTCTGAAGTGTTTAGCACCGCAGGGCGCACAGTCAAGTCTGGGCTAGTCTCATCAGCAGTTGTCAGCTCTTGGACTTGGGCTGCGACACTGCTTCAATCGAGCGCAGTGGCATACCGGTATGGAGTTAGCGGCCCGTTTTGGTACGCTTCCGGGGCGACGGTGCAGGTCATCCTCTTCGCAAGGTGAGTTGAACCCCAGCATCTTCGCATTCGAATTTAGACTTGTGTGCTATCTTTTGACAGCCTCGCCATTGAGCTGAAGCGGAAGGCTCCGAACGCTCACACGTTCCTGGAAGTCATCAGAGCACGTTATGGAGCAGCCACGCATGGTAAGCTTTAACGATATGCGCCAAATCTGATCCGTCTAATGACAGATTCCTAGGTGTATACATCACGTTCGGGCTGATGACCAACATCCTGGTAACGGCCATGCTTCTGACCGGAGGTGCTGCAGTCGTTGAATCGCTCACGGGAGTCCCAACGGCGGCAGGCTGCTTTCTGTTGCCCATCGGAGTTGTGCTTTACACGATGTTCGGTGGTATCAAAGCCACGTTCCTGACAGACTACGTGCATACCGTGATGATCCTCGTCATCATCTTCATCTTCGCTTTCACAGCATATGCCGTGGGTAACGAGCTAGGAAGTCCGGGTGTTGTCTACGATAAGCTTGTTGCTGCTGCTGAACGCCATCCCGTTCCTGGCAATGCGGAGGGCTCATACTTGACCATGCGGTCTCAGGAAGGAGCCATCTTCTTTGTCATCAACTTAGTTGGTTCGTTCGATAACCCTACGAACGACTCTGATGGATGACGCTCAAGCTGACTGTCCGACAGGCAACTTCGGCACCGTATTCATGGACAATGGATACTACAACAAGGCCATCGCAGCAAGCCCAGTCCATGCGTTGCCGGGCTACATCGCCGGCGGCCTCTCGTGGTTTGCCATACCATGGCTATGCGCTACGACAATGGGTCTTTCGGCTTTGGCGCTTGAGAATAGCCCAGTGTTTCCGACTTACCCAGACCGCATGGCGCCTGCAGGTAAGTGACCATAGCTTAGAAGGTGCCTCTCTTGGTCCGATCCGAGACAGTGCTGACCATCCCACCCTGTGATTATGCAGACGTGACCGCAGGCCTCGTACTTCCTGATGCCGCGGTAGCTCTGCTAGGCAAAGGGGGAGCTGCTGCCACATTACTACTTATCTTTATGGCGGTTACATCTGCAATGTCCGCCGAACTCATTGCCGTGAGCTCAATCTGGACATATGACATCTACCAGACTTACATCAATCCGACAGCAAGCGGCAAGAGGCTCATCTACATGTCTCACACCTCATGCGTTGTTTATGCCATAATTATGGCGTCCTTCAGCACTGGGCTCTACTATGCCGGAATCAGCATGGGATATCTGTACCTGATGATGGGCGTGATCATTTCCGGAGCGGTGCTGCCAGCTTCATTGACGCTGCTCTGGGACCGACAGTCTTGGGCAGCTGCGACGTTCAGTCCGCCGTTGGCCCTGATGTGTTCTCTGACTGCTTGGCTCGTCACCGCGAAGAAGGAAGGTGGAAGCCTCTCTGTGGACAGCACTGGTGCCAAGTAAGTCTTTGTCGATGAACGAATGGCTTTCCCGCACAGTGACGTTGACGAGACTGTAGCAACCCAATGCTTGCTGGCAACGTGGTCTCCCTGCTGACACCACTAATCTTCATCCCAATCCTGTCATTCGCTCTGCGCTCACCCAAGTACGACTGGAAGAGCATGGCCGCCATCCGCCGCGCCGACGACGAAGACCTCGCCAATGCTGCAAACATGGACCTCGAGCAAGTGCCGGGAGAGAACGGCCGCACGGACGATGTTGAAATGATGGAGCAGCAGAAGCTGCGCCGTGCATCGAAGATCGCTAGGACGCTCACGGTGGTGCTTACGCTGGCTTTCCTCATCCTCTGGCCGATGCCCATGTACGGGTCTGGCTACATCTTCAGCAAGTCGTTCTTCACCGGATGGGTGTCCGTGGGGATACTCTGGCTGTTCTGCTCTTCTTTCTGCGTGGGACTGTACCCACTCTGGGAAGGAAGACATACGAGCTCCAGGACTCTCAAGGCCATTTTCAAGGACATTACCGGTCGAGGAAAGCCCGTCACTCACGGCAGAGCTACGATGGCGGAGACTGCTGAGGTGGAGGAGAAGAAGGATCAGAAGGGGGTTGAGACGCCGCCAGAGAAGAGCGTCGAATAGTGGAGGAGTTGTTTGTGTGAGGTCAGTATAGAATCGAAAACGAGAAGCGTTAGATATAAGCTGGGGAGGCGGTCGTCTAGACATACGGAGGTATAAACCCATTTACCGCTAGAGTATACATTTACTCTGCTTTGCGGTACTGTGCAAGTCAGCGCCATTCTCGTGGCTGATATCGTAGCTCAGTTCGGTCTTCAACCTTGCGGATCGGGAGCATTAGGGAAAAGACAAGGGAGAGACGTACATATATCTACCTAAGCTGCCAATGACGTCGAGCGTCCCACGTGAAACTCTCTCGAAACACGAAGCTTTGAGAACTCGTTGTTGAGATCACGTATTGCTGCTACCTCACTCCCTGACAAAACACACACACTCCAATTGCACTCCTTCATCCTTCATTTCTTGCCACGTCCTTATCACCACACAACCACAAGCACCTGCCCACCATGGCCGAAGCAATCAAAGGCACCATGAACAGCATGCTGTCAGCCCTCAACCTGGGCGGCAAGAAAGAGTCAGAGGATGCAGTGCCTCCACCATCTGACGAAGAGTACAAAGAGCTGAAGGAAAAGTTTGAGAAGGCCGGCCAGGAACAGGTTTTCGCATTCTACGACGAGCTCCAGCCCAACGAGAAAGGTGCCCTATACCAGCAGCTCCAAGCAATCGACCCAGAACACATCAACAAGCTTGCCGACACCGCCTTGAACCCTCCCAAGGCCGAGAGCGAGGAGCAGAAGCCCAAGCTAGAGCAACTACCAGACTCGGCGACCACTTCCACCATCGACAGCAAGGAGGACGCATTGAACAAATGGCACGACGATGGGCTGAAGCTGATTTCGGAGAACAAAGTTGGCGTAGTACTTATGGCAGGAGGCCAAGGCACAAGATTGGGCAGCTCAACGCCCAAGGGGTGTTACGACATTGGGCTGCCCAGCAACAAGTCACTCTTCAGACTGCAAGCGGAGCGTATATACCGGCTTCAGCATCTCGCTGAGCGGCATTACGAGAAGGAGGATGTGGCTGTGCCGTGGTACATCATGACCTCTGGGCCGACGAGGAAGCCCACAGAGCAGTTCTTCGAGGAGAACAAGTATTTTGGATTGAACCGCAACAACGTCTTGTTCTTCGAGCAGGGTACTCTGCCGTGCATTGACATGAATGGGAAGATACTGCTTGATAGCAAGGGCAAGGTTGCCGTGGCGCCGGACGGGAATGGAGGGCTGTACAATGCGTTGATTGAAGGTGGCATTGTTGCGGACATGCAGAAGCGTGGCATCCAGCACATTCACGCCTATTGCGTGGACAATTGCCTTGTCCGGGTGGCAGATCCTACCTTCATCGGCTTTGCTGCCGAGAAAAACGTCGACATTGCCACCAAAGTGGTGCGGAAGCGAGATGCGAAGGAGTCTGTAGGCCTGATCCTGCAGAAGAACGGCAAGCCAGATGTCGTCGAATACTCGGAGATCGATTCGGACACAGCAGAAGCCAAGGACCCGAAGGACTCGAATCTGCTCAAGTTCCGTGCGGCCAATATCGTCAACCACTACTACTCCTACAGCTTCCTGGAGTCGATCCCGAACTGGTCACACAGGCTACCACACCACGTAGCGAAGAAGAAGATCCCACACGTGGACAGCGAGGGCAAGCAGATCAAGCCTGAGAAGCCGAATGGCATCAAGCTGGAGCAGTTTGTCTTCGACTGCTTCCCGTTCTTGTCGATGGACAAGTTCGCAAGCATGGAAGTAAAGCGGGAGGATGAGTTCTCGCCGCTGAAGAACGCCAAAGGAACTGGCGAGGACGACCCTGACACTTCACGACGGGACATCTTGCAGCAAGGGAAGAGGTTCATTGAGGCGGCTGGAGCGACGGTGACGAGCGAAGATCAGAGTGAGTCGGGGGTGGAAGTGAGTCCGCTGATCAGCTATGGCGGTGAGGGCTTGGAGTTCTTGAATGGGCGCGAGATTCGTGCTCCGGCTGTCATTGAGAAGGAGGAGTAGACTAGCCTTTCGGCTGTGTCATGTGTAGACGATAGATCATGAAGTATGCTGAAAGGATGACACATGTGACCTTGTACTGTTGTACCGACCAACGACCGTGATGGCGAGGTCAAATTGTTTTCTTTCAACAGCCCGAGACTTCTCTCATGATGACTCCAGTGCAATGGCGAGATGCCGCTGTCATGCTCTACGACTGGCACCGCATGCTTTCACGATCGAGAAAGAACGTGCTGCGTTCATGTGCCTTCACCAAATCCATCTGATGTCAGCAGCCGCTGCTGCGGCGGGCGCTCGGAAACAACCCTAAAAAGCGAGGCTTCTTCAACCTTCGTCAAGCCTTTCAAAGCAACTTTCTCAGCTACACAAACATCACTTCTTGTCTTTCCCTTCTTTGCTTTGCTGTCGTCGGTCCGAGGGCAGTAGTTAGGAGGAGCGGAGCTGAGCTGAAGAAGAGCTGAGGGAAGCGGTTTCCAAAGAAGCAGAAGCAGAAGGTGAGTTTGCAGTCCTTCGGAGCCTGCGCGTGTTGCGACAACATCACTGCGACCGCGCCTCTGTCGACAGGGCAATGGACATGTGCTGACGTATCGCAGAAGAGACTCCGGTCTAGAAAAGGTACCTACCCGCCCCCCTCGAGCGTCCGACTTCCCTGCATCGCGCATCGCATCGAAGACCCTGCGAACCCACCACTTGTTGCGCTCCATACTCACGTTTCAAAAGTGTTCAGTATGGCTGATACTGGTGTCCCACAATCAGTCGAGGACGGCGGCAAGATGTCCTCGCTCTCTCGTCGGGCCTGCTACAAGTGCGGCAACGTCGGCCACTATGCCGAGGTCTGCTCCAGCAGCGAGCGTCTGTGCTACAACTGCAAGCAGCCAGGTGCGTACCGCTGAGACGGTGTGACGGGAGCCTGCAGGATACTGACCGCTACTCTAGGTCATGAGAGCAATAACTGCCCTCACCCACGCACGACCGAGAGTATGTCAAACAACTTTAAGAAACCCCCCAACGAAGATGCTGACACTCGATCCAGCGAAGCAGTGTTATCACTGCCAGGGACTCGGACATGTGCAGGCTGACTGCCCGACCCTGCGCTTGAGCGGAGGAACTGGCGGCGGACGCTGCTACTCGTGTGGCCAGATGGGTCACCTTGCTGTATGTGCAGACGTCGCTACGCTGTCGGATTGAATACTGACATGAACAGCGCAATTGCCCGGCCCCAGGCACGGCACCGATCGGACGCGGAGCAGGTGGACCCCCAAGAGGAGGCTATGGCGGCGGGTTCCGTGGAGGGTACGCGGGTAACAACCGCGCTGCGACGTGCTACAAGTGCGGCGGACCCAACCACTTTGCTCGCGACTGCCAGGCTCAAGCCATGAAGTGCTACGCCTGCGGCAAGCTCGGACACATCAGCAGGGACTGCACTTCACCCAATGGCGGCCCTCTGAACCAAGCAGGCAAGACATGCTATCGATGCGGCGAGGCCGGCCACATCAGCCGTGAGTGCCCACAAGCCCAAGTCGACGGCGCCGTGAACGGCGAGATGGCGGCTGGCGTCCCACCGGAAGTGGTGGCCGACCCATCGCTCGCACCGTCGGCGATTGCGGCTTAAGCCGGCCAAGCACACGAACGGCGCTCTACCTGGCCACGGAGCTGCCATGGCTCGGAAAACAGGCCTCTGGACATTGTGTTGTTCGGATCTCCCAGCATTTGTCATTCTTTCTTAATCCCAGCGTTGCGACGACCCTTACGACCACAACGAAGAAAAGTTTATCCCATTTCTTGACGACCCTTATCACGACCGACCAGCAATACCTGGACCTTGGCGGAAACGGAGCACGGATCCTTGCGCACTTAACCCAAGACTTCTGTGGATGATATCGAGTCTTGGGGCAAGCAAAGTGCGTAGAGCGAGGCAGAGGTAGCGAAGATTGACAAGACGGCGGTGGAGCGGAAGGACAGGAGACGTTGTGTCGAGGAGGAGAGCATCTTCATTTCACCATCTACCTTGCGGTCTGATGCCAGGCACGTTGGCGTCGCGCGAGTTTCATCAGGAGCACAAATACTGCTAAGTCTGGCGTGCCGTAGATACGGCGCTGCTTGACTCGGCAAATCTCACATGTTCACCCCAGTATACCTCCGCTTGATTTTTCGTTTACTGCCTCTTTCATGTAACATGTCGCAATGTCGCGCGAGTGGCTTGAGTAGGTGTGCTGCAGAGGCATGGTCGTCTTCACTGAAGCTTGGCTTTGAGGTTTAGGAGGCTTGATGGGCTGATGACTGCCCCAAGGTCTGTACGTCCTCCTTTTCCACGCTGCGATTGAGACCGCAAAGCTACTTTAGAGTGCAGATGGAAACAGAATGGAGTTGCGCAAGGTTGACAGGTGGGCCTGCGCGAGTGGGCAAGGAGGTGAGGTTGACTTAAACTCAACCGCATTGGGAACAACAACATCGAACATCGAAGGCAAGAGCGATATGAGCTCCTTCCTCAGGTCGACGCGTTGGGAGCCTGGGACACCGCATGCTCTACCGCCGCCATGCTCACCACCTTCGTTTCGTTGCCATCCTTCCTTTCACTGCAACTATACCATCGCCTCACCCCTCGCCTTCCATCTGTATCAGTCGTCCTAGCACCCTTCAGAAGTACACTCGCACCGCCCTTCACAGCTCTTCTAGCATCCATCGCATCCCCTCCCGCACGCGCAGCATCCAACATGCCTGCCTCAATCGCCAGCGACGATGATGCAGAGGTGAGACGAGGACGCTCGCTTCAACAGCGTCTGTGACTCGGCTCACCACCCAAATAGATCGAGACCAGCTTCGTCGACATTGACCAGCTGCAAGACCACGGTACGCAAAGGCTCCTTGCTCCCTGTGCCCGACAAGAGGTGGCTGACAGACATCACTATCAGGCGTCTCCCAAGCGGACATACTCAAGCTCAAAGGCAACAGCCTCCACACCGTGGGCGTGAGTTCAGTCGATCCCTGCGAGAAGGCGAGATATGCTGACGTTGCTCATCATAGTCTGTGAAGAATGCCACCGTGAAATCGCTGCTCAAGATAAGGGGGTTTAGCGAAGTGAAGGTATTCTAGCCACGTCCTACTACCATGTCCGAGAAATTCGCTAACCCTTATTTGCAGGTAGAGAAGATCAAGGAGGCAGTCAAGAAGTGCCTCGTACGTCAAACCCTCTTCTCCAGCTTCGAAACTGCTAATAAGGTACTGTCCAGCCCAACAAAGGTTCCTGGAGGACGGCTACCGAGGTGCTCCAGATGCGCAAGCACTGCTTTCGTCTCTCCACCGGCAGCAAGTCTTGGGACGCCATCCTGAACGGCGGCTTCCAGTCGATGAGCATTAGTGAGGTATATGGCGAATACCGCTGCGGGAAGACCCAGCTCGCCCACACCTTGTGCGTTGTTGCCCAGCTGCCCAAGGAAGACGGTGGCGGTGGCGGGAAAGTTGCTTACCTTGGTGCGTATCTTCTCCGTCATCGTCGCTGTCGATATACCGTCTAACATCAGATCGCAGACGCCGAAGGCACCTTCCGCCCGGAGAGGATTCAGCAAATCGCCGAGAGGTTCGGTCTGGACCCAGAGAAGGCTGTCGACAACATCACCACAGTCCGGGCTGGCAACAGTGAGCTCCAAGACGAACACATCGGCGAGCTCAACGAAAACTTCGCAACAGGAGACTACCGCCTTCTCATCGTCGACAGCATCTGCGCTCTCTTCCGTTCCGACTACAACGGACGTGCAGAATTGGCCGAACGCCAGAACAAGCTGGGCTCTCATCTCCGGAAGCTCTGCCAGCTGGCTGAAGAGTTCAACGTCGTCGTGTTTATGACGAACCAAGTCCAGTCCGATCCCGGAGCAAGCGCCCTGTTCGCCGGTGCAGACGGAAGAAAGGCCATCGGTGGGCACGTCCTTGCTCACGCCTCGACCACCCGAATTCTCTTGAGGAAAGGCCGTGGTGAGGAGCGCGTGGCCAAGATCATGGACTCGCCAGGTAAGTCTCCATCGCCAGCTGTACCTCTGATGAACCTGCTGACCTCACTCCTTCTAGACTGCCCTGAGAAGGAGGCCTCCTACATCATCACCACTGGTGGCATCAACGACCCCGACAAGGCTTGAGCGAGGAGGCATGATCTTGATTGAATTTAATGAGTGAGGGTGTTTTGCTGGGACTTATCCGCATGTCTGCCATTTAGCGTTCTGCTTTCGCTGGAGAGGTTGTTCCACGGTTCGCCATTTATTAGCTCGGAGCCGGGGTGTTGTTTGGGGATCTAGCTGTGATACCGATGGATTGGGATGCGATTTGTTGTCAGTTCATCATCACTGCTGTTCGTAGCTGCTGTGCAAGACTGTTCACCCAATGGACCTGCTCCTACATATTCATGTCGGCATTTTCCAAATCTCGCGTCGTCGTCGCAGGCCCCCATCTACCCTGGAGCACCTTTCACCAAAGCACACGCCGCCAACCACTCCCGCCGCACGCGGCGGACACCTGACAAAGCAGAACAACCCGGCAGTGAGGTTGATTGGGCGGCCACGTGGCGGCGGCAGATGCTAGAGAAAGTGGTCCAACCGCGCCGAGTTTCCGGAGAAGCCGTAGAAATCTGTCTCATGCTGCGACGGCTCCAACGAGCTGGTCTGCAGTAGTTGGTTGATCGACCAGTGCTGTCCAGGCCTGATTTGTGCTCTGACAGCTCACGAGGCAGTTCATTGTCGAGGCGACGGGTTTGATTGACCGTCCATTTCTCCAACCTGATCTCAAGTCCTCGTGCAGTACTCGCAGGAGCACGTCCAAATGATTCAAATCAAACCAAAAATCCACTCGGTAAGTGGAGACGAATGATCTACGTTTACTATTAGAATTTATTTGGCGCGGGAGAATGCTTTCGGCAAGCACCAGCTGATCGTTTCCCTGCTGTCGTTGGATGCTGCACCAGCACTTGTGAGGATCCCGGGCGGATCGTCATGATGGTTGGGTGATTGTCATTTGTGCTGTATTTTCCTGCCAGCCTCGCCAGCCTCCTGGAGCGGGAAGTTGTGTGGCGAGGACGCGCTGGCAGCGGCGAAGCAGAGCAATGTAGGCGAATGAATGCAGTCAGGTGGTGGGTGACGTGGTTGAGTTGTGGCGAGCTGGAGATATCAACAATTGATCTGACGGGGCAATGAATAATGTCGTCGGCGTACCGTGCTTGGGCAATACAGATCTATGAGTAGGGTTAATCCGTTATACCGAGTATGTAGACAAGCGGTCTGCTGTTGCAAGTCTGCTGATAGGTGGTGGGCCCCCGGAGAAAGTAGGGGATGGCTATGATAGCTGGAGAAGCTGAGCTTTCGTGAAGCACTTGCCGGACGAGAGTCCGCCGTTGCGTAGTAGTAATTGGCCTTTGCGCTCGTCCGTCGGTCTCATCAGTCGCTGGCAGCGGTCAATGTAAGCCGAGAACAAGCGTTGTTCGTTGGAGATTACAAGGAAAATTGTGCAGTTACATTCCCATTCAACGTTTTCGCCTCCAAATGCAACACGCAAGCAACAACAACAACACCACCAGAGCTGTGCCGACATCAACGGACCCTGCGGCTCTCCTTTGGGACAAGAGGGGGCAGAGTAGCATAGCGCTAAGCGAGCAGATCTCAGCGTTGGCGACGTCAGAAGCGAACCCTGCGTCGAGCGGAGCCAGTGGGACCCCTGCCGCGAGCACTCGTTATACCCACTAGCCAAGGTCCCGTGCTCTGCGAGTCCCCACGAACAAGCAACCACTGGCTTTTGTGCCACCACACCCTCCTGTTCTTGTATCTTAATGCCCATTTCTGACGGCTTCACGGTGGCGCTGGGTTGTTGAACGTTTCGATTCTACATTGGGTGCTGGTTCTTATCCCTCCGACACCGACATCTCCTCAACAACACCACCATAAAACCAACCGATGATTCCGAGGAGAGCAGCCGGCCGATAACCCGGAGCACCCAAGAGGCTCGGCAGAATTACTTGCAAACAAAACAACACTCGATTATGCCCTCCGAAGCAATCCCCTCCATCGGCGACGCCCAATACTATCCCTCGCAACCCTCACCTTCGCGGACGCCCTCCCACGACTCCAGCACCGTGTCGAGCGAGGATGATAGCGCGCGTCCGCCCAGCAGCAGATTATCCCGGCCGAAACTAGGGAGCAGGAAGAGCAGCGGCACGATGATTGTGTCGCGCGAAGGGTCCACGACGGTCGTCGACGACGATTTGGAAGAGGGTGATGTCCGGACGATGTCGCCGAGGAGGAATAGTGCGGAGGTTGATAAGTTGGGTGAGGACGCGAGGAGGGATTTGATTGAGCAGGCGAAGACGCTGCAGGCGAGTTTGCAGGCGATTGTTGATCGAGTTGAGTCGGTGAAGACCGAGCATGAGAAGCTTTCGTCTGGCAACCAGTTCCTTCAGTCGTGAGTACTGAAAGACTGTAATGATTCTTGCAGAATGACTAACATGGTGCAGATACATCGGCGAACTCATGCAGACTTCGAAAATAACATCGACGGGTCCCTCGAAGAAGGGCAAGGGTCGGAGTGGGAAGTGAATATTGATTTTAGCATGGCGTCGCGTTCGTCCTGGCGTTGGTTATCATGGGCGCATAATGGCATGGAACGGGATGGAGATGGAGATGGAGCATTCGGGCAACCGTGGACAAGAGGTTGCTTCAGCATGTATGATACACCACTGATCAGTGAGTGGCTGTCGCTGCAGCGACAACGGCGAGAGCATTGTTGCCGCCGCGAAACAAAGTTAAAGCTTCATGTCTCTGTCGACCTCCTATGCATCCAGTGATCTACAACGACTTGCCGTGCTGGATTTGCTGCTAGCAAGATGTCGAGCTGATGGGTGGAAGGGTTCTCCGAGAAGCAAACCGGCATCACGCAGCGCTGTCTGGCTTTCTGGCTTTCTGAGCTGGATGATACGCTCGAGACACCTGGTCGTCCAACTGGTGTATAGCACGTTCTCCGCGACACTACCTCCGTGTGAAGTCCCGAGGGCCACTCTGTGATGCTTGCAGATTGTTCTCAAGCTGGAGAATGTCGTCGACCTTCCTACCATTCACTTGAGAGTGTCCTATACTGGATGAAAGCTCATGCGCCACTGCAGTTTAGTTGCTTTTAGGTTAGCATGTATAGAACTTGTCACGCGGCTCACGAGGTGGACAGATCAGAGTGCACTTCGATGAGAGGATCTGCTGGACGAACAAAGAGAGCATGAATGTTTGTACAATCGCTAGCAATGGAAACCCGCTCCCTCACTAATGCCCAACACCACCCGCAACCCAAGGATTCCACTCCGGATCCCCAGGCTGCGGAAAGAATCCACCATCTGCCTGCTGCCCCGGCGCAGGCGGTTGTTGCTGCTGCTGGTCCTGCCCCTGCACCTGGCCCTGCGCGCCTTGCTCCCCTTCCACCCCCTGCCTTCGCCTCTGCTCCGCCGCCCTCTGCTGTTGCTGCCGATAATACACCAACCACGCCAGCGCCGCGACACAACCACCTATCAGCAGCGCATCGAGCACACTGTCGTCGATGTCCTCGTCCCAGTATTCGTCCCCACCAGGCATGGGATCATTGTGCACGTCCCAATCATCGGCTTCCGGGTATTCTTGTTGGTAGTAGGCTGCATCCGCTTCGAGGAAATCTTGCAACCATTCGGCGAAACTGCGCCGTTTCTTCACCGGCTCGTCTTCGTCGATGCCCTTGATGCCGCCGTGCGTGATGCCGTTCCACCAGCTGCGCCAGCGGAGTTTCCAGAGGCTGAGTTGGACGGGCAGGTAGGCTTCCTTGTTCGTTTCGAGGGCGTGGTCATAGTAGCGCTTCGCGAGGTGGAAGTCCTGTTCGATGCCGACGCCATTCTCGTGCATCCAGCCGAGGTTCCACATTGCTTGTGCTGACTGCATGCTCTCGACTGCGGCTTGATAACATGCGGCTGCGTTTTCGGGTGAGATGGCGGTGCCGAGGCCTTGGAGGTAGTAGTCGCCCATTTTGACTAGGCTGTCGATGTTGCTCTGCTTCGCTGAGCGGGTCCAGTAGAGTAGGGCAACGGCAGCGTCACCCACAACGGACTTGGCGCTCTGCTGGAGCGATGTGAGCCAGGCGATAGGCGACCAGCGTGGCTTGGAGTGGTCGAGCAGCCATGCGACGTTGGCTTGAGCATTCTCAGATCCCTGCTCGGCCGCCATGAGGTACCGGAGGATGGCCTTCTGATTGTCGCCCTCCTCAAAAGCTTCGTTGGCCTCGTTCAGTGAGCCCCATGTGGGTTCGGCTTTTTCAGCAACGATCTTGTAGTACAGCGCAGCGATGGGGCAGGACCGGTCGCGACCAATGGCTTTGTTGTTCATCTCGGCAAGGTAGTAGTAGGCCTCGATATGGCTGTTGCGAGCCGCGTGCTCAAAATACTGTGTTGCAATCCGTGTGTCGCCCTGATCGAGGAAGAGTATGCCAAGATTCGTTTGAGCGACTGCAAGATCCTGATCCGCCGCCGCCGAAAGAAATTCGGCAGCCTTCGCCACGTCCTGAGGTACGCCGAGGCCGTGCAGATGCATAATACCAAGACTGTACTGGGACAGAGCATCGCCGTTGCTGAGAGCGCGAGTGAACCAGATGCGAGCCTTGCTGAAGCTTTGCTCCATACCTTCTCCTCGCAAGAACATTCTGCCCAGGTAGCCGGCTGCCTTGGTGGCGAGCTTCTCCGTGCTTAGTGGAACGTCTTTTAGGACTTTGCCATTCTCAGCCCAGTATAGGCGTGCAAGCGACTTAAAGTACTTCTTCGCAAGCTTCAAATCCCGCTTCAAGCCCCTCGAGCCATCGTAGTGCAGCCGCGCCAGTGCAAATGTCGCCTTGAGGTCACCTTTCGATGACTGCATATACCAGTACTCAAGAACGTCCTCGATACTGGCGTAGGCATCGCTCGTTGGCCCGCCCTGTTTTGCGTGCACACCAGCCGAGCTCACACTTGCGCCCTCGCCATACACTCCTCCATCTTCGTCGACAAGTCTGTAAGCATCTCGCACCAGAACATGGCCACCTGGCGGCCCAGATCGATAGAAGTCAACCGCTTTGTCCGCAACCCTCTTGTACCAGTACGCCGCCTCGTCGCAGTTCCTAGGTGTGGCAATGCCGGCATGGTACCTGTATGCAAGCGTCATCTCGGAACGAGTATTACCTTGCTCCGCAGCAAAAGTGTGGTAGAGCATGCTCTTTGCCATGTCCACCGGTACCGCTGGGTTCAAGCCAGTGGCGTACATGAACCCAAGCATGTACTGTGCCGTGCTGTTGCCATCCAGGTCCGCCAATTGCTTGTACCTCCTGAACGCCTCCTCGTAGTTCTGCGGGTGCGAGAAGTTGCCGTAAAAGTTCATCTCTGCCAGTAGGAAGATGGCGTTTGGATCGTCCTGCTCCGCTGCCTCCTCCAGCATCTTGACGGCTTTTGACAGCGGTTGGGCAAGCTTGGGCGTTGCCTGCTCAGTCGATGTTGTGAGGAGGTTGGCCTGCTTTGGCGCGTTCATGAACAGCAGGAAGAAGGCCTCCTTGGAATAGTAGAGCGCTGATCCCAAGAAGCCCTTGGGTCGACGAGTGTACCGCACGAGCTTCGATACCGTTGGCGGCTTGACCTTGCGCAGGATGCTTGTAGCCTCCCTGACCTTCTCCGCGATCTCTTCACTACCCTCATCTTTCTTTCTGTCCGCGGTCGTGGATCCCTCCCAGCGTGTCGAGTGCGCCGCCCGTGGGTTGTCTTGGAGGGGCTGCTGGTCGACGACATGTTGCTGTTGTGCTTCTTGTGCGGTGCTTGTGGCGAGGAAGCAGAGGAACGCAACTATTCAACCAGATTAGCTTCCTGGCGTGGTGTGTAACCGTACATGGCTTACCAAGTAGGAGCGGCAGCAGATGCCAGCGGGCGCGCTTCATCGTGGCCTGTGGTCTGTGGTGTTGTTATCCAGAACGAAGGCGTACATTGCAAACACCTTCAACTCATCGCTATCAGTAGTGTCAGACAAGAACGATAGTTAATGCCAGCTGTTTCTTTGTCTTCAACTCATCACATGTTGCTCGCGTGGCACTTCCGAACGCACGGACACTCTGAAGGAAGGCGTCTGTCAGCATTGCATCCTCCACCTTATCATCAACACATCCTCCTGCTCTCGCCAACGATCCTACCAACGACTAATGGCTACGTATTACGGATCTGGAACTGGAAGCATGCCGAACACCCCCAAAATGGCGTGAAGTCAACAGAACGGTACCCCTGGCCATGTTTCCAGCTATCATCAAGAGGTTGATCGGTATCTGCTGTATTGACCAATCCAAGAACCTATAAGAACCAGACCCAACAATGGATCGGCTACCGGAAGAAGTGGTACTCCACATCATCTCTTTCCTGGACATTCTAGACATTGTTAATGTCCAATCGGTATCCCATCGATATCTTCTCCTCGGCCGAGACAATGCTCTTTGGAAGACAGAAACATTCAGCCACTCAAGAGCGGAAGCTCTTCGTCGGCAGAGGCACCTACTCAATGCCCAGGACTCAAGGTTGTCAGAACTTCGCAACGCCTTTTCAGCGCTGCCCGGAGGCGACCTGACTCCACTCGATGTGGCCTTGCTCCGTGGAAGTCCTCAACCTCGAGCGTCGTCCGATCCACAGGCAGAGGCACGTACGCAGCGTCATCGAGCACTGGTGAACTGGGAGCCCGACTATGCTTATGAGGACTTTGACTACTACGAGGAGTATATCCACCGCCATGGACCGATCAGTCTTGGCTGGCTGAAGGACTCAAAGCATGCTCGTTCCGAAACCGGATCGCAGGCAGAGGCAACGGGGCTTGCCACTCTCTCAGAAAGCCAGTCGGAGCGGCCTGCCAAGGTCGTAGCACCTCTGGCCGATGGCAGCATATCCATATGGGACATCGGCCCTAGGTCCGCATACTCGTCTAGTAGCAGGGGCAGGCTTGTAGGTCAGAGTAAGCGGGGGTTGCTGACTGGACGACCGGAGAGCGATATCACGGAAAATCACACCATGATGACGGAGACTGGTGCCGTTGAGAGCGTCGCTGTGGACAGCACCTCGCAAAAAGGCTACTTCGCCGTCCAAAGCCTACTCCAGGAAGTGGACTTGACCACAATGCAGCTGGTGTCTACCAAGCAGTATCCGTTTCCGATTACGGCACTGTCGGAAGCCAATGGCCAGTCCCCGATAACAGTCGGCACGAACAACACTGTTCATCTATATGACCCGCGAGATCCAGCGTTTATAACAACAGAAACTGCAACCAGCGGCGAACTTATCGGAGGCTCAGTGTACTCTCACGCGACCCTTGCTCAGCCTGGTTCTTTGTCTATCCTTCATCATGACAGCACAAGCTCTGATGACAGCTCCATCTGGGTTGCTGGTCGATTCACGTCCCTACTGAACTACGACCGACGTTTCTTTCCTCGTCTCCGAGGCACACTGCATAGTGGAGCACGTATTGCGAGCATGGCCTTTTCGCCCTTCAACGTGGTTGCTCGCGAGCTCGATCTCGTCCGGAATCCAGATGCCTCCATTTCCTCCTTGCTCGAAGCACGTAGTCACCCTGGCCCAACGATACTGGCTGCTGCAGAATACAAAGGCAAGGGCTCCCTGGAACTCCACAATGTATCAAGTGGGTCGTCATACCAGAATCGTCAAACTGCATCTGCATCCAAGCTGCTCTCCGCTGCACCTCATGGTGGGCGTATAGTGTTCAGCGACGGAGACGGGAATTTGAAGTGGGTGGAGAAAGACGGCTTCTCGTACGTCCGAACCTTTAACATCCAGCCACCACCCGATGCAGCAGGGGATGCCAGCGACTACGGCATCTGGTCTTCCACGGCCTCGGAGATGCCCGGTCAAGGCGACATTGTTCAAAAGATACTGCCGCTCAAGGCCGCGGCTTCGACCGCGTCAGACAACCGGGCGGACATCAATCAATCCAACCTTTTGCTCTGGACTGGAGACGGAGCTCTTGGCATGCTTGGTTTTGGCTACAGCGATGCGCTGGGTGTCGACGACGACTGGCATGACGCGGTTGAGGCGCGGGCTCAGACTGTCGAGCAGAGGGCGAAGGAGGACGCGGAGAGGCAGTATGGGATGGCTATGAGAAGAGCACTGGAAAGGAATGCTGACGAGGTGAGGTTTGTGCGCGGACTGGGCATGATGAGGTGATGAGAGACGATCTTTGAATAAACATTCGTCGCCAAATGGCTACCCACAGGTTGCTGGCAGTCAAGGCAGAGAAGTCCGAAGACATGCTGGCGGTTTACACACAAGCGGTCAGCAATGCCGAGTCACGAGCAGCGCAACACTGCTGGATAGCCAGTCTCACGTGCAATTCTATACAGCGCACCGACCAGAGCGAAATTGATTCCTCAAATTGCGTTTCGATGAGTTATGCACCGGTCTGCGGCCGCAGGAAATCAGCACGAAGTTGTTTCGCCAGCTCGCCAAAACTTCAACGCTAAGACCATCAGCCCCAACGGCCTCAGCTCTTCAGAGACACAACGCCTAGGCTTAGCACAAATGCTGATCCTCTGTCGTATACGATCTCGGAAGACCATGTTGCGCTGCGCCGCCCAGCTCGATTTCCATCGTTTCATCACTTTGCCATCACGTCGCTCCCACTGGGATGCCTCGCCAAAATAACACGCCTTGGCCGCTTTCACGTGATCTGCCGCCAACACACAGCGATGGTCTTGGACTAGCACCAGTCGGCTTCGTGAGTTCTTCCTCCATATTCGGGTAGTTGTGCGCTTCAAGGCTTGCGCAAGGATACAAGGGCGCTGCGCTCAGGTAGGTGTACTCCGATACTTAAGTCGAGTCTGCTGGTATGCACATCTTTCTTCACAAACTCAACATTTCCTTGCTACCACATTGGCCCAGTCGCAACCATCCGTCATCCATTCCTCCAGTCCTCTCGATGGCGCTACGCCGGCTGTTGCTGAGCAGTGTCACTCTGCTGTGTGCAGTCACACATGCCCAATTCTTACCAGCAGCCGAAGGCATTACAAAACTCGATGTTCCAGATTCTCCAGGAGTTTCGATCGAGTACAAGGAGACGCACATCTGCGACATGACGGTCAAGGCCTACTCTGGACATGTTCATATGCCGATAGCATACCTCCAGGATATCGAAACCTCGGACCCTTACAACATATCGATGTTCTTCTGGTACTTTGAAGCCCGGGAAAGCCCTCAAACAGCACCGACATCCATATATCTGGCTGGAGGACCTGGGGTGTCATCCATATTCGGTGCTGTCGTTGACGGAGGGCCCTGTTACATTGGCGATGATGCGAACAGCACTGTGTTCAACCCTTACTCTTGGAACGAGAAGGTGAATATGCTGTACGTTGACCAGCCAGTCGGCAGTGGCTTTTCGTACGACAAGCTGGTGGAAAGCACATACAATTTAATCTTCACGGGCAGTGACGATCCGACCGACACAGGCATACAATCGATCGAGTCATGGGGTCATGATCTCCCGCCCGAGAACACCACATTCAAGTACGGCACACTTCCATCGCAGAACATCCAGCATACCGCGAACACGACAGGCGTTGCAGCAGTCACTCTTTGGCACTTTCAACAGGTCTGGTTCAGCTCGTTCCCGGAGTGGAAGACATGCGACAAGAGCGTATCCTACTGGGGCAACTCTTATGGCGGGTTCTGGGTGCCAGCATCGGCGGCATTCACTGCCAAACAAAACAAAAAGATCAAGCGTGGAGAAGTCAATGGCACTGTGTTGGAGGTTTCAACGATAGGCATCACGAACGGCTTCATCGACGCGCTATACCAGGCCAAATTCTACCCAGAGATGGGATACAACAATACCTACGACCTCAAGATGATCAACAAGACGACGTACGAGGAGCTCAAGGAGCTCTACGCGGCGCCAAAGAAAGGCTGCCTCGACCGTATGCTAGCCTGCAGAGCGGCTGCAGCGAAGCACGACCCTCGAGAATTCGCCATCAACCATAGGGTCAACGCAGTCTGCAACAAGGCACAGCAAGCATGTGTGCCGCTATTGGCCAGTCAGGGATCGGAACGCAATCCTTTCGACTTCGGACATCTGCTGCCGGACCCGACACCACCGGTCACAGCGGACGGTTTCTTCAACCGTGAGTGGGTGCAGAAGGAGCTCGGTGTGCCGTTGAATTTCACTTCGGCTTCCAACGTCGTTAGTGCTGCTGTTTTGGGCACGGCGGGCGACATCTTCCAGAGGGCTGGTATGGCGGATGTTGAGTACCTTCTCGACCAGGGCGTGAAGGTCTCGCTCATCTATGGTGATCGTGACATGCGGTGTCCGTGGATTGGTGGTGAGGCGATCAGTTTGGTGGCCAACTGGACGGGTGCCGACGAGTTCCGGGCGGCTGGCTACGAGTACATTCAGACGAATGCTAGCTATCAGGGCGGTGTGTTTCGTCAGCATGGCAATCTGTCCTTCTCGAGGGTGTTCGATGCTGGGCATGAGGGTGAGCTGTCCATGGAACATCCGAATCAAGCGAGCAATGACTGAAAAGATAACTAGTATCCTACTACCAACCCGAGACTGCTCTTCGCATCTTCAACCGCGCCATGTTCAGCACGGACATCGCCACCGGAAAACATTCTACATCTGGCCCATACAACATCTGCAGCACAATCGGACCTTCGAGCAGCTGGCACATCAAGAACGTCCTGCCAGACATACCGCCGGTAAATTGTAACCTCTGGGCCGTGCCGACGAGCTGCACCATGGGACAGCTCTATGCCCTTCAGAATGGTACGGCAGTGATTGATGAAGGCTTCAGGATCTTGCAGCCGGATGGTAGTGATGGTGTTCCGATCCGGTTCAGTTTTGGTTTGTAGACTATGGATATAGCTGGCAATGCGAGATCTGAGCCTGCGATGTCTCAGACCTACCAGGTGTTAGTTCCAAGCGCTGGTTAGTGGCGAATAATTTGGAAGCAAATTGACTGTTCAGAGAAGATAATTCGGCTGCATTCGGAGTAAGTAGTTGATGCTCGGGCTATGGTAGAAGGCCTTTGACCTTGGGCCAGCTTCAACTCCTACTCACTCAAGTCTTGCCAAGGCGGCGAAGAAGATTCAATTTAAAGTGTTCTGCTTCAAGAGCTCGTCTGCGGTTGCTCATCAGTATGAGAACCAACTCTTGATCAACTGCTTCACTTGCGGACGTACCTGCTGTAGAGCAACCCGGCCACCAGGTCGCAGTGACATCCACAGGGACTCCAGGCGGCCGAGGAGCCAAGTTAATCCATGCGCTCTTCCCATCAATGTTGACCTTCGTACTAATGTATCGTATCCGCCGATGCTCAGGGACGTCGTCCGCACAGGTCACGACCAAGCCTGCCTCCTCCACCATAACCCATCTCGCCGCAACAGCTGCAGCCGCAGTGCTCTCCCACACGCCCTCTTGCCTCGGATAAGTATGAAGGATGCTGATAGCTCTCCGCCTGAGTAACGGATCGCGACAGACAGTCGCTGCGGCGTAAACCGGGATGATGTATCCAAAGTCGAAGCTGAATGAGCTTGGCTGTGCTGCCACCTCTGATTGCGCAAGACTCTTAGCGAGTTGCTCGCCATAACGTAGGATCTCCTTCCCATGGTGCAGGAGCCCGTCGTGTTGCTTCTGAGGGCCGTGTCCGTAGGCCTGGATAGCCAGCTGTGCAAATGCATACCAAAGCCGCAAGTTGATTACGGTCAAGGAGCTAGATAGGTCAGACTCGCTGGCGAGCACTTCGAAATGCCAATGCCACTGCTTGATTGTCACGGTACATCTGGTCTTCTCTGCCGAGTATCGAGCAATGGCTTGAACATCGTTGCGCCTGACAGCACGTTCGATGTGGTTCCCAAGGATCATCAGCCAGCGCATGAGGTCAATCATCGAATTCTGCGCCTCGTTGATGTCTTGGAAACACTCTGGCTCAAGCGCTGGCTTCGTGTTGAGGAAGTCTTGAAGACCGTATCGATATGGCGAGGTGCGGTCCGAGAAGCAGGTAGCAGGCAGATCCAAACGAGCGAAAGCACTTTCAATCTCAAGCAAGTCTCTCCGCCTCGATGTGTGTTTCAGTCGCTGTAGGTTGTCCGCGATAATGGCTCTTCCACTGTCCATGTGCGTTGAGGCCGCGCAATATTCACCTCGCACGCTCTCGAAGATGATGAAGATGATGCAGGTAACGAGTACACGGTCGATATCTTCAGAGCCAGCCGATGCGATGAATGCTCTTGCCTCCTTCAGGGCCTTCTGGTGCTGTGTATCCGCATATTGTCGATGCTGGATATGGCTGTTGCCATCAGATGCTAAAGTTCGGACTGAATGCAAAGAGCTCAGCGCTAGGACTGCGTGTTTAACTGCAGGCTCTGTGTGGCACGCTTGCAGAACAATGCGGTCCCAGAAGCGGCAACTGACGATGGCATTTGTGCTTGCTACTGTCCGCTGCCGGAAGAACTGGAAGTATCGCTTCTCCAGGAGACCACTGAAGGCCGGATCCGTCACCAGGCGAGGCAAGGGTCCCACAGGCCTGTAGTCTTCTCCACAAGCGCTGCTCTGTCGCGAACCCAACAGGCTCGCAGTTTGTAAGTCTCGCCTGGAGAATGGAAGTGTGCTGTAGCCATCACAGGTCCGTCCTGTCGATATACACCGTCGGCATGCCGGCTTCTCCTCATCGCACTTCACGCGGCGGATCCTAGAAAGAGTCAATATCAGCTTAAGAAGCCGTGGTAGTTGGGAGAGTCTTACCGGCATGTGATGCAGCCGCTCTTGACTCTTTTGGTACCGCTTGAGACGCTCATCTGTATGCGCTTTCAGCCGGACTGGCACCATTCTGTCGCAGCTCGTTCAAGCAGTGTAAGTGGTGACATGAGAAGGCAGAGTGGAAAATGTATCTCAGCATGGGTCTCACAGCCTTCGCGCGAGCGAGCGAAGTGGCGCAGGCGTTAGTCAGGTTAAATCCACATCCGAGTCAGCTCCAACATGCGTAGGCTGCCGCATAACTTCCACGCAAGTCTGAGTGCAACTATGACAGGACAAAAAATCGTGACCAAGTCGACTTCATCAAAAGAGCTGCCTCCGGCGTTCGTACCGGAAGGGATGAGATCGTTCTATGTTCCACTGTCTGGTCTCGAAATCTCCCGCGCCTTGTCAAGCTGTCGAACAGCCGTTGTTTCTGGATTGCTTTGATGACAGTTACCAGGCTAATAGGAAGCTGAGAGCCCGCTGAGCTATCCGTTCTATCACCTGTTGAAATACAGCACTTCAGTCCCGCGAAGCCTCTCCATCACTTGCTTCTCGCTCATGTGTAAAGCAACACAAATCTCGTCCATGCAGTGCTGGCCGTCCAGATATTTGAGCAATTCAGCGCTGTTCTGTGTTGCAGTTCCACCCTCCACTGCTGGCGTATTTCCATCGTGAGCATTTCCTGAGTCCCTCTCGCCGGCGCTTGGATCAAGAGGTGGTGTTGCCCAACCTGAGGAGAAAGCTGCTTTCCTCCATGCTCGGTTGCGGTCGTCAGCATCCACGTCTAAACCATGTACTGCTTTCGACGGCGAGCCACTCGTCCGTGATCCTCCAACTGATATGGCCTGACTCTCCACGGATAGGGCATATTTGTGGATACGGCGGACGAAACCTTTGATAACCCCAAAGGTGATGAAGCGCCTGACATCGATGTTGACCAGTCGTGATTCATGGGCCAGGTAGAAGTCCTTGACAGGGACGCCTGGGTTGAGACTGCGGTAGAGAGTGATGAGCTCGTACCCTGACGGAAATTGTTCGCTCGACGACTTTGCCACATAATGTAAGCATTCCTCTTGCAGTGCATCATCCTTCACAAAAGAAGCGAAGTCTGCCGTCAGTGCATAGATAGCGTGAAAGTGAAAGATGTCTAGCAGCATGATTCGACCGTGGCTTAGCAGTCCTCGGATGGTCTTGATGATGAGGTCGATGTCAACGTCAGCTAGCTCCGAAACCTTCTGGACGTGATTCACACCATTGATGTGTGGGTTGATCTGGCGAAGTGCGAGGTCATATGTCCAATCGTCGCCGTTCGGCAAGGCTCGAATGAGTAGAGGTACATCCCAATGCCTGACGTCGCGGTGGGGTGGTGCCGGTGACGCCAGTCGTAAGTTCAGCACGTGGAGATCAGTGACCATTACGCATGTTTCGCCGTACGTGTTGAGCTCGAAGAAGACGGTTTCCAGTAGCGAGTACAGGACCCCGACATCTGCAGGGTAGCATTCGTCGCCCGCCCACTTCAGACCACCGAGCCGCTCCTCGGTCTGCAGCAAGCCTTCCGTTGCCTCCAGATCCGTAAAGAAAGCGGCAGTCTTCGACACAATTCTTTCCCACGGCTTCGGGTCGGCACTTTCGTCCAAAATGAAGCAGACGTTGTAGGTGAAGCGGTTGCGCTCGTACTTTTCATCCTCGAGGCTCACGGGAAAGCCAAGCACGCGGTAGCCATTCGTGCAAATGGCCAGTGGCTTGTTGCACAGCTCGTAGACCGGGATGACATAGGAGGAGATGTTCGAAAAGTCCAACAGCGAGCTCTTCTTCTCCGTCGTCGATACATTGATCGCGGTCTCAGGATACTGGTGGATGACAGATGGTCCTCGCTCGGGGTGGAAGCGGGCGTAGAAGACCGCCTTCAGCATCTCCCAGCATCAGGGCGGTACCGCGAATGGTGGTACTTCAGTATCCTGCAACACCGCCGAGATGGTTAGGCGAAGACTAAAGTCCACTCAATGATCAGAGATGTTGTTAGGAAGTCTTGGGTGGAAGAGGCTGTGATTGGCAGTCCATCAACCGCCGCTAGCGGCTGGCTGCAGAAAAAGGGCGATGCAAGGAGTTCGTGCAGCTCCTTGGATGAGACGATATAGAAGAGTGGTATGCATCAGAATGTTCAAAGTAGACATGGTGCACATTTGGCCGGCAGGCTATGCTATTTGATCACTCGGTGAACACCATTCTCATATCATCAACAAGCGTAACTGCCATTTCACATTACTACCATTCTTTCATCTAAAAAGGATCCGCCTGCTTATGCCCCATGCCACTGGCCAAATACGACGCGTCCGCCAGCGCTCCCAACGCATCCTCCGCCTTGAACTCCTGTCCAGCAACACCAAACGCCTGCTGATCGAAACTGTGCTGATCGTGAGGAGTTCCATGGTACGACTGGCTCTCTGGGACGCCGTGATACGAGTGCTGCGAGTACTGCGCATCGTAAGCATGGTCGTAGGTAGCCGTCTGTGGCTGGAAGTCGGGCATCAACATGAAGTTTGTGTTCTCATCGACAGCGCTGTTCGGTTGCGTATCGAAGGAGGCAGTCGCTGTGGGATCTGCCCAAGCCTGCGAGTAGTCGTCGAGCCCTGGATCGGCAGCGAAGTCTCCGGTGCCAGTGCCAAAGTCGAAGGCGGAGCTGTCGAGGTTGTCAAAGTTGAAGTTGTGGTCGTACGAGATATTGATGTTTCCAGCGTTGAAGTCGAAGCTGTTGTCCGTGTTGAAGTCGAAGTGACCGTTCTGACCGACCACGCTACCGTCACTGGCTGATCCAGGCCATGTCGCAGAAGACAATGCTGACCCGGAACCGCTATCATACTCGAATGGAGACTGCAGCGCAGGTAACGGAAGCTGCTGCTGAGGCCGAGAGGCAGACATGTCGACGTAGTGAGAGTAGCCGTCGAAGATGGAGTCTTGCCGCTCAACCCTAGGATACTCCTCATGCTTAACGCCTGCACCAAGCTGGGAAGACTGTGGAGCCAATGACGAAAGTATCAGGCGTCGCCACCGCGCAGCACCCTCCGGCTTAGTAGACTGCCTGAAGCTCCAGTGTATTACAAGCAGTCGTTCCGGATGGCCATTGTTGAGGATGAAGATCTCCTGGATGCCGTTGATACTCTTGATCTGCGCTGCGACCTCTTCGCTGTAGTCCTTCGAAGGGCTGAGCAGCCTGTTCGCCATTTGGCCAAGATTTCGAGCCCAAAACTTGCTACCAAATTTGCTTTGAGCCTCGAGATCCTGTCGATTCTCAATCTGTGAAAAGTGGAGCTCGGTCGTCTCTGGATTTTGCTCCTGGTCGGTGACCGGAGTGGCGACCGCTCCATTCACATAGAATGTGTTCTTGCAGAAGACAGAGCTTGATCCGTTCTTTGAGGTCGGTGGTGGGTGTCGGCTGCTGCAGATGAACTTGATTCCGAGTTCAACTCCCGGAAGAGCGCCTTTGAACGCTTCCGCGGGAAATGCAAGCGTCGCTTCAGCAGCAATGATGTTGCAGTCGAGCCTGCCTTGACCGCTCAGGTTAGTCAACAGCGGGAAATCGCGAGCGATCCTCTGCCAGTCGTCCATATAGAGGTCTTCATCACGAGGAGGAACATCTGATCGTCCCGATCGTGTGTACGTGTGAAGCCTGTCGGGCTCACGGAGATCCTTGCCCTGATCGTCTTTGTAGACTCGTTGAATGAACATCTCGAACTCAAGAGGCTCGAAGACGTCAGGACTAGCCTTCAACTTGGCGATGTTGTAGCTGTTGGTTCGAGGTTGCGATGGCATGGCGTTTCGAGCGGAGTGCGGAACCGAGCTGACCGGATAGCCCGACATTCGTCTGCCACCGCCCCAACCGGAAGCATGCCCATGGCGTTGGGGAGCACAGAGGTCTTCCTTCGACAGATACTTCATGATGTATTTGTCCTGCTCCACGAAGGGCTTCAAGACCTGGATGTGACTGGAGACCTGCTTCCGCGAGCGTTCTTCACCGGTCAACTCCTGGATGCAGTCGGCGATAAGTTCGTTGCGGCCACGCTGCTTGTTCTTGTGTAGGATCTTGCGGCGACCCATCGGCTTCCATGTCACCAACGCTTGTCGTCGAGATCAGCATGAAGCTACTACAACGCACAGAGTAGCGGACGTACCTCGAAAGAACGCCTTCTCCAAATGGTCAGGCCACTTTTGGTCTTCGTTGCCCTTGTCGTCTTTGGACTGTCGGCCACGGTACTTCACATACGCATCCGACTGCCGGAACCGTTGATACAGGAATTCGGCCTCGACCTGATTCTTCGCCTCCTCCTGCGGGCTACACTGGGGATGCCCGATCCGGGGATATCCATGTCGTAATGCAAGCCGGGGATGTGGTCGTGGGTAATAGAGCTGCTGGTGATCATTGTGATGTCCCGTCCATTGATGGTGACGAGAATAGGCGTTCTCTGTCAACAGTGATGTCGGGCATTTCTGCTCAAAGCCTGTTGGGAAGGGGTAGGCATTGTGTTGACGATTGCCGGAGTGTTCCTGGAGTATCCTGCTGGTAAGATCCAAGCCATCGCCATCGTCCAACGGCGGAGCATTCGATCGTAAGACGTGGGTGGACAGCATAGTTGACCGACCCCAGTGGCACGCAGTGAAGAATGCTTGAGGTAAGAATGCTCAAAGCACCGCTCTCACCGAGTCTGCCTGCTCACGCCGTGATTCGTCGAGGTTGATAATGGAGAGATATGGGTTGAAGGAACGTAAAAAGTTGGATATAGTATAAAAGGAATGACTGCGACCCTGAAGAGATCGTGAAGAGAAAACAATCAAAAGGAATGTCAGTAAGATAGGGTCGCCGTCGTACGTCGCAACAGGCAGAGGCACCCAGCCATGCAGATCGACTGGGCTTGTTTATACAGTTCTACCCCAAAGACTGGTAGTGTTGCTGACTTAGCTTTGTGGCCCCTCAGGGACCCAGTGGCAGAGCGTGCAATTTCGGCCCTAGCTGCACGCGGGAGGCAAGAAGGTGTGATGGCCTTGCGACCGATTGCACGCTTCTTCAAGGTCCAGAAAGGGAAGCCAGCGGCGACATCGGCGCTCTCGTGAACCAGCGCAAGGGCCCCGTGCTGTGACGTTGGCAGTTCGAAACGGTTCCAGTGAACACTCTAGGCAGTGCAATCCAGGGAGGGATGCAAGTCGGCTTGCAAAGTGGCAATTTCCTGATAAGACAATGCCATGATGCTTGGAATGTGCGTGGTCGTGTCGAGAGGAATGGAAGCATTGTTGAAGATTCACGGCGTAAAAGACGCCCTTCTACCTCAACGAGCATATTGTCTTTCGATGTATAGTCGTAGTGTATCTGTTTCATGTAAGCTGCGTGGTCGTACGAATTTGGGTCGCAGAAGAGGTCGCAGCCATGAAGCAAGGGATTGAGCTCATACACCCTCCAGCGTCGACGCACTATCCTGCGAACGTGCGCCTGGCTTCGTCGAAAGCGAGAGCCTAGAGCATTTCGAGGTTCCTGGGCTTGGTGGTCGCCGGAGTTCACTCCTCCCCATCCTCCTGCTGCGTCAAAAACTTCTTCCTCCCTCCACTCGTCAACTTCTGCAACGCCACCTTGTTCACCTGCGCTCCAACCTTCTGCTGCATCTTCTCAATCTCCTTCTCGGCGTCTTCAGGCTCTTCTTCCGCAAAGTCCAGCACAAGTCGTCGTCCAAGCAAGTGGGTATCGCGCAAAGCCTCAATAGCATTTTCTGCCTCCTTCGGCGTCGTGAAGTCTGCAAAAGCGAAGCCTCTCGCAGCCCGATCCATCTTCTTTGGGACACGTACGCTGCGGAGCTGACCGTAAGCCCCAAAGAGAGCACGAACATCCTTCTTGGACGCTTCGAAGGGCAGATTCTTGATGACAACCTTGGTTTTCTTACTCGCAGCACGCTTCTCGGCATCGGCAAGACGCCGTGACTCTGCTGCATCAGCACCCTTATGAGAAGCTCGAATCTGAAGCTTGTGTCCCTCCAGGGTGTAGCCATCCATGGCTTTGAGCGCGGACTGCGCTTGCGGTGCGGTGCGGAACTCCAGGAAGCCAAATCCCATGCTCAAGAGTTGTCCGGGTTTCTTGGGATCGGTCTTGGTTTTCACACGGGCTGAAAGAAAGCCTTCGAGCGGTAGAAAAGTGTCTGTGAGCTGTTGTGTGGTAGTGGTGAAGTTGAGGTTGCGGACGAAAAGAGTTGCAGTGCCTGAATTGTTGCGCACAGCGTGGTCCGAGTCCTTCAAGTCGGAAGCAGAAGTCTTCGACACACCGTCCCTGTTCTCTTGTTCCGTAACAGGCACTGCCTTGCCCTCAAAGAGACCCTTTGGTGCCTTCTCAAGGAACAGCACCGAGCCCTTGATCTTGCGGTATGCGAGTGCACCAAAGGCAGTCTTGCACTGCGCGGCGTTCGGATACTCGATGATAGCGATAGTCTCTGCCGGCGGCATCAAGAACTTCTTCAGCTCTCCGTGCTCCTCAAACAAGCGCCTAAGCTCGTCCTTGCTGCAATCGTATGGGATATTCTTGACTAAAATCGCGGTGTCACCTCGTTGGCTTTTCTTGAATGCATCGAGATCAATGCCATGCTGCTTGAAGTAGGTCTTGGTCTCCTGAATGATGTGCGTCTCTGCGTGCGCTTGTTTGATGGCGGCGTCACTGCTTGTCGGATCAAGCACTTCGGACTTTGCAAGACCTAGGCGGTTTGCAACGCTCGAGACGACCGCATCCGCATTCATGTACAGCGCGTTCCAATTGAAGGTCGTCGATGCGGCGTCACGTTTCCGCTTGATCTGCTGCTGTTTCTTCAGTGGTAGTTTCGACAGTTCAAAGTCATCCAGTTTCGTCTCGCGCTTCTTGCTTGCCGGCAGTACATGAAGTAGACGACCCTGGAAAGTTTGGCCGTCCGTTTCGAGAAGTGCTGTCTCTGCAGCGTCAGGATCAGAGAACTGCACGTACGCGAACCCCTTTGCTGCTCCCGTCTTGGTGTCGAGCGGCACATGGACCTGGAGGATACCGTCAGCGCTGTTTTCGCCCCGTCAAATCACACCGTGGTTCAGATGTTATGCAAAAGTCAGACAAAGAGAAGCATCTACTAAAATATTCTCCCCAGTTTCGCATCAAATGCCTTGGCATAAGCTGTCCCTATCAGGGTGGTCATCACAGAATGAGAGAAAAGAAAGTTCAATGGACGTACCTCGTCTATGTGGCCGAAGCGCTCGTACTCGGCCTCGAGATCTTCTCTTTTGATATCGTATGGGAGATTCCGCAGAAACAGGCGCATGCTGGTCCTTACAGCATTGACATCAGCTTCAGGCTTTGAACCATCCCCTTCGTCTTCAGCGCCTTCAGATGGAGGGGTGGGCAGTGCGCTTTCTGCCTCCTCGGCAGGTTGTAGATTGGAAGTGCCCTTCTCTGGCTCACTTTCGTCCTCAGCTGGCGACTCGCCCCGACTTGCCAGAGTTTGTGCGTTCGTTGCCTCATCTTCCTCATCATCGTCGAGAAGTCCTAGCAAACGGCTCGTCCTAGATCTTGCCCAGTCCGAGTCCGTTACAGCCGGTTGAGCATCTTGCTCTACCGGTTCTGGTGCGTCTTTGACCTCATTATCTTCCCCTGGGCCGCCTGCGGGCACATGCTCCGTCTTTGACTCCGCCGGCTGTGGCGGATCCGGACTATCCTTCTTCGATCGTTTCGGCTTGCTGGGAACATCTGCATACTCTTCGTCACTCTGATCGCCTCCCGCTTGAACGCTCTCCTCAAGCGCAGGCTGGTGCTCGATCGCTTCAAGCTGTTCATCCTCCCGAGCCCGCTTCTTGCTCCGTGGCCGATACGCCTCAAGAAACTCCTTCAGCTTCGGGTCCTGCTCCTCTGTACCCTCGCTAGCTTTTTGGCCCTTCCTGTCCTGCCCCTGCGTAATGCCTGTGCCCTGTCCAGCTTCTTTCCGAGCAGTCGGCGCACCTCCACCATTGCGTTGACTTGCTCTCTCTGCGGCATCCTGAGGTGGCCTTGCAAGCTCCACACCAATCCTCGACATCCGTATGAAGGTCCTGTTGTAGTACTTGACCGCCGCCTGAGCATCTTCAGGCGTCCTGTACCCGATATACCCAATCCTGCGGTTCTGAAAGATTTTGGCATCGGTGATCTCGTGCTTCTGCGCGAAGTGCTTCCTGAACTCTGCCTCAGTGAAAGAAGGCGGAAGCCCCTTGACGAAGATACGCGAGGATTCCATTACGGCGACGCGCTGTTTTGGTGGACGTTGTGCGACAACGGGTGATGTGCTGGAAGAGAAAATTAAGAGGTTCGAGGTGGTATGCCGAATAGAGATCTCGAACTCTTGGCGTGCTGGTTCGCGGCTGGAGCAGCAAACATCTCCTTCACTTTCACCAATAACACAACATCGACGCTCGCCTGCCACGACTTGAAATCAATTCTGCATACCGAACTGTTCCACTCTATCGCACACTTTTGGACATGGCCGACGCGAAAATGGGCGATGAGACGGAGCAGCCGCCTTCGTACCGCGAGAAACTCGAATGTACGCGGCCCCTCCCGCCCTTCACACGCGCGAGTCACTGACGGCAGTATAGCACAGATCAAGTCGGCGGACATGGTATGGAGGCTTGAGGGGCCCGTCGAGCGCAACACGATTGCTAATCAGATCCACAGAGTGAGGATATGCAGCAGGAAGCCATTGAAGTCGGTACGTTCCACAGTCCTTCCAAAACAGCGGGCTTGTGAAGTCGTACTGACACGTCACAGCGCAGGAAGCGATGGGAAAGTACACGGTCGAGAAGGTATGGGTGCTCCTCGGTCGATCACTGAAGGATTGAGTGCTGACATGACACTTCTCAGGAAATCGCACATCACATCAAACGAACGGTACCAAAGAGCCCCCTGCGCCATTATGATGCCGCCAGAAAGCTGATAAGCCTCTAGTTCGACGAGCGCAAAGGTGCGACATGGCACTGTATCGTTGGAAGAAATTTCGGCAGCTTCGTCACTCACGGTATGATCGGTCGTCAGCAATGAGCGCCGTGCACAGCGGCCATGAAGCTGACACGGTAGCAGAGACGAAGCACTTCATCTACTTCTACCTGGGGCACTGCGCGATACTGCTGTTCAAGACTCAGTAGAAGGTCCATGCGAGAATCTGAGGTGGGTAGAAATAGGCGATGTCAAGAGAGCAAGGGAGACATTGTATGGTATCCAGTGACCGCGACGTACTGCGCGACACGACATCAGTGAATTAGCTTCTGCCTTGCAACACATATCTGATATCCGCTTCCGAGTCAGCAACCGTACAACGTTTCCTACTCATGGCCGCCCCCTAGTCTATCACAAGTTTTGTGCCTTACGCTATCCGGCCCGCCTCCGCGCTTTCTATTTGCCACACCTACGCCTCTCGTTGTCTTGGGAGACGTCAAGACCACGCGTTACTTGGCCTTTGCCGGTCGACAACGATGCGCCTCTTTCTCTACCAGTCCCGATAACACATTACCACCCGAGCGCTCAACATGGCTTTCTTCTTCACCTGTGGTACCCATGGTAAGGCCACCTGACGACTCACCAGACCAGCCTAAGCTGACGGTTTCTCAAGCGTTCAAATCTCTCCTCAAGGGCTACGAGCATATCACCGTAAGCACTGTACCAGTACAGCTCGTATACGCGCCGAGAACTGACAATGCCCAGGCCCAATGTCAGAATTGCGGAAACTTCAGCGCCAAGGTCACGAAAAGATGGTATGCAGAGCTCCAACCGCATCGCCAACACTCCCACTAACACCAGCACAGGGAATGGTTCACCTTCTGCTTCGTACGACGCCTCCAACATAGTTCGCTCAGTGCGCCATACAGCCGCTAACTCTGTCAACGCGCCACACAGGTCCCGTTAATTCCCTTCTCCCTCAAGCCATGGCATGAAGTCTCCTGCCACATCTGCCATTTCAAACAAGACATCAAGTACCGGCCCGACGTGCAGCAACAGATGGACAACCCGGACTCTGGGCAGAATATACCGATGAATAACGGGCCGCAGCAGGGGTGGGGTGGTGGAGCGCCGCAAGGCCAGTCGGGGCAGATGCAGTATAAGTGATCGGTGGGAGAGAAGAGCAGCACGGCGTTCTAGGGGTGTGTGGGTACGGCGATTGGAAGATACCTCTGCATATGGGCGGGAGTTTCGGCGGTCTATCAGCGGCTTGATGTACAGGATGGCTGGCAATGCGACTCGCGCCTAACTCTAATAGCGCAGCTGTACGATTATGCTTGCTTGAACATAGACGCTTTTCGCTGATTACGACCTGTACAGGCTTTGGTAATATTTTCGAGGTCGATCAATCTTCAGAAGGCAATCTTGGGCAGGCGACGGCTTCCCTTTGAGGTGCGGGCATTCGAAAGCAAGGCTTCCCCCATGCTGCAGCATGTCATCCTCTGCCATTGTATGTCACGACAAAGGCACATGTAAGCAGCTCTCAGAGGTTCAATGTGTCTCCAGGTTATCAGGGAGGGAGGGACGTGGCGTTTTAGCTCTGCTCGACTGTGTCTCACGTACTCTTAAGGTACATGTTCTCCCAGATCTTTCAGCTACAACCTCTGCCAGCACTTTCAGTCGTCCAGGGATCCCGTTCTCGACCTGTTCGAGTTCGATGGAGCCGATGATTCTATACAAAGCTTCATCCCAGCTCCCAACGCTAATATCAACAATGCAATAGCGACAGCTGAACACGCAGCGGCCACTGGGGATGTACCGGTATTAAATCAAGCGCTCTCCGACCTGCACTCCCTCCCTGGGTCTGGTCTTTACCTTCAGCGACCAGGAAACGCGTTGGCCCTGGCCATCTACCATGGACACCAAAACATGACGGAATACCCTTTAACGAACAACTCCCCCGTCACCCCAGAGGCGGCCACGGCGGCTACGAATACGAAGGATACGCGGACGCTGGACCTCCTGTTAGAAAACAGATGGGATATCAATGAATCGCTCAGCCCCGCGACTCTGTCCGCATTAGCGTAAGAGAAGGCTGGTCCTAGGGTTTGACACAGCGTGCTAAACAAACCCCAGGCTCGTTGTTGATGAAGAAGACCCGTCACTGACCTCCTGGCTCCTAGACCGCGGCGCATCTCCGAGTACTCAGTGCGCACTAGACCTGACGCCGCTCCCCATCGCCGTCCAGTTCTCGCCTCTGTCCATCATCCAGTCTTTGTTCGACCACGGAGGCGAGATCAAATGCTACTACATTACGCCGGCCGACGAGACTTGCCGGATCAACTAGACGTGCTGGACTTGATTCTCAGCAAGGAACCACCACCGATCAATCATGTGATGTACCAAGAACATCTTGATAGCTACTATCGCCAACGCATGTTCGGTCTTGGAACTGCATTGCATAAAGCTGCTGAGCGAGGCAAGCTGGACATGGCCGAGAAGCTGCTGGAAGCGGGTTGTAATCCCTTGGTTAGAGATTCTCGCGGTGGGACGGTGTTGCAGCGTGCGCAGAGCAGGGGGAAAGATGTCGTGGTCGCCTATTTCGAAGCCGATCGCGGCGAAGGCTGTGAAGCCCGCATGCCAGTTCACTGAGGGGAAGGAGACGACGGGGTGGAGCTGAAGGACTTTCATATCCTTTCATGGTCTCGGTATGCTAATGGTATGGTTGGAATGTCAATGTCCCACGCTCGCAAATGCTCGCCAGTCGTCATCCATTGCCTCATCAAGTCATAGATCGTAGCCAGCAAACAGGCCGGTCATGCTCATGCTCATGCTCATCCCCATGCTCATGCTCATGCTCAAAGAAACATCGTCATCAATCGTCATAGCTTTCACGTCGGATCGAAGCAGAAGCAGTGGCAAGCTCTACCCACCCCTGCTGCTCTGGATTTGTTGAAGGGTGATAAGCAGCTGCTCATAGCAAGCCTGTCACGCATCAGCAAAAACCTCACCCACAGCCTCGACACCAACCTACCTCCTTCGCCTTCTTCTGCCCATGCACCTGCTCCACCCTCCCAATCGGCCCCGCCAACCTCGGCTCCCTCACAACATCCCTCTCATCAAAGAAAACCGCCGCATCATAAATCGGCACCCCGACCTGCACATCCCCGAGCTTCGTCTTTGACAACCGACAATCGAACCGCGGCTGACTGAACCCCAACGCAGCGACCAAATGATGCACACGCACCGGCAGAGGCGCGGAGTCCACCTCCTGCAGACTCTTGTTCACGACGTCCTGGAACTCGGGTCTGGCGCGCTTGGACGGGGCGGCGCGGAGGACGCCTTGGGCGCGAAGCCAGAGGACCGCTTCTTTGGCTGCGGAGGTGCGGGCGGCTTGTTTGGAGTTGAAGGGGCCGAGATCTTGGCCGAAGGGTTCCGCTGGGCCACCTGAGATGTTGACGGTGCAGCCGAAGCGGAAAGGGGGGTTTTCGGACATAGACTCGTGGTATTCTGCGAAAGCGACCTTCTTCCGCTGCGCATAGTCTGTGAGGATATGTCAGCAGTTGTGATTACGAAAGGGGTACAATTGATTGACCGTGAAGAATGCTAATCCAGTCTTCGCTCCTGTCTACTTCCGGACCCACGTCGGCGACCAGGGGAGCCTTGCGCTTCACGCCCGCTACAGCGTCCAGATTCGACGGTTCGGAGAGGGCGAGGCTGCAAGCGGCGTCTTTGGCCTGCTTCTTGGTGGGAAAGCTGTTGGGAGTCTGGAAGGAGAGGGAGCCGATCTCGACCTTGGCCGAGAAACGGAACGCAGAGGGTTCGTTGTAGGTGAATTCGGGTCTGACGCCGCGCTGGTCGCAGAGGTGGTGGAGCTTGACGGTGCTTTCGTAGTTGCCTTTGCTTGAGGGTAGAGGGACGACTTTTGCAGGTGGGTTGGGCTGGTAGGGGTTTTGGAGCTCGAAGTCTTCGATCGATTGCAGTTCCAGGGCGATGTCTGGGTCTGTTCGAGAGGCGAAGAGTTCGCCGAGTGATCTGATGCCGGACGCTGCTATGCTGTCTCCGTCGGACGATGTTAGGGGAGCAGGTTGTTCGCCGCGCGCAGCCTGGCCGATAGAAGTACGGTGTGGGAGAACGATCTCATGTTCAGAATCTGGCAACGGCACGATCGCCGCTGCGGCCATGTTGGGATTGTGTTGCTCTTGCTGGTTTTTTTGTCGGAACTCTTCGATAGCGATCTTTGCCTCCTGCAGTTGCTCCTGGCTGGGAGTGATTAGCGAGTTGAGAAGCTCGTCCATTGTGGGCAGAAGCTTGAGGTGGTGTTTGGCCGGATTGGGCACGCGCGTTGAGCTCGAGCCACCACGAAGTGAATATGGAAGCAAACCTGTCACATTTCTGTTCTGTGAAAGCTTGAGGGGATGCTGCAATCAGGGGGACTGCTCCATGTGAATGGTAGCTGTCAGATAGCAGTCTTGTCTGGTCAGCATGCAGAGGAGCCGATGCTGATTCTTACAGACCAGCCGCACTCATCGGAAGCGGACTACTTCTCGCGAGCAGTGCTAGACTAGATGACCAAAAAGTGTTCCTGTTACCTTCACGGGGTCCTCGAAGCATGAAGATTTTCTCGCGGCGTGTTGCGTCCAGTGGGTGCTTCCCGCCCTCGCCGTCGCCTGGCTGAAGACCAGACGAGTACATGGTAGCATCCCGAACACAAGCACATACAAGGTATTCTGATGCTCTGCTCTCGGAGAAGGGATTATTGACGCGTCGACGGAGACTGCCAGCACTCAAAATGCGTCCGTTTTCTACTTGCGAATGTTATGTTCGGGGTCACGGGTGGTGTGCAGTGTGCTCAGATTTCCAAGGCCAACAATTGGGCGGCGGGCTTGGGCGGGTTCAACCAAATCCAGCGAGTAGAAAAGATGGCTGGCATTAGCTGGTCCGAGCGTCTTTGACCGCAAATTCTGCTCGTCCCTCCCACACACCTCGTTACCACCTCACCAACCTCAATCAATTCTCAGTTGACAAGGGACCCCACCAAAGTTGAGACTCTCAATCGCAACAAGACATCTCGCGACCGACCAACATGTCAGGCTATCACGATCGACCTTCTTGGGGCGGCGGAGAGATGGCGCAACCGCCAGGACAGAAGATGGTCTCGGTCGACGTCAACGAGTTCATTCGCACGCGCGACGCGGTAAGTCAACATCACCATCGCTCCGCGTACATTGTCGCGTCCAATGCGAGCACCACCACCTCTTTCACGCGCTCGGAGAACACCTACTAACGCGCCTCACAGCTCGCCTCCGCCTATCTCAATCTCTCATCTTCCTTCGAGCGCGCGGTCAAGGCCTACCTCGACCACACCCAAGTCGTGCTCAATGGCGACTCAACCCTCAACGTCGGCCACATGCTGGCGCCCTTCGGCGGGCTCGGCGCGTACGGGAACCCAGCACAGGTGGCATCCGCCGCGCTGCAGCACAACGGAGGCATGGCACCAGAGGTGAAGTCTGAAGAGCCGCCTGAGAAGAAAGGACGCAAGAAGCGCACCTACAAGGCTCGCGATCCCAACGCTCCGAAGCGGCCCTTGACTGCCTACTTCCGCTTCCTGCAAGACGTGAGAGGCAAGATTGGCGAAGAGCTGCAGAGCGATCCCGACAAGTACAAGGAAATCTCCACGGGCAACCCGGGTGACATTTCGCGCATCGCCACCACCAAATGGAACCAGCTCAGCGAGGACGAGAAAGCACCCTACAAGCAAGCGTACCAGGATGAGCTGAAGGGGTACAGCGTGCTCGCGGAAGAGTACAACAAGTCCAAGGAAGATGCGGAGGGGGAGGTGGATGTCCCGGGCGTCTCAGCACCAGATCCCAAACCACAGGTGACCGAGACTACGGCTGCTGGCGCTGCTGAAGATGACGACGACCAGTCGTCCGACAGCGACACTGACAGCGAGAGCGATGAGGAAGAAGCTGCACCGGCACCACCTCCAAAGGCCACCACTCCGCCCAAGAAGTCGTCGATGAAGAAGAACAAGACTCCCGCTACCGCCGCGCCACCAACGTTCTCCAGCATCAACGCCCCGGCCGCTGCTCCAGCGTCCAGTCCTACCCGCAAGCGCAAGACTGATGCCAGCGAGACCGAAGACAGCTCGAAGCGCGGTCGCAAATCCAAGAAGACTGTGACTGCCGGCTCTGACCAAGTCGCTCCCACTGCACAGATGGCCGCGCCGGCTGCAAGCTCCCCAGAGGCTGTTGCTGAGGGTGGCAAGAAGAAGAAGGATAGGAAGAAGAAGAGCAAGAGCGACGCTTAGAATGCGTCTGGCTCTCCGTTCTATTCTTCCGTCCCTTCGATCTGATGTCCACCAAACGACTTCGAACACATTGATATGGGCGGAAAGATCGGTTGCTTTTTGGAGAACTTGTGCAAAGACACACGCAACAGGCACTACGATGGGACAATGTGGGCTTTAATGGGAGCGATTTCGTTGGGCCGGCCTTTTCATTACAGAGCATGATACCCTTGGGCGCGATGAATGGTGTACGGCTGATTGGCTTGTTTCGTAGGTAACATCATCAAAGTGGTTTACTTCCTGTCGCCCGTGTATTCCTGATCAGCTGCATCTCAGTGGCAGTTGAGAGCCCCACCACGACTCGAGCTCCAGCTCGCACAGCTCTGTGCCTGCATATCACAAGCTTCAGAACCTCGACTTTCTTCGCGTGTTTTTCTTTTTACGTACTCGTTTCCATGTTACACCAAGCCCCGTAAGCAAAATCACATTGACAGCGGCACGATGCAGCTCGCTCCCAAGGAGGTACGCCTACTTATCAAACCCCACCGCTTCCACCATACCACCCACCTCCACCCAGCTAACACGCATCCCCAGATAGATAAGCTCCTCATCACCCAAACCGGCACCCTCGCCCAGCGCCGCCTCGCCCGCGGCGTCCGCCTCAACCACACCGAAGCCCTCGCCCTCATCTCCCACGTCCTGCACGAGCTCATCCGCGATGGCGCCCACACCGTCGCGGACCTCATGTCCCTCGGCACCACTTTACTGGGACGCCGACACGTTCTGCCGAGTGTCCCGAGTCTGTTGACGGAGATGATGGTCGAGGGCACGTTTGCGAATGGGACGTATTTGGTTACGGTGCATGATCCGATCTCCAGTGATGATGGGAATTTGGAGCGCGCGCTTTACGGGAGTTTCCTGCCGATTCCGAAGGAGGGACTGTTCCCGTGGCCGCCGGCTGAGGGGTTGGAGGCGTATACGGACGAGACGAAGGTTCCGGGGGCGGTGGTGGCGGTGAAAGGCGACGCTGGGCGTGTGGTTTTGAACGAAGGACGGAAGCGGATCCAGCTGAAGGTGACGAGTAAAGGTGACCGCCCGATCCAGGTGGGCAGTCATTACCATTTCATCGAGGTCAATCCGAAGCTGGAATTCGACCGCGTGCGCGCGCACGGGTATAGGTTGGATATTGCTGCGGGCACGAGCGTGCGGTTCGAGCCTGGGGATGCGCGGACGGTGCAGTTGGTGCAGATTGCAGGGAATCAAGTTATTAAAGGTGGGAATGGGATCGCGACGGGGAGTATCCATGATACGGAGCTGGTGAACGGTATCTTAGCGCGGATGCAGGAGGGTGGGTTCTTGCACAAAGAGGAGCCCGGCAGGGATGTACAGCTGGAGGCGCCGACGCTGGCGAGGGAGGATTATGTAGCGATGTTTGGACCGACGACGGGGGATCGGGTGAGGTTGGGCGCTACGGATCTTTGGATTAAGGTGGAGAGGGATTTGACTGTGCGCGGGGATGAGTTGAATTTTGGGGGTGGTAAGACCGTGAGAGATGGGATGGGGCAGGCGAGTGGGTGGAAGGATCATGAGTGTTTGGATACGGTGGTGACGAATGCGCTTATTGTGGATTGGTCGGGTATCTACAAGGCGGATATTGGGGTTAAGGATGGGATTATTGTTGGCATTGGGAAGGCGGGCAATCCGGATGTCATGGAGGGCGTGGACGAGAAGCTCGTGGTGGGCTCGTGTACGGATGTGGTTGCGGGCGAAGGCAAGATCGTGACCGCTGGTGGTTTCGACAGCCACATCCACTTCATCTGTCCTCAGCAAGCGAACGAGGCGATCGCATCTGGAATCACGAGCCTGCTCGGCGGCGGGACTGGACCCAGCACTGGAACGAACGCCACGACCTGCACACCCGGCCAAGAGCTCATCAAAGGCATGCTGCAAGCCACCGACAGCATCCCCATGAACATCGGCATCACAGGCAAAGGCAACGACTCCGAACCGGGTCCCCTCCGCGAACAAACCGAAGCCGGCGTCTGCGGCCTCAAGCTCCACGAAGACTGGGGCACCACGCCCCGCGCCATCGACACCTGCCTCACCGTCTGCGACGAAGAAGACATCCAATGCCTGATCCACACCGACACGCTGAACGAATCCGGCTTCGTCGAGACCACGGTCGCCGCCTTCAAGAACCGCACCATCCACACCTACCACACCGAAGGCGCCGGCGGCGGCCACGCCCCGGACATCATCTCCGTCGTCCAACACCCCAACGTCCTGCCCAGCTCCACCAACCCGACCCGCCCTTACACCGAGAACACGCTCGACGAGCACCTCGACATGCTGATGGTGTGCCACCACCTCTCGCGCAACATCCCCGAGGACGTCGCGTTCGCCGAGTCGCGCATCCGCGCCGAGACCATCGCGGCGGAAGATGTGCTGCACGATCTCGGCGCCATCAGCATGATGTCCTCGGACTCGCAGGCCATGGGCCGCTGCGGCGAAGTCATCCTGCGCACCTGGAATACGGCACACAAGAACAAAGTCCAGCGCGGTTCACTCAGCGAAGACGAAGGAACCGACGCGGACAACTTCCGCGTCAAGCGGTATATCAGCAAATACACCATCAACGTCGCCCTCGCCCAAGGAATGTCGCACCTCATCGGCTCCATCGAAGTAGGCAAACTCGCCGACCTGGTCCTCTGGCCTCCGAGCAGCTTCGGCGTCAAGCCCGCGCAGGTGATTAAAGGCGGCATGATCGCGTGGAGCCAGATGGGCGATCCGAACGCGAGTATCCCGACCGTCGAGCCGGTGTATATGCGACCGCAGTTCGGGGCGATGATTACTAGTAATTCGATCGCGTGGGTGAGTCGGAAGAGCGTGGAGAAGGGGACGGTGGGGAAATATGGGTTGAGGAAGCGGGTGGAGGCGGTGAAAGGGTGTCGGACGGTGGGGAAGGGGGATATGAAGTGGAATGGGTATATGCCGGAGATGAAGGTGGATCCGGAGAGATATGTGAGTGCTAATGCAATTTTTGATTCAGTGTTTGTTATGCTGATATTCGATACAGACCGTCGAGGCCGATGGCATGGTCTGCAAAGCAGAGCCATCCGAGACCCTACCGCTGACGCAGGCGTACTTCATGTACTGAGATGTAGATACCCTCTTATCGTCGTCGTCACTGCCAACCAAACCTCTCGATCCTCTCATATCTTCACCTCTGCCGGCATGCTGACCTTCAGAATATCAACACCCTTGTTGATGTCGCTCTTGCTGGGCATGTTCATTCTCCGCATCAGCTCCGCGCTCTGCGTCATGTACGGGTCCTTCATCATGCTCGCCACGGCGTGCACTTCCTCACCCTTGGTGAAGTATGCCACCCAGCTTTGCTTGCCTTCGCTCACGTCCGTCTCACCTTGAATGATTACGTCGTCGAAGCCTTGGGGTGTGTGGCCTAGACAAGTGTGTCAGTACGAAGACTACTCGGATCGAAATGAATTGTTAAGAACTTACCGCAGTACCGCAGCTGTGACCCCACCGCAGACCAGAAGACAGGAATGAATGGCTTGGGCTTGCTACTAGGATTGTTGATCGTGTGCGCCACACTCCTGCCAGCGTTCTGAGCGACATCCCAATGCTCGATGCGCACTGGCTTGCCGTTGCCGCCGGGTCCATGGTAGGGGTATGTCGCGATGTCGCCAATGGCATAGACGTCTTTCAGACCCTTCACCGCGAACGACTCATCAACAGACACCGATCCGTCCTTCTCGAGGTTGATGGAGCTGTTGTTCTGCAGGTAATCCGTCGAAGGTTTGATGCCGACACCCTCGATTACAATGTCTGCCTCCAGCGATGTGCCGTCTTTCAGCGACACCGAGCCGATCATGCCGGATGCACTCTTGCTCTCATTTCCCTTCTCCACAGCAGCCTCCATGTGGAACTTGACGCCGTTCTTCTCCAACAGCTTCCTGAAGATCGAGCCGACTTTCGTGCCCATTACGCGCTCCATTGGCTCCTTTTCCATGCCGATGATGTCGACGCTGTGGCCTTTGCTTGCCAAAGAGTTGCCGGCTTCCATTCCGATGAAGCTAGATCCCACCACGACGATCTTCTTGCCACCCTTCTCGCCTGCCGCTTTCATGATAGCCTGCGTGTGCTCCAAGGATCGCAGGAGGAAGACGTTGCCGAGATCACCCTTCAGCCCGTCCAGAGGCAGCATATTGGGCTTGCCGCCAGACGCAAGAATGAGCTTCGTGTAGTCGTACTCCTTCCCGTCCTGCGTCTTGACTTTCTTCCCACCAAAGTCCACGGAAGCCACCGTTCCGCCCACAATATCCACATTTCCCTCCTTGTAAAAGTCCATACTCCTCCAGGCAACCTGACTCACATCCGTCATCAACGCCTTCGAGAGCTTCGTCCGGTCAATGGGTTGATGGTTCTCCTTCGAAATCACCGTAATCCCTCCCGTGAACCCACCAGCCCGCAGCGCCTCAATAGCACCGAGTCCACCACTCCCACTCCCCACAATCACAACCTTCTCCTGCCCCTTGGGCGAGCACTTGATTGACAAATGCCGTCGTCCCGCCTTCAACGCCCCCTCGTCACCTTTAATATACACCGCCCCATCCTTCTGCACCACCTCAAACTTTGCCAGCGGATCCAGGGCCGGTGCATCTTCTACATCCCCCGTCGAGACCTTGAAACACGCTCCATGCCACGGGCACGTCAGCCTTCCCTCCGGCGTCAGAACGCCTTTTACTAAAGGAGCGCCGTAGTGCGTGCAGTTGGGGCTCATGACGTGGACTTCATTGTTGTTCTTGAGGATGAGGACTTTGCCGTTCTCGATGCCTTCGACTTCTGCCTCTTGCTTTTGGCCGTTTTTGAGGTCGATGCTGGTTAGGCCTTTGAGCTTGTATTCGGAGGCCATGGCTGCGATTGTGGAGGAGAAGGTGCGTTGTTTGGGAAACCTCTTGAATAGGGTGGTTTTTAAAAGTGGTTGACGAAGAAGAGAAGAAGAAGGGAGGGGTCTGAGGAAGAGCATGTGGTGGAAATGATAAGGAGAGGAGGAGGAGATGGAAGAGCTGTATGGCAGTTTGCAGTCGTTGTTGCCGTGGACATCAACAAATGTGCGAGTAATCGCGGAGCTGCTGATAGGTTGGACGCGGTGATCTACGATGGACGTCACCACTTCAAACAGGTGGGGGCGGGGAGCTGGTCGAAGTGTCGTGCTCTCGAGAGGCACGGCGACGACGACAACATGCATCGACGGTATAAACAGAATACTCAACGTAATTGCACGTTGGAGAACGTTCCAAAGACAGTCTGTTCGATCAAAAGAAACAGTGGTCAGTTGCAATGAGACAATCAACTAACTTTTGTCATCTATCAACAGCTATTGGGGGTATCTCTCGATTATGTTATTACGCAGCATTCCATATTGCTCGCTGCTTGATCCGTCCCATATCAGACCGGTCGACACCTCGCTTTGTATGTACACTCATCTGTTGCGTTGTTGAAAACCCACCCCAAACCCAGATCGTCAAACCAAACGAAAGGACACCCTCCATCCCCTAGTAAACAGGCACACTCTGCAACCTTTGATAACTCACACTCGGCGCCACCCTCCCCTCATTCATCGGCGTATACCCCGGGGGTGCATCCGCCGTCGGCGCCTGACTCCCAATCCTGCTGCGTCCGACCAAGTCCACCGACGGCACGCGGATCGTCCTAGGCTCAAATCCGTTGTTGGAGAAGAAGTTCGAGACGTCTTCGACGTCGACTTCCGCCTCTTCGACGCCGCTGATCGATTCTCGACGGGCGAAGTCGTCGCTGACGAGGTCTTGGGAGGAGATTTGCACGGGGACTTTGACTTCCATTGTTGAGCCGAGACCGGGGCTGGAGATGCCGAGATCGAGTTTGAGGGCGTAGACGCGGCTGATGAGGCAGCTGTGGAAGGTGGGTGGGAAGGCCTTGTTCGTTGGGAGTGTGATCGGGACGAGGATGCGAGTTGTGTAATATAGTCCACCCTTGTAGCCTTCGCTTGCTTCCGGGATGTCGCCTGTCTCCAAGGAGCTGGATGAAAGCGCAGAGCCACGTCGTTCGAGAGTGAGTGCAGGAGAAGGCTCTTGCTTCGTCCACTCCACGTTATTGACGCAGCGAGACGAGAGGCTGAATTGTTCGGTGTGCAGGCCTTGCGAGAGATCGTACATGGACAGCTGCTTGGACGGGAAGCAGTCTCTCGCCACACTGGAGAAGTAGGTGGTGACTTTGAGCTTGCTGGCGAGGTTTCCAAGTTTCGGCGGTGGCAGTGCGTCGTCAAGTGGATCGAAGCGAAGCATGACTGTCGCCATCGTAGTCATCCTAGACTCTGGGTTGTTGTACGACTTCATCTTAAACGCCTGAGGTTGCGCGGACTCCATGGTCAGGGTGCCGAGCCTCCCCTTGAGCAAGCCTTTCCTGATGGACTTCTCCTTCCTCATGAAGTACTCACCGTCTTCGGTGTGAACGTCGAGAGGGGGCTGCTCCTCGACTGCAGGAATGACTCGCAGTCTCCGAGCTTTGGATGCGACAGTACATCGAAGTGCATCGTCACCTTTCATCTTGAGCTCTGTGATCTTGGAGAAGACCCCATATCGGATGCTCGCCATGTCCGGAGCCATGTCATCGGAGCCCTTCTGGCTCGTCAGACCTTTATCGCCGAAGGTGGGTGGGAGACGAAAGTGTGCTTCGCGGGTGGCGTCGCTCTGAACAGGGTGCTGGCATACCCGCGGCAAAAGTTGCTGAGGTACGACAAAGACAAAGGGGAAGTCGTAGATCTTGCCGGCTCGAAGGACCAGATCCTCCGGATACAGTTGATGCAGTCCAGGCTGTTGGAGCTTCAAGAACTGGTGGAAGGCCTCTGATCGTCCACTCGCAGCAGCAGCAGTAGTGAGTCGTTCGACATAAGTTCTCGATGTTCCAATGAATTCAATGTCGATTGAGTCGAAGTTCGTATCCACCTGCGGAACCACAGTAACGGAGCCTTCGATCCGATCCAGTGTAGTATAAGTCTTCTTCTTGGTGGAGAAGTTGATTTTGATATCTGGCTTCTGGGCCTGCACCAAGTTCCTGAGTTTGGAAGGCATGGTGTGGCCGTCGTTGGAGGAAGTGGAAGAGGGCATGGTCGCCACTTCAAGTAGCCGTCGGCTCCGTTATCAAAGGTCGACCCAAGACAACCCAAGGTCTGAGGACAAAGAAACCAACCAACCAGCTGCACGCGGGCGATATCGCTGGGCGCTGGGGGGTGCGGGGATCAGGCGAGTAGGAGAAGGCGGCTTGGAATCTTCAATGCGGAGTGTGGTGTGTATCTCCGGATGTAGATGTTCTCGAGATGATGGACTGAAGTGGTAGAAGAAGCGCGTGGAGTGTGGTCGAGTGGGAAGTACTTACATCGAGGAGAAGAGGACGGAGATGTTTATATAATACTTACGAAGGAAACGCATCACTCGTCAGACGGGTAGGGCGTGCAAACAGAATGTAAAACCATCAACACCTTGACTCACCCCAGCCGTCCACGAACGCCGAGACGTGGCTTCATGCACGTTTCTGCATGATGGACCAATGGTTGCCAGACCGCACGGGCTTGCGGCATCTCTGTGCTTTGGTAATGCTCAACTCCGTCAGCACTTTCGCAACGACATGTGCTCTGAAGGGCGTGGTGATTAGTTACATTGAGAGCAACTTTCCTATCGTGACCTGCTCGCAATGGAGCCATTCGTCTCCTGATTCGAAATCAATCTGCTGTCCGTCTTTGAGACGGTCGACAGTCACATGCCGATGTGTTGAGCAAGGAGATGATATCCATTACGACGTGGGATCCATCAATGATCGCTAACAGTAGGGCGAAGCGCTGGTATATAGCTAACAGAAGTCGCTGTCGAGGCTGACGGCGCTATGTTCCAAGGATGAAGTCGTTGAGCAGGACACTCGTTCGCATATCCGCGGAAGAAGAGTTTTCACGTTGCTAAAGGTAGGCACAACCGCCGCTATATAGACTCGTTTCTCTAAAGGGAGTTGCTCACGACGCCAGCTCCGCTATGTGTCAAGCATCGCCTTTAGAGGCAAAAGACACGGGGGCCAATGGCAAATGGCTCGCGGTTGAATGCTACGTATCTCCACCAGGAACGAAGGAAAATCTTGCTCGAGCGTCTGACCTATTGCCCAGGCCACGTGGTATGTTGGCATTGACTTCCAAGCTGGGTCTTGCCCAGATGGAGTCGATTCGTGCGAGGCTTGAAGTTTTCCTTTCCAACGCCGCAAAGGAGTTCGTTTGATCGGCGTTGTTTGCGATGCCGATGTCGGGATCTGTTCCGGCTCTCCGAACAACCCAGACCGCGTGGCGTGGGGTTGGACTTCACGATAGGGCGTGCATGTGATTGCTGTCGTAGAAACAAACAGCTTTGCAATATGGATAGCTCGAAGGACACGGACGAGACAGCAGGGTCTTTTGAACTTTTGTCATCACCGAATGCTCAAGGGAAGCAAGACCTGCCAAAGCCAACCGCAACGCCAGCAGAAGTTCGTGACTATCTGGTCCACTCACTACACAGTAAAGGCATCAGCAGAGACGACGCAACAGAAATCGCTTCACGATGGAAGTATGGCAGTGACCGCGAATTGCGCTCCTACCCTATCGCAATGTACCGCAAGACCTTCGGTCCAGACGATGAAGAAGTGTGGTTGGTGTACATGGCAGTAAAAGCTCCGTTCTACAGAAAGGAGAACCAAAACAACTTCACCCTGCGCGAACAAGGTATGGCAGCGTGGCTTTCTGTTTACATCATTTGATAGCTAATGTAATATTTCCAGCGTCGATCCTAACAGTCTCCACGGCCGTGTTCTGCATCGGAGTCTGGATGATGGTTCACCACCCCAACGATCCATGGATAGTCGTTGCGACGCTATTGCTGATTCTCGGGATGGTCGGCGCCGCCTTTGCGATCGTGGATATGTGTGTTGACAAGGATCCGGAAAAGAAGGCGGAGAGGGAGCTGCAGGATCATTGGCGTCAGAAGTTTGGCCAGCATGGCGATGGGCCCCCGAAGGAGGCGTGAGTTTGCTGAAACTACCGTGCGGCTTCTGCTGCCGGTAGTTCTCAGAGTCACCAGATGCCATGATGCTTCGCCGCAGTATCAAAGCCTCTCTCGAGCGGTCACATACGGAAGTCCTGGCGGAGTGAGCACGGCGTCGGCTCGCTGTTTTGGAACCTTTTAGAGTCGTCCAAACACTCTGCGGGTTGAGGCTGGCCCTAGAGCCAATCCCATCTCGAGAGAGAGGTCTGCCGGGACGATGGTGGTACACCGTGATACCTCCGTAGCGACGGTTGATACCGGAAATTGCCTGGAAGCTTATAATCGGCGCTTCAGGCTATCCCTCAGGTATTGCGGATAATCGTTCAGAGCACCTGCACGCCAATCGGGATTTGGAGGTCCTTTCATGGCTTCCCACCTACGCGCAGCAGCTCCAGATGAAGGCATGGAAGCGGCTCTCCGACGTTGCGGAGGGCCCGGCATCTGCACTTCCTCTGAGTCGCCCTCGCTGGAAGGAGTTACTTCCACCTCTTCTACTGGACCGCCCGCACTGATCAGCGGTTCTGTTGCGCTTGGACCGTGCAACGCCTCATCTGCACGCCCAGGTGCGGATTCAGAGGCCAAGCCATCCTCCGATTTCTCCTCGTCGAGCCATTCGGCTGAGAGACCCGGGCTTACAGGCCACGAAGTGTCCGCAGACCTCTCACCCTCGTCATCGCTTGCGTATGGCGACGACCGGGTCCCTCCAGTCTCGGGCGACACGATGTAAAGATCCTGATAGCTTCCAAACAACATTCGGCTCCAATACGCCGCACGCGGAAGCTTCACAGAAGCTATCGGCTCGTTCGATTGAGCTGCACCCAAGTTGACGTCTCGCTCCTCGGGAAGCAGAAGGTCTTCAGACTTGATGTCTACCCGGCCGCTGCCCCGTGGGATGGGTTTCTTGGTCACTCGAACGTGTGGATCTATCGAGTCTTCCGTCAGTCAAGACCTTGCGTCATGTATTGAACAGTCCCACCTTCTTTGTCAAACCAAGCGGCTAGATCTCTCTGCGTCGTCATCTGTACGCTGCTCTTATACTTGTACACCAGTATCGGGCTAACATCAACCTCGTCCAAAGGCCCATAGCGAGACATTTGGGATGAACTGCTTCCACTAGCATTCGAGCCTTGGTCTTCATCTTGCCATGATCTCCCGTAAAAGGCGGATGGTTGAGAGCGAGGCGCCTCCTCCGGCGGTTCATTCTGGTTCCATCGGCCCGAAAAGATCGTTTCCCAGTCGCACTTGCCTTCCACAGACGACTCCATATGTTGGTCGAAGAGGTACAGCTGTCCGGTTCCTTCTTCGAGGTCGTCCATCTCGAGAACGTCGTTCGACAAGGCATCAACCTTCGCGCTTAGGCTTTCAGCTTCCTGAGCGAGTCCTTGAGCTTCGTACACTGTGACAAGTTTGCTCATGTCCGCCAGTGTATCGGGATGTGTCTGTCCTGGCACCTCCACCTGGATCTGAATCACGTCGGAGTAGAGATCGTGTGCGTCCGGCCACAGCTCTAGCTTGCTGCAAGTGCCTGCCAAATGTTTCATGGCGGCGATCGTGACTGGGTGGTTGCTCCCCAACTCTGTCGTCGCTGTAGCCCACACACGGCTCTGGGTTGCGATGTTCTCCCTGAGTAAAGCTCTTTCCGATCCCCAGCGGACGGCATGAAGAGTACACATAAGTGTCTGTGGGTGCTTAGGGCCCAAGAGCCTCGTTTGCACCTCCAGCAATCTTGACGACAGAGCTGATGCGTTATCTTCCCGACCCTGTCGAAAGTAGACTCCCACAAGGTTCGTCCCAGTACACAATGTCATCAAGTCCTCCTCGACGAGCTCGAAGAGTTCAGCTTTGAAGATTTTCTCAATCATAAGAGCTGCTTGCGTTCGTCGTTTGATGTCGGAACCTCGTGCAGACTCTTCATCCTGGAACTTTCGGTGGAACTGGATGTCGCCAATCTCATGCCGGAAGATCTGCGTCAAGCTATCATTACAGTTGTCCTTTGCGAGGTCCCACAAGCGGAGAAACAGTCGTTCAGCTCTTCGCCATCTCGCACTCTTCCACGCCTCGGCGAATACGCGGAGGACCATGCATGTCAAAACGGGATCTGGGAGGTGAAAGTCTTCTTGCAATGCTTTCGTGCTGGGAAGGTGCGGTATGATCCATTAGAAAGGCCTGTCTTCTGTGAACAAGGTATCATGTCGTAAGATGAGATACATCCAGCCAACGTAGGCGGCCCAGTAATTCACAAAGTCTGGTTGTTGCTGCGCTCTCCATCGCACTAAGCCATGCATGGTGATTCCTTTCATACCGGCGGGGCCGTTGACGGATCGCACCAGACCGTAACGTAGCAGCGGCTTGAGGGTCTCGCGGTAGTGATGATCGTCCCACACTCTGTCCTTCGTCTGTTCTGGCGCCAGTATATCTTTCAGCCATTGAGGTATTACAACTTCCTCCCAAGAAAGCTGGGCCGAATACTCTACAGCCGAGAGGCGGAAAAGCTCGTGTTGAATGCATGACCTGTCAGCATACGTCAAGAATGTGAGCAGCTGCACAGCAGGTACATCGGGATATAATTTCTCGATGGCGGAGAACGTTGAGCTCCAGACCGTCCAGATCGTCTTATCGTAGGAAGATAGGCCTGCAGAATCGTCTGTCTTCAGGAGAGGGTCACGGTGCTGTTCAAGGTCTTTGAAATACTTTTGTAAAGTGGCTTCGACGTCGTCGTCGAGTAGAAGCTCGTCAGAGATCGCGGCGCCAGCCAGACTGATAGCCAGCGGCAGTCGATCCAAATGCTCGACAATCCGTTCCGGTAGAGCCAGACTGGAGCCTCGAAGCTTGTGCTCACTAATGCCTGCAGACCGGAATAGCAGTGACATAGCCTCGTCGAGATCCATCGCATCCACTTCAAGAGTCTCTCCCTTGTTGTCCACCAGCCGAGAGGCTTTCTCACGGCTCGTGATGATCAGAGTCCCGCCCACGCCTTTAGGAACAACATCATAGGGACACTGAGAGGCATCGTCGGCGTTGTCGAGCACGACCAGCCACTTCTGATCTTCTCTGCGCCGCCGGGACCACTGCAGCGCCGCTCGAACGCTGGGTTCGTCCTCGATTCTCGAAGAGCTATTGGACCAGGCGGGTTGTTTGAGATAGAGCTCATTGCAGCAGACTGCGAAGTTGGATCGAAGATTCTTGGCGCTGCTGGCGTTCAGCCAAACCACAGTGTCATAATCGTCCTTGTGGTTCTCCACGAAGTCTAGGACGAGTTGAGTCTTCCCTGTGCCGCCGAGGCCGGTCACAACGACTGCATGGGCTCGGCTCGTCCCTTTGTACTTGTGTTGCAGCCTCCCCCCGAGAGAAGCGGACAGAGCAGGGCGTGGTGAGTAGGCGGCTACCGTTTCATACGGGAGGAGGACACTTTTCTGATGACAAGTGGGATTGAGGTGATAGATTGTCGACTGCATTGGTCAACTTATGTTCGATCATAGCTAAAGCGCATGAGACTGGCGATATCTCATGACGAAGAAACTACACAGGAAAGGACTCAACTGCCTGAACTCTCATCAATCTTTGCTGCTCGTGTGGACCATCTCAACGAGACGGAGGATTGCCCGTACCTTGTGCAGCATGATAATTCTCAACGTTCCACGTCGGCCCTGCCCCAAACGTCTGCTGAATCTTCTGCGTCCCCGACCCGGTGTTCAAGTTGGAACCCTGACCCGTGGAGTATATGGTCGTGCTGGGATCATCGGGCAGAGAGGGCTCCTCTTTCTCAATCTTCAGCATTTCCCCCAACGCGCTTCTCAGCTCTTGCGCCGTAGCCACATTCTTGAACAGGTGGTGTGTCTCCAACAACTGCAGGTTCTTCAGGATATCTGCCATCAGGCTCTCCACCTTTCTCGTCCTGCCTGGCTTGACGGCTCTCGCAGCCTTGCTGTACCGCTCGTACGACGGTACATTGTCCGTCGAGATGACCTTGTCGAAGATCGTACGAAGGTCTTTTGAATCATCCTCGCAGCTCTGTAGCAGAGGTTGGATCTTGGTGTCGAACTGCTGGGTACTCTGGTTCTGCCGCCTGGCTTCTTCCAAGATAGACGCTACGATGGGCAATCTGCTGTGGACCTCGCGAAAGACCTTCGGAAGGCCACTCTTATCATGCGCCGCATCGTAAATCTTCTTCGTCTCGTCTACAATAATAATGATAGAGATGAGGCCGAGTATCAGAGCAGCCTCGCCGACGCCGCCGGCCATGTCTCTCCTATGCCGCAGCACCTACCGTGTGGACAAGGAGAGAGCGAGGTAGACATGGTCGAAGCCGGCGCTGAAGAGTCAGGCTACTGCTGCAGCTCAGCTGCGTCGAGTCCAAGTACTTCGCTTGAACTGCAGCCGAGAAAGGGCGTTGCAACTGCGGTCCGAGCTCAAACTCTACCGACAATCACATGCAACATACCCCAGCAATCAATAGTATAATGTGAGGCCGCAACACCACAGAGCTACTGTCGGAGACCTGGCCGCAAATGTATGATACCGTCAAAGCGCTCCAGGTATATGAGTAAGATAGGACATCATCCATCCATTCGACAGACGACGATAAATAGCAACAGCCATAGGTATCATAACCCAAAACCCTCTCTCCGCCTAACAATGCTTCACCATCCTCCTCGCCCCGCGAGCCTCGAGACAGCACGTATGCATGACCAATTCGTAAGACCAAGACATCCCAACAAGACCCCAAACCTCGTCGACCGAGATCGCTTTCGCCGACGCCCAAAACACCAATGCGCTCGTTCCAAAAGTGAAAATGCTGTTTCCCAATAAGAATGTCCAAGAGCCTGGGTGGGCTTCTCGTCCAACAAATGCTGCTGCTGCTGCTTCTTCGACCGGAGCAGGATCAGAGTCAACTGCTGTTCGCCCGCATGAGAGCCTCCTATACCACAAGTCAGCATACCATCCTTCACTACCCATACATAGAAGAAGTATTGGACTCACCCTCTGCTGAAACGGATCCTCCATATCCCCCGACAAAAACGCCGGACTCTCCATCCCCGCCGGCCCCGCCTCCGTCCAGCCCCTCTCATTCATGCCCGGCCGCTTCGGCGTCCCCAGCCGCTCTTGCTCCTGACTCCCGTCCGCCCCCGTGCCTTCATCGTACAAATACCCTCTCCCATCAGACTTCCTTTCTAGCAAAGCCCCGCCGAGCGTGGCGCATTTCAGGATCGTCTGGATCAATTGGTTAGGTTTGAGTGGTTTGCTCAAATACTCGTCCATCTGGGCTTGGATGCACTTCTCCCGATCGCCCAGCATGGCATGCGCCGTGAGAGCGATGATGGGTGTGCGGGCGAGTTCGTGCGTTTGTTCGTACTCGCGGATCTTCGCCGTCGCTTCGAAGCCGCCCATGACCGGCATCTGCACGTCCATCAACACGACGTCGAAGAGTTTCTTCTTGATCGACTCGAGTGCTTCCAAACCGTTATTGGCGACGGTGACTTTGTGGTTGTGCTTCATGAGGATCTTGACGGCGAGTTTCTGGTTCACGGCGTTGTCTTCGGCCAGCAGGATGTCGAAGGAGCGGGAGTGGTCGGCGGAGCTGGGTGCGGCGCGGCCTTCGAGGGCGGGAATGAGGGCATTTCCGAGGTCGATGGGGAGGCAGGGGGTCGTCATGTAGGAAGAGATGCCGTTTTCGAGCGCAGTCTTGAAACTGACGGATATTTTCGGTGCGATGAGGACGATGGGGATGAATTTGAAGCGTTCCATGCTGCGGAGCTTTTGCGCCGTGTCGCCGTGGTCGACAATGATGCAGTCGTAGACGTCCACAGATCTGACTTCGGCTGGGGAGGCCGCGCCGCTTCTGCCGACCACGAAAGGGACGAGGTCGAGTTGGCGGATGCTGTCTGCGATGTCGGATGCGTCGCCTGTCGCTCCGCTGTCGATGAAGAGGACATTGTGCTTCCGGTACTGCTGTAGTTGCGGCATGATGCGCGCCACGTCCGGGTTGCCCACACGGACCACACAGGTGAAGAAGAACGTGCTCCCCTGGCCATAGTCCGATTCCACCCACATCTTGCCGCGCATGAGATTGGTCAGCCGTTTCGAAATCGATAAGCCCAGTCCAGTCCCACCGAACTTCCTCGTCGTCGAGCCGTCCGCCTGCTGGAACGTCTCAAAGATAACGTCCAGCTTGTTCGAGTGGATCCCAATTCCAGTATCCGATACCGCGAATTTGACAACCACTTCTCCAGGCGAGCAATGGACATTCGGCTCCGCAAAGATCTTGACCCGCACCTCGCCATGTTCCGTGAACTTGATCGCGTTGCCAGCCAGATTGAGGATAATCTGCCGTAACCGGAACGAGTCGCCAACAATGTAGTCCGGCACCGAGCTGTCGATGTCGTAGACAAGACTAATATCCTTCTCGTTCGCTCTCACAGCCAGCGACTTCAGACTATTGAAGACTAGACTTCGTAACGAGAAAGGCTCTTCTTCCAGAATCATGCGGTTCGCTTCGATCTTCGAGATGTCCAGAATGTCGTCAATGATCGTGAGTAAGCTGTTGGCCAGTGAGAACACAATGTTTAACATATCCCGCTGATTCTGTTCCAGCTCCGTGTCCAGAGTAAGCTGCGTCATGCCAATGATGCCGTTCATCGGCGTCCGGATCTCATGAGACATGTTCGCCAAGAACTCGCTCTTCGTCTTGTTCGCCAGCTCGGCAGCTTCTCTCGCCTGGTTGTTGCGCTGTATACTCTCCCGCAGACTCGTGATCATCTTGTTGATCTTGACCTTCAGCTCGTTGAGCTCGCCAGAAGCCTCCACGGTAATCATTTTGGAGAAGTCACCGTTCATGGCAGCGTTCGAAATGTCGCCAAATGCCCGCACTTGGGTCGTCAAATTCGATGCCATGGTGTTGACGTCGGTAGTGATCTCGCGCCACCGTCCTCCGATGCCTTCGGTCTCTGCTTGCCCACCCATCTTGCCATCGACACCCACGTCTCGTGCTACCCGCTTCACGGCCATGGACCATGCATCGAGTCTCGTCACCATGTCGTTGATGGTGTTCTTGAGAGTGGCTATTTCTCCTTGCGCCTCCACTTCGATCATCTGGTTCAGGTCGCCGCGAGCAATTGCTTGCGTAACGTTCGATATGTTGCGCACTTGGTTCGTCAAATTCCGTGCCATAATGTTGACATTGCTCGTGAGGTCTTTCCATTTGCCCTCGACGTTCGCAACTTCAGCTTGTCCACCAAGAGTGCCTTCCGTGCCGACCTCTCTGGCCACCCTGCTGACCTCAAAGGCGAACGTGCTAAGTCGGTCCACCATGGTGTTGATCGTGACCTTCAGCGCCAAGATCTCTCCAGACACCTCAGCCTCGACCTTTTTGCTCAGATCGCCTTTCGCTACAGCCGTGGTGACCTCTGCAATTTCTCGCACTTGCGTTGTGAGGTTCATGGCCATGCCGTTCACATTGTTGGTGAGGTCCTTCCAGGTACCCTCAACTCCATGCACAGTAGCTTGACCTCCAAGCTGGCCGTCCGTTCCGACTTCTTTGGCGATTTTCGTAACCTCGTCCGCAAACACTCGCAGTTGGTCCACCATGCCATTGATTGTGCTCTTGAGCTCCAGGATCTCACCCTTGCAGTGCGCGCGGACCTTGTGCGTGAGATTACCACGCGCCACGGCCGTAGTCACCTCTGCGATGTCTCGCACTTGTGCGGTCAGGTTGTTGGCCATGGCGTTCACATTCATGGTCAGATCATTCCACATGCCCTGGACTCCCTCAATCTGCGCCTGACCTCCAAGAATACCCTCGATTCCGACATCTCGAGCCACTCGAGTCACTTCAGTCGCAAACGTTCGTAGCTGCTCAACCATCTTATTAATCGTCTGCTGAAGTTGCAGAATCTCGCCTCGGGCAGGCCGTTGAATCTTGCGGCTGAGGTCTCCATGTGCGACTGCAGTAGTTACGACAGCGATTTCTCGGACTTGGTCTGTGAGATTCTGTGCCATGACGTTGACTGCAAAGTGTGAGCCTGCATCCTCCTACACCTTCAAGATCTTTGTACATACCATTGTTAGTCAACTCGGCCCAGATACCGTCTACACCAGGTACGACGGCCTGGCCACCGAGCCTCCCTTCCGTGCCCACCTCCTTCGCCAAGAACGTCACCTGAGATGCAAATTGCTGTAGCTGATCTATCATCCGGTTGATCGTCTGCTTAAAGCGCGCAATTTCCGGATCCTTCTCGGTAGCATGGATCAACACCTTCTTGCTCAGATCTCCATTCGCGACCGCCGTGATGATCGTGCCGATGTCCTTAAGCACCTTCTGATACGTGGCGTTGATCTGCGCATTTTTCTCGATCTCTCGCTTGAGCTGTTCTATCGAAGAAGAGTTGCCAAGGGTGTCCAATGCATGTTTTGTCGCATTCTGTTGCTGTGATAACTGAGACTTGATGCTCTCGATAAAGTCTTTCTGGCTCTTGATCTCTTGCGCCTGCTGGTCAATGTGTTCTCGCAGGAACGAGAATTGCTCCTCGGTGAGCTGCCGGGGTTGCGCCTCGCCGTCTGACTTCGCCAAGAGGGTGTTAACCCAGGACGCGGACCGCTGGCGAGGAGTCGGGCCCGCCGATCTGGGCGACTGCTGTATCTCTGCGTGTGGAAAGGGTGTTGACAAAGGCTCGTTCGGTGTCATAGGTAACGAGGCAGTACCACTGGCGGCTCTCGATTCAAGGGATTGGATGCGAGAAGCGAGTGCTGTCAGCTCGCGCTCCAACGTCTGCTTCTCCACCGTGTCGTCGCCGGGCAGCGAGATCCGAGGGACCTTGATGCCATTGCTGGCTGCATGGCCTGGGAAAGAGGTGTGTTCCAGCGGGGTGTATTGTTTGGCGAGGGTCGAAAGGATGCCAGCCACCGCCGCGGAGGTCTCCTCATGGGGCATTCTCCTTATCGCGCAACAGGCGATATAGGATGGTGTAGGAGGTATAGCAGGTGTTCAGGACAGCATTGCGGCTCAGAGTAGGCAGCGCTCTGGAATTGAGCAGTAGGGATGAAGTCGCTCGGTCGAGGGAGGGTAGTGGGTCGGCTGGAGCTCGCGGCTCGCAGATTTCACGGCAGAGTGTCGACGTCGTTGGTCGGAGTCCAGGGGGGTGGTAGCGATACGTGTACACCCTTAGACAGCGCAGGAGGTGTGGTAGGGTGCGGATTGAGGCTCGACTCGAATAGGTCTTCAGGACTAAGTTCTCGAGAAGGTGTGGGCCGGGGTCGGGCTGCCTTAGCGTCGCGGGTTGGGCAGCCGAGTCGATGTCCAGTCGGTGCGTGGAAGCGATAAGGGATGACGGCAGACCAACAACAGCAATGGTCGGAATCACGGTGTACAGGTTGCAGCAGCAGTAAAGAACAGCTTCAACTTCACGACGTTCTCGGAATCAGAACCGCCGAGCAAACTACAGTGCATGGGAACTACTGCACTGCAAATAACAGAGTTTGAACCCTTTCGTACCCCCTATACCGCGTCCCCACACCCACATCAGCCATTTCCCACGGATATGACGACGGCGGCGGCGGCAACGCTCAGATGACAGAACCCACTCTCGCACAACGGCTCGGCATGCCGTCTACATACACGTATCTCGTAGCGCCGTCATCCCAGACACAATCACCACCCCATTCCCATGAATCTCAAACTGTCGATCAATCCCCCCTCGAATGGTTTACTGGTTCGCTTCCTTCCTTCCCTCCCACGGCTCACCACCAACCTAGTCGCCCTCGTGCGCTCGCGTGCGATGACCGCAAAACTCAAAGCACAGTCCAACGCATATCTCCACCTCCTCAGTCAGACCCCTCCATGGTGATGATAGCGCGCGCCATTCCAAGGGACCAGAAATTCGCGAACCTGGAGATCATGCATACAGCGTTTCATGTTGGTGAGTTGGGTGACAGCCACGCGGTAATGCGCCGATCTGGTGGGAATGGGGATCGTGAGGGCGTTTCAGAGTAATTTCACTTCTAGAACTGAAGGAACTTGAGTGGAGGGCTACCTCCTACATCACGCCACAACGCCCTGCATTGAGCCTCGTTCTTGCAAACGGCTCGATTCGCTTGGGAAAATGGGTCACCTCCACTGGTGGCAGGCATAGGGGGGGTATCCTGGAGAAGGGAGAGATATGCACGCAAGCCGCCTCCAGCAGAGCTTACCACCCCGCCCCGACAACAATCGTGCTAGAAGATGCATGTACAGATGAAATGACAGTTGAAAAAGCGCTTGAACTCACGACCTCAAGAAATCACAAAAAAAAAATAAGTTGTGCAGGAGGACACCTCTTATCAGCTCTTTGGAATGGGGCCCCGTTGGCTGAATCGAACAGCCGCGTACTCCAAACTAGAATGGCTTCCTCAGTGAAGGAACTGATACCGCGAATGACTGGCTCGAACAGTCTCTTGTGTTGAAGCAAGCTAGACAGGTTTCCTCAATGAGGCACTGAAAACCTGGTGATTTTGACTGACTCGAACAGCCTCTTCCCGTTAAGCATGGTGAAAGGGCTTCACTCAATGAAGAGGAATCTCTTGTGTTAACAAGGTCGATAGGCCGCCAGGGTAATGGTTGTACTGAGCCAACACTAACCAACTCACTCGAACACATTGTTGCGAGACTTGATTGAGAATCAGGATAGTGTCGAACTGACTCTCAAGCCACGAGGGACCGTCATTGACTGCTTCAGAGGTAGCCAAGATTTTGTTCTTATAATATAATAATAAATATTCCGGGGTGGGGGTGGGGGACCAGTGAGGTGAGGTCGGAGAAAGAGGCACGACGTCTGAGCGACATTCTTCCTGACCACTTGTCCTCCTTCACGCACCACTTTACTTCATCTTGTAAGAGTGGATGACGTGCGGGTTAGTGAAGGCCTTGAGACCCTCCTTGCCCCATCTGTGACACCGTCAGCAAATATCCAGGACATCATCACGAACAGGCAAGTACTCACTCTCCACCAATACCACTCTCCTTGTGCCCACCGAACAGCGCCTGCGGAGTTGGCTTCTCCCACGAGTTGACGAACACCGACCCGGCCTCCAATCGCTTCGCAATCTTCTCGGCCCTCTCGAGATCGTTACCCCAGACACAGGCACCCAGGCCAGAGAGCGAGTTGTTTGCCCTCTTAATCACCTCCTCCTCATCACTCCACGGCTGCGTCGGCACGATGGGTCCAAACGGCTCCTCCTGAATGATCCGGCTGTCGTTCGGCGGGTTGTCAATAATAGTCGGCTGGATGAAGTAGCCCTTGCCAGACGCAACATCAGGAGACCCAACAGCGAACTTGTACCCCTTGTTCTTGGTATCGGCGAACATTTCCTTGACCTTCTCGAACTGCATCTGGTTCTGGATGGGACCGAGCAGGGATCCGGACTCCGGGTCGCCGACCTTCACGCTCTTGGTGAACTCGACCATGGCGTCGAGCATCTCCTTGTAGATGTCCTCGTGGATGTAGATGCGCTTGGTCGCGACACATACCTGGCCGGAGTTCTGGAAGGCGCCCATGACGAGCTCGGGGGCGACCTTCTTGACGTCCACGTCGGGCAGGACGATGGAGGCGTCGTTGCCGCCGAGCTCGAGCGTGACGCGCTTGAGGGTCGGGGCGCAGGCGGCCATGATCTTCTTGCCGGTCGCGATGGAGCCGGTGAAGGAGATCTTGGAGATGCCGGGGTGGGCGGTGAGCATGGGGCCGAGGGCGTCGGAGCCGCCGACGACTTGGATCATGCCGGGCTCGGTGACTTCTTGGAGGAGCTCGACGATCTTGAGGCAAGTGTAAGGGGTGAAGGGGGACGGCTTGCAGATGATGGTGTTGCCGGTCAGGATGGCCGGGATGATCTTGCCGAGCGAGAGGACAATGGGGAAGTTCCCTGCGATGCGTCAGTGAGTTCATGAAAGGTAGGTGAAGGGTAGATGAGGTGTAGGTGAAGGGCAAGCGATGGGTGTGTGAAGAATGGGTGAAGGGACGCACATGGGATGATGGCACCGACCACACCGAGCGGGGTGTAGCGGGTGGTAATGACCTTCTCATCGTCCTCAACCTTCTCCTCTGGCAAGTCGAGAGTGTCGTGGTGGTCGAACCACCCGGCGACACCCTTGGCTTCGAATGCGGCGAACTGGCGCTAAAAGCAGAAGACGGCGATCAGTATATGTCCTCATACCACGTGCATCGAGCACATCTATACCGGCTTGCCAGTCTCCTTGATCAACAGCTCGGTGATCTCGTCGGCATAGCTCATGTAGTGGTCCTTCATCTTCTTCAACAGCTTTTTGCGCTCCGACATCTCAGAGTACCTCCACTTCTGGAAGGCCTTCTCGGCCGCAACGACGGCATCGTCGACATCTTGCTGGGTCGCAACGGGGAGGTCCCAGAGCTTCTCGCCGGAGACGGGGTCTGTTGAAGGCTTCAGTTAGCATTCGTCCTCCATGGCGTCTTCTGTTGGAACGGCGTAGGCAACGCAGTACGTACTGATACCCTGGTGCTTGTCCTTCCCGCTACGGTTCTTGCCATCGATGACGTTGAAGAACTCGTCGAACTTGATGGTGGAGACTTTGCTTGGAGACATGGTTGCGGATTTCTCAAACAGAACAGTAAATCAACAGATGGATATAGAATAGGGAGGTGTAAGAGAAGAAGTAAGACGAGCCTGATACCACATGGTGACACCAGACTATTTATCCGAGGTAGAGGACCTCGCTCGCTGTACACTGGGTTTGCACATGGTCGACGAGCTGCCGAAAGCATCACCCCGGTAGTGATGGATAGCAGCGGGGCACACCAGGTGGGGTTGTTTGGACCTGTTGGCTGGATGAATCTGAGTTCAGACGTCTTGCTTGGCGCAGTGAATGTCCGCACGGCCCCCAAAAAAGTATCAGATACGGTCTGAGAATGACATTCGTTCTCGTTTCGGGAAAGTAGTGACTACTCGCCTGTATCTCGGCCCCGTGTCAACGCCCACCACGGCCGCTCAGCCCTGCAAGTCAGGCCCAGTCCACAACGAGTATCCACTGCACCTCGTCCCATGAACCATCTTTCGAGAATAGTGATTACTCATTTTGCTATGGAGTTCGCTGAACCTTGCCTATGGTACATGTAGGTCGAGCTTATGAGCAGAGGCGGTACTTGAGATGGGTCGAAGACAGCTTGATTGCAAAGCAATGGCCCCTAATTCATCCTCGCGACAGGCTTCTAGATACCTGGCAATCGACGAAGTCTACCAGATGAGACCACCAAGCACCCGTTCGCATCGTCTTCTGCGCTCTCACATGGCAGGAAATCTATCGCGGTAAGCACAGCACCATCTATTAGCCTCTAGCTCTCCTCTGTCTCCTCCAGCTTTTCAGTCTCCTTTGTCTCCTCTTCAGTATCCTGAGTCTCCTCCGACTTATTTTCATCCCCACTGCTACCGACGTTCCACGGCCCACAAACATGGCAGCCCTTGCGAAACCTCCCCATGTCCCGCACCTCTTCTTGACCCTCTTGACTCTCCGGAAATGGAAATTCATGAGCATTATACACCTTCCTTGTGATAGAAGTAGTTGGGGGCAGTGAGCCCGTGATGGCACGGAAGCTCACTGAATCGAGGATGTGAACATTGAACGCCGTGCCGTAATCTGGCTCCCAGATGCTCGCATCGTGTTCACCACTCTCCGAGGCGCAGACGCCTGATGGGATGCTCATATCTGACTCAAATGCAAGATGGCCACCAGCCGAGCGAACGATGAACTGAACGGTTGCTTCATGGTACAGTTTTGTCTCAGTGAGGCTGAGGCCATCATCAAGCATCTTGCCCTGAAACATGTACCGTTGTGAGATCGGAGGAAGTCCACGTCTCCGGTGCACCATATGCTTGAGGTCGAGGATCGTGTGGCTGGGAAGTACCAAGAAGGGTTCGGATCCACCAGCCATGAATGGAACATAAATGGTCCATGGTCTAACACCGTCCGGCAGTGCCGTGGCGCCTGCTTCCAAGTGCTTGGAGGGAGGAAAGACATTACTTGGAGTGATCTCAAAGCGCAACACATGCCCAGCAGCAACCTCTTCTCCGGTGACGGGAGCATTTACAACGTAGCTGTCGTTGAGGGGCCTTGCCACGAACTGCCGGACCTTGCCTCCTGCTTTAGTGATTCCGCCTACCCACGACTGCTCGCCGGTCACGATGTGGTCGTGAGTCTTCTCTTCCTTGCTGCGAAGGTTGTAGCGCTTCCCTCGTTCGTCGGCTGGAGCACCGGAAATGACGTTCCGACCATCAGTGAGTATGCGAACCAGGAAGGGCTCTTTTGACGAGAAGTTAATCCACATGGCTTCACGCTGATACATCGCGATGAAGTAGCTCTCTTCGCCATCCGCGTCTTTCGGGAACCGACCTTCGTGCGCTTTGGTTGAGTAGACCTGCAGTGTGCCGAGACCTGGCAACGTTTTATCCTTCGCGCTCTCACCCACACGCAGCGTTCGCTGGAAGGAGATGGTGAGCTGCTGGACGTAGTCTGTGTGTAGCGTTTGGCGACTGATGAAGATGGTGTCAAAGGCCCGGCGGACGGCTGCGGTCTTGCTAAGGCTGTGCTCGAGTTTCTGGGATGAGGTTGGTAGAGCCATGGTTCTCGTTGATACGCTGTGAGAAGCGTAATCTGATTCTCCTGAGTAATTGCCCGAAGTGTGATGCGAAGGTCAGTGGGCAGCTCTTGGGTATTTGTACTGTAGGTAGGAAAGTAGACAGTACGCTGCCTGGATCAGTGTCTCTTTGCCTCTCTCACAACGACGCTCTAATCACAGTGAGACTGGTAGCAGCTTCCATGCTTTGTTCAACGGAAAGGAGGGAGCAGGCACTGTAACGGGTAGTGAATGTTGTACGTACGCTGATCCGAAGCTACGTTCGCGCCCTTGTTGAACAACTGTAAGCCATACCATGACCCTCTAGACGCCGCAGTGCGGGCACCACGCATCAGCTAACCTTTTACACTTAGGCGCCAGTGCCACAGTGTACAGCGACAGAGCGAAACCACCGCGCGGCGACCGAAAGAGCTTCTCAGACCTTCATCTTAGCGAATCGCTTCCGCACCGCCATCTCCAAGTCTAAGACGGTGCGGAAGCCGACACGGCGAGCCTTCTCATCGAGCAAAACCACCGGATTGTTCGTGTTCTTGCTGACTTCTGCCACCGCTTTCGCCTTCTCCGCGCTCGGCTTGCCGTCGACGTCCATCTCGTTAACTGATTTGATGCCGGCGAAGGCGCCTTGAACACCACTCGGCGTCTCGTCGAACATCTTGAAGTACGGGTACCCGTAGTCCGAGTATGTCTCTGCGGTGACCGGAGTCGGTGGTGGAGGCAAGCCTGTGACCTCTTGGAAGTATGACGAGTTGAGTATCTGCACGTTGAAGATGGTCCCGCAGTCAGGTTGCCAAATGCTTGGGCTCTGCTTGTCACGCTTGACGGTCTGCCGGATGAGGCCACCGACAGCGATGCCCATGGTTGGACATCCACCGCCTGTAAGCCGGAGGACTTGATGAAGGCGCGCACCCTCAACGATGGCTTGCTGGCCCAAGGTGAAATGGTCATGCATCTGGCGCCCCCCATAGATGAGTCGCTGTTCATAAGGAGGCACACCGGTCATCTCTTCCATCATCTCCTTAACGCAGGAGAAGTTGTTCCCAGCATGCACTTTGAAGTGATATTCTGATCCTTCCAAAGTGATGACAGAGATTCGAAAGGTATCGACTCCCTCTGGCGCCGATCCAAGTCCGTAGCAATAGTGGACTTTCTGTGGCTCGTGGTGGGTCGGAGTGACTTCGAACTGCAGGCCACCGACGACCTCCTCGCCGGTGATGTGGGCCTCAACTGAATAGCCTTCACCAAGCGGCATGGCGACGAACTGACGTACTTTCTCGTCTCCGCAGGCGATGCCGTCGAGCCACATTTGTTCCGGAGCGACTACGTAATCCTGGATGCTCTTGCGCTGCTGGGTAAGCTTGAGGCGCCGCATCATAGTCTCCGTCGTCTCACGCGCCGGCTCTCCTGAGACCGCGTTCACACCACCGACGTAGATCTTGATAGCGAACGGCTGCTGGCAGGAGAACTTGATCCACATAGCCTCGCGCTCTTAAGAACGTTAGTCAAGCGGTCAGGTCTAGAGCGAATGAAGTACTTACGATGCATAGGTATGAAGTAGCCTTGCTTGGCGACCATGTGAGCCGGCAGCGTATTCTTGTAGTCTTCGATGCTATAGACCGGGAACGATCCGAGACCGGGAGGCAGCTCATTCCCCGAGCCATTGTCAGTGACGCGTACGGTACGCTTGAAGTAGATCTCGAGCTTCTGCGTGCGTTTGCTGTTCACCATGGTGCGGCTGATCACTATCCGGTCTCTCGTCTGCCCTTCATAGGTGTTGTTGTCCAGGCGGACGTTGAGCTTCTCCGCCGTCTTTGGAGCGGCCATGATGACGAATCGCTATGGTGTGCGTTGAGAAGATCAAGAACAAAGAGGTGAAAGATGGGAGTCGGTGGTGAGAGGTCGAAGGGGTCAACGCGTGAGAGCTTGGCGGCAGCCTGCATGTCACTGGGTCGCGCCTTCCAGTCTGTATTCACTAGCCGACGTGACAAGACGTGACGAATCTTGGCTTTCCCGCAGGCCGTCGCTCGAGATGCGTTCCTGTGTTACAGAGTCGTGTTGACGTCGAATGAAGCGATGTGGAATGGCTGGCTTCCGTATGAAGCCTTTCTTCACACGCTTGAGGGCACTTGAAGCCAGGGCGACCAGAGTACGGCAGCGGGACCACGAGGTTGGTAGCAACGTCTTTGCTTGTGTTCATATGGTACTGGTAGTCTATCTAAAAAGTCGCACCACGACGGGTTTGACTGAGGACAGTTAACGCCACCGCTTTGCAAATCGTGATGATGTTGAATGAGCCTGATCTGAGAGCCTGGACGAGCACGATACCCGTTCAAAACATCTCGCTCATGTGCTCATGGCAATGTGGTCGTAAGAAAAAGCACACACCGCTGGCCATGTCCTTCGCTTGGGTCCGTGTGACCTGATCAATCCACTGCTCTCTACCACCTCCGTGCTTCGCAATGGCACTTCGATATGTGCAGCAAGCGGCCCTCCGCCATGAATACCTCAGCGACGAAGGTTTGCAAGTTGTGAAGCTCAAACTCTACAAGTCTGGGTCCTCCTCGTCCGGCAGTGGCATGGCCGCCGCATCCTGCATCTCCTTCTGGTACGCCTCCATCGCAGCCTGGTCGACCTGAACCTCCGGTGGGGCGAGAGCCGGTGCAGCGACGAACTCCTGTCACCGTTGTTAGCACATCGGTCTCTTATCGTAATGTTGATCCACTTACCAGCGACTGATTGCCGACAAGCTTCCTGGCGAGCCAGAGGAAGGGCTTCTCGAAGTTGTAGTTGGACTTGGCGGAGATGTCGTAGTACTGCAGGTTCTTCTTGCGGTGGAAGGTGATGGTCTTGGCCTTGACCTTGCGCTCCTTCACGTCGACCTTGTTGCCGGTGAGCACGATCGGGATGTTCTCGCAGACGCGGACGAGATCGCGGTGCCAGTTGGGCACGTTCTTGTAGGTGATGCGGGAGGTGACGTCGAACATGATGATGCCGCACTGGCCGTTGATGTAGTACCCATCGCGCAGACCACCGAACTTCTCTTGCCCCGCCGTGTCCCAGACGTCGAATTGGATTGGGCCGAGGTTCTGGAGGTCTTGTCAGTGCTGTCGCGCATACCGATGGAGTGAACAAGCACTTACCGTGGTGAAGCCGAGAGGGTGGACCTCAACACCGAGCGTGGCGATGTACTTCTTCTCGAACTCACCCGTCAGATGGCGCTTGACGAAGGTTGTCTGTTGATCGCAAGCCGGTGTTAGCTTTCTTCTCCTCGACGTTGCGCCTCACTCGTTGTGATCTCGCATCACTGCAGGCTGTAAATTCACTCACCTTGCCAGTACCACCGTCGCCGACAAGCACGAGCTTGAAAGTGGGAGTCTGTTGTCCTTCCGCCATGTTGTTGATGCCGATGAGGTTTATTGTTGGGTATAGGCGCACTACTTTGTGCTGTGTGAGTGTTCGGTAGTCGTGAAGCAGGTTTGGGTGTTCTCGTTCGGTGGTAGAAGTGTGGTGAACGAAAGGTTGGAGAGGTGAGGTTTGTTTGTATGGGTGTTGAGGTGGAGGAAACGTCAAAACTTGAAGGCTTTTTAGCGCCGGGACTTGCCGCTCCGCCAAGAGTGAATCAAGGCAACTGTGAGCTGGCGCCTGTGAATGAAGTTCTGTGCTGTCACATGCATGAATATGGAATGAAGTGAAGCGATATTCAATCTGGCTATGCGCCCCTTCTCGGCGGCGACAAGTGGCTGGAAAGGTTGAGCGGCACGATCTCGCCTTCTGACACTGCCTGCATACCGGAGAAGGTAGCACAGTATTGGCAATTGTGTAGTATTCTCGACTATCGAAAGGAATACCAGTGGCTATACCATTCGCTGTGGTGGCGACAGCGACAGCGTTGTATCGGAGAAGGATGAGCTGTACTAGAGATCCTGCGGTCATCTCGATCAACGAAGGAGGTACAAGTGGCTATATCAGTCGCTGTAGTGGCGGCAATGAACCGTATGGTATTGGAGAAACAGCATCAGCTGAAGACCATGTTCATTCTCTACTGGCTCTACTCTGATTGAGACTGTCACTCCACTTTGATTGACACTTTCACTCTCACTCTAATTGAAACTTTCACTCTCACTCTGATTGACGATCTCATTCTCATTATAATTATGCTGATTATTCATATTTTCATGCTATTCATACTCATTATTACTTCAATCATCACCGCCCCCACCCCCAACCCCGCCCCCTCAGCGCTTCATCGCCACGACGATCATCGCCAGCGCCAGGATCACCATCACCCACATGATGGTGCCCAGCGGCAGGTATACCCGCAGGGCCTCCTTCTTGGCAGCTGGTGCCATCTCATTCACCCGCCCTGACGTCATCTGGCGCATGTGAAAATCGAAGGCCCCAAGGCCAAACGCCAAGGCGGTCACGGGACAGGCGCCACAGCCGTACAGCCATGGCCTAGTGAGCTCCTTCTGCAGGCGGCGGACTCCTATCGTGCGAGAGTCATCTGGGTGCATCAACATGGAGACGGGCTCGAGGGATCCATCTTCTTGTCGGAGCCCAAAGGCGGTAGCTGTCGGCATCCCGAGAGGGCCAGTGATTGCACCGATGCCATGGGACGGGACATTGGTCGGTGAGATGGTCCATCTAGCGGAGGCTTGCGCCAGCTGGCGGTCGTTGAGCGGGCCTGATGGGGAGGCTGAAGGCGTGGCAAGGGTGAGAGGACGGAGCTGTCTCTGACTGGTAATACCAGCTCGATTGGTCTGCCCTGGGCGGCGGAGAGGGCGCATCTCGATGTCTTCGTACGTCGACTCAGCGGGAGTGTTACGAGCTGTCGTAACGTTGGAGAAGGTAGCGCCTTGATCGCGGATGAACGCAGCGGCTGGCTGGGTGATGGGCGACGTGATTGGAGAAGAGATCGGTTGACTGGACAATCCGAAAGGGATTGGTGCATCGTTGTGCGTCGTCTGGAAAGTGTTCGCTGTTGGGCTGAAGGCAAGCTGTCCGCGCTCGGCTTCACTCAGGAGTCCTTGGGTGTCGGATCCAGAAGCACTCTCAACGCGCGAGCGACCCAGGAAACGCTTAGCGAACTTTGAAATGCTGCTTTGCGGTGGGCGAGGGTGCTGAGCGAGTGGTGTACCCATACCAGAGACAGAAGCGTTGATGGCGGCTTTCACTTTGTCAGGGTGGGTTTGGCGATAGCGCTCGAGACTCCTCATGTCTCGCATGGACTGAGTATTGGATCGCTTCGGCATACCGGACAGTGGCTGGTTGAACTTCTCCTGGATTTCCCTTTGAATAATACGGCGGATCTCGCGCGCATCTGGGTCCTCGTCTTCGGGCGTCCCTTGCTGTGCGAGAGCCCTGGTCGCCCATGGTGGTATCTCAGGCACAGGCTCTTGTGGGGGCATACTGAGGCGGTTGCCAGTGATGCTCGTGTTCGCGTAGCTATCTTGGCTGGGACGAGGGAACTGGTCGTCATCTGGAGGGTTGCGATCCTGGTGGAGGTTGGGGCGACTGGCCGTGTACCAGCTGCCAGTATCATCTACCGCATCGTCGTCATCATCGGGGTAGTCCTCTGGATAACAACTCGAGCTGCGTGGCATGGCACTACGCTGTTCGCGATCCATCCTTGTCGGAGCAGAGCGCGCATTGAAGAAGGAGTGACTGGTTTTGTTGTCAAACTCCATGCTTTCGTCATCGCTGTTGTCAGATGCAAATGTCGGCCACTGCGTCATTGTAGACTCGCGCTGCTGGGGTCGATACTGCAGCAGGTCGTCGGTGTTGCCGTACGTCTGATCATTGGTTTGTGGCTCGGTGTACGGGGACGGATAGTGACCGTAGTTGAAGCCAGACGTCGGGTACGGATAGTAGGGGTTCTGAGGAGTCGGCAGCGATGCTGTTGGTGGATTGCCCCTGCGCGACATGCCTCTATGGCTCGCCATCTGCCAGAACGGCGGGATCTCTCTCTGCTGCGCTTGATCTTGTGGCGAGCTGAAGGGGTTGTAGACGCGGGCTCCTTCGACATCGGTGGACTCAGTGGCGTATCCCGAGAACCGCAGGGTGTCTTCGACAGCAGATATACCGCGTGGCCTTGCGTAGTCATACTGGGTGATCAACCTATCCAGCGTAGTCTCTTGCCCGAGAGTGCTTTGTGTCCTGCTTGGGAAAACTCGTAAGTGAATTAACAAGACGGGGGCAGTTTGACAAGGATACGTACGAATAAGGATTCGCACTATCTTCATCATCTGCGGAACCCGCTTGGTGGTCGGAGACTGGGGGGCGGTTGGCGTAGAAAGACTCGTTGCCGGCTCCTACGCGGGCATCGAGATTGTCGTTGCCATCGTCGCTGACCTCAAGGTCGAATGGGTTGCTGTACTGCGAGCGAGGGTATACGGAACTGGCTCGGTCAGCTGCTCTCGCACCAGGTGGCTCTAGATTGAAGTCAGCTGAGCTCAGTGCGAAGGAAGACTGCTGCCACCTACCCAACGCATCGCCATCACCAGAACGCTCTGCCGTTGGGTTCTCTCCGGCGGGGCTCTCATCGATAGGGTCACGATGCTGCCGAGCAGCTCGCGCTGCACCCTCATCCAGTTCAGGACTCGGCTCTCCGCGTGGATTGTGAAAGACGGTCTGCCGCGATGAGGTAGCTGGGAGACGCATCACTGCGCGGCGGGCACTCTCAGGATCTTCGTAGAGTATGCGCTGCCGCCCACCGCTGCTGGAGGTATGAAGGGATTGCTGATAAGCCGACATCTCGCCGCCGGTTTTGTCGTTGTACGCCATTTCGAGAGACTGGCTGCTTCTGTTGAAGTAGTCGTCGAGCAAGCCGTCTATCTCAGCTGGGGTCTCGAAGTCAGAGTGCCCCAACAGCAGTGATTCGTGTGGGTTTACCACGTCAAAAGAGGCTCCTCTGTAGTGGAGCGTTGCCGGATCTGCAAGGCTTGTTGAGGGTGTCAAGTCTTTCAGGTGGCCTACGACCAGGTCAGTGATGTTGCTCACAAATGTGCAGGTCGACTTACCGAACGCGCCAGTCCAATCGTACCCTGGTGGCGCAGGGAACTTGAACTTCGAAAGCGTGTAGGTCGAGGTGTGCGACCGGTCCTCGTCTTCCACAGACCGGGTGTGCTGCGAATCTGGCGATGCTTGAGTCGCTTTGGTCGACGTTGCCGGTGCGTCTTCGAACCTGACAGATAGTCCTTTCCTGGCTGATGGTCGAGGATGATCTGGTTGTTTAGTCTGCACCTTTGTCACGTGCGAAGTCTCTGCACGATGCGCAATCCCATCCACCCCAGCAATTCCAATCGCTCCCAAATCAATCACTGCCGCATGAACCTCCCAAACACTGCCGCTGCCGCTGCCTTGTCCAAGCGCCGTGTAACGAGGAAGACGTTTTGCTCTGCTGAGCGATGGAAACTTACGTTTGGTGCGAATCGGCTGGTCGAGCTCGATTCTTGCGAAACTGCTTCGCAGGTCGGAAGGCGACTCGCTGTGCTGGAAATGCGCGTGAAGTGGCGTCGAAGGCGAAGTGTCGATGGTGGAGGCGAGCGAGGGTGATGTCGCGCCCGGTCGGAGGTGGGGCACCAAGGAAGGTGGTGGATCGAGCGAAGAAAGACTCGGTGGTGGGCTGGCGGAAAGGGAAGGTGAAAAAGGGGTGGTGGCCAATGGCCAGTTGTCAGGCTTTCGTTGACCTCGAGAAAGGTTGAAGGAAGACGGCTTCCGTCGGACACGTTTGTAGTCGATGTCCGGTGTGGAAGCAAGAGGGGGTGAAGATTGAAGTTTGCGAAATTGATCGTGTGTATAGTGCGGTGCGACCACGGCGGCACGCCATTGGTCCGCTGGCTTCGAAAGAGGGAACTTGTCAGGGCGAGATGAGGTGAGGTCGCGCTCCGGGTCCCAGGCAAGGAGGGGTTGGCTAGCGGAAGCCATCCGTGGCGGCGACCTCACCTGCTGGACGCTCTCGTCAAATGCATTTTTCATCGCTCGATCGGCTGGAGTCATTGCTGTGGGCCTTGCCAGGTGCTGATATCTCGCCAGAGCCGTTTGGTCTTCCAAGACCGGACGGGGATATTGGAACACCACGATGCGATCAATCCTCAGTAAGGCCCATGGACATCCGCCAACGCCCACGTCTATATCATCCGACGTGCTGATTTCACAGGGTGTGTCTGAAGAGCGAGCGCTGGGATGAGCTGATCAGTAGGATTTCACTCGGGCCGGTGTCATTCTCCTTACTTGCGATTTCAGGCTTCCACTTTACACCATCCACGTGCGAAAGGCCCAAGGAACAGTAATGTAATCAAAAGACCGTTGTCGAATGCGCTCCGTCCGCTTTATTAACCGGATCCAAGAAGGTCAGAGGATCATCCAAGGCTGATATATCGGCCGCAACATGACGATATAAGTGAGGCCAGCATCCCAAAGTATTATCACAGCAAGAACGGAAGGTATGAAGCCGTATACATTGAAGGTAAGAGTCAAGGAGGCGCCCGTACTTACTGTCGCCCTCCACCAGGAAGAGGTGAGGTCGCAGCTCCCACCTTTTGAAAGTCAGGCGCGAGCACATCCGGGCACAAAGCACTTTCACTTCCAACAGCGCCAAGAGGGCTTCCAGAAGTCTGCTACCCACAAACACCGTGAACGCCTCCGGCCATGCCCAATCTTTGGGCAACGCGGCCTGCGAAAGAGGTCGAGGACGGGCAGTGGTGAAGGGATTGCTCTGTCGGCAGCGGGCACGCCAGTGGCACTTTTCCTATCGCTCGCCCAATCATCTCGCAGGAGACGGTACGGCAACGACCGCACACCAAAACTGGTGTGCGCGATGGTGTAAGACCACGCAAATAGCGATGCAGAACGACGTGGTGTTCTGGAAAGGTTCTGCACGTCATGCCTTGGTGCAGACGTACTCCCAGCCGCCAATCATCGTCTGGAGTGGCCTCCTTCGCGGCCTGTTGTGAACACCTTGCAAGGATTCGTTGCCTCGATGTTCGGTAGCTTGAGCATCGTGTGACAGTGGCAGCTGAACCACCTTCGCCACAGCCGAGTCGATAGGGCTGATGAGCTTGAGAAGGAGCCAGGCCGTCTGATGATGAAAATCGATGAGCAAGACTGACAGAGATGCGCCATCACCACCAACTTGCAGCGGTAAGGCTAGATTAGGGCGATCCGCAGATCACGATGCTTGGCTCTCCTGTTCAATGTTGACTTCGTCCGACGAGCTCGCGGGGCTGGTGGCCTACAAAAGGCCCATGATACTGCCCACCGAACAGGTAGGATTTCCAAGCAACACCTCCTCTACACTCAGAACCATCAGTCATGACCTCCGAACGAGAATGGCACCTGGTAGATGCCCGGGGCCAAACCACCCCAGCAACCATCTCGTCTTACTTCAAGATCTACACGCCCCCAAAGACTGACATATGGCGCCCGTCTCCGGACGAGGATCGCTTCGACGCGCCTTACATCTATACCAGATTAAAATCCTCAGAGTTCAAGAGTATCTCGGTGATGCTATCCGCAGACTGGAAGACATTGTACGATCAAGGCGGGCTTGTCATCCTCTGGCCGGCAGCTAAGAAGGAGGAGAGTCGCTGGATCAAGTTTGGTATTGAGTACTTCACGGGCAAACCATTGCTGGGTGTTGTCGGCTGTGATCGCTTCTCCGACTGGAGCGTGTGTCCCCTGCCCATCGCGACGGCCACTCATGCTACGCTGGAGGCAGTAAGAGAGGGTACGACGTTGTGGATATACCTGGTCTTCAACATGGAGAGGAGACCGCTGAGGGAGGTCAAGTGGGCGTTTCTGGAAGATCGTGAGGCTAAGGCAGAGATGCGGGTTGGCACGTATGCAGCGAAGCCAACGCCTGAAGAAGATGACGCGGAGAAAGGCCTGGAAGTGATATTCCGTGACTTGAAGCTAGAAACGGTCACTTAGGGTGTTGATGGAGACAGAAGTAAGCCCGCCATCATCGACCTCCGACGCCATTCAACTTCGCAGAGCCCAACGTCCCAGATGTCCCTTTCCCCCACTTGCTTTCAGCCCCAAGCAATTCCTACAAGAAGTGGCTTTTGTTGATCCCATACACGATGCCATACGCGCCGCCCGCGGCTATGCCCCCGAGCAGCATGGTCATTATTGCGCTGGTGACCTGGTCTTTCAAGGATGCGCCAATAAGCCGGGCCCGCACAATACCGAAGATGCAGAGGACGACGCCCGCGATGCCGATCGAGACGTTGAGTGCGCGATTTGTGTCGTCGACATAGATGAAGTAGGGGATCATGGGGAGGAGCCCACCTTGATAGGTTCATTAGCTGGGTACGTCAAAAGTCCACAGTGGAATGGAAACTCACCGACGAAGTACGAGATCCCCATCACCAGTCCTTCGAGTAACGAGTACTTGCGTGACGGCTTGTCGAGCCTGAGTTCAAAGTCCATCATGAACTGCAGCAAAGTCAGCTTCTTTCTCCAAACCCACCACCTCTGCAACTTACCTGCACCCAATGATCCTCGCAAGCCTTTAGCCCTTCCACCACCCCCCTCGACTCCTGCCGCGAGATCCCGTACTTCTCGAAAATGACATATATCTCCTCTTCCTCCTCCTCAGGAGTATCCTTCACCTCCTGCCTCTCCCTCCGCTCCTCCGAATCATAATGACACTTATCATTCGTCGACGCCAAATACGCACCCAGACCCATACTGATCGAGCCCGCGAACAGCTCGGCGATGCCGCCTAGGATGACGATCTTGGAATTGCCTAGGGAAGAGAGGCCGGCGGTGAGGGCGAAGGGGACTGTGAGGCCGTCGGAGAAGCCGATGATACTATCGCGGACGAGGACGCCGTGGGTTTTGTGCGGTTCGGGGTGGACTGTTAATGAGCGATTCATGGTTGGTGATGATGCTTTCTCTGTTGATGGGGGTGGTGAGGATATCTGGGAGGGTTCGTGGTGGAGAGGAAGTTCGGTTCCCATGTTGATCGATGTTACGGGTGTCGTTGCTGCTGGAAGGCGTTGCTCGCTCTTTCTTTCGTTTTCCTTGCGAATGTTGGAAGGAGGCGTGTTCTGGATGATTCAGGCTCGATCCCGCATTCATTGAATGGCGGACAGAACGAGTGGCGTCCGGGTGGTGACATCCTTCTGATCTGGTGACACGCTCCCGCATGCAATCAACGGATCAGATACAGCCTGGCGAATAGGATGGTTCGTGTGTCAAGCCCGAGTATCAGATGAAGGTACATTGACCAACGCTTGAGGGCACAAGCATCAATGTTTGTGCCAAGTGTGTTTTTTCGCTGACAAGGAACAAGTGTGGTTGCGCTGAACCATAGCCGTGGAATGTGGAGCGTGGACATCAGATCCTGCTAAGTAGAAATTCCAATCGTACCGCTTCGAAGCGAGATTAAGGCAAGAGGGAACGAACTACCCTGTGATATAGGAGCGTATGTACAAGCAGAGCCTCAACGAAGCCCGTGGAAGGTCTCTGTAGACGCATCCGACTCACTGCATTACTGCAACTTCCACGCCAGAGCACCCTTTTCCAAACAGACCACATGAGAACTGCAAGCTTACAGACTTAGGTCATGGCATCTCTCGTTAACAGACACCTCGCAAACGCCAGGGCACCCGGCCTGCTTGTCGTCAACATCTTCGCCAACGGCCACTGGAGACTCCTGGCCGAAGTGGTACCGGTCGTGTCGCGAAGTTCGAGAACCTTTCGAACGTGCCAGTAGAGCAGGTGTCCCGAACGGATACTGCAAGCAATGCGGACCTCGAAGAAATGAAGAACATCCGGCCGGGCATCTGAGACTCTGCCGGCCACCATTAGCCTCATACATATACCTTTCCTGCCGTCGTTGGGATGTCTCAGCGTTTAGGTGGGTTCTTATACAGCCCTCTATGAAGAAGATGCGCGGATGGCTACTTAGACCGTATTCTCTTTCGCAGCATTCATTCCGGCACCAATGTTGATAGTCCCGTTTTGATGCTTCTCAACTTGTGCTAAGTTCGGCTGGAGCACTGTGAATCGTATTGTTTGCGTTCTGAGACCGTCAGACCCAGGCCAACTTGTCAGTCCTTTAATGTACTCTGCATCAGCCTCCTGTCACCCTTACACCGTACTCGTATAAGGTATGCGTACAGATAGACGACGTTTTTTCAGGAAGAGTTGCATGTGGTTGGTTCTTGCCTCGAATTAAGCGCACAACTCTGTTCTCTAGCTCCTGGCTCAAGCGCCCTGACACCTCGACTTCTGAACCTCCACTTCACGACTTCCAATGGCCAGCGACAAACAAGCCACCCCAATGGTCCATCGTTAGCAGCAGTACCCTCAACACCGCCGCCATGGACTCGCGGAGTCCCACGCCGGACGCCGGCGGCGCTCGCGAACGACTCCCCAACCTCTTCGAAGTGCTGTCGCGCCGCACGCTCGCTCCGGTCGACCTGTTCTCCTTTTACATCTACATGCGCGATGTGCAGCGGAGCGTGGATTACTTGGACTTCTGGTGAGTGCGATACTCTTCTTGACGTGGTTGTAGCGGGTGTGGCAGGCGATGGCAAGCAGAGGCGGGTTGAAGGAGTATGGGAAGGGCAACGAGGGAGCATGGGTGGGCAGAGTGCGACGGGTGGAACAAGAATGGGCAATGCTTTCGATAAACATGCTGACCGAACAGGCTCGATGTCTCCCAGCACATGTCGCTATGCCGGCACTACGTCCGCGAGCTGCGCCGCTCAGTGCTCGTCTCAACGCCCGACCTCGAGAAAGCTGGATCTAAGCGATCCTCGCAAGTGCTTGAGAACCTTGAGCGCGCATCCAACGAGCAGGGACCGAGTGGGACATACGGCACAAAAGAACGACTGAGCACCGACCAACGCCTCTCCGCCTTCCTTCGCTACGACAATACCGGCAGCAAGCACTCTCCGCAAGCCAGCCAACATAGCCAGCACAGCTTGGACGAGCATACTCCCGGCTCAGAACAACCGCCACGGCCAAGCTTCATGACCGGACAGTCTGGCTCACCAGCAGGCATCAACAGCGACAGCCCGAACCACACAGTCGCACGAGCCGACATCCGCGCATCAGCAGAGAAGATTCTATACACGTACCTCCTGCCTGGCGCCGAACGCGAGATCATCCTTCCGCAAGGCATCCTTAACAATGTTGTCGATAGTATCGAGAAGGAAGGCCGCGACGACCCAGAGGTGTTCGATGGCGCAAAAGACTATGTCTTCCAGGCAATGGAACGAGACGCCTTCCCAGGCTTCTTACGTGCAAAGGCGCTCGGTAACATCGTGCCGCCTTCGATGATGCTGCGACTGATTGTCGGGCTCGTGGCACTGTTTGGAGCTTTCTGGACGGCGTTTGTCTTGATCTTCCTCGACATGAGCAGAGCGACGAGGTGCTGGTTGATACTGCCGTTCACGGTTGGAGTATACTTCCTTGCCAGTCATCAGTACATGCTTGATCCGATGATGGCATTGGTTGGGTATAGCGAGTACACTTTCATGAGCTTTTCGCGGGTTAAGGAGCCGTTTATCAGGTATGCTGTCCTCACTTGCTGCCCGTTCATCATCACATGTTAACATCTATGACAGGAAACTACTCAGCAAGCGCGCAATCATGTGTATCGGGTGGATCCTGATCATCGATGTGGCGCTCTGCTGTCTCTTCATCTTCGTGCCGGGGCTGCGGTTGTGATGGGCTTTAAACACATGCGAAGGAGTTTTGAAGGCGTCAGGGAGCACGTATGGGCTAAGGGATCGGACAGTAGCTGGCTGTACCAACAGAGATATCCTGGGATGATTGCTTTCGCGGACATAATGCTAATGGAGACATTCTTAACCACTGCACCTCACGAATTGCCATATTCCCCCCAGGTATTCGGTCTGCTGCATCCGCACTAGAGCCTCAACAGACCTGCAGCCTCGCGGTCGTCTCGCCGTCTCGCGCTCGCTCAGCCACCTGTGCCACCCAGAATCGGGCAGATCTCGTTGCACATGCGGACTTGAGTCCGGCGTTCCACGCCTATACACACGTGATGGTGCTCTGGATAGCCGGAATGCCATGGCTCGCATGTCGAGAGCTCGTACAAGGCTGGCAGTCGTTGCATATGGCATCTGCCCACTCCCAACAGACGCCTTACGCTAGCGTGACGTAGGTGCTATAGTGACTACAGCACTTCACAACTGCCTATAAGGGTTAATGCAGATCCTTGACCTCTCCCACGTGGAAGCAAGGGCTGGAGAGAGCATAGGTCGCACAAGTAGTTGTAGATAGTCTTGTTGGAGATAGAGTAGATGGGCCGCTGCAGCAGTGATGAGTAGCGGTGCTAGAGGCTTTGCCCTTGCATTGGCTGGCGACTGCTGGCATTCACGCCTGCGTGTCCGCCATTCGTGAGACCGAGGGAAGTGACTCGGGTGGGTCTGCAAGCAGCGCTGACGAAACCTGGTCCATTTTCGCCGCGCCTCCGCCAATTTTCACTTGCTCGCGATCATCTCCCCGCCTTACCTTGCACATCACCTCTCGAAGAATCAACAAGTGACCATCTCATCGCGGCGTCGGTTTGGCAGGAGCGTCTTTGTGCTTGAACTCATCTTCGCGGTGCGATTCTGCTATTGCTGGTGAGTGCCCGTCCCCTTCTCCTACCCTTCCTCGTCTGCCGTTTCAAAGCATTGCACTGCGCCGGGTCCTCGGAAACAGCTGCGCGAGGCTCTGCAACATCCTTGTGTGCATCACCGAAGCAGCGAGGAGAGTTGTCTGCGCCCGTGGCGAGTGAGCGAGGGCGTCTGCGACGCACCGGCCATTCCGCTGTCATCGGGCATTCATCATCACGTGCGCGCGGTGCCGGTACCAGGAAGCGGCGAGCTGCAGTCCGACACCCACCAGTTCCCCATCACCTGCTGCTCTACCCGTCGTCCCGCGTGTTGCTGAATGCCTTGCTGTCTTGTCCTACCACCAGCGCAGTCGGCGCAGCAGTAGGCAGAGGCTCACACGAGTTCCCAGATTTCGAGCGCCTTTCCTTCGGCCCAAGCATCATCCGATCGACCTCACTTCAACATCACCCGCGACACGACTCATATTCACTTCGAGCGAGCAGTTTCACTTCGGTTTACAGCCTTTAAGTCCTGCGGTTAGCTATCCAGCTCGACGCTCTCTGCGACACACTTCCCCTCTTCGAGCGTTCGCGTCGGCGCACCGGTCTTTTCACCAGCTCTTCACGAGGAACGGCCGGACAAGCATACTTACATCCCTTCTCACGTGAGTCTCACATGCAGTCGCATAGCCCCTCACTTCTGCTGCGGTGAATCGCATGTGCAAGGCCACCGCCGCTGACTATCCGGTCACAGACGAGAACAAACTTCACAATTACGTCAACCTCACACGACTCACTTCAGTGACACTTCACCCCGATTCAAGCCTCCTTCATCATCGACACGATGAGCTACCAGAACTTCGGCGATGGCAGCGCGCCGCCGCAACAAGGCACAGAAGAGCAAGGCGGATTCGGCGCACCCGGCGGACCACCTCAACAACACCCAATGGGTCAGCAGATGGATCCATCGCAGCAGCAAGGACAATTTCCTGGCGCACCGCAACCCGGCGTGCCAGGTGCGCCCGGGTCCCAGCCAGGCAGCGACCAGAAGACGACCCTCTGGTAAGCGCGCACATGTATAAAAGTAGTGTCGTCAGTACTGACGACGTCTCCTAGGATGGGCGAACTCGAGCCATGGATCGACGAGAACTTCGTGCGCACGGTCTGGTTCGGCATGGGATACCAGGTGAACGTCAAAATGATTCGCGACAAGTTCTCCGGGTGAGATATCTTTGCTTTCCCAGCACATCTGTTACATGGCTGATTTAGGAAGTAGCAGCAACGCCGGCTATTGCTTCGTTGATTTCGACAGCTCTGATGCAGCTGGTCGCGCCTTGCAGCTCAATGGCCAGATGATCCCGAACTCCAACCGCCAGTTCAAGCTTAACTGGGCGTCTGGTGGTGGACTTGCCGACCGCAGCCGTGGCGATGGCGGTCCTGAGTACTCTGTCTTCGTCGGCGACCTCGGCCCTGAAGTCAACGAGTACGTCTTGATGTCGCTCTTCAAGGGCAAGTACACCTCCACCAAGTCTGCGAAGATCATGTCGGATCCAATCTCTGGCCTGTCGCGCGGCTACGGCTTCGTCCGCTTCGCCGATGAAAGCGAGCAGCAGAAGGCTCTCTCCGAGATGCAAGGCGTCTACTGCGGCAACCGGCCTATGCGCATTAGCACTGCGACTCCCAAGAACAAGGGTGGCGGTGGCGGACCCCCAATGGGTGGCATGCCGGGCCAGCAGGGTCCAGCTGGAATGGGCATGTACTCGATGGGCGCACCACCGATGAACTACTACGGTGTGCCTCAGCCTATGAACCAGTTCACCGACCCGAACAATACCACTGTCTTCGTCGGTGGACTCTCAGGATACGTCACCGAAGACGAGCTCAGGTCTTTCTTCCAAGGCTTTGGCGAGATCACCTACGTCAAGATCCCACCAGGCAAGGGCTGCGGCTTCGTCCAGTTCGTGCAGCGCCACGCGGCAGAGATGGCCATCAACCAGATGCAAGGCTACCCCATCGGCAATTCTCGTGTCCGTCTCAGCTGGGGTCGCTCGCAGAACAACTCTGGTCCTGCCGGCACTCCCTACCGCCCTGCGCCACCACCTCCCGTCTATCCATCGATGGGCATGCCTCCTCAGCACTACGGCAACTTTGCTCCTATGAAGGTTCGTCATCCACAAGACGACGGCTCATACCCCGAGGGCGGATACTAACCGTCGCTCGCAGTAAGCGCGTTTTCCGATCTATTGCCTTACAGTGAGACTGCGCTTTAGCGGGAGTTGGTTGGAGGGTCACGATCTGCTGCTCTCTTGACGATCATTATTGCTACGGTACGACACACAAGCGCAAACGACCAGACCACGAATGGGAGACCTCTTCACACACACGGCGATTGCATCATCACCAGATCACGGAATGGGCGGCTGAAAAATGATATTGGGGAGTTCTGTCAAAAGTATGCTTTTCTTTCCTTCTTTGCGAGCGAATACGGGACTTCACATCCACAATCTCTTCGGCATGGCGGAGCGGGTGGGCAGGGGGTCATGGCATGGAAAGTTGCGGTTCTATGGAGGAGAGAGATTGGTAGCGAGTAGTGAGGGCTGGGCGGTGGAGCGATGGAAACCGGCTGGTCTGCCTTGCTCGAGATATCTTTGCCTAGGCAGAGATGTTTATGGGTAGGTAGCTTCTCATGAAAGCTTGGTGTGATGTCTGACGCTCCTTTTCCATTCTACCTTCCTGTTTGAGATGAAGCACGTGACGGTAGGTTGTTTTCACGAACGGCTGTCAGGTAATGGCTTGCTCTACACAATTCACATTACCTTACGATCACACTTTATCGCGAGCTCTTCAATGTTAATCCGCGGTTGCTGCTGACTTGAAACAGATATTCGCTTTGGCAGCGACGGTCCACCCGTCGCTCCTTCCTCACAACTTCCACATGCCTCGCACCGCCACATCACCAGCCTACCAACTTTTCGTCCAACCTCAATCTCGCTCCTTTTTCTGCAAAATCTCTGTCATCAAACACAACACATCCATTCTTCACCCAGCACCACCAAAATCACACACACACCAGTCTCGCTTACCACCGCAGCCATGAGGTATCAAGATTGGGACGTATTGCTCTTCCCCTCGGGCGACGAGGCGCACATCCCCGTCAAAGAATTCCGCACCGCCTGCTACACCGAGCCCACGGAGCACTCGCCGAACCAGACGCCCCTGCTGACGACGTTTGTGCCTTCGCTGCCCGTCGGCGCGCCGTTTCAGATTTCGGTGCATTCGTGGGTGCGTACGGGGCCGACGCTGGGGGTGTTGCCGGATGGGACGAGGTTGGAGGAGATGTGGCAGGTGAAGGTTGTGGTGGATGGGGAGCTGGTGGGGATCAAGTTGTTTGGGTGTGCGGAGAGCTGGCCGCAGATTATCTGTAAGTTGTTGCTATCTTTTGGTTTTCATTGGGATGGTGAAGCTGATGTTGATATAGCGTCGATCGACTCGCCGGGCAAGGGACAGCATGAGACGGTTCAGCTTCGCTTCCCCCCTTTCCACCGCGAGATCATGATGCAGAACCATTGGGCGGCTTCGGATCGTATGGGCAGGATTCGTGTTGAGCTTGGGATGGGTTACGTTCATCACCGCCTCAACCGCTTCGTTCCGACGACGCAGGTCGTCAACTTCGCCTTCCAGGCGGCGCCACTGGGTGAGTCCTCTCGTTAAATTTCCTCTGGGTTCGTGGTGCAGAAGCTGACTTGTCGATAGAGCTGCTCGAGGACCGCGGCGTGGCGTGGCCCAATGCCCGCATGCTCGCGAACAGCGTCATGCACACCCACCAGACCATGAACAACGCCTTCTTCCCCGGTCCTCAAAACATCACCGGCACTCAGTCGTCCAACAAGTACGGTCTTCATCAGAGGAAGGTCGCCAGTACCAGCAACATCAACACAGGCTCCTACACTATGGGCGCGCTGACCCTTCCGCGTCCGGGCTCGCCACTCCATCCGTTCGGCCACGACCAGCACAGCAACTACGACGGCAGCAGTAGGTCGACGTCTGCATACTCCGCCATGCCAGACACTGCTGCTCCTCTTCTGCACAAGGGGTTGTATCACCCCACGCCAGGATATCTCAACCAGTACACCGAGGCCGCTCAGCGCCAGCGCCAGTCCATCCCAGCCAGCTCGCAGTTCTCCTTCCGCCTGCCGAGCGATCAGATCAACAGGATCATCACCGCGCTTGGCTCAAAGACTCAAGAGGAGCAGCCTACCAACACTTCCACCAGCATGCTACCGCCGCCGATCCCGCAGCGTGTTGCCGCCGTAAACAAAGATGCCGAGGAGTCCAACGGCGACGCAGCTCCTGGGCAGTTTCAGCTGAACCAAGCTGCAGCCAGCGACAACAACAGACGTGGCCGGTCCAACTACTCCGACATCAGCATGCACAACGACTGCACCTCGTTCCCGACTTGCACCCAAGAAGACGGCAATAGTGGTGTCGTCCACAACCCACCAGTCGCTCCAGCCGAGACAACATCGACCGCCCCTGCTGTAACAGCACCGACCGCCCCGACTGCAAAAATTGTCAAGGGCAAGAAGGAAGGCTCAGCATCAGCTAAGCGTAAGTTGAGCACCTCCGCCCAGCAGAGTGAAGCGACTGAGAAGAAGCGTACCCGTCGCAGCACCAGACTTCTTCAGCACGATTCTGGATATGCCGGTGGCCTCTCTTCCTCCGATCGTGACGTCAGCAACGGCAACGGTACCGCAGGAGCCGAGCCTGCTGTCGTCGAGTCCAATGGACGCGCAGGGCAGGAAGCGGACGAGAGCGGCGCTGCAGTCACTGAATCTGAATGAGGGCTCGCCGGAGAAGAGGCGGGATGTGACGAAACCTGTACGGAAGGCGAGTCGGTCTGTCTCATCGACGTGGTCAACTAAGGAGAATGCTGGCGAAGATACGGAGGATAGTATGGTGCTCGATGCTTGATCAGAAGCTGCTTTGTTCGGCGTTGGAGCTTCTGGCGAGCTGGGTGCGTGTTCATTCCAAGGTATGATGGTGACTAATCACGGTTTGACGCGAGATGTTTATCGATGCTGCTGCTTATGGGCGGAAAGCTGGAACTATGGTGACGAAGAACTTGCGGCCCAAGGCTGCGAGAAAGATCCCAATGATCAAATTCATTGTTTCATAGTTTTAGCTGCCTCTGTACTACTCAACTCCCTTGAAGCCGGCCGCTTCGATCTATCACACCCACGTCATCTCTCTGCCCTCTCCAACACCACTCAGGCGAGTTCCAACTTACGATGACGGCGGCACACCCATAGCCTTCTTCTCCTCATCCTCACCCAGATCGCTTCTCCCCGCCTCAAAGACCCGATCGAAATCATACTCGCCCCACCTGATATCCGGGCAGAGACCCGCGAACTTCCACACCCCGTCGACCTTCTTGTACCAGTGCGTGTTGAACGAGTGCGCGTGGCCCTTGACCACGACTTCCTTGCGGCTGGCGTCCTTGTACCGCTGGTGCGGCACGCGGAGTTGGTGGTAGCCGGTGATTTCGGTGTCGGAGACTTTCTCCCACTTCGTGCCGCCGATGAAGTGCTGGGTCATGAGGAGGGGGTCGCCGAGGACGTTGGGGTCAGAGGCCTGGAGAGAAGTGTAAGTAGGGGAGTAATAGGGCTGGGGAGTGGAGGAGGGGACGTACCATCTGGACGAATTCAGCGGCGGGCATGGCTTCCCAGAGCTTGTTGAGGAAGGAGCGGTAGTCGATGCGGAGGGTGGGGGCGATGCACTTTTCGAGGCGCTTCCAGTTCTTGCTGTCGTAGGAGTCGGCCCATTCGTAGCAGGCGGCCATGCAGCCTTGCATTTCTGTGTAGTATATCGGTCAGAGAGTTTGTGACTGGCGGGATGTGTGGCATGCTGGCAGAAAGGGCTAGAGGTATTGATCTGAGAAGGTGTCTTTTGTTGCAATGCTTCGTCTGCTCTCTGATGCGTCTACGCTCTCTATATATGACTTGGGAACAGCTGGGCAGGCTTACCTTCAAGGCTGATGAGCTTCACGGGCTCGAGAGACATCTGGTCGGCCATCTTGCGTGGTTGGAATGGATTGTATTGCTGAGGAAGATAGGCTGTAGACAAGCTGAAGTAAAGAAACAGAAATCACTCCCACCTACCTGCGAACGACTCTCAGGGCCCTGCATCTATTTTAGAGTGGGCACACCGCCAAAACCGCTTCTGCTCCCCACCTCGTCCGCCGTTCGGACATGCGCCAGCTGTTGTGCCGCCAAGGTGAGGCTTCGTTGCGAATGTGATGATTCCATATCGTCGGGCATGTCGTCAGCCGCACCAAGCGTCGTGTTGATTCTTGCGGTACTCGCAATGGCTAATGCGTTTGACGGCCCCTCTGTTTGGTTCCTGCGTCGAGCGCCGGCAGCTCGTGGGAAGTCTTGAGCTCGAGAAGAGGGGTTGTGCATTGGGTGAAGTGCTAATTGGGGATCGGTCGGCTTCTCGTTTCTCCGGTCCATCAACAAGTAAACAGCAACCACAATCTCACCTCCACAAGTCATTGACACGTGCTGACCACTGAGACGGCCGACTGTACACTGCTACGATGGATCACGAGAGCCTGCGGACGGCGTCCATGTACCTCAACAATCTCCTCCTTGCGCGCGGCCTTCTACGCAACAGCACCGCTATCGACTTCGTCAAGCCATCGAAAGAGAGCCGAGCGCAGATCATCAACCTCGTCCACGACCTCATACTCCGGGAAGACCGCGATAGGGAGCAGCGGGAACATGTCGCCACCACTCTGCGTACGCTGCGCGCCGACGATAACCGCAAGAATCACGAAATCGAACGGCTAACGACCAAGAACGAGGAGGCTGCGCGGTCTTTAGTCCAAGCACAGGCGGCCGAGCGAGCAGCGCAGACGGAGTTGAAGAAGGTGGAGAGGTCGATGAAGTCTCTGCAAGACCAGACGGCGAAGTTGAAGACAACTCTGGCACAGGTCAGGACGCAATGCACGAATGATGTCAGGAAGCGGGATCTGGAAGTTGCGCGTTTGAAGACGCATCTGCAAGGCCAGCAGCGTGGTAACAAGGTTGGCATGGCGGCACCGAGCATGACGATCACAGGCGGCGCCCGGAGAGCGAATGTGGACGCGTCGAGGCATAATCTGGAGGATCCGGAGTACAGCTTGAGGCAGGAGACGACCGAGTTCTTGACGCAGCTTAGCCAGAGCTTGAGCGATGAGAACGACAGCCTGATCACGCTCATACGGGGAGCATTGGGCACAATGCGCGAATTGCTGGGCCAGCCTGCGAACGCGAAACATCCGGACAGCGCCATTGGCAGTACTGGGAGTCACGAGGACGGGAAAGCAGATGCGAATATGCTACATCCCCTTCCGACTTCATACGAAACACTCGCAGCCGATCTGGAAGGTGCACTGACGCAACTCAAGACGATCCTCACCAACCCCAGCTTTGCTTCGATCGAAGAAGTGGAGGTGCGAGACGAAGAGATCGTGCGCTTACGAGAAGGATGGGAACGGATGGAGCATCGCTGGAAGGAGGTGCTGCATATGATGGACGGCTGGAGACGTAGAATGAACACAGGATACACCATCAACATTGACGATCTGAGGGCAGGCATGGGGCTTGTTTCGCCTGAGCACATGAAGCTTAACGAGCGGCCACAAGATCACTCGCCGGAACAGAGCTTTGTCAACGAGGACGTGAGCGAGATCAAGCTTCCAGGAAGCGACAGCGAGTCTTCGATGGTGCTCGACCCACCGCGACTCACTGACGGCGGGCAGAGCATTCCGAAGCGCAAGCGGGATGCCATGGAGCCACCCGAGTTCTTCGACTTGCGACCATCAAGTCGTAGGCAGGAGCCCGATCCCGAAGAAGCAGAGGAAGTGGATGTCGATCAAGGTGCTACTGAGGAGCCCGAGTACAGCGAAGAGGAGAACGCGCCACGCATGACGATCGCAGAGAAGCTAGACCTGGCGCGAGCAGAGGCGGAGGAAGCGGCAGCAACGAAGTCGTCGAAGTCCAAGGCACGGTCTAGCAGACTGCCTGTCAGCATGAACGGCCAAGCGAAGGGACCGGTCGCTGCTGTCGCTCTAGACGGAGCGGGAGACTCAGAGCTAGACGATACATTGGGTAAGATGATGCCCAGTCCGGTTGCGAAGAAGAGCAAGATCAAGGGGAGGCCGAGGAGGAGGAAGAGTACGCTTAATCCGGAGGAGTTGGAGGCGTTGCTGGTGGAGTCGGAGGGGATGTGAAGACCTTTCGGAATTGTATCAATAGGAGGGATGACTTTGGAGAGCACACCGGACACACGTCTGGATGGCCCCAGAGATGACAACAGGACAAAACACCGCAGTACACATTGGTACAGAAGCTTACTGTTCCTCCTACACCGACCATGTTCGGCGCTTGCATTTGTCGTGCTTGAGCACTTTCTCCGCTGTCCCGGCCAGTGGCATCTTCAGCCATACCTCCATCATGCAATCGGAGTGTGACTTCGGCATGCGTTGTTCTACGAGATCGGGTAACTACATGCTCTTGCAAGGGCTGGCGAGGATGGCTCGATTGTACAACCATGCGAAAGTCTGCCGAATGGCCTTCACAGTTGCAGATCCGTGCGCGTAAACAACGGTACCCATGCTGTGGTCAAGTCGGCGTGCCTTTCAAACGGCCATGGTGGCTGATCAGGCTTTTGTGATGAGCATTGCAAGTGCAGTAGAGGAAGTTTGTTAGCATCTTGAACCTGGCAGATACATAACCGCCGGATTCGAAGACGACAGCAGAGCTCGATAGATCGCGAACGTGATCACGACCTTCCCATATCATGTTGAAGCTCTCTCGATGTGATCCAAAAACAGAGCATCGGCCTGCACAACATCTCTTCCATGCAGACCCACACAGCTTCCTCATACGGCGAACGGCCGGAGCGATCCTCTAGCGGCATGCCAAGTAGCGCGCTTCCGGGGAATGATTGGCTTCGACTTCACATCTCGAGCCAATGACCGTCTCGCGCAAGCGCTCAGCACAATCGCACCAGCTGGGAGGGCTCTCGTCGCGCTCATCTGCACCTTTCCAATAGTTCTGAGTTCTGCCCCTCCCCAGCGGACGCCAGCATGTGCCTGCCAGGTGTGCACCACAGAGGTGGCACATGGGACGTTCAGCCTGGACATAAGAGCCCGCCGCTCGACGCTCAGGCATGCCTTTCCTCTTTCTCTTCTTCAGCAAGCTTGTCAATCTCGAGAGTTGATTCTTAGTTTTACCCTCCCCATTCTTTCTTCGTTGTTTCGTTGCACCAACAGGGCCTGGTGCTCTCGCATTATCAGTATCGTATACTCGCCTCTCTAATCAATCCATCCTCCGACGACTGCCCCGTCAGTCCTGCACCACACCGACACACCACAGAAAATCAACATACTACCATTCTTCGTCGCCGGTCGACAACCACAACTACTAATTATCAACTCTTGCTTTGCTCGAACCATAGCTTCCGACCCACGAAATCAACCATTACGGCACTTGTAATTCTCGATTCGAAAGGAAGCCAAAGACAACTACATCCATCATCAACATGTCTGCCATCCAACTCAACTTCACGCTCCGCACCTCCGCCAACTGCAAGACGGTCCACCTCCTCGGCTCTTGGGACAACTACAACGGGCAACTCCCCTTGTCCAAAGACACCACCAAAGCCGGCGGATGGAAGGGCACGTTCCGGTTCCAGGGAGCCACCTTGAAGCAGGGCCAGCGCTACTGGTACTACTACATCATCGACGGGTACCACGTCTCCCACGACCCGGCTCGAGAGTCCGTCACAGAGCCGACGACCGGTCGCAAGCTGAACACCCTCGACATCCCCAAGGCCAGCTCGCGCGAGGAAGCGCCCTCCAGCAAATCCTCCCGCCACAACCGCCGGGTCAGCTCCTCCAACGTCGCCAAAGGCCGCTCGCTCTCCCCCTCCCAGATCCAGAGTCCGAAACCCGGCAAGCCGTACGAGACCCGCCAGATCGCGCAGGAGAAATTCATGCACCCGACCGTCGAGATGCTCACCGCCAAGTTCGCCGCGCAGCAGATCTCCGAGTCCGAGGAGAGCAGCAGCAGCGAGGAGGAAGAGGACTCCGACTCGGACGCCTCCGACGTCCCGTCCCTCAGCTCCCGCAGCAGCAACAGCAGCACGCCCAGCTCCGTGTCCTCGGTGTCGTCGTGCTGTACCTGCGAGCGCTACGGCATCACGCGCGCCGGGGCACGGGTCAAGCTCGACTGCGGCGGTTCGCGCTGCGGGTCCTCTGATGGCTCAGAGTGCAGCAGTGAGAGCGAGGACGACCATCGCGTGCGCACGACGAGGAGGCAAGGAATTGTCGTGCGCAAGTGAGCGACCTTCAAGACTTTCACGGGGGTGAATGTTCTACTACAGACATGTTCCTTTTTTTTGGATGAAAGGAAGGACTTGAGACGCCTTCCTTTCCGTTTTGGCTTCCAGTTTTTGTCATTGACGGGATGAGGCGACACCCGCGCTGTCTTCAGCCGGTCTGCTGATGGCCGTGGTGTGCGCTGCCCGTCTGCCATTCTCTTGGCCACTGCTGCTTGCTCGGACTGCGATGTTCGAGGGGCAGGGTAATATGCTTGACAAGCTTCCGCACTTCGCCTTCGGGGCGAAGCAGGGCGGTGAGGAGGACGGGAGAAGAGGCGTAGAGGACGCTGACCAGGGCACGAGGAGGGGAAGGAAGGGATAAGTTCGGGCTTGAGATCCTGCAATACAGGTCTTGCCATGCTCTCTGCCGGACGGAACAGTCTGGTATCGGTGGTCAGCGTAGCGTGCACTGTCAGCAGTTTGCAACGGTGCTGCGAGAAATAGCGAAATGCAAGCTCGTTGATCCATCACCCATGAGCCTTCTCTTCTCTTCCCTGCTTCCTCTCTGCAAATGATCCTTATCGACGTCGTTCTTCCGTTCCCAGTGTCGACTCATTGCACCGTCAGCATCGTGGTGACCGTTTCTGGCGTTTGCTCATGCCAATGATTTGCCAATACTGCATAGTAAGCTTGCTATCAGTCTTTTGTGCCTTCAGTCGCCGGCTGCCAGGCACCGCCCTTGCGAGGCGAGATCTATGATCTTTTCGCGATCGAAACGTTCCTTCCAGCTCGTGCATAACTTCAGCCTCATGCGCTTGGGGTAATTCCATTGTTGCTTCTCCAGGACACCGGCCGGCATGAGCGTACAGGCAACCTTTGCTACGGAGATTCAGTCCAACGACGTGTCTCTATTATGTGATCGCAGGCAAACCCTTGTCCAGGTGAATGGTGTCTATCCAATCTAGTATTGTTACAAATCATGCCTATGTATTCAATCGATCCGTCATATCCTCCATCAATCGTACAGTCTTCCGGCATGCTCGCGTCTGTCGATATTCCTTGCTGTACGAGCGGCCAGCGCTCAACATACTCCGTTAAGAAACACCCAAAAACAACCCAGTGACGTTTGAACGAAAGTTCCATGCTCAGGCACCCGATCCCCCGTCCGAAGACTCGCTATGCTTTCCCATTTCCTACAATAGACAAACTCCAGAGTAATGCTTCCAATGCTGCGCTCGATTCCAGATCACCATGTCTGTCCGGGAATAACCAGGCTTCCGTAAGCACTGTAATCCGGGTTTGATGACGTCGATCAGTGTCTCGTTCTCCCGTGTGCCTTCGTGTGCGGCGCCGATCGCGGCTCTTGGGAGAGAGTGGAGCTTGTGGTCGACTGATCGGGCTGAGCGAGAGGGTCTTCTCGCGAATGCGCCAGACAGCTAGAAGGTCCGGAGACCCGGTCACGGCCAGTGTTGAGATTCGAATGCGGAGCTCCTTCCAGCAACACAGTAGCGATCGTCCAGTAGCTCCTGTCGTTGAGGCTAGATGCCCCCAAAGCCGCAGAGATAGTGATGATTTGCTGCACCGACCCTCCCTCCCGCTCCACCATCGCCTTTCGACACAATCGCTCATCTCGATCGATGAGGAACGGTCCACCCACCGCTGGAATAGCCGGAGTCTGGATGAGGCGGTTGTTTTGCCTCGGTAGGTGGACCTGGCCGATTCTTCGAGTGATTTGCGCAGGCATAGCCAACCAGGACAGTCTTTTCTTGCACGCTGTGACCTCGTTGTCCTCGTGCTGAGCATGGGTCGACGGCGTGGCGGTAGTAGAGGCAGCGGCAGACGGAATAGCGTTCGACGACTTGGATACACATCGCAGTGGTATGGACCAAATATCTTGAATGGAGAAAGGATCGCGCGAGAACAAGAACGCTGTAGAGTACAGGCAAGTAGCAAAAGCAAAGTGAAGAACTAGTACAAGTGCGTAGGGCTGTAGAGACGTGAACAGAAAGATCGCCACACGTCTTTATATGACTCCCATGCCTGCAAAGCATCATGAAAGTATCGACGTACTTGTCCGGACTCGGAAGGAGCCTTACCTACGCTGAGCGTGGCCGCACGGGACCCTGTTGGTCGCGAAATGGACTTCCATGCAGTGCGATAGGGCGACTCGAAGGCAGAAGGGGTCTTGAGGTGCAGCAGCAGTCGTTGTCTTCCCTTTACTGGGCTAAAGACAGTCAGGCGCAATCGCACTGAGCTCATCGCCGGAACCAGTCCGCGAGACTTGAGAGGCCGGTCAGCGTAGGCTATCCGGCTGCCTGGCTGTGGGATCGGTGGTGCCAGAAGGCGACAGAGGACTGAGATTCGCTGCGGCAGATGCAGCCATGGCCGCGGCACAGACCGCAAAGACGAGCGTGGTGCATGTTGGTTGTTTGATGAGCACAGACGGAGCAGGCGGCTTGGGCTGAGATTGCGCAAGCGTGGCACCCCTGCTTCCACGAGGCCGGGCGGTCTCCGTTTCGTGGCCGTCTGCTGGAAACGGATGTGGGAGGTAGTCAGCAATTAGAGCAGCATGGCGGGACGGCGAATGAGGATGAGGAAAGGCGACGGGATGCTCTGGGAGTCCTGAGCCGCAAGGCAACCATGACGTATCTTTCTGAGTCGAACGTCGGATGGAACACGTTATCTTCGCCTTGACCGAAGAGCACGGATGAGCCGTTCAGTGTCATTACGAGTGCAACAGCAATCAGATGTTCAAGCAATCTCTGGCTGCAACAAGCGGCGCGACGTCTTCCCGGAAAGAGATGCAGTCTCTCTTGATTGCTCTCGGCCGTCGAACGGGATGGACGATGGACGACGTGGGGGCTATTTTGATCGAGCGAGAGAGGGAAGGACTTGCCGGGCTGGGGCTGAATGCGCGCCAATCACATGTCGTATCGGAGAATAAGATATCGCAGCTGTGATGAGCAGGCAAGGATCTCCTGTACGAGGCTCGACGACATCACAAGGCTCATTGCATACAGCCAGTCAGAGTTCTCGGTGACTTCCAACTCGATCTGCCCGTGTTCTGAAACGACGACCACGTGGAGCGGCTCTCGCGAGATGCTAGTACAGCATCTCGCATCTGTCGCACATTCCTTCAGGATGGGACATTCGGAGCCGCAACACTGATTGAGAAAGCAATGGCCCGATTGATGATAGCTCCGGGATACGGACGTGAAAAAGGTGTTCAAGCACAGCACATTGCTTGATGCAGGTCGGCAGATAGACATCAGGAGACGTATTGAAGCATGGAGTGCCAGCCTCAAAGCCTCCAGTGTTGCTGCCTGGTGTTCCTTGCTTGTGGCGACATTCACCTGTACGATTGATCTATCTTCCAAGCCGGTGCACTGCTGTCTTGAGGTCACCTGTTACCCATCCAAGCCCATCCTCGCCCCAGTCGGATCAATACAAGCCGCTGCTTACTCGACGACTCAGCAGTTCTATTTGTTCCCATGAGCATGCGTCAACGATTCAACCCAGATGCTAGCACCGCCCCATCCCGGAGGTCGATCCGTGGCAGACCCAGCGGGTGGGTTAAGCATAACCTATGATGCCGCCTTGGGGTCTGACCCTTCACCATCCGTCGGAGCCTCCAACGACTTCGACGGGGCTGGATTCAGCACCTTAGTCGCATCTATGAGGCCAGCCGCTGGGTTGATCTCAAGACCAAAACCGGGCTTGTCAAGCTCCGACACGTCCAAGTAGCCGCGTGTAGGGATCGGCTCGTTGGTGAACAGGTTGCCGAAAACCGGCAAGACGCTCTTCCCGTCTGGAGAGTTCGCCAGGTACTCTTGAAAAGGCGAGTTGGTCTGGGCGACCACGAAGTGGTACGAATAAGGTCCGGAGGCATGAGGCACCACCGGCAGATCATACGCGGCGGCCATGGCGGACACTTTCAGCAGTTCGGTCATTCCGCCGACCCACATCACGTCGGGCTGCAGGATGTCGATGTTGCGGCCCTCGATGAGCTTGCGAAAGCCGTATCTGCTGTATTCGTGCTCTCCTGTGGTGAACTTCACTGTGGGGTGCGCACGCTTGAGCAAAGCATGACCGTCAAAATCGTCAGGAGACAAGCACTCCTCCCACCAGTCGATATTGAGATCTTTACACTTCTCCACGAGCTCAATGGTGTATGGCACGTTGACTGTTAACAAAGAGTTAGCCAAGCTGTCTAGATCATCACCCTAAGGATATCAACTTACGACTCATGTAGCAGTCCACTCGCAGCGGAAAGTCTGGACCAACTGCCTCTCGATGCTTACGCAAGAACTCGACGTTCTTGATCATTCCCTGAACACCTTCGCCAGGACTGTACGGAAGAGGCACCTTTCCACCGGTAAAGCCCATCGACTTTGCGGCCTCCGGAGCTGGACCAGTGCAGTAAAAGTCCAAACGCTTGCGCGTGGCACCTCCAATCATCTTGTACACGGGCTCGTTCCTGATCTTGCCCAGCAGATCCCAGATTGCAAGGTCCAGTACACTGATGACTGCAACGGGCAAACCTTTACGACCGTAGAACATCGATCCGCGGTACATCTGTTCGTAGAGATGGTTGGTATCGCGAGGATCTTGCGACAAACGTCAGCTTTGAGCGTGATGACCAAGTTACGTATACTCACCAGCTCCGATCAAGAAGCGAGTGAAATGCTCAGCTACGAGCCAGCATGCTGGAGGGCCACCAAAGCCAGTGGCAAACCCTTTCGTTCCATCTGTGGCTTCTATCTCGACACAGAAGGATCCTAGTACATTGATACCTAGAAGCAGAAGAAGGGTTAGCGGATACGTTTTAAACACAAATGCTACACTACTTCTCTTACGTACCCCAACTTGTACGTGACTTGCGGTACTCTTCGTAGCCTGACATCGGCGTCGAGATCTTTGAGTCGATCAACCAGTGGCCGCCTTTGACATTGTGGTAGTCTCCTCCAGAGCCTGGTCCCTGGGTCAAGAATGTTCGAATCTCCTTGATCGTTGGGAACGAGACGCATTTGTTTGACGTTGGAGCCATTTTGACAACCAGCTGCCGGAACGTCTCGATAGGACAGTTTAAAGAAGTCGTCTGTTCGCTTCGTGAGGTCGGAATGAATAGTCCGGCAACGCAGTGTGGTTGTTGTGAACCTAATGAATAGGCTAGCTGAGTTGATCGGTTGCAGGTCAATTAGCCGGCTCAGTTTCTCCGACCGGCAATCAAATGGGCTCCTGCAGAGGTCAAGCAAGCGAGTGTCGAGTCAAGAACTCGGACTACTGCGACTTTAATGAAGAGGCGCTGCTTCACCCCGCTCGCTGGGCAAAGCACCGAAAAATGCAACTCCTGAACGACTCGGCGAACTTTGACCCGACTCCTCAGACACGATGACATGATGAATTCGCCAACGGATCCCAAGAGCGGCATACCGGCGCGTGCAGACACGAAGGACAGCGAGGCGTGGTCGGGGGATGATGGCACCGAGGACGGCGGCGATGGCAGAGAGCGGAAACGCCGTAGGCCAATGAGTGTCTCTTGTGAGACTTGCGTGAGCAGCTCCCCAAACTCCATGACCCTGGTGCTGGGCAGAGGATGGCATGCTGATGACTTCCTAGAAAGGACGCAAGGTGAAATGTGACCGCGGGCAGCCCAACTGCGGCTGGTGCGTCCGCAACAACGCAGTTTGTGAATACAAGGAAAGGAAGAAACCTGGCCTCAGAGCAGGCTACGGGCGAGAACTCGAAGCCCGGCTTGATGAACTCGAGACCGAACAGCACGACCAGCGGCAACTTTTGCAGCAGCTGCTTGACAAAGTCAGAGATGCCAACACGCCCAAGATGCAGACGAGACCTGGTCTGCAGTCGCGCCAGCCATCCCAAGTAGAAGCTGCTCTCTACATGCAAGCACCGAGCAACCGCTATGCTCAGCCTACCATAGACAACACTGCCAGAGACTTGCGGACGCCGTCGGTCAGCGACCTGAACCAGAACCAACAACCACCTGGCTTCCTACGACATCCCTCGCAGCCCAATGTGCACATCCCAACTTCAGTGCCGGCGAACGATGGGTACACTGCAGCTGATCCGCCTGTGGAATCACCAAGCCTCAACATTGAACCAGCCGGCAGAGCCAATTCCAATGCCTCAGAGGCGGCGAGCTTTGCTTCGGGCCCCCATGATCTTCCTCCCTATGACTTACTGTATGCGCTGACCGAGTTGTTCTTCGTTCACGTCAACACTTGGTGTCCGATTTTGCATAGAAGAACGACCATTGAATCTCTGTTCGGCAGCACGATGCTTGAGGAAGCTGATCGGGTCCTTCTGCATGCCATTGTTGCTACCACGCTGCGGTTCTCCAACGACCCGCGGCTAGATGGCGGGAACAGGGAGCGCTATCACGAGGGCTCTAAGCAAAGAGTATTGCTCTACGGGCTTGAGAACAGCTCAGTCAAGGCCTTGCAAGCTTTGGTAAGTACAGACCGTTAGCACGTTTAAATCTATGCTGCGATGCACGCTGACTTTGACGACTTTTTACAGACAATCCTCACACTAGACGTGACCGGTAGCTCGAACGGACCACCGGGCTGGAACCTCCTGGCTCTGATCACGAGAAGCGTGGTGCAGCTTGGCCTCTCCACGGAGTCTTCGGCTGCTTCAACAGTACCTGTCTACCCTTCAATATACACCTTGAGGGCGATGGTGCTGCCAGAACCCAAGTCTTGGGTAGAAGATGAGACCAGAAGGCGGCTGCTATGGGCCATCTATATCCTTGACAGGTACACGACAGTAGCAACGGCTTTCGAGTTCTGCCTCAATGAGAAAGAGATCGATCGGAAGTTGGTTAGTAGACTTGAGAGCCTGGTCGTCATCGGATGGTGCTGATATCCATCGTCCAGCCTTGCCACGAGGAGCTATGGGAGCGCAACGAGCCCACCGACACCAAGTGGTTCCGACTTTCAGGGCAGCCAAAGGGCCCAACGAGCAAACCTACCAATCTTGGATCTTTCAGCTACTACGTTGAGATCATTGGAATACTGTCACAGATCCATCAGTTCCTGAAAAAGCCCGTCGATATCAGTGCACTGCCGGACATTGAACGATGGCAACAGGAATACCGGACCCTCGACAGCAGACTCAGTGATTGGAAATTCAGCCTGCCAGATGAGTACGGAAACATGGGCCGGATCTACGTCCTTGATGCACGCAAGCAGACCGCGGATAGCATGTGGATCATGCTGCAGATCACATACCAGACGTGCGTCATCCCTTTGAGACTCACGATTCACCATGCAAGCTAATGTGAGCATGACAGCGCTCTGATACGTCTGCACTCATCAGCAGCGTACCCAACCACTAGAAGTCCGATCTTCACACCCTCCTTCTCCGCCAGTCAACGCTGCCACGGCGCCGCCGAACAGATCTGTGAGCTCTGCAAGTACGTCCGACACCGCGAGATCCTCACCCAGCTAGGCCCAACATTCGCCTTCAGCTTATGGGTTGCTGCACGATTGCTCCTGGTACATGGATCTACCATCGACCACAAAGTCAACCCTGCCATCACTCTCCTAGTACAAACTCTGCACGAAATGGGCCGCTACTGGAAAGTAGCAGAGCGCTACGCAACGCTGCTCCAGCGCGTGCTCGACGAATACCACGAAAGCGTAAAATCGCCCGTCGGACCCGGTGGCGTTCGCGAGACCCCATCCACCGTCCGCATCCTCTCAGACATGCGCCGAACGGCCTTCGATCTCGACTTCCTCATCTCCCGGCAGCCGAAGCAGAACTTCCCGTCGAAAGTCAGCTCGGCCACACCAGCTCGGACTCCCACGAGGACGCCTGCGCCGGAGGAGCTGGAGTACCTGGATGTCTTTGACTTCTTCAATATGCCGCGGCTGCCGTTCCCGGGGAATGGTGAGGCGGCGTTTGGCGCTGCTGGCTACGGTGGCGAGCCAGCGGCGATGGAGTATCCGGCTATGAACGGCAACGGGAATGAGTTCAATATTCAGAATTTCATGTAAGTAAATTAAGGTGGAACATGTCACTGCTATATCTTAGACTGAAGGGGCTTAAGCGCCTAATAGCTGAGATGACCCTTGAAGGTCAATCCAGCTTGTTAGGCCTTCCTATCGGTCGAGGACATAGAAGCCAGTTCTACACCGTCCCCCCCCTGCGCAGGACAACATGCTGACGTCCTTCATCTAACTTTTACAGGTATGATGCTAATTCGGATTGGTTCACGAACCCGAGTTGATGTATAGAAAAGTGTGAGGGGCGCGTTTCGGTCGGAGACATTACATATATCTTCTCACTGTACGTTGGGACCCTGCCACGTTTGGGGACGTTTGCTCGGCTCAAGGGGCAGCAAAAGGCAACTTGGATCCTTCTGCTTGTACATAAGGATTCTTGGAGCCAAAATTCCATGCATACCATCTTGCTCATTTACAGACTGCGATACTCATCGCAGACCTCAATCAGCTTCCGCTGAGTGCCAGGCTCCTGTACACAACAAGTCAGTTCTATCTTTCGGTTGGCCCTTGAAACGAGCTCACCTTCGCACTATGCCCAGCATCGGGAATCATATACAGTTTCGACTCCGGCAGCGCCTTGTGCAGCTCCCACGCAGTCTTCGGAGGGCAGACGACGTCGTACCGGCCTTGCACGATACTGCCTGTTCCTCTTGTCAGCATAGCAACCTCAATCAGCAAAGCTCGTGCACGCACAAGGGATATGCTTAATCTTCTCAATATTCTCAGGCCTCAACAACTGCCCCTCCTCCATAAACGCCCCATTCGTCTCATAATGCACCTCCATCCTCGCATGCTGCAACGACCTGCCCTTCACGTCAGCTTCACCCTCTCTCAACCGGAGAGCAGGGATAGTACTCACCACCGCTCATCCTCCAATTTCCCAAACGCCTCCTCGTCCGGCCGGAGTTGACTAATCCCCAACTCCCACTTATTCCACGCCTTTGCCGCCTTCACCTTTACCTCATGATCATCCCCTGTTAGTAGCTTCAGATACCCCTTATACGGATCCGCTCTCTCCTCCTCCGGCAGGAAATTCACCCACTCCTCGAAGAATTCTGGAAACAAGTGCGCCGTCCCGTTGAAGCCGCGCGTGAAATACCGCTCGCTCTCTCGGACGGTAAAGACGCCCCGTAGCACCAGCGCTCCCACGCGGTCCGGATGGGTTTGGGCGTACAGCAGCGCGAGCGTAGAGCCCCACGACCCGCCGAAGACGAGGCTCCATTTCTCGATCCCGAGATGCTGCCGCAAGGTCTCAATGTCCGAGACGAGATGCTGCGAGGTATTCTCCCTCAACTCAGCGGCCGGTTCGGATTTCCCTGAACCCCTCTGGTCGAGCAGCACGACGCGGTAGACGGAGGGGTCGAAGAAGAGGGTGTTGGAGGGAGTAGTTTGGCCGCCTGGACCGCCGTGGAGGAAGATGACTGGTTTTCCTTGGGGAGAGCCGTATTGTGCGTAGTAGAGTTTGTGGATTGAGCCGACGGGGAGGAAGCCGTAGTCGAAGGCGTCGTTGTGTTGGTAGCCTGAGGTGAGGTGGGAGTCTTGTGAGGTGGCCATGGTCGTTATGAAGGACGGTTGTGCTTACAATATTTCTGTGGTCCTTCAAAGTCCTGGTATTCTCCTGTCGGCCACAGAAATGGAAGCTCTTATCTGGGGGTATCCAACGTTAGCAGCGGTACAGCGCTCTTCGAGAGTGTTGGTAGTCAGCAAAGCACGCCCTCCACTTGCCGAAGGTACGTCTCGAACTTGGAAGGATGTCGACTGTACCATGTACTTTACCCTGTCAATCACACTTGGCCACAAGATACATGTGTGGCTAGTACGAATGGACGCAAAGCTTGAGGATGACTGCAGTAGTGTTGATGGCTACGATAACATGGAGACCGAACACCGCCGTTCCTACCTTCTACAGCACATTCACTCGAACGACAGTGAAGCGGATCTTGAATACTGATTTTTTCGGATTCGTCTGTGTAAGGCAGCACAAGGGCATCAGAGCAGCCGTCCAGCGAGCCCACAACAGGGCCGCCAGTCCCAACCACCCCTCCGACCCCGCGCCAGCTTACTACCTACTACGAGCTAAGATGTCGCTCGGGTAAGAGAAATCATCATTCGCATCGAGACTCCGGTATCAAACAGATAAAAGGAATGCTCGCCCACGACACCCGCAACATCCGCACCCCACGCTTGCATCGCCCGCTGTGACCCTTCTAGTTGAGAGGTAAAAGGAGGAAGGTGATGTTGGGCGACTCTTACTCCGCCTTGGGCTCCTCGCCGGCCGGTGCATCGACGGTCTTGGACTCGCCTTCTGCGGCGGTGGGTGCGGCTTCGCCTGCTGGCTCGGCTTCGGAGGAGGTCCAGAGGGTCTGTGGGAGTAGAGATTAGCTTTGCTCGGTATTATGAAGGTCGTGATAAGAACTTACGAGGTTGTCACGCAGGAGCTGCATGATGAGCGTCGAGTCCTTGTAGCTCTCTTCGGAGAGAGTGTCGAGCTCTGCACGCATGTCAGTACAGTGACGATTGGAGGATGAGCTTCACACAATGCATACCAGCAATCGCCTCGTCGAACGAAGTCTTGGCCATCTGGCAAGCCTTGTCGGGGGAGTTGAGGATCTCGTAGTAGAACACGGAGAAGTTGAGGGCGAGGCCGAGACGGATGGGATGAGTAGGTGCGAGCTCAGTGCCGGCGACCTCGGTGGCAGCTTGGTAGGCCTCGAGCGACTTGTCCGCGGACTCCTTGCGCTTGTCGGCCGTGGCGAACTCGGCCAGGTAGCGGTGGTAGTCGCCCTTCCTGTAATTCAAGCTGAGTCAGACATTGTTTTCGATACAAGTGCGGGGCTGTTGATACACTCACATCTTGTGATAGAAGACTTTTGACTCGCCGGTCTGCGCAGAGGGGATGAGGTGCTTGTCCAGGACGTCGAGGATGTCCACGCAGATCTTCCCGAGCTCGGTCTCGATCTTGACACGGTATTCCTTGATAAGGCCGACCTGCTGCTCGTTGCCCTTGCTCTCCTCCTTTTGCTCGATCGAGGTCACGATGCGCCACGAGGCACGACGAGCGCCGATCACGTTCTTGTAGGCGACGGAGAGCAGATTCCTCTCCTCGACGGACAGCTCTTGGTCTGCGGAGGCGACGGCCTTCATGTTCTCGACCATCTCTGTGGACGAGTCAGTGTGATGCCGCGATAGAGGTGTACAGTGTATGCGACTCACCCTCATAGCGCTCGGCTTGCTCAGCGAGCTTCGCAAGGTACACGGAGTCTTCGTAGCCCATCTTGATGTGTGTCTGTGTGGTTTATCTGAGTGGTGAACAGAGTCAGCTTCTGTTGAGTTCAAGTGCTCGTTTATCGCGCGATTGTAAAACAAAAGAAATAGACGGCTGGCAGACGGCGGTGAAGGCATTATAAGAGCATCCGGCGGTCGCATTGCTGGTTGCACATGGCCCAGTGAATGTGACAATGCGCGGCTGCTGTCCTCATGGTATAGCGGTGTTGGAGAGAGGTGATCAGCACGCGGATGCAGGAGGAAAGCTCAACGTTGCTGTCTTCAGATGCCGCCGTGCTGCTGCTTCCATTGTCGCTGAGCATCTGATATCCAGGTCGCTGGCTCCATATCGCGCTGCTGCCGATGCCCTCACCGCCGCCATTGCCGCTTTTCGCAACGTCGGTGCCGCTCTCGTCAGGCTTGGCGCCGGTACCGCTGGGGAGTCAGTGGACGCCGTGGTGAAGACTGCTTACCTCGGATAGAGAGGATGGAGGGGTCGTCGACGACGGTGACGGGTGGATGCGATAGTGGAAGTAGCGTGGAGTGGGTGTAGTTGTTTGGTGGAGGAGGTGTGGGAAGGAGGGATCGATTCGAAACTGCTGCACGCAGCACGCCGCTAGTACGATCGGCTTCCAGTTCAACGTCACCTTGCTGGGTGCTGGGTCACGTGGCCGACTGCGCGTGAAACGTTCGAGAACTTCAGTGGCACAACTGGCCTGGCCACGGGTAGTCCTTACCGACCGCCACCCAGATAGCTGGCAGCCTCTCCCAACTTCCAGGTTCCGCTGTCTTCAAATGCCGCGATTGAGTGTGGCCAACCGACAGGTTCCACGTTGCTTCTACCTCCCAATTTCCCACCGTCCAATCAATTCTGCCATCTGCGAAGTGAGGCTATCACATGCGGTTTACATGTTTGGTATGGCATGCTATTGCGGACATGTGATAACACAGCCTTCGGCCTGACCGACAACGCAAGCTTCAAAGATAGCGGAAGTGGACGCGGGGGCGGAGGCGCTGCTCGACAGTGTATAGCGGCGACTCGAGGACGAGTGTTCTTAGAAACGGCAGTAGAAGGGGCAAGACGGAGGCATGCATAGTACAGAACACTTTTCTCACTCGCCTGTATGAACAATTCACGTCTTCAGACCTTGTAATCCCGATCAAGACGTGTGAAGCAAACAAACAAACGCTCATCGATGCCAAACCAAGTCCATGCCATACCCTTCCAACAAGATATGCTCGGCAGTAGTTGAAGCCAGCACTGTACACCCACCCACCCATGAACCATCCGTAAAACGCCATGCCAGTGAATCAGTCGAGCGATAACAGCCAGTGCGATCCGGAAAGATCTCCTCGCACGAGTACTATCAGCCATACCCTCCTCTCACCACCCCACCCACTCACGCCCCCTTAGCAGCCCCATCCAAAACACCCGCCAACCCCTCCGCATCCTCCTTCTTCCCCACCTGCACCATCCAGCTCGTCGGCTTTCCCGCATTGCTAAACGCCAAATGGTCCACAAATGGGCCCCGGACAAACTTCCCACTCGCACCCTGCACGGCATAGTCCGCCCCCTTCAACACCTCGAAATTCATCGCCGCTTTACCCAGCGGCTTGATCTTGAGCAGAACCCGCACTTTGCCCGTCTCCTTGTTCTTGAGCACGTAAATGGGTCCTTTGCCCTTCTCGACCCAGCCATTCGTGATCTCGCCCGATTCGGCATCGCTCTTCTCGTCCCATTTGGACGCTTTGGCGATGGGGATGGAGAAGAGGAGGTCTTCTTTCTCTTTTTCTTCCTCTAGAAGTGCGGTTTGGTCTTCGAGTTGCGGCTCGGTGGGGGCGGCGTCTTCTTCCTCGCCGGCGGTGCTAGCGCCTTCGCCGTCGGTGGTGACGCCAGGGGTCGTAGCGCGGGAGGCGGATTGTTGGGCATTGCCGAAGTTAAAGCCGAGGCTGGGCTTGCTGCCGGGGATGTTGAGGTGGTTGGTAGAGCTGCTGGGAGCGGCGGAGCCGAAAAGGTTGCCGAACTTTGGTGGAGGAGCGGCTGGGGTGGTAGAGCCAGTATCGGTGGTGTTGCTGCCGCCGAACTTGATGGGAGTGTTGGGCTTCCATGTGGCATCCTTGTCCTTTTCTGCATCGCCGGCATTCTCCTTGGAAACATTGCCGAACATGTTTGAGCTAGATGTCGCTGCTGGTGTCTTTGAGCCGAACATGTTGCTGGTCGACTTCTCAGCTGGTGTCTGCGAGGCAAACATGCTTGGCTTGCTTGGAGCAGTAGCTGGCGGCGCCTGCTCAACACGATCGAACAAGCCCTTGCCAGCACCCATGGGCGTCTCAGGCTCTGATGAAGTCCTCGAGCTGCCTGGCAACATAAAGCCAGAAGCGCCCTTGGCTGCCTCTTCAATCTTCTTGCGCTTCGCCGCCTGCTCTTCTCGATCTCTCGCTTCCCACTGCTCTTCAGTCTCATCATCTGAGTCATAGTCTTCAGCCTTGCGCTTCTTCTTCGCCTTCTCTTCTTCAGCGCTGGCCTTCTTGCCAAACGCAGACAGGAAGCCGCCTGAGGTGGTTGGAGCGGTGAATGTGGGCATGCCAGCAGGCGCAGTGGTGCTCGCATTTGATGGTGCAAACCCGCTTGAGCTTGATGGTGGCCTGGACGCTGAGTCGGCTGTGGGCGCGGGAGACGCGGTAGCCGACTTGTCGAGTGCAGCCTGGAATAGCTTCGACGTTGCACTCGCGTTATCAGGCAGCTTGGGGTAGTTGATGGGCTCTGTCGATCTCGCACGCTTCTCTGTCGCAGGTCCTGATGACTCGCCATCGTCCTCTTCGAACAGCGCCGGGCGCTTGTTGTTGACTGGAGCAGTGGCAGGAGGCTGGCCAAACATGTTGGAAGATGAAGTTGGCTTGGGCGTCTGTTGCGAAGCAGCGCCGCCGAACATGTTCGCGCTGGGTGCCTGCGCCTTCGGCGTGGCTGAACCGAACATATTGTTGCTTGCGGCAGGCGTCGATTGAGAGCCGAACATGTTGCTGCTTCCAGATGCAGTAGAGGTCTGAGTCTCCTGAGCGCTTGCGGGAGTGCCATTCGCTTGAAGTTCAGTGGCCTTCTCGGTGTAGTACTTCATAATGGAGGTCCAGTCGCTGTGTACATCTTGAGTCGCCAAATGCCGCAACAGACCTTCATTCAGATGCTTGAGCAGCTCAGCTCTCGGGTTCGACTGGGTGTTGGTAGTCTTCGAGGTGGCAGAAGCCTTGGGTGTGGGTGGCGTGACGGTTGTCTGCGGAGCCGGCGGTGCGTGCGAGATCCACGGAGCAGCTGAAGGCGTGGCGGCTGCACTGGCCGCTGACTTGTTGAAGAGGTTCGTAGACGGTGTGAACGAAGTCTGCTTCTGAGCCGTCTGCGGTGCTTCGTCGCGGTTGATGCGCTCGAACAAGCCTCCTTTGCTCTGGGCAGCTGGCGTCTCGGCTTGCTCGCTGTTGTTCGCCGCCGACGGGTTGAAGAGAGATGTGGATGGAGTGAACGATTTCTGAGCCGTCGCCGGGGTGCTGACGCGGTCGAACAGACTCTTGCCTTGGCCGGCTGGTGTCTCACTAGGAGCATTGCTCGCCTGCGCACCAAACATGCTCGGCTTCTGCGGTGTATGGCCGGGCGTAGTCATGCTGGCGTCCTCTTGCTGAGACTGGCTCTGTCCAGACTTGAAGCCTGGAGTGGTGCTGCTCTGCTGTTGTGACTGGCCGAACTGGAATAGATTGTTGCTGGGCTTGGGAGTCTGCTGCTCATTGGTGCCCTTTGTGGCGTTTGCTTGCTGGCTTTGACCGAACTGGAAATTGGCGAAAGGATTGCTTGGCTTTGGCGTCTCCTGCTCTTTGGCTTGTGTGCCATTCTGCTGACCAAAAGAAAACAGATTGCTAGACTGTGGCTTCGGCGTCTCGCTTTGACCGGAGGTGAACATGCCTGGCTTGACGGTGCTCGCTCTGGAAGAGTCCAGACCAAGGAAGACGCCGTTGTTCGTGTCACTGCTAGGCTCAGGTTGCGGCGTAGAACCGAACATCGACTTCGACGTGTCGGCCTGCTGAGCGCCACTGAACAAACTGTTTGTGTTCGCCTTTGGGGTCTCTTGGGCTTGTGATGTCTCACCATTCTGCTGTTGGCCGAAGCTGCCGAAGACGCTGCTGGTGGCTGTTTGCGGCGTCTGATTGTTGCCGAAGCCACCCCCATTCGTCTGAGACTGAGAAGAGTTGTTCTGTCCAAACCCGCCAAACGTAGGTGTACCAGCCCGCTTGTCTCCGTTCTGCTCTTGCGACCCCTGGCCAAAGCCACCGAATGAAGTGCTTGGTGTAGACTGCGTCTGCTGTTGTGACTGTCCAAAGCCGTTGAACGGGTTGTCGGTGTTCTGAGTGCCGAAGGTAGGGAAGGAGGCATTTGTGCTGGGTGTCGCGCCGTTCTGCTGGGCCTGATTCGCGTTGCTCTGGCCGAAGCTGAAGCCGCTGTTGGTATTGTTCTGGTTGCCGAACGTGCTGGAGGTAGAAGGGTTGAAGCCGTTCTGCTGAGGCTGCGCGTTGTTCGATCCGAAGGTAGAGCCGAAGCCTGCACTGTTGCCGCCAAACATACCGCCCCCACCGTTCTGCTGCGCTGGTGGCTGACTAGGCGCGCCTCCGAACTGGAAGGAAGTGGGTGGTGGAGTGCCATTCTGCTGCTGCTGCGCGAATGGGTTATTTCCTACGCCTCCACCGGCAGAGAAGTTGAATCCGCCGCCGCCGCCATTTTGCGCGGTCTGCTGGAAGGATGGCATGCTTTGTGGTTGTTGCTGCTGGTTTGCGAATGGATTTGGGGTGGCATTGGGAGTGTTGGCACGGCTGTTTCGCTGGCTGCCGCTTGGCTTCCGCGCTTGTGCGATTCTGGGGTTCGAAGGCTTAGCTGTTTTGCCTCGTAACATTGTGACGTATCGGTTATATGATGTGAAGTTTGCTGAAGGGTGCAGGTTGCTTTTGCTTAGTAAGGTTGCGATCGAGAGTGGTGTTCGAGTATGTGTTCTGGCGAGAGTTTGAGTGCGCAGGATGCAAAGTGAAGTAGCATCCATCGTCAATAGACAATAGACAATACTTCACCTTGCCCATTGTCGCGATTGTCTCAACGCACCAGCGGGCCGCCACATATCAAACACCACTAGCCCGACCGCAACCTCACTTCACAATAGCAACTCTTCAACCTCACTTCCAAGAATAGGACTGGACTCACTTTCTTTTCGCCAACTGCGCCGCCGTGGCCGCCTGTGGTTTGCTGTCCATGCTCGCTGGACCAGATGAGCCTCCGTACCGCTCCTCGCCGCCTTGTGTCTCCTGCAGTCGCTTGCTCATGGTCGGGCAAGTACCGCTTCCAACACCTTTTCTATCCCGTTCTCGAGAACCTTCACCCTACTACCGCCGCCGAACGTCACCGAGGTGGGAGAGCTGGGGGAGAGCTGAGGTCGAGGGAGGTCGAGAGGCGCACGCTTTGTTTTTCGCGATGTTCTCTGCCATGCGCGAGCTTCTTTGTTTGGTGGAGGTGCGCGGAATCGTGTTGAGGTCGATTTGGTGATGGTGTCGATGGTGGATGTGTATGTTGATGGGTCCTTGATGTTCTACTAGGATGACTTTTGGGAAGATGCGGAGGGCAGATTCGCTTGGGCGGCTTGGCAGAGAAACCGAGTCGCGCGTCACGCGAAAGCATCCAGTCTTGTGTTGTGTCGGTAAACCACCACCTCAATGTTTCACAAGACTGGAACAGATCTATTTGGGTCGAGGCGAGAAGACGATAATGTGGTTGACTCGAGGCAGTTGGCATCACGCCTCGACAACGTCCGCAGCATCGAGAACGCCTACTCGACTACTATGTCCACCAATAACAAAGGATACAGTCTCTCGTGGGTTGAGAATGTTTCCTGCATAGTTCGTGAATCCCTAGACTACCAACATTGCCAGCGCCTATGCGTCTACCAGTCCATCAAGTCCTTTGTCCAGCACCGTCGGCCCTCTCATGACACTATAGCTTCGCCTTCGCCTGCGCCTTTGTAAGGATCGGCTCCATCTTGGTAGCCTTCATGACGTCCCCCTTGACTTTCAGCTTGCCCTTCATGAAGAGGTTCTGCGCGTTTGCTTTGCCGGACATGAGCTTGGCGAAATCCGCATCGTCGAGGATGAGGGTGACTGTAGACATTGTCAGCATGAACCTGATCATGATACCGCAACGCAATGTCCATGTTGTAGCTCTACCATGGCAGAGTCTAGCCAACATGGTATCGTCCAGCCTTGCTTTCCCTGTTCTCCTTCGTTGGGACACGGTGCACTTACCATTCGCCTTCTTCCCCTCCGGCGCCAAACCCTTGCCAACCTTGCCCGACTCTTTCAAATCAATGTGCCAGTCCGCCGTCTCCCCGCCCTTCTTGATCGTGAAGCCGAAGATAGCCTGGCCCTTTTTGACAGCATCTTTCCGCTCGCCCTCGTCTTGGAGCGCAGAGGCGATCAGGTCGAAGGAGGAAGAGGACGGGAAGCGGTCTGTTGTCGTTGTTTAGACAAGGATGGATGTGTGGGGAGGAAGAGGTCGGTACCGTCTTTGAGAGACATTGCGAGTCCTTGCGATTGATTTAAGGTGAGCAAAGATGCCTCGATGGTGTCGTGGTGTGCTGTCTGTTACGCTAAGGTACGTTGTTGTGAGATGGTAAGAGAGAGAAGAAGCGTAGAGACTGTAGAGAAGAGACTACGAGACGATCATCACATGCTCAGACCTGACCACTCCACACGACACGACGTTGCGCGCATGACTTCACCTTCCGCTCCAAACCGCGGCTCAAGCGAAGCCAGCTCCGGGGTTGACGCATGTGATAGCGGGACCGTGCGCTGCTAATTCAGCCGCATTCCATCCCCCAACCTCACCTCTTCAGCTCGAGCAATACCAGCGACAAAGCTATCGGGAGGCTATGGCAGCATCCGACGGCTTCGACCAAGGGATCTTTGGGAGCAACACTAAGATACTTGGCTGCCTTCTATCTGGCCGCGAACAATGTCCGATGAGAAAGAGCTCCGCGATCGGCCTGAAAGGTTGGCATCGAGGTGGGTATATACAGGTAGGCGATACAGTGTCTTTCTCGTCAAGACAAATCTTTCGTACTTTTGCTATTTCTACTGCTCTGTCTGCCTCAAACCCTCTTACCTTCTACACTGTCTCCCATCGTTCAAACAGTCCGTACCACGAATCGACCCCGAACCCCAGCACACCCGCAACAATGAACGGCCAGACCCAACCCCCCATCTCAGCAGGCGCAAAGCTCCGCCAAATGCTCTCCGACCCCTCCAAAACCATCATAGCCCCCGGTGTCTACGACGGCATCACAGCCCGCCTGGCCTTGGAATCCGGTGCCGAATGCCTCTACATGGTACCCCTCCTTCCCCTTCCTCCCGTCCCAATACCTCCACTAACACCCCATCCCTCTGTAGACCGGCGCAGGCACCTCCATGTCCCGCCTCGGCATGGCCGACCTCGGCCTCACCACCTTCACCGACATGCACGCGCACGCCGCCATGCTCGCGTCCCTCGACCCCTCCGTCCCCGTCATCGCCGACGCGGACACGGGCTACGGCGGGCCGATCAACGTCGCACATACGGTCCGCTCGTACGCGCGCTCGGGGGTCGCGGGGCTGCATATTGAAGACCAGGTGCAGGAGAAGCGGTGTGGGCATTTGAGCGGGAAATTGCTTGTCAGTCGGGATGTGTATTTCAGTCGGTTGAGGGCGGCGGTTAAGGCGAGAGATGAGATGGGTGGGGATATTGTGGTGATTGCGCGGACGGATGCGAGGGCAGGGCGAGATCCGGAGGGGAATAGTGGGTTTGATGAAGCGGTTGCGCGGTTGAAGGGAGCTGCGGAGATCGGGGTTGATTGCTTGTTCTTTGAGGCGCTGCAGACTGAGGAGGAGATGGAGCAGGCGGTTGAGGCGTGTCCGAAGGTGCCGATGATGCTGAATATGGTGCAGGGAGGAAGAACGCCGCAGATTAGTGGGGACGAGGCGAATAAGTTGGGGTTTAGGCTGGTAATTTGGCCTTGTTTGGGGATGGAGGCGGTGGTGCCGGCGTATCGGCAGGCGCTGAAGACGTTGTATAAGACGGGCAAAGCGCCGGTGGAGCAGAATATGGGGCCGAATGCGTTGTTTGAGATTTGTGGCTTGAAGGAGTTGATGGCTTTTGATCGGGATGTTGGTGGGAAGGCGTATGATTAGAGACGCTTTGGAAAATCATGACTTGCCACGAGTACGCTTTGCGACTTACATGACCCCCAGCATCCCGTCCATTAATGTTCTGCTCGGTGATGGCATTGACCTACTGCACAAAGTCAGGGACAATGACTCGACGGCCTTCGAGCCGCCTTGAGAGCGTGGACCATTGGTCACCTCAAAGACAGCTTGTCTTTGGGACACACTCGGAAGGCCATTGCCTCGACAGCCCATTCCCACGACACGTTCCTGCAGCATCGTCCCCTGGGACTCGGACTCGGACAAAGCACCTCTACAATCCCATGCACTCCCCCTGCCCCAAAACAAAGCCCTCTCCCCTTTGTCCTCTCCTCTATCCGACACCTCCTCCCAACCACACAATCCCATTATGAAGCGTCGTGCAATCATGCCGAGTCTTCAAGGCCAGTATATGCTTGGCCCTCGGGCAGCCCATCTCCCCTTCCTCAATACCAAACACAACACCCACAACAGCCGCCGCCAGGATGTTTTCCCACTGGCTCAACAACGTCTCCAACAACTCGCCGCCGCAGACCGTCAGTGCAAAGTCGATTACGACTTTGAGGAGGTTGCAAGGGTTGGAAGGCTGCGAGAACTTCGAAGAACTTAGGATGGAGAGGGTGAGAGATGGGAGAGGTAAGGAGAGGGCGAGGGATGAGAGGGGGAGGGTGATGGATCCGTATCGATTGTCTGGTGTAGCTGACGTCGTACCAGATCGTCCGACAACAAGGAGGGGGTACCGAGTCGAAGAAGCTCCAGAGCGTCCGAAGACCACACGGGGTTATCGTGTCGAAGATGCTCCAGAGCGTCCAACGACAAGACGGGGCCATCGGAATGCCAGAACCAGGTTTCCATCCGCGGTTGCAGCAGGCCCAGCAAGATGCAGCGGCCGCTACGGCAGCATCAACGCCTCCGAACCACCCGGCGAGTCCTTGGGCTTCGAATACATCAATGCCGAGACCCTCGCTCAGCTGGAAGGCAGGCACCTCTTCGACCCGGAACCAGCACGTCCAAGCAGACAAATCGAACGACAGACCCCTCGAACGTCAAAATTCAGCGACGACTCGGACCCACCATCCCGCCGAAGACCAAGCGGCGTCTTCAGATCCGTCAGCAATAGCATCAAAGGCTCCATACGCCGGGCATCGTCGCGTCGTCCATCGCTGCGTCGTCCATCGACCAGCTCCAGCAGGCCTGAAGTCTCCCGACCAACGGACTTCCGGGATCTTGACGCGAGAGGTGTGAGTCCGGATAAAGTCCATCCTGACAGGAAAGCGATTCCGATTATCGACGCTCAGGAAAGGTTCTTGCCGAATCCGCGGCCGAGCTGTCCGAGACTGAGGGGTGATCTTCGGGGGGTCTTCGATCGACCGGCAGACGAGGTCGTTGTTGGGGCTCCAGGGCCGTCAAGTCGCGATACTTCGGCGAGGCAGCAAGCGACAGACGAAGACAAATATCCGTCTGCGCTCCGACGGAACAAATTTCCAAGATCAAAGCGGCCAGCACACCTCCCGCACCCGATCGACACACCACCACCGCCGCCTGTCGAGACACGTCGACGCAGAGTCAAGATCCTCGGCTCTCCAGACCGCACAACGACCATCGGCGACTTCATCAACTATCACTCCTCCCGGTCCAGCGACGAGCCAGATCGACCAACGGAGGAAGATCTCGCATTCCCAGACGTCAGGCCTCTTCAGCTGCGCTCAAAGCGTAAAACGCTCAACCTCAAAGCCGACGCCGCATCACAACATCAAGCGTCTCCCGGTCTCCGGCATTCGTCCAAAGCGTCATCCCAACAAGCCCCCCGCATGGATGAACACTTTCCCCCGCTCGCAGACCTCTTCGACGAAATCGACGCCCAAATCGCCGAATCCTCCATCCCGCAGTCCGAGAAGCCGAGAGTGAACGAGGAAACGCATTGGCTGTACGCAATTCTCGACCGTTCGCCTCCGCAGTCCGAAGGATCCAGCGGCGAGGGTGGGGATACGGAACCGGTGGTTGACAAATTCGTGCATCGGGGCCATACGGATTGGAGGGTGACGAGTCGGCCAGATAAGCAGAGTGTGCGGTCGGATTATCGGAGGGTTGCTCATGAGGAGCGTGCTGTCGAGAGCGAGCAGGCGAGGCGCTGGTACGGGAAGCGGCAGTGAAGGGGTGCACAGCGAGCAATGAGGGCGTTCAGGAGTCTGGCGTTATGCTTTGTCGATATTGGCGCTTTGTCCAATGATCTGCCTGGGATAGATGTGAGCTCGATGAATAGACTAATGCATCGATGATACACCCGAACTCACCCGACCTCTTTTTTTCTCGTAGCTTCATATCATCGTAATGGGCTTCGCATTGCCCGGATGCGCCCCGTCTCCGCGCTGGCGACAACAGCCCCCGCCATTAGCATCGACTGTACTGGCGCCCCGGGTGGCGTCATCTCGGGGTAGTCGTGGTTGTCTGGCCGAGACCCAGTAGACGCCGTCTTCCTACACGATCTCAAACGTCCGCTTCGTCTTCTCCCTCTCTCCCTGATAAGCCTGCCCGTCCATAAACCCATGAACATAACACGGACCCACCATCTCAAACTTCCCGTTCTCCACCTTTTTCAGTACCACGGGCACCTTCGCACCCGGCAGCGCCACGACGTGCATACCTACCCCTGCTGTGGGAGGGACCATACAGTAGTACCCCTGTTCTGTCACCGCAAAGCGCCAAAGTCGAATGGTGTGCCGCAACGGCGACCATATTTCATAATCAAGATCAGATTCGAGATGAGACGTCCATCCCGAATCCTCTTCACGGTCCTGCAGGATCCAGTCTTTGAATAGCGTACCTAAACGCTCGAGATCGGCCTCGTCCGGTCGTCGATTGGGGTGGCGTACGCAATCCATCATGAGAGTACGCCAGTAAGCGTCGAAAGCCGCCTCTTTGCCACCATGAAATGGAGGCTCCACGTTGTCCGATTTGAGATATACTCCCAGCGAGGCATCCGCGCCTCCAGCAATGGCCTGGCGGAGTACGTCTTCCGGCATCGATTCCAGCGCCATGCGTGCCGGGTTTCGTGACTGCCCTTGTGCGGGTCCCGACCGCACCGCGGCGAGAGTATCGATATCCCAGCCGCCAACAACAAGCGCATGTGATGTGGAGATGGACAGAGGCGCAGTCAACTTCGCAGGGCCCGCGGAGAAGATATCGCGCTGAGCGAACAAAAGGCGCGAGGCGCCGGGGTCCGAGAAGTCTGGAGCCCAGGAGGGAAGGAGATGCCTAAGCTGGGAATCCCGAAAGAGCTGCCATGGCCCCTGGCAGATAAGGTCCAGGTTGCCGTCGTGCTCCATGATTCGCTTACTCGTTTCTACGTAAATGTCTTCCACTGGGCGTGTGTAGTCCGGCTCGATGCCTAGGGTATCCGAGCACAGGGCAAGGAGAGCGAACACCATGTCGCGGGGATCCGTCACCTGCTGGTGGCGAAACCGGGCGAGAACTTCGAGAAGCGAGCTGCCGGAGCCGTTCTCCCGAGTAGTCATCGCTATCCGTTGGTGTGAGAACACCTGTGCCTGATAGAAAGTCTGCTTCAACCACGACGCCAGACTCAGGTCATGGCCCCATGGCTCGTGGAAAGCGTCCGGGATGCCGGTCTTCTCCACGAACTCATCAACGTTGAGCAGTTGTTCGATCTCATCCCAGCTCATTGTCGAGTTCCCAGCGACGAGAAGCACTTCTGGCGCGAAGGCTACCTCTTGCACTATCCAGGCTCTGCTCCAGACGTTGCCTTGGAATAGCCGTTTGATCTGGGCCTTGTGCCGTTTCAACTCGTTCCTGATAGAAAGATCACTGGTATGGGCTCGCCCCTCGCGCCGAGCAACATCGTTCAGTCCACGGACTTCGTTGAGAGCTTTGAGACTTCAGCCATTCGCCGCGATAGCTGCGAGAGCATTGTCAATGATGGAGTCATCTGGGCCGAACCACAAGATATCCCGAGTGCAGCGCTTGTAGATCTCAGACATGTGCTGTACATGCTTGCTGCGCTCTTCAAGGTTATCTTGATCAATACAAAGGGCGTCCACCCAGAGAGACCGCACATTCTCCGTGTAGCGAAGATATCTCAGGGCACTTTCCAGGTTCGGGGTGATGCTTTTCTCATGCCCGTTGAGGAGGACGGGGCCGGGCGGTGAAGCTTCGCCCCAGACGTAGGACAAGGCTTCATATTCTGCATCTCCATCCAGACGGGTCGGGAGAAGGTCGCAGATGAGGGTGTCCTCGAGTTGTGTCGCAGGTTGAAGTAGAAGAATCCGGAAGGCCTTGCCAGCCTCGATGGGGTGATATAGTGATCCTAGGGGTACTTCTACGCCGGCCAGCTGACGATTCGAGGACTGATGGGCGAAGTCCATAACAGCCTGCAGGCCTACCCACGCTTATGCCTCGTTTCTCCTCTGTTCACCGTGGGTCGCGGGCCCTGTGTAGCTGGGCAGATGGGGCTGTGCCTTCGAGCTGAAGTAGAGAGATCTCGGATGGGTGGCTTAGCCGTTGGTTTACCTACCGTACCTTGCCTAGAAGTTTTCCTCACTACACGTAGAACTCGTGCCACCGTACAATCACCATGTTGCTGTATGCAGGTGTCAACGGTGCCGTCGCACTCAAAGGTCCACTCTCAACGATCCCTGCATGAACCGCTGTGGAGCCGAGCCGGCACCTTAACGTTAACGTAAAGCATCCGCGAGTGACAGCTCCTCGATAGCGCATCCTGGATCAATGCACTCGTAATCCTCTCATTCCTTCCTTCCTCTGTTCTCTCTTCAAGCGCATCTTGTTATCTTCATCGCGGTCCGCTGCTCTTCTGGTCACGTGCACCAAGTACTCTCGCTAAGAGCAAGACGACACAGTGAGATTGTCCCAATCGGGGCCGTCAGCAGCTGCACTTCCCCCAACGGGACCAAGGACGATTTTGTGGTGTCACCACTCCTTCAGCTACTCTTCCGAGTCCGGAGAACCATTCTCTCTCCTCTACGAAGAGCAGTCCGCTCTAGACAGAGAAGAAGTTGTTCTATTCGAGTCTACAGATATGGCCGCCGACTACCGGAGTCCGAGAGCCAGCTGCTGGGCTGTTGTACTGTTCTGCTTCCAGCTGGCTCAAGCGTTCTACATACCTGGTACGTTGCGGCAAGACAAGACTTACGCGGGCATGTACTGACAATGCACAGGCTGGTCCATCAAATCCTACCGCGACGGCGAAGTCATCCCCCTCTTTGTGAACAAGGTCTACAGCGACAACACCCAGCTGCAGTATGCGTACTCTGAGCTGCCCTTCGTCTGCCAACCTTCACATCGGAAACATGCAGGGACTGGCTTGATCTCCGGCTCCAACATCGCACTGAATCTGGGCGAGGTGCTACGAGGAGACCGGATCATGGTGTCGGATTACGAGCTTGAGATGGGCAAGGACCAAGAAGCGAGGTATCTGTGCAGCCGAGAAGTGGACAGGGCAGGGTTGAGAAGAGCGATCGAAGTGGTCAAGGACGGCTATGTTGCGGAGTGGATCGTGGATAATCTGCCTGGGGCTACTTCTTTCGTGACGGTCGACAAGAGCAGGAAGTACTATGCGTCCGGGTTCAAGATGGGCTACGAGGAGACTTCTCTTTCAACTGGACAACCGAGATACTTCCTCAACAACCATGTCACGTTGGTGATTCGATGGCACAAGGCGCCAGGCAAGGACGGTCAGCAGGGCAAGAAGGTTATCGTAGGCTTCGAGGTGTACGCGAAATCGATCGAAGCTGAGAACCGCGACGCCTCTGGACTACCACCGGATATGCGCAACACTCGCAACGGCCTGGAGCTGACGATGGCGAGGAACGTGACGAACACCACATTATCCCGCGACGAGTCCTCCGACATGATCGAATCGCTGGACAACGGAGCCGAGGACGCCACCATCACCATCCCGTACACCTATAGCGTCTACTTCCGCGAGGAAGAAAAGATCGAATGGGGCAGCCGCTGGGACCTATACTTCGTCAACCAGGAGGAGAGCAGCAAAATCCACTGGTTCGCCATCGTCAACTCCGCTGTCATCTCCGGTCTCCTCACCGCCGTCGTCGCCGTCATCTTCGCCCGCACCATCCGCGGCGATCTCAAAAACTACAAAGACGCCGGAATGGAAGAGCTCCGTCTCGGCAAACGCAGCAAAGGCGCGCGCTCGCCCCGCCGCAGCGGCGAGAAGGGCGGGCTACTGGACCAAGTCGACGGCGAAGCCACCGCAGGCGCCGATGACGTCTCGGACGATGATTTACCCGCCGAAGACATCACAGGTTGGAAACTCGTGCACGCCGATGTCTTCCGCACCCCGCCCTACGGCCACCTGCTCGCTCCCGTGGTGGGCTCCGGCATGCAACTCGTCTTTATGGCCCTGGGCCTACTGCTCCTCTCCTGCCTCGGCGTCCTGAACCCCAGTTTCCGCGGCGGCTTCATCAGCGTCGGCGTCGCCTTGTTCGTCCTCGCCGGCGCGTTTTCGGGCTACTTCTCCGCCCGCATCTACCGCACCTTCGGCGGCGCGCAATGGCAGCACAACGCCGTCGTCACTGCTACGTTGTTTCCTGGCCTGCTGTTCGCGACGGTCTTCCTGCTCAACCTCTTCGTCTGGGCGCAAGCGTCTTCCACCGCGATCCCGCTCGGCACGCTTTTTGGGTTGGGAGCGCTGTGGTTGTTCATCCAACTCCCGCTCGTCTACGCCGGGTCGTGGTACGGTTTCCTCAAAGCAGGAGCGTACAGCCATCCGATCAAAGCGGCTGCGATACCGCGCCAGATCCCGCCGCAGCCTTGGTATGCACGCCCCGTGCAGGCGGCGCTGCTCGCGGGGTTGGTGCCTTTTGCGGTGGTGTTTATTGAGTTACTCTTCGTGTTCCAGAGTTTGTGGAGTGATAAGAGTGGGTATTACTATGTCTTTGGGTTTTTGGCGATTGTGAGCACGATTCTGTTGGTGAGTGTTATGGAGGTGACGATTATTGGCGTCTACATCCAGCTCTGCAACGAGGTACGCCCCCCCTTTTCCCTCCCTTCCCCTCACAGTCACTAACGTGGCCATCAGAACTACAACTGGCACATCCAATCCTTCCTCCTCGGCGGCTCCTCGTCTCTCTGGATCTTCGCCTACTGCATCTACTACTACACCCGCGTCCTCCACATCTCCGGTTTCGGCAGCGGGCTGCTTTTCTTCGCGTACTGTGGACTGGCGTGTGCGGTATTTGGGCTCGGGACGGGGACGGTGGGGTTCTTGACGGCGTATGGGTTTGTGCGGAGGATTTACGGCGGGGTGAAGGTTGATTGATGAGGATATCTTGTTTTGGTGAGAGGATGGAATATGGAATTTTGAGACGCAGATTCGCCACCGCCAGCGCGAAGGGCACGTCGATCGAGAGTCGGAGCTGGAAATCATGCTGACTTGGCAGCGGGGGTGGAGTATTGGCCGGTACGCCTTAGCAACGAGACAGGGCAGGCCGCGGGGAACCCGTCCGGGCTCCAGGGTGAGCTGAGGGGCTGCTTGGAAGCGGGCACAGAGAAGGCATCGAGCAAGCAGGATGCATTCATAGAACGAAGTAATGATAATCCGAGGCTCCGGCGCCGTCGGACTCGTTGGCAACATCACCAAAACGCCATCGTACACAAGACACACATTGAAGAATCATATCCATTGCTCCGGCTATCTTTGTACATTCAACATCCCAGTATCTCACGCCCTCCATACCCTCTTAATCCCCTCGGTTAAACCGACATCGTTCGTCTCAAACTCATACCATCCCCACCCCACAATCACGAAGGCCAGGTTGCGCAGGTAGTTGAGGGCTTTGCGGGATTTGGGCACGCGCCATTTGGGGGCGTAGTCGGTTATTACGGAGCTGGACAGCTGCGTTAGCAGATGGACAGTCCGAAGCGAAGAAGACTGTAGAGGGCAAGAGGGAGGTGAAGAGGGGAAGGATGAGCATACTCGAATCCAAGATGTGAATGAATCAGCACGAGGCCGATGAGGGCGCCGTCCATGAGGGGGTTGAGGGAGCCGGCGGCGAAGGGGGCGATGGTCATGGGGATTAGGGCGGCGCTGCCGATGCTGTTTGGATCATCCGTATCAGTGTGCTTGTTTCTTCGCCTTGGACTCGTATCCGTTGTCGAAAGCATTGGAGAGGATGGGACATACCGCTCAGCAGTCCAGTGGTAACTTCCATGGCCGGGCTCTGCCTCTGGTGTGTGGACTGGGTCGTTGACTGTGCCCAATATCTGGTTTTCTGATCAGAGATCTGTCCTTGTCGTTGCAACAATTGTCTATGATCCAACGAACCTTCTGTGGTAGCGGGGGGAGGATAGCTTTCGGGGCGGTGGTTTGGAAGGCGGCTCGTTGGACTCGGAAAGCCGGCTGTGATCGGAAGCCTTGGAGGCTCTGGCGGAGGAGGGGGGTTCGAAGGGCGGAGGCCATTATTATAGGATGGCAATGGCTGTGGTAGTCTAGGCTCGTCGTCTAGAGATGTCGTGATAAGGTCGTCGCCTCGGCAGTAGTCGGCTCCTTCCTCATTGGTCCGCACGTGACATTCTCAGAAATACGCGGACGTGCTGGAAGCTTGTAAGCGGCCTCTCCCGACAGCTCCTGCGAAGGAAAGAAACATCACAGGAAGCTCTACTCATATCCGCAACGCCAGCACCCACTCCCACTCGCCTGTCTCTACCCCTTCTCATACACCGGTGATGGCGTCTCAACGGCTGGCGATGCGCCTGAACCAGGCTTCTCGCTCGCGTCAAGCCATCTCCGCCGTCAAGCAGAGAACTGCCCGCTCCCAACCGGGCCTCATCCGCAGTCTGGCGACGCCAGTGGGTAACCAGGGCGTTGCGATGGAAAGCACTACGCTCAGCAATGGCTTTACGGTGAGCAGCTGCATACATACCCCATCCTCTGGCCTCCAATGGCTGACTGTGTGCATATAGATTGCCTCAGATCACTCCCCCTACGCCCAAACCTCAACGGTAGGCGTCTGGATCGATGCGGGTTCTCGCGCGGAAACAGACAAGACGAATGGCACCGCTCACTTCCTCGAACATCTGGCCTTCAAGGGCACACAGAAGCGCTCGCAGTCCCAGCTCGAGCTGGAAATTGAGAACATGGGCGCCCACCTGAACGCCTACACGTCCCGCGAGAACACCGTCTACTACGCCAAAGCCTTCAACAACGACGTCCCCGCCACCGTTGACATCCTCGCCGATATCCTGCAAAACAGCAAACTCGAGAACAACGCCATTGAGCGGGAAAGAGATGTCATTCTGCGGGAGCAGGAGGAGGTTGACAAGCAGCTGGAAGAAGTTGTCTTCGACCACCTCCACGCCACAGCGTTCCAGGGCCAGCCGCTCGGCCGCACCATTCTTGGACCCAAAGAGAACATCCAGTCCATCAACCGCGAGGACCTGACTAACTACATCAAGACCAACTACACCGCCGACCGTATGGTCTTGGTTGGTGCTGGTGGCATCCCTCACCAACAGCTCGTCGAACTCGCAGAAAAGCACTTCTCCTCCATGCCCGCCTACAACCCCAACGCCCAAGCCACCGCCGGCCAACGCGGCATCACCACCCGCCCCGACTTCGTCGGCTCCGAGGTCCGGATACGCGACGACACCATGCCGACCGCCAACATCGCCATCGCCGTCGAGGGCGTCAGCTGGAAAGACGACGACTACTTCACCGCCCTCGTCACGCAAGCCATCGTCGGCAACTGGGACCGCGCCATGGGCAACTCGCCCTACCTGGGCTCCCGCCTCAGCACCTTCATCCACGAGAACAAGCTGGCCAACAGCTTCATGTCCTTCTCCACCTCCTACTCTGACACCGGGCTGTGGGGTATTTACCTCACCTCGGACGCCATGACCCGCCTCGACGACCTCGTCCACTTCACCCTCCGCGAATGGTCGCGCTTGTCTTTCTCCGTGACCGAAGCGGAAGTCGAGCGCGCCAAGTCCCAGCTCAAAGCCTCCATCCTGCTCTCCCTCGACGGCACCACGGCCGTGGCAGAGGACATTGGACGCCAGATCATCACCACCGGCCGGCGATTGGACCCGCAGGAGGTCGAGCGCGCGGTGGGCAGTATCACCGAAAAGGATGTGATGCGCTTCGCGCAGACGCGGCTGTGGGATCGCGATATTGCGATTTCGGCGGTGGGCCAGATTGAGGGGTTGTTGGATTACGCGCGGATTCGGAGTGATATGAGTCGGAATTTGTCGTAGGAGGAGGAGGAGGAGGAGGGGTAAAAGTGTATGCGATAGACGGCACGACGTGAAGGCGGTAGGGGAGAGTCGGATGAGATAGAGAACAGGAGCAGAGCTGATACATGCATGTTAGGCGGTTGCGGTGTATATATAGTTTTGTCATCGGTTCTACTCCAGGTTGATTGTCAACGTTGATGCTATGACTGTTGGTCAATCAGCACATGGTGAGTTCGGAGTTGAGAAGTAGAGGCGGTGGTGAAATGCCTTTGGAGCGATGAGTGACCACTTCACCCCTTGCTTCATTGCTAATCGCTACACAAGGCTAGAGGTAGGTTACAACAGTCAACGCCTATTTCCCACCTAGTTCTACCACTGCACCTTAGACACTCCATCCCGACTCCCACACCCATGGCTTGAAAGGCGCCAGCCAGCTACTAGAATCCGAGCTCAGATCCTCAGAAACGGGGGATTGATTCCTGTACGACATCGCCAGATTTGTTGTTCAGCGGGGCGAAAATGCGAGTATACACGTAAGGTAGTCGAGCAAGAGGGAGCAGCATGGGTATCAGGACTTCGTTACTGGTTACATGTACTAAGTACCTTAAGCTATGTCGTGACCATCCCTGCCATTCCGAGAACAGGATTTTTCGCCCTCCCTCCCCGACCCATTCATTCCTCAAGATCCAACATCATCACGGATCTACCACTGAACCTTCCCAACCTCATCCTCCCCCCTCCCCTTGCCTTCCAACCACCACTTCCCCTTCTCAACAGCGTTACTGATCCTCATCTCACCCTTATCCCCCTCCCACGCCCCTCCCTTCCCCAACCCTCTCAACCACTCCTCGCCCTTTGCAGCAACCATCTCCCACACTCCCTTCCTCTCCGCAGCGAACACCTGAAGCCACGCGAGCGCTAAGGCGGTAGCGCAGACGTCTTTTCCGTTCTCTTTGCCCCAGAAGCCGAGGCCGAGCATGTCTGTTACCGGAACTTTCTCGGCATCGACGTTGAGGACGCGGCAGAAGTTCTCGTTCCACGCCCAGGCGCCAGAAAAGGTTTGGAGGGCGATGAGGGCGTGGAGCGTTTTCTCTACATCAACCGTTTCCTGGCCTGCGGCGGCGGTGGCGTCGCCACCGTCGGAGCTGTAGAGATCTTTGTCCATATCTGCGTCATGTCCCGAAAAACCGCCGGCGAACTTGAGGATTTTATGTTGCTGCGAGGGCACCACTTCCATGTCGGAGAAGTCTTCCTCGTCCGCGAGCGGCATCTCCGCAGCCGACTTCATAGTCTCCGCATACTGCGCCAGCTGGACATCGTCCACCGAAATCTCTTCCAGCGACGAAGCCGCTGCGAAGGAGGGTTTCGCCGGTGGAGTGTTCGGGCCGTCGAAGAGGCCGTAGCCCATGTCGTCGTCGTCGTCTGATTCCTCAGCCTCCACGTTTGCTGCTTCGAATGCCGCGATGGAAGTAGCGGCACCGGCGGGAGCAGGAGGGGGAGGGGCGGAGCCAAATAACTGGCCTGCACTGCGGCTCGCTGGTGGAGGTGCAGAGGGGTACGCCGCTTCGGGTTGAGTACTAGGAGAACCAGTTAGTAACACGCTGGCAGAGCTCGAGCGATGAGTGCTGCGTATGTGCTGGTGATGCTGCTACGTCCCAGTCAAGTCTCCTGGTTGGTTTCCTCCGGGGTGGCCATGTTGCAGTGGCAGAGCCATCGAGCAGTTGTTGCTTGTCGTGGTCCTTCGAAGAGCCGTGGCCGAAGGACACGGGTCGGCCATTCGTGAGAGGCTCCAGAAGGCGAGAATCCTCAGTCCGGTGAAGCAGTGTCCTTCGAAGGCTCCTGTCCTCTGAATGCTGTGATCTGCCGTGTATCTCTAGGTCCCACTGTTTGGATTTGCGCGATGCAGGCACATTCAGAGTCTTGATAACCGGGGCAACCCCCTGGCCTTGCGCAGCGTCTCCCGATGCTTAGCTGCGAGGTTGTTACATCTGTCCTGATGCTCCAGCAGATTCTTGATGCCGTCCGATGCTTTCGCTCGCTCCTGCTCGGACTCATCCTCGGCGTCCTCGATCTGGTCTTCAAGCTTTCGCAGATCCTGGCTGCTGACTCCTTTCCCTTCTGGCTGTGATTGCACATCTTGCGCTGAGGTAGGTGAAGATTCTTTTGCTTCTTGTTCCTCATGGATCTGGTACATGTGCTCATACCTGGCCTTGAGGGCCTCAACAGCGGCTTGAGCTTTCAGCAGACGTCGCCACTCGGCAGCATCCTTGGGCTGCTTCTGGAAGTCTGTCAACGGCGTGAGAGGCCCGACATCAAATCGAGCTGTCTGATCCGGGTAGTCCCACTTTTGGGGTTTCCACGCCGCCAGCCGTTCGTCGTCCATCTTTGCTTTGTCCTCCGCGGTGAACCGCACCATGCCGGGATGTGGTGACACGTTCGGAGTGGAATCTCCCGGCTTTCGTGGAACGTAACCACGATAATCACACGGACATGGCGGTGCCGTCCCGTATTGGCTCAACGGTGTTAGCTCGGGACGCTCGAACCTGTCGTCTAGATGATTGCGAGCCACAAGTATTCTTATTCTCGTCTGAGCGTCCAGGAGTCTGCTTTGCAGTTCGTTGTCCTTTCCCAAAGGCCCAGGCACATCGATCCGGCACGCCAATCTCGCTACCTTCTCCTCAAGGTATTCTTGGATCTCGGTCGCTTCTTCGATGAGGGAGACAAGTTTCATTCTCTGCTGTTGGAGAAGCAAGATGTGACGCGTTGGGCGCTGTACTATTTGTGAAGGGCTTTCTTGGGTGTCATGGAACTCCGTATGCAAAGCCTCGTCGCAGAAAGCTGTGTACTGTTGGAGGAGACCAAGATCGAAGTGATATTCCTGCTCTTCATCGCGGCTGTCCTCTTCAGTGTCCTCATTGTGCATCGGCGCGCTTTGCGCTTGACCTTTGGGATCCGGTATCTTCGGAGGTAGTGGTTGGAATGTCATCTTTTCTGAAGCTGTGTTGTCCTCTTGGGCTCGTGGTGGGTTCTTTTCAGTTTTCAGATCAGAGGAAGATCGTGGGGCTTTGGCAGCATTTCTAACCTGGCTCGAGACTGGGTCGTGGGGATCGTGGCCGGGTGTAGTCGCAGTTGTAGCACCGTTTGACGCCTGAGAGGTCGTACTAGCGCCAAAGCATGGCACTGCTTTGACGTCAAGTGACGGCCCTGTCGTACCGCTAACAGACGTCTGTGTTGCGATTTTCGAGGTACGAGGTGCGTTGTTCGAATCAGCACAAGGCTGCGGTGCTCCATTCTGGCCAAACAGGCCATCGCCTGCGAACAAGCCTCCTGGTCCGAATGGGTTCGTGGGAGCACCGAAGGCACTGGTTGTCCGCAAGCTGCCGAACGAATTGCCTTGAGCGTTGGTATTTGCTGCAATGTCCTTGGGCGTGAAGCCGTACCTCGTACTACAGCCAAAGAGGCCACCACCAGTCGTGCTCTCGTTACATGTGCCGAAGAGTCCACTTCCAGTTGTGTTCTGTTTGCTGGCGCAGAAGAGGCTGCCACCAGTCGTGTTCTGATTGCTGCCAAACAGCCGGCAGCTGTCGCACTGCTGTCTGTTCGCAGCATGCCCGAATAGCGAGGGACCGCTGGAGGGAGGACGTCCAAACAAGCCGCCGCTTTGACCTTGCACAGATGCTCCACCGAAGAGGCCACCGCCTGTAATGCCTTGAGTGTTCTGGCTTCCACCGAACAGCGAACCACCCGAAGTGGTTGCACCCCTGAACAAGCTGCTGGCCTGCGGTTTCACAGGCGCACTGCCGAGAAGGCCGCCTCCCGTGTCGCCTGTGCTGCCAAACGCAGATTGATTGTTCGAAGCAGTCTGTATAGGAGCACGACCGAAGCCGCCAGCAGCAGCAGCATGTTCAGACCGCCCAAACAATCCACCTGAGCTAGCCTGTTGTCCATGTGATCCTTCGAAAAGTCCAGTCCCAGTGTTTGTCGAGCTCCTGAGTCCCGTCGAAAAGTCTCTCCGGTCTCCAAACAGTCCAGAAGAGGGAGCAGCAGCAGCATCACCAGCACACGCAGCAACTTCGGCAGGAAAGGGGACAACATACCTTTGCGCAACAGCCGGGTCATCTTCGTCTGCCAAAGCCAAAACCTTCGGCCGACTATGCCCCACCCTGCTCCTCTTCTGCTTCTTCATTCTCTTCGCCTCTGGAGCAAACATCTTGAAAGCCTCTTGCGGCTCTTTCTCCTCTCCTTCTTCACCCGTCCCCGCAGATCTCTCCTCGGTAGCGACAAACGAAGTCCACTTACTCGCCACCCGAAACTTCACTCCCAACCTCACAACCTCTCTCTCCACGAGCTCGTCAAAGCGGCTCTCGTACTTCGTCTTGACCGGCGTTCCGTCTGTGAGCTTCGAGGCTTGGATCCAGCCACGACCTTCTTCAAGGTCTTGAATAGCTTTGCGAGCGGCGAGGTGATGGATCGAGCCGTCGTTGTCGTTGTCACTTGCGTGAACGGGGAGGGTGAGGGATAGAGGTCCTTGCGCTGATTGAGCGCGGAGGGTGACTGACGTGATGGGTTTCTGCGCTGGTTCTGGGCCCAAGAGGAGGTAGACTGTTGTGCGGTTGAAGGGGAATAGTGGCGGGATCTCGTTGGGCGCTTGGAGAAGCTTGGGTGTGTCGATGGCCGGGAGGTGGGCGTAGCGGTCGACTGGTTTCTGAGGACTCTTGTCAAGCTGCGCGGATGTGTCGAAGAATGACTTTGGCGGCATCTCCGTCGCCTCTGGACTTGCTGCTGGTTTGTCGGTGATGTTCAAACACTCACTAACCCTCTCCACCATCTCGAAGTCATCGTCATCCGTCATGTCCTCCTTCTCGTTTGCAGCGTAATGCACCTCCAACTCATAGTCCTTGGTATGAGCGTACAGCGCCCCCTTCAACATGCGAATGACCTTCTGATCCGTGTCCTCGTTCTGCGTCACAAACTGCGCAAACCCATTCCCAGCCCTGGCGACACCCTCCACCAAAGTATGAGAAACATCGGTCCCAATACCAAGCGCAAAGACCCTCGCATTGACAGCTTCGTCGCGGATCTGGCCGTTGATGTAGCCAAACACTGATTCTTCTGCCCAGACTTCACCGTCCGTCAGCAACATCACCTCCAATGGCATATCCTTCAGCCTCTGCTCGAATGCAGCAGTGATAGGCTTCAAGATCTCCGTACCTCCATAGCTGGCTGTAAAGCCATCGATGAAAGCAACTGCGGCGTTCACGTTGCTCTCGTTGTACGCTTGAGATTTCGGCCACAGGAACTTGAAGTTGCTGCCGAAAGCGCAGATGTTGAAGCGGACACCCAGTGGTAGGGACTTCAGGAAGACCTTTAGTGCTGAGACGAGTGATGCGTTCTTTGCGCCGCTCATGCTTCCGGATTGGTCCGCAATGAAGACGATCTCCGGGTGTGCTGGTTCCAGGGTGAACTTGGGAACCAGAGTGGCCATGATAGCTCGCTGGTTTGGCATGGTTGGGTGAGTCTCGACGATGGCTTGAGGCTTGCTGATGTCGTCGATAAGCAGCTGAAGAATAAAGTCGCCGCCGAGCTCAGTGGTTCCCAGTGCGAGTGTGGCAGCTGCTTGCGATGGCTTGAACTCGCCGCTTGTCGACGGCTCGCCATCTTGGTCCAGAATACTTCCCATCGAGACCGCGATCGGATGCGATGGCGACTGAACCTTGCGGATAGCAGAGCTTGCCATGTCCATGCTGACTTTGATCGTGGTGCCCTTCTTTGGGATTGTATTTGACTGCGCGATCTCTCCAGGATACTTCCTTGGGGCTATGCTGATAGGCAGCATATACCTCAAGCCATCGATGGCAGCATCATGCTTCAGCTCGCCGCAGTACGTAATTGCCACGATGATGTCGACGTTGGCGGGCACGTTGCCGAGCGTGACGCCAAAGACGCCAGCAGGCAGCGACTCGAGCAATCCTGCAGTCTCCCCTCGGTCGACAGCTGCCTGATACCTCTGCTTGGCGTCATCCTTCTGCTTGACAATGCCGGTTAAGCTCTTGTCGGCATAGCTGATAGTATAGCCGCTGACCGCGACGCCGTCGTAGAGCGGGAAGGTGTATCGGACTTGCAGAAGAGCCTCGTTGTTCGGATTCCGGAAAGTCTGGGTCAGATTGGTGGTAAAGCAGACGGGGTTGATGAGTGTATCCGAAACCAGCTCGACTTGCGGCAAGTATGTCCGTTTGAAGTTGTGAGTGGTGTAGTAGAGGCCACAGACGTGGTTTCCTGTGTTGCCGAACATTTTGAAGGGTGAATTGTTATGTAGAGGGGAGTGTGAAGAACATCCAGCGGATGGACCAGAATATATATGCTGGATCAGGCAGCATCACGTGACGGCTTGGCGAAGTTGCCTCGGAGGATTTTTGAAGCCTGACACTGCCTGCGGCGCAGAGTCGTGGTTTCGACCCCAACGACAGGAGTCATGATGTCAAGCGAGATTGGAGAGCAGATGCGCATCTGCTGAATGTACGACAAGCGGTGGGCAGTGAAATACGCTGGGTTCTGCCAACATAGCATCAGCAAGTGGACATTTCCTGTTGCGGTGAGTCACATTCATACACCGCAGACCAAATGAAGAAGCATTTGTTCCGCGAAGGCTGATGTGTGAGTCAATTTAAGCTGGAGCCATGCAGGATGAACGTGAGAAGATGAGAGGGGCACATAGCTTGAACTTGATCAAGGTATTGAATTTCTGGCAGCTGGGTACGATTTCGAGCACGTCATCAAGGCGTGCGGAACATCGTTTCCAGTCGTCACGAGTCTCCAAATGTTTGGTCCTGCCACGTCTTGGGTATCCCCCATCAAAACATTCTTTCCACCATGAAGTTCTCACATGCGCCATTCATTCACATGCTTGTGACGAGGGGCTTGTGTGGAGTGGAGTGCGCGCACGGGCACGAGGAGGCGCACATTGGCTGCAAAAGTGTCAGAGACCAGCAGGACGATGACTATGCGCCTCGCTTACCACTCAATCCTCTTCCTCCTTGATGCCGTCGGCATCCTCGTATTCACCCGCCTTGACAGCCTTCTCAACGTCGTTGTAGCTTAAGCGAAGCGTGTCAGCGTACTCAGGACTACCAGATTCGCGCAAGCACGACTTACATCTTCTCAAACTCCCCGTCACTCACGCCCTGGCGGTCAGCCCTCTCCTTGAGTTCCTCCTTCCTCTCAAGCTGGTCCTTGAGGTACTTGACGGTCTTCTGGAGAACGACCGACTCGCTGCGCGACTGGCCTTCGGCTCCCGGAATGATCTGGCTGAGTCGCTCGAAGCCTGCGCGGATGGCCTCACGGCGCTTCTTCTCGGATTCGATGTGGTTCTTCTTCTTCTGCTCGCTGGTGAGGCGAGGCCTGTCGGAGCTGCCGTCCATGTCCATGGTGATGAATGCTTGTGATGAGTATGCTTGTGAAGAATGTGGTTGTGCTGCTGTGCTTGTTCTCAGTATCGTGCTTTCACTTGTTTTTACACTGGCATGACAATTCGGCTGGCTGTGAGTGGATGTGTGTGAAATCCAGAATTGTGCGCTGGCTGATATGCGGCAAATGACTTCTTAGTTTCCGGCCCGCAATGAAAGTGACGTGCTAAGAAAAATCTTCACGCAAGACGCATGTGAAGGCATATGAATGCCCTGTGGACTTACCGGATCTGGTTTTGTTTGCTCTTTGCTTGTGGTGTCAGCTGGAGAATGCCCGAGAAGTATTGCTTGTCTTTCTGAAGTCTTTCTGATTGATTTACAAGCCGCAGTGAACGAGACATGCCACGAGTTGAACGTGATACTGCCCTGAGACAAACCTGTTCTCCCAATGCCACCCGCCGCCGCCGCCAGTACATGCCACGAGAACCATTCACGAAGTAGGAGTAGAAATGGAGACTTACCTTGGTGATCTGATGGTCGAGAAGAACTCGACGTTGTTGTGTCGGTGGTGATGGTTGAGGAAGTGCATGTGACTGTCGTTAATAGATGTGAAGCCAAGCCAGTAGCTCCCGCTTCTAGCCGCCGCCTGATGTGACGTAGCGTTAGTCGATCCCTGTTAATAGCAGCAGCGTGGAGGAGTGTTTCACGTGGAAATAGCGCAGGTTGGCCGATTGTGCCACCTTCTCGACGTCGACTTTGGATTGACGCTGCTACAGTCGATGTTGCGCAGTTGAATTGGAAAGTGCGCTTTGGAGAAGAAGCAATCTGGAACATTGAAGGATTGTTGCAGACCGCTCCTGCCCTTGGCCAACACCGCTGCTGGCTGCGATCCCCGAACGGCCAGACAACGACATGAGCATATAGTAACGAGAACACCCATACCAGCGCTCGCGGCGCTCGAGAACAAAATGTCCTACAGTGCGCACGCATCGCTTGGCTCTCGACAGCATACCTCCGGCCGGCAAGCAGACAACCTCCGGCGCAACAAGTCTTACAGCAGGAAGGTCCTGGTGTCAGACCAAGATGCATACATCTACGCACTCCGGGCTGCGTACCTTGCCTACCTCCTCCAGCCCAGGCAGAAGAGGATACAACATGTGGCCAATACCTCGAAGCCGATCCAGCGCTCCTCGACTTCTATCAACGACATGATGAAGGATTTCAGCGTGATAAGAGACAACAAGAGCGTACGGTTCCCGCATGGCTTCATGTCGGAATTGGATAAGAGGATGACGGGGGTGCTTATTGGCAAGGAGAGGATGCCGGAGTACAGTGATGCGCTGATCAAGCGGACGTTTGCGACATTCCTGAACGAGTTCAAGAACCCTACGTTTCGCAAGTCGATGGAGAAAGACAGGAGGGTGGAGGACTTGCTGCTCATCTTTTTCTCGAAAGCGACAAGCGAGCTGCAGAAAGGCAAGGGGCCAGACGACGACAGTTGGAAGCTCATGGTGGATCGGCATGTGGCGTTGTTCGTCAGGATTATTAGCAGTACTTTGAACAACAACGACTGGACCCGGGATAGGCCAGAGCTTGCGTCAAAATTGAAGACACTGGAAACCAAACTGCTGCAACATGATCAAGATATTGCGGATGCAGCGAGGGCAGGAGGGTCCGGAAGCCAAAGCATAGAGGTGGAGGTGCCACGAAGCTATGAAGTCCGAGATATGCCTTTGGTCTTGAGAGTCTGCCGCATCTTTGCGAAACCGACGGCGCAAGCGCAGAACGACATCAATGCGCATAAGAATGAATGGACAGAGCAGGCGGCACTTCGAGACATGAAAGACTATCAGAACCATATGCTACTCAACACACGTGCCACGCTTACAAAGGACGACTTTGATTCAGACGATGCGTACGAGACCTGGAGGAAGGCAGAGCTTACCGACCTCAGCCAGATGATGCTCGCGATCCTGCAGACCAACCCAGAGCTGGCGAAAACCAGTACTGGCGGAGCATCAGGTCTGCCACAGTTCAAGCCCCCAAACGCTGCACAGAACGACAGCTCGTACAGTGACACCAGCAGACATCTAAGCGGTGAGATGGATTCGAGCTATGTCATCGACCAGCCTGTTGACATGAGCGCACTCAATTTAGGCGATAGCAGCCCTCGAGATTCCGTGTCTGGAGCTTCAGATGTACAATTCACTTACATACCTCCAGATGCTCGGGCGTACTACAGGCAGTTGGTGAAGAGTGCCCTTTCGCATGACCTGACGGATGAGGACTTGGCACCTTCTGTGGCAACGGAAGAGTCTCCAGCAATGAAGTTGCTCTCGAAGCAGACGACCGAATTGCTGAACGAAGTGGCATTGCGCTGGCGCATACCGCAGTTTTCGCGTCTGGTGCTGTTCCTCGATGTGATACAAGAGAAATACCAGCACCAAGAGATCTCTCTCGACACTGTCGACGCAGCTTTTCTCTACATGAAGACACCACCATCACCGCCGAAGAAGACGCCTGGCAAGGCACAACCCACACAAGTCTCTCTGTTCGATCGAAGCAAGTGGACGGTCGTAGACTTTGCACTGTACCAGACTGTTCTCGGCGCGCTGCATGATGCGCTGCTTCGCGAATTGTTCGAGCTCTTCCAACACTGCTACGAGGCCAAGCCTCCAACCATCGGAAGCGTCATGTACGTCCTGGAGAACCACATCTATGATGATGAGATGTTCAACAAGACACCAGAGGACTTGGACGCTTTCTCGCAGACTCTCTCGACTGCGCTTCGACAGAAAGCGAAGACTAAGTATCACGAGTTGCTGTCGAAGAATGTCTCGGATGATGCGAGGCAGTGGGAGTTCTTCCATGTCGTCAAGCTGGGCCAGGCGGTGACGAGTTTGTTGGAGAAGATCCAGAAGCGGTATCGCAAGAGTCCGGAGGTGATGGGCGTTAATCCCCTGTCGATTCTGGTTGAAGAGATCCTGCCCAGCTTTGCCGACGACGCGCGTGCACTGGTAAGCCGTATCATGCAGCTCAGCAAGGAGAAGGATGAGGAGGTGCCAATCCAGGATGGTTTCGAGCTTTACAAGGAACTCGTCGATATCAGACGGGTTCATGCGCAGGCACTGCAAGGACGCGAATTCGGTTTCCACATCGAAGGACTGCTGCAAGACTTCGTGTGGAGATGGATCTCGACTACCGACTCGAAGATCGTGGACTGGATAGAAGGCGCCGTTGCCCATGATGAGTTCCAAGTACGCCAGGACCCGAAGGACAAAGAGCAAGGTCTGCCGCCAACAGACGACGAGAGACACTCGCAATCGGCTGCCGATGTATATCGTATCTTCAACCAAAGCATTGAGCAGATCATCAACCTGGAGTGGGATGACGACCTACAATACGCCAAGTTCATGACGGCCATGAGCAAATCCATCGCCAGGGGTGTGGCGCGGTACTGTGAGCTTCTGGAGAAGAAGTTCATCAAGGAGATGGACAGACAGACGCCAGAGCAGGAGATGCGAGCACAGCAGACGCAGAAGGATAAATGGATCTCCGCTGCTCGGGATTTTTATGCTACCGGCGGCCGTGGAGGCGAGAAGATCGAGCCTTTCCAGTTTTGGGCTGAATCTTTCGTCAAGATCAACAATATTGAGTATGCCACTTTCCAGCTCGACAAGGTGGAGAAGGAGGTCAACGTGGACGCTTGCGCAGAGGTCATCAATAAGCGGGATCCGCCGCCTCCAGTGAACATCCGACGGCAACAGGGGACCAAGTTTGTCTTCACCATCAAGATCATCGAAGCTGAGGACCTCAAAGCCGGTGATATGAACGGTTTGAGCGATCCGTACGTCGTACTTGGAGACGAGTACCAGAAGCGCCTAGCGAAAACACGAACAGTCTATCAGAGTCTCAATCCTAGGTGGGACGAGACGGTTGACATTCTGACCACCGGACCGCTCAACGTCATCGCTACCGTCTGGGATTGGGATGCATTGGGAGACCATGATTGCTTGGGACGAACGAGCCTCAAGCTCGATCCGAGCCACTTCCAGGACTTCCTGCCGAGAGAATACTGGCTCGATCTTGACACACAGGGCAGAGTGCTGGTCCGTGTGAGCATGGAAGGCGAGAGAGACGACATCCAGTTCTACTTTGGCAAAGCTTTCCGCACGCTCAAGCGCACGGAGAGGGACATGACGCGCAAAGTCACCGACAAACTGTCTGCGTATATTCACCAATGTTTGTCACGACGCACACTCAAAACACTACTCTCGCAGGGCACCATCGGTGGTGTGACGATCTCCAGCGTCAAAGGCTACTTTTCGAAATACTCTGGCCGGCCTGCGTCTGTGCAGCCGACTACTCCTGCACCGCAAGGGGCGACGCAGATGGATGTTACGAACTCGCTCAAACCGCTGTTGAACTACTTTGACGACAATTTTGCGATTATGAAACAGACTTTGACTGATACTGCGATGATCTTGGTTATGACGAGATTGTGGAAGGAGGTACTGGTGACTGTGGAAGGTCTTTTGGTGCCGCCGTTGAGCGACAAGGTGTCTGCGCAGCGGCCACTGAGTCAGGCTGAGGTCGATATCGTCTATAAATGGCTGCAGGTGAGTACTATCCGGCAACCACCATGGCCACTCAGGGCAACGCTAACAATGTTCCACCAGCTCCTCTTCGACTTCTTCCACGCCGTCGACGAAACCGGCGAAGCGCTCGGCGTGCCCCTCGACATCCTCAAATCGCCCAAATACCACGACCTCCAAAACCTCAACTTCTTCTACTTCGAGTCCACCGACAACCTCATCCGCACTTCCGAGGCCATGGCGACCGCCACCTCCAACCGCCAGCAAGAACAAGCCGCGCGCCTGCACCGGCTATCCGCCCCTCCCGGCTTGCATAGCTTGCACTCGTCTATGGCCATGACAGGCACCCGGCGCACGAAGAGCATCATGATGTCCCGGAATCTAGGTACGATGCGCAAGGCGAAGGAGGAGAAGCGGAAGGAGGCGCAGGCGGATCCGAGCGATGATATGATCTTGCGGATTCTGCGCATGCGGCCGGAGGCGGAGCGGTATTTGAAGGATCGGAGTCGGCAGAAGGACCGGTTGGCGGCGGCTGCCGCGGCGGAGGCGATTGTGAGGCAGAGTTTGCAGGCGAGTAAGCAGATGCATGGTTCGGGGGGTGGGGGGTTGAATCGGAATTTCCAGACTATTAGGGAGTAGTTTCTTGCGGGACAGGGCGTTGAGGTTTGGAGATGGTTTTGGCGGCTATATACCCAACGATTACCTTAGAGCTTATGTGGGAGCGCGGGAGTGGTAGGATGTTATGAGTGTATGAGCAATTATCGCAAATCTATTTCTACTTTCCCGACTTTTGAAGCAAAAACAAAAAATTCTGTAAACCTTCGATAACGACTGGACGGCCGACTGCATGTCAAACCTGCTCTCAATACACCTTGTTCATCTTCCATCCCGCAAGCATGACCCTAGCTCCCGTGAAGCAGAGCAGCGCAAGCAGGTAGTTGATTCCTGTCCAAATCGTGATGCCCCAGTATGCTCCACCGTTTGCCGAGATGATGGCACCAGCGATGGGCGTGCCGGTCAGTGTTCCGATGGCTACGAGCGAGTAGCAGGTAGAGTAGTACTGCGACATGTCAGTAAGGAATGGAAACTAAGGAAGACGTAGGTTACTTACTCGACCATACTCTTGCGTGTCACACATCAGACCAACGCAAACAGGCGTAAGCGATATGTTTGCTCCCGATCCAAAGCCACCGAAGACGCAATACACAATGGTAAGAGCCTTGATAGCGGTGTTGCTGCCTGGATGCGAGCCGTCGGAGAGCACCGCCCCTGGCAGCCAGAACGCGAAGGCAGCTACCATGCAGATGCTGAGGGTGATGAGCATCAAGTTGAAGCGGCCGAACTTGTCTGCTGCGTAGCCTGGCGCCCATCGTCCGATTGATGAGGCAGCGTTGAAGATCGCAACGAGTTGGACGGCGAACTCCCTGCTCATGGCTCCAGATTGGATCGAGTAGATAGTCAGGTATGCTATTGGGGTGAACAGACCCCACTCCATGAGATACGTGCCAACCGTCAGTAGACTGAACGCCGGCAGCCTGAGTATTCTGAAATCCGGCATCGAGTTGCCGCCCAGCTTTGGCGGCAGGCGTGAGCGGATGAGAACGTTGGCAACGATGAGCAAGGCCAGGAAAATGAACCCTTGAATCCTCAGTGCCCAGCCCCAGCCCACGCTTGCGAAAAGCCTCTGGAGCATGAGCGGAAAGATGACGCCGCCTACTGAGCCGCCAGCAGCTGCGAGGCCAGTGGCGTTGCCGCGCTTGACCATGAACCAATGTGCAATTGCGGAAATAGCAGGTGTGAATACCAGTGATGTGCCAGTCCCGCCTAGCACGCCAAAGGCGAGCATGAAGTGCCAGTATTGCGTGCAGATGCTCATCAAGAACGTGCACAGTAGGATCAGGATGCTGCCCGCGGCCACCAGCAGTCGAGGACCGTGGCGGTCGAAGACTGGTCCTACCAGCAAGCCACAGCCAAAGGACAGGAAGACGTAGACCGAGAAGATCCAACCGATGGTGGATTCATCGTACTCTGCCAGCTGATTCTCAGAGACGTAGGCTTGGTACACTCCGATCGTGTTCATCAGCCCTAGGCCGGCGACTAGGCCGCAGAAGGAGCCTAGCACGACGAGCCATGCTTGAGTGCCTCCTTCGGGGTAAGTCACTTCATCTTTGGTGCTTGATGCTGGAGATCCCGGGACCTCTGGCTTCCGGTTCTCCTCATCGTAGGGGCGCTCGACCGGGTAGTCGGAGCTGGGTGACTGGCGTGGCTGCCATTGCTGATCCGTCACACCGGCGGTGGTGGCGAGGGGTTGCGTAGTTCTGGACGCCTCCTCGTGGTTGTAATTTTGTGTATTTGGTCCTGGCGTGCTGCCTTTGAAGAACGTGCTCATCCGCTGGTGAACAGCAATCGACTCTCTTTCACGGTGCTCGCGCAGGAGTAGACACGCGGCATAGAGAACTTCGCAATGGATGAAGAGAAGAGAAATGGCGAGCGGCGGCTACCGCTAAATAACGACTTACGGCACCCACCTACCGCTTTCGCTCCCCGTTAACGGCCACCGCATTCTGGTGAAAGAGTCATGGTGCGTAAAAAGCTTTCAACCGCGAGACGAGACCCGGCAAATTATTGCCGCTGCCGAAGGGGCGGCCAGCTCCGTCATCTAGAACCACACCTCTTTGAACTCACCGCTCTTCTGTACTGCAAACGATTGACTTCTCCACGCGAGAATGGCTTGCACACGCGGCGCTGCATCGATCGTGGTTGATTGTGGTTCCACGATCTACAAGGTAAGGTCCCCTTTACCTTAATCCGACCTCACCTCCGTCTCTGAATCAAACCAACAAGGTCAGGTGACTAGAAAGAGTTCACTCGGACTAGGTGATTCGAGAGCCCGCTACGAATGACCATGGGTCCAGTCAAACTGTCCAAAGGTACAATGTATGACTATGACCTTCGCCGGAGTACACCTCGCTCTATCCGTGTCCGTCGGCGAACTCTGTGGGGCTAACCGGAGCAAAGTATTGCAAAAGCACATCTCTAAGAGCCTCTTCCTCTCCCTCCACGAAGCCACGCTCGCCTATTGCCGTGGCAAAAGCCTGCCGCTGCTGTTCATCCATGATATCCGCGAGGACATTGTAAACGAACTGGCTGGCCGTCCAACCTTTCATGGAGGAGCTCAGCAGCGCCCGGTAGATGTGGGACTTCGTGGTGAAGCAAGTCTCAAATGCACCGTCGGAGGCCTCGTGGAGATATTTTGCGTAGTCCTTTCGGTACTTGTCAAGATCCTCTGGTCCTCCCTTCGCCTTGTACATTCCCGGGGCTGGCGGGAATTGGAAGTGGGGATACCAGTCGCCCTGTAGCCAAAGAGGAAGCCTGGTCCAGCCGATTTGCAGCGGCTCACAGCAAGCGCCATCCCAGTCGATGATGCCGGTGAGGTACCTGCTTCGTCGGTGAGCAGATTTTGGATGTCGAAGTCAGGATGGACAAGCACGAAAGCTGGTGTCGATGGCGGCAGTTCGGTCGCCTCCACAAAAGCTTTCATCATCAGCTTGAACACCACCGCGATGCCTCGAGTCTCTGGAGTGGCTGGGTGCCCCTTCTTGATCATCTGCCGTCGAACGTCCTCCTTGAGCTTCTCTTTGACCGAACGGTAAGCGCGGATTCGCTTGAAGGCTCTTAGTATGATCCACCCGTCCGCACGAAGCGCCCAGCGGTCGACGACGACAGGGACGTCTTCGCGCTCGCCCTCAAACCACAGATTGCCGCCTTTTGAAAAGCGTAAAACGCGCAGTTCGCTGACTGCTTGGGCTAGAGTCCTGAGTAGGTTCTGCCTCCTCGTTTCTTTTGGCGTGGGTCCTTTGTCTGAGTGCCAGGTCCGACATGCGTTGATTCCTTCGGGGTGTGTAATCAGGGTGTAGGGCGCACCTATTTCATTTTCCATGCTATCGTCCCATGCCAATGTTTGCGGCAACGGTATGGAGGTCCTTTCGCCAATCAGCCGCATGGTCTGCGCCGTGGTACGAAGAGTCTCAGCGTCGATCTTGTTCCAACGCATCCTCCAGCCGGACGCTGGGACTCTGACGACGACTTTCGTGCCGTGCCCGGCCTCCAGGATGTACGCTGAGCTGTACGTACCAGACTTGCGTGTAAGAAGCGTCCACTCCCCGCATAGTGCTCTTCCATGGATGGCCGAAGAATGCTTCTGGAGCAAGGAGACCAGCGCTGCTTCAGATATCTCTCGAGTCGGACCCCAATACTCATATCGATCTCTATTCTCCGAGCCGAACTCTGGGCTCTCGTAGTCGAGTGCCGTCGTGAAGATGACGCCACTGCTTTGCGAGCTGCTGCCGTCGGATGGGGAGCCTTCTACTCCGCCAGCAAACACCAGCAAGTCCTCCTCGGCTGGCTGGTCCGGCGCCATCTTCTGCCCCGAGAGTTGGTTGGATGTACGCCGCCTGTGTCCCAGCTTCAAGGTCTTGGTTTTAGTTGAGTTGATCGAGTATCAGGTGGTATCGAAATCGAGGTATACGTCGAAGAGCAAAGTGAAAACAGGAAGCAAAAGTCGAAGGAAGAAGGCTGGCGCTTTGGTCCTCGTCACTGCGGTTCAATGAATACCGTCGGACAACATTCAATACAACGTATGAATTTGCAACCTGACCAGCACCTACTTCTCTTTGGCTATCATTTGACATATCTTGACATCTTCTGGCGGCGACATTCGAGGTCGCGTGACCATATGTTTACCCTGTAACACAGTAGATCTGTGATTGAGTAACCGCAGGGCGTTGCACCTATGCAGCACGTGCGGACTTTTCCTGTTAAGTGTTCATACCTCATCGACTGCTCAGTCGTGTACATATTCTCGTCAAGTGTTACAAAGGAAAAGTGGTTTGGAAACATGTAACTTCGACATTGCTGACTTCGGTCTTCGCTGTGATGTCCTCCCGAGAACCACTTGGAGCGAACTTCGGCCGCGACAGACCTTTCTTCACGGGTGTCACCACGGCAGTAAGAAATAATTAAACACAACACTTTGACTTTGACTTCTTCATCTTCCAGAGATTCAACCATCCAAGAAACAACAATCTTATACGGACCGTCGGACAGCCTACTCCACTGCTTGCATTCGACCCGTCATCCACACCAACATGGCCTCCAACGGCAGCAAAACCCAGGCATCCCCGCCACCCCAAGGTATCTACGTGCCATCCCCTACATTCTTCGTGGCCGAGGGGACTTCATCCTATAACACAACATCGCCGCCTCTGGATCTCGAAACCCAAAGCAAACACTCCCTCTTCCTCGTCGAAGGCGGCGTCAGAGGTCTCGTACTCCTCGGTAGCACTGGTGAGGCAATCTTCATCAAGCCCGAAGAGCGTGTGCAGCTCCTCAAGAGCCAACGGAAGGCTCTAGATGATGCTGGCTTCAAGGACCGTCCTATCATTGCCGGGACTGCCACGCAGAATATCGACGAGACTTTGCAGTTGATCAAGGAGAGTAAGGATGCTGGGGCGGAGTATGCTATGGTGCTTAGTCCCGGATACTTTGCACCGGCTACGAGTCAGAGTGGTATTGCGAAATGGTTTACTCAGGTGGCTGATCGTTCGCCTCTACCTGTGATGATTTACCACTATCCTGGTGTTACCAACAACTTGTTCATTGCGCCTTCGACATTTGAGCAGCTCGCAGCACATCCGAATATCGTGGGAACAAAGCTCTCCCATGGTATCATCGACGACCAGGCCCTGATTGCGGCATCGCCGAAGATCGATCACGAGCACTTCTACGTATTTACAGGCCTTGGGCAGAATCTTCTGCCGGTACTCGCAATCGGTGGCGTGGCTGCGATCGACGGACTGGCTGGGGTATTCCCACGAGTCGTCGTACGCTTGTTCGACATGTTCAACCAGAGCTTGGCCAAGGGGATGTCGAAGAAAGACATGGACGAGATGCGTTTGCTGCAATTCAGGATCTGTGAAGGCGAGAAGTTGGTAGCTCGCTGGGGTGTCGTGGGCATGAAGGAAGCTTGCGATAGGATTTGGGGCTTGGGGAGTAGGACAGGTGGACGTCTGCCCCTGGCCGGTGGGTTCGAGGAGGGTGACGGCGAGTGGAGCAAATGGTCGAAAGTGTTCGAGGGCCTGAAAGACCTTGAGAACCAGTTCAAGTCTGAGGATACCAAAGGAAAGTAGTTGCGATAGAGGTGGAACTGTTCGTCTATCTTGAAGTTTGCCATAGCTATACGCGCTGGACGATAGTGGGCCGAACGAAGTCTATCGATTTCTTTAGCAGCTGCTCGATCAGGAAGAATCATCTTCCGCCATAATGATGATAGTTGCATGCCCAGGCCAGCTGCGGCTGGCCTCAACCACTAAAAGGCACTTTGCGTATTCCTCTTGCGGCCTGCTCTATCACGTGAAAGGATTCAATCCAGCCGCGCTCTCCACCCTTCAATCAAAACATACGGACCTCGGCCACAGGTCGAGAATTCCAGACGCAAGTCAGATTTTCACGTTTCTCGGCGGACGCCTCCTCAGCCGAGCAAACTGACCAGCGCATCAACCTTGATACCTAGAGGCAAGATAACGGACCCAAAACCCTTTCGGGAGCATCTTTTTCGAGGGTGGAGCTTGCCGACCATCTCGGGTGTTGCACGTTTGTCATTCGATTGCTGTCAGCGGCTCGCTTCTTGTTGTTGAGCAGATGGCTGTGGAAGCCAGCTTGTCCTCAAACATGTAGCCATACTGGATTGGGCAAAACATCATCAGTGATTCATGATTTCAGTACACCTCGAGACATCGCCCTCGTTGCCTCGTTCAAGGACGAAAGCGTGCAACTGCCAGTCCAGGCCGCATAGCCGACCCGACGCCAAAACTTCTCCACCTGCAGCTAGAGAGCTCTCCAACCCCTCCCTCGCGAGCTTGGATAGCGTGCGGACATCGTGGTTCGCAGAACGCGCAATCGACAGTAGCAGCGGGCCGAATCGATGTAGTTCGTGATGACGAGCAGAAAACGGAGGCCGGATCCCTGTCTGGAGCCTCTTGGTTCTGGACAAGGTTTGCACGGACTTGTATCACTGCTGAGCCTGCACTGCTGTTGTTGCTAAAGCTGAAGTGTCTAAATGTGGTGGTCCGATGGTGATGATTTCATGAGCTTGTCGAGCTATGTACTCGCTTGCGCTGAGGTGATCGAGCTGTGAAGCGAGATCGAGCAGACTTGGTGGTGGAGGTGTCTCGTCCCTGCATGCAACCACAAGGTGGGCTTGCTTGGGTGGCTTGCAGGATGCATTAACATTGGATGATCGCGATGGCGGAGGTATTTGCGGGCCTGTACACAATATGAGAGTGAGGAGACGGCGGAGACAATACCGAGGAACGGTATACACTGAGCTGTGCCGCGTCGAAAGGACGTAACAGCAACGGCTGGACGAACGGGTGGAGAAGTGAGGTGAGGTTGAGTGGCAGGGGCGAGATTGGTTGACATTGGTACGTTCACTCGGCTAAACTTCACGAGATCGCCAGGCTCGGTGTTACACAACGAACGTGCTTGCAGTTGGACGCAGGTACGCGAGAGACTATGAACAACCACCCATCGTCATTAATGTACACGCTGAACTGAACGCTCCAACGAAGCCAGATGACTGCGCTTCATGCCACCCAAATTGAAAACCGTATGAAGTCCAAGCAAGGAGCTCCAAACTTTTGTACCCACGTGTTCGCCTCTCCCAAAAGCCCAAAGAGTATTCTTCTGAACAAGAGACCAAACACTTTTCGGTCGGCAGAGCTCTCCTCCACAAGCGGCAGATGATGCCTCCTCCTCCATCTACCTCTATTCGCAGCTTTGCCGATGCGAGAACTGAAAACGGAACGCTTGGGGTATCGTGTTGAAGGACAGTCGTTAATCGTGATAAGTAAACATTAAGTTGTTGCCGGTCGAACGCATATCGGGCGGATCGTAGGCCGGTAGTTGCTGCATGAGCTCGTTGGGGAACTCGAAAGTGTCGGATTTGCGGCCGTCCGGAGAGAAGGATCCATAGCGAGGGAGACGGATCATGCGCACGCGATCGTCAGCGTCCGCTCCGTCACGGCTGCCCCATGTGGTCTGGCAGCAATGTCAGCAGTGTCGCCACCAGGAGGTGAGGAGGAGCGTCAGCTTACCTCACTCAGGGTGAAGAGACCCCAAAGCTTGATAAATCCATGGAAGTAGCCGAAGGTGATGTACACCGGGACGAAGGCCACGTCCGCAGGGTACCGGAAGAAGTGCCCCCAGAGCTTGACGGTCTTGCTGAACACGAAGGTCCAGGCGAAGAGGAAGCTAAAGAGGTAGACTTGGGAGTCGTGTGACCAAGATGATGACGCACGATACCAGGCGAACATGATCAGCAGGTCGAACGGAAGTGCCCAGGCCGTGATGGTGGTCTGCAAAACAGAGTACGTGCTCCATGGTTGCGTCCTGTACGAGTCAGCTCACACCCTCCTCGAGAATGGTGTGGTTGGACTCACCACCAGTAATGACGCTCCACGAACATGCTGGTCAAGTTGCTCCTCCAGTTACTGCGGACCCATCGAAGACATTGACTGAGGTATTTCGGGCTGTCTTCCAATGATGTCTGCACCTCAGCCTCCTTATGGTATTGCATCTTGATTTTCCAGCCATGCGAGTACATCCACCTGGTGATGAAGTTGTCATCGTCCGCGTTGAGCTGGCATGTCCGCCACTCCTCGTTCGTGAAGCCGTGCGTGAAATCCTCAGTGTTGAGTATGCTGCTCCGGTAAGCGACAGTCCGACCGGAAAGACACGGCAAGCCTCCGTCAATGTGCAAACACGCAGAGCAATCAAAGTTCCTCCGCTCCAGATACGTTGCTCCAAGGAAACTCCAGACGCTCAATTGCTCCTTCCTTTTCAGTCTCTGGGAGGTCCCAACTCCACCAACCTTCTCGTCTTCGAAAGGTGCAAGTATCCATGGCATTATTTTACCTGGCCATATAACGTCGTCATCGGCGAATATGGTGATCTTCGTCCTGACCTCGGGGATCGCGCGACACATTTGCCGTCGCTTGTTGGCCTCTCGGATGCTCAGGACCTTGATCTTTTTCATGTTGATAGCATTGGCTATCTTATCCAAGGCCGGGACATTGGTGTCTACGGTGACCAGAATAATCTCGAACGGCTCTGTTCGGAGACACGTGCGCAGAGTCTGCTCGAGCTCCTCGCCACCAGTGGCGATCGTCGGGCAGATGATGGTGACATCTTGAGATGTGTAGTTTGGATGTTCCGGTATGGGGACAGGCCGAAAAGTCCAGTGGGAAATGCAATTGACAATCAAGCGTATGTACCGAAACAACCTAAAGAGTCACATGCGTTAGACTGGTGATCCAACCTTCCACGAGCAGTCGAGAACACTGAGTCGTGGTCATAGAACACGTACCATGCAAAGACGGCAACAGCAAGCCAGGAGTTCATGCTGCTAAGTCAACGAGAGAAGACGCTGTTGGGCCAGAGTCTACATAAGAGCTCTGCATTGGAATGGGGAGGGCGACGATCAGAGGAGGTCCAAGGGAATATAAGTCTTTAGTCTCTGCGCTCGCTTGTCATACGAGCGTCTTAGTGTGCGTTGACATTCTGGGCTACTGTTGATTAGCCACACAATTTGCGTTAAGCAAGCTCCATACCTTTTCAGATCAGTGGGCAAAAAAGATTATGGCGTGTTGAAGCTGGTCCGCTTTTCGAAGCTGCAGCATGCAGCATGAGCTATGGCTTCGCCGTGTCCGCCATCCTCAGTGGTCGGTGGGTCAGCCCGCACGAATGCCTGTTTGGTCTCGTCTAGGTGCAGCCGCTGCAGCGGGAAATGATGGTGCGCCGCAGCGCGCCATTGCGAGCTCGAGCACAAGACATGGCTGGTATACTTCTGGCCGCCATCTAGCGCTCAGCGTTGGATGCCTCTCGGCCCAGCGTCGTACCGTGCAATGGCAATGGCCCAGAGTCGGCGGCAAAGAGAGCGAGGATCCCTTAGGCCCGGCGGCAAGCGGAGCGAGTTGCAGCACCAAGATGCGTACGGCACAACGCCGTAAGCATCAAGCGTCAACGTGAGGCACGCGAATTCCACCGTCGCAGGAATTGACCGGTTCCCATCGACGCTGTTGGGCGCAATTGAGACCTGCTTCTCCGACCCTTCGCTATCGATGATGTGCCCGCAGCGCCCTTGCGCCCTCAAACTGGGGAAGGTGGTCCGTTCAGAACGGCTAATGACGACGCCGTTAGCGCGACGAGGATTTGCAAACGGGCTACTCGAGCTAGTGGAAAGCTTCAGTCCCTCCATCTCAGAGTACGTACCCGACCTCGAAGGACCCGAGCAGCCCGGAAGACCACACAATTCTTCGCCGAAGCTATACGCAGAGCGTTGAGCAACTGGCAGACTGGAGCCTCTCGTAGGATCCTTCAAGGTGACTGACGACGCCGCTGACAGACATTTACCCGTCTAGTCTAACGAACATGTGCATGTGCGGTCCTGTCGGCCAGTTCAACCGGGGCTCCCCACGATTGTCGCAACCAGCCAGAAGACCCTGGCGTGCTTGGTGAAGTGGAGGCGACTTCTGGTGGATTTATGGCTTGCATAGCGCGATGGAGCGTCGTTGAGACATCCTGCATGCCTATGCACGAGCACTGATTGAGCGCATCTTCAATGGCAACGCCGCGTATCGATAAGGTGGTTACTCGCCCGACCCGTCTGTGGTGTCATCACGCACACGGCAGGCCGGAGTCTGGCACCTCGAAAATCCCCCGGCAGCTCTCATGCGGACAGATGAAGCCGTCGAACGGCGAGATGATCCAGAGTAGCAAGTGGCTATGCCGCTTGTTCGTTAGCCCTGGCAGCCCATATCGCTCTGCAGGATCGGATCTGGGGTATGACAACGAGTTCCCAATGATGATCGCCCGCGGCTTTATCTCCCCGTTCCGCCTGCAAGTAACACCTTTCGTAGCAACGGACGAGGTTGTTCGCTTGGATGTATCTACTCTACCGGACCGACGTTGCGTGCTACGCTCTCTGGGCTTGCTGTGCTGAATAGGAAGGATGCGGCTGTAAGACCGCATCACATCACGCACATGATGGAGGACACCTGTAGGTCAGCGTCATGAACGAAAGTGTTGAGGTTGTATGTGAACTGATGGTGTGCCGTGGACCCCGTGGGTGGATCGCGTCAGCGTTAGGGGGAAAATCGGCCGCGCTTGTCCTGTCCGCCTAACAGTGACATCGTTCGTTTGCCCTGGCAGCCTCCAGTGTACTTCATCAGATGTACAGCCGCGCCTGGTCACACAGCGTCGAGGCCAGTTCCCGGTCAATCGCAGCCACAGCCTTGGTCCGAGGGGCGGAATGAGACGTTGTCATGTCACGAGAGTAAATGTCCTCGACTGCGTCCGGGTACTGCAAAGATTCAGGGTGTGTGGGCTGCAGTCTGGCCAGTTCTTCGCTGCCACGGGCAACATTACGTGCATGCCGAGTGCGTCGTGGTCCTGCCGCATCGATACTCAGAAGACATGCCACTACGAGCAATGTCGAGAGGCTGCTTGAGGATGTCCTGGCGCATGCAGATGCCGTGACGTCCATGGTGCACAGGCCGTGCCTTCCGCATTCGTCGCAGTTGGTGTCCCGCTCCTGCCTCGCTTGACTGACGGACATAGTCAAAACTGACCTCACCTCCTGACATGTAGGTTCCGCAGATACACATATGGTGAAGATCAGTAGAGGATGTCTAGTTTGAGTAACAGTATATGCATACACACGTCAAGAGAATCTCTAGGAGAGCCCTGGCGCACCGTCTGTCCATTGCTTGAAGCATACCCGCTCGGAACGTAAGCCTCTCACGACCATAGTGTTCAACAACAACCGCCCTGTCTTCCCCACGACACAATCTTCTCGAAACCACCGTCTGCTTTCTCTTAGTGATGTTCACTGTGACCGCCCCTGTAGCCGATGATCTTCAGACGCCCGATCATTTCACCAATGCAGAAGAAACCAATCGTCTCCGCACCGATCACAGCAGCAGAAGTGAGAGTGGCCGAGTCGAGATTCCGTAACCGTGTGAGAAAGCTCTGCGGGTTGTTGACCGCGGTCGATGCGGTGCTTTCTGCGACACCCGCAGTTTGGGTTGCAAGGCTCGAAGGGTTTCGGAGGGCGTTCGTGACCGGAGTCATGTACGACTGCACAGTTTGCATGTTCCTGGCCTTATCAGCAGCTGCTTAAGTTGGGCATTGACCGGGAATGCTTACGGGGGTTGCATGCCGCGTCCGCGATATATTATCTTGCCGAGCTCTCCAACAACACGAGCGTAGTAGATCGTGGGTGGTACCATGCCTGGATGGATACCGTCAGCACAGATCTGAATCCTCGTCCGAACCAAGTGTAAGGTACCTTGCACAAAGTTGATCATGCGCCCTGTCCGCCCGCCGATGCCAGCCACCGCCTTGCCAGCAACACTGGAAGCACTTGTCATAGCACTACCCGCCGAGCTCGTCACCCTCGACAGTCCCTGTTGTGCCTGGCCGGCAGCCTGCGAAGCACCCTCCTTCGCCTTGTTTGCGCCTGAGGACGCGGCATCTGTCGCGGCTTCGGTAGTGGAGGATGCCGCTCGTCTCTGCACGATCAGCCTCGACTGCCGGAGGACGAGTCGAGGGAAAGAGGCGGAGAGCATGGTAGAAGAGGTGATGAGGTGCGAATGCTGGGTCAATGGCAGCTCTTGTCAGCTTCTCCTGCTCACAGAAAATCGAGAGCTCGGAGAGGTCGGGGCGGGTCGGGACAGCGGGCAAAGCCGGTGCACGGACTTTTGGTCTCGACTTCAGATATCAAAAAAATCAAAGGTTCACATCGATAGCACCCTTGTCTCGGACTGGAGGCTGATAATGAGATGGATCCTCTGAGGCTACTGTCCAGGTCGACAAAGACATCGCGGAACAGGAAACCTCATTCACCACACGATGTCCCATCTGCTGGACAGCATGCTCAGCCTCAGCTTTTCTCTCATGGCAAACCATCCACACCAAGCGAGGGAGGTTCACGAAAGCGCAAAAGGGGTTCGGACGGCCGGGCAGATGTCATGGAGGGCGGAAAGTCTTCGACTGTCTTAGCAACAGCGAACAATGCGGCTGCTCCACCGAAGTCGAAGGTCCAGTGTGCATCGCAGGTCGACTCCGGTTCTGTTGAAAGCGATCGAGACGGGGAGAGACTCTTGGATCAGTCATCACTTTCATTCGATCAGCGTCGAGCCATGTTAAAAGAGCACAAGCTGAAGTTCACTTGGCTCAACCCGCCATTGCCACCAAAGAGAGACCGGCGGAGAAGGAAGGCCGATCAGAAGCCAGCGAAGCAGCCACAACTTCAGCCGACGCCTCTACAGTCGTTCCAGGATCTTCGATCTCGATATGGTTTGGCGGATGAACTCGTTAGCAACGTCCTTGAGCAAGGTTTCGATGTCCCAACCGAGGTCCAACTCGGCGCCATCCCTTTGCTGCTCGACACAAGTGCCTTACATTTGGACGAAGCCAAGGACTTGGACAACCCAGAAAATGGAACTGTGAACGGTCTCGACCTTCTCGCAATCGCTCCCACCGGCAGTGGGAAGACCCTGGCTTTCCTGATACCCTTGCTGCACCGTCTTCGAGAGGAGAGAAGTCGTGACGCAGGAAAGGATCGCAATACCTCGGCAATCGTATTGGCACCCACCAGAGAGCTGGCAAGCCAAACGGTCAACGAAGGCAGAAAGCTAGCTCGAAGCACGGGTTTGCGCATTACTCAAATGAGGAAGGGAATGAAGTTCCAGGCAGATGATCTTCCTCACGAGGCAAACGACCCGACAGGCAATCATGGCGCCTCCGAGTCTACCGTGAAAGCCGACATCATTGTCTCCACACCTGGTGTGCTTCAGAGTGCGCTCTTCAATACGAACAACGTTCAAGCTCTGGAGTTTGTGAGGCACCTCGTGTTGGACGAAGCGGATGTGCTGCTCGATCCTCTCTTCCGAAACCAAACGCTGGACATCTGGAAAAGTTTGCGTAACTCTTCGCTGCGTGTAAGCATGTGGTCTGCCACAATGGGCAGCAACATTGAAGAGCTCGCCAGAGCGACGATCGACGGACGGCGCAAGCTTTTGTCCGAACAGTCCGGCACGACGGTAATGGAGGTGCCTCTTATAAGGCTTGTTGTGGGCTTGAAGGATTCTGCTGTGCCGAACGTGCAGCACAAGCTCACATATGCTGCTACAGAGCAAGGCAAGCTGATGGGGCTACGGCAACTGCTCCACCCGGCGGCAACCTCCGGCGACTCAGAAACCCCGCTGCGACCACCATTCCTCGTATTCACACAGACGATCGAGCGGGCGGTAGCGCTCCATGCAGAACTGCTCTACGATATTCCGGCCGAAGCTGGCGGCATTGGTCGAATCGCAGTCTTACACTCAGATCTTTCCGACACCGCTCGAGATGCCGTAATGACCAGATTCCGCAAAGGCGAGGTCTGGGTCCTGATTACCACTGACCTGCTGTCACGAGGCGTCGACTTCTGTGGTGTCAACGGCGTAGTAAATTACGACATCCCAACCTCGAGCGCTGCTTACGTTCACCGAATCGGTCGCACAGGGAGAGCAGGTCGTTCCGGCGGTGTTGCCGTGACATTATACAGCAAGGAAGACATCCCTTACCTCAAACACGTTGCAAATGTCGTCGCGATGGCGTCGCGGCAGGGCGGAAAGGGCACGGGAATGGATCAGTGGCTCCTCGATGCCTTGCCGAAGTTGAGCAAGAATGAAAAGCAGAACCTCAAGAAGCGAGGTGTCGAGTCGCGGACGGCGAGGGGGACGCAGAAGGATCCGAGAGCTGCGCGGAAGTCCCAGATTAGTAGCAAGTCGGGGTATGACCGGAGACTGGAGAACAAGCGTAAGGGTGCGATAGCTGGAAGTCGGAGGGCGGTGCAGGCTGGCCATGAAAGTGATGAGGATAGGGAGTCTGACTTCGAAGGGTTTGACTGAGCTATCCATCTTAGGCCGATGAGAGATGTATGATCGATAACATTGGCATATTGTGTTCCCTTGAGACACCACGAGGAAAGGTAAGGTATTGACCAGAAATTCGAATCTTAACTGTATCTGCTACACCAAACCAGATGTGACAGCCATCTTAGCCCATACATCTCAACCACACAAGAAAACCGAGTCACCGGTATATGCCCCATCATCACCTACTGCAACATCTGCACAAGTGACGTGTAAGCATCTTTGGGCTGAAAGCTGCTGTCAAACAGTGTCGCAGACTCGCCAGCCCTCCAGCTCTGGTCATCAGTAACACCCCACTCAGTGATACCAACGCACTTGTCGACCGCCAAACAAGCCTTCACCACCTCTTCGTAATCAGCAGCAGCACCGCCCGCAATGTCAAGCTCAGTGATGGCGATCTCTGAGGCAGATCCAGCCAGAAGCTCCAGCGCATCCTGCGTCCCGCTAACACCAGCGCTCAGGTGAGATTGCGAGCCAATGCCGTCGATAGGGATGCCATCAGCGATCCATTCCTTGACTTTGGCAGCGAGACCGGTCGTTTTGGCGTAGCTGTCGGAGTCGAGGTTGAAGTCGTTGATGTAGAGCTTGGCGTACGGATCAGCCTTCTTCGCCGCTTCGAAGGCGATGCGCACGTAGTCTTCGCCGATGGTGTTGAGGAAGTGGTCGGCTTCGAGGGTGCCGTCTTCTTCGAAGATCTCGTTGACGACGTCCCATGCGTAGCATTTGCCGGCAAAGTGGCCGGCGACGCCCGCAATGTGGTCTTGAATCACTTTGGTGAGTTCGTCTTTGTCAGTGATGGCTGTGACCCAGTCGGGAAGCTGATTGTGCCAGAGGAGAGTGTGGCAGCGGAGGACTTTGTTGTTTTCGACTGCGAAGTCTGCAAGATAATCGGCACCGTCGAAGGTGAAAGTGCCCTGCGATGGCTCCGTGGCGTCCCACTTCATGCTGTTCTCGGGTGTGAGCTGGCCAAAGTCTGCTTTGATGATGTCTGCAGTGGAGCCACTGCCGAGTGTGCCTTGATCGCCAATGTTTCCGAAATAGTGCTTGCCCTGTGCAACGAAGGCCTCGTTCAGGCTGCTCGAGCCCGGACCAGTTGCCGTGCCCGTGACACGAGGTCCAGAGCCATCTCCGCCGCTTGGGGGAGCGGCACTGGGTGCAGCGCTACCACTTGCAGCGGGCCCTGACGACAACGAGGCAGAGATTGCATCGACCACGGAAGAAACAGCGACAGAAGCAGAAGAAGGGCCGGACGGGGCAGCACTTGCTGGTGCTGAGAAACCCCCAGATGAGATTGACACTGAAGGGACCATGGAGCTGGCAGGGGCATAAGAAGATTCGTCAGGTATGTCGACCCAGTCGATTGAACAAGACGAACCGGCTGGGGCTGCTGAAGAAGACACCGGGGCCGCGGAAGCGCTGATGGTGATGATCTGGGACTTGCAAGGTTGAGATGAAGCGGATGCAGATATAGAGACGGGAGCCACCCCAACGGAGGAAGATGCGGAAATGGTGATGACCTCTGTGCAGGATGCATTCGCTGGGTATGCCCTCGATGAAGCTGGCGGCGCGGAAAAAGACACTGGAGCTGCTGACGAAGATGGCATCGCCACGACAGATGAGAAGTTGCCGTATACCGAGCTGGCCGGGATAGAGCTTGCTTGTGAAGAGGGCAGTCCACTGCCGAGAGCAGAACTAACTAGGACAGAGCTTGCTAGTGCAGGAGCCACGCTACTGCCGACAGCAGAACTGGCAGGGAGAGAGGAAGCTGGGACGCTGGCCGAAGGCGAACTGCCGCCAGATCCAGCGTATGGTCCGAGACCGAACCACTTCATATCCCCATCGCCATCGATAGGGACAGTGTGGCCCACGCCTTCAGCATAGATGCCCTGGACGATTGGGTTGTTCGAGTTATCGACCCAAGTCTCGGTGGTGTACCCGCTCTTTGGGCTGTTCTCCTCGGTAGAGTCCGGGCTGGAATAGTCGAGTCCGAAGACGCCTGTCCATTCTTTGACGGTCTCTTCGTAGTTCTCAGGGTACAGGGTGGTGTCGGCACTTCCGTGGTACACTTGGAAACGAGGCCTCTTGCCAGAGTAGCCTGGGTCCATGGCCTTGACCACGGAAGCCCAGTACTCGGGAGAGGCATCGACGTTGCCTTGAGCGCACGTCGAGTTCCAGGCAGGAGTGGTGCCTGCTGCCGGGGCAGAAGTTTGGCCAGTGGACACAAAGCACCCCGCAGGGACACCAGAGTATGCAGTAGCTGCTTTGAAGAGTTCAGGGTAGGTGGCGGCCATCACGTTGGTCATCATAGCACCAGAGCTTGACCCAGTCACGAAGACCTGGCTGGCATCGCCTCCATACTTGTCGAGCGTGTAGGAGACCATGTTTGCGATGGAATTGCTGTCGCCTCCACCGTTGTGCGTCAAGGCCGCTTCGCTCGCAACGTCCCAGCATGTTCCTTCGTACGGAGATGACGGGTAGATCACGATGAAGCCGTACTGATCAGCCAGCTGAGCGTACGGAGATCCGCTGAAATACGCTTGGGCAGTTCCAGAGCAGTAGTGAATCGCGACGATGATCGGAGGCTTCGCAGCAACTTTCGAGGGCACATAAATGTACATCTCCGTCCCCGTCGGGTTTTCGCCAAAGTCGTTGACTTGCGTGAGGCCAGACTGCCGCCTTTCCAGAGGCATAGCAAGGCTCTGAGCGCACAGCGCCAGAGCGGAGTAGAAGGAAGCGCGCATATTGAACGAGTGATTGCGCGAAAAAAGAGTGTGTAGAGAAGAGCAGGAGAATGTAGAGAGCAAACTTACTGGTGCGAAAGCGGCGGAGGGGATATGATATACTCCTCAGCCCGTACTCACGTAGTTCAATCTATGTGAAGTGCATCCGTGACAGGTGGATACGTTGGATAGCCGGCTGTTGAGGGAACAGTCTCGTTCGACCCGACTTTGATAACCGCACCCGCCGGCTGAAGGGGTTTGTTTCGACGGAGCGCACGGAGGGTGGTCAATATGTATCTGAAACTCGACGTCCCAGATGTTCATCTCCAAAGTCTGGCTGCTGTAGTGGATATCCGGGGGTAGAGCGATCTTCTTTGATCTTCATTCGAGGCGGGACTGCAGAAGCTGAACAGACGATAGTATATCGCAGAATCGTTGGATCTAAAGAGCAAGGCGATGGTCTTGGAGATGCTCCAGTCTCTCCACTCGCAGACAAGATGAAGAAATCGTTATGCCACCCCGGCCTTGGTACACGGTATACGTTCTCCGAGGAGACGGTTTCGATGTTGCGACCCGTCGTAGCTGTTCGTTGTTTCGTTGTTGTTGGAGAGCGCGAAATGGCTTGATAAGTGAGGTTTCAAGGAGAAAGCGAGGCCTTTTTGGCAAGCGCCACCGAACCCATTCAGGCTATATTGGAATATGGATGAGAGATAGAGTACAACACTGTTGTGACACCATGCTGTCTATCGTGTATACCCAACAAGGCATTGTTGAGCCATTGCAAGGACAACGTGAGCAAGCAAGCAGCCAGTTTTTGTTCGTGGTCAAAATCATACGCCTACATGCACAGATCTACACCATCCACGATATGGAGGTGGGTGGAGGAGCAAGGAGTCACGCAACAGCCATAACAATGCTTTCTTGACTGGACGCGGGTCTCCCATAATGCCCCCAACTCATACACAAGACCTCTCTATTGCAAATTGACAAACAACCCTCCATCAACCAACAGCTGCGCCCCGGTAACATACTCGCTCAACTCACTCGCAAGAAAAACCGCCGGCCCCGCCAGATCCTTCGGCTGCCCCAGCCTACCCAACGGTATCCTCCCCTCCATATACGTCCGCTTCCCCTCGTCCGCCAAATCCTCATCGTTCAGCTGAGTCCGAATGGTCCCGGGCAGAAGGGCATTGCAACGGATGTTGTACTTTCCTAACGCGCAGGCGGTACTCTGCATCAAAGACAGGATGCCAGCTTTGGTGGGCGTGTAGTGCGTTTGGCCTGCGCCGCCGACGAGGGCGGAGATAGAGGAGACGCCGATGATGTTGCCTCCCGGTGGTGATTGCTTTGACATTTGTTGGGCAGCTGCTTGGACTGCGAAGTAGGCGCCGTTGAGGTTGGTGGAGATGGTGTGGTTGACCAGATCAGGTGAGATCCTTCAACTTGTCAGAACGATCTTGATGGAATGGGTGATATGGCGTACGTTAAGAAATCGGCAAACTCACAGACACCCGCGTTGCTCACGAAGATGTCTAGCTTGCCATACTGCTGTACGGTCTTCGCTACGAGGTCTTGACCGGTCTCCGGCTTTGAGATATCTCCAGGTACGGCGTCAAGAGGAGCATCTTGACCGACTTCAGATTTCAGCGTTTCGAATTGCTCAGCTGACTTTGCATCCGGGTAGTGGTTCACAACGACGGATGCTCCGTGTCGTAAGTAATCGATTGCTATGGCTTTTCCAATACCTGTACCGTCCAGTCAGACGGGGGTCATTACTTGGGTCGTCACTGGTTTGACGCTTCGCGCAAAAGTACATACCAGTCACTCCTCCAGTAATTGCTGCAACCTTTCCTTGGAGTAGTCTCGACATACTACGTACAGCCGGAACTTACGGCTCTGCTGGAAGAGCTTTGCGTTGTTGGGTACGCCCCAATTGTCAGCAGGTCGAATTATTTGCTAGCCTCTTGAAAACATCTCGAGCATCGTGTTCAATACTACATTTTCGTCGAAAGCACTGAGTTCAAGGTTGGTCGAGCTCGGCTCAATGAGGCACCGAGCAGGTGAAGCTCCACCAAGCTCCACAAGACAACCACAGATCGGGTCCAACACAAACAGAGCCCTATCGTCCATGTATGAGCAATACTCACAAAGGGACCGAGATCGATGTGCATTCCGAGCTTCTTCGTATGGAAGAACATATAATGTAGCACAGAACTCAGCCTGCGTTTGTACCAAAGCTGTAGCTGTGCAATCGCGATTGATCGAGTCTTCTCGCTCATGTGGTACAAGATTCAGTTGCCACCAGACTCCTCCTCGCCATCATTGACCGCAGCATTCTCGGAGGGTCACGGCTCCTCACGGCGGCGAAGCCATCGACGCAACCTTCGTCTCGTTGGCTGCGGTCACCAGCGTGGATGTCGATTGCAAAATGGTCGTCCGTACACACCGCGAAACGATGCTGTGCCCTGTGGATTGGTGTACCTCTGGAATAGCCTGCCCCAATGCTGATAGGGTTGGTTCTCCTTCCCGAGCCTTCACAAGGAATGTAAACCTGCGCACACGTCCAAGACACTCCTCTCACGGTTTTGATATCCCGTAAGCTTCTCGCGCAACTCCATGCCACAGCCGCTCCACATCTTCGGAGCTGAGCCCGCACTGCTCGTCTGCTGCGAGCGCGGCCACAACGTCTTTCCAAGCCACCCACGAGTCTTCACCACGCGGACCATGGACATTGCATACAGGCCAGTCGCTGCCGAACATGATCCTCTGAGTTCCAAAGCAGAGCTTCAGGTGCATGAACCAAGGCTTGATAGCTTTGGCAATTCCGTCGGCGTCCTTGCCAAAGCTCTTGGGTATCTCTGAGAAAGCGCCAGAGAATTTCATATATGTCTTCGATAGCTTCGACATCATGGACACCATGATGCGCCACTCCTCGAAGATTAACTGTCGCTCGCCAAAGGCCGGCTTGCAAAGGTGATTGATAATAAACGTCACCTTCTCGTTCTCGGGGACGTATCTGTGCGCTTCATCCATCGCTATCGCCATGGATTCCAGCTGATGCACGCCGCCGGAGCGCTGATCGACGCCGACGTCGAACGCGAAGCCTCTCCTGCCGAGCTCTTTGAGGTTGATTTGGAAGTCGGGGCCGGATACTGTATTCTGGAAGACCCTCGCGTCGGAAATGAACTGCAACAGGAACCGAAACCCTTTGACTCTGCTCCAGCATTTTGGACCTGCTCGCTCTTCTGCGAGCCTCAAGTACTCTCGAAGTACGGAGGGGTCCTTATCCATAGGCGCCCAGGGTACAATTCCGAGGAGCATGTCACTTGCACGCTCGCCATAATCGCCATCAACGATGGTTCGTAAAAAGCTGATCTCGTCCAACGGTGCTTTCGCCCACATCTCTACGCCGTCACCCCAGCGGGAATGATCATTCCGGACGTCCGTTTCTACGTATATCACACCCTCGACCTCGACGTCGGAAGAGGGATCCTCGTTCTGCCGTGATGCTTTCAGGTAGTGTTCGAGTAGATGAGGTTTTGCCAGAGGGTTTCCGGGCGTCATCCATGCATGGCCGCTCTCATTAGATGTCTCCGGAGGCCACAGATGGATGTGAGAGTCTATCATCTTCTGTTTTGCCATTATGTTGTAGGATGTATGCGAGATGATAGGAGGTTCGAGATGAAGAACGGCCGGTGTTCGATCTATACCTGCCTGGATATCATGTAGTTTCTCTGCTTAGTTACACCGTTACATACCAAAGGCAGTCTTGCAGTGGCGGACCTTGGTAGCGAGTTATGATCTTCGGAAAGGTGAGGTTGGATCCGCTCTTCCGTCGGTGTTGATGTCGTCATCCTCGAGCTTCCAGGAACACTTTTGAGCTTCATGAGCAGCTCCGTTTCTTCTTCTGCATCTATCAACCAACATCATGTTTGCGACAAGAGCGTTTCGACCGGCCACGCAGCTGTCACGGGTAAGCACCGCGCTCGTGATACCTGGATCAACACGTGACATCCTCACATCGACTACTTACTAATCCCCCATCGCAGCACGCCCGCCGCTGGGCCTCCGAATCGACCCAAAGCGCCGCCGGTAGCAATGCCCTGCTCTACGGAGGTGCTGGCGCCGGTGCCCTCGGCCTCGGTGCATGGTACTTGAACAGCGGCGCCCAGAAAGCCGATGCGGCACCCTCGAGCAAAGAGGAAGAGAAGAACATCCCCGGCAAGGCGGACGCACCTCTCAAAGTCTTCCAGGGCGGCGATCAGGGCTTCATCCCTCTAGTGCTTGACAAGGTCGAGGAGCTCAACAAGAACACCAAGCAGTTCCGGTTCAAGTTCGATGAGCAGGATGCTGTGAGCGGTCTGACGATTGCGAGCGCGCTGGTCACGAAGTACAAGGGCCCAAATGACGAGAAGCCTACGATTCGGCCATACACTCCTGTCAGCGACGAAGGTGCGCATATTTCAGAAGGCGGAGTTTAGATTGTTTTCCTGCGTACTAATGATGGTCACAGACTCCACCGGCTATCTGGACTTTATCATCAAGCGCTACCCCAACGGCCCAATGTCCGAGCACGTCCACGATATGAAGCCCGGCGACAAACTCGAGATGAAGGGCCCTATCCCAAAGTACCCATGGCAAGCCAACAAGCACAACCACATCGCTCTCATCGCTGGCGGCACCGGTATCACGCCCATGTGGCAGCTCGCACGCGCAATCGCCAAGAACCCAGACGACAAGACGAAAGTCACACTCGTATTCGGCAACGTTACTGAAGACGACATCCTTCTGCGAAAGCAGTTCGAGGAGATCGCCAAGGAGAAGCCAGACCAATTCCGGAACTTCTACGTGCTCGACAACCCGCCTGAGGGCTGGAAGCAGGGCAAGGGCTTCATCACAAAGGATCTGTTGAAGGAGACGATTCCTGGCCCGAAGGAGGAGAACATCAAGGTCTTCGTTTGTGGTCCGCCGGGCTTGTACAAGGCCATCTCTGGTGCCAAGAAGAGCCCAGCGGAGCAGGGTGAGCTGACTGGCTATCTGTCTGAGCTGGGCTACGACCAGTCGCAAGTGTACAAATTCTAGATGTGCATAGAGTTGAGTGTAAGAGAGCGATCTTGTAACACTAGATAGAGCATTGGAAACGATGACACATCAGCCGGCCTCCAATCTGCAGCAACCTTCCTCCGCACAAAGATCCAATCGCGCCATCTCACGGCACCATACGACTTCGAAGAATTCAAGTCGCTCACTCATCAGCCCACTGCGACCCATCCACCGCCTTCGCCCTCGCCACCGCCCGCTTCGTCGCCTCATCCAAATCCTCCTTCGGCAACCCCAAGGCCGCATTAACAGTCCCCTTGCTATGCTCCGTATCTCCAGCCCCGTCCTGGAAGAAGATGCGCGTATACATCATCTTCACAAACCCAGCCCGCTTGCCCTCCTTGATCTGCTCAAGCCCAGTCTCGTACCGCTCCCGCGACCCTACCTTCTCGATGGTCCAGTCGCTCTCCTTGGTGCCAGTGACCCGGAAGACGGAGGCCAACATCTCGTTCTGCGAAATGGTGAAGGAGTTCGCATAGATCACCTTATTCGCATAATTCTCCAAGCACGGCTCCTGGCCTTCCGCTTTGATTGGCAGGCTGAGCAGGCCTGCGACTGTGCGACCGACCTGCGGCCATGTGGATGTGGAGATTTTGGTGTTGCCGTCGTCGAAGAGAGTGGCTTTGTGGTTGACGGTATCGATACCGTAGGCGGGACCAATGGCAAGGGAGTATTCGTACCAGAAGCCGGTAGATACGCCGATGTAGTTGCTTTTGCCTAGGGAGGCGATGGCTTTGCGGTTGGCGGCTTTAATCCCGTCAGCGACAGAGAATTACAGGGTGGTTGGGGTGAGGAGGAAGAAACTTACGCTTTCCAGCGAAGACGGCAACGTCCTTCAGCAGATTTTCGTTGGCCGTATCCGGCGACCACTCGTTCGGGAAGATCCACTTCACGCCCGCTTCACCGGCGGCTTCGAACAGCTTCGTCTCTGTGTCCTTGGGGACGAACCCGCTGAGGGTGATAACGAGGGCGTCCTGGCCTTTGAGGGCTTCCACAATGGTTGGGGGGCTGGCATAGTCAATCTGCTTGACGTTGACGCCCTCGGGGAGCTTGCTGGAGCTGTCGGGGCGGGTGAGGGCGGTGATCGTGTGTTTGCCTGTGTCGAGGAGGGCGTGGGTGATGTAGGAGCCGACGTTGCCGCCGGCCTGGTGGGTAGATTAGTGTGTGACGATGAGGTGAGGGAGAGGGTGTGTCTAGCGTACACCTACGATCGCAACGTTCTTGATGTAGTTTGAGGAAGACATTGCGGTATTCTTGCAAGTGGAAGACGATAAGGTAGAGTGGAAGAATGTTGGAAGATGGAGCGGTCGAAGGAATGGAAGAACTACAGCTCCAGGACAACAGCCTACCTTTATACGCAAGAGCAGGAACGGGCTTAGGCATCACTATCAAACTCCGATCTGTTCAATGATGTTACGGTTGAGGTGTTGTTCCACATGCCATTGAACGTGCCGTCCGTTGCATCGACATATCGGGCAAAACGCTAGCTTCATTCGTGCCGCGGATAGCGCCGCCCGTGCCCGAGCGGGAGCTAACCAGTTTCTCGTACTTTTGTTGTGCCGCTCGCTTCCAACTACCACGCCTTGGAACGTCTCTTCTACCATTCGGCGCTCTTGACACTATTCTCTCCGGCTCTACGGATCTGCGTGCCATCAAATCAAAAAGTGGACGGGCCTCGGAGCAACATATGCGTCATGAACAACTTCACCTCAAGTATCGTTCAGACGGCCGAGGCCTTTGGATAGCCGGCGATGCTTTACGACGACTACTCTACGACGGATTGTCACGATCAACATCAAGCCTTCACCCGACCACCGACACTTCCAGGCCCTTCATACTGCCTTCTGCTCGCCATGCTTCGATGATGTTGCAGTAGTCCGGGAAGCCTTTCGGCCAAATGGCGTTCCTCGCCATCTTCATCTGCTGCGCCGGTTCCGTGATCTGATCCGTCTCTCCCTCCTTGTTGAAGTAGCTGGGAGTGCATCCAGCCATACCAGCGAACGTGGCAGCACCTGAAAGAATTCGCATCGACCACTCGTCCATTGCCTCCTGAGTCGGCTCGATCACTGGCTTCTTCCCTTCTCCGGCTCGGGCCAAGGCCTGCACAATGATGTAAGCCTGGTGAGAGGTGAGGATGTCGAGGACGAATGTGAAGTTGGCGGTAGCAGACGCCTGCGATGGACCGGGGCTGAAAAGGTTTGGGAAGTGGCGCATGGTTGCGCCGTGAAGAGTCTGGAGGTCTCCTGACGTGGCCAGGTCTTCCATGGAAGTGCCGCCCCGGCCGATCACTGAGATGTTCGCCTTGCCTGCGCTACTCCCAACAACGGGCGACCTGAAACCGGTCCCCCAGATGATGACGTCTGTCTGATTAGCCAACGAGCCGTTGAAGGTGACACAAGCACGGAACACATACCGCAGTCATACGTCTTGCCAGCGAACTTGATGCCACTCTCCGATACCCGGTCAATGCTCCGGCCTTCGGTATTCAACAGCTTGACATTCGGCAGGTTGAATGTCTGCAGATAGTGGTCGTGGAAGCACGGCCGCTTACACCATCCAGGATACCACGCCTGCAACGCCTCGGCTGTGTTCTGGTCTTTGACGATCTCCTTTGTCCGTTGGCGGATGCGTTCTTGTCGTGGGTAGTCCTGAGCGTGCAACGTTCCGATCCTCTCTCCGACATTCTCCATTGTAACCTCCTTTGGTGTGCCTACCACTGCAGAGTACGATGGGAAGTGCGTCCAGCCGTCATCGACAAGATTCTCGGCGGGCTTGTCGTCCGAATCTGTTAAGAACGTCGCGAAGTTAAGTTCCTGTCTTTGAACCACCCAGGCCGGGATGCGACGTTCTTCTGGAACCACTCTGGATCAGTGTCTCGATTGTTTCTCGCATCAACCGCGGACGGTGTACGTTGAAAGACGGTCAGCTCTTCGGCATACTTTGCAAGCTCCGGCACTGCTTGAACGGCCGTGGCGCCGGTCCCGATCAAGGCCACCTTCTTCCCACGGAGACCAGTAAGATCAGGCTGCTCGGGTGATCCGCCTGTGTAGTCATAATCCCATCGCGCGGTGTGGAACATGTGGCCTTCGAAGCTTTCTATGCCCTCGACATCCGGGAGCTTAGCGTTGCTGAGAACGCCTGCGACACAACATCAGTACTTGATGCCAGCACCGCGGGAGACGACTCACCTGGAGCAATCATGACAAAGTCTGCTCGCACTCGATGCGTGCTCTCTTGTCCTCCTTTCGGCTTCTTGATGATCTCGACCATCCATCCATTCGCATCCTCGTCCCAGACCATGCTATTCGTTCTGGACTGGAACACGGCGCGATCATGCAAGCCATACTTCGCGCACACCTTTTCGCAATACTTGCGGATCTCGTGTCCGGATGCATACCTGCGTTGAGGCATATACCCCATCTCTTCGATAAGCGGTAGGTAAATGTAACTTTCGACATCGCACATGAGTCCTGGATAGCGATTCCAGTACCTTATCATTCACAGTCAGTACGCTGTCAACACACACTCCTATAGTGACGGCATCATACCAAGTTCCACCGAAACCTCCCGCTGGATCAACGATGACCAGGTCCTCCGCCTTGAAGCCAGCCTTGATCAGGTTCACAGCATATAGGATACCGCCGAACCCTGCACCAGCTGTTGTATTCCAAACTCAACCTCAGCTTTGCCATCGAAATGCTTCTTATGCAGATGCTCACCGATCAAGAATTTTGAACGACCACCATCAGGTACCGGCTCGTTGACAGGGGTGTTCGCTTCGACCCAAGGATCTTCTACGAACTTCCCATACTTGTCTGATCCCACGAGATCGATGTACTGGCCAACGCCTTTGGCGTTCATTCGTTTTTCTCGCTCGGCGGCATACTTCTCCATGAAGTTGCCGGAGCCGGTGACTTGGGGGCCATTGAGATCTGTCGAGACTATCAGCAAAGATGTCCTACACAACGAAGGCAAGGGCAGATGATACCTGCACCCGGCACGTTCGCGTATGCGGCGTTCACCTCGTCTTGGGTCATGTTGTTACAGTCGATGGCTTTTGGGCCCGGGTTGAAGTCGAGAAATAGCGAACCAACTCGTACCCTCAAGACTTGGGTCGATGTACCACAGCCAACGCTTTTACCAGACGGTCACGTCAGCTGCATCATACTTCTGAGGCTGACACGAATATGGGAAGCCATAGGTTGGCTAATATATGCCACCGGTGTATGCAGTAACTTTGCTCACTGGAACTGTTTCCCTGCATCACACTACGACTAAATGGAACAAGATGGTAGGTCTGATCCCGACTGTCGATTGATCGTTTGGAGTCAATCGTGTTTCTAGTGGAGGAGTAGCGGGGATTTGTGGACTCGGGAACGCAGCAATCCGAGATGCACTGGAGCATTGTCCGAATCAATGCGAAGGTGTTGCACTGCATACGGGGAAGAACGAAAAAGGGCAGAAGAGCGAAATGCAGGCTTCGGACGACCTGGATCCTGGCTTGCATAAAGCGGCAGATGGCCTTGCAATGTCTCAACAGCTATCGTCACTCTACGTGGGACGCCTTGCTATCAGGATCAAAACCCTGAAATATCAATGGGCATGCTCGCAGCATCCAGCCTGAATGGCGTAGCTGTCCTGCGAGTGATTGGGAGCCATCAGGTCTGACGGGATCGCAGGACCGCAGGGAAGGCCGACTACCAGCAGACTCTTGCGAAGCCGAGAGCGAAAGAACAACGATACTCGCCATCCAGGTTATCATCGACGAATTGTGCCATGTATACGAATAACATGGCATTACTATCTCAACGAAGCTGCACGGCGGAGGTTTCTGCCGCTAGGCCTTTCGCGACACATTAGGACCATTACTCCATTTCAGTCGCTCTTAGCTGAGACTTGCAGATGATCCTGCGCCCATTGCTGCACCGACTGCGTGCTAATCTGCTTCTGACGGTTGAAGGTCGTGTCCATGTCCCAGGCGACACCTACTCATTTAGCCAGTCAGCTGCAATTCGCAAGATACAACCGATTCGGTTCTGGAAGAGACACGTACCGACTCCCCCAGCAAAAACGACGCGGTACTTCCGCATCCCATTCGAAGGATCCTGCGCAAGCTCTGACCTCAGCTGCGCAACAGTTTTCTCTATGCGCTGCACCTTCTTCCCTTGCACCTTCTCGACGAGGTCCGCGATCTGAGCCATCGAGACAGTGTCTCCAGCTGTAAAGACGACGCCCCGGACATCTGGACATGCCAAAGCAATCTCAGCAGTGAAGCGGCCAATGTCACCAGGCGCTGTGACAGTGATTTTGTTGTCCCAGCTGCCCAGCGCTGTGACAGTATCTCGTCCTGCATTGACGACTCCAAAAGCCGGCTCGAAAATGAACGAGACAAACATCCTGGTGGAAACTATGACCCACTCCAACCTTTCCTGCGAGCGCAGCAGGTCGCGAACGTCCAGCTGCTCGGTGAAAAGGTCCTGAGCGCTGTCGCGGCCAATGATATCGTAATCGATCCCGAACTGCCAGGGAAAGTATCGACGACAATCAGATGCCAGCACAGCGTTTGCGACCTTCAGCTGCGTACCAGGCGGTGCGCCAAAGCCAAAGCAGTTGATGATGGTGTCAAAGTCGGAGAAGATCGTGGCGAGCTGCCGCGGTGCATCCTGGTTGATATCGCCACCAACGACGTCGATGCCGAGCGCTTTGATCCTAGCCACGTGCTCCTGCTTGGTCTTGTCGTCGCTGTTCATCGTGGCAGGCCGGAGAAGTACTGCAATGCGGACCGATGATGCTAGTGGATGGCCTGCAAGGCCTCGGAGCATTGCATCTCCGAGCTCTCCGGCGCCGATAACCAGTACTGAGGGGGGTGGCATTGCGACTGGTGGTGTACATGTACATGCGATGCGGTGACTTGGGGAACAGTGCCGTCTTATATGTGCCAAAAGCCAGGAGGCATGGCCAAAGTGGCCACATTCTTGGTCATCGACTTAACTTTCGACTGTCGATCGTTACCAAGTCGAGGGATCAGTATGATCGAGCCAAGAGTCGCCTGCATATGGTCGTCTCCCTTCGACAGCAATTCTGCAACGGCCTTAGTCCAGAATCATGACAACCGGAGGTAATTGCAGACTCCAAAGCTGTGTCCGTGAAGGCCTCTGGCGTAGGTGGCAGGCTCCCACGAGGCAAGTTCGCTTCGACTTTCTCGATCCAACTCGGAATTATTCTGGGTATTTCCAATAGCACATCATTTCCGACGGACAGAAAAATCCGCCGTTGTCCAAGGCGCTCATGTCTGGAACGATCCTCCTCTCCTCTCCCCCTCATCGATTCCAAAACCAAACACCAACCGATAAAGGTCCCGCATCCAAGCCCACTTCTCCCCATTCCCCAACCACTTCACACTCTTCGCCACCTCCACCGCCCCCAACCGCCTCGAAGGCAGCGTGTGAGCTGTTAGTAGCGTCTTATCACCAAGCACCAGCACCTTATACGAAGTAAAGACGGACTTCTGCCACGGCAGCGTACCGAATGCGTAGTCAGGGAGTGTATTGACATAGGCAGGGAGATGCTGGCCGCTTGTTTTCGAATAGCCGGTGTTCATGCCTGCTTTCAGCAACAGGCAGCGGAGGCGGGTGAGGTGAGCGTCTTCAGTCGTGGCGGTAGCGGTGGAGGAGGTGCGGTTCGAAGAGGCGGATTCGGAGTAACCGCTCATGACGGAGGCATTGCTGGACCAGCGATCGTGATGGGTGCCACGGATGGAGTTGCTGCCGGTAGATGCCGGGCCGAGTACGAGGATGCCTGGGACGACCGCTGAATCTGGAGAGGATGCTGCTGTTGTTGAGTCGTCGAAGATCGTTGTTGGTGTCTCGGGTGGTATGCCGCGCGGTTGAGTGCCATTATGGAGCTGCATGTTGCTTTGGGTTGTGCTTGACTGCGTTCCTGACCGCGTTGAGTTCGATCGCATCGAATGCGCTGGAAAGGTAGTTTGGCTGGGGCGTGGCGTGCCGCGATCAGGTCGAATCTGTGTCCAGCCCTCGCGGAAGAGGTCGCAAAGCTCCCAGCATGCTTGCACAGCAGACCCTAGCAGTTCTTCGTCAGGGCTCTTGCCCTCTTTGTTACTCTGGCGCAGATTGAACAACATTTCGGCAAGCGACCAGCACGCTCTCAACAGCGCGTCGGTCTCCTGCGGGAGCGATGTCCTCTGCTTCATCAGGCGATGACACAAGGTAATGTAGAAGTCCAATGTTCGTTCATTGAACGCTTCGGGCAGACTGCGGTCATGTGTGTTGTAGAGATGGTTGTTGAGCTCGAACGATACCCTCAACACTGAATCCGAAGCTTCGTCTGGCTTCTGTCTCGCTTCAAAAAGCGACTGACAGAAATCACGACACATCTCAAGCGTGGGGACGACTTGAGAAGCGTGGTCTTCGTCTCGTGAATCGTACAGGTTCTGGCAAAGACGCCAACAGCTGCGCCAGGCCTGTTCTTGCACCTCTTGCTTGCCAGCTCCGCCAAATTTGAAGGTGCGTTGTCGATGGCTGGACGAAAGGTTCGCTAAGGTGTTGCAGAGAGTCCAGCACTCGCTCAATGCTGTGCGTAGGGCAGCGACTTCTTGTTCGGCGCTGCTGAGCCGCGACTCAATGCTCTCTGTTACGCCATTGTCATTAACCCGCTCAGCTGTAGTGGGCCGGTCGCCGTCTTCCTCTTTCTTCGCTGGGCTGTCCGATTCTTCTTTGTCAAGGGTCTCTGGGATATCTGTGGGACATGTCAGTCCTTGAGCATCATAGGCCTAATGTCGGCGAGCAGACCTTCTAGACTCGATGCGCGCCTGCTTCTGTGCTTCCAATCTTCGTCCAGCTCCTGCCGTGTTTGCGCGCGTGGGGTTGTGCGGTCCATGAAGCGAGGTATGTCGGTATTCACAGGTGACATGGGCGATTGCTTCTGATCAATGCCCGTTGCCAGTCGCTCTACCTTTGCGCCGTCATGAGGACTTGGTATCGCTTCTGGTGTTGTCGGCGACACGACCGTATTATCAGATCGATCTGTTGGCGATTCCGTCCTCGAGTTGGACTCTTCGAAGTTCTTGAATCCAGACGGGACGTGTATGACAGACTGCGGATCATCACTGTCCTTTGGAGATCGCACACTGTCTGGCAGTTGTGTGTCTATCCTCGGTCGATCCTGTGCTTGTCAGCACGCACTCTACAACATCTCAATGTTGTCGCATACACTTGATGCGCTCTGAGGACTTCTGATCTCTACGTCCGGCGATTGCAACTCCCCGTTCGTCGCAGGGTTCGGTGACCGCACCTCTTGTTCCTCCTCTTCAATTTCAGTCGTTTCGGTACCGTTGGAGTCGACGGGCGAGGGTTCGATTTGATTTGGGTAGGGACTGGGCGGAGCGAGGGAGTCAGACGGACCCGAAGACCTGTTGCTCGTTCAGCGTTTGCTCCAAGTGTTTGCAGGACAACGTTGCCTACCTCTTCTCGATGCCGTTGAACACACCGTGCGGCGCAGGCGATGACGGCGAGTCTGTGTACGGCGAGAAGCTGGACGACAGCCCGCTCGACGGGGAAGGCATCATGGGGCTCTTGAGGGCCATGGTAGACACAAACTATCGCACGTCTGCTTCTTGAGCTGCTGCAGGAGCTTGAGCCTTGACCAGGACCAACAAGCGCGGCACGATCATAGACGCGCCATCTCCGACGCCGTGCGGTTGTTTGGTATCGCAGGTGGCGCGGTGGAGCCTGTAAGCTGGGTTGTGTCCGTCGGTCCCACGGTGCAAGCTGAGGTACGTAGAGCCTGTATCCCCCAAGGTTCGGCGCTTGATAGCTTGCGTGCAGGAGAAGGAGAGGACATATGAGGGATGAGAACGCTTCACCGGTCAGAGCTGGCTAGGGTAGATGCTTGCCCGCAGCGCAGTAAGGTACTTTTGCAATGGTCTCCCACTTCCAACCCCGAACTGAAGCTATGACAGTTCAGATGGAACCAAGACGCGAAGCCAGTCGCGGTAAAGTCGGGCACAGCTGCCCGCGCTTGTCCACAGCGCCGCGGTGTTTCAACGTGAAGGGATGCCTGCAACAACGTGCACTGCGGCGATCAGATGCAGACCACCAGCGGCGCGCGGTCCAGTCACAACGAGCACTTCGCCTGTCCGTCCACTCACTTCTGAGCGAGCCCTTCTAAACGCCGTGGCGTAGCTAAGCTCATCGTGGCTTGTCCGGAAGAGGCTCTAGTGGGAATGCTCAAATGGACTTCACCTGCAGAGGCACAACCCGGTGCAAGGATAACGATCCTCCTGAAGGCACAGCAGTCGTCCTGGTCTACCACGAGGCTACGAGGCTGCGAGACTCGAAAGGTATCGCATTAGCAATGAGAAGCCAATACTGGTCGTTCCGACCTCTCTTGAGTCGGAGAGAGCAGTCCTTATTGCTTCCTTGCAGTTGTGATCGAACAGCTGGGGGTCACTCTCCGAGGCCAACCATATGTTCCTGCCATTGTAGCTGGTCCTGAGCTACTCGGAGCAACAATGGAGATCGACGCTACTTCTGCAACAGACGCTTAGAAAGTGCGAGTCCACCCTCACCAGAGAGACCCAGGGCCAACTCGACGACGTGACGCAGTGCACACATTGGCCGTCTAGTTGCATGTAATTGTTGATTTTACGGACGCTGAAGCCAAAGACAGCTCGGCGACACTCAGAAGACGCACGAATGACCTTGCACCTCGGCGCTCCACCAACGCAAAACCCAACGTTCATCCGCAGGACCTACTGGATAGCTGGTAGATCGACGAATCGAAGGGACTGCCTGCAGCCCGCTGATTGTTGGAAGTGCCAGCTCATCTGACTTGCGGCACAGTACACAGTAGAGCTACTAACGAACCTGCGGCTCTACGTGACGGCATCTCACCATGAATGCCAATGTTGACGGCGTCCGGGACGTCCAGCAGCTCTACCAGTCTGTTCCACTAAGCTGGGAAGGTCCCAGCATCCGACTCCTGGTGTTGCATCGTGGTATAACCAGCAAGATCAAATCCACGTTGAGATGCGTTCTGCTTGACGATCGTCCTCAATATGAGGCACTGTCATACACCTGGGGCTCAAATACGGAACACCGTCACGTCTCGGTCAACCAGCTCAGCCTCCCGGTAACAAACAATCTCTTCCGAGCACTACGCGGCTTAGGGTACCACCTCAAGCCTCGAGCACTCTGGGTGGATGCTCAGCAGAACTTGCCTACAATACCACCGCATCCCCGTCGCTTTTCGCACCGGTTCCGAGTGATCAAACCAGACGGATGCGAAGTCTTTGCCAGTCGTGGACATATAAGAACAAATGCTTTCGATCACAGCCAACGGGCAGCTTCCACGGCGTCGAGACCGACAGCCTTTCGTCATTGGAATTGGAGTTGGATGCGCCGTCCAGATTCACGACAGTACCGTGATCGATCTCCTTGGACTTGAGGCCTACCTCAAACCCCTGGCCGCGCATCCTAGAACAGCCGTACAGCCTGAACGTCGGTACCGCGCTGCGGCTCCACGATGCCTCTTCCTCGCTTGCTTTCAAAAAGCAAAGACTCTCTGCGTGCTCTCGAAGAGGCAGAAGGCCAGTCGAGGCGCGGCTGCATTCTTCAGGCCCATCAGATCGGCCGTGTACATGAGGCTTGCGACGCAAGACAGGCAATCGAAGTTGTCTCTCTCCTTCACATGCGCGCCTGCCCAGAGGATTGAGGCGTTCATTAACAGCGCTTCAGAACGTGAGCCGCGGTCTTCCAAACCGAGCAGGATTAGCAGGCAATGGCACTTGATTCCAAGAGGTAAAGAGTCATTGTCGTCTCGACGGGACGTACATGTGCAAGCTTTTGCGAGAAAAGTCAATAGTCGCAACGACTGCTGTCAGCAGCACCCGTAAGTCATCACAGCAGTGGTCATGCGAGCATTGGAATGAGCGGGTTCCGTATTAACAGCGAGGACTGGCATAGCTTGGAGATAAAGTGTCAAATATCACAACGAGCAAAACATCGTAGGAGCATTCATACACACTATCTCATCTACCAGCCAGACCTTTCCTTACAGAAGCCTGTCCGCCAGACCCCCCTTTACCAATGCTTTCGTCCGACCGCCACGATGCAGTCCCGCCAGAAATACGCCATCGCTGTGCATACATCCCCCGACCAGTCGTAGATACGTCACTGTCGTCCATGCGAGCCCCGTCCATGCATACCGTGCCCTCTAACCCCGCCCCAACCAAGACCTCAATCACTCCATCCATCCATCCATCACGCACTCGGCGCAGGGTATCTCCCCATCAACTCCTCAATCTTCGGCACGAGCTCGGGGATCCGGAAGGGTTTCGATACCACGTCGTCCTGTCACACCGCGTCAGCATCACCGACACCACCGCCCACCCTCCAAATAAGGACAGAAAGTACTCACCATCCCCGCCTCCAACGCCGTCTTCACCTGCTCCGCCCGCGCATTCGCCGTCACAGCAATGATCGGCACATGTCCCACCAGCTTCCCCTCCTGCTCCAACTCGCGAATCTTCCGTGTGCACGTCAGCCCATCCATCACCGGCATCTCCTGATCCATCAAAACCACCCCTAATTCCAGCGTACCCGGCTTCCCGGCATTGCCAGTCCAGTACGAAGACTGCCGTAGTTTCTCGAGCGCTTCGCCCCCGTGGTTCGCGAGGTGCACTTCGGTGCCGAGGTTCTTCAACTGTTTCTGCAGCACGCGTTGGTTGACGAGGTTGTCTTCGACGATGAGGACGCGGTGTTTGATCGGTTCGAGAGGGCTGGTGGAGGAAGAGGGGACGGTGCCGTTGGGCGAGGGTTTCGCGGTGGAGGCCAGAGACTCGGTAGCTTTCTTCGCGGCTTGCGCGACGGCGCTCCTGTTCTTGTGCGCGGAGTATTTCATGCCGGTGATAGCGTCTGCTTCCGCCGGCGCCGTGCTCTTGCGTGCGACGATGTAGAAGGCGAACGTACTGCCTTTGCCAGCTTCGGATTCAACACCGATTTCACCGCCCTGGAGTTCGGTGAGTTCTCTGCTGATGAAAAGCCCTAGACCCGAACCGCCGTATTGCACATGCGTCCGCGGGCTTGCCTGTGAGAAGCGCATAAAAAGCATCTTCTTCTCCTCGGCGTTGAGACCGCGGCCGGTGTCTCGGACAGCGAAGTGGATGTACACCTTCTGCCCGTCGCCCCAGTCCTTATCGTCGATTTGCGCGCCATTCTTCCGCCGCGTCGAGAAATACTGCACCGGCGCATCTTTCATCTCGCTGGGACGCTCGAGGCAGGCGGCGATGGTCACAGTGATGGTTCTCTTGCGCTCCGTCCCAGTGAACTTGATGGCGTTCGTGGTGAGATTGATAAGCACCTGCAACACTCTGCTCGGATCCAGACGAACCCAATCGAGCCCGAGGTCGCGATAGCTCTGGTCGACAAGGAACTTCATCTGGATATCGGCGGCCTGCAGCTCGCCTTCATGCATCTTCAACGCCCTCTGCACGACAGTCAGCGGTTGAGCATCCACGGGCGTAACTAGCAAGAGCGCCGAATCCAGCTTGCTGAGCGTGAGAATGTCGTCCACGATCCGCTTCTGGTGCTGCGAGCACAGGTTGATGATCTGCGCGGCGTCCAGGCAGCTGCTGAGCAGACTATCCGGAAGGTCCTTGTCGCCGTTGTTCTTGAACTCCGTCAGACTGCTGATGATCTCATCCGAGCACTGCAAGATGGCCGAAAGCGGATTGCGCATCTCGTGCGAAGTAATGTCGATGAAGTTCTCCTGTTGTCGCTTCAGCTCGACAGCCTCCTCCATCTTCCGCGTCTGGATACCCTCCGCCCACTTCTGCTGGCTGATGTTAGTGATCGAACCAAAGATACTCTTCAGTCGGCCATCCGCATGCTTCTCCGGGTAGCCCGAGAAAAGCACCCAAGTGTCTCCACGATTGCCATTCCGATCTTCCCACTGCGCTCGGAATCTGAACTCATGGCTCACAGCCTTCGTGCCCACGACAAGATCGTTCCACAGCCCCTTCACCAGCGCCTGATCTTCCGGGTTCACAGAATCCATCCACGTATCCGCCATAGAGCTATTCTTCGGCACCCTTGAGATGTCATACCACGTATCGTTCGCGAACGTGATCTTTCCACTGGCATTAGCAATGAACATGCCCACGGGCGCGAACTCCGCCATGCGAGTGAACTTCGTCTCGCTCTCGATCGCCTCCTGGGTGCGTGCAGCTAATTGCTCAGACAACTCGATGCGATCCAGAGCCGCCAGCTTCGCAGCCTTCTGGCCTCTGCGTATCTCCTCCTCGAACAGCACGACCGACGCAAGGGACGTAGCAAGCTGTCTCGAAAGCAGCTGCACGAATAGCGCATAGTCATCGTCATAAGGCCGTCTTGGGTTGACACCCAATACCAAAAACCCAAGAATGTTCTCGCCAGTCGTCGGGTGGATCGGACAGACAACAACAGCCTTGACGGGGTCACCGAAGCCTCGCAGCTGCAGACCGCTCAGCAAACTCTGCGGCAGATCCCTGCTGCCCACCTCAAGCAGCACAGGCTTATCCGTCTTCATCACCTCGCGAAACACGGGCCCAAACCCTTCCGTGCCAGCCTTGAGGTCGATATTCTCAGGCGCCGCGGGATGGTCGTCAGGTATACCCAGTTTGCCTTCAAGCTGGCAGTTCCTGATCGTGAGGATCGAGTTCGAATGGATGCTGCTCGTATCGCTGTCGCTCTCATCCGCGACCGAGTACAGCAGCAGGAACGGCGAGTCGAAGTCGTTGAACTCGAAAGACCCCAGAACCTGCGCCCAGAAGCCCTTAACATCCCTCGCAGATGCAGTGCGCTCGCCAACCTCACGCAAAGTCAACATCCGTCGCTCGGCAATCTTCCTCCGCGTCTTCTCAAAAGCAGGGTTGTACAGACCCATCACCGAGCCATCGGCGCCGACCATCGGGATGATACTCCAGCTGAAGTAAGTCTCCTCGAGATACTCGTTCCGGTCTATGAAAAGGCAATCATCGTCTTTCATGGTAGCTTCACCGGTGATTTTGGCAGAGGCAAAGACGTCTTTGACGTCGTTCCAAATCTCCGACCATGCTTCCGCGTAGCTGCGGCCCATGAGACCTGGATGCTTCTGCCCGGCTAACAGGATGTAGGCTTCGTTGTAGATGGCGATTAGATCTTCGCCCCAGTACATGGCAGCGGGGTGTGGTGAGGCCATGATAAGGTTGCACATCTGCCGCAGGTCTGAGGACCAGTTCTCAATCGGACCGAGACTGGTAGACGCCCAGTCGATGCTCCGAGCGAAGCGGATGTGCTCAGGCATGGAATCGGATATGGGAAGCCGCGTCCAGTCGAATGACGGCGAATCCGACGCCACGGTCATGATATGACTGTTCGAATCATCAGCCATCAATGCTTGAGCACGAACGGCTTCGGAGTATGGATTGGGCTTCGCAGGGGGTTCGTTCACGTACGTGGAGGGTGACTTCAGTAGCTGGATGGCTTCTGATAGGTCTCGTTCTGGCGAGAGCAGTTTGTTGACATCCACCGACCCCCTGAGATTCTGCAGTCTTTCCAGCTGAGCGCCTGCAGATGGTGGACCTTGCTCGATCGTCGCTACGGCTTCCACTGTCGAGGTACTACCCGAGCCATCCGAGCTGTTCTTACCTTGTGGTGCGGCCATGCCAAAGTAGTCGGAAGGCTCTGCGGGTGCTTCTGCTAACACAGCATCCTGCAGTAGTGGCATCTCAGCTGAAGCCGCAGGCGGTATGCTTGATCGCAGCTCTGGTGCTCGGCTGTGTTCAGGCGATGGCTGGAACGCTCCAGAGATGATGCGTAACCTCTTTCTGATGGTTGCACAATTCCAGGACAGCCCAGCATATAGAAAAGACGGCAAGCACACGTCCAGACTTTCGCCATTGACCGCAGCGCTCATCAGCCATGACTTGAACTGTAGATGGGTCTGCGTGCCAGGCGAAGTGGACTCCAGCGCGGCACCAGAAACCTGCGCTTCCAGACCGTTGGAGGATCGTAATGAAGCGTTGCAGAAGATCAGATTCAGCTGGCCAGGTCCGTAGTTCAGTTTATCGCCCAGGTCCACAATGAACGTAGGCCGCTCGTCTTGCTCCAACAACTCAATTATCCCAATGGAATTGAGTATGCTGCCAAGATCCTTGCTTCCGCTACTTCCAAAGGATGATTCTGGACTCCGACTTCTCGTTGGCACGCTCTCCATGCTCCTCCTGCTCCCCGGGCTCTGATAAGCGTACTGCGGATTGCTTGTGGGTATCTGCGGCGTACTGAGAACACCTCGCGCCAAGCTCACAGTCTTGACGTGACTATCCTCTGTACGCGTCTTTGACAACATCTTCGCCGCAGCCTCGGAGCTGGAGAAGCGAGGCGGTAGGGTAGGCCTATTCGGCTGCGGGCTGTTGCTGAAGAATAAGGGTGATGGCGGTTGTTGCGCACCGTCGTGGAAGCCTATAGAGCCAAAGTTGAAGCTATCGAGAAAGTGTTTCGACCGCGCCTTCAACCGAGGCCTCTTAGACGCCGGCTCGCTGGTGGGCGGACGCTCTCCGTGAGGCGAACGCACCAGGGGTGAAGCTGGACGCTTCTTCGTGGTTTTCTCCGACGGAGGAGATGCTGGTGGAGGGTTTGTGGCAGATTGTGCCTCGCTTGCGCTCACGCTCCTCCCCTTGCCCCTCCCTTGCTCGCGTCCGCTGGCTCTTTGCTGCTCAGATGGTGCTCTCGAAGGCCATGCCGGCGGTGGCGCAACTGTAGCTTTCGAGGAGGTGCTAGTGGCATATAGGACTGAGGGTAGAACGCTGTCTGGTGCAGCGGTAGCGAACGACTCTGCTTCGCCAGAAGCTTGTACGCGACTCCGTTCCAAATGGTCTGGCGTGCTCTGTCTCCGGTACGATGGTGCTCTGCCCGACCCTTGGGCTTGCAGAGGCGGTTTGGTGAAAGCTTCACGCGCGGTAAAGATGCTCGGTTGATCGGTGCTGGAGCTCATATGGGAAGCGGCCTGCGAGAGGCAATGTACGGTTGGTGCTGTTGGATGTACGGCGAGAGCATGGCGAACTCATATCTTAGGCACAGGAGGTGTCGCACAAGAGGTGTCGTCTCTTCCGCCGATCGATGCGGCTTGAGCCTAGCTCGTGGAGTAGAGAGGTGAGAAAGCAAAAGCATGTGCTTGCAGGCCTTCCCATCCCCATCCCCACCCCGTTCTTCACGCCACAAGCCACCATTTGCTCCTTGCAGCACCACACTTTCCCGACCGCCCGGCTATTCGTCGATCTCCCGATCGGACCTTCCCCAAAGCACTCGAAATCAGGCTGATCGTTTTGTTCCAAAGATACTGTAGAAAGGACATCATATTGAATACATCTACCCTACGAGTACTTCCTGACGAACTCCAACACAGCGTTATCAACAACCTCCGGGTGACTAGCACTCAAGTAATGCTCTCCGCCCTCCACGACCTGCAACCTCGCATCAGACGACCCAGTAAACATTTCAATCTCCTCCTTCGCATTACCAGTTCCGTACGCAGCATCATTCGTTCCATGAAGCCACAACACAGGGCATTTCACATTGCCCAACCTCGCATGCAAACCATCTCGATCACGAAGATTGACCGTACACTCCCTCAACCGCCTCCGTCCGTCGTCGCCCTTGTAGTTCTCGCCGTGAGCTTTCCACCAGAAATCCAAAGTGGCTTGGCTAATGCCTTTGCCAAACCCGGTATAGATGGAGAACTCGCGGAAGTAATCTGGCATCACGAATTCTGGCGTGGGCTTCTGAGATGTAAGCTCGTCGATCGGCTTTGTAAGAACTGTGATGGCATCGAAGTTGCCTAGCTTGCGCGTGCGATCGCTTTCGTAGTCCATGCTGGTTCCTAACGGAAGGATGCCGGCTATGCGATCGGGTTGTAGCAGAGCCATGCGCACTACAATCCAACCACCTTGGCTTGTACCGAGAGCGAAGACTTTGCCTTTGATTCCGAGGGCGTCAAGGACTTGAAGGATCATGATGGAAGTGTCCCAGTAAGTGAAAGTGTCTGTGCTGGTTCTCGTCTGGCCGTGTCCGTAGGGTTCGACCGCGAGCAAGTTCATTGCATTCACAAGCTCCTCATTCTGGAACTGGGAGGCGTAGAGGTCCGATGTCATGGTGAACGAGTTGATCAAGACACATGTTGGCTTCGACGGATCGTAAAGACGGGGCATCTGGTATGCAGCATCTGTCCCAAACAGATGAGGCACACGGATGGTCTTGGTGTTCGGCATGTTGTTTTCAGAGGATGCTTCAGACGAGGAAGAAAGAGAAATGGGATATGTTGGTCTAGAAATATGAAGGACCATGCCTTACCACACCTTTAGGAGAAGCATAAGAACCATGAGGTTGAGCAGTAATACTGACCCGAGGATGAATTGTCGACCCCACTCCTACCTCTATGGGAGGCCTTCACAGGTCTTGGTATACGACCCGTCGCCATGGCGCCCTCAAAGAAGGGCTCAGTGATAGCAGTAGTAGACGGTATATCTGGATGCCTTGGGCTCGGCAACAGCTGCTCAAGCGGTCAAGGTGGTATCATCAACGTCTGCTGCAGATATTCCGGCAACGAGTCGAGTGGCGCTACGATCTCGGGCAATTAGGCCGCTCTGAACGTCGCACGGGACAAGAGCTGCTTTGTCGACGTATCCGACCAAGCCTGTACCCGCGCAAGGCAGGTACATGTATTTGTGGAGTTGGTGTACAAATGATCAAGAGAGATGTCGGCCTGTAGTTTATATTAAGCGAAGTGAATGCATTCAGGTTCGCGGGGCAAAAGCGGCATCACGGACCTCCATCCGCCGACGAGGGCGACCTCATGCGCGCCACAACCCAACGCTATACTGATAACACCCCCTACCAGACACACATCCACATGTAGTCCTCCCAACCAATATACATAACCCACACGCATCCTCCACCATGCCCCGCCAACGACGCGCCTCCACAACCTCCACCTCCTCCCTCCCCCCCACCCCCGGCGGCCAAGAAATGGCCTCCATGTACGTCAAACTGATGGGTGTAAGGGTTCTCTGAGACATGTACAATGAGGACAATGTGGCGCTCTGAGACCTTGCCATCTCCCCTGAGACCGTCGAGACACCTGCTAACCCTTCTACCCTACACTCTAGGTACGATTACCTCGCCAAAATCATCCTGCTAGGGCCCTCTGGATCCGGAAAATCCTGCCTCCTCCACCGCTTCACCAAAAACGAGTTCCGCACCTTGACCTCCCAAACCATCGGCGTGGAATTCGCGTCCCGCATCGTCAAAGTCGGCACGCCCGGGCGACGGAAACGGGTGAAGCTGCAGCTCTGGGATACCGCGGGCACGGAGAGGTTCAGGAGTGTGAGTAGGAGTTATTACCGTGGGGCGGCGGGGGCGGTGTTGGTGTATGATATTGGGAGTATGGGGAGTTTTAACCAGTTGCCTACGTTCTTGGGGGATGCGAGGGCGTTGGCTAGTCCGATGTTGACGGTTGTGCTGGCGGGGAACAAGGTTGATTTGGAGGAGGGGAGGGGTGGGGGGGATTTGCTGGGTGAGGAAGACGGGAGTTTGGGGTCGAATGAGGGTGGTGCGGGAAGTGGACAGAGGGCGACAGTGTCGGAGAGTGGGAGGGCGGTATCGCAGTCGATGGCGGCGAATTGGGCGAATCAGAACCGAATACCGGCGAGTATGGAGGTCAGCGCGTTGTCGGGAGATGGTGTCGAGGAGGTGTTCAACAAACTCGCGAGGACCATTTTGACGAAGATTGAGCTTGGAGAGATCGACCCGGACGATCCCATGAGTGGGATACAGTACGGCGACGCGGACTACTACCGCTACGACGATGGCGGTTCGAGCATTAAATCTGGACTTACCGCCGATGCCTACGGGACGACGCGGAGACGGCGAAGAGGTGGTGGCTGGGGTGATGTGTTCAAGGTTGGAGGATCGAGAAGTAATGGCGGCAAGTGCTGTTGAATTGGTTTTTGTCTGTTTCTGCAAGGGCAGCGAGGCGTTTCGGGAGCAGGGCAACGATATGATGATACGAAACATGTTCCGCGGAAAGCACGAGTTCTGGTCTGCGCGGGAGATAGGTTCATACCAACGCATGAATCTCTATCGAGCGGGGGGCCCTTGCTTGACTCCCGCTGTACGACGGGATCGCTCGGATACGGCATTGATCTCCTCCATCAAACCGGGATTTGGCATGGACGTCGTGGTGCTACGTCTCCATCGCTGCAAACAACTCTGATGGCATCTTCGAGATACGTGGTGAGTGAGACGCGCATCGGTAAGTATATGGCAACGCTTGACGGAATTGAGAAATGACAACAGTACACACATCGTTTACTTTCTGACTACGCACTTCGCATGATGGTCGCCGTTGAAATCGCAAATACTGGAATTGGTCATTGTGAAACTTGCCGTTCCCTCGGATATCAAACATTGCATGAGACTTACCTCATGCACAGGATTTCGACGCTCGGAAGTCTTGGAAGAAACCTGTTTGAGCAAAAAATAAACACAGAAAGTGTTGTTGGAGCTGAATGATGAATACGACAAAACGTCGCATGTTTCGAAGTGCCAACTCGAGACCTCTGTGACGAGTGTTATCGAAGGCTAATCGAGAAACTGAGTCGTCAACATTTGCTTGGCAGGATCTCGAATCTACCTAGGTACACATCCAGGTTGGTCTGGATCTTCCCACTAATTCTCGATGGACCCGCCGTTTTGGAATTATCCTTCCATGTTTCTCAAAAGTAAGATTACCTTTAAGCATAATCCGGTCCCTGTTTCGATCCGATTCATGCCCCGGAGCTAATTCTGGACTGTAAGGTCGGCGGAAGGCTTCCGCTGCTTGTTGCTCCCTGCCATATGAGGGAAGCCAAGTGCTACAGAAACGCACACGACATGTGTATTCCAGCCTGTGCTGTTGATTCCGAGACAGCATGCTGACGCAGCACCGCCTCCAAGCTGTTTCGATCACTGCTTCAGACCAGATACACTGTCATGGAGGAGGACGCCACGGGTTGACACCTTCAATCTGCTGCCCCGTCGCCAGGCGACGCAACGACACAACGCTGGGCAGACCGCACTCTCGCCGCTGTACCGCCCCCAACTCATCTTGATTGCTGGCTGTGCAGGACTATCAGGAAGACAGCACGGTTTGCGAATTGCACCTTCAATCAAACCTTCAGTACCAGACATGGCGACGAAGCAGTGCAAGGCGAAGAGAACTGTTATTAAAGATGGCTTCACCATCCGCAACGTCCCCAGTATCTCCCACAGCCTTCCATTCGCACAACATCTCCTCTTTTACAGTACACACACGACGCTTGGAGCGCCTTATCAACCATACCAACACTCCCTCGAACATTGCAACGATGAGAATCCCAACTGCTGCAACGGTTGCAGTGGCCTCTTCACTGGCGCTGTCTGGTGTCGACGCATTCGCTCTTGATTACGGTCTCATCCCACGCCAAAATGCCGCCGATGTGGCATCGCTCATCATCCCCATCCTGGAATGGTTTGGTGTGGCGTTCCCAGAGGCCTATATCGCTTGGTACGTTTGCTGCTTAGACCTGTCGGCCACATTACTGACCGAAGCACCAAGGGACTACAATGCCGACGGAAGCATGTGCTCCATCAGCATGGAGACGGAAGATGGAGGGAATTGCAAAGCAGCCGTCGAATGCGACGATGGAGTGAAGAACGAATACAATGGTATGCGCTTGTCCGGCTCCTAATCTGGAGAGCTTTTGCTGAATCAACTTAGACTGGAATGTCTGTTACGTTGGCGGGCGACAATACTTCACCGACGACCGCATCGGTCCATTCAGCATCACCTTTAGCCAGAAAGACGGAGAAGGAGAAGGACTGACAAATCCCATCCTCCAGTTGGAATACGTGAACAACAGCCTTGAGTTTGACGTCGGTAAGCTTCCATCCACACTCTTTAGAGGCTTCCACACTACAACCCCGAGGCTCAATACGTCAGTATGTTTTAAGGCAGAGGCTAATCGTCTATGCAGCGAGCCTCGCCTCCTACTACAAGGACAAATCCGACTGTGAGGCCGGTATCACACCATTGAACTGCGCTGATGGCCCGTTCATCTGCGGATATGGCGACATGGGTACGTGGCCATTATCGAACCCCTATCGTATCTGATACAAGCGCTAATACGCTACCACGTCGTCTGTAGGCAACAGCTATATATACGACAGTCGCCTGAAGAGGTGGCAATGCGGCATGCCGAAAGTCGGACTGGGCGGCGGTGACGAGACTGGACTCGACAGCGACGCCCCAACGACGAACGGATATCTATCCGGCTGGTGTACGGTGAGTAGCGGCCTTGCATACCATCCGAACAATTGAGCATCAAGATAAATAAGCTGACCATTTTATCACAGGCACATGTCATCCAGTACCAGAAAGAAGACCCCGCGGTCGACTCGTACCAGCTCGAAGTAAAGATCTACGACGCAAACGAGAACGAGATTGGCTCGACTGATGGCATGGTCTCTTCCGCCGAACCCATCGCCCTGTCCTCAGTCTTGCCCTGGACGCTCGTCATCGGCACTGGATCTATTGACGACCACCCTGTCACGTTTGCTTATGGAGATCAGGTGGGTTCTTGAAGCACACCAGAGCTGCCATTGAGAGAGTGCTGACGTTCTTTGCCTGTAGTCTTGGGACTCCAACAACCAGGAGCACAGCAGTAACTTCGGTGCATACGATTCAGGGAGCAGGAATGGTGATACAGGATTTACGGTATGAGTCTTTACCGTGCCGTTGGTTGACTGATGCTGACTTTCGGAATAGTGCTAGAATGATACGCATGAAGCGATGGAGCTGGAACTCCGGGAGCCGCTGTTGCCGGGTACTGCCGTATGACTGAGGCCAACGGCTGGTCTGTTGAAGCAATGCGTTGGAATGAATCATGCGCTTGAAGAATGTTAGTTGCTTCATCCATACCATCCGGCCGGACTGGAAATTTTGCATCTGATGACAGAGCGAGCTGAGTACGGTTGTTCTCAAGATGGAGACATTCAATTTCGAATCTCTCGACCGTGATGCATCTCAGTGCCCGTGACACGGCCTTCCTAAATTCCCTCGTGACTATTGCTGCGGTAAGCTATTGATATAGGTCCATTCAACGCTATTCATGAAGCGACTTTGACCGTCGGAGCAGTGTTGTCGCCGAGTTGAGCCCCCATGCCAGCTTTGTCCTTCATGGCCGCATCCTCTGCCTGTTGCTGGCGTATCTGTTGCAGTAGCTGTGGATACCACCGCTCGCCGACATCTGCTCGCGTCAGTGCTCGTCGCCTCAGTATCTGACTCAATTTCAACGTACCAGGATGGCTCTTGATCCTATTCATCAACGTAGCTTCGCCGAGATGGTTCCACTTCCCTTTGACAAATGTGAACTCGACGTCGTCTCTTCTACCTCCCTCGCGCTCTAGCACGTCCTTGCGTAATGCGTGGAGGTGGTCAGGCACTTCCATTGACTCGAACTTTGCGTCGTATGACACGCCTTGGAAGAATGGAATACTGTTGCTTTATCAGCTTTGAGCGTCACAAAATTTGGCCGGCTGTTGTGGTCTCGCACCTAAAGCGTGCCCCCTCTCCGGCCTTTGGGCTTATGACCCTATGAGTAGTGCTCGCGCAGACGCCTCCGGTAAGAGCTTCAAGGCCTTGACCGATCGCAACCACCAACGTGCCACGGATTGGTGGACAATCGATCCATTCACCTTTCGTATTCTGAGCTTGCAAACCTCGATGATTCGAAGCTTGAAGCAAATACGAGGTCAACATGGAGTCCTTGTGAGGCCCAACCCCTTGGCCGACTCCATCGCCATTGTCAGGATACTTGACGATCTTCAGCTTATGCTGTTGATCCTCGTCGAAGAAGTTGTTGAAAGCTGTAGGTGGAAGATCCAGGCTCTCTGCGATCAGGGTCATGAAGAAGATGGACACGTCGGACATCTGTCTCATGTACTCCTCATACGTCGATCTGAAATTGGGCAGTGATTCTTGCCGGGGCCATTGATTCGGAGCCAGTAGATTATGGTATAATGGGTCGTTGTCTGTGCGGACCGGATGTGGCGTGCTGAGATCAAGTTGCTCTCGCCAGTCGGCCTGTCGTTGGTATGAGCAAGCCATACACAACCACCAGAAAGGAATGGCATTACCTTCTGAGCCGTCACTTCGTTACCAAGCTAGAGCTGTCTGTCAGTGCCGTCATATTGGCCATGTATGAAATACCAACCCTACTGTATCCCAAGAATGATGCTTGGTTCTTCATCTCGATCTGGAGCTTCTCATCGTCGGGCAAGTCGAAGAATCCGATGCCCTCCTCGCAGACGCGATCGTACAACTCCTGATCGATGCCAGCCTTCTTGATATACAAGAAGCCGACGTTGAGTAAGGCATCTCGGAGCTTCAACAAGAAGTCTGGTTTCGTGCCCTGCGATCTCGCCTCTGACAGATCGAGGACCGGGATTTCTGTGAAGGCCATGCTGAACACGAGTTCAATGGTTAACTTGCCCAGTCCTCAAGTGCTGGTAATATGAGCCACGACTGCAGCCAGCGCCGTTGCCTTCGAGATTATAAGCACGAATAGAGATGCGATCAGGATGAACTCCATGGCATTGTCGAGTCGAGATCCAGCCTCCTCGCAGGTGAGATGGCGCGAAGCAACAGGACGATCACGTGCTCTTACTAAGCACTCCTTCCCCTTTCGTCCGCTCTTTCCAGACTTCTCTTCCACCACAACCTCAGTCCATCAATACTGTAGAGTCTCGTACAAACATGGCTAGTCACTTTTGTCGTTCGAATTGCTGCTACTGTCGTAGCATGCAATTATCTCGGCCATGGCAGATCAGTCTCCGGGGTTGCAAGGTATGTCTGCTGGAATGTGACCTCCAGAGTCAACAATGCAGAACAGCAGACATGCTGTCTTAACGTTCACCCTCTTTCTCAACTCCTCCTCTTTCCCCGTCAAAACCATTTCGGTATGTTCACTTTCTGAAACAATATGGCAAGACACCATCTAAACCCAGCGGGACGCAAACGATCCGGTAGCAATGGCTCAGCAAATCCCGATGATAAAAGACAGAAGAATGGAGAGCAGGACTCTGGGTACCAATCCCAACAAGTCTCTCCGAAGAAAGTAGTACAGTTTGACCGCCAGCTCGAGCAAGGGCCAACCAGGCCATCATTGCAACGGCACGACGACAACCATGAAGTCTTGAGTCCCAGCACGCAGTTGCAGAACGAGAATGACGCAGCAAACCAACCCAGCACTTGTGCATGGTCTCCCTCCTGGCGTAAGGATTTGCATCAGCAGATGTCGACCTATGTCACGCCGCCTCTGCCTCTCAACGTGGAAGAGGTCTGTGCCGCTCTCGACATCGTGAAGAATCTGGTTGCTGGCTTCTCGAGGAGCGTTCCGGCGACGAGATACGACTCCCTGAAGGACAACAATGCCCGTCTCGAAATTCTGGACGACTTACTCCACAACCAAAGCAACGCGTATTTGATCAAGACGATCGGGTCTATCGCGCAAGGAGGCAACGACCATGTCAGTGGCTGGGCGGAGCTATTTGCGAGGCATGAGTGTCGCAAGTCGCTGGTTGCAGGCATCGTTGGGCGAGCATTGAAGGACCACGTGTTCAGCAAGCTGTACTTCGGTGCATCGAAAGCTTTCGATGAGGAACTTGCGGCATTGGAGATCGACCAGGTACATCGAGACGGTGAGATTTCTTTGATGTGTCGTACATACGAACGGTCCCACTGACCAGACATAGGCTTCTTTCGCACGAAATATCGACAGAGCGAGATCAACAAGTACAAGAACGCAGGAGATCGCGAGACCTTCCACCTCGCTGTCGCACGGTTGACGCTGGAGCTGGAGAAGATGCTGTTGCCGCTTTGGGAACTCGGGTCGAAATCCAAGTCCAAGGCAAGGACGGCGAGGTGGTCTGACGAAGACCGGCAAAATCTCGCAGAGATCATCATGGTCGCTGCAAACCTAAGCCGAAGCATTCGCAGAACCGGCGACGTCGTGTACTACTGGACGCACACCTTCAAGGACGAAGAGTTCGACCCCGGCCGGATGGAATGTCTGAACCTCACCGACATGATCAAGAAAAGCCCGTACAAGAAGGAGAACATTGACGGCCACGAGCGTGCCATTCTGGACAAGACGAGAGCCAACGAGAGCGAAGCCATCGTTCAGATTGTCTGCTTCCCAGGCTTGGTCGCTTACCGCAGAGGTGGCGGCAAGCTCGCCCAACGGGTCCTGGATGAAGAGGAGAAAGCCACAAGGCGTAAAGAGGAGAAAGCCACAAGGCGCGAAGAGAAAAGGCTGCCCGAAGATGTGAAAGCGCAGCGAAAACGCTTCGCAGCGCGGGACCAGCAGCTGACGGGCAACGAAGGGTTCCGGACAAAGATGATTTCCAAGTATGTCGTCCATCTCGAATGGGGCAAGCAGCATCTCCTCACCAAGGAGGCTGGGACGTCGCGCCACATGGATGCCATGCAAGGACGCAATGGGCGGAGTATGGCACTTTACGAGAAGGACTTTGAGGACTGCGTCGAGTTGTGGAACGTCTACCAAGAGATGATCAAGGATCATAAGAAGACTGCTTTGGGTGTTTATCAGTGGCACGAGAACAACAAGAAGGGTGAGAGCAGCCCAGGGATCTTTAGCAGACTTCTTGGGGGCTAGGAGTGAGTGTTGTTGAGCACTGGCTCAAGGATAGGGTGTGGCAGGCGAGAGGCAACACAATTTCTTGTCAGACCAGCGAAGGATCTCTTTGGAATGTGGGATACGAAGGATGCTGCATGTTCTGTCTGCTTTGTGGCCTTCATAGCCTAGTTACAATGATCGTTATTCAACACATTAATCGTCTCGAGCGTATGCCTCGCTGTAAAATGCCCCCCTCGCTCCAAATCGCTATTGTGCAACCCACCGCTTCGAGAACGCCAGTCGCAATGCCAAACGAAGACCATCCCATCGCAGACCACTCTTAAGCAGTGAACTCAATCTCCCTTAGATCCCTCTTCGGCGTTAACCCGCACTTGGAAACGCCCACTTTCTTGATGGTTGCAGTCACCCGTCCCAGCTGCGTAGCCTGCCCACCCGTCAACTTGTCCATGGCACCGTGGGCGATGTTCATCCCACTCGGCGCGGTGTCGATGGCCAGCACATTGATCGTCTTGCCCTTATACGTGAGCGCGTAGCACTGGCCGCAGGTCGCCGCATTCCATGAAGGGATTTTGGACGAGCCACCGATGTTGGGAAAGTGTGGGATTCTAAAAGTTAGGCGAAAGACGTCAGCGTGTTATCCTGCGTAGGCCAAGGATGGCGCAGAACTGGCTTCTATGCCCTAGACCGACAGGTAGGCTGGCTAAGCTGAGATGACCTCTAAGGGGCATCTCAGCTATTAGGCGCTCAAGCCCCTTCAAGTCTAAGACATAGCAGCGGCATGTTCCACCTAAATTTACTTACTGGCCGAACGTGTTGTAGTTGTACTTGGTGATGAGGCCATTGGAGCCGTCGGAGCAGGCGACTGAGGTGAGGGCACCGGACTTGTTGTCGTAGACGGTATCGTACGAAACGCTCACGGTGGCCGCGTTGGCGGTGGCGAGAGAGCCGAGGGTTGCGAGGATGGCGGTGAACTTCATGGTGATGATTCGGTGTGGCGTTGATGGATTGGTATGGGATACGGAATGGAGATGCCGGGTTGTGGTGTAGATGATTGAGTGTTGTTGATGTTTCATGACGATCTTCTCTGCAACAAGGAGATAAGAGCCTTTATACCATACCTCGTTGACTTTGCAATTTGGACCTACCATCCGACGGCCGTATTCTGTGGTTAGCCTTCTTCTAGACCCAGTGAACACGAGCTGCGCCTCCCACAAATAGACATAGAGTTCGGAAAGACCAGCTGCAACACGACAGCCGCGTCTCTGCCCTACAGCTACCTCACGCTGTGTTACGAGAGTGGAAGGCCCCAGAGTGAGCGGATGCGGCAGGTCTTTGCTGGGTGTTGAGCTGAGCGGGCGGTGGCGCAGAATTGTAGAGGCACGTGGGCTCGTGCGGCTGCTATTCTGGTGTGACAGCGACTTCGGCTGCACTCTCCTCCCGCTGACACACTTCCATCCCGGTGCTTCTATGCGGACCAATGTACTGATGTAGGGCTTGGAATCAGCCCTTGAAGAGTATTGCTTAAGCCTGCTTTGGTGGTTCCATCTCTCGACGAATGACGGCTGGCTGACATCTGTTGTGGACGTCGGAGCCCTCGTGATCCAAGGCAACAAGCGATGAAGTCTTGCGGTAGCAGACATCGACGGCGTTGATGATGGAGCTCCGGCGATCTATCACACTGTCTTATGCAATCATACAGTCATCCCGACCGATCCGCAGGAGTCGAGTACATGTACATGTAACTGCCGGCGCGATGGCTGCAAGGGAGTCGAGTGTCTTGACAACTTGTAGGGACAAGAACAAGATCATTATCAGCCACCTCACCTTTCACTTCGCGCTGGCTGGAAGATGGTAAGCAAAGCGAATATTTACGTCTCGGTAACCCGATCGACCAACGGCAAGGGAGAAGGCTACCACAGGCCGCTGCACACATGGCTGGTCTCAGTGGAGCCGCATCATGGCAGCAAATTCCACATCCGAGGAACGTCCCACAAAGACCCAGAGCCAATCCACTATGGTGCTGCGAAGAATGAAGAGACAGGCATATACACCATCAACACGCACCCTCACGACAGCGAGCCAGCGATCATCGGCAACATCTTAATCGCCGAGGAGGTCTCAACTTCAGACCAGCAAGTCCACAAGCTGCTCGAAGAAGAGCTGGGGGAGAGTTCGAAGCGTACTGTCGAAGATCGTAGGTCGTCGGGACAAGAGGCGGAATACTGGATCGAACATGCGATAAGAGCATTGCAGAAGCGAAAGCTCATGGACGCGTTCGGTGTGGAGCAGTTCATGACCTTCGCGCATGCGTACGAGGCAAACCGCATGGATGGCGAGGGGCAGGCGCTGGTCGCATACCCAAGGGCACATAAAGAGCCAGAGAAGAAGGCCAGTAAGCATAAGTTCTGGGTATCTCATCCAATGGCGAATCGCACGCGGACAAATGGTCATGGGGAGGCTTCGGTATATGGAGGTTTGATGTAATGGTATATACAGATTTTAAAGCCTGGGAAATTCGTCGTAAGCAACACTTCCAGCTTCAAGCGTGCAGATACTCACCAAGACTCGTGTGCCCAAGTGGCACGATTCAGTTGTCACTGCCTTGTATCCACGAATTCGCTCCCATGCCGGCCAAGCGGTGGACACCAATGGATGGAAACGCGGCGGTCGGGTTTGATTTCCCAGAATTAAAGCCGTCGCCGGTGTGCATCTACGCGTGCCTAGAGGCCTTGTGGCCTAGCCCGATAGTGCTTATTAGAGACTGCTCCACTCGTTCGCTGGCCGTTGTGAGACATTTCGATCTGGCCATCATAAATCCTCCTTGGCTAACATATCTGTAGTGTTTGTCAGCACCGTTCGCACAACACACATACTCCACTAACCGGCGATGCTGAGGTAGAAAGCAATGGCATTGAAGCTGAATGGCAGTCAGCTTGGTTCAGCCTCAGGGGAATAGAGAGTACACACGTCCTCGCCTTCCCGGTCAACTTCCACATCCACCACCACCGCAACCGGTTCGTCCAATTAATTAGGTCCAAATGGCTGACATGGTTGAGCGTGCCCTTGTACGTTCCCCACTTACTGCTCGCAACGGAGACCATGCCATCGTTCGGGCCTTCGGCTTTCTCGATGATATCGTGAGAGTGGCGAAAGACGGAGGTGAGCTGCGGGTCGAAGGCGGCACCGTAGCTGTAATAACGGACGCCCTCGAGGTCCGGAGTTCGCGGATTGAACTTTTCAGTCATGTACTCTTCAGTCAACTGTCGAAATGCGCCGGTCTCGAGGCCGAAGAAGTCAAGGACTTTATACAGCTTGGGTATGTTGGCCGGGCCAATGCTGGTAAAGACGTAGTCCGCAAACGCAGATCCTCTATGCGGTGATGCTATTGTGGTCAGTGAGAGGACTTTCACGTTTCCTGGCTTCATGCGAGATATCATGTGCCTCGAATCGAGTCCACTGTGAGTGCATCAGTAGAGTCACGAGCTTAGGTGACTGATCAATGCATACCCCTATCATCTTGTCAGTCACGAACAATAGCATCACTTCACGTGTGACCGACCATGCTGTGTCTGCCTTGGGGTCAGCAAGAGAAGATTGAATGAATTAGGGAAGGACGGCTCACGCAATAATGTTGACGCTCTTTCCGCCCGCTTTACGCTCAATCGCTTCCGCCAATCTCTGAGCGCGTATCTCGATGCGGCCGGACGGAGGGACTTCAGCTGTGATGACTTCTACTCCTTTTGCCGCCAAAGCCTCGCTGATACCGTGCCAATAGTGCACACCTGGCAGAGGCACGCCGGGCAGGCGTAACTCATCGAATCCGAGAAGACCGTGAGCCAGGATAATGGGGTTCCTGGGCGCCTGATAGTCATCTCGTAGGACCGCAAAGTCGTCCTCTATCACGTTTCCGGTGTCTGTCAGTCGTGCATCGTTGCCATTATTCCGGAGTGGTTGGCAAGCACGGTATTGCCGGGTGATCAACCGTCTGGGATGACATTGTGATGTCCACGTACGCCGACGAAGGGCCGTCCGATGGATGATAGGTATCATGATTCAGTGCACCAGTATGGACTTCCCTCAATCCTGGCCATCGAAAGAGGTGTTGTTGATCTTGAAGACCCGAAGTTCTGGCTAAGTTCGCGGCAGGGACGCGTCACGGCCCGAAGTCCGCGACTTCGGAGAATAAATCAGACGACAAGCAGATGAACACTCACTTGCATTTCACTTCCATCCTGGAAGGTCCGCCGTTAGCTATGCTGGGTACCAGAACACCATCCTATGGCCGTGTTCAACTACCATCCAACATTGTGGTTGTAACCAGTGATCAGGTACCGGCCGAATCCTCATGCTGCGACGGTGGTCTGGCCTCAGCTGAACAGCGACCGGTTGTCCAACCGCAGCTCCCCAGCCCCCTTAGTATGCGGCAGGGGTCCTTAGACCACCCTTTTGTGCATAACGCAATCTGTTCTACCCGCCCATAGGACGCCTTGCGCCACCGTGAAGAGCAGCTGAGATCGCCATTTGATCCTGTGCGGAGAGGCTGCGTGTGCTAAAGTAACGGGCAGCATGGAGCAAAACACTACAAGAGCCGCTTGGCTGCTGTGGGCTCTATCTTGCGGCTTTGTCATGGTTCCGAGGGCGCGAAGACGACTGCATCAAAAATGTATACCATCTCCGACGAATTGGCGGATGAGGACCTCCCGAAAGCCTGGCAAAATATCATTGCACGCCTAAATGAAAAAACGAAATGGAACCTCAATGCTAGGTCGACAGCCTCTATTGACCAAGTGATTCTCAAGATTAATGCCCCAAAAGATGCGGATCCAGAGAAGCACGCGCAGACGAAGAAGATATGGCGAACCACGATGAAATGCGTTGACCGTCTCGGCGTTTTCGTCCAACGCTTTGGCGCCATCGTCGCTCAGGCGGCGTCCGTGGTATGCATGTGCGTCTCTCGATGCTGACAGCACGCTGATTCTTGCAAAGGCATTCGGTCCAGCTAATCAGTGTTTCAACGCAATCAACTTTGTCATCACTGCAGCCCAGCAGTACAAGGATGTCTTCAACAACATCACCATCCTCATGGAGAGGATATCCGTCTTTTTGGAGACCCTCAACTCATTTATGGACAACAACGACGCAGAGGTGAAGTTAGACAAGCGGTTGAGAAGATCAGTCTATCGCGTGCTCGAGCACTTCTTGTTGATCATGGGCACGACCTATGACCTTACCAATAGCTGGACAGCACGGATGAAGTTCAAAGGTAAGAGCGTTGCCTTTGGCGAGGATGAAGGCATCAAGGGTTATCTTGCCACCATGGAGACACTTGTCTCCGACTTCACTGGTGCCCAGATCAGCGTCATCGTTGACGGCGGTTGTGTTCAAATGCGTTTGTTCTCAAATGCACTTCACTGCGGCTCGTCACATGCACTCCCTCACAAGCTCAGCGAAAGCCGCCATCACTTCATCACTTCATCACTTCATCACTTCACCACTTCACCACTTCCTCACTTCATCACTTCACCACTTCCTCACTTCATCACTTCAACTCGTGGTCCATCACACCTTCAGAACATACCCTTTTCACTACACTTCAGCCACTACACGGCTGTCCAAAGGCGCGAGCAACAACAAGAAGATTTCATCATCATCACCCCCGACATTCAGATCATCATGCCGAGCACCGGTGGGATCAGGGTGAGTATCGAGTGACACGATATGAGGCGTATGCAGCACTAACAATTTAATGTAGTTCGGAACGCGCGCCAACACGTACGTCATGTCCAACGGACTCCAAGACCTGCAGCCATGGCAAGCCGCCCAACTGCGCTGGTTCGAGAAGGCCATCGACCTCGACATGGAAGACCTCATCGAGCGTGCGCGTGAGAAGGGCATCACGCCGTGGGAGTACTTTGCGCTCGCAGTGAAGGGAGATGATCCGAGCGGCAAGGAGGATGAGGACGACGACAAGGATGACGAGGACGACGACAAGGATGACGAGGACGACGGTGGTGATGAGGACGACGAGGAGGATGAGGACGACGGTGGTAATGAGGACGACGACGAGGAGGATGATGAGGACGACAGTGGTGATGAGGAGGGGTCTCAGGCGGATTACCAAGCTCGCATGCTCGGTAGGCTCGTCGTAGTCGCTGATCCCGACTGCATGTGGGCCGTCAAAGAGCAGGCTGAGAGGATTGGGATCTCGGTGTGGCAGTGGGCAGCGATGTGTCCCAAGCCCGGCGAGCCGACGACCAACTCGAGGACCGCAGAGATGCTGTAGCAAGTATACCTGCTGCTGCTTGATGTGGGTGGGCGACAGATGAGACTTGCTGCTGGGAACTGCTGGGAACGTGTCACTCGTTCATGGCGTAGTACTGGCTGCGAAAGGAACTGGCTGTGCGAGGAACGGATGCTATGACACTTCGGAACCACAATTCAAGTGTTCCTTTGTGCTGCGACTATCTTTGCTGCTGCAGTCATAGTCACTGAATGAGAAACCTGAGAAAAACCTCCCCAGACCTGACAAATTTCCCTTCCTCCGTAGTTCGTCGTCTGAAACCCCCACACACCGTGTCACTCGATCCGGGCCGTCCGTGCCTATTCCCCAGCGCCAACGTGTATCTTTGGAATCACGAAATCTTCATCGTCCCGCCTGCGCAGCGCCGCCTGCAGCGGATCGTTGACTGCCGCTTTCTTTTGACTGATCTCTCGGAGCAAGGCATCGATCATTGTCGAGGATCCAAAGAGCTTGATCACTTGGACTTCCTTCTCCTGGCCCTTGCGATACGCGCGGTGAATCGCTTGCATCTCATCGGGAGCGCGCCACCACGGTTCGCACAGAACGACGAACGAGGCACTCGTTATGTTCAAGCCTGCCCCACCACAGCCCGAGGTGATCAGCATCACTGCCGGTCCTTCGTGACGTCCGAATTGCTCAACGACACCCACACGATGTTTGTCCTGTACCGAGCTGTCGTAGCGGAAGATACGCAGCGACACGCCGAACTCATCTCCGATGGCACGGTCGGCGATATCCAGGAACTTGAGGAATCTCGAGAACACCAGCGTCTTCGCTCCTGGGCACTTGCCGATTTTCCTCAACACATCGAGCAGGGCGATGATCCTGGGCGAACGCACCTCCTCGACACTGAGCCCTTTGATTTCATCAAGGAATTCCTGCCGGTCGCGCGGTGGTGCTGGCGCAGCTGTATCGCCGGCCACATCATCATCATCATCGTCGTCGTCGTCGTACTCCTCGTCTGGATCCGCGCCCGCCATCTCCTCGCCGTCCGGCTCGAACAAGCTGCCCGATGCGCTGCGTGGCTCTCCTGCGCCATCTCCAGAGGCCCTTCCGAGTGACTCGCTCGTTTGGCTGGCTGCAGCTAGCATCTCTGTGTCAATCGGCTCGCTACTTGGGGCTTCGAGTGGCTGTTCGCCCGGATCGTCACTGGGCATCTGGTTCCGAAACATCCCAGCATCCTTCCTCATGCAATCCAGGATCTGGACGTACAGCTCCAGGCTGCCTTCCTGATGTGCCGGGTACTTCGTCAGGTAAGAGTCCATTAATTTGGAAGCTTCTTCCTGCATTGCGTCAAGCTTCTTGCGGTCCGTCTGCGAAATCATGTGCGGATGAGCGACAAGCTGCTGGGCTGCCGTGGCGTAATATATAGCCGATCGCGCTCCCTTTCCTCCTGCACACGCTGGGTTCACCATCCCTCCGCTCACTACGGCTTCAACAAATTTCTTCACCAGGAGACAGACTAGGCTCAAGACTTTCTTGTCCGTGAAGAGGAATGCGTGGACCTCGATGTCCAGGCCGGGGAGGTCCAGCAGCGATATAGGCCTCGATATCCCGGCGCCCAGTAAGAATTTGACCAGTCTGTTCCATTTCGAGTTACTCGGATTGGGGATGGTGCTGTTTCCCTCTACCCCAGCGAATGACTTGTTAAAGCTTGCTCGCGTATCGAACGGGTGGCCCTTGAGGAAACTGACTCCACCACCGTAAACATCGGACCAACGATTCATGAAGATGGTGCCAGACAGCATGAAAGTAAAGCGGCGGTCGATGTCCTGAAGGGCCTCGTGGGTGGCGCCTTCGTTCTTAGCAAGCTGGCTCTCATCCAATATGAGCGTACGGATTGGTAGTCCAAGGCCGCTGTACAGGGAGGTGTGCAATGCCGAAACAGGACGATGCTCGAAGAAGGGGCGCACGCCAGTGCGCTTCGCGGCTTCCCTGACTTCTTCGGCAGAGAGATCCTCTGACTGAGCCTGCTCGAAGTGTTTCCGTACTGTCTTCAAGTGCTTGTGTCGAGATGCAATGAACTGATACGAGCAGATGACGACGTCCACGCGCTGAGCGAGTAACTCGCTCGCTGTTGTGGCCGGATCGTTCAACACTTTCACCTTCAGTCGACAGTCCTGCATGTCATGTCAGCAACAAATATATCCGCCTTGCCACTCTGGGACGCCGTACCTCTCTGTAATTGTCCCAGAACGCGTGGTCCCACTGCCTGAAGGTGCCCTTCGGACAGACGACAACATCGAAGGCCCCTGGATACTTCTTCCTCAACATCTCGCAGGCACTTATGGTCGTCAAAGTCTTGCCCAGACCCATTTCATCCCCAAGGATGGCCCCATGCAGCGAGCTTTCGGCAAGGCGAACCATCTTGAAAGCACCGCAGCGCTGCCAGTCATGCAGATTTGCCACAATGTATTCCGGCATCTCCTCTCCTTCTTGTGGAGGCGCATGCAGCTTTCGCTAATATGGATTAGCAGAGCCAATGTATGGGGGACGCTGTACTCACCACCCAACCAGACCATTCATCTCCAAGATACTCCCAGACGTAGACCGCTTCGTCTCCCACCATCACGACATGGTCTCCATGGCCAAGAGCAGGCTCCGACTCTGAGAACTGGTCTGGGGCGTCGTCTGAGTGCTGGTCTTCTTCTGCATCCCTTTTGTTCTTCAGTAGGTAAGGGAACTCCGGCCCTTTCAAAGGAGAGATTGCTTCACCAAAGCTTGCGTTCATGCGCTCGCGCACCCTCTGACGCTCAGCGTCGCCGCCGTCTGCAATCTGCGCCTCCAAATCGTTGGTGGACTTCACCGATCGCTCGGTGGCGCGCTGTAACAATTCGTCCATCTTTGCCAGCTCCGTGTCACTCGGTAAGTTGATCTGTCAAGTCCTGCGGGGTTGTGGGATTTCAAGTGGTGAAGTGATTCAGTTGGGCTACTTTTCCCTGGATTGTTCTGGTGAGAGGCTTGGCAGTCATATGAAAAGCTGGTCACATGCACAAGGCGGCTGAGCCACCGCCACGTCACTCGCGCTCTCCAAGCTTTCATATTCAGATTTCGACTTCACAAAATCTTTCCAACCCACCGTCGCTACCACCATCCGCTTGGACACTATGGCGCCCTCAAACGAAGCAGAGGCATCCGCATCGGCCAACAACGAGTCACACGCAGAGTATTGTTTCAGCCTGGACCTCATGGCGTACGATCACGGCATCACCGAGCGAGACCCTCAGCAGATACTGCGCTTGGGTGAGCTCACCAAAGACACAAAAACTTCCAAGGACGAGAACCTCAAAGCGGGCCATCTCAATCCATTCAAGCCATCAGTACTGCCGAATGCAGACGAGCTGGACTACAGCGAGGGAATGCCGGGCGTCAACAGTGGTATCTGGATTGGAATGATACCAAGCAAAGAAGCAAAAGAAAGGTCAGAGGTCGTGCAAGTGGGGGAGGGCAAGGCGAAGACAAGAGGCTCCAACGTGAACGATCTCGTCCAGGTCAAACTCATTGCCACCGACGCCAATGCATTGCGGGCCATTGTGAAGCGTGGCGGATCGACCGCGGTGTACTACGCTCTCACCCAAAGAGATGGAATCACCGGCTTGTGCAATGGGACACTCGCCGCAATCGAAGATGTGTTTTTCTTCCGCGAATTCAGGAATGACAGCCTCAAGCAGGCGGCTGAGCGTAAGATGCAGTGGGGAGCGTTGGCCAGACAGGCGGCCGGCATCAAAGACAAGGACAGGGCAGCCAAAGGCACGACGTTGAGTTCACTGGGCAAGGTCGCGCTCACTTTACAGCGACAGGCTGCCACTGAGACTGGTACACTCTGGTAAGTCGCGCAACGAGTCACACGGTACAGGTTTGCTAACTTGAGTACAGTTCACAGTATCAGCAGACCGGGAAGGCAGAGTATCTCGAGCAACTCAAGCGGGTCCTGGAAGTGCAAGACGTCGGCAACAATCATGAGCCTCTCCTTAGCAACATCTCGCTGTCCAAACTCATCGACAACCTGGAGAAGCCCTCCACCGAACTATGCGAAGCCGCTTGGAAGGAGATCGAGGTGAGTAACAATTTCCCAATGTGTGATCAAGCTGACAATGTCCAGGTATTATGGCCACCAGTAGCATCCGTCCTCACGTCAGAGAAGCTTGAGGAGATCGCCCGTTGTCTCTTCGCCAGCAAGAAATCAATCCCTTACCATCTGGTGCGCCACTTTCTGGTCATTTGTATGGAGGAGATTGACAAGGTTGATGCGGATTTCGAGTCACTCGATAACCACGACACCGCCACAATGCTTGTCGACCGGACGATGGATAAGATCGCCCTGCTATGTGGCGAAGGTGGTTCGCCACCAAAGGAGGAAGACACAAACAGCCCCGCCCTCGTACAATGGCTGGAGCAAGAAGCGAAGGAGCAACTCGCTGCCGCAAGCCTTTTCAAAACCCAGCTCGCGGAGGCTCAGGAGCAAGGCGGCGACACGACTGGACACACAACGTTTGAAGACATCTGGCAGGACTTCGGCAGCGTGATGGATGTAGACTCAGCGAAGCTGATGGGCGTTCAGATCTGGCGTGCCTGCGCCGCTCGCATCGCGGAGAACTTCTGGCCGATCGAGGCGAAGATCAGAGAGAAGGCACGGCAGTGGAGGACCATGGCGAAGGATATCGAAGAAGTGTTGTCGGAAGCTGACGATGAGACTGGAGGGAACGGTGGAGCTGGAGGGAACGATAAAGAGGAGTGACACGATCAGTGAATGGTGGAGGTGACCAAAACGGTGGATACAGCGTCCCTTGCTACTACGGAAAGCGATGAGAAAAGAAGTGTATTATGCAGTAGCAAAAATGACTTAGCAAGAGTGCAGACGCTCAAGCAACATCTCTTCTTCACCACCACTGATGCCCTTCCTCCTCTCCACTTCCCAGCTCAATCGAGTAACTCGCTCCAACGGAAGAATTGCTCATTTGCTGCGCCAGATGCCCTTCTGCAGGGCGTCCCAGTCCGCCTTGCTAATGTTAGGCAACTCGAAGTCGTTCTCCCCCTCCTCCTCTTCGGCCCAGGGCTCTATTAATGGAAAACGTCAGCATGTCGGAGGAGGGATTGTCTTGTGATCCCACTTACTGGCGTTGCTACTTGTCACCTTCTCTCGGATGGTGGGAAGCCACAAGTCCTCGTCTGTCCCCGCTATGCCCATCTTCTCTGCGTACTGTGCGTACTCTAGAGGATGCGGGTCTTTCGCGAGTGGCCCAGCAGAACGTTTGCGGTCTAGTTCCGCCTTGACGAAGTGTCGCAGCTGCCGATTGGCACGCCTCTGTTCTTCGGAGAGAAATGGAGGCTTCATCTTTGACTCTGGCGGTGGACGATCGATGAAGGCCTTTGCGACCTTGCGCAGGGTCTCGGATTGCATGGAAATCTCCTTTTCGTGTCGGTCCTGTGCCTTCTCATCGCCAGCCGCTTCCGCTTTTTTGAAACCCTCCTCCGCATTCAACGTACGCTCCACCGCGGATCGCAGGGCATTGAGCTGTGCATCGGTCGTGGCCGGTCTCGCCGGCTTGTGTGCTATCTTTGCTTTCTTTTTGGGTGGCGGCATGTTGATAGAGCGTGTGACTCGATATGGGCGGGCGATGTTTCGAAAACTTGAATCGACAAAGTCAACCTTGAAGCTTGGCGCGAGCGACGGCGCACGTGACGCCAAACAAGACGACACTTCACCTCATCCCGTACCTAGCGTGCTGAGGCTACTTGGACGCCACCCACACCGACACACAGTGGCATGTACCGTGCTGGCAGGCTCAGAGGGCGCGCTTTTTGAGTGATAGAGCTCTTGGAGCTTTACGATGTGAGTAATGGTGTTGGCTTCTGAAGGCAGCATGCTCTTTCACAAGTGGACATTCGATGCGCGATGGCAGAGGCAGGTGCGATGTCAACCCACCTGCCCTTTCCTCGCACCTGCCTCATCACCACGGGCAGCTGCTCGAGCTCAGCACACCTTCCTGCAAAAGTCTTCCTCCTCTCCACATCCCCCCCTCTTCCCTCCCCTCCCCCACACAATGTGACACGATCTGCCGCTTGTTGCGGTTGATATACCATAATGAACCTCGACTTCAACTCCTCGGACTTTGAGGACATCGTCGAGCTCGAGCCCGACAGGAGCAAGGTGTTCAAGCCCAAAGCCAGCATTGGTCAGCGTGTCGCCGAGGCGATCATCGTACGTGGCTTCGTGATCCCACTTCACGATCAGATGGATTATGCTAACGAGACTTCATCTCACAGAACAACCAAGCGACCGACCGTCCGCTCAGCAAGTACAATTACCGCGACCTGTCGGTGGGAGCAGGTGCACCAAGCACTCGCGTACACCTGCGCTTGGCTGAAGTAATCTGGGACGCTTTCTGTGCTAGTATCAACCATGAGTATGACTTCTCTCATCAGCGAGTGACACGATATTGACACCCTGTCACAGCCCAAGCGTTTGCCCTTCTGGTGAACAGATTTTCCGAGCCATCGACTCGCGGACGCGGAGAACGGTGCCGAGCCTCCGGGGCAAGACAGCGCCAAGTCTCAGTACCATTATGGGTTTCTGGAGGAGATTGATCGAGGTCCTCACGTTCCGTCACAGGGATCTCAAGCAACATTACGGCGCCTTTGAAGTGACCCGTATCAAGACCCACCTTGACAATCTGGTGTACCGAAAGCTGCTTGTCCGTGGAAAATGGCGCAAGATGCAATGGGTTGGGTTTCAGGTGTTGCTACGCATAGCGAATAGCTGGATCGAGCATGCTCTCAATGGCGGCTGCCATGATTGGGATGTCGTGCTGCTCAAACTGCTTGGTTTGATACTGATGGGAGCCTGCGGTGCTCGAGCTGGTGATGTCGCGCGCTCGAATCACTACAACGGAGTCGAATACCTTTGCTGGGCGGACTTGGAGATGAAGCTGAAGTCAACGTCGCCTCAAGAGGCTCCAAGCGTACAGGACCTGACTCTCACGGTCACCCTCGAGTACACTAAAGGTCACAAGTATGCTTTTCGAGTCACTCGATCATTGTGCAGTAACTGACGAAACCATAGACGAACGATGAACGAAAGTCGCAGTGTCTACATCGAGCCACTCGAAGACCCCAACCACAGCGCCGTTTGCCTTGTGAAGCTTCTCCTCATCGTCGCTCTCCGCCTGGGCCAGGTTCAGTTCTCGACCATACATGAGGTTCTTGCTCAAGCCGCAGCGCGATGGGATGGTGCTGTGCAATGGAAGGATCCCAAGGCACCAGTGGTGTGCAAATTGCGGCCGAAACGGGACTTCAGCAAGCCTGCTTCAACTGATCAGCTTAGAGCAACAGTGAAAGCCATGGCTCTCAACGCCGGCGTTTTGGCACCAATAACCACCCACGACTTGCGTAGAGGAGCGCTTCGTGATACGGCCTACCGTACCACGCAGTCAACGTCTGGACTCGCAGATAATTTTGTGGCGCTCGCTGCCGGACATACCGACAAGGCATTGAGCAACGGCGTTACTCAGCACTATGTTGGTGATCTTCAGACGCCATTGTGGAACGACCGGGCTTCAAATACGTTCGTGGATCACAAGGCGCCGGCTTTTGCTCCATCCCCGGCCCCAGATATGACGACACGAACGAAAGCTGGAAAAGCTGATGTGCGCGCGTACATGGAGAAACACGGTCTGGACACGTCTAGTGAGAGTGCGCGGAGGCACGCCACTCGCGCATGGAGGAATGAGGCCATGGACGCCTGGCGTACTGGGGAAGGATTTGAGGTGGAGCCTACGCCATCGAAGAAGCAAAAAGTGGAGGTGTTGCGCGAGCAGAGTGCCAGTGAGATCAACGTGCGCAGCAATCGCCCCGTCCCGTCCGACAGCTTCGTCGACGCTGGCACGCGCCTACCGAGTCACTCGGTCCATGCACCAGCAGGCGATGAGCGGAGTAACCTGGATCCCGCGCTGTTTGGCTACGACGACGAGAACGAGGAGACGGAAGTTGACAGCAACGAGCTCGACCATGTCTGCAATCTTGTTACTCAGACGGTCGGTGATGAGGCTGAGCTCGATGACAGCCCGGATGACATCGACGATGAGACTTTCGAACAGACGGTGGCGACTGAACTGGCGCCAGCGAGTGACACGGTACAGCTCACCGGGAACGCCTTTGTCCAGAAGTTTGCAGCAATCAACGTATTCCGAACTACTTCTAGGTTCAACATCGACAATCCCACAGCACTTGCGAAGCGAGTGTCTTCCGGCAACAGCAGAGATCCGCCCTCGCCGTACATCTTCCGTTGCAAGCAACCTAACTGCCCATACTCTACCCGTCTCCATCAGGACTTTGAGAGACATACTGGACTTTGCACTGGCTTCTCTGCGCCTCCCAAGAAGGAGTTTCCTTGCCCATACGACGACTGCGACAAGGCATATTCATCGGAAATGTCCCTAAAAACACACCTGGATGAACACCGGTTTACGCCCAGACCATGCCCAAGGTGCCCGGACAAACCTGATGTCCTCTATCGAACAAGAGCCGAGCTCAACGCCCATGGCCAGAAAGTCCACACAGCGCTGCCAACCGCCGCCCTGTGTCCACTGCAGAAGGACTGTGGGTCCAAGAAACTCTGGGACAACCGGACAAACTTGAAGAAACATCTGAGGGAATTGCACCGATTGCAAGGCAAAGATGCGGATGCTTATCTTCCTAAAGTGGGCAATGGTAAGGGATTCACCTGCACTGTTCTGTCATGCCGCCAGGAGTTCAGCAAGATCACCCAACTTCGTCTTCACATGCGGGAGGAGCACCAACTCTCGGCCAAAGAGGCCCTCGCGAAAGCGCCAGGGCAACGCAAGCCAAAGAGCCGGGTGACAGTCGAGGAACCCGTTCGGGGCGAAAGGAGTGTTGAGCCTGCAGAGCTCGCACAGGTGGGTGGCGATGAGGGCAGTGCGGACGAGGACGATGCAGGCGATGAGGGCGATGTGAGTGAGGAGGAGGCTCAAGTTTCACCGTACTTCTTCCAGCAGTACTACTATCAAGGACAGTAGAGCTTTCGATGGGTGGGGCGGAGCGAGTCACACGACGTGGCCCGTTAATGGCTTCTCGTCGACCTCTTCGTGACTCACATCTGTTCAGATATGTATAGCACAGTGCAGAACTACAGAGAAATCTTGCTTTTTTCCCCTCTTTTCATCAACATAACGTGCTGCGGCCGAACCAAATAGTACAACTAGTTGGGCCTATCGTACACTATGCGAAGTGCTCGTGACATCGTTATGCGCACCCCCACGGAGTCTCACACTCCCGTGGCCGCCATCATGCCGTTGGTGTTACGCAGCAGTTCGTACCACCACAGAGCCGTTTGTCGAACGGAAGCAAGGTAGACATCCGATTGATGCAGCATCACGACCTCACCGGCGCTTTCACACCCAGCAGCTTCTCGGCATTGCGGTAAGCCACCATCTCAAACTGTTGTTGCGTCAGCAAGCCGCTCTTCTCCAGCTGCTCTACCCACTCCAAGCCCTCTTCGTTCTTCGCAAAAGGGTAGTCGACGGAGTACAGGATGTGATCGATCTTGGTGTTGCCCAGGACACATCTCAGGGGGTCAAGGCTCCAGACGCCGGAGGTTGTGATCCCTATAGAACAACATCAGCTGCTGATCGAACGAGGTAAGGTTAGAGTTCTTACATATATTCTCGTCCCACACCTCCTTCAACTTCCTCTTCATGTTCCCCCACCGCACACTAAGATTGCAAATCCGCTGCAGTTGAAAAGGCAACATCTCGCCAAAGTGGCCGATAATCATCTTCAATCTCGGGAACTTGTCAAACACACCAGCAGCAAACAATCGAAGAATGTGCAGACCGGTCTCCGTATGCCATCCCCAACCCGAAGCACCCAGACTCCTCCCTGCGCCTTCGGAGAAGTTACCTGTGTACCTCGGGTTCATATCATCGGATGGCCACGTCGGATGCAGGTAGATGGGTACGTCTAACTCCTGCGCCTTCTCCCAGAAGACATCATACTCGTCACCGTCGTAGTACTTGCCGTGGACATGATTGTCGATCATCGCGCCGACGAAACCGAGCCGCTTCACACTCCGCTCAAGCTCCTTCGCACATTCTTTCGGGTCAGCCATTGGAAGCACAGCAAAGCCGGCAAAGCGGTCAGGGTTCTTCTTGATGTCTTGTGCGAGCTGGTCGTTGCCTTCTCTGCAGACATTGGGGGGTGGTCCGCCTGCGATGCACGCATGGGAGATAACTTGCAGCGAGACTTTGCCCTTCTCCATCTCGCTAAGGCGGATTTGGTCGGCGTCTGTCAGTTTGTCTCTCAAGCCTGGTATGTACTTGAACTGCTCGACCATTTTGTCGTCGAGCGTGTTCATGGCTGCGGTGGAGAAGTAGTGCTCCTCGAGCGTGATGAGTGGAGGGACCATAATGGCTCTTGTGAAGTCTCGAGAGAGGAAGATTGGGTAGATGCTTGCCAGTCTTCTGAATGTGTATGTAGCGTATGTATCTCATGGAATACCGCTGCTGACATTGTGAGCTACGTCAGCTTCCCGACTGGACCCCGAGCTCGCGGGAGGTGATGTTGTGCAAAGCTACAGTCACCGTTTCTAAACCTCTGCATGACAATATGCCGACAGCATCGCTGAATGCCACGCATTGCCATTGGGTTCATTTCTTGGTATTCCGGCCGACTAAAACAAGCCGGACGGTCTGCTGCCGAGTTTTGGAGGCCGGCCTTGGAGCTCACCTCAACCGAGGTCTCTCCTCTCGACACCTCTCCCAAGCTGTAGACCGTCTGTACAGACGAGTGTGCTACCAAGGTAAAGTGTCGACGTTCTCTCGTTATCCTATCCCTCTCCATCCGTTCCTCTCAATTCCTCCTTCTTCTGCATACACTCCCGATCTCGCAACCATGGACCTCAAACACCCCGCCGACCCCAAAGCCGTTGACCTCCCCAAATCCTACTCCGACCTCCCCTTCCAACAACTCCGCATCTTCAACGTCCCCGAGTCCGCCAAAGAAGTCACCCCGGTGGTCGTCGTCCAGCTCTACCGCCCGAACAACTACAATGCCTTCACCGACACCCTCATGCGCGAGCTCGAGACCGCGTTCGAGATGTTCGACATCGACGGACGCGTAAAAGTCGTCGTCCTGTCTGGCTACGGTAAGATGTTCTGCGCCGGAGCGGACTTGGACATTGGGTTTTCGAAGGGCTTGCAGCATACGAAGGACAATAGGGATGGTGGGGGAAGGGTGTCGCTGGCGATTCATCGGTGCAGAAAGCCTACTATTGCGGCCATTCATGGGGCGGCCGTGGGAGTGGGGATCACGATGACGCTGCCGTGTACGATTCGGGTGGCGTGGGAGAACGCGAAGATCGGGTTTGTGTTTGCGAGAAGGGGGCTTGTTATGGAGGCTTGTAGCAGCTTCTTCTTGCCGAAGTTGCTCGGGTACGTGGAGCACCCCAAGAGTGATGCTGATGCAGAGAGCTGACTGAATGTGATGCTGTAGCATGAGTAAAGCCCTGCATCTCTGCACCACCGGCTCGGTCTACCAAGCAAACAACAAGTTGCTCGACGGCCTGTTCTCCGAACTGCTGCCGTCGCCCGAGGCGGTGCTCCCACGAGCCCTGGAGCTGGCCGACGAGATCGCCAATAACACCAGCACCGTATCGACGAACCTGATGCGCGAGCTCATGTACCGGGGCCCCGGCTCTGCAGAGGAGGCTCATCTGCTGGACAGCGAAGTGATCGCCGGCCTCTTTGGTGGCCCAGACAACTCAGAGGGCGTCAAGTCGTTCAAGGAGAAGCGGCCTGCCAAATTCACGGCGAATATGCTTGACAATGCACCGCAAGCGTATCCGTGGTGGCACGCTACCAGCACGGCCTCGAGACCGCATCCGAAGGGTAAGAATCCCAAGCCGAGATTATAGATACATGAGCAATGTGCATGAATTGAAAGCTCCAAATGCTGCCGAGTCTCGCCACGTTTCTGATCGCTTGGCTCCAGTGGGACGGAATGTCTTATAGGCCCTCCAAATCCATTGAATCCTCTTAGAAGCATCAGCAGATCGCTTCAAGCTCTTCCCATCAAATCTCCCACTCCGTCTTGATGCGCTGTATCCACTCAGACCTTGGCATCTGCTGTCCACCCACAACCACAGTGTCCGCCGGGAGAGCCCGCCAGGCAGCCTCATCAAACGCAGGGATGTGAGTGAATTCGTGATCAGGTCTGCAGATCGCCACGTCCAGTTCGCCCGCCTTCAGCTTCTTGTAGCATGCTTCGTTCAGCTGGATGTCAAGACAGTCTTTGCAGGCGTAGATGTCGTCGGCGTAGGTCCATCTCGTGCCGCAGTCTCCGCCACAAGAGTTGTTTAGTGCTCCCTTCGGCGGCGGCTTCGATTCTGCTGATGTCTTCTCGTGGGGAGCTACGCCATTGGTCTGCTTGGCATCCGCAGCATGGTCCCGTCAGTAGCTTCCTCAGAGGTGGGTAAAGTATGAACATACTCCTAGATGATCCTAACTAGGAGATTAAGAGAACTACTCAGCCTAGACTTCCGAGCTAGAAGCCTGGTTTAAAAGCAAAGAAATCACCCACCAAGTCCTTGCCATATCATTTCCGCCCATCTCGCTTTTGATAGACTTCCTTCCAGATCGAGTCACTCGCTGCCCATGATCCCTCTCCCGTCTCCCTTCCAATCTCCTCGTGGTACGTTTTCCGCATCTCGCCTGCTTATTAGAAGCCATCATCAATGGGGAGATCAACAGGATCGTCCTCTGTACTACCGTTGCGGGCGTAATTCTAAGCCGGAAACGCCTCCTCCTGCTCGACCTCGCCCTGTTCCTCGCTCTTGACGCTGCCCTCTCCCTCTCTCTTTGGCTGAACGAGTGACTCGTTTTGCACGGCACCACCATATGTCTTCTGCAGCCACTCGCTGACACTGTTGCCCTTCATTCCTGCCTCCGTTTCCACTTCTCCATCTCCGCCTGCCGGCATAGCGCTCGCCGTAGCCTCCTGCTCTGCTACCACCGCTTCTTCGTCCAGCTTGGCCTTCTTCTGGCGGATCCGCGCACAGCGCCGTTTGAGCTCGTCCCTGTCGGCGAGCTCTCGAACGATGAGCTCGGGCTTCGGAGGAGGTGGAGGAGGCTTGGTGATTCCGGCAGCCTTCGCCTTCGCATCCTCCATGGCCTTCTTCTTCGCCATCTCCCTCGCCATCTCCTTGGTCGGCGGGGGTTCTTTCTTTGGCGGGTCTTTCGCGAAGATGACGCCGCGCGCATCACGATATAGCTTGTCCCCAACGTACTCGATGTCACCGTCCGAATGTGGCTCGAGCGCGTACCGACAGCCTTTGAGTTTGCCCCAATCGACGATGTCCTTGGGCTCCACGCCGTCGCGAGTGTCTTTGTGGTCGAAATGCTGTGTCCGATATTAGCGCCCGGGATCGTGTGACTCGTTCCAGAGCATACGAGGGAGACTTACGCCTCTCTTGAGCGTGAACATCATCTTGCCCATTGCCGTACCGCGCGTGCTGTCTTGACCCACATTCGCCAGAATCTCCTCATCCGAGACCTTCTTGACTTTCTTTGTCACGCGAACCTCGTTGCCATGCTCATCCTTCTCAAAGGTGTCACCCTGATCCGAGGCCATATCCTCCTTGTCTTCCTCCATCTTGCCGTCGCCCAGAGGATTCTCCCCCTTTCCTTGAAGATCGGCCTTCTCCTCCTCATCTTCCTGATCCTCGTCCTCGGAAGCCACATCGCGCGCAATGAAACGCGAATCTCGGACAGCCGCAATGTCGGGATCGTAGTCGGGATCGTCGGCGCCGGGTGCGGTGGCCTTGCCTTTACCGTTCTATACACAGCGGAGGTCAGCGAACGAGTAACACGATGAGGAAGGGTTTGTGGAGGTATCACCTTGCGGTCCCACGAATCAGCTTTGACGCCACCCAAAGTCTGCACGCCCGTCTTCTTGTATTTGTTGGAGGCAGTCTTCATCGGGACGGAGGCGGTACGGCCAGCAACCCTGCCGAAACCATGAATGCCCGTCTTCTTGCCTTTGGGTGCCATTGTGGATGTTTTTGAGAGATTGATGGTGTGAATTGAAGCTTGGTTGGCGGTGAAAAGGGTGGTATTTGGGAGGTAGAGAGTGTGGTAGGTGAGAAGAGGTGAGAGGACTTGCCTGAAAGTAATGGATGTGAGCGGTGAAGAAGAATCGGAGCATTCGGCTTCACAGGGACCAATGTCGCATGCTGCACACAGCTGTTCCCGTGATGTTCATGCCGGCGAGCAAGTGATGAGCATTTGTATGAGGCGCTCACCAAAATCACCTTCACTACCACCTTCACTGCCCGTGAAACGACACTATCGCACCTTCCTCACCTGCCACGCCGCCAACAACCTCCAATACTCCTCTCTTTACTTCTCACACCCTCCATCTCTGTTTCAACTCTCCCAAACGGCTTCGTTTCAGACAAAGCAACATCCAAGCCATCTCTCCACACAGCAAACACCACTACCAAGACCTCACCATGTCCAGGTCTGTTAGGAGCACGCCGCTGCGGACCAGGAGCACCACCGTGAGTGAACGAGTCACACGGCGAAGGATGGATTGCAAGGCTGACCATTCTGTCACAGTATGCTGCACCGGGACGAGCGGTCGAACCGGAGGCCAACGTCGAAGTTGCGTCACGTCGCACCGGGACCGTCGATGTGAGTGAGTGAGTGACACGGTGAGAAGAGGTGTTTCTCGGCTGACAAAAACAAGCTCCACCGCCGCGAGGTTGTCGACGTCGTCAAGAAGCTTAGCGTCGACCTCGAGATCGTGTCGAGGAAGGTCCAGTCTATGCATGACGACATGGTGAACTTCAAGTTCGTCGCCGCCGACATGCGTGCCAGCGAGAACATGAGCAATCCCGACGACCCGCCAAACAAGCTCATGGACCTCATCTACGGCATCTCCAAAGCCTGTGGCGTCGACTTGTGCAAGCTGATCGAAGCGTTCGACACGTCTCACGATCTCCCTCGTCCTCGGCGCCTGTTGGCGAGTGCGGCGGCACGGCGCTAGGCGCGACGTCGGTGGTAGACAAGAAGATTGGTGATTGATGAGGTGGTTGGATTAACGAGTGACTCGATGTTGCTCTGAATTGATGAAGTTGGAGATTAAAACATGCGTGCTGGGCTGGGCTGGGTTGTGCTGGGACAGAGAGAGAGCGACGTGAGACAGCGGGCGGAGACATTGATCATTTTAGGGCCCGAGAAATGCACAAATGTCCAGCCCCGCTTTTTTCATCTCCACCACCCACCATTCCTCTTTCGGTGCCTTTGAATAGGGACGCGAAATTATCGTCTCGGCTAAGTTCGTGACCGATTCCAGTTTCGCGTCAATATCGCGTTGCGGAGCTGATTGGCGCGTTAAGTGCTTGCATCCAATCGCGTCTCCCGCGGCCGCTGCTGATGGATGCGACTATCATGCTGATGCTTTGCACCGCTCTGCCCCCTCGGCTGCCGTGATGGTCAGGGCGATGCGGCCATGCGGATGGGCTGTGAGGGTACATATCTGCCTTCCTGCAGCTTGCGCTGTTTGTAGGTTTCTTCTCGTTTCCGTTGCTGCCTGAGCGAAGAGTGGAAGTTAAGTATAAAAGGCTGCCGTCTCCGCCACCTTCTGTACACACTTTTGGCTGCTCTTTCTTGTCTTGACGGTGCTGTATCACCACTATCGGCTAGAAAGACCGCAGCCGACATGTTCACGTCCAGCAAGCCCAACAAGTCATATCGTGACAGCTTCTCACACCGAGCCAGCAAAGCCACGAGCAAGAAGAAGGGCAGCTCGTTCAAGGACAAAGACCTGTCTCAACACTCCAGACGCATTTCGGTCCAGCAACCACCACATTCCTCGCCACGCAGTCAAGGCACATCATCATCTCCTACATCCCCGTAAGTCATTACACCTCCATCATAACCCCAGAAACTAAAGATATCCAGCCACCTCAACTCGGCCATCATAACCATCTCTATCGGCCCAGCTCAACGCCTCTTCGCCGCCCACGAAGACGTCCTCTCCAAATCCTCGCACTTCTCCCACCACCTCCGCGCACAATTCTTCGAAAGCGCCGGCAAACGCATCGACCTCCCCGCCGAAGAACCCGAAGTCTTCTCCGCCGTGCTCGAGTACCTCTACAAAGGCGACTACACGCCCAAACTCGCCTTCGACAAGAAGCGCGGCAGCTGGTACCTCGAAGACCACGACCCTTCAGCCGGCGAGAGCACAGTCGCTGTAGGAGGCGATGGAAGCGTGGTGTTGAAGGATACAGTGATCTACTGCGCAGCGTTCCGTTACGGGCTGCCGGAGCTACAGCGGTTGGCGTTGAAAAAGCAGGGTTTGCAGAGTGGAGTGCAGTGCAGTACGATTCTGTCGAGTGCCAGGTTCGCTTATGCGAATACGCCGGCGAGCGATTCGAAGTTGCGGGCGCATTACTTGGCGTTGGTGATTCGGAGTCGGAATACTTTCAAGAGGAGTGGGACGATGCAGATGGAGATGCAGAGGGGTGGGAGTCCGCTGTGAGTTATCTTCAATACCCAACACTCTGACCTATACTGACCGTCAATAGGTTCTTCGACCTGTTCGTTGCGTAAGCCTGCCTTCGCCGTTTTCTACTAGTGACATCCCTCGACTAACCAACACATCGCAGTATGGTCAACCATCTCGACGACATCACCAAATCCTCACGCTAGGCCACAGCCTCGCCACTACGGTCTACAAGTCCACTATCACCCCCAGAGCCGACAACGACACACCACTTCACACGACGGCCTATTACCGTCAAGCCGTTGGACAGGATTCCGCCCGTCCTCGTCACTCGTTCCAATCACATGTCCTCGAGCACCACCATCCGTGCTCATCATGTACATCTACTTCTACCTCCCTGCAACTGTTACTTCACTTCAAGCGAGCAAGGCGTTCCGGGCGAGCAAGGGCAAGGCAATTACTGCTATGTATCATTATCGACACCAGATTGGGATATGCTACTTCTAGAGAGCAAATGTGGAAAGGGTGCAAGTGAGACGGGACAGATTGATACGACTATGGGAACAACTACGGTTGGAATCGAATGGCTGGGTCGGAAGCTCGATGTATTTCTATCGCGGCAAGCTATCTGTTAGACTGATTGGATGATATGGTCTTGCCGCCCACGCACGCACTACCTCTTTTCCCTAATGCCATGCTTGCCGTGGTCGCGTATCAATCTTCCGGACGCAGAAGACCGGTCTACTGAGTAGATGCATGTACCGGACTGCGAGGCGGCCCGCCCGCCAGGCCATGCAATGCAAAGGTACATGCAGCAAGGTGATGGAGCTAACGGTCCCGCGATATGAGTCACCGCTCGAGGTGTGTATGCCTCTTTGGGCCAGATGCACCCCGATGCGGCCCGATCGCCATTCATCAATCACACGTCGCCGGCACTCGAAAGTTAACTGTTTCCGACCCCTCCGTGTACCTTTGTCACGACCAGAGGCTGCCACTCTGCTGCTTCCTCGTTCAGAGCCGCGCACGAGATTGTAGTCATAATTCCGACGCTCGTCGAACTCTGTTGAAATGCCTCAAACGCCCGTGCCCGGGAAAGCGCCGGCCTTACTAAGGACGATGATGCCGCGCTCGCGGGCGATGTAGCCTTTCATCAGATTCTACCACTCATATATCAGCCCACCATCAACCAAACTCCCCACTTGAGATAGTACTGACCTTGTAGATAGCATTCGCAATCAAACACTCCACCTCATCCCCGTCCCACACCCCGACCTCTCCACTCCCATCCCCCACCTCCGCCCCGGCCAACATCAACGCCGCTGCAAACTCCTTCACCGGTACCCGCGTCCTTCGCACCGTCTGCCCGCCGCCGTCTTTCGCTTCTTCGAAGCCGCCGGCGATGTAGACTTTGCGGAAGATATTGCGCAAGATAATGTCCCGGCCGCGCTCGAGGGTGAGGTAGATGCGGCGTTTGACGAACTCGGGCTCACCGGCTTCGAGGGCGGCGTTAAAGGCGGCGAGGTTGGCGGTGCGGATGGAGTGGGTGAGGGGTTGGAAGAGGGAGGCGAGGCGGGGGTATTGTGCTAGTAGAGCTGGGGAAGGAAGGCGGTGGGAGGTGAGGAGTTTGGTTGGGATGAGGTAGGTTAATATCAGCTCGAGGTTCTTGCGAGTGGCTCCGCCGCCAACATTCGGAGACAGGCAGAGGTCATAAGCAGTGGTCAGATTCTCCTCAGCAGTGGCGTAGTCTTCCTCGAGGAAGTGCAAGACGCCGGTGTAGTAGTAGAAGGTGACGCGGTGGGCTTTGGGGAAGGCCGCGAGAGCTGGCATGTCGTGGGCGGATGCACGAATGGAGCGAATGATGTTTTTGGAGAGGGAGATGCTGTTCAGTTTGAAGTAGGTTTTGAAGAGGAGGTTGGCGGTGTAGTAGAGGGCCCATTTGCGTGACTCGTCGAGAGGGTTACTGACTTACCTTAGCCTGCATTCTGGCATGGGTGGGAACGACGAGTGCAGGTTGTGAGCGCAATGCAGATATGTTGGTGTGCGGTGCAGTGCAAGGGGATCGCGAGCAAGACTTACCGGTCACTGATGCACAGCCCAAAGATCCTGTTGATCTGCCTGGCCGCATCTTCGAGCTTCTCATTCTTGCTGTCCGGGTTGAAAGCATCCTCTTCCTGAATGCCGCCAAAGGCCATGCCACTGTCACGCTGCGAGGCGGTCTTTTCGTCCGCTTTGATCGCGAAGACGCGCAGGTACTTACCCGCCACGTATAAGCACGGTATCGTCCAAGCGGCGAGGACCGTACTCTGATAGCCCTTGTACAGAGCATTCACAACATCCTTCCAGCTGTCGTACACACCACTCCAGTCGGCCTCCCTGGCTTGGCCAGCGTTTTGCGCTTCTTCGGCAGCAACCAGGAAGCCGACGAAGCGGTAGAAGGTGGTGAAGACTTCCATCCATGCCGCCGCTTCTTGTTTGGAGAGCTGGACGTCCGGGTTGTATTGCAGCTTATACTTGAGGTCGGTTGTAATGCTGTGCGCGTTCGTCGAGCGCAAGAAGTTGTAGAAGCGTGCTGGTTCATCTGCTGGTGGCTCTGGACAGATGGTGCTGGCGAGGACGTAGCCGGGTGCTTTGCCTATGGGGAGGGTGGCCGGGTTGTGCGCCGCCGCGAAGTCGCGAAAGATCGAGTCCATCCTGTTTGTCCTCTCGCTACCTTACAGCCATTCGTGTCGTGGTGAAAGTACGAAGTCGAGTCTGTTGTTGCGCTTTCAAAATGAAGGACTCGCTAATTGGCTGAATTGGATTCTTGGCGTGCGGGATCAGCCGCTCCCACGAGCTTTTGATATCGCGAACATTTCTCTCCAACTACACCTCGAACCACCACCGACCACCGACACGACAACAGACACAGTGAGTACCACAAACCGAGGCAATCGCTTGCGTGCTAACACATGAACAGATGGGTAAGCACACCCCTCCTGCGACGGCCGGACGACCGAGCAAAAGCATGGAATTCGAGGAGATACTATCCATAAGACAACGCTGATTCTGTTCTCGGACAGGTCGCTTGCAGGAATACCAAGTCATTGGGCGCCATCTGCCCTCTGACAGCAACCCTTCACCGAAGCTCTACCGCATGCGCATCTTCGCCCCGAACGATGTCGTCGCAAAGAGCCGCTTCTGGTACTTCTTGGCCAAGCTGCGCAAGATCAAGAAGGCAAACGGTGAGATCGTGAGCTTGAACAAGGTGCGTGCGATCAACATCCCTCTTGCGGTGAATCTGGAGGCATAAGATCTGCAAAAGCAGCGAGGAGGATGGGCTTGTTGACACGAGTGATGTAGATCCACGAGAAGCGCCCACAAAAGGTCAAGAACTTCGGTATCTGGATCCGCTACGACTCCCGCTCCGGCACGCACAACATGTACAAGGAGTACCGCGAGATGTCCCGCTGCGACGCAGTGCAGGCCATGTACCAGGATATGGCGTCGAGGCATCGTGCTCGGTTCCGGACGATTCACGTAAGGCGACACCAGCTCAAAATGGATTTGCATGTGCTGACTGTATGCGATACAGATCCTCAAGGTCGTCGAAGTCAAGAAGGTCGACGACATCCGCCGCCCCTACATCCGCCAACTCCTCCAGAAAGACCTCAAGTTCCCTCTGCCCCACCGCAACCCACCGAAGTCGAACAAGCATGTGTTTGCCGCGAAGAGGCCTGCCACGTTCTACTAGATGGTACGATCAAAGGAGGAACAGGAGTATGGGAAACGATACGGCTGGTTCTGAGAAGAGTTCATGGCGTGCCGTATGGTAGAAGCCTGCTTTAGCTCAAAAAAACCGAGTGAAGTTCACACTCCAGCCCCAAACACCGTCCCATGCAGCCTGGCGACATTTTGTTGACCAAATGCTTCCTCTATGAAGCCAGCGCAATTAAGCCACCTCCTAAAGCCAGCCCAACAGGCACACTGCCCCAATGCACCGCCTTGCCCCTTCCCGCCCAACTTGTCGCACACCCACCTGCCGCTTGTCAGCATCTCTGCCCTTCCCCATCGCTGGAGCTGAACGTAGTACTCACCCATCAACCAGCCCCATCAACCCCCCAGTCATCGTCGCCCAACCCAACGCCGTATAACTCCCAGTATACCACATCGCCACATTGCTCAAGCCCACCACAATCCTCGTAGCCGAGAGCATCTGCACCAGTCCCTCCGCGAGCGCTTTGTCGGAAGGTGAGACTGGGGGTCTAAAGCCTAGATTGCTGAGGCCCACAGAGTGTTGGAGGAGGGTGTAGGTGTTTGTTGCTGTGAGGAAGGTGGAGAGGAGGAGGGGGGTTGTTGCTAGGTGGGTGGGTTTGAGGGTGGACATGTCTGAGGGTGGGATGAGAGTGTTACTGAGCGGGACTTGGTTGGAGTCTTCTGCGTTGGGGGGTGGTAGTTGTGTCGGAAGAGGGAGTCAAGATAGTAAGGCGCAAGCCAAAGACGTTGGAATGTACGCTCTCGCGCCTCGTTGAGTTACAGATTCTACAGTGACGACTTTGCGATCATCAGGGCCACAGACAGACGGCTGGACGGCTTGTCGAGTACGAACATCCCCAGCTGTGCGGTATCACTGTATCGGAAAGCTGTTTTGGGCTTCGCTCTAGAAGAGCTTCGGGCTTCGGCGACTGACGGGAACGAGGAATGTCACATGCACGTCGGGTGACGAAGGGAACGGAAGGATTGACACGGCACGAGGCAAGTGATGTAGGGTATTTGTTTGTTTTCATCTGCAGAAGTAGGTATGCTTGGATCTGTCTAAAGTGCTCGTGATCATGCTCTTTCCAATACCTCCTCCTCATCGATCAATCACGGAAGCATAGCACACACCGAGCAGGAAAGCTTGCTGTCTCTGTCGCAGGCTCCCAATCAAGCAGGACAGGCGATAAGCTGCTAGACCAATCGATCACACCTGGTCCAAGACACTCTCATTGTGCTCCAATGCTGCGTATACTTTCCACGACTGACGTTTTTCAATGGCCCCTTTCCTGATAAGGCTGCGTCAGGATCGGTCATAGGCGTCTTTCCTGAACGCGGTGCTGTGCCATCTTCGACAGCTGGTTGTGTAGTCGGTCCGACCTCAACCCGCGTGCATCTCCCCTTGGCCCATGCGAGCGAAGTCTTCCTGAGTGGGCATGTTCGTCGGGTGCAGCGTACGCACCGTATTAAAGTCGAACCGCTCCGAAGGCATCGCCACACCCTGCCTACACTCTTCTGCTCGACGAACCATCTCCCCATCGTGGACCATGTCCATCCTGCCCAGTTCGTTGCTGAGTATGTTGTCTCGCTCGCGCTGCTCGTTAAGCTCTTGCTGCCTGGCCTTCTGCTGCTTCTTAAGTTGCCGGGCCTCGTACATGCGCTGGAGTGGATGTTTGGCCTCTTCTGGGTTCGGCGGCGCCGGTCGACCTGAAGGGCGGATCGGGAGCGTGAACGTAAAGCCAGTATTGGGTTGCTCGGTTTTGGTGGGAGTTGGTTTCCTTGCCTTTTCCTCACGACGGCGCTCGGTGACCAACTGAGCGGAAACGGACCTTCGGGTCGAATCTGGAAGCTGTGGCGCCACTATCGGCATGCCCTTGAGCCATTCTTTGTTCTGAACCGGCATGCGAGTGTCGTCTCCGTGTGGTTCGGCCTTGATGAGAGGATGATTACGACGAAATTCGTCCTTCGCCCTGCTCCTCGTCCTCATCCTGGTCTCCTGCACCTTCTCATGCGCCTTGTCCCTCTTCTTCTCCCGTTTAGCCCATAAAATGGCTTGATCAATATCCCCGCACGTCAGCCCAAGCACACACTCTTGGATGACAGGCTCGCACGGGCAAGGATCGTTGGTGACCCTCTCAACCAGCTGCTGAGCTGGTGCACCGGTTCCAAGGGTCCGCGACCGTTCCGTCCATGCATCTACCAGAAGGTTGTCGGCTAGCAGATAGTTGTTCTTTGTGATTGATGCCAACCGCCGGAGCTTGACGAGCAAAGCCAGTGAGTATAACGTTTTCGTACGAAGTGATGGTGGTATGCACTCTTCCGGAGCGATATGCCATCGGTGCCGGATGATACGGCAGCTCTTGTAGTAACAAAGAGCGAAAGGCATGTTGGAGAACCGCCGCTTAAGCTCCATTTGCTTGATGGACTCCGTATCCGCCGGCATCTGCCAAAGGAAGTAGCGACTTGGAAGCTGCTCCATGCGGACCTGGAGGTATACCAAATCCGATAGCTGTGGTAGTGAGAGTGAGTCGGCCACCTGATTGCTGGATTGGTCCTGTAACATCATATCCGGTTCGAGCTTCACACCACCATCCTCGCTGTCGGTGTCCATGCTCTCCGGCTCCATCTTCACCTCGTGACAACGGTCCTCTTGTTGCTGCTGTTGCCTTGACCTTTCTTCCTCGGCACTCTCAGGAACCAGTCTCGTCGTTTTAGGTGGCGTAACCTCCCAGCCCGGAGGAACGTATACGTCATCTACCATGATCACCGCCACCTACCATTATAATCGTATCCAATCTTACGAGTGAAGTCGTGTGAACTTGTGAAGAAAGTTTTCAGATCGTGGTGACCACTTCACAACTGAGCACTTCGGAGCGGGCTTTGGCGGCCACGAGCACGCTGAGCACAGCTTCACTGCCAGTAGTCCTCCGATTCTGAGGACGACGCCGCCTCTCTTGTTCCGCAGCAGAAGCCGTCTGGTTCTGGAGTTTGTGTCAGGTGCAGTGAGGGAGGAAGACAAGCTCTGTTTGAAAGTCACAAAATTGATATGTGCTGACTCGCGCTAGTGACTAGAAGGGAGCCAATCAGCGTTGAGCAGACCAAATATCACATGCACGTATTCAACATCACCTCACATGCACATATCTAACATCAGCTCTACCAAGCTATACAACGATTGAGTCACTGGGTTGCCTTTAAGTATAAGCGTGAGGCAAAGCATCAAATATCAGGAGCGTATCGTTCTATCATCTAGACATACGAGACATATCCGGTCGTACTACATGGGGTATCATCAACCATTGCGTGCATCAGACATCCGACCCAAAGAAAGCCTCATCCTCGTCGTAAAGATCGTTCACATGTCCTCATCACTTCCCATCCAGCAGCCTCCTCAGCCCCTCCTCATCCAAGCTCTTGAGCAGCGGCTCTCGTATCGGCGACCTCACCTCTGGAAAGAATCCTTCGATCGGGCCCGACTGGTTGATACCCGGCGTACGAGCTTTGATCTTTCGAGGTGTGGCTTGAGCGTCAGGACTTGCCATCGAGCCACCTGCGGACGAGGAGCTGGTTGGCTTCTTGGCCGGTACTTCGACAGGGCTCGCCACTTTGTCGCCTGCGGACGAGGCACTGCTTGGCTTTTGCGCCGCCAGGTTGTCACTCGCTAACGACTGGCTGGCAGACTTCTTTACCACCGACTTCACAGGTGCAGCAGCACTCGGAGCCGTCTCCTCGTAGTGCGCAGGCGTCGCGCCCCAGCGGCCAAAAATCCAGCCGCCCGTCTTCTTGCTCGCGCTGGGCTTACTTGCCGGTGCTGCCTGCTGACGCTGATCCGCTGCCATGCCGCTGAGCAGATTCTTACTATTGGCAGATGGGCGAGACATCGCAGCGGGCCTGTCTGCGTGAGCTGTGGTGTCGGAAGTCACGGCTTGTGAGGTGATACCACGACCACCATAGGGTGCCAGGAGCTGGGAAGGTCGTGTCTTTAGACCGTGGCCGTCGGCTCGTGACACGGATAGGATGCTTTCATGAGAGGTAGCCCGGCGAAGCGTGTGTGGTCGATAGAATGACTGGTCGTAGAGAGGGTTTGACATCTCCTCTGACATGGGAGACACATTTGACGCCCCATCTGGCACCGAGCTCTCGTTCTCCCATTCTCCTTCTGGCTCTTCAGGTATTGGCTCTGGATCCATCACATGCTGATCGAGCTTTGGAAGCTCTTCGATGCTCAGGATAGAATCGAGGGACTGCCGAGGTCCGCTGTTGTTGATGCCACCGCGTGAGACATTTGGTGCGCTGTACGTCCGGAATGAACTCTGCGAGTCACGCTTGGAATATGTGGGAGCGAAGACAGGCGAACCCGGGTCCTCAGTGTCCGGTGTGGTAGGCCGCGACGAGTCCATGCCGGCATCGCTAAAGACGCGGTCGAAGATAGATGAAGTCCGGTTCGTCGTAGACTGCGGTGAGCTTGGTCCGGATGTTGCGAGCATTGAATGGTAGGTGTTGTTCGACTGCATAGACCATCGATTGCGCATCGGTACTGGCTGCGGTATGCTGGCAGCTGTCTGCTGAAGTATGGCGGCAGTCGGAGTGGGTGAGTTGTATGAGGAGAACGATCGCGGCGTGCCCGACCTCGAAGGCGGTGTGAAGCTGCCGGGGGTGAACGATCCAAGACGTTTCTTCTTTGGTCGACGTAGAGTCTGCGGCTTCGGCGTAGCGGATGGCGCGTGGTAGTGGTGATGAACATGCAGCTCGGACGAGTTTGCTCGATTTAGCTCCTGTCGTAGGTCGTCGCGCTTGGCCGGCACCTTTGTGGGTAGTTGCTCGTCTTCCACAGGCTGGTGAGTCTGGAGTTGTTTTCGCAGTGTCTCAACTTCTTCGTTCGAGTTGTTCAGCATCTCCCGAAGCTCCACGATACCCATCTGAAGGTTGGCGTTGTCCTGCAGGATGTCTTTGACGAAATGTGAGACGACGTTCGTACCCTCGCCTTCGCCAGCGCCATTCTTCGCCGCGGCAGCACCCTTCAGCCGTCCAGCAGCAGAGCCCAACTCCTTCTCAACAGCATGCCTCCTCTCCATCCGCTCTACGACCTCATGGTGACGTTCGTGCTCCTCCTTCGCCTCGCGTTCGATCCGCTCGATCTGGTCCTGCAGCTGCGCCAGAGTTCGCTCAGCCTTCTGCCATCTCCGAAGCGCAGACTTCTCAGACTCCTCCTTGGCCTCGAACGTGTTCTGCCATGTCGCCTGCTCCCGCTCGTATTCAGCCAGTTGTCGCTCCAGGGATTCCGTCCTTGCTGCAAGCTGGCTCAACTTATGCAGCTCCTGCTGAGTCGATTGCAACGTCGCCTGAAGATTGACCACATGCGCATCAGACTCCGACACGGCGCTGTTCACCGCCTCCAACTGATCCAAAAGATTGCGATTCTCCTCAATGACCGTCGCGTTTTTCTTCTCCAGCACCTGCTTTTCCTTTTCCAACATCCCGATATGCGCCGTCATCTCCCTGCGCTCGCGCTCAGAGTCGGCAATGTACGATTCGTGTCTCACCAACAACGCCTGCAACGAGAACATTAGCCCGGACATCCCATCATCGACCTTCGCCGCATGCAGCTCCGTCGCGCGTCCGCATGCGCGTATCCCCAGCATCTTGCGCTCATCCGTCCGCATGCGACAAGCCTATCACACCCCCAACTACAACGCTACGAAGAGCGGCGCAAAGGGTCCTGTACCAGAAATTGCATACCTTGCCCAACCGCGCCGCGGTCGATACATCCTTCTCCAGCCCATCGAGCGCGCTCTGGTTGTGTCTCAAATACGCGCAGGCCTCGTTGCCGCAGCAGCAGGCTGGGCGAGGAATGTGGTCGCTGTCGTTCTGTTGGTACGAGTCCAGGAATGATTGGATGGGATCCATGCTTTGCTTTGGATGAGCGCGCAAAGTGGTGGTGGTGATGTTGTTGCACTCATTTCTGAGGATGAGATGCTGAGCGAAGGATGGTACACAGGAGAGGACGCGGATTAGAGTGTCGTGTAGGTGTATGTGAGGGTGAAGTGATGTTCCCAGCCACACCGCGTTTATCACGAATCGCGGCACAAACACGAAGTGGGGCTCGAACAACATTCACTTGCAACAACGTTCACTTGCACCATGTGTCAAGTCTTCGAGGGGTATTCGATAAGCACTACAGATAAATCACATAACATTACATCTCCAGCCTCTTTGCTCATCCCTCTCAGCATCCTTCTCCAACTCCCTAACCCTATCCTCCACCCTCCTCACCCCCTTCGCAAAGTCTCCCACTCCAGCCTCCACCTCCTCCACCTTACTCTTGAGCCCGGCAATCTCGTAGTCCAACTTCGCTGCCAACGTCTCAATCTCCTTACCCGACTCTTCCAGTCGTTCGCGCTCCTCTCTCAACATCCCCTCAGCGTCCGTCTGAAGCGCGTGCATGTGATCGATGTGCGGGCGGTACATGCTCTCCAGAGTTTGCTGGTCCTCGTCGAACTTGTTGAGCGACGACATGAGGGTGTAGAGCTGAGCTTGCGTGAAGCTGGCGGTGTCGGTTCTAAGCTCGCTGATCAGGTGATGGAGGTGCTTGAGCTCTGAGGCATTGAATTCCTGTTGGAGCAGTTCAGCCTTTGGGTTGTCGAAAGTAGCATCCGGGTCTTCAGGCGCTATTGATTCCCAAGACAGCACGCTCTCCTCGGCTAGGGAGAAGCTCAGATGTCGTGGGTATGCGTCTTCACTTCGCGATTGCAGACTGACTTCTACCACGCGACTGTACGAGACTGTACGCTTCATTAGCCGACCGACATCTTCCTCTGGTTTGGCCTCATTAGGCAATGTTTCAGTCGACTGCTCTTCGTTGTAAACTGATCCTGCCGCCGATCGAGCACCGAGGGTCGCGCTCTCGGAGCCCTCCTCATCTGCCGGATCGATGTCCCCATTCTGCCCTTCTTTACTGCGATGGGATGATGCTCTCACGCTTTCACTGGAGCGCTTTGGTTGCACCTCCCTGTGCGAAGCTGCGTAAACGGAAGTAGCTGCAGCACCAACGTGCTCGGGAATAGAATCGGTGGTGTTCCTTGATCTTTGCTCCTGCACGGGTGACTGCGGACTGCTTATGCTACTAGCAGGCGAGCTGCGTGTCCGTGGAAGCAGAGGTCTCCGACGATGCTCCTTGCTGGTCCTAGCAGAAGTGTCATCGACCGGAGACTGGGTCATGTAGGGCGACTGTGGTGATCTAGGCGTTTGTGGCGAGTCGTCCTTGGAGCTCGTATGCCTATGGTGGTGCCCCAAGCCAACAGCTCCCTTGAACTTTCCGATACCACTCCTCGCCTCTTTGAAGCCAGAAGTACGCTTGAGGATGCCTTTGCTCTTGTCTTCATCATCAGTATCCTGTTCGTCAGGAGTTCCAGTATCTTCATACTGCTCTCGCTTCCCGACCAGACCATCGGCTACGCTCTTCCGAGCAGTCCAGGTAAAACCGCCGTGCTCGCTTTCTTTGAAGTTCAGCTGACCAGCGTCAATCTGCTTCCACTCCTGACCTGGCTTGCCTTGCACACCCATCGTGTCGCGATTGGCCGCTTTCTTCACTGCTTTGCCGTACCAGAGCCACTTGGCCCTCTCGCCTTGTACCAGCTGTACGAAGCGCTCCATATCGCACGTCTCGATCTCAGCAATACCAGCACGGTCTCTGCGACCGACGACATCCATCACCATCTCGCCACCTTTGCCGCTCAGCTCGGCGACAGTGGACTTCACAGCCTTTGGCACAGCCCAATGTCCTTCACTATTCGCAGCTTTGGCCGTCGCACGATGTAGTTTGTCCAGTGTCCTTCGGTCAATCCGCCGTGTCCTTTGAACACGCTGCTGCTTCTGAAACGAAGATATACCCTTCTTCATTGCATCCACATCGAAAGCATCTTTCCCAACAGGTGCGCCAAGCGAGTGCAGTCGGTTCCGAGCGCCCATCAACAGGCCAAGCAGACCAGCTACTGTCGTCGGCCCAAGTATGCCGTCATGAGGCTCGATGTTGTAGTACGAACTGCCAATCTCAAGCCACCAATCATTAATTGCGCGCTCGGTGACATCGCATAAGAGGCCATCGGCATAATCAATCTCAAGCTTATCAAACAGCATGAGAGCACTCTGGCAGAGCCTCACCAGCTCAATGACCGAGTCGTAGACCTCGTTCTTGTCACTTGTGCGGTAGAGTTGGTGAAACTTTGCTATCGTTGCCGCTGTTGGAGGCGATAGCGTCAAGCCAACACGACCAGCGCAATTCAGCCGTTTGAGATCCTCATTGACAAAGAAGTCCGCGCGGTGTTTCTTCAAGTCGCCGTCCGGCACCGCAATGACCGTGAGGGAGCTTGGGAAACCGGACAAGCTCGTGACCATAAGTATACCAAGAGGCGTCTCCCTTCTTCGAGCATGGTATTGATTCAGAGCTTTGAAGTACACCCGCAGCCTGGCGGACCACGTGCTCTCATCGATTGGTACGCTGAGAACGCCCACGACAACATGGTGGCTCGGATCTCCAGTATACGTCGTGATAGTGAAGGTAGGATGTGAGCGCGACGTAGCCCACTGCTCGACAAGATAGCATTCGTAGCCCTCTAGTTCCCGGTCGCGTTCAAGCACTTTCGTGGATGGGTCGCCTTCCAGGTACAAGAAGGCTAAAGGGTCGGTGAGAACGAACCGCTGGTGTCCGGCAGGAGTCCCCGCTGCGACACTCTCTGGCGTGCCATGTTGAGCGGAGGTGTTTGCCGTGTTGTTGGATGAAGTGGCGGAAGTTCCTGGTCGCTCGAGGGTAGGCTGCCGATGGAAGGAGGTTTGAAGACGGGGCGGTCGGAAGTGTTTGCCATCTGTAGAGGTCCGGGATGCATTGGCGGCCATTGGATTAACGGCTGTCTGGACTGTTCAACACTATGGTATTGTCGTGCTCGGTCTCGAAAGTGGCCTTGATATATGCAGGCAAAGAAGGCCTCGTCCAAGCGGCTGCAGTATCATGGCTGTAGGTCGTATCATATCCCAATACCCGACTACCAATCTCCAGTCATCGCATTGAGTAGCGCAGCGACCAGTAGTGAGCAGACGATCAGTTGTGTTTGTGGTATTTGTCGTTTCTTGGAGAGACCTGATGCATGAGGTCGGTCTCTCCCCGAGCTTCATGCGCCACAACCACCGAAGATCACTTCAGATGCTTCTTGCTCTCACGTGAACATGACCACAAGCACACATCAGCCATGGAGAGCATCAGCGCCGCCCACCAAACCTTGGAGAAGAAAGCCAACCTCGACAGAACACTCACTGACGTCCAGGCACTCATCGACCAGCTCCAACGAACCCGCGATGCAGTCGCCGAAACTCCCGAGCTCACGGCGATGCATGTCGCAAAGCTCAAGCAGCCTGTGAAAGCCTCTTTCGATAAGATAGAGGAGAGTCTAAAGGATGTAAACAAGGGCCTGAACCAGTACCAGAAGGCGCTGAAGGAGAAGTTCAAGAATGCTCAACTACCAACTGCGTCCAACGAGGTGCTGGGCGGGGAGAATGGGCTGGTCAACAGGGCTATTGCGATGCACCTATTACGAGAAGGGAAGTTTGGGGTAGCCAGGACGTTTGTGCGGGAGGTCAACGAGTCGCAGGAGCAGCAGTATCAACAGGACCGTGGGCTGAATGGTAATCCTGCGGCCAACGATGGCTGGATACAGGAATTTGCGGACACGGATGCTATGATTATGGAGATGGAGAGCGAGGGAAAGCTGGAGCTCAGAGAGGACGGGGAAGTGCTGGATGGGAAGGGTCACCTGCAGAAGAAGTTCACGGAGATGTACCACATACTGGAGGCTCTACGAAGTCAACACAACTTGAGTCCCGCAATAGCATGGGCGAGGGAGAACAGTACGGAGCTGGAGAATCGTGGATCGAACCTGGAGTTTGAGCTGTCACGACTGAAGTTCGTCGAGCTATACACATCATCCGAAGAGACAATGTCGGAAGACAGTATGACCGGTCCTCTTCGCGCTCTCGAATACGCTCAAGCAGTATTTCCAACATTTAGCGGCCGCTACTCAAGAGAAATGTCCAATCTGCTCGGTTCTCTCGCATATTCTTCTGGCCTGGACGAGAGCCCGTACAAGACGCTCTTCTTCAACCAACATCCATGGGAAGATGTGGCCACCTCTTTCACCCGAGAGTTCTGCTCCATGCTCGGCCTCAGCTCGACATCACCGCTCTACACCGCTGTTACCGCTGGCGGTATCGCACTACCCATACTGGAGAAGGTGGAGCGTGTGATGGCGGCCTCGCGAGGCCAGTGGACGTCGGTGAACGAGTTGCCTGTCGAGACACCTCTGCCGCCGGAAATGCTGTTCCACAGTATCTTCGTCTGTCCCGTCTCGAAGGAACAAGCGACAGATGACAATCCGCCGATGATGCTGCCATGCGGACACGTCATTGCAGAGCAGAGTCTTCACATGCATTCAAGAGGGAAGAACAGGATGAAGTGTCCATACTGTCCGAACGAAAGCGATCCGAAGATGGCTCGGAGGGTGTATATTTGATGACTTGACGAGAGCTAGCCGGTGGATTGGCTACTCGTTCATATCTTTTCTTCAACCTACACAAAATTTATCTTCACAATCTGGAACACTCCGTCTTGTCCCTGTCGGCGAGTCAGAAACCGCTCGTCTAGATGCCTGGTTTCACGTGGCTGGAGAAGCCAAGCCGGGAATCTTCAATCTCAAACACCTGCGATCTCCAACTCCATTTCTCACCCTTGCAACGCAATTCACAACCGTCAGCCCCGTCTCCTCGCCGGCGCTTCCAGATCTGTGTCTCGTATAAGCGAGGTGACTGAAGCACTATGCGGCCCATCATTGTCGCGAGCATATTGATGCTTGGGCGTAGCGCCCACGGGTCAGGGAAAACCAAGACGCCAGATCGTTCGTTGACATTCTCCTGATCTACGTGCTCAATATGGTGAAGGCTTGGTAGGTAAATACAAGATCTCTTTGCTCCCCGTTGTTCGTCTTCGTCTTGTTCAAGTACTCCATAGCACTCCATCTGCAGCAGGACCTGTTCATCTTCGAAGTTACACTTCTGCACACGGTCTGCGACCTCTTGAAAAGTCTCGAAGTCAGCATCAACATCTCCCCCGTCAAGATGTCGTCCATCAGGTCCCTCGCCCTCCTCGCCCTCTCCACCGGCTTCGCCAGCCTCTCCGCTGCTCAGGCCTCCGGGTCAGGATCGACGACCCGCTACTGGGTGAGTAATCATGGGTAAAAGGGTTCTCCAAGGCACGATCACACTGCAAGTGGCGCTCTGAGACCTTTTGAACCCTTTCTCGCCATCGAGACACTTGCTGACCCTTTAAATCTTTTAGGATTGCTGCAAGGGCTCCTGCTCATGGCCCGGCAAGGCGGACGTCTCCTCTCCAGTCCAGATGTGTGGCATCAACGACACCCCGCTGAGCGACCCCAACGAGAAGTCTGCTAGTGACGGCGGTAATGGATACATGTGCTCTGACCAGAGCCCATGGGCCGTCAATGAGACCATGTCCTACGGCTTCGCGGCCGTGAACATTCCTGGAGGCAGTGAGGCTTCGTGGTGCTGCGCTTGCTACGAGTGAGTCTCCTCGTGCGGCATGATCAGCTGGAACAGAGTGACTGACAAGAAGTTCAGGCTCACCTTCACGAGCGAAAAAGTTGCCGGAAAGAAGATGATTGTGCAGGCCACCAACACCGGCGCCGATCTCGCCGGCGGACAGTTTGACCTCGCCATGCCAGGTGGTGGTGTCGGTATCTGTACGTGCCCAATCAAGAAGGACTCACCCGAATACGACTGATATATCCCTCTCCAGACAACGCCTGTACCAAGCAATGGGGCGCCCCTGCCCAAGGCTGGGGTGAGCAGTACGGAGGAATCGCTACAGATGAATGCGACACCTTCCCAAGCGCCCTGCAGCCCGGCTGCAGCTGGCGCTTCGACTGGTTCGGAAACTCCGACAACCCGGACGTCGACTGGAAGCAAGTCACCTGCCCTAAGGCCCTCACCGACAAGACCGGTTGTATCCGCCAGGGCGAGACCCCGACTGGTGGCGATGAAGGGTCTGACGAGCCTTCGACCCCCAAGCCCAAGCCCACGACCGCTGCTCCCCCGGCGTCGTCTTCTCCTGCTGCTGCGTCTTCGTATGCTGCACCAGCATCGTCCTCCGCCGCTGCCGAGTCTTCGTCTGTTGCTGCCGCTTCCTCTTACGGAGCCTCATCCGCCTCGTCCGCCGCTGCGGTCTCCTCTTCCGCCGACTACAGCTCGACCAAGGAGGCACCAACCGGATACGGCAGCATGTCTGCGCCGGCCTCGTCGGCGAGCTACGCCGCGCCCGAGGAGTCTTGCGAGGTGGAGTACGTTTACGAGAACGAGTTGTAAGGAGTTGCGAATTACAAAGGGGAATAGAGAGATGCATTGACTTCGATAACATGACAATTTTACGGCGAACTTGTGTTTCCGCCCACCAAACCAACTCTCATCTCACTCGTTTGTCTGGAGCTATTGACCCTGGTGCTTCGCGACCGCCTCCCACAGCTTCGGATCCTGTTCCACCTTCACCTCCTTGCTCGTGTCGAGCTCGTTGTAGCGACGGAGGTCCATGTCCTTCTCGAGTAACGGTATGACGTATTTATCGAACGTTTGCCAGTATGGATTCTCGAGGTGATACCTAATCATACTCATTAGCCTTCGAGATCATTGCAGGCTCGGAAGGAAGCTTACTTCTGGCTGCCCTCATGAGCATAGCGTTCGACGATGGTGAATGCTTGAGGGTCTTTGTGGTCTTGCATGACGAGCCTTCCGAGTCGTCAGTCGTGGATCAACTCTGATCAACGATTGTCTGAGACTTACCAGGCCAAACACTCTTTGTCTTTGCTATAAACTTGACTCGCCTCTTGCAGCTTCGCCGTCAACTTCTCGACGCCGTCCTTCTTTGCATAAAGATGCACGACGAGGGTGTAGGCTGGCATTGTTGGTGTTAATTGACGAACTGGCTGTTGTTGAGCGCTGTGTTTGGTCACCGAGCCTGTCTCAGGCGTTTGTCTTCATAGATGGAAGGCTGTCTGAGAAGGCCCGATTCCTCTACAACAGCTGTCGAAGAAAGTTCAATGGCCTGCAAGAGCTCATCATCACGCAAGCTCGAGAGCAGTTCAGCGGCTTCCTCACAAAATGCTTGGTGATGTCTGACTATACAGCACAACCTGCAGGAACATTTGAACGACACGAATGCTAAGTCGACTGTGCCTTGACGGTTGCGCAGAAGTACATCTACTTTGCTCTGGCCTCTATTTAGGATTGATAGCATATCGACTCTTCGAACGTATCCAACCTCCATACTTGTAGAACGCATAGGGCACCGGTACCAATACACAGCTCAAACAAGCCATGATGGTCAACGTATACGCCACTCCCAAATTCTCGTAGAATGGAATCCCGACCACGACCATGCCACCTGAGACGACGTAGCGGATGAGCGTGATAGAAGCCAGCGCGGACGCGGCGTAGGTTTCGTAGGAGTCGATGATGTATTGGTAGCAGGTGATGAAGACGCAGAGGATGCCTGTGAGACCGGTCAGCAACATTGCGCAGGTGGTGATGAAGGATGTTTTTACCATAGCCGAACAGCACGGATGCAACAAGCGGGCTCCAGATCGAAATATCAGGTCTTGCCGTCCAGCCCATCCAGAACAGGGAGATGGGAATCGCGAACGCACCGCCGAGCATGCTATACCACAGCCTGAACTCCGGAGGCAGGCGATCGCCGCCCTGCTCCTGAATCCTCTTCAAATCGCGCTTAGCCCACTGGTAGATCAAAGGGACTAAAGCAGAAGCTCCGAAAAGGCCGACAATGATTCCTAGGAAGCAGAGTCCGGTCAAGCCTTGCGAGATGCCGTAGGTCTCCTCATAGATGTATGTGTAGCCGTCCAGAAAAGTGAACAAAACAATGTAGATGACCGACAGATATAGCGCGACCAGAATGACAATCGGCTCTCGCGCTGTAAGCAGGAAAGGCCGGTACATTGCCCGCCTCAGCCGGACAAACAGCGATTCTTGTCGGATTTCAACTGAGCCACGGTATCTGTTGTCGCCTGTGATCTCGCGCAGATGCTGGGCTTTCCACTTCAGCAAGATCGGTGGGAATGTCTCCGGCTGGAACAAGATGACGATAATCAGGACCAGGCCGGAGAAGATGAGCGTAGTCCATTCAACCCATCGCCAGGAGACAGCGGAGCTCTGGGCGATGAAGCCGCCCATGACGGGACCGAGAAGGGGGCCAGTAAATGCAGCGTTCGCGAAAATAGGGAAGGTGTAGACTCTTTCGAGGGGGCTCCAGAGGTCTGAGATTGATCCGCCGGCACAAGTCAATGGGGTTGCGCCGAAGAGGCCAGCGATGAAGCGAAAGGCCAATTGAGCTCCAATGTTGGGAGCCAGTGCGCTGGCCATGATGAAGATCATGTATAATGCCAGCGTCACGATGTAGACAGGGTTGCGTCCCACCGTCTCCGAGATGGGTCCAGCGAACAGCGATCCAGCCCCGAACCCGACAAGAAAGAGTCCAGTCGCTAAGCTCTCCACCACCTCACTGACACCAAACTCCCTGGAAGCTTGAGGTAGAGCGGAGGAGTCAATGGCGCTGGCGACACCAACAACGCAGCCAATGCCGGCGATGGTAAAAGTACATCTGATCCTGGTGAGCATGCTCCAGTTATGAGGATCTTGCGGATCGTTCTTGCCCTCGTAGCCGACAACGAAGACATTGCCATCTCCTCCCTCCTTTGTGGTTCTTCTCCGTACTTCGATGCCTGTCATCACAGCTCCCAGCGCAGTTCCGATCGACTGCTGCGTCGTAGCTCTCGACAGCGTAGAGCGAGCATTCAGTCCAAGCTCGTAGTCGTCTTGCTCTTGCTCTTGCTCTTCATCACCCAATTTCTCCTCCTCTTCCAGCTTCCCTTCGATGTCTTGCTGCTCATCCCGCGACATCTGGTTCTCTTCCACCCGTCTCGACTCATCGCGCGACAAAGGCTGGCCTCGCTCGGGAGGCATGTCTCCAACTCCAACTCCGGCAGGGAGGCTGCGAGAGCCAAAGTCCGTGCTAGCAACATCTCTCGCGGCATCTCCCTTCTCGAGGTCGATCTTGTCGTCGTCGCTGGCAGAAGAGCTGGGAGATTCATCTCCTTCAGCTGGCGTACGTCTGTCATGTCCTTGACCAATGCGTCCCTCGGCCTTAGCCTTGTCTCTTTCAATCTGGTCCAGCACCGCTGCCCTGAACCTCCTGTATTGTAAAAACGACTGCATCTTGAAACTGACAAAACCCACCCATCCGAAAAGTCTAACAAGGAGACAGAAGAGGAAAATAAAGACATCTTAAACAAACCAATCCAACTTACATATCATTAACATCATCGCGTCACGAGCCCGCCGTACTCGGCCGCTACAACCGTGATAGCGCGCAGCTGAATAACAACAGCCGCAGGACAGAAAACATTTCGGGACATGTCTTGCAAGGTTTAAACTCAACGAGTCGACGTGAAGTGGAAGAGTGACGTGGTGGCGGCTGTCACTCGGGAAGTGCTCGGGAATAAACGTCGGCTTAACAATGACTTCGCGGTTCATGTCCTGTTGGGAGATGGGAGGCATTGGGGACGCAGCATGATGAAAATGCTTTGAAATGGTAGATAACAATCGTACGACGACGCCCTTCAATTCCATCGATACAATCGCTTTCGTGTTGACAATGATCCTCAGAACACCGCGCGCTAAGAACAAATGCCCATCCTCATATCCAGTTTCGCGGCCCCGTCTAAGTCGTGTACTCCCTCTGCAACAGCCTTGCAATCGTCTGCAACTGTATGTTGCTCGTCCCCTCATAGATGGCCTGGTCGAAAGGTTTAGCAGGAGTCTCAGATAACCAGTAAAGGAGGAACATACCCCAATCTTCGAATCCCGCCAATACTTCTCCGCCAAACCCTCCCTCACAAACCCCATCCCCCCCATCCACTCAATCGCCTGCCCACTCACCTTGCCCGCCACCTGACTCGCAAACAACTTCGCCATCGCCGCATCCCGCACAAAATCCTCGCCAGCCTCCTTCTTCCTTGCCGCATTATACACCAGCGCTCTGGCCGCTGCAATCTCCGTCCAGGCTTGCGCCAGCTGGTGCTGCATTCCCTGGAACTCGCCGATGAGCGTGCCGAACTGCTTGCGGTCGTTCCAGGCGTAGCGGGCGGCGTTCTCCCAGGCGCCGAGGGCGAGGCCCGTCATTTGGGCTGCGATGCCGATGCGGCCTTCGTTGAGCAGGCCGATGGCGTATTTGTACCCTTGACCCTCCTCGCCGAGAAGAGCGTCGCGAGGCACGTCCACGTCGTCAAAGGTCAGGACGCAGGTGGAGGAGGCCTTGATGCCTAGTTTCTTCTCCTTCTTCGAGATTTGAAAGCCTTTGGTATTCTTGCCGTCGATGACGAAGGCGGTGATACCCTTGTAGCCCTTTTCGGGGTTGAGGTTGGCGAAGACGATGTAGAAGTTGGCTTCCAGCGCGTTGGTGATCCACATTTTGCTGCCGTTGATGCGGTAGCCGTCTGCTGTCTTCTCCGCGCGGGTCTTCAAGGCGAAAGCGTCGGAGCCGGAGCCCGGTTCGGAGAGGCAGAAGGAGGCGACGGTGTTGGTTGCGAGTTTGGGGAGCCATTTCTTCTTGCTCTCTTCCGAGCCGTATTTCATAATGGCGATGTTGCAGAGGGTGTTGTGGACGTCGACCATGACGCTGACACTTGGATCAACTCGTGCTAGCTCTTCAATCCCTACGATGGCAGCGGTGAAGTTCATCCCGGCTCCTCCATACTTCTCAGGCACCTCGATGCCCATGAGTCCCTGCTCGAAGCACTGCTCGACGATGGAGGCTTCCATGTGTTCCGACTCGTCCATCTCTCGCACTTTGGGTAGGATGGTGTCGTTGGCGAACTTCTCGACAGAGTCCTTCATCGCCTGCTCGATTTCGGTAAAGGCGAAGATGGGCGTGGGTTGGAGGCCTTCCATCTCGACGTCTTCGGGCATGGCGTAGCGGCGGGCTGGCGTGGTGGAGATGCATCTTGTGCTGTGGGATATACGTCAATACACGGTATCTCGCATGGTGTTGGTGTGGACATACGCCTGTCGTGATCTGTTCAATGCAGACCGGCTCTGCGGAAGACGAGATGAAGATGTAGCCGCTGCCCGCGCGAGCGGTCGTAGTGTCCGTGTGATTGATGTCATTGTATATGTAACGAGATAAAACAACGCGAACGAAGAGTGTTCAGGAGAAAGAGGCTCAGACGTAGACTTCCTTAACGCATCTACACTTCCGGTTCCAAGCGACTCTCACATGCACACCTTCACGCTTGAGCCGGACGACCCACGTTTTCCGACTCCGACGATGACCGAGGTCAAGAGAATCTGGGGTAATCTGCGAAGACGTTGCAGGGCTGGAGATACTTCGGGCGGACGGCAAGATACCTCTCAAGCCTTTCTTCAAACGACAATGTCTTATGGATGAGTCGTGGTGTTCAACTTTGTGGAATTAGTGTTACCTTGCATGCGCAGACATGAGCTGGCCTAGATCCAAGCCTCCTAGATAATGGGTATCATATCCTGCCCTCACATATCCCAAACTCCCGCTAAACGCTCAAACACTTCGGCCGTATAGATTACAACACTCAATAGTTGCGATACTCGCAGCTGCACTCGCTCTCCTCGGGCTGCGGTACCAAGTCCGCCGTCACTGGCTCGCCCTCTTGCCCATCGACAGTTGAATAACAGTCCGGCACATCGTTCCCTCCAGCCGCTGTCTGCGTAATCTCGACCGCATACGGCCATGGCTCATATCCGCCAATGGAGGTCGAGCTTGATGGGAATTTCCTCTCGGTGGAAAGGTATATGTTCGCGGTGAAAATGGTCTGGTTGAAAAAACACTCGGCATTCGTGCTGTCCGCTGTAATGGCCGGGGAAGGGATGATGCGGCGAGTGGAGGTGAAACTGAATGTGTAGTGCGCTGATGTCACGTTCGAGGAGGGAGAGACGTATGTCAGAGCTTTGTCGGTGAATGTGATGCCGAAGGGATCGTTGCTGGAGCTGACTGTCAGATTGGCCGGGACACCGTCGCTCGGGGTAGTTGTCGTGTCATTCGTGGCGTAGATCGAAGAAGTGTTGCTGATGATCCAGTTGAAAGACGCAACACTCGTATCATCCGTGCTTCCATCTGGATTGTATACCACATACGGAAAGCACCTCCATGTCGCCGCGTTCGACGTGCAATCAGTCGACACGCTCCTCAGCGCAGTATCCATACTATACTCCCCAAGCGGAAACTTCTGCGGCGGCATATCCGACCCATCGCCTCCAGAACTCCCTTCTGCATTTTCATCCTCACCTCCACCACCCTTGCTCTTCTTCAACCCCACCCCTAGACCCATCCCAAGCGCAACAGCAATCACTACAACCACTGCGAAGATTGCGCCCACCCTCACCCATCCGCCTCTCCTCTTCTTCCCATCGCCTTCACCCCTTCTCAGCTTCTCTAGTCGCTCATCCACCACCTTGGGCTCCTCATCGCTCCCATCCGCAGCGAGAGGCTCGGGCACCCACTCGTACGGCGGCGGCGGCGCGCTCCTCTCGCTTCTCGAGCTCCCACTCCCAGACCATCTGCGCGAGAAACGCCAGCTGTTCGACTCCGAATGCGATGCGCTGTTGCGACGACTGCTGCGTCGCGGGATAGGCGGAGGGGCTTCGAGTGGTGTGGTGTTGGCGGATTCGGTTATGGTGGTGAGTCGCTGGGAGGAGGGAAGGGAGATGCGCTTTTGAGCTGGCTGGCGGAGAGTGTTGGAAGGCATTGTCGTGGGATCGGTAGAGGGCTGCAGTGTCTGTATCGCGTCACGGTGCTACGGACGTGTAACCGGGTCAGTGGGTAGACATTAATCGTATTTGTTGTTATTGATCGTGTTGGTAAGGATTGGAAACAGACTAAACGAATGATTAGATGTAGCGAGTGACGATGAAGACAAGAAGCATTACGAGAATGAACGAGAACAAGAACAATGAGGCGTCGAGAGCATCCTCTCACGACGGCAATAGGATTGCGGTCGGGTGGTATGGTGTCGGCGGGAGGGGAGCTGCAGGTCGTGCTTTCCAAATCTGGATCGGCCAATGAAACGTGATCGACGTTCTAGCGTGTCGAACTAATGCGGAGTGGAAGCTTAACCTGTGAACTCAGGAAGGAACGATCAAGAGATTCTACGACTTCACTTCTCTCTTGACATTGTTATGTTCTTGTGACGAAACGCCACCTTGACTGCATAGCGCGGCCTGGCTTTAACATCACCACACACCAGATAATAGCCTACTGTGACTCCAAAAATACCAGAAACCCATTGATATCAAGCCGTGGAACGCAAGATGAACAACAGCAGCGACACTTCGCCGTAGAAGGGATTGGGGCATCATTGCTTCACATGAAGTCTTCGCTCTGAGCACGCAAACCTCTCTCTCAAAAGCAAAAATATCTCTCTTCAATGAGACTTCCCAAAATCTTCGCTGCAAGCAACAACCATGTCACAGGACGTGATTGTCCTCCCCATCAACCCAGGCTCCGACGGCGATGGACGCAAATGGCCAAAGCACGGACTCGACCGCAATGACACCTACTACCTCGAACGCATCGCCACCGACAAATGGGCCCATGACTTACCAGGTGGCCGTCAACCAAGCGTAACATACCGCCTGGACCGTTTACCTCAAGGATACGCCGGCTTCGAAAAGGCTCGGGAGGCTGATAGAAAGCACGTGGATAGGTACATCTATGGCCACCCCAATGGGCAATTCAGGTCCCTGGCGGAGTTCTACCCTCACTTCAAACACTTGATGGATTATGGCGGGCCCGCTGGCTGCGAATGTAAGCTCTGCACTGGTGGCAGCAGCAGGAAGCCTAAGTCGGGTGGAACGGGAAGTGGTGCTGAAGGTCGGCCGGCGAGAGCAAAACCTGGCAAGACTGCACCGACAGCAAAGCGTAGAGACCAATCTGAATCGGACGGACCAAGGCCGCAAAAGCGCGAGGTGGTCTATGCGGAGGGTGTTCCTGACGTCTACGAGACGCTGATAGAGAAGCTGAGAATCGCTGGACCGGGAGGCAGTGTCGATGAACCCATCGAAGAGCGGATGTCACCTGATTGGCGTACGGGCAATGCCACGAGCAAAGAGCTGCTACAGGAGTGGCGGTCTTTGCCAGGCTATGCACCGCGGATGGGTGAAATAGTGTTGTTCGTACGCAAGATCAACGGAGGCGAGGTCATTGCTTTGTACGATGACGATGAGGATTCAGCACATTTTCAGCGTTATGATACTCAGGAGGGGCAGTGGCTCGGTCACCCTCGATGGGAGGCTGGCGTGGTCACCCAGATGCCGCAAGAGCCAACTCTCGACCAAGATCTTCTGGACGACATCGGGAAAGCGCTCGCAGTCAATGATTCCGGCTGGCGCATCGAACCTCTCTCGCAGCCCGGCAGTGAGAACAAGCCGCATGCGAGACAGTCGAAATACGTACCACTCCATCACATAAGACCTTTCACACTCTGGTCCGAATGTGTGAGCGGGCTGGAGCGAGACAAGTGGCATCCTACCATACTCCATGCTGTCACCGTTGCAAGCAGCCTCTGCGTCATCGACAAGTTCAGGTTCCGAGGGACGTGGCCGCATGCTACTGTATTCGCCAAAGGTGTCTACATTGGCGCGGAGCTGATCATGGTCGGCGACACTGTTCGCTTACTGCCGCGCAAATCAGAGCAGGACGAAGATATAGTGACAGACGTTATGGTCGTGACTGCGATCCGCTTCCGCTTCGTCAATCTTGACCTGGACGACACTGCTATCATCACGCCGCCCCCGGACTCGCCCTACCAGACGTGCCTGCACATTAGCGGCCGCATATGCACTCTTGATCCCACAAGGAGCTTCGATGGCGTCGGCAAAGTCCCCATTGGTCCGAGCGAACTACCCTCTAGCCTCTCTGGATATGGCCAATGGTATCACTACCACGATCCCAAGCGGCCACTCCTCAAAGCTGAAGTCCCTTACACCCGGGTCCTAGGACGCTGCTACGAGGACAAAGCATTCCAAGCCTGGCTTGGCGATTCAAAGCAACTCGCCACCAAATGCCTCCCACCAAATGACACACCGGTAGACATCTCTTACGGCCTTGAGGGCATTACCCAAGCCCGCAAATACAGCCAGGACAGAGATAGCCGCATCGCGGCCCAGGGTGGCGGAAAGACATGGTTCTGGGCCGACACCCGCATTGAGCAGCTCGATCTGCATGAAGTGAACAATCGCACTGTTGGCGTAAAAGACGCCGAGAGAACGAAGGGGCAGATGGCGAAGTGGAAGGCTTCGTTGAAGACGCTGGATGGGAAGAAAGTGGGGATGGAAGAGGTCCAGGCGGTGCGAAAAGAGAAAGAGAGGGAGGTGGCGGAGGTGGAGAAGATGCAGAGTTCGTATGGGCTTGTCAACGCTGCTGTTGCTCCGACGCCCGAGCAAGTGGAGGACGAGATTCTGGCCGGTGGGGAGGTTGGTGATGGAGAAGAGGTGGATGAGGATGATGATGAAGAGGACATCGAAGACCCGCAAGATGACATGGAGCTGGATGAAGAAGAGGACTCGAAGCCATCGATGGGCATGATGGGAAGTCTGCGTGCCGGAAGCGGCTTCCAATCCACGAAAGCTCCGATCGAGCTCTCCGATGATTCAGAGGACGACGAGACGACGCAGCTGGCCGGGAAGCTGGCGATGAGTATCCGTAATAATGGGGATCGGAAGAAGAATGACAGGCAGAGTTCTTCCGGGCTGAGGTTCGGGAATCAGAAGTCGCCTTGGTTGCACTGAGCGCATTGGAGAACTTGAGACGCTTTGATATGAAGGGATGGACTGATGATAGATCTACCTGCTGAAGGATACTGAGAAGGCTGTGCAAGTGTGGGAAGTACTTCACAGCTTGGCATTCATACCTCGTCCGCATAACACTTTCTCACAACAGCGAAGCTTTTTCTTCACAGAAGTATCGAAGTCTATCACGAAGTATTGCGGGCCCAATCAATTATCCTTGCAACACACATGGACAGATGAAGTGGAAGGCACATTGTCATACATGAGCAATACATACACGTGCATTTGCCTGAAATTAATATGATACTGCTCAGAAAGCTCCGGTCTGCCCTATATCCTTTTCTATCAATGCCTCAACACCATTTCGCTACCTCCATCAAAGTCTAACGTGCGTAGTAATGCATAACCACATCAACTCCTCTCGTGCCACTGGGGCTGACACGCTTAGATGGCGATCGAGCGCTTGCCGCTCGGTGGTGGGGGAGCAGGGCAGGTCGGGTCGAACACGCCGAGGTCGTAGAGCCAGGCGCCGGAGTTGAACTACGTAACTCAGTTAGCACCATGTCCTATTCTGCATCTGTCTCGTCGCAACATACCTCAGAGAACACAGTCTGGATCAAGAACGGCTGGTCGTTGACCTTCTTCCTGTTGGGCTGGGTCTCGATCACGATGATGCCGGTCACGGGCTCCTGGGTGGTGGTGATGGTGCCCGGGGCCGACGCGCGCCAGCGGATGATGACGGTGCTGCAGGTGTGCCACAGGTTGAGGATCTTGAAGGGGATCGGCGGCTGGCTGGACTGGCCGGCGATGAACTCCTTGCGGGTGCTGAAGGTCGGGGTGGTGAGGGCGACGGGGCCATCGACGCAGCCGCCGTTGATGAGGGTGATAACGGAGTCTAGACGATCTTGTTAGGAACAGGAAATGTTGATTGTGATGGGTTGATTGTTCTTACCAGAGTAGTCGGTGAAGTCCTTGGTCATTGCGGTCTGAGCCAGGGTGGTGTTGAACTCCTCGTGGATGAGCGCACGGAAGTTCTGGGCGACCTTGACGGCATCCTTGGTGGCCATGCACGTCGCGGAGCGCTTCTCGAGTTCGAAAGGCTGGGCGGAGGCCAGGGTGAGGAGGGAGAGACCGGCGGCGATGAAGCTGCGCATCTTGACGGTGGCTGATGTTGTTTTGGGGGTTGGTTGTTGAAAGTGGTACAGTGTGCGGTTGAAAAAGGTCTGAACGAGTGACTGTGGAAAGAAGCAGATTGCAAGTATGCAGCAGAGAAGCAGAAGGACAAGAGAGTGTAAGAGTTTAAGAAGTTGGCAACAGGAGCTTGACGGAAGCGAAGAGTGGCGACCTACCGTCTATTTGAGCAGGATGTGACCTTGGTCTTGCCCCCAAGCGCTTGGACAGGTCTTCGCCTCCTGTTCGAAGGGGGGCGTCGCAGCGTGGTCAGCGATCTGGGAGAAGCCACCGGCCTTGGGGGTGGGTAAAGCTGGACTGGAGCTGGTCTGAAAGTGGCCATATTGGCTTGCAGCCAAGCTTCCTCGCCAATCAAGACACGCTCACTAGCGGCTGCGCAGGGCCGATTTAGAAGCACGGCTCCCCGAATTGGCTCCATGTGGATATGGGAAGGGAGTCTAGATGGCTGGCTGTCCCGTTCTGCGTCGGTATGGTAATCTGCTCTGCATCAATTGATTGACAACACAACTCGCCCAGAGTCTCTGCCAGTCGTACAGCGCGCGTATGTATTGGCGGGTTCGTCAGACCCATGGTATGCGGTCGCAACCGTGGACCTGCAGAATGATGAGGTGGTACGGTATCAGATTAAAGGAGGGCGCACGACATCGGAGCATTTCTGGACGATTGGTCCTGCTGTCGCGTTCGGCTTCCTGCTTCCTTCCTTTCGTTCCGCCCTGCAGGGCGCCGTGCATAAGCACTCTACAGCAGCTTCAATGAATTATCCATTGGCTGCATCTCGGGACCGGCGAGATCTTCTAGAAGTCGAAGACATCTTCCATGATGTGGTTAACTTTCGTTTGTCGATAAGGGTGGCGACATGAATCACCAACTGCATTAGGAGAGCCCAACCATACTCCAACGGTCGATAGAGACCACCACCAGCGCGCCCCATGCGCTCGGTAGCCGGTACGGCGCACCAGGTTTATCACCTCATGCACACTCCCTGCACGGCCATGTGCCGAGCACCACCCCTGATTAGCCTGACGATTGTACGATCGGTAGGATCCAAATTTGTACCACACCTCGTCGACTGATCTTCGTACACCCAAACATCTCCTCCGCATGGTGGCATTGGGAGAAACAATGCAAGTCGGACCTGCTGTTCTTCAACGGCGGAGACAGCCCCTGTTTGAGGCTTGCAATTTACCTTTCCCACGCGTGCAGCAAAGTTTGGCGGTTACCGATGTCGCGCTGCAGGAAATGACAGTCAAACGTCGCACACATTGTCTCGTTCGACAAGATCACCTGAGATGGCTCCTTGCAGCAGGTTGTGCTCCTTCTCGAATGGGCATATCACGTGTTGGCCACGTGGATTCGGTTGTTTTTGGCAACCACGCTTCAAAGGCCTAGCACTGCGAGGGCACGTGTGATCGTGGGGATCCAGTCTCAAGTCCTTCATCTCCGATCATCGACAACTAGCCAAGCATACAGCAGTAGACTACATCTCCACGGGATGCTGATTGTGTTGAATGTGCGAAGACGTCTCTGTCAGCAATTTCAGAAAGGTAGGACTATACATTTTATACATTTTCTTGTCACGCTGTTCAGGAAGACACTGCGAGCTCGTCGATCATTGGGAGAATATCCCATCTCAGCGGTTCGACTGCTTGCGAAGCGTGCGTTCTCAACAATGTGCACATAAAGGCTGCTCCTCCATGCTGGGAATGATTATTCACCACTCAAGACACTCAATCTACTCGGACGTCTTAGCAAGATGCAACGACAATACGGCCTCCTGCGCCTGGTCCTGCTGTCGATAGACTTGAGCATTATGTCGCGAAGTGGGAGATTTAAACGCCTTGGCCGTTTTGCCATCAACAATCATGATGACCGCCACATCAGTCGGGCTAAGTCTTCCACTCCGGCTTCCTTTTCTCAGAGAACGCTTGCATACCTTCCCTGGAATCGTCGCCGCGAGCGTGCAGCGCCATCATTCGACCTGCCCAACTGACGGCTTCCTCGTAGCCATCTCCGCCATCCCCTCTTTGGAAGCTAGCCTGGGTCCAGAAGGCCCATTTGCCCAGGGCCTGCGGTTGTGCTGGCGTTCGAGTAGCGAACTGGTCAACAAGATCTGCGATTCGCGCCTCAAACGCTTCGTCGTCTGCGACCACGTCTACTGAACCAGCAGGTAGCTGATCTGCTCGCACTGGCTCCGCCGTCGCCAGCCTAAGAGAACGTAAGTACACAGTCCCGAGTTGACAGAGTACTTGCAGACAACTCACATCCGAAACGCAGCAGCATTGCCTACCCTCCGGCTCACAGCTGTACTGGGACTCGTACACGGTAGTCCCAGACTCGCTCCCGGCAGCCTAAACATCGTCTCCGCCTTCGCGACCGGCAGATCCGTCGTCATCGCCAATTGACATCCGGCCGCAGTGGCTAGGCCTTGCACAGCTCCGATCACAGGAGCTGGGGAGCGTCGAATTAGTGCCATGACTTCAGCGCAGAGTGCGAATGTGCGCTCGACGTCTTCGTGGGAGAGGGTACGGAGTTCAGCTAAGTCATGGCCGGCGCTGAACACCGGGCCTGAGCTGCGGAGGACGAGGACATTGGGAAGACCGTGGCGATGACAGCGCCATGCTGAAGAGTCGAGGAGCCAGGAGTACTCTCCAACGGCCTGCGGATCGGTTTTGGCATGTGCTGCTTCGAGTTTGTCGAGGATGCTGGGTTGGAAGCGCGGGAGGATGCACAGTTTGCCATCTTTGGGTGAGGTGTTGAAGGAGTGCAGTTGGTTGCGGAGATCTTGCAGGACTGCCAGGCTGAGGGCGTTGCGGCGGCTTGGGTTGTTCAGGCTGAGGTAGGCTGCTTTGGGAGGAAGTTTGGGGAAGGGAGGCATGCCTGCTGTGACACCTGTGTTGGCAGTTGAACCGGTTCGGTTAGGTGTCCCAGGTACAGCAGGCTCGTGGTGCTACAGTTTGATCTGTCCAAGGCAAAATATCTCCTTGCCTCTAATCAAGCGACAGGCACTTGTTTGCTAGTCAGTGGAATCTACCGTCTCGAATGATCGCAGAGGTATCCTGTAAGCATTCTCTACACCAGCTGCTTGCGCTGCCAGACCTTACCTTCGACGCAGAACCTTGCTATACCATCTTTGTCAGAGCGGTGCTTTGTTGTTTGCTCGCTTTTCACCGTGTAACGAAGCACGTGTCATCGTGTTGTGGTTGTAACCAGCCGAGGGGCGTGAAGTGCTTCATCGGCGTCTTTCGGGCCGATCGCCAAGGCCGAGATTGAGATCTCATCATTTCTTCAGAATCGTGAATCTCAAGCTAAACACCAACATCACTGCATTTTCAGCGAGTTGTCTTTTGAAAGTTTGCAAACACCGTCATTCGCTCGCGCTGTATCCGTCAACGGTCTCGGATGAGGTGAACCGCTTATTCCTCACCTCACGACAGCCAATCTTGGCAAACGGCCTGGTCTAGCCGCCACAGCAGACCGCGACCATGAGCGAGTCAAACGCAGGCTCAGACGACGTCCTTGACAACTGGGACGATGATGCCGAGGAAGTCACTGAAGAAGTTCAGACTGCCTCTTCCAACGGTCAACCCGCAAAACCTCAAGTTGAGCAGCAGCAAACAAATGGGAAGCCAGCAGTTCCTGTAGCTGCCGCGAAGAGCGAATCTGGAGACGACTCTGAAGAAGACGACGAGGAAGAACCTGATGATCTCGACTACAGCTCGGAAGTCTTGTCGTCATACCGGAGGCTACTGTCCAGGAGAGTAGATCTAGTTGGCGATTATGCTGGAAACGAACTCTTTCTCATCGACGGCGACTCGTTGTTGCTAAGATGCTTCTCGGACGAGTATCTCGACTTCGACGACGGCTTCCAACTTCTTCACGCAGTCTACAATGTCGAGCGACTGCTACAGCACCTCGTCCGCCGGAAGTGCAACTTTCACGTGTCCTTCTTCAACAGCACCCGGCTGCTGTGTGTTCCTACTGGGACAGCCCCTCACAATGTCAGCAAGTATCTTCTTGCACGAGCTGTCGTCATTCGGCATCTACAGGCAAAATTGCCGAAATCCCATCCAGAAGTCCAGGCCTGCGAATTCCCGTGCTATACTTCGGCCGAATTCAGCAAGTACCTCAGCGTCCACTCGCCGTACTTCATCATGACACATGATGGTGCAGAGTCGTCTCACAGAAAGGGAAAGCACATGGGAGCTGAGAGCCAGACGGTTGTTAACCCCAATCGTGTCGCTCTTCGCGAGATGATTGTCTTCTTCATTGAGCGCAATTATAACGTTGCTCTCGTCAACGGTCTCGAGTGGCGCGATACTAAGATCATGGCCATGGTCTTGGAGCGTCACTTCCGAGCGGAGATGGCGCCGAAGGATCGCGGGATGCTGCTGGCCTCAAGGGAGATGGATGGCATCGACCTTGACGACAAGCTCTCTCAACTGCGAACAGCCTCGCCAAAGCTTACGGACCGACAGTATCTTGCTGTCCTCGCACTTGCTCGGATCGTCAGCACAGCACCTTCAGATCTCACCGCGAAAGATTTGGCTGCGCTGGCGCACAGCTTCATCGTCCACCAAGCTATAGTAGCTCACATGCCACTGGGTGCACGGCGACTTCCTGCCTACGCCCCTGAGACTACTCAGCAAGCCTTCGTACAGGCTATGACGGACTGCGCAGAGTCTATACTGTTCAGCAAAGCATGGCGCGAAGGTCTAGCTGGATCTGGGGATACGTGCGACCTCTCCGACTTCATGGATGGCCGCTTGTTCTTACATGTCTGTACTGAAACACCGCAGCTGATCCCAGAGATGGAGAAGACTGCCCACGACCTTATCACTGCGTTGCAGCACATCACCAAGATCGATCCGGAAGCTGGTAATGGTAGCTCGAAGAAAGCATCGCCTATCAAGGCAGAGACCAAGACGGACGACGAGAGCTTCCGAATGGCCGTCATGCCGTTCACGAACTCAGTCTTTGACAAGCACTTGAGGTCCGTCGGCTTGCTTGTGGATGAGAGTGTAGCAGGCCAACAAAGTGCCAGCTCGCACCGCATCTTCCGCGAGGTCACTCACTGGCACAATGCTAAGAAGCCTTTGGTACAAAAGGGTCCGCCAACCGCTCAGCAGGAGAAGCAGGCGTTCTGGGCAGCCAAGCGGAACCAGCAGTTCATGGCGGAAATGCAGAAGTACGCTGCGTCCTTGACCAACGCTGTGGGCAGGAGCCTCGAGCCCGAGACGATCATCGTGGGAGCCAAGCCCAAGTCGCACGCTCAGCCTACCTCTGGTACGCAAACGCCCGACTCGGCCGACTCCACGGATGAGTCTGTGGCGTCGAAGGGGAAGCCACAGCAGCAGAAGGGCGGGGGCGGAAAGAAAGGCAAGCAGAATACGGGTAAGCAGCAGATGCTGCTCCAGATTGCTGCATCCAAGGCGAAAAAGGATGAGAGCGCCAGCGACAAGATCACTAGCGCCTGGCACGTGGTGTGCAAGGGGATTGATGCCAGCAGCGATGTCAGAACGAACTTCAGGAAGGCTCAGGACTACCTGGCGTCGGTACCGTCAGCTTCTAGGAAAGTCATCTCCGCAGAAGTAAAGCTGTATCAGCTCAGCTGCTTGCTGAAGTACTGGTCATTGCTTTGCCGTAACAAGGAGAAGAATCAGAACATGGAAGTGGCAGCATTAGTCTGGAGCACTTGTCGTGGCATCTGCGAGAGTGACGGCTTAACGAAGGAGATCTACGGACACGTGGATGACACCATTAGCTCCATGTCGCTTCCTCCTTCGGGTACGGACGTTCCTCAGTCGCTACCTTCGCGCAAGATTGGCTTCCAGTTCGCGACTCTGCGAGCTGCAGACGATGTAGCCGTCGGTCTGGCCCCGCAGGAATTCCAGCTGAGATATTGCGGGCCATACATGGAGCGGTCCTTCGACAGCAGGCCGGATCCGCGTGTGGAGTTTCAGCCAGACGGCTGGCAGAGACGGGTTCTGGACGCTATCGACGCAGACAAGAGTGTCTTCGCGGTAGCTCCAACGTCTGCCGGCAAAACTTTCATCTCTTTTTACGCCATGCGGAAGGTTCTCGAGGCTAATGACAACGACGTGCTCGTCTACGTCGCCCCAACGAAGGCACTCGTTAACCAGATCGCGGCCGAGATCCAGGCCCGCTATTCGAAAAAATTCAAGTTTGGCGGCAAGTCAGTGTGGGCCATTCACACCAGAGACTATCGCATCAACAACCCGACCGGCTGCCAGGTTCTGGTCACCGTCCCTCATGTACTGCAGATTATGCTGCTGGCCCCGACCAATGCTAGCTCTTGGTCTTCCAGAGTGAAGCGTATTATCTTCGACGAAGTGCACAGCATCGGTCAAGCGGAGGACGGTGTGGTGTGGGAGCAATTGCTATTACTGGCGCCTTGCCCAATCATCGCTCTGTCAGCTACGGTTGGCAATCCGGACGAGTTCAGTGACTGGCTTGGATCTACCCAGAAAGAGATTGGGACGGAGCTGGTGACGGTCCAGCATCCTCATCGGTACTCCGACCTGCGGAAGTACTATTACGTACCCCCGAAGAGATTCGCTTTCCAAGGCTTACCGGAGAAGACATACTTTGGACTTCTTGGACTGGAGAACGCTGAAGGACTCAACCATGTTCATCCCGTTGCTGGACTGGTAGATCGCTCCCGCGGGATGCCACAGGACCTCGCCCTCGAGCCGAAGGACTGCCTGATGCTGTACCGGTCGATGAAGGCAAAGGCCACCGATGCCTATCCTCTCCCAGCAGAGCTTGACCCTCTCACGGCACTGCCGAAGGTACCAAGGAAGGTTGACATCCTCGAGTGGGAGCGTAAGCTCAAGGCCTTATTGAAAACCTGGCTGGAAGACAATCAGTCACCATACGCTCAAGTCCTTGCGGATCTCGAACACAGCTTCAGAGACGCCAATCAAGAGAACTTGCAAACGACACGAGCTGAATCTGCTTCAGAATCTCAAGTAATCGGTTCTGCTGTCAACCTTCTTGAGTCCACCCTGCCCCTCCTCTGCCGACTGCAGGAGCAAGAGGCTCTTCCAGCAATCCTGTTCAACTACGACCGCCACGAGTGTGAGAAGGTTTGTCAAGCGGTGGTCGAGCAATTGGCTCAGGCCGAAGAAACTCAGGTCAAGAGTGGTCCGAAGTGGGAGAAGAAGCTTGAGCGGTGGGAGGAGTGGAAGAAGGCGCAAGAGAAGGCTGCTATAAGAGATGCCAGGGCCAGTAAGAAGAAGACAGCAAAGAAGGGCGAAGCTGGCGAAGATGACGAGAAGGCTTCAAAGCTCGATCAGGCCATGGAGGCTGGCGCTGCTGATGCAAGCTCATGGGAGTTGTTCGATCCTGCAGCACCGGTTGACGGCTACCACTTCGCCAACTACGCCAGAGTCCTTGCTTCCGAGATGGAGATTTACATCAAGCAGCTGAGACGTCGAGAGGTACACGAATATCTCATCGACGGTCTGAAGCGTGGTGTTGGTGTCCATCACGCTGGTATGAACCGCAAATATCGGCAGATCGTGGAGATACTCTTCCGCAAAGGATTCCTGCGCGTTATTGTCGCAACTGGAACACTTGCGTTGGGTATCAACATGCCTTGCAAGACCGTCGTGTTCAGCGGCGACTCCGTCTTCTTGACGGCGCTCAACTACCGGCAGTGCGCTGGTCGTGCCGGTCGACGTGGGTTTGATCTTCTCGGAAACGTAGTCTTCCAGGGCGTTTCTCGTGAGAAGGTCTGCCGACTGATCAGCTCTCGCCTCCCGGATCTGAATGGACACTTTCCGATTACTACAACACTGGTCTTGCGCCTGTTCACGCTTCTCCACGAGTCGAAGAACTCCTCGTACGCGGTCTCGGCGATCAATGCGCTCCTATCGCAGCCGCGCATGTACATGGGAGGGCCTTCGTTCAAGGATCAGGCGATGCATCACCTCCGCTTCTCGATCGAATACCTTCGGCGACAGTTCCTACTCGGCTCTAACGGAGCCCCCCTCAACTTCGCCGGCCTTGTCAGCCATCTCTACTTCACAGAGAACTCATCCTTCGCTTTCCATGCGCTGCTCAAGGAAGGCTACTTCCACGAGATCTGCGCTGGGCACGAGACCAATGAGAAGGATACGATGGAGACACTTATGCTTGTAATGTCGCACTTGTTCAATCGCAGGCACTGTCGGCAGGCAGACGAGGAGTACAAAAAGAAGGTGGTCAAGCCGTCTTCGTCGATTGTGTTCTTGCCACCGATGCCGGCGAAGGCTGCAAACATCTTGCGCAGACACAACAAGCAGACACTGGAAGTTTACAGAACATACGTGGAGAGCTTCGTGGATCAGCACGTCAAGCACCCAGATCGCAAGCTGCCCTTGACCGGCATGGAAGCCGGTGGCGACAGCTCGGAGGGCCAGAAGGTTCTCGGGTCTCGTCCAGCGACCAAGACAAGGTCAGCGTTCGTCGCTCTGTCCGGCGCTGGCGATGACTTCGAATCCATTTCTGCGCTCTGCCAGACCACACGCGAAGGCGTCTTCCTCGAAGAAGCTGTTATCCCGCACGTCAGCGTGCATCCTGACGAGACTGACCAACCACTCAACGCCTGGCTTCTGGACTTCTACAAGCACGGCGACGTCCACACCATCGAGCGCGCGAACGGCATCCGCCGATCCGACATCTGGTTCATGCTTAACGATTTCTCACTCGTCCTCGCCACGCTGATCGCTTCGCTGATGGGCTACATGAAGTTGCGCGAAGGTAGTGATATGGAGATGCTGGATCTCGTGGGTGACTTCGACGCACACGAAGAGTCAAAGGACGAGAAGGCCGGCGCTCAAGAAGAGGACAACGTCAGCATCGGAGCAATGAGCATGGCCGACTCTGCGATCGGGATGCCCGAGCGTCCGAAGCAGGTCAGCAAGAAGAAGGCGAAGAATGCTGAGAGCTGGGAGGATGTTGCTGAAGAGGAGGATGCGATGGCTCGGGCTGAAGCCATGCAGAAACCGGGTGAGGTGATGGAAGATGAATCGGCGGATGGGGGTGCTTGGGGAGGTGAGGATGGCGAGAAAGGGCTGCAGAACGTTTTGAGGGCGTTTACGAAGTTGCATGCGGAGTTCAACGTCAAGTTCAAGGCTATGTGGGCTTAAACTGGGAATGCAAATGTGAAGGCATTGAGGTGCATGGCATGTGGCATTGACGGCATCCAAGGGGCGTTCAGTGGGTAGATAGAGCTTCGGTTGAAGAATGAATTCAATGGTTGATGATTCATGAACATTTGATTCCTCCCGCGCTTTCACAATAGATAAGACATGCAAGATTTGGAGCCCTGCCCTCGCTGTGTCCTGTGCCGTTTCCAAATTCTTGACATGCTCCCTCTGTACATCCCGCCACAGCTCGAAGTTGATTACCACCGCCCTCATCATACAGCGCCAGCTCCGCCTGTCTTGTCGTCACCCCAGCGAGCATCAATCCTCACCAACATCCTCCTCTGCACCACCAAGATTGGCACCACCTCATCCCACGGCAGTCCCCTCAAAGATTCAACCAGGTGGAGTATAGCATCAACCATCACCACCTACGGCTTCGTGCCCGCAATTGGCTGACCAACCCAAGTGAACCGAAAAATCCCATTCAGGCGCGCGTGCACGAACTTCAAGCTGTCGAGCAGGTTTGGCCAGTGAGGCTTCTTCGACAGCACGTATGTACGGACGTTCGTCATACGGTTGGTGGTCTGCCGTTCAAGACGTGAGAGAGTGCGGCTAAGGGTAGTGTACTTACAGTCTGATACCTCAATGGCGAACGTGGACTTCTTGTAGAACTAGGGTAGAAGGGCGCAGTTAGCAAGGCTCATCCGTATGCAAATCGCCTACCCAGAAGACAGTGTTGTTCTGAGGTGGCTGGAATGAAATTGTGCTGGTGGGGAGGACAGAGATGGTCACTCTCCTGTCCTTCGGTCACTTACAATTGACACGGCCTCTTCACGGACCTGCTTGCTAACGAGCAACAACCCGGGCTCGACGATGCGAGAACCCAGAGGGATGGTGATGTCTTCCACTACCGCGAACTCCCATATCATGTCTCGCAGTTCGCGCGGTATGTCGTATTGTAGCGATAATGGAGCTGCCTCGGTGTTTGTCGACATACTCGCGGAGCTTGTCGAGGGGCGGAAAACAAGCTACCTTATGTTGCCGACGGTATCGATCTGGCCGGTCCTGACAAGCCTGACGGGGTGCTTTGACTGTCCAATGTTAGATAATGGAACCGCAATCCGCGGCCGAAGCGCAGTGGGGCGGCGGCGGCGGCAATGGCAATGGCAATGGTGTTGGTTGGTGAAGCGAATGTATCAATTCTGGCTTGTGCGGCCACTGTGCGTTTGGCGTTTAAAATTCTGGCTTGTGCGGCCACTGTGCGTTTGGCGTTTAAAATTATGACTAGTGCGCCTAACTAGGAAGGAGTGCAACGGTACGGTAATGAGATATGGAGGAGTGAAGTTGGAGTGAAAGTGTAGGAGATCGTCCCGGTTAAGGGCACCATAGGGAAGACGATCGAACAGCTCCACCACCTAGATTCTCAACGAAGCAAAGGCAGAGACTGAGACGAGGAAGGTGGTCTTGTTCTTACCATGATTGCCAGCGGCAGAGAAGAGGCGGCTTGCCTAGATCGAAAGCCAAAGGCGATGAGACAGCGCAATGGGTCAAAGTATGCTGAAACAGGAGACACCTTACGTCTGACTGACCTCACGGACCTAGAAATGGCAGCCTCATGGCACTTGGTGCAGTCCCTTCCAAAAGCCATGGGCGTGTCGCCTTTGTCGATTATCCATCTCTTCTCGAAACCTGAGAGAGAGTCCTCGTATCTTTCTGAGCCACTTCGTCACCTTTTCACGTTATTGAGAAGCATCGCCCTCCCATTACACCGCCCCAGCATCTTCTCCTCTGTCATCAGCCCAGCGCTTGTTGATCTTCACGAAATTCCTCCTCTGTTGCTCCAGGATCTCAATCAGCTCGCTCCATGGCAGGGCGTCTAGCAATGCGACCATGTTGAACAGGACGTCGACCGCGACACGTGTTGCAGAGGACGCCTCATCACTTTTTGGTGAGACCGACCCCTCGAATCCAATACTGCCGACGTGGTGCCTCTTCAGTGACCGTACCAAGTTTGGCCAATGCGGAGCCCGCGACGGTGCGTAGTGGCGCTGATTGAAGAACGGACTGCCGGAATACTTCCTGATCTGACCGTGAACGTGATAGGCGGTTCTGTCATCCCAGTCCGAAATGTCGACTGCGAATGTGCTTCGCTTGTAGAACTGAGGCGGGGAAGGCTGTCAGCGCGAGCTACTCAACTAAACCACACCGGTATAGCAACACCGTCATCTCGTCGACAGCGTAACACCATCCCGCATCTGTCACATCGCTCTTGTGCTCTTGCTGAGATGGAGAAGGGTGAACGTGCCATTACGACCGTTCCGGCACGAACTTGCTTGCTGGCCATCAGTAACCCAGGCTCCATAATGGTCGTGTTCTGTGGTACTGTGACCTGAGAGATCACAGCATATTCGAAGATCTTTTCTCTCAGTTCGGGTGTAAGGCGAAAGAGCGGCGAAGACGTGGTCGACTCCGCGGTCGACATCGTGGGTAGGACCCCGAGCTGCGAGTGGATGTGGCTGAAGTCAAGTCGTCTTGCGCTGAGAGAAGGTTTTTACGTTAACTTCTCACCCCGTTCTGTTTGTGAGGTTGCTATTTGTTAGAAGCAAACCATATGCATGCGGTGTCTCAGATTCTGGAAAACAGGAACGATAGTGCAAGTGAGAAAATGAAGTTTGAGTGGGATGGGTCAAGGATGTATCGCCGCGTAGCCTCTTGCCTCTTATCCCCTCTGCGTCGACGAACCCTTCGCATACCTCCCGCATCTTGATCTGTCCCTCGCGTGTCCGATCAGAGACACTATCGGCCTCTCAGCTCCGGTTACCAGCCCAGCGACCATCCAACTTTGCCAGCACCTTCCTCTGATCTTCGACAAGCTTCACCACTTCGAGTCAGAATACGCCCCTCAACCTCCTCACTAACGAGAACAGAACATCGAGTACCACTTCCTCGGCGCCAAATCCAGTCCCATCACCAATCATCATGTTGATGTTGGGCCTCCAGTCGCGATGCGTATCTTCCAGAAAGCAAAGCAAGTTCGGCCAATGCGGAATCATGCCCATAGCATTGTATTCGAGATTGGTAACAAAAAGGCGAGCGTACTTTCGGAGGCGTACGTGGCTACGCTTGAGGTTGCTGAAGTCGTAGTCGCGAACTTCGGCCAAGAAGTCGCATCTGTTGTAGAACTAGGGTGGGCATAGGTTGTTAGTGCATATCTTCAGGTGACCAGGCAAGAGTAAGCTCGTTTCGTCGATACCAACTCTGCTTCTTTGCGGGAGGATGCAGAACCAAGTAATAGGAGTAGGTTCAGGAGCTGATGTACGTACAATTGGGGTGGTCTCTGCGCGGACCTGCTTGCTGACTTGAAGCAGGCCAGGCTCCGCAATACTGGTTCCTTGTAGGATGATGACTTCCTCGACGACAGCGTACTTGTAGATCTCGTCCCTAAGCTCGCGGGACAAACGGAAGAGTGGTGAGGCCGCGGTAGCTGCAGTATTGACCGCCATGTTGAATGGTACAGCTCGAATTTGGCGGTGCACAATGTTCTGCGGCCTAGTAGTACACAGTTAGACAATGCATCAACAGAAGTGCAATCTAGGTGCGGCAACGACAACGGCAAGGCGTTGTCAGTTGCAGTGGTGGTTCGAGAGTTATCTTGAGGTGTCGAATTTCGTATTTCAGTGCGTGTGGACGTGCGGCGAGGCAGAATTCAAGTAACCCGATGGGGAAGGACCGGAACCGGAATGGCGATGCATGTGATAATGTAAAATTCGGGTGGCACTAAGGATGTATCGCGGCATCTCCTCTCGCCCGCTGGCCCCTCTGCGTCGACGGAATGCTTTCTTTCACCACTTCAAGCTCCTCCGCCGATCCTTCACCCAGTTCCGGTGTCATCTCATCCTCAGCCTCCTCTGTACCAACACCAGTATAAGCACTGCCCTGGATCTGCTTGAGCGCTGCGGTCTCCCGAATAGCCCATTCCTTCCAGTCCTCGTACGCCTTGTCTTCGAGTTGCATGCCAATTTCCAACGGTCCGAGACCGAAGAAAGCACCCACACTCTGCGCCTCTTCTCGTGCGACTCGCTGTTCAGTTTCCTGGAAATGTCGGACGCGGTAGAGCTCTTTTCGCGCTTGGTCGTAGGCAGCTGCTGAGCTCAAAGGGGTATGTGTTAAGAGCCATTGCTGCCGTTGTATCACCCTGGCAGCCCGAGAGTGGTTAGAGATAGCTCGCGACAGCGATACCATTAATGTGAATGACTTACGCCTCCCCGTTCAACGGCCGCGCAGCCTGCGTGTCCATAATTATCTCCCAATCGTCCTCCGTCCTCCCACGTTTATCTCTCGTCTTCCGCCTTGGCCGGTTTAACGAAACATCAAGCTCGATGCCCCAGTCCCATCGTTCCCGGTCCCTGCCATCGTTCTCAAGCACCACTCGTGGTCTTGCCAGCTCCCAAGGATGGTCATTGAAGTATTCCCATCGTAGCTTGTCCTCTTGGTATGTGAGATTGACCGGTGTGAAGATGCGGGATGATCGCTTGCCGGGCTTCTGCGCGCGTTTGAGGACGGGACGAGTAAGCTTCGAAGAGGGAGGCGTGGTTTGGATGGTTGCTAGCCAGGGAGGGGGGTAGGTGTGCCGTGTGTTGTTGAGAATCTGGGTGGCCTGGGTGTGGACACGCGAGGCCGCGTGGTTCAGTCGGCCCATTGAGGCGGTGGAAGATGCGTGGACAATGAGGTGGTGTAACGAACTGTACGTGTATGTTGCTCGCAATGAATGAAGTCTTCGGGGGTTTCCCGCAATGTCTTGGCAATATGGGTTCAATCTTGGAGGACATCTTCCTCTCTCGCTAGAAGCGCACGACAATTACGCGACAAGGGCACAGGTATTAGGAGGAAGTATCATGCCATTGCGATGCTGAGAGAGCAACTGGCACGATGCGGTCCGCTTCATGTTCCTCCTCAACACCCTCTTTCGACCCAAGAGCTTGCCGAGCCCCTCGACGATAGCAGCATGTTCCCGTGCAATCACCCAACAAAAGCGTACAACGGAAGGAAAGAAAAGAAGGTGGACAAAGTCCTCATCCGACGGCGATGACATCAGAAGAGGTGGGCACCAGCGCAGGCCTGATGGTGAATGGGAGCTGGAGAAGGCCTTCATCAGTGCATTGGCCGCCGCAGGATCCTGCAGACAACGCGCAAGGACAGAGAGGCTGAAACCTGCCCACGCCAATCGTCGGTGCGGAGGGCAGGCATCGCGAGCTTTCTCGACAATCAGTCCGCGCAGGCAAGGTCTAAACATTGCTCTACCCCCGGCACCTAGAGTGGCGATATCGCGCGACGAGTACAGAGAGCTGGCGAACACATATCACAGTCCTTCAGATCTCTGGGAGCAGCCCGGTTACCATCCACCGCAAGATCGCCGCCCGACAGCGACTACACAACCCCCGAGAGACCATGTGCGTCTCGCTCCACGTATAGTTGTGCCCCCGGAGCAGGAGTCCACGCCTCTACACGCGGACCGTGTTGTTCTTCCGCCCGAGAACGAGCCCCATGCAGCAAAGATCCGAGGTCTGGAGCGACTGATTAGCGAGAGTTGTTTGGGCGAGAGCACAAACGAAATCTGGAACCTCTACAGTTCCACAAACCCACGCAGTCCTCGCTATCTTAGTGAAACAGCTGTGCATCGCCTTTTCCGCCATCTTGCATGGGTGGAGTTCAAGGACATCGCCAGCAGCAAACGATACATCGAATTTCTGGACGAAGCCATCGAGGCAGGGATCCAACCGACGGCACATGAGTGGAACTCTGCAATCGCTTTTGCGGGCCGGTGGGCAAGAAAAGTGACGGCGGAAGAAGTCAAGTCTGCGGTCAAGACATGGATGCGAATGGAGACTACGGGAAAGGGTGTGAAGCCCACCCATGCTACTTTCAACATCCTATTCGACATTGCATCGAGAGCTGGACGCTTTGCCTTGGCCGACACGATCATCAGTGAGCTCAAGGCGCGGAAGATGCCATTGAATAGATACTACCGCACCAGTATGATCCACTACGCGGGGCTTCGACAAGATGGTGAAGGTGTACGTGCAGCTTTTCGTGAGCTTGTGAATGCTGGTGAGATTGTGGACACGGCAGTCATGAACTGTGTCATCTTGGCACTAGTACGTGCCCGCGAGCTACCAAGCGCTGAGAATGTCTTTCAGAGGATGAAGACGCTGCATGCCGAGAAGTCCGACACTTCTGTCAGCCCACGGGACTGGCGTCAAGAACGGAGGCTAGGTCGTCGACTAGACTATGCTGCCAGCGTCTTGCGCCTCGAGAAGGCGGACCACGAATCGTCTTTCTTTGGTTCACGGTATTCTAACGAAGAGCACAAAGAGGCGGTCCAGCGAGAAGCACCCATACATCCTAATGCTCGCACTTGCCGGATCCTGCTCAAGCAAAATTGTCTTGCGACAGGCAATCTTGACAGGGTGAATGAGCTCATCGCCGAGATGCGAAGCGAGATGTACGGCGGCAAGGTCCACGGCAGCGTGTATCTTGAGCTTTTCGCCGGCTTCTGGCGGTGGGGGGGACACGGGTACACGGCTTGGAGTCGTCTCAGCCTGGAGCGTTACTGGGATGAATTCTTGCAGGCTGTGGAACGGGACAAGCGCCATTCTCCTGCCGCACCTCCTGCTACGGAGGATGAGCGCAGTGAGCCGAAAGAGAAGGATGACGCGTCTGCTTACTCGCCTTTCGCCTCAGGGGAAGGCAGCAGTACTAACGACCAGCACCATTCGCCCAGTGACTCCAGAACGGATAACGCCTCCCAACAATCCTACTCTCCCTTCACCAAGACGACCAGCATCGCGGAAGGCAACAAAGCCGCGTCAACGCAGTATCAAGATGAAGACATCCCCTACGAAGACCGACCAGTGCAGTTCTCCCCCTTCCTCTGCATGAGAGCAATCTACGCTTTCTACAAGTGTGCTGGAGCCAAGAAAGTGCTTGCTGTGTGGAAGCAGATCCAGGAGCACTGGACGGATATGAGTGAGGATGACAGGGTGAAGGTCGAGGAACATGTGAGGAAGGCTGTTGGTGACGACTATACATTGTAATCGCTTCTATAGAGGGGGCATGTAGATATAACGTACAACAAGCTGTCGATAAGGAGCCTTGACACTGTGCACGTGAGAGCGCACCCAAATCGCTACTTGGTCTGTGCTGCAGTCGCGACTTCCACCTTACAGCTCTTTCAGCACCGTGTTTCCAGGTCCTCTTACTCTTTTCTTGACGACATCTCTTCTCGCGAAAGCTACCTTTTATCATCCAGCACTTGGTTTCGTCGCTTAAATCGACGTTGGTTCTCAAAACACGTGAGGCTCTGACGTTCGACCATGATCCGTCTTCACAACACGAACCATCAGCTGCGTTTGCGCCTGGGCGGGCAGAGGTAACACTTCTCTCACTAGGAAGCCCTTCACGCGGACGACGTAGTCATGGCGGGTGGCAAGCGACGCAATGGGGGTGAAAGAATCGATATCGACTTCACCCTGCGACGAGTCTTTGGCAAAGACAGCTTCAGGTAAGGCATGATTCAGCATCTGCTGTACTTCAAAGAGCTGAGTCTGAGTACTGACATCTATCACCCAGACCGACTCAGCGAGAAGTCATCACGGCTGCTCTCGAGGGCAACGACGTCTTCCTGCAGGCTGCGACCAGCTTCGGCAAGAGTCTTTGCTTTCAACTTCCCGCTGTTGTGGACTATGGCATCACAATCGTTGTATCGCCGTTACTGGCGCTGATGAACAACCAAATCGCTGCTCTCAGAGCTGCCAGCATCCAGGTGGCCACCATCAATAGCACCACGAATCTCAACGTCAAGAATGCTATCCTGGATGATCTCAAGAGTGGCCATCCACGGACAAGGCTGTTGTACGTCACGCCGGAGTACTGTACCTTGGACTACTTCCAGAGACTTTTACGGATCGTCTACGAGCAACGTGAACTAGCTCGTATCGCCATTGACGAGGCCCACTGCATATCTGAATGGGGCCATGACTTTCGACCCAGCTTTAAAGCCCTCTCCTTCTTCAAAAGAGAGTTTCCCGACGTACCGATGATCTGCTGCACTGCTACAGCCACCAGCCGCGTTCGAGACGATGTGATCGGTACTCTGGGCCTCGATGTGGCAAAGCTGAAGAGCTATACCATGACCACGAGCCGGCCGAATCTTCACTACGAAGTCCGCTTCAAGTGTGACGAAGAGGACCACTACGATGACTTTCTGCAGTGGCTACGAGCCGCACACAGACGGAGAGCCAGCAATCCCACACGCTCCCAGGAGCTCAGTCAGCGGAGTGAACGACCGTCAAGCATACCCGGCATCATCTATACCCTCTTCCGGAAAGACACAGAACTGCTGGCTTCCCGTCTTCAGGCTGACGGCATTGGTGCAAAGGCCTACCACGCCGGCCTCACCACTGAGCAGAAAGACGACCATCTCCATGGATGGGTTCTCAACAAGGAAGGTTACGATGTCATCGTGGCTACCACAGCGTTCGGTATGGGTATCGACAAGGAGAACGTTCGGTTTGTGGTGCATTGGCAGATGCCGAAGTCCTTCGAGGGCTTCTATCAAGAAGCTGGACGTGCAGGCAGAGACGGGAAAGCCAGCATCTGCATCCTCTACTACAGCCGCGAAGACCGGGATCGAGCTGCTCAGATGATGGCACGGGAGCAGGAGAGGAATGGTCGCAATGCCTCGAATGGAGCGGGCCCACAGGCGATGATCAACCGGGGGCAGAGTCTCCAAGCTTTGATCAAGTATTGCGAGACCGTGGAAAAGTGCCGACACAACATGATTTGCGACTACTTTGGCGATGAGAGCAATGCGAAGTGTGACTATGCATGTGACTGGCACAAGGACAAGAAGGCGCTGGCGAGAGCAAAGGAAAAGGGGCTGGCGAGTGAAGAGTGGTGTCTCACGCAGTTGCAGGCGGGTGCTTATGATGATTACTGAGTGACGAGGACAACGTCCATAGATATAATCATATATAGATATAGATGGTGGTGGTGTTGGTGTAGTCAGAAAAGCAAAGGCCGCTTCCGGTCTAGCCAGCATCGAAAACGCCAAGACCAGGCGATTTTGCGTCACTGGCTCGACTGGCTTCTGCTTTGGAACCGTCGTCAGTGTCACCCTCTTCCTCCCTACCGCTCTTCCACCCGCTCCGCCGCCTGCCTCCGCTCCGCTCGTGTCACACCACCGAGAACTTCTGCCATACTGGACGGCAAACACGCTCACCTTTGTCCAGGGCTTTCACCTCCCTCTCCAACACCTTCCCCACCTCGCCAATCTCGCCTAACAACGACCTTCGAGACCAGCCCACCGCGACACCCACACAGCCTCTTGGCTTCGATAGGCCAATATGGGTCAGACACTCAGTGAGCCCGTGGTCGAGAAGGTATGATATCCCAACTTCACACTGTCTCGCTGAATCAGCACCACGGCACCATCCTTTTGCCCGCGGGGGGCGACCGCAAAAGCTGGGAAGAAGCGAGAATGCGCGCTACTATTGACAGACCCTACTAACACGTGTATGCGGTACAGAAATCAGACGAAGGCCAAGATGACCGAGTCGCCTTCGGCGTCAGCGCCATGCAGGGCTGGCGGATAAGCATGGAGGACGCCCACGCCGCGGTCCTGGACTTACAAGCGCTGGAAGACGGCGAGGAGCTGAAGCCCGCGGACATCGACGTGCGGATATCGTATTTCGGCGTCTATGACGGACATGGAGGCGACAAGGTGGCGCTGTATACGGGCGAACATCTGCACAACATCATCGCGAAGCAGGAGAGCTTCAAGAACAAGGACTTTGAGCAGGCGCTGAAGGATGGGTTTCTGGCGATTGATCGGGCTATACTTAGTGGTGTGTGCTTGCTCTGGTGGAAAAAAGAACATATCGGTGCTGACAGATGCGCTCTGCTAGATCCAAAGTACGAGGAGGAAGTCTCTGGCTGCACGGCTTCCGTGGGCATCGTCACGCACGACAAGATCTACGTGGTATGTTCGAGTACGCGCTATGAGAGGATAACAGAGGAAGCTAATTCGTGCAGGGCAACTCTGGCGACTCGAGATCGGTGCTGGGTATCAAGGGCCGCGCGAAACCACTCTCATTCGACCACAAACCGCAGAACGAAGGCGAGAAGGCGCGTATATGTGCAGCGGGCGGCTTTGTTGACTTCGGCCGTGTCAATGGCAACCTCGCGCTCAGCAGAGCGATCGGCGACTTCGAGTTCAAGAAGAGCGCAGACCTACCTCCGGAGCAGCAGATCGTCACAGCCTTCCCGGACGTGACGGTGCACGAGTTCACAGACGACGATGAGTTCCTGGTCATTGCATGCGATGGTATGTGCGGAGAGACATCAAAGGAGGAAGAATCATAGCTAATCTCCAGCAGGCATCTGGGACTGCCAATCCTCACAAGCTGTGATCGAGTTCGTACGAAGAGGCATCGCAGCCAAACAAGAGCTCCACGCAATCTGCGAGAACATGATGGACAACTGCCTCGCATCGAACAGCGACACGGGCGGTGTAGGCTGCGACAATATGACTATGGTCGTGATTGCGCTGCTGAATGGGAAGTCGAAGGAAGACTGGTACAAGATGGTTGGAGATCGCGTGGCGAACGGAGACGGACCATGCGCTCCTCCAGAGTATGGCAAGTCATCCTCACCCACGCCCTCCGATGAATAGCAAGCGGCCACTGTGGCGCGCCATCTTTGCGTCCGTGCGTTGCATCGAGGGTACTCCCCTGTAGAAACTTATGCTGACTACCTTGCAGCTGAGTTTAGAGGACCTGGCACACATCATCACTTCGACGACTCACCTGACGACTATGAGATGGATATGGATCAGCGGACGCGCTTCATTGGTGGCAGACAGGGGCGCATCATTCTACTTGGCGACGGCACAGAGATTTCTGTGGGAGGACCTCACGACGACGATGGCGATATCGATATGGAGGACCGAGGTGAAGCTGAGGAGGCGGAAGAGAAAGATCTGGACGAGCAGGTACAGAAGGATGGAGCAAATCCTTCCACAAACGGCGAAACGGACAGGAGTACACGGGAAGAGACACCAGCACCAGGCTCATCGCTAGACGGTAGAGACACAGCATCTGCAGAGAAAGTGGAGGAGGCGAGTAAGCAGCAGGAGGAAGGCGGCCAGCAGAGTGAGCCGAAGATGTCTGCCGCTACGGACTCGGCGGATACAGAGACTACCAAGAACGCCGCGGAACACAAGGAGTCGAAGTAGGGCTCGCGCTCCTCATCTCACGGCGGCGGCATCAGTGGAATACGATTTGATACCCTCAGTCTTGCGCTCCGACCTCCGACATCAACTGTTTCACGACGTTCACATCCACGTTCTCCCAGAGGCCGCGGCGTTCGCAGAGTCTCGCCGCAGAGCTCTCCGTGACCCGTTCTCGTCATGGCTGGTGGATGCGTATACGAATGACGAGGCGATGGAGCATGTTGGCTCAGACCTAGACGTGGACAGCAGGGCGGTGCATTTTCCTTCTTCCTCCCTTACCAGTGGTGCATGGATCCTTTTTCCGAGCGTGTGGAGTTAGGCTGTCTGTGTCTCGGCGGTACCGTTATGTTGATAAATGATTATGCTCACCCATCTTGACTCCTTTCAAAGTCTACCTACATGTGTGCAGTGGTAAAGAAGAGGTGAGGTTGAAGTCGCCTCGTGCCTGAGGATAAGGGCAGGTCGTGCCAGCTTTTTCCAGGAAGTCCAGACCTTGGAAGGAGGCTGAGAGATGCAGGTTGACGTTGCGCGACGTAGCGGCCAAGAGCTTACCGGCAGGCTTTCGCAGGTGAATATCGGCCTGTTATCTTGACTCGAATTCTCCTTTATGTCTCTGCATATTGTGACATTCATTTGAGAAGGAGGATTACCTGGAACACGTGCATCGAGACATTGGTCTGGATTCATCAAGCCCAAGCTCAGCTGCACGGACGCGCCCAGATCGCGCCTTCGTCCAAAAAGTTGGGCAGGAGTTCGAGGTTGCCATTGATACCTACATCCCTCCCTACGACACCTACGCTTTCGTCCCAGGGCGATCCACATAACCTACGATGGCTCCCAAACGAAAGCGAGCGGGCACCGCCTCCAAAGACCCCTCGGACGCTGCCCAGCCCAGCTCGCGAGATGCATCAGGAGAGGACACTACAGACCCCGTACTCGAGGATGTAAAGGAGAGGAAGTCGATGGATCCACCAGCTAAAAGACCACGATCCACCCGATCGGCTTCCAACGCGAAGCAGCCCTCAGCATCACCCGCCAATGGCCACCAGCGCCGTCCCAGTCACAGCGCGCAGATGCCTGCCAATGCCTTTGCTGAGGGAGGCGGAGAGAATGGAGAAGCTGGGGACAACATGCGCATGTCTGCTCCACCGCCTGCAGGCGCTATTGACCCAGTGGGCTACAAGACGAACCCGCCTCCGAAGGACAGACCGGTCCGCGTGTATGCGGATGGTGTCTTTGACCTCTTCCATCTGGGGCACATGAGGGTGCTGCAGCAGGCCAAGACAGCCTTCCCGGACACCTGGCTCATTGTCGGTGTAACGGGCGACACGGAGACGCACAAGCGAAAGGGTCTGACCGTCATGTCGGCCAAAGAACGCGCCGAATCTCTCAGACACTGCCGCTGGGTAGACGAGGTCATTGAGGATTGCCCTTGGGTCATCACCGTCGAGTTCCTCGAAAAGCACCAAGTCGACTACGTCGCGCACGACGACCTACCCTACGGCGCCAGCGAAGGCGACGACATCTACAAACCCATCAAAGAAAAAGGCATGTTCCTGGTCACCCAGCGCACGGAGGGCGTCAGCACGACCGGCATCATCACCAAGATCGTACGCGACTACGAGCAATACGTCGGCCGGCAGCTGAAGCGCGGCACCTCCCGCCAAGAGCTCAATGTCAGCTGGTTGAAGAAGAACGAGCTGGACATCAAACGCCATGTCTCCGAGCTGAGGGACACCATCCGCACGAACTGGACCACGACCGGGCAGGAGTTGAGCAGGGACCTGAAGCAGTTCTGGACGCCGAGCAGGCCGAACAGTCCTGCGCCGAGCTTGCGGAACGGCACGCCTGGTAGTGTGAGGGCCAGCAGCGCGAAGAGTCCGCTTGGTAGAGGCAGGAATGGGGACTTTGCGGCTGGGTATGCGATGGGTTTGATTGGGGGTGTGAAGAGCTGGATGGAAGGGAGTCGGAGGAGGAATTTGAGCGATTCCAGGGCGCAGAGTCCGAGTGGGGATGGGGAGAGTGAGGATAGTAGTAATGGGGAGGGCAAGGAGGAGGGGAGGGGTAGGAAGGGGAAGGGTGGGGATGAGGCGGAGAAGATGGAGGTGGAGACCTGAGAGGAGGCTGATGGGTGGAAGAGGCAATGGGTCGGTTGGGCGAAGCCGTTTAGACTGGGGTGTAGGACGTTTTAATCATTGTACACATTGAGCTTCTTGAGTGGTCGAACCTGACTTTGGAGGTAACGTGGGCTTGATCCTAAACTGAAACCTCTGGCTAGAAGTGAGGCGTAGAGGCGGAGGTCGTGCCATTGGCCCCATTCACCCGCAAGCTGCCAACACGGTAACAACGACATCCTTCCAGTAGATCAGAACGAGGCGTATGACGGATCTTCTCGCAAACAATCTCATCTTGCCAACGAGGATAATGTAGCCTTTTCTAATGCAATCGGATCCGAGAGAGAAGACTTCGTCAATCGTTCAAACTCTGAACGGTGGGCCGCCTTCTCTGTCGCTTGTCTGCTCGTCCAGCAGCAGCACTGTCACCCACCACCGATGCTCTTCCTCCACGCTAGGACAGATTGAACATTGAGAGAGGACCAGCATATATTAAATTGTCAGGAGACCGCGAGACTCAATCTTCCCGCGATAGCCGTTCATCACAGATGCCGCATGCGCCGAGGCATATGCTGCCAGTCCCATCAGGAAGCCCAAAGAAGTACCCGCTGCAAAAGCTAACAGAGTTAGGATATGCACAGTCGGAGCGCTGGCCAAAAGCACAGTCGACGAGGTCCGGGTGAAGGGGGTACAGCACAGAAGATGGCAATGCTATGGTAAACGCCGGACGGCGAGTCAGCCTTTATATCACCCGCATGGCCATCCTGGTTGATATCCCCGTTTGTCGACGTCTACGCCTGGCCTCCCCGCCGCGCTGGGACGAGGTTGCAAGGCAAAGAGGAAGGCGAGATGAACGCGGGATTAGAGTACGGCTAGCGGCAAGGCCATCTCCAAGAAGCTTAGCTCTTGCCTGGCTCAGCCAGCACACTCTGGATATCTCAGACAATTGGAAGCCATTGGCCCCAACTCCTCCGACACACTGCACCACGACACCAGTACGACCAGCGCAACGCCTTGCCACAGCCCGTGGCGACCGACGTCGTGTCCACTCGTTCGATCTGGTCAAACCACGCTCCTTCAACGCCGACAGTACAAAAGGTAAGTCCCGCCGCTGCGCGCTTGGCTGCATCTGCATCTGCAACCTCAAGGGGGCCGAATCTAAAATCTAAAAATTGCACCTCACTCCTGCCCGGCCCCCGTCATCATATGCTGCGGACGGCCTCCGAGACAACACTTCGGCTCTGAGCGTCTGCCAGAGGATGCACCTTCGTGGTGTGTTTCCGCCACACTCACCATTCTCCATTCCCCCTGATGCGCCGCACCAAATGCCAAAAAGCTTGCCTTGCATCATGCACAACACACTCCCTTCAGTGGCATTGAGAGCCAAGTACAACCTACTCTCTTACACTCACCACTGCACTTGCTCCTTCTGCAACACCTAAGATTTGGCCTTGCCACAACAGCAAGCGCTGCACTCCTGCGCAACACGCTCTTTCTGCCCTATTTCTCATGGCCTTTGTTCATTCTAACACATCTAGCTTGTAGCCCGCAGCAGGTCCTTACGTTCCAGCACTTCTCTACGAACCACAGCAAGGTCGAAACACAATCCGCCAGAGTCGTACCCGCAACGGCACGGCCGACAAGCACGTTGAGAGACCTCACCTTTGTGCCAGCACGCAGTAAGCCACCGTTCCCCAAAGCTCACCCACACCTCACGCAAATGTTTTATGTGATTTCTGCCCTACGCAATAGGGCCACAATCGCACTTCACAATGTGCTACAATCTCACCAACACAAACTGGCACAAGTTTGCTGGATTCAGCAAAACTCGCGACAGAACAGAAAGCTGACTGTCTTCCTACAGACTTCCTTGCAACGCACCTCAATCGCAGCAGAATACCACAGCTTACAGCAACAGCTCTTCCCAGCATCGACCGTACACCGAAGCAGCCTACCTTACCGCGACCATCAGTTGTACTTGTTCCTGGGCAGGATTGAATGGCAGAGTGTACCAAACACTAGGGTTGTCCGGCCGAGCTACGACAGACGACAGTCACCATGTACCCACCTTCCAACAATCACAATGTTGGTGTCGACGAACACTCGACACCTCCGAGCTCGCAATCACACCCGCCGTCGACGGCTTCAGGCGGCAATGAGAGCATAATAGCAGACCGTAGCAGGCCGCTGCACCCAGTGACTTCAACAATAGGGTCACGAGAGGGAGTACCACCTGGTCAGCAGTCGCCAACGATATCGGAGACACGAACCTGCGACCAACCACTTCTACCACACCCACAACAACCTTCCTCCTGGCCAATGACGACAACAACAACCGAACGATCGATGCATGACCCTTCTTTCCTGATCGAAGAGTTTATGGGCGTGGAAGGTGCTGCATACGCAGAATGCTTTCGTGGTCCAACTGAGCAGCCTCCAATTACGCCAGACTCCCTTGCAGAGCTCGACATGCCACGGATCATCAACAACCCGAAGCTGCGGAACGATTGCAACTTTGACCGCGAGCTCCATTTCAGGCCCAATCTAGATGGCCCCAAGGGCAAGCAAAAGATGAAATCCGCAGAGGACTACTGGAAGGCACTGGAGGCTGAGCTCTTCATCTATGGGATGGTGCACCGGCAGAGGCGAGATCCATCGCAGGCAGCGAACGAGGCATATTGGCGAGGTGTGCTCGCCTCTAGCTCGAAGCGGCTACCACAGGTCTTCCACACCATCCGTGACATCCTCAAGTCGCTCGTGCCCGACTGCGATCAGAAGGCCATCCTTGAGCGGCTAGACGTGGACCTCATCATGCAGGAGATCATGAACGGCGTGTGTGATCTTATCGACCTTGGCAGCTGGCTGGCGAAAGTTCTGAAGAACCACTGCGCTCCGATGCGTGATGGCATGGTGGATGCAATGGAGAAGGAGATCAAGCGAGGGGCGTCGGAAGAGAAGCCGGGGAAGCTCGTGAACGGCATCCGGCAGCTGCTGAACATTCTTGAGGCCATGAAGTTGGACGTGGCGAACCACCAGATCCGGCACATGCGGCCACTGCTCGTGGAAGACACATTCAATTTCCTGCGCAAGTACAATGCTCATCGGATATCGCTTGGCAAGATCGATGCGAAGAAACCCAAAGATTGGCTGGAAGAAGAGCGCCAGGTCATAGCGTCCGACGGAGGGGACTCTAGCACTCTGGACGTGTTGGTGTCTGCTCTTCTGAGGCGCCTGATCTTCTCCGAGCAGTTCGTGCACCCACAGACATTCTACCTCGACGTGGAAAGGCTGCGTGGGATGCGTCAGGATCTTCACACCAGCATCTACCACCTCATCTGCAGGGACGTTCTGATCGCGATGGCCGGCCCCAACATTCTGACCAACGAGCTTTTGCAGGCTGCTAACGCGCTGCACATCACGGTCTCAGCCATCGTGGGCGTGTCTGGACGCTTCAGGGATCGATTGAACAACATTGCAGCAGAGATCATGCGGATAGTACTGCTGCTCGAAGGGCGTAGCTTGCCTTTCGATGCTACATTGCTGGATTTCATCGAGCAGCAGCTCGACTTCGATCTCGCCATCTCTTCTCCTGCGTTTCAGAAGCATGGTCAGGATCTCTTCGACAGGCTTGTGCCGAGCTTGCAGAGAAGCGTGCAGCAAAATGTCAGACTGTCGGCGTTGCAGCTGCAAGACACCCTGCTACCATCAGTAGCACCAACAGCCCCGACCCAGCTGCTTGGCTTTGGTGCAGTGTTGGCGCCCGCCCCAGGTACACAGCTGTGCGACCCCAACGACGACTCCATCCGCCGCTTCACGCATCTTCTCGCCTTGCATTGGCAGATATGGGCTGATCTGGTGTACACCGACCGACCAGCGTGTAACGGCAGTCCGTCGCCAGACAACGATGATGCATCTGTGTCGTCCCTCCCGGCTTCATCTACGGTACCGATTGCGCACGCGGTCTATGCTCCTGGCCGCAAATGGCTACCAACTGCTGTCGCAGTCGTTGAGGTACCAACCACTGGTCTTCCAACACCTGCTTCTTCGCCAGCCCCAGAAGAAGAAGAGCCTTCACCCACGACGTCTCCTCGCCCCAGACCGAAAGCGCGGAACTCAATCTCTGCGCCTGTATCTACACCAGCAGCTCAACCCTCCTCACCCAACCAGCAGGCCGGGCACGAGCGCAAGCCGTCCAAGGACACCAAGATCAAGAGGCAGCCAGCCTCGTGAATTTTCACCACTCTCACACCACCACACTTCGTCAGTGCAGCAGCGACAAGCCTGCAGCACTGCACCGTGTACATACCCACCATTTCTACTTGCCCAGAGAGACTCAGAACCTGTTTATCAATAAAGCGCGGCGTTTGTGGGCCTACTTGCATCAAAAAGCCGGACTGGGATCGGGTGCATAGAGCACGCGCCCGGATGTCTGGATGGTGGCATTATTGTTTTGTTAAGAGAGAATGGATACCCCAATGGTCGTCGGCATGTGGCATGCGGCATGGGCGTTTATGGGTGTAATGTTAGTTGCTTGTGATAGTGTGACAGTACTCACTGTCAAGAACAAATCATCATGAGACTAGTCAGTATCATCACTGTCGTTCGGTTTTCTGCTTGTGACATGCTGTAGTCAGCCGTGCATCCTATCGCTTGAAAAATCGCCAGCAGTCTGGACCGCTCCGCTGCCTCTTCCATGTGCCAAGCATCCAAACTCGAGTCATCTTCAACACAGCTGCTCAACCAAAGCAAGACTCATACTCCCACTCGACTTTGACAGTTTGCCGTGAATGCTCCTCAAACCACGTCAGCTTCACTGCTTGACGACCAAAACACTCCCACATCTCCTCCAACCAACTGCAACCCGCTTCTATACCACAACCATGGCACCCACCTCCACCTCCACGCCCACCGCCCTCCGCCCCATCGTCGTCTCCGGCCCCAGCGGCTCCGGCAAATCCACCCTCCTCAAACGCCTCTTCGACGCCTACCCCACCCGCTTCGGCTTCAGCATCTCGCACACCACGCGCGCGCCCCGCGGCACCGAGCAGGACGGCGTGGAATACCACTTCACCACGCGCGAGGCCTTCACGTCCATGGTCGCGCGCGGGGAGTTCATCGAGCACGCGCAGTTCGGGAGTAACCTGTACGGCACGTCCGTCGCTGCGGTCAAAGAGGTGAGAGAGGGGGGCAAGTGCTGTATTCTGGACATTGAGATGGAAGGGGTCAAGCAGGTTAAACGGACGGATTTGAATGCGCGGTTTGTGTTTTTGAAGCCCCCGAGTTTGGAGGTGTTGGAGCAGAGGTTGAGGGGACGGGGCACGGATGGGGAGGAGGCGGTGGTGGAGCGGTTGGCGCAGGCGGAGCGGGAGATGGAGTTTGGAGCGCAAGAGGGGGTTTGGGATCGCGTGGTGGTGAACGATGAGTTGGAGAGGGCTTGGGGGGAGTTTAGGGCGTTTTGTGTGCCGGATGAGCAGGGTTGAGGTGGACGAGAGCGAGGTCTTGATCTGGCCGGATAATGGAGAACGAAGAGATGCCTAAAGGTGGGTATACTGAGCGCGAGGACTTTGGCTACCGGTCATGAAGAATCAGAGCACGAAGTAAGGTCCTTCTATTGTCACCGTTTGAGATGCTGTGGTGTGGTACTACACTTCCACAAGCGATCTTGACGGCGCTCTTACAGCCCACAGCTCTAGAACCAGCAGATTTTACGGAAGAGGTGCCAGATGTGCTATTGGTGTTATCATGCATACACCTTAAGACCAGCATCTGCTTTAAACGCTTCCATTACTTCCAATTTCCATCTTCTGCCTCCAGTCAACTTCAACGGTTCATATCTGCTTACCTAACCTTACGCACGTCCCTTCTCCAGAATTCGTACATCTCGAACACGCTTCCTCTTCCTCCTTCTTTCTTCTTCATGAACCAAAGGTCTCCATATACCCTTGTAAGATCGCTGTTCCATCGATCCTAACACATTCCCGAGATGACCGAAATCGAGACGTCGCCTTTCTTAATCCTCCCGCTCGTGTCCTCTTTGGAGGTGTGGGTGTGGAGGTTCGCTTTCCGGCGCACATTCCCTTTGTCGTCTTGCTTCCCCTTTAAATATCTTGCTGAATGGCGGTCATGTATGCTGGAATTGACGGGCGAGCAGCCGCTTCGTGCGGCGGGCTATGCGTCGTGTGCTGGAGCGGCGCTTATGGCAGTACCAAACCATCGCTCGAGTCGAAGAGCACCTCCAACGCCTGTGGTACTTTCTGAGAAGGCATGGCGCTCTTTTTCTATCCTCAGCAGCTGGCTACTCGGCTGGCAAAGTTATCTTGAGTAGTGGTGTTGGCGCTGAGATGGACTCGAGTGGCTGTGTCTAGACTCTATGTTGCAGCCTGTACTCCGTACCTATGCAGGCAAGGTGCAGCCTCATGTCCAGTTTCCAATCATGTACCTTGTATATACCATTCCAATGTATTCACCAATGTTCACATCGCATTGAGGAATACCTTACAGCTGCTCCAGCCAAGGATATCACTCATCCGCGACCTGAAACGCGGCCTCTTTCCCGAGGCGTAGGAACTTTCGAAGCCAACCTGTCACCTTCCTGTGTCAACCAATGTCTAGATAGGCGTATTCAGTTGCAATGTCCGCTGTCAACGCTCCTGATGCTGGGAGCAAGTCGGGTAAGCATCCGTCGAGTGTAGGAAGTCAGCAGTCTGTAGCAAAGGCTAACGACGGGTTCCGAGCAGCGGCGAAGAAAAAGAAGAAGAGCAAGAGGAAGGCCAATGCCAAAGCAGAAGGAGGTGCGAAGGCTTCTGGGCCAAATGGCACGACGAACGGGCAATCAGTAGAGGCGGATGACGAAGAGGATGAGGACGATGGGGTAGACTCGCCTGTGGTGAGGCCACACTGCTTCTCACCCGCCTAGAGATAGCAAGGCTAATGCATAGCTCAGAAGACTGTTCTACCGAGTCACATCAACGACGAAGATACCCTACATATGCCATCCTCTCCGCCAGAGTCGATAGCGAGGGACGAAGAGCCGGCGGTGCGGAATGGCGGGCAGGAAGAGCAAGAGGAACCAGAGGCTCAAGAAGATGTAGAGGAGGATGAAGAGGAGACTAAGCAGGTGCCAGCTGCTCCAGAACAACCGACAGACACATCAGACCGCTTGCAGGCCATGCAAGAGGAACGGGACAGTCTTCGAGCAGAGGTCACACAGCTACGGCAATCGCTTGAATCGTTACAAGAAAAGCAGAACGAGGAGCTTTCTGGGGTAAAGGAGGAGCTGGCGCAGGTTGAGCAGGACAAAGAGCACGCTGAGACGCAGTACCGTAATCTGTTGGGCAAGGTGAACACAATCCGGTCACAACTCGGCGAGCGGTTGAAGGAGGACACCCGCAAGATTGAGGACCTGGAGAATACAAATGCTGGTGTGAGAGAAGAGAACGAAAGATTACAAGAGTCTGTCACCGAGCTGAATGGAAGACTGGAGGAGCAGGAGTCGGAGATTGAGAGCTTGCGAAGTCGCACGAGCTTATCTACGAGCAACTGGGCAAGAGAGCGGGATGATATGACCGCGAGGGAGGCATATGTAAGAGAAGAGTACGAAGTCACGAAGCAGGCAATGCAGGACTGGGAGATCTTGGCTACGGAAGAGCGCAGCAGAAGAGAGGCTCTGGAAGAGCAAACACAAGAGCTGGAAGAGCAACTGGAAGCGCAGCGAGAGGCGTACAACCGGATCAAGAACGATGCAGAGTCGCAATCCGATACTGTGGACAATCTGCAGCGGGCAATGCGGGATGTACAAGACGAGCGAAAGCGCGAGCTGAGAGAAATGGTCGAGCAGTCCCAGGCACAACTTGAGGATCTTCGCGCTCATGCCAAAACCGCCGAAGATAATGCTGCATCGCTCCGGCAGCAACTCTCCGAAACACAAAAGGAACTGGATCGCGCCTTGCCATTCGAGAAGGAAGTCAAGGAGAAGAACCTTCTTCTCGGCAAAGCCCGCCACGAGGCCGTTATCCTCAATGAGCACCTCGTCAAAGCGTTGCGGTTCTTGAAACGCGGTAAGCCGGAGGACAACGTCGACCGCAACCTGGTGACCAACTACCTCCTGCAGTTCTTGGCTCTGGACCGTAGTGATGCGAAGAAATTCCAGATTCTACAGTTGATTGCTGCTCTGCTGGGCTGGACTGAGGAGCAGAAGGAGCAGGCAGGGCTACTGCGGCAAGGTTCCTATGGTACGGGAAGCCTCCGTTTACCTATGTCGCCTTTCCGCAGAACACCAAGTACGCCTTCGCTCGGCACCGACTTTGTGCCCGAGAGTCCTGCTGGCGCAACGAGAGAGTCTCTTGCGGAGTTGTGGTCGGAGTTCCTGGAACGGGAAGCCGAAGCCGGAAGTGCTGGTGGTGCAAGCAGTCGACGAGGTAGTATGGCGAAGAGTCTGCGGAGCCCGAGTGCGACAGGCGTCACGAGCCCGACTGGTACTTTGCCCATCCTCGGCGGTAGGCAGAGCCCGGAGATCAAGAGGAAAGAGAGTGCGAGCGGTCAGACCACGAGGTCGGATTCTGGATGAGCTGCGCATAACTGCAGACATTGCATTGATACATGTACAAATTGTAGATCTACAGCATCTATGTCTAAGTCAACAAACCAGCCGCGAGGCTCTGGAACCCTCCTTGGAAGCCCGCCGCCGCTGCAGCATATGCGAAACATTCATCACGAATTACAGCTTGCTCCGCTCCTGCACCAGCGAGTAACTCTTTGGCTGACTCTCTAGCCAGCTCCTGTCGATCTGGTCTACGCTCTGGCAACCCGCGACGTTCATCATGATGTCGAAGTCCGCGAGGAGGGACTTCATGACGTGTCGCACACCGGTCGTGCCCATGATCGAGAGGCCCCAGACCCATCTGCGAAATCTTCAGCACTTGCAGAAATCAGAGTGGCATGGGTAGGTGACTTACAGTCTGCCGACGAAGACGAACTTCGCACCGAGCGCCAGCGCTTTGAAGACATCTGTCGCGCCTCGGACGCCGGAGTCGTACATGATGTATGTCTTGTCGCCAACAGCTAGACGGACCGTTAGCACTGAACACTGCGAATCGGAGAGGGTCCAACAACCATTGACAATGTTCTCCAACGCGTCCAGACTGGCAATGGCACCATCGACTTGCCGTCCGGCATGGTTGCTCACCACAATCCCATCACACCCCACCTCAACACACTTCCGCGCATCATCAACCCGCTGAATACCCTTGATCGCAAACGGCTTCCCGCCAGAGATCTCCTTCCACGTCTTGATCAACCACGGGATCTTCTCCCACGTATGCGCACGTCCGTGCCAGACATTATCAATCCACATCGCCCCTGCCTCCTTCGGCTGCGTCTTCGGATCGATCCCAGCCTCCTTCATCTTCTTCTGGAACACGGGATCCGAAAGCCCCAGATCCGCACCGATGCCTTTGTAGAACGCATAATCCGACGTGTTCACGTCATTGTGCCTCCAGCCCAGCTGCCATGTATCCACCGTCAGGATACACGCCGTGAACCCGCTGTCCCAAGCCCGCTTCAGCAGCGACACCGTCAGCTCGTCGTCGTGCGGCATATACAGCTGGAAGAACCTGGGCCCGGCTCCGTTCGCTTTCCCAACATCCTCAATCGGTTGCGACCCTGCCGTGGACAGACAGTACGGTAGATTCAGCTCCTTCGCTACCTGCGCCACCGGCAGCTCGCCTTCAGGATTATAGATCTTATTGATCCCAATCGGTGCGAAGCCAATCGGTGCGCTGACTTTGTGCCCGAAGATGGAGGTTTTGGTATCGCGTTTGTTGGTGTCTACGAGCATGCGCGGGAGCACTTTGTGCCGGTAGAAGGCCTGGCGGTTGGCGAGGTGGGTGAGGGATTGGCCCGCGTTGGAGGAGGCGTAGTACCAGCCGCCTTCGCTGAGTTTTTGTTCCGCGCGCTGTTCGAGTTTGTCTGGGTCTGTGGGGGGGAGGTGTTAATGGACGGGTGCGGGTGGGAGGGTGGATAGGGAGGAGTACCGGTGTTGAAGGGCGGTGTTACGCCTTCGTTCTCCGCCCAGAAGAGCTCGCGTTGGTAGCGGGCGTACTCGGGTGTGTTTCTGTGCTTCGGGTTCGGGGCGTTGGGATCCATTTTGCAGCGAGGAAAGACAGATGGCTTTGCTTTAATGAAGAGCAGTATCAAGGACGAAGTAGAGAAAGGATGGAAAACTTCAATTGTAATTACCTCTTTTTACGCATGGCACAGCTACGACGTTTCCACGCGTCCATTGACTGTTATGTCGTGCCGGTACTACCGGTGTTACATCATTAAGTCGACACACAGAGTTGGGAGTGAAGTCAGAGCGGTTGTGACCTCACAATTTCATCAACTTCGACCTCCGATGTCGAAGATCGTCTGCGACGCCAGAACGCTTCGCCGAAGCTTGTACATCTTGCGTAATATCAGCAGAGGTTCTGGCTTAACTTCACTCTTGCTTGAGAAATGCGAAGGCGTGGTGAGAGATGGTTGATGCACGTTCACATGTCAGTAATGTGTCGTGCATCGGTGGTTGAAATGCCTCACAGTTAGAATGGGCTTTCTTCACGTGCTTGAACGATACGATCAGTGAATGACTCCCTTCTCGAAGTCAGGCAAATATTCAGCAGAAGCAGTCGCCTAAAGAAAACGGTGAGGTCGCAGAAACGTTCTCGGTTCATATGACTGCAGAGCGATTCTCATCTCGACATGAATTTTCCACGCGCCTTTCAGCTTTGTTAACTTCTGATCACATACGGCACACCCCTTCCTTTCGGATGCTACCTTCATCAGCGTCTCACAACATGGCAGACTCGTCAGACCAGCAAGCGCAGCTGAGCGAGGCCAAAGACACGAACACCCGAGAGCCACGTGGCACCGACGATACCACCACCACCACCGCGGTGTTAACGCCACCACAGGTTCCCGTTTCAACACACTGTCCGCTACTCGAGCTACCACCTGAGCTCAGGAACAGCATATGGGAGTACGCTGTGACAGAGCAAGCGAAGCTCCCGCTAGACGGAGGCATCCCAGAGCTACCCCTGCTCCTGGCCTGCAAGCAAATCCGCGAGGAAGCATGGCCAATCTTCTACCTTCAAAACAAGTTCACTGTGCGTGACACGGACTACAACAGCGATATCTACACTCACACCACGAAGCGATCGCGCGAGCTCAAACGGCGGTACAAGATCCGCTTCCAGTACAAAACCATCGGCACAAGGATGCCCAATTGGCCCAATCTTATGACTCGGCTTCACCGCTATCATGAAGGCTTGGTGAGTCATCACTTCATCAAGCCATCACGTGTTCCAAAATCAGAGTCGGTAACAAATGGTCTGCTCGGGGTTATGTTCAAGACCGTTGAAAACTCCAAGAGCAGGTCCTGGGCTCAGGTTGAGATGCTGTTGGAGGAGTACCACCGAGTTCTGGTGAGGATAGATGCACGATGGGAGTGAGCTCAGGTCCGACCAGGAAATCCACAACGTGCCGTGGCATCGCCGGAGCATGGGCTCTTAGAGTTCGGGGTAGTCCGCAATCCGGGCCAGCTTCACCAACGCAGACCTGTCTAATGAAGAGAGTACTGAGCGAGCGGTGCTAATATGGAACCCGAGCGCAATTGCTGAGACCCCTCTTCCGACCTCTCATGGCGAGGAGACATATGTGGTTGATCTATTTCTGCTTACCACCAGACAGCTCGACCCACAGCAGATATCCGCAAGCACATAAATACCAAGGCACCCCCCATCGAAATAGGTGACTTTCAACAGATCGATACTTCCGCACAATAGCACGACTTTCTCACATCCCAGTAAAACACACACGCCACCCGCCATTATCCCTCATCAGTTACCGCCCACATCACATACCTTTCTCGCCCCCAAGTCGCCCTCAGACTCGCAACACTCTACGCCACGATGGACAACAGCCTACTTGGAACACTGCCGGCGGAACTTCGCCTCGAGATCTACCGGTTGGTGATGCTCATAGGGACCACATTTTCCAAGACCAAGTCCTCCAAGCCGAACCCTTCCAAGCCGTCCGGACCCAAACCACCCACGGTCGAGATTACCGAAACCGGGTATGCCAGACTTGAAATCAACTCCTTAGGAGTTTCAGCACCACCCCTTCTCCTCACTTGCAAAGACATCCGCTCGGAGGCCCTGCCAGTCTTCTACCAAGAGATCTGTTTCGTCATTACTCTGGATGGCTTCAACCCGGAAACAATGCTAAAGTGGTACGACCATTGCCTCAAGCCTCCTGCCGAAGTCTTGCCAAAAGTGTGGCACGACTTCATGATCGCCAGGCCAGTTGATCGAAACTGGGACAACCTGATGCGTTGGGCTCAGTTGTATCACTCCAACGTACTCATCCAACCGGCTTTCACTGCCGCAGACGCAGAACGGCAAGCCGCAACGCCCGGGTGGCTTGCTGCATGGCAGAAGAAATACACGGAGATGCAAATCATCGCCGAGATGTTCCGCAAGGTCGCGGTGCTGCGGGCAGAGCCCAGGGAACTTGTCCGGCAGCATTTAAATCATGACCGTGTCGAATTGGCGAGGAGAGGACATGAAGATTGGGACCCCGGGATGAAGCACTGTCTCGCATACAGGGTGAGACTGGGCAGGCGAGGAGGGTTGGGGTGGGGACCGACTTTCATCGAGGATCGGGATGGGCGTGGCGGCAGGTTGAGATTCTAGCTTTAGCATTGCGGCCTTGCATAGCACAACGGATAGCATGAGCCTTCCTTCTTAGGGGATAGGCAAGGGGCCGTAGTCAGGTCATACCTGCACAGTTCGATAGTGAAATGCAGCAAATGTTCCACTCTACAAGCTCCTGCCCAATCCAGCGACCCCACATACGTCACTCCATGTGCCTCGATCAGAAATTCTACATACTTGCCATCTCATTTTCACATGAACAAAGCGACATCCACATTTCCCAGCTCTAAGATGCCCTCCATAACCTCCCTCGCGACCTTCACACCCTCCTGCAACGCCCGCGCCTGGCTCACCTCCCCGCACCCCCACCTCCCCATCGTTGCAACCGCCTGCTCCGACAAGACCGTCCGCATCTACTCGACGCAAAACTTCCAACAGCAATCCACAATCTCCGGCGGCCACAAGCGCTCAATACGCAGCTGCGCCTGGAGACCCAACAGCGTTGGCGAGAGCGTGTTAGCAACTGGCAGCTTCGACGCCAGCGCAGGCATATGGCGGCGATGGGAGGACGGCGCTGGGAAAGGGAAGGCCAACGCTGAGATCGACTTTACGTCTGGCCTGGCCGGTGGAGATGCGGACAAGGATGATGAGGACGAGGATGAGTGGAAGTTCGCTGTGATACTGGATGGACATGATTCGGAGATCAAGAGTCTTGCTTTTTCGCCCACGAGTCCTTTGCTGGCGACTTGTAGTAGGGATAAGAGCGTGTGGATATGGGAGGAGCTGGACGAGGACAACTTTGAGACGGTAGCGGTGTTGCAGGATCATGAGGGGGATGTGAAGTGCGTTGCATGGCATCCGGGGGAGGAGCTACTGGCGAGCGCGAGCTATGATGATAACGTGAGGCTGTGGAGGGAGGACGTGGATGATTGGGCTTGCTGTACACTTTTGACTGGGCATGGAGGGACGGTATGGTGGGTTGAGTTCGAGGGAACGGAGATGGTGGCCAAGATTGGAGGAGGAGATGTTGCGAGTGAGGAGCAAAAGGCGCTGGTACAGCAACGGGAGAAGGCTGGGTCACGGCTGGTGTCTTGTTCGGATGACCAGAGTATAAGAGTGTGGCGAAAGGTACCGAAGGAGAACCCAGATGGGACGCCGCAGCAGAGACTGCCCAGCATATGGAAGAACAGCAACTTCGAAGAGGAGTGGGTGGAGGAGGCGAGACTGCCTTCGGTGCATGAGCGACCAGTTTTGGCAGTCAGCTGGAGCCGCAAGACCGGCAGGGTGGCGAGTACGGGCTCAGATGGCAAGATTGCTGTCTACGAGGAGCGATGGACAGGGTCGGCTGCGAACGGCGATGTAGCGATGGGAGATGCGCCCTCATCTGACGGCAGTGCTCACAATGGTAGCGACGCTGAGAAGCAGGCGATCACGGAGTGGGTGGTGCTGGCGGAGATTGACAACGCACACGATGTGTTCGAAGTCAATCACGTAGTGTGGGCGCCGCGGGCAGACAAAGGGAAGGTTCACGATGAAGAGGAAGTGTTGATATCCACGGGAGACGATGGCGAGGTGCGAGTATGGCGATTCGAGCCGTGTGGGCATGGTACATATCATGCCTAGCTAAGTATTCGAACCCAGCGTCGTTGGGCAAAGCAGATCGCTCACGAGTCCAAAACGAACAGCGCGTCACTGCTAGCAAAAGAAGTCGTCGACTCAATGTGCAAAAAACGTCGCAGGCCCTATCGAACCGCCGACCAAAAGGCAAAAGACAACACCCAATCCACCACAAAGGGCAACCGGACAGTCTTATTGGCTCAGACGGGTTGGCGCTAGCCGATGTCCAGCTTTTTTGGCCTCCTGCTTGCTCGATAAGTGCACTTTTTGTGACTGATAAATATCCCTTTCCATGGACTATGCCGAAGTTCGGCCGGCCGCTCACAAGTTTGGAGGTCACTGCGGCACCACGGAGACATTCGCAGACGACCCTCTTTCGACTGCTTCGGTCTGGCACACGGCGGCGGTTCGAGATACAGCGTGGCGACACAATCGAGAAGAAACGTGCTGCATCTCGGGAGCGACCCAGCCTCGCGATCGAGCCGGAGCAGCTGTGGGATGATGCTGTGTTGTACGCCTCCTGGACCAATCCCAGTCTGACGGCGGGCCTGTAGAGAGCTTGGGACGGTCATTGCGGTGGGAGATCTACCCTTTCAAGTCGAGTAGTGTCAGGTGGGAGGATCAAGGTCACTCTAGTACCGAGGGACCTGACAAGCGTGCACGAAGCTCGTTGCTACAAATTTTGATGAGAGCAGACGACGAGATTGAAGTGGGCGTTGATGAACCATGGTATCATTTGCTTCAGTGCTATGGAAGCGTGCACTGGAATAAGCGCTTCTCACCTCCATAATGTCATGCAAACCCTGCCGTGACCATCTGAAAAGTAGGCACAGTGCTCTTGCCCATACCCTTTACTCCCTTAGAACGCCGTGCGCCGTCATGCTCCATTCTTTCCTTGATTAGCCGTAGACAGTTGCACTTTTCCACCCCCTCAGCCACGCGAGAGAGGTCACCTCGTCTCCGAATAGTCGTTCAGCGCCACACACACAGCTCCGCGGTGATGTCCGTTGTATTGGCGTATGATGCTCTTGTTCGACAACTCCCACAGCCGAGCGTAGTGGTCGCTGCAGGCCGTAACGAGGTACGCAGAATCCGCCGAGAAGGCGCAGTCCCACACCCAACGCTGATGTCCATCCAGCTCCTGCTCCAGCTCGAACGCACGATCGCCGGTCTCACCGTCCGTAAGCTGTGGTGCTTGCGAGCTGCCTTCTGCGTCGACCTTCCAGATCCGAGCGGTGTGGTCTGCGGAGCAGGTGGCGAGATGTAGGACGTCGGGTGATAGAAGTACCCGGGTGATGTAGGTACCATGTGCTTTGAAGCGAGTGACAGGAACGAGGCTCGTGACATCATGGACAGTGATGAGGCGCCACACATACACCGAGCCGCTCATGCTGTTGCTGACCGCAGCGCATAGGAGAGAGCCATCAGTCGCCACCGTCACCGAAGCGACGCTCTTATCTTCTTCCGGCACGAGTTGATGACTGCATTTGTTCTCTCCGAGATCCCATATCCGTACGTTGCCGCCGCGGTCGCAGGAGATCAGCTCGCCTTGGTTGGGGTGGATGACGACGTCGTTGACGGGTACGCCATGGGAGTAGTTGCGTTGGATGTGGCCGCTTCGGGTGTCCCAGATCTTGACGGTACCTTGGATGACGGTCAGTATGGTGGTCTTGCGGTAGGCAGAACATGTAGGTACCATCTTCAGAACTCGTGACCATCCATTTGCCTTCGCAGTGAAATGCGACGCCTGTGATGTTGCCGGTATGTCCTTCGAAAGTCAAGACCGCAGCAGGGTTGGTCGACTTGATCTCATAGAGCTTCACTGTATGATGTCCTGCAGCGGCGAGGAACCGCTTGTCGGGTGATATGCATAGTCGGTTGACTTGAGAGTCGGGGTGAGGGATGGTGCGAGAGCATAGTCCGCTGAGGGCCTCCCAGAACCTGAACGAGAAGAGGCGTTAGTAAGGAGAGACGCAGGAGCATGGCGACCTTATGTATGAGCGAGGCATCGCACATCCAGAAAAGGTGATGTTGTCATAAACCTTAATCGTATGATTGACCAACAACAGTCAATGTATAGGTCATCATCTGGGTTTCTGGTGGGTAGCTGACACACAAAACCAGGTAGTTGTATGCATGCAACTTTCATTCTCCAGGCGGCCTGCGGAGATAGAGTTCTTCCCGAAGCACACGTGTCATCATGGTCGAGTGTTCGCATGTCGTGAGAAGCTGATGAGTAACTCCCACAAAGCATAAAGGACCGAAATTTCCATTCGCCGTAGACAGTCCGTCGCCTCCAAGGCAAACTCATATTACCCACGACGGGCGCTGATCCCAGCAATCGCAAGTGCTTGGTTCATTCGGAATAAGCTTACCTGATCGTATGGTCGTACCCGGCTGATTGGCATATTAGCGACCTCGCTAACCCTGGCGTTGAGACAAACTTACCCGTACAGAGTATTACTGACATTCCGTAAGAGTGCGGAGGCTGGCTGTAATCTGTATAAGGCTATGCCTATGCCCGCCCGCTCGCGGCGTCGTTGCGATAGATGTCGCAACCCAGCGGAGGACCGACAGCAGATGCTGCTAGACGATGACAGCTGACATCGTGTGGTGGTGGTTGAGTCCTGTGCGCGAGCATTTGTGTTGGAAGAGCCCTGGTCAGAGGTGAGTGATGAAGGAAAGGCTGATCTGCGCTTGCTGCAGTGAACACGCGCTAGTTTCGGCAACAGCCTCTCGTGCCGCCGTGCCTGCATAAGATTATCAGAGCTCCTTCCACTTTGGGGCGGTGTTTCTTGGCGCGTCGCACGCTCTTTCGACTTCACCTCTTCGACGTCGATGCTGTCCAGAACGATCGGGTGCAACGCTGTTCGGTCGTTGACGCTCATGACGGCCTCACCAGACTACGGGACATACCGACACACCTTGCCCGGGTATGAAGGGGCATGAGCCAACATACTGCGGGGCCAGACCACTGTCGTCGACGCCAGGCTTGCTTGCGACCACCACCAGCAGTCGTTGATGCTGGCCTGGGAGCACCGTCACACCTAATCGAACCTGTTGGGAGTCCGTCAAGAGTCAATACAAAAAGCATGCGCCAGGGTCGCAGCGTGATGGCCCTGGTCGGTGGGAGGGAAGTTGGCCAACGGGGTAAAGGTCTTGCATCCTTCATGATCCTTGTGGTCGACACGCATAGTGACCAGCTGTCGAGCAGGGTACCGTGGGCGCGAGTGGGCCGGACGTTCTGCTTCATCACGTTGCTGCAGAAGCGGTACGGTCCCATGCAGTCTGTCTAGAAGAGTTATCTTGTAGATAGATTGCATAGGTTATTGACTTACCATGGCAGCGCTCCATGAGCGGACCTTGCACACGTCCTCCTTATGTGGGCACCAGCCTATCGCATTTCAACTTTCGATCGAGGCTTGCTTCATCTTACGACAGTGCACCCGGCCATGTCTCAGTATATTTTGCCCGGTATCATCGTCGACACGGCCGGCATCTGTCACCATGTCTGGAGGTGGACGCCACTCGCAGTGCTCTCCACAGAGGTCGATCGTTGTATCTTGCTCTTGCGGACCAATGTCGCACTGGTATGCAGCCGTCCCACAGCCTGTCGCAACAGGCGTAGCACTTCGATTTGGTGCGGTCGCCTTGCGTAAAGTAAGCGGACTTGACACCCAACGACCGGGACACTGACAGACCTCCTTTGCTATCAGCTGGGACCTCTCAAAATATGCCCGGCGTACGCTTGCCGATGTGTAATCAACATGGCAGCTGGCGCCTGCCTCGTGCAACATCCTTTTGCTCATGTCGCAGTGGCGACGGCGTTGTCGAACTGCGCTCTGCAGTTGAGGCAACCACGATGATACAAGGCCAGCCCGGCAGGAGCAGAGCGCGACGACGACGACGACGACGCCAACATGTTGTCCGCAGCACTATCGATATGTTGCAAGAAGCTTGCTGCGTCGTGGCACGCAGTGGTGGGCTGAGCTGGTATGCTTCATCATGGTGACAGGTCAAGACATTCGGGCGAGATTGTTCAAAACATGAAGCATGTTTAGGAAGCGATGAGCCAAGTCAGGCAAGGCAAGGCAAGACACTCCGATCAGGTGAGTAAGTTGCCCTCCAGCTAGGACTAATTGGGATCGAAGTCGACGGGCGGTGGAAGGTGGGCATCGGAGCTGGGCACCACCACGGCGCACCGCTCCCTTTCGCCGATTTCCTTCGCTGATCTCTTGGCCGCACGTCGATGCACTCTCGGCCCACTGTCGCCGACGACCCCCGAGTCTCCCGGGATGGCTCCTGCGTCAAGGACTGCCCACAACGAACCTTGGGTCAGTGACCCTTCCACGTCTTTCCAGTGGCCTCTGTCGACGTTGAGGCCGAGCGGGTGACTGCGGCATGACTCTGAACCTGAGTACCTGTGGATAATGTTAAACCTTACTGGTGCCCTGCGGATTCCGGTGGTAGGAGACCCTGAATGGGACGGTTTGCAAAAGCTTATTTCGGCGCGCGACGCAGACGCATCCATGCCGAAATGCTTGTACAGCGCCTTGTCGTGCTCCTAAAGACCTCAAATTTGACCGCATGAGAGCCATAGCGAAGGGCTAACTCCTGATACCAATATCGCGTTGTTCTATGGGAGGGAACAAGCGTACAGGCTTGCTCGGGCAATACTGGCTCTGAGGTCTGCTCATGTTCATACTGATATACCAGAACCATGGTAAGTATGCTCGCACTCTCAGCAAATCTTCACATAGATGCACAAAACCCGGCCTCCCCCTCTGGTAATTTTCTCTCCTGTATGATCTCTCTCGCACACAAATTCTCTCACATCACAATCACACAAACTCTCTGCACACACACGAGACAAGACCATACACACTTCGAGAGTCGAGAACTTCCGACGAGCAATCAGACAACTTCAAGTTCTCACAATCTCAAGTAAGTCCTCACTGCCATCTCAGCCGCTGTAGTGGCGGCCCCTGACTTTCTCCCTGGAGAAACCAACAAAGTGCTAAATCCTCTGCAGACAACACAACAATCACGCCGGAGAACTCCATCTAGTCAAGCAAATATGGATTCTCAACAATCAATCAGCGGGGCCTACAACCTTGCGGCCTTGTTCATGAACGACGGCATCAGTCAGTTCATCTCGGAGAGTTATGCCTCCCTCAAGGAGCCTTTGGGCTTCACCAACCACTGCCCGATCCTCATCTCTGACGATCATGGGGACACCATGGGCGCCCCACCGGTCAATGCGGTCACCAGCAACGTGATCGACCTGACCGACGATACCACCAGCGGCCCGGTCCCTGATCTGGCCAGCAACAAGGCCAGCAACTCGGTCTTGCCGGTGACTGACGAGCTGCCAGCTGTCACCAACGAGGAGCCGGTCGTGATCGACGACGAGCCGGCCGTGATCGACGGTTCCCAGACCCCTCTACCGTCGATCAGCCCCAAGAAGCGGCGCAAAGGTCAAGCGTTGATGGTCCCGCCGTCAGATCGACAGGGCCAATATACGGCTCCGCCACGGCTCTTCAGTCACGCGGCACAACTTCGCCAGGCCACTGGCAGAAAAGTCCGTGCTTGGGAGAGCAACGACGACAACTGGGCCCCCACGACGGAGGCAATCAACAGCAAGAAGGGGCCCGGTTACACGAAGAGGGATCCGGAACAGCTCTACATTCAGAGAATGGCGAAACTTGCGGCTGGTGAACGCCGGAAGGAGAAGGAGGCGAAGGAGAGGGAGGCTCTTGCTGCTGACGGTCCAAGCAACCACCAGGACTCGACCGTCGCCACCGGCACGAAGAGGAAGGCCTCGGAGGAGGACGAGGCGGCGCCATCCCAGCCGCCAGCAAAGAAGCAGTGCGCCGCTTCTCCAAACCAGGGAGGAGCGCAGGGGCCCTTCTCCACCGCTACAGTTCCGCGAGCCCCCAGGCCCTCAAGGTGGCTTTCTTCTTCACGACTGGCCCTACCTGGAATGAACTTCGTGAGTCCCCCGAAAGTCACGGCAGAGGCTCAAAGGGAGGCCGACCTTCAGCTGGAGGCGAACCTCCAAGCCTTGTTCGACGCAGCACCTGAGTCGACATCCCCATCTCCTGATCACCCAGCGACAACAAGCGATGATCAGGCGGCAGAACTTCAAGCTGCCAACGATGAGGACCCCGGGTCACTGGAGGCGAATCTCCAAGCTGCGTTCGACGCAGACTCTGAGTCGACACAGTCATCTCCTGAGCACCCTGCGACCGCAAACGACGACCAGGCGGAAGAACTTGGAGACGTCGACGACTATGACTACGGGTCGCTTTTCGGGGACAACGAGTCTTCGGCCACCGAGGAGGATGAACACAGCTCGGTGTTCTCGGAGCATGAGGTCCGTGAGCACCGTGACTCAATGACCTCGCGGGAGGATGGCAGTGAGCCGGAAGTCTCGGACGAAGATGAAGACTCCAACGAGAGGGAGCGCATTGCGGAGGAAGCGAAGGAGCTAGCGGAGGAGAAGAGGCTAGCGGAGGAGAAGAGACTAGCGGAGGAGAAGAGACTGGCGGAGGAGACGAGACTGGCCGAGGCAGCCAAAGCCGCGAAGGCCCAACAACAGTCCATCGACGACGACGCGGCATCCGACAGCTCTTCCGAATACGAGAGCGACTCTGACAGCGACGAAGACATGCCCGACGCCGTCGACGAGGAGGACGCCGCCCGCGCCGCTGAGCGCCAAGTCCGTCAGGATGCCATCACGGAGCTCGAGCGTGAGGTTGAGAGCCAGAAAGCCAGAGTCGGCAGGATGGACAACAAGCTCTTGGTTCAGCGTGCGCAAGGACAGCTGCGCACAATGGAGGAGGAGTTGAGGTTGAAGAAGGAGGCCTTCGAGATGGAGAATCCGTGAACATCAAGCACGTGACCATCTTTGAGCACGTGACATTCTCCTCGACAGCAACAACACCGACAACATCAACCACCCTGCCGACCAACATACGCCACCGACGCTTTCGACATCACCGACGCCGAGCGACACCGACACCGAACCTCACCACCGAACCGACCGACTACCGCGAGAAGGGCTAAAGGGGGTATCAAGCGGAAAAGGGAAGGGACTTTGGTTGGTCCACTACACCAACATCTCACCTCCCTTCACCAGCTGACGTTCAGACCAGATTGACTGCACGAAGGAACGTTTGGGATCGGAGGCAGGAAGTGCAGGATGCGAGGGCGGACGAAGGCATTAGGGAAGGGAAGAATGAGGAGCACTGACGGGGCATCGTCAGCCTGGGAGTCGGTGGCAAGAGGGGGGCATCAGTAACTGGGCTGCTTTCAGTGGCCCGGGCCTGGAGCCTCCGTCTTGCCACCGACCGACAGTAGTCTGTTCGTTCGTGGGTTTTTCGTTCGTAGTCTGTTTATATCTTGGTAGTGTGCTTGAATGGCATTTGCGTTTTGTTGTACACTGTTCTTCTATCTACCTTACTGTCGATGGTTGTCACGGTAGTAAGCTGAGTTTCTCGAAGATCTTCAACGTCGGCGTCTCCTGCTTCTGCGACGTCAGAGCATCCCAAAGCACACCCTGTCCGCCCAACGGTCGTGTCATCCCCTCCTCACCATTCTGGCCCACGTCGCCGTTCTGCTCCACGACTTGTTCGGGGTTGCTGAAAACCTCGCCCATGCTCATCCTCACTACAGCTGTGACCTCATCAAAAGCCGCTTGCACGGCAATAGCACGCTCCCGCATACTGCGCCTCATCAGTCCCTCAATGAGCCTGGTGACATCCTCGCCCACATCGTTCAACCTCTGCACCAGCCGAGCGATCGAATTGACCAAATACTCTTCTTCATACACCGTGCCCTTCTTGCCTCTAGCTCTCTTGCGCTCCTCCCTCCGCTTGTTCTTCGAGGTCTTGCGAGTAGCGTTCGTGGCCAAGGTACCCGTGCTCCGGTTTGTGTACCTTGTCATAAAAGTTCCTGCTGAAGTAGAAGCATCCGTGGGAGCAAGCGAGAGGTTGTCTGGTATACCGCCGTCGCCTCCCTCCTCGCCGTCCAAGAAGGCCATGGGGTTGTCGGCCTTCTTTTCGCGGAGCTCTCGTAATCGTGGGACTTGTGCGGCCAGCTGCTGCTTCATCTCTGCAAGGAGCTCGGTCATCGATGCTGATGCTTCGACGAGGCCGGCGTCTATGATGGTTTTGAGCAGCTCCGGCTTTTTTCGGAGAGTAACTTGCCTTGCTGCTTCGGCGAACTGGTAGCCTTTACACAGCAATCTGGCGGATGCATCGAGATCGTTGAGGTAGTCGAGATGAATAGCGGCGGCGCTCGTGAACTCCTTGCTTTCTTCCAAGCTGGCAGAGAGGTCTTGTGCTAGAGCCGACAACTCATCAGCCGACAGTGGCACCAAAGCAGCATTAGCAAGACACTCTTGCCAGGTGCCGACTGCTCGATAAGCTTCGTGTGCAGCAGCATGGTCGCCGACATACTCGTGGGCGATACCAGCTTCCTTGAACCTATTGCGACTGTTCAAATGATCCGCATAGAGCCTCATCAATTGCATTAGACGGCTGTTGTCGTAGCGATATAAGTCAATCGCAGCAGCGTATAATTCGTGCTTCATGGCATAAGACTGCAGCTCATCAAACGCTTCCAAAGCATGCAGATGAGTGAGAGCTTTCTGATATCTCTTCAGATCGTCATCAACCTTGAACTTCCGCCTGAGCGGCTGCATATCATGTAGTTCTTGCAGATGAGGCAGATACTCTCGCGGGTCTTTCTGCGACTGTTGCGCAATGAGAAGAGCAACATCGAGGTCGTACACGCCTAGTGCAGTATCGTAGAGCTGATTGACATCCGCAAGGAAGCAGATGTGTTCGACGGCTTGGTCGAGCCGCTCCTGGTCGCCTTCCTTCCTCAACCCTGATATGAGCCGGACGCCTGCCTCTAGATCTGGAGGGTTCTTGCAGACGTGTGCTGTGACGATGTTCTGTAGTCGTGATTCCTTGGTGCTAGAGAGGATTTGAAGAAATGCATCGCATATCTTGTTGATCTTAGAGTTGGTCATTGCGACCTCCTGTGTTTGTCCTTCTGCCATTCCACTAGACACTCCATTCACGACTCCATCGCTTGTGCCATTTGTCAAGCCATTGATGGTGACATCTTCCGTGGGCGCCAGCGTGTCTCTGTACATCGTGACCGATACGTTCTCTTCCGACAAGGAGCTGAGGAAAAGATCGATGAATTCGACTTTCTTCACCTGTTTTATGAAGAGGTCGACATCGTGCATGAATTGTTGCGGGGCGTAATCGTGCAGAATGTTCATGTCCACACGATGCGCACGGCAAACCATGGACGCCTTCTTGTAGTTCCGATCTCTAATACTCTCACGTATGCCAGCGAGGACCAGTGCTCGCGGAAAGATGGTCTCCAGGTTACCACGAGGCATTTGCAGTACCAGTGAGTAAGCACCAGGCATGACTGTGACGATTTTTGCGCCTCTCTCAATGCTTCGGCACCGCTCGTCTTTCTCCGGCTCGTCAGGCGGGATACCCAAATTCGCAGCGTGCAGATGGATGAATTTGAGGAGATGTTGAGATGTGGTGTAGATCAAATGCGAAGCGGTGAAGATGAAAGAAGTGCACTTCGGTATCCGCAAAGTCTGCGAATCGGTCTGTACCTGCAGTACGCCGCCAGCTGTAAGTTGGTACGAGTTCTTGCCATCCAATCTATCAGTGTTTTCGTAGCATATTCTGTCGTGATCCGTACGAGCATACAACGCTCGTCCGTCTTGCAGTACGATCTTTCGTGAGCTACCTTCCATGTGCTCCGGCCATTTCGGGGACGCATGCATCGTCGCCATTTTTGGCGGCCTCGCTGAGTAGTCACATTGCAACAACGACACCGAAGAATGGTGGAGGACAATCAGCTCTGTGCCATCCTCGCTAATCGCCACATCGAGAGCATTGTCCGGTAAATCGACCTCGTCAAATGCCATAGGAGGCGGCACGTTGGCGGTTCTTAGTGGAGTGACCTTCAGCTTCTTGCCGTCGATAACTGCAACAAGGCCAATGTCATTCGGAGGGAGTACTGATCCACGGGTCACTTCGAGTCGATACGACAGCCGGCGTATATCGTGAGCATCTGAGCAGGTCAGGTGTAGTGGTTTCTCTGGATGCCAAGCTGTGCCAATAGAGCCACTCCGGTCGCTTAGGATAATCTCCTGCTTCAGGTAGTAGTGATAGTTGCCCATGGTCCACAGCTGGACCCTGTCTCCAAAAGACACTGCAAGCACTGTCGAGTCGGCGTTCCAGCTCAAAACGATGTTACTACCAGTCGTCGCCATCTCCTCCGCGGTAAGCCGAAGGCCAAACTCTCCATGTCTTAGACCATTCCGTTCGAAGAATACAACGTCGATCTTATCGTCATGACGCTGAACTCCTGCAATAAGTTGGCCACTTGGCTTCCAGCTAAGCGCACCTTCGAGTTGATTGACCGTCTCGCTCATGCTCTCAAGAGAGCCTTCTCTGGAGTACACTCGAATGGCTCGGCGCTTCGGCTCCGCAGGGAGGATGCTGTTGACGGCTACGTATTGTGCGTCACCCCTCCAGCTGATAGTAACCTTGCCGTCGTCTAGAGCACTGAGAGTTCCTTCGTCCACATGCTCTGGAACTGTAGGGTCTCGAAGTGCTTTGGCTGCTCCTCGGCCTTTGAACTGGGTTTCCTTCTTGCCCCAGCCGACCGAGACGTGGTTAGATACCTGAAGATCTTCCGAAGAGAGGGTGACGTTGGAGATACTGTCGAAATCTCTTGTCATGAAAAGCAGGGTTTCCGCTCCAGAGTAGATGACAAGTACCTCATCGCCTGGGTTCCACGCTGCGGCTCGGATGCCAGCGTCGATTGACCCAGCGATTTCGATCAAATCTTCGCCCGGCTGGGCTTCCTCACGCACGACCACGATGTCACCACCCTGTAAGATGAGAACAATGGTCTTCGTATCCGGGAAGCAATGCAAGTCCACGATGGTGTCGAACTCAAGCTCGGGGTTTGGAGAAGGAGCGTCCCACGAAGCGATGGAGTGCGCATCTTCAATTACTTGAGCATCGCCAGGCAGGCGTTTCAAGGTGATGGCTGGGTTGTCCTTTGCAGGCCCGAAGGCTAGTATGAGCGAGTCATCGGAGGCGTCCCAGGTGGTTGCTGTTATTGCTGTGTTGGCGTGGTCGCTGAGCTTGAACTTGGCATGACTGGTGTTCAGCAAGTTGCGCATCTTGGTCTATTGAGAGTCTCTGGCATTCATGTTGGTGACTGGGTCAATGGATATGGGAACGAGTTCTTGATGGATTTCAGATGTTTGAAGGCGCTAGTAAAAGCTAACCGAGCCAATGAGAGCAGTTGTAGCCAATGTGAGGATGAAGTGCTCTGGTGGCTGACCGCTGATGCTGCTAGACTCGACGATTTAACGCATTGGGTCTCAACACATTGCCCCAAGGTATATGTACAACGGCATGATCCTCCTCTCAGCCACGCCTCCACGCATGAACCCCGCTACCGCCCCAGCGTCCTCACCGATACCCTCCGAACGTCTATTTGTTCTTCTTCGTTTGCCAGACTGCAGCCCCGTCAGAAACCGTCGACAGGAGTACATCATTCTTCTAGACTTACCAGCGATGAGGAATGGCGCGCTGAAGCCGACCGCTGTGTCCCCTGTTAGCCATCCTGTCCCCTCAAGTGTCTCCCATCTTCTTTCTAGCACATACCCATGAAGCCCCAATACCGAACCGCAAAGAACTTCGTCAGTGGGTTGAATGGGATGTTGTTTCGTGGCCCTTCGGGATAGTGGTATGGCGAGGCGAACTGGGGACGTGTGGTGTGGAAGCCCCGGCGGGCGGCGGTGGATGGGAGGCGCATTGCGGTTCGTGAGAGCATCTGGCGGCGGGTCAGTATCGTCAAGGGCCATCGCAGCAGCTGTATATACCTTTGCGTTAGGTTCAGCGTGTCCTGGAATTAAGACGGGCTTCTGCTCGGCTAGCATTCGTTGATGAGGGAGGATGAGCTTTGGGAGTTCATGCCCTAGCGGCGGATGTTCCCGATACCGACTCGCTTCGACTTCATCTCGACTTCGACTTCAACTTCAACCCTTAGGCAGTCTATATTACGACAGACTGTAAGCGACAACGATAAGGTAACATGTCTTTTCCCAATACGAGAACGACCCTGTTGCGCGCCATCGAGGGGAGTTACGTTCAAGGATTCAAAGTAGCGGAATTGCTACCACGAAGCAGTGCCACCAGATGCTGCAAGGTCCCCGTCATCGCAGGCCTGAACGAAGCTGTTCACAAGGAGAGATGTGCTGGCCACTCTTCACGTCTACTGTGGCGTAGTGGCACAGCACCTGAGAAGCACTTCATTGCGCCTCAAAGCACAAGGCATTCAATGAAGTGCTCTAACCGCCCAGATTGTTTTGGGAACGTGTGAGCCAGTCACTTCTTGTGAACCAGACACCTCAGAGTGGCTTCACTTTATGCTGCAATCCAACGATTCAAGTGCACATGCCACGCATTCACAGACAGTGACCGGACCTTTCGACACCGCCAGTCAGTCTCGCAGCACCTTTACGGCACAGCAGCTTCACTCAGTTGCATCGCCTCGCTTGAAGGCAGCAGCTGAACAGTTGCGCCTGAACGTGAAGCTCTAATGTTCCAAAGCCCGAGATAAGTATCTCGCAAAAGAAACCCTTTTTCACTACGCTTTTCGTCCATCACTTTTCGTTCGCGCAATCCACTTCAAATAGTCGACGCTGCGATGCCGCAATACAGCTCAACACTTCAGTCGCAAGATGTCGAGCAGGGCGTCCTACTCTGGCTCCCGCCGAAGCACGAAGTCCTGACCGCGCTGGGACATCATGCTCCAAAGAATGATGAGCCTGTCGTCAGCATCACCAACCAAGGACAGCACCCGGAGGACGGGTTCTACGATCATCCGCTTCTGGTCATCTCCAGATCCACAACATCGCCAGACCGCATCCATTTTGTACCGGTAAAAACTTGCAGAGCAAGCGCTTTGGAGGCTGGCACTGATGTACAGTTTATAGCTCACTACCTTCGGTGGCAAGCTGTTATGCAAACGCTACAACCAATACCTCGCCATGACACCTGCACCCGATCACCCACACTTCACGGCGGGCGATACGGCATACCGGACCTTGACACTTCACAAAAACGCCACGATTTCAAGGCCAGGTTACGTGAAAATAACAAGTGTCTGGACGATGCGGTGGAAGGGCGCCAAACACTATTGGGGCGGTAGCACCCCACGCACTACAAATTTCCAGCTCGACGAATCATCTTTGCAGAGATTGCTTCTTTGTGTAAGAAAGCTCAACGGCTACACACCCCGAGAGCAATTCTGCGAAGCCCGGCAGCTGATCCCGAAGAGTATCACGCCCAACCTCACCGGCCACAACTACCATCAAGCCGATACGAGTTTTGATCTTTTCGGCAGCGCCACGCCCTCGTCATACGCAGCAATCATCCAACAGCAGCAAGCTACACGCCCCTCGATACGCATACCAGCGGCAGGTATCCCGTCCTACTGCAGTACTGTGGGAGAACGTCGGCCCCTTCTACCTACCAACCGCCAGCCCTGGGATACACCGAAGGAGTCCTCAGGATGTGGTTGCTGTGGCTGGCTTTTTCTTTGTTTGGTGCTTGGCCTGGGAGTGTGGCTGTGGTGCAAATATGGGTCTTAACATAGCCTGGCAGCATGAACTCTTTGGAATAGCGGGCGGCAATGAGGATGAGGGCAGGCTATTCACTTAGTCATCGGGTGTTATGGCAAGGTTCAGAGACGTGTGCGAGAGATGGTAATCGTTGGTATCAATGTCGCTATACAAGTTTTCAATCGCTCCAAGCCCCAAACGCCTCGCCAACCAAAGCACGTAACGTCTATCGCCAACTATAACCCGGAAGACTTGCCAGCTTGGTACAGCTCGGCCTCTCCATCTGTCTCGCCAGATCCAGCTTGATCTGATCCGTGAAAAAGAAGCCTTGCGCATCATTTGCCAACTGCTGCCGCCGGTTGTTCTCCCACTCGCACTCTGCTGATAGCTGACCCACGTACTGCCCTTCCGCCACCTTATCCAGCTCTTTCCACTTCTTCGGTGTGAACTCCGTCACGTCCGCCGGATTCACCCAGTATGGTACGCTCAGCCGGTCGCTCGTATGTGACATTGTGTAAGGCGACTGCGCTTGCTTCCCCATGAAGATCTTCGGTCCCGACGAGCCAGACCCAGTGAACAGCGAGCTCAATAGCGGTAGCACAAACAGCAGCAACAGCGGCAGCAGACTCCGCAGCGTTTCCATCGGTCCCGTAGGTCCCCGCTGTCCCGTCTCATGGTTATGCGGCCGTCTCCGCGGCCTGTTCCCGCCAAACTGATGTATCCGCACGCCAGGCCCACCACCCATATTGAACACGAACCCCGGCCCTCCGAACCCTCCCATCCCACCAAACGGCCCACCGCCCATGCCTCCGCCGAAGAATTGTCTGAACAGCTCTTCCGGCGATATCTCCTCCTCGAACATCGGGCCCCGCGCAGGTCCCCGCTGGGACGCAAAGCCGGAGAAAGGCGATGCGCTTGCTCCTCCTCCCCCTCCCATGCCCGAGAACCTGTTGTCCGGATCTCCACCGAACTTGTCATACTTCTGCTTCTTCTCCGCATCGCTCAATATCTGGAATGCTCGCGAAACCATTTTGAACGCATCGTCTGCCCCAGGATAGCCATTCTTGTCCGGATGCGTAAGTAGACTCAGTTTCCGGTACGCCTTTTTGATCTCTGAATCTGTGCATGACGAGCGCACCTCTTCCAGCCCCAGGATGTCGTAGAAGTCGGTCGGTTTGCATCTCTTGACGCGGATTACGGCGGCTTTTTGCTCGACGGTGAAGGCGCGGCCGCTGCTGCCGTCGTGGTGGGTGCGGGATTTGGTGTCGCCGTTGGGGGTGCCATTGGGTTGGGCGCCGGAGGATTTCGCGGACATGGTGGTGGGGTGCGGGCGCTCGAGGCGCGGTGGGGTGGTGGTGGGGGGTGGTAAAGTGGTGGTGTTGTCGCGTGGCGTGAGTCAGTGTGGTGGGAGTGCGGTAGGTGTCAAGTCTTTCGCCTCGAGGATAGAGGCTGTCAAATGTACAGCCGAAGGATGTCGATATGGATGTAGGTAACGTGTTGATATCTCCATCTCGGGGTCCAGATTGAGCGAGCGGAAAGCGGAACCTGCCGAATGACGTCCATCTAGACGATTCAATTCACTTCTTCACGTGCACATCTACAACAACACATTGGAAGGCCAGGCAAAGTCGGAAGGACAGTAGGATGGATCAATGATACTGTGATATCAACATCAATATCCCTTGTTCCGCGACCCAGCCAACAACCCTCACACCAAACCGCAACCATGCCAATGCCATCAAAGACCCCCGACAACCCCGAAGAAGCAAAGCAAGGTGCCCTACAGTTGGCCTCAGCATGGGGTAGTACGTGCTAGCTCTTCTGTCAATCCTTCTCGGCCATATGGGTATTAACACTTCACCTCCACAGAACACTCCGTTCCACCAGCCCTTATAGCAACCCTCATCTTCGCCCAACATGCTCGACCATTCCAGACCCTACCGATGCTCTTCCCGCCCATCTTCCTCTTCAGCTCCTACCTCAATCTCCAAGGATTCAAGAAGGATGCCGCGGGCTTGACGTCCGCGTGGTCAGCGGCATATCTGGTCCTGGCGAGGAGACGGCGGCAGGCATTTGGGAGCAAGTTTGGGGCGAGAGGCTTGGTGAGGGGAGCGACGATGGGGCTGTGTGTGGTGAATATACTCAGTGGTGGGCTGGTGTACGCGTTTGGGAAGAGGGAGGATGATGAGGGGGTTTAAGTTTTAGGGCAACCAGGAGTAGGAGGTCCGGTCTCAATAACCAGACGACTATGTACATAACTGTAAGAATATAGGGAGAGAAGCAGCTGATCTGTTTTCCATGATGATCGATAGATCGAAAGCATACAGAGCATAATGTGGAAGGCTCCCAAACCACAGAACACAACCCACGAAGCCGGCATTACTGGACAATAACTTGGTCATCGCATTACTGAATGCTTTGGATCGCGCTGCTACCAGATGCGCTCAGAGGTGCAATGCATATCCGTCTGCTCAATGCTCGCGACGAAGCCAAACCATCCGCAAAGTGAGCCCAAGTGCATGGGCATTGTCTTCCAGGAGATGCTGTGAGTGCTGGCTCTCAGAACTTCGGGTACCTATGCCATCTACGCTCTCCCTTCGCTGTTTCACATGGATCGTAAGGGTCGACTTGTCTGAAATCCGCCTTGATCTCCGATTGTTCTGCCGAGACTCAGCCGAATTGAAAGTCAGAGCGGAACGAGATGAAGTCGTTCCGTCTCGACTCTTGCATTCATTTTTATACCTGAGTGGTTGTATACACGATTGATAAAACTTCTTGCCTCTTATGAGAAAGGCGATCGTGCGCTGGAAATACCGGCGATAAAGGCGGTAGACTGTTTAGACCTCATCGCGGAAGCCGAAGTCGGAACAACACCCATGCTCGACCAACAGCACGCTACTTCCTTCACCATGCATGCTATACGTAGCACACGGCACTAGCACACGCTTGCTGTAGCGGCAAAGAGCCCATATTATGGCCTTGTCGACGGTGGTACCGGAGCCTTTGGCCTACCGTTGCTTTGGTGATGAACCAAAGGCGAGACTGGAAGAACCTTCACGAGGCCTACTGAGTGAATTCTCGCAATGGCACGCACTGGCGAGCGTGCCTCGCATACCTCCTTCTTCAGCTATAATATTCAACGGCCGTACCCACTGCGTTGGTTTACACCAGTGGCCATAATCGGAGGCCTTGTTATCACCATACTGGTATCTTTCGCCAACTTCGTTGCTTCCGGCTATGAGCTTACGACAGTGTACGCCAGCGACCCGGACAGCATCGGCAAGGAGCTATGGTTCAAGAGCTGGCCAAGCTGGCTCCGACAGAACATCGAGGCGTCGTGCGAACCTGCTAACTTGCCGGTGAACTCTCAGTTCTTCACGAACCAGACCGCGCTCTCGTACACGTTAACAAGCGTTCACACCATCGAGCATGGGGTCAACACTACTTCGCCATCTCTTCCTTACCTGGACAACGTTCTAAAAGAGTGCAAGGTCCTCAACATTACGATGGACTTCGATTGCAGCCCGTACCAGACCCCGACGCAGCGTGCGCTAGCCCTGTGTGCCATTGACACTCGTGCATTTTCTACCTGTACAATCGAGGGGCCAAATGGCTTGACAGTTTTGAACTTCACAAGCCTCTACAACCCCAAACAGAGTCACTTCAGTCCCGGCTCTTCCAGTTTCATCGCGACCAACGTTACTACGAAAGCGAGTCTCTGGTGGGCCCAGCAATTACTCACGGCTTCCTGGCTCGATACCGATGTCATCCTGTACGACCTCCTAGGGAACAACTTTAGCAGCTACAATGAAGGCAAGGAGATACCTTCTGGAGCTGCCAACTTCTATCGACACGAAGCACAAGGTGATATCACGCAACTCGACTTCTTCGATCTGTGGTTCGACTTCACGGCGGAGCTGACCAAGACGTTCTACTATGGCACCAACTCCGTACAGGCATTCGTAGAGGAGCCCAGTGTGGCAGGAACCGACGGTCCTCCAATGTGGAAACAAGCCGACACCCTGGCGAAAGCCATGTACAGTGCAGTCATGACGGATCTCGGCCAGATCAACGCCTCCAGCTCATCCAACATCGTGGCGAACCCTGATCACATGCAGTTCTTCTCGAGAAACTTCAGCTCACTCCACAACGCGGATATGGTCGTCGGTGTACCATATCTCATGCCAGATGTACCGGATGGCACGTACGAAGAGTTGCGCGACAGCTTGGGCTCGGGACCGCTGGAAGTGACTCCGTCAGTCATCTCGACCAAATACTTATGCTCGGTTCCCCGCCTGAAGACCGCGGGCAACATCTTCATCTCTATCCTGCTGGCTGACCTTGTGTTGCTTCATGCTGCTTGGGTGCTGTACTGCCTGGTCGTGGAGCGCTTCTTCGTGCGAGGTCCCATGGCGAATACCTGCGAAGGCTGCCTCCAGGCTGCGCAAGAGCTGCAGCCTTTTGGCAGTGACCACGAAAGCGGTGCAAATTTGCGGCCGAGCATGTCTGGTGCAGCGTCGTTTTCGACAGAGTACGATCCTGTGCAATTGAGGAGGACGGAGAGCACGGAGAGCCTGGTTGGTAGAAGAGGGCGCCTTGGGAGCTGAGTGCCTTCGGACAAAGTCGGTGACCCAGTTGGCCATGATTGGAGACTCAGAGCTCTGTCGCCGAGCAGAACACAGCACGACGAAGCTTACGAGATCCGGCTGTACTGCACTTTGAGCATTCAACGTGGGCTGCTGTCGCAGGACAGACGCAATCGTCAGCGCCGGTTCGAGACAGCTTGTTACATCACGGCGATCGATTCTCACCACGACCGTGACCAAAAAGAATGTTGAGACGGACTGGAAGCTGCTTGGACCAGTACGAACGAACACTCCAGCTCAAATCGAGCCCAAGGCCTTCTTCAATTGATTGATGAACAAAAGAGTATCCTTGCACTCAATGAACAGAAGTTCGCAATCGTGCAAGACTAATCTCCCAAACTTTGAGCGGCAAGTGGGCTTTTCTCCCTCGAGAGTCTCCATTTGTTGGAGTGACAAACCAACTTCACCATTGCTGGATCCGAAGGCTCCATCCATTGCTGGACTCACATGAGAAGCTGGACTTTGCAATCCTAATATAACTCCTGAATCTTGATGGCCGAGTTTCTGCCGAGCTCACGTGAGGTTCGTCGTTCTCACATGAAAGATTCGCGCTCCCGGACTTTTGCTTCCACTCCTTTATTTGACAAGACTCTGGACATCACGGTTGACACCACAGACTTGGGCCTCATCGACGTACTAACAAAGTGAGAACGGAAGAATACGGCATATTGCGTGAAGTCGACTTCTTTATGCTTCTCTGTGCCTGTGAGGGCAAAACATCCACGCCGGTTGTGCTACGCCAGGCATGTGGTCCGATGCGATAGTGGCTCGCCCCCTTGGGGTGATAGCTTGGCCTTGCGATGTCCCCGCACAACCTGGGTCGAGCCGTGCACCCCAAGGCGATAGACCTTGACCGTGTGAAGCCTCTACTGCTCGTGTTCTTCATCACACTTCAGTGCAGCTACCAGCCGGGGGCTGCCAGTGACGGTCCGTGGTGGCAAGTTGAGATCAAGTTTCTGACTACTGCGTAACCAGTGCAGTACTTACAGCTTAGACTGTTCAATCAAGCATCTTACAAACCGCATTGGCTCCCATGAACATATATGACTATTCAATATGTTGGTTTGGTTGGGAAAGAGGCATTGGAAATTGACGAATTCTAAATTGGTTAAAACAAAACTAGACTAGACCAATCTAGGCATGCGCAGCGAGCAGTCTCACCGTACTCCCTAGCAACTCATGCTCTGGTTTTGATATCGTACGGCATGATGCTGGTACATAGTGCTAATGAAGCATCTCTGCTCCGCCGGGATGGGACGAATGTCCATTCACGGTGAGCAGAGAGCGGCAATGGCGACCACACGCATGGTGACCGGTGCCATCAACTTCATCACGCCCCAACCGCAAGGATGCCTGGAGAAGCCATACCAACTCAAGTACGAGGCTCCAGACGGCTTTCCGCCCACCAACATAGTGTCAGATGAGCACATGCAGCGCCTGGCTGATGTCCGTGGACGGGAGGCGCAGTTCAGCGTTCCTCGGAACGGGTTCACGATCATCAAGCTCGAGGACCAGCTGTCCTACGAAGAATACGACAACGAAGACCTCGTGCGCAAGGTGTACTTCAAGCAGGTCGCTGAAGCAGTTCAAGAGCTGCTCGGTGCATCACGCGTGCAAATCTTCGAACATGTGGCAAGTACTTTGGGGCCAGGTTCAAGGACGGTCATTGACTCGGACAGCTGCGAAAACGAGACGCAAGTTTCCCAGTCGCAACGGGGAAGCCGTATAGGTATAATCAGCCCACTAATACGGCCCATGTTGGTAGGTGTCGATGTGGCCCTGCCCCATCCTTCACGTCTGACCTAGATTCATCAGATGTCACTCCATCTTGGGCAGCAGGATTGGCAGAACACATGAACGAGCTGAAAGGCATTGAACTTCCTTCGGGTGACCTACAGTTTGTCAAGTACGTGGTCATTCAAAGCCGTGGACAAGGACCAGCACTAAACTCGGAACAGCATCTGGAAACCACTTCGAGGGCCGATCAAAGACTGGCCATTAGCTGTTTGCGATGCTTCGACAGTATCTAAGGACGATCTGCGGGAAAGCGACATTGTGTTCTCAGACCGCGTGGTAGAGAACCTTCTCGTCCAGCATAACCCGAAGCAAGAGTGGTATTTCATCAGCGACCAGACACCTAGCGAAGCATGGGTCTTCCTGCAGGCAGACTCGAATGCTTCCGGACATCTTGGTGCGTCAATCTTATTGTCTAACGTGACTCTGTGCTGACCACAATCTGCAGGAGTGCCTCACAGTTCCTTTCAACGTCCGGACTCCGCCAACGAAGGTATACCTCGAGAGAGCATCGAGGTGCGAGCAATCGCTTATTACAACAATGGTGCGATCGATGCCGGAAATTGAGTTGTATCGACTCCAATATTCTCAACCGCTTTCCACTGCCTGATAAGCAGATCTATGATGCCTTCCAATAGAACGCCGGCCGACAAGAGCCCCCTCTGGCTGCCTGAAAAGCTGCTGCGCCTCCCTAACCAGCCCTCTCAGACCATTTCACACTTTCGTTTCTTGCTTGCTGGATCAATTAGCAGGCTGTAACTGCTGTGAAGCAGGCGTGAATTCACATACTAATGCGCGCCGGTGTCGTACTGGATTCTCATGCTAGATTCGCCCGCACTCCCCTGGGTCGTCATTTTCGCCCCTTTTTGATACCCGTATAGGACTGTATACTCTGTTGTTGACGTAGACTGGTTGTTCGCAGGCCAGACCGCTCGCCAAGGTTGGCGTAGAGCGTTCGATGGTTTGTTGTCGTCGTCGTTGCGCAGCCCAAAGGCGATACCGGCTTTCGAAATTTGGTTAGGCATTGTTGAAAATGCAGCGAGTGAGACTCTCTGGACGCTCCCTTGGTCGACTCAAGTACATGCGAGGAATTTCGTCTAAGTGGCTGGAGAGCCACAAGGCTATGCAGGTGGCCGAGACCGCGCTGAGGCGAGCCTATAGATTCCTGGTGCCACCCGTCTGCGTACGGACTTGCACTACCGAATTCCAACTGCGCCTTATAGAAACGACACAGATACTATGCAACGCCTGCGTTTGACTTTGTCAACGTTCGCGTGAACAATCATTGCTATCTACCCAGACGAAGCCCAACGCTATCGATTGAGACCAGTTCGGCTCTCCGGACGTAAACATTGATACCCTTCACCATTGCTGACCGCCACGAGCCAGATAGGAGCACATGGCGGTGTGCAAGCACAAACATGGCGCACGGTCTGTATCGTGGTCAGACGACCGCAGCGGGACGTAACATCATGCCATGTTCTCGACCTTGTGCTCTTGCCGTCCATGTCTTCGTCGGCTCAACCACTTGCCGACACCCTTCTGGATGCGCTCCATGTAGTACACCGCTATGGTCAAGAGGACAACTAGCGCGGAGGCTCCAAGCCAGATGCACATTGCCCTCATGCCAGTGCCGACCCGAACAAGATTCATGCCAAAGAATGACGTCGTGAACGATAATGGTATGTAGATGAACGCCATGATGGTGAGCTTTGTCAGTAGCTTCGCCTGCGACATGGCACGCTTCGACTCGGCAAGATTGAGGTTGTTCATAATGACGGCGATCCCACGTTCGCAGCGTTTACGGATGTCGTCAGCCCGACGCTGTAGGTACTCAATGTCGCGAAGCAAGTTTACTGCTGCGTCCTCGGCTTTATTGTACGCATGTTTCTCCTGCTGCGGCGCCCGCGGCCACTGCGTACCTCCACGCCGGCGCACAACTTCGGCGAGCTGTCTCAATCGGCCAACGTGAGTTTCCAGTATCTCCTGATAGTACACAAGCCCGGACACGCTCGGCTTGTCGTTGGTAAGGGATCGATGGCCAGTGTCATTACCAACATACCACTCTATCAAATTGAGGAGCTGGTTTTCACTGTTAGCAAAGAACCGGAAGAGGTCGTCCAAGGCGTAGAAAGGGTCCGAAGACATAGCCGACTTGTCAAGGAAGTGGCCATAGTCGAATGCTAGGAGCGATGCTGTCTGAGGGAACTTCTTGTCCAAGGGACTCTGCTCTGCGTCAAGGACTGGTCTTGAACGTAACGACAGTCTCTTCCGATGCTGTATCGTTGGATAGAAGGTGGTACCGCTAATGCTGTTGGATTCGCGATCTTCTTGCGATAACCATGGTCCTGGAAACCCCTCCGCGAGGTTACTGCCAATGTCGGAACAAACGAGAGCTATTATCTTCTGTCAGTAAATGCGTGAGAGTGGGTCGGGATGCCCAAGTACCCGTCCAGGCTGCATTCTTCAGGTGCATAGATATTGCTACTTCCTGTTCCAAAAAATAATGCCTCTCGCCGAGTACATGGTACTCGCGGACGACTGAGTCCCCACAAGGCACATTGGCAGTCGATAGCCGTTGTCCGTATTGCCTCATCTGGTGGTCGGCTTCTGCTCTGAGCTTGTCTACTTCGTTCGGGTCGGAACGGCCGCCCTCGCCAGTCTCTCGAGCTTCTCTGCGCCCGATTGTCACGAAGCGTAATCGAAAGATGTTGTCATAGGCTGATGGAAGCGAGGGATAGGCAGAGTAAGTACGGCGACAGCGGAAGAGCATGTTGGAATTGAAGAATTCCGGATCTGTTGAGAGAGATGTTGCAACCTCCTTGAGCCATTGTGGGCTCGGGTGTCCGTTCAGGAACAGTATCTGGGACCTTCCTTGAGCGGCGTTGGCATTGAGTTCCCGGACACACGTTGCTGTCTCAGAGAAAGGCACCTTCCTGGCCGTTCTCCCGTCGAGCGCATATAGTATTGCGTAGCTACGGTGCTGACTCGGAAGGGTATTAAATGGCTCGCGTGGTCTCGGAGTGGTCGTGGTGCTCTGTAGATAGTCTGACAGATCCTCATAGACCTGACCCGGATACAGTGCTAGGTGAAGGGGCTGCTTTACGTGCTCTCGGATCTGACCAGCATATTCTCCAGCACTGACTGTCCAGCGATGTCAGCTCCCGCTCGAGTAGTGGCAACAGGACCGTCTTCAACTCACTTGATACTCTTCTACTCCGATTACTTGCAACTCTGCTGACAGGCACGCTTAGCGATGCTGTGAGCTCAAGACCAGATGTCATCGTAACGAACACGGTGCAACGGAATGTTGTTCGAGAGAGGAGACTGGCATGGACAAACTCACTACGAATCGCAGGGCTGCCCATATGCGAACCATTGCAGGGCTCACGCGACCAATGCTACCTGCACTGGCGCCCAACTGCAAGGCAACGACGCATAGCAGAATGCCGATGAGCCTCCTCAAGGTCTCATCCTAAGGCTGTCCCAGACTGACTGCATCGAGGGTTGCTTCGCCTCTGCGCTGGCGGAGTCACTGGCCTGTCGTCTCCTTAGGTCTGCTGTGGCAAGAGACGCTACTGCAGTTGCAGGTAGGCTAAAGGAGATGAGCTGGTCACGTGCTTCTCGTCATTAGCACCCTCGCCAAATCCATCAAGACGGGAAGTGGAACCATCATCACATTCTCTAACTGCTATGTGGACGCGTGAGTCGTAACAAGTAAACTGTCAAGACAGACAGGAAAGTTGCACAGATAGAATAGGCTGGTCCTCCTACCGGCTCCAACGGTGCTTCTGCCGTACAGCTCACGCCACAACGTCACACCCATGATTTGAGGCGAAGCCCAACGAGACGAGGCAAGGCTATGGGTTTTTGTGCTGTCGCCCCCGCGGGTCTACCTAGCTGAGTGTCCTGATACCTTTACCTTTACAGAAGCCCGAGGCGGAGTCAACAACATGCGCCACGGGATGAGAGGACTATGAGCTCTCTGCCTCTCCGCTCAGTGTATCGCAGCCCTCATCACGAACCACGTGCGATGTACGTTGAAAAGTCATACTCTTACTCATACGAGCGGTCAGTGCTAATACCGAGCGCAAAGCTTCATTGCTGTCCCTGGTATCGGGACCTTGACACCGAAGGACTGGGCAGATGGGAGCGGCAAAACGTGGTTCCAAAACATCGACAGCAGGATTCCTCACTCCGGCCTGGAGGCGTTCGCATTCGAGCATGAGTTGAACGGCGAAGACGTGAGCTGGCAGAGGGTGCAGACGGAGAGCAAGCGGCTTTTAGATGCTATAGAGTCTCTGCGGTCACGGGAAGCAGTAAGTTGGGCCACTCGAAAGCGCAAAATCAAACTGACATGTTGTTATAGTACAGAAGCTGTCCACTGATACTTACGGCGCACAGTCTCGGAAGCTTGATTTTGAAACGATTTCTTTGTTACGCACATACGCTTCAGCGGTGGCAAGACTTATTACAACACACCGCAGGAGCGGTGCTGTTCTCGTGTCCCCATGCCCAGCCAGACAGCCGTCTTTGGGAGAATGTCGATCACGTACTCAAAGCATTTTCAAGGCATAGACACAGTCTTCCGAGTCCCGACTTGCGAGCTTTCGCTGAGGACTGCTTGGGGTTCGAGCGAGCGTTTAGCGACAAACCAGTGCTATCTTTCCACGAGGAAGCAGAGACCCCAGTGGGAAAGAAGTTCTGGAGCAAAAAAATCGTAAGTACCTAATTCCAGTACCTGGCCGCACATCGCATCAAAACTGGCACTGACCCTCTTACCAGCTAGTGAGCAAGGATTTTGCCCATCCGAACGTCAACGACGGCACAGCGCAATCGATCAGTGGGAACCATGGTCAGAGCTGCTGCCTTAAATCGGATAAACTTGTTGCAAACGTCGTACTCAGCTTCGTTCGAAGAATTGTGGACAAGACTCGAAACGAGATCGGTCTCCTGGAGCTGAATAGTTGTACGATATAACTCCTATCCTGTGCTCGATCTTGCTAACCTTGCCATTATACTCGAGGAATTTGGCTCTGGAGGAGTCCACTGTGGCCAGTGAGAGCGCTTTCGGTTCCGTCATTGGCTTTTCGAGAAGACAAACGAGTGCTCCTCGTAAGTCCGTCCACTCGGGATGGTGACAACGGCTGCTAACCTACATCTAGTAGTCAACTCAGAAACAATACCTTCTACAGCGCCAAGTCATGATCCAATATCATTGTCAGGAACGAACACTGCGGCGAAGGATCCTTTGTTGCCCTGCTTTTCGGTCTTGTGGGAGAAGAATGGAAACTTTCACGGTCGGCGGCCGATCCTTGAGCGACTGAGAAATGCTCTAGCTCCCGCAGAGGACACAAGCGGCAGTCTGACGGGAACCGAACGGTCTGGTCCACGTTGTGTCACGCTCTCAGGGCCAGGAGGTATAGGCAAGACACAGGTGGCTGTCCAATTCGTTTACGAGCACGAACCTTCTTTCGACGCCGTGCTCTGGGTGTATGCCGATGATGCAACCAAGCTTGCTCGATCATACGCTCGTATCGCGACTGATCTTGGTCTTGTTGATTCAGGCTCAACTGACGCACAAGACGAAGTTCTCACAAGAGGTTACCTTCTCAACTGGCTCAACCAACCATATCGATCACTGGGAAACCGAGAAAACGAGCGGGCGACAGAAGCTTCGTGGCTAATCGTTTTCGACAACGCTGACAACATTGACCTCTTGCATGATTACTGGCCACATGGCTCTGGATCAATCCTCGTGACTAGCAGAGACCCTCTTCTGGACATGCAATTCCACCACTCATCGAGCTTTCGCGAAGTCCTGCCGGTCTTCGATGAGGACGAATCAGTAGATTTACTGCTCAAGCTCACTCGTCGTGGCGAAGACGAGGATGACCCTGGCGCTGTACATGCAGCAGCCAATGTTCTTGGAGGCATCCCTCTGGCCGTGGCTCAAATGGCTGGCTCCATTGTGCGTAGAGACATAACATTCACCGAGTTCGTTCAGGAATACAACGATCCACGATCCCATCCAAAACTCTTTAGTCAGCCGGCCGGCCATGCACAAGCTCCAAATTATGAACACACCATTTTCTCAGTGTGGGCTCTGGATGAGCTGAAGCACAGCACCTGTCTGTTAGATATACTGGCGTTCCTAGATCCTGATTACATCCCGGAGTACATTCTCTTAGGAGTCAATGGGACTGGAAGTGAAGCAAGCAAGGACATACATGGATTTCCAGGATCTATACCAGAGTACATCGAAGCTCGAGCCGAGCTGTTGCAAGCCTCGTTGGTCTCAAGAGATCGGAGTGCGAAGAAGCTGTTCATGCACAGACTGATACAAGACACGGTGATCTCCAGGATGAGCGAAGAGCGATACAGCTCAGTCTATGTTTCAGCGTTGCAGCTGATCTCGTGCGTGTGGGATTACGAGGAAGACTTCGGCTTTATCAAGGAAGAGGCTGCACGTTGGCGGCGCTGCGAGGAGCTGTACAGTCATGTCCTCCATCTCAGGAATCTCTCTTCGCGGCTTGCGGCTCCGACAATCATTTCAGAAGCAAATTTGCAGCCGCCGAAAGTGGTCTTAGCAGCAGCGTGGTGAGTAGCGTTGTCGAGCAGTAAGCATGCGATCGGCACGGCTGACTAGGTGGTAGGCTTGGTATAGGGCGCGGCGACTACGTTGAGGCGGGAAAGTTGATACAACTGACCGAGAAGCTGTGCAAGGCCTTACAGGTCGATGAGTCAGTCTTTGCCGAAGAAAGCAGTACGAAGCAAGAGTTTGACGAGCTAGTACTTCAACTGCCGTTTCATCGAGGTGCACTGGCGCACCATACCAACGAGCCGAGAGTGGCGCTTGACGAACTGAAGACTTACATCCGCCTGCTGGACAAGAAGCCTAAGCGAAGGCAGACTGCGGCCTGGCGGCAGCAAATGGCTATCGGTCTTAACGATCTTGGCGTGTCTTACTTACAGAATGATGATGCCGTGAAGGCCGAGGACTATTTGGAGCAATCCATCGCGATACTAGGAGAGCTGTCTGACATCAGCCCGAACACCATCTCGATGCCGCAAATAAACCTAGGGTTTGCTTTTTCGTTACAGGGACGACACGAGGAAGCGGCAGACATGTTTGAACGAACGCTGGTCAAACGAGAACAGAACTATGGCCGGGACGACGTGCGATCGTTTGCGTAGGTGTATCCTTGAAAAGCACGACGTGCTCCATTCTGACGCTACGTTTCATAGGCTTGGGAAACTGTTGCTTGGGTATGGCAACGTCAAGGCCGCCCAACACAAGTTCGACGAGAGTCTGGAGCTACACGAGCGCTGCTTGAAACAATACAAGGGCTCGGTTGGCGCCCACCACCATCGCACAGGGGATGCCTGTGTTCATGTCGCCAATCACTACCTGCGACTGCACAAGTTCGACGACGCACTGTGAGTCCTTCTTGGTTTGCTCTGCGAATATTCAAGCTGACACGAGTCGCGTTCGAGTGTCCTGCTGGATCAGGCAGGTAGGATATTTCGAGGCCGATCACACTTCCGACCTGAGGATGCGAGGGTGTGCTACAAGCGTTGGAAAACACTTCTAGCCCTAGGCCGGCTGGACGAAGCGCGGTTTTGTGGCAACACGGCCTTGCGGCTGTATCAGGCCATGACTTCGGACGATGACCGGCAGCTGGAAGCATTGAGTGAGGATGATTTTGATAAACGCATCATGTTTTGGTCCCGATGACCAGGAAACTCTGGCTAGGACAACCCTTCTCAACACAACACCTTCTTCTCCGTGCCCCAAGCCCCCCTCAAGAAGCCCAAGACACGATGAAAAAGATACGTTGGCGTGCGTCACGAGGACTCAGTGCAATACCAAGGACACACATCCACCCCTCACACATAAGCGAGCCCAGCGGTGTGAGACAGTCTGATTTCCAAAAATTTGATTGACGTATGAAAGGGTACGTGACCCTATTTCAGCGGTCAAGCTGAAAAGAACAGATACTACTCTTGATCAAAGCCGAATGGCAGAGAGAGCTGAGGAGGAAAGACTGGAGTGTGGGAGGGGATGGGGGGTTTTATAGATTGGGAATGGGTGGTGCCTGGAGGGAGGTTGGGAGGTTGGTTGTTAGGGTGGCGTGGTTGGGAGGCGGTGGAGAGGATTGGGGAGGCGGTGTCGGGGCGGTGATGTGAAGTGGACACCGAGGTGGAATGTGGCGTTGACGGTGAATAGCAAAGGCATATATCTAATGTGGACGGTGATTCTAAAAGGTGAGGTGAGTAGCTCCAAGCATGAATCGAGACAGTCTTGATATCATCTATCATATCTTAGCCGTCCCTGCTCCCTTGCAAGTCTCTCTATGCAACAAATCCAGCAGCCAGCCCGGCGAGCCCACCATCCACACCTCAACACCGCGCACCCCAACCGACCACCGCTCAACCCTCACTAGTATCCATCTTCCCCTCCTTCTCCGCCTTCCTCGCCGCCTTCCTCTCAGCCTTCCACGCCTCAATCTTGCCCTTCAACTCCGTATCCGCAATCACCTGCTCAATCTTCAAAGGCATCCTGTTAAACGGATCCGTCGGATCGCTCAACAAATGACTGCGAATCGTACTCCGATCCATCACCGCCTTGCTCGTCGGCAGAATCACCGGATCGTTCATCAGATCCGCCATCAACGGATCAACAAACTCATCCGGCGGCTCGCCGAGATCCTGCTCCTCTTCCTCTTCCGCTGCCTTCGCCTCTGCGACTTTCTGGCCCAGCGTCTCCCATGTGCGGATCTCTCCGGGAGATTTGAGACGGCGTTTGTTCATGATTCGCGCGGCTTGGGTGAAGTTGGCGGCTTTGTAGCTGCGTTGGTCGCGAGCGATGGCGTGGATGAAGTTGTCTTTGCCGGAGAGATTGCAGTAGACGGACATGATGTCGGATAGAAGCGCGCCAGGGTTGAAGCCGTACTCTTGCATGTTCTCGACCTTGAGATTGGCAGACTTGGGGCCGACCATGGTTTCGAGGTTGTAGTCGAGCATGTCTGCCAGACGAGTGACGATTTCGGGCATGGTGAAGGAGTCTGCTAACGACTCGGAGAAGAGGATCAGCATCTCCATCGTCTCGCGGGTCAAGCCCATGTAGCTCTTCGCTCTGCCCTTCTCGTCTTCGAGCTGATCGGTCTTCTCCTTCTTCTGCTCGTCGGAAAGCGTGGACATGAAGGCTTCGCTGTTGACTTCTTGAGTGAGGTCATGGATCTTGACGAAAGCTGAGAGTGACTCGTCGAGCACGAATGTCACGTCGTTGACCAGCATGTTGACGAACTGCACGAAGAAGTCTGTGTTGACGCGAGCCTCTTTGGCCAGGTTGTCGCGATAGAGCGTGTTCGGCCAGATACACTTAATGACCTGGAAGATCTCATATCGGATGGTGAACTTGTCGAAGAACTGCGTGTGGGTGCCCGTGGATTCAGCTTCGATGTAGAATTTCATCAAAGCATGCAGCAGGTGCTTGTTGGCGAACTCGGAGCCCATCAGTAAGTCGCCCAACACACCCTTTGGCCGGTTCCCGAAGTGCTGGCAGCCGTAGTAGAGGATGGTGACGAGTCCAGACTTCACACCAGGATTCTTGACGTACTCGCTGTGCCGCAAGAATGTGATGCAGATCTGCACAATCTCCTCGCACTGCTGAGGCGTAAGAATCCACGGAATGTTGCCTGTGATGAATTTGAAGTTGTCGGTGATGCCCTCCAAGAAGTACTCCGGCAAGACTTTGAAGATCTCAGGCTCTTCATCCGACAAAGGAATACGGAGAGGCTCGGCAGGGAGGTTCTGCCCAGCGGCGAGGCGCAGTAGCCAAACAATGACGTATCGCATGAATTGCATGCTTCGTGCTTGAGCCAGGTCGTCGAGCAGCACGCCGTTTGTTGCGTGTATGGTGCTCCACATGCTGTCAATTTGCTTCTTGATCCGGCTGGCATGTTCTTCGAATCGCGCTAGATATCGAGGATCCTACGACCGTTAGCACAAATAGCAATACGGCAGTAGGGCGAAAAAGCAACGTACATTGACAAACTTGTGCCTCTCAGACTCGAACTGCTCCAAGTCCTTCTCCATCCGCTGAGCCGACTTCTTCATGGACCCCATCCGCGTCTGCGCTGCCTCGGTGCCGTAGTGATGCGCCGCGACCGTCAAGAAGAACACCTCTGAAATGAAGTTGCTTGTGCCCTCAGCCTTGTTGCTCGAATAGAACTCATCCGCAGCCTTCTGATCCGCATTGATCTTCGTCTCATCCGAAACGTCGACTCTCGGATCTCGCTTCAGGTAGTTCGGATCAATGCGATCAACCTTGCTGAATCGCGCATCCATAAAAGGCTCGCACAGCTGGTCAAGAACACTAGTCACATTCACCATGAATCCGTCGCTTGAAACCGTCTTGTAGTCGACACGCATGGCACGCTTCTTGTGGTTCTTGTTCACACAAAGCGCAAACCAGTTGAGAATGCGCTCTCGTTGTTTCGGACCAGCTCGAACAACTGTATCTGACATCTGGAAGAGCTCTGTCTGGTGTGTTCGAAGTGACATCCGTACTGCATCCTGAGCGTTCTTGATGAAGGTTCGATCGCGCGTCTTGGGTGCTGAAAAGTAGCTCTGCGAGACTTCGCTCTGCATAGGCGACAAGCGGAAGAAAGGTCCTAGCAGCGTCTTGGTTTCGATGTCCTGCGGCTCCACTCCTTCCGGTGTCCACATCGGTGATTCTGTGACGGCGTCGACAATCTTCGGGAACCGCAGCAGATTACGGAGGCCCCGCACGTAATTCTGGTAGTCCTGCAGCATGTTCTTCTGTGACAATTGCCGACTGAGCTCTTCTGCCGCGCCCACAATAGCCTCCTTGATTGTATCGTCCTCCTCAAATCGACTGCTAGCTTCAGTGAGGAAGTCAGTACAGATTCCAAGGTCGCATTCTGGGTCAGCCAAGAGATGGTCCACCAGAGGATTGGAGGTCGGTACGTGCTCTCCAAACATCTCCGGCATCGTGATGGCGAACACGCAGTAGCTCATACACAGCCTCCGTGTCTCCCTGAGAACATCGTGCTTCGGATCTTCCGGGCCGGAGAACTTTGTACCTCTGATGGCGCGTGACACCCGCTTGAAGCATCCCAAGAGGTATTCGAACGGCTTGCCACCTGGTGCTTGACTGGCAGCTTCGGTGATCGCACCCTCCAGTACCTCGGTGTTCAGCTGAATAGCCGCCTTGTTGTCCACCAGATCTTCTCTTGTACTCGCAAGAAACACCAGCTCATGTCCAGATATGTCTCTCGATTCATCAGGCTTGAGCGTCAGTCTGAAGATCTGGCGCAAGTTCCGATCTTGCCACGTCTCTAAGCTCTCTGTCGGCTTCGCGCGAGGCTTCTCCGACCCATCACGTTCTCTCTTCGCCGGTGACGCCTGCCTAGGGCTGACCTTGATCTGTGGCGCCGTCTTCTTCTCCTGCTGGTCTGCTTGACCATCTGACATTCCTAATTGCGAGAAGGGGTTTTGAGTGGTGGAAGAAGGCGTCTCGGCCTTCTGCGCTGGAGGAGAGGTGGCATCTTTGGGTGCAGAGGCGTCGCCGCTTGATGCTCCTGCTGCAGGTGTGGTGTTGTTGCTTGTAGAAGGGCCGCCCAGCTTCGCGAGACGCTTCATGCGGATCTGGTAGGTATGTCAGCGCCGTCCTGCAGTAACACATGTCCCCGATCTAAGTACCTTGTCCGCATCGGACATCGTGGAGTCCGCCATGGTGTTTGCGAAGGCAGGTGATGCTGGGGTTTGTGGATGAAGCTGGAGCTGTGATGTTGAAGCCTTCGCGCCGGCGCAGAACGCTTCACTGAGGAGGTGGAAGATTGATGAATCGCCGCCTTGCGTGAGATTACTATTCACCGGACAGCGAGTGGCAGCGATGAGGTCAGCCAGCTCGGAGATACTGCGGAGTTATCTCGTCTTGGCCTCACCTTCACTTTCTGTGATATTCTGTCTGTCGACTCTTTTCACCTGACACATGCAACGGTGAACAAACAAATGGTCTTGTCAAGTCAACGACACGTGCAGCAAGACAGCGAGATACTCCTTCGGTGACCAGCACACAACTTGCCCAGAAGCTGCCCTTTATCTTCAGATCCGGTGCTGAGAGCAGCATGCATTTCTAATCAATGGATGTGCATTTATCTGGACTATCAGGATTCTCGCTCCCGAAGCCTCATGATGTCCTTCAGCACTCAGTCTGTATACAGCGGCACCCCCCAAGCCTCCGTGAAGTCAATCGTCCTCCCCTTCCCATCCTCAATCTCCAACCCATCCAACGCCCTCATATCCTCATCACTCAAACGCCTGACATCCAGATTCGACGTGATCCGCTGCGGCGTCGCACTCTTCCCCAACGGCACAGTCCCTCTTTGAACCGCCCAGCTGTGTAAAAATTGCCCAACATCCATCCCATTCTTCTCCGCCAACTTGACAACCTTCTCGTCCTTCAACAGCGTTGCCCCATCCGCCTTCTGCCCGGCGAAAGGCGAGTAGCACGAGATCGCAATGCCGTGCTTCTTCGCAAACTCCACCATCTCCCGTTGTGGCAGCCACGGATGACATTCGACTTGATTACACGCCACCGGCACATCCCCCTCGTGCGGCAGCAACTCCTCAATCTCCGTGATCGAGAAATTCGACACACCAACAGCCTTCGCCTTTCCTTTCCTCACACACTCCTGCATCGCCTTCCACGTCGGCACGAAGCTCCCTTCATGCCCGCGCTTCGAAGCGATGTTCTTAGTACAGTGCTCCCAGTCCATAACCGGCTTGTCGCCATCGTAAAGTTGTCCCTTGTCCTCTCTCGTAGTATCCGGTCCCGATCGCGCCTTCTCCAGAGCCTGCCTCGATGCCGGTTTCCAGACCACAGGCCAATGCGCCAGATACAGGTCCAGATACTCTAGTCCCATGTTATCCAGCACCTTATCCAGACACAATTCAACATTTTCCGGACTTCCAAAATGTGGCCAGAACTTCGACGTAATGAAGATCTCCTCTCTAGGAATGCCAGACTCCTTGATCGCTTGACTGACGGGTTGGTCGACGCCGTACATCCATGCGCAGTCGAGATGGCGATATCCGGCTCTGAGGGCCGTGAGGACGGAGTCTTTTGCCCATGATGTTTCGCCTGAGGCCCATGTGCCGAAGCCTACGGAGGGGAGTTGGAGGAGGAGGTTGGATGAGCTTTTCAATGGGAAGGACTTCGGGAGGGTCATTTTGATGTTCTTCTTTGATGGGTCTCTTGCAGGAGGGGGGGAATTGGAAGAAACGACGTTGTGATTGCAGGCAGTTGTTGCACACGACATACGTCATCGAGCTGGGTGGAACATTGGAGCGAAAACGAACCTCACCTTGGGCGAGGTCTTACACCTTCCCAAGCCAGACATTCTTGAGATGTGAAGTCAACTCAAACGAGTGCTCTGGTTTCTTGTAACGTCTCAGGAGTCGTAGACGGCTCCAGAAGCAGGCTGGGCAAATGCTTGATTGAGGTGTCAAGGTTCATGCTGCGAGGTCACATGCATGGTCATATGCAGCACAGAGTAGCCGCATACCCTTCTCGACCAGTCAAACTGTGAAACATCGTAGGACGATGGGAGTTTGTGAACCCCCTTATGCAACCTAAGCTAGTTGTGCTTCCAGATCCGACCAGTCGATCTCCCGAGCAGTTGACTGTGCAACGCTCACGGTCTCGTCTCTTAGGGAATCATACACGCCTCATCTGCCCAGAAGTACTCATCCACACTCTTATGTATTCGCCCTCACACCCAAATCCGCAATATTACCGACGTACCCCTCCTCACCCTTCGCTCCCGCCCTCGCAAAAGCCGCCGTCAAAACAGAAGCATACGACCACGTCAAGTCCGCTGCACCAACCGGCTTCCCGGAGTCCCGATCGATCTCCTCCGCCAGACCGCCATCTGCGGGTGTGTAGTACTTCACGGTCCGCATGAAAGCGTCGCCCCAGCCGTTGAGGCTGTTGATGGCTTGTCTGAACTGCTTGCTGCCGGACTTGTATGTCTGTCCGGTCTGAAGCTTGGCTTGCGGAGCGAAGTAGTCCCAGAATGGCTTTGAAATGCTGGTGACGGCGATGCTGCTGGCGGTGGTATACTCGGCCGAGGAGGCATACATGTACTGCGCGAACGCGGCGGTGCAGAGGTACCACGGGTTACCACCATTTTGCTCTGTTCCGGTCCCGTTGTAGACGTCTTCCGGATAGCGGCCAACGGGAATACCGAGGATTTTGCCAGAGGCTCCTTTGGTGTCGTTGGCAATGGGGTAGACGTCAATGAAGGAGGTGGCGATTCTGAGGGCTGTCGCTTGCACTTGGTCGTTGGTGTAGCCGTACACGCCGTCGCCCGCGTAGCCGTGGATGACGCCGAGGATGACGGCGGTGTCGAGATAGCTGGACTTGTCTTTGAGGACCGGACCGTACTCGTAGAGCAAGATCTGGCGGTTGGGGTCCCAGAATTGGCTGAGTGTGTCCGTCAAAGCGTCAGCGGCGGAGGACAAGGTCGAAGCTGTGGAAGAGTCGTCCATCTTCTCTGCGAATTCGCTCCCCATAACCAGTGCCCGACGCTGCACCATGCGGGTGTAGAAGTGGTCACTGGACTCTTCTTCCCAGAGATCGAAAGACGAATACGTCCAGTTCCTGGCCACGAAAAGCAGGTCCTTCTGCACTGGCGCCTGATCCGGGTTGTTTGTCGAGTCGTAGATCTGCTGCTTGATGGTTTGAATGCTGCCGCCGTTCGCCAGGTAATCGTTCCCGAACTCCATCAATGTGATAGCAGCAGTAGCAGGGCCATCGTTCTGTGGCCGGCCCCAAGGGCCAGTGAAGATCTGTGGTAACACATAAGCCATCAGAGGATAGGGCCCGATGCGGTGCTGTGCGTACCGTATTGTTCAAGTAGAACTTGGGCTCACCAAGCCCCGTCTGCAGATCTGGATCCGTCTGCTCAGTAGCCCGGGCAGCAGCGTACTGAAACAGGATCTTCTCATACTGCGATCTGGCTTTCTTCTTCGTGGCAGCGGCGTAGAGCATCTGCACGACATCCATGGTCAAGGACTCGTCGCGGACCCAGTTGTACTCGTAGTCCGGGATCTTCTGTGGATAAGATGGACCACTGCGTGCCGCGACCACGATCCCTATAACAGTCAGCCATCTAGAACGAATGCGTAAGGCAGGAAGATCGAAAACCTTTCTCAGCTCCTTCAATAGCAGGATTGATATTCACAAACATCTTCCTGAACGCAATCTCCGCCTCCGAACCCTCACTCACAGCCAAAAACTTCGTAATATCATTACCAAAACCCTTCGGCGAAGCATACGGCGCAGGCGGTTCCGGGAGACTAGGCTCTGGCTTCCCACTGATCTCGATGTCCAAAACTTGGTGGTAAGTCTGCCCAATGTCCGTGGCCTGGTACGTCAAGTTGAGCAGCTCGGTGATGCCGTCGACGTAGACAGGCGTGTTGGCGCCCCAGTACTCCCAATTGCCATCAGAGCCGATGCTGGATTGGTAGTTGAGTGAGACGACGGAGAGCGGCGTGCTTTCGTTTTGCCGGTTGGTGTAGTAGAGGTTGACGACTTTATTGAAGTTGACGTTGGCGACGTAGACCTTGTCATCCCATCAACTTGCGGGTTCCATGCCTTGCGGGCTACCGTACTCACCGTCACGTTCAAATCCCCACCACAATAGCTGTACGACTGCAGGGCAACTTTGCGACTCGCTGGGATGGTGTTGCGAACAGTATGCGTCTCACACTCCTGCCCCAACACGCTACCTAGCGTCGCAAGACCGGCGAGCCAGCCCGCCAAAAGATACGCCTTCATCTCGAAAGTAACGCTCTCGAACACCAGTAAAATGCAGAGAAGTGTAGCAAGAAGAACGCGAAATGACAAACCTACAAGAGCACGCTCGTCGGTATGAAGAAGAGATGTTTCGCTTTCGGCTCTAGCTTTTTGGCAGTCGCGATCACCATCGCGGTCCATCGCGGCCAGAAAGCATGACCTAGGAGGGTGGCGACAAGCGATATTGGACCGCGGTTGTGATGGTCACGAGTGGTCGTGGTTGGTCTCAGGCAGATTGCACCCCGTGTGGAGAAGGCGGGTTCCTGCAGAAGCTTGATCGGCGTTTTTGGCGCTTGCGTGGAAGAGGAAGGTGAAGAGTTATGGAGATTGCAGAGATTCAAGAGACACGATATTGAGGATCAGTGTACAGTTGTCGAGATGGTAGAGTACGTAGACAGCCGCTAATATAGTATCAAACACAACACTGAACTGTTCACGTCACTCGCGCAGATACATGTAGCCCCGACGCCTTGCGGCCCGACTCATTCTTCTAGGCACAAAAGGCATGCTGCTCGTCGGAGTAATGCTCTTGTCTTGGAGTCCTCGTCCACCATGTCCAGGTGGTCACCTAATCCTCTGCCAGAAATACATCTCGCCTTGTTGTGCACAAGCTTGCGCACCACCTCGTGTTCCCTTCCTTCTGCGATGGATTACCACATCAAAGATGTAAGTTGGCTTCACAAGCCTTCTGTTCGATGCAGATGTTGGCAGCGGGCGATTCTCCGCGGCCATGCTGTGAATCTCTGTGAGCCCAATAGGCGCTGCGTATAGAAAGCTGTATCGTTGTGTGCTTGAGCTAAATGCTGGCTTGCTGGCTCACATTCGACACTGCGACGCCGAGATGCAGCAGGGTTCACTCCACTGCACGCCTGCCAACCGGCAGACCAGGTAGTCGGTCGTCTGCGATATTCGTACTGCTCCACAAAGTCGCCACATTCAGAGGTTGATCTCCGTCCTCGCCCGATAACGCAAGGGCCTCTTGCACTTCTGGATCGCCGGTCTCAACGGACGCTTGATATCCAAATAGCGACCCTGCAGCCAGCCGACCGCGACATTCGGAATGACGTATAAAAGTACAGCCGCAGGGAGATGGAATGAAACATAGCAGAATAACAAAGCGGCATAGAAACCGAACTGCCGCAGCCAAGGCGTCTGCTTTGCGTATCTCATCGGCTTCTCGGACAGCTGCCGGAGCACCGACCTCGACTCAGATGTGATAAGGTCCGGCTCGGCGGAGGTAGGCTTCGGAGGTACGACGGGTCGTGCGTTGACGTCGGGTCGGAAGAAGACTTGGATGAGCATGACAACGCCGGTCAGGACGGGCAGGACGCCGCTCGGGTCCGCGGCTGTGAGATCCGTACAGAAGCTGAATCCTTCCGTCTGCATTGCCGCGTCGAAGTAGGGGCTTGTCGTGTCAATGTCGGCACCGGCTTGAAGACCGGCATCCGCTGAAGCTGGCGAGCTTGAGAGGTCGATGATTTCGCCATCCTGGACAGGAGTCCTCTTGCTCTCAAGGTAAGCCCACATTTCGCGGGCCTGCTGCTCCAAATAACGAACGGGCCTTTCTCCCGCAGCGGGCTCTGCCGGCGCGAGTTCGCGCATCAACATGTTCCTGAGGTTTTCGAGCGGAGTCAACAACATGCTCAACAACCCTTCTTGCTTCCCACACTTTAGCCTTATCGTCTCGGCAAAGGTAATCAGTACCCCAAAGTTGATTGCCCACCAGGGCACAGAAGACGCGAACATTTTCAGGTACTTCCTCCTCGACAGATATGTGAGCCATGATATTTGCATTCTTCGCCATAAATTTACATAGACTGCGCCCAAGAACCCGGGGTTTTCGGATGATCCGCGGATTCTGTCATAAACAGCGACCCACTTCCGTACTTCACGAGGGCTGTCGGACAACATCTTCGACCGTGCCTGGATAAGAGGGATGAGGTTGCTCCCAATTTGAGCTTTCCTCCGAGCTGGCTTCCCGGAGAAGTGATAGACGAATGTGCTGCGGAGTAGAACCGCAGTCAGCGGTATCACTGCATAGTAAGGAAGTCCTGTGTTGTGTAGGCTCTCGATGATTGCGTTGGGTCCGGCGACTGCGAAGTCCGTTATGGGTCCCCGCGAGCGAGACGGAGCCGTGAACGTTCGCCGGGGAATTTGGTGTTGCAAGGCTGGAGGTGCTAGATGAGGAGGCCAGCGGTACGCCCGACGTGCCGCGATGAACGCCATTGTCGAGATGGATGCTTTCGAGGCTCATGTGTGGAAGGCGAAGTGATGGAAGCGAATGATGGCCAAAACAAGCTTCGACTGATCGACGGCCAGCACGGGCCGCAGCTGCCGTCCCAAAAGTGGCACGCGGTTAGCGGGCATGTGACGGTGAGGGACAGTTGCCTTCAACGCTGAAACAGCAGGTTCGCTGACATGCTGGACTGACCTCCTCTTCCACCATGGTATTCCGTATACCTCGCCATATCATCTACCATCCTTGACGACAGCCATGGCGTTGCTGACAACACTACTGGCAATTCTGGCTGGGACCTCTCTCTTCGTCGGCCTACTGCCATACGCTGTCTGGTTTGTGGGACGTTTGGTTGGGACTTCGTTATACAGCAAGACGCAGCAGCGGCGAGAGTTGTTGCTGAATAGGGCAAAGAACGATGCGAAAGAGCAGACAGAAAAGACTAGTGTCACGCAATCTCAAAAGGCGTCTTCTTCAACATCGCTGGACGAAGAGTGGGAGAAGGTCAACAAGACACCGCCGGGCTCACCACCACAAGGCAAAGCTAGCCAGTCTGTCGACGAGAGCTACAGTGGCATCATCGGCTTCTTCCACCCATTCTGCAACGCCGGTGGTGGAGGGGAGAGGGTCCTCTTCGCAGCAATCCTCGCAACCCAACAACGCTACCCAAACGCCCTATGCGTAGTCTACACCGGCGACCACGATGCCAGTAAAGAGCAGATCCTCACCAACGTCCGCAATCGCTTCAACATTGATCTCAAACCGGCACGCATCAGCTTTCTCTATCTGAGTACACGCGAATATGTACTCGCGAGCAGATGGCCACATTTTACTCTACTCGGCCAGTCTCTTGGGTCGTTGATTATGGGTTGGGATGCCTTTGGTCTGCTTGTTCCGGATATCTTCATCGATACTATGGGCTACGCTTTCACCATAGCGTTGTGCAAGTGGCTTTTTCCATGGATGCCGACGGGCGCTTACGTTCATTATCCAACGATCTCTACTGACATGCTGAGCTCACTGCACGATGAAGTTGGCAACCGTGGCTTGAACGCTGGCTTGGGCAAAGGTACCAAAGGCAAAGCGAAGCAAGTCTACTGGGAGCTGTTCGCCAGACTCTACTCCTGGGTCGGCGGCCAGGTCGACGTTGTAATGACCAACTCCACCTGGACACAACGGCACATCAGCTCGCTCTGGACTCGCTCCCGCACGAAAAGTGGCAAAACCCACGACATCAGCGTCGTATACCCTCCATGCGCAGTCGCCGAGCTGCAGGAGAAGATACCCGTCTCTTCCCCCCGCTCCAACACCCTCCTCTACATTGCCCAATTCCGTCCCGAGAAAATGCACCACGTCATTCTCGACGCCTTCGCCGCCCTGCTCAAACAGTGGACTCCAGCCCAAGGCTCCAAACCAAAACTTATCCTCGTCGGCAGCGTCAGGGACGACGACGATCAGAAGCGCGTGTACAAACTCCGGCTGCAAGCGCAGGAGATTCGGGAGAACGTCGAGTTCGTTATAAATGCGAAATGGCCGCAGATTTTGGAATTATTGAAGTCGTGCAGTGTGGGTGTTAATGGCATGTGGAACGAGCATTTTGGAATTGGGGTGGTGGAGTACCAGGCGGCGGGGTTAATCAGTGTGGTCAATAACTCAGGGGGCCCGAGGGAGGATATCGTTGTGGACGTGGATGGGAAGCCTACCGGTACGTCTGATCTCATTGATGTCACTCTCATAACAGCAGCTGACTTTGTTTCCAGGCTTTCTCGCATCAACCACCACCGAGTTCACTGACGGCTTCGCGAAAGCATTGAGTCTTTCCACCGAAGATGCACTAGCTATGAGGCATCGAGCTCGCAAAGGTTCGCTGCGATTTTCAGAATATGTTTTCAGCACAGCATGGACGACGCAGCTAGAGCGCTTGGTCGAATTAGGTCGACGCAGTTGAATCGCCCAATCAATGCTACGAATCATCCATGCCTTGAGTTTGTGTTTCTGTACCGAAATGGCCCGATCGAACGCTCAACAGGCGAGTAGCCCATACAGTAGTTCTCCAAGACAGCATGCTATGAGATGAGGTGTTGGGCCGGAAAATTTAGGTGAGAGGCGAGTCTTGAGAAGGATGCGAGTCTAGACCGATGCCGACGCCGCGAGTCGCCGGATGGAGAGGATCGAAGCAGAAACAACCTACGACTCATCATCTTGATGGGCATTGCATGTATTGCAGTTTTTTGTTGGAGCCTTCAATGTACCCTGAGAAACATATTGAGATCAAATGAGTATCGACTCGCCTCTTGAGAGTAGGTAGTCAATTGGGTAGACGAGCAATTCGTGAAGCCCTTCATGATTCAAACAGTCACGTGCAAGTCCGTTCATGTGAATAGTTCTTCCGCACTTCTCCGAGACAAGAGACTTGGCCGCCGCCGCCGACGAACCGTCACCTCCAGTCGCCGAACCTTGCTCTCCATCTCGGAAGGAAGAGCTCCACCGAGTACGCCGCCGCCGCTGTCGAGGTCGCCATTGTCGTTCTTCAACCTCCTGTGATGCTCCCGTAGAAGATCAAACGTAGCCATGGCCGCTCGTACATCCAGACGGGCCTTGCGCTACTTGGGCTATGCTTCAGCTGCCGGCGTTGTCGGCGGCGGAGCTGTCTACTTCGTTTACCGGCCTCAAGAAGTTCCTGGACTCGGTGCAGCGGCGGTACCCCCTCCCACCTATGGCGAGGGCGGCGTTTTTCGACCTCCCAACTTCCCCCGTGTCAAGTCAAGAGAAGAGCAGATTGCCGATTTGAAGGCGAGCGCTGGTGCGGCGTTCTCGCAGGCGAAGAACAAGCTCGTCAATGCTGTGTCCGGAGGCCAGACGGAAGAACAGCAGAATGCACAAGACCCATACGATCTGCTCGTCATTGGTGGTGGTGCTACTGGTACGGGCATAGCTTTGGATGCTGCTTCGCGAGGCTTGAAAGTCGCTCTCGTGGATAGAGATGACTTCGCCTCAGGGACCAGCAGCAAGAGCACCAAGCTTGTCCACGGAGGTGTCAGATACCTGGAGAAGGCTGTGTGGGAGCTGGACTACAACCAGTACAAGCTCGTCAAGGAGGCTCTTCGCGAACGCCGCTATTTTCTCGACACCGCTCCTCACCTGTCCTCATGGCTACCCATTATGATCCCGGTACACAAGTGGTGGCAAGCGCCCTACTTCTGGGCCGGCACCAAATGCTACGACTTCCTTGCTGGCTCCGAGAACATCGAAACTTCCTACTTCATGACCAAGAGCCGGGCGTTGGAGGCCTTTCCTATGCTTCGCAAGGACAACCTCTTCGGTGCACTGGTCTACTACGATGGCGCTCACAACGACTCTCGGATGAACATCTCGCTGGCTATGACCGCTGCTCTCTACGGCAGCACTATCGTCAACTACTGCGAAGTCACTGGCTTGGAAAAGGACAGCAACGGCAAGCTCTGCGGTGCTAAAGTGAAGGATCTCGTCGCCGAGAGGGATGGGAAGAGCTCAGAGGAGTTTACCATCAAGGCTAAAGGTATCATCAACGCTACTGGACCATTCACCGACGCGATCCGCAAGCTTGACGAACCAACTGTGCAAGAGATTGTTGCTCCTAGCTCTGGTGTTCACGTCATTCTTCCTGGCTACTACTCTCCCGGCGACATGGGCTTGCTCGATCCTCATACTTCTGACGGTCGTGTTATTTTCTTCTTGCCGTGGCAGGGCAACACCATTGCTGGGACCACCGACGCACCCTGCGACATCAAGCAGAACCCGGTTGCTGGTGAAGAGGAAATCGACTGGATCTTGAAGGAAGTCAGCAACTACCTGCAACCCGAAATCAACGTTCGCCGTGGCGACGTGCTCGCAGCATGGTCTGGTATTCGTCCTCTGGTTCGGGATCCAAAAGCGAAAAAGTCAGAAGGCCTCGTCCGAAACCATCTCGTTACCACCTCCGATTCTGGCTTGATCACAATCTCCGGCGGCAAATGGACTACCTACCGTCAAATGGCTGAGGAAGCTGTAGACGAGGCTCTGACTCAATTCAACCTCAAGCCCCGACCTGTTTCCAACCCTCCTCTCGTCAGCGGCGTCGAAGGCTTCCACGAGGACATGGAACTCGACGGCTCCTGCAAGACCCACAACATCAAACTCGTCGGCGCCCACGGTTTCTCCAAGACCCTGTTCATCAACCTCATCCAGCACTACGGCCTCGACACGGAAGTCGCCAAGCACCTCACCACCTCCTACGGCGACCGCGCCTGGACCGTCGCCGCCCTCTGCGCTCCCACTGAAGCCCGTTTCCCCGTCCGCGGTATCCGCATCTCAGAGCTCTACCCCTTCGTCGATGGCGAGGTCCGTTACGCTGTCCGCCACGAGTACGCCCAAACAGCCGTCGATGTCGTGTCCCGCCGGACGAGACTGGCTTTCCTCAACGCGCAGGCGGCGCTCGAGTCCCTGCCGCAGATCATCGATCTCATGGGCGAAGAGCTGACGTGGAGCAAGGCGCGGAAGGAGAAGGAGTGGACCAGCGCGGTGCAGTTCCTCGGATCCATGGGGTTGCCGAAGGGGAAGTTGGAGCTTTCGAGGGCGGATGTGGAGGCGGGACGGGTGGGAAAGTATGCGGATGAGGAGTACGGGTATTATGCGAGACATGGTGAGTTGTGATGTTATTACCCCAGGAGAGTCTTGGAGTGGATGTGAGAGCTGACTTTGATGACAGATAAACCCGACGAGACGCTCGAGAGTGATTCGAAGTTCATGTCTGGACAGAACCCCGGGATTGGTAGGACGGCGCCTGCGAATAACTGAGGTGGTTGGGTGGGATGGAGTGGCTTTGTGTGGTGTATATATGGTCTAATTTCACTGTGTGATTCTTGGATACATATTATTTTTTCTTTATCATCCTAATTTCGTTGGATGTGGGCGCTGGTCTCATTGCCTGGTCCTTCCTGGGGCTAGCTGTTAATTCACTGGTCTGGAAAGCGGTGGAGGTCGATGGTAAGTGTTTTGCTGTTATCTCAATCGCTCAAAGCAGAATTGCTATACCGTCTTCTCGCCTTCTTCTCCTTCGAAAGATTGCTCATCTCGGCGCTGTCCAGCATACGTTGCTTGCGGTTTAGGTTTGTTCTTAGAGACTGCCAAACCTTTTAATGCTGAAGCATTCGCATATTCTGCTTCCCTCGCAATCAGCCAACGCGGACATTGAACTCAGTGGTGTCACAATGGGCGTTAACGTGAGTTGGCGGCTACGCGAGGTCTGTTGGGAGCAGACCGACGAATTGCTAGGACACAGACGCGACTAGGAGAGGCTTTCTAGTCCGAAGGCTGTTCCAGAGGTGGCGACGTACAGGCATGACAATACCATTGCGAAGAAGTGGAGCCATAACCATTTTCACACGCGAGCAGGACTCTCCCATTCCACATACTACATACAGTACATACGGAAACCGAAGAGGAAAGATCAACAGCATCGAACATAAAAAGCAGCAACCAGCCCAGCCGGTTGACGACAATTGTACAACCACTCCTTCACACCGCATCCATCACCGGCGCCTGCCGCTCCACCAGATCCAGACCGGCGTCCCCTTGCTGACCACACAAAAAGACTAAACGCGAACCGCGCCGAGCTATCGGCCAGTCCTCTCTGGTATTCTCGAAAAAATGCAAAAATCAACCCAATATCGACAAGTGGTTAAGTTGAAAACGGTTCCTTCTCCGGACTGGGCTGGCTACAAACGCGGGCGTTCATCAAGTCGTGAGGTTGGTGCTGCAAACTCGTGACAGAGTTTGTGGCGTTTACAACTTGGTGTAGGCCGGGGGTGCAGGCGCCGCGGAGGAGGACGCCGGGGCGTAGGCGTAGGGCTGCGAGGTGTAGGCTGGGGGCGCCGAGGAGACGGGCGCGGTCTCGCTGGAGACTACTGGGGTGGAGTAGGCTGGTGGCGCGGAGCTGGCTGGCTTGCTTGGGTATTCAGCGGGCTTCGAGGACGAGGCGGGGCCTGCGCTGGAAGAGCTCGCTGGCTTGCTTGGGTAGCCTGCTGGTGCTGAGGACGAGACGGCCGCGCCGGACGAGCTTGGGTAAGCTGGGATGGAAGCAGAGCTGGATACGGCGGCTCCGGACGAGGATGGGTAGACGGCCACAGAGGAAGACGACACAGCGGCACCGGAAGACGGGTAGGCGACCGCGGAAGAAGATGAGACCGCAGCCGATGAGCTAGCCGGGGCAGCAGAGGAGCTGGACGCAACGCAGAAGCTCTCGTACCACGACCAGTACTTCTTGTCCTCGGCAGAGGAGCAGGTGTCGTGAATGCACTTGCTCACATCATCGTTGCCGCAAAGCTCAGACTTGCCCGTGACACCAGCCTCCTCGAAGCACTTGCTCCAGCAGTCAGGGGTCGGGGTGGCCGGGACACCGCTCGTCGAGGAAGAGACGGCCGCAGCGGAAGATGAACCGTAACCGCTGGGCTTGGGGTAAGTGCTGAAGCCAGTTGGGCCGGCCCAGCTTGCCGAGGCGGAGCCGGATGGGTAGTAAGCGCTGCCAGAAGGCGCAGGTCCGGCGCCGTGGCTTGGGTAACCAGCCGGGCCGCTTGGAGAAGAGCCGCCGCCAACAGTGATTGTGACGAGTTCAGTCTCGGTGACGGTTTGAGTTGCGCCGGTTCCGCAAGTCTCAGCACCGGCAGAGCTGCCAGCCGTGTAGACAGTGATGTAGTTGGTCTGGGTCGAGGTGGACTCGGTGGTGAAGGTCTTGGTGCCGGAGTAGCCTGCTGGGACAGCGCCGGAAGATTCGGCACCTGCGGAGGACGCACCAGATGGCGAGCCGTACGCTGGAACTCCACTAGAAGCAGCATCCGCTGAAGAGGCGGCAGGGTAACCAGATGGAGAGCCTTCGGATGGCGATCCGGAGCCGTACGCGGGCACTTCGCTGGAGGACTTGGTGGCGTAGACGGTCTGTGATGCGTTAGCTTTATATATAACCACGAAAGATGGATGCGCAAAACTCACGTTGGTCAGGTAGACGGTCGAAGTGGTCTGCATTGTGGTGGTCAGGACAGTCGTGGAGCTTCCGTGGCCAAGAGTGTAAGTCGCGGTAGTGTCGAACACGGAAGTAGAGTAGTCGCCAGTTGGCGTGACCTCGCTGACTGGGCAGATCGTGGTGGAAACTGGGATGGTCTCGGTCACGACAACGGGGTGTCCGGAGGAGGCTGGGCAGTCGGTAACTTCTGGCGCACAGCTAGTCTGAGTGTAGGTGACGGTGTCGTAGATGGTCGAGGTGGTGTAGTCGGTGGTGTAGGACGCGCTCGCACTGATGCTGCCAGATCCGTAGCCCGATGGGTAGCTCATGGAGCCGGATGCATAAGGCATGGATGAGGAGTAGGCGGCACCAGAGGACGAGATCGGGTAAGGTGCTGAAGACGATCCGTAGGCACCTGGCATAGACGAAGATGCTGGACCAGCAGACGAACCGTAGCCGGTCGGGTATTGCGAGATCGAGGACGAAAGCGCGAACCCAGAAGAAGAGGATCCGTAGCCTGCAGGGTAGCTTCCAGAGGACGCCGCATACCCGCTGCTCGATGGGTAGGCGGAAGAAGAGATGGCGTAGGCAGACGATGCCGAGGACGATCCGTAGCCTGCAGGGCCAGAAGCAGACGAAGATCCATATCCGTAGGGCTTGGAAGAAGACTCCGCGAGGCCACTGCTCGATGGGTACTCAGAAGAGGAGATTGCGTAACCGCTGCTCGATGGGTAGGCAGAAGAAGACACACCCCAACCGCTGCTCGATGGCGATCCAGAAGACGAGATCGCGTATCCACTGCTGGAACTTCCATAGGCGGAAGAAGCACTTGCCGAAGAGGATCCGTAGCCTGCAGGTCCGGAGGCGGAAGACGATCCGTAGCCCCATAGCTTCGAAGACGAGGCGGCATAACCGCTGCTCGATGGGTACGCAGAGGAAGAGATGGCGTAACCACTGCTCGATGGTGATCCGGAAGAGGAGATGGCGTAACCACTGCTCGATGATCCGTAGCCGGAAGCACTGGCGGAGGACGAGATAGCGTAACCGCTGCTCGATGATCCGTAGGCAGAGGAGCTTGATCCGTAGCCTGCGGGTCCCGAAGCAGACGAAGATCCGTAACCCCATGGCTTAGAAGACGACTCAGCGCCAGCCGAGCTGCTCACTGGGTAAGCGGAAGATCCGTATGCGGAAGAAGCACTGGCGGAAGACGAGATAGCGTAACCGCTGCTCGATGATCCGTAGGCGGATGAGCTTGATCCGTAGCCCGCAGGCCCCGAGGCAGAAGAAGATCCATAGCCGTACGGCTTAGATGAAGAGCTGGCAGCACCGCTGCTTGATGACGGGTAGGCGGAAGAAGACACCGCGGCTCCTGAGCTGCTTGATCCGTAGGCGGAAGAGCTCGATCCGTAGCCTGCTGGGGCAGAGGCGGAAGAAGATCCGTAGCCGTATGGCTTCGAGGAAGAGGAAGCGGCACCACTGCTTGATGATGCATAGGCCGACGAAGACACGGCGGCACCAGATGAGCTGGACGCACCCTTGCTGCTGCTGGATGAACCGTAGCCCATCGGAGCAGAGGCAGAGGAAGATCCATAGCCTGCGGGCGCCGAAGCGGAAGACGATCCGTAAACGGCCGGCTTCGAGGACGATGCTGGCGCGGCGGATGAGGACGACGAAGATGCGTAGCCTACTGGCACGGCCTCAGAAGAGGAGGTCGGGTAGACGGCCGGCTTGGAAGACGAAACAGGACCAGCAGAGCTGGACACTGGCATGGTGACGGACGCCGGGGGAGGCACGCTCGTGGTCTCGTCGGTGCATGTGGTATCCTTGGGCGCGCCATACTCTCCACCAGGCGCCGTGGCCACAGCCGCGGTCGCAAGACTCGCCGCGACGGCGAACTTGCTGAAGAACTGCATCTTTACTGTCGTTTTCGTGTTTCGAATAAGGTTTGTTGGGCGGTTATTGATGTTGGTATTGGTATTTGGTAGCGGGTATGCGATCTTGCGACAAAAACGAACAACAACGCGCGATTAATGAATGAATGTGGGTGGTTAAAGAGTGTGGTGTCTCGTGGGAGAGACGATGAACGAGTGTGTTGTCGCAAAAGTAAATGCTCGTAAAGGAAGAAAAGTCAAAGACAAGGGACAGGATGCGGGAGACAGTCGAACAAAAGAGAGACGAGATTACCTTTGATACCCCTGGAGCATCCTGCGTCGCCCAGCGCCCGGCGGTGTTGTCCCTGCGCGCAATCTACAGGAATCAGCGATGTCTCTAGCGACGAGGCTAATCTGGAGGAGTTCAACGCTCCGCGCCCCTGATTCGACGCAGCCCGCGCCGAAATTACACACGGCCCGCACGGTACCTGCATTAAATCTCCTGCACGATGTCGGACTGGACGGCTTCGAGCGCACATCTTCTCGTGCGACTGACAATGCGCTCCAGTGAAAATGCGCGGTTCGAACGTGAGGTGCGAGTTTGCCGCTGTCGTCGCCTCGAGCGATTCTGGAGATGTAGTGGACATTCGGATGTCTCACAGAACTGCCGGCCTTGCAACTCGTGGTAATCTCTGCTCCTGGACACAACCCAAGCCATGAAATGTCGCTTCTCGGCGAGCACTGTGACGAATGCGCTTTAGGCAGTAGGCCCCATGCTGCGTTGCAAGCGATCCTGCGGTGGCGAGGGAGCAGTCATGCGGCGCGATACACCGCACGCGCGTGTAGTGATCATCTTCCTGTCGTGCGACTCTTCCCTTCCGATGAGGCTTCCATTCGATGTTCTTTCACCGGAGTGTCGGAAGCAGATCTGCGGTTGTCGTGAGGCCAAGACGATGATTCGCGCGTGTGCGCGCGGCGGATGGTGTGGTGGCTTGGTCGACGGTTGTTGTGGGAAAGGCTTGAATCGAGTTTCACGATGCAGCTGCTTGGCCCATGCGTGTGCAGATCCAAATTTGGCCTCCAAAGCCAACAACAGCATCAATCATCCTTCATATCTATAAAATACCGACATCTCCGACGTCCTTCACCGCCTCCAGAAGGTAGACCTGTCCGGTTGTGGAGAGGAGAGCAGCACACTTCTTCGCTGTATGATCAGTGTTGTGACGGAGTGATATGACCTTGAGCTCTGCCAGTCCTCCCGGCGCACAAGCTGTCTGAGTCAGAGGCATATCTGTGGCTGCTATGGACAGACCAGAAGGACGATTCGCGGAGACGATGGAGTCTTCTTCGAACGCAGTCGAAGGAGATGGCAAAAGTTAAGAGCCCACTATGTTTTGCACCTCCAAACACGACCTGGGAATCCATTCTGTGGCTCTGGCTCCTGAACCACCGAATTCTGCTGACCTGAAGCCTTGTTCCATCTCGTGTTCGGACCACTGACCTGATGACTTTCAACTTCGACGAGGCGCCAAAAGATATGCTTTGTGCGTACTTCGAAGCGCCGCTTCCATTGCCATCCAGAACGTCAATACCAATATCGAGGCTGCGTCGACATGTCTGCACTGGAGCCTGACTCCACCGCTGAAAGGCCATGAACATAGCCCAAGCGAGCGGTTCAACAACTTTGCGCCATCAACGCGCTCGGAGAGTCGCCGCCGTCCGCGCCGCCCACCGGACTCTGTTTGCGTGTCGATGCTGGATGTTACATTGGGTGAACCAAAGCCAACAGTGCTGAAGGAAGCTCATGCTAGGTAGCCTCGCGCATCGGGTGCTTATCAAAAGCGCTATGTGAGTTCTTGCATTGATGATAAATGGATGGTTCGTCCGAAGGCTCAATGGAAGGAGCATATGGTCGCCGCGGACAGATAAGCCGGCTCCGTATACTTGATCTTCGCGCGTAGCGTGATGCCCAAGAAGGGCCGGGAGTATGAACCGTATGCAGCAGCCATTGGAAACCACCATTGGACTGTCCAAGTCATACTTGACTGTTCATATGAAGTCCAGTTAAGGTTCACGTGCTTCCTGAGATCGGAATGTAGAGTGAGGAGTCCCTTGAGCGTTGTATCTGATCAAGTCGTGCTCGCCCTTACTGTTCAGCCCTATTCACATGCATAATGCATCCATTCGCCATCGATCTTGACTTATGAAACGGATGCAGTCTCTCTTGAGCATTCGTCCTAAGGCTGACCTCTATTTTGCCGCGCGCAATGTCACGCTCCGGCAATCGAGAACTCACCATCCCGTCCCATCGGCTGCCATCTCACATCTTCTCAGCACAACCATCGCCACGAACCGTTCGGCGGAACAACATCGCCATACACAAACGCCGAACATGGCACCCAAGCCCTCCACATCGGAACGACGTCGATCGGTGTCGATCGTGGTTGGTGGAACATCTCGCCCTTCGCTCCGGTAAAAATGACAGAAGCAAACTCCAAACCCTTCCCAAGCCACCCTCGGATCTGCCAGCCTAATAGCCACGACTGCGCCCGCCAGGTAGGTAGGTGTTCTTTCGGGTATACACTCTTCTTCTGTAGGTCTCCCAATATCTCTTGGTTCTCACGCCGCACCGGGCGAGATTGCAGCGAACACCGAGTCCGCCGCGTCGCTTCTTATCTCGACGGACGGCTCATTCGCAGCCTTATGGTTCCAGACCAGATATAACAGCCACGCTTCGCTCGATCCCACGCATACGACGAACGCTCGTATCGTTCCTCCCCCGCGAGGAGCCAGTACTACGAAACAACCCAAACGACGATGTTCTGTGGAGTGTCAAGAGCACAGCAGATCCGTCCCACCACCAGCACCCACCTAGGCCACGGCGCAGACGACATCTCGATTAGGTGACACGCTCAGAAGACGTCGGACAATACACAACTTTATCATACAGCTTTGTAATGTCAGCGGTTGCGCAGGCCGGCCCTGTCCCCGCGGCTACTCCTCCTGCTAGCATGAGTCCGAACAACAAGGCGAATGGTGTCATGAAGATCCACGACATCATCCACGCCGACCCCCGTCGTCTTCTGGTCCTGTTCGATAAAGGACAGGACGAGATTGTCCGTGTCGTTGCGGATGTTCTCGGACAGCCGTTTAGTGTCGTGGCCTCGGTGCAGGATGCTGGTGAGAGGACGGATGTGGTGGTGGGGATTGAGAACGGATTGGTATACGAGCCGGAAGTTTTGGGGAAGCTGGGGAGGATTGTTATCACGACGCATGGGATTGATGTGAAGGATTGCAGGGACGAGTATGTGACGTCGTTCTGCGACTATGAGTATCTATACAGCTCGAGTGGGTTTAAGAGAGGGACTATCTCAAGATATTTGGGTTTTATACTGGGAGAGCTCAAGCCGCATGAAGGGTTGAAGAAGAAGTCTAGGACGACGTTGTTGTCGACAACTTTTCCGGACATTCGCGCTGCTTTGTCGAACATGGACATTTTGTCTGTCGGCGCTGACTCCGTTGAGCTGCGCGTTGATCTGTTGCAGGAGCCTGGATTCAACGGCGCCTCCAAAGGCGTGCCAAGTCTGAAGTATGTCGGCGAGCAAGTTATGATGTTGAGGGAGCGGACGGAGCTTCCTATCATCTTCACCACAAGATGTACAGCAGAAAATGGTCGCTTCCCGATGGACAACCCAGCGCTATTCTACGAGTACTTGCACAAAGCCATTCAGTGGGGTTGCGCATACATTGACGTTGAGCTTTGGCTCCCTGAGGACATCCGGCGCAGACTCTCCGCCAATAAAGGCAGTACTCGGATCATCTCAGCATGGCACGACTTCAGCGGCCGTTTCAGGTGGTCGTCCGCGGAGGCTCGCCAGGTGTTTGAAGCTGGTGCCGTCTATGGAGATGTGGTCAAGATGATTGCCATCGTCAATTCTGCAGACGCCAACTACGAGCTCGAGTACTTCCGGTCAGCGGTACAAGGTGTACATCCACAAACACCATTCTCCGCAGTCAACATGGGGCCTGTAGGTCAGCTCTCAAGGACGCTCAACCAAGTCTTCACGCCCATCACTCATCCACTACTACCGGCGGTGGCTGCTCCTGGTCAGCTCAGCGCCGCCGAAATTGGATCTATGCTGCACTCTATGGGCCACGTGGAGAAGCAGTCCATGTACGCCATCGGCAATGTGCGAGCAAACGGTCAGGCAATGTTTCTGGAGAAGGTCTTGAACGAGCTCAGTCTACCCCACCGAGCAGTATGCATCGACCATCTTCCACAAAACTCACTGGAGTCGATCCTGTCTCAACCTGACTTCGGAGGCGCCTGGCTGAACCCCCCTCTCTCACTCACCAAAGCGGCCTACCTCCCCCGAACCACCGAGGCCGCCGCCGCCATCGGCCAAGTCGACACCGTCGTCGTCCGCTCCGACACCTTCGGCAAAACCATGGTCTGCGACAACGCGACCTGGAAAGGCATCCGCGCCACCCTCACGCGCGACCACGTGCCATCCGCCTACGCCGACCGCCCCGCCCTCGTCCTCGCCAACACCGAAGCCCAAGCCGCCGCGGCCATCTACGCCCTGCGCGATCTGAAAGTCAGCGCCATCTACACCATCGGCTTCACGGCCAACGCCTCCAACGGCCCTCACGTGCAGCAGTTCCGTGGGGTGGCGGATATGAAACAAGTTCCTGAGCCCTTCGTCATTGTCTCAGCCCTGCCGGCGGATAAATCGCTCGTTGTGTTGCCGTTGCTGAGACATTACAGCGGCGGGCTGCGCAAGACGCAGCGGCCGGGGAAGGTGTTTCTGGACCTTGCGAACGGGCAGCGCGTGAAGAAGGATTCGGTCGCTGCTGCTGCGGAGTTGGGGTGGAGGAGCTATCGGATCGGGCCGGTGAATACTTATACTATGGTTGCGATGTTGCGGTTGCTGTTGGGGGTGAATTTGGGGTATGATTTTGTGAGATTGGCTAATGGGAGGTATCTGTATGAATGAGATATGCTTGGGGATGGGAGCACAGGACACGGTTGTGTTTATGAACGTATGACAGGGTGGGAAGCAGAGAACGTTCGTTTAGGTACTTGAGCTCGACTATAGATTGATTTGGATAACACTGCACATTTTTACGATCGCTTTAACCCAGCACAACTTCCATACCCCCCCTGTGGCAGAGCTTCGTTACGAGTTACTCGACAAGCACGGATATGAAGTCTGGATCTAGAGACGGCGATATTCGTGGGAAGTTCTAAGGGAGGGATAACCATACCTCCAGACACACTTGCGTTCTCCAGGGGACAGTATATATTGCGCACCGCCATCCGCTTGCTCGCTTGCTATAACATTAAGCGCTCGTCGAGCGAGGTGGCTCGCATGTTCAGCACTGCCCTCTGCTGTGCCATCCTCCGTCTGCCACATCCCAGGGAGAACACCGTCCACCATCGAATTCACGGTAGGCGCCTGGACTCCGGAGGCGCCGAAATCATCTTCCAGTGGGCGCTGAGGGGAAATCGGCCGTGGTTCGTGTATAAAGCAACAATCCATCCGTCTAATGGGATAGTCACTCCATCGTTCCTCCGACCTACCTGCAATCTTACAGCATGTCCTCCCTAGCCATGTCCGCACAGTCTCCAACACCTTCTCCGACCCCCCAACGCTTCAACGTCTACATAGTACGTGACGGACCTATCATGGCGGACCCCGATCTACCAGGAGTTCGCTACCACAACACCATCCTCGTCGAAACAGGCGCCGATGGCTCCGGAGTCATCCACCACGTCACCGGCGACCTCGTGCTCGGTTTCCACTACGAGCGCAAGGAATCTCCACCACCTGAGCTGTCCCCGACGTTTTACAGTAAGGAGTTTTTCGGGACCGTTCTGGCCTCTGCACATCCGGTGGCGTTTGATCAGGTCTGCGAAGCGCAGCCTCCTCCGCCTAGACAGAAGGCGTTCAATATGGCGACTATGAAGACGGAGCCGTTCAAGGCTGACGGTAGCTTTTACCAGCCGGGAGAGCAGAGCAGGCCTTTGGTTAAGTGCACAGAGTGGACGGAACGCCAGGCGATGCCGGCGTTGTTCCGGTCGAACGTCGTTCAGCGGACTCATGCGGTCACCCTCGAGCCTTCTTCCGCCGCCTCCTCGGACCTCTCGTCGAGATGACTGGGTCCATAGGGTTATTGTAGAAGGGATGGTAAGCGACTGAACCGCCGTCTACGACTCTAGAGTAACTTGCCTTGAGACATGATAATCTCCGCAAGTCGTCGGGGACTTCGAGCAGGCGTGCAGTCTTGCTATACTTGTCGCTCTCCGACAGCTGGCCCTACAAGATGTCCAGCGAGCGGGCGTTGCATCACGATGAAGGAGGTATCGCCATCGGGATATAGAGCATAGAGCTGTGCAGTCTGAGACCTCTGAAGGGGCAAGGTAGTACCTCGTATCGCGAATTGGCGGAGTTCTGGGCAGCTGGGACTTGTACCTGCTTGATGCACCAGTCTCTCCTGTACCGGTGAGGAGGAGATTGTCAGCAGCTATACCTACATGTATCGATTGGAAATTGTCCCATCGTGAGAAAGACACTCGTTACTTGAGCCTCGACGAAGACCGATTGACATTATGTCGCTCCCTGAACTTTGATACTCTCCTCCGGCGGCGGGCAAAGTTCAAGCCTCCCTTTCACATTCATCAATGTCAGACGTCGGCAGAGTCGGCAGTCTTCGCCTCGGGTTGCTCGAGTCGTGGGGACCAGCCACTCTCCACACTCCACCCTTGTCATCCTCCCCTCCAAGCGAGATACCTTCTGTATTGCACGTGGATCATCCTCGATCAGCAGCAGAAGAAGACGTCGAGCATCATGGATACACAGACAGCGACCTGGACATCTGCCGAGACGGCACTGCGCGCCGAGGACATCTCATCATCGACAGCCATCCGCCAGCTGCAGGGCAGGACAGCTTGAACCCCCTCACTACAGTGCAAAGATGACATGGTTGAACTTCGGCTCCAAACAGCGAAGAGCACGCGGCAACCCATGGCGGCATCGCCCTCGTGGGCCAACCCATGTCCCTTTCCCCGCCTGAAAGTCTCTTCCAGACGCAGAAGTTAGATTGTCGTACCTCCGGTAGCGCTTCGCACAGGCACCGGCTCCACGCACCCTTGGCCCTGAGAAGCGTGATGCGGCGGCGGCGGCGGCACCTGCACCTCGCTCGTCTGTGTGCCAGACCTCCGAGGATGCGTGCGATCATGCTTAGCTTGGTGGTCTCGATCTTTGACACTGCACTCCTTCTCCCCATCCACCCCATCTCTTCTTACCGGTCGAGCTGTATGCATCGCACACGCTTGACGCTTATGCGTAGCATGTAAACGACCCCGATGGCGGCAGCGACGGTTGCCCCTCCGAGCGAAATGGAAATGCTCCCTCGTCCACCGCAGGTCGGCATTGGCCGCTTGACGACGCAGCGGCGGCCGAGCGGGGATTCGAAGCAGGCGATGAATTGCAAGAGTTGCAGGAAGCGCAAGATCAAGTGCAATCGCCTCAAGCCGAGCTGCGAGGCGTGTCAGGTGTTTAGCTGTCCGTGTATATACGGTAGGGACGAGTAAGCTGTGATTTGGAAGAGCGCTTGCTGAAGACTGGCAGATGCGGTACCGAAGAAGCGAGGACCAAAGACCGACGTACTTGAAGCCCTTGTGAAGAGGGTCAATGGCCTGGAGAAGCGACTCAAAGATGAGGGAAAGCCAGACTCGGAAGGAGACAGCCCAGAGGACGACGGAGAGGCGAGAGCGGAGGGTGATGAGCATGCAGATGGAGTCGTGTTCGAGCGGGCAGAGTCAATACAGCGAACCGCGCCACCGCAGCGCATACAGCCTGTTGCGAGGCAGAGCCCACCAGTGATGGCACCTATGCTGCCGAACTTGCATACAATTCAGTACGCTGCACCTTCAGCCGTCACCACGGGCAGTACTCTGACGAAGAGCAGCAGAGACAACGAGACGATCGCGTTCACCGATGCACTTCTAGACACCTACTTCGCGCGAATCCACAGCAAGCCATACTATATTCTGGACGAAGCGAATACACGACAACGACTACGAGAAGGTCAACTACCGCAGTTCATGATCAATGCCATCCACGCGGTCTCCATCAGATACGTACCCCATCTCTGCGGCGGCTACAGCGGAGCTGTACGAACAGGCCAGGACTACGCAGCACGAGCTCGTGCAGGCATTGATGTCGACGAGCCGAGCATCGATAATCTACAGGCGTTGTTGCTGCTCGCGATGGCCCAGTTCCAGGCCGGCAAAGGGAAGAAGTCATACATGCTTGTGTCACACGCCACCAGCATGGCGTTTGCGCTCGATCTGCATCGAGAAGTGCCAGGTCACCTGCGAGTGGCGGCAGTGGAGCGCGAAGGACGGCGAAAGCTGTTCTGGACGTGCTATCTGATGGACCGCTTCACCACGAGCGGATCCAAACGACCGGCTCTCATTTCTGATGAATCCATCTCGCTACGGTTCCCAGCTTCGGGCACTTCTAGCTCGCAGCGGTCAACGGAGGCAAGTTACTTCCCGAATGGCTCGAGCCTGAACCAAGGAAATACGCATGCGAGCAATGCAAATGGCAGTGCGGCGGTCTTGGTCGAGATTGTGCGGATACTGGGCGCTGCGAATCGATATCTCGCATCGGGAGGTGTCAAGGGTGATCCACACTTCCCATGGCATGCGCAAAGCACGCTCTCCAAGATTCGGTCGGATTTGGACAAATGGGCAGCAAGTACACAAGAGGCTTTCGCTTCCCTGGAGAACCTGTTCGGACGGCAGGACAGTGTGAGCTTGGTGCTGAGCAAGCTGATCTACCATCTTGTCCATTGCCTCTTATACCGGCCATTCTTACCAGTGGATCTGGCCGAGCTATCAGGGAACAGCCAGAACCAGTCGTGGCAGATTGAGGCTACCAACCTCTGCTTCATGCACGCCAATGCGATTGTGGAGTTGGTGGACATCGGCAAGGCGACTGGCATCCTCTACTGGCCATCTTTCGTGGGATACTGCGTCTGCACCGCTGGCACGATTCACATCCACGGAGCCCACTACGTCTCCCTCAACGACAACGACGTCTTCGCCAACAGCTCCGACTTCCTCTCACGCGAGATGGCACAGCTGGCAGACCAGAGCTTCATCTGGGCAGGCGTCAACCATCAGCGCGAGACGATGCAGACGGTCTACGCCAATCATTCCCATCTCGTGCACTCACTATCCTGCAGCCCGATCCGCTTCTCGCCGGTCTTCCAGATGGAGGACTTCTTCGACCGCTACCCCGGTGCCAACATCGACGGCGCACACATGACCTTCAGCGAAGTCCAAGTCGACACGCCCCCTGACCGCCACCACGACTTCCGCCCCAGCGCACAATCAAGCATCCCCTGGTCCCGACCCGCTGCGAGTCTACCCCACCTCACCCTCCAACCCCAGTCCGTCGCCCAAAACACCCTACCCGACCACCCGCCCCCCGCGAAGCGCCGCCGCGTCACCGAAGGCGGCGGCGGCGAGTACCCTTATCCGACCCCCACCAACGAAACCCAACCCAACCCCTTCGAGCAACCGCACTACCATTTCCCCCCGAACCCCATCCCTTCCCAACCGACCCTCGAACCCAACAACACCGACCACTTCTCCTCCTCCCCCTCCCAACAAGACACCATCTACAACATTCACGACCTCCCGCACCCCATCACCGCAGCGGCGCTGGATGACCAGAACATCTTCTCCCCGTCCTTCACCTGGGGACCCGCGGCGCTGGACCAGAACACCGCGACGCCGAGTGGGAACGGGATGTATCCGCCTTCCGGGATGGCGAACGAGATGCAAACCCCCGGAGGCGAGAGCGCGGGCGCGCGCTCGAGTCATACGGTCGGGGAGGAGGGGGAGGGAGATCCGTTTCTGAGTTTTCTGGAGCAGTTGGCGGCTAATGATGGGGACGGGGGTGGGGTGAGTGATTTGGGGTTTTTTATGGCGGGGGAGGGCGGGGAGGGGGGGTTTGGGGATGAGAGTGGGGGGTTATGACATGCCTCTCTCTGGATGAAGCGAGTGCGATCGCGGAAGACTGGTTCGAGGGTTGTGAAGTTGACTTTTGAGATACCATGGGCAAGCTGGCGAGGAAGGCTTGGGTGTAAATATCGCATTTTGACACGAGATGAGATGATGAGCTGTCATATAATGAAGAAGATTTTGAATTGTGCACGCCCACTTGAGCTCTATCATATCTCATCTGCTCATCACCCATGTCCATCCACAAAGGAACACCATCATATCAACCCCGGAATAACAGCCTTCCTCCCCCCAACCCTCTCCTCCCCAAATTTCTCCACATACCACCCCTTTCCCTGCACCGCCCGCGGCAACATCGTCGACACTTCATTCACCAGAAAAGTCCTTGCGGGGACACATCCCCAACCGCCGATCATCCAGTACGCCGCCCACTCGAACCACTCGCAGAGGTAGTGCGGGAAGAGGATGTAGCGGAAGAGGCCGTTTTTCGGGATCATGTACAACTTCTCCACCCCCTCGACGGGTTTGCCTTCCTTTTCGGCTTGTTCGCGTTGTCGACGTGCTGCGGAGCGCCGGATTTCCCGCAGGTCGTCGTCGTGGAAGATGTTCGCCATGAACGACCAGCCCCAGAGTACTAGGCCGATCTCCATGGCGTACAGATGCCCCGCCCAGTCCTGCACGGTGCGTGGTCCGTACCCGCCGAGCCAACCGCCGATGCTCAGGGCGTTGAGCGTATTAAACGCAAACGCCCCGGCCGCGACGAAGAAGTGGATAGGCGACATACTCGGGTTCAAGAGCAGCGGGCTCAGCCAGGCGCGGTAGATGTAGTGCAGCACGTATAGACCAGCCATCGTCCAGTTGCCCCATGGGAGGGAGGAGAGACCTTCTTGGGCGGGGAGCGTGAGCATCACGTATGTCATGATGAGGATGGTGGGGGATTCCATGATGGTCCAGGCCCATTTGCCGGGCAGGTTGAGGGGGGAGGTGGTGGAGGTTTTGCCGGCGGGGTACCAGGGGGTGATCCATTGGGCGGCGGCGAACTGGGGGAAGAGGTGTTAGTCAGGGTGATTATTTAGGGGAAGGGGGGGGGGGGTGGCGTACGAGGGGGAAGAATTGGAAGGATTTGGTTATGAGCTCCCAGGTTGGGCGGGAGGGTGGCAAGATGCCTGGGATGAGAGCCATGTTCGAGACAATCGGGTGAAGTTTAGTTGTGGGAGGGGGTGTTCGTCAGGGGACTTATAGTCTCGTAAATGAAGGTGAATTGCGTCTTGTGGTGCTCATCCGACTCGGATGAATGTTTGTTGGAAATGGTTCGAGATATTGACGCCGTTCACAAGATCGACGTCGTCTAAGCGAGATCTGGGGAAAGGCTTGATCATCCACGCAGGCGGAGATCGTTCCGTGTGCTATGTACAGCAGGAACGTGCAATGATTAGAACAAACTCGAGAGATGGTGTAGAACATGAAGTAGACTTGGTGATAAAGGAGCTATTGCGGTTCATTCCCTTCATCGACCACTGTCCTGCCCGGCCTCCCACCAGATTCCACTCACGCAAACCATGTGCCGTCCTCAAGCTCGCAAACATATATTGACGAAGCATACCCAACCCCCGAACACCACAACACCACCGCTCCCACCTTCCCCAGCCATTCCAGCCCCCGCTCAAACCACCCCAACAACGCTATCAAGCCACCCTCCTTACCCCCCCATCAACAGCCTTAACAACATCATCCACCATATCCCCAAACACCCTCCTCATCATCCCCACCCTCTCCTCCCCCTCACTCCCCACCAACCCGACATCCAGCCTCCGCAACCCCGCCGCCACCTTATCGCTCATGGCGTGGAAATCCACATCCAACCCGTGTCCGTCGTGCAAATCACTCATCGGCAGGAACACGGAGTCGGCGCTCATGGTGCTGATCGTCGGCCTCATTACCTCGTGCTCTTCTGCCTCTGCTGCTGAGTTGATTTCGGTGTAGGTGGGAGCAGCGGATGCGTTGTCGGGCAGGATGGGGACGCGGTGGGGTTGGTCGTAGGTCGAGGCGGAGATGGTTTCGGAAAGGGCGGTTTGCGGGAGGTACGCGAAGTCGATGGTGCTGGCGTCGTTGACGGCTTTGAGGGTGCGGGAGGTGTTGAAGTGGCGGGTTGTGGGAGGTGAGTTGGAGGAGGGTTGGGCGGGAGTTGGGCGGGTTTGGGTCGCGGTGCTGAAGGCGCGGGAGTGGGTGAGTTCGTCGGCTTGGAGGCGGGCGAGGAGCTGTTGTGTTCGTTAGCGGATACTCGGGGTAGAATGTTGGTGGAGAAACTCACGTCTTGCTTCGAGCCCGCGGCCTCAATCTTCCTGCGCTTGCACTCTGCTCGCAAGCCGGCGATGTCGCGGGGGAAGTTGGTTACCGAGCGCTCCTGGGTCAAGATGGACGAGGCATAGGTCGCGGGCCCGGTCATGTGGAGGTTGCGGACTTGCTGGGCGCCGCGGGAGAGATTGCGGAGGGCGATGAACTGGGTTGCTCGTGGAGCTGCCATTGCTGGGTGGTTCGGAGGGCTGTCTGTGTAGAAGTATGGTACTGTGGTGGGTTGAGAGGAGAGCTGGTCGGTAAGCAAGCACGACAGGGACAAGCTCGCTTTGTAGCACGGAGTGACGAGTACTTAGGTGAGACGAAGGTACGGCTGAGCAGGACTACAAGTTGAGTGGGATCCGGGAAGGTAAATGTATTCAATGCAGCCCCTAAAAGCTGCGAGGGCTGTCGCAAGCAAGCTGCAGTTGAAGCTCAGCACAGCTCAACGAGAACCATCCGGGCAACGAGCTCAGGCCATTGGCTGGTCGAGTCGTCCATGCAGCACGCGATAGCAGCACGACCGGCGGTGAAGGCAGAGACGACGCCAATGGGATCCGTCCGCTTCCAGTGGTACGATACGATGGGCTAATCTGGCGTGCTTGTATTTTCTTGTTCGCGTTGTCGACCAACTTGACGGTGAAGCTTTCCCCGCAATCTCAAAGGTCGCGAAGTGTGGGTTAGCTTCAATACGGTACACCTCATGTTGTCCATGTTCTTTGAGCTATACACCACAGGTCGACGACGGCAGCATTCACATCGTCGTGCAGAGCGGTGTGCAATACTGAAGATGCCCACATCTCATCAGCTTGTTGAGTTCCAGCCGCGCAAGGCAAAGGCGCGGACGCCGGATCCCCAAATCTGAACCCTCGCTTGCTATTTTCAGCGCAAGCGATCTTGGTCAGAGGGCCAGAACTTAGAAACAAGAGCCAGGCGGCCGGGTACCAAAGATATGAGCTGAGCATATGGATCTCCTAAGGGGCTCTTGAAAGTCGAAGACATCCTGTGGTAGGCTGATAACGAAGTCCACTCATGAGTGAAAGCAAGCGGGTAAGGGAGTCGGTATACCGCATGATTGCAGGCCAGCTGGGGAGATATCGTTTCCAACGGGAAATGCGCAAATACAGCGGTCTTCTTCCCCGTCCCACTCTAGCTGGACCGACTGAACCATTTCAGATCGAACAATTCACCATCGCGCTCCCAAGGAAACCCGTTTGGCGTGTGCGAAGGGCAGGGAGCGCATGGTTCAAGAGGAGTCATCCTTGCGGCTCTCTCTGAAGCGTGAGCTTGAGACCACCATGTTGTTGCTCTTGAGCAGGACGGTGTATCCTCTCAACGCCACTCCCTTGGCCTCAGATACGCAGTGCGCCCTTCCCTGTAGAATCTTTGTAGCGCTCTCCTCCACGCCATGCTCGCCTTCACTCCGCCCCAATCTCCTCCTCCTCCTCCCTCTCCCTCCTCGCCTCCTCCCTCTCCTCCGCCTCCCTCAAATTCGCCCCCTCCACCAACGTCGTCCCCTCAATCCCCGCCGCCTCCCCATCCCCCTCCCCATTTACCCCCACCTCCCTCGCTTTCCTCTGCTGCCGCCCAATCCTCTCCCTCACCATCCGCGCAATCGCATTCTCCGTCCGCACATTCAACACCTCCAGCTTCCGCTCCAAATCCCGCTTCAGATCCCAATTCGCCTTCTTCGGCTGCAGCGTGAACAAATCTAATGGCTTATCCGCTGCTTCCTCCTCTTCTTTCTTTTTCTTCGTCTCAGCCGCTAAGCTGGCGGCGCGGGCTTCGAGCGTCTCCGCGGTGGATGAGGGGGCGGACTCGAAGCCGAGGCGCGCGGATTTGGTGAGCGGGTCGTAGTTGCGGCCGGAGAGGTAGTGGGAGGTGTCGTCTTCTGCGGGTTCTTCGGAAGCGTCGTGGCGTGGGGATTTGGCGGCGTTGGGCTGGGATTCGTCGTCGTTGGAGGGGGGTTCTTTGCGCTTGAGCGATTTAAGCTGGGCGAGGCGGGCTTTGCGGTCTTGGGAGGCGGCGTTGAGGGCTTGGGTGGAGGCCATGGTTGTGGGTGTGCTGGGTAATGGTGTGGTGTGGTGTTATATGAGGCGCAAGTAGAAGTCATATGCAGAAGGCGAGCTCGATTGAACTTTTGCCGGAGGATTTTCTCTTGGCACAAGCTTCAACCAGCTCTGTCTTCACCCCCAAGACGATCCATCCTTCATCCACACCTCCCCCTCTCTAGACACATTGCCCTCGATGCCCGCCTATGCCACTATGGGCCCTTCGTGTACGAACGCTGGTTTCTAGACTGAACTTTCGCGTACACATTTGGCCTGAAGGACGATCGCAAACATGGCTACCAACGGCCTTTCATCTCAGGAGCTACGGCACCGCATCGCAACCAAACCGGCACGATGACATTCCTCGGGCGGTATCTCCGCCGGTGTTTGCTGCTGAGACAGGTTCAAAGAGCATATCGTCTTTCGGTCATGTCGGGCTTCAATGGGGCGCCTCCAGAGATCCCTCGCCGGTCGAGTGTCGAGGTGTCAATGCTTGGGGTACGGGTAGAGTCGCTGTGGAAGCGTCTCAAAGGCCACGGACACACCGAGCAGTGCGGATGAACGCCTCGAAGGCACAACGGAAGACGCTGCACGTTCCAGGGGCGCGACCAGTACGGAGGGATAGTCATATGAAGATTGTCGCAGGAGCTCGACGTAGGAGAAGGACTGTCTGGTCAGCTTTCGGCGCCCTTCGCACACATCGCCGTGCCCTGGTCTTTCGCACCAGGTTTCGCAGACGAAATCGGTCCAGCTCAGGTCTCATTGCGAAGCATGCGCGACTTGTTTCGCGCCTGCCTGTAAGAAGAACTTTGCTGAGTTCGCGTTCGGCAGATGCAATGCCTGAAAATCTCCAAATCGACCCGGTATGGACACGGGAGTACGCCGGGATCAGAATGCTATACTATGCGGAGCCTGAGGCACAGAGGAGCCGTATCCGGGCTCCGACGTTGGACACTCGGGCATTCGCCTGGGTTGAAGAGGTTGCCCAGCGGATCGAGCAGGGCCAAACGGAATGCACAGCACACCATCTGGTACAATTGACAGGACAGTCCCCGCGATACGCCTGGACCCAGCTCGCGCTTTGGTTCCTTGCATACAACCCAGCAGAAATGGTCAAGTTCTTGCTTGCAACACATGTGGAGCCTTACGTGTCGCCTGTGCATGTCCAGGATTCCTTGCGGCAACTGGGAGCTTACCTCTTTCACTACCAAGGAGGAGACGATGAGACACAGTTGCAAGCCGTCGTAGATGCCTTTTGCGTCCTGGCCAACCGCGGCGGCGACGGACACCTCACATTCAACAATCCTTTCCCGCAAAGCTTTCTTGCACGCTGCTCCGTGGAGCTGAATTTGCGAATCTACGAGACCATCAAGACCCGCGGAGTCAAGATCGCAGGATGGAACTGGCTGCACTACACGACATACTTCGCCAAGAACGACTGCTATGAGCATGCTCTCGATGCGCTCGTCAAGGCTCACGAAGAAGGCGGCTTTCGACTCAACAGCTTCGCCTTCCGCAGCAACTGCTCCACTTTGCTACGCCGCGCAATCAGCCAGCCAGACGGTCTGCGCGAAACCCTCCGCATCGTCTCAACTATCGTCGACATGGGCGTGACTCTCGACAGACCCATCTGCGACATCATCATGCTCAACGCTATCGAAGCCGGCGACCTCAAGACAGCCTTCGATGTGTACCACTCCCTCATGCAACGCGGCCTTCGCCCCACCGAGTCCACCTTCACCATCCTCCTTAAAGGCTGCAAATCGAATATTGACGACGTGACAATGCTCAACGAAGTCATTCGCGACGCCATCACCAACATCGACGTCCGCGCCAGCAAAGTCGTAGCCAGCAATATCATGCACTGCCTCGCGCTGCACCACTCCAAACACCACCCGGAAACCGCTTTCCAAACTTTGACAGAAGCCTACGTCCAATTCTTCGATCTCACTCCACTCAAACGCCTCGGCCTACCTCTCCCAACCATCCCTCCAGTCCGTCTAACAACCGCCGACCTCCTCCACCCCACGCCACACGTCCTAGGCTGCATGCTCGGCGCCTCCATCAACAACATCCTCCACCACAACCCCAACGACCCCAAACTCATCCTCCCCCTCTACACCCGCTACCGCACCCTCCTCGCCCACGCCGACCCTGTCTGGGCTCCCACGGCATCCACCGACCATATCCCAAACATCTTCCTCGCCGCCTTCATCCGGCGCCCCTCGGGTCTCCTAGCAGCCGCGCAGGTGGTGAAAGACATGCAACACGACCACCCCGCCGCCTCCTCCGGCTTCGCGCAGTGCAGACCTACGACACAGACCTGGAATATCTTCCTCCACGGCTTCTCCCGCCACGGCCAGACGCGTCTCGCGGAGCGCGTCCTCCAATACATGCGCAAGCTTGGCGTGAAGGAGGATATCGTGACCTGGAACACTCTCATCCACGGTTACGCGAAGGTGCAGGATGAGGAGGGCGTGGTGGAGAGTGTTCGAAGAGGGGCCGAGGGGGGGGTGGTTTGGGATCGGTGGACGGAGGGTGGGGTGGGGAAGTTGAGGGATGGGGCTGGGAGGCAGAGGGTGGGGGCTATGTTGAGGGAGAGGGAGGGGAGGGTGGATTTTGGGGAGGAGATTAGGGAGGGGTTGAAGGGCAGGTTGGAGAGGGTTGGTGGTGGGGAGGAGGTGCCGGATGGGCGTGGGTGTGGTGATGGGGGGGATGGGTATGCGGACTCGCCGGCGGATCTGGCGGAGCGGGGTGATGATAGGGCATATAGGCCGTTCAGATAGCTACACTACTGTCAATGACATTGCTCAAAAACAGTCATGTGACTCTGAGAAGCTCGGACACTCGTTCTAACCATTTTCGGCTGTGATTCGGACGCGTCATTACATCACGCGTTTTCTCCGTCTCGTCTTCACCACCAACAACATCTCTTCAACGCACTTTTTCTCGCCCTCTACAGCAGAGGAGCCGAGATACAATGCTCGCGACATCCCACTACCGCACCCCAACCGCTCCGCACGGCTACCTTTCCCCAACGCCCTCGCCACTCTCGCCCCGCAGCGCGAATATCTATGGCCGTCCTCCGCACTTCACTTCTTCGCCATTCATGTCTGCCACGCCGAACGCTCAATCATCCCATCCCCACAACGGACAAGACGAGAACGCGACCGCGCAGCCAAAACAGACTCCTACCAACACCAACGCCAACATCTTCACATTCTCCTCCCCCACTCCTGCTGCGCCTTCGACTGTTCCTTTCTCAAGACGCGCGGTGAAGAAAGCACCAACGCCCAAACCCGACGAGCTACGCGAGAGACGAAGAGGAGCTTTTCTGCGCAAGATTCGCGACGAGAGGGAAGACGAGCGTTTCGAGGCGCGGAGCGAAGATATAATGCGCCTTGAGTTTGTGAGAAGGCAGAGAGCATGGGAGGAGGAATTGGCGAGGCAGGCGCCGATGCTTGATGCGGAGCCTACGGATGGTGATAGTGAGGGGTCCTTGTGGAGGTGGGATGCGCCGGGGTCGAGCGCTGAGGGGATGGGGATGGGGATGGGGATGTCGAGTCAGCCGTGGGCGGAAGAGGAGGTGGAGGAGGTTTTGGGATGGGAGGAAAGGGAGATGGAGGCGTTGATTGAGTATGCGCCTTTGCCTACGTCCGGTGAGGAGGGAAGGGGTGGGGGAGGGGATGCGTGGAGCGATGATGGGGATTATGATGCGCTGTTTGAGGAGATTATGGGCCAGGATGGTGGGATGGGGGAGGTGCGGCAGCAGAACAACACGGTGGAAGGAGGGAATCAGGCTACAGGTGGGGCAGGCGAGGCGATGGATATGTCGTGAGGGGCCCGACTGTTAAATCGATGCATGGTTTGGGTGGATTTGAGCATTTAGCGTGGTGTTTGTGGGATGGTCGTCGCAAGGAGCGTGTAGAAAGACATTAGAGATTGTCGAGCGGTGGCGCGCGACACCAATGGACACGTATGATCCAAATCGTCCATAGTCGTGACTGTGGGTATCACCAACACTATCAACAACGCATATCGCCGGTCGAAGGCCATGCAACATCCTACCCATATCAGAATTTCAACATCATTCATCAGGTCATAATCATTGCGTCGGACATCCACCCTCCAAACCCTCTAACGCATCCTGCGCCGCACCCATATCACCCACAAGATCCGGCGGCGGTGATCCTTGCGATTGCATCTGTCCCAACAAGGGTCAGCACACCCTCCCCACCCTTTCCTCAAAAACGCATCCGGCTTCACTCACCTTCTGCATCCTCTCAACAATAAACTCCCGATCCCCCTCATCCCCATCACTATACCCTTCCTTCTCGAACCTCCCCACAATCTCCCCCACCAGCCTCTGCTGCTCCCTATACCTTTTCATCTCGCTCTCTGCTTCCTTCCCCTCATGCTCCCGCATCCAAGCCGGGAACTTGGTGTCCAGCTCTTTCATCGGCTCGTACAGGATTTCCTTGTTGGTGAGCTGCGCCATCATGGACATGAGCATGCTGTTGAAGTCCTCCTCGCCGCCTTCGGCGCCTCCGCCCTCGCCGGTGCCGAGGGATTTCATCAGGTCCATGAGCATCTTTTCTTCGTCGCTGCCGCCTTCTGCTCCTCCGGAGGCGGTGGCGGTTTTGGCTGTGGAATCCGAGGCTTGCATGCGCTCCATTGTTCTGCGGATGGTGTCCTGGAAGCTTTCTTCCCCTTTCGCACTGACTCCCTGCTTATCCCCTGGAGCTTTGCTTCCTGCGGTTGCTTGCTTGACTTCCTCCGGCATCTGCGGCATACTCTCGCTCGCGCTCTTGACGTGCTGCACCGCTTCCTCCTGCGTGTCTGCTTGTCCGGCGGCGACGAGCTCGGCCATCATAGCTTCGAACTGGGCTTGCATTTCGGGGTTCTCCCCGAGCTCCGAGATCAGATGGGACATGCTGTTTTGGAGGTCGGCGGGCAGGTCTGGGAGGTCTGGAGGGGCATCTTCTATGGCGGAGTCGCTCGCGGTGGGGGGCGGAGGTCTGCCGGGACCGGAGGCAGGGGGAGGAGATTTGGTGGAAGGCTTGGAAGCGAAGGAATCAAGGACATCGTCAAGGTCGTCAAGGTCGTCTTCCTCGGGGTCGGGAGCTGTTTCGTGGGAGGGTGGTGGGGGGTTGGCCATGGTGGTGGAGCTGAAGTCAGTGTTCGTTGGTGGAGATTGGGGCTCTATATGGCTGTATCCAGTTGTATGTACAGTGTCGTAATCGAAGGCTGGTGTATGTGTCGTTGTATAGGAACCAGCAATGGTATATCTTACATCAGTCGTCGCTTCCCGGTTTCGCTGTGCCGAGGCGGCGGGACAAGTTGAGTTCACGCTAATGCTATCGATAACATTTGAGATGGAAACACCTCTGATTCGTCGGTCACATCGTTCGTGAATCGAGACCTCGCCGGGGACAGTGAAGCCTCACGCCGTGCGACGCTCATACAACTTCTCTTCACTTGTGCTGTCCAGCCAGCTCACCAACGCGTCACCGGAGTCGACGCACCTGATCAGGTGACACCTCTTCACTTAGTTCAACATCACCTCTCTCTTCTTCCTCTTCTTCGATCTACACCCACCCAACCCCGACTGCGGCGACAGCGACACGACCACCACTACCATGTCGCTAACCGAAGCCCGTCTACAAGAAGAGCGGTACCATCCCCTCCATCTAAATATCACAATCTCCACGCTGACATATGAACATCAGCAAACAATGGCGCAAAGACCACCCCTTCGGCTTCGTCGCCCGTCCCATGAAAACGCCCGCCGGCACCCTCGACCTGAAGCGCTGGGACTGCGCGATTCCGGGGCGCGAGAAGACGATCTGGGAGGGCGGACTGTTCAAGCTCGAGGTGCAGTTTCCGGACGGTAAGACCTCATAAACGCCTCGTGCACATGATGCAGAGGTGATGAGAAAGAGGACATGAGGCTAACGATGTCCTAGAGTACCCTACAAAACCACCAAAGTGTAAACAAGTGTCTGAATTGAATACTTCCTTTTTTCGCTAAAACGAATTAACAGGCAAATTCCACCCCCCACTCTTCCACCCGAACGTCTACCCCTCCGGAACCGTCTGCCTTTCCATCCTCAACGAAGAAGAGGGCTGGAAACCCGCCATCACGATCAAGGAGATCCTGCTCGGCATCCAGATGCTGCTGGACGAGGTCAATCCGGACAGCCCCGCGCAGGCCGACGCGTACAATTTGTTCAAGAAGGACAAGGCGGCGTATGAGAAGAGGGTGAAGCAGGTGGTGAAGGATAATCCGGCGCCTTGAGAACCGCCAAAGGTGGGGGAGGGGTATGAGTTGAGAGAGGGCGCGGTGGAGAAGGGAAGCACGAGACGATGGATTTAGCGAGGGCGTTTGACTGGCGTGCATAGGTCGGGCATGGAGCTGGTCGGCTTCCCAAGGGGCTTGCTGACTGCATGACGAGTGAAATGACTGACCACGAATCTATATTTCGACCGTTCGATGAATACTCGAAGACTCTAACTCTAAAGAGATTCTTCTTTTCCACACCTCTCCTCTCAGAATGCTGGCGAAACTAATTGGCAGTATGGAATGGCGGAGGGGAGATGTGAAGAAGACGAGGCAATCAAGAACGGTTTCTCTGTTCCCACGGAGGCCAACCACACGGCCTGATCGGACATCGCAACCTTCCTGCCTGACGAGCACCGTCTTTATGCACCATGAGAGTGATGTCGGTCCTTCATCCACGAAACCCTTTCCACTGGCACGCCTCATTACGTCCTTCAACATTTGCTGCTCAGAAATCCGGCCCCGCTTTAGCTCTTCCAGGAGCTTCTACGATCTCAGCAATCACCAGTCCCAGCACGGGTTGACGACAGACCTCTCCAGTCCAAGACAGACACCAATTGCGCTTCTCACCGCCTTGAGAGCTCCCCGTTAATCAATGGCCTTCCCTCCACCCTGCTCTAGCACTCTCGAACGCAAGGGCTCAGGCGAAGGCGGCCGGTGCTGTGCCTGCCGATACAAATCCATCAGCCACTCGGAGAATTGTTCTTCGTGATGCAGCCATCTACGCTGCCGTCCCGTCATCTTGCCGGCCTCACCACCGTTACGCGCCATCTTCTTCTTGCCAGTCATACCACCGTCACGCGTCACCTTCTCGACACATCTCTCACACCACAAGGAATGCACACATCTCTCCTACCACATGGAATGCACACATCTCTCACACCACAAGAAATGCACTCGCAAGGTCTGAAGAACGGGCGACATCTGTCCCAACATTCTTTTGAATCGCGGCTCTTCGCGCTTTGTGTCTTGGAGCACGCGGCGGTACTCCCAGAAATGTCCGGTGTTGTTACGGATTCTGAAGTCGCAGCAGAGGGTTCCCCAAAGCTCGAAGTGGGGCTCCCGCAAGTTGGTACAGTAGCTCAGATCACGAAAGGCTCCCCCCAAAGGCCCGAATGATTTGAATTTGATACTTATGCTTTCAAGCGCGCCCATGGCTTCGGAGATGTACTTCGCGTGACGAACGGTGAAATCGTCATAAGTTCTGCAGCGTCCAGACCTAGGTACTGGGACGCCGATGTCGTTGGAAACTCAATCGCAGATGGTTGGTCGAGAAGTACAGGAGGCGTGCTTCGTCGTAGACCAAACGGCAGGTCTGGAGCAGGTCCCTGATGTGTCTTGGACGCTGGCGAGGTAGGTTGGTTCTCGTTCGGGCAAGCTCAAACTGGTCGATGTAGTGGTCTGACACCTCCAATACGAAGTAGTAGATCTCGTTGCGGACCTCTGGCGGGATATTGGAGAGCTTGCTTTGAGTCTGCGGATATACTGCGGGCGACGATTCCTGTTTCGTCAGCGACATAACGGTGGTGAGGTCTGGAGATGTAGAGGGCTCGTGGATGCTGTGCCTTATGTATGGGCCAGGAAGAAAGCTCGTTCGATGGGGACATGTTGAACAAAGGCAGAAGGTAGGCAAACTTTCACTCAACACTGTAAGCGCTGGAACACTCATTTGCACAGGCACCGCATCGTCCTCCCTCAGGTGGACTGTATCTTCGATTGGCAGTCACTACAGTCTGGCGATTCAGCACGGCGTAGCACCTTTGCGAAGACGCCCCAGTAGAGAGACACGGGATCGGTCGGCTCAGAAATCGGACGCTGGAACAAGCCATGAGGTCCCACGAGAGAAGGGCGCGCGAGCGAGACCGGTGGAAGACGCCATCGTCACATCGAATTTACCAGCGGTTTACAATCTGATGAAGTCTTGGACATGATTGGCTTGAGACCAGATTCTACTGCTTTGTGTGTCTCGCATTCTCAAAACACGGAAGCTTCTGCAACACAAGGCAAGCAATTCGAAACTTATATATTCACCTGCTTCTTCCACTTTGACCGCCTTGCATTTTGTGCCTGTTCCCGATTGAAGACACTGACATCGTCTCAGTCTAGTCACGTTGCAGCAGCCCCCCATGTCGCAGGCACATCAGTTCCCACAGCCAGTCGCCACACTCGCCGTACATCCTCAGACTCAAAGCAATCTCTTCAAGCTGCCCCCTGAGCTCCGCAACGCCGTTTACGCTTTTGCTTTGAAGATACTAGACGGCCATATTGGGTCCATCGAGCTGGCTCAGCGAAAGATCGATCACAATGCCATCAATCCTGCCCGAAGCCCGCCACCGGCCACCTCACTGCTTCAGACATGCAAGATCATTGAAAGCGAAGCCCGCCTGTTGTTCTTCGCTGTGAATCACCTCCGTCTGGACTCCTTCAGAATGTACATGTACAGGGAAGGCCGTCATCCCTCGAAGGTCAGAGATGCTGCTCTTATCGATGGGCCCGCCACGCTTCGATACATGGCAAGACTAAGCGCCATCGAGAGGATTACCATCACCGTTGGCTCGATCGGTTCGCTGGGGATGCGCCGATTCAAGAACCTGAAGGAGCTGCATTTCGACATTAACGCCAACCTCCGCTGCACAAACTGCCCGAGGTACACAGTCGGGCCGAACAAAAGAGTCTGGAATTACGAAGAGCTGTCAAAGGAGTTCGAGGCGGAGCAGAAAGACCTCAGAGATGCTGTGAAACAGTTGCCGATCGGAATCCAGACTCTGCAAGTACATTTTCTGCTGTGCGGGAAATGTACCAAGCCAAATTTGCGGTATGCTGTGTCGACAGGTGCTTGTAGTATCCTGGTGGCGCCCGAGCAGAGGTTTCTGGATCTTGAGGTGAGAATCTCGACGTGGTTGATGGAGGAGTACCAGAAAGTTCATGTTGAAAGGTCGTCGGTGGTGGAAGAGGGCGATGATGGCGACGAAGAGTCTGTCAAGATCCCCAAGCGGAGACACGCAGTCAGGGGTTGGTGAGGGCGAAGATGCGAATAAGGGAAGCAGCGAAAGTGAGAGAACGGAGGCCATAGTGGGTGGCTGCCCGTCTTGTCTGCAGAATGTGAGGCGCACAAAGCAGTAGAATCTGGTCTTGGGCATATAGCATTGAAAATTTCCATTCTTACCGCTCAACCAGACCGCCGAGACCAAACCCAGCTGTCTGCGCATCTCGAACACAGCTCTCAGCTACATCCCGTGAGCATCCCTACACAATCAATTTCATCTTCTGCTCTGACCGAGAACAGTGCGCCTCACACCTCGCTGCGCCCGAACATTTCCTTCCACACGAACATTGCCAATCTTATCCCCGCCGCCATGCCACCTGCCCCCACCTGCCCGCACTGCCGCCAGCCAGCCACCCCATTGGACCATTGTGACGCTGTGCAAAGAAACGTAACGACTCACCTTGCAATCTGTTGCCTCCCCCCGGCATGCGCTCTACGCCGCTCTGCCATAACTGCGCCCCCGATCCAGGAAGCGACAGTCTTTGCGAGATCACTACCGGCCTCTCCAAATTCCGTCGCAGTCGGCCAAGGCCTAGTCCACATCTCACGATATCGCACTTCCACTCCAACCCTCTTGAGACTCTTGGGCAGGTTCCTCGCCGCGGCCTGTAGCCTAGTACGACGGTCCAGGAAATCGTCCCAGAGATCATCGAAGTCGCTTTGCAACGTCTTGTACTTTGAAGAGTAAGTTTTGGTCAGACTCAGACGCAGTACCTTGAGGTTCGTGCAAGACCGAAGTGCTCTGCAGACATATTCGAAGTCCTTTAGGTCGTCGACTTCGATGGTGACCTTCTCGAGCGCGTACTTGTGTACCGGAGAAGCGTTCTCACTGGCGATAAAGACGGATGGAATCACGTCGGTCGCTCCCGACCCAATGGTGAATGTGAAGTGATGTAGAGCGTGGAATAGGCCGTGTGTCTCGGTGTAGATCCACCGGCACGTTCGCATGATGGAGAGGACTGAGCGCTCACGCCACGTCACTCGCTGGAGTTCGACTTTGCCTTTTGCGTTGGTCTGGATTGAAAGGACGAGGGTGTAGACCTCATTGCCTGGTAGAAGGGCAAAAGTCAGCGATGTTTAGGGTTGGCCTTGACTCCTACCAGTACTCACGTAATTCTGCTGGTAGTGTGAAGAAGAGAGCTTGCGTCTGTGGGTGTATGCTGTCAAACGTGAGCGGCGTATTGCGCCTCTTCGGCGTCGGTGCCTTCTTCGCTGCCGGCATTGTCGTTGCGCTCGCCATGCGGCGACCTTGGGAAGATGCTGTCGTAACTCTACAATGTAATGTCACAAACCAAAGTTCTTCGAAACATGCCGACGGTGTCAGTGAGGTCGAGGAAGATGGTGTCAAAAAAGGTGGAAGGGCGGAGCTTGCGGCAGTATCCGCCCGAGGACGATGACGTCTCTTGCACGTGAGACCAGTTTGCATGTGAAAACATGGGTCTAACTTACACCATACGATACATGTGTTGATAAGCATCGACATTGTTGCAGCCACCACCGAGCCTTTCCATCCCTTCACGATCGCTCATTGACTCCTGCCATGCAAACAACAATCCGCTACAGATGAAATCCCACCGCACGCCAGACACGAGTACTTGCCCACAGCGTCAGCATCCGAGCCGCCGCTGAACTTGCGCGTCCTTCGTGAAGCGAGCAATGTCGTGCTCAAGGCTTGCGCACTCTTGCTTGTAAAGCTGCTGAGCCTCTTCGTTCATACCGCCACGGTTCGCCATCAAGTCGTGCTGTCGGAACTCCAAGGTAATGGTCTGGACACTCTTCGGAAGTTTCTTACCACTGAATCTCAGGTCTTTGCGCTTCCCGTGGAACTCCGCACGAAGACTCCCAGTCCTGTAAGCTTCGAGTGTAAACGTCGTCCTGATGGTGAAGTGCAGGTGCTTGAGGCTCTTGAACCTGCCCAGAGTCCAGCATGTCGGCTCGATCTCTTCGATGTCCCACGCAAGCATCGTTGCCTCTTGGATTGCGGCTGGTTGAATCATGAAGCCGTGGGTGGGGTTGGAGTATACACGATCGTGCCATGGATGAGTCAGGTCGAACGAGAAGTGGTACATCGAGTAGAAGAGCTCGAGTGTCTCGAGGTAGGTCCACCGGCACGCGCAAGCGATGGAGAGTACCGACTGCTTCGACTTTCGACTCGTCAACGCGTGCACTGAGTGAGTGCTGATCTTCCCGGCTTTGTTAGTTGGGACCTCGGAGAACACCATTGTGTAGATCTCGTTGCGTAGCTCCGCCGGCAAGGTGAAGAATCGACTCTGGGTTTGCGGGTGGGTCGTTGTGAAGTTGAGGCGCTTCATTGTTGATGCGCCGTCTGTAGCGCCGGAGCACTGGTAGCAGCCGGGCGCTGGCTTGTCGTGTTGGTGAGTATCTTCACCAGATCGGCTTCAAGAACAACAAGGTCGGACAGAGGCAGACGCCCGTTGACAATTTGGGAAACAGGAATGGATATCTGAGGGTTAGGGGACGCACCGGCCCGCAGTCACGGGCAGGAACCCAAAAGAACAAGAAAGATGACGTCACTGACATGTGAAATTCCAGCTCACCTCACTACAAACCGTCTTTCCAGCAGCAACAATCGATAGGATACCCACCCATATCAAGCTACAACCACCGCAACGCTTCGACATTCGTCCCCTACTATGCATCAGGCTCTCCCTCCGAATCAGACTCACCATCTTCATCAAGCTCCTCCTCAGCATCAATCTGTTCTTCTTCCGCAATCTTGGGTTCTTCCAGCTTCCGCTCGTACGCCTTCTGAGCTTGCAACTCCCAGTCGCCATTCCCATAGAAATCTTCACCCTCACCGAGTCCATGCCTCCCTTCAATACCCTTATCCTGAGGATATTTGTTGCGCGCTGCTTCGATGAAGTACTGGATCCTGTAGGCGAGCTTCCAGAACCGCTGCTTATGGACTTCTTTCACAGTCTCCGGATATGGAGTCTCGGATAGCAAGTTCCTTGCTTGCATGTCCACCCCGAAAGTCACGGAGACCGTGTGGGAGTAGCTTTGCTGCAGCCTCGAGTGCTCTCTGGAGTTGCGCGAGAGATTCTTCATGACCCTCGATTTTGTGCTTCATGCTGCGGTAGTCGTGGATTGGCTTTGTGAAAGCCAGGATCAGCGTTTTGAGGCCGTTGCAAGTGTGGACGAGTCGACAGGCTTCAATAACAAAAGATATCGTCCTTACGCCGATGGTGAGGGTTTCGATTCTGGCCAAGTCGACTGACACATTGTGCGATAGAATGACGTAGGGTCCAGGCATGCCAACGTACGGGATGTAGATGTGATGCATAGCGTAGAAGATGCCATACGCCTCGCTGTTGATGAGTCGGCATGTCCACGCGACCGAGAGGGCGGATGGTTTCAAGCGTCTGCGGTCTGATGGAAATGTCATGCGCAGCTCTACTTTCCCGGTCTCGTTCGTCGGAATGGAGACTACGAGAGAATAGATGTCGTTGCGGAGCTCCGCGGGCAAGGTGAAGAATCGACACTGAGTCTGTGGGTCGACGGGAGCGAGACTGCGAAAATTCCAGGCGAAGTTGATCACATGGGCGAGAATGGCCTTGGTGCTTCTGTCGATACTGGCATATTGCTTCTGTAAAACTCTTGAAACGCACTTCTCTGAGACTGACGTAAAGTCCCAGAAGTTCGCAGACCGATGGTAGGCTTGCAAGATCTGTGATAGGAATGATGAGTCTCTCGACCAAACGTAGCCGGATGTTCCAAGCGCGGAGAACGGGCATGACGTCGCCAGGCGCCTTGTGATTGCCCTCATCCGCTATCAGATGTTCCGGGAGGATCTCCAAACGGTTGATGCTGTACAGCACAGCAGAAGCTTCATCACAGACCAACCGACATGTTTGCAAAAGCGACAAGCTGCAATGTGGTGACGAAGATCGTCGTGGTGAGAAACCGGTTCACGTATGGGCGCGTACGCGTTGAGGGAGTCCCGAATCGTCGAACAGTGCCTTCTGTTGTCAGTGCGAGTGTGTAGATTTGAATCCGAACCTCAGCGGGCAGCGTGAACAAACGACTCTCCGTCTGAGGTCGCATGGTGAAAGACACGGCCATGCGCCGGGAGCCAGACCTGAGCATGATGGATGGCTGAGAAGGTCGAACGGGGGGCAGGGCTACCACATATACGTTAGTGAGAGAAGCATGGTGTATCGACCTTCCATCGTGAGACAACGGCAGATGCAAAGAAGCTTCTTTTGCTTTCTGCTGGGGCATATAAGTAGAGTCCACAAAGGCCCGCCGTGACAGAGACTTTGGTACTTACTATCGTTCCGCAGGACCTGTTCGCTCTTCCCGTGTTTGATAGGCCCAAGACATTTCTGGCAGCTTCTTTATGCACTGTGCTCAACGTACTGGGAGCGGCCACACGTCATGAACGCAAAGTGCATATTTAGTAGCCGATCGAACTCATTGCCAGGTCGCCCGACACCAACTGCGACGCTGTCACCGGAAGCTGAGGTATCGGAGAGCGGGCCCAATGATATCCCTCAAGCATCAACTTTGAGATCTTACGCTCGAGCTCGAGGAGCAGCTGCGGCTTGGGGCGACTACTTTCAGAGCGAATGCCGCCCTTGCACGGCGTAGAACTGAAGTTGATAGATTCGATGTTTCTTGGCAACACCACCGCTTCGAGCTTGAGAAGATCTCTCATATCTGGCAGAACCTTGCGGATTCGCTCGAGTTTGCTGGATCCAGGTCGATAAGCGTGCCACAGGCTATTGTGATCGGGCCAGGCAAGTTCGACTGTCAAGCTCTTGAGTCCAGCGCAGTGGCGTACGAGGCGATAGCAAGAGACGAGATCCTTAAACTGGTGGATCTCGAGAGTAAGTCTTTCGATTGCGGCAAGTCGTGCGACGCTCAAGTCGGGAACAATCGCATTTCCAGGCTCTGCACTGTTAAATAGCATTTTACGTCAACGTTCTGCATTCGAAGAGGCTGGGTAGCGTAGAAGATGCCGCACGCTTCCTCATTGATTCGCCTGCAAGTCTGAAGCATCGAGAGAACAGATGGCCGCCACTGCTGCTGCGCACGAGGGTCGATGAGCTGTCCATGCTTGACAAGCTGTACCACTCCATCCTCATTCACCGGAACGGTCAGCACTATAGTGTAGATGTCGTTCCTGAGCTCTGCTGGCAAGGAGAAGAGACGGCACTGAGTCTGCGGGTAAGCCGCCATGGTGACTCTCGCCGACGGCAGTAATCAACTGATAGTGCCTTACAAGCCCGTTGAAGGTCAGTAATCTTGGTCTCTCGATCTTCGGTTCCTAGAATCCATGTACATGGAATAATGTAACAGCGACGGAAGGGTTGGAAAGAGTGGAGTGAAGTGAGTGGTCCCCGAAGGAGATGCTTCCGAAAAATGTCCGTGCTGGACGAGGTACATCATTGAACATTTCTGTGTCTGCCCAATAGTTCTATACAGCTCAGCACAACGACAAGAAGGTGTTCAAGAAGGCCAGCAACCGGCCTCGAAACTCCCCAAGCATCCCTACATAATGCGATGAAACCACCATCCCCTCAATGGACCACCAGCTCCATCCTCCGAACCCCTCTCCAACCCTCCCGCTCGTGGACCTGCCACGAATGCCTCCGCCGCTCCCAAAAAGCTAACACCCGTCGCAATGGCTTCTCAACGACCACCAACGCCTACTCGCAAGCCGGTAAACGTGCCTGGCGCGAGCGCATTCAGATCCAACGCCTCAAAATCCCCCCCAAGCACCGTAAAGTCGCCATCACAGCCGCCGTCCTCTTCGTCCTCGGATCCGCTGGCCTAGCATTCAGCGAACGAATACGACACCTCTACGTCGCGGCCGAGCGAAGCGGACGAGTCGGTGTCACGCTCGCGGTATGCGTGAACGACTACCGCAAGACCTTAAAGAGGAGCGAGGAGCCAAACTACGACGCCTTACTCTCAGCATGCCACAAGAGATGCGCGGAGCGGACGTTGGAGGCGATGGAGAAGAACGGGAGTATTTTCATTAAACTGGGACAGCATCTGTCGAGCCTGAATTACTTGCTGCCGAACGAGTGGTGTGATACGTTCGTGCCGCTGCAGGATAAATGCCCGGTATCTGCGTTTTCGAGCGTGGATGAGATGGTGAGGTATGATACTGGTCAAGGTTTAGATGAGTATTTTACGGATTTCGAGCGGCGGCCGATTGGCGCGGCGAGTCTGGCGCAGGTGCATGTTGCGCGGTTGAGGGAGACGGGAGAGAAGGTGGCGGTGAAGGTGCAGCACCCGAGTTTAGACGAGTGGTCGAAGCTGGATCTGGCGTTGACGAGCTTTGTGTTTCGGACGTTGAAGCGGTTCTTTCCTGAGTATGATCTCACGTGGCTCAGTGATGAGATGGAGCACAGTCTGCCGAAGGAGCTGGACTTTCGAGAAGAAGGCAGGAATGCTGAACGTGCACGCGAGTATTTCTCCCGGGTGCGCAACAGTCCGCTGGTGATACCGGAGGTCAAGTGGGCTCGGAGGAGGATATTAGTGATGGAGTACATCACCGGCCACCGTCCAGACGACCTGGCCTTCCTAGACTCAAACGGCATCGACCGCGACGAAGTCTCCGCCGCGCTGGCGCGCATCTTCAACGAGATGATCTTCGGTCCCGGCGCGCCGTTGCATTGTGATCCACACGGCGGCAACCTGGCCGTTCGTCTAAACCCTAGCAAGCGCAAACCGCGCAACTTCGACATCATCCTCTACGACCACGGCCTATACCGCGACATCCCCACCAAACTCCGCCGAAGCTACGCGCACCTCTGGCTCGCCGTCCTGCAAATGGACGAGCCCGGCATGCGCAAGTACGCCTACGAAGTCGCCGGGATCGGGGACGACGAATTCCCCATCTTCGCCTCCGCCATCACCGGCCGCGACTTCAGCGTCGTGCAGAGCAACGAGATCGCTTCGCGGAGGAACACGCAGGAGAAACGCAACATCTCCGACGCCCTCGGGTCAGGCGAACTGCTCGAACAGCTCGTGCACCTGCTGAGTAAAGTCCCGCGAGTCATCCTGCTCATCCTCAAAACCAACGACCTCACCCGCTCGCTGGACGAGAATCTGCAGACGCGCGAAGGGCCCGTGCGCACGTTCATGATCCTGGCGCGGTACGCTGCAAGGACTGTTTACGATGAGCAAATGGAGCGGATTCAGGGGAGCTTGCTGTGGCCGGGTAATCTGCTCGGATGGATGGTTGCGGTGGGCGCGTATGCGAAGGTGGCTGTGAAGCTGCGGGTGTACGAGATCTATCTTTCTGCGCGGCGGAGGATGGGGTTGAGGGATAGTGTGTTGGGGGAGGGGATTGTCTGAGCGCTTCTGTGAAGCAGTTTGGGTGAGGACGTGTAGGCGGGCCGGTTTGCCTGTGCCTGTGCCTGGGCTGACTGGAGGGATGGATGAGAAAGCGAGAAGGACGCCAATGATGATAGGTTAGATCAACCTTGAACCTTGTGCTGTTGTTCAGGCACAAATCGTATCTGCATTGACCTTACCGTTGTGTCGATCGAAGCGTCAGGGTAAACTTGCCTGCTGTCCTGGCAGCCAACTTGAGAACGCATGCCAGACCTCCCTCCGCACCTCACAGCTCGCACTGGCGACACAGCAAATGCAGTGCCAACATTTCTGTACGACCAACTGAAGCTGATAGGGCTGGCCGTCGATCATCCAAATGGTGACACGACATCCATACCAGCGGACAGCGGTCCGTCGACGGCATGCCGAAGGTTTAATGCCATGGGTAGCCGGTTCGATCGGCATATTGTACCTTGTATTGCGCCATCTCAGCGAATGAGATGTCTGAGCGTCATGCATTGGCAACCCGGTGGCTCCAGGCTTGTTTGCTATGTGCATTGGGCATTGGGTGTCTGTCGTTGTGGTCTAAGTGTGCTGGACATTCTTTGCAGCAGGGGACGAGCTTTGAACAGTCTAACATGCATCGGCTGCTGGGGGCTGGTTTGTCATCCTTTCATAGTATCCATAGCTTCTCACCTTCGGCCGAAGTCTCGAATCGGTCAGGTACATGTACACGCGCATGTAGCTTTGCGCAAAGCAAGGAGCAGTGCTGGGCGGCGGGAGACACCGACGGTCCAGAGCCTGAGGACTTCCGTTCATGCAGCCAGGCACGTTCCAGTTACGAATCTCTGACACCCTTCCAGCGCAGAGAATTGTGATAGACCACCGGCCAGATCGTGTGGCGACGCAGTAGCTCGAGAAATGTCTTTCCTTGACAGTCTGTTCTGAGCAGCAGGCCCACCACCCCATCAGTCGCAGCGCCGAGGAAGCAACATGTTCACGCTGCAGTTCATTGGTCTGCGAGACCCTATACATACCTCTGGACCCTTCCGTTTGGCTCTTCAGTACCTAGTACAATGGACAAATGTCTTTGCCTGCTATACCCCAGCCCGACCAGTGAACCCCGCGATCTGGCTCTACATCGCACGGTGGCGCTTCGCTTCCACGAAAGATGCTGGTGGGCTGGGCAGATTGGCAGACTGGGGTCGAGGATGTTTGTCTCCTCGCACATGCACATGCTGTGCTCCCTACTTTGACAGACTGCTGGTACAGAGCACGAATATCCTGATGAGGTATTGGATTCCTGCAAAGCAATCGAGCGACGTCGAACTGCGTTCTCTCACAGAGTTTGCGGGCCACGCGATTCGGGCCTGGCTCCAGATTGTGCAGAGGTCAGGGTTAGCACGGAGCAGGGAGAGGCACGTGAGGGCTGTCTTTTCGCTTCGGCCACGAGTCCGAAGCCGGATCGCGATCTGCAGACGGTGGTGTGGCCGGCGAGACATCACCTCCGTTGATTCCGTGGGCCTCGTCTGGACGTTGAGATGACGGACAGGCTGCCGTTCTCAGTCGAGCTTTCCAGCGTGACTGCACGGATGCGCTCAGTCGAAGCTCACGAGCAACGGAATGCGGCACACGACTATCGTCACCATTATCCTTAGCAGCGCCACAAAGTTGGAGTCCAAGGTACAACGCCTCGTCTGGAGGGTGCAGCGGTGCTATTGGCCGCTAGTCTGCTAACAGCGATGGTTCGTGGATGTCTTGCAGCGGCAGCTCGCTCTCATGCACGGAAACGAGGAGGATCGAGGCAGGGTGTGCTGGCGATGCGTTGCGAGGAGGCCCTGGAGGCGTTCGAAGTCAATCTTTTTGAGGGTCCATAAAGGTTGAATGCAATTTTCATGTGATCCTGAATGTTTCAGCGGAGGGGACGAGGCAGCAGATCATCGCTGGGCACCCACCTCGAGCCGTTGTGTTGCAAGCTGCCCCACTGGTTCGGTGATCCAATCAAATCCGCCCAACTTTGCTTCACGCCTTCAACAACTGCCCTTCCCACTTTGTCTCCACACGCTGGCTGCCCATACTCACGAACCCACTTTCTCTCCGGACTCGATCCAACGCCTCTGACGCTTTCACACCACCAACCTTTGCTCCCCATTGTTCATTCCCGCGACGACAGTCCCCAACGACACGGCACAAACCTCCATCTCAACCACCCTCTCAACGCTTGCTTGGCATCGCGATACAACAGATTGCTGCTGCAAAATGGCCCCCGCCCGATGAACGCTGTACCACCGACGCCGACACATCCTCGCATTCGATGTCCAGCAGGGTCAAGTGTGGCTAGTGGTCGCTGGGCGATAGGCTGCTTGTCCTTGTCGCAGAGCCGTCCGGCCATTCCACACGTGGGGAGGAGGAGTTTTGTCAGCGATGTCCACGGAGGGTTTGGCCCCGAACGAGCGCAATGAGCGCCCGGAGCAGACAACACGGGCAAGAGATGGCTCCGATCAGTCGGACAGGACGCCCACGACCGAGGTGCCTGTCTCGGTCAAGGTGTCTACACCCACAGCTGTGAATCAAGAGGCTGTGAAGAAGGACTCGGCAATGTCCAACGACTACTTCACCATCAACCCCGCCGCTTACGAGCAACATACCGAGCTTGCGAACTCCTACAATGCGTCACCAAAGGCCAGTGTCAGCGCGAGTGATGTTCCGGCGACAAGACAAATACGGCTGCCGGATACGTTGACCGCACTGCCCTCTGAACGCCCACAGCTGTATTCGTCACAGTCGGCCATGAGTGTCCAGACCGTATCGAGCGTCGCTACAGTCACCGCTGCGAGCTCAGCACCTGCATTGTATGATCCAGCGCAGAACCCACGGCCAGCATACCCAAACCAATCCTACGCTGCCCTGCACCACCAGCAATATCCGACCCCGCACCCGCCGCCTCTTCTTAAGCAGAGGAGTGCGCATCCCGGCCAGATTGCGACCTTCACCTCTGCGCTTGCTTCGCTGCACCAGTCTGGCTCGCGCACTGTGGGCAGCTCGCCGTCCGTTACGCCTGGCCAAGGCCTGTTTAGGCCACAGAGTCCGCCACCGTACTCTGAGTGGGATGCGCCTGCAACGCCTGGGACCTACGCCAGCCCTTTCTTGCATTTCACGCAACGGGTACCGCCAAAGGAAACCCATGTCGCCGATGTCGACGTCGACCCCATCTCAGGCCGGAAGCTCATCAACCACTACGAGATTATTGACGAGCTAGGACGAGGCACGCACGGCAAAGTCAAGCTCGGCCGCGATCTTGAGACGTCCACCGATGGTTATGTTGCCATCAAGATCGTCGAGCGATTCTCGAGACGGCGAAAGCTTGGCAAGCTCGGCACTACAGAGGACAAGGTCAAGAAGGAGGTCGCTATCCTCAAGCAAGCACGACATCCCAACGTGGTAGGATTGTTGGAAGTGATCGATGATCCATCGCGAAAGAAAGTCTACATCGTGCTTGAGTGGGTTGAGCGCGGTGAGATCACATGGCGCATCAAGGCACCCAAGGAGATTGCAGTGGTTGAAGCCCGACGTTACGAACGCGAGAAAGACGGCCATACGAACTCACAATTGGACGCTGAAGATGCAGCGATATTGGCGGAAGCGCAGAAACGGCTGTCTCGGATGAGAAGGAAGCAGCAACGAGCATTCCGTCAATTGCGCCTTGACGTGTCCAACAATCCTGAGGCTTGGAGCAATGAGATGGCAGGAGATGATTTGAGCGATTTCTCTGATGATGACAGGATGTCGCGAATCTCGACGGAGTCTCATACCAGCAGACTTATGGTCGACAACGCGCGACGCGCCTCGCGAACACCATCGCCGCTACCGCCACATCCTGAACATGAAATGGAGCCTGCCACTCCAGTAGCTGAGCAACAACCGTCCTACTTGTCGCTCACGAACGAACCGCAGACTCTGTCACCGACCACATCGAGGAGGGACTTTGGCGAGTTCAGCAACACTGGGTTAGAGGGTACGATGTACGGAGCGTACCTGCCTTCGTCCAACGAGCCATCCCGAAACTCAAGTCTTGTTAACAGCCTGCATTCATCTACATCCTGGCCGAGGCCACAGCATGGCAGCTCGGACAGTCTCCCAAGGACACCTGCAGAGATACTGGATGTTGGGTTAGATCCCGATCTTGAGTACGTCCCGCTCATGACTCTGCAGCAGGCCCGCGTCGCTTTTCGAGACACACTGCTGGGGCTGCAGTACCTGCACTACCAGGGCATCGTGCACCGAGACATCAAGCCGCCGAATCTGCTCGCGACAAAGGATCATCGAGTCAAGATCTCTGACTTTGGCGTCTCCTACCTCGGCAAGCCAATCTACGAAGGCGAATCCGGTGAAGGTGTCAGCGAGCACGAAACGCAGGATCTGGCTGACGAGGCGAGGGAGCTCGCGAAGACGGTTGGCACGCCAGCTTTCTACGCTCCAGAGCTGTGCAGCACCGACATCAGCGACATGCCATTGCCGGTCACCAAGGCCATTGACGTGTGGGCACTCGGCGTCACTCTCTTCTGCATGCTCTATGCTCGGACGCCATTCGTTGACAATGAATTTGTGGTCATGCGGCAGATCGCCGAAGAGGAGATCTACATACCCCAGCAGCGACTGAAGCCAGTGGAAAAGTCTCCGAGGTCGCGTCCGTCGTCGCATGGCCGCGGCTACCAGCAAACAAACGGCACTCATCGTCACGCCTTGGAGCTGGCCTACGAAGACATTGGAGACGAGCTGTATGATCTGCTCAAGCGCTTGCTGACGAAGGACCCAAGAAAGCGCATCACTCTGGAGGAGGTCCGTCATCATCCCTGGGTCGTCGCTGATCTGCCAGACAAGATCGCATGGCTGGACGAGACCGACCCGAGCAGGCAGAGCCAGGGCAAGAAGATCGAAGTTTCGAAGGAAGACGTCAATGCCGCCGTCGTGCCATTGCAGTTTCTCGACCGTGTCAGGTCCGGTATCAAGAAAGTCAGCGAACGGCTTGGCTTTAGCAGCGGCACTGGACCGAAGCATCCGAGTAGAGGTCGGGCTCAATCTGGTGTCGCTGCTGGCCCAGGTGGTGTTTCGCCGGCGCCATCAAATACATCGTCAAGCACCTTGGCCACTAAAGATGGGCGGAGGCAGAGCCTGCGAGGCGGCGACGAGTCCAATTCCACCATCTTGACGGCGCTCAAGACCTCTCGAGAAGGAGGTGAGCATCCTCTTTCGCGGAGCGTTGCCGCTAGCCCGGAGATCGATAAGCACGATCCGTACTTCGATGACTCTGCGGTGCGACCTGAATCGGCCCTTGGCAACCTGGAGGACGTCGAACCAACATCTATACCACGACCGGGTCCGCCCGAGAGGGCTTCTACTATCATGGCCACCGGCAGCTCCATGAGGACGCTGCGGCAATCAGACTTTCGAAAAAGTCGAGGTGAAGAGTCGCCACCTCCTTCGCCGGGTCTACCTGGCACGCCGACTGCCATTGAGACTGCATCCAGCGTCTTGACTGGCGGATGGGGTTCGGGCGTGGCGCGACGTATCCTGAAGACTGTTCGCGAGCGGAGTACCGCCCGCTCTGACACAAGATCGGCTTCCAGCGACCGTGGATCCGTGGTTTCCATTGACGCTCACGGCGAGCCCAGCGTTGCTGTCAGCCAAACCAACGCAGCCGGCCACATGAACCCACCCGCCGCGTTCGATGAGCCATCAGCACCGTCCAGCGCCCAGATCAGCCCAGCTGTCTCTAGAAGAGTGAGTCTGTTCAGCATGCCGTCCAGAGAGCGACTGTCACCTCACGCTGCTGACGCGGGAAGCTTGTCACGAACGAGCTCGACCGGTTCAGTCTCCTCAATGGGTAGACAAGCTCTCCACAACGCCGGCAGCTTGAGCCCGGGCGTCGTGAAGCACCAACCACCTGCCTCTAGTGCAGCAGACTGGCAACGTGCGACCGACGAGCATGTGCGGAAGTTGATCCGAGAGAACGAGGAGTTTGAAGATGAGCAGAACAAGTTTGATGCACGGACTTGTCCGCCTAGTCCTGACGATCAGACAAAGCAGCCTTCTGACTCGAGACACGTGTCGGAGATCGACATCTCCAGTCCCTCCAGCTCTCGCACGGAACCCAGCCCAACGAGCAACGATTCCCAGCTGCCCCCACCAACCCTCTCAAGCACGTCCGACTTCGAATCGACCTTCGCCGCCTCGGCCTCCATCTCCAACCCCTCCATCCCCTCCGTCATGTCCCGCGCCTCGTCCGTCGACCCCCGCGACGCCCTCCCCGCCGAGGCAGCAAAACACGACCTCATGTCCTCCGACGACACGCTCAACCCCAAAGCGCCGCCGCGCTTCCGCGAAGAAGTGCCCGACGAGGGCTACACGGCCGACGACAACGTGCTCGACAGCGACGGCGAGGACGCGTACGACGACTCGTCCGACAGCGACGGCGGGCTCGTGATGTCGCGGCGCAAGTCGGCGACGAAGGTGGCGCGGGGGAGCGTGGGGACGGTTAAAGAGAGGAGGGCGTCGGCGAGGGAGCGGAAGAGCGAGAGGAGTGGGAGTAGTAATACTATGAAGAAGGTGCGGACGCGGGAGAGTGAGGAGGAGAGGCGACGGCCTAGTGGTGGGGATATTATGGAGGGTTGATGATGACGCTTTCCATGGGGTGGTGGATACTCCGCTCACGTTTCCTTCCTTCCCGACTCCGATGACGATTTTCACGACCACACGAAGGACACACGCACGCACGTCTTCACGAAGACGAAAAACGTCCACACGAAAAACCCAAAACAAACAACCACACCTCTCAATTCCTTTGGTCTCTTCAGCAACCAGGATCATGGTCCTTTAGCGAATTTCTTTCCTTCTTTGTTGTTGTTTTTGTATCTATATCCCCTCTTCGACTTTCGATTTTCGATAGGAGGCAGGAAGGAGTTGGCATACCCGAGCGCAGGCGTTCTATAGATGGTGGCGCTGGGGTTTTCTCATTATCTGCAGAGTGAGGGAGGTGGAAGGGCTGTGTAGCATATTCTTTCACCGCACGCGCGGAGGAGAGCGTGTCTTGGGGTAGTAGCCATGGGGGAAAAGCAGGCCTGGGCTCATTCGTCTCTTTCGGGACGGCGATCTACTCTACCTTTACTCTGGAGAGCACGAAAAGTTTGGAGCGGCGTGCTTGTGGAAGTTGGAGAAGGGGGATGTATCTATGGGTCTCTTGAGTGACTGAAAGACGCTGTGGGGGGGAAGGGATAGATAGAGCTGGTGAATCCAAACTTTTGCCAACATGTTACCCGATTACTTCGTTTTGCTCTGTTACTTTATATCGCGATGTCTTCCTTCCATTGCTGTTTTGTGAACGCAATCACCACATAAACCTCTGCACCCTCCCCGGCTCCTGCGGCCACTCGAACCCCTGGTACAGGAACATGTACCCCGTGCCGGCGTTGATGAGCAATAACCACACCGTCTCAAGCAAAAGACGATGATCAACTGTCTTGAGCCGCTCTCGAAATGTCAAATCCGTTCTGGCCAGCTGCGCGGAGCCGTTCTGGAGCGGGACGTGGATGCGCCAGAATATCCAGGGGAGGATGAGATAGCGCGGCTCCACCAGCGGTGCGGTGACGAGCTGCAGTGTGGTTGTCGCGAGCCAGATGAGGACGAAGGAGGTTGTTGCGCCGCTTGATCCGTCGGGGAGGGTAGGCGGTTTGTGTCGGTCTTCAGACTGCTGAGATGATTTGTCCTCGTTCTTCTTTCCTGCAGGGTCTTTGTAGACACTAACGTCCAGCGGCCTCGCCCCCATCGCCTGCATGCACGCCCAAGCACAGAGCACATAGACCGGCGTCACGGCAAACTTCACCCACCACGGATTCATCAGCCTCCGAAAAACATAAAAAGTATAATGTCGATTATCCGCCAGCGTGAACGGATGCACGATAGTGTTGAAATGCACCACCGCGCACGCCACCCCGACACAAATCCCCAGGAGCCAGTACTGCGGCCCCAAGCGCCGGCGCTTGAACATGAGCATCGCCTCCAGCGTGGCGACGGCGGGGAGCTGGGCGAAGAGGCCGAAGGGGATGGTGAGGAGGTAGGGGTAGAGCAGGGGCCAGGAGAAGAAGGTGAGGTAGGGCCAGAGGTAGAGGAGTTGCGGGAGGTGGAGGGTGGCGGTGTGGTTAGATTTGTCGCCCAGGACGACGGAGCCGTTGAAGTGGATGAGGATGGTGAAGGTGAGGGTTGTGATGATGTAGGGTAGGAGGGCTTGGAGGGTGTGGGCGAGGCGGGTGGGGTGGGTGGGGAGTTTGAGGCAGAGTGTGGCGATGGAGATGGCTGTTTTGCCGTAGTCTGGTTGCGTGTTAGAATACTGTAAGGCTTGAAGGGAAGGAAGGTTTGTACCGCTGATGGAAGCATTCCTGACCGCTGGGTCGTAGACAGCGCTCATCTTCCAGCTGGTCCGGACGATGCTCGTCCACGTATCTCCAAAACCTTCTTCCCGTCTGTACATCGAGTTTTTGACGGCATCATGAGCGCGGTCTAGCTCGTTCACTAGCACCAATCCCGCTGGAAAGATGGCCACCCAGAAGATGTTCGTCTGCCGGAAGAACAGGCTGCTGATGCCTGAAAGCACCAGTGCAGGCGTCCGTAGCGGTGAAAACTTTCTGGGGCCGCTGAAGTGTAGAAATAACCAGTAGAATATCAGGACGGATAATGTCGAAGGTACATCCGTGTAGTACAACGCCGCAAAGAAGAACAGCGGAGGAAAGAGTGTCACATTTAGTGCACTGTGCTGAGAAGCCCAGTGATCATAGCCGCCCGGTTTGCGTAGAGGGTATGTCCATGTCACCACAGCCTGTAGTGCGACAAGGCAGAACACGTTCAAACTTCGAAGCCAGAAGATGTCGCATCCCACGACTGGCGAGACAATGTACGAAAGCAGATAGAGACCAGGTGGGGTCGTGATCTTTGGATCCCAGACATCGAAGCGGTTCTGGCAATAATTCTGCGCTTGGCGAACATGAAAGACTTCGTCCTGAGAGAATGTATGAGATGTTGTGGTCCTTACCGCTGATGGCGTCGACCTACCAGGTACGGTTCTGTGACGGCGTCGTTGACCAGCTTGGACCACGCGAGCAAAGGGAGTGACTGCGCTGCTGGAAGCGCCATGGTCTTGGTGTATAATGGCTGCTCGAGCCTGTCGTCTTGTCTCTGGGCAAAGTGAAGTCTGGCGTGACGCCAGCACAAGCACATCGGATCGGCAAGTTCCGAAGCGCCCATCTGCAAGCGCTTTACCGCAGGCGCGTATCTCAAAGCCAATGTTGATCGCGCGCGCCGAATAACTTTCACATGCACATCGAAGTCTTGAGTTGATTGCGATGCCCCTCAACCCAGCATGGCGCTGCCACTTCCCCCCGGTCTCACGGCCTCAGAGGTGGGCTTCCTCTGCGAGATGGAGCTCGTCACAGTAATCCCACGCCAAAGACTCGAAGGACTCGAACTGCTCGGAGTGAGTGCGCCTCAATAACAGCAGCGTAAGAACTGTTGCTTGCCTTGACCCCCTATCCGCTCTCTCGCTGACGCCGTGGCAAAGGGGCCCACGCAACCGCTCAACCCACCTTTTCCCACCCCATTACCGCTGTGGCTTGCTCTGCTGCTCAAGAAGCAGAAAAGGGCTAATATCAATCCTCCAGCCTGGCTCAGCGTGGACGGCTTAAGTCACATTCACGACTTCGAGACGGATACGCGGACCGCCGAGGTCTTCTCGCCATCGCAGGCGCTTCCGCCTCCTGCCGGAGTTCGTCATGGGTATGAAGACTACCTGTCTTCGGACGTGATAGACTTCGCGCCGCCGTTTCTGGCGAATTCGTCTACGACGGGGGCACAAGCAGATGCGCTTCCGTATCATTGGCTTGAAGTGGGACATCTTCTGCTCACGCATGCCGCTGATGACTTTGATGATCCTGAGGGTGTGCGGAGGCTTCTGAGAGACTTGAGGGAAGTACGTATGAGTAAGCTGAGGAAGGGTTTCAAGGTACTTGATGCTGGTGCTGGGGTGAAGTTGAACGGTGTTGGTGGTATGGAGATTGCTGAAGTCAGAGGCTTTGTGGGCGGTATGGTGGATGGATTGAGGTGAGTCTACGTTCTTGCTGTGGGAAAGCTGGTGCAGACTGCTGATTGGAATGAAAGGAAGATCAATCGCTCACGAGAAGAGTCACGGAGGGAGCGGGAGGCGGAAGATCGTGAAAATGGACTTGGTGGCAGTAGCTATCAAGACGATGAAGATGACATGCAATTATGAAACGCTTTTGATCTTCCAACCTGTCTGATCAGTAATCCCTCTCCATGTGCCACCAGCATGTATCGATAAAGCCAGATACTCCTCACATACAAGCACATGATAATTCAATCGAGCAGTAAATGAAGCCTTGGCCCAATAACGAAGAAGATATGCACGGCACTCGCACACAGCAAAGCATAAGTACATTGGAGCTCGCTGGCCAAAGCTCAACATAAACTACATACATCAGAACCATCGTAAACCTGCCGGCTGAACCAAGCAAGCCGGAGCAGGATTGTGGATAACCGAAAGGCAGTCCCTAGTCATCACAAGCCGAAAGGGTACCCATCCGCCGTACGAGCATGTAGCTAGATCATCCTTGGAGCTGTTCGCACACTGTCAGCCATCGTACTATCAACACAGCAGGTCACGGGCGCGACTCACTCCTCGGCTGAAACCCACAATCCACATAGTCCTCCATAATCCTCCTAGCCTTTTCTTCTTGCGCATCCAACTCGCGGCTATGGTGATGATCCGCGTTTGCGTCGATAGTACGGATATGCTTCGCTGGGTTGCCGGCTACGACGGTATTGTCGGGTACGTCCTTCATATCAGTCAGCCTCGAGTCGCATCATTGCTGTTAGAATGCATGCTTCTTACCCTCGTAACCACAGACCCGGCCCCGACGACCGCTCCATTCCCTATCCTTACATACGGCAGCACGATAGCGCCCGCACCGATGAAAGTATCGTCGCCAACCCAGATCGACCCCGACTTCACCGTCACCCTCGTGCCCGGCCCATCACCACCCGCCCGCACTCTCGCATCCACACTCGTAGTCGAGGTCAACAGCTGCACCCGTGCGCCGATAACGACTCTATTTCCGATGAAAACCCCGCCACCATCCTGCAGATAGCATTCCATAGAAATGATCGTGTCATTGCCGAGGTGGATATGATAGCCATAATCACACTTGAACGGGCTCTCCACAATCGTCCCACTGCCGATATCACCGGCCGGCCCGACAAAGTCCTTTGACTCGCGCGGATCCAAGATTTGAGAGAAGAAGACTGCGCGCTGGCTAGCTGAGATTCCACCGTCCGGTTTCGCGGCCTTGTTATACCGCAAACACGCTTGCGCGCACCGCTCGCGTTCGCGGATGAGTTGCTGGTCAAAGTACTGTAGGTACGGCATGCCGCGGAGCATTTTGTCCTTTTCGGAGAGGTGGTGACGACCCCTGCCAGAGCCGTGGGAGCTGGAGCTGGGGTGGGTGTTGTTCGAGCTGACGTGGGATGGCGGCGGTGGTGGGTATCTGTGTGATGCGTACCCGTGCTGCTGGTGTGCCCATGGCTCCGCGAGTGGAGGTGGCTGTGAGTGTTGGAGCGGCGGCAAGGGCATGTGCGGTTGTGGAGTCGTTGATGCTATGTGGTTGGGAGGCGGTAGTATCGGGTATTCCGACGTAGGGGTGCGTTCAGGATAGTAGGAGCCCGGCGGCGGTAGCGGAGGGGGTGGATGATCGGTATGCCAACCTGGATGAGGCCACGAGTCTCTGCTACTTGGAGGCTTTGCTTCACTAGCTTGGTCTGGTAGCCTACCCCAGTGCGAATAGCTGCGCCCAATCTCCGATTGCGAATGATGCTGTGGATGGCTCTTCGGAGGTTCCCCTTGCGGCCAGTAGCTTGGAGGTCCCACATATGCTGAATCCGTGTAAGATCCGGCTGACGGCTGGAGCGGTGGTTTCGGTTGCGGCATCACAGTGCGGCTCTGTGTCGTTGGTTTGTAGTCCTTCGGAGGTTTGGTTCCATAACCACCGCAATCAAATCTCCCGCGTTCACAGTTCCCACAGATTGGTTTCTTCTCGTCACACTTCTTCTTGCGAGACCGACAGGTGTGGCAGCCTGATTTTGTTCGATTGGTGAAGAGCCTCTTGCGCTTCTTTGGATCGGTACCATCGTTCATCGTAGTATCATCTGGCGGAGACTGGTCATACATCTCGTAGTTGTCTCGTGCTGGAGACGCTTTTTCAGCGGTCTCAGCACGTTGTGCTTGTTGGAACTGCCTTGCAGACTCCATCAATCTGGCCTCTGCACTGGATGACACTTCTGGCGGAGGCGCTCGGTTGAGGTTTGGCACGGGCGAGGATGCCCGGCTTGTTTGACCCAGTCCAGGTCGAATGCGATCGATCTCTACATCGGGAGAAGTCAAATCAACTGCGGAGTCCAACACGTTTGAGAGCAGCCGTCGTTTGGGAGATTCTCGACCGTCAGCGTCGACATTGTTTGATTGAGCATCGTCCTCGTTCTCAGGCCTCTTCCGTTTACTTGCTGGATCGACAGAAGGGTTCGAATCCTCACGGTTAGCAGTCACTTCCCGAATGTCGGGCCGCCACCCATGAGAAGGTAGCGAAGTAGAAACTGTAATGTTTTCGCCAGGTGAGCTTTTGCCAGAGAGCGCCCGCCATGGTTTCGTGGCCTCAGCTGGTCGAAAAGATGAAATAGCATGTGCATCTCCGTTGACGGCGGTGAAGCCCGATGATGCTTTCTCCGAGTCTGGAAGCGACATCTCATGTACCGAGTGCACTGTCTCTCTAGTTGCTGGTGAGATAGTTGCCATGCTAGTTGAAATCGCAGGGTGAGTTGATCAATATTCCAGATGGTCCCAAAGAATCAGTCACGCAGCAATGTCCGGAATTGGTGACAAGCAAGTCACACTTGTCTCAAGTCTCTAGGAAATGTTGTACGTGGGCGTACACCATGCCTTGGTCCGTCCGGCAATGCTGTAGGTCTGTGAACGCCCTTGGTTGTCAAAGTCAAAGTAAGTGGTTGGGCTTCCCGGCTTGCTTCAAAGACAGTCTGATCGATCCCGTTGATTCGGCGTGATGGAGTAATACGGACACGGTCGGCACGGGATATAACAGTTCGCCTGGATTGCGGCGCGGTTGCTGTGCGGGCCACCACCTGGACAGTCGAGCTGCTTGGCCGAGCCGAGTGGCAGAACTGAGGAATTCAGATTTCCCGGGAATCTCCGTTCAGCAGGACATGTTCGCGGTGCAGCAGTTGCAGAAGAGGACGCACAGCGGCGCAGGGAGAATGAGAAGAAATGAGGAGAAGATGCAGCGCTGCCGTCGCTTAATGGAGACGTGCTGCACGATGCGTCGATGCTTCCCGCGTTAGGATCGACCGTTCGCGCTTCGACGGCGCGAGTCTAGCAGTCCAGCGTTTACGGGCCCCGTCCACGGGGATGCTAGCCGACGCCATCAGCAGCTAGGCCGCTCGTCCCCCCGTCCATTGGTTGGTTTAGCCATTTTCGAGCGCTTACTGGGTTAACCGCAGACACTTGTGACGAACGCACATGCAGTTGTGGGGTTGGGGTTGAGAGACTGGCGCATGGTCGGTGCTGTCTCGCCCAGATTGCGCGCGCAACCAAGCACACAAGCACACGTTCTCGCACACGTTCTCGCACATGGCAAAGCGCTGTCGTCACCTCGACCCGCCCCGGACTGTACGAAGGCATCATAGCTATTTCTGCCATCACCGCGAGCGGTACCGTCGGCGCCTGTCGCGGCTGACGATGACGGATTGTCGAGCGCTGCATGACACTATCGAAAGTCCATTCCAGGTTTGATCGAGATGTTGGAGCAAGGTGCCGCTCCTGCAGATACCATCCACGCCGCAAAGCCCTGGTTTAATCTAATTCGCATGCATCAAACTCTGAATGGCTGTTGGCTTCGCTAGCCGGAAAACTGCTTTAAGTTTCAGGGATGTCCCCAGCCGATGTGAGCTGCAGCGATCCCGACCGTCGTCCCGTTCCTCTCCCCGCCCGGCGGATTGCTGCGAACACGCCGGCCCACTGACAGGCTAGTGCGAGCTTCTAGGAGAGGAAACCGCATTGTCCGACAGCCACGTTGACTGGGAATTACCCAACTATCGGGAGGGTTCTCACGTTACACGGCATATAAAAGGTGCCATACAAAAGGTGTCGACACGGCTTAGCCGTCCTATGGAGTAGAAATAGATCGTTCAAGGTGCTCGCGTTGCCAACTTGAATGCATTGCTAATGGAGAGCCTCGACCAGTGTATACCCCTTCAGTAGAAGATAGTTGGGACGTGAGTTAGAGATTGCCGGTCGAAGCGCATTCGAACTACCGAATGCCGTGCTGTCCAGACCAAGAGACATCTCGTTAAGGTTTCAGACGGCACGCAGGTCGACAGAATCGTCGTACCAGCACCGTGGATGACGGAAACACGAAGAACCTTGCTGAACGTCGTATTGCCCCTGTTCTTAATTGCCTTCTTCCCGTGGTTCCAAGCAGACTCAAGGACAGATCACACCCAGTGCTGTCGCACACAAACCGGTCTTGACATCCATCGGACAGCCCAGGAGGCTGTGGTTGTTACCTTCATCTGCTAATACGGCGGCTCAGGGGTCTAGCAGACCGGAGGCCGACCAAGGCCGGCAGGCATGCACAGGCAATCGTGTTGCTTCGATGTTGAATCAGAGCACGTCCTACTAAACGACGCCGCCATGGTGTCGTGAACGTCGGGTCATCTTCGGGGGTTCCCGCTGACAAGGCATATGGCTCCTTCCGTTGTGTAACGCGCAACCCAAAGCCATGCCACTGGTAATTGTGAGGCATCGTCTGTACGTTGTGTAACAGCCTCCGATCGTGTTGGAAGCGAGGGCGTCTTCCCGCTGGCGGAGCGTCCCGGCTTGGCATAGCTGAGCGGAACTTCGTCCTTCGACTTGTCAGGGCGCATTAGTCCACGATAGCATCGTCAGCGCCACCTCAAGATGTCAACCAAAGGGATCGCCAGACTCTTCCAACGACCGCCGCGGTTCCTGTGTCCCTCGGTATCACGCCAATTCGTCCGCACACTCAAGTCAATCCATCCCGGCAAGAACAGCAGCAGATTCAACCATGGCCACAACCTACCAATCCTGGGCTCCTCGCATACCGCAGCATTCTTGCGGAAAGAGCCGATGTTGCCGCTCAGAACAGGCGCACTCGCAATCAAGAAAGGCATGACTGGCGTATACGACCCTGAGACCTGTAGAAGGGTACCTTGCACAGTACTTCAACTGGACAGATGTCAGGTCATTAGTCATAAACGACGAGATACACATGGCTATTGGGCGGTGCAAGTTGGCTCAGGTACCAAAGAGGCGAGGAATGTTAGCAGACCCGAGCGAGGGCATTTCGCAGCTCAAGAGGTCCCACTAAAGGAGCATGTCGTTGAGTTCAGGGTGAAGGACGAGGAAGGGCTGCCGGGTGTCGGCAGCATCATCACGGCAGATCTGTTCAAGGAAGGCCAGTTCGTGGACACAAGAGCAGTGACGAGAGGCATGGGTTTTGCAGGAGGCATGAAGCGATGGGGTTTCAGCGGCCAGCCTGCATCGCACGGTACATCGCTCACCCACCGCGCCATGGGTTCTGCTGGTCCCAGTCAGGGCAGTGGTTCTCGTGTACTACCGGGCAAGAAGATGGCGGGTCGCATGGGAGGCGAGATGCACACTGTACAGAATCTGAAGGTGGTGAAAGTGGATGCTGAGAATGGGATCGTGGTTGTGCATGGAGCGGTGCCCGGACCGAAGAACAGCATGGTAAAGATTCAGGATGCGATCAAGAAGCCATGGCCGGAGGTCGACGCTGCCGTGGGGCTTATGATGCCGGAGGGCATGCCCACGCGGTTAGCGGCGGAGGTCTGAAGAGACGATGGCTGCGAATGAGCCTCGAACGGTTACGAAGCGCGGGAGACGGATGCTGTCGAGTGGTGAAGCATTGGCGGCTGGCTGTGCTAGTCTGCTGCAATGTCTGTCTTGACGGCAGCACTTCGCAATTGGCGGAGTATGCCATCTGAGAGCTCCCTTGACGGATATCCTCAATGCAGCGCCCTTTCTCGCCAGACGGACAGACAACGCATCGATTGGCCACTAGATTGCACCGCGGGGAGCACTGGCAGTTGCGACAGAGTCGAGTAGACGATGTCCGGCGGGGTTGTACAAATACTTACTGTATGAATACTTGTATCAAACAGCGATCTTCAGTTGAGAGGCATGCCATTTCGGAAGTTACACTGTGGTATTACATGTGTCTACAATACAAATCTCGAAGCAACGCTCAACAGCCACGCAGCATCAGACCAGCCATCGTCTGCCGGAGCTGCGCCTTGCTCTCCTCCTTCAGCTCCCGAGCGATTGAGGAGCTTGTCTTTCTCTGCTTTCCTTCTCCGACTCTCTTCTACCATCCGCTGTGCCGCCTCGGCATCCGTTTCGCTTGCGTGCCCACCCTCGTCATCTGTATTCTCGTACCCTTCCTCGACTTTGAACAGGTTGAAATTCATGATCCGGTCCACAACTCCGCCAAGACCGTACGACTTTCCTTCGCCCCCGGCAGTCTCGTCTTGACCCTCCGAGTCCTCCTCAGCATCCACGAAGTCAGGCTCCACTGCCGTAGCAGGAAAATCTTCAGATGTGATTTCAGCTTGCCCAAGTGTCGTGAAAGGCGCCAAAGGCGTGCGCGATCCCGTGAAGCTACCACGGCGCGATGTCAGTCTACTGCCATTCCGACTGCCGTATCTGCTCCCCCAGACTCCAGATCGAGTCTGTACAGGCGAAAGCTCGTCGTCCGCTAGCTGCAATCCCGTGGTGCTTGCGCTCAATGCAGCGAGCTCTTCGTACCCATCGTCTTCGTCCTCGTCTGTGCTATCCTGTAGATGTCCCAAAGATGTCGACGAAGGAAGCTTAGATTGCCACGATTGCCCTTTCGACTCCTGGACGATTGCGTTGCCTGCAGCTCCCGTCCGGATGATCCAATCGTCCTGCGGGCGATTCGGCCTTCTTACTGCTTGTGGAGTCCTCGAGCCACTTGTGCCAGTATTCTGTCGTGAATGATGCCTAACACGGTTTTCTCGGGGAGAGAGCGTTCCTTCTCTGTTCCTATGCCCAAGCAGCGCTGCCTCGCTCTTCGCCTTTGGCATCCGTCCGCCCTTGACCTTGAGATTCGCCGCGCCGACATTGTCTCGCACCATGCTCGAGTACTCAAAGTTCATCGCCTCTGCAGGTTCATGGTCGTATATCGAACTCCTCCGGCTGAGCCCATGTATTTGCCTCCTACTCGAGCTTCTACTGAGTATACCTGGGCTTGCCGGTGCAGACTTGCCCTGGAGATAGGACGAATGACTTCTTTGAAATGGCCCATCGCCTGCGTCTTCGGTTCCAAACCGTACATCCTTGGTCTTGGGTGTATATTGGGAGGAGAGAGGTGCAAGTCGGAGGTTTGAGAGGTTCGTGCTCGATCGCTTCGAGTGGGAGTTCAGGCTCAAGGAGCTGCTGTTTCCTTTGCTTCTCTGTATGAACGTCAGTGTTGCCGTTTCTCTGAGGCATAGACGATCTATGCACTCACTTCCATGTCGCTCGGTTGTTGTACAGAAGGACGAAGGAGGATCGTCGGGAGGGATCACAAGCTGCTACCCCACAAATTGACTTTCACATGAAAGAGGCCTGTGCATTGGGAAGATCAGCGGCCGAGAAGTGGTGGATTGAGTCAAACAGTAGGATGTTCTGGCAGCCTCACAGATACAAGGACGGAAAGGATGTTGAGAACGCACTTCCACGGGTGCCTGAGGTTGTGTCTACACATTATACACTCAGCCAAATACCTATTTACTACTGCTCAATCGATGTCGGCGCCACTAGTAGTACAACCCATCAAACAACGTTTCAACATCATATCACCATGCCCCATCGTAGTCCGAAAGCGCCAGCGTGAGCAACGTAAACAATTAAGCAAAGCACGAAGAAGCATTCCTAGGTATCTTAATAGTTTTGATCGCAGAACGCCTGGAAAAAGCAACCGGAAGTGAGCGAGTCGATGTAAGATGTTGGTAAAAGCTAACCTGTGGCTTTGAAGAATGGGCAAATGGCGAGGGACTCGATCCAGCGAGGTTGCATGTGAGTATAAGTTGCTGTGAGGATCCGGGGATGCAGCAAAGCAATCCGAAAGTGAAGTCTGATCCCTGAAAGACACTCGGCCAAGGATCGATGGCCAGCGGAGTCAGGGGAGCGACGGCGTGACACAATCCATGAATGCAAGAATGGGTGGGGTACGGATGGGATTTTTGCTCGGTGCGGTGCACCTGGCTCTCCAGTCCCAGTGATGGCGGCAGTGAGATCAATATGTCGCATTGAAGTTGGAGATCGACATCCTCGACTGCGTAGTGCCAGAAGACTGCCGGCGCCTGTCATGGCATTCATGACGCTCATGGAGATTCTGATGGTCTTCCCGCTGTTGTTGCTCCTCCTGTTGCTGCTGTTGTGGCGAGGTCACTCGGTCAAAGGACGATTGACGGCAGAGAGCATCGATACTCGTTGGATGCTGCGGCTGGGGCTGGCGGAGTGATGAACTGTTGTAGCTGTGGCTACGACCTTCGTTGAACTCGCAGTTGGCGGTGCGGGTGTTGGAGGGGTATGTTGCGGCTGTGTAGCCGGCATTGCTGGTCCTGGGATACCAGCCGCCGCTCTCACCAAGATTCCCACGCCCATCACTGCTGTTGGGATCCGTGTCGTTGCGATGGCCAATATAGGCGTAATGTGGCGGCGGAGCACCTTGCTGGTAGCTCGGACGACCATCGGTGATGATTGATGGAAGTCCATGCGATGATGCTGCGGAGTAGCGTGCATTCGGAAGTGGAAGCATCAGGTTAGTGGAGGAGCCTGAATTGCTTTGATATCCTTCCGATCCTGTGGGGCCGGAAGTCGGAGAGACGTCTGGACTGCTGTTACTCGAGATCGGTGGCATGGGACCGAATTGGTATCCAAGTGTTGGGTCCGAGTAAGCAGTCGTTGTAGGCATAGCAGTCGTGGAGGGCAGACCGCTGATGGACCTGAATGTAGTCATTGGCGCATCCGAGGACGTGGTGTACGGCGGCACGGAGGTCCACGGCAGAGTGCTCCGGCTATGAGTGCCGTCGAGCTGACCGCGTGAGCCATCATACTGCTCCAGACGGCGCAACTCAGGCAGCTGTGCCACCCAAGGCACCGGCAGCGCTTCTGGCGGGACGTAAGGTATTGGCAAACGTCTGTCGTGAACCATTGATGGTGGGAGTGACGAATGCATTTGACCCATGTTTAGCGCTGAGAAGGAGTCTCCTTGCGAATAGGACATTGATGGAGCTGATATTGCGCCAAACGTGTAACCCATCTGAGGTTCGTAGGATGCGGTTGTCGGCGCGTTCAACGGTGCACTGGTGCTGAAGCTGCGGTAGCTCTCCAGAGGGTATGTGCCGCTGACCGAGTCTTGCCGTTGGCTTGTCGGAGGTGGGTACGTGTAGACGTCAACTGGTGATGGGTTGTAATCCGAGCCGAGTTCTGGTGGGTAGTTGGTGCGAGTGTGAAGTAGCGGCAGAGAAGGTCTGTGCATCCCGTGAGATCCATGCCGGCCACTTGCAGATGCCAGAGGATGATAGCCCGATGCCTGAGCCGGGATGCTCATTGTACCAGTGGCATCCAGCTCGGGCGGTGTTGTCCAATTCCAGCTGTGGCTGCCCACCTGAGATTTGTTAGACTGGCTCCTCAGAATTGACAGAGAACACTCACCCGATTGAAAGTACAGTCCTTGCTGATATCAGCGCCCGAGGACTTGCATGCCGAGCAGCCAGTATTGTCCCCCGGGTCTCCGCTGCACTTGATCTTGCGACGGCGACATCTTGCGCACTACTTCCGTCAGCGTGCGCAACCAAGTGTTGCGATCCTCACACGTACTGCTATCGCGATACGTCGTCGGGCTTGTGAGTCGTTGGAGCCTTGAGGATCCGCCTGGCCGATGTATGTTTGATTGTCGACTTCGTCGTACGGGTCTGGTCGAAGCTCGTAACGCGTCTGCTCATGATGATGCCGGTAGGGATGGCGTCCGTAGTAAGTCACAGGGCCGGTACTTCTGTGGCGAGGGCGGTAGAAGTGATCGAAGTCGGCGTTGTCACCATAATATGCCATCATGATATCGGTGGTGTCGGTGGTCTCACCATGTCGACAGCCGCGGTGGAAGAATAGATTGCCAAACCGATTAGACTGGCTGGATGTAGACGGTCGGCAGAAACAAAAGTCCTTCCAAGTATCAACGAAAGAGAAGAGCGAACTGCATTGCCGACGAGAGGAGGAGCTCGGATGGTGAGAGACTGTACTGCGAAGAGAACAAACAGGGGTGTACTTGGCCAGAGTGGAGACGCAGAAGGCCAGCAAACTTCCATGAGGCTCAAATACTGTGGTGTCCAACGGTTGGTGTTTGCCTTACCATGCCACATAACATTGCTCTCGTTGCCGGAGATATACCGCCTGTGCAGGAGCCAATCCACTTGCCGGCCTCTTCTCAGCTACAACTGACGAATCAATCTCGTTGATGTCAGGACAGTGGGTGGGCCGTTGCCTTCGTTTGAAAGAAGCTTTCTCAGCACAAAATGATGAGGCAGCTACGTCGATCGTACGGTCGCCTGCGTTAGTTACGCATCTGTGCATATGAGCCCGAGCACAGCCCGGAATCAAGGGGACACGGCATGGTCGAGATCATTGTGCTGCAATCTGTGCCTGTCGATGATTGTCTGCTGTGTCTGCACCCACACCTGTCCTATGCTGTGACCACGTCAGATTGATGAAGACAAGTCATTACTCTTGCAGCCAACGAGTGTTTGGCGGCATAGATCAGCAGCGCATCGGCAATCACTCGGATTGCATCCGGCCTTCCAGAAGGCTCCGGTGAGACATCTGTGCAACTTGAATGATGTGCCATTCCGAGAAAGAAGCTGCTCCCGGGTGCTGCTTGGGCCGTTTGGTGGGCACCGATTGCTTGTTCCTTGCGTGATAGGACCGGCAGCCTTGTAGAATGTAGCGCGAAGCTTGTCGAGAGATCAGCTTACCAATGCAAGACCTGTCCATCTGCAGGACGCAACCGCTGAGTTCGCCAGCGGTCTAACTGCTAGCCTGGTCGAGGAAGCATTGGTGCTTCTCCCATGAAGTTCACTCATCATCCCCTGCACTGCAGTGAGCTTCGGTTGGCATTATTGCGACTGCACCAACTGTCCCTCTGTATGGCTTCGTTGAAAACGCAATGGGGAAACCTCTTGAATAGTGTCATTATGCCAGATGCAGTCGGACGGACCGCCCGCTCGAGAGCGTTGTTGAGAGTACTCCTGCTTCTGATCATGATCAATCATTTCCAGCACCGCAATCATGCAGCCACCGCAGCCATGATATCATCGTGGGGTCATGCGGCACTCGTACTGACTGTGGCCCAAGTGGCAGCTTTGATCGTCTGATCTTTAATTACCCTGCAAGTACCGTAAGCCGGTCGGGCCCTTGCACCAATCCCCGGTTGGCTGCAACAGAAGCTCAACGGCTAGGTCTTCGAATATTCCATCGACGTGCGCAAGCGTAACTCCGCGATTTTCTGGCGGCTGAAGCTGCAAGCTTGTCTATTCTATGAAAGCGTCGCAGCCTGGAGACCGCAATTGATGTACAAGCGTCCCAGTGTGAAAGCAACTGTATCGTCCGCTCGATCGCTTCAGGGAGGGTAACCACAATGTCGGGTCTGAATCACGAGCAACATGGTCACCGCGCTGCCTGCATCTGCTGCAATGCTAGCCTACACCGCTGTTGGTCATAGCTGGACAAATGGGGCCTACTTCGTCTGGGTGTGCGTGCATAGTCCGGCTCAAACAGTCCAGGATCACCGGAAGAAATTTGACCGCGGACCAACCCACAGGGACTCTGTACCATTCGACTGATCAGTTCTGTGAGTGTAACGGAAGCAGTACGTATCCTGGAGCGTTGTAGCCGCTGGTGATGTCCCTCCTCGGGAGTTTCTTCTTGTCACGTCCAGCAAGGTGGTAGACTTGCTCAAGGAAGGAAGCAGTGTTGCAGACGCTGTAGATCACAAGAGTAGTCCACAAAGCATCAATAAGTTGCCGGTCCCGACAGTCTGCATACAATGCTGGGAGGTGGCGTTACCAAACCGGAGATGGAAGAGGAGGCGAGGTCACACAAAGGACAGACTAGCGCCGCACTAGGCTCGGCCAGTTCCGCCCGTCTTCCCGTCTCTACGATCGTGTGACATTTGACGATTGAACCACTACCTCAGACTTAACAAGCACAGCAACACTCATATTCGATCAAGCGCGGAGATGTCGGTACTACTCGAGACCTCGGCTGGCGATATCACGGTCGACCTCTTCGTGGATGAGGCGCCGAAGTGCTGCAGAAAGTAAGTCCAACACATGAAGCCACCGACATGCGCCAACCGTAGGCTGATCAGATTGCTAAGATGTGATTACTCGCTCATAGTTTCCTGAAGCTCTGCAAGATCAAGTACTACAACTATTCGCCGGTATACAACGTCCAGTCAAACTTCTCGTTCCAGACAGGTGACCCGATCGGGCCTGAATCGAAAGACAGCGATGGAGGATCTTGCGTGTGGGCGCTGCCGGATGGGAGTACCAAGCGAGCTTCCAGAAAGGAGAGAACGACATTTGTTCCTGAGATGTCAAAGAAGAGGAAGCACATAGAGCGAGGTACAATGAGCATGGCAACTTCACAATCCAAGTCGAATCCAGACGAGCGATTGGCGAGCAGTCAATTCATCATCACGCTTGGTGAGAACGTTGAGCAGCTGGACGGGAAAGCTGCGATCTTTGGAGAGGTTGTTGAAGGTTTCGATGCTCTGGAGAAGATCAACAACACATTCGTGGACCAGTCTGGCCGGCCGTTACAGGACGTCAGGATACTGCATACGGTTGTGCTTGACGATCCTTTCGATGATCCGGCGGGTATCATTGAACCACCGCAAAGCCCGCTACCATCCACCGAGCAGCGTGCAACAGTCCGCATAGCGCATGACGAAGTGCTGGAGGAAAACGACGATCCGGAACAACTGGAGAAAATCAGACGAGAACGAGAAGCACGTGCCCAGGCTCTCACGCTCGAGCTTATCGGTGACCTGCCTTTCGCAGAAGTCACGCCGCCAGAGCAGATATTGTTTGTATGCAAGCTCAACCCGGTGACTCGAGATGAGGATCTAGAGCTCATCTTTTCACGATTCGGCAAGATCTTATCCTGTGAGGTGATACGGGACAAAAAGACGGGTGACAGCCTTCAGTACGCCTTCATCGAGTTTGGCAACAAAGAGGACTGCGAACGGGCTTACTTCAAGATGCAAGGTGTTCTCATCGACGACCACCGCATTCATGTGGACTTTTCGCAGAGTGTGTCAAAGCTATCGAATGACTGGCGCAGTACGACCAATTCGAAGACGGCGAGGTCACGTGGCGGCTTTGGAGGCATCGAAGGCTTGGAGAAGCGGAGACAGTACCGAGGGGCGGAGGGTGCTCGTGAGCGTGGCGATAAATATGGCTATGTCTTTGATCGCGACGAGCGCCGAAGACGAGAGGAGAGGGACTCGGACCGTCCAAAACAACGATCGCGCAGCCGCAGTCCTTACCGTCGCGACCGCTACGAGAAGGATAGGGATGATGGAAGGAGGAGCAAGCATCGCGACTATGATGACCGCACTCGGGATGACGGCAGGCGAAGACGCAGTCGCGAGCGCTACTCGGGAAACCGCCGTCGTCGCTCGAGAAGCTAAGTCTCTTCTCATGTACCAGTAACAGCCTCTCCGCAGCACATTCACTCTCATGGTCCGTGCCCATTCTTCGCCCACGTGGTAGGTCGCATTGTTCGAGCAAACAAAGACATTGACGTGAGGTCCTCGAAACCGGCGAACAATGGAAATTCACATGCCTCCCTGATTCGGCGACCCTATTCTTTGTTGCCAAAAGCTTTCCTTTTCCGGCTTCACCCAACAAATATTATTGTCGACTACCAAACCTATTCTTCGAGTCTCACAACAACCAACAACAGTGACTACCATCGTCCAGACCAAGATCGACGGTCACACCGATCCCACAAGTAACCGACAGAACCACAAAGCACCACCATCATCATGACAGGTACCGAGAAAGTCCTCGTCTACGAGTACCGTGCCGGCCGCAAGGACGAGCAGCCACAGATCATGACCGTGTCCGAAGTCGACGAGAAAGTCCGCAAGAGTACGTCACTATCCTCTCTCCCTCCTTCCCTTGCACTTCTAACTCGACATCCTACAGGCTGCGGCAGTATCCAAAAGACCGTCATGGACATCACTGGCAAGAGCGTCGTCACCGTCCGCGAGAACGACCTGCGCACGCCCGAGCAGCAAGCGGCGTGGAGCTCGAAGCCGAATTCTGAGGCGAATGTGGCGAGTGTGACGATCCCGTTCATGACGAGGCTGGCTGGGAAATTGACAGGGAGGTACACGGATCTGGTGATTTTGAGTGCGGCAAAGGTTGTGGAGGGGAAGTAGGGGTGGAGCGAAGAGGAACGTGTGGTGCTGGGCTGTAGTGGTGCTTGATAATGTGGAAGGAGGGATTCTGTTCACTGCTTAAACGGTCAAAGCTGTTTTCGCCCTGATAGTTCCGGTAAGTCTTTGCTTTTACGTCTGTCTCGATCGTGCTGTTACTGTTTTCGCATAGTTCTGCCGCGCTCTCAAGTATGTCTCATGCCACTCTCGGCAACGGATCATGATACTCGAAGATCTTGTCACCAGTCACGCCCGGCGCCTTCCACGTGCTGATGCCAGTAATGGAATTGTAAGTCTCGAAGCTGTTGGACAATCTCTTTCCGCCGCCACCAGGAAGATCTACCACGAACGACGGTGTCATGAAGCCAGCAATCGTGCCTCGGATGTTCCTCTCCAGCTCGAGGATGGTGGATAGCGGCGTGCGCAGGTCTTCTGTCCCGCGTACCATGTCTGCTTGATAAACGTAGTACGGCTGGATATTGAGGTCCGCCAGCAGGCGAATGAGCTTCGACATGGTTTCGATGTCGTCATTAACTCCTTTCAATAGCACGGTCTGGTTTCGAACTATAACGCCGCGTTCGAACAAGTGACGGGCGGCAAGCTCTGTAACCCAGTTGATCTCCTTCGGATGATTGAAGTGCGTGTGCATGGCCACCTGCTTGCCCACAGATCGACCTTTGTTGCTGACATCGATGAAAGCTTCGGCCCACCCGTCCTTGGAGTCGAGAATGCGAGCTGGGTTGACAGCGAGACCTTTGGTGGCGAAGCGAATGCGCTTGATATTAGGCATGTCCAGCAGCCGTTCGCCAACCAGCCGCACATGATCGGGTGCAAGATAGTAAGAGTCGCCGCCTGAAACCACCACATCTTGGACTGCTGGTGTTTGAGCAATATAGTCGAACATCGCATTCCATCTCCGAAGCGTTGGCCTCATGGAAGCTTTCGTGACGGATTCGGTGGGACCACCGACGGAGTACGATCGGGTGCAGAACCGACAGTATACCGGGCAGATTGATGTCGCTGATGGATGTTAGCACGCTGAAGATCCGATCTAAGAAACCGACTCACCGAGGAAGAGCACCTTGTCGGGATACCGATGGACAAGGCCATCCAAAGGCGAATCGTCAGTCTCGTGTAATGAATCCAATGACACTGCAGCATGATCCGGGACGATCGTAGTGGCCAGAGGAATGAATTGACAGCGGATCGGGTCTTCAACAGGGTGCCTCCAATCGATAATGCTGAGGATGTGAGGCGTAAGGCGAATAGACATTGGTGCGGCCTTGATACCCTCCTCAACATCTCGGATGAACTGATCGGATGAATCGCTGTTCCAGCCCGGTTGCTGTCCCTCATGTGCTTCGTCGCTGACCTTTGGAAGTACTGAGCTCAAGAAACGCATGAGCTTGTCCTTCCTATCAATCGTATTGGCGATCTACTCCTATTAGAAGAACAGGTTCCCAAAGATTGCCGGCTCGTTAAAACACATACGTACCTGCCATCTGTGACGGAGAAAGTCTTCCTCAGAGACGTCCTTCCAACACTCAATTTCCTGCCAGTATGGCCTGCGATGGACCGGGTAAGCTGAATTCGGTGGGCAGTCCACCGACCGTGGGTTTGTTGACCGCGAAAAGAGTCTACGAGAAGGATAAACCGTCACGGCCAAGTCCTTTGTGGAAAACCAACGCGATAGAGAATAGCGAAGCTCACGAGTGGATGCACGACTGTTTCTGTACTTGAGAGGGAAGTGAGTATTCCGTAGCTGCGCGTATATCGTGTTGCCAACCATTGTAGCCGCAGCTTTCCATGAGTACCCACCAAACTGAGGTGGTGTGAGTCTTATCATAGCGGCGAGAAGCGTCTTAATATCTTCTAGAAGGCTCCATGAACGTACCACGCTCAACCTTGGCAGGGGTTTTGCTGCTGAATGAAGGCCTTGGGCAATGTCTAGACAATTGAGGAAAATCCGCACCTGCCTGTCTCGGTGTGGATCAGAATGCTGCTCAATGGTTAGACCTGAGCAGCGCGGTCCGTCGAACCTCGGGAGGTGTATGGGGTTGCTGCACGATAATATGGAGATTGAAGGGTAACCCCGGTTGTTCCGATCCTCGCTGCCTCCCTTGTCCCGCACATGCAAACTGCCATCTTATCCGCAGCGGGCATCGGAATTGTCGAGCAGAGCCTCATGTTCTTTCGTGCCTGAGCTCGAGGTGATTGAGTAACACAGTGGGGATCGCTGTTGCCATTGGTTGGATGAGATGATGGAGACTCCATCCTCAGTATGCATTCGAATACAGTGCGGTTGACGCGTCGATTAGCGAGACATCTCCATGCCAGGCCCATAACGGCAAGAGCCTGTAGCTTCCTCTTCGGTACGGCAATGCGAAGTTGATGAGAAGGAGTGCAGTCGTTGGAGTGGAGAAAAGTTCGGATCTTCCTCGGAGTTCATCGATGAGAGCAGCTTGATCACGTGCTGGCGGAACGTCCCGTTCTCCTCGCAAGTCGACTTCAGACCACCATTGGAGCTTATCACAACCACAACACCAACCGACACGCACCAACAGCCGAAATGTTTGCCCAACGAGCCCTTCGCGCACCACTGCAGATGTCTGCACGTGGCATGCGCCCGATGGCCTTCCGCGCCGCCGCCATCGCCCCCTTCAGCACCAAGCAAGCCCCCATCCAGACCCAGGTGCAGCAGCAGTCGGCACCCAAGGCCAAGTGGTTCGCACCTCCACCGCCGCCAGGCAAGCACATGGTATGCTACAACTGCCTCCGCTGTGATTTCACGGACCTTATGCGGGTTAATAGAGGGGCTTAGGTCATTGCTAACATGCATGTCTTGTAGGTCCCCGTCAAGGCCGCCATGCCACAACTCGTCCCCTTTTACTTCGTCAACGAGGTGGTCTTCGCCTTCACCATCATCCCACTCCTTATCTACGTCTTCTCGAAGTACATCTTGCCAGCGCATCTTCGGCGGTACGCGGCCCGCCTGGCCACCAGCAAGCTTTGAGGGAGGCGATGGGTTCCGAGAGCGGGGATGGGGCCCATCAAGGCTCGAGGCAATATCAAGAGAGCAAGGTTTTGTTCACGAGCCCGGTCGCAATGGGTAAAGCTGGAGAAGTATCGATGGCGGGAAGGGAATGGAAGAAACTTATAAATACTACTACGAAGTGGTGAAAACAGATGATGGTATCTTTGTTGTCATACACTCACATTCCTCATCATCGGAAGCGGCAAGTGGAAGCATGGAGCATATTCGTCTCAAGCCTTCAGACTAATCACGTGATCCGCCCAATAACACAAAAGCAAAGCCTGGAGAGTTTACAACCAGCCTGGATGGAACAGCCATCCCCATTTCGCTGTAGACTGCGCCCGAACCCAACGCAAGGCCACCAAAGCTCAAAACTAACTTGATTGAAAAAGCCAACCCCATCTCTCCGCAAACTGCCTACTCATGCTCCAAGCCGTTGGATCCCAGCCAGGTTTTCCAGGCTCCAAGGCAAATGAATCCATTGAAAACAGATCTCGCAAGAAGCTCTCTTCGTCGAATAATGCATTCAGCGTGATGACGTTGTCGCGGAAGGCTGGGAATGGCCATCGATCGATCCAGCGGGTATGTATGATCGAAAGCTGTAAGGTGGTGGGGTGCAAAGGCTTGGGTATATGAGCAGCGGCTGGAGTTGATCTCGAAGGTACAGTTGTGCCGCACGTCAGGCCCATCATCTCGCCATTGGCAAAGAGGGCGGCGAAGATAGAAGAGGGAATCTCTGATGCTATGGTCCCGCCAGATCTTGACATGGGGATGCACGCGACGCTCATGGTCGACATTGGCGAACGCGGGATCATGGAGAGCCTGTTGTGAAGTGGCGATACGGGAGAGTCCGGATTATTCCCAGACATCTGTGCGCTTGAAGATTTCCTGTGGGTAGCGGTACCATTGCGTCGTCGCCGCTTCCTTTGAGAGAGTCTGTTCTGTATTCGCTTCCGAGCCGCCGGATCCTGTACGCCATACCAGCAATCAGCTTCTCCAACGAGCTCCATGGCGGCGTTCGAGGTTATCAGTGTTCCGATTGCCGTAGATGTTCATGCATCGATGGGCGTTGCCCAGCATTTGAAATGTTGAATGCTGCAGCTGAGTAATGATTAGATTGGTCATCACCGCTCCTTGTGTATCAGAATCCTTGCAACATGTCGTCTTCTATGCCGTGCAAGGCCATCCACTATCAGTTCAATGGCAGAGAGTACTGCCTCTAATGTCTCCCGTGTATGTACATGGAAACCGATGCTACGGCTCAAGGCTCGGAGAACGGCGAACGAACGGAGATCTCCTCGGATGAAAGGCAGATCTGAGCCGAGATAGCCTTCCTCTTAACAACCTAACCCCATGCTCAAAATCTCCTACCTCCACTGCAGGAACACCCCTTGGTCTACCCGTCCAGATCCCTTTGGTTTGTCTACAACGGAACGTTGATGGGATGGCGGCGCAGCCGCGATCTCATCAACACAGTCTCGTGTACTGAGGATGGAGAGTCGTGGAGGACATTGGGTCCGACACTTGTGATGAGTAGCCATCTCGCCCGGCACGGACGAACACAAGGTGTTACCAATGCATGAGCAGGCTGAATTAGACTGGTGCCGGCGTGGGGACGGTCGTGAGCCGCCTTGCAACGAAACGAACAGTCGGCACATGCCTTAACCCCGAAGCCTTCGCGCGTCTTTCGCTGTTAACTCCATCGGCCACGATGAGTACAAGGATGACTCTTCGGCTTCAATGCTGTTTTACAGGTAGTATTCTTTTGCGGTCATAACCATTCTTTTGCATTTCAAGTATGCACAGCAAGTTGACACCTAATTGCACTTGATCGTCTTTCCACCCGGTCATGGAGGACCCTGAAAAGACCCTAGGCCAGGGTGCGGCCATATCGAAAGACGAGTCGGAATCTCCAACGAGTCTCGTGAACTCCATCGACGACAGTCAAGATGCTGTGCCCACCGAGGTGCCAACGCCCACACGTTCGATCATCGTTGATTGGGATGAAAATGATCCAGAAAATCCCCAGAACTTGTTAGTTCTACTGTCAAGACGTTCAGAAAACCGCTAAGCCATCGGTACAGCCCACGATCGAAGAAATTCCTCATAACCTGCACGTTCGCTGGTTTAACTCTCACGTTTACCTTCGGCTCGTCTATCTTCAGCGCTGCTACCTTGCAAACCTCGGAACGATTCGACGTCAGTCCAGAGGTCATGATCCTGGCGACATCACTGTACCGTGAGTCCGTCCGCTTCGGTTGACCGATTTCTTACACTTAGTTGTGGCCTCCTCCAGTACGAGGCTTCTATGCTAACAGGGTTGTTCCTATAGTCGTTGGCTTTGGCTTCGGCCCTATCATATTCGGGTTGGTTTGCGCCATATGCTGTGCCTACGATGATACTGATTGATTTCTACAGGCCAATGTCCGAACTGTACGGCCGGAAGATCCCTCTCTTCTTCGGCTTCGTCGTATTCGCCATCTTACAGATACCGGTTGCGGTCGCCACCAACCTGCGGACTGTCATGATCTTTAGGTTTCTACAGGGTCAGATGCTAAGACGCTTACAACACTATCAAACAGACTACTGACACATGTTCAGGACTCTTCGGATCATCTCCGACGGCGGTCATTGGAGGTGCCCTTGCGGATTTTTGGGATGCCAGGGAGAGGGGGTTTGCAATGCCTTCTTTCGCAGGAACGCTCTTTGCCGGACCGATTTTTGGACCGATTGTGGGTGCTTTCATCGTTGATTCTCACCTTGGGTGGAGGTGGTACGTTGATTCGTCTACCGAGCTTCAAGCTGGCCAGCCTGGCTTACTGTCGTCAGGACGCAATGGATCACGTTGATACTCGCGGGTTTCTTTGGCATCATCGCATTTATATGTGTCCCGGAGACATACGCTCCCGTTCTTCTATCTCGCAGAGCCAGCCGACTACGACGTGATACTGGCGATTGGCGGCTTCATGCTAAACACGAAGAACGAAAGGTCGACTTCAAGGAGATTACGACCAAGTATCTTGCTCGGCCAGCAAAGATGATGGCCCTTGAGCCGATTCTGGCGCTTTTTACTGTCTATCTATCGTTCGTCTTTGGTGAGTCTTCAGCGTCAATCATACTGCAGACGGCCGCACTCTAAATCCATTCCCAGGCTTGGTATATCTCTTCTTCGAAGCGTACCCAGTCTCCTTCTCAGAAGAGCGTGGCATGAGCCCAGGAGTGGCCAGCCTGACATTCATCAGCATTCTTCTCGGAGTGTTCTGCGGATGTGCTCTGCTCGCCTTTACAACCACCACACGCCTTGCCCCGAACCCTCAGGAGGGACGATTCCAGGAGACTCGCTTGTTGCTTATGATTGCTGGAGCCGCGACATTACCTATTGGATTGTTTTGGTTGTAAGTGTCTCCCACACCATAGAGACTGCTTTCATTCCGTCTCAGCTTCCAATTACTGATCGATATCAGCGCCTGGACTTCGTTCCCAAGCATCAACCCGTGGCCTCAAATTATTGCCGGCGTTCCAATCGGTTTCAGCGTCATCGTCATCACGCTTCAAGGTCTCAATTATATTATTGATTGCTATACAGTCAATGCCAACTCTGCTCTGGCTGCAATGACCTTTGTACGCTCTTGGTTCGGCGCTGCCTTCCCTCTGTTCGCCGGCATCATGTTCCGCAAGCTGGGTGTAAGTACTTCTACTGGCAAGGCCGGAAGCTTTTGCTAATCGGGTGATTTGATTTGTAGGTTCCTTGGGCGACCAGCACGCTGGCATTCATTGCATGTGCTCTGCTTCCGGTGCCTGTCTTGTTTTACAAGTTCGGAGCGAAAATCAGAAGCATGAGCAAGTACGTACCGAATTGAAAAAGAGAACGGAGGAGTACAACGAATCGGGCTGTGAGGCATGCGATCAACTCTGCCAGGAATCAGTTGTTGATCTTGAGATGGCACCACGGACGACATATGCAAATACTTAGAATTCGGGATGGAGCAGCTCTATCTGCCCGTTCTCGACCATCAGCGCTATCCACGCTTGAGAAGAAGGGTACTGGGTGGGACCATCTACAGCTTGAAATCGCTAGGCCAGCCAGGATCCTTGTGGTTCTTCGAAGAGAATTGATCGCAATGCACAAAAATTGGTGTGCATGTCTACGCAGTGATGCCGATAAGGAGTGAACAGAGTCAAAATAAACACCGAAGACCTCTTTCATAAGTACAGTCCAAAGCTGCGACTCATCTCTCATCCTCACGGGTAAGCCATGCCAATATTGTATTCTTCCTCCATCAGTGAGAGGCTGTATGGCACGCCATCAGTCGAGGTGGTTCCGGTCCTGAGACCTTTAGCCTTGTCGTCCTGGCCATTGATGCCGGTGTGCCGATCTATCATGGTCCTAAGATCCCCGAGGGATGGTCGCCGGTCCGGATCGAACCTAACGCACTTTGTTGCAATCTTCCTCAGCGTCCCAGAATATCTGAGTATCAAGGGTGGTACGAGTACGGGCTCCGCCTGTGGCCTGCGGAAACGAGGTCGGTATGGTGCACCCATCAATCGAAAGAGGACCAGTCCGAGTGCAAAGACGTTGGTCCACTCTCCGAGTTGCCAGATGTTCTTGGGCCACGCCGTGTGATGTTGTTCGTAAACGAAACGCATCTGTTCAGGAGATTGCCACTGTTCGGTCCCTGAGCCTACAAACAGAAGAGCAAAAAGGTTAGCGAGTGCTTCAGACATGATAAGGTTTTGCTCATAGGATGATGGGGTACCATTGTTGTAAGCTAGAGGATTGTTTTCGTCGTCGTCGTCGGTCATGATAGCTAGGCCAAAGTCTGCCAGCATGGCATGAGGATAGTTGGGGAAATCAGAATTGGGATCCGGCGCATCCAACAGGATGTTCGGGTTCTTCAGATCACGACTACGGGAGAAGAACGGTGTATTAGTCAACGCTCTGGACCAGACGCGACGAGCCCTCCAGCGTGCGGTCTCTCGCAAGCACCTTCGTGTCCGAAAAGGGATACTGTGCTTTGACTTACTGGACGATGTTTTTCCAATCTTTCTGCTTGGAATCTCTTTGAGCGTCACCGTACTCCAGTAGTAGCAATGCTGAGACCATGTCGTTAAGTATCGACCAGATCGCGGGCTATTAGCAGGACAGAAGGGCTGCCGTTAGTCTGCGTTAAATACATTTGAGGTGGCGTGTATTAAGCTTACCTCAGGAATGAACTCGTGTCGTTGGATAAGATCATCCAAGTCTCCCTGAGGACAAAAGCCCATGTCTGCGAGCATCAACGTTAGCCGCGGTATCACAACCTTCTCCTAGAGGAAGACTCACATATGCGGTACCACAGATCGTTGTCTCTCCGTTGATGTGCTCTGTAGGCCACGATGTGAGAAGATCCATTGCGTCCTTGCTCTGTCAATAACTGCATCTATGCGATGATTAGCCGCTGATCTCCTGTATTGGCTCAGCATACGCACGATCTTGATCTCGATATGCTGGTTACTTGACATGTCTTTCGCATCTCCAAACCACTTTGTCCAATCAGTCCACGAGCCGTGGGGGCAAAAGTTATCCTTGGTCGCCACTCGGTCCACGATCTTCCCTTCATGTACCTTGAGCCACAGCTGCACAAGGCCAAAGCCGCCGCTCCCCAGATACTCGGGCTTAGCAATCCATTCATCTTCGTCTTCATCATTTTCATCATCAATCAGTTTGTGTAGGAACTTTCCTCCTATCTCCTTGTTGGCGAAATAGCGGTGCGCGATCTTCCTCGCATCACCACTTTTGTCGTAAGGAAAACCTTCTTCAGTGTACGTCCCGCCTTCAGAGTTCTCGGAAGACTTATCGCTAGTAAAGTCAGACGAGAGTGGCGAGGATGGCTCGCCTGTGTCACCCTCAGGTGCCGACTCAAGAGGCAGTTGAGAAACGCCACTGGCGACAACATCACCCAGAGCGGCTCCAAGTGGAGGTGCGGCCGGCGGATAGCTCTGCGGTGAAGTGGCTGCATTAACACCGTCTCCTTCGCCGAACGCATCCAACCCTGATCCATCGTTTCGTGCAAGCTGAGCGTACGCACGCTGTGCCAATCGACCAGAGGAAGGGCCGGCGGGATCTTCGGGCGAGACTTCGGAGCTCCGCGATGGCGAAGCCGCCGGTGCTGTTGCTGGTGCTGTTGCTGGTGCTGTTGCTGGTGCTGTTGCTGGTGCTGTTGCTGGTGCTGTTGCTGGTGCTGGTGCTGTTGCTGGTGCTGTTGCTGGTGCTGTTGCTGGTGCGGCTGGAGCGGCTGATACTTGCGCTGGTACTTGCGCTGGTGGCAGGGCTTGCTGGACTGTTGCTGCTGGTGGTATTTGTGCTTGCGCTTGCAATTGCGCTGCGCCGGCATTAGGAGGAGCTGTGCCATCCCGAAGTAAACCATCCCCCATGTTCGCAGCCACAGCGTTCCTCGCCTCCAGCCGTTGCGCTCGTGGATCAAGTCCCGTCCATGTGTTCACGATCTCAGGACGAGTTTTGGTTGTGATACGTAGTTGCCAGTTGATGTAGGCTGTTTGATTTGCAGCCATGGCTGAGTGGTGTCTGTCGCTTCAACCTGCTCCGCGAAATTGCTGCCAGGCGTCAACCACAGATACCGATGGCTCACAAGTGTACAGGCAACCATATTTGCTGAGTGCTGCTCGAGAGATCTCTTTGTTCGACGTGCCGGATGCGTCTGTTGTACCAAATGATGAAGTGGGCGAGCTTGGGGCTCCTTTGTCTTTGCAGAATGAATTGTGTTGAAGCGCTGTGTCCTAGCAAATAAAGAGCAATAAACCTCTCGACGATGCTGTAGGCCATAGTAGATACAAGGGGGGGGGGGGGGGGGACAGCAGCGCGGCAATGGCCGGGCTCGCGGAGAAGACAGGAAAGATACGATGGCGATTCATCGAAATGTCAGACAGCAGCAGTTCTCCGTCTTCAAATCGAGGCCTGTACAGCCGTTGCTGGCATTTCAAAGCTGTGCGCCTCTGGGAGAACTTCTCGCCCTGCACTTCGGATTTTCCGTCATCCGCGTTGACTCAGACCACCACGTCTTTTGGAGGCGTCGAGAAGGATGAGTGACCCTCTCGAACTTCGTGTCGAGTCCAAAACACCTTGGGTCGCTTCATATTAGGCGATACCGTGTCGGAAAGAAGTTCTCGGCGTGTCGATGATGCATTTCCCCTCATCCTCTCCGGCAAGGTAATTCTGCGACTCCGACAGCCTGGACGTCTGCTTTGTCGGTGCTTGGCAAAACGGAACAGTCCAGTTTCCAGTTTCTTCACAGTTGGCATGAGAAGTACTGTCCCTTCTTCGGTGCGGATAGTTCCCGCGATCCGTAAATCTCGATGCAATTGCAATGCTTGAGCACAACCTTCCTGCTTGGCACCGGTACCGACCCGGAAACTAGTGTTCTCTCAGTCAGAGCAGCAGGATACTTAGGTGCCACTGCTCTTTGATGCTTGGTACCCTTCATGGCCTGCTAGATATTGGTATTGTTGCGCGACATCTTGTCGTTGCCCCTCGACGGCTCTGAGACGTATGTAGCGAGTTGATCGTTCCACTTTTGAGGAGTCAGTAGTGCGAATGATGCTAGCGAAAAGCCAGTGAGTGGCGGGCACCTTGCGCGAGCTGAGGAAGACGACGGAGCTGTTCCCGTCACTGTCGTTGCCGTCTCGCTTGGTGCGCTGGCCGACGAGCACCACGAGTTGCTTGGTGAGCCAGTGTCGCTTAGACTAGGTGCTGGATCGCCATGTCTCTCGGACATGTTAGCTTCCACTCAGCATGTGATGGGCTGGGAAGCGCCATACTTTGACTTTGTTCGGTGTTCGATTGGAACTCGTAGTGATGGGAGGGTACAGTCGGTGTTGAAATCGTTGAAGGTGAACTGAAGCTATTTGCACGGGAAGAGACGGAGGTGGAGTTCTTACCAGGAACCATCCCTCTCCAAGTATCGAGTATGACAATCTGGCCATCTTGCGGATCTATCTCGCAGCGTGTCATGTCGGGGGAGGTCAGCCACACGTCGTTACACTGGAAGGAGAGGAGACGTACCGTATTGCGACTGTCTGTTGGAGAGGGCGGAACCTGATCAAGCTGTTTCTCAATCTAAAGGAACATCTCATCAATGGCAGGACCGAAGAACTCGGCAATCTCGGTGCTATCGACATTTCCCAAGGTCAGCATTGCAGTATGAGGCTTCACACCGCTTTTCTTACCCAGATTTGGAAGCGCTCCAGAGTGGCCGAAGCGGAATCCCAGCTGTCGATAGTCATTGTGATTCGGCGTCGAAGCTCTTTTGGCGTACCCGTAAACTTATGTTTCACGCCGTCAAACCAGGTCATGGCCTCATGGCGGAACTCCACGGGTTGAAGACCCAACGCCCTGCACAAAGCTTCGAGGCCACCCTCTTTAGCAATCTTTGGGTGATACGCCAACTAGTCGAGAAATCGAAAGGTGACATCTTGAGAGCCGCATAAGGCACCTGGATTGTCATCAGCTTGGTTGATTGACAAAGGACCTCGACCGCAAAGTTGACTTGCCATCAGGTGTCCCGACTTGGAACAGCTTGACTTGAGCTCCATCTTCAGGATCGTCGCCGAGTCTAAAGGTCACAAAGTCCCCCGTACCGCCTCCAATGTCCGCCACAAGAACGATGTCTCCGATCTGGAACGAAGCCGACGCCAAGCTTCTGAGGCCGTGGGTGTAGAACGCGGTCGCACACCGGGATTCATGGACGGTGTCAACACTAGCGCACCCGGCAGCGCGAGCAGCATCGGTCAACATCTTATTGACCACGCTGTCCCACATCTGGACGCAGTGTCAGTCGCAACGGCTATCAGCTCTTGCCCGAATCGAATCTGGTTGGCTCACCTGAGGAACACCGATGAAGAGGTGCACTGGCACGCGACCGATCTCGTCTTTCGACATGGAAGAGTAGGTCTTCGCTACTGCAATCTTCTCCGTGGCGTATCCGATCACACTTCTTAGATACGCTGCAAGAAGATCGTCCAAGTTATAATCATTTCCGAGCTGTTTATCGACAATGACACTCTCCTTGGCCTTCGATTGTGGAGTGTGCCCGTCGTAGAGAGCCAGCTTCCAGAGCTCGACCACGTCTTTCTGCTGGATGATCCCGTTGTTCAGAGCTGCTTGGACATGCTGATGTCATTAGCATCGACTGATGTCAGAATTTCTTGTAATGGAAAAGAATGGAAAAGCATACCGGCCCCCAGTAGAACTCTCCGTCGGCAGCAAATGCGACAGCCTGGGTGGTGAATGACTCGGACCCGAAATAGAGGTCATGAATGGGACCCAAGACCTCTTTACCCGCAACTATAACGATTATCAGCGATGGTGTGTGGCGAAGTGCACATAACAAAGATTTTCACAGTGGGTCCCGTCGGTGTGGAAAGACAAAAGCAAAAACCGGCAGGAACATGATTCGCATTCATACCTGTGGTAACATCTCGATGGGCAAGCGCGAGCGTCGTTGTCCCAGGATCGATGCCAATCTGAATAGCATTGAGTACTTTTCCAGGTCCGGTGCTCCTTTTCCCAGCGTGATTCGCGAAGGGTAGCTGCGACCTGAGACCCGTGCTGGAATCGTCGTCGCTCTCCGGTTCACTCGTCACTGTACTCGGATGAGAGTCTAGAACCGACAACAGGTCCGATGCTGCGCTGCGAGCTCTCTTGGTTCGTCGTCTGTCGCTCGGTATACGTTCTGGACGACTGCGTTTGATCCTGGCCGCCGGGGACTCCACGGCCCTCTTCGAAGGGCCAGTTGTACTCGAGCTGTATGGTGATGATCTAACGGAGACCATGGTGCATGGATACCTGAATGAAGATGTCCAGAGTGGCTTCAGAAACCGTGTCCCAATGTCAGAAATGGCGGGTGGTGAATGAGCCTGCGGCGTCGTCTTTTCCGTGTATCGAACGCACCGAGCTGGAAGTGTCTTGGTACGGTTCGTTGCATAAATCAATGTGGGACGCATCGTTCGGAATCCCCAGTGATGGCAACTTTCGATCGATGTTTGTTTCACTGCAGGAGCTGTTCCGCACGAGCGGCAGCATACTTTGAGCAAACGGAAGCAAGTCAGTCTCGAGCCCGAGAACGATCGATTGGATTAATCAGATGTCGATCTCTCCCAAGCAGCCGGTTCCAGTCGCATATTTTAGTCTTGTCTGTTGCTTGTACGACTCCCGAGGTGTGCGTTTTGCGACCTGTCACACTCTGGCGCACTTGCACTTCCGAGCCGAACGCCCCGTACTCTGGAGAATAGCGTAAAGCAGTCCACAATAGCACACTGCTCTCTTCGTTTCCCGCCCGTCCGACAACCCTCAAGCTCTAGAGCACAGCATGCCTAGAGGCCGTGGCATAGACCCTGGTCGAGCATCTGCTATGAGACAAATTCTCGATCGGATCGATCAGCAACAAGGCGAGCTCAACACAACCGTAAGCCAGAATGAGCTTGTTGCTGAAGTCTGCGAACACCATCCAATATTTTACAAGAAAGAGGTAAAAAGAGGCCAGACACTGTTCGGAAAAGCAGAGTATCAAAGATCCATGGCCTCCATCGCGGACAGATACGTCAGCGAGGTGTCGACGGTGCGACGTCCTCACAAAAGCTGAGCAAATTGTGGCTGTTGGGAAGCAAGGCTCTCCGTCGAAAAGGGAAGCGAAAGCTTGAGATGGTCAAGCGAACAGAAGGCATTCCCAGCGACGAGGGTGACACCACAGCGCAAACGGCGGACGTGACCAACCGTAGGAGAAACGCTTTGGTCGCCGATCCAGTGATATGTGACCGTCCCGATGAATCGTTGGAGGCTGTGACAGACGAGGTCCGAGGAGCGCAGGCCGAAGTTGATAATTGCCAGCCTGGAACTGAATCATTCTCAGCATCCATCAGACAAGATATCGTTGTTGGCGAAACTCCAGATGTGTTCTTGCCAGGCGGCTCCGAACGAGCGCTTCTCAAAGATGGTCAAGAGTGTCCAGCGCAGTCAACAGAGCCCCTTGCCTGTGTGGTTGAAGCTCTTGGTGGGGGAGACGAAGCAGAATCAACAGCAAATGCTGAAGATACGGTCTCGAACAATCGAAGCGCAAAGTTTCATCTTCGCCAGCTGATCAGAACGTCCGCGGTCAAGTCATCCAGAACGATTCCGGCCTTCACAAACGGCAGGCAAGTCAGGCAGCAGCGAGAGCAATTGCATGTCAAGGCAACGATGCAACAGGATCCGCATCGGACAAGAGCACAAGCCATACCATCGCCCAGACCCCTTCGGCCCAACGAAGACGCCATACTGTGGGGGACAATCAAACTTCAGCTGCGACCACGGCCGGGGCTAGGAAACGCAAAGCTGTCGAGCAGCTTTCAGAAGCGTCCGGAGCCAAAGCGCGAGAGGCGAGCAAGCTCCCTGTATCGTGGACGGCAACGCAGGATGGTCTGGATCCAAAGATGTTCCCGTCGCTTCCAAGTTTGTCCGACAAGACGGTCAAAACGCATCACGGCGCTGTGTGGCAAGGCATCCTGAGCCTTTCTCACAAATACTTCCAAGACACCGGCATCGACCCCAGCAGCCGTCCTGAGTTTTGTCGTGTGCCCGAAGGCCAACTCCAAGCCCTGTACCAACAGCCCTTTGGCGAACGCTGGCAAGCATACGTGTGCGAAATGGTGCATCTCGAAAAGCTCAAGGCCGTGGGTGTGATCCAAGGCTGCATCGGGGCCGCCATCAAGCGTATGGTCTACGACCCGGAGGATTTGCCCTAGTTGAGTGCAAGCAAGTTTTTAAACATCGCCAAAGGTCATGCTCCTTACATTACGCAGCTTATGCGTTACCATGAAGCACAACACACCTTCCCTGAGATTGCTTTGCTTGCTGAGCAGACCATGCTGGCCGATCGGAAGTTTCAACAAGAAGTCATTCGCGCAGAGGCTGAGCGCCTTGCTGGCGAGCTTTCGTTGACACTTGAGCCTCAGCTGTTGAAGCTCGGCGTGCGAAAGACTGCAAAGCAAGCAGACGCGCGAGCATTCTGGCAACAATGCCAAAGTGATTTGGTGGACATATTCCAGTCAGCTCTCGTTCTAAAGGGGCTGCTTCTGGCGGCTCCGGATGAAAGCGCTCTCGAATGGGTGGCAAGAGGAGCGGAGGTGGACAGAAATACCATGGTGGAGGCGAACAAGGGCCGGGAGCCGTTTGAGGTACTCTGGTGCATTTCTCCGGTGGTGCGGGTTGGTTCAAGTCCGGAGCAGGAGTGGCGGGTGGTGTCTCCGGCGACGGTCCAATCGATCAAGAAGTCAGAGTCTGAGAACTGAGGCGGGACAGATGAGAGTTGCTGGCCCGGTGCTGTTGCGCTGGATCCACTTAGCTCTAGCCACATATTGCAATGACCACATTGGATGAGTTGATTTTTGGTGCATAAGGCATCAGCGTGTGATGTCGCTTGTGCATGTTGTTCGGCGAAAGATCTCGAGGCGAGAAGTTGGAAATGGACTTGGAAGTAGCGAAGGACGCAGATCGCTCACGTGATCAAGCAATGCAACCCAGTGAAACGTTCACCTCTACCATTTGGATCAAGAGAAGACGATACGTGTAACGTGAAGAGAACGATATTGCAAGCATTGCAGTAAACTACAACCAGCTGATTTGCACAAATACGAACTGAACAGCATGATTACATGTATCCAAAAGCCCAAGACAAGCATCAGCATTCATCACTGTGTATCCATTTTCTTTCCCAAGTCACGAACTCCCATCCCATCCCAATCCCGTATGCTTGATTACCAAAATCGCCCAAGACCCATTTGATCGATGCGTGGCCAAGATATCCATCAATACGAAACCCTTTCTCTTGTCAAGTCAACGCTTAAGCACCGTAGGTCGGGGCGGCGGTGGGCTCCGAGTAGGCTGGTGGGGCGGAAGAGTAGCCAGCCGGGGCCGAGGAAGAGTAGGCTTGAGCGGCGGAAGAGTAGCCAGCCGGGGCCGAGGAAGAGTAGGCTTGAGCGGCGGAAGAGTAGCCAGCCGGGGCCGAGGAAGAGGTA